GGGACGCCGTTGATCTTGTTTTCACATGTGTCGTTGTCGGATATTTCTTGGTAGATCGTCTTATGTCAAGCTTCTTGGAAACAAGGTCCGTCGATGGGCATGAACCATTTCCGTGGCGATTGGGCATCAATCTAGTACCGCGGTACCACATCCTAGGTAACATCGTTACCGTCAATGCTAAGTTGCCGCCAGCAGGGTGAGCGATGTCTAGAAGGCCAAAATTGTTCAAACTAGAAAAGCCATGCCATAAATAGCGTGTAGTCCGGGCTCTGGGGCCTTTCTAGGGATTATTCCCTACATTTTAAGGTGCTTCGACGAACCCTTGGAGGGTACACTCTTCGATATTTCATCAGTCTAAGGATATAAGTACCTATGAGTGCCTAAATTCAGTCAGAAGTCGCCATAAAGGTCTTGTTAATAGGTATATACTCATCATTATGGCAAGAAACGTACGACAACCCACAACTCTTGCCGTGTTGTACCCTCAAGGATTTTCATCTCGCCAAACACGGAAAGAGCCTTATTAAAAGTTCCCGTGTCAGCATATACAAGGCTGATTCACCACTCCGCGAGAAGTTTGCGTTACAACGCTTCATACTAGTCAGCTTGACGGGAACCAGTCGAGTCGTATCCCGAGAAAAATGGATGAATGTTGATATATTACCCCAAAACACTAGATATCTTGCAGCAGCCTCAATGCAGCCTTAATGCAGGTTTTACTCGATTTCGAGGCATGTAATAGGGGACATTTTCCACTAGCCGGGTACACCACAGGCCTTAGGCAGAAGGGCATCAGAACTGATCCAATATGTATACTGGTAGGTAGATAGGTAAGTAGTAATATGTAGTTGACTACTAGGTACCCTTTTAGTATCGAAAACTTCAGTATTTTTAATGTCCTACACTTGTCTTAGTGCCCTTCCATTTAATTAAGAAGTACTTACCTACTACTTAAGCTATACATTACAAGACAACACGACAAAGAAAAAAATAATCGTACATGTAAATCATTAATGTCATTATCTACCTACCTAATGATTCCTATTATTAAATACCTAAGTAAATATAACTTCCAGCTATAACGATATTATCCCTCTTAATAGGGTTTACATTATAAAAGATAAGATGTTTATTCGGGTTGAATTTCAAAGGCAAATAAGGGGTTTCTAACGGATATCGAAAGGAGAATGGTGTATGCACAAAATTTCAACTACCCCTTTAGAAAAGGGGCATGCGTGAGTCTAAGATGTCGGTATAATTCCATCCTCCTAAAAGCCTACGCAGCTTTTGCGACTCACATAGCGATTCACAATATAATAATGGATATCTGATGGTGTTGATGATGCTCTTACTTGCATCGGGACCTTCCCGCCGCTAGCTGTCTTGCGGTAAGGGCAAACTCAATAGTCACAAAATGTCGGTGCGGTGAAGAATTTACTACTAAGAGCAGCGATCACGATCTCAAAGCGCTAATGCATTCAATTAAAGCGGTGAATTTTCTTGAGTTAAACAGTTAGATACTTAGGTAGACACTTGGTATGCACTAAATCTCCAGCGCTATCCGCTCGAATGTGGTAGTTGGTAGTGTTTTTGCTCTATTCGTTCCTAATATGAACATTAAGTATTAGGTAGGGAACCTAAACGTGACTCGGTTTTTACTGTTTCCTTAAGACTCTTAAACTTTTTAACCATCTCACAAAGGAATCTACCTATCTACTAAGTATAATGCTATCATATAAATGCCAAGAGCATATAAGTACACCGCTTAACCTTTATATAGACGTCTCTATATTAAATAGAACAGTATTTTAACGCGTGTTTAATGGTGTATGTGCTGCGATATCGGTTTCGTAACGTGTTATATTGGTCTGTCGAAGCCATAAACATGCCCGCCTCACCGATTTATTCGTTGTGGCTGGTTGCGCGACTAGGCTCTCATGCACGTCAACGTAGGTAAACAGAAATTATGGAGAGTGTAACGGAAGACATGGGTTCGCTCGAGAAAATGGCGAGATACGTCAAATTCGCTGGTTCGGAAGTTTGACGCAAGTGGTCTAGGCGTTGTCTGAAGTCCTTGCACGAGCAAGGGTCTTGGTTAATAAAAACGAAGCCCGAGGACAAACACATGGGCAAACTAGTCGAGATGGTGCTATGGAGAAGGTTCGTCGATAACCGAGAGAGTTCACAGAGATATCCCGCCCGGAGTGCTTAGAATATGAACTGTGTTCTACCTAGCATATTTAAAAAGCAGACGAATAGACGAATAGAAGCACGATGAAAGCGCCGCACAACCGTGCTTCTTCTCCTCGGGCATTTCTGCGTCCCAGAGCGTCGGTTGACCCAGTAGAAGGGTTTTCAGGGGTGGCATTGGCAGGCAAGGGGCCTTCAGACCAGGGCTCTCACCGGTTCTGGGTTCACGCAAGGTTGCACTGGGTCCGTTACTACCATAATACGTAGCAGCAAGAATGGGGCTTGAATGGGCGCGGATGGCGATCCGGGAGCCGTGCTGACGGGGACGACCCTGGTTTGACAGAATGGGGTCGACAGGCCGACAACCGACTTTTCAGCAAGGGCGACAGCTGCCAGGCAAAGCATTGCATATTATCGAATGATATGCGCTGATAATATTTCTTTCTCCAATAATTACGTGCACTGCCTATTTTGGTTTCGTTTTCCTCATTTTCGAGCGTACATATTACACATTATCATATCAATTTAAGGGCTGAACCCTCAATCCAAATCTACCTTTCGAGCATTTATGGAGCCGACTGGTAGGTAGGTATGTGTATATGTACGTAAACCCGTAATGGCCACCTGGCGATCCTGAGAACATGTTAAGATCTTCACTACGGGAGATAGCCGCTGATGTCTAGCGTTAGTTATCTTTTCAGGGGCACTCTTCCGTCTTTGCGATAACATCATATTGGGACTTATCATGCGCACTGATGGAGAAGGCCATGGTTTGTATCTACGATACACCTGTGGATCTCTTTTCGCCGCCGACCTTCAACAACACTCTACATAATAGTAAGTAGGTAATAGGGAAATGCTCAGCAGCATTTAGCGGTGAGAGTGTCGAGCTCGCTACGCCAACTCTCGATGGCTCTACTATCGTGACAGGGACGACCTGACGGTAGCGAGATATCCCAACGTGGAGATGATACCTAGATATGTATTAGAATTGACATGTATTAGTATAACTACCTAGGTATTCGGGTACTCCTGAACGTCGATCTCAACTATGCGCCACCCTTGATATCAAGGTTGAAGTCCGTACTCGTTAGAGTCCTTCAATACTGCAGTGGCTATCCGTACTTGTGTGATGCTGGAAGTGCAGCATGAGGCATGCCGATTTCATCTGATAATGAATTACTTGATATGGATTATGTTTATAGATCCTTGTGATGGTTGTATCAAACGCATGTATGTATGTCATCAGATAAAAATAACTGGCGGCGCCTCTTATTGATCATTCATCTAATTACCAGCCACCAGCCACCAGCTTCCCCTGCAAAATTAGTCGAAGAAGGACGTCTTCTCGACTGGATCTACGGAATCAAAGGAGAAAATGCGGGTGTTGTATCGTTGCCATAATCTCAAAGCTCCATCGTCTTCACAGTGGCTGGGAACTCGGGCTGCGCCGAGATCTAATAATTTCGTGTTTCCTAAATAGAGTTTCTTGACTCCTTTGCGGCATGGCCGTCGAACTATTAGCTCTCGGGCCGCGGATAGATATCCTGATCCGAACTTGTACCGTAAGATCCTCATGAACTACGCCTTGTGGTGCTTCGTGGTGGATCATCCTGGTCCGATACGTCAGTGGAGGTCCAGATGCGTACAGACCACATTTTGATGAGGCAATGAAGATACAGTTGATGGAAGACTACAATGAGTTCCTTCTATTGTTGGAAATTCTGCTTCAGTTGTTTCCATGAACCGATATAATGACTTACTCTCTCGTGTCGAGTGGGAACAACAACTCAAATCTATCACAACACCATGCTTAGGTTGCTGGCATCGTCTCGAGGTGGATCTTAGACCTTCCAAACTAGTTGTCATTTGAGGAACTATGTGTCAGCTCGCAACGTGGCACGCACTGGCGTTTTTCGTCTTAGGTTTGGGACCCAGTTCCAATCATATACTAATCTTGCATCGAGCTTTGTACTTGACCTTCTTGAGTTAGGACACCACGATAGCGTCCCTAAGCGAAGTATCACACGCTCCTCTTGGTAAGATTTTGACTACAAGTGCTGGCTGAACGACGAATCCAAGGATTCTCCTACTTCGATCATAGCTGGAGGTTTTATCATACAGGAATTTAATTAGTCCTGCGGGCATATGTTTATGCTGTGAGATACATGGCTATTCAGACTTGTACCTACCTACTAGATAGTTACTAGGCAGTCACACGATCATATGTTGTTAATAGGTAGGCAAATTATAAGCACCTTAATAATATAACCTATTGCTACCTTTGACAGCTTTATATTATTCGCGGACTCACATGACACCCTAAGGGGGCAACGAGTAACCGCTCGGTAACAGTCATCAATTATCGAAATGAACGCTTTTAATAGTCACTTCGAGCTGATAGTTTGATAAATACCTAGGCTTATATGGAACTGCCATGATAAGTAGCATGAAGGAGTCGGCATGATTGCCACTTTCTTGGGGAGATAAACGCTACTATTTCATTGAAAAACATGTACGACCATTCGTGTAGGCATAGACGCAAACAAGCCAATCTAGTTGAACGGGACATTCTCATTGTGACGGTTAACATGGTTCTAGAACAACAGAGTGGAAGCCATAGGTGCAGGGGATGGCTCGCTTCTAAACTAGAGCCAGGAAATAATCAAGGTTATCCATCTTTCTCCACATGTATCGAGGGCATACAGTCAATATATTTCTTGTTGTTGTTCTGACATAGTAAGTTAGCGCTGGGCATCAACGACGGGGAAAAGCTTCGAGAATGTTTTGGCTCCGAGACTCGAAATGAATTGATGTCATTGTCGTAATGCCTGTGAAATGAAGGTGCCGCTAGACAAGGCGCGGGAGATTCCCATGTCACGGATCAAGAAACGATCCATTTCCCTGAACCAATCCAAGGAAGGGCCATGGCTAAACATGCCCCCATGCCGAGTGAACGAAGCATGATCACCATGAGATCAAAGATTATCATGTTGAAATAAGGAGGGAAGAAAATGCAACCTGCCGTGATAATAACTCTGCGACTGCGAACTTGCCGGGACATCTTCTTGTTGGCGTCGTTGTATACGCTCATGTACGCCATCGTTGCACGGTGGTTGCGTTAGACGGGATAGCGTCTTTATTACTTACTAGGTACCAAGGCAGGTACCAATAAAAATATTCATGTCCCGTTTCTCGAAATCTTCCAGAATCTTGCCATATTGGGGATAGGGCCAATTTCAAGCCTGTCTAGGAAGCTCATGCGCCGGGGTACGTTGGCTGATGAGTCTATGTCCCTTTCCCCACAAGCATTCATCCCATAGGTCCGTAGGGCAACGGCAGAAGAGTTGTCGTAACCCACATAAGAAGACGCACTGTCGAGAACGTGGTTTCGTATCGTTTCGTGTCCTATTCTAACTGAGTAGCTGAGGAGTATGTACGACCTCACGAGGCCATGACTTGCGGATGGCTGCATCGACCCTCAGCTGAGCGTGCCTCCACGATAGAATGGAGTCCCATGAATTCGATTGAAGCTGGAAACCCGAGCACTATCCAATACTTACACACAATAATTATCTATGCAAGCTATGGACGAGAGTTACAAGACATCGTCGCGTACCCTAGGTACCTAGACTAGAACAGTTAGAAACCTTGGAACCGGGTCAAGGTTTTGGTTGCGTCGTTTGACGGGGAGAAAGAAAACAACATGATGCGTTAGGATAGAATTTTCATTATTCATCATATACGACACTGGTGATATTTGATGCTTTAAAAGTAAAATCTGATATCTGAGAAATCACTGGTACATAAATTATAAATCTATGTACGTACTGTGTACTATATATGTACATATGTATGTGTTTACGAAGTATATACCTAGTACTTACATATTTATATACACGGTACGTACTTGCTTGGTAGGTGCCCAGAGCCCAGGTAACGTCTAGGTCTGGAAGGTCTGCTGGGTGTACTTGCTCACCGGGTCGGGTCCGGTTGTTTGGAGCGCTGTTTCATTCCGGTACCAAAGAAAAATCAAAGTTAAACGGACGGCCTAAGCGCGAGGCAGGCACTTGGGCGCACTATGTACCCACTTACCTAGGTATGTACATAGTAAATATTAAACCTTGAACTGTACCTGGTATCCAAATAGGTACCGATTATTACATAATCATCTGATCTCTTTGTTTCCATCACATCTTTTATGATGAAAAATATGCTCGTACAAGCAATTCGACACCGTTTACATAGTATAATCGTCATTAAACAGCTATTTATGGAAACGGGGTCCTTCCACGAAGCCGGATTGAAGTAAATAAGGCAAGCAATTGCATCCCATACTGCAAAATTGCATGGATATTCTGCTGTCTCATCAAATCTTACCATGTCTTCGGTACGAGCCAAATCCCACATTCTCCCTTGAACATCTGGACAACTTAAGATGTTGAAACCACCCAGACCAGCCAGCCAGCCAGCTTAACCAGTCCCGACGGGAGGTGACTGGAATTTTCGGTATTTTCATTAATACTTGCCACTCGTCATCGCGCTTCCAATAAGATCTATCAACTGAAGAATCTCCCGAGACCCGTACCTCTGAATGTATCCGTATACTAGGTATATATGTATGTGCATATTTATAGATATGCACGTACGTGTTGCATACCTAGGTGTAGTGCTTCCACCTTTTCTCGGCACTGCACGTTACATATGCACCTAACGCATACTATATGCATGGACGGCATTTCCGTATTGACATCGTCTACGACAAAAGTCTGGTTAGCATCGTAGCTCCACGCGCATTCGACTCTCCAGGTTCTCGTAGAAACTTACCCTTAATAATGTCATTCACTTGTTGCAATGGAGTCATTATGCAAGACGGGATGTCTGGGGAGATCATGTCAATATCGCGGATAATATGGGCGGAGCATAATTGCGGGTCGTTTGCCAGGGTCGTATTTGTCTCTTCTGAACGCCAAGATAAACAGTGCTCGGACAGGTTCTCTCAACGTTTAAATAGAAACCGCACGATAAGTAAGTATTGTAAGGAACTACATACCTACTAGGTATACATACCGTACTGTTCAATGTTTTACATATATCTACCGGACAAATAGAAAAGAGCAGCAATGCCTTGATGAAATTTTGAAAATAAATACGAAATATCTTGACTCGGGACGTACGGAAAACTCCCGGAAATTTTGAACAAGGTAACATAATGTTAAAAATACCGAAATGCTTAGTGCAAAAAATGAGCATGACACTTGCCTTTGAAAAGTACTGCGTACCTACTAGGTAGTCACAGTAAAGAGAAAATTACTCGAAACGGTTAGTGTAAACCTAATAATGCTTTAGCGTATCATATGTGCATACACTTAGGCTACTTAGGTACTTAGGTAGCTGTAGCCCTACAGTATGTACGTACTGAGATGCGGTTTCATTGGACCTGACGAGACGGCAGGGTTATGAGGAAAAAAAGCGAAAGAAAAGGAGAAAAGTTTGTTAATATTAATCCTATTTAAATAGACAATTTTTTCCTACTCCTAGCATCACTACTAATACTTGACCATATGAATGCGAAGGTAGCTGCATCTCAGATTCGGATATCGTGTGTTTTACCTTAAGTCGTCCATATTTTTGGAGGTGCACTACTAGGTACGCAGAATACAGTACATACTACATACATAAGGTACGTAAGGCAGTCACGGACATATTTTTCCCTCTCGCTCCTTCCCAGTACTTTATCTACTTTATCTAGTACTTTGTACACGTACCTACTTAAGGTACTTCCTCAGGTTGCCGTTTGTGGTCCCTGCTCCTGTTCCTTACCAACTCGCATGCACAATCCACCCACCTGCACTTTTACTTACTAGGTTTGTCCACCGCCAAAACCACTACACCTGCACTCTCTACGTGCACTACCTAAAAAATACCCAAGTACCCACGTACCTACTTACCTACCACTCGTACGCTTACCTAAAATACCGTACCTCAATTTGATCATTTCAACACCTTCTCTCATATTATTTTTTCCTTTTCTTCCATCGTCACACATACCTTTTTTTTTTCTTTAATTCTTTCAACAACCTTTCATTCTTTAGATCACCTGGCGGAAGCTAATTACTATCTGCGAAGGCGTTCTCTATTTTCTACTACATCATTCTACGACCTTACCACCCCGGGTCCTAAATAATTCTTCGAGGTATGTTGGGATCACAAGCTGCCCCCATTCCAGCTCTCTTAGTCGACGAGCTCTAGATCCACACCACACGTTTTCTTTTGTTGCTTCGATATCCACTGCTTGGTTTGCACGACTTGTTGCTGCCACCGCTCTGGGATCTGAGCATTCTTTCACGTCCCTGTTACGCGTCGCATCTTCATCAACGTCTTATGCTTGATCTATCTGCTATCTTGAGATCGGTTAGTCGTGTTTTAGCTGCGGGTTACGAGTTCTAAGTATCTTGCATCACGGATGTCTTCGGTACTTGGCTCTATGACCAAGCTCCAAATCTACAAACACTACCCTGCCCTGCATCCCTTGTATGCTATGAATATCACAAAGCAGGCCTAGGCCCTCGACTCCTTACATTTTATCAGATTCATTCACTTGCTTTCGAGAGTACTGACTCGACTTGGTTTGTTCATAGGATTACGGACAATTTACTCCAATAGACGACATAGGACAGCGACTTCTGGGGTCACCTCCCTTCATCATATCCTCATAACGTCGACTCATACGGTGTACAGCCGCGACACCCCGACACCTCAACCCCGCCCTTGTCATCTTCCTCGATATCCGACTTAGTCCTATAAACAAAGACGTCGCAACGTGGACTGTACTGCTGTGCAGAAATTCCTCGATATCCGAAAGAGACGCCTTGGCGCATTACGCTACTCGATATTAAGAAGACTGATAAACCTTTGCGCAACTTCTACCTAGGTGTACATCGGCAACCCGACAGCACCGAACAACACATCGGCAGATTTAGGCGTATTGAAGCAGACGCTGACGCGTACCAAGTTGGGAATATTCTGCGAAAATACATACGATTAAGTTGATAGTGTTATATCTATCTGCTTATACACACGACACTTCATCGGTTGCATAGGACAGGGATTTAGGACAGGATTCTGTGCTACCGGGTATCGAACTCTACTTCTAAGAGATCCTAATAGGCAGCATACGTCTATATCGAACGCGCAGTGCAATATTTACGTGATACAGTCGATATTCCTCAACGCGATAGATATCGCTTGCTCTCCCGGGACTCACGGACTTGTTCACGTCAACATGTCCAAGTCACCGTCATCGGAGGTAATGAACATTACGAACATGCTAGACAAGAAGCACGCAGCAGCAGCAGCCGCAGCCGCCGCAGCATCAGGTCCCTCTCCGGATCACCAACTTCTCCCACACCCGCAGCTCACTTCGGCGGGTATGGATCGTGGTAACTCTCCACATGGATCTGAGAGCTCGTATCACTCAGGTCACCGTGTCGGACAGCCATTAGAAGCCCTAAATGGGATGGGCAACGGACGATCTTATGGTTCACCCTCTGCAATGCATACCTCGATGCCTTTATCTGATCCGAGCATGACTCCTGGCATGATGATTCCTGCCTTGCCACAGGTCAATCACGGATCAATGGCTCATGGTCTCCCTATGGCTTACAACAGCGCTCCTGAGATGGTACAGCGACCGCAGCCGCCGAGCAAGAATTTTGAGTGTCGTACTTGTGGCAAAGCATTTGCTCGACGAAGTGATCTGGCCAGACATGGTATGTAACTTTCTTACATGATATAAGTACAATGCTAACCCTAAAATTTAAGATCGAATTCACACCGGAGTTCGACCTCACGCCTGTGACTTTCCAGGCTGTAATAAACATTTCATTCAACGATCTGCACTGACGGTTCACCAACGAGTTCACACGGGTGAAAAACCCCACATGTGTGAGCGGTGTGGCAAGGTATTAATCCCATCTCTATCCATATAGGAAGCATACTAACTATAAGTTAAGCCTTTTAGTGATAGTAGCTCTTTGGCTCGGCACAGGCGCATTCATTCGGGTAAAAGACCGTATAAGTGCCCGTACGCCAATTGCCAAAAGACTTTCACAAGGAAGACCACCCTCACGCGGCACAAGAATTCGCATACTGGTACAGTGGAAGAGGCGGCAGAAGCCACAGCCGCTGCTCTAGCCGCTGCTCAGGCTAGTAGAACGGCAGCGAACGCTGGTCGGGTAGCCCATAGTGATGGCGAACCTGTCTCAAGCCACGCATCACCATTGAATACGCCATCACCGGGTCAGAGACACATGTCTATCTCGCCAAGCGCAGAATTGGCTACCTCGAATGTTATGCGAAACAATGAGTATTCGTATGTAAGCAATGGATCACTCCCGGTTCATATTCGCACAGATATGCAATCTCAGAGCCCTACATCGGTCCCTGCTTATGCTACCACGATGCGACCTACCTCCCACCCTACAGTCTACCCGCCACCTCCCACGCTAGAACCTAGTGTTGAATCGCATCAGTCAGGAACTGGTAGCGCCGGCGGAAGTCCTCATATGGGCAGCGTGGGATGGCAATCACCATCACACATGGCTTCTCCGACGCACAGCACGAGCGGCAGCAGCTACGTGTACCCGGATCCGGAGCAGCCGTTTCTAGGCAGCAATAGTCTTGGACAGATGTACTACAATGCGGGTGCTCAAATTCGACGACCGACGAGCACGGATCCTGGCTCGGCGACCTACGATGTCAAGCCCCGCCCGGACGCGCTATGGGCTAGCCAGTAGGGTGGCAACCATAGTAGTTTAGGCGCACTCCCGGACACCATGCTGCCGGCAACATGGCTACTAGCACCAGTAGCACCCTCTCCAGAGGCATCGTCATTCTCGCCGGAGACAGCGGAGATGTCATACCAATATCTCGGCGAGAACCAGCAGCAGGGTCAGTCGGGGCTTGGCCAATTCCAGTACCAGGTTGGTCCATCGCCAGATGGTCAATCCGTATATCCGCCGCCTGATGAGCCGCGATACCACTACCCGCATTTTGGTGTCTCGTATGATGCCCCCTTCTACGGAGGCAATCAATAGATTCCATTTGTCGCTTGCATCTTTTCTTTGTTTCGGAAGGCAAAATACCCATGGCACGGTCAGGAGTGATTATTTGCGACGCGTTCGAGAGGGGATTACTAAACGGCGTTTTTCTTTGCTCTTTTTTCTTTGTCTCATTGGAGGCTTCAGATCGGGTATCCAGTTGCCTCGGGCTGCTCGGGGCAGTTTTACCCAGCTCAGTTTAGAGGCGCGCGCCTCTCAATTAATCGACCCAATACACCAGTGGAACTTTATAATATAAAAGGCCCGATTTTCCTCTTGATGGATTCAACTGAGGTTTAAATGGCCACGATTCGCTTCTCCCTATTCTTTTGACCTACCCTGGTCGGGCTCGGCGATATATCATGACAGCAAAGACGGGCATAATCGGAGCAGATGGAGGGAAAACGGAAAATTACCTAGGAATGAGGATAAAGGAACTAGTTGGTTTACGGATGCGCGTATACGTTTTCTCTGCTAGTGGCTACATACTCGCAATTGGGATTTCACGACATGTGGTGAATTTTGCACTCAGCATCCCAATTGCTATATCCCGATAGTGCGTCAGCAGAAAGGTCTGGTGCCGATATTAAGCAATCAAGAATGAATTGAGGAATTTCGGCAGACTTTCGGATTTAGCAGCTTCTCATCCTTGATACACTCTAGACAGGCTATTCTACTGGATCTCTTGGTGTCTGCTAGATAAATATGCAGGTCGAGATAAGAGGCTAGATTCTAGGTAGCAAATCAACTTGTGATTGGATTGAGAACGGAAAACCTAGTAATCTTCTAGAAAAATGGACTACTCTATTTGTGAAAGTGTCTAATCCAACTATTCCGAGTATCTTAGGTACATTAGGTCTTACTATGTGTGATCCCAGATCTTATTTGCACCTACTCATGTATATCGCGATGGTTTCCCGGTACGGGACGAGATCTTCACGCTAAAACTATCCGGGGTAAGAAGAACCACTTATGAAGGTAAAAATGATTGGAGTTGCTGTGCTTTATCACAACGTCAAATCGTATTTACCTATATAATACCCCAGGAAGTTCGCATATTATTTTCTACCTAGTATGGATGTATCTTGTCTTAGCACTTAGCGACCGCACGGAGCTAAGATAGCGATCTTTACCCTCTTACCCATGCCAACTTACTGCCTACCTCTACCCACCTATACTGACCATGCCTCATAATGCTGGGAGTGTACAAGGTGATATCTGTACAAGGCTGGTTTCGGTTGAAGTAAATAAATGTTTAATCATCAATGACGTACCCTTTCTCGTACGATTATGACGATTTAAGTAGCAGCTAAGCAGTCAAAGAGGATGAAATGTGGATGGCGACCCCGGATTTGACCTTGTTGATTTTTTGATTTGTGATCATATGGGGCTACGCACATTTTTCCCTCATTTTTTTTCTTCGACGCCGCTCAATCACCTCAGCTAGAACCGGGATATTGCGGTTACTCCTATCGTTTTTAACCATGAAAAATTTCCCGGGGACATCGACTATATATTCTTGTCTCGAGGGCAAACCATCTCTTCGCGAGCTCTCGTGGCGCCTTAACATCCACTCGCCCTCCTTGGCGTTTGATCCCTGATCTAGACAACAACGAAAAGCCATGCGGGCCGTCTGAATAAGCGTGGGACTAGTTCCGAGCGTACTGAGAAAACATTTTTGATTATTCGATCATTGCATTGGATTGCTGGTGTGACAAGCATCTCCTGCACCTCCTGTGCCGCCGCGCGTATGCGAGCTGAAGAGGACCCTGGAGCCGAATTTTCTCTCGTACTATTAAACTGATGCTTTCTACTTAAACAGAAACGAAGCATCCTGGATTCTATTGGACTGATCGCAATTTCAGTTTGCGGTCTGGAAGCAGTGGTTGTTTATAAAACCTGGAAGAACCGAGGATGATCAGTTTCGTTGATTAATATTCTGCCCCTATCGCTGTCCTCGTGCTATTCTTTCTCCACCAAGGCGACTACTTCTAATACATGAACCCTTTAATACTTTCCATTGTTTGGATATGAAGGTCTGTCACTTTTAACGAGACCCCGTCGGGAATTAAGGGCGTATATACAACTCTTCTAGGAGTCTTGCCCTTACCCCTAAGAATTATCGAAACCGCCATCGCCTAGATTGAGAGAATATGGCAAGCATACAAGACTTGTTGTCGCCTGTCGTTGATAGAAATTCCAACGAGCCGGAAGCGAAGGGACAGGATGCGCTTTCTAAGAGCGATGACGTGCCAGAAACGACACACTTTATGGTGGAATTCATCTTAGATGTGATCTGTCCATACTGTTACATCGGACTTAAGAATCTGACAGCCGCCATTACGACCTACACAGCAGACCACCCAGAGGCAACTTTCGAAATAGTCTGCTCTCCGTTCATGCTCGACCCGTTGGCCACTCGAAGCGGTGAGTCCATCCCATTCAACCGTTATACCTACCTAGGTACTCCTTTACCAACGGGGAGGCCGCAATCCACCATAACCTAGAACGACTCCACTATCTCCCCTAGAGTCCAAGGCACATCCCAGAAGCACTTCCACAAACACCAACCCCAAGAAGAAAAACGCGACTAACTAGCGAACTGACCACAAATTCCCCCTAGCATACCCCAAAGCGACCTACCTCAACATCCCCAAACACAGCCTCGAGCACTGGCGCGACCTAGGCAAGCAAGCCGGCATCGACTTCACCTGGGAAGGACGAACGGGGAACACGCGGGACGCGCACAAGCTCCTGCGATACGCTCTAGAAGCCGCGCCCACCACGGTCCGAAGCACGGCATTCACATCGGCGCACCGACCGCAGACCCCCAAACAGGGGAAACCGCATTCGCCGGCCCCACTTCCAGATACCGCGTCCGGGACCCACCAGCGCGGGCCACCGCTGCAACTACGACTCCTATGCGCGCTCTTGCACGCGCACCATGAGACGGATGCGGATATTTCGTCGCGGGATTTTCTGAGCTCGCTGGTCCCCTCCGATCTCGATTTTTCACCTTCAGTCTTCACGGACCCGGCCTGGGACCGCGCGCTCGATGTCCTGTTCGCGGACGCGTGCGAGAGGCCGGGACTCGCAGTGCGCGCTGTGCCGACGTTTATTGTGAACGATCGGTACGTGATCGGCGGGGCGCAGAGCGCGGAGTTTTTAGTCGAGGCGCTGGGGCGGATACGGGTTGGGAAGGGGGGACGGGGGAGGGATAGGGGACAGGTGTTGCCTGTTGATGAGGGAGGTGTTTGTGCGAGGTTTTATGCGGATGGGGAGAAGGTGCCTTCGCCGGTGTTGAAGTGAGGGTTAGTAGGGTTGCGTGGTGTGGCGTAGTGGTATCAGATGGACTCGTTGGACATATTGTTGATTTTAAAAGGTACTGGAGACGATTTAGGAGGATTGTATCGCCCGGAAGAGCGGGTGAAGCATATTTATGAATCTCAGCAATCGAGGAATAGGCTCGAGATATCTGTACGTTTAGCGGCCTACCTGGTAGGTAAGCAATGGTCGGAAAAGCTTGGCGTAGGACGGTAAAGGGAACAGAACCCTCATAGCAGAAGCTAAATGTCAGCATGTGCGATTTTTTTACCAGCTTTTTATCATCATATTCGAACTTTCTTTTACCTTCTCTCGTAATTTTCGGTTGTAATTTGAGGCCATGCTTTTCTCCGTCCAGGCTGCTTAGTCTGGAGAACATGTGAAATCTATCTTGTAGACAGCAAGCAAACTCCAAGAGAGACGTATAGGAATGAGTCTAAAGAAAATTAAAAGAAAGATGTAAGATCCTACCTCTATAATAATAGGATAAGTTGGAATCTAAGTCACGTCATGGCACTCAACTTTGTTTTGTAGGTACTGATACCTTTTATTAAAAAGCAATGCAAAGGAACCGAAGCTCCCCAGAGTCCCCCCCAAAACGCCTCGTTATACCCAGCCAAAACACCGATGATGCTAGTTTTTCCCTCATTTTTAAAAACAGCATTATGCCTTAGGGAAATCACTCCTGGCCGAATACCAATGTAACCTTGCCACCATGGCAACGATCTAGAAGCCTCATGCTATGCCAGTCTGCTCTCGAACGGGAGAGGATCAACGCTTATGTTGTTCGAAAATGCTTCTCATATGCTCATTCTCGAACTTCTTCTGCACGCGCGAAGCCTTCTTACGCTTAGGCGGTGCCTTCTGAGCATTCACGTTTGCCTTTGTGCCACCACTAGTCGCCTTTTGACCGAGGGCTTTAAGCCTTCTAGGCATCTCATCCGTGGACGGGAGGGTCTCCTTAAACCACATAGCCCGGAATTCGTCGTCGACCTTGTGATGCAGAGCCGGGTTATCGAGCCATACAAATCTGTGCGTCTGCTCCTTTTTAGTTCGGACGGTGAGGATTTTATGCTCGGCTTCCAGCTCCATAAGTGCTTCGTCGCAGTTCGGCCACCCGTCCTTGATCGCCTTGACCTCTGTGGCCGAGGCATCGGTCTTGCTCTGGAGATACTCGAGAAGTGTGACCTTAGACGTGACGCCAGGCAGTAGAGGCTTGAATTCGTAGGTACCGGTTCGCCACTGCTCCGACTCGGGTAGGGATTTAACCTTCGGGCCTGGGCGGTACTGCATGCGAGAGTGGCGCTGCATCGTGGTCGCAAAGAATTTCTGCACGTGCTCTGGGTAGTGTTGGAGAGTTAGGTGGTCCATAATCTCTTGCAGCGTCTTCGGGGTGCCCTTTGCTTTGAGGAACTCGACCGCGTATGTAAGCTGCGTGATAATGTGGGAGCCGTAGTCTTGGGAGGCGGCGGCCGCAGCGGCAGCGGCAGGGGTGGCCAAGTTGTTGTTGGCTGCGTTTCCGTCGCGCTTCTGACGCTTTGAAGCCGCGCCATCGGACTTGGTCACCTTAGAGGGAGATGGCGAGAGTACCGACGACTTCTTTGAGCCGCCGGCAGGTTTTGTTGGAGACATGATGTATAGGTAGATCGAATCAGTTGATTAGGTTCTCTAGGTACTCGATGTGGGGTGATGAAGTGTGTGGTTGTTTGATGTTGATGTTGACCTCATCAATGAATGAATGGATGGGTAAAGAAAAGAAAGTGAAAGATGTACGAATGCGAAACAAGGCTGAAAAGTGTCAATTGATTCAAGCATGTGTTAGGTAATTTTTAAGGTTAGCTTCATTAGTGGAGTCCCCCAGTTATCACTGTATCTAAGTACCGATGTAACGTAGGTAAAGTGTGGCTTGTGGCTTGAAGAGGTATCCACTACGATTGTGGGTCTTAAACGTAAAACTGGCTAGCGGCTTTTTTAGTTGAGATTACCTAAATTTTGGTGAGATTGATCCATTTAACTCGACGTTAGGTGCATATCCTTCAATTAACGTTGCTTGCACCCTCACACTCGGGTCCTAGGCAAGAAACCAGGCTCCAGACTTCCCAGGTAAAGTTGAGACCAGCTCTGGGTTCTGCATTAGGAAATGTCAGCAACTCAGCATTGAACGATGTCTTTCGATGCTTTCCCATTTCCATTTCCTAATATGGCAATTGGGTGCGGATCTAATGGGGCTGATAACCCAAATGCATCCTTAAGGAATAAGATAAAACTTACATTTTAGAATTGCCTAAGATGGAAATGCATTGAGGATGGGTGATACGATTTAGTTTTGCGAAAAGTTGGAAAAGGTTGAGCAAGCGCGCGAGTGAGTGAGTGCGTGGGTTCGCGGTATTGATGTGAGGAAATTGCATGTGCATATGGTTGCCAAATAACCATGTTGTAAAAAAATCGTAGGTATTAGTCGCATTGGTAGGTACGGAGAGAGAATTTCAAATATGATATGCAATCCCTAGTACATCACTGGATGTCGGTAAATGTTGAATTCATCTAACACCGGATGACAAGATATTACTATTTTCCAATCAATAGGTATTGTTCATCGGGTTTATTAAAAATGCCTGTACTTAAAGTAACCGCCGTCCATTCCCTCTAGGGCTCTTTAGTTAATCAACTCTGCCAGTAAAACAATCATATGCTCATCTGACTCCTGGTAGTCATAAACCAAACAGCCTGATAAGACACCACTGAGAAATACGTAAGAACCAAACCAGGTCTATTAAGCATCGAGGACAGATATACTATCGCGAAGATATCCATCAACTCTTTGCTCGACATACTTGTACACACTCCTTACTCCTCCGAACAACCTCGTTCCCCTCCAAAAAAAAGCATCGAACCTTTAGGCCTCCTGCCCTTCTTGGGCCTGTAAGTATTGGTATGCACCGAAAGCGACCAATCCACCGATGAAGACGACGGCGTAGAGGGCAGTTCCGTAACCGGCCGAGCTTGTGTTGGCAGCCGGGGCGAGGGAAGGCTGTTGAGCCTTGGGGTGAGGGTCACCGGGCTGTATCAAAAGTCCGTCAGCATACCGGAGTACGATGGGGAAGAGTAAATCAGAGATATTGTTATTCCTACCTTTCGCTTTAGGGTACCGACAAGGAGTTGCTCTAGGGTTTCTCGGGCTTCGTCACTGTGGCCGACATCTTCGAAAGCCTCCGTCGCGTCTTGGCCGCCAACATCTAAAAGGACCTCTTCACCACCACTGCATTGACAAAGAACATTAGCTGACAACTGTACACGTAGGCACAAAAAGCCCGGGCCACATCACGAAATTAATTGGGGAGATTGAACACAATGGCAAAATCGAACAAAAATTCAATCGCATAACGTGTAAGACAGTGAATTGGCACTTACGGATGCTCATCAATGAACTTGGTAGAGTCGTAGATCTTATCGTGCACTACGATATAAAGATCTTTCTTGGTGTTGTGCTCAGCAACATCCTGATAGGTGAGCTCCTTCAACTCTGCCATTTTGCTGACTTGATTGTTATTTTCTGGAAACAAATCTAAGGGAATCGATCGCTCGAAAACAATAAAGATGTACAGGTAATGGATTCGGACACAAGTACAACCGGCACGGAGATTGATCGGGAGTTGAGGAGGAGTAAAGAGGACAGTTGGGGTTAAGGAGGATAAGAAAGTGAGATGGAGCTAGTAAATTGCATTGGTGATTTGATTCCAATCTTCTTAAAGTTCGAATCGCTTCTGTCCCCTAGAAATTTTAGGGAGCTAGCGGTCAGCGGAGGGTACGGTAATCCGAATCCTATTGTGAATTGAGCCAATCAGAGATGACCTATATCAATTTATCAAAACGCTGTGGGGATTATCAGCTAGCTCACCTAGTCCGCTTTTTTTTTTCTTTCCTTAAGACAACTAAGACAACTAAAACATCCAAGACATCCAACGTGGAATTCCTCAATTCCGTCCAAGGACGTTTATCCTAGCATGAGCTGTACAATTGATTGCCTACTTCGGTACAGGTATCGTACCTACATCATACGTATAACTATGCACGCCTCGGTTGGTCGGTTGTACCTCTCTAAACCCGGATACTACTGTAGGTACTTATAAGTCGGTACCTATCTATTTGCTGCTGTCGTACGAAAGCACAACTTTATGCGAGATATTACTTGATCGGAGACTTCCTAAATCGTCGGATAAGATCGCGACATTTTATCTTAGGTAAGCTCCTGCATAGATCCAGGTAACACATTTCTTGGCATTTATTTGCTTATCTGCTTGCATTTGATAAGGTACGGAAACTTGCCGGTGCGGTGTCTACCCGATTCTATTCTGTACTTATTCTGCACATAATCCTATTAATCCAGCTCTTCTGTGCCACCAGTACCCATGGATCCAATGCATAGATGTCAGAGAGATCAATTGACAAGGTCGAGACCGAACGTTCCGGACTATCCTTCCATTTGTGGCGTACGATAAATCTTGCCGTCTTGGAGATCTTTTAGTCACTCTCGGTAAGTCGTCATAATGCGGAGATTCGGAGTTCTAATTAGAGTCTCCCCAAAGTACATCATGTGGATTTGAACGGTCCGTCCCTGTGACCACCTGGACATCTTTAAGACCCTACGTATCTCCGTATCGGAGAGCTCGCGGTCCATAGTTCTTCTATGAACGATCCCCATCTGTCATAGCGACAAGAATAAAAGCGGCCCCTTAACCTGGGGTATTGAGTGATGAGCAAGTACCTAAGGGCGGCGAAAATTACCGTTCTCGGGGATACGATACCCCAATTCATGGGATCCGGAGAGCCTGGAAAACGTACTTGAACGAATACGAAGAGCGGGGACATCGAGCACACATGTTCCAACCCCAGAACAAACGCTACACAAGGTTGAAGAATTCGGCTATGCGCCCACTCTTCTTCCATTGCTCGACTGCTTCCCCGGTCATCAAGCCCGGCACGTAACACTCCCCGATGAACGAATACTTGCCCTCGCCGAGCTCCCGTACAACATATGGGACCTTCCCACCAAATAGGATAACTATTATATCATTTCTTTCCATCGTTTCGGGACCTATTCCCATTAAATTTCCCGCCGTGACGAAAAAACGTCTATGCAAACAAGCCCGTGTGAAAGCCTCGCGGAACCGGCCTGAGCTCGAATAGTTCCATATGGCACCTGGTAATCTCCATTTTTTGCTAACCCCTGAAACTGGGATTTGGCCTCCGAACTGCTGAAGCAGCCAGTCCGCCGCATCGTCAAGGAAATTTGAGTCCTCGTCGACTAGCTGTCTTGTTTCAGTAAGACCTGCACTGAGTGTCGAGACGAAAGTATGAGGTATATTCTCCGGATGGTACATATTCAAGTCTCCCGATGCATCGCCTCTCTTGGCTAGGTGTGCTACCAGATTCCATGCCGATTTTACGAAATCGTGCTCTTCTTTATAAGATGTGTGCCGGAACCCATAGCTTATAAGTTTATCCCCGTACGCTCTTATTGAGCCATCGGAAACTTTAATACCTCTCACAGAAAGGCATGCTGGGTCTATAGAGTCTCCCATAAACAGGTGCTCATTACCACTGGCATTATAAGGAGACTCGTCTCGGTTATCATTGACGAATTCGGTAGATATCTTCGATTGATTCCAATCGGGTACCCACGACGGACAGCCAGATGTTTTCACGCCTTGGATCCCGCCTGCGTGGGATAATGCTGCGAGATCCCCATGATATATTACCAGGAAGCGTATCACATTGGGGTATACCTCGTCAACCCTCTTTGGATCGTAGGTTGGTTCGATCAACGGATCAAACTGTTGATTATTCTCCCAAATACAGATGGTCTCTTCTGCTAAACTATAGGCCGCATATACTTTGTCTACTTTGAGCGTCGCTTTTCGTCCTCGAAGCTCTCGCAGTATTCGAAGTAATGGGCGTCTATTTCCCGTTATGTGCCACATGGCGGAAATCTTGGAAACTGGCAGAAGATCTTTCTTGTCTCCGTTAAACTGGACGTCCGAGGGTAAGGCGAAGCCATGCGCTTGGAACCATGTTGCAGCTTGCCCTAAGGCCTCCCACTCGATTTGCCAGTCCCCCAGAATAGCTACGGCTCGCTTGGCGTGAACGACCTCTTGGACGACCCAGATGCGCTCAAACCATGGGTTATCGAAAAAATCGCGGAGGAATTCCCATTCGACAGCGTCTGATTTAGGAAAACCATGTACGAGATTTCGGTATGCCGTATTCGTATCAGCTTTCGATGCTGTGGGATAATCCCTGCCAACATGGACGTTTCTCAATGCCTGCGCGATGAATGCGAGAACGACTGGCGTACTTCCGTACTGTCCGATGTGAATTTGTTGTCTAAGTGTAGGTATCCCCTTCGGTTTCAATGCTTCTAGCCGTAAGGAGTCAGCTCTATAGGAGTCATTTGCTTCGCCCAGCCATATCTTCACCGTGACAGCGTCTGCAAAGGTCTCATGCATTCGCTTCACCTGGTTCTCTTTCTCAGCCATGTCCTCTTGATTGATACAGAGAGCGTCAATCCAAATGGGTCTTTCTTGTTGAGAGACAGATTTCTCTTTCTCTTCTTGCCGATTGGTGGCAAACGAACCCCAGGCATTATGACTCGAGTGGAGTTGATGATCTTTTGACCAAGTGATCACTGAATCCCAGTTCGGGAGCGGACGAAGATATCTCATCGCTTTGGCCAAGTTTTTTGTGACCGTCATCCTGTGTCCATTGCACATAATGGGCTCGTCGGATAGTTCCGTACCCCACACATAAGAGATCGCATCATATTCCGGTGCATTATTCCTATCCTCGATGACGATAAGAGTGCAATTGATTGTCTCGGATGCAAAACCGGGTGCAATTAATAGCAAGCGTATGGCTTCCGGCCCTATGGGTTCATAAACCGGTCGGCCCGGCATACTCTTTAACCTTGGAGTGAATGAATATAGGTCTCGTAGCAGTAATTCTTTGATTTCGGATGATGCTTGTTAGCCATAAGTTGAGAGAACGATCATCGCTGTGGGTTTGGTTCTAGGTAGGACTTACAGCGTACAATAGGCCTCGCCTTGCTATCGGGTTGCATAAAATGTGGCTGCTTATATCTATATCTGGACTCGCCAGCCAACCAGATGACGAATCACTTCCAGGGGGTTTCAGGTCTGAACGGTTAGCTCCAGCGGCACAGCATGGCACAGCCTCAAATCCTTGGTATTTCGTCAATCTCAGCCCTACATACCGATTTTAGGTAACTTCTCATCATTCGTCATTATTAAGAATACAAGAGCAGGCTCAAGAAATGACAGTCATATAGTTTCTTACTGAATTAATTTGAGATTTGGGTTGAGTCCGACTTGTAGAATGAGGCTGGCACGCTGGCCTATTAGGGCGAAGATGAACGTCTTTTCCTACATCAGGAAAGATGCCCGATTACTCAACGCAAGTGAGTTCCCCGTTCCTCGAAAGAGCTTTCCTTAAGCTAGAACTCCTTACTTACCAAGATTGTAGCCGTCTACGCGCAATGGTAATTATACCTGAAAGAAGTGTTTAGTATCATCACTCACCTCGTCGTCTTAGGCTATGCGTCCTCTCAGCCATCTCCTGCATAGTAATAAGGATATGCTGGCTCATTAGCGCCGAAACTCCCGCCCCCGACAACCGATTAGAGTGGGTAGGCATCGCGATAATGGTCGCGGACATGATGTTCGTTCCCCTCTCCCCTCTCGCCCTCCAACCCTAACACACATCCCCACAGCTTCTTCCCCACCGCCTCCGTAACCATAGAGCTCTCGCACCTGCTGCGCTCCCGCTGGCTCGCCCTCCTCGGGATCTTCTATTGCACGTTACGGCTCTTCACCGGCTTCATATTCACCGCCACAGTGACCGCCGAGGGCCCCTCAGGCCCCTTCCTCTTCCTCGGCATGGCGCGCGTGGTCGCTACGTACTACGGTCTCATCCTCCCGTACGTCCCGAACAAAACCCCCTTCGAATCCGAGGCCCGCCCCGTCTCGAACATGGAGTCCGTCCCCGTGCGCGCCTGCTTCTACCTCGCGTACTCCCTCACCCTCCCCTATGCCACCCGCGTACCCCCCTTCGCCGAGCGGCTGTTCAGACATGCCACCCCGCATCTGTACCAAGTCGATTTCCTGGCTAGGTACGCGTTACCGTCGTTGTTCGAGCCCGCAACTGTGTTTGCGCTTTTGGCTTCGCTGGCGTATTGGATGGCTTTGTTCTTCAGGCAGGAGTACGTGTTTAGTCGCACGTTGGGCGGACCCGGGGTTGAACGGTTGACGTTTATTCGCCCGGGACGCGTGCAGACGGTTGATTCGATTGGATTGGAGGAGGGGAGGATTAGGTTGCCGTGATTGTTTAAGGGGAGATGTAGAATTGGAAAGAGGGTTGACTGGGTGAATGAATGCATTTGTAAGATTTAGCATAAGCTAGGCGTTTAAGGTTTGGTTGTCATGGTTTATTGTATGTTTAGTTGAAGGTTATTTCGGGACGAGTGCTATGGCCGACCTGATACCCACTTGGGCTCGATTCACACTCCGTATATGATTAACAAGTGCCTTTTTATTCTGCATGACCAAATTCGTAAATGCAAATAGCTACTGCGAATTCATTGAATTGTTACTGGACGTCGTAGATGTTATCTTTCAATTATGAACTCGCTTGCTACCTCTATTCCTCATTTTGCTAGAATCTCGCTTCCTGGCGCTCGCCCCTCTAAATTGGCCAAGTAACTGAGTGATACATCCGCATCAAAGTCGACTCGGCACAGGTACATCACGAAACAATGTCTATCAGAGCCCTTCTTCGACACTATCGTCTCGAGCTGCCGCCTCCGATGTCCTGTCCCACTCGGTAACTGGCGACTTTGTCCCATTCGATCTTCTGCCTCGTCACAGGGAGTTGTCTTCGCAGACCCTTGAATGCGCCTTCGCTTAGACTTGTAAATCCCCTGTTTAGTTCTTCCTGGTACTTCTTTTCTGCTGCGGCGATTTCTTTGGCGATCCCTGCACCTGTGCCTGACGAGACAGAGCCGGAGATGGGCTTGTTGGTTAATAATCGTACATTGCCGTCTTCGTAGTAGTGCACGTCGACCTTGATGCTACCTCCGAGACTATTTGAGGCGGGGTCGAAGATGTAGAGGGAACGCCATCGTCCGTTCCTGTCTGCAAGTTAGTGGCCCCCTTTATCCATTTCGATAAGTGGTCTTGTCCTACCAGAAGTTGTTCGGGCTGTATTTGTTGGCTACGATTATGACGGCCACCTTGGAGTCGTTCTCGATGGGATACGCGCCGTAAGAAGCGTTCGGGAAATGCTCCTTGACGTACGTGGATAGGCTCTTTAATGTCGACTTCCTGCGTATTGGTTATCAGCCTAGCTCTTGAAATACACATTCATATCCTTCCAGTTCTCAAAATAAAGTCAAGGTGGGGATTGCGTACACCAAGTCTGCCTGAGCGCCTTCCAACCCGTAGCTCTGCACGCCGCTCGCCTTCTGGGTAGCATGGTCAAAGGCGAAACTTGAGGAACTCTCGACGTCGAAGTACCGTCCATCGCCCAGTGAACTATGCGAACTGATGATGACTTGCTGACTGCTGCCGGGTAGTTTGGCGGTGACGAACTGTTCTTCATTGTACTTCTCGAAGGCGGGACCTAGTTGGGAGACGAGGTGGGGCTCGTTGAGGGTCAAGGCCTTAATGTCTATGAAGAAGATATGATATGAGAATCTATTTTGTCATTCGGATAATATATGGTTGACTGTATACCGTTGATTACGTCTGCTAGCTGCGTTGCGTCTATAAGTCAGCTTGCGATCCAACCCCTATAAATTAGTTGTAAGGGTTCATTATGCATACCTCTCCAGGCGGTGCGCCTTCTACGAAGGACTCGACGGTTTCTAATGAAGTGGCCATAATTATACTTATATGTAGATAAATATCTTAGAGTATAAATAACGAATGGCCTAGGTTTGTGAAGATATCGACGCTGTTGGCTTCCGCCTTACTTTGGACTTTGGGTGTTGATTGTTTTAACATCCATCCATTAGATCCATTAGAGCGCGGGGCAAAGTAGGCAGAGCTACGTAGGTACCTATCGTATTATCGATAACAAGTGCCAAGACTCCGAGGTCTTTGCTCAGGTCTCAGCCATCAGGTCATTGTGCATACGCTTAAAAATATGCCCCACCAAGTACCTGGGTACACATTTTTCATCTATTTTCATCAGGTGAAACTTTCCATCTCATGATTGAGATTTTCTCAACTTTTCATAATACAATGGTATTCTTGGATATCTTGTGCTATTATTTCATCCCGTATATATGGACAGGCCGTATGATTTCATATATACCCTTCAAATAAGCTTCAGTTTATTCTTTATTTTGAAAAATTAAGATGCAAGGACCACTTCTTTTAATATTCTATTAGCTTCTTCACGCCGTCGTATATTCCTATATTGACATTAGCCACGACCATCCTCGGAATCGGTTGAATATATGCGAAATGGAATACTCACTGGCAACATCAGGAATATTGAGTGCCTCGAACACCAGAGGGGTGAAAGTGCTCCATCCTGCTATTCGCGATACCGGAGCCGAGAGCGTATTAAAAGTATCCGGATTTTCTTGGATCGCTGCTGCTACTTCAGCTCCTATTCCAGCGTTCACCATGGCTTCGTGAACTACCATGCATCTCCCCGTTTTCTTCACGCTATTGAAGACACATTCTTTATCCCAGGGATATACCGTTCGCAGATCGATAAGTTCTATCGAAATTCCGAAATCTTTTTCCGCCTTTTCGATCGCTGCACTGCAAGTATAGAGCGGCTGCCCGTACGAGATTATGGTAACATCTGTGCCCTCCTTGAGTATCTCCGCTTTGGAAAGTGGTAAAGTGTATGCAGCTGTTGGCACCTGCTCGACCGCTGCTCTGTATAGAATCTTTGGCTCCATAAAGACACATGGATCATTACTTCGGATTGCCGATAGCAAGAGGCCCTTTGCCTGTAGTGGTGATCTTGGCATTATCACCCTAAGGCCGGGAATATGGGTGAAGAGACTCTCGGGTGACTGCGAGTGGTATAGCGCACCATGACCAACGCTTCCACATGGCATTCTCACTGTTAACCCGCCCGCGTTTCTCCCCGTCTTCCCTTCGCGGTATCTGTATTTTGCGGCCTCGTTCACCAACTGATCGAAAGCAGGATACACATAATCGGCAAACTGGATCTCGGCTACCGGCCGCATTCCCTCGGCAGCCAGGCCAATACCGAAGCCCATGATGCCTTGTTCTGTCAGGGGTGTATTGAACACACGGGCGCCCCCAAACCTCTCTGCCAATTTCACCGTGCAACGGAATACACCTCCGAAAGCGACATCTTCGCCAAAAACCAGGACGTTCTCATCTTCGGCAAGTGCAGTTGCCATAGCATCGGTAATGGCTTGGCAAAGGTTCATTCGTTTCGCTGTGCCATTTCTGGCTTCGGGTGGCAACTCAGGGTTGCTGAGTGCTGTCTGTGAGCTGTGTGCTAATAGTGGTGTTGTCGAAAAATCAGTTGGTAAGTTCAGCCGTGCATTCGGTGGATGCGTCGAATAGTTTCGATTTCGCGATGTACACAAAATGGGATGTTGGCATTTATACAATATGTCGATAGACTTGGAAGCTTTTCCGAGTGATCGGAGCGAGATAAAAGGCTTCATCGTTATAAGTCTACTCGCTACCTGTATGAATTCATGTCTAACTACAGATCAATATCGTTCTTAGAACGAAGGAAGGAAAGAATAGAATGCGGTCAGGTCAGCCGAGAAGCGTCATACGCATAAGACCCAATGCCGCTTAGTTGCGGCGTTCGGTTTAAAGAGTTCTGATTGAACTGTAAAGCGGCAGATCTCACACAGACCAGTCTTCCCCGCTACAACTAAAATGTACCTTTGTATCTATTGGTGGAGCAAGGTGCCGAGCCGCCGGGTTGTGGAGATTACCAAGTTTTGAAAGCTTTCAAGGATGTTGACTTGAGAGCGATAGTTGCCCGGTCAACATTATTCTCACCGTCAATGCTACCTCGTATACGACCACGCAAGCTTTTAACAATTTATTTCCCTTGACGCAATCGATATCTGCAGATTCCTACCGCAAAGAGTTTATCGACTTGCATAACCATCTGTACATTCTTGATAGCTTAGGTTTCAGTGAATGTATCTTCATATACATTCCTGACGTTTAGCTTCTCATTGCTCATATCACTCACATCGCTCACATCTATGGCTCACGAAGACTCGGAAACGGATAATCATCGGCGTAGGGATTCCGAGACCCGCCATAAACGACACAAGAAAAAAAGATCTAGAGAACATGGATCAGCAAGGCCTGCATCGGGCTCAGAGGGAACGTCGCAGGGTACGGGCCAAAGGCTATCTATGAATGCCCTCGCCCAATTGAACGATTTTAATACCCGAGGCGTTACGCAAGAACCACCTAAAGAGAGGGAACGCAAAACAAGGCGAGACCGAAGTCGGAAACCAGAATACAAAGCTGTCGATGTAGAGTACGATGCACCGAGGAGGAGCCGACGCCCGAGTCGCGATCATGGACAATCAGAAGGGGAATACAATGCGCCGAGACGAGAACGGAGACGGAAAGAGGGATACCGGGATGGGGAAGGAGGTTATGAGTCAAGAGGATATGAATCACGGGGTTACGAATCTCGAGATAGGGAAGACCAGCGGCGACGGCGACGACAGCGGAATGCCGGAACCGAAGATGAGGGAGACATACTGAAGGGAAAGGGAAAGAAACATCGCAAGAAAGATCGAAGAGTGGTTAGTGGTGCCATTGTAGAAGAAGGAAGAGCAATTCCAGCAATTCGAGGTGGCGCCACAAGCAAACATAGTAGCTATGACAGTTACGATAGTATTGAGAAAGAGAAGGCGAGCAGTCGCTTCGAGTTCAAGCAATACTGGGGGAACAGAAAGAAGAAACGATGTAAGTTTGGATGATCTTATGGTGAGTACGATATTGACGTTTTGAATAGGGATCATAGCGGGTATCGCGCTTGTGGTGCTCATCATCATTATTGCGGTCGCTGTCGTTGTGAGCAAGAAGAATAGCTCGAACAACAATTCAAACAAATCCAGTCTAAGCGGCGTCTCAGAAGATAGTATCCCTGTGGCTGCCCGAGGAACATATCTGGATCCTTTCACATGGTATGAAACAACAGACCTCAACGTAACATATACGAACGAAACAGTTGGCGATTTGCCGATAATGGGACTTTTCACGGATTGGGACGACTCCACGGCTGCTAATGACAAAGTTCCGGCTATTGAGAAGTCCTGGGGCGACTATGCTAAGACGCCAGCACGAGGCGTTAATCTTGGTGGATGGCTGTCATTAGAACCTTTCATTACGCCTTCGCTGTTTAACTACGACAGTAAGCTTAAAATCATCGATGAATGGACTTTATGTAGCCACTTGGGTCCCAAGACGGCAGCTTCAACCCTCGAGAAACATTACGCGACCTTCGTAACGGAACAGACATTTAAGGACATCCAAGCAGCAGGACTCGATCACGTTCGCATTCCATATAGTTACTGGGCTGTACAGACATACGACGATGACCCGTACGTTTTCCGTACTTCCTGGCGCTACCTCTTGCGTGGCATTGAATGGGCGCGCAAGTACGGATTGCGAGTGAATCTAGATCTTCATGGCCTGCCTGGTAGTCAGAATGGATGGAATCACAGTGGAAGGCAAGGTGTCGTCAACTGGCTCAACGGTACCAATGGCGATTTGAACAGCCAACGATCACTAGACGTGCACGATCGTCTAACCAAGTTCTTCGCCCAAGACCGGTACAAGAACATTATCACCTTCTACGGACTCGCCAACGAGCCGCGCATGGTTTCCCTCTCCGCAAGCGCCGTCATCTCCTGGACAACGCAGGCGTACAACCTCGTGCGCAAGAACGGCGTGAACGCAAACGTCGTGTTCGGCGACGGCTTCATGGGCCTAGCCAACTGGCAAGGCAAGCTGTCAGGCATGGATGGGCTCGTGTTGGACGTGCACCAGTACGTCATCTTCAACAACGACCAGATCCTCTACACGCACCAGAAGAAGGTCCAATACGCCTGTAACGGCTGGACCGAACAGACGGAGCAGAGCATGAACACTGCGACAGGCTTCGGCCCTACTATGTTCGCGGAGTGGTCGCAGGCCGACACGGACTGCACGCAGTACCTGACGAACGTGGGCTGGGGCAACCGGTGGACGGGGACGTACGACTCAGGCAACGTGTCGACGCAAGCGCTCACGCCGCTCTGCCCGACCAAAGACAGCACGTGCACGTGCGACGGCGCGAACGCGGACCCGAGCAAGTACAGCAGCGCGTACAAGCAGTTCCTCAAGATGTTCGCCGAGGCGCAGATGGTCTCCTTCGAAAAGGGCTGGGGCTGGTGGTACTGGACCTGGGACACCGAGAGCGCGCCCCAGTGGAGCTACAAGAAGGGCCTCGCCGCTGGCATCCTCCCCGCCAAGGCCTACGATAAGGACTTCAACTGCGATAGCGACGTCCCCGACTTCTCGGGGCTTAGCGAAACATACTGAACTGAAACTACTAAGGGGCGGGGGATGGGTAGATATGTGGGTGAATGGGTGAGTGGGTGTGTGGATGGACGGTCGATCGCGTCGGGAGGTGAGGAGGCGAATCGCTCTCTTTGGCTCTGGTTTTACCCATGGGGCGGCTCGGGTCGTGATTCGTCTCGCATTCATGCGCGCCTCTTCTTTTCCGCTGACCGCAGACCGAGGAGAATACCGCTTTCCCTACCATTGCATGAACCCGTGGGGTTGGAGACGATTAGTTCATGCACCTCTCGGATATTGCTTATACATATGTGTCGACGGCTGCTTCCGAGATAAACCGCGTTGCCGGGACCGTGTATGTCTGGGTTGGGTTGGGTTGGGAGCGCTACGCTATGCTATGCTAAGAACCTTGATGCGACGGCGCTCCGAATTCCGTGGGTGCGCGGAAGGGGGGGTTTACCGTGGTAATAGAATGGTCGCCGTCCTAACCCACTCGAAAATTCCTACGCATAGCCCGCCTAATAGGTACTCTTCGCCTTTCTAGGCGTTTCTAGGGGACATTATAGAAGCGTATGCGCCGGAGTGCTACGCTATCTCATGCGATCTATACATAAATTTGGTTGCAATAACGAACGTTTTGCATATATATACTGGGACTCTGGAGTTATCGGGGTTATTGTTTATCTAATGCTACCATATATATTGACGATGTACATGGGGGGGTTAGGTAGAGGGAGGAGAAGGGATATGATACATGCGAATGTGTTTGGAATTACTACCTGTGTATACTCTATGAGCGAAATACCTGAGCTGCTGCAAGATTAATGAATGCCGATACCTATGCATATGCCTTTCTGAAACTTCTATTACCTTCGAACCAGATGATTATGGCATGTTGATCTCGACTGATACGTAAACATTTGCTACGATCTTGTCTCTTTTTGTCGACAAGGTTTTAACGGTTCTGCATATCAATAGATCGTTTTAGAATTGGTATGGAGGGCTATGTATTTGAAACCGGTGGCATGAGTCATGAAAGTTTCTTACGCTCGGAAGATCTCGGTGTGGCTTTGGATATATAGCTTTTTGACCTCTAGGAAGCCAGCCATCTCACACACCGCACTAGGAACGTGGGGGGGAGACGACCCTCTAGAAGGCTGATGGGGCATTGACGAATCTGCAATAGGTTTTTACATGATCGTCGCCACGCCACAGCGTCGCATTTGCGGCTGACCGTACATATAAATATGTAAGCTGTCAGATTGACCGGTTGAGAAATCTAGATACGGTACCGAAAGTCCGGGGAACTTATAGGAGGCAATGCAATAGCTTGATATTCTTGTACACTTGAAGGTGGTATTCGAACGAATTCGGTCAGGATAAGGAACGAACTTGCAGCTATGCAAGTACGGGTGCGGCGCGTATACTGATGGTAAGCTGAATCGGTCCCGGACATTGTGAGGCTGAAAAGCCCGGCAATCTAGATAGCCATTTGGGCCAGACTAGCCACCGGTCGATTGCTGAGGGAGGGGCGGAAGAGCGACAAGATTGGCGTGATCAGACCGACTGGCTAGCTGAATATCTGCTCACATAGGACATGTCGTTTGTAGCGACTACTTGTTGTCGCCTTTGCACCTCCTTTACCTAACCGTGTAGACAATAAACTGCGCCCGAGTCCAAAGACAGTCCGATCGACGTGTGTATTTTGTCGTTAGTTATGCTCCGGTCCTAAAATTGGTGGCTCTATTATATTAAAAAAACCTGGTTAGCAGACACCATTTCTGTTTGATTCGGCACATTCTGATTCCAATCGAGATAAGAAGTGATCTTATCACGCCTCAGCCGTCTGAAACCATACCAAGACTACAGCTGGTGGCGGTTCGCAAATTGCTTCCTCGGTCGGCCTATTTTGAACGCCATGTACCGTATGTAGCCACCTCCCGAGAAGGAAGAATTTTGACAGATCTTGGGAAATCCAAAACCGGGATTTGAAAGCAATGCAGGATGCAGCTTGTGCTTAAACCGCTTTTCCTTCTTCCTGTGGTGGATGTATACCACTTATGACGAAGAAGTCAGCCTTAGTGCCAATCTTGGAAGAACCATGGCTAGGGGTACCGGTAGTAGAGTCGGTGGTGTGCGTAGCTACGATGCAAAGTAGGGAACAGGACCTGCCTTAGTGCGGTCTGTTTCTGCGGCCGTAAGGAGGATTCCACGGCCGACGCCTAGTATTCATGCCAAGAAAACACGTCGCTTGATGCCGTAGGAATATCATGTTGCGGCCGTCGTGATCGGAAGCAATGCCTAATCCTCTGGGCAAGCGTGCCTGCCATAGACAGTAAACGTCCTTCTTGTCTTGTCTCTTGTTCTAGGCCTGGATTCTATCGAGCGCCACCTCATTTCCGAGTAATGTCAAGCTTTGTGGCTAGGTAGACCATTGGCTCGCCCAAACTCGTCTGATATGCAATGTACGGCGCCACCCATATAACCAATGCTTCTGCCCGGGTATGCCAGTCATCAAACCATCTCCTTAATCATCCTTTCCACTTTGTCGGGACCAATCATAGATTATCTTATTAGCGGATCCTAAACTGGGCTCGTGTTTTCAACTACTTGGCCATGCGTGTGTTAATTAATTGCTAGAAGCCTCAGCGGCGGCTCTGTAACCTCGTATCAAGTTTTCAATACATGCCCATAACCGATGTACGAGGATAGCTAATGAATGTACCGTTCAGGTAAGATGAAGTATCTCACCGTGAGGTGGGTTGCCTGCTTTACGTTCGTCTCACGCTTAAAGGCGATGACACAATGACTACCTCCAAGTCTTTGGGTATCACCTAGCTGATGTTTAAAATCGCAGCAGTGATAGGAACTTTCATCTCACATAGTGGTGTGGGGTCGGCTTTTGCATCATCTGCAAAACAGACCAAGTTGGAAATTGTTCGAATGGTGATGGCATGATACGGAAGTCCGACTATATTCCACAATGGCTAGACCAGGGTTTTTCCTATTTTTGGAGGGGTTTTTCTGTGTAACGAAGCAGCGTTCAACTTCGTTGCCTCTAAGCAATTGCCAAGGTCTTGTCTGATCCAGAGGGCAGCATTGGGATCGTCTAAATGCTGCCAAGGAAGATAAGCCTCGAGACCCAACATAAATCATGATGTCGACTACCGGTGCGAGCAACCCTTGTATAGAAACCGAGAGTATTGGTCGGTGAAACAAGCACAGAGTACTTGGTTAAAAGAACGCCCTCGAAATAGCTTGTTTGTAATAGCTTTGTCAGGGTACTGCGGGCCACTGTGATCTTACATCTCCGAAGCAGTTTTTTTCAAGCTAATATTCTGTGCGACTAGTTAGAGTGAACGGTAGGACATTTGATTATAGGTAACGCGATCATCGTATGCGGGCATGCTTGGAACCGTGACATCATGTGTGATACTACCACGGACAACCATAATATGTTGGTAAAATAGGCTTCCATGGTTTAGACGGTCGGCAGTACATAGGACCGCTTATGCTGCGCTGAACCGGACCGCATTCGGAGGAGCGCTTCCTTTCCAGAGTTGCACGAAGCCTGTAGCCGTTCAGCTGGTTCTGTGGAGGGTTCGTTGGTCCTTATTGAGTGCCGCGTGTTCGAACATCTGCCATAGTTAGAATCCAACAGCTGGTTGAAAAAACTTTATTAACCACTTAAGTCGCAATGTGCCTCCTACCTTACCTCCCTTACATCTCCTTTACCATCTTGCTCCACGATTCGCGTAACACATAGCATATTGCAACGCGCGAGGGTCGTATGCAGGTGGGACACGTGATTTTAATTATGAATTCGCGGCTTTTAAAAGAAAGCTCTTGGGCCATTGAAATGCCGTGGTTTTGGAGTTTGAGTATAGCTGGCTCGTACTATTGCATGGTGCTCCAAAGGATTGACATGCTGTGTTGCCCGAGTTCATTTGGCCAAGAGCAGGGCTGATATGCCCTATGATATCCTATGATGACAGCAGGTGCCGGCGTTAAAAAAAGACGCGAATGGACAAGCGCCGAAAGGGACCGCGTCCACTATCCATGACGGGTATACAGGGGAATAACAAGCCTTGAGTGAGGTTGCATTCCGCAGGAATAGCTGTGCGCTATTCATGCAGATGCACGACATTGCAGGAGCGGACGATTGGCGCCGTGGGCTACATAGAGTTGGGTAAGCGATCTCAGATGGACAAGACTATATTGAATTAGTATATGCGGATAACCTGCGTCAAGGTGCGTTGGATGTAGTTTCATCGAGAGAGCGACGGGTAAAGCGAGAGGTATACAGATTAGATGCAACCTGTCTGTTGAGAATAGTGGCGAAGGGTCGATCGAAAAGGTCGGATGCGGCCTCCCTTGGTCGTACCGAGGGTGATCGCTCGTGATTGCCTCCAGATAGTGGTCATAACGAAAGATTGAAGGTCTCTTGCAGTTTCGTGCAGTGGAGATCTTCAGGCACCCCGGAGAATTCGGGAAGGTTGGCGATAGGAGGGCGCGGACAACACAGCAGACGAGATGGATAGACTCTTCTGGAGCAAGATTCAAGATTCTAGATCAACACGGCGACCTGCCTGTTTCATTAAGATTTGGCGAGCGGCCGACGTAGCAGCAGGCTCGAGAACGAAATCCGAAATCTGCAAATAATGTTCGCGTCCCTTAAGGAACCTTTGCATGTGTGTAGCATGTAGTAACAGTTCATCATCAACATCCCTCGATTTGAATACTCCAGTACGGCAATACTTTAGTGACGCGTCAATAGAAGCTTCGACTGATTCTTGGCTGATCACCGAATGGATCTTAACTGGTCGGTTGGATGTTGATTGGGTCCATCCAATTTTGACTGCATGCCGCATGTAGTTTGACCCACGATGGGGTCAACTCTTCGGCACTGCATCGTGCATCTTCCTTCTTAGTTAGGCTCGGCACAACGGATACGTGGACCATGATTCGACGAGAGATCGCCTCGCTTGTGCTGATGTATTCAGCCATGCTATGCACGTATAGAGCGCCATTCGTTTTGGCGGGGGGGTTAATTTGGGGGTGTTGTTGTTGTTATTGGATATACGCAGATATCGATGGCCCATTAATGGTCCATCTGTAGTGGCCCCGTGTAAATTTCTTCCTTCTTAAAGAGTGTGTATACGTGTTCTGTATTTGAGATGACCGGCGTAGTAACCTACTGGAATTGGAAGAAATGAGCGTACGGAGTTTTATCTGCGATGAAGTATTATGTATACAATATGTTGCATGTAGTATGCGGTATGTAGTATGTAGTATGTAGCATGTATGTAGCAACAGGCATCGAAGGCGGAGAATTAAAAAGTCTGGCCGGATATGAAGTTGAATATGATACTTGCCTACAGAGGTTGTAATGTGAATATGGAGAAATTCAAAGTTGATGGAGTCATATTTATCAATGGAGTAATCGGTATTCGATTTCAAGCTGGTTCGTGCCTGCTGACGACTTCCAATCTCTATGTGTACGTACCTATATAAACTTTGCTATTGATGGAAAGAACCTTGAACGTTGGCATTGTATCGTTGTATCGTTGTATCTGACACTGTCCCTTTCCTATCATAACTGAAAATAGCTGAGGGGAAATAGGGGGGGAAAGAACCAGTGCGAGACGCACGATGTGTTGTACCTATTACTCCAAATTCCTAAGGGACAACGACATCCATTGGATCATGGGAACGTCGAAAGGATCAGCGCCTCGATTGTTACATACCTACATGAATGTATCCATGGATACCTAGATGTGTGTACGTACATATCTTCAAAGATATCGGCGTATCATTGATGTTCGATATAGTGGTGACTGTGATCGCCAAGCTAACCAATTGTGCTCGTCTGGGGAAGTGGTGCATCAAACGATCAAACGGCACAGAGCCCTGTCGGCTGTCGGGGCTTAAGGCTGGCGTTGGCAATTGCTTAATGATGATGGTAAGGAGGGATGAGAAAGCAACCTTAGAAATGATGTCGTGCAAGGTTCTCACGTTTTTTTAGTTAGTAATTCGAGTTTGTATCGTGGTTCGAATCGATATCCTTGGCATTAATCTTGGCGCTGGTTGGTCCGTGCCTGACTGGTCGATTTGGCCTTGCGGGTCTCCGACTAACCACAATAACTGCATTAGCACTTGCAACTTTAGGTCTAGCGTGAACTTGGCTTTCTCCCTTTCGTCCCTATTCCTGATAAATTCTAGTCCTGCTTTCTTGGGCAATCCACGCGCAACACTACGCAACACCAGCCCTATTTCGGCTTAGGAATTTTATCATGCTCACGTGCGATGAGAGGAATATGATGAAAGCAAAACGGGAACACGGAAAATGAAATTGAAGGATGGAAGGAAGAATTACAACAAATTGAAGATAATAAAATTAGGTACTAGGTACAAAAAAGAGAAGTATATTAATGGAGAAGCTAGCAGAAAAATAAAATCAAGGAAAAAAATAATAATAATAAGAAGAAATAATAACCAAAACAGAGTTTGATGGAACCCCGCAATTCGGGTGAAGGATGAGAAGGCAGGGAAGGCAGGGAAGGCGATTATTCGAGAATGCGGTACACCATCTACCAATCAAATTCATCGATTCCCTCTTTTCTCGGTTCACCTCTCTACCGACCGATATCGTCAATCGCCAGCTTTTTTCTCTCTGCCTGTCTGGTCGGCTGGCTCACCAAGCTTTGAAGGGTCCGTGTCATTGGTGTCGACATCAGCTTCTCTCACTACCTCATCCATTCCTTTGATGGGGATCTTTTTCAACCTTACCTTTTTCTCTTTTGCGCCACCACCGTTAAACACCAATTGATTGGCGCTCCCGCTTAAAGAGTTTAAAGTAAAACTTGACAACCGACAATCTTCATTTTTATTGTTGCCAACTTCATCAATATTTGATCATTTACCATATTTGCGCTTGGGATTTTATCTCTCGCTCCGCTTCCAGGGCTACCTCTTTTTTTTTTCACCCTTCCTGGGCTTAGCTTGATTAGGTAGCTTCCCTCATCCACATTACCTTCTTCCTTTTTCTCTTTCAGATCTCTCGCGACGATCATCTTCAAGTCGCTAGATGCATCCATATCAGATAGCCCGCGCCATAGTCGATCATCCTCGAAACGCCGCGCAACAATAACGAATTACGCATACCACACTTCCGTACCCATACCGCATAACCTACTCCGTAGCCTCTTCTCAACTACGTGCGTATACGTTACCTTAGTTACATAGACTCGCCGATCCAGAATACTTTCAGAATACATTACATACATTACATACATTAGACATACATACAAACGTACATACGTACATACAAGTCCGCATATCTTCTATTCCCCCCTCATAAGCCCCCTAGGGCTATCTTCATATCCGAATCGCCGACGACAAAACAAAACTTTGTGCGCCCCAGTACCAAATGCGAACAGGCTCAGACGTCGCGGGTAGCTGCATAACCATCGAGCATCCCGCATATCATCCCAGCCAAACTCCTCAGTGCCTTATCCGCCGCCGCGTGACTCCATGAGCGAAGACCTGTGCCCCCGCGTTGCCCGGTCCGTTATCATTCTTGTTGGAAACAAATAACACCCCCCGCGATCTGTACGAACAGAGCGGATAGACCCGTCGAACGGGTCCCAGCAAGCCTTGTCCCCGTTGCACAAGGAACGCCTCTTTGTAACGGGGAACGAGCCCATTGGCGTCCTCCCTTCTTCAACGCTGAATACGAGTTGCGCCGTGCTTGTGCAAGGCCTCTTGGGGGTACCGGCCCCCAGACACGGCTGTCGCACCGCGGCAGCGTACAGCGCCATTATACCTAAGCCCGCGTCTTACATACAATATCTCTAGCACCTAGCTATTTTCCAGCTTCCATATACACCTTCTCTGGCAACTCTATTGGCCTGCATAAGCCACAAGTCCATTGTTACTGGTCCACGATTCAAGCTAAGGGTCAGTGCTTAAAGTCGAAGCTAAGAAGCGGTGGGAGGTTTGTCCTAGTGTTTTGAAATAGGGAATATTGGTTTTTTTTTTGGAAGGTGAAAAAAAAATAAGATCCCCTGGTTCACTGTGATACTCCCGCGGCATCTGTAAAGATCAGCTACAGTCATCATTCAAAGAGGTGTGGTTGCGCCAGACTCACCCACCCCAGGACTTGCATTGACACACACTTTCTTTGGTGTGGAGAGCTGAAAATAAGCTGTTTTATATATAACTAAGACAAGATGCCGGAAGACGTTGAGGCAAATGGGACAGAGGTCTCAGATGCCATGTCCGAGAATGAGAACGAGTACGACGACATGGAACAACCTATTAAGGACGAAGATATCAAATTGACCGATCAAAACACTTCTCCCGAACCTGGGGCTGATCATTCAGGAGAAGTCAAGAAGAAGTACGATCCTAAAGATCCTCATCGCCCAAGGAGAAAGAAGGCTAGACGTGCCTGTTATGCTTGCCAGAGAGCGCATCTAACATGCGGTGAGTCTCAGCCTTACGTTTATGTGCTGTGATTTTTATCTAAGCACGTCTGTTTCAACAACCCCACAGCCAAGCTCTAGCTAGTTCATGTGTTTCAGTGTGAATTGCGCTGAAACCCCAGAACATCATAATAATTAACAATACTAACTATTCAATAGGAGATGAACGACCTTGCCAAAGATGTATTAAACGTGGTCTTGCCGATGCCTGCCAAGATGGTGTGCGGAAAAAGGCTAAATATCTTCATGATGCTCCTCCGGAAGCGCTTAGACCCGTTCTAGGGCCTACCTATAATCCAGCCGCTCACACAAAGTCAACAAATGGAAGACACCTTTCTAACGGGAATTCCGAAACTTCACCGTATTATTCTGAGGCTTCTAACTCCTCGTCATATTCTATATATGGTGGTAATCCTCAGGGTCAGATGGCATCTTTGCCAGAGAACATGTCTTTCGGTGGACAACATTCTCCGGTAACTCCTGGGTATCAGCCGCCGAACACGTCCAGAGCAGCACAAATGGGTTCTATGCAGGTCCCTCAGGTGTCTGGCGAAATGAACAATAGCTTTTCGACAGCTTTATTTGACCCAAGCAACCCGGCAATATTCAATTTTGACCTCGAGGGCCTAAATTTTGGAAGTCACTACGGTGCTCTCGAGTTTGGGATGCTTGGTCATATGTCTTCTGGAGCAGCAGAGACACCACCCAGAGACGCGGTAGCCCAACCTCCTGGGACGGATGTGAACTATGGATCCGCGGCAGTGTACCGAAATGGCGTCAACCAATATAATCAGGTATATGAAAACGGTATGGCTGACAATTTCATGAGTGTTGATGCAAGTGGAGGTGGCGCATATCCGGGTAACTTGCAGCACGGTCTGCCCCATGCGTACGCTGTGGCAGCTGCTGGACCTACACCGAATAGCTTGGCTAGTCCTAGTACAGATAACACATCCAGTCCGCAACCTACAGGCTATTCTTTCGATAAATCACCAACAGCAAGCACGTACACGCCTGCAAGCACTCAGCCAATCGTTCAACCTACGAGGCCGAAACCGAAATCTTCAAATTCAACTAACCGGTTTGGACCCCAGTCAGTTTTAGGTAAACGACATCGAGATCCGTCCGCGATTTACGACACTGTTACCGAGCCTTACCCATACCTCACTGGATTCCACAACCTGATCGCGTTTGTTCAGCGGAGATTTTCTGCCAACAAGACTCTACGGATTGCCAAATCACTTGCTAGCATCCGACCCTCATTTATTTCTTGTACACGGAATCTTAATAGACAAGATCTCATCTTTATGGAAAAATGCTTGCAACGGACGCTATTCGAATATGAAGATTTCATGGGGCATTGCTCAGCACCAACTATTGTTTGCCGAAGGACAGGGGAGGTGGCGGCTGTCAACAAGGAATTTGTTGCGCTGACCGGATGGACCAAGAACATTTTGCTGGGCAAAGAGCCCAACATGAATGCCAATGTTGGTCGATCGGGATCCGAATTAAGTAGCCTCGGCAGCACAAGTAAGCCGGAATACGCCACCCCGCGATTAAGAACGGTCCAGCCCGACCTAGGCAAAGCTTCAGAAGGCAAGACACAACCGGTATTCATTGCCGAGTTCATGGATGATGACAGTGTTATTCAATTTTACGAGGATTTCGCTCAGTTGGCATTCAACGATAGTCGCGGCCACGTGACAAGAAAATGCCGACTGCTGAAATATCGAACGAAAGAAATGAGCGAATGCTTGAGTAGCGATGAGTCATCTCCCCATAAGGAACGAAGAGCCAACAACAGTATTCTGAGCAATAGAGTTGCTAGGATAGACGGAGAACATGGCATATCCAAGCTGGAGAAGGATGGCAAGATTGACTGCACGTTCTGCTGGACCATCAAACGTGACGTTTTTGATATACCAATGTTGATTGTTATGAATGTGAGTTCTCTTCTGATGCATTATACTCTTAACATTCAAAGAGTAGCCGCTAATGACATTATAGTTCTTACCATGTTACTACCGTGACCAGGACCAATTGGCTGTATAGGGGCTATAAGGGGTTGCCGATAGTTGGATGCACAACATAGACGCATGCATGATTCTGGATTCATTTTTTTATTCTCTTAGTATACAATGAGCCTACTGTCAGCATGGGCGGCGTTTTGGATGGAGCTCTCATTTTGGAGCTCCTCTCCCCTTACCGGGAGCTGGTCATATCATGCATGTATCTCACGGGCTTATAAGGTAGATAGACATGGGATAGATCATGGGTCTTAAATCTTCGGTTCTACGACCGAGTACCATGGATTTCGTTTATTCTAAAAGCTGATAACTCAACTGAAACTTGGAACGGTCTATTATTATTCTATACGGTGAACGCTCAACCACCAATGAACCAACTTAGAACGTCTATAAAGCGACTATATCGTTTTAAGGCGTCTCACGTGTCCCGCGGGCTTTCGGAAGTTTTCGCATTGGATGCCTCGGGCCGCTTCGGGTAACTTCGCTTACGTTACCCCTCCTAATCCCGACTTTACCCTTACCCACGCTGCCAACATCTTGCCTCATGCTTGCTTCATGCTAGATACGATACATACATACAGTTACATACCCATGTATGTATATGTGTATGTGTATGTATGCGCCTATATCCCCAAAGGCTAAAATAAAGCAGACCAGACTTAACTCGAGTAGGTAATATGTAGCCAGCCCGTAGATCTAGCCTACGTAGATCAACCCCCTTCTTTCTCTCCCTCCCATCACTCCTCTCGCACAAGCCAAGATCCATCAAACTCTCCACTCGCCCCGTCTACAACGCCTTGCCGCGGGGTCCAGGCGGGGCGCGCGAGGCTCTGCCGCGCCACTTCGCAGTCCACGTTTATGTCTACGACGAGCGCGTCCAGCGACGGGTAGTCCCGCTCCTCGCGCACGAAACCCAGGATCAGCAGACGCATCGGCGCGTCGTAGAAGTCTGCGGCGAACTTGTGCAGGACGTGGACTTCGGCGGACCGCACCGAGTTCTTGTAGAATGGGTTGTAGCCGATCGACATCACCATCGGGTAGATCTGCCATTGGGAGGTTGGCGCGGTGGGAGGAACAGAGGAGGAGGAGAGGGGGGCGGGAGGCGCGGACGCTGGGGCGAGGGGGTTGCCTTGGTGGCGTGCGTGGTGGTCGGGGTGGGATGGCGGCAAGGCAAGGGATGCGTAGCCGAAGTATACGCCTGACTTCGCAGTCGCGATCCATGGCGTCGCTGCCTCGTCGACGGGGAGGTTCGCGGTTGGGATTCCTAGCTCTTTCGACCCGCGGCCGAAACCGGATATCACGGTCCCCTCCATGCGCAGCGGGTACGGCGGCTCTGGGCCCGCGGGTCCGTAGAGGATTCGCGGGCGCTCTATCTCCGCTGCCATGAGGTTTGTAGGTTTTGTGGATGGGTTGGGCGGGTAAGGTATGTTGGTTTGTTGGTAGGTGCTCGAGTTGGTTGGTTGGGATTGGGCGGCGCGATGATGCTGATGATGGGATGGCGGGGTTTGGTGCCGATCGGTGGCTTTATTATTCCCGTGGACAAGCGATGAGGTCTATTGTAAGTCTATTAATAAAGAAGGTAAGTTACTCTTTGGTTGGGTATTATATTTCGGGTCTATAGTGCAAGCGAAAGGGATTAGAAGTCGAAGGGTGACATAATCTTGAGTAGAAAATCCGATGGCTACTCGTGGACGTCTATGGAATCAATGCATGGCGGGGGTTGCGATGTTTCGCCCGCACTGTATTGCTTCTAGGCAGGCATGTAATTGCAGATTGATAAGATAAAGCTTATCGATAATTGCCCCTGGAAAATGTCTCGGAAAGAACCTTGTTCCCAGTTTATGTCTTGTATGTAACATTACCCTTTTGAACAAGCGTCTCGATTCTTATTGGTTAGTATTTCATAGCTCATTGTAAGTGATATTTATGCTGTATCTTTCCACGATATGATCTGAATAATTATAACTCTGCTCAATTTAAGTATACTGTTTTCAAATAGCATTACTCTCATGTAGATGAAATTTGAGTTATCAACTAAAGAAAGTTTCACCGAATTTCAAGCGATAATTACTGATGTACCTAGGTAACTAAGGGACCTAAACTGGGTATGTGAGTTGAACTTGTGGGATGATAATCTCTTCATTGATCTGATATGTGTAAGTTTGGGATGCATCATTTGAGTATTAAAATATTGGAATAACTACAAACTTTGATTAGTAATTACGTAAATAACTTTAACTCTTTCTGGTTCTAAACTCAATTCAACGAGGAAACAACAAAAACAGCTTGAACATCAATATCATCTTACAAGGTTTAAAGTAGGTTGCCCACAATCAACAATATTCCTTCCACATATCTCATAATAAGATTTAGACTTAACTATCCTTTTTTTTTTAAGAAATAACGCACTACATCGATCGATTATTCAGAAACCTAGATAGGTCAATCACTACTGCCTAACGCGCTAGAATCTCCAGATACCTCGTGCTCAACATATAACCATTCAAGTCTCTTCAAATTTCCAATTATCAAATATTAACAGAAATATCCATAACATGTACCGAGGTATGTATCTTTACCTATAATCCTCTGGTGTATATCCTATATCTATGGCCGGTGAACTTCATTCTTCAAACAGCTTTTTCAAACCCGGGATTCGAAATGGCCGCCTTGGAAATGACGCCGGGGATTGGATTCGATAAATACCTAGGTAAACTATATGACGGATGGATGGAAGGTTTAGAAGACTAAGCTATTGACACGAGCCCAATAACTCTGCTGAAATCATCTCATCGACGCCAGGTTTTACACGGACGTCAGCCATTAACTTAGGCCTCAAATAGTATGGCACTGTTCTATATAAATAGGCCCAAGGCCCCCTTCATCGAATCGTCTTCTTTTCTTCTCAATTTCTTCATCTCTAGCTTAACAGCTTCCAATTATCGTTCAAAATAACAAGATTTCATCCACAACTTATCATCTACCACAACATCAACACACACCAAACTACTCTCAAAACAAGACTACACTCAAAAAAACTCCAAATCAATACAAAGATGAAATCTCGTACAAAATACTCGCAGCTCGCCTATTGGCATCAACCTATCGATCAAAAGATCGACCAACAAAAAACAGAACACGATTGGAAAGATGGAGACATTGCCTTTCTTAAAGACGCGAATGAATTCACACGAGATGAATACAACGACTTAATAAGAAGCGGTTATCTACACTTTAAAGCAACAAAACACCCAGTTATCATTCTAGAGCACTCGAATGATCACAAGCACTTCCTTATCACCACTGTATCCGCTTACAGCTCTGGGAGGGAAAACAACTATCTCCCACCATGGAAACAATTCCACCACAAGTGCAAACCTCGCGAAGCCTTTCGCGCATTTTCTGGCTCGGCGAAACCATCATACCACCAAAATTACCTCCAGATCGCCGATGGAGGAAGTTTCCCAAAGCCTGAGACATCTTGGGTTTATATGCCCGCAACATTTGTTGTCCCCTCGTCGGCACTTAAGGAGTTCGACAAGACCCCCGAAAGATTGCGCATGACAAAGGAGAGTCTAGATGATCTCCTTTACGACATGGCGAAAAATGCGCGCTTCGCTACCCGTTGGACAAACCCTCATGTCCTCAGACTGTTGAGGTCTAAAGCGCCACAAAACCAAAAATGCTGGCAAAACTATAACAGATGGGGACCCTAGTCCCAGTCCACACAACTTCGATGCTATTATCAGCTCTAATGCTTCAAACCGACACTACACACTACTACTCTATAAAACAAAACTCTAAACTGGTCATACAGCGCAGCAATGATGGTTCATCTGCGTTGATACTTCCGCAATCGCCACGACGACGACGAAGAAATCAGGGGCTGCTTGTACAACACTCAAGCAAATCATACAACAACGGTAATGGCAACAGTACATCACCAAAAAATTACAACGAGATCAACAACCGCCATGAAAACCTACCACGGCCGAAAAAAAAACAATACCTGTCACGATGTGGACTTAGCGCGGGACCGCGGTACACATGCCGGTACGTCTTTTTATCTACACTACCTATTCTAGAACTAGCTATTAACAGGTTTCTTATAGCTTGAACCCCGACACTACCAGACGTCTGTAAATACCCAGATGCTGGTAACGATCGAGCTGGTTATGATCTTGCTCGAATCAACCCTCTTTTTCGAGCCGCCCGAAATTCATATGAGGTTATTACTTACAAATAATCGTCATACAAGCGGCTCTCGGTCTGTTAAATACTCGACCAATACTTCAATTGAGTGCTTAAAAGGAGCGCTCGTTCTGAATACTCGGGAATTATGGACAATTTAGGAACTATGGATTATGGGACCACGGAGGACTACCTGGAAGTTAGACTAGAAGGATTTAAGCTTCGCTATGGTGCAAAGAAGGGAAATGAATGGGATATGTACCTCGGGATATTTTATAGGTTTTTCCCTCCTGAGAGGTTTCCCTATATTCAGCAACAAAGCTGGCGAATGCATATCCAAGGAGATTCGAAATTTGGTTCAAAATAGAACTACACTTCTACATTGAATTCACTACACAATTCCTAGCTTGTATTATTTTCCATATTTCTGGTATGAGTGCCTACTTACATACCGCTAACTCAGGGCGAACACGCCTTTCTATATTCTAGGTACGCGTGTTGTAGTAGCGTACCCCTAGAATAGGATCTCGGTTTAAATGATAGAAAAGGGGTTATTCGCTGTTTCAGAAATTACATTGCGAGAATTCCGCTGTGGTACGGCTTTATCCAAGATAAGAAGTTCGAATAGCCTTCGACTACATACCTACCTACAAAGACAACAAGGGGGCAGGGTCTCCAATCCGGGTCGGGCGGGTTACATACATCATTTCCCCTCATTTCAAGATTTATACCCATGACAACATGTAGTATCCATCATAATACAAAGGAAATTATATCATATTGTGGCATTGTGGCTGTATAAATGAGATGAGCATTCTCCGCCCACGATGTCTCGTTACACCCTCCGTTCCACGGCGCCTTATACCCCGAACATGCTTCCCATGTCCTATAAAACTCAACGAGACCTTAGTTTAGCCAAATTCAAAAACGATATCTCTTAGGTTAAACTTGTTTCGTTAACAAAAACGGTCACCATGTATTTTACTCTCATTATCACCTTGGCATCCTTAACTGTCAGTGCTGTGAATATTGTGGATTTGTCCGACGTAAATTGGACGCTCAGGAATGATGAATTGGATATCTCAGTCCCTGGAAAAGTCCCTTCTCACGTGCACCTGGACTTATATGCATCGAATATAATAGAAGACCCGTACTATGGACTTAACGATTTCGATTTGCGATGGGTTGCCTTGTCAAACTGGACTTATACCTCTAGCCTACCGATACCATCGTCGGCGGAAGATAGTAGCACGATTCTTCTATTCAATGGGCTTGATACCTTTGCTGATATCCGGCTCTGCTCACAGCCCGTAGCAAATACAAACAATCAGTTTCGCCAATACTTTTTCAACGTCACCGATATCATATCCAGCTGCGGATCAAGCTCTCCTGAGCTCGAGGTTAATTTTGGCAGTGCTCCGACAATTGCTGAGCAGATCGCGAATGAACCAGGTCAGGAGACCTGGCCATGGGGGATTGAAGGGCTATTTGAATTTCCTCACCGGCAATTCATTCGAAAGGAGCAGTCGGACTTTGGTTGGGATTGGGGGCCGGCATTCGCTCCATCTGGTATCTGGCAGAAGGCATGGGCTCTTCAACTGCACGGAGATGAGATTTATGTTCGAAACTCGTTGCTGGACATATATCGCGAAGGCCAATTGAATAACCTCCCACCGGATCAGTCCGCAAACTGGGTACTAAATGCCAGCGTCGATGTGATTGGCACTCTACCGGAAGGCGCCAGCATGAACTTCAAAATAATTGACGCTGGTACTCGGGAAGAAGTGAGTAGTGGAAGCTTATCCAATATTACGAATGATGGCGACGTTATTACTGGTTTGGCTGTTCTCAACGCGAAAGATTACAAGCTCTGGTGGCCAAACGAATTGGGATTACAGAATCTTTACAACATCACTGTTGATATAGTATCGGGCTCGGGCACGATTCTGTCCTCGGTAACGAAACGGACTGGCTTTCGAACAATCGTCCTAAATATGGGCGCTATCGAAGATGAACTCCTATCGAAGGGAGTAGCTCCTGGAAATCACTGGCATTTCGAAGTAAATGGCCAGCCATTTTATGCCAAGGGGAGCAATTTCATTCCGCCGGATGTCTTCTGGCCGCGGGTAACCCCAGACAGAATCCGACAATTATTCGACTCTGTCGTTGCTGGGAATCAGAACATGCTCCGCGTTTGGGCAAGTGGCGCTTATTCCCCTGATTTCATGTATGATATTGCAGATGAGTTAGGAATATTGCTCTGGTCGGAATTTCAGTTCGGCGATGCGCTTTACCCCGTCGACCCTGATTTCCTCGAAAACTGCCGGTTAGAGGCTGTCTACCAAGTTCGGCGTGTAAACCATCACCCCTCGCTAGCTCTCTGGGCTGGCGGGAATGAGCTCGAATCTCTTGAGCTTGCGTTACTTCCGCCAAATACGCCGACTTATTATCGTTACCAGCAAGAGTACGAGACCTTATTCCTGCGCACGCTTTTGCCAGCTGTCTATGGCAACAGCCGTAGTATCTCGTACACCCCAAGCAGCACATCAAATGGGTACTTATCGCTCAATTTCAGCAACTCTATCCCGATGACAGAGCGATACAATAACGCTACCCCTGGAGAGATTTACGGCAACTCAGACCACTACAACTATTACTCGTATTTCGCATTCGATATATCCACTTACCCAATAGGACGGTTCGCAAACGAATTCGGCTTCCACAGCATGCCAAGCATCCAGTCGTGGAGACAGGCCGTTCCGGAAGAGGACCTCAGCTTCAACAGTTCAACCGTCGTACTCCGAAACCACCATTACCCCGCCGGCGGGCTCAGCACATCCAATTTCGCTAATGCGAGCAAGGGGATGGCCGAGATGACGATCGCGGTCCAGAGGTACTACCCCGCGCCGTCGAAAGTCGACCCCATAGCCAACTTCTCGGCCTGGATCCACACGACGCAGATCTTCCAGGCTGATTTTTATAAAAATCAGATTCAGTTCTACCGCATCGGGTCCGGGAGGCCGGAACACCAATTGGGCAGTCTATACTGGCAGCTCGAGGACATCTGGCAAGCGCCGACGTGGGCGGGAATTGAATACGACGGCAGGTGGAAGGCGCTACACAGCGTCGCGAAGGACATCTACCAGAACGTCATCATCGCGCCCCTGTGGAATCTCACGAGCGGTATATTAGAAGTCTACGCCGTAAGCGACCTATGGGACGAAGTACAGGGCACAGCGAGTCTCGGGTGGGTTTCCTGGGACGGCGCGGTCGTTGACGTTTCTAATGAGACGAAAGAGGTGGATTTTACCGTGGGGGAATTGAATGCTACGTTATTGGCGACGATCAATATCAATGAACTGAAAGAAAGCGCGGCTATTAATGCTAGCGAGGTCGTATTCGTGGCGAACCTTACGGCGACGGGGACGCCGCCGAATTCTGAGGCGACGAGGACTTATACCCATACTAATTGGTGGACGCCTACTCCCTTGGCGTCTGCTGCGCTGGTGGATCCGGGGTTGACTGTTGAACATGATGGGAGCGCTGATGAGTTTATGGTTAGGGCTGAGAAGGGGACGAGTATTTGGACGTGGGTGAGTCTGGATGGGGATGATGCTGATGATGTTATTGTTGCTTTTGAGGAGAATGGGTTCTTGTTGAAAAAGGGGGAGGAGAAGCGTATTAAGCGTAACGTGATGAAGGATAGTGGGGAGAGGGTAGAATGGGAGAGTAGGGTTAGTGCGAAGAGTATTTGGGAAAATACTTTACCGTAAGGTATGGAATTTAGCTGTAAGGCGTGGGATAATCATAATTCGAGATATTTATTAGGTTGAAGGGATGACAGAGTCAGGAAAGGGGTAACACTGTCTCACTGGCAGCTGTCAAGCCCTTGCACCGGACCGATTTTAGTGTGCTGGTAAGGTAGCATTTATGGATATTATGGGTCTAGCTAGCTCACCAACACCGAATCACACCGCTAGCACCATTCAAATCTAGCTTCTTATGACTTTGGGACTTCATCTAGTGGAATATCATACTTCTCATACCCCAGTTCACTCGAATTTAAATGAAAAACGGCACGATTCTCAAGCTTCTAGTGCTCATAATCTTCATCTGGGCAGTTATGCGCCGCAATGCTGCCCCTAAAGTCCCTATCGAGCCTGAGCGCGTGGCTGCCATCATGTTATCTTGGCAATCTCTCGAGGTAATCTCTCTGAAGAAGTTACAAACACTATGGGCTGGCTACGGGTACATCTACGAGCTTAAGGCTCGAGCTACCGGCGGTAATGATAGGAAGAAAGCGGAATCACTTTCTCTAATACTTAAATTCATTGCGCCGCCGCAGACGCGCCTGGATTCCGCGGATGAAGGCCATCTGCGAAAACTCATGAGCTATGAGGTCGAACAATACTTCTACGACTCTGTGGCACCACTTTTGGGTGATGAGACATCTGTGGCCCATTGTGTTGCTACTACGCGGGACGCAAGCGAGAAACCTGGTGCTGAGCTTCTCGGAGGTGTGACTGCGACGAGTATGTAACCCCCTTTTCAGGAATCATCAATTGACACTGCTTTCTTTTGTTGCCAATAGTCCTTGAAGATAACAAATAATGGGATGTGGGTTTTACTAACTTATCCCTGCTGTAGTAATGTCTGATCTAAGACCCCTTTTCCCCGTTGCTGGAGAAAAGCGATCAGAACTCAATGAAAAGCAGATATTTGCTGCATTAGATTGGCTATCTGGCTTCCACAGCACGAGTCGGAAGTTGGTACCTGATACATTTGAAGAATTCTTACTTCCACCACTCGAAGAAGCTAAGAGAAGAAATAAGAACGCTCTTGGCAAATTGTGGCTTAATGGGGGCTACACCTATCTTGCTACACGGCGAAAAGAGTACGCATCGCTTGCAGAAGATGAGGACTCGGAGTGGTCTAGTGCTCTCACCAAATCCACCACACCCGGAGGTCAATCGATCTCGGAGTTGGTAGCAGACTTTCTGACTCCTCGTGGCCGAGAGTATGAGACATTCATCCATGGAGATGTAAAATCTGAGAATTTATTTACTACCGCCTCCGGTGACAAAGTTGCGTTTTACGACTTCCAATACGTCGGTCTCGGGCTCGGTACTTGTGATCTGGCCAAGTTATTCACATGCTCGGTGCCTCTCCGTTTACTCATAGACGATGGACGGGATATTCCAAATGAGCTTTCGATGGACGAGGGAGAGAAAAAGCTCTTGGAATATTATTACTCCAAACTGGTTAGCGACTTCAAAGATTCTCGAGGACGCACCCAGAAATATGATTGGGACGTCTTTGTTCGGCATTGGGAGACTGCGTTAGTGGACTGGCTGAGATTTCAGGCTTCTTGGGGGTTTTGGGGTAACACAGAATGGCTTGAGGCCAGGGTTCGTTCGATTTTGAAAGACCAACAGTGGAGAGACTGGCTTCAGGAGAATCATGGGTCAGGTTAGGTACCTAGTTAAATGCTAACTAGAGTTAGAGATCTGCGATGAATAAGTCGTGAGAATGATACTTCGCACATGAAATATTGTAATCAAATACCGAATTGGGGTCGGACTAGGTGTGTATGAGGAGAGTTCGGCAATGCTACCCCCCAGGAAATATATCTTGCTTCTCCAATCATCTTCGGATAAATGCTGCCGATATGGGGTTCAATGTCCCCCCTTTAGATCATGGATATCGAAGATTCGTGTGGGGTTGCCTTATATCAAGCAGCATCCATGGATCCATGTGGGAGTGGGAGGTTACGTGCCGCATTAATCTCCCGAATAGATGTTCTACAGAGTATGGTTTTACTCTATCTGGTCTGCCGGTAGACGAATTAACGATCTCGGGATAAAATACTTAGTACTAGGTACCTACCTACTCAGGTAGAGAGGCCAACTTTGCCTATTTCCAGGGCTTGCTATGTATGTCAAGTAGGTAGACATGCGATATCGTCAATATTGAGTAGCTAGATAATTGATCTTCAAATCTGCTAGAAAGCAAAAATGTCTTTCCCATATAAGAATGTGCTCCTAATTGGCGCGACGGCAGGCATTGGCCTAGCTTTAGCTGAGCGCATGATCGAGAACGGCATCTTCGTCATCGGTGTGGGTCGTCGCAAGGAGAGGCTTGATGCATTCGTAGCTAAGCACGGTGCTGACAAGGCGGCGGCGTCGCAATTCGACATTACCGAGTTCGATAAGATCGAGGCGTGGGTCAAAGAGTGAGTATACAGCTTTACACACCTATATAACGGCGATGCGCGTCGAGAAACCATAAGCCAACTAACGAACTCAGAATTACCACCACATACCCCCTCATCGACGTCGTGATCATGAACTCCGGCATCCAGCGCACCCTCGACTTCACTAAGCCTACGGCCATCGACCTGCCGCGCACGATGCAGGAGCTCGGCACAAACTACACTTCTTACCTGTATCTAATCACGTACCTACTCCCACACCTACAATCCCTAGCCCCGAAGCCAACGGCTCTAGTCGGCGTGACATCAGGGCTAGCGCTCGTCCCACTACCACGATGCGGGAACTACTGCGCGACGAAAGCAGCGATGCACTCGCTCCTCTGGTCGATCCGGGCACAGCTCAGCTACGACCCATTAAGCCAGCATATCAAGGTAATCGAAATTCTGCCGCCGGCAGTACAGACAGAGCTGCACTCGCAGCAGAAGGAGCTCGTGGCGATCGGAGAGGGTAACATCGGGATTCCGGTCGAGCAGTTCACGGACGAGGCGTGGGCGGGGCTAACGCGGGGCGACGAGGAGATACCGGTTGGTATTGTGAAGGATCGGTTCGATGTGACGGAGGAGCCGCGACGCGCGCAGTTTGGGAGGATCGTGTTGGCGTTTATGGGGAAGAGAAAATGACTGTTGCGAGGAGCGAGATTGTGAGGTTAGGTAAGGTGAGGAATGCAGAGGTATAAAAAATATCCGAATATTTGGATCTGACGTGAGATGCGTTCTTAATATAAGTGATAGCGGCGGATGAACTTAAGCATAATACAGGGGCAAACTCCGCGATCTTCGATGGATTCTCCGCAGTGGATTTCTGAAGTCCGCAGGGACGGAGGAGTAAATTACCTAGTAGATAAGCCTGTAGCCAGCCACCTGGGCACTGTTTAGGTACGAATCTTCAAGCCATCATCCCCTAATCTATCACTGTACAGGATCATACAGCGTACCTAGAGTACATGGTAAGGGCATGGAATTCTTGGCGCATATTCACAATTTTGTACGTCATGTGTAAATAGAAAGTAAAGTATCAAAATGAATGAATAGTAATTTTTTCTTATATTTAATTGTTGGTAGTATTGGTTGATAAAGAGGGAGAAATCGTCCGTCCAACAGGGGTGGACAAGATGTGCCTAACGTACCAACATGGTAAAAAGCAGCCAATAACAAGCCTATATGGGAAGTAAGCAGGCAGGCATATCATTCCAACACATCGAATCTAGGCTTAAAAGGCGAAGCTTTAGAGCCGCACGATGAACTTCGTCGCATGAAATTGACAGCATTTGAATTCCTCATGAACATTCTGCTCTTTACACCAAACTTTCCTTCCCATCACCCGGGTAGCTATCCGAAAGAATCTACGTATGCCCCAAACGCCATGCTCGCCCAAAGAAAATGCATGAATGCGAGAAAGCGCAACCTTTCCGCTCTCCTCCCCTCAGAGTCACCTAAGCCTTGTACTCGTCTCTCCCAAGCTTAACGATATCAGCCTGCTCCAGGACCCAATACTTGCTCGGCGCCTTTCCCTCAGCAGCCAGCACGGCGGCGCGGACGGCGGCGCGCGCGATGACTTCGGATTCCTGGCCGAAGGCGTCCTGGGCGCCCTGGCTGATCTTGCCGAGGCCGCGCACGAGGGTGTTCAGCAGCGGGCCGGCGGCGTGCTCGACCTCGCGCTGGCCCATGATGAGGCCCGGTCGCAGGATAATCGCTTGCGCAAAACTGTCCTTGATGGCGTCCTCGACTCCGATCTTCATCTTCGAGTATGGCAGGTACCCGCTGAGGAACCCGCGTGTTCCGGCTGAGGATACGAATACGAAGGTCTTGACTCCGGCGTTGTGCGCGGCTTTGATGAGTTCGACGTTTACTGTAAACATGCGATTGAGGTTAGTATTGTTTTATGGCATTAGATATCCTGATGTTTTCTTTCTATGCTTTGAGATAATTACGCGGGGATGAGAGGGGTGGATGCGACGTACGGTCATGGTCGATCTTCCATTGATTTGCGATTCCGCCGGCTTGAGCTCGCGTGGTGCCTAGGGAGGAGAATACTACAGAGGGTGGTGGCGCGGAGGAAAATAGGCTGGATGCCCACTTAGTAGTGTCGGGTTCGACAGTGGCGGTCAATTTGGGTGACTCTGCTGCGGGAGCTCGGCGAGAGATGGTGCGGATTGTCTTGAAGGCATCTAGACCGAGAAGAGTCGACAGTATGTGAGAACCCGTAAGGCCTGTGCTACCAATGACTGCAGCTGTGGATGCCATGTTGGTTCAGAAAGAGTATCCGTGTGATCCGGTACAGAAGAGATCGTAAATTGCGTGAATCTGGTAAGAGTTTTTATAAACGACGCCTACCTTTTATGTAGGTAGTTATGTAAGTATGGAAATACCAGGTAAACTAAGAGACGTAGCTTCTTACTATTTTTCTTTAACCATGGTAAAGTTCGGGACAATAATCATGCCGTAAATGACGTTGTTACTTCCTAGTGAAACCCAGCCTGGGACTTAAGGAATTCGGGTATCGCCATGTCCGAATTACCATACTCGAATTAAGCATATATATTCATCTAAACATAGAATTATAACTCGACAAAGACATCTCCGATGCACCAAAACCCCTGTTCTATCCTTATGTGCTTTAATCTGCAAGCGGAAATTTAATAGGCAATTGCGGGTTCGTCATGAATTACAATAAATCCTAACTCTCTCCATATCTCTCCCGACGCGGACTTCTACTTCGAATCCTTTGATTTTCATCGGGAATTTCAAGCCGAACCACGCTTGGTTCTGATTTTCCAGGATCTAAATCTTCACTCCCACTATCAGTACTGTCAGTCGTATCAACCGTATCGATTGTATCAGCTAGGCTCTCTAGCTCCATCTCTTCATCGGGGATACGTCTTGCGCCATGTCCATTAGGTAAGTCGGCTGATTTATTCTCATGTTCATGAAGTCTCATATTCACAAACAGAGCGTAGAGGCCAAAGTCGTATGCCAATCGGGAACAACCAGCGGCAACGAATGCGATCCAAAAACGATCGCTCGCAGCCAAAAGGCCCGTCACGGTAGGTCCGGTCATAGCGGCTAGTGTCCTGACCGTAGCTGTGATACCCATTACTGCTGTTCGCTCCTCCGGCTTGACTACTGCGGCAATGAACGCCGCTCGTGGGGCTTGATCCATATTATTCAGCCCCGCACGGACAAGTAGGAGTCCGGCAGTCAGCCAAAGGTAAGGAGGCAACGGGAAGAGTAAGACGGCGGCTGACGATGGCGTGTGCGTAAATACCATCGTGTTAATCAACCCAATTTTTCGGGCTAGAGGGCCGGCGAAAGATGCTGAAATCGCTCCCAGAAAGTAACTAAAGGAGGTGATGTCGCCAAGAGTTGACTTTTGGGGATGAAATTTTTCATTCATATAATAATTCGTCAAAGAATATGGTACCATACCATCAGCAAGCGAGTCCACGGCCAACAAAAACCATAACTTATACATCACCGATCGAGTTGCTGGCGAGATCAAGGCTAGTCGGTTCGAGAACCACTTGAGGCTTCGAATAATCCGATTCTGGGATTTTTTAGGTGTAGGTGTTACGTCGGGAGATGCTGCAGGGCTCTCAGTTCTCCTATCAGTATTCTGACCGTTATCGTCTTGTGGAACTTGCGTGTAACTTCTCTTAGTCTGCGACAGCTCACACGCATCGGACAAGAGCAAAACCAGTCCAAGATTGACTACACCCATAATCGCGTATATCCAAAATAAGGCATGATATGCATCTACTTCCGACCATCCATCTTTATCCTGTAAGAAGCGGAGAACTCTTCCTGATAACTCGCTTCCTAAGGAAGATCCGAATAGGGGTATGGTAACGTGCCACGATAAGACATCGGCTCTTGTTGACGGAGTGGTGAGCTGTGAAATCATCGACCTAAAGAATTGTCAGTCACTATTTAACATTGTAACCTCTTTTCGCGAGAATATACTAACTCTTCTATACTTCTAAAGGGGCCAAAATCGCCGCCGGTGATACTAATAACACCGATTACCGCAGCGAGTAGCAAAATCCAAAAGTTTTCAAAAAGCGCAAATATTAGGCCGCTTAATATCATCAACAAAGAACCCCCGATCATGACTCTTCGTTTCCCGATACGATCTGCCACAAGCGTGATATATGTTCCCAATATCACATCGCCCATCAACGTCAGTGTCATGAACAAGCCAATCTGATGATCAGATATCCCCAGAGCTGAGAAGAAGATGCCTACAAACTTTATTAGGATCATCATGATAATATAGGTAGGTAGATTGAGACACCCTTAAGGTTCAAACCATACCTAGAATCAGTGCGTTGGTTCCGTAGGCGAACATGCGACATGTTCGCGCCAGAATAATGAGATAGGCATTAAGGCCAGTCTCATGAATAGCTGCAAGTCCGAATTCATGGTAAAACCACTTTAGGGACAACTGAACCTTCTCAATCATTTAGTTTAAAGTGCCAGCCAGAAAAATGGTCAGATCCGAAAATATGCAATAATGTACTATTGGGTAAAATGAAAAAAAATAAAACCGATATGAGAATGGCCGGCTGGGCACCGGAGTCACGGGATGACGGATAATAGCCGATTTCGGCCTTACGCAATTTTTCATTCGGGATACGTGACGGTAACGGAGTCGGAAGGACCCGGCAGGTGCTAGATACCTAGATACATTTTCAGCTTTGTTTTGGAACAATGCCTTTCTAACATCACTGGAGTAGAATCGTTTACGAACAAAGATACCTACGGGGTAAATAATAGGATATTCGTAACATTATAAATAGGACGCTTATGTTCAAATGAACATTCATAGGTATCCAGCTGATTATCTCACTGCCTATCATCTTCAAATCACCAATCTTGGATAAGTCCGTATTACCTGATAAACTTCAAAATGGAACCCTTAACTTGGAAAGACAGACTGATTCTAGCCTTTCTGGTTATTCAGATTATCTTCATTGTTCATTTCTTTTTTGACAATGCCGAATGGTTTTATAGATGTGTGCTGGGAAGCTATTTCAGCAACCGCTTCTTCGACAGTTCTCTACTTTTCATGCTCCCGTCCATTCCATACTTGGTATTCTTTAGATTAATACCTATATCAAAGACACTAAGCATACTAGCTTTAATTGTAAAATATTATTTAAGCTCTTGAGAAGAACGCTGAAAACTGAAAGGACTCCTTTGTACCTATGTAATAACATAATTATTAGGTACCTAGTAGGTATATCTACCTAGGGAGGTGATAATAGTACCACAGGACATTATCCAGACAATAGCAAAGCTGACAAATCTGGCAGATAGACGTTCTATGTTTTTTGTTTACGGAATTAGAGCAAAACCCAGTAAGTACGATAATATTAGCATAAATGAGCTAAAATTTATGGTATCCATGGATGTATATGAAATTTACCCAGTGCTTTGATTATCTCGTATTTATTGCATTTCTTTGAATACAGTTACATTATCTAATACCCGCACCGCCACCTATTTTCGAGTCTTGAACTCACTCTCCGTCTCCAGCCATGTACCAAAATCCTTGAGATCGGGGTTGATCTTCCTCAGAGACGAGATGTCCGCCCCGTATCCGACGTTGTTAAACCACCTAAACATATACCCGAGCTCCTTCACCATCCAGTTGATGATTGATGCGACGAAATGGAAGGTCGTGGGTAGTTCGTCGCCGGTCTTCTGCTTGAAGGTAGCCGCGAATTGGTCGTAGGTCAGTTCATCGCCTGCAAGACTGACTTTCTTGTTCTTGTACTCCTCCGACTTGATGAAAGCCTCGGCGGCGAAGAACCCGATGTCGCTGGTGGCGATCAGCTGCAGTTTCCGGTTCTTGTCGAGGGCGATCTTCCAGCTCGTAGCAAAGACCTTGCCCATGAAGCCTGGCACGAGGTTCTCGAAGAAAGCAACGGGTCGGAGGACAGTCCAGTTCATCTCGCCGCCTTTCGTCTTCTCGTAGAGGTATTGTTCGATGTTGTGCTTGCTAATGAAATGTGGGATATCCGTCGGGCTATCGTCTGACTTGGCACCGCCGCGATCGACTGAGGAGTAGACTAGGTGCTTGACGCCGTTCTTGAGCGATGCGTCGATCAGAGCCTTTCCTTGCACCTCCTCGGTTCGAAATGTGGCACCGCCGCCAATTGCTGCCTGTACGCTGTAGACTCCCCAAATAGGCGTCTTGGTCACTTCCTTAGCTTTGGCGAAGATATCGTCAGGCGCGTCCATGTTTCCTGTAACAAGCTTGATCTTAGGCGATTTCTTCAGGAGTCGTTGAGCAGAAGCTGATTGGGAATCCCTCGTGAGGGCTAGAATTTCGAAGTCGGCATTGGCTTTGATTAATGCGCTCACAACGGCGCCGCCCTGCTTTCCAGTGGCTCCGGCAATGAGAACTGCGCGAGACATTGTGGTTTTTGGCGAAAAGTGCTGTATTATGATAATATAAAATCGATGATGACAGGACTAGAGCTTGAAATATTGCGGTGTTGATATGAACAATGGATATCTATTATCTGATGGAATACCAAAAGAATAAATAAAAATACGAAGACAAAGAACTGGGTATTTATTAAGTAAATTCATTGGAAACGACATTCCAGCGATTGCCTAGACTCAACGTCAATATGATATGAGTGTATAGCGATTCCATGTCATGCTGACAAACAACAGTCCCACATCGGTGCTCTTCCGTACCGGTAAACCCTGCCCGGAGCCATAGCGACCGACTAAACGCACACCCCGCGTACTCCAATACAACCAAACTGACGTCATGCCGCCTCTCCTGGCCAATCGTAGGGTCATCGCATTAGAAATATGAATACTCGGGACTCGCTCGCCCCGACTTTCATCTTCAGATCATGCTATATCTGTTCAATTATCTTGTGAATATTAAAAATTTGATGATCAATCTTCATTCAGAAACTAATCGATTCTACCCAGAGCTAGAAGGCAAATTGGAAATGATTAATATTATTTTCGAATAATTTGTCATCTCTATTCGCGAAAAGCCGCGATGTGAAGTGTCATCCATTCAGCGCGAGGTCGCTGTGAAAAGAAAAGTGACCCCTATTATTTCTATTTCTAGCTACCGTAGTGGCAAAGAGGGGTTTTCAAATACGGTATTTGGACACGCAACGCGTCTGCCCATTAACAATGATTTAGTGGAAACTAGATCATTGTTGTACAGCAAATGGTATTTGATTCAAAAACGATTATTTATAAAATAACGATAATTCGCAAAGAAGCTATTTTAGGGATTGCACAATTATTTTATGTAAAGTGGATACTTTGAATTGGTTGCTATGTAAATACTAGTAAATACTGACCTGACGCGACTTGTTTGCCAACTTCCCTAGATACTGCCCTAGATACTGACCTAGATACCAACTTACTTACTTTTTTACTTACTTCTTTCCTTCGTATATATAGAAACTGGATCTGGATCTATTAGCTTGCTTCGTTTCGATTAGACTGGATTTGACTTACTATTACTATTACTAGAACAGAAACTGACAGTATCCTGTTGATCTGACGCGACTAGGTAGATTAGACTGATTTCAATACGTTGAATTGAGATACCTACTTGACGCGATTAGATTGAATAGACTGAATAGACTGAATAGACTGAATAGACTGAATAGACTGAATAGACTGAATAGACTAAATAGACTGAATAGATTGAAGATATTATGCAACTGACTTGACTTGACTGTATTGCAAAGAGAGAAAGAAAAGGTGTATGTGTTGACTTGGAGAAAAAAAACTTCTAAGTCTTTTATTTCATGATTGCAGCTGCCAGCCAGATTACAGCTGCCAGATTGTAAGACCTTGGCAATATTTCCTATTATAGTAATGATTAACACTTATTTCTATTTATCGTTTTCAGTTCGAGTGTAGAAAACGATTATTAGGCGTTGAAAACGATTATCTAAGGTCAACAATCGTTTTCTTCTTTCAACAACGGTATTTTCGCGGTAAATAACCGTTATTTGAAACCACATATTGCCGGTATGGTACCTACGAGCTGCGGGGTTGCGAAACCCCTTTGCCCTGGGGATCTCACAATTTTAGTGAATGCGACCCTGCTAGCCCTGCCTAGGCGTGGATTGCTGTAGAACCTTGTAGCTTGTGTACAATATAGTGGACAGTGCGCTATTTGTCAGTGGCTAAACTCCCTAGGCCATAGCAGTCATTCACTCAACTATAGTGGGCAGATCACTATTTGGTGTGAGTCTTAGCTTGCTCAGTGTCTCATAATTTTGGCCGAAACGTTTCCAAGTCCTTATCACCTAATAGGGGACGGTTCATAGGTAGAATAATACGACATTACATAGGAATAGAACTATAAATACTTAATTATCATTAATATAGGTGGGTAAAACAAATTATCGCGATGTTTTCTAAGGTTGGTGGGTGCCTAGGCGGGGTTGGTACTATGTATGTAACCCTAACCCCAACTCAAGCTTTTGTGTAGTAATGAATGGCATAGAGAGATTCCTGCATTGCGATGATATATAAAGTTTCAATAATGAAAGTATAAATAGGCACCTGCTCTACCTACACTTAACGTAGTTTGGGTGGGGTTAGGGTTAGGGTTAAGTGATCTACGATGACTTTTATCATAACCCTCATCGCTAGACTCCGTCTCAATGTATATTCGTATACTTCTATTTGTATAATTAGGTATTGGTTAAAATGTCCACCTAGGTAACAACTATATGACCGTGAGAAAGTACGGGCGACAAAATGATAAAGCATAGAAACGAAGCTTCTTTTAACCGTATCAACAGCCTACTCAGCATGACATGGTATGTACAAACAGAAGCCGCACGACGGCATAATCAATATTGCCACACCAACTTATTGCATAAAATATTTTCAAGAAATCCAATTTGTAATGGACTGCTAGGTATGCAACTACATTCCCAACCAAACATTAAATGAAATTATTAATATCTGTCATGTCGTCGAAGCCAAACCCTAGATCATTGAAATCAATATTGAAGTAGTTAGAGTCCTCGGCGGTGGTGTCGAAAGTCATGTTGGTAGTGCCAGTATCATTACCCAGCGTCTCCTTCAGGTTACCAAGCTCATGCAGATTTGGATTCCAATCAAGACCTCGCTGGTCTACATATTGGGTCTTGGATGATGTAATGATATTGTTAGATCCAGGTTCAAGCTCAAGAACGCTCCCTGGATGGCTTTGATCGATAGGCTGGGCTCGAGGGGAACTTGGAGAAGCTGGAGGTGTTTGTGTTCCTAGGACGCCATGGATAGGGCCCCTTCCTTCCTCGCCGCAAGTTCCATTGTTGTTTAGACATATGATTTTCCTCTGTCGGAACCATTTTTTGAGCTTCTTAAAAGCGACTATAAATGGCCGCGATTGTGGGAAGTATCCATCTCGAGATAAATTCTCAAGTCTTTGAACTATAGCCTCGAAGAGATCTAATAATGAAGGCAGCCCATCGTTATCTCTGCTGTTCGTTCGTAGTTCCTCGGCAAAGTGGCCTATCTTGGCAAGGCAGACTGCTGCACATAAATTCCAAACAAGGAATGTATTGGGGAGAGAGCGGGCAGTTAAATCATCTAGTGAAAGATAAATATTCATGACGCTAGAGCCAGCTTTGAGACAGTAGCAAAGTGCATCTATGTGTGGAGTTGAAAATGCCGGTGTTGGCTGACTTGAGTTATTCTTTTCCTTATTCGTATACCAAGCATACATTTGGTATATATATGTTCGAATGGCCACCTGGTGAATATAGAGATCAACAATTGATGCTGAAAGGTCTTTCAATCCTTCAAATTAGTCAAATGTTAGTAAGTTCCCCAGAAAGAGCTGCCGTGAGCACTGCGCTTACGTGGGTTGATGTTTCCTGATGGAGATAACTTCCAGTCAGTTAACCTCTGTCGAAAAATCCCAAGTAGATGTTGTGTCCCAAAGTCATCAAACGATTCATTCGTACGGTTGTGCGAGTTATTTAAAGTCTTGGAAGCATCGTCAAGGATCTCCTGAAGAACCGCCAGACTGCATAACCACTGATCATCGCTCGGGCCACCATCGCCTTTGGTAAGAGCTTCTATGCAGGCTCGGTGTGACGGGGTGAAAAAGAGCGGCTGGTGTCGACGTAGAAGTGTTGCTACACTATGAGAGAGTGATATGAGTCAATATATGGTGCATTCATATTTGGGATAGAAATAGGTACTAACCACGATGAACCAAGATAGACGGCCAATGACGTCCTATAGGACTCTTTATCCTTGCCTAAGTTTGAGTTGGATATTGTAGTCAAGCCAAGGTCATGAGACATGATCACTGCACTATACATGTGTTGCGGGAGTGCAAAAGCCGTAGTATTTGGTGGCTGTATGTAATATTGTGAGAAGAGGATGAGAGACTGTAATAAGTCGATAGACTTTGCGCCTCGAATGAATACTTCCTGAGCTAAGGTGTTATTCAGTCGCGTTAGAAAGCTGGAAACAAGAGAAGGCCTGGTCAGAGTGCTAGCTATCGTCATGATGGTTAGGAATAATGTAGGTTTTTTCGCCCTAATAGTGTATGCATCATCCTCGGCTGAGAATTGGACAACAGGCATCAATGGACGCATATATAAATTCCAGTGGTCATACAGTTGACAGGCAGTAGACATGTCTATCAACCCCGCAGCTATAATGTCGTCGCATGCTAAAGCACTGATTTCGTTCTCGCCGATGACAATTCTCTTATCATGATCTTGCCGTTCAACAGGTGAGAACGTATCGTTCCTATCAGTATCTGGTGTATTGGACCATGGTGCTTCTGTTCTCACTTGCTTAAGCGATTCTTGATTTCGCCGTCTTTCGGCATCTAGCGCACTTGTAAGGGCATCAATCCTCTTTTCAAGCTCGGAAAACTTTTGCGAAGTCTTCACGCGAGCTTTTGGGGGGCCAGGGTCGTGACATGGCCGAGAGGATCTCAAACAACTCTCACAGTCCTTTGCGCCAGGTACTGAGACGCATTTTATCTTCATGTTCCGACATGCGACGCATGCTCTTATCCTCCTATAGTTCTGCTCAGATTCGCCTGTGGGCATTCCATTTTTGGACAAGTTGGGGATATTCATCATCGACCTTCTAACCGTAGTTCTTCAGTAATTGAACTTGTAGAGTTTTACCGATAAATTTGGATACAATTCATTGCTTATGCAAAGTTGGCGGATGGTCGCATAGTGCGTTTCGAAATGGAGCGTCTCTTTCCGTCATGTGTTGTTATTAATGTTGTAAGACGATGAATTTCAATGAGCTACCTCAATCCCTCAATACCACTCTTTGGTCCCATTATTGAAAATAGGGGTCGCTAGCATCCCGTACTGTGCATAATTGCATATCGTGAGTTGAAGTATCCTTACATAATATCTTACATAATCTTCCTTTACATAATCTTCCTTTACATAATCTTCCTTTACATAATCTTCCTTTACATAATCTTCCTTTACATAATCTTCCTTTACATAATCTTCCTTTACATTAGTAATATCTTTCATAATCAAATTCCATACCTACGAATACGTCCTCCTTCTCCCCTCACAAAAACGCTTCCCATAAGTGCAATGTTGCGACTTTCCAGTATATTTGGATTGGTAGCATTGATGATGCCTTGAGTCACCCCCAACCCGCCAATGAGCATAGGTTAATTGAAATGGATACCAGCCGGAACCCTTTTACTCATCTTTAGATTGACGATATCACCCACACCAAGTTGAGTAGTGAGGACGAAGATGGCCTTTTCTTTCCTCGCAGCGAGGGTCTCTGATGGTAGCAGATTCGTGCTGGATAGACTTTATTGTGCGCTGTGTCGTCCAGTCTTGAACAGCGAAGAAACAAGGTTGGAACTCGATGACGGTGAGCACTAAGATCGCTGGAGCGAGATTTCTCGACGACGGCGGATCGCTCAACGGCCTCTAGCAAATGAATAATATCATAACGCCGACCTAGAACATCGAGCTAAACTCACCAAATTCGTAGAACAACAACATCTTGAGGTAGTTGGTCTTGCTCCTCGGTAGTGAATTTACCTGGTCGCGCTCGAGGCGCATTCTGGCGCATTTTCGGAGAGTCCCTAGTTCGCGTCGACATTCAAATGCTGGCAAACCTGATTGGGTTCCGATCCGTGAAATATCAAGTTGAAGAAATAATCTCGCTCGTCTTTATCAACAACCTTGATATCTGCTGGAGAACTTGGGTCGACATTGCGGGATTCGGACACACGAATGGATAACGTGCGATACTCAATTAGCAGGCTTGAGTAGGGGGATACCAGCGGAAGACGTCTTCGAGCACTACGACTCAAACCACGACTTCTCGATTGAGCAACAGGCCTAGGCAAAGAGATCGCTCCGCCTTGACTTTAATGCCCGCGACCACGATCATGACTCCTCCTCATTTACACCACGAATTGTAATAGGAAGGCCGCTATTGGTCTCTTGCTACTGCACGTTATTCTGCGATACGGTTAAAGCGAGCGAGATTGATACGTTGATGCTGATGCTACCCCTGTAATATACTAGGTAAGCATTGATCTATCATTCAAATTCATACTAAAACCCAATATTTTCTCCTTCCCAATATCTCTCATATCGTTCACTTCACTCTCTTGTCTCTTCTTTTACCCCAATTTGCATTGCATGCATCTAGTTGATCCGTGGGGACGACGCTACTGAAAATCGCTCATATTGCGTACAATATCACAAGCTTAAGCGATAAGGTAGAGGCAATGATCCTTGGATGATCATTACGTGAAATTTACCTAAATGATTACCAGGTCAAATCCCAGAGACACCGGTATCATAAGCTGGGGATATTAGAACGTTTGTAAACGATGAAAGCCGATAGGAAGACGCTCAACCGTCAAGTCACCGCCAGATGAGTTTCTAGGATATAAACCAGAATTGGCGCGGGCTGCCTCCCGGCTAGTTCGAGAACCCCAGATCATCAATACTATTGTTTCAATTACTGAATTAGGCAATCCGGGCTGGACGTTTATACGACACGTGAATGACACTATCTAGCCTGCTAACAGCTAATTCGAAAGTTCTTAGTTGCGTCTGAGAATATGACACGCGACTTCATAGGTATATGATAAGTACGAGGCATTTATGCCTTCGTAGACTGCATCTGGAAACTGTCTTTCGGGTTCCTCTAGGTTTATTCATTCATGGCCAGCGCACCCCAAAAGACCTCTTCCTCGAATTCCACGTCCCCGGGAGCAGTTGTCACAGCGTTGTGTGTGACCTTAGCCATTATTATTTTCATCTGCGCACTACGTATGCGGCGAACAGCGACATTAGCCATGGTTCAGGAACGAGTCCCAAGAGGATGCTTGCCCAGTGACCGGGTCGACTCAATTCCTATCGCCAAGTATGGCATGACGAAGAGGAGATACCTAGCAGGCAATATGGCCATCAACCAACCAGGGGTATCAGCAAAGAACCACGATACTCTGCCACAGCCCATCGGCATGAAGACTCCCATAGCCACCTTTAAAGACACCATACAACAGTGTTGGAGTAGGGTCCGCCGCCCTGGAAATACGGACACTACCCAGAATTTTGAACGAAGCGTCCAGCAATCCTGCCCAACTTGCACCGAAGACTTCCTAGACGACGATGATGTTCGAATATTGCCCTGCAAACACCTATTCCACCCACGGTGTATCGACCCATGGTTCAGGCGCTGTGCAATCACTTGCCCCCTATGGCAGGTGTCCCAGTTGCATAGCAAAGTAGACTTAGGCTAACTCAAAAACCAATGTTCTCTAGCCGTTTTGACGTCCGGATCGCTTGGGTAGAGAGCTATATACATAGTCCTCCAATGGCATATGCCCCCGGATCACGGCACGTATAGCACGGATACCATCATGGACTGGACCGGGAATGCCGAGACATAACATCCAAACGCTCTTCGAAGAATCGACTTCGCCAAGTCCTCTAATGATAGGGAGCGGAGGCTCTGTTTGCAGTGCAACACATATGCTCGTATACTACGAGCCTACCTCTCATCCAGACACTAAGCATCCCCAATACCTACCCGCCTGAGTACTTTTTATTTCAAACTTGATTTCTAGTGAAGTCTTGAAACGAACCTATCGCCGACCCGTATTTGCTGTATGACGCTATCGTGATTGACTCCCCCGCAAACCTACCTATGTACTAAAAAAAGGGGCAGCGATATCATCGTTACGCACCACCTCACTCCCAGTCTCTGTGTATTTCATTTTTGTAGTTGGGGTGGTGGAAGGCTCTTTGAATCATTTGGATTTAATAACAATCTATTAACGTGCTTGTACTTCATTGTGCTCTGTTATAAAACATTGAGACGCCCCGCTAGACAGTCGACGATGACTATCATCCAAAACAGTTTCTTTCAAACCGCTTGATAAATAATGTAAGTACCTAATCTATCTCGGTTATTTCCGCTTCTATAGAACGAAGGTTGAAGAGATGTGTTGTCTTGAAACAGCGGAACCCGTATAGTGTGAGGTTGTTGTCGGCGGTACTACATTGCCAAGGCGAGGAAAACTGTTGTCTTGAAGTTTTGCGGCATGGTGGATCTGATATCGGAATGCGACCGAGAATATGGATTTAGGTGACATTATATCTTAAGTTAAAAGCAACCTCTTCTAAAGAGAATATGGATTGACTTTCTTATCAAGACTATTTCAGTCTGTATTTATTGTCTTTAGCTTGCGAATAGCCCTTGTTCAGATAGTATTATTCGTTCGTAATGATCCATGGATGGGTGGTGAAGCCCTGGAGGTCTTTGTAGCGCCTAGGTGCTGCTATTCAGTACCCAGTAGGTACCTCCAGGGCTAACTTTAGAGTTTGGATTGCGCTAAGGTGCTTACGACAGTGGGGTTTAGGGGTTCCGTTAAAAATAAAATAGGGCGCGATTGGACAAAGATCTCAGCCGCAGGTCCCTCACCTTAATAAATATGGATTTTCGGTGTGCCTGCAGTGGTGATCGTATCAAAAGCTGGTAGGAAACCACATTTTTCTCATATTTTTACGCCGACGAAGATTTTTTAGGTAGAAATGGGCGAGCGTTCAAGTATACTTACCATCATTTACTCAATTCATCGAGTTGTTCAAATTCACAGGCATGTAATTACTTCTACCAAGGGATATGTGGAATACATTCAAGTTTAACACCCAGGTCCAGGTATATGTAGGCGATTATGCGGTAAAAATCCATAAAACACGCCAACTCAGGTACCTACCTACCTAGCTTTACCCCTTTTTACGTTAGAAGCACCTAAATAAGCCGCTAGGCCTAGGTCTTTTAGGTACATGATGAGGCTTGCCGGGGACTAAAAGAGTCTACGTCATTGTCCGTGACGCTGCCAAGTTTCTGCTTACCCGTCGGTGCCGTTTCCGACGTTAAACCAAGACATTCCAGCAAACAACAATCCTGCATATAAAGTCGACTGAGTCTTGCATTTAGATGATAGACACACTTCAATATTCAATGGCTCTTAGATGCAAACCGGGATAAGTAATATCAACCATGCCGGAGTCATTACAAGTAGCTCTCAAGAATAGCAGTGATTCGGACCAGATCTACGCCTACATCACCGGGATAGCTCTCCAGCATGGTGGTCAACGATGCATTCTCAAGGCCGACGGGCAAGGTCTTTATTTCCCGGAAAATCCACCAGCGATCGGCTCACCCTTGACAGAAGATTGCGCTATTCCTCTCGGACCACCAGGAAACACCGTTACGGTGACCATACCGCAAATGGCCGGGGGCAGGGTATGGTTCTCGCGAAACAGCAAACTTACTTTCCTACTCAACCCCGGGCCGGCCCTAGTCGAGCCCAGCGTCCTTAACCCAACCGATCCCAACGCAGACGTTGATTTCGGTTTCTGCGAATTCACGCTCAACGACGCACAGCTGTACGCGAACATCAGCTACGTGGACTTTGTACCTCGTCTCCCGATCGCCATGTCCCTAGAACAAGCCAGCGGCGAGATCCAATCCGTCGCCGGCATGGCCCCGGACGGCATAGACCGCCTCGCAGACGCGCTGCGCGAGCAAGCCAAAACGGACAACCAGCCCTGGGATAAACTCGTCGTCTCGCGCGACGGCAAAGTCCTACGGGTCCTCAACGCGACGCACGGGAACGCCGTCGACGCCGGCTTCGACGGGTACTTCGAGGCGTACGTGGAGCAGGTGTGGGCGCACTTCCTGGCAAAGCAGGAGCGCGGGGAGGTGTTAAGGATAGACACGCAGGCCGCGCCGGGGATCCTCGAGGCGGAGTTCTCGCGCGATGCCGGGGTCCGCGTCGGGGAGGAGACGTTCGATAAGCCGAGCACGGCGGATATCCTGGGCTGCAACACGGGGCCGTTCGTCACGGGGCCGTCGCAGACCCGTAACGCGATCATCCCCCGCCTGGCGGCTGCGTTCGCGCGCTCGGCGCTGCTGCTCGCGGATGATCACCCGTCGCCCCCGCACACGTTCTACGCTACGGACACGACGAACCATTACGCTCGCCTGGTGCATGTGCATAATGTTGATGGTAAGGGGTATGCGTTCGCGTACGATGATGTGCAGCCGGATGGTGGCGATGATCAGTCTGGGAAGGTGAATGCTGGTGATCCGGTCTTGTTTACGGTGACGGTTGGTGGTATGGAGGCGCGGTAGGGAAGTGTTGGGGTTTTCTAGGGGATGTGTTTAGAGGCGTAATTTGGTAGGGTATTGGGCACGTTGGACTCGGATTCACAGGATGGGGTTGGGGGCTTATTGTCGTAGCAAGTAGGTAGTTTCCACGCGCCGGTCATAGACTCTGGAGAACTCCTATCGCGCCAAACCCCCTTTTAGAAAATACGGTCGGTGGGTTTAGATGTGAGAACACATTGGGCCAGGTTATCTCTATCCATTAAATAATACACGCAAGAATAAGGGTTATAACATGATATTCCTCTAGCTAGTATACCTAGAGCTATTCTAACTACCTACCTAAGTAGTTATCTTGTGTGAAAGAATGGATTGCCGTGTTTTTCAATGGAATTACGGCGTATCCAATGGACCAGTATCCACCCACCCATGCATATATAGTCCTGAAGCAGTCTCGGCCTCGGGAGATGGCTTCGGCGGCTGTGCCACAGGGGTTTTTTCAAGATTAATCTTGATAAACGTGGAAGACCCAGATTCAAATACCAACATAACATTCCCTCCCTTCACTGCTAAATTACAAGAGCTCCACGTGCGATGCGCTGGAGGAAGCCATAAAAGCCTCTCGCCTCCTTGAAGTAGCCAAGATGTGTCGACATAAAGGCAACTAAAATCTGGAGTGGGTGACGGGAGCGGTAACCGGCCATAATGACCATCCAAATATCTATTATCCTTGGGAAAGTATAATTGATAACTTTCGTCAAGGCGTCGATAGAATCCTTTGCACACCACTGGGTCCCATATCAAAACTCCTCTTAACGTCCGTACCATTAGTTTCTCATCTGGTGCTATAAGGAGCATGTTGCAGTAATTACTAAACTTAGAGCCCATAAACAAGGTATAAATCATATTTCCGGTAGTTGTATCCCATACAGTGGTTGTCAATTCATTCTGATTGCATGTTGTCGTAGCAATACGAGTGTTATCCAACGAAATTGACGCCTTGGCCCTGTGATCATGGCTTGAAAGTGGAATCTTGACTTTTATATCTCGCGTGTCTACTTGTAATAAATGAAATTCAGGTTTCGTTAGGTTTGGCTGGAAGGCTACCAACGTGCCATCAGGTGACAGGGTTGGCTCAAAGGTGAATGGATTGCATTGTATCGAGAAATTTTCTCTCGTTTCCAGATTACCTAGGTTTAGGTATCTGGGGTCGGTTCCGGAGTCGTTTCCGGAGTCGGTTACAGTGTTGGTTACTGTCTCCCAGAAAAGAACCTTATTGTTGGCTGAGAATCTTATAGACTCCAACTGCAATCCATCTTCGATTTCGAATTTTGCTCGGTCCCTCCAAGTGGCTACTTCTAGAATTTGTACAACATTATTGGAATGAAATGCTAGAAGCTCACTATTGGATGAAAAGTAGACCTCCTTAGAACCCAATATTTCAAGATTCGTCACATGTTTGCCGGTACTTACGTTCCATACTTGGGCAGGTGGGGAACTTCGGGTTTGCAACTGATCACTAATGATGGCAATCTTTCCATCAGGTGAAAGTCTCACCTGCGGATAGAAAGTGGAAGTCACTGAGAACTTTCGTTTGATTTCGAATTCATCCAAATCCCAAACTTCAAATTCGACTGCGCGAGAATATCTTCGGGATATCGTTGCATCACTATTGTAGGGAACAGTAACATCAGTAATTTGGTCGGCCCTATTGTCGACAGGTTCTGTATCGGAATCATGGGTCTCGTCGCTAGCTCTGATATCGCATACATGTATGCTCCAAGTGTCATATGAAAAGTGCGCTGCAGATTTTCCATTAGGAAATGATGTAGCATGATATAGAAACCTATCATCGTTTCTCACTTGGCATAGCGCTACTATAGGCACATCTTGAACGGTATTCTCCCAATCGATTAAATATACGAAACCTCGCGGTATAGATAATGTTTGAACAATATTCGTTGATTCGATATCATATATCAGTAATTCACGCTCGTGATCCACTACCAGGGTAGCTCCATCGGGAGAGAATCGAATTGATTTGATATATTTGTTCCAATCCTCCCAAAACGTCTCCAATTTCGTCTCTGGGTGTTCGCATACTTTTACATCCCATATATGTAACGTTACGGTGCTGTCTTCATATCCCTCACATAATATCGCCAGCAAGTTGCCATCGGATGAAAATGTGATTGCCCCTTTAGTAATTTTGTGGTCGCTAATAGTAAACTTGGATATTTGTTGCTGTGTTGAAGTATCCCATAGGTGAACTGTCTTGTCCTCGGATAGCGATGCCAATATCATACTATCAGAACATAGAGAAAAGGCAATAGCAATGACTGTACCTCTGTGGCCTAATAGATTTGAAATTTCGCCAGTCCCTATATCATATAATTGGATTTCAGGACTGTACGAGAAACAGAAACCGACGGTTCGCCCGTCTGGTGAAAATGTAATCTGAGCAACATTTATCGGTGTCTGAAATCGAGCAGTCTCAATGCCGGTAGCAGCCTCCCAAAGTTGGATCATTCCATCCTCAGATCCCGAGGCAAGCGTCTTGCTATCGGAAGACACTGCAATTGCGCTGACGTCGCCACAATCTTCGATTATCAGATCGTCGTCCCAGCTGGCATCCACGGCTAGGGGCCTTTCAATCCATTTTCCAAGAGGCTTCTCAAATAAAGATCGTATCATGTTGTTTGTAGGGCTGAACAAAATTGCTGAATAATATATCTGAAGAGGGGCCGTTTGGATCATATGCTTATTAGAAAGAATAAAGCGATATGCATCATAAACCAATCTCGATAATTCCGACCTTTCGGGTGTCTAGCATAAGAACTTGGTCAGTATACCTAGCAACGTCTAATAGATATACAAGACAGGAATAGTTCACTTACATCTATTGAAATATTGAGACGACGGATTAGGTGAATAGCACTCCCAACATCCCCAAACAAAGTCAGTACTTCGAGCCAATTCAAGAAGTGGGCCTGGAGGAATTTATGGATGACTCCATCATCAACAGATGCGTCCTGTCCCTGTTTAGTTTCCTGGATCCGCAAGAAATGATCAATCCAATATCTACAAGCGTACTGTAGATGCGGCGAAATGCACCGCTGCACCAAACCGGATGGAATCTCAGTAAACAGGATGCCCGGTTTTCGAAGGTCACATATGTCCATACGGAGATCGTGCGACATAATTTCAAGACATCTTCCAAATAAGGGACAATGCACTGTTGATGGTTCAACCAAGAAGCCTGTTTGGCCGCTTCTATGTTCATCCAACAGAAATTCCCGAAACGAGAGATGCACCAGGCTGATTGGGACTTCCGCATTCCTTGGAATATCAATGACAGAACGTAAATTGTTTAGAAGTGCCTTGATATCGGGTGTTGGTATTTTTGATCTCGTAAATTCGGCTAGTGAATGGATTGGCAAGGGTTTGAATAGCACGACGATAACCTTCAAGATCTCCTTCAACAGGTGATCTCCTTGTTTTTCATCATCGGTCCAGTCTCGAGTATATGAGTTCAAGACTGCACAATACACCTGACTTAAGATAAACTCCGGGGATTTGTCGTTTGTATTTCCATTCAAAAGCATTTCCAATCGCCTCTTTGCTAGAAAGGGGTCGACATCAAGGAATTTGCAAGCAGTCGCAGCGTATATGAACAACCCACCAGCCTTCTCAACCAGCTTGCGGAAATCATCCGCTCTAGGCCACTGCAGACTGATACTATCGTTTATTTCATTTTTGAGAAGTTCATCTTTGAGAAAAATCGTAATGTCGTCTTTCTCATCTGGGAAATTATCAAGTGAAACCTTCGGAAGTTCAATCTCATCATATGTATTCCCCGGTAGACTCTTGAATGCCTTATCGATGTAGCTTTCATTCCTACTAGTTATGAGGACCTTGACTTGAACATTAGTCAGTCCTTTGAGCTGTTCCAAAGATTGGACAACGTGTTCGGCGTTTCTCTTCATGATTCTGGTTTCCTTGTCTTGACACTCATCAAAAGCATCGATGATAAAAATGAGGCGAATAGGGGCCGATTCTTCGGAGAGTGTCTTGAGCGGTTTCAATATCAACTCCTCCCATTGAGTTTTTAAGCCCTTTGCTCCTATATTAGGGCTGGAATGACGCTCGATAGCACTAGCTATCTCACATTCGAGGCCAATCGGCTTATGGGCTAGTTGGTGTGCGAGGGTTGTGAATAATACCCCGGCATGGTTTCTACCAGCATCGTCCTGCTTGAAGAAAAATGTAGCACCAAGAGAGATATCGTTGGGTATCTGGGCACCATCTACCAGAGGGCTTTTCTCATTCAAGGCGGTTGCAACAGTTAGGGCAATAGTAGACTTCCCAGTGCCAGCCATACCATGCAGCCATACAATAGGCTTTCCTGTAGGGCTCTCTACCCAGCTCTGCAGCCTGCTCAATATCTCCAATCGAGTGCCCGGCGTGCAACTACGCTCCCCGCTCGTTTGTGAAGAGTCGAACGCCGCTGAGTGAGATACGGGAAGATCGCGGAGATGTGAAGCTTGCTCGATAACCTAATACACGCGAGTTAATTTGATACCTATAGAAAAACATCATTCGAGGCTAAGCCTAGGATCTTACCTTGATGCTATCCATCGTCCTCTTGCATAACTCGAAGAAAGCTGTGGCCTTAGATCGAAAGTCTTCAAGCTTTCCATCTATCTCGTAGATTTTGTGTTCAGATAGGACTTGTAGATCATCTCTTATGTCCCTCTCCACAGACCTCAACTTGTCAGTCATCCCTTTCCAGTCGTTGCTAACAACAATGTCTTTCATAAGCCTAGTGGAAGTAGAGTGACTAAAGTGCTGTATGACTCTGATTTGGTACATGTATGCGTTGGAATAACATTCTATGATCTTCGATTGGAGAGAAAGGGCTAGCTTATACGCTTCTGACGAGAGGCTTCATCTAGACATTAGAAATTATTTAACTTATAAGTGGAAGGATGCCTCTACCTTAAGTCTTGAGCCAGGAAGTCGGTTTCAATAACCTTGCAGCGAACCAAGAAGGATAAGATATCATCGAACCCCTGTATGGCATCTTTGTCTTGCTGCAGCATCGTTTTCAACATCTGGATTACCCAAGTCAGCACAAGAAGGTGTAGAGATAATCTATGATTACCTAAGGTTCGCTTGACTTACCGGGAAAATGAACATAACACCTGCCCATGCTAGCGCGGCATGAGGATCTGATGAAATGGCGGCTCCTATAAGGTCCTTAGTAGAAACGATGAAACCCAAGATCTTTTGAAGTTGATCGCGCACGATCACATCTCTCTCTCCAATCTGGAAGCTAAACCTCTCTTTTTGGTTATCTTCTAGCTTTTCCTGGGCAAGCTCTTGGATATGCTTTTGCCAAGCTCCATCTCCAGGCTGTAGCTCGTTGCTAGTCTGCGTCGAGTGGCCTTTTCCAAGTAGGTCCCGATTATAATCTCTCAATAATCCTGGATAATTATCTTCAAGCCTGTTATATGCGGCCTCCCAGAGCTTGTCTGGGCTTAGAAGCTTTTTCAAATCATTTGAAATTCCATCTCTAGTAGGTGGCGTTGGATGGCTCATGGACTGATCTATCGGTGGCTTGGGCTGAAAGAGAGCTGAGTCTCCAGTTCGAGATTGAGCCTTGGAAGTGATCTCAGTCAGATATCTCACTATCCAACTAGGTAGGTAGATAGTCAAATAGATATGTATTCTAATGGGAGCTTACAAGGAGATGTTCATATTTTGATTCCCCGCTGGCGTAACCCTTGATACTTCTCAATTTGCCTTTTAACCAACTCCGCGGGCTACTCCTCGAACCCATCGCGGGTAATAACCATCCAGGTACCCAGGCACCTAGACTCCTAGAGGTAGCAAGATATTGACGAGGTCTTATTGGAATTTGGGCAGAGGCATTCTTGCTTAGGTATCTAACGATCGGACCCGAGATGTTTGTGAGATGATTTTTCTCCTACGCTTTCCGTGGAAAATGGCGGGGTTCAAATGATCAGCACTGCCCAACTATCTAATGACCAATAGAAAGCAGCATAAGCCACTGCACATCAGGTACCTACCTACCATAGCGGCAAATACCAGAGGCTAACAATGATTGGAAAGTCGAAAACAATGATTGGAAAGTTGGAAATAATGATTGGAAACCTAAAAATAATCATTGTAAATAGATTGAAATCATTGGAAAGAGGTTAGAATCATTGGAGGGGTTTAACAATCATTGGAAAGGTCAAACAATCATTGGAAAACCTTAGATTTAGATCAGGTGCATAAGTGACCCAGGCGGCAGCAAGGTTGGCGATACCTTTTTACCCACAAAAAAACTTAAGATTTTTCTTTCCAATTTTGTCCTTATCCTGCATCTCCCATACACATGTTTTTATTTTCATTTCTTTTCCTTTACATCTTTTTTTCTCACAAAAACATACACCTCCACCACCACTACCACATTACAACAACAATCACTCGTACAATGCTACTAGATATTGGTATTTTAATGTACATTAGCTTTAGATAGATCAAACTTCCGATCAATAAACAGGTCATTATATAGATCAGATAAACCTCTAGATAGAACAATATTTCGATCAATAAACAGGTCGTTAGATAGATCAGATAGATCAGATAGATCAGATAGATCAGATAGATCAGATAGATCAGATAGATCAGATAGATCAGAAGGATCAGAAGGACTAGAAAGATCAGAAGGACCAGAAAGATCAAAAAGATAGACCTATATACAGCTTGGTGGACAGGAATGTGGGCAGGAAGGTGGGCAGGAAAGAGAGAGGGTTTTTGCCACCCACCTCGTCACCTACCTCGTCACCTACCTCTTTATTTGAGGCCACAAATACTTAGGTATTTGAGGCTTCCAATGAATATTTAAGGTTTCCAATGAATGTTGAACCTTTCCAATGATTGTTTGACTTTCCAATGATTGTTTGACCTTTCCAATGATTTTCTAGCCCCTCTAATGATTCTATTTTATACAATAGCTGTGCTGGGAAATCTTGATTATTATAATGGGCCATTATTGTTTTCGAAAACAATCATTGTCAGGCATTGGTGTGTCCCGGTACGGTAGGTATCCATTCTCTCATTTGAGAGATTTCCCCAAATTCAGAAGCAATTCAGACAAATGTAGGACTCCCAAGCACACCAAATATATTCAGATATATGATTCTAATAATTGTTGAATTAACCTTGAATTCTAGACCATGTAACTTTTAGATATATCTGAACGATCCAATGATATGGTGGGTATTGACGCCAAAACTATCTTGGGAGACCCACAAGATTACAAAATCTATATCCAATGCAGTGTCTATCTATATAACAACATTCGTACATTCATGGCATTTACTATCAACACATTAGCAACCTCTCAACAAGCGCACACCAGGGGTTATTAAGGACTTACGCAAGAGAGATCGTAGAGCTGAGAGACTGCGTTCAGGTCGCCGGCCGGGAAGACACCGAAGTCGGGGTCAGCAGTACCCCATTGCGATTCCTGCAGATCGTACCACCACAGGTTGACGCCTCGGGCGATCAGGCTGCAGGCAATGTCTTGCCAATAGATACGGGCGTTCTCAGCGCTAGGCACAGCCTGGTTGACAGTCTTTCCAGAAGTAGGCCACCCGGTCTCAGTTACATACACGGGCTTGTTACCAGCAAGGGCGAGAGTCTTATTAAAACCATCATAGAATCTCTCGGGGGCGTCGCCGATGCTGTTGGGCTTGGTGGCCTCCCAGTATGGGTAACCGTCAAAGCCGAGCCAATCGATGTTGTCGATGACGGCGCGGTTCGTACCGTTCAGGAATGAGTCGTAGGTGTCGACATGGCCGACGGGGATGCCTGCGAGCGCAGTACCAGCGATGGCGCTACGGACTTGGGAAATGTAGTTGATGAGTGTTGGGCCGCTGACACCAACCTCGTTATTGGCGTCACGGTACAAATCTTCGCTTCCGACTGAGATACCCACGACGAGATCGGTGAATGCAGTTCCGTACTGGGCGACGGCAGCCTTGAGGGCGGTGATCTCATTTGCAATGGCCTGGTCGCCACCGGATACCCAGAGGCCTAGCAATAGGGTAGTCTTTGTGCTGATAGCTGCAGGAATGGCGCTAATAACGTCGCTGGCGGTTCCCCATTGGACTATTGGGGCGGTGTTAGTAGCCAGTAAGATGTTCCAAATACAGTTTTCAGCTTACCCATAGTGTACAGGCGAGCACTAGTCCAACCGCTCGTACCTGAGAGGCTCTTGGCGCGGTTGAACTCATATTCGAAGTCGGCTTGTTGTTTAGCTGCCTGGTTAAGGAAAAAGGCACCGTAGTTGAAGCCCTTGATTCCAGAGTTAGCGGCACTCACGGCAGCGGCAGCAGTACCGGCAGTGGCCGCAAGGCCAATGACCGAGGAAGCAAAACGCATATTGTATTAGTGTATTATTGGATATTAAGCGAGGGTAGCAACAGTAAGCGAGTGGCAGCTACAGCAGCAGGTATGCAGCGATGAGGCGTTATGATAACGAATGAACGACCGTGAAAGACAAGCTATTAATCTACTGCAAAACATGAGGCGGGAAGAGAGGGAAGAAATAGAAAACAAAAAGATCAGCAGTTCTAGAAGCAGAGCAAGAACTCATTCGGAAAAGGGATCGAAAATCGGATCGCATCAACATCCCTCATACCGACAGGGCGGTTTAATTCGTCCCAGAATAGCTTGGAACTCCATAGCCAGTGGGATATGCCGGCGCTACCCCCCTGAATTCGTATTCTAGACCCACTTGCCGCTCAGCCTCAAATCTCAACCGAGAACAGCAAATCAAAGACGCAGGCATCTGCAGCTAGAGTCGGAACGATTGCGCGGACACACTGAAACGTAAAAGATAGTGCATGCCCAGCAGCTAGGTACGCTATCCAAAGTGATTTACACCCATCACACGAGCCGTTGAGCCGGTAAGTCGACCGTTGTTGTCTTACTATGTGCTCCTGTTCGTAAAATATCTCATGCTTCCACTGCTGCCCGACAGACATATACGAGTCTATTGCTTTCAATACGCTATTGGTTAACTTTCCGACTTGGCTCGACACCTGGACAACTTACCTGTAAGCTACCTGGCAGCCTGGCAGCCTGGCTACCTCCAAGAGGTAAGCTATGGCCCATAGGTGAACCTATGTTTTCCAAATTTAAACCATGATTGGCCCACATCGCCGGCGAGAGTGTTTACTTTTAAATTATCTCAGGGCGGTCGACCTTGGAATATCTCAGGAGAAAGTGGGGCCCTCCAAGATTGAAATCTTGATTTCTAGCGCAACTAAATATGCCGCCGTCTTGCTTCACACAGTGCTGTAGAAGGCTGTCGAAGGTCGCTAAAAATTGAAATTACACACTAGAGCAAGGGATTTGCTTCTAATATCATTTCCCCTAAAGAAACTTGTCTTGCGCGTCGTCAGAATTTAATTCAAGCTATTGACGGCGGACCATAAGAACAAATCCGCCAACCCGCCAATTCAATTAATGTATTGAAATGTATACAGTGTAATACAGTATAATAACGTACAGTCTTAAAGGTATTCCACACAGTGCCCTGAAACTTACAGGGCCCTATAGCGCTAAAAGTCCCTGTAACTTATAGGTGTTATAGCGCATAAGCTCCTTATAACTTATAGCCCTAAAGCTAGTGCCAGAGCCTTCTAAGGTTATAATTAATAATTCAACCTAGTCGAAACGAATTGAATCAATTGATTGATCTGATTCAATCGATCGATTCGAATCAGTTGAATGCGTACTTATTAATAGGTAGGTAAATAAGGATATACGCGTAATAGTTCAAAATGAGGGGTGTCACGTGACACCCACTGAGCCTCATCGGGTAAATGTCAACAGCGCGTATTATAAGTTTCATTGAATATTAACGTAGAGATACTGGTTTTGAATAAATAAAATATATATAAATAGAAAGATCTTTTAAAGCGCTTTTTAATGAACTTATTTAATTGACGAGCGATCGAAAATTGAAGCGTATAAGGGTATGCGAATTATAAGCTATACTAAAATACTATGTAAAAAAGCTATGCGCTATAACCCTTATAAGTTACAAGGCTTTCAGCGCCGTATAGCGCCATAACCCCCTGTAAGTTCCAGGGCACTGTGTGGAATATTTGTAAGACTGTACGCTATTATACTGTATTACACTGTATACATTTCAATACATTAATTGAATTGGCGGGTTGGCGGATTCGGCCTTATAGTCCACTCTACTATTTCTAAGAGGTATGTAGGTACCTAGGCGGGTACTTACTAGGTACCTACACAGGGCAAATTTTTTAATCAGCACCCGCTCAAGGAGATGATGTGAAAAACATAAACGATCACACGCATTTGTCCAAGTCCCCAGAAAACATATCCGATATGGTTACCTTAATTAAGCGAAGAGTTTACTTTAAACTACACCAAACCTTAATGTCTATATTAACCTAACCGCGTAAACTCAAAATGAGCCGCACTATATTGTAACGTCTAGTAGGTACTTATCAGGTAGTACCTCGGGAGGTAATTGTATCACAATCTTGACGAGCAAAATCCCATGGTTGTGCGATGTTCTGTGCTGTTCGCTTTCGGGGCGTTTGACACGCAGAGGATTTAGTAACCTATGATTCCCACCAGACTTCAGCACTGACGCATCAAACTTCAATCAGATTCATGCTCATCCTGAGCTGTACGAAAGAGTCGTGCGACAATCTAGTTTGCATGTTTATATATATGGCTCAGCATAACGAGAACCGCTGAATGAATCTGGTAAGTACCTTGAGTAAAATGGACTCTTGATATCCAACGAGAATCCAAGCACACCGAAGAAGTCAAGCAAGTCTACACCCCGCTACATTCGACACATTTCCCATGTTCAATCAATGAATCCGTTAATAGCAAAGGTATAACCACCAAATCCAAGAACAACTCAACGCTTACACCATGTGTGTTTATACGTTATGGATCATCTGGTGTCCACTTGGCCATCATGAAGTATTAAGATATCCTGGCGATTGGGACTACTGTAATGAAAGGCCGGGACAGTGTAATCTTCAACCAAGAGGCACAACTTATGTTATATCTAATTGTTACGGCCACTGGCTCGAGCGTGCGTTTCAGGCGAATGCTCCTACTTAGGTACTAGCCACTACCTGGCACCTACCTACTGAGAAGTAGGTAAGGTTGAGATTATAAGTTAAGGCTATATCCTTACATTATAGCCAGAGGAGGATTCTTCGTGCTAGTAGATATGATATCTGGAGTTGTTGTAAAAGAGAGTTGTTATGGGGCAATGGAGCATCCTCATCCAGGTAACTCAACCTGGATTTTCAACTTTCGTATTGAGCTCATCATCAATTAGATACTTGAATATAATGTTCCTTTAGCGACTTATAGCAAGGTCAAGGTTGTGTTGAGTCTTAAGATAAACCAACATAAGTACATTTGATACCCCTTTTCTAACATTCGCTTTCTCATTTTAGACGAAGGGTCGCTTGTATACTATCAAGAAAACGTCAAATGACCAAGTATGCTCTATTCAAACCCGAAAAACAACCTCATAAGCTCTTACATCCACAACCTTCAAACTCTAAAACCATCACTCCCTTTTTTCCACCTCCCCCAAGAAAGCACACTTATATATCCAATAACCTAAGCAGCAGCCTCCAGCTCCCTCGCCTTCACCAACTGCCTAAACGTCTGCGTCGCCGTATCCTTCAAAGTCCCATACTCCAGCCCCAGAACCCTCGTCGCCAAAGTCCCATCGATATGATACGCAGGAACCCACTCCCCCGTCTTCCCGACCGGCAGCCTCTTCGCCAGCTCCGGGTCCTCTCTAGCAAGATCAACCGCAGCTTGATACCTAAAGTCCTGACCAACCAGAAACCTCTTCCCCTCCGCCTCCGGCACCTCCAACGCACGCACATGCGCGGCCGCGACCTCGCGGGAGTCCGCGTACCCGCCGAAGTCGAAAGCGGGGACCGCGTCGCTGTCCACGATGACATTGAGCAGCTGCACGGACTCGCTGAGGGTCTTGGTGTCCCGCAGCTCGTGCGCGTACGGCCCGAACACCCACGGCGGACACACCGTTGCCAGCCCGAAGCTGATCTCGGCTTTATGCGCCGCGATCCAGTCCCACATCGCCTTCTCCGCGAGCGCCTTGCTCGCGCAATATGCGACCGTTCCTGTTGACGCAACGGCCTCCTCCCACGTCACCGGGTTCCAGTCTTTTTCGTCGTACGTGTACCCCTCCCTGGCACCCGTGCTCAGATCGTGGATGGCGGCGAATGAGCTCGTTGCTACGACTCTTTTAACTTTGCCCCCGCCATATCGTAACGCGGCTTCTAAGATCGAGGTTGCGCCTTTGATGGCTGGCTTTAATAGATCTCGTAGGGTGTCCTGTGGAGAGAGGTTGAAGGGCGAGGCGGAGTGCACGATGTGTGTGATGGAGCCGTCGGCGAAGGCGGCCTCATAGGCTTCGGGTGTCGTCATATCTACTACGATGGCGCTGGACAGGGATGTTGCGAAGGATGGGAAGCGGGCGATGGTGCGGGCGGCCGAGGAGGCGGAACGCGCGGTTAGACGTACCGCGAATCCCGATTCGAGCGCCTCGCGGATGATTTGCCCGCCGACGAAGCCGCCGCCGCCGGTGACGAGGATGGTGCCTTTAGTTTGGGCGGCCATTGCTAATTTTAAGAGTTTAAATAGGTGAAAGGTGTTGTTGAGTGCCTAGGTAGGTAGTAACGAGATGTCTTGAAGAAATAAACTCTTGGGGTTATGGAAACGGTGGTCGAGAGGGTGTTCTATATATGCGTTCTCGTTGAGGAATTCGCGCAGTATGCACTCCAATAGTTATTGCTCGCAGATTATTGCCTGGTTCAAGCTCTTATGCGTATAACCTATGAAGTCTCTGTATTGCTGATGCCTCTGCGTCTGATCAAACAGCTTCCTTGACAGTGACGGTTCCCGTGGTCATATATACTCGCAGCATAACTTCATATGTGGAGAAAATGGCGCTAGAACTGACGTAGTCTATAGTCTGTCATCTGCAAGAAGGTTGACGATAGAACGCTGTCGAAATCACCCAACGTCTCCATGCAGCCATGATCGGGGGTAAAGTAAACCAGGATCTCTAGACCTATCTCCACAACCACATCACATAGACAGACATCCGTACCGCTAACATTTCGCCGGGACTCATCGGTTGAGCAAATTTATTCTGGCATGGTCCGACCGGGTCTCCGAAACAGTAGCCATTATCGGCGTTTGGCGTATATGGCTGGCATCATGAGTAATGTCGAGGAGCAACATACATCAATGACGGAGTTTGGCTTAACCTACATGGGAAATTTCCAGCGAGGAAACCGTTTTCCCCGAGAGATAGCCGGTCTATGGGCGTAGTCGGAGGAGATAGCACATGTCCCAATGCCGCCAGTCTAAAATATGACCGCATGTGAAATAGTAAGGTGGGTAAACGAGATTACTACGTATTTTTCTTTCTGAGAATCGGAGAGGAGACCGACCTGCCGTTTCGGCGATTCGTCGCTATATCCGATAAGTTTCATATGGTGGTTCTTATTCTCACCCCTGTCTCCGATATTCGCCTATATCTAGATGAGGCTCAGTGGCTCAAGCACATGGATAGTACCTATCCGCGAAAAACAAGGTTCCAAAAATAGTTGTAATATCTCGCTTTAGTAGTCAAGACTTAGTAAACAAGGTTAACGCCAAGTCCATGGATGCTTTCGAACAACCAATACAGATACCTGTACACGCTTATACATTATATACACCACATCCTACTTCCAACGTCTTTCTCGCGTACGCGTCTATCCTGTGTGATCTGCTCGAATCAGTACTGGCAAATTCTCGAAGCGGTAGAGAGGAAACACTGTAGCGACAAAGTGTTAACTTGCCTGCAAGAATAGCACTAACTCCGTGGCTCCAATAAACCTGAAGGTATTATGAGCCCCCATTATCTGGATGACTCTCATTTCCGATTCAATCCCACTCAGTCTAACGCCCGTGTTCATCAATCAGCCTTGGGCCTCTAGATATACCAGCCCTGCCGCTGTTACTTCCATATATCATCTCTATGAGCTTGGTTTTCTGCCTAGAGCGTACACCCTCCAGGTATATGCCTACATCTTCGAGGCCCTTAATCTGCTCATCAACCGTGAGCGTACTAGAGTTGATGCTTCTTACTAGCGGCGAGACGAGTTTTCTTCTCAAAATCTCGAGGTTCGCCTTAAGGCTGAGTAGCTTGCCGTTATGCTCTAGTAGGACCCCTTTGTTTCGTACTGTCCTCTCGCGTACGTTCTGAAGTAGATCGCGGTTTCGCTCGTATTTCTTGACCTCGCTAGCCTTTGGCCCTAGGATACGCGTCCATAGCGACGAAAGGAAATCAGCGTGCTCCTCGTCTTGCTGCGACGATTCGCGCACCACGACGCGCGCTAGGTTTAAGAATTGCCGATCTATAGCTTCGAAAAGACCAAAGAGCGCTAGTGAATGCTGTAGCTCGTTCTCGATAGCTTCTTCAAGAACCGACAAGAATTCCGTGAATGTGCGTTGCAGGGTAGTGCGAGTCCTCTGCGGGTGCGACATACCAAACATCGCTGTCGCTACATTGCCTAATTGTGTAGGCATTCCCGTGGTTGGGTTTTCGAAAATTCCGATCGCGCAAAACACGTTGTGGATGTTGGCGAATGCTATGGAAAGAGGCGGGCTTCGAACATCTTGCAATTGAGCTAATTCGCGTCGCGCCCAGTCCATCACAATCAATATGCTATCGATATCACCATCGACGCTTGCGAAAAATTTGGTAAGCTCGATGGCTAAGGTTTTTAAATTATCCGATAGATCATCAAGGGACTTGGTAATGATGGGCGCGGATGTCATGTTACTTAATCGCACGCTCTCTCCAAGATCCCATACCGCAATTCCAGTCGCTTGAAGATCTCCAACTTGGTTGACACCATTCTCCGAGTAGTAGATCAAAGGTTCGAAGGAGCGCGCAATGCCGGCTACCTTGACTAAATCAGGCGATGGACGCGGCGGGACAGGTTGGAATAATGACCTGATTGCGGTCGTGGATAGAATCGCAACAAGGACTGAGAGGATAATGTTCCCCCATGACTTGGTAATCATTTTGGTCCTATCTCGTATGAAATTCACAGCGGCCTCGATGGGCTCTGTCCGTTGCTGAATATCGGCACGTAGTGCTAACCGGATATCTATGTTGAAGTTAGCATCCCTGCCTGACCAGACCCATTAATGCCTAAACGTACAGTTGTCACTGGCGATATCGGGCGACATGGACACGATCGCGTTAGTTCCCCGATTTAAATTCCTAGCTGAAGGCGGCTCGCTCTTTGTCTTAACGAGAGTATCATCTTCATTGGGTGCGCCGGGTTCCGGCGTAACCCCCTTTTCAGGGCTTAGGCTTCCTGTGGGCAAACGTGTCCTACGCGCTGCCTCAAAGATGTCATTCTGAAAGATGCTATTGTTGTGATTGGTGTTCATGCGCCGCGGTTGCTCGAAACGTCCCAGAATATCCCTACTCTCGCGCCAATTGCCATACCACCGATCGCCGTTCTCGAGCCTCCTCCATGCCGGAGGGCTATAATTACCGTTGGACAGAGACGCTTCGTCTAGGTTGTCGTCGCTCTCGTCTTGTAGGTCGTGGTCCTCGTCCGAGAAGCCAAAGCCTGAGTGGGCTGCTGGGTACTCGAACGGTCTCTGCAGTGGAGGAGACATCGGAGTTGCGAAGTTTCTCTCGTCTATGCTGGCGTCTGAATATAGGGACGATGTCATGCTCTTCCGGGAGCTGGGTGCTGGGACCTTCAATAGCAAGTCTGCTCGAGTTTGGATTTGGATCTGGTGTTGGGCTTGGGAGCGCTGGTCTGGCACGTAGGGAAAAGAATGAGCGCAAAGTTCGAGTTGACGTTAACGTTTGGTGTTGACTTGGAGTCTGTCGAGTTAGTTTAACAAGGGACTTTTCCAAATCAAATTCAGAGTCCGGCGCAGGCAATGCTGGCAAGGCCTTGTGGCGTCGCTGTTGTTCAATCGCTGATCGTTGTGGCACGATTGAAGAGGTCCTAAAGGAAAGACGAGGGAAACGTTTGGGTACAAAGTTCCTCAGCGGTATATGACCCACGGAGACAAGATATGTGTAAATGAAGACAAATGTGAAAGCTAAGGCGGCGAGGAATGTACTAGGAGCAATTGTGATGCTGAAAAGTGATATATGAGTATGAGTCTCAACGGACACCAGAGGTTGCATCGAGATCGGAAACGACCGACCAGTCAAGGTCAAGGTCTACAGGTCGTTTCGAGTCTTGGCTATTCACTCTTGTCTCAAGAGTTATAATATGGTGAAGACTCTGAGCGACGCCTAGAAGACTGGGTTGAGAGGTTAAGCCGAAGTAGAAACAGAAGTGGAAGTGGAAGTAGAAGTACAGGTATAACGATAGAGGTATGGAAGTGTAAGTTAAGAATAGGTAGGTAAGCTCAATATTAGGTTAACACTGGGAATTCAAGTCGCAGGTACCCGACCCGACTTGATTCTGTGATGTAGATCGTCGATAAAGTTTGCGCGTTTGTAAAACGGACCGGTAACAAGCTCAAGGGCTATGTATGAGTGAATGCACCTGGCCTAGCTACCCATATCCGTTGATGTATGACCTTGCGATTGCGATTGCGATCTTATCATACGATATCGTTGCGCAAACAAGATCTATGAGTGGGTAGATTAATTGACACACTCCAACAACAAGTGACAACTTCTCAAGGCGATGGGCTCAATAAAATAATCCAAAAATGAATGCGCTCAAGAAGTTTCAAAGCGCAATCAGGTTGATCGGCGAAGAGAACAATCATTCGTATAAGGAGTTGTTAAGAAGGAAGTAGATGGACAGGAGTGCGAAATTGAGAGGCTGGGAAACTCTGCACCATCTCAACTTTCCCAAGGTTCTCCAGCTCGTTCCTTCTCACTCTACCACTTAAAGTACCCCCCACCTTCGGGAAGTCGCAGTAGGTTCTCTGGGAGCCAATAGTTTTGCTTCGTTTGGGTCAGTGTAGGACAGACCCAATGCAAGGGTCGATACTTCCAAGCTATATAACAGCCTGTTTTAGGAATGGACCAAAAAGGGGGTTTTCTTTTGGAAGCCTCGGAAGCTCTTGCTCACGAAATGTCTGATCAAGTCTCACCTCGATGACTACCATGGTGACTTTATCATTGTAGATAGTGAGACAGTGATTCATATTGTTTCTGCCCTTTCCTTCCTTCTCCCTCGATCCCCTCGTTCCCTAGTCGAAGTAGCGTTTGGCTAAAACAAGGTCATGAGTGGTTTAGCCAATCATATCGAGATACTATTCATACCTAACCTATGAGTTGTCTTGAATTTAAGTGCTTGCATGAACGAATCATCGTTCGATGACAATCACCAATCAGAACTCAGGGTTACTCCGAACTGCAAGCACTTAACGCGTTTTGAAAACAAACTACGAGAGTCAGACACGATGTCATCAATAAACACTCGGCTCGCGCGTTCTTATCATCGGTAAAAGTCGCAAACTCCAGTATCTGCTGACCTGTCCAGTATGTATCTGCAAAGAGGTTGTGAGATTTGCATATATGTGCAGGTAATTATACTACCTAGTAGGTAATTACTCTGCCAAAGATGTGAAGGTACCCCGCACGTTGTCGCATGTCGCAGTATTAAATCTTATCGTGTTCCTACCTATGCATTTAGCTTATCACCCCGCAGATGGATAGCCCTGGCCTGCCCTGCTTGGCCACTTTCTACTACCGACGGATATGCCCAGGTATCCACTTCTAATTAGTTGAAGAATTTACTACCTAGGTACTTCTTACAAGGCGCAATATAGTGCGATACAACAATGTGTTATTAAATGGCCAGCTGGATATTCTACGATTATAAAGTATTTTATGATTCATCAAAATGGGGAAAATGGAATTGACATGATGTTATCGCTATCGTCGCTGCTTGAAATCAATGAACCGGCTCCGAAGAGAAAAATAGATAACTTCATAACCTCATAAGAACCATCCTAGTGAATATCCTGCTTAGGAAGTGCATACCCCTAAGTGCGAGTTCACACCATCGCCATCTGCGTATTACGTACATTGCATCGAATAGCACGTGTCTAAATCTCCTATCTCTACGCACTGGGCATTTGGTTCTGGACAGTCAATGCAAGCTCATGGACGCGTTTGGCATTGTTGTTACTCCGCTTTTAGGATGACAGGGCATCATTCCTATCGCCTACAAGATACGCGTCCACACGATTACCGTTGCCGAAGGGTTCCTCGCTAGTCAACCCTTGCGGTTTCAAGACTTCGTGCCGATGGATTGGCCAGGTTATTGACTTGCTTCATCGGCGGTGGTTGATATTTGCTCTTTTTCCGCAATCGTTTGCGTGCGACCATGACTGGGACGGAGCTCTTAGTCACTAAATAGTTCGAGAAAGACCCTAGAAGTGTGCTGTAAAGTCGTATTAGTACCGTGTTCATCTTCTAATTGGATGGTTTGAAAGTTGACTTACCCCTTTAAAGCGCTTCTGCCACGGCTGCCCAAAATGACCAACGTCGGATTCAAGATATCGATCACCTCCGTTATTAAATGTTTGGGATTTTTGCAATGAATCACTTCCACGATCACTCGGACTTGTAATTGCGTCTTTCGGAGAAGCTTCGAAACTCGTTCGGTAATGTCCAGCACAGCTCGGTCCCTTTCTTCCTGCAACCTACTCTTGCCCCGAGCACTAGGCGCCGGAGACGGGTTGTTACTGCTACTAACGTCGATAGCTCGTATGTGTGGCGACATCGAAGACCCTTGCATCTTAAACGGACCGGGACTGGCTGTACGATTCTGTGGCCTGGTTGACATGCTCTTAGAGATGGCACTAATAGCCATTGCCTGCTCCTTCATCGCCTTAGGTTCGTCAGGTACCATATTAGCCGCATCGACTGATCCACTCGCTTCTTCATCCATACAGTACATCGCTATTAGCGTATCGCCGTCGCGAAGCACTGTCCCAATAGCCCATTCTAGGGCATGTGTTGATTCGTCACTCAAGTCTGTCGCTACTAAATATTTACGGAGACGACGGTGCTCTTCTTCTGCTTCTCGTTGTATTTTGTTAAATTCACCGCGATAGAGAATCCGTAGAGTGCGATGGACTTCGGGCGTAGAAAGAATCGGTGTTAATGATAATTGCAACCTTTGCGCAGCTCTAATAGCATCGACATCGGCATCCAATTCTGGATCAATGGGGGTCTGGGTTCCAGACATAGGGTCTTGGTCAAAGCTTGTCGATGGTTGAACCACGCTCTTGCTTTGTCTCCCCTTCTCGCCAGTGGGTCCCGTGACTGTAATTTCGGGTTCATCGAAAAGTGATCTATACTGTGGCTGAGTGGCATTGACATGTTTTCCTAGCCATATCGTTAGATGTTGGTCATAAGGAGTTTATTCTGTAGGGAGTAACAAACTCACGTTCATCTTCAATCGCAGCAAGTAGACTTTTTGCTGCTGTAGTTCCGTCATCAGGAGATGACTGGTCTCGTGACTCGGCTCGTGTGGTTAGTTTTCTACCCCTATGCAATTCCTCATCAGAAGAGTTTGCAACATCGTCGTCACTCTCGTCAGGTAGTAGTTCTCCATATGGACTTAGATTATCTTTCTCTATTCTTCCATGCCCCTCGCTCTCTTGTCTTTTGCGAGCTAATGAGGCTAAGGTCGAACCACCGTAGAGCAAATTAGCGTCTGAGAGCTTCCTGTAAGCATTATTCATATCCATCACTTGTCCATTGTTTAGCGTGATGACCTCCTGTTGTTGATTGCGCCCCGATGGATTTCCAAATGGTGAATTGGACCGCAGATTGAAACGATTGTTAGGCGATTTAGACTTATTGTTTTTTCTAGGGAAGCGATTGTGATCGCCGGGGAGTACTAAGTTAGACAAGTCGGCTCCACGAAGTGCTTCGCCTATGGAGGAATTAGGTCGCATAGTACTAGCCGAACCACGCTTTACTGGTAAAGCTTGTCCAACATTAGTTGGTAGGATATCGTGAAATTTGTAAGCAGACGTCGGGTCATTGTTTCTCGTGTTTGATAGGCTCATAGGAGGTGGTGACCTGGGATTCAAATCCAAGACAGGATTCGAGGCAGCATCAGACATGCTTCTATTACGGCTTGAATTATCCGATGCTAGAGCCTTATAAGATAGCGTCGGGGATGTGTGCGTACTTGTCGGTACGTTTGTAGAGGGGCTGGTTATGTCTAGCATGCTTCGTAATTGCGGGAGCGGACGAGTGTCGATATCCAACATGCTACGAACTGGGGCTTGCGGCTGCGGGCTCCGAGGCGCATTTGTAAACCTATCGCCAATGTCCAGCATGCTTCGCACGGGTGATCGAGGGCTCGTAAAAGGTGAAGGGGATCGGTGGTCGACAGACGCAGGCCTCCGAGGCTGCATCGCGATGAGGTTTTCGACCTCCTTCCGCTCCTCCTCAAGCGCCGCCTCAAGCGACATGAGCTTCCTGTTGGACATAATGAAGTCGTGGTAAAAAGCGATTCCTGGTAGGAGCGAGGGAGTGCAGACTCGATTAGAATATAGAATCGTCAATTCGTGAGTCGAAGTTCGAAGAAACTATGTCGAGAGGCAACCTCGTATAAGTTAGATCGTGACTAACTTGCTGGAGGAGCAGACTTTGCAGACTTTGGGTATCAGCGGGAAACCCAGTTGGGTATTTGATGAGTTTTCAGGGTTGTATGCTGGTTTAGTGTACTTCGTAGAGGCACGGTTAATCGAGAAACGCCAGGTTGGTGCTATCGTGGAATAATAGTCGGGCGTCTTCGATGTAGACGGAATATGATCATCGTGTGTTTAAAAAGACCCTTTTCGTTTCTGTTTTCTTATCTCAACCTGGACCTAGACCCCTCGGCTCATGGCTACCAGCCAAAGATTTAGGGGTTTTTAAGTTCAGGCAGGCGCTAAGATGGGGAATTGGTCGACAGTAGAGGAAAAGAATGACGGAAGCGAAAGAGTCGTCGTATTTGAGAGAAGATGTGGGTCCTAGCGTAGGATCTTCAATATCCCAGGGAAAGAAGAGAATTCAATATTCTGGGGATATTCTGGAAACGAACACAGTGCTCATTGAGAGCTATGTAGGTACCTATGCCACAGAGGTCACAGAGTTCAAGCTAGTATGGCTGTATGGATGAGTCTGAGTAACAAGTACTACGTAAAAACGGAACTCGGAACGGGGAGGCCTCACTGCCTTGTTCGCCAAGACCGTTAGGTGCAAGAAAAAAAAAGAGGTCAATGGTATGAACCTGACTTGATGACCGCGATGATTTAAAAGGGAGGGGGGTCAAGTCTAGAAGGAATTGGATGTTAGGAGATGGGGAACTGGCAGAATTAGTCGCCGGTCGCAGGTTGCAAAGGTGGAACCCAAGACTAGGTGATTTTTGTCTCTTTTGGTTGGTTCGGTGTTTTTAGGTCGTTTCTTAATAGTAATGAGAATTACAGAGTAGACTTTTCTATTTTCTAACTTGTGTCCTTTATTGTTCTTCGAATGCGACGTTGGAAGTTGTTCCTTAACAATAGCGGAAAAAATTGGATAGCAAATGTAGAACACCTTACTAAAAAGCATAAGTCCACTTGTGTAAAATATAATGGGTACATAGAGTGCATATGTACCTATGTAATGTACATATGTAGCCAATGCATAATTCGGGTGGTTTAGGATGGCACAATGAAAAGTACTTCAATACTTTTATCCGGGTGCCCAATTTGTCACATCTACGCCCAATATGAAGTACCGAATACTTCATAGCCTATGCGACATCCGATCTTAGCATAAGATCACCCTATCAGACGATTCTAATAACATTGAAGTCCTTGAAGTCAGGTACTACCTGCCAACCACACATTTCCAACTCTATGCATCAAAGGCTTGTCATCAGAGCATTGGCGTCGCTCCTTCGATTATACGTACCTAGCTAAGTGTTTTATACGTGGCATTACTATCAGTACCTAGTATAGAAGCCGTCTTCTTTCTCCTAGATATATCTTGGAATCACTTCTGAGAAAATCATCAACTCCCGTCCCACGTCGGGCATTTCCGGCTCATCGCTTCAAACAGGTACGCATAGCGTACGGAATACCAGGTAGGTAAGCAATGCAGATTGTTTGTTGTTTGTACGTATGACTGGCCTTAGCTCTAAAGGGGTGTCGAAGAATAAGAACAAAACGAGGTACATCAATAATCGAAGAATTATCGCGGGAAAAGGTCATCTTATCTAAACGCAAACAGTGCGTTGCATTTCGTTTACATTACACAACATGAAGGTGCAATAACATACGTCTCTATATCTATATGTCCGTCGTCCTGCATACATGTAGGCAAGGGGGATTTGGAGAAGATAGAGAAAGGGACATCTCATTTCTTGAGGTAATGGGAAATGTAATAGTTGGTTAAACTTCCTTTGGCTGAAGATAATCGTCTTGGCAGATATAACAACTATCTCCGCCTAACACCCTTAAAGCTGACAATCCCTACGGCGTCAGCGTCACTGCTCATTTTCCACTCACCTAGTCCCATACCTTCGTCATCCCCTCGGTCATGTGTTCAGAGTGTTACATGCCTACCTATAATGTCGCGTGGTCTTTTATTCTTGATAGCCGCAGACTACCACGTCGTGAGATCCTGTAACTTAATCCGTATTTATTAAGGTTGCTAGTCAGATAGTACCTAGGTAATTCATGATTTCAGCCTCCGCATCCGCTTATAGCGCGGCGCGGATACCGGCATAGGTATTCCGTGCAGCGTAGCGGCGGCTGCTCCCAACTCGCTTCCGTCAAACAACCCACCCTGCAGGTGTGGTGTGACAAATACTTGGATTGAGATAGGTGTATCTACACGTATACTGCTACCTACCTTTTGCATCTTTGCTTCGATAGGTAGCTGAGGAAATTATCATAACTTTATTACGTTGTAGGATAGGTAGGTGTCTATCATATAATTAGGAACGATCAAGTCCACCCGAGAGGATTGTGCAAAGCAATTTTTTCATTATCAGAAGTTCCTATTTAGAATAACCTCTGCTTCATTCTGAGATGTGTCCTATCGGCAACCTGAAGGGGGGTATTGTATCAGAATCATTGGTGCCGCCAGATTTCCGTTCGGTGCCAGGCTACTTTACCACGAGGCTGACCGACTGTGACCACGAACGCCTGATGACCGAAACCCTGGCATCCGGCCAGTGAGTGCTCTGAGTGAGGAGCAAATAGTCTATCAATACATGCAAATAGTACGTGAAGAGTGTCCCTCAAGTCGGATACTAGATACAATAGCATCTAGACATTGAAAAGATCCATTCCGGCGTAAAGGACATGAGGGACATGAGGGTCGTAGAAGGCATAAAGGGTGAGATGCGGGAAGGAATGCAGAAATCAATACCGGATCGTCCGTACCTGGACGCATAACCACCAACGTCATAACTTTTCCGATACCCGTCGTTAAAAAGAAAAACCGAACCCCCAAATCGTCAAAGTGTTAGGGAATTTCGGAGAGGACTGAGGACGAAAAGTTCGTCGAGGAAGTCGCGAAGAGTACAGCATATGCACCATCACTTATGCCTTCTCCTCGACTTTGTCATCCTTCTTTCCAGCATCGCCATCGGGACCCACTTGAGCCTTCACGTACTCGTCGTAAACAGCCATGGCCTCATCAACCTTGGCTCTCAGTGCACCATCATCGTCGATACTGCAAAATATTAGCAACGTCGCAAATAAAAAGGGTTAATTGTATCCAACTTACAGATTGACAAGCTCAGAGTTGTCCATTTCCAGAAGCATACCCGTAATTTTGCCTGCCAGATCGGGTTGGATAGCCGAAATCTTGGGAAAGATTATTTCACCAAGCATCTGCTTCTGCTGCTGAGGGTTGCTAGACTGAGCCTGCAGCTGCGAGTGCAGAAGTGAGGTGGGGGTCAAGTCCTGCTGCAAGTTGGGAGTGCTGTTGGCTTGCTGGTTAGGAATACCTCGTCCACCTTGAGGGGGGAACTGCCCTCCCTGGCCATTGCGCTGGTTAACTCCGCCGCGACCAGCAGAGCCGCCTTGTCGCGAGTTAGGCGGATAACCGGGAAGTCCGCCTGGACCGCCGGGCATACCCAAGTTGGCTGGCATTCCTTGAATAGGTCCACGGCCGGCCGGAACACCTCGACCACCTCCGAGAGTAGCCTGCTGTACCTGCGCCATGGTAGCCATAAACTGCGGAGTGCCAGGCTGGCCGTACGGTCCACTGGGCGGGAACTGTCCGGGCAAGTACATGTTGGGAGGAAGTTGTGGCATGGGGCCACCGCGACCACCTTGAGGGCCTCCGTAGGCGTTAGGGTTAAACTGACCAGGACGACCACCCTGGGCACCTGGGATTCCCATTCCAGGGAACGGCATGCCACGGCCGCCTTGAGGAGGGAAGCCTGGCTGCTGGCCAGGAGGATAAAAGACAGGAGGTTGCATGTACTGCTGGGGCATGCCGGCCGCGGCCGCAGCTTGCTGCATTCGAAGTTGGTTGCGAGCTTGGATACTAGCCTCAAGCTGGCTCTTACGAACATCTTTTCGCTGAGCAAGTGCGACGTATAGAGGCTTGTTGTTGATCATGCGCTGGTTCATGTCACCCACAGCCTTCGTCGCATCGTCGGGGTTTGCGAAGCAAACAAAACCGAAGCCCTTGCTCTTTCCAAGCCTCTTGTCGGACTTCTTGTCCTTCTTCTCGCCATCATCTTTCTCCTCGTCTCCAGAATCCTTCTGGTTCTCCTTGTCCTTTCCTTCTTTGTCATCATCAGACTCGCTGAGACTGTCTCGCATTACTTTCGCAGAGGTGATGGGTCCGAATTCCGAGAACATCTGGCGCAACTTGTCGTCATCGACTTCGTCATCTAGGTTCTTAATGTAAAGGTTGACACCTTGATACTTGTTGGCCTTCTCCTGGCGGGCGGCTTCGTAGGATTTACGAAGCTCTTCCTCGCGCTCGTGCTTCTTCTGCGCGCGACCGACGTACAAGTCCTGTCCATGGAAATCATTGTTGTTTAGCTCGTCGACCGCCTTAGCAGCACTTTCATGGGTGGTAAAGTTAACGAAGCCGAAACCGCGAGACTTGCCCTCTTGGTCACGGGCCAGGGAAGAGGAAGTGACATCTCCGTACTTCTCGAAGAGCTCGCGGAATTCGTCATCAGTCACGTCAGGCTGGATGTTTTTGACGTAGACATTAGTGAAGTTAGCCTTCATCTCTTCGAACTTGCTTTGGCGGTCCTTCTTGGGGATGTGGTGGCCGACGTAGACCTTCTTCTCGTTAAGCAACATTCCATTGACGTGCTTGATGGCCTGTGCAGCGGCTTCGTCTGTCTCGTAATGCACGAAACCGTATCCCTTAGAGTTTCCCTGCTCATCCTGGGCGACTTTGCAGCTGAGAATGTTGCCGAAAGCGGCAAAGGTGTCGTGGAGGGCCTTGTTGTCGATGGCGGCATCGAGGTTCTTGATGAAGATGTTACCCTGTCCGCTCTTGCGCAAGTTGGGGTCACGTTGAGACCACATAATGCGGCAAGGACGACCCTTGATCTGGGTGTAGTTCAACTCTTCGAGGGCGCGTTCGCCGTCGGCGGTCGTGTTGTAGTTGACGTAAGCATAGCCGAGGGAGCGGCGAGTAACAGCATCGCGGCAAACGCGAATCGAGGCAACAGAACCTATCTGGGAGAACAGCTCGAAAAGCATAGCCTCAGTGACGGAGGGGTCAAGTTCGCCAACGTAGAGAGAAGCAGATGCGGCGGGGTGAGGGGTTTGAGCGGAGCTGGGCGTGGCACCAGCAGCATCGCCTTCGTCGCCCTGGGCGTCGGGGGCGACATTGGTGTTGATAGCGGTAGGCTTAGCATCACCACCATTAAGAGAGGTGTTGCCGAGGTCAGCGGCGAGCTGGTCAACAGCGCCGGATGCAGTAGGGCCAGACATTACGACGAGTGTAATTGACTAAAGCTCGCGAGGGAAAGGTCAGTATGATTCAAATGATGAAAAAGTAGGAGAATGGTGTATAGATTGGTTGGTTGGTGGGTTATCTTTGTTGGATGCGAAGTGCGAAAATACCAGGTACAAAGATTGCGCCTAACAATCAATTCGCGGGGAGGAAGGAGGGGAGAAATTAGAGATGCGCACCAGGCAATTAAGATAAGTCGCAAAGGTATTATGTTCTCGTGATCAAGGGCAAATGATCTCGAGAGAATGAAAATCTGTCGGACAAAGATAGTCGTCAAGACTTCAAAGAAGGATGATGCTGATGATGATCAAGAAGCCTAAGAGTACTCGAGCTTCAAGCTGACACTGGAAGATGGAAGAGAATGAATAGGTCGTATGAATTTTACGATGGTGCCTATTCAAAGGGGAAAAGTAAGAAGGGAAGATGTTCGTGGTCGGGATAGATGAAGTGAGTATGAAGTTTGATAGTAGGAGGCGAATTTTTTATAGTTTTCCGAATTTTTTTGGTGTTTTGGGATGTGAATGAATTTGGCGAGAACAGAGATGAAGTACGAACTATGAAGATCGTACTAAACAACTGAATCTCTTTTTTGTTTTTTTTTTCTGTGAAAAATTTGGGTGACGAGTTGGCGGATAAAGTTGTCAAGTCGTTGGGAAGAAAAAAAAAGAAGAAGGAAGAAGAGGGTCCAGGTCCTCTTTTGACAGATCTTGAAGATTTTTTGTGCCTGCCTTTTGGTTTCTGGTTGCGATGAACCACACAAAAAATTTCAACCATAAAAAGTGGACCGCCACCTTAGCTACAGTTGGTACCTAGTGCCTCGTACCTGCCCAGGTATTATTACTCTACCCCTCAGCCAATTTTATTCCTAAGGCGATATAGTTTAGATAGCTGGGTACAGACGAAATACCTTGCGTGCCATGTAGACGCCAATCAAATAGACGAGATATGCAGTAATCAGTACCTATCACAGAGGCTCGGGAAGGAGAAATCGATGCAGTGGAACTACGACTAGGACAGCTTGAACATTTGAGTGCACCAGGTGAGCTGGTAGGCGGGCAAGGCAAGTGCATTGATTACATTTCATCGTACCAAGAACATACGTATTCATTTACTAGGTACTACTAGGTATGTATCCATAGACGTTTTATGCTTTACATAGGTAATTATGTTCAATGTTAGCAAGGCGGTAGAAGTGTGTAGGTAGCAAACTTTGAGACAACATAGTTACCTACTTCAATGTTGAATTAATTTTTTTATATTATTAAGAAAACTTTATTAACACTGTATATAAACTTTAGCCTCTGTGATAAATTAGAAGAATGCCAGTCCGGCCAGGGATTGACTTCTGAGGTGTCTAATTCTAGCGTTACGTATATATCTAAATATGAATACTCACAAGTTTCCTTATAATCGCAACAAAATATAAAACAATTATAGAGCTCTTATATCTTAGCAAATCTTAATAAATTCCTCATATTCACCAAACGGTTAAAGTCTGTTTTACTGTACCATATCTACCTAGTATTTCATAAGTAAGAGTAATATTAGTCACTAGGCTCTCCCTTATTCGTACATGCAGATACATAGTATCCATGGATGTATAATGATTATCTCACTGTAATTTTCCGACAATTTAGAAATCGATTCATTACCAAGAACAAGGGTATTATGAGGATTATTTTATTTGGTATCAAGCGTTCATTGTCTAAGCTCCTGGTCTAAAAGTGTCAAGTGCGACAAGGTAGCTTAAATTACGAAGTAACAGACGAATATCAAGTCAGATGAAGTTCAAGGCTGTTAAATGCTTATGTAACAAAAGCTTATCTTATCGATATATCCCTGGATAGGTACGGAGAAATCAGCTTACTGAGGGGCACCCCGCTTTGCCCACAGTCTAAGGTGCTAAAAGACGTGCTAGACGGTACCTATGTATTCGCTACTAGGTAGAGCACAAACCAGTGACGTGCGCTTTCCGCGTTTGGTGGCGCTTATAAGCTTATTAACCTCGAAACATTAGAACTGTGTATCGTGGAAGGTAACAGAACTTTCGTGCATCGCAAAACAGCTGACTGATCTAATTACCTAGGTGCACGGTACCTAGTACCTGCCTTTCTAGGTACCTAGTAGTACAGTTATAAACTCACCTATCACAGGTATGTTAGGCACAACCTTATGTAACCCTACCTACCCGTACAGGTAACAAGGATGTGTACGTAGCTTACCTACCTGGTACCTTAACGTCAGATATTCTGGGAATCTTCCACACAACCATCACGTCGATCGACGCAAATGCGCATATACATTTTGCGCAAACTCGGATACCGGATCAACCTATGCAGGCTATTTTGATTGCATTGCCATCTCTCATATTTCCCTGTGCAATCGGTATCTTCTCGACGAGCTCGCAGCTATTATTACAGTCTGTCAGTCATTAACGGTTTCGTATCATCACTTCGTCAAATCCGACAAACGGTTCCTAGACCTCGCAACGGCCACATCATGTTGATTTGCGCCACTTCATAAAACGAGTATGATATATCGTGCTTCCATACGGTGTAGCCGGCATATTTGATGACCACCTAACCGAGACCCGAATTCGACTTGCACGCCCGAACGGCTGCCACCTATCCAACATGTTTCCAACCTTTACCGGCAATTCGAGGCGACCTCGAAATGTCAATATGAGCGGCCAACGAAATACAAACCCTTGGGCTACCAGTACCTCGAGCTGGTCCCAGCCAACCTCGGGTGCCTCCAGGACGGTCGCACAGGCACAAGTTGAACGTGAAAAGAGACAGAAAGAACGTGACGAGTTGAATGCTGCCAAGAGACTTCAGAGGATATGGAGAGGGCACAGGGACAGACGGGGCTTCAAACAAGCATGTCGAGAAGAGTTCGATACTCTTTATAGCCAGTCGATAGGACACGATCTTTCAGGTCGTGCGATTAGTGCTATGCCTCTTTTACTAGTTCTCTTCGATCCAGTTCAAGCAGATGATCAACGGCGATTGGATCTTTTCATTCATGACTTAGTTAATCTAGGACCAACACCTTCAAATTTCAACCTTTTCAACCCTCGTTCCTGGGATCGACTGGCCGAGCTCATCGTGAAAGCTCTTGAGAAGTATGTATCAAATCTTATTCCACAACCACATTGCTAACAATTTATTGACACTTTTGTTCGATAGGCGTCCCGTTGGCTCGTCCAAAGTCCACCTGAGCATATTAGTTGAGATTGTGAAAAGACGACAAGTCTCCGTTATTCGCATATTAACCAAGTATTACAAACTCCTCGCGAGGTATTTTGAGCAAAGTAGCTATGAGGGTATCTCCGTAGAAGAACAAAATGTGCTCGCTGAGGCAGCCACAGCTCCCCTGATATCCTCTCCAAAGCAAGGTATGTAATGGATGAGATTATATACCTTTATTTATTACTAACAGTTACAAGAAATCCATACCTTGCAGGCGTATAAGGCATTCGCGTCCTCCTTTCTCACTTCCCCAAATCTATCCTTCCTGCAGAAAGACCCTGCGAGAATTGCAAGCCATGTGAACCTTCATATTCTATCTCAAAGCGTGATAGATACCTACTCCAAACAACAAGATGCTAGTATCTTGTCGAAGAATGGTTCGTTATGGCTCTTGGTACATTTCATTGCCTTGAATAGAACAACCCTTACTTCCCAAGGGACAAAATACCTGGAGGCACTTTACCTCCAACTATCCATTCTCGTTGACGATATCCGAGTCCGTTATCACCGGGATAGTAGTCTCCTCAGATCAAAGGATGGTGACGATAATGCATCGGACGAGAACGACGATGAGGCTGAAGCCACAACCCGGTTATCCACATGGATGACGAATCAATTAGATTTCCTTGTAGATGAGGACGGTATTACGGAGCTCCTGGGTAGATTAACTTCGTTAGTACACACAACTTGAAGAAACCCGGTATCAAATTCTAACATAATTTAGGACTGCATTATCTCCAGACCGCCTATCCGAAGATGCGAGTCTTCTTGCCGGTTACACGCTAGTATTGCTGAGGTGTTTTCCAAGCCACAGTGACGACATTAAAATGCGTCTTTTCCAGGGCGATATCTCAGTGATCGGTTTGGCTGGTTCTACGCTTATGCCTTCCGTGAAGTATTTTTGGAAAGCCGCCTCAAATACTAGCGTATTTAGGAATATCTCAGAAAACACGGCCCAGCACCTATCCATGTTCGAGTTTCTAGACCCAGATCCAGTACGTGATCAAGAATGGCGAACCATATTACTATTCCTGGAACTATATAACTTCCTTTTAAGACTCACCGATGATGAAGACTTTCTGCCTGCCGAAAGTCAAATCATCTCACAACAGAGTCTTGCAACTATTCGAATACGTTCCAGTGGTCTCAACCTAGATGAATTAAAACGGCTTATCAATTTCCTCAAGAGCCTCTCATTTCCAATGTACTACAATTTATCTGGCTTCATGTCATCAACTTCGAGATCGGCACGGCTGGGCGCCATGATGGGCGTCGGTTCAGGAAACCAAACTTCGCGAGAAGAAGAGCCCAAAGCTGCACCCTCTTCACTTGCTGGAATAATCGGGATGGACGTATTAGGTTTGAGGAGTGTGTGCACAGCCACTATGCGCTCTCTATATGAGAGAGATTCTCGACGGCGCTTTCTACCAGGGGATTTCTGGCTCATGACTTCAAAATTTGATATGGACGGTTTCATGTCAGCCGTCGTCTTGGAGGAGCAACAGAAAGATCAAATGGAAGAAGATGGAGATGACGCCGATGATTCCGACGAAGATGAACTTGATACCTTCCACACCTCTGCTGGGCAGCGCCTCTCGCGTGCAGCACAGATCGAAAGGCACAGGAGATTGCGAAGAGTACAACGAGAACAATTATTAGCACAAGTTGGTCCCAAACTTGAAATTCTTCGTAACATGCCGTTTGCCATTCCTTTCGAAGTCAGGGTTCAAATATTTCGTCAGTTTGTTCACCTTGACAAACTCAAGCGCCGTGGAGGTAATGTCGATCCTGACCGGTGGCGTATATCAGTATTATCTGGAGATATGGTTACTTCTAGAGGAAGAGACACCATCGACCGCCACACAGCCAGGGTCAAACGTGGGAACGTATTCTCCGACGCGTTCGACCAGTTCTATCCACTTGGAGAGAGCCTGAAGGAGCCTATCCAGATTACATTTGTTGATCAGTTTGATCAACCAGAAGCTGGTATTGATGGAGGGGGCGTCACAAAGGAGTTTCTAACCAGTGTCATTGATGAAGCCTTCAGTAGTAGTTCAGATGGCAGTCACCTCTTTGCCACCAACAGCCAAAATCTATTGTACCCAAATCCAACGGCAATTGACGACGTCGCAGAAGTCCTTCACCAATGCAACATCGAAGAGAATAGTACTGATTGGAGAGACAGCTTCGCGGATTTTGCTCGGCGTTATGAGTTTCTTGGTCGGCTGGTAGGAAAATGCATGTACGAAGGCATTCTTATTGACAAGGCTTTCGCCGGCTTCTTTCTCCTCAAGTGGTCAGCATCAGGGCAAGGTTCGATGACTGATTACCGTGCAAACTTGAACGATCTACGAGATTTGGACCCAGAGCTGTATCAAGGGCTCATCAACCTCAAGAATTATTCCGGCAAAGTAGTAGATCTATCTCTAGACTTTACGATAACTGATGAGGTTCATACGGCTGATGGGGAGGTGCGCACAATAACCCGTCCGCTCTGCAAAAACGGCGAGGATCTTGCCGTCACAAACACAAACCGCCCTCTCTACATCTCGTATGTTGTGAACCACCGGTTAGTAGCGCAGCCATACCGACAAACCAAGGCCTTCCTTAGGGGTCTCGGATCTATCATCAACCCAGCATGGCTATCCATGTTCAATCAATCCGAACTTCAGCACCTCGTAGGCGGCGACAGCTCCGAGATTGATGTAGAAGATTTGCGACGCAACACGGAGTACTCGGGCATATATTCTATTGGTCATGATGGAATAGAACATCCAACGGTGCAGATGTTCTGGCAGGTAATGCGAGAGTTCCAAGATTCAGAGCGTCGGGAGGTGCTAAAATACGTCACGTCAACGCCGAGAGCACCATTACTAGGCTTCTCACAACTTAGTCCCCACTTCAGCATCAGAGATAGCGGCTCGGACGAGGAGAGATTGCCCAGTACAAGCACATGCGTCAACCTCCTGAAACTTCCACGCTATAGAACGAAAAAAACGCTGAAGGGAAAGCTTCTCTATGCCATTCAATCCGGAGCTGGCTTCGATCTGAGCTAAGTGGAAGGCTGCGACATTCCACTTCCGTCACAACTCTTCAGCAGGTAAACCCATTTGGCTTGACTTAATCACATCACAAAGAGATGTTGGTTAGGATGTGTGCAATTAGCTAAAAGTAGAATGAATTAATATTGATGATCATGAAGTAAATAAGTTGTCTCTCGTGATTGAACATTCACCAACTCATAGTATCTAAGGCTTTGATACAAAGAGAACAGTACCTAAATAAATGTCCAATGAATAATGTTGATTATACCATACTTATCCTCCCTGAAAACTGGACTGTCACGAGGGTGAGCGACACATTAAATCCTGGGACCAGCGTCAGCTTTATAAGAGAGTATATCGCCGGAACAGATATCCACTTGTCGTTTCCCACGCCGGTACGAGTAAAGCTCCTATAGTCTAGCGGTTAGGACGTCGGATTCTGATTCCGAAAACATAGGTTCGATTCCTGTTAGGAGCTCCATAAACGCCGTTATGTTTTTTTTGTCTCAAAGCAAAACTCTTTTTGTGCGGTTCGCACCTCCTTTAATAAGGGCATCGTGTTCTAAGTGGAGTAGTCTTAGGTTAGCCTAGCGTGTGTCTGAACCATAGAAAGTGGATAACAGTTCATGGTATAGATTGTATCTATCTCAACTCTTCTGCTTCAAAATGAGTGAAATCCATATCCACATAGCACATGCACGAACCTAGAGAAATCCATGGATGTCTCACTGACTTTCTAAAGGAAGACGAGTTTAGTCACTATTTCTACAGCAATAACAAAATGGTTGTATTGTTCTCATCTAGTTAGTTACTAGATATATGTTATTTTCTAAATTGTCCAGCGGAAATTAGCAAGACCATCGATGATCTTTTTCCCTTCATCAGCACGTTTATTTTCCAATCTTAGTAGCACTATAGAGATACAGGCAGCAACGACGGCAGCTATGCAGATGGCCATCACAGCTATTATCCCGGGAATATAATCGGGCGCATCCTGTTTCTCGTTAGCATGGCGTATTACAATGTCATTATAAGAATTTGTACGAACCTGTTGGCGGAAAACTAAAGATGAGTAGATCCCACCAAGACCACTAACGGCTATCATAAAAGCAGTAGCACAGGCACGCTTAGCGTCGCCGCGGAGATTGTTAGCCTGCCACGCTAGGGTGGTGACCACAAGCCCATTGACACCGGCTTCCCCTAGGAAAGTACCGACGTATCTAGCCACAGGATTATTGATGAAGCCCGTCATACATAAACCGACGATGGCGACTAGACCCTGGACAATAACAAACGGCCCTCGTAGACGCATTTTATCAGCTAGCCATGAGACAAACATGCCCTCCACAACTGAAAACAGAGCAGGTGGTGCTGACAGCACGAAAGCAAGGTCCTGTGAGTATCCCATACCGTTGCGCAGGATGATTGGCAAGAAGAAGAGAAAGGCGTAAACGCCCACGGCACCGGCCGAATACATGAGCGCGAAGGACCAAACTTTCCAATCCGTAGCTGTCTCAACAAAGACAGCCCAAGTGACTTTCTCGCGCTCCTCGGTCCCGCGGTCCTCCGCAAGACGCGCTTTTACGAAAGCGCTCTCCTCTTCAGAGAGAAACGTGTTGCGATCTGAGTCAGGGAAGTCGACGATGACGAACCAGGCAATAACGGCGGCGACGCAGGTCATGATGCCCTCGATGATGTAAATCCACCTCCAGCCCTTGTAGCTCGGATGCACTTTGGAAATCTGGATTAGGCCGAGGGCCAGGATATTGGCGAATGCCGAGAGCGCAGACCCCGTCATGAAGAACGTCGCCAGCCTCTTCTGGACCTCGTACCTCCTGTACCATGATGAGATCAGATAAACACAGCCGGGATAAAAGCCAGCCTCGAACACGCCGAGGAAGGATCGCAGGACGGCGAGGGCGACCCAGTTGTTTAGGAAGCCGATACCCATGGAGACGAGGCCCCATGCGAAGACGATGAGCGAGATCCAGTTGGCGGCGCCGACGCGGTGGATGATCATGTTGCTCGGCAGCTCGAAGAGCATGTACCCGATGAAGAAGACGAGTAAAGCAATAGAAGCGCGGTCCCCGACTGCGAGCCCCACGTCCTCGTCTAGCCCTGAGATGCGCGCCACCGATATATTGCTCCGGTCTATCATCGCGATCGTGTACAGCGCGCCGAGGATGGGGAGGAGCCGTATGTCGATCTTGCGAAGCACACGCTTCTCGAATATCGAGTCGTGGGCAGGGCCGCCGCCCTCCTCCGAAGCGGACGGCGCATCGTTATCGAGTTTCTCGTGAAGCGAGACCGAGGCTTCCTTTTCCGCCATAGTGGAAAAGTAGCTAGGTGAACGCGAACGATCAATTCATAGTAGAAGACAACAGCAAGAATGGAATTCGAGTCCTAGAGCTGATTCTTATTGCCGTTTTTCGGCCCTTGCTATGTCGGGGTCCCGAAGGAATGTGGAGGAGGTTTGTGGGGTAAAAGCTGGGGTAGGTCGAGGGCTATACCTTTGTCGATCGATTGTTGGTTACGATCTTCCCGGCGAGTGCCTCTTCTGGGTATTCCGCACGGAAGCCTGCTATGCGACGTTTCCGAAGAAAGACGCCAGCTCCGCAACTAGAGAGGATGGGTATGGTGTATGGTCTGACGGTGATGTTGGCCCGGTTTACTTTGGATTCTTTCTCCAATTGATAATACTTGCTCTTATAGGTTGTTTTACTTTTTTGTGGCTGTAGCAGGTGTTGGCAGCGGTGTATGAGAGTTGGGGCAGCTGTGCCCTAAATGTTCCTACGATATAAAAGCTTATACGAAAATAAACCTGTTCACTACATACCTAGTATGTATCGGGCTATAACTATTTCATCCTATACTTAGTAGGTTCCAAGTAAGGAGGGAATGGAAACGGGTTAATCAACTTAAGGTGGTCTACAGAGTTGACTTCCTAGCTCCGTTATATAGGTTCGTAGGTAGCTTATTTACTAACGGGCGTCCGATACTCATACGTACTGGCGACATTACTACGAAACGAAGCAAAGAGGAAGCTTATGAGCAAAAAGAACACCACACATCCCGAGTCGTTGTCAAAAGAACTTAATTTCAGTGCAGCCTATCTGAAGGGAAGTGCTCCAAACTCGACAGGTAATGAATCCGCCGGACCAGCTCTGCAGTCAGCCCGTCTATAGCAAAAGAACATCCTTCACGGATACCTACACCAACCCAGCGTTACTCCGAGTTCCACGATCCATCATCCATCATCTATCGTCCATCAGAAATAACTCGCCGCATTTCCGTGTTTAACCGTAGACAAGCTTGAAGATGTCGTTGTGGACGTAGTACTGGGTCTGTCCGTTGACAGACTCAGGAACGAGGTAGAATGACTGAGTGTAGCTCATTGGTCGCTGCTCCTCATCCACCTAATTATTTAAGTTAGATATCATATCATTTATGTTATTTTAAAAGTGTAAGGGGGCAAATGAAATGGAAAGAGCAATATACTTACCAAAAGCTGACCGGTCACGAGCACCATAATATGGTCAGGAGCGACACCGGGCTGGGGATCCATAGTAGACACCTGGTGCTTGATCTGCTGGAAAGGCAAGCCCTAGAAGTTTATGTAAGCTTTTATTTCTTGATTTATGGATGTTTTATATATTTTTATGTTGGTTGATGCCTTACCTGAAGCTTCTCGATGATCGAGGGAGTGCCTTTGAACGAAGCGGACTCGAAGGTCAACATGGAGCCGTCACGCTGCATAATCGTTAGTCAAAGCTTCCTTGTCGTAAGACATGATACTCGAGAAGGCGCATACGTAGAGAGTTGCAAGACCCGCTCGGTCCTGATCGAACTGGTTGTAGTAATATTCGACGAACATAGCTAGATGGGGAGGCGCATGTTAGCTTGGGCCGCGAGATCGTTACCGAGTCGATGTCGTAAAGAGTAGTTTAATTATGAGATACATACTCGCAACCTGTTGCAGATCTACTCATGGCATTAGTATAAAACTCAATATTTCACGATGAATCAACAGCCTCTACTATTTCAGGCTGCGACGCGGCGCAGGATGGAAATTGGGGGGTTGACATACCTGCAGCCATCTTAAATGGGTTTATTGTCTTTGAGACAGTTGAAGATTTGGTGTTTGATGGGTGGTTTCTTGAATGAAGGTGAACAAGCGTGCGTTAAGTTGCCACGCAAGTCTGGAGACGAGGAGAAGACGTTTTGTTATTGTTATTGCAGTTGTTGTTAGAAGATGGGGAGAAGAAGTGAGGCCATTCAGGTTGGACTTTTGGAGGGGCAGTTTTAGAGGAAGTTCCACTTATTTATGTGTGCTAAATTTGTTTTTGGACGCCCTGCTCTGGCGGGGTAATCTTAATTTTAATTTTTTTGGTTTCGGATCGTCCAGTGTTGTTAGGCAATTATCGTTATCTGTGATTATGTAATTTGTCACTTGCCTTCCGAGGTTTCCTCTTTCCACTCTTTTCACAGTACCATGTACAAATATGTACTTATGTACATGTACAAGTCTAATGCAATGTGTGTGGGTCTTCTTGCACTGTGACGTCGAAACTTTCTTTGGACCTTCAGTTGGGAAACAGCGGATCTCGAATTGGAAATTCCATGTCTCCACGTTCCAACCTGACTCCGACAGCTGTAGATTGAACCGATTTCTATTCGTATTTATATTTGGCAATATTCTTTCATGTTCAAATATGAGTTCGTGCTATCATGGTATCATCTTACCTACCTTTAGCTTTACTTTCCTTAAAGTCTTAGGTACCTAGAGTTCTATAATCCGGACAACCACAATTGAGTCCGATCTGGCTCATCCCATCCATTCCAATCCGCCATGGCTTCTGGTAAAGCAAAGGCCAATGACGATGTCTCTAATGAAAAGAACACACAGAATGGCACAGGTGTCGAAACTGGGTTCTCTCGTCTTTTTCGCCGGCACAGTCCTGGCACAAGAGAACATGCCCGAGACTCAATGGATTCTTTAGATAGAATCTTTAATACTCGGACCGAATCAGAAGCTCGTCGCCTTCCCGCTGCCCAAAGATCTATGACCTCGGAAGATAAGCACTATGCAAGCAATTCTTACGGAATCGCTGAGCTCAGAGATGGCTTCTTCGATGCTGTTTTCCTTCCCCCGGAGGAAGTCGATTTTCAGGAACTCACAAAGCAAGCTGAGCTAACTCTTCCGTATGCCTTCAGAAAGAAGGATCCCCTTTCCATGCGAAACTTTCTACCTAAGCAGTGGCATGATGTGAAAGGGGTCATTCGCCGTGTTACCACTACAAGGTCTGGCATTCGACTTCTTAAATCTTTTCTTGCTTTCTTCATAGCCTATATCCTTTGCCTTATATCTCCGGTCCAGGCTCGACTTGGCCGATATAGTTATATCATGGTAATATCAACCATTCTCAACCATTCCGGCAGAACCTTGGGGGCTCAGGTGGACGGAACTATTTTAACAATAGTAGGAACTGCTACTGGGTTAGGATGGGGTGCGTTTGGGTTGTGGGTATCTACAGCATCAGCCTCAGCACGCATAGGCTACGGTGGAGTCCTTGCTGTATTTCTCTGCTTATACGTATTTATAATCGCCTGTCTTCGTTCATACTACATCCGCACCTACCAAGCCGTTATTTGTGCTGGAATCGCGATCGCATATACCTGTTTAGCTGAAGTATCAGGAACCGAGGTTTCCTGGTCTAAACTTCTCGACTATGGAATCCCTTGGGTTCTGGGACAAGCCATTTCTCTTCTCGTATGTTTCGCGGTTGTTCCTGATGCAGGCGCACGCCCACTAGCTGCCGCTCTTCATCAGGCTTTCGCTGTCATGCTGGTAATTCCACCCCCTCCCGTGCTATGTCGAATTATTATAACTAACTCTCCCCAAGGAAGGACTCGGGTTGACAAGGTTAGAAAGCATAAGAACACGCCGGAGATTGACACAGACCTTCGTCAGCATGTCGCAAGCGTATAGAGATCTGGTGATCGATTTCTCCATAACACTTTTTGACCCGAAAGACGTTTTAGAGCTTCGAAATCTCATTCAAGGAGTCGTCCGTGCACTTCTTAGCTTAAATAGCGAGACCAGAGTCCTTGATGGGCTAGAGGACACGACGTGGAATAGACTAAGTCGAGACAGATCCATACTCGATGAGTTCGTTATTAATATGGATGAAAGATCTCGCACTTCAGGTAACGAGGAAGAGAGGAGGTTGGCGAAGTTTGTTGCCAGCAACCTAGCTGATCCAACAGAAAAAATTCTTCTGTCTATGGAATCCGCTTTGCAGAGTTGCGATGCTGTTCTAATGGAAATGTGTGGTCATCGTCAATATATCGGCCCTCCGGAGGACGTGTCAAACGATATTCCAGGGTCACTTGTAAAGTTGCGCAGGCGTATTATAGCCTTCAGCAACTGTCAAGATAGTGTATTAGCAAGTCCTAACTTGCCGTCGACATATGCAGACTCCCCTGACGTTGTCAAGCTCTTCACTTACTGCCGACCAGTTCACCAAGCCGCAACAGCAATTGAGGCATTACTGGTAAAAGTCAATCATATGCAACAGAGCCGACCAAAGCACTTGAAGTTTCATTTGCCGTCTTATCCATTTTGGAAGGCGTTGCACCGTACGAATGCACAGGTCCGACATGACCGAGGTGGTGTAACAGCAGGTTCTTACTTCAAAAGCTTTAATGATATAGCTATAATTATCCAAAAGATAAAGTCTAAGGATTTTCAACCATTACCAAAAAAAGATAGCGACGATGCTGACAAAGGCCACGATACGTCATATGCGACAATGACGGCGGATGAACTTGAGGACGAGTGGAGTACCAACACGAACCATGCCCGGCACAAGATTTGGGGGTTTCTTCATCGATTACAGGGCTTTGAGACACGATTTGGGCTTAAAACAGCTGCGGTCACGTCCCTACTGTCTGTACCCGCGTGGCTCCCTGAGGCTCATGGGTGGTGGGATGGGTACGAGGTATGGTGGGCTGTCGTGATGGCATGGCTTATGATGGGGCCTCGGTAAGCCACCATATCCCCATACTTAACTTGAGCTTTACGTGTAATCTAACCCACACAGAACTGGCGGAAACATTCAAGATCTTTTTACGCGAGCGCTTTGTGCTGTTCTTGGCTCGCTCTGGGCCGGCTTATCGTACGCAGCGGGGAACGGTAACCCTTATGTTATCGCGGTCTTTGCTGTTATCTTCATGCTCCCTATGATATATAGGTATACACAGAGCGCACACCCGGTAAGACATGGTACAAGACCAGTAAATTGAGGAGTATCCTAATATGAACACAGAGATCTGGACTTGTAGGCTGTATTTCGTTCACAGTCGTATCCTTGTCAGAGGTTGCTGCACAAGGTGAGCCATCGCCAGCTACAATTGCCGCAACACACGGAGCTGCCATAGTGGTTGGAGTTGTTGCGTCGATCATTGTAAACTGGGTGCTTTGGCCATTTGTTGCTCGCCATGACCTTCGAAAAGCGGTAGCTTCTATGCTGTTTTATTGTAGTATTGTCTACCGGAGTAAGTCAAATTGAAGCCGCAATCACCACCTGTTTATTAACGCAATTTTAGGCATTGTATCAAGATATGTTTACTATGAAGTGGGAGACGAGCCTACTAAAGAAGATATTCGTTCATCAGAGATACTTGAAGGGCGCTTGCGAGAAGGATTTGTAAGACTGAGACAACTCTTAGTAAGGTCATAACCCCCCGTACCTCCCAAAGCCCCTATGTTAATAATAATTAGGGTCTTACGCGCCACGAGATACGCCTTCGAGCTCCCTTCGACCCGTTGCCATACTCGGCGCTCATTGATGCGTGTGAGAGATTCTTCGAATATATCGTTACTGCCCGACAAGCGTCTTTATTTTACCATCCTCATTTTATTAGAGACAATACCGATTTCGCTGCAGCTCTACTCGGCCATAGACGAGATGCGATCGGAACTATCTTGACAAATCTCTATGTTCTTTCTGGAGCGCTGCGTGCCGATAGAAAAGTACCTGTAAGTCTGCATTTAAATTATTGAACCTAATGTGTTAAGGGGATGAAAAGAAAAAAGCTAAAATGTGAACCTGACAGAAATATCTTCCAAGTGCTGCGGCAACAAGGAAGCAACTATTAGACATGATGGGAGCACTAGAGGCCGAATTCGCGACGAGTGGAAAACTAAGTGCTGACGAAAAGTCCGAAGGAAGAAAGTGGGCTCAGATATATAGCTATTCATATAATGAGAGCTTGACGGGCTGCGTTCAGCAGTTGGAAGAGTTGGAGAAGTACACTAAGGCCATCGTTGGCGAACAGGGGTAAGCTGGTTCTCACGATGTAGGGACCTAATTCTTGGACAACACTAACAAATTGATTTAGATTCGACTGTCTCTATACAGACCAAAACTGGTTGACGAGTTGAAAATTCTCCTATGCAAAGGGGTATGTTTAATACCTCCTACCAGCATCATCCACGACGGTTTTTGACCTTCGAAGCGACTAGGTATTCGATATGTCTTCGAAGGTGGCCTAGATCATTTGAAGCCGACAACTCGACGTTGTTGGCTGATATGATGTAGATTCCCAGGTACTATTAAAATTTACGAGATACGATCTAACCAATAATAACAAATTGAATGAATCCCAGCGACCGACATAAAAGGTAGCTCCCGTATGATATGCTGTCCACGTTGTAGAATGATTGGCCAATTCCATCTCCGAGATCTTCTCCACCCTGGTTGCGTGGTAGTCCCTAGTGAGTCTTCTATCTTGATTCCAATCTCCCCACATAAGAAATTATGCCCTCGAGGGTTGAATTTTTTTTTAACTTGGCATGCAAGCACGTGTAGGCAATTTCGACGCGATAGTTATTCAACGCCGAGAAGCATTCAGAAGATGGAGATTATAGCAATACGTACTTGATTCCACGTGGATCTTAGATCGAATAGCGCGTCCCAACCTGCTGGGCTCATCAAGACTTGGCGCCTAGACTACCTATATATATGAATACTACGCACTGCCCCTATGTGGTATCTGATCGCCAGCATCTACAATCTTAGTATCCTATTCCTTAGGTCACTATTATTTAGTCGACGCCTCGTCTATGTGAAGTCATTCGTTTAGTATCTCACATTCCTCACAATGCTGGCTACTTCTATCTTCGTCTTCCTTTCCCTAAGCTCAACTGGTTTCGGTTGGGAATGGGGAAAAAGTGGAAAATGGTCTAGTAAGCAAAGGACTACTTGCCACGGTGGAGAGTCGACTATTAATTACACGACGATTGCTGGTTTCTTTCAACAGGACAATTCTTCTACGGTTGCGAAAACCTTCGACTACGTATGACCTACCCAGTTGCTCGTAGCTAATAATCACTAACAAGGATTAGACTACGACAAACTACGGTCTTATCAACCGGACATATCCAACCGACGATCAATTTGATCCGTCAAATACGAAAACGCAATGGGAACGGTTCGCCTACTATGTGAATACCCTGAACCGGGATTGCGATAAGAATACTCAGTACAAAGTCCTGTTCATGGCTCGTCACGGCGAGGGTTACCATAACGCAGCAGAATCTTACTATGGTACTCCCGCTTGGAATGCAAGTTTCCTATGAACCGTCATGTTTCCGTGCAACCTAATCTAACAGTATATAGTGTTATTGGGGACCGCTAGAAGGGAATGGCACGACAACCTGGAGGGATGCTCGATTGACCGATGCTGGTATAGCTCAATGTACTAAGGCAAATACCTTCTGGAAAAATGCTTTGGCTGTTGAGAAGATACCGGCCCCGCAGTCCTACTACAGCAGTCCTCTAGTCCGTTCGATGACGACAGCAAATTTAACCTTCAAAAGCCTTAACCTCCCAGCCGGAAGACCTTTCGTGCCGACAATCAAGGAATATCTTCGTGAAGGCATCTCTATGCGTACTTGTGATGAGCGATCAAACAAGACGTACATCCATTCGTTACTTCCAGAATTCAATTTTGAGGAAGGATTCACTGAAGATGATGAGCTGTGGAAGGGTTACGAAGGAGAAACGTCCGATGCTCAACTCAAGAGAACCAGGACCGTTCTGAATGATATTTTCAGCAATGACGACAACACGTGGATTAGCATCACTAGCCACTCTGGTCAAATCAGCACGAACCTTAAGGTATTGAACCACATCGCATTCAGCTTGTCGACCGGCCAGGCAATCCCGGCTCTTATCAAGGCCCAGAACCTCCGCAAGGTCGAGCCAGCTACAACCACGATCCAATCATGGGCAGCAGATGCCACATGTAATGCGCCTCCGGTCACAAGTATATCGGGCCAGGGTTGCGTCTGCTCAAGTTCTACGGCCGCCTTGGCCTCGGCTACGGCTACGACAAGCGTAGCATAAATCAAGCAATTTACGTGACTTGGAAGATAGAGTAGGATAATCCGTCTGATTTTAATGAATAAATACAAACCTACGCGTCGTCTTCCCCGTCCGACGCAAAATATGTCATGTACGTACCTAGTATCTAGGCTTAAGCTCTACCTATAGTAGTAACAATTTCATCCCAATGCAACCTTCGGACGCAAAGAAACCTCACAGCCCAACCCCGAAACCCCACGAGGTCTCCAGGTTTGTTCCGCGCGTGAGAATTTCCGGGAAGAGGCTCACAGGTCGCAATTAGCCAAGCCAATTTTCTGCATGTGATACCGTGGTGCCATGACTCCAATTCTTAGCTTTCACCTTCCTTCTTGGACTTTATCGCCGCATCAATAGTTTACCTACCTAGTTACGAGATGACTTTACGATTAGTCAATATGATGCAATGATCGAATCTTAAGGCCGCTATTCCCGTGCTAGTCAATGCTGAGCTGGAATGTCTCGCGACTTGCCGTCCCCTTCTAGCAACCATCTTGAATATCAACACTAATGCCATTACCAAGTGATTACGTGCATACAAACCCACCAGCTATCCTTGAGGTCAAATCCAATGGGATCTTCAACCGAGCCGTCCAGAATTACGCAACGGGAACTAGATATACGAGATCTTGGAAATAGCCTTAATAAGCATGGGAACTTTCTCCTTTCCATCGGCATATGAGATATACGACTGGAAGGACTAAGCCACTCTTCTCCGTTCCATACTAACATCTTGGAGCCATAAAATCATTATACGCACAAAAGTCATGACATTCATAAGTGATGACCGCTTTCAATTCCGTGCCAATCTATAGGTTAAAATATGTCATTGGATCATGAGAATGCTTCCTTTCTTATCAAAACGTTCCATGAGCTTACTGACCCTTTCGGTTCACTCCCGGTCGTTCGTAACGTTCCCATGTACTTTGCTGTTGTATGGCATATCGAATCATCCCGCTCCCGCTCCCGTGAGGATAAGTATGATAATCAAACGAATCGGTACTTACTAACAAGGGTGATGAAGAATCTAATTCCCCGAGTTTGTCTAGAGCGTGGGTGAAATGGAATGCAGGATTACGTCCAAGCAGCCATAAATTTTTGTAGATAAGTTCGTGACACCCTTCTTGCTGCTACTGTAGGTAATTCATGCCATCGAATCATTCTTGTTACCCGCTAGCAAACATGCAGTCTCTCCTTCTCTTAGTTCTCTTCGCGTTGTCGATAAGCGTCAAGTGCACCAACTTCGCCTTCGAGGAAGAACAGCTAGTAGAAGCCGACGTTAGAGCCTTTCCAGCCATTGCCTTCGGAAATTCGTCGGCGGTGACCCTTCTAGATGATGAGCCAGAATGCAGAGAGTATCCGGGAAGCAGCAATTGGCCACTAGAGGAAGAATGGTTGTTGTTAAACCAGTCTTTAGGGGGCGCTTTGATTAAAGGGGTTCCGCCCGCGGCGGTATGTTACGACGGGTCTTTTAAAGATGAAGCTGCGTGCACATTTCTCGTCCGGAATTCGAGCATGAATCGTTTCTATATAAATAACCCGGTCACCGTGTTGAGTGAATGGGGCGAGGGTGATACCTGTCACGCAACACTGCAGCCGCAAAGTGGTGATACCTGCACACAAGGTGCTTTCCCCACTTTCGTCATCAACGCCACAACAGCGAGGCAGATCCAGATTGGCGTCAACTTCGCTAGGAATAGGAACCTGAGGCTGGTTATTAAGTGAGCACTCTCTTCAAAATGAACATGCATATCTGGTGAATATAACCAAGCAAACAGACCATAGTTTGGCTAACATGAACCATTTCTTCTCTGCAGAAACACAGGGCACGACTTTGTCGGCCGAGCGGTTGGCTTGGGAAGTCTCAGTATATGGACACACTACCTAAAAGATTTCGAATATCTACCGCGGTACCAGGTCGGTGAATATGATGGTAAAGCAGGTAGGGTCGGGGCAGGTATCGAGAGTTGGGAGATGTTTTCCCAGATGGACAAGTACAATGTTACATTCGTTGTCGCCGGAGGGTACACCGTCGGGGCTTATGGTGGCTGGATGGCTGGCGGTGGACACTCCGCTTTGGCTTCCAAGTACGGTCTAGGTGCCGACCAAGTCTTGTCTCTCCAAGTCGTCACGGCTGACGGCAGGTTCATCACTGCGGACCCGAACCAGAATACTGATCTTTTCTATGCGTTACGTGGAGGCGGCGGAAGTAAGCAATTTCTAGAACTTGATTTGATGTGTTGATCAAGCTAAAATACGTATCTGTTAGCTAACAACAGAGTACAGGTACTTTTGGCGTCGTAACCTCAGCCGTGGTTAAAGCACACCCATACACGACTGTACTCTCCACCTCTATAAGATTTTCAACTAGCGAAGTCAATGGGTCCGTCGACCCTAGCGAAAATGAGAAGTTCTGGAAGGGCTTCGATTTGTACCACGAATTCGGTAAAAAGATAGTTGACGATGGTGGTACAGCATGGTGCGTATAAGATCCACTCGATATCTCCTGTTTCTATCATCTATATTCGTCAACCCATACTAACAACTCGATAGTATGTTAAAATCTCCCTCTGCCCCGTATCCCCATCCTTACCTCCGTCTACATTGAACGAGACTTAACTAAATGATTACTTTCGATGATTTTGCTCAAGAGTATTAACATGTGAACTATCAGATAGTTATGTGTCGCGCATGTCGTCCAGTAACGATAGCTACAGCTTCATGACAGATGTCGAGCTTCCTAACGTATCAGAAGAATACTTATCCGCGTTCGTCCAGCCTCTTCTCGATGACCTTCAAGCAGCAGGCATCGACGTAACCGCCCGAGCGCCATCCCCAGCGACAAACTGGTTAGCATCGGCTAGAGCAGGCATCGGCGACACTCCAGGCAGCTCCCGGTTCGCTAGCCGCCTGCTCCCGCGCGCCAATTTCGAGGATCCGGAATTATTCCAGGCAACGCAACTCGCGCTTCGCCAGTCTATCGAGGAAGGCTACCGGTTCCACGGCATCCACATACAACCTACCGAGGCCGTAGCCGGCTACCCGGGCTCCGGAAACGCCGTTAACCCCGCGTTCCGACGGGCAATCATGCACGCCGACCTATTCGATTCCACGACCATCAGAGGGCTATCTCCCATGGCGTGGAAGGAAACGCACGCGCAGCTTGCGAATGCGATGGATAGGTGGAGGAACGTGACGCCGGGAGCCGGGGCGTATATCAACGAATGCGATGTAGAGGAACCGGAGTGGCAGCAGGCGTTCTTTGGGAGCAATTATGAGAGGTTGTTGGAGATCAAAAAGGCTAGGGATCCGTGGGGCGTGTTTTATGCGCCGACGACGGTGGGGAGCGAGGGGTGGGTGGTTAGGACTGAGGATGATATGCCCACGCAGAACGGGATGTTGTGTAGGGCTGGAGCTGGGGTGGTGGAGAGGAGGGGTGGGATGGGGATGGGAGTGTGAGGGACGGAGAATTTTCATCTTCGTCTTTAATATGGCTTGGATTTCTTGTATCACTATTAACAGTGGATGTTTTGCGGAATATACTGTAAGGAGGCGACTTTTCGGTAGGTGCCTAGGATTCACACAGTACCTAACCTAGGTACCTATTCTGTATGACCAAACATGCCGTTTGCAGTCACGTGATGATACGAGCCCCTCAGGTGGTAACCTAGCTGCCGGGCTGTAACTGCCCAGTAAAATTCCCAGCAGATTCTTTAGCTGTCGCAAGGCTCTAGGAGAATAGCACCTTCCTATTGGCCACGATCAATTTTATGGGTAATTCAGACCCTTTCCCCGTCAGCCCCAATAGGTACCTGTGGAAGGAAAGGCCAGACAAAGGCCCAAGCTGCACGATGCGAGAGGGTCACTTTTCCAACTCTGATTCTTGCCATTCAATTTACGTCCATCAAAATCAACACACCCCATTCAACCATCCACCATATCTACTACCACGCAATACCCGAACCTTTTCCAGCTCTACCAAGAGACCAAAATTATTTAGAGCGCGTCCAAGTTCTTTTTTTCTAGTGACGCCCTTTAAACTACCTTTGCTGTACAGTACCAAGTTCTATTCATAAACAACCAACCGAAGTGTGAGCAACCTTTTGCCCACCTATTACCCACGTCTACCCACGTCTATCAACCTCTATCACCTCCTCTCACCAATTAACCGACAACGACACCCTTAACCTAGGACAGTTCAACTTGTACCTAGGCTCATGATATCCATGCACCGAGCGTCCGTGAGCCTGCGCCTGCCCTTACTTCCCTCATTCGACTCGAACCCGCGAAGTGCACACTCACTGCTGCCCTTGACAGGCATCATTTCGTGATTCGTGATTTCGTGGTGTTACGAGGGGCTCCAGGGAATTTCGATTCGCATTACTTCACACCTCTTCTTCCCTCCTCCTTATCCCCTCCCGACCAAGAGATCACCACCCTCATGGTCCCCCCACCGCCATCTCACTCGCGATCCGGAACTTTTTCACCTGCTCCTGCCCAAAGTTTGCAGACAGGGCTTACCCATTCTCCCCATCCGTCACAGACAGGCCCACTGAGTGCTGGCGCAAGTCCCAGTACCAGCAGTCCGACCACGGGGACCAGTTCTCTTACAAAAATTGTCGTTGCCCAAGTTTATCTTCTTCTGAGCACAATCAAGGAGGACAAGGACCGCGCAAAGTGGGAACTACAGGTGGATCAACTAAAAAAGGTACGTCTATGATGCGATTTTTTACTTACCTAGGTACCTTGTTAGAACCTCATATTGATGAATATCTTACTCTTCTAGCTCCTCGATGATCACGGAATGGAGGTGTTTTCTAAATATTTCACCCGGTTGGTAGCCGGCAATGCTCCCCAGATCTTTCCGGGTATCAACCGATCCGTTGCCAACCCTGGCAACTACTCGCTTCTAGTCGGAGAGATGTCCAAGATCTCCCACGACCTTGACCAAGCCTCCAAAATATCCGAGTCGATCGAAACTGCCAACGAAGATATCTTCCGCGATTTTGACCTGTCTACATTTATGGAGCACTTTAAACTCGATGCCTTGGAGAAGACCATTCTGGCGCTGGCGTTCAAGTTCGGGTCCCGTCAGGATCTAAAGACTAAGGGTAGGTCATTGTTGGTATCCTCTTCGGATGCTAGCATCAGTAGGCTAACCGTGTCCATTGCTAAAGCTGATGCGATACTATCGACGAACTTTCCCACCTTCGTAAACATAATCTCTCGCGCAGATTATAGCGACCATTCCGACCTCACCCCCTCCTTCATTGCCGCTATCGTCGATCGATATATCCAGGGCCACCCGCCCAACTTTAACTCGGCCGCTAAACATGAGTTGAGTCATAAAGTTCAGTCGCGTTGGTTACAGGTAGATCAAGCACCTCCGATGGAGGTCCTAGCTGCTCTAGATCTTATCAGAGTACTAGGCGAGAAGCCGCCCAACGCACTAGCTCTTTATATACAACGGACTGGCACGGACTTTACTCGTGATGAGGAGACCTGTGCGGCTTATCTTCAGTCTCGACCGAATAACATTCAGTTGACCGAGGAGCAAGTCTCTACGGCTTTAACTTACACAACCGTCAGCATCACATATCGTCATAATCCTTCCGTACTCGTTTCGACCCTTCGCCATATTCTTCCTCCTAGTTTCCGTTGGCAAGACGTTGTCACATATTTCGACCAGCGTGACGTACGTGTATCGTCTGCGCAGTTCTTACGAGTATATGAGGCACTTCTACCCATCGCACAAGCCCAAGAGGACCCGTCATCTCCTTTCGGCATCCAAAGTCTGTGGGGAGGCTCTCATTGGGAGAATCCGGAAACCCAGCTATCTTTCATCTGCGCATTCGCGTCTTTGAGCCCGGATCAACTAGACGCCAGTACCATTCCCGGCCTTCATCCGACATTCACTCTCGAAGATTATGCAAATTCGCCACCCGAGGTCCGCGAACGAGCAGCAGTAGCCGTAAAACACCCTCTTGTTTCGAGTCTAGCCCTGTCAGCAATATTCCAGGTCGCCCTTCATTCTCTACACGCATCGCAAAGTACAGAAGCAAAACGACTGTTCCAAGAGGTGGTTGTCCCAAATCTCGATATCTTCATCGTCTCTGCTTTTGGGGTTCCGAAGCCGTGGCCGTCGATGGCGGTAGAAACCCTCGCATCTCTGTTCGATAACTTCCTACACCGACGTTCTGGGTATCATGACTTCGTTTTGGACAGCCTCTGGAGAAAGGACAGGGACTGGGTTACCCAAAGACTTGTCGATGCTCATGCGATGAAGCCAATGGATCTTACGCTGATCTTCGAGCATGTCATTAAGCATGGCTGGCTAGACGAGTTAGTGTATTTGCCAAATGGATTTGGATACGACCTTGCGGCGCTCGCGCATGCTGAAGCCCAGCTAGATCTCGCTCAGTGGGCCCACAACAACGCTGAGCGAAGCCCTGCCATCTCCCAATCTCTACTGCAGTTCTTGATGATCAAGGCAAACTTGGAGTTGGCGTCTCAGAAACCCGGAGAGGGGCAGTTAGTAGCGAAGACTACCACGCCTCTCCATGTCAAGACGGTGCTTGCCATGCTTCAAATTCTCGAGGACTTCCTACCGCGAAACCCTTTGCCAGAGTTGATCATAGTTCAGCGTGTGTGCATTACAGCTTACCCCCGACTTATCAACTACGGGGAAGGCTATGATGACATCATTGACGCTAACGGACGGGAAGGCAACGGGCTTCCGTCTGCTGCAATCGCCAAGATGGAGGAACATTATAAGAAAATGTATGGCGAAGAGTCGGAGGTTAAGTATGTCGTCCAAAAACTTGAAGAATACAAGCAATCGCGAGATCCTTTGGAGCAGGATATTTTCGCGTGCATGATCCACGGCCTCTTTGACGAATATTCCCACTTCATCGACTATCCCCTCGAAGCCCTCGCTACTACCGCGGTTTTGTTTGGTGGTATCATTTCCCACAAGCTCATCTCTGAGTTACCTCTTAAGATCGGGCTTGGTATGATCCTGGAGGCAGTGAGAGATCACGGTATTGACGACTCCATGTACAAGTTCGGACTTCAAGCCTTGATCCAGATCACCTCGCGTTTCAGGGAGTGGCCCGGGCTCTGCAAGCAGCTCCTCCAGATTCCTGGCTTGCGCGGAACAGACGCGTACAGAAAAGCCGAAGAAGCTGTGCTAGAAGATGAGGAGGATCGTGCACGCAATCAGAACGGCACTACAACTCCTAATCATTTAGTACCCGAACCAGTCTTGAATGGAACAACCGATGGCCCCGAAGCGCACACCTCCCCCTTTACGTCAATTAATGTCGATCCGCTTCCTCAGGGGATTGGCTTCGAGGATCCAATCGTCGACATTCAAGACAGAGTTCAATTCGGACTTAACAATCTGACGGCTTCCTCGTTGCAAACGACCTATAAGGAAATACATGACGTCTTAGATGAGCGGCACCAGAAATGGTTTGCTAGTCACCTCGTTGAAGAGCGAGCAAAGATGCAGCCCAACTATCACCAAGTATATCTTGATCTGGTGAAACTTTTCCAGAACTCGGATCTATGGTCTGAAGTGCTCCGCCAAACCTATATCAGTGTTTCTCGCATGCTGAATTCAGAGAGCACGATGCAGAACTCTACTGACAGAACTCACCTCAAGTACTTAGGCGCCTGGCTGGGTTTACTGACGATTGCAAGGGACCAGCCGATCAAGCACAAGAACATTGCTTTCAAGCAATTGCTCATTGAAGCCCATGATACCAAGAGATTAGTTGTGGTTGTACCTTTTGTGTGTAAGGTGTTGATACAGGCCTCAAAGTCGACCATTTTCCGGCCTCCGAATCCATGGTTGATGGATATTATCCATCTCCTCATCGAACTGTATCATCACGCCGAACTAAAACTCAACCAGAAGTTCGAGATTGAAGTCCTCTGCAAAGATCTTAACCTGGATCATAAGAGCATCGAGCCATCCAGCGAGCTACAAGATCGCGTTCCGGTTGAGGAGGTGATCGATATGGCAGCACAAGATCCTCTGGAGCATTTCGAGAATTTGTCTCTCAACGGAATGGCTGGCGCCGTTCCAGCTGGCCTCACTCCACACCCTATTCCTGTCTCGATCCCGGATATCAGCACTCTTCTTTCGATCCCACCTACAAACGAGATGGTTGTTAACAGCGTTCGTCTTCATGAGATCGTACGTACCGCCGTTACGAAGGCGCTACAGGATATAATCCAGCCAGTAGTCGATAGGTCCGTTACAATCGCTGCGATCAGTACCCAACAGATGATCCATAAAGACTTCGCTACCGAGCCCGATGAGAACAAACTCCGGACGTCTGCGATCAACATGGTCAAGGCAACTGCGGGCAGTCTCGCCCAAGTTACTTCCAAGGAGCCTCTTAGGGCTAACATTACGAACTACATGCGAAATGCCGCTACCGAACTCCCGCACTCGCTTCCTGAGGGCACAATTATTATGTGTGTCAACTCGAACCTTGAGCTTGCTTGTAGCGTCATCGAAAAGCAGGCTGAGGAGCGTGCTGTACCCGAAATTGAGGAGATGATCGAAGGCGAGATAGAAGCCAGGCGCCGTCACCGTGTGCAGCGACCCAATGAGCCCTACGTTGATCCTAGCCTTAGCCGATGGGCGATGACCATCCCAAATCCATACAAGCTCTCCCCGAGTATGGCTGGTTTGAATTCGGAGCAGATGGCGATCTACGAAGACTTTGCAAGACAGCCAAGAGGCGCCACCCAACCTGGGGCGGCTCACGCCTCGTCAGCATCGGACGCCACAAGGAACATTGCAAACGAGGTCCTTCAAGATTCGTATAGCTCTATACCAAGCCTCGCTACGCCGGCTGAGACCCCGTCTCTACCCCATCTAAATACGCAATTGCCCTACTCCCACGTACACGCCGGGATGCCTAACGGACGCCCCTCGGCCCGTCCCGTCGATGGAAGAGGGCTAATGGAGAGGGTTGAAGGACTCTTGACCGAACTCAAGCGTACTGCCACAGCATCAGAGGAGGAACATTTCGCCGATCTGCCTAGGCTACACCCGGTTTTAGATATTATCGACATGTTCACTCAACTTATTATCAACACGTCGCAGAATTCGGACGAGTTTGCATTCTACGCAGCTGAGAAGATTTGCCAAGCCCTCTTTAGCGGAGTAGACAACACTCTCTTCCTTGATTGCCTCGTCCATGTTCTGGAACAATTGTTAAAGATTGCTGCTAGTTCTGGCACTGCATTGCACGACCGTGTTCAGATCAGCTTCTATCAACAGCCGCCGCAGCACATCCTCAATATTTCGCTGATAACCGCTCTCCTCCCGACAGATTTCCTCGATCTGCACAGTATTGACCAGATGACAGCCAAGATGCTGGTACAGAGAGAGGAAGTATACTTGGAGTTCTTTGATAAGCTTCTCGACTTGACGTTGTTCAACGACCGCCCCATGGCTCTTTTTGCAGATTTCGTGGGAAGCTTAGAGGCTACATGGGAGTGGATCAATGAAGACCCTAACCTCGAACTCGGTCAGCGGTTGAAATCGAAATTCCTTAGTTCTGGCTTGACAAAGCCACAGACTCAAGAGGCCCCGGACAGCACCGGACGATTAGACCAATTCGAGTATATCTTTGACGAGTGGATTCGACTGTACAATAATTACAATACTCCAGAAAAGGCGCAGACCGCATTCGTGAGACAGATCCGAAGTAGGGGCATCATCGCAAGCCGAGATGACTTCCTGATATTTGTGCGAAGAGCCATTGACTTGACAGTCAATTATTACGAACAGGTTTCGCACGCAGGAGGTACTAGCAGTGAAGCTTTTACCACTATAGATGCCCTCATAAAGATGGTCATAATATTCGCCAAGGAGAGTGCAGTGGAATGCGAGAATCGCAAGGATGGGCTCCTCGCTATTTTAGGAGCAGTTACGTCACTCATTGCTGTCGTTCTTAACCATCATCATGTAACGAGAGGCGAACACTTCAACCAGAGAGCGTTCTATCGTCTCTTCTCTATGCTTATTCATGGTGCCGAGGCCACCTTCGTAGAGAACCCACTTTACGAATCAGGTCGACAAGAGTTCCTACTGCGAGTGGCCGATACGTTCTTGCAACTCTCGCCAGAGCGATTCCCTGGCTTTTCTTTCGGATGGCTAAGCCTCATAGGACATCGTCGTTTTATGCCTGACTTGCTCCTCCTCGAGTCGAAGCGTGGCTGGGTATCATACACTAAACTTCTCAAGTCCCTCCTAGGACATGTATCATCGCATATGAAGGCGATCGACGTAACGGATGTCGTTAAGGAGTTCTACCGTGCAGTCGTTAAACTTCTAGTGGTCCTCGCACATGACTTCTCAGACTACATGTCGGCCAATGCCGCACAATTATGCTTGAGCATCTCGCCTCATTGCACTCAATTGAGGAACATCGTCCTTAATTGTGGCCCGCGAGCGGACGCAGCAGACTCGGCTCCACAGGATTCACAAGGGGATACTGGCGCGAGCTTGGCATACTTAAGAGAGGTGGGTATGCTAGATATCCTTGAGCAACTCGTTCAGGACCAACCGTCCGAAGATGCCATCGCTCATCTTACGCATGCTATTAACAAAAGCAATGCGAATGATACGACATATGGCAACGTGCCTCTCGGCGTTGATCAGAGACTCATCGACAGTATCGTGACATTCGTTGGTCTTCATGCCGTTTCGAAGACCCGTCAAGATAGACCACTCTTCGTTCCAGGTACTCCGGATGTCGTGACGTTGTCTTTATTGGTGCATGAGTTACAGCCTCAAGCCCGATACTTCCTCCTTGGCAGCATCATCGACCGCCTTCGCCATTACAGTCCCGCCACTGAATACTTCAGTTACATTATCTTCGACTTGTTCGGTCAGGACATGAACGACCCTGAGGAAGCTGATATCCGCCAGCAGATTGTTCGTGTCTTGCTAGAGCGAATTGCTGGATTCTGGCCACAGCCATGGGGCCTTATGATGGTCATCATCGAGCTGGTGACCAAGGAGAAGTACCACTTCTTCGACCAGCCATTTATCAAAGCAGACCGTGACGTAAGTAATACCCTACAAACATAGCACCTATCAATTCTCGAATCTTCCAGGCTAACTTACAACAGATCTCGGACCAATTTTTGGCAATTGCCAGGCAGCATCCTCAATAGATGCTTAGCTACTATTCTTCAATAGGAGAAGTTCTCTCGTCGTTGACGTAAAATAAATGAACGACAATAATCAGGGGTCTATTGGTTGATGGAGACTTAGTGTACCTATGTACTAGGTCAGCCTAAACGTTGGAATCACTTTAACGGGAATGGGGTTCTTGACGAATGATACCATAAAGGCGTAAAAAAACGTGGTAGATGGCCTTTTGATGAGTGGCATTTCATGGCGCATGGGGGTGAATTATGGGCTTTCACGACTTCTGCAGCATTGAGCTGATGATTCGCGACATGAGAACTACGAACAATGCGTCTAATCTCTGTTGCAACCCGACGGCTAGTGTATTAATATATAGTGAACATGACTGGCTGACATAGGTCTGCTTTATCGCAATAGTGCATTCCTATGGCTTATTTAGTGCTTCACGACGTGCAGTGTAGATATTATTGTGTCATGAGTAGGTAGGAACGTCGCAATTTGAATATGTCACCAGAAAAAAACAGTCGCGAACTTCAAATATCTAATAATAATAGTTACGAACCACAAAATTCTTAGTCGTCCTTTCCAACCTGACGCTAAGCCTCTTGGTCGTGTGGTTTGCGATACTATTTACATGACAAGCCGTCGCTAGGTACTAACTTCTCTTTAGCAGGTGAATACGGAAGGACCTGCATCTATTGTTAGCTGCTTTCCAGAAACGTTTAAAATATAACCAACATACCAGGGATCTTGTAAGGGTTGCTGGTTCCTGGTGGTTTGCTGTAGATGTCGATGAGTAGGCCGGGGTCGCTGGACTATAGATGTATTAGCCAACGGATAACAAGAAAATAAATCGACCGTCTAGTTTTAGACTAGAGGAGTCAAGAGCTGGATAATTACCTTGTAGATGCCGGGGATGCTGGTCGTGGTTGGTGTCTTTGTTGCCTTGCCGCCAGTTATGTTGATCTGGGCGCATTCCATCTGAAATAACGACTTCGTGTCAATGATGTTTTTGATCCAAGAGTTCTTCCCAACATATAACTCTCGTAAGATGTTTCAATATCACCGGGATGGAACTCACGTAGAGCTGCGCGCCGTTCACCGATCGGGCGCCGTGCAGGGCTATCATCTCGGCTCGGAGGAGGTACTGGCCATCTTCGATGCACTCGGGGATCTTGATCTGCTGGTTCCCGCCATTGTTGATGACGGTGTCGGTGCCCCATTTTCCGTTGCTGTAGCCCTCTTCCTGGATCTTGAACCACCCGTTTCCGACGCCGTTGTCTTTGGTTGCGTCCGAGACTTTCTTTAGGTACGCCATTACGGGTCCCTTGTGGCCTGGGTCCATGACGTCGTTGGCTCCGGCTGTTTGGATTCGGGGTTTGGGTTAGCGAATCCGTCGTGCGAAGGAGAAGGTTGTGTAGGTAGATCGCCTTACATTGCAGCGTGTGTCGCCAGATGGCGCCTACGGTCTCGCCTGCCTTTACGTCGATGATCTTGTCTGAGGGCATGGTCGGGTTCGGTGGGCCGTTGCAGGCCATGTTGTTGCCGTTGACGTTGCTTTGTGGCTATATCATGTCATATTAGTTACTTCATATCACTTCTTGGAAGCCGTATGTTGTCGTACGCACCCCATCGTATGAGGGAGTCCTGATAGCATGAGATACAGCTAGATTTGGCGTCAGTATCTTGCATTTTTATATAGCAGAGGTGAGCGAGAGGATTGTACTTACGGTAGGTCTGCGCACTCGTTTTGAGTTGGCAGAAAATGGTGTGGCCTGAGGCTACAGAAGCCAGGAGGGCAGTGGCACTGACGTTGGACAACTTCATGGTGTAGAACTAGGTACACGTCTACAGATAGAAGGTTTCCGGTGTTGAAGTATTTCGAGGAAGAGGTCCTAACTTCCGAATCCAGCGACTGCCAGCTTGACATATATACCATCAAGAGCTCTTCTTCCCAGGTCATCTTAGTTCCATCATTTGTGTATATCGCATAGTACGCACAGCTCAACTTCACCATTTCGAGAGCACTCGAGACCCATTTTACTCGTCTTTATCGAATGAGATCTTGACATAGGAGAAGCGAGAGCGGCGCAAAGGCTTCCGTGGCGGATTGGGGATCGATTGGTGCCCGTAAATAGTATATAGCCGCATACTATTAATATACTTTTCCACAACGCCAACGATAAATTTGGGCTTCCCCGGATTTATATATCTTCGGTTCAGGAGGAGGGAGGCATTTTCTCCGCAGCAATGCACCCCGGATATGCCAAGATGTCATTTCCTGGGGATTTCGTTCGTATGAGGGATATGAAACTCAGGTTGAGCTTGGATATCTTATTATCTACCTACAGCAAGGAGAATTTCTTAGTGAAGCTGGATGAAGCTCTAGTTAGATGATGGGAAAATAGAACGTATTAAATAGGGTTCGTGTTGAATTTCTACTTTATGAACAAGTATAGTTACTCCTTGATTAAGATAACATGTATAGTGCGTCTAACCTATGCGATTTCATACATTTTGAATGTCCTTTGATCCGAAAATAAAATATCATTAGATCGTCCTCCTTTCGTGAATAGGTACCTACCTAGATGTGAATAATGAACGCCTCAATATGACTTCAATACGCAGCGTTATCATGCTATTTTATTGGTGATCATGATGAGATACTGCAATGAATAACAAATCATCGTCACCCCTGATATAGAAAGGGTTTCCAAGAAGAAAAAAAAGCCTTGATAGAGCCGTCCGGAGCTATAGTAAAGGTAGATATCATGTGTAAGCACAGTCATGCCAACCCGGCCATGGGGTTCAATCGAGTAGGTAGCTAATTTTTCATAAATTAGGAGCTTGTTATGTTATACATGTTTCGTCTAGTGAGAATTATTCGATTGAAGCACTCCTCAGGGGACCATAACCTTAGGTAGTGTTAGCAGAGCAACTATTACTCTAGAGTTCCATGTAGTTTCCTATTTGTAGATGATCATGACCTCCGAAGTAGATATTCTCCCTTGAGCAAAAACTTTTAACGTGCGTTATGCATATAAACATTTGATGTTACAGAATATATCCACTTTAGCAGGGCTACTTAATGACACACAACATTACTTGCTACGATATTAGGCAGTGGACAGACGGGTTACTAAGGATAAAGCGTTGTGACTTCTCATAGATGGAAATGTATTACGTTACTTGTGAAAGTTTTTAACACTTCTAAGAGGTCTTCATGGGGTTGGCACACAAGACGAGAAACAATAGCTCGCCAGCTTATAGCCTACGTGGAATATCACATCATACATCGACGAGTATATGATAGGTCTTCAGAAGGATGGACCTAATGATTGGTCGTTAATAACGGGTGCCTGCATTCGGATACCTTTTCGGCAGGTACCTAGGTTCCAAGCTGAGGTGTTCGTGCGTAAACTAACCTGCTAACAGTTAATTCAGCATATAGGGCTGGACTCCGAGTATTCATATTCGAATATGACTTAAGGTTCGATGCGTCTTGTAGCTCGGATGTATCTAGTAATTCCGTTTTTAAACTACGAACCTATGCAGCTCCCCGAATACAATCCCAATCCTCTTGTCTTAAGGCTATTCTAGATGGAGGAGATATCTTGAGCACTCAGCTCTCAAGACCGACCCGCATAGGACAGCCAGCGAACATGTTGGTATCACGACGGGGTTAACTCTAATACAACAAATCGCAATATCTTAGGTAATTACTAGAAATCTTTGAGAATGTTTGGATTAATTTGTTTGGTTAGACTTTTATTCTCGCGTCCTACCTTTGCACATGCTATACTAGTCGTGATCCTACGTGTATGTTATCGGCCGTAGTACTACCCCCGTAGCTACCAATGAGTATCGACACATGTCACCAATCCAAACTATTCGTAATTGATCCATATAACCGGCAGCGAATTGAACCATGGTCCGTGTTGAATTGGATAACAATGGAAGAATCCAGAGTACCCCGCCACGGTGCTGCGGTGTCGTTTACTGAGCTAAGTAATTGGGATTGGAGATAAGTCAATGTGGTGCATTGTTATTCCAGCATCTCCATGATAAAAACGACTACTTGTCGGATTTGAAGTAGGATGAAATCCTTTGGTCATGTCCTTCCGATCCGGGTGGGGCGCGGGTAGTCGGCGTGTTGAGATACACTTCCGGGTCCGGTCGGGATGAAAAATCTCTTTCTTTAGGGGATTGCAGATGAGGCTTGAGGGCTTGAGTCGGGATTCAAATGATTAAAGTATCTATGAGCGCGAGGCTTGAGCTGATATGTAGAACCTCCAGGGCTGCATCTAGCTATCTAATAAGTGCTGTATGATAGGTAGAAGACTGACTAGTACCTTCCTGGATCAACGCCCCGGCCGTCCGGTCGACCCGGGAGTGTGGATACGGCAGTGGGTGCTGTTGCGCGGCAATTGATTTATGTAATTGGTTATTGCTGCCGTATGAGCTCCTACCTGATCTAAGTGGGCTTTCCTAAGTGGTCCTTTTGATCCAAGACAGTCTCAGGACGGCCTAGACCTACTATGTACTTGGGTACTTATAATAGTACCGGTCGGGATCCATCTCAGCTCAATCGCCCCACTTGCTAAAACAGTGGCAGAGTGGCACGAGCTTTTGAGATCCCGTTCGCTTGCACGATTTCCGAATGAGGGAGATCAACCGTCATCTGGTTGGTTGGCTGGTCGACTGAGTGGAAATGCCTTGACGTGTGTCGAATTAAATAATGTAAAAGAAAATGTAAGGTGGTCAGACGAGCAACTCACAGACCATAATACTCCGTAGGCTGCCAGGTAAGTGAGAAGGTAGGCAGGGAGGTATTACACATTCATTATACGAAATACCTAATAAGCAACACTTTCACCTATTTGCCTTACTGAGCAACGAGTCAAGATGGATGGCGATAAGTTTCGGTGACTTTAGGCAGATGCGAGTCAGGCTCTCACTTTTAATACGCCGCGGGCTGCGTGGTCGAGTCTTGACGCTGAGGGCAGGTAGGGATGGTTGGGGTATGACGATTTGAATCTGAGTCGACTTGGGAGCCTTGAAAGGAGCTTTGGTCACCTTGATCAAGGCTTGCTTTTTGAAAAGTCCTGGGTTGGCTTCCAGGGTTGTAGAGGGGCTGAGGGGAACCTTGCAAAGAAAAAGAGAGAGAGGGAATTAGAGGGGCTGGCAGGTAATTCTTATTTTAATTAGGGTTCCGAAAGTCAGGAGGAGATTCGTTGACAAAAGCCGCACTTTGGCAATCATGACTCTGTGATGAGCATAGGATTGACAAGTACGATGTGCTACATAGCAAGAAACGATCCAATCATGTGTCGCGTATTTGGGGAAGTTTCTCGCGTGAGGGAAACCGTACTTGTCCTTCTTCTTACATAGATATTACCTCTTAACGTCATGCAAAGCTCCGCAAGTTTCAGATTGGTCTAGTCTCATCCACAAGAAATGGTACTTCGTTTTTTAGGTGCAGTCGTAGCGTCCCGTAGCGTTGTAGTGTACATATCACACGTACCGAGGGGCTTGGACCACATTTAGTACGGGAATCTTCCGGTTTTCATCCACTTTAGGAATCTAGAGAATCCATAATTGGCCATGATTGGTACAACAGCGTTAAAACCTGGATACCTGGGGTTGCTGGGTTCGCTGGGTTCGTCAGCCATGCATGTAAGCCAACCCGCCCTCTGACTGCGCACAATAAAATAATTTGTGCCATTCGCGGCACTTGGTTAGTCGCTGTGGATAGGGGGGATTGGAGAAAAGTGAACCTCTATCACGTTCAGATCTTGGATTGGTAAATTAAACAAGAGAGGTATGGAGAGGTGGAACATATACGTAAGACTTCTTGTTACATAGTAAATATCGGCGACAATGAAGTAGCCATACAATATATTGGGTATCGACGAGTGTGTCGGTCAAAGTAGAGTCCAAAGTCCAATTGAGTCTAAAACCCATAACTGCATGTACATATGTACCTAACTACTAGGTAGATGTAACTGCCCTGCTCTACCCTTGTATCCCTGCTAGCACACCAAATCGAACTTTTTTTTTCTCTTTATTTTTTTTTCTTCATTTCTATTTTCGATATTTTCTAAAGAATTTTCTCTTTACTATGTATTAGCCTCGTATGACATTAATGCTTCTCCACCGCTTTATACTCGTTTGAATTTTCTATTTCCTAATGGGAAGCTAGTAAGAGAATGTGGAATGATGAAGCCGAGAAAAAAACGACAACTTGATCCATTTAAAGCACTTTGGGCTGTTTGGGGTCGCCTAACCTGCAAAATGCATTGCCTGCAGATATACAAAGTACATGTTGCTTACCGCCTCTTTCTGCTAGGTTTATACCCATGTGGCGCGATCTTGAAAGTAAACAGATCATGCGAATCTGCCACCGACTATTCGACTCCTGCTCCTGTTGCTGGTAGACCCTGTTCATCATGGCAACCTCGGACAATAAATAACGAATACAATAGTATGAACTAAAAACAAGAACACACAGTACTAGGAACGTACATTCTAAGCTATTCGTCAGTTCGTTAACGTTTGAAGTGGCAACCTCTTGCGTAATAATGGGTAACGGCAATAAAAAGAAGAGAAGGATGGAGCTCGGAAGCACGGTCGAAGGACCCTTAAAAATCGAAGGGAATAAAGAAAAAAGGTTTTCTGGTTGGTTTTTTACGGCAACAGCCAGCCCAAAATTTGGTCCAGCCGTTAAAGCCAAGCTTAGGTCTGATTGGTGTCATACTTCCAAACGGGGCAATTGATGCACAAGGGATGATCCTTGACTACAACTCTGGGGCCAATGTGTACTTGTGGAAGAACAACCCTCTTTTCAATTCTGGTATGGCATTCGTAGCAAAATCGAGTTCCCTGCGCAGGTCCAACGCAAGTCACTGCCAAGGTCACTCCGATTTTTCTTCCCTTCTTCTACTCCCCTGTCAACTGCCTGGGTTCTAAGGTGGGCAGGGTGGGTTAAGGTGGACCTTAGGGATGCTTGCTGTTCACACGTACCGTTTGTACAGTACCTTCCCCCTGTTCATCCGTCCATCACCCCCCGGGTGAGGAACATTCCTCAGCTCTTTTTTTTTTTTTTTTTTTTTGTCCCATCTATCATACATACAAACATAGACTAGGCGTCTCGTTCTCTCAAGCCTTCTCGCCGCCTTCCTCCCCCCAGTTCCCAGTTCAACCCAGGGTCCAACTCTTTTCTTTGCTTTTTAAATCTTTCGATTCGTCGGTTCAACATCGCCGTCACAATTCTCGGTTTTATTTTCCCACCGCCTTTCTTCGTCTCTCGTCTCGCCTCGGATCCCCTGTTGGTCTGTTCCTCGATCTACCTTACAAGATATACCACGGACCAACGCGTGGTGTCATTATCGTTATCCTCCCTCCTAATATTCCCCAATCCCGTCCTATTCCTACTCCCCTGTCTTACCTTACTCGCATCGCAACTCCCACCTTCGAGTTTATTGTGAGCTGGATCTAAGAATCTCTCCGTATACTCGATTCATGCATCGACCGATATAGAATACCTATCTAGATACACTTGCGCCGTTGCTACTTAATCTTATCCATCGTGTCTCCTCATCATCTGCCCACCATGCCGTACAACACCCGTCGCAAATCGTTGTCGCTGCCGTCACTCGGAATCCACATCCCAGTAAATCGATCTTCGTCTAATAATTCTAGTATGGCATGCTCTAGATCATCCTCTGAGAGCTCGTCGCACCCGAACAAGAAGATTAAACGGTCTCACAACGACACTGCATCGTCTGCTAACTCTGTACCTGCCTTTAAGTCGGTCGCTACGCCTATCAAATATGACCGCACGCCGCCGCCCTCGCCTGGGCTAAAAACCTCCATCGAGATGGATGAATCTGAGCTATCGGTGCTATCCGAATACACAGAGATTAAGAAAGTCGACTTAGAAGGCATAAACGATGAGATCGTCGAGGCTGTCATTGTGCGACTACAGGAAACCCGCAACCGACCACATCTAGTAAAGGAACTAGCCACCATTCTCATAGATCAAGTCAAAATAGTACAACAGTATGTTCAGTCCGATGACTTACCCTCCCACGTCTCATTCTAATATGATTCTTAGGTCCGCGAACCCTTGCGCTATCATCTCTTCCCGACTGTCTACATATTTGAAGCGATCATGTTGGTCTGCTATAGCTCCTTGTCCTCTGGCTAAAGAGCTAGAGACTGTCCACCCTCGGCGCACATACTTTTACCTAACAACCTGCCCTCATTTACCTCTACCAGACCCTTCCGCGCAACGCGCAATCATTACACCATCACTATCAAGCTCGGCATCTACTTCTGAAGATGCTGACTGCGACCGAAGCAGAGAGCTTAGTATGTCGCCTGAAGTAGATCTCTCATCGCCCGAGTTTGATGATATGGATGAAGATATACCGATGCCAGGCACACCGATGGGCTCAGTATCAGGGCGCCACCGGCCACTTAACGTGCCGCGCAACCAAAGAGGAGAGGAGCCCCCGCTAGAGAAGGACGAAAAGGAGTTTACACAAACAGCAGACGGACTTCAAAAGCGGAAGGCTAGCGGACATCTTCTTCGAGCTGATCCCCTTGACCAAGTGTCGATAGACGACGGCATGCAGAATGAGCAGCTCTTTGGCGAACCTCCCAGGACTCTTGCGCCTTCTCTGCTACCGCATATGGCATTCTTGACTAGTCCAGCAATGCGACCTAGTTTGATAATAGCGACGAAAAGAGACCATGAAGCCGAGAATTGGACCAAATTAGACGCCGCTCTTGAATGGGATAGGAGTCCCGAGACTATTGAGCTGGATGAGCTTGATTGCTTACTCGACGACTTCTAAATGCTCATTCTTAATGGGCTAATATCTTTACCTCTCCTAATTATTTGATGACCACTGGATGATAGGTTAATACGTGCAGCCGGCACGCGTTAGCCTTGTATGATGATGGAAGAGACGGCCGCGTTGACGAACCAAAAAGGAGTTGGGGCGAGATGGCGCTAGTCGGTGCATTTGATTTTTATTTGCTTGCTATTTCCCGCGTTCTGCATCTATTCCTTATTTCGTGCCATTTATTTCCCGATTAGATGATTGCGCGTCTATGACCGACATAGTTGGTTGCTGGCTAAGGGGGATGTACGAATATCATTAGACGTAGCGCTTAGATTATGACAGGGGATGGGCCGCATGATGAAGGCCTGGGGTCCACGGCGAAGTGAAACATCTCGTTTCTGAAGCGAACGGAGAGGGGAAGAATAGCTGCGTCGTTTGTCGCCTGATTTCTACAAAAACTGGGAATCAATCTGTACAAGTAGAAGACCTCAAAAGAAGCTGGCAAGAATGTGGCCGGTTAGCTAGAGCGCTTAGATCTTAGTTGGATGATGGACTTTTACAAGGCGGGCTGGAATAAAAAAGGAAAAACGGCGCCCAAAAATGCGAAAAGAAATCCCCGATCAATTTCAATTATCTGATCTGATGCTATTGGTGATAACTTGTATTCCTGAAGTGTGAATTCAGAGTTGAGACTTATTGGTGAGATTGAATTGGCCGTGAAGCTATTGTAAATATAGACTAAGGGTAGATACAGAGTGATATCGCGATCACAGAATAGATCTAATCTATAGTCCAACTTTTATACATCAACACATCTAGCGTCGTATCGCATATATCTTTTTTGTACAACATCGGGGTATTGATAACCCTCTGTATCCTATCTATATGAAGACGTCATATCGACCATCCCTCTTATTTCTCTTCCTTCTTCGGCTTACCACTGCTAATAGACATCCACGATGACCACCAGCCCGTCGTTGCTTTCTGTTCCTTACTCGCCTCACCACCATCGAGAACATTGGCGGTCTGAGTGGCGGCAGCGGCAGCGGCAGCTGCAGCAGCCACATCCCCGCGAACGCGCATCTCAACTAGGATATGCGTGCCCATAGTAACCCACCCCGGGCGCTCGAGGCGCACGACTTCTAGTCCGGGCACCACGCGCTCGGCGGCGCGCACGATGACTTCGATGTCCCGGTTCCACCAGCACCCGAAGCGTTCGAAGTGGGCGCGCGAGCTGCGGTCCAGAAACCCGTTGATCAGCTCCCACCAGCTGCGGCCGTGCTCGAGGAGGAGAATGCGTCCCGTGTCTGGCGTCAGGGAGCCGGCCATCGTGGCGAGAAGCTGCACGGGATCACGGACGGAGCAGAGGCCGAAGGTTTGCACGATGGTGTCGTATTTTTGGGATGGCGAGGGGGATGCTGGGAGCGCTTCTTGGGCGTCGGATTTGAGGACCCGGAGACGGTTGTTGGCGAGGGTCAGGCTCGGGTTGTTGTCGATGCTGGAGGTGGCGAGGAGCGTGAAGGAGGGCTTCTTGGGGATTTGAGAGACCATGTGCGGGACTACTTGCCGGATCCGCGTTAGGGCTAGGTCGAGCATTGCTGGTGAGATGTCTACGCCGGTGAAGCTGAGGATGGCGTTTTTGCTGGCGGGTTGGGGTTTGGCCTCGGCTTGGGGCGGTGGTGTTGGTTTGGTTGGTTTCTCCCCAGCTTTCACTGCGGGGTTCTCTTTCTCGTCAGACTTCTTGTCTTCCTGTTTCCCACCGCCTGACCAACTTAACCACCCCGACTTCTCCTTCTCCTCCGCGGGTTCGAGGCCTTCCGTCACGACACTCCAGTCGTAATAATCGAAGTTACGACCGGCACCGACGGCGACCTCGAGCACGTGACCGCGAGCACCCACGGAGGCGATGCGGCGCCGCAGCTTGGTGATGCCGAAGCGCGACTCTGACTTATCTAGGTGCTGGTCGAATTCCAGGGGTGACTGGATCGTAGGCCGGCCCGTCGGCGTCTCGGGCTCTTGGCCTGGTAGCCAGTTCTCGGCAGGATGGCTCCGCCAGTACGTGATCATTGATATTGAGAAGAAACCTATACATACTGCCGCGGCGCCGGCACCGAATAGGGGGAACCATCGGCTCCGGACTAGCTCGGAGATAGGTCGTCGTTTGTCTTCATACCCCCCTGATGAAGACGACGACGAGGATGAGGATGAAGACGAGGTGGATGATGTGGATGAGGGTGTATGTCCGGGTGGAGGTGGGGGTGAAGTGGGTGATTTCGTTGTGGGAGTAGGGCCTGGGGTCTGTTTAGAAGTTTGGTTTGGGGCTGGTTTTGGCTTTACTGGTTTAAAGGGGAGTTTTGGGATAGCTGGCGGCAGTTTTGGTGTTGGTTTTGATGCTGGTTTTGGTGGTAGTGATCGCTGCTGCGGCAATTTCTTAGCATAACCCCTACAGCTACCTTCTACCCATCTGAGACTATTCCCACCCCTGATGCATCCACGCATCGCAGCGCTCGTTGAAGAAGCATGACCGCACAGAGGCGGCATCTTGATCTACTTTAGTCTGCTGATCGTATAATGAATCTAATTCCTGCCTCTAGGGGATCGTACACCTCGGTACGTTAATGAAGTGAGGTAATGAGACCAGTAGATACGCAATGGACTACCCGATCCATCCTATGAAATCTCGATACTAGAGAGAATTGCTAAACCGTAGGACTTTAAACTAGCCACTTAGGTGTCGTTCCGAGACAATTTCCCTATGTTCAGGAACGGGTAACAAGAATGCCAATAGCAATGATGTTCGTCCTATATGGAACCGATGACGACAATGTCGATGCAGATCTCACGATCAAATGATATCTCGACTTTGGAGCGGAATTTTCATGGCTGATCTGATTTTGGAGAAGTACCGCGATGTATTCATGTATACAGTATATACTTGTAAAATTTCATTGAGAAAAACTGTGTCACTTACTAACGCTACTGCAGGGATTCTCCGGCAAGATTGCGGGGCGCGATGTGCAGGCAGAAGCTCTGACCAGACAACCAAGGCCTTGGAAGCTTCAATGCAGCTTACGCATAGTACTGAATCGTAGATTAATCATCAAATCTAAAGCTTGACGCGCTTTCCATCGAATTTAACGCGCTCAATCTAATCCGAGACTTCAAAAACTTAAATCTTGTTTCTATATTTGTGCTATGTTGTACGAGCTTGACACTGATTTTGATCATGGCCTCCCCGCAAGATCTTCAGGAGTTAATGCGACTCATGACTATCGGCATGAGGATTCCTATGAAAGATGCCATGGGTCGAATCAAAGAGTTGCAAGCAAAAAATCTCCGTAGGTATGTACTATGTATGGTTTGAAGATCGCGGGACATATTCTGCATTTCAAATTACTTGTAAATAACTAGTGCAGTATTCAACAGATAGCCGAGAGTTCTCTCGCAGATGTTACCTCTGCCATTAAGGACGCCAAAGCTTCACGATCCCTTCACAACGCTTGTAAAGCCCGGCTTAAGAATCCAACGGCAACCAAGCGTTCAGGCTCTAGCCTCGAAAACGTATCGAAACGATCGAAGCAGCTTAGAGATGGAGAGCTCGTCAATGGACCAGAGCTTCTTTCCCCGCAAGAGGTAGAAGCATCATTTACCCTGCCAGTAGAAACCGATGAACAGATAATTGCCGATACTATACTCGTGACGAATCGCACCCCACTAGTCCTTGCTTTCACCGTTGAACTCTTGCGCTATACGATGCCTGAACAACCCCCTTCTAGTCGTTTAAGTTTGGCACAGGCTGTCGTAAGTGCTAACTCGAGAAGCAAAGCTGTCTCGCTCGGCATCGAGAACGGTCCTAGCGCCGATGAGCAAGGTTGGGGTCATGGTCAGCCTAGAGTTAGAGTAATGAGTCGTGAGGTGACAGTGTTGAAAAGAGGCGGCTACGAATGGAAAGGGGACGAAGAAGTAGGAGACCATAAACTCGAAAATGACACAACTGGCAATCATAGCACTACATCAAGCGCGACGGTGACAGGCACTAGCCAAGATGCAACACCTGAAATACCCATCAATCCTGTATCGAAGTCGTGGTCAGTCAGTCAACCAGTAACTCTGAAACAGTCAACATTCGTAGTTCGAGCAATTCATATCACCAAATCCTCCGAGCGCCAGTCGACGATGCAGTCATTATTTACCGCAATACCTTCTCTTCAGAACGCGAGTCACAATGCTTGGGCGTACCGACTTCGAGTACCTACAAACTTATTTGGTGCAACTACGATTAAGGAAGAGTCATTTGATGATGGCGAGAGTGGCTGTGGCGACTTTTTACTCAAGAATATGCGAGAGTTGGATGCTGTTGACACACTCGTGGTAATGACTCGTTGGTATGGCGGCATCATGCTTGGTCCTGATCGGTGGCGTATAATGCGAAATTGTTTAAAGGATGCGTTAGCAGAACGTCTTCGAGTTACTGGGGAGCAGGCCGCTTTGGGTGGTGAAGCTGTATGGGGCTTGGACCTTGAAGCCATGAGAAACAAACCCGGATCTACCGGGTCGACATCAAGTAGATCGTATGAAGCAGGTGTCGTAGGTATGCCCATTCACCGACCCGAGGCAGCGAAAGCATATCTTTATAAGAGCTTTGCTACGAGAGTGGACTTCCCCGATGACGGCGTGGCTGGATCCATCGCCACGGAAGGGCCGGCCGATCAAATAGCAGAGGTGTCTGCTTCAAAGAGCGGTACTTCAGCTAGTAAATCTATGGTTAAGAAGAAGACGACTAAGGTACTACAACTAGAGAAGGAAGAAAATGTCGCTAGATTACTCGGCGCCATACGTCTCTTGTATGACAGCTGGGTAGATCACCTTACCATTGGTGAGCTCGACAGAAGAGCTTGGGGTTGGTATGTCGCCGTACGACCTGAGGTCGAAAGTGGACCTTCTGGTTGGGGAGCTAAAGGGCAGCTGAAGCTCGCCACCATCCTTGCCCTTCGAAGAAAAGAAGGATGAATGAAGATACCCAATTATGCACAAAAACACGTTACTTATCTAGGGCCAATTACGTACAGAGTGAGAATTGTCAGACCTAGCCCATGCAGCTATGGTCCAAATTCCTAAAACGTATACCGAAGTCTCACTTGCCAAATACAACTTGAAGCTCTTACCGGACCGATTATTAAGATCATAGCTCTAAAGAGGGTGGTTCGTATAAATCCATCTGCCTACCTACCTAGTACCTATCTATGTCCGATCAGCTGTCTTTTTCCCTTATAACTTCTACACAAGAGACCAGAATAGCCCATTGAGCGAATTTCAGATTGATAAGAAGATACAGGGAAAAGGGGTATAGAGAGAATGTAAGTCTACCAAAACACCAACTATTTACAGAAAAATGGCTACTAAAAAATAATTTGTCGATCTAGGCTTAACTGCTAAATTGTGTGTCCACTACTATTCGACGACTTCCTCCTCTCACTGCCCGAGCTTCGTGGGAAGCTTATGGTGGCTGCGCTTCTTCTCTTGGGTGGAAAGAAACTCAACAAACTTTTGATCTCTTCGCCTGCTAACCCTGCATTCTTCGCGGCGGTAGAGGCTGTTCGGCCATCCACGTCCGGTATATTTGGATCAGCACCGTGAAGTAGCAACAATTCTACGATATGGATCTTCCGCGATTGTTGAGCTACAAAATTGATAGCTACGATGAGTGGCGTACACTTTCCTGGCCCCGAGATATTAGGCTTGGCTTTACCAGTTGATAATAGCATCTTAACCATATCCTCGTTCCCTTTCTCGCACTACAGCAACTAAAGTCAGCAGTTTTCAAGAAGGGGGGCAAGAATTTTCGACGCTACATACTGCTAGGTAGAGCGCAGTTTTACCAAGACCGTCAGGACGGTCAATAAGACTGGGACAATATTTGAGGAGCATTTCGGCAACTCGTACACCTCCCTGGCCTGCCTGGCACCGATGCAACGGCGTCGCACCATTCCGATCCACGACGTCAGGGTCAGCGTGATGTTCAAGCAGCAAGGCACATGAATCTCGATTTCGCGTCCCAGCCGCTACATGCAGCAATGTTGATCCTGATAGATCGCGCTGCTCTACAGCATGTGCCTCGTTTGACAGCATATGACTCAGTATTTCAATGTTCTCTTTCTGGGTTGCCCGATGTATTGGCATCGTCTTTATTGCTGGATCATAGGAACCAAATCTGAATGATTCATCATCTACATTCACTGCGAAATGGAAGGTTAGTAATTGCTACATGTGAAATTTCTGGTGTGGCATTCTATCATGGACACTAATAATTCGAAAGACGCTCGTTTTCTGGAGCCCGATATTGAATTGATTTTCGAGTTGTACTTACTGCCTTGCTCTTTACACCATTGATAGGCGCAGGTTAGGTCGATACTGTTATCTCGCGACACAGTTGGTGGCGACGGGAGCGTAGCATTTGTATGCAACTCCAGCCTAATCCACTCGCGGAGTCCGCGCGCCTCGTCAAGTGCCTGGGTTTCCTGCAGAACCTGAACAAGCATTTCTGCTGACTCTTCAACAAGCTTACTTGGTACGGGATTCATTTTCTGCCGGCCTTCGAGAGCACGGGTTAGGAATTTTCGCGCTTGCACGGTATTGCCTTGCCTGAAGAAGATATTTCCTAATTTGTGATATAATCTGGCTCGCCGGTCGTCGTTTATCTGATCTGCTTCCCGTTTGACTTCCTCGTCAAGCAGATTCCTTAGCACAATTTTAGCTTCTAGGTCAGTCTCGTCGCTTTCAGATTGCAAGAAGATGTCTGCTAGTTCCTCTTTCATGTCCGTGAGGTTTTCGGTCGAAACATGGTTCAAATCGGATCTGGCTGGGACTTGGTCATCAGACTCGGCCGGTGTTTGGATTCCCAGTAACTGTTCCATGAGTTTGATGCCTCGCTGCTGATACGAGGCAGCTTTGACAAAGAGGCCGCATTTCATCAAGTATTGTACGATTTCTTGGTTTGCGTCAAGTTGACACTCGAGAATCTTGTTATTGGGCACATCCTCATACTCTGGTTCCGGGTCATACGTGTCTTCCTCATACAGTGGTAATGTTTCGACACTCATCAATGATTTCGGAGGGACGGAGCCCGAGTCAACAGATGCACCATCGAAATCATTGAGAGACACTGCAACCGCTATATCGTCGGCTGTCATACGCCAGTCGCGGATTTCTTTTTCTAGCGAGCTCTCCTCCAGAACATCCTCTCCAGCTTCGGACCCAGCGCTGTGTAGGTGTATTGATGGAGGGTGTCCTTTCTTTATACGACCTGAAGAGAGATACGGAGACATCCGGATAGCGTCAGTCAGTTTTCGGATCTCGTTTTCGATTTGCTTCTGAGACCTCGTCGTTTCCCATATTGCACCTAACGAGATTGTCGTCAGGCTTAGTTGCAGGACGGCCTTATACGAGCTAATGTGCTGGATCAAATCCTTGATACGCTCGTCTTGTAGACATTTTTCAATAGTTAGCCGTATTCGCTCGAGAGGGTATGGCTTGTCTTTGAGATCCGGAAGCTCATCGGCGAGCGTCTTTAACGAGGTGTGGCATGACTGGATAATTCGATGGATTTTTTCGTGGTGATCACGTTCGAAGGGTAGCAGCTTCGGTCGCTTCTCTAATATGTTTTCTATGTCGCTTACAACTGATCGCAGGTCGGATATCTCATCGTGTACCTCCCGGATGGTATCATGGATGTATTTAGTCTTTATGATGAAGCGACTCAAGCCCTTTGCGAGAGACCCGGCCAACTGGACGAGCTGTGACACCCCACTAATGGCGCTTATTACATCCATACTGTGGGTGTTCATGTTAATACCCTATCGAGACTCCTATATGACCTGGGCAGAGATAGCATTCTCGCAGTTCTTTGGATCGAGCTTGCGAATATAGGTCCACCTACTAAGTCATATTTTGAGATTCAATATAACCTGGTTATTGGAGTCCTTGCAGGCTATAACGTATTTTTTTAATGCTTACCTACAGGATGGTGTGGCCGGAAAGTCGAGAGCAGACAGGGTCTGATTTTACATATTTGGGGTCAATTTGAGACCAAGCCACGTACATGACTAGCCTATAAGATGGATGTGAATGCTGGCAGGATTAGCCATCCTACCGACTTAGGTCATCGGATCACACCTAGGTAAAGACTCGTTGTGTTACCCTACGTACCCTCCGGCTGTCTACCTCCTACAAACCTTGGAAGCTAGTTCTCAGGCTTCCGTTATTGCTAGCTTTCCTCATCCAGCCCTACCATATTCGAGGACTACGTCACTTGATACACTGCCCCTTTCGTCAGCGAGGAATGGATGTGTATTCGATGAAGGGCCAAAGCCGAAGGAAAAGCGCCACCCCCCTTACATAAGTCTTGGGGAAGACCTTCTTCATAATTGCCTATTTCTTTCCAGCACAGGCCTGCATCAGCCACCACAATAATTCTGCTCAAAGGGATACTATAAACCCCACACCAGAATCTTACCCAAGCAGAGCCTACGACTGGGGGCGGCACCAGTCCGCTCTGTAAGGCTAACGATTATGGTTGGTTTAAATCGAGTTTGCTTTCATATGATCACCACAGGGTCACCAACTTTGCGATCCTATGCAGAAGTATGGCCTCTAGTCCGCAACTAAACACGGCTGACATGCACCTAGTGAGACGACGCATATACGGACCAATATCCTCTTCTCAATATGTGGCTAAGCCTCTGGCTGCCCGGTGTTAATTACCTATTCTCACTTACCTCGCGTCGATGGGAAGTTAATTACCTACCTACCCTAGGCAACTAGGTTGCTAAGTACCTAAGATATCGATTAACTCCTTCGAACGCCTCTCGCGGTCTCGGTAAACTAATCCGCACCGCGAGCTGAACTTCCTTTGGGTTATTGCAAGCCACCGCCCTAAGAGAATCGTGCATGCAGCAAGAAATTCACCAATCAAGTAACGCCCGCTTGCATTCTATTATGTCACTGTAATTAACGGACACGGAGGTGCTGACCGACGATCATTTTGAGAGGACGAGGCTCTGGGCTTGGTGTGTCTTGTACTGACCGAGGAAATCTGGACAAAATGTCTGTCTCACGCCTCTATCTGACCTATTCCACTTGATATCCTATCCGCTCTCCGTGAAATCAATTACTTAGTCGAAATATCGCGTTAGTGCACATGGATGACCACAGGTCTTCCTTGGGCTATTCGCTACCTATCCCAATGTCGACATTGCGTCCACGCAAATCTGACAATGATACTGAACCAATCGAGTTCATCCCCCCTGCAGGGGCAAACCGTAATGAGCAAATAGATAGAAGACGCCGCAACAATCAAGGAATCATTGAAAACCCCTTAGGTACGCCACTTGTACATGTATTAACATGGCAATGTGACACTTATTAATATATTATAGTCCATCTAAACGACGAAGAACTTCTACAGGATGTCTTGGTATTCTGGCAGGAATGTTTACCGACTGTTGATCGGGATGAACTAATTAGAGCAGCCAGGGTTGCCCAGAATGCCCGTTCGTATGACGAGATTGCTAGGTCTACAAGCCCAGACCCAAAGACTGCCTCTAACGAAGATGGTTACAACCCCCTGGTACAGCTTAGAGAAGAAGAGAAAGCTGCACTGATAGCCGAGAAGGACTCTCTTTTCTCCGAGAAGAATATGTTTATCGTCATTCTTACCGTCTCGCTTGCCGCCTTTCTACAGGGTTTTGTACAGTCTTCTATCAATGGAGCCTCGCTATACCCGGAACAATTTCACCTGAACATAACAACAGGACCTAACACTCCACCCGAGGCGGATACCTACAAACTCGGGGCGGCTAATGCTTCTCCCTTTTTCTTTGCCGCACTGCTGGGTTGCTGGTTGTCCCTGCCCATCAACGATCTAGTTGGTCGTCGAGGAGCGATGACTATAGCCGCGATACTGATACTTGCTAGTTCATTGGGTGCAGCTTGGTGTTTGGATTGGAAAAAACTGTTGCTAGTACGCATGGTAAATGGCATCGGTGAGTACGACTTGCATTATACCAGTAGAACTAATATGGTTCAACTACAACCTTGGTCACATCATATTAACATACACTGAATAGGGATGGGAGTCAAGGCTGTTAGCACACCTATCCTTGCATCTGAGACAGCAGTTGGTTTCTGGAGAGGAAGCGCCATCCTCGCGTGGCAATTATGGTAGGTGTATACCTTTTCACATAACTAGGTACCTACCTACCTATAATATCTTAATTAACCGTGGGAAAGGGTCGCTTTTGGGATCATGATGGGCTTCGCGTTTAACCTTATCTTCTACACGACAGGAAATTCGAAGTTGACCGTGCAGTTGATCCTGGGTTCCCCTTGTGTTCCCGCAGTATTCCTCCTTATAGGGTTATATTTCTGCCCGGAGAGCCCTCGGTATTATATGAGGCAGAGGACGTCCAGTTACAATCCCCAGAAAGCATATGAAATTCTGCTAAAACTTCGAAAAACGGAAGTACGTGCCGTCACTATTCGTATATGGAAGACATATTACTAATATTGGGTCGGCTCGCTAGCTCCAAGCCCTCCGTGATGTTTACTTAGTTTATAAGTCCGTCCAACTCGAAGAATACTCGGATGACATCGACGATGGCCCTCCTAAGGGGCTTTTCGGTCACCTTGAGAATTACGTTTCTCAATACAGACAGCTCTTTACCCAGCGAAGACTGAGAAATGCTGCGATAAGCAGTTCAATAGTCGCGTTATCCCAGCAATTATGTGGTAGTATGTTACCTAATCAACTCTACGGTCTATACCTTGTTCTTGGGCCGCATCCGGATCTTGATCAGTTCATATCACTAATGTTGTGAAATAGTCAATGTGCTTGCGTTCTACTCAGGTATTTATCGCAACAGCTTTTGAGACCTCCCTGTATTAAATAATCATTCCAGGTACGCTGTTCAGTGGCATTACGGGCGCCGCTCATAACCTAAGCAAGACACAAACTATACGCGACCCGATGCTCTATAGTTTCGGATATGGTATGGCTGATGCGAGCTTATTATTGTAATCTGTGGTATATAACCAGAAATTAGTCCTAAACGCTGTCTAATAGGGGTTGTCAACTTCGTCTGCGGTCTTCCAGCAATCAAGACCATCGATACGCTTGGCCGGCGTAAGTGGCTTGTTATAACCTTGCCTGTGATGACCCTCCTTATGCTTGCCGCGGCGATGGCAAGCCTCATGCCAAAGGAGGAAAAGACACAGAGGATTGCGGCCATTGCCGTTTTCTTGTTTTGTAAATACTTCATGCCTATTCAAAGATGAAAACACTAATTAATTCGATAAAGTGTTCGCAGCGGTTTACGCACCAGGACTGGGTAAGTTATTTTCATCGTTGGCGCTCTTCGATAGTAGCTGACGTTTCCTTAGGCCCTATCCCATTTACCCTCGCATCTGAAAGGCGAGTCTCCCACACTTAAAATATCATCCATGAATACACGCTAACATAACCACAGCTTCCCCCTTTCCCACCGCGAAGCCGTATGCCCCCAAACTCCCACCCCCAACCCCTCCAATCACTAACATCTCACCCACCTAGGGCGCCGCCTTCGCCATCTCAATAAACCTCCTCTTCGCGGGCTTCATCCAACTATTCTTCCCGAGCATCTACGCCGGGCTCGACGACAAAGGCTCTTTAGGTCTCTTCGCAGGGCTGAACTTCGTCGCCTTCATCCTCGTCTTCCTCTTCGTCGAGGAAACCAAGCGCCGGTCTCTCGAAGACCTAGACCTGATCTTCGCCTTCCGCAAGCGCGATTTCGTCCGCCACCAGCTGACGAAGTACCTACCCTGGTTCTTCCGACGCTATGTTCTCCGCCGTAGAGAGCGGAAGCCGTTGCTGTATAGGGACTTGATATGGGGCGCGCCGCGGGCTGAGATGGGCGTGGATCGGGACTGGAACTGGGAGCCGACTTCTGCCACTGCTGCGGGGGGCGAGGGCCGCGGGTTTGGTCGCGAGGAGAGTATCTCGCCTGAGTTCCCTCGCCGGCCTTCTGGATTTACGGTACCGGAACACGTGGGAAGGGTCTCGGAGGACTCGATCGATTCCGCGCATAGGTAGATGAAGTATCTAGAGAACTGTGTTTGCAAGATACCTGTACTCGTTCGTTCTAGAACTAATAACTATCCTTCATGTAGAATAGTTCTAGTACATAGTTATTTCATGGTTTGGGATAGAATAGAGCTTTACACTTCGACGAATTGGTGCTTTTCGTCTTATGAGGTACCTAAGTATGTTTCTTAGGTAGGTAGTACACAACCGAGACATTCTAAACCCTTTCTGGATCTTTCCTCATATTCCTTGCTTCTGTGATATCACATCGGTAGGTACATAAGACATCACCGGGATCTCACAGCAGGCTCAAAGTACATAGCACAAGTAGGTACTTAGTAGTTATCAATTTCACTACTCTACTCCATTTGTATATGCTAGGAGGTAAGTAGCACTATACTAAACCACGCGCAAATACCGTTGGAACGATAGCCATATCATAAAAATCTACCTATCCAAAACCCAGGCGCCAACCCGTTTGCTCGCTCATTTCATCTAAGCATGCTGCCGATAGCCGGTGGTGCGAGCTAATATGCGAGAACCCGTACACAATACATGCATGCCCCTGCGAGAAAAAGCAAAAAAAGCGCCACCTTCGTGTCTAGTCTAAAGTTGTGAAAGGAGCAAATGGAAAAAACCCTGGAATGCTTCAATACCTGCCGTCTGTAATCTCGTTGAAGATATCCCGTGTGATGAGATTTCCTCTCAGCAGCGCCCTGTCCGTGATCTTCCCCTTCCTGGGCGCGCCCTGTTGGTATTGGTTTTCCTTTCCCTCTGAGACCTGCACCAGGCCTCTGCGCCCGCTGACGAGGCCTTTCTTCGGGACCTTCCTTTGTGGCGACTTCTGCTGCGCCGTCTTACTAGCACCAGCGCCATTATCAATACCCCCTGCACCTACATCCCCAGATCCCGGTCCCGATCCTCCGATCGTGATCTGTGTGGCCGCGCCCCCCTCCTCGAAAAAGTGGCTCTCGAGCGCGTCCGTCGGTAAGTCGTAAACCCACTCACGGTCCTCCATGAGCCTTACAAAGCGGCTCAGCATCTCCTGGTCCCCGGCGCCCTTGAGCGTGGTCCGGCTGCCGACGACGAGTAGCTTCGTCTTCGCGCGCGTGAACGCGACGTTAATCCTTCTCCAATCCTTTAGCAAGTCGCCGATGTTGCATTGCTCGTTGCTGCGCACCAGGCTGAGGATCACGACCTCTTTGTCGCGGCCCTGGAACCGGTCTGCTGTGTGCAGCTCGATGCTGCTGCCGTGGACGCGGAGTCCGTGTTTGAGTAGCGAAAGTTGTGATCGGTAGTGCGTCATGACGCCAATCTCGGCCGCCGGCACGCCAGTTGCGAGGAGTGCATCGACAAGCTGTACGACGATACCGGCTTCTGTTGGGTTGACGATGCGGTTTCCCTTTGCTTCTTCGCGCGCCGATGGTAGTAAGTCCGTATTAACGAAACGGACGCGGGCTTCGGGGTTTAGAAGGTGGCGTAGCCAGCAGCTGTCATTTGTCCAGTTCGTACAGAAAGACCGTGGTGTGCTGTGATGTTTGATGGTATTGGCGTCATAATGCTTCTGCCGCAAGTTTTCCATAAAGGGAATGTCGAGCTTTCGATGGCGAAGCGCTTCTGTACCACACTTAAGGCGACCGTCATAAATGAGGGTGTTGCTAAGCATCATGACGTCTTCACACATGCGGTACTGATGTTCAAGATTAACCACCGAGTCGGGGTGGGTATCGGAAAGTAACTTGAACAGGCTAATATCCAGACCGCCAACGCGAGCTTCTTCGTTTTGTACCAGAGGTGGGAGTTGGTTATGGTCGCCAACTAGAACGAACTTGCGCGCCATGCGGATCGGCCCAATACAGATAGGCAACGTGATCTGAGACGCTTCGTCAACAATGCAGTAGTCAAAAGTGCGTTCGCTAAAGACAGGGTGGCTGACACCTAAGCAGGTTGTTGCCACAATAGGTGTCTCGTGCCAGGCACTTCGAATCTCTTCGAAACTGTTCATCGGCTGTCCAGCAAGGATCGCAAAGTCTTGCACATCGGGATGAACCTTTGCTGGTGCGCCAAGTCGCAGAACAGGCATTTGGTCATCCTTCAGCTTCAGTAAGATGTTGTCAACGGCAGAATGAGTGTAGGAAGTTAAGAGTACGCTTTTCCCTTGGCCGACAAGGGCGCGGATGATGTGGGCAATCGTTGTCGTCTTGCCGGTGCCAGGCATACCGAGGACAAGAGCATAGTCGTTCGCACTCATCACTTTCTCGATCGCCTTCCTTTGGTCAATGTTCAGGCTTTCCTGGTCGGCAACGGTATATTGCGTCGTAATAGCCTTGAATGTCGGCGGAGCGAGGTCGATTACGAGACGTCGAATTTCTCTCGATCCAAATACACCGTCGGCCATAGCTTGAACTAGATTGTTTCGAACGGTTGCCATACCGCTGCTGAATTCGTCTTTATCGAGACGATATTTGAGAGGTGCTTCCTTGATCTTGCCCTGAGACTGAGCTGGCGTTGCCCCTTCGGGCGCCACCTCCATAATGCTCGCGAAAACCTGATTATTCGACAAATCGAATCCCGGCTGACGTATACGAGCATTATGAAGTCGGCGGTCAACGGCAACAGTGATTTTTTGTTTTCGTACGGATGTGACATACCCAATTCCGAGGGCAAAATGACCCTGTTCATCCGATACAACGATGGGCTCTCCTACCGCAAGCTGGGAATCGAGGAAAGAAAATCCCGAAGATGGATTTTCCTTGACGAAAGTATAGCGAAATCGGTTGATCCTAGGATTGTTGGTATCTTCAAGGGCGGAGCCCTCCTCGATGATGACGTTGGAAAAACACCGCCCAACCTTTTCTCTCTCGGTGCTTACCATAGTCCAGAGCTCTCGGCGTAGTTTCTGACTCTCTTTCTCCTCCTTCGTTAACAAGTCCTCCCATTTTAGGAAGAACTCTTGATGAGCCGGAGTCAAATGTCGGACGACGTCATCGAACTTGGTTTTCATGCCACTGGTTTCGTGGTCGCCATTATCTGCGAGTTTGTGGTATATGAAACAGGGTACCTTTGCATAACATCTATCGCAAGTATTGGTGCTTCGTTTCATGGGTGGGAGCTGAACACTGCGATCTCGAATGTAACAGGCTAGTTGATTGCGTTGCATAATCATATGACGAAGTTCGTTACGAATCGTTGGTATTCGGATCGTCTGAGACGTTTCCATATAATAGAGAATTCCGTAGGCGATTTCGACGTCGTATCGATCTGATAATAGGAGGTTGTAAAGAGATGTTTGCGCTTGGTGATTGCTCGTGGCATTATGGCCCGTCTTTACTTCAAAGGGCACTGTCAGGGTACGCCGTTGAGGTCCATCCTTCATTGTTACCTGTACCGTCGCGTCGATATTACCTTTGAGCCCGTACATCGGGGACCAAACATGTTCTTCGACGTCGAGTAGTTTTGTGACACACATATTGGCCTTGTCGCCGTTCCGGCCTTGTACAACAGCATCGGGCTAGCGCATATCAGCAATGATTCCCTAAACATCTAGCAATGTCCAAAGTACTTACCCTCGGAAAAGGGGTGACAAATGCTGCCGCCCAACTCCTTAACTCTGGCATCTTCGATCGAAGGTGTTCGCAAGCTTCGTTGACGGAAACCTTAATCATATACAAGTCTTCCACGTGCTTTTCTGTGATGTTAGAAATAACAGTATTCAAAAACTCGGGGCTCCATTTATTGGACATGAGGGCCTCCTGAAAGATCTCGTGCAGCAATGTTCCGTATACTAAGGGCGGAGTCTTGTCGCTGGTGGCCTTGACTCGGTCCTGGAGGACAGCCCGGCGCATACATGTAAAGCTGTCTGCTACGACGGTGGCCGATATCAACTGATCTGGATGCAGGATGAGTATGTTTTGAGAGTTGTCTATGATGCATTGCCCACTCGACTGAAACTCGCCGATTATATGGACGTAGGATTTAGGGCTTGCCGAAGTGTCCACCCAGTCACCTCGAAGGTGGACAGCCTTTACGATATTGCTTCGATCAAGTTGAACAAAAAGAATCTAGTGTTGTTAGCTATCCCACCTTCTGGGTAATATTTAGAATAGGGACCCTTACCTTCTCCATCGATTCTCTTCCATTGTCGTCGACGTATTGGCTTTGAAGCACCTTAGTCACAAGATATCTTTGAATTGTCTTGGGTTTGTCCACTACCTACGAATATTCTTAGTAACCGGGTTCAATCCCTTCTTGTCACCACCTACGTACGGGAGGTAATGATCCATTAACCTGCTTAGAAGAGGCGGATTGTGTAGCAGCTATTTCAGCAGCATCAAAATCGAAGTCGCCCCCAAAATCATCCTCGAATACATCCCCACCAAGGTCATCAACAATGGTGGTTTGTTTCTCCTGTGCGGCAACAGCGGGTTGACACGGCGTCTCGGGCTTGCCCTTCGAAGAACGACTCGAATCTATTTGTGTTATCAAGTCTTCTGCGGCAGTAAATACGTCGTCGTCCATATCTGCAAACTCATCGTCGTACAAAGTTTCTTGGTTAGGTTGCTGGCGCTCTAGATTCTGCCCGGTATCTGCTGGCAGTATTATTAAATCGTCTTCCGCATTCTCTTCCTTCGGTTGTCCCAGACTAGCATCAAGCTCCATAAGCGTGTCCTCGTCGAAGTCATCGTCGCCATAATCGGATAGTTCATCTATCAATGTGTCTAGGCTTGACTTCATTGCCGCTGGCGCATTCTCTTTGACCAATGATGGAGTAGGAAGCTTCGAAGATATTCGTCGGGTAGGTGAGCCATTGGCTTCCGAAATCGGCTGAGAACTATTCTTCTTGGGTGAAGGCGATCTTAACGCATCTTGACGGGCTTGGACGACCTTTGATCTGTCGATCTCCCTCGTTCCCTTCTTCAACAAGGCATTTAGCATGGACAATTTCGAATGGCCACTTGGGCTTTCCTCAGCGGCGATTTCCATTGGTTCCGCTACATCTGCCCGTTCGACCTTCCGACGTTTTGGCCAATTCTCTCCACAGCTGATAGACCTTCGCAGGCTACTTTCGATCCTCGACGGTCGAGGCGAGGATGAGACCATGATTTGAGCAAGGGCAGAATTCATGGCGCCGAGGGGCGTGATCGATTTAGAACCATTTAAGGAGAAGCGATCCCATAGCTCTAGTGCAGGGTCGGCGTGTGGCGATTTGAGGGCTCGTGACAACTTCCCTATATTTACGGACGGGGTGTGAGGTTTCGAGTGGGAGGCAGGCGACGATACGGGCGACGAACTCCGTGCTCTTTTCTTTCCCCTCTTACCGGGCATGACTGGTGATAGTTTTAGTCTCTGCTGCGGGTCATCTCTTATGTCCCAGCTGATCCTTTCATTGGGACTAGTATCCTCTTCCACTTCTTTTGACTCGATCGTCCCAATGAGATCCTGCCACGCGAGTCGGCTCATGGGTGTGGTCAAACTATCCTTGGACGCGGGTAATGATGGAGTTGTCTCCAAATCTTGTTTTCTGTTTCGCTTTCCCCTCAATCCGTCCCTCGAGGGAGCAGCGTCGCTGGGCGGTGCATCGATATTAATGATAGGTAGGTCGGACGTGGTGGTATCGTGATCATTGCTCTTGGTGGTATCTTGGCACTTAAAAGCGTTAAGCTTGTTTTTCGAGACTTCGGAGATGGGCTGAAGCGTCTTAGGAATTGGGTTCCGAGTCGTTGTTGAATGGTTTACAGCTGAATGGCTTCTGGCTTTGTTCCAATGCTGGCGAGTCTGAAGTCTCTAGTCAAGTCAACATTGACTGCAAATATCATGAATTATAAGGTATGAAGTAACATATACGACTTACCCCAGGAGGGCCATTGGGCTCTGAGAATGATTTTTTGAGAGGCATAGCGGCGCTATCTTCGCGAACACGAAATTACCATACCATAATTGAGTTCTATAGTAGAGACATCGATGTTAACATCGACGTTGACATCGACACGAGCATAGACCTTATGTTATGTTAAATTGGGGGTTGGATAATAATTAATGGACAAACGACAAGCGACAAACGGGGATGGGTCCAATCAAAGTTATGGGTCCTTGTATAGCAAGTTGGAGGGATGCAAAGGTGAGATAGCAAAGCAATGATAAATTGAATTGAATTGAATTCCAGGGTTGTATTGTACGCGAAGACGCGAAAACCAAACGCGTCGGGTGGAATCAATAAATCACGGTTAGCCACAGTACCCCACTCGATACATTCAAGGTTCAAGGTGTTGGTGGGGTTTGCATTATGTGGCTTGTTGATAGTGGCTTATCACTAATTATGCACCTCTAACTTTGAAGTACCTTGGTACTGTAGCACGTCACTAAGAAAATGAACATTGAAAATCATCATGGTCCAAGCTCCTTTTCTACATAGAAGACATCACTCCACTACCACTCCACCACTCTACCATCCCCACCAACTAGTACCAAAATATGAAGCTTCAAGCTCCAAGCTCCAAGTTCCAAACTTACCATCACTCGCGATCTTTAATAAACGTTTGATGGTATCCAATTCGACACTATGCCTAACGGATTTTCGATTTCCGGCCCACCGGAGGTGATGGAGTTGTTAGTAACTAACCATACCCCTTGGCCAATGCATGAGGGAAATCCTACATTGTTACGGCAACAAGGACTTGTTGAACGTATATTCTTCGAGGACGACACAACCATCAATTTTGACCAGATACCTGCTCTCCAGTCCTGGGCTCCTCTAGTCGGTCATAACGAATTTAGTCGTGTCAATCACGTCGTCGCTTCGCTCATGCAAGCGTCCAAACTCGCCAAGCGCCCTTTGACTGCCGAGGAAGTCCGGCTTACGAGCGACTTCGCTGCCTCAGCCTTCAGATGGCATCCTTGGGTTTCCCTTGCCTCCATAAGTACCGCTCTTGGGTTCACTTGGTTCGGAAGGCATAAATTTAGATTCCCTTTTTATACGCCACGACCTGGATCGGCATTTAACCCAACCGTGTTTCCTACGAAATCATTACCCCTTATGAGAGGCCCAGTAGCTTCATTAGCATGGCATTCTCTTCGCTTTGGTCTGTATTATGCTATATGCTCTTTTGGATTCGTTCCCCTCGGCGGATCCTTAGCAAATATGTCATTCGAAGCACATGTATTTAGGGAACCACGTCTAAAGGGTCTACAAAACGATATTAAGAATAACGTCATGGCCATGCGTGCTTCGGCAATGAATTCCCAGCAAGGGTCAAACGTACGCATTGAGTTTCCACGTGGCCAGGATGCCTCAAACCCGGACAATCAAGCGCAGCCTGATTATGGACGTAGTTATAATGAGGTTTCGGAAAACGGGTTTGGTGAACGGGCTTCGGGCCCCAGTAGCGTAACATCATCTCCTACACCCCAGCCAAGTTGGTCTCAAAACACCCCGGCTCCGGTGTCGCCTAATACCCAAGGCACGAGGCCCCCGAATCCAGCTCCGCGGTATGTTGACGATTCGGATCCTTTTGACGATGACGACGGCTCCCCGATTCCAGCATCAGTGAGAAGAATCGAGGCACAGCGAACTCAAAGCACTCAAGGAGGATCTGCATGGGATCGTATTAGGCAACAGTCACAATCAACCAATTCCTCGGGTCAAGGAGGCGGATGGGCCCAGCTACGGCAGGACAAGGCGCCCAATTCCCAGTCGAGGACAGAAGGCTTCGCGTACACGAAGCAAGACGAGGACAAGGAGAAAAGGAACTACGAGAAAGAGCAAGCTCAAAAGGAGTTTGATGCTCTCCTCGACTCTGAACGACGTGGTGGGTCGAGCAGACGGTAGAATGGATGGCATAGGGCACATGGTGGGCTTAAACATTGTGACCCTAGAGCCTATGCGATTGGAGTAAAGGGGTAAAATGATGTGTTTAACACCTGTACTACTACTTAAGATATGAAAAAAAAAAGAATCAAGTTGTTTCGGCCTAATTGACATGGTGTACAGGTAGTTGACAAGCATCCGGCCTAACGTAAAGGTCCTATTAATGATTAGCCACCAGGGGGGGTATGTTTCGCTTCGTGATCAACGAGAAGATATCACCGCAGCGGGAAGCTGGAAGGGAACCTTCACGACCTTATTGCCTAATCATTATGTTAAATGATAAAGTATTCCAAGGTTTCTAGGATATCAAGGCACTTCGAAGTCAGGTAGGTTGGTTGGAAATCAATGTTTTTTATTGTACACCTCATGAAAGTTTTGGAATTCAACGCCTGCAGTATGATTATGTCGGATTAACCGCCGACCCTTCCGCCCATATCAGCCCTTTTCATTTCCCATTTACCACGGATCCATTTCCTCCTCGATGCGGTCAAGGACAGAGTCGACGTCATTGGAGATCTCCATTGCGTCCCAGAAATCGTCCTCGTCGGAAGATTCCCAGCCCTCATCTTCCTTCTCCAGACCATCCTCAGCCTCGAAAAACGGCTCGGCGTCTGAATCAGACATGTCCAGCTCCTCCCATTCCTCCTCGATCTCAGCTCCTGCCTTCTCTTCCTGGGTCATCACCACATCGCCGAGGGGCTGAGGAGGATGAGGCATCGACGGCGTGGGGTAGCCCAGGGTTGCGAGGGCGGCGTCTACATCCATAACGCTTCCGTCGTACATGTATTGTTCGATGAGGCTAGAGTGGACTTTGAAAGCATCTGGCCATCGGAGGTGGTTGAGCGTCTTGAGATAATATCTCGCGTTCTGGATAGCGGCGTGATTGCGGCTATCCACAACGGTTGCGACGGCGTACTGCCATTGATCCTCAACTGCGATGAGAGTCAGTAATTTCTTCTTTAAGACTTAAAAGAGTTTTAAGCAAGTTTTCGGAGCGGGCGAAAGGTGCCATCTAACATGATTAGAAAAATGGTACTTAACTGATTTTGAGGCAGGCTAGATTGAGGATACAATCAAAGCAATCAATGTCGCCGTCTTGGTAGGGCCGAGCATCGCGGTCACCGTGGAGGAAGAGACCACAAGAAAATGCGGGCATGGCAGAGTTAAAATACTGGCAACGTTCAAGCTTCCACTGAGCCTGTGTGTGGCCGCAGGCCATTGTCTTTCTTTTCCACAGGTGACACATCTTCGAAGGTAGACTGGTGATGGCTGTAAGAATATTTCAGATTCAGAAGAATATTGATATGATCAAGAGAGTTGATGAAGTCTCAGTGGGAATTGTGCGGATTGGAAAATTACTTGAGAGAATAGAGAAGAGAAGGTGTATGGGAAAGGACTCGATAGTACCCTGAGAGACACAGGAATCGAAAACCCTCAGGACGAGCTAGTTTATGCGAATATTTAGATGAGATGATAGGTTTATGATTGTTACTTACGTTGCGTTCAAACGTCTGATGTATCCTGTGAGCTATTTTATAGGGTCATCGATATTGTAAAAGGTAAGTGGACGGATAGGAAGGAGTAACGATTGAAGGTGTATTGGTTCTTTCCCTCGCCTGGAGGACTTGGTGAATGGATTGAAGTATTGGATGGATACTGAGCGTGGAGCAGTTCTAATTAGTAATGTTTCTCTAGGAACACTCTCAGTATAGCGGAGGTCCCCCTCTAGGGTTATTAGTTCAATGTAATTACATTCAAACGTACCTTGAAAAAAACTTAGGCACACTCGATTACTATTCCTATGGGATATTCATGCTGAGTAGGAAAGGTGTTGCAGGTTATGATGGTATCTAGGCTTTAACGAACATCACTGGGGAATCTAGAAATTACGACAAGGAGACTCTTGACGTCCTAATACATATGGCATACATCACTCCGGAGACGATTCTGTATTACGGTACGCCAATATAGCAGAACAACCGCATGACTCGACATTAGGTAGACATTGGAAGAATTCATCCCGAGTCAAAAGGCAAATGGATTCATCTAAATTACGCTGATTGCCTTGCCCCTTTGTTTCACCCTAGGGAATTACAAGATTGAAAATTCGATGAGATGAAGACACTTAGATACAAATCATGCTACTGATTCGACACTTCGAATAAACAATTAGTTATCCAAGGAAGTATCAATACAGCCATATTAGTGTATGGCTGAGGGTTACTCTATAACTAGCAATAACAACTTACATGAATGAATATCTAGGGCATTCACCTTTGAGTCCTACACTAATTATTGTTCATTGAAAGACACATAAACACCATATTCATTGGCAAGGTTAAGGCAAGTACCTGACATTCTTACTGGGACGACGCCGACTTGTGACTGAAGGTATACTTTGACTAAGCTGGACGTTGGTGATTGGACTGGTTGAGACCCACTTCGGTCCGAAGTGGAGAATTTACGGGGCGGGATTCGGGGGTATGATCGGATGAACATGAGTCTGAATAGGCAGGAGGTAAGTGGGGTTACTCAGAGACGTGGAAATCATGACATGCAAGGTGGAAGGATCAAAGAGGCGTTTGATAGCAAGCGAGAGTTATGGAGGGATCTAGGCCTGGTCCTAGGGATGCTCCCGCCTTCTCGGGTCATTGAATGTTTTGTTCCCCTTTTTCAATTCGGGAGTGTTTACTAGGCACTTTGGTGAATTTGTGTTTAATGTCCAATTGGAGTGTTTTCTGATGTCATTATTTTGATAATTTCCTTTGATATTGACTACATAGGTAGATACCTAGTATATCTTAATTTATGTTATCCATTTTTTTCATTAAGGGAGTTTACTTCGTGCTGTGTCGCCATCTTGCACCATATAGGTAGTGTGGGGTGCTCAGGTACACTGAGTTGATAGGCCCTCTCATATTATGGCGTCTTGCATCAAAGAGCCGTAATATTTTAAACTTCTTATCTATCCCCAACTCTAATTGCTGGATCCTCTGTTCAATCTATGCATATTTCATAGGTAGCATGTTGGGAAGGTTGGGTAACATATTCTACTAGTGGCTACAACTGCAAAGCATGTGACGAAATAAAGTAACACTAGACAGTCAAACTGAGAAGCTATCTCCAAGGGATTTCAAAGAAGATGATGGTGGGTAGCATGTTTGTCTTGGCTAAGTTTGGTGTGCTTAGCTCTATTGGAGATGCATCTCCATTGTTGGTATCGCACCATATGGAGAAAGGATGGTGAATGTGCGGGGGCATGACATCGCGTTCGATAACATCATGAAATCATTATCAAGCAAAGGTAGATAAATAATTGGTATCTCGGCGTCCCATGAGAATACGAAACACATCAATTGAGTTGAGTGAATGAATGCACAATGGCACCTTCAGTTGCAGACGTAGTACCAAGCGCATCCGAGTTGAAGGAGAAGGCGGAGCAAAAGCTCAACCGGGCATACGACGCGGTCCAACACTCTGCAGTAAGATACTATGTACCTACCTTAAAATATTAATGGCTGGAAAATGCTAAATAATCCAAAAGTACAAGTACACTAGTTACTTGCCAGTGTACGATGAGACGACAACGTTCCCAGTAACGGAGCCTTTCGAGTTTGCTGATAAGGGCCTCCTAGCAGACAAAGCCAAGCCTCATCTCCTCGGACTGAATGACCCTAAAGTGGTCATTACCAAGCTGACCCCTCGCGTCGGCACAGAAATCACTGGTCTCCAGCTTTCCGAGTTGACAGATGAACAAAAGAATGAGCTAGCCTTGTTGATTGCTGAGAGAGGTGTTGTGGTGTTTCGAGGCCAGAACTTCAAGGACATTGGCGTTGAGAAGCAAAAGGAATTTGGCCGGTACTTCGGGCGCCTACATGTTCACGTAAGTAATTCCTACTTAGAGATCGCTACTACCTGTTACTTATTTCCCAATAGCCCGTTGGAGCTCACGTTGAGGGGGCCATTGAATTCCACAACATCTATCTTGGGCCGGATAACCTCTACCGGAACCAGAGACAGACCGAAAAATTGACCACCACCGGATACCACTCGGATGTTTCGTACGAGCATCAGCCTCCGGGAATCACACTTCTTACTCTACTCGCAGTGCCATCAACGGGTGGTGATACGGCGTGGACTTCCCAAGTTGCGGCGTACGAACGGCTCTCGGAGCCACTGAAGACGTTTTTGGAGGGCTTGCGCGCCGAACACAGCGGATTTCCACAGGCTGAAAATGCCCGTCGCGACAAACATTTCGTAAGGCGCGAGCCCGTCAAGTCACACCATCCCATCGTTCGAGTACATCCAGTAAGTCCGCGTGTGGTGCATCGTGCTTCTGTTCCGTGTCTGACGTTGCTATTCTAGGTTACCGGCCAGAAAGCGCTCTTTGTGAACCCGGGATTCACCAAGAAGATTGTAGGGCTGAAGACCGAGGAATCCGACGCTATCTTGAAGTTGCTTTTCAAGGTTCGCAACCTCCAACGGATCTTCGTTTTTGAACATGGCTAAATGTATATGATAGCATATCTCGCAGAGTGCGGATGTCCAAGTCCGAGTGAAATGGGACGACCAAACGGTATCGCTCTGGGACAACAGGGTGACGGCTCACACTGCGATATCGGATTACGATGTGCATAATGAGGAAGAGGGCTTGCGCCACGGCTTCCGCATCACCACTCTCGGCGAACGCCCCGTCGGAGTTAACGGTCTAGAAACTGTGTGGTAGTTGATCACGAATATATAGCTCAGTTGGCTCGTTGGTATCTGATGTAATCGAATAATATTACAGATATAATTATATGCTTCTATTTCTTTCTTTTAAACTTGCCCAACCAAAAGCGCCTCCTATTGCTAGGTCGGTTATGTTTCTAAATCCTTTGCGCGGACACGAGACACGTATCCAGCTAGCTGACTCATCATCACCGTGCGTAAACCATTCGTTCTTCACGTTGTTCTATTTATAACCCGATTACCCCAGGCTATCTTTATTTTTTACCCGATGCACGAAGCGAGCTCTTTTCAGATAAATCTAGACTCTAGCTTGGTATCGCGCTCTCCTCAGTCGCGGCCATGGATACGGTCCTTGGTGTTTGACCATACGGCCCAGTCAAGGAGCAGGTCAGAGGGTTGAATTTGCCCATCTGGAGACAGAACATAACTGCGGCCGGGTTGCTCGGGTTGCTTGGGTCCATTTGGATGTAGTGTGTGGCTTCTAAGCCCGATCTTTGAAAACCCGCGAATTAGTAACGATATTATACGCTGACTCAGTGAATGGAAACAAGAGGAAGAACTCAGAATAAGGATCTTAGGTACTCACCCATCGGAATTCAGCTGCTCCCAGAACTCGACGCGGAAGTTCGTGGTGCTGGTCCACCCGTTCGTCGGCAGGCGGAATTGTACTTTTCCATCGGCGCAGGGGGTCCAAGCTGTCGGGCCTGGGTTGGTACCGGCAGGCCAACTAACGCTGCATGTTGTGTTGAGAGTGGCGCCGCTCGTCGACGAGGGGTCCGGGTAGCTTAGCCCGACGTTGACGTGGGAGTTGACAGACTCATCTCCGTAGACCCCGGAGTACGGGAATGTGGCGCCCAGACTGGTGAGGGTGAAATCGGTGGTAGTGTCTCGTGGCTCAAGGGGAAGAGCGAGAGAAAGAGATAGAAGGGGGAGGAGGGAAGTTATAATGGTTTGGCCGTACATCTTGCGAGAGAGTAGAAGATACAGGTATGTATATTAGGTAGTTATGTGATATCGGTTAAAACTGGAGAGGTAGGATTCGAAAGCTTGCTTGTGAACCTTGAGTTGAACTGCTGTGGAACGGGAGGAATGAAAACATAATCTTCTACCTCGACGATTCATTCTACTTATACTCGAAAATAATATCTGGAGGCCTATGTACAGAAGCGTGACGGCTTCCAACCCGTCAGCCCATGATCTCTCACTCCAACCACTTATCACGGTGTCACAAAATTCGGTCTGCGGCTCTGTAAGTGGAATCAATACGCGAACCCGTATTCCTGGACCGTGCCCAAGAAGAATCCTCCCGAACGAGATAGAGCTTATTCCAATACGGGTCATCTCATGACGTTGCTGACCTATACGCGGAAAGCGCCACATGGCTGCTGAGATGAGGTGAGGTGGCGGAGCCGAGCTGAAAACCCCTGCTCGTGATAGCTATCGTAACCCGGTCCATACAATATCTTCTGGAATAGCTGAAAAGGTTCCTTGACATTCTTATTGGGTCATATAGAATTATAGCATCATAGATTGGACGCCGCATCGATGAGCGCTTTTTCGGGCGCCACATTTAGCACTTAGTGCCCGGTTCTCGGTTCTTAACAACCCCTGTCCTAGAGGCTCTTTCACAACCAATTCATCACCGATATAAACAAAACTCTCGATGCTATACTGTTATCAACTATTTGATTTTTCCCTTACCTCGATACTCCGAGAGTTAGGTATGAAGCTACCTAGAATGCCATCCCTTCCATCGATAACTTAGGTCGAAATGACCTCATCTCATAGAGCTAACTATAGTAAGAGTGATTGGCCATGTAGAGTGTAATAAATCCCTTACATGGCTCTACGAGAAATCTTAAGTATCGATGTCACTCTCATCCTCAGTATCAACACAATCATCCCTTTCTATATCATTTCGAACATAGATATTCAAGCCTCTCAAGCCCGTCAAGTCTTCTTCATCTTCCTGCATGATCTTGAAATCGTGACGGGTGTACTCTTCCCACATCTCCCTTGTCCGCGGAGACTCGGCATCGAAAGGAAATGGGAATGGCCTATAGTCTCAGTGTCAGGGTGTGTTACAATCTGTCAATACATCCATGTTCATATGGGGTGGCGCAACATACTGGTTCTCATTTAGGACATGCACATCGCCGTTCCCGATAATCATAGCCGGCCTCGCGAGATCTGCTATGATCTGCCTTACGGGAGCGGCCGGGTAGCAGAAGAACACCACGGAGTCGTAGTCGATCTTGCTGAAGCCACCGGCGCCGTGCTCGCCGACGACTTGAATTCCGATATCCTCCAATAGGGCCTTGCTTGTCTCACTATACGCAGGATCCTGAGCGAAGATCTCTACGTCGTCGCCCGTCTCCGAGCGAATTTTCGCCGCGATACTTAAAGCAACGGCATGTTGGTTAAAGCTGGAATTCAGGTCGTGAAGCGCAGCTTCTGCGTCGAATTCCGAACGAGTATCATAGCGAGATAGAGGGGTCATATCCCCCAAGCCAAAACATAGAACTTTTGTAATCTTCCTCTGACCTTTAAGGATGGAGAGCTTATCATCGAGCCAGCCACATGTCCAGCTCCGCCCCCACCGCTCTTTAGCCTTCTGGAATCGCCATTCTAAACAGCCGTGCTCACCCGCGACAAAGTCTACGAATGTACGGTTCTCCCAACCAATGTAATATGAAAAATAGGGAATTGAATGCGGAGGAACATCTCCTAGAAGTGTATCCTTAGGCCCTTGTTTGAATAAATACCAGTAATGCTGAAATTTGACATATGGTTTCCTAATCAATCCGGGTGGCATTTCATCAGTTTCACATGTGAGCTTAGACACTTATTAAGGGGAATATACCATATAGGATTGGCGATACCAAACATGGGGTTCTTCATCGAGATTGTTGACCCATCGATGCGGCGAATGGTAAATGATGGGGTAGTCCGAGAGTGGGAAAGCTCATATTCAATCCGTTCAAGATCGCTGCCTCTCCAGAGCTTCTGACCGGAACGATACAATTCTATTGCGCTCTGAGTACTTTCAATGATCTTGGATGGAACAACATAAGATGGTTTTGCTGGTTCATCCTGCTGATCGCGCGCATGTAATCCAAAATTGGTTGGGTACCCGAGAATGCTGGAAGCCGCGCTCATGGCCATCGTATTTCTTGATAATGAACACAATTTAAACGATCGTTATATGATTAAATTGAATATAATAGTTCTGACGCACTGCTTCTGTGTAGGAGATTGAATCAGATTGCTTCTAGGCCCTGTGATATTTTTAGTACTTAAATATACTGTGCAGGTAGGTAGTAATAAATGGCAATTAAGTAGCTTGGGTCAGGCGACAAATATGGGTTGCGATGCTGGTATTTGGTGTCTCATTGAGGCTGCGTCACTTTCTACTAGACATATAACAGCTGACGTGGTGCATCTCAAATACCGATTCGACCCTTCCACAAGGCTCCAATAGCCTGCCGTGTCTTGATGCTACCACGTTGCTGGCCCGAACGTCTCACCCTCCGGTACTGTTTTGAGCCATGCTGTATTCGTTGCATCCTGTTCACTGTTAGCAACCTTACAGTACCAAGAAGTGACAAACACCTGATTAAGCCCATCATGCACTTACAACAGTATTGTACACATCCACGTTACCCCACCATTGAGGAATGGTAACTCCTGACATCGTGATCGCGAAGAAGATGACAATGGTCGACAAGATAAGACCCGCGTCAAGCGCTGCGGCGGTGACGTAGTTGTAAGTGCGCCACCATCCGTTGAACTTCTTTCGTATGCCGTAGTTGAAGACCAAACCCCAAAGCGCCCACGTCGAAAAGCTAATCGGGGTAGCGGGCGGAAGCCAAGCCATAGCCCCAAACAAAATCGGTGCGTGAAGGTGGCGTGCGAGACCAATATTCATCTTGCGGCCAAAAACCCATAATATCACTGGGGTTACGGCACCAATAAGCCAAAACCAGTTGAAATTCACATACATCGATCCAGGCCCAAACATGCGCTCCGGCCCGAGAACTCCCCAGACGATACTGGACGAGAAAAATGCGCGTCCGTTGGGACAGGTAAAATGACTCGACTGAGTGCTGTGAATTTGTTGATTGTCAATAGGCTAGAAGTAAACATCGGCGAAAAGAAACTCGACTAACCTAGTACAGACGTTGGGAATGGCCCCTAAGGTCCAATTCATCACAGCAATTTGTACGAAAACGGCCCATATACTCGCGACAACCTGGCACCAGAAAGTGACCCGAGGGGGTACTTTCATGTAGTGAGCCAACTTCAAGTCGGAGGTCTACCCCGTGTTAGTACTCCGAGAAAAGAAGTAATTTCATTCTCTCCATGAATAGCCGAAATAGAACATATTACATACTGTCGAGATATTAGCTTCTGTGTGGGCGACATTCACAAGATGCGTTCTTACGTACCGTAAGTCTGAGCTTGTCCTAAGGTAATTGTACTGAAAACTTTGAAGATCATCACACCGATGGGCCGACCCGGGAAGATGAAACCTGCTATAAAAGGCGAAATAACATTTAGGGATAACATAATGTTCGAAACGGCCATGATCATGCATGTGGGAATCACAAATACGAATGCGATAATGATAGATATGAAAAATCCCCACCAGGGCAATTGCGAATCGTGGCCCAGGACAGTCCCAAGTCCTAGTGCGAGCGAGAAAAGGAGAAGAGCCGTGTACCACCATTCGGGAGCCTCGTCGTATTTCTTCATGAGTTTGAGATGTATGTCGGGTTCCTGATTACGGGCAGTTTTGTAGCGATACCATATCTCTTTCCCGTGAAAGAGTCCGACGTGGACAAGTGATGCTGTCAATGCGGCAAAGGACAGCCCATAATTCAGGGCCAGAGTTGGAGATAAAAACAGTGGCGAGTAGTTGCGGTACTTTTCCAAGTCGAGTGTAAAATCATCCCCAAGAATATTCCTTACAGTATAGGCCTTCTGTGTGTTGTCGTAGGTTTGCGATGTCACCATAGGGAGGTACTCGGAATAACTGCCATCAAGTTAGAAATCGTACTCATTCTATGCAATCTTTGGATTGACGGTGAAACTATTCAAGTGAAGTAGACATACAGTGCTCCAGTATACACAATTCCAATCGTGGTGATCATGACAAAAATGAATAGGCCAATTAGAGTATTAACATGGGCTTGCGTCGGGGCTAGTAGCGGGTCGTATAGGTACGCAGAGACGTAAGTCCAGTCGAACGTTATGGGAATGAGACTGAGCCCCGTGTAGCCACCGAAGAGTTGGTTGAGCACGACATTATTCGGTTTAATCCAAGTAACGAATGCAAAAACGCTGAGACCTTGCCAAAGTACAGCCGGGATCCAATAATACACGAACATGCCCCCGGTCACCAAGAAGAAATATCGGTAACGACTGATGGTCCATCCGTTGGAAGTAGAGCCGTCACTTTTGCTTTTATCGTGAAGGGCGTAGAAAAGCGAGGTGTATGAAAACTGGGTTGGCCACAGCATCGCTGCAGGATAGACGAGGAAGCGCCTGAATAGGCCAGACAACGAAATACCCATGAGCTGAGAGCTCAAAGTGAAGATCAAGGCGAAACCCCAACCTAAGTTGATGTCGTAAAATGGCTTTCCCTGGAGTGCAAGCAGTGCATCCGTAGAGTATGCATATGCTAACGAGACATTTGACATGATAGTGATGACCACATGTTCCTTGATGGTGAATGGGCCAGTATTCAACGTCCACTGTAGTCCGAATGTGTTGAACACCCTCGTAGGCATAATTTTCGCCCAGAGATTCGCAACTGGGTAGACCACGAGTACGACCACCAATGCTGGGAAATTAACCAGAGGACTTCGCATGCTCAATAACATATTCAGGCCACTGCCAATTGTGACGAAGATCATTCCCAGTATCCATGCTCTCACAGTACAGGCGACCTCTCCCCCATCAGTGTTGCGAACGGCGGCACGTACTTCTTCGTAAGGCGAGTCTTCGGTGAATAGTAGGTCGGCCTCGGCAATCTCTTTGACATCTCCATGTTCGAGTGCAGACTTGACGGCATCAAGTTTCTCTTGAGGAAGATTCGGGTCCCATTGATGGTTGTGCTGAATCTTGTCGAGATCTGCGATCGCAGTCGCCACGTCTATTTCGCGAAGTTTCTCATCGGACGAACTAGGTGTTTTATTTTCGATTGCGTCAGGATTGATCTCGGAAGTAGTCGTAGCAGAAGCATCTGCTCCCTTCAATGAGAAGCCCATGATGACCACCAGTCATTCGCCGTAGAGCTAGCTAGCTTGTGATGTTTAGGACGAAGAGTAATCCCCATAGTCTTATCTCTTCTATTCTCAATAGATCGAGAGACTTATTTTTCAACAGCTTCATCTCCGGGAATGACCTATCAGAGGATAGTTGCTACCCGATGAATTGATGATCTTCAACCCACCGAGAGTACTCCGCACCCTGGACACCCCGCGCATTCTTTGCCAGCCCCCCTCATGGTTCCGACCTTCCCAATGCATCAAGCATTGTTGAACGCGTGGCCAAGAGCGGGAGGCAATACGCCTCAAAATTTAAGGCTTGACCTAAAGCAGGCCAAGACCCGGCTTCTGGCATTTAACAAGCCATCATCTTTTCGGCAACTCTAATCCTATCATATTACCACCAAATACAACGTTGTAGATAAGGGGTTGAGGTAAGGACAAGTATAAAATGAGCTTATCATACCCACTTCTCCAAATGGAAATCCTGCGTCCCTTGTCACTTTGCAGATAAGAATGATATGGCGCCGTTAGGTAAACACGAGCTCATACTAGATCTTGTCAGAATAACAGGAAACGATTCGTGGTAAAATCAGGGATTGTTAGTTTTGTGATACTGGAACAACATTGAAGCTCGAATTGCTGGTTCCTATCGCCGATTAAAGATAAACCAGGATAAACATTTCGACGGCTATTGCCGGTGTGATATGATATATCAAAGTGATAATTGAGCCCTGATTGGCGTAGGTGTGGATTTGGCCATTCCTCAAAGCTTCAATGGTGAGTGACAAAGGCTGAGATCCCAGGATGTACGGAGCAAGTAAACTCTGTTCAAGAACAGAAGGTACACGGGGGTTCGCATTCGAAGGATTCAATGTTTCTCAGCTTGCCGTGCGAGGCTGATGAACTGAAAATTGATTGGACTCGGGATTGCTGTGAAAGGTTACAGTACTTATCGTATGCATATCTGAAACTGTGAACTGCGATTTGTCGAATTCAGAGCCTTGCCCCGATCATCTTTCATTTCAACTAGTTTAACCCACGAGTAAGATTCATCATTCGACACGATGCCGGAAACTCATCCTAAAAACCAAATTGTGCTCGCGCCATCAACTGAGCCTTATCGCGGGATCAAGTCCGTTTTCCTAGCGGGAACTACCACTAAGACAGACGACCGTGATTGGCGTGAGGTCCTAGCCGAATCCCTCTTAGACTTGCCCGTCACCGTCATCAACCCGTACCGACCGGATTGGGACTCGAGCTGGAAAGAGGATATTACGTGCGATCACTTTAGGAGGCAGGTAGAATGGGAACTTGAAAAACAGGACGGTGCCGACATGGTGGTGTTCTACTTCCACCCAGCGACCGAAGCCCCCATTAGCTTACTAGAGCTCGGACTTTGCGCAAGAGCTAAAAAGGCCATCGTGGTGTGTCCCGAGGGTTACAAGAAGAGAGGAAATGTTCAGATCGTGTGTCGCACATATGGACTTGAAACAGTCGAAAGTCTTGATGCGCTGAAACCAGCTATTGCAAGAAGACTGCCGAATAACTTTTCCTGAATTCTGGTGACACGGTGGATCGGTATTGCCAGGTACTTGGTAGTTGAGCTTGAGGAACGCAACAAGCGATTGAAATAGACCAGTCTAGGTGTGGTTTGAAGCTGCGAAGAAGCCATTATGATGTTACATAAATTCGATTTCAAGAAAAAAAGAAAGATGGAAGGCTAACTTGGAAGATGTCTCGGAAGGGACCCCGGCTGGGTTCCGGTGTGTTGGAGTAGGCGGTCCGGGGTTTCTCCGCTTAAACTCATTATGCTAGGTATCCTGGCTTGGGTGAACAGATCTATTCATCCACACCTGCCGTTACTTTATCCTGCCTCTCATATGTCGTACATTTGATTTGACAACACGCTCAAACAATAACTTCACAATAGTTCAACGCAGTCCCGTCCATGGCTTCACAACCCTCCATCAAATTGAAAAAATTACACTAGAGAATTAATCATTTGGCATTATGATAGTTGCTTCAAACAGAAGAGAATATGGAATTACAACAAGGTACTTAGGTATGGTCAGCTGCTAGGTTACTTGAATTGCTAGAGCCTGCATCTTCACCGGTTGTCTTCCTACATGTATCCTGTCGCACAACCATCCTTTTTGAGGGCTTCATGGTCAGGTACCTGAATTACTATCCGCACACTGTACACTTTCTAAGATGGGAGGACGACTCATATGACGTATTAAGTTACCCAGAAGGTCGGTAGGTACCCATTTAGGTACTTAGCGATGTTTTCAGCTCAACCGCCGAAGGAACTGAAGGAACATTTAGATACTAAGAAGGTTTCTTGCTTTGATATTCCATAAAATTTCTTTTTTCATACCGCCATCGCTAGGTAATCTATCTGTCTCTCTACACTAGACCCCGCTGCCCCGTTCCCTGGCCTGTAGTAGGTGGGGTGTATTGATTTTCTCAAAGCCGCATGCGAACCTTTCCAGCCTCTTACCTAGGTACCTAAGTAGTACGCCTTTTCAACTGGTAATGCACACAGAAACTGGTGAGAGTAGCCTACATAAGGTCCATCTACGCATATCTACGGATCTTTAGCACAAGACAGCCCATTTTGCGTATGCGCAAGGAGAACACGTACCGTCTCAATTTTGCCTTCGTAATGCTTAAGAATCTCCTTCATGTTTTCGACGTACTCGTCATATCGTCTCTCGAACTTTTTCTCGTCATCGCTCTTCTCTCTAGAACGAGTTAGGAACCGGTGTCGGGCGGTGTGATGTGTACATTCGAGAACAACGACTTTCGCTGGCCCGCCGATCTTGAATAAATGATATATCAGCAATTCGATTATTTGGAACTAAGTATTATTGGTCTAAAGTCCTACCTCCTTCTCGAATGCCAGCGCAGTCTCCATGTTACGCGGGAACCCATCAATTAGCCAAGTAGTGGCAGCGCCGTTACCGTTCGGAGTTGTCCTCATCTTGTACTTGAGCACTGGAATGAGGACGTTGGCGGGTAGTAGTCGACTGTCTCGTAAATGGATACGAATCCTATCAAAATCGAAGTTCTCATCTTCGCAAGGCATTCCAATCTCACAAAGCTCGCGCAGATAGTCTCCTACTGATAAGTGATGGTAGATCTTGCCGGCCATATTGAGATTATTGCAAGTGAGGTTACAGAGGGTACCCTTGCCGCTACCAGGTGGTCCAAGGACAAAGACAATTTTGCAGTTAAGAGACTGAGTAGGCGTCTCCATCTTGAGTTTCTTGGTTCCTGGTACCTAGTAAGAAATTGTTACTTATCAGGTATTTTGTTTTGGCAGTAGACGAGTCTTTGAGTGAGAATCTGTAAAGACTCGCTCTCATATGTGAAAGATCACTTACTTCCTTCCAAATTATAGTTACGGAATGTAGGTACTACGTAACTGCCTAGTATTGACGGTTATGGTGGAGTTTTCTTAATGATACTGTAGACGAATTTTGGGTTTACAATTTGCATTGAAGGAAGCTGCGGGCTACATTTATAGATAGGTACACAGTACTGATGAAAACAGATGATAACATTGAATGCAATTGGGCAGCAAGCGGATAAAAGCCGGTTTGCTCAAATTGTCCGTGCATCACTCTTCGCCCTGTTGCTGTGACTAGTATTATTGAAATCAATACACTCCCATGGGTCGATCGATTGTCTACCTAGATGTTGCATTGTCCAACTGTCACCTGTGACGTGTATAAAGTAGCTAGCCGGATGCACAGAGGGGTAAAGTTGCGAGAACATACCTTCAGGGCGGTTGGTTATATGATACAATGAGGGTCCAAGAGCGATATCTACTTCCCATAAGAAGACTATCCACCCCTAATGCCTTCCAAACAAGCTTCTCCCATCTAGCCCCCGAGATAGGATAGAAAAACAATAAATCATCGACCATGCTTCTGAATATTCTCTATTCAAATTGGATACTGTCCACGACAGTTACTTGCATCGCTGCGATCAGCATCGGTGTTTACTTCGGGTATTGGAAACATCGTCGCAACGATACCAATAAGCCGGTATCAGTTAATTACTTTTTTACACGAAAATGCAACAAAGAGTGTGCATTCTGCTTCCACACAGAGAAGACCTCATATGTCGCTCCGGAGGAGGATATGAAGCGTGGACTCCGCCTCCTTAGAGAAGCTGGCATGCGCAAGATTAACTTTGCTGGCGGCGAACCGTTCCTCTACCCCGACAAGTTAGCCATGCTCTGCCGTTTCTGCAAGGAAGAGCTCGGTCTCGAGAGCGTCAGCATCATTACCAACGGCACAAAAGTTACCAAGAAGTGGATGGATGAGCATGGCCAATGGGTCGACGTGCTGGGTGTGAGCTGCGACAGCTTCAACGAGGAAACCAACATCGCTATTGGCCGGGGCACAGGAAAGAATGTCACGCAGTTATTCCTTATCCGCGACTGGTGCCGTCAGCTAGGCATTAAGTTTAAGCTCAATACGGTGATATGTACACACAATTGGCAGGAGGATATGGCGGACACGGTCCAACGACTAGATCCATTCCGATGGAAGGCCTTTCAAGTGTTGTACGTGGAGGGCGAGAACGACGCGGAAGAGAAAGAAAATCGCCTCGACAAGCGAAAGCGAGACGCTAAGAAGCTTCTCATCTCAGACGAGCAATTTCAGACTTTCTGTGATAAACACCAGCATCTTAAATGTTTCATACCTGAGCCCAATTCAGTCATGGCGTCCAGCTATCTTCTCGTGGACGAGTTCTTCTGCTTCTTGGATAAGGGTGCTGGGGTTGAGAAGCAGTCACGATCCATCCTAGATGTCGGAGTATATACAGCGCTGAACGAGGTTCACTGGGACCGGGAAGCGTTCAACCAGCGTGGGGGCTTGTACGAGTGGACAAAGGATATCATCGGGGATGAAGAAAAGATCGATGGCGGCTGTGGATCTGGAGTTAATAATAAGTCGTTAGAATGGTGAGAAGGGAGAGACAGGCCAGTCTAGGTCGTATCGTATCGTATCGTATCTGCCTATGAGTCAACTGTGCGATTGCAAGGATATCTGCACTGTATTTTACCTTTTTTTTTTTAGTTGATGTACTCAGCGAGTTATAGCGGTTATACACTGGAGCTTAACTGGTAGATGACTGGTAGATTGCTTCCAAGGTTATCATAATCGCTTATCCCATCGCACACACCGTGCAAACAATCTTAAAACTTATCACCCCGATATTTATTTAGCTTCAATGCTGTAGCAAAGTTGTCTTCAGTACATTTTTCTTCGCCATCGTCTCTCAGAAGGGGAAAAAAACAATTTATTTAAGATATCTATGTACCTAATACACTATCCACCAACTAGAAGATCATTTAATGGCATCGAGAATTGCCTCTTCTGCGCTTAAGCGTATCGTGTCCAATGTAGAGGTCGAACGCAAATTCAACCTTGGACCTAAGTTTACCTCTCTCTTCGCAAACCCCACCGGCTACCAAGAGAAGGTTCCCTTCGTCTTACGCAGCCATCCACAGCAGCTGATCCGCGACACCTACTACGACACGGCAGATGGCCATCTTAGCGAACTCGGCATGTGGGTCCGAAAACGCTCCGTCGACCTATTGCCACTAAACCCTACCGAGAGAATCACCGGCGCAAAAGACGGCGCGCAATGGAACGCCAAGTTGCGACTTGCCGGCCATTATATGAACTCGCAATTCGTCGAATTCGATGGCCGGATGGACGTCTCGCGCGAGGTTCTGCGCATCACCGAGAACAAGAAGAAGCTTGAGGACTTACAGGTGGTATCGGACCTGCAGACACGCAGATCAGAGTGGGAGGTAACGCAGCTAGCGGACAAGATAGCACCGGCGGCAAAAATGACAATCGTCGTCGACGCGGTCACCGAGGCCGAGGCTGAAGTCGACAAGGAGAGAATAAACAAACAAACCTTCAATCACATCATCGGAGAGGTGGAACTCTTCCAAGAGTTGATAACTGAGGGCGAAGATGATGCGGAGCACGAGGCGCACCGGAAAGAAATCGGTGCGCAAAGGATGAAGGAGTTGGAAGAGTTTATGTTATCCCATCCAGAATTCTTCTCCACAAGTCCATCTCCGATTGGAAAACTCTCGGCGTACGATACGTGGAAGGCCGAACATGCTTAGTCGATGAGTTGCAACCTGTAAGTGATAGGTGGTTTAATGGATAGACTAATAGACTGATAGATTTTTTTTTAAAAAAAAATCATCTAACGATGCGAATGATCTGGGGTTTCCCGTGGGTTTCATCATGTTGGTATCTACCTACCTAGGTAGGTAAGTGAAGTCACAACCTTGATGTGAACGCAGTGTCGATATCAAGTAAAGTACCTGTAACACTACAACGAGCCTACCCTTTATCAGTTAGATCCGATCTCTGGAGTTTATCCGGGATTCCTCTACTAGGTATTGTCTCGCACCGGGGTGTTTACCTAGTTCCCCGCCTGTTCAAGCAAACACTTCGTACCTTCTACACCTTAAATGGCGGGGCTTTTAGACTTTTTATCCTCGATAAATCCAAAATCCTTTAACGTGTCTTTAATGAGAAACTGGACAAAAACATAATATCGATTCATAGTAATTTGGCTTGGTATAGAAGAGTTTTCTTTTTAGATTAACGAATATCTTGTCTATATTGCTTCTTACTAGCGTTATCGCACAATATCAAATTCCAGGCCTATCATGGACGACCAATTCAACGGCCGCACCGATGACGATTTGTTTGCCGACGACTTCGAGCCCGTCGAGGCCCAACAAGAAGCACCGCCCACAAAAAGCGTCAAAGAAACACCTCCAGTAGCCGAGAATGGGCCACCATCCGTGACTTCTGAGGAACCTCCTATCGCAGCGGTTCAGCCTGCCCCCGCGCAACATACGCCCCGATCTCTAGATCAATCGCGGCATGCGAACGCAAAGCCAACTCCTCCCCCGTCGTCGCACCAACACCAGCGTCCGCGCAAGCACTCCCCGAAGCCAGCTCCGGGCGTGGCCGCAGTAACAACCCCTCCCGATTCCCCACAGGAGTTCCGCCCCAAGACCAGCAGCAGCGGTGGTGACGACAACAACAACAACAACAACAGCATCACCACCCCCGCCAGCATCAGCAGCAGCAACAATAACAGCAGCTCCGCCAAAAAAGCGCAGACCTCACCCGCGAAACCTGGGCAGAACACAGCACTCGCGGACCGACTCGCCTCTGGCGCGAACCCGCGCACGAAGCTAACGGAGTCGGAATTAGCAGCGAAGATGGAGGAGATGCGACTCCTAGCAGCGGAGAAGACTAGGCGGTTCGAGCAGGCGGAGCGCGACAGCAGGTCGCATGCCGCGGCGTATGAGAAGGGGATGGAGGAGGCGCGAAAACGGCGCGCGGACGACGCTGAGCGCCGTCGCAGAGGAGCTGAGGAGAGGCGCCGCATGGACGAAGAGCGCGCGGCGAACCGCGAGCGCAAGCTCAAGGCTATGGGAGCAAAGGAGGGCGGGAGTTGGGATGAGGGCAAGATGCTTGAGGAGGATAGGGATCGTCGCGCTGGGTTTCGCAGCGCTAATGGGGGGATCAGGGGCGCGCGCAATGCGGGTGGGATTGCTGGGAGTAGGTTTGCGGAGAAGGAGGGCGATGTCGTGCCAAGGGAATTTGGGTTCGATGATTTTAGGGGAAGGGGGCGTGGTGGACGTGGGAGAGGCGGTTCGAGGGGTGGTGCGAGAGGAGGCAGGGGCGGGTTTAACAATGAGGGAAGACCGTTCGCGACACAGAACGGCGGCGCGCCCCAGCAGCAGAAGACGACTCAGGCTCCTCCTACCGTGGAAGACTTCCCTGCTCTACCAACGTCTAAGAAGCTCGATACTACAACCAAAACTACGGATCTGCCTGCCTTTTCGCCAACCTTGAACTCGCCGCCTATCGGGAAATGGGATGACGAGATGGCGGCGCTTGACGACAAAGCGCAGACCTGGCAATGAACGAACCCCTTATGAGCTTGCTTAACGAGGCTTGGGACGGGAATTTGTATTGTTTATTGTAAGGTATCGGGATAAATCGCACAGAGACGGAACGCATTACCATTATTACAAGCTCAGGCGACGCACACGCCCGCTAAAGCATACGAGCATTAGAGATACCAATGGAGCATTTAATGAATTACTCAAAATTGAGGACCGCTAGACGTATTTCATGTCTGCTTGTCCAAAGTGATATCGTGTCTACTATTTTTGTCCACTTAAACCCAAACGCCGGAAACTCCGTTGTATGCATTGGTATTATGGCTGCCACATTACCACCCGCCGCGGAAACCGCGTCCGCTCCTGCCTCCGTAGCCACCGCGTCGAGGGCCCCGAGGTCCTCCTTTCCACCCATCTCCGTAACCGCCATCGTCCCTCATGGGGCCGTCGTCCTGCAGTGCCGGACGCGGTCTGCCCCGTAGATCCTTAGGTAAAGCGTCGTACGTCTTCCGCATCTGCGCGTAGCCCAGATGCATCTTTCCATAGAAGTGGTCGGCGAGCCGACGGTCGTTGTCGAGGCGGGAGAGGTAGGCGCCGCAGACGTCGCACACTTGGAGCTTCTGGTGGCCGGACGGACCACTAGTGTCGGCCAGGGTCTTCAGCTCGCGCTCGCGCTCCATCTTGGCCTGCGCCGCCTGCCGCACTTTGAAGAATTCCTCGTACGCGCGGCCGACTTCGCCTAGGTCTCCCAGGATCTGCACTTCCTGCAACCCGCAGTTGATGGTGCTGCTTAGATCCGAAATCGACTTGAGAAGCACGTTCGTCTGCCGGATCTCGTCGGGCGTCTTCTCGAGCCGCCGCTGCGCCGCGTCGATGCGCCGGTTGCACTCTTCGATGTACTTCTGCAGGTCCCGCGCGTAGTCGATATCGAAACCGTATTTCTGGCGCGCCGGCTCCGGCAACCCTTCGTACTCCGTCTTGAGCGACTCGGCGTGGATCTTGGGGCACGGGCCTAGATCTTGCTTCGTGTTGGTGAAGAGGTCGTGGGGGCAGGTGCCAACGATGTAGGATCGGCAGACTTTGGGGTCGGTTAGTGAGACTTGGGAGGCGCGCGAGGTTTGCGGGCCGCCCATGAGCTGCTCTGGATGGGAGTTAGTTAATGGATTTGGTTGAAATTGGGGAGGCTGAAGCTTTACCTAGCAGCTTTCTCTGTTCCGCCGCCATTATGTGATATAAAAGAGTAATAGTCGGGTATACTTTTTGAATTATATGTATGGCTAATAAAGTGATGATATGGTGGCGATATTACAGGTTGGTAGAGGATGTGCACGTTCTGGTGCTCGGGTGGTGAAAAGATGAAGTTGGTGACAAGGCTGAATGAATTGATAAACTTAATTAGAGCGATTGAACCAAAAGTTGAAATTTGCGGGGACCAATTAGGCACTTTCTAGGTCACTCTAGCGTCGCGACTGCATTGGTTGGCGGGCTCTGCAGGGGACCCCCAGAAGATTCAGGGGTGAGAGTGTAAAAGTTGGGACCCTTCCGCCGCTAAAGCTTCGCTGAAATTATTGGCAGCTACAATGGAGGTTCCACGTAGCTGGATAGGACCTCCAGGGCTCGTATTCAGTAATCGACGTATCACAAATACTCACTCTTACATCTTCAACTTTATACCATCACCACGAAAATAAAAAGGTCGTCCTGATGGACCATCGACGACCACAATGCGTCATTTCTTTTCTTACTTGATACCCTTTTCAATTCTCTTTTGGAGCGTTGCTGTAGCTTCCGACTATTACGAACAGTTAATTCTTAAGCCATTGCCTCAATCCGCCCTCCTCGCCAGCTTCAACTTTAGATCCAACACGAGCTTGTCGCAATTCGAGGCGCACAACTTTCGATACTTCCCAAGGTCTCTGGGACAGATACTACAACATGTTGGTACAAGGGAACTGCATTTGAGGTTCAGTTTGGGAAGATGGGATGCGGAAAGTTGGGGAGCGAGGCCGTGGGATGGAACAAAAGAAGGAGGGACAGGTGTTGAGTTATGGGCATGGCTAGAGGCCGAGACTGATGAAGAGTATGCTTCCTAGACTTCATTATTAACATAAAAGTTCATGTCAACCCATACTAATGACATCCACTGGCAGAGCTGACCGTAAGTGGTTGGGCCTAACGAACGCGCTATCAGGACTCTTCTGCGCGTCACTCAACTTCATTGACGAAACGAGAACGACCCGACCCGCGATGTCTTTCCAACCTGAGGGAGATCACCCAAACTCCACATTTGCAAATATGCAACTGTTACACGGCGTGTTACCAAGAGAAGTGGTCTGTACGGAGAATTTAACCCCATTTTTGAAACTGTTGCCGTGCAAAGGAAAGGCGGGGATTTCAAGTCTACTTGACGGTCACAAACTCTTCGACGCATCATGGCAGAGTATGGCAATCGATATTCGACCTATATGTTCGGAGGGTGAAGAATGCGTGCTGCAGATTGAGCAGACTATTGATATGGTCTTGGACATCGAAAGATCCAAGCGACCTAGGGGTAAGAAATTGTTCCCCCTTTTCACTACTTCCAGTATTTAACAGAAATTAGATAACCCTATTCCACGGCCACCACCAGGTCACGATCTAAAGTGCAACTCGTCAAAACCATACAATTCCGGCGACGCGTGTTTCCCTACAGATTATGCCGAGGGCCAAGACTGGGCTCTGGATCGAGTCTTTGGCAAGGCAATAAAAGGGGCTTGTCCGTTGACTGATACAAGCATTCCTCCCGTCTGTGTTCAAGCTCCCCATAGCAGAGACATATATACTACTACTGGCGCAACCGAGATAAAAAATCCAAATGGACTCTCACGTTGCTATCAGATTCCTCCGGATTCAGATTTCTCGATGATCCTTCCTCGCCCTTCACGAGAGGGCGAGCATGCAAAACCAGACGGCAGTGATGAGATCGTGGAGCCTGAAACGCCCCTCTTGTACGCGGAGCGTAGCTTCACAGGCCATGGATATGAGCGCGGTGGAGTGAGAACAATTCTCACCAACCCAAGCCCAGACACCGAAGTTGAATTTGTCTACATGGAAAGCTTGCCTTGGTTCATGCGAATATACCTCCACACATTGAGAGCTCACCTCGACGGAGAATCTGGTTCCAAGAAAGATATCATTGAACAGATTTATTACCGGCCGGCCCTAGACCGTGTCCGGGGCTCGCAACTTGAGTTACGGATGCGTATTCCTCCAGCTAGCACAGTTTTTCTTACCTACGATTTTGAGAAATCTATTTTGCGGTACACAGAGTACCCCCCAGACGCAAACCGCGGTTTTGATGTTGCGGCGGCTATTATCACCATTCTACCTTCTGACTCTCGTAACGCGCCATCAGCAAGGCAAAAGACTTCTAATCTGCGAACCACAACACTCCTTCTCAGTCTGCCAACGCCAGATTTCAGCATGCCCTACAATGTAATCATCTTCACGAGTACGGCCATTGCCCTTGCCTTTGGAGGTTTATACAATATCTTGATACGGCGGTTCGTGGGGGCTGATGAGGCAGAGGTTGGTGCTAGTAGTCTAAAGGGTAAGATTGTTGCGGGCGTAGTCAAGTTGATAGGAAAGTTAAAAGGCGCAAAAGGGAAAGTAGAGTAAGCATTAGTTATGGCTATGTCCGGATTTTAAAATAGACTTAAACTGGTCGAGAAACGGTGTAGAGGTTCATAGCTAAAACTGGACCATGAATAAAATTATTATACTGATGCCCCTTGCTCTACCTTCTTCATCTGATTCAGTTGATGTCTGTGTTTATATCTCCCCCTTAACGCGTTGAATAAAACAGCAACTCGTGGTTGTTGCAATGCGTCACACGCTAGGTCAAATTGTTCATAGTCTATGTCATCTAGAAAGTGATCTTGAAGATAAATTACTGCTTTCTCAAGGTCACATGAACCAAGTTCACGACTCATCGTACTCCTTCTTCGAGGAGGGATTGATCTAATATTTGAATCATCAAATATCTCATCAATTAGGTTAGGGTCGTAGTGACGTTTCGGTTGTCTGCGAATGAGATGGCTAGGCGTATCTGAACTACAGGGAGGAGGCCGTTGATTGCGTGGCGAAAATGGGGAGCTATCGCCAGTTCTTTGAGATGAGCTCCTCAAAGCAAGATCATCGTTTACTTCTACTCCTCGAATGGAAGCTCTAGTTGAGATGTCTTTGGAGAACGCTTCAGCGTAGGCCTTCTTGGTCAGGCACAACAGGACAACTGAATTCGTCCCCGTCATTCTCACCGATGTAATAGTTGAACACCTGATAGTCCAGCCATCTTTTCTGTTTGGTTTTGCGCTTCGGTAGTCCGGGGCTTTTTGGTGAATAAGAAGTCATGCAGGATGTCGGGCAACCACACTATCTAGATCGAAATGCTAGGTGTTCTATATACGTGGCCATTTCTTCCTTTGACTATTTTGCCTTAGATTTAGTTGAAGGAGGTCTACTAGATGTACCGGAAGACATAGTAATTGATTTTACAGCAGTTTCGGGCGTGTCGTCAATTACTAGTAATTTTTACAAGACCACCTGGAAAACATGTTCCAGTGCATAACTGAAAGAGTTGAACATATCCAGAATTTTCATGTTTTTAACGAAAGGGAAATATGGATACGATTTGGTTCTGTGGTACAGTGGAATAAACACCTGAGTTTAGCCGTAAGACCTTCTGAATTATAAGAGTTTCCCGGTTAGGGCATCCTGTTAACTTCAGTCCTTAACGTTGGTCCCCACTTTATCGATAGATATCGTCGAGATTAACATTTCTACCTCAATCCATACCATCAAACGAACAAGTGCATCATTGATGAAAATAATATTTCATGATATTGGTTCTTGAATAAGTCCCTATACCTAGTGGTAGGTACTTTTCATCCTATATATGTGCTGCGATCTCAATGATTAAAAAAATCTATATACTTCAAAAATAAAGACGGATCCGTCCGTCGATCGACAAGTAGGTATATATATGTCTATACCTTATACCGAGAACGCCTTGCTGCTTTTGTACACGAACGCGACTGATACCTGCGACCCAAAAGAATGTCAATGATTTCCCTCCTTCAACGTTCAACTACTGGAGCGCGGCCCCGAGAGTATACGTTGAAGAACGGAAGTAGTCCTGCATCCGACCCATCATGACGGGATTCGGCACATAACCCCATACTTGGGGTTGATACGCCTGCTGCCACCTTACTTCCCCTATCCCTTTCGACTCCAGATACTCTGCGGCATCGGGCTGCGTCGTGATCGTATCGAAACTCGATCGCTTGCTGCTAGCATATGACGAGCGATACGAATCGGCTGTGCTAGCTGTAGAGGAAGTGGATTCTCGGCGACGATGTCTTCTTCGCCGATGGAGGAACTCGTCTTCGGCGACCTCGGGCTCTGGATCCGGTGTGGGATCTGTCTGCACGCAAGCGTCTGCGTAACGCGACTTTGGTTTTGCTTCTACTTTTTCTTCTACCCTTGCTTCCACCTTGGATGGCGCTTGTCTGTGCGCGCCCTTAGTACCATCGCTGTGACAGCCGCAAGTACAGTTGTCATCCGCGACCACCACGGGTGCCGGCCTCGGGGATTTCGCCGGTGCAGATGGTGTGCTCCTCCGTTTGGGACTCGGCTGCTCCTTAAGCACGCCTAGGTCATCGTGTCCATACACTAAACTGCGCGGCCGCATGGCCCACGACCTCCTCTGTTGGTTGAAGGCTAGCGGGACAAGCGCTATTTTGCGCAACTTATCCGCTGATGACGATCTGCTATGGCTTGCAGGTGGCTTGAGATGTGGGCCAGGTAGATGATCCACTGTGGGCGACGCAGACGGTAATGTGCTCGATCGCGGCCGCTCATCCGCTTCTCCCCGAGAAAGCCCTCGCGGTCTTCCTGCTTGCTGCCTCGGTGACGTGGCGAAGCTATCGCCGCTGAGTGTCATGGCCCGTCGGAGCCGTTGCTGCGGCCCTGGAGGCTCGCTGCGTACCTCCCCATTCCTATCGGAAGCCCAGAACGTGTTTTCGCCGGAGAGTATCACCTGTAAAGTCTCGAAATGCCTCGTGCTACCGTCGGCCGGGAATAGCCAATCTTGGAGAGGTTTTGGGAGTCCATTTGAGCCTAGAGAAATTCGCCGGTTGTTTAGTATGCAAGCCTTTTTGAGATGACGAAAGAGGCTTTAGACCTACGTTGCCTATATTCCCCCGACCGTGTCTTCCAGCATATGTAATGTTGTCCGCAAGATCCGAGAGCTGTCACAACCAGCTGTTCTACCCCGTCCGACTCGCTGGTGTCGTTTGCTAAGTCTTGCAAGATATCCGCGAGCATTATTTCCGAAGTCGTTTACCGTCGCCCAGTCGCAGTGTTATTACATGGCATTCCTTGCCCACACATTCAACCAATTCGAATCTTATTTTTATTTGGCCAGCCGTTTTTAGAAAGTAACGAGTGTGTAACAAACAAACACACGCGCGAAGATCATAGTATACAAATTAGATTATGTTTTCGATCCCGAGACTTCCCAAGAATTGGTCACGGCGATACTGCCAGCCAGCTGGCTCCTGATCAACAAAGACGTTGAGTTGAAGCTTGCGTTGGGAGCGAAAGGCAAACGCATGATTATCGATGCACGGGGGCAGGGTGAGACGCCAAAGTCCTGGAAAACAGCTGATATGGACCCAGCGTTGCATCTGAAACCGCAGCAGAGGATCCACGAACACGCCCCATCGCGACTCACTATTGCGCACGCCGTAGACCCCCATGGTCCAGGCTTACCTATTCGAATAGGCTCGTATCGACAGCTACCTAGCTACATTCAATGTAGATTACTATGGTAGCGCCAAGACATTTCATGATAAATCATCGTGAAGCCCGAACCGAAATTGCCAAGAATATCCACTAAAGCTTCTTTGGGAGTTTAAGTGAACTGATCGAAACCTGGAATAGGTAGAAGCACAGACCGTTGGAACAGCAAACAAGGCATCGTGAGTTATTACATGTAGGTATTCTATATATCATTAAAGGCCTGCCTATTATATGACGGCTCTGCTATTTACTTTGTATCTACATCGTCTTTCGCCTTTTCGGTGTGAGGTTCATCCTCAACGTATGGCTTCTTGTACCCTGGTTGTCCCGACTCGTCGGAAAGTTCGTCCAATGTGTCAAGCCTGTCGACGACTGAACTAGCTGCAGTGACAGATGCGGTGTCACTAAGGTTATCTGCTTTCCTCGCTGAAGACCAGAATGAGATGTTGTCAGTTGCTACACTAGGTGAATGAGGGATACCTGTCGGATGCTCAGTAGATCCAGGGTCGAGGTGCAGATTGCTTAGGTCGAGACTTCCCCGCACTGTGTTTCCGCTCTGATCATCTATAGCCTCGCTGTCGCGTCGTTTTTGCTCTTGCTCCTCCTCTTGCTGCTTCTGTTGTTCTAGTTGTTGCTGCCGTTGCCGTTCCGCGGCTTCCATCTCCTCAGCTTCCCTGCGGATAGTCTCCTGCCGTTCCTCTTCTTCTCTCTGAGTCTGTTCCTTGTGTTGCTTCATCTTCTCATCTAGAGTCTGCGCTGCGGTCGGGTCAACTTGGGGCTTGCGCTCCTTCTTCTCCCGTCGGGTCAGCTCAACCTCGAGCACCCTTGTTCCCATCGGAACTTTGGTAACTAGACCATCGTCGTCTCGGTCAAAGTAAAGAGCCCAGATTCCTGGGAACTCTTCTACTGCGACGAACCCTTCCCAGCTCTCTAAGATCAGACGCCGGTCCTGCCGGGTGCAATCGAAGGGTCCAGTAATATGGGGTTGTGCGTCGGCACGGACGCCATACTTGACTTCGTACGTGTCCTTGTCCACATATATCCAGTTTAGCATAGGAGGGTCGTCGCTGATAGTGCTGACGAGGCCCTCATATGGCTTGTCAGGATATGGCAAGTAGTATCCCGCAAATGGATGTCCATAATCTATCGGGCTTGATTGAACTTCCTCAGCTGATGAAGCCTCAGTGGTGATGTAAACCTATGGTGTTCTTATATGAGCGATGTGTCTTATCATTCTTCAGTGCGATTGAAGGCTTACCTTGTTGTCTTTAAGAACAACTATCTTGCCATCTATGTCACGGCTTCGGATCGACGGCCTGACACACGATACGATAAGGTTACAACGGCGAGATCGGTGTTCTTCGCGTTTATTCTTGGATTGACTTTGACGAATGGCCTCTTGCGTCCCCAGTAACGCAGGGCAGATTGTGATAGCTAGGATCATAGGCAACGCCATAGCGACTTCTTCGAGTGTTTCTTGAAGAGTCTTCCCTTCTTGGACTGGAACTTTGAAAAATTGTTCCGCGCGGATGTTGGACGACATTAGTCCCCTTGCTAAAATTCTAATAAACGATGTCGGTAAAAGTTACACGTAGGAAGAAGAAAAAATAGCATTAAGGTTGATGTTTCGAAGAGAAGTCGAGGTCCGGCTCGAGATAGGCGAAATGTTTCTCAAAACAAGACAGATTCAGGCAAGTTGCCACGAGAGCTCTAAAACTTTGTTGATTTCAAAGCCCTTGCAGTGGACGACGCTCCCATTGCAGTTAAGACTCCCTATTCCCCGAGGTGTCATGCCATTCTCAGATCAGATCTAGACGCTATCAGGTCAGACAGGGGTGAAGCGAGACCCTTTCATGTTTGAGGCTCTACGCTTTGATCCAGGGTCCACCACACCCAATCCACCCCCCCGCGGACGACAAGCAATAAGATTACGGCGAGTCTTCACTGTAACTCTCACAAGGAATAATTGGACGACTTCCATCGTGCCATATCGGACGAGGATGTTACATCGAAGTGTAAAGGATTGGGATTTGCGTCGCAGTGAACACGACATAGTAGTTGGCGTTTCGTGCGGAAGGACGACGAGCCCCGGTAAAGTCTGGAGAAATACAGTTGTTTGCCACGGTCTGTGCTAGGTCTTAGAGATATATAAGTCAGTTCTCAACTCAATCTTGAAAACTCGATCTCACCATCCAGCATCAACAACTTCATCTTCACAACTTCAGCCGGCCTGATCATTTCAATTCTTACATATCATTATTCAACTTTTTTTGAGATCTCCTTTTGATCAATCCGAAAAACATCATTCAAAATGGCTACTCCCAGCACGTAAGTTTAAATCCTTGCTTCTTCGGCAATGAACCTAGTCTAACATGTTTCGTTTTTAGTACCTCCGCTATCCCCATGAAGAACAACGTCGCATACAACAGCGACTCGGAATCAGATGGCCAAGCCCGTGGTGGCCGTCGCCCTGCCAACCAGCTCCAGACCTCTCTACCTCAGCTACCCACCTCAGTCGGTCTAGCTCAGCCAGCAGGTAAGGCGCACTTTCATGAATATCTATTACGCAATGGCTAACAGTTCTTAAAGGTTCTCTGCTGAAGGGCGCCACTGATGACAACGGCAACCAGAAGGCCGCCGCTCTCCTAGTCGGTATAAAGCTCGACTTGGAAGCTGAGGTCCACTTGACTGCCAGAGTCCGTGGTGACATCTGTGTTGGTCTCTACTAAGGGATTTCACCATCATGAAGGCGCGAAACATTCTATTCATTGAAGACAAGCATAGCAAGAGCGGTAGCAACTGCAGGAATTGAAGCAGGAAGCGGAGCACACAAGATACCCCCCATTTTTGCATGGATTGTTCAGAGTCTGGCTGGAGCCGTCCCAACTCCAGCGCCTTACGCCAAACGCGTCGCGGGCTGGCTGGCCGCCGCGGGGCATGGTAGATAATAATACGACGATTTGGAGATCTCACTCGGGCTTCACCGCCATTCTGCTCCATAATGTGAATGTGATTGGAAAATGAACTCTTAGATCGTGAGATTTGCGTGCGTGGCTGTGGATAATATGGTCCATTATTAAGTTAACGGACCCTAGACTCCTCAACCTCTCCTTACTCTAAGAGGAACTTAATTACCTCCATAAGTACATAATATCATAAGCTTGAATACCTAGCGATGGTACTTGACAGGGTAGACATGTGTCGTTGACTTCCACGTTGTTGAGATATTATTTTAGTAGCTGAAATCGGATCCGAAATAATAGGGGCTAATTTTTGACGTTCCTAGTGTTGCTGTGCAACCTCAATGAACACTTCATACAACCGTCTGCGATAACAGTCATTGACATTATTAAGTAGATGTAAGCTACTGCGCGAAAATTGAGGAAATGCACAGCTATACCACCCATATATGCAATAGCTCTGAATAGTCACAAGTTATTGTACCGGAGTGGCAGCCAATATACGACCAACACAATCACCGAAACCCACCTTCTCACCTGGCTTCCCGCATATACCGCGCATTACTACTGTATCTCCATCTTTAAGAAATCGGCGTACGTCCATACCATAAAGCATAACATCTTTCTTCCCTCCTTCGCTCAATTCCAAGAGACTTCCCTTTTCGTTCGGAGTGGGCCCACTTATAGTTCCGGTACCAAGAATGTCTCCAGTTCTCATCGGACATCCACCAAGAGAGTGATGCGCAATCATTTGCGGAAACGACCACATGAGATACTTGGAGCTTGTCGTGGATATCGTGGTCGCATCCCCTTGCGGAGCTGTGCTGTGTTAGTATTGGGTCTGATTTGATAGGGGATCATAATACGTACTTATCAAATCAACTTGCAGCTCAATATCGAAGATACTTTCTTTCTTATTTTCATTCAAGTATGGCTGCAGCGGCGTCCAATTGTCAAGACATTTGGTTCGGAACGGATCCAGTGCATCTGCCAGAACAACCCAGGGGCTAATGGTAGTAGCGAAATTCTTCCCATTGAAAGGTCCTAACGGAATATATTCCCAAGTCTGAATGTCGCGCGCACTCCAATCGTTTAGGATCACATATCCGAAAATATGGTCCTCGGCATCCGTGACTTTGATTGAAGAACCCATCTCATTCGGGGTTGAAATGAAGCATCCTAGCTCTAGCTCAATATCAAGACGTCTGCTAGGAGCTGTGGTGGGTTGCTTCGGCTCCGCCGTGGGGTCGATGATGATCTGGCCGACAGGGCGCTTGATTGGCGTACCCGAGACTACGATGCTGGAAGCCCGTCCATGATATCCGACCGGGAGATGTGTGTAATTGGGCTGTAAAGCTTTTTGAGGACCGCGGAACAATGCCCCAACGGAATAGGCGTGATGAAACCCGGCATAGAAATCTGTGTAGTCCCCTATGTTCATAGGTAAGTGCATTTTCACATTCCGCTGGGAGAGCAGAGCCTTCTCCCGAAGTTCCGCATTGTCCTTTAGGGCTTCTGGCCGGGACGTTTCGCTAGATAATAAATCTTGAATGGTTTTGCGAATTTCTCGGTGGACTGGTCGACCTAGCGCTGCGAATTCATTTAACGTGGGCTTTGAGAAGATGCCCGGGTGATTTTTCAATGCGGGAAATACGTCATGAAAAGTCGCATGAGAAGACAAGGCTTTTAAGTCGAGGACATGAATTCCGATGGCGATGGCGGCATGTGGCGCGGGGTCGGCGGATGAGCTGACGATACCGAACGGGATATTGGCTAAGGAAAAAGGGGTATCGGGAGAGACATCAGGAACCCACGTTGATGCCATGTTGAAATTGTCTGCTGTTGGAAATTCTCATGAGAAGCAATTCGTTACAATGAGTTGCTCTATCATATCATGTGTTATGAAGCGACATAAAATAAATTGTGTTGGCGTTGAACTATTAGGGGTCTGTAGCTATCCCGCCATATGCCGAGAGAATACCGATAGAAGCCGTTGATTCCTCGTTATGATCAAAGATTCAATTGTTCCAATCATTGTTTTACATACATATAAATATGTATCAATCCGTGCTTACCGAAACTCTACCAAGAAATAGAAATTGGGGTGAACATTGAAGTAAACTTCCTTCACATTTTCTAGTAGCAGTTTCCTCTGCATCGCAAATCAATCTGGCAGCTACCACATATCAATATTTATGTCATGAATTGTAGCAATATGACGCATTCATCAATTGTGACTTCCAAGGAAGTGCAGCTTGACAGCACTGGCGAGTGTAAGAGATATGCCCCGAATGTTACTTGAACACATTCATACTTTCATTCATCCAAACACCATTTAATAACGTCTTTGGCTATTTACATCGGCCCAACTCTCCTTTAGCACTTCACTCTCCGTTTCTAGGTCTTTATATTTTAGATGACTGGTTTGATTTCTCACCATGGATTTTATTATGTTTTTTGGTGATGTGAGCGACATCCCGGACAATGCCACTATTCGTCATGCTTCGTTGTCTGTGCTGGCGAGACACTTCCAAGGATTACGAGAAGCAAACATAATCCCCTGGCAAAAAATATCCTCGTATATAAATACGCGTATCAATTCTGAAGCCTTACCACCTACTGTCGCACAAGTATTCCTTACCACCTACGATAACGAACATGTCATTGCCACCGCTCTTCGCCAGGGTGTTTCGGCTTCTATTCGACGGGTGGCCATGGATTGCTTCAAGAAAAAATGCCGATCGAGCGAATTCTCACACATGTGGGCCGCTATAGGTAGAATACCCGGATTGATAGCCTTGATGTCAACCATGTCAGTGCGTGACGTAAATCGTCTATGCCGATGTATTGGAGAATGCACGTCCAAGAAGCCAACAGCCGGTCGACGTGAGAAGGTCTTTACAGACTTGCTTAAAGCGTTGCGCAACACCGATGGCAGTATCCCTCTTGTCCCAAAGAATCCCGATACAAGACCTCTAGATTTCTGCTACAACAAGATCCTTCCTGCATGCGAGCCGCATGTCATCTTTGACGAAATCACTAAAATCGAGAAAATTAGGAAAATGACCGATTGCGCGACCATAAAAGGCTACGTAGACAATTTCAACGACGCTATATTCCCCGAGAATGGAATAGGCAAGAAGATGACACCCTACAAATTCGTTCTCGATGGCAATGATGTCCAATTTTCTCTAAATATCCTGATGAGATTGTCTTTCAATCACGATTCGCTTAAGATCAACGCAGATAACCTTATCCAGGACCTCGCTCGTCCCCTAGCTAGGCGCCTTCATAATCGAAGAGAAGGTGACTACCTACAAGAACCTTTCTTCGACTCACTCATCGACTGCATTAGAAAAGAACCCAGCATTGCAAACGGGCTGGATCATTCAATGATATCATACGCCATTAAAGCGTGGGACCGTGCTTACGGGAGACGAGAATGTATAAAGCAGCATCTTGCGACCCTAGTGCAGCTTGCGACAAACGACCACCAGTGGACGTTGGGTGAAATCGCGAACGAGTTACAGCATGTTAAACCTAGCTTGCGAGCTCAACTTTTTAGACTCTTACTTGGAAATGCGAGACCTTTCAGAGTGGCTATCGACACTTCTTTTGGCGCCGATCGTGAGGCTCTCAGATCTCTAGGCAAAGCCTGGCCGCCTAAACTTTTCTACCTCCTCCCTAGCCGCATATCGCTTCGTCTTTTCAAGGTCCTCAGCTCAATCCACCCAAATGGAAAATTTATCGCCAAGGATCGCGGCGCAGAGAAAGGCATGGAATATGTCAATCATGATCATATGCAGTACGGCGATTCAGACATGCTTTTTGCTTTACTGCGGTCGAGGCGACATTACAACAACCCCTACAACATGACTCTACCTGTAGAGACACATAATATTCTCCAACAACGAAAATATAAAGCTATGTCTATACGCAATGAGGAAGAGATGGCAAGCTGGATCCAGTCAATTATTCGCTTATCTATTGCATCTGGATCATTGTTTTTATACGAAGATACCGTACTCTGGGCACGGCAATTCGATGGAAACCCGGTAGTCGCTAAAATGCTGTTGTCTAGTAGTACCTTATTATCACAAGAGGGCTTAGATATCTTGAGTGGAATATCCCGACCTTTACTCAAGCACTATTCTTCATTACATCAGCTCCAAGAGAACGTTGAGCGAGCGAACCGAGTGCTAATGCAGCACGTAGAAATGCTTTCTTCACGCTACGAATCGGCCTCAATTTTACTGCAAAACATGTTCAACGTATTTCTACTGCCTGCGTATGTAATTCAACGAAGAATGGAACGGCTACGTGCCTTTAAAGCTCGCACAAGACTATCCGATGATGAAATCTACGAGTCGGTATGGGAACCAAGTATCAGTATGCTACTAGATACCGAGCGCCTTTTACTCAAAATAGGCGATAAATACTCTTTTCTGAACAAAATCCGGGGCCCGTTGAGGCATTTATCCCTTCCAAATAAACCCGAGCTTCATATCCGCAGATTTCTCGATGTACTGGGAGAATCGCGCGATAAGCTCTGGCAAGAGTACCGAGCAGAGATAAACCCCATAGTCGAAGGTCTTGACGTACCTTGGCCGAAAGGTCTCCCTATTCAAGCCCTGGTGTCACACAAACTCTCCAATTGGAAAGATATGCCCTATATCGAGTTACGAGCGGGAGGAGTCTTGTTTGCACCAGGAAGAACGTTGATATCTCCTATACCGATGCAATCAGAAGAGAGAGCTGCTATAGGACCATTTGTGGACGATTTCATATTCGCCTTGCAGGTTTTCGTATCGGCAGTGGATGAAGGCCCTGAACGAGAAAGCAGGGTTCTGCAAGCCTGGGACCATGCCGTAGCGAATTTTAGCAGCGAACAAATGTCTAAGAAACAGGCACTATGGTACTGGAAACACATTTTCTCGTTAGCCCCCAATGTTAAGCTGCCACATCCAATAGCATCATTATTTAAAGTCTCCTATCTTCAATTTCCGGAACATAATCGCTCTACAGTTTTCAAATGGAACCCAAACCAGGAGCTCGTGCAACTTCTACCAACACCGACCATCATCCAACCCCCAGAGAAGCTGCCCGGATCTTGTTTAGAATGTATGCTTATGGTTCATAAAACAGGATCCTCCAAAACTGTTTATTCGCCTTTCCAATTTTGCGATGCAGAAACCATTCAAACTATGAGTACCTCGTCCATTTGGGATGTCTGGAGCTCAAGAGGCACCATCCCTTCAGAGGGTACAGATTGCGCTATCGCAATTACGGTGGCATTTTTAAATGTAGTGTATGGATCAAACTTCTCCCTGTTCGAACGACCATTTCCATCTAAAGACGACATTCGGTTCCCTGCTTTTCGCTTGGATGAGAAATTTCTGGAAGATGAAAGCAATCTGGGAAAACTGAGCTCGATATTGCGGATCTTGGAACACCTCTCACCATGCATCCCCGGAACATTATTCCAGGGGCTTGCCAGGTCAATATGGAAGCGCTTACATGCCGAGGAAAAGGAAGACCCGGAGATACTCAAGGCTGCTATAGGGGTTGTGAAAATAATTTTACGTGGAGACCATCCGGACGCTGCCCACGAGTTCATAATAAAGGGTATATTGAAACCCCAAGAGAACAACTTATAGCGTAGTTGTTTCCTTAATACTAGCTTCCTTCGGCGTCTATCCACATATGCAATCCAGGATTTACTCGACAGCTTATGTTCAGCAATCAGCAATAAACTTCGAATGCATCAGCGCGCAAGAAAGTCGCAAGCAAGGAACAACAAGCCACCAGCACCAGCACTTGTCACGGTCGCAACGATCAAATTATTCACCCGATTGTTATGCGAGACCGAATATGTGGATCAAATGTTTGCTTGCCGAAATCTTGCTCGTTTGTTAGAAAATTCTACGGATCTAGACATTCGAATTGCAATCGTGGAAAGTCTATTGAGCGTCAAGTCTACAATGAGAAGGGAACAAGTATTCCTAACTGTTATACATATTCTGGAAGAGCACGCGGTACCCATAGCTGCATCCATCAATGAACGCCAACCACCTACTGAGGCTGAATGGATCAAGGCCGAGATGGAAGAGGGACCTCTACCTAAAGTGTATGAAAACAATCCAACACTTGACCTAGCGCCAATGTTGAAATTGCTTGTGGAGGCAATCCCACCACTTTCTAAAGGCAAGGACAACGTTAACAACCTACTCAATGCAATATGGATGAAAAGAATCATAGTTCCAATTCTGAACCGCTCGGCTTTCAATCATCGACGATGGACCGCTTTATTCTTGAAGCGTAACGAATTTACACTTTCAATTGACAACTTGCCTATGTTACCATCGAATCCAAAAGTGCTCGCCGATATGTTCACGGCATATCCCAGGTCTTTCTTCAACTATCCCTTCGAAATAATCAGAGATATAGTGAAGATAAATATAGCCCCGAGTAGAGATATCGTTTTCGTCAACGAGGCTATCAGAAATAACGTTGATCTCTGTCACTCCAACGCTGGGAGACACTGGCTCTCTGTCTGGAATACGACGGGGGATGCCTTCAACCTTGGAGTTTACCAATTTGCGGATATGATGCTCAACGAGACAATAAACCTCTCCGATAGACGGTTCTGTGGCAGTACGATCGACCTAACACGCCTTTTTATGTTTGATGTGACCAAGACATTTCTTTTTATGCCTGACATATCCTATTACAATACGGCCATAGAAAAAATCGGCTTTCACAAGCGTATCTACTCACTGGAAACCCGTGAACTCTTTATATCGAACTGCATTCCTCTTTTAGAGGATTGCATTACATATATCAATTACATACGCGAGCATTACAAGGCTCGGGAGACGTTTAGCCTTCCGGAGGTTCTTCCTATAGAACTAGAAATACTTAAAGGGAAGCATTGGCATGAAGCTTCTAAAGCTCCTCCTTCGGCGGATATCCGAGAATTTGCAATAGACGTCATATCTCTAATCCAGGGTATTTTAGACAGAAAGATTCCATCATACGCACATAACTGGACGTTACTCAAGCGAGCTGCAATGCAACAATTCCACAAGAAGTACTTCATATCTCTGGCTATTGAGTTTTGCTCGTTGAGCAAGATTGAGACCGAGGATCGAGTTGAGGACTACCTACGCCTCGACCTGATACAAGACTTACTTTCTGAAGCGGAAGACCCCGAGGATGAAGCCTTGGATAAATACTTAGGGGAACAGTTAGGGGCGTACTTGAGAGATTGGAGGTCTGATCCGGCGGAATTCATTCGTATGAAAGTAGAGTCAATCATAGAGACCCTGCTGAGTCGCTAAACGGGGCTTAATATGGAGTTGGATCATGAGTAAGCGTAGTCCGTCATTTCTTTTGAGAAGCGTTCGATTTGTAAATGAAAAGCGAACTTATTTGATTAGAGAAATGAGAGATCACTGGCTCAATATTTGATTCTCTTCATACGCGTATCGATTCTCTACAGTTGGTTGAAGGCGTATGTATAACTGGGTCGCATGAGTTTGCGCCAAAGGCCGGACGTCCGAAACACGAGATGCTGTGTGATATATTAAAGTTGGATCGGCCCTACAATTACACGCGTGGAACCAATGACAATACGCGCGTTGTCAGAACCTAGTACTGACGTCGCCATCGACCGTTCTCGGATACTGGAGGCTGGATGGGCTGACGGGTAGAGCTGGCCGAGGAGGAAAAATATTACTTGGAGTCACACGGGAATCCGGGATAAGCAAAAGGGACAGCAGTGCCTAGCGAATGGGCACATCCTGGTAACAGCCCAAGCTGCATCGTGCGTATCCTAATGGGGCTTGTACGACTGATGCCTATTTTCATTGGGTTGCAAGGTTCTCCTGAGCCCTGAACCCGACCGCGAAAACGAACGAGCCGCCATGGCGTCTAAGAATGCATTGCGGAATCACGGCACTAGAAACTACCGCGAGGACTGGCTCAATGATTTCCTTTCCATTACTCGTAAATAAAAAAAAAACACTATCCGAATGCACGACATTACAGCCGACCTCCAGTAGTGCAGCAATAGTCGCCCAGCTCCATGGCTCATGGGCCGAGATGCAAAAGGACGATCTTGTCAACCCAGCGCCAACTTGCTTTCGGAATTTATGCCCCGTATCCTTTACCGTAATACCCGCGTTTGACCTGTGGATTCTGATCCACGGGATGCTGTCGTGGAGAGCAGGTTTCTATGATTAACGTTGGCTTGCTAAATTTTCAGATTGAAACTACTGTCTACCTTGTAGGTACCTGGCGATCCTGCTTGGAAATATGTCGATTGCAGTAGCGCCTGTAGCTGTGTTTGTGCCGTCGGATCTCGAAGCGGGAGATTATGCGTTATCGTATAAATATGGCTGTTCTATGATTTCTTCCGAACTGACGGGGGAGAATCTGCAGTCTTCGGCTTGACCCTCTCTTACCTTACTGCAATCATTTAGAAAATACATATCCATTCGTTATTACCTTCTTATTTATGCCTCTCTCCTTGGCATTCTTGCGTAAAAGCATCATTGTCTTGAATACCTTTCTGCAATACCACCCCATTTGTGATACACATATCTACTTCTAATACGCTTTGATCGACATGAAGACTACTACTATACTGATTGGCCTCGTCGCCCCTCAGGCTCTTGCCTATCCTGGCATGGGTCGCACTCTAGCTCAAATCCAGTCTCATCGCGATAATACTATAGTGAAAAGATCTACAGAGCTCCTCGGCGATCTCAAAACTACGAAAGACCAAGACTTAACACCCGCTGGGTCATCCATCAAGTCCGTCCTCGGAGGCGGGAGTGCTATAGCGGATGGTAGCACGTACAAGCCTCTCGGCGATCTTGCATCTGACACATGCAAGAAGTCCACGTTATGCGTCTGGTATCATATCGTCCAAGATCTCAAGGTAGCCTTCACCGATAGCACTGGCTGCACAGATCTGGCTCGTGGCGCAATTCGTCAGGGATTCCACGATGCCGCGGCTTGGGATAAGGACTCCTCCCATGGGGGTGCCGACGGATCTCTTCTCCTGAGCGACGAGATGTCTCGTGTCGATAACTTGGGGCTTGAGGATATCGCAGCTCAGACCAAAGGCTGGTACAGCCAGTACAAGGCATATGGCATTAGCATGGCCGACTTGATACAGACTGCCGCCATGACTGCGACAGTATCTTGTCCTGGAGGGCCCCGCATCAAACATTTCGTTGGCAGAAAGGACGACAGCAGAGCAGCTCCTACCGGAAAGCTTCCGTTTCCATACCAAGATGCCGACGCCCTAGTCAGGCTCTTCGCGGCAAAGACGTTCACGTCGAACGACTTGGTCGCTCTGGTCGGCGCTCACACCGCATCGAAGCAGAAGTTCGTCGATACGAGCCGCAAGAATGCTCCGCAAGATAGCACGCCTAATGTCTGGGACACCAAGTTTTACTCGGAGACTATTGCCGGGGATAACAAAACCATCTTGATCTTCCACAGCGATAAGAGCATCTCCTCCTATTCAGGAACCCAGGCGCAGTTCAAGTCCTTTGCCGGTTCAAATGGCAAATCCCTTTGGTCTCCTGTGAGTAGCCCCTTTTCGGTAGTGATGTTACGACATAGCCTGACTAATATTTCTGTAGGCATATGCTCAGGCATACTTTCGCATGAGCTTTCTTGGGGTTAACAACTTGAACAACCTCACGGATATCAGCCAAGTCATCCCTTTGTCACAATAGGGGTTACACGATTGCTAGTTCGTGGCTTTCTTACGCGATGGACATTTATGAGTTCTATGTTTTCCTATGTCTAAAAGTATTTTCACGATATATTTAATTACGCCATATATTTACATGTCTGTATGATACTCTGTCTATATTTTCACGTTTTCATCTGCTTCGCTACTCGGTTTCCCTCCCGTTCTGGTTAAGACTGTATCTGGCATCCTTAGATACAACCTGGGTTTCACTAGACTGCATATGATAGACTAAACGTTTAAGTTTTTCTCTATATAGGTACCTACTCAAAGATATGTACCTAGGAGAGATAGTTACTAAATAAGAGACTGCACCCCTTAATTGCTCCTTTAATTTGACTCATCATCACGTACGAAGATTTATGTTAAAAATTTCGACCATCAGCCCCGTGCGTTCCTTAGTGCGTATAAGCAATTACTTCATACTGTATTAAGTGTAGCTAAAACCGAGACCCGATAGTGACCTATCGGATAAATTCTGGTCAATAAATGCTATAATCTCAGCTTTATTAGTGAGTTTGGCCACTGAAGGAAAACGCGACACAGTGAAAAAGCATTCAATTTTACACGGCTTTGGACCATCAGCGCTTGCAGCACATCGTGGTAACAATGATCCTTCGGTTGTGTTTCTTACTAAATATATGCGAAACGAGTATCCATATGACACAGTAAGTTGATATTCAGTTCATTAATGCATTCATTCATACGAAGAATACATACATACTACCTGGGTACATAGGTACTAAGTAGTCAGCTAGTACGGTATGGTACCTACTATTAAGTACATACCGAACACACTCTGAAAACGATGAAAAGAATCAGCCTTTGAACCTTAGGTGCCTACCTATTTTGGACCTGCCTAATGTATGTCAGATTAAAAACGACTTTTTTTAAGACATCACCTTGTCATTAGGAAACGGACGGTTGCTAGCATGAGTAACTTGTGTGAGGCGGGTGGCTTTTGAGAAACGGGTACCTACCTCCTAGCACCTACCTATAATTAGTGGACCTATAGGTTATGGATCCCACCAAATAAGCCACTTAAGCCACCCCCTTTTCAGCTGCTTGACGGCATATTTACAATATCGCTTTTCACTACCTAATTGGGCATCACCTTCAACCGAAAATTTTCTTTGTTTTCGATAAGTCTCTTCTCGACGACCACGGCCTCTGCGAATAGGCCTGCTTCATCGAGTAGATCTAGGACGTCGTACGGGGCTCCTTCATTGGCCGCACGGTCTATATGGCAAAGAACGGCTAGATATTCTTTTACGGGAGCGTGGATAGCAAATTGAGTCAATCCCACACATATCCTTGCCCACGTTTCCGCCCATTTCCCATCTACAGTGCCTAGTGCCTCTCGAAATTCGATTGTGCCCGGTCTCGTTAGGCGTTGATTGTGATTTCGACATGCGTATGCTCTGAGGTTATAATTAGGTCTATCGCCAGCGCGTAGCAGCCACTCTATCATGCATGAACTCACACAGGAATATATCTCTTGGACTCCAGCAAAGACACCAATGTCATCCTCCGCTTTATCATCTAGGACCGAGAACATCGTTTGGTTTGGATCTTCGGGGGTGTATACAGGATATGCGAAACGAGGGGTCTTGCGGTCCCGCGTTGACACATATGGGGTCTTTGGCATGGCATCCCAGCTGCCTTTGTCTGCCGCATACTTCTCAACTTGGATGTCGATATCTAAATTACCATCAGATGACGAAGGCGTGATGTTTCTATTATTTCCGCTCGCTGATCTATCATTGGGGTCTTTCATGAAGAACGGTTCGAAGTCATGTTGGACTCGAGTCGCTTCATAAGCCCTTAGATGACGAGGGTCGTGATATTTCTCTCTCCAGCTCACAGGTGACTCCCCATGTCTCGTGCTCCCACCAAGATAATTGCAAGTCGATAAATGAGTCTGATTATCATCATCCCGAATCAAACCATGAGCAAGGTTACTTCTTTCTCGAATACTCTGACACCAGAAGTTAGTTCTCCTATGTGGAGGATGTATGCAAGCGAGGAGAGGATCGGCAGCCCAGAATAATCCAGCAACCCGTTTTACGTGGTCAAGCGGCATTAATTCGCTGCCATCTCCTACATGGACGTGCAACCCACAAGTATTATTGACCATAATCCTATAATTTGATCTTAGCAGATCCAGGGTGTATCTGATTAATTGAAACGACTCATCGGATGCTCGTTCAACTGGCGATACGATCTCCATCCCAGACCATTTATAATCTCCTTCGATACTGCTCACAGTTTCGTCTGATTTGATTCTCCATTGATCATATATCCCCTCCATTAGGTCGGTAGGTAGGCCATGTTTTTTAAGTATGTCGGTAAACGTTTTAAATATTAACTTTGTGATCTTCTCTTCGCCTACAACAGTGCCCTCATCATAAGCTTTCTTAAGACTTACAGGGCACCTAAGTATCGGAGGTAGCGTACTAGCAATCGCTTGATGGGGATCAGGTTCATCATCCCACAGCCATGCGACGATAATCTCGAGTTCCACGCCAAATGTGCGCTTCCGTTCTCCAGGAAAGTCTTGATTCTGAGTAGACATTGTAAGCTCTTTATTCTTTTAAATAGTTAGATATTTGCATAAAAAATCAAGTGGTGTTAAAAAAAAAGTGGTTCAAGCTCTTATTATGTGTCATATATGACTAAAATTCGACTCTTTGTTAGGAAGAATCTGTTCTCTAATTGATTTCCGGTTTGAAAGACATTGCATCTTACAATAGAATTGCTATGATACATTGGTAGTCTTCAAATATTTGATTGTAAAATCACATAGGTACCTATGATCGTCATTGGTCAGTAAAAATCTAGGTACTTCTAAAAGGGGAACTACCTAGTACCTACCTACGTAGTATGCTAATGATTGCCCGAATCTAGGGCCTCAGTAGGTAGTTCGTAGGAGGTAAGAATAAGTGAACAATAGCCCTCAATAGTGCCTAGTATATATGATATATAATGCTTTGTCTCATTCATGGAATACATCGCCATTTATACACAATGGCTACCTGGGTAAGTAAACAAAGAAAACAGCAATTTGTTGTTATTATACACAACCCTTTCCGCATCCGGTGATTGAGAAAATGGTGTATACTAGGTACCTATCGCCGCCATGACTTGCAGTCAACGAAGAATAGCTCAACGTATTGGCTAATATCACAAATATCCAATATCCAGGTAGTTTGATTTCGAATAGTCAATATTGCCAAATGGAGATTCCCGGCCAAGATAAAGTTCCCCCGAGACACCTTGAAGAAGTCAAGCGTGTCAAGGGCTATTTCAACAACACGAATAAGCCCAGTTTTAAATTTAGAAAAATCATAGGAACCGGTGCGCGAGGGTTCGCTGTAGAGATGGGGATGGAAGACGACTCTAGTGAATCGCCGAAGAGACCATCACTAATAAACCCACTATTCGGCATACCTAGACCACCCACTGGACCATTGCCTTCGTTTTTTGATCCATTACCTCCATCATTTGACCGACCGTTGTTTGGACAATCTTTATTTAGACCCTCATTTGGTGGAAACTCATTCGATGGACCATCATCATTTGTATCGCCTTTCAATAGGCTACCATCAAATGACCCGCCAATAGAATTGGAAAGGTTGGAACGATTCGTGATGAAAAGAGCATTCGAGAGAAAGGATGATGAAACAATTGTCAGGGAAATTGAAGTTCTCCGGGTAGGCACCTATAAGAGTTGATCACTTATGATGAAGAAATACCTAATTAGTTTGACAGAGACTCCAAGGGGCCCAAAATATCCAACAGCTATATCATTTGCCGGATGCTGAAGAAAGTCTCAAGCTAGAGTACTTGCCAGGCCCAACATTATTCACGGAATGGATACCAAACGGCCAGATTCGAGATTTGATAATGACAAGACCTGAATGGGGCCACCCATTGCCAAACCGAATGCTCTGGAGGTGTTTTCTATGCAGTGAGTTTCCACCTAAGTACCTAGTACCTAGTATATATCTGAATCCAAGAGAATTGACACTCTCATTACAGTGTGCCATATGCTCATCGCCATGGCTTGGCCCCCGGATGGGAATCTAGATGCACATTCGGCTAGGCCAGAGCTACCACCGATGGACCCATCTGGTGTCCGCCCACAAAAGTCGACATTGAGACACAACGATATCAATATCGGGAATAGTAAGAAGTCCTAGTTTCACCATGTTATGGCAATTATCTTACTTATACCACGCAACAGTTATGTTCGGAGATTTCGATTTAACTGCACATCGATCTGTGCCAATTCTCAAGCTGATTGATTTTGGACAAGCTAGCTATTCAGCTCCACCTTTTATGTGAGTAATTTGACAGTCTATGGGAAAGAGACCGTGTACTAAAGCTCATTTAGATATACAGAGGAAGCAGCCGTCAGACAAAATATGGCAAGAATTGCTGAAGTGATGATCAACTTAATAGGGGGTACAGTCAACATGACGATGAGAGGGAGTGCAAACATGGAAGTAACTACGAATGGACAGACACAGGTTATAAGATCAAGAGCAAAGGACTTAGATGGGCTTGATAGAAGGTACGGGGCAGACAATGCCACCATGCAGAGGCATATGGAGTGGGTGGGGAATTTGGATATCGATCTTAGAAATCTTTTGGTACGGTGCTTGGCAACTGACGAAGCGATGCGGCCAGGACTCGAAGATTTATACGAGGAAGTTCTGCGGAATGTTACAGAGAAGACTCGAGCATCTTATGCCGGTAAAAGATGGCAAGATAATGAATCAGACGAATCATTACGTAGAATTTCGAAGGCTTTGATTATAAACCGCCAGCAATAAACATAGTATACCTACGTTGGTAGCAGATATTATAGAATTGGTTAAGCCTAGATTGGTGTTTATGGAAGGTATGTAAAATAGGATTAGTAGTTGTGGTTATAAGAAGGATACGCTTCATCAATGAAGTGATAAATACGATTCTACCTATTTCAAGACTTCAACTGGTTTTATACGGCTTCGGCTAACTTATACAGGACTCAAATCTACTAGGTAATTAGGTACCTAGTATTCATTGTGATTTAAACTCGATGATTTTTAACTATTAAGAGATGAATTTTCAACGGAAAATAGGGGATGAACAGGATTAATCTGGCCCTTTTACTGTAGTAACAATTATCACCTATGGTCCTTTATACTGCACTCGCGAACGCACCTGGTAGGTACTGGCAAAATACCGGTAAACTATAACGGCCTTGGTTCAAAGCGCTACCAACATTTTATAAAGTGATAGTATCTAGGTAGGTATCTTTTCCAAGTGTATAAATGCCCTGTCATTACCTACTTTGGGTCTAAGTTGACGATCTGTCCGTCGGAAAGATACGTAGTATCATACCCGATGTGAATGCTGGTGGGTTTGGACATATCAAAGAAATCGTCCTGGTCTTTGACAGCCTTCTCCTGCCACTCAGGGTCCATGATGAGGGACTTGAGGTTGCCCATGTCGTAGGTCCAGTACTCAAGGACCATATCGCACTTGCTAACTTCCCACCCAGGCCGCACGTTGTCCAATTCGAGCTGGAATGCGGCGCCAATCTTGGGATCTCGCACATGCTGTAAGGGGTGTTGGTGAGCTAGATTCGTCAAATGAAATAGCGATACAATGAATGCTTACGACAGCGTATTTAATAATCCCGTGCTTCTTCATCAACGGCAAGCCATAAGTCAAATGCACATTATTGAACCAATCCATGAGGGTTTTGTCAGAGATACCATCTTTGCGAGTGTGTTCCACAGTATACTTGATGGGCAATCCGTTTGTATTTGAGAGCGGGGAAGAGGACGCCATTTTGGATCTGGAGATAGTTCAAAACAGAGATATTATTCAATATCGATTAAAATAAAAGTATGATGAGTGTCGAAACAAGTTGGAATTGGAAGCATTTAAGATTTTTTGTTGGTTAGTAGAGAAATTGAAGTGGGTTATATAACAAGACAAACAAATCCCCGCCCTTGCATACTATTACAATATCTTATCGAAGGGATGGACTAGACGGGACAGACAAAGAGCAGTATGGTACGTGTCATATATGTATGGCCTAGGTTGAGAAGTTGTTGGTCCGATATATGTTTTTTCTTTCCTTAATCTCTCCCACATCCTATTTTCGGTTCTCACAACCAGAAGGTTCAACATCACCGAAACATCGCAGATTATCTACCATAAATGGCTTCCACCGTGGTATCTGAGGGTCTTCCGACCATCTTGCATCTTGTCCCGGTCATTTCATCCACTTGCTCCCTCTGGTTTGCCTGGGACCAGTACGAATTCATGACCTTGTTTCGCAAGCCCGATCTTCAGGACCTGAGCAACAAACTCCTTCCTTCGTACTTCGCGTCATTTTTCAATCGCGGTGCGCCTGGGGTGGTCGGCCTGCTTACTACCACTCTTTTTTCGTGTGGCGCTATACTGCGCTACTCTCCCGGAACCACTCTCCATGACAACGGCGCATTCCCCTGGTACGCTGCAGGTATGTCGAACTTAAAGATAAAGATGAGAATACGGCGACCATGTGGTAATAACTTGCTATTCTAGGCATCTTGTTTGCCATAGGCCATCAGACGTTCATCCCCTTCTTCCTTCCCCATGTCCGGGCGATAGAAAAAGATGCCAAGGAAAAGAACGTTGCTGAACTATCGAGTTGGCTTCGTGTCCATACGCGCCGGAGCCTGACCGTGGATCTCGCGGCTTGGGTTTGCTGTATCGTTGCTACTGTCAAAGCCTTACCTTAGATAGGTAGGTATAAGCTACACTCAAGTGCCTCGAGTTTACTAAGGGGGATGCCTGAGGCTACGAGGGTTGTTGTCTTCCCGGATTTTCCGTCGGAGGGTCGCAATGGGTCGGATTTATCGGAATTACTGTGACATATAATTTTTGATCAGAATAGGTGAATGGTTATGCAACTGGTAACTATAAGTAAGGATGGCCATCAATTTTGCTGTTCGTCTTCCTGCCTTCTTTTCGCGAAATGCTCCACCATAGCGACACCGCCTCGTTTATGGAAAAAGAGGTTTTGGTACATCACCGTAGCTTCCGCATTTTGCTTCGCTCGTTTCCACATCCCGACTTCGAACTTCTGGAGGCGCACACTTAATGATGATAGCTGTTCTTCCTCAACCTTTTCCCCGATAATGGCATGTGCAAGCTCTAATGCGTCTTCCATAGCTACGTTGACGCCGACTCCCGCAAATGGATTCATCAAATGCGCAGCATCTCCGATGAGTGTAATCCTAAGTCAAAACATGTTAGTTGATATTAAACATGATTTATAGTAACAATAAAAGGGACATCTTCTTACCTTGGGTTATGCGTCCACTGAAATCCTACGGGAAGCATATAGAGCTGTCGTCCTACAGTATCTGGATCGCTGTTGAGCACTAGAGACTTCTGCAGGGCGGTATATTCTGGGAAAAGTGCATCAACGACCTCTTGCCGTGCCCTGGGATGAGTGAAGTCGATCCCGCATGTGGAGAACCACTCGTTCGGCAGCCGGGCGAAAGCATAGAGCTGAACCGAGCCATCGCCATTTCGTTGACATAGAAGGCCCTTGTCCGACCCCAGATTGAGACACATTCCCTGTCCCACGTGCGCGGACAGCTCTTCAAACCTAGCGTCCACATCGGAAATGCGACAGTCTAGGCCGCTTATACCCGAGTATAAAGGCTCGGTTTCGCTTACGCTTGATCGGACTTTAGACCAAGCCCCATCGGCACCGACGACTAGGTCAAAGTCGCCTTCTTCATTACCATTAGTGAAAAGCAAGGCTAGCTTTGAATCTCCCTGGGCACGGATTTTGAGAAGTCTTGAGTTCCAGTCTATTGTATCAGGTGCTAGCGAATCTAAGAGCAGGTCGCGTAATTGCGTGCGGTCGATTTCGGGCCTGTTGGCGAACTCTCCGGGACGGCCGGGCTCACCTCTGCTCTCATCCATAAGAACATTGCCGTCGGGAGAGTAGATTCGCAGAGTTTCACCCTCTGGCCTGGAGAGCTTCTTGAACTCATCGAGTAGACCGGCCTCTTTTAGGGCGCGTTGCCCAGACTCCGGGTGAAGGTCCAACGAGCCACCACGATTCTTCGCATGGCGGTATGCATCCCTTTCGAATACCTTACAACCTATGTTTGCTTTTTGCAGCAGCTTTGCCAATGTGAGGCCAGCTGGGCCACCTATTTCTTTGATTTAACTAACTAATTGACAAACTACAACGATGGAGGATTGAGCAATCTTACCTCCGATGATGGCAATCTTCAAAGTTGCCATTGTGATGTTCAAGTTGATAATTTACACAGTAGCTAGGTCAGCTTCAGCACTAGTCTCTCACGTACGAACGGCAAAGATGTGTTGTGAGGCGAAACATCATTACAAATACTTATTGCTCAGGCTAAGCCGGATTTCTCGGCCCCGCTACAAGAGTCCTACAATCCTCGTAAGCCGGGGTTCACTCTATTATAGGGGGGATTACGTGTAGATATCAAGGTGGATAGGAGGTGGGAAGAAAACATTACCAACATACATATAACCTTGAATGCTATGACAAATATATATACTCAAATCGTTGCGATCCATGCGTGTATTGCGGCGACGAAATGATTTATAAATAAGCCTTAAAGCTGTTGTCCATGTTGAGTGGTAGGTCAGTTGGCCCAGTGAGATAGTCAGCTACCAACCTGGAATGTTTGAAGCGGCACAGTCGTCAAAAATTCTAAAACAGTCATAATGGGATCAATTAGCGACAATGAATACATCGCTATTGTAGTTCAGGCAATGTCGACAGTTCTTGGTGTGAGCACAGATGAGATCAACTGTACCGCAAACACCACTACCTTCGTGAAGCTAGGCGGCGACTCATTGTCTGCAATTCTTATCTCAGCAGAATGCCAAAAGAGGGGACTTTTAATCCCTGCCGGAATTTTACTGCGGATATCAACAGTAAAGGATGTTATAAGAAAAGCTGCAAGTTTGGCGCGGCCTTTATCAACATCTTCACATCTGCCTTCGCTTACCCCTTTTTCCGGAGCTGGGATCGTACCTGACATAGCGGTTCCGACGGGAGCGGGGACCCGCCTTTATGAACCGCTACTAGTACACACCATAACGGCGGAACCAAATCCAGACACTATAATCAAGCCTTCATGTCGTTCCGGGCGAGATATAATATCGGCAAACAGCTTGTTAGACAGCATCAACACGACAGAGTGGACGGAGCCACAGCTTCTTCTACTTCGCGAAACTTCGCACAACCAAAAACTGAATATACTGACCTTATACGAGTCTTATGAGGGATCTTTAGATGTGCAAGATGTCTATAACGCGTGGGTGAATACGATCTTAGAAGAGCCGATATTCAAAGATCCCCTTCGTGACTTGGAAATCGCGCCGCAGCAGCTTTTGCTTCCAAGCATAGTTGAAGTCGAAACTGAAGATGATTATCGCAGGGAAATTGTCAATGCTGTTAAAGCGAGTGGTCCCATATCCACGCTTACGGTCATTCATTCGCCTCAGTGTTTACGATCGGATGAAATATCAAAACCCATCGTTGTTGTCTGGCGCATACACCACGCATTCCTGGATGGCTACTCCGCTCGGATTTTGCGCGATAAAATTGGGCGAAACTTGCGAGGAGAGATGGGTGTCGTTGCAGGCCCTTCGTTCAAAGAAACCGTGGGTTCATTGAGGACGTTGCGAGAAGAAAGAAGAGAGTCGACGAGATACTTCTGGGACAGAAAACGCGAGCAGTTCCCCGCCGCTATAGGGGAGATTCGCCTAAGTCCCCAAAGGGTGACCAAGACAACGGAGAAATTCCCTCAAGAGCGCATCGCAATCCAATTTCCAGATGATAAACTGTTGGCAGTGAAGAGACGAACGGGATATACCACGACGGTGTACTTTGCTGCAGCATGGGCTCTGACCCTCAGCAAGTTTATGGATGTCGATCAGGTCTACTTCGGCACAGTACTCTCAGGACGCGATTTACCCATTCCGGGAGCGTGCGATGTTGTTGGTCCCCTGATCAATATATTGCCATTATTCGTGAAAGTGCCAGCCAGAGGGGATAATACCTCTGTCGAAACGTTCTTACGGAGTATCCACGACGGCATCCTCGAGCTGAATAATGTTCAACATTCAGAAACCACTGAGGGATTCAATAGGCAGTTTCATTCCATCATGGCCACGCAGTTCGAGTGCGACATGGAAGTGGGATCGCTAAAATCGATACCGGTAGATAGAAATCACCTCGATATGCAGTCCGGAATTCCGATCAATCTCGTCATCGAGCAAGAATTTCGGATACAGTTATTCTATTCGACTGCCCATTATGTCGAGGAGGACATGAACAACGTGAGATCTGTCTTCCAAAAGAGTATGGACTGCCTCCTACAAGGCGATGTCGATAAACAGTTGGTGTCGAGCGTGTATGGCGATCTACTTCCGCGGAAGATAGAAGAAAAGATTAGGCATTGGAGCAACTGTACTTCCCCCGAGACTTTCGACGAGTCCAAAGGGGATGACTTGGTGACACTGTTCGAAAACGTAGTGGCTAGGCATCCTAGGGACGTGGCAATCGTTCACGGCGAAGACGGAGAAGTATCATACGGCGACTTGGATGAAGCAGCGGGGATCGTTGCGCGCGAATTGAGTTGGATTAGACCTAATGAAGCTGTCTGTGTTTATGCCGACCGATCGAAGAACTGGCTAGCAGCGATCTTTGGTGTGCTGAAAGCAGGCGGCGTCTACGCCCCGATAGACCCCTCAGCGCCACTGTCCGTGCAGAAGGCCAATTTTGTCCGCAGCGGTGCACGAGCCGTACTTGCTCCCTCTTATATTCCTACAGAACAGCGCTTCTTTTCGCCGCGACAGGAGCAAGACAACACAGCTTCGTTTCAATGCTGTGTTATATGCGTCGACGATCTTCTTGACATACAGAAACAAAGCGGCTCGGTGTCTTACCCAAGGAGGCGCATCGCCCGCCCAGATGATCTTGCCTATATCTGCTTCACGTCTGGTTCGACCGGACAGCCCAAGGCCGTACAATGTACCCATAAAGGCCTGGTAGCTTTCCAGAAGGACCCTGTAGTCCGCCTGTCTGCATCGAGGGGCATCGTTATCGCCCAACTAATGTCCCCCGTCTTCGACGGCAGCATCCACGAGATATTCTCTGCCTTAACACATGGCGCTACGTTACGATTAGTGTCGCCTAGTGACCAAGATGACCCGTTTTCGCATTTGAAAGATAGCGATTCCGCTATTCTGACTCCGTCTATCGCGAAAGCGTTAGATCCTGATCATTATCCCCGGCTGAAAAATGTTCGTGCTTATTTTCCTCGTCAAAGCCATTAATTACCTAAAAACGAAGCTAATATGTTATTCGTAGGTCTACCTGGTCGGTGAAGCTGTTCCTCAATCCGTTTGCGACACCTGGGCTAGGAATCGATCGTTATATAATATGTATGGCCCGACTGAGACAACTTGTGGAGCGACGATTAAGAGATTACTGCCGAATAAGCCTGTCACCCTTGGCCGACCGAACCCATCGAGCAGAGTGTACATTCTCGACCGGAATCATGATCTACTCCCACCCGGCGCGGTCGGTGAGTTGTGTATTGCAGGGATACAGGTATCACATGGATACATCAATATGACGGAGCTGAATGCAAAACACTTCTTAGACGACCCGATCATGCCTGGAGCCGGCCAAAAGATGTACAAGACTGGCGATTACGCATATTGGGATAGCGCAACCGGAGAAATCTGTATAATTGGACGTAAAGATCGACAGATCAAACTGCACGGCTTTAGGCTCGACCTTGATGACTTAGAGGTACGAGTTACGAAAGCCATCCCCGGATGTAGAGGTGCTACTATCTTCCGCCGAGACGACTATTTGGTAGTAGCATACTATGCTTCATCAACTAATGCAATCGGTGCATTAGATGTAAAGGAACTCGTCGCTGATGTCTTGCCCCCATACGCTATGCCCCGGAAGATTTTCGCGTTAGATGAGTTCCCTCTGACGATGGCGGGAAAGCTTGATTATAAAGCGATTGAAAGAAAGGTCGACATGATGGCTACCGACCAGTCGGTAGACACACGGCCGCAGAAGATAATTCTGAGTTCGACTGAGCAATTGGTCGTGGGTGCTGTCAGGGACCTGATGAAACTCGACTCGGGCGTACCTATAGACAGGAACTCGGATCTCACAACTCTCGGTAGCCATTCTCTCTTGCAGCTACAATTAGCGAGTCGAATATCTTCCCTTACTCAGAGACGATTCACAATACGAAAAGTCATAGAAAATCCCGTGATATCACGTTTAGCATCGGTGATTGATGATATGATGAGAGAAGAAAGGGTGGTTGGTGTAGGTAAGCGGAGACACCATGGCCAAAATGGCACGAGGGCTCTCGGGGATAGTCAGATATCACCCATCGAACGAGACTGGTTTTTGAAATATCAGAGAAACCTTGGGACCACTTCATTCAACGTATGCCACGTTTCCGAATTGTCCGTAGAATTTCATCAACACCCAACACTGGTATCGGCTTGGAACACTGTCCTTGCGAGACATATAATCTTGCGCTGCAGATTTCGACCATCAGCAACAGACGGTAGCGTGGTAAGATCTTATGCCGCTGACCCCCCTAAAGCCTTATACGTAGAGAGTCTCAACATCCGAGACGTCATCAATACGGAATTCTCGCTTGGGGCGGAGGACCCGATTCGAGTAATTATTTCGAAACGATACATGGCAGTTTGCGTGAGCCATATTATATGCGACTATACGACCCTTGCGTGCCTTTTCAAGGAGCTTGCTACCGCATATGCAAATGTCAACAGTCCGGTGAAATCACCCCTGATGGCCCCCGAGAAACGGTATCAGGATACGACTTGTTGGAATCTGGACATTGACCAGGCCACAGTCAACTTCTGGAAATCGTACCTGTCCGGCATCAATTTTGCAAGAATACCTCCATACATGAAAGCGCCGCGCACTTCGTACGACGGCAGCTCTCTACTATTCCTACTCTCCAGGAATACGATGTCAAGTCTTGAGACGGTTTCGCGATCGCTCGGTCTTACACTACACCAAATCGGACTAGCGATCGTCTCCCTAGTCCTCCACGCCGATAAGCCGACAAAGCAAGACTTGCTCCTAGGCAGTCCCTATCTCGGGCGACAAGAAGAGGACATGTGTGCAATCGGTCTCTTCCTCCAACCACTCCCGATTCGAATCCCAAGACTGGTGGACCGAGGGAAGGATAACTCAAGAGAAGCCACCTTAGCATCTTTCCTCCTAGCTGTACGAGAATCCGCACGGTCTGCTCTCAGCCACAGCATCGAGTGGAATTCGCTAATCAAGATTCTTTCCACATCGGACGACGAAGGCTTGCGCGCAGCCGCAGCCACCGAGGCTCCAAACCACCCGCTATTCGACGCCGTGGTCAGCTTTCACGAGATGAGTACTGCGGAGCCATCGTCCTCGATACATAATATCATTCCTAGCCAGCCTCTAGTTACCTGGGCCGAAGGCTCCAAGTTCGGCATCATGTTCGAGTTCACGGCTGTTAGCCCGTCCTCGGTCACACTTCGCATCGAGTACGACACATCTCTGTTCTCGGAGGAAGAGGTGTGGCTTTTTGCTGCGAGGGTCGATGCGGGATTTAGGTATATGTGTCAAAGCCCGTCATCAATCGAAGTTGGGGAATTGGAAAGTAGACTTTTGGGTGTTGGTAGCGGTGATAATGTTAGAGCTGGACAATCTTCTGAGGGAATCAAGAATTTAGGGTTTGGAATCGCCCTGTCGGATTTAAAATAGCGCCTGTGTTGGGGAAATAGGGGCTTGGTACCCCGCATTTAGCGATTCAATACGGTAAGTACGGCTACCCTAGGTACCTACAATACACGAAACTCATAATAGCCCTGGAGATTTATAAGAAAGGTCATATCGCATACATCATATTTCTCGTTACTATCCATTGTCCATTCCCTCACAATCTCAAGCCGTCGCCGCCCTCCGTTTGAACAAGATCATCTGCTCCATATTCGGTCCAATCCTTTCATCCTCAATCCAATTCTGCGGTCTCCCCTGTCCCTCCGGAAACATGAAATCATAATCAATCAGCAGTATACAAAGCACAAGCTTAATCTGCGCACTCGCATACCACCGCCCCGGACAAGCCTGTCGTCCAACCCCAAACCACGAGTCCCCCGCCGCAACAGAGCTGAAAAGATTAGCCGTATCAACCCCCACATCCGCATCTTTAGGCGGGGCATAAAACCTTAGCGGCCGAAACTCAGTAGGCTCTTCATACAACTTTGGATCGCGCGACCGCGCATCAGCAGCAACACAGATATGCGTACCCGCCGGGATGCAAAAGCCATTAGAAAGACGGATTGGAGCTAGAGTCAAGCGCTGGAACGAGACGACAGCACCGGAATTAACACGCCCGCTTTCCTTGAGGAAACTCTCCATCTTGCGGAGCCGTAGCAGCGAGGTGCTAGACCAACCGTTAGCGCCGATTTCCTCGACAGCTTCGACGCGGAGTTCTTCCATGAACTCTGGGTATGCGCAGAGGTCGTAGAGGGCGTGGATGGCGGTGAGCGCGCTGGTGTGTATTGCCGCGACGATGAGGAAGAGGGCCTTTACTATGATGGCGTCGGGGTGGGTGTCGGCTCCTTTGCTGGCTTCGATGAGCCATTGTACGAGATCCTGTGGGTGGTCGTCGGTGTTTCCTGACGAACTCCCTTTTTTCTCTGCCCCGCTACCGGTGGGATGCTTTTGGCGAGCTTGAATCACTGGTGTCAAAACCCTGGCCACTTGAGCGATATCAGCGCGTAGCTTCCGCCCAGATTCTAGGGTGTATTTTGCCACGGGGCGTAGACTAGGTGAGATGCGTCTCATGGCCATGGCGAAGATGGACGCGGAGGCAGTGAAGCCTATGATAGTCTCTAACCATACTCTATCGCGGGATATGGTCGGCTCGTTGACCACCCTACGAGAAGTCATTTGGCCGATTGCACCGATGATGAGTGAGGATGCTTGGATAGGGATGTAATCTGATGGTCGGCAGATACGTCAGTGCTGATAATAGTAAGTGATGGGTGCATATGGCATAAGTCATCACCTTCCGAATTGCATTTACTAAGGGTGTTTCCCAGTGCTAGCTCTGCTTCTTCTTTCATCTGCGGTAACAGATCCCCTATATTTCAATACATTAGTACATTTATTACTATCCACATTCTAGGAGGTGCTTAATAGTAGCATAATACTTACCTAGGCTTTTAGTCAGTCGGTTCCTAACAATATCGTAATGGATAATCGACCCCCGAACAGCATCGAGTCTTGTATATTTTGCCATGAATCTATCCAAAACCTCATGCTTGAAGCTGAGTTGAGTGTTTGGAAGATTCTTCAACTCTCCGATATACGCATCCGGGATAACGAGACGCTCGTCATCGCATGTTTGGATGACATATGGGGTGTTTTTGTGCTATTGTGATTTCTCCGTTAGTAAGGGGAGATCAAAACTGGAACGTAGGAATAAGGGTAGGGATGGGTTTAGGAATCGACGATAAACCCATCCTTAACCCTAATCCTAAACCACTCAATAATCTCAAGTGAGATAAAGAAGATTGTCATGAACTGACTTGTTCATAGCCTTTCTCGAGTACCTTATATCCGCGGACGAAGAATTCATCTTTCGCAGCTTGCAAACGTAGACCAAATATGCCTGGGTCTATCCCAACCCGCGGTAGCCCTTTGAATCGCAATCTTGACAATACCCTTTCTCTCACCCAAGATACTACCAACCCGACCAACAGAACGATGATAATCGAGATCGATGACAGCATTCTGTATAGGTAGATATATCTACCGAGGTATATAGCAGTCTTATAGGACTAGGTATTTTGGTATATAAAAACGTGTAAGGGGCTTGGTGCCTGAGAGATATATTCTGAAAGCTGTCTGCTAAGCCTAGATTCTAGCAATAATAGGTAGGTATTTAAAGGCAGGCAAGTAATAGTCCCGAAGCTGAAATATTTCCAAGGTTGTTATAATAGTTCGACTACAACATATAAAGAATACAGTCAAAGAATGCATGCCCATCTAGATACCTAGTAGGTACGATACTGTGCTACAAATAATCCACTATCTGCAAGTGCTAACTATAGGCTATGTGATAGTTATCCGAAGGGTACATAGTAGGATCTAGGTGGCTTCTCACCGCTCTCCTCATCATACATCACACCGACGAGGCAAGCCAGCTACGATGGTGAAGATGCGCCAGTGTAATGGATAGCATATAAATCATGCAACCAAGGTAGTACCTACCTATCAACGTACACAATACCTACTGAAGCTACTCATCCAAGGGGGGAACCACTTCTACACACACAAGTTCGTCATCCGATCCCGATAGAGAAATAGGAGAAATATTTGCTATCTCTCATACCATCCTTTTCCCACCCACCCAACTAGCATAAAACAAGATATCCCCCAGCAAATTATCATAGAAGTATTGATAGTATAGCCATAGAATCGAAATGGAACTTCCTTCATATTAGGTACTATTTGCCTAAATTCTAAGACTTACCTACCTAGTATACCAATGACTGTAAATATGAAGGATATGGTAAAATTTTGGTTTTCCTGAAATAATGTCTTTGGGGAGTATAATGACTCGTTCGATGGATTGATGCAAGGCCCCTTTAAACCTGTCGAGCTGCTTATGTTATATCAATGATTGGGCGTCGACGGATAGAAGGTATCTAAGGTAATCGCTTAGAGTTGCGTTTAGTGGCACGTACCTAGTATACAACAAATACTTACTAGGTGAACTTCATTGCTTATAATAGTTGAAAACTACCTAGGTAGTAATCTATTGGATAGTATAGTTGATTTAGATTGTGCACGATGGAATGTACTAGTCCAAAGTCGCCATAGTAGGTAGATGGTATATAGAGTCGAGGTTTTAGGGCTGAATACCGGACTTGGTATAATGTATCAATCCTTGTTGGGAGAGCTGCAAATGTGGGGACTAGAGAAAGAACTAGCAGATATCGTAGCTATATATAGGTAGCTAGGGCTGAGTAGATGTATTCCAGCAGATAGGTATCAACTAGGCCAACACATATCAACTCGAAAACATTATATATAATACCTAATTTTCCCCCTCGTTTTCCCCTCGGGAGTTGGTTCCTGTCCTCATCTATTGGAACCCAATCAATATCACTTGAATCTATGAGACTCGTAGGTTTTGGTGGGCTAAGTTTTGAAAGGTGGGCTCGGATATTAGGTATTCGGGGACGGAATTGCTCTTCTCCTTTTCATTTCTTTGATCGGCAAGATGGCGCTCACTAGCCCCCCATCTCATGTCGCCATTATTGGTGGAGGGCTTGCCGTAAGTATTAGCCATTTTCGAGTTTTTTATGCTGATAGGTGTCGATCTATGTGATATTTTAATCCCGTATCATACCTGTGGCTTGCTGACACTGCTGTCGATACAGGGCCTTACTCTTGCTCTAGCACTGCATGACCTGGGTATCCCGTCCAGTGTCTACGAGGCCCGGCCCGAGGACTTCGACCAAGGTGGTGGTATTATGCTCTCTCCTAACGCCTTGCGTGTGCTCGATAGCGTTGGCGTCTATAAACGCGTCCGTGATAACTCGCTGCAGTTTGACGTTCTTACCTTCAAGGATGGTCAAGACCAGACCACTGATGAGTATTATTTTGGCTCAGAGAAGCTCTACGGTTATCAAGCTATTCGTATCATGCGCAAGGAGCTTCTAGATGAGATGAAGACAATGCTGCGGGAGCGTGACATCCTGATCCAGTACGACAGTAAGCTGATCGCGATCACCACAGATAGTCCAGAGAAAGTAGAGTTTACTTTTGCGAATGGCCAGACTGCATCTGCGCCCCTCCTCATCGGGGCAGATGGCATCCACTCAACTGTGCGCGGGTCATTTTTACCCCAAGTAAAGCCGATGTATGCAGGTTTTATGGGTATCAATAGTGTCGTACAGAGATCTCAATTGCGCATTCCGGAGGGTTATAACTTGCCAGCTACTGTTATGGCCAAACCGGGAGCTTTCCTACTCGTTCCACAGAAGCCAGACGGATACGAGCTCTTCGTGGGGTCTCAGCGACAATTCGCAGAGCTCGATCCGGCAGGATGGGAGGCGCTGAGAAAGGACAAACAGAAATTGTATGATATGCTCCAGGAGAACAAATCAGACTGGCCGGATATTGTACAGTCGGCCTTAGAGGCGATACCGGTGGACAGAATGGGATTTTGGGCGTTCTATGGGATTCCGCCATTGGCGTCATGGCTGTCGGAGTCGAAGAGAATTATCCTAGTTGGCGACGCGGCGCACGCTATTCCCCCAACTGCCGGTCAGGGTGCTAACCAGGCTTTTGAAGATGTGAGAGCTCTAGCCACCCTTCTCTCCAAGCTCTCTCCCAAAGTGCCGCTGGACAAGGCGGCGGCGCAATGGCAGACGTACCGCCAGGCTCGGGTCAAGAAAGTACTCGACCTGACGCAGCAAATGAACGCGAAGCGACTACCAGAATCAGAGAGAGTCAAGTTACCACCGGGAGCAATTTGGAGTGATCAATCGCTCACACGTGGAGATGGAGGGGAATTACGTTGGTTGTATGACCCGGACTTGGCGCAGGAAGCTGAGAAGTGGGTACAAGAGCTGGAGCTAGCTAAAGATTAGCGTCTCCACATTTTGATTACTGCATGTGTTAGGGCTTAAGGGTTACACTGGGTTACACTTTCTACGCGCTACGCAGCTACGTAGGGCTGCTAGCTCCCTCTGTAAATATCGCTCATCTTGTCACGATAGTAAGGAATAGACCTACATATGCAGCATACCAGAAAATCCCGCGATAATAATCTTACGAAGAGGTACATCTTATATACAGGCTTTGAAGCTATTAACTCACCTGCTTAGTACTTATTTCTAAGATAATAATCGTGCCGCATTGCATTGGTAAGTGGTTGACACCGGTTGTCAGGTAGCTTAAGGGCACAGAGAATAAGACGTTGCCTTACCCCTCATCGTGTACGTTTCCAGACCAGTTTCGAAGCTCGCTGCGCCTCAATTAAGCTACGGTCAACCTTGGAAACTACGGCTCAGCGAGCAATGATTCGACTATGTCAGGATGAAGCGGCACGCCAACGCTGTCATACACAGCAGCCAACTATCTAGCAAAACGCATATCCAGTCGTCTCACGTTCGCAGCTTTGCCTACCTGCTATCACCAAACAGGCTTAAGTCGTTATGACGCGTCTAACTTACGATAACTACCATCCCTTGAAAATATCAGGGAAAATGGCTTCAAACAAGGGAAGACGGTGAGACGAGGGACACAAGTTCCTTTCAGGAAGTCGAGGCAGTAAAGTAACACACTACCAGATATAGCTGACAAGAAGCACGAGTCAAACGACAGCTCTACTAGTGGACATCTGCAGGAATGACATGACCAGGGTTCGTATTTGGCATGATCATGATCTTCTCAGCGGTATCATATGGAAGGATGGAATGAGCAGCAGCATTCTCCGACTCGTCGGTGGAAGTAAACCCTGATATTCACTATCATTAGAATCGACCGGCGTGTGGTATTTGGAATGAAGTCGATATTACTTGATAATATCGGCGATGAGGGCAAGGGATCGGATATGTCGGTCCTAGCTTATGCGGCGTAGCCTCTGCCAGAGGATTTCAGCTGTGCCTCTATTATCGGCTTTTAACTACCTAGTAGGTAGGGCTTATAATATTATCATCTAGCCATGCGGCATTGGTGATTCTAAATAACAACTACAGCATTGGTTCACGAGGTGCCCACCCCCATACAGATTAGCGGGATGTTTCCCTTCTACACTTCATCCTCTATGCTACTTGTCGCTGTCGCCTTTTCCCTTGTCGCTCTCATATTACGAAGTCAAGCCATAACGGCGCGTCTCACTTCCCTACTTTCGTCTGTTATCGATGTAAGTCGCTCTAATCTGGTAACTTGGACCATGGATCCATTCGCTTTTTAAAATCCCGCCTGACATTTGCACTCTGTCTAGATCGTACTGCGCAACCACTACCAAATAAAGCATATAGAGAATGGGAGTGAATTGCCGTCTCTTCCATATGTCTTCCCTAATGGTCAGGGAAACATAGAGAAGTTTCTACATGGGCGCGTCAAAAGCGCCAAGTGGGAGAGTGAGTATGGAAGTCTGTATCGCCTGTGGTCCGGATTAAAGGGGGAAGTGTGAGTATTTCATATCATTTCCATAGCAAGTATCCAGCGTGTTACTAACTTATCTTGCAAGTGTCTTAACCAAGCATGTTCATGTGGAAACCGTATTTCGTGACTCCCAAAACCACACCAAGGCCCATGCAAATAACAGCGGGTACATCATGGACCGCCTATTGGGCTCTTGTGTTGGATTGATTAGCGGCTCATCTTGGAGCTCTGTCAAGTCTTGTGTTGAAACCCCATTCCTGCACCGTTCAGCAAGCACGTATATCACTGACATGCAAAATTTCACCAAAACTTACATGCGTGCATTGAGAACGGAGAATGAGACGTTCAAGGAGCATGGGAAGCTACACCCTATACAAGACCTGAAACTACTCCCGTTCCTCTTCGTAGCGCAGATTGTATATGGACCGCTAAATGCAGAACTAGAGAGGGAGTTAACGGAGCTAATCCTGCCCAGAGAGGAACTATTCAAGAGTGTCATTGGAGGTGGGATCACGAGATTTTCCGTTTCGCGATTCCTTCCTCTCCCCGCCATCCGTGCGCTTCACAATTTCAAAGACCGCTGGGCTGCGTGGAGTGATAGAGCGCACGATCATGCCCTTAAGGCCGGGAGAGAGGCAGAAACGCCAATTATTGGAATGTATAGATCCGTGGACGAAGGAAATATGACGCGCGAGCAGCTTCTCCAGACACTCGACGAGATGCTATTTGCCAACATCGATGTCACCATGGGAGGAATCTCCTGGACTCTCGTCTTCCTAGCGGTTCATCCGGCTGTGCAGAAAATGCTACGCAGCGAAATCCAGGCACACTCTTCAGATCCGGCGACGCGCAGTGCATATCTACTCTCTTCATGGACAACTACGCCAACCCTTCTTGGCGCATGTATTCTCGAGTCCTCCCGCCTGCGCCCCCTCGCCGCCTTTTCCGTCCCCCAGTCATGCCCAACCCCGCGTGTCCTCGACGGCTTTAAAATTCCTGCCGGGACAAATTTTGTCGTGGACTCTTACGCGCTCAACATCCGAGATCCGTTCTGGGGAGAAGACCGTGAAAGATTCCAACCGCGACGTTGGCTGGAAAGACATAAGAGCGGGCGGGATCTCCGTTATCGGTACTGGCGGTTCGGGTTCGGGCCGCGGACATGTCTGGGGAAATATGTTGCCGAATTACTGTTGAGGACCGTGGTGGTCGAGATACTGGAGAATTGGCAGATTTCTTTGGATAATTCGGAGGGAAAAGGAGGTAAAGAGACTATGGGGGGCAACGGTGAAGATGAAGAGGATATGAATTGGCCATGGGATGATGAGATGTGGATCCATCACCCTGATCTTTTTTTGAAGTGTAAACCTTTGATAGGATGTACATAGAGAACTTAAACCTGAGCTTTGGTATAGATGCAAACGCTAGTTATTTATGTGAGATGTGAGGCTCTTAGAACTCCAACCTTAAGAAGCTTGCTTGCTGGAAAGGGGTAGTTTGCTCTGCTAGACTTCTAACTTGTATAAGGTTTCTGTCGGATGGAGCTTCACTTCTAAATATACAACTAATATATCATATAGTTACATTCAAGGGGTGAATACCTCAGAGAATACGACGATAAGTGCTTGTGGTTCGTTGTGGTAAGATCAGATGTAAACTGTTAAGAAACCTCAGTATTATTACATAAGTTCGGTTATGTAAGTCCAATTACGTAAACATTCTTGAAGCTTATGTAAGTCTGAACCTTATGTAAGTATTAAGACAAACCGTTGAACCTTGGAAGGTAGAATTGAAAGAAATCAATTTTTAAAAGGCATCGTTTCTTATAGATTGGATGGAGACTCAATAACTTCAAAATTTGGAAGTCTGTTGTTTAAAATCACAGTATGTTTTGAAGCATTTTGAAAAGAGCCAATAACTCTGGGGTATACAGCTAATTACGGCAGCCCTGTAGGTACCTACTTATCGAGTGCATTTAGCGCTATAAAGCGCTGTGGTTATAGCGTCATTCGGTGCTGTGTCCCCTAGAGGAGATGGATATCCAGACACACTTCGATATTCTATCAGCGATGATTACATCAGTTCATAATTAAATCCATATCTCCATAGTTTCCGTCATAAGAATATTGCCGCTACGATAAAGCACAAGTCGGTCAGGGATTGGGGTTGATAAGGTCTAACATGAGACGCTAGGTGAGTTAGAATGAACGCCATCGATCCAGAATGATATCGGGAGAAGACCGCCGAGACCATTATCAGCCGGCAGGTTACATCCGACCCCGCCGAACCTCGTCATAAACATCCTCCTTCATTCTTTAAGAACACATGGTCCGAAGTTCAAACATTCATGGTTAAGCCTATCTAGTATGATCGGCTCACTAACATCGCCAATGCGGTAAAATGCTACGGAATGGCATGAGATTGTAAAAGTTTGATAAGACTGTGAGACGAAGATGGCATCAATAACCGATAGCTTAAATGCTGCCTTTCAGCATCAGCAACAGAGACACAAACTCGCAGGGCCAGCCGATTATCCTAGATGGAATGCCGAATTAATCGAAGCTCTGCGAGCGAGGGACTTGCTCCCGTATGTCATGACAAACGTACTCGAGCCTTCGGGTGATGAGAATTCCCCGGCTCGCCTCCGTTGGCGGAAGAATCGTCTCACTGTCCTGCTTATGATGAAGCGCTCGCTATCGACTGAAATGAAGACTCAATTAGCCCACGCTGGGTGGGACCCCGGACACAACAGAGACCCGAGAAAGATGTACGATATGATTCGCAAGATCGCTCAGGAAGACGAGGAAAAAGAAAATAGCGTATCGTCTCAATCTCTATCGCCTTTAGGATCTATTTCTACCATGGATGATCTTGAGAAAGAAATCGAATTAATTGAGTATGAAGATGGTGAGGAAGATTGGACCTCAGTTGATGTACCCTCTAAGACATTCCCGACTGAGTCGATCCAAGATCGCATTGTGCGTGTAACGAATGATCTACGGGACTTAACAGCTTACTATGACATCGACGGCTCGGCATCGCGGAATGGAAGGCTCGAGGTATTCTTTCGGGATGAACTAGCGGATCTTGAGAGACAAGCGTTCGATTCGTATTCATCGCAGGACGATAGAGTCGATCACTTGCTACTGCGTAACTATATGCGACGTGCACGGCGCACCCTTGAGCTCGACAAGGCTCGGGATGCCAAATTTACCGCATTTGTCGAACCATTTGCCACCCCCATTACGGCTTGGTGTGAGCAACGTCGGCGCATCGAGTCAATTAGTCCCAAGGAATTCGCCAATAGCCTTAACGAGACAGAGAAGCTCATTTTGCAGGCGCGAGACCATGTCAGCCATAACTCTAACAAATATTCAAAAGCTACCGGCTATCGCGCTTCTCGTAGAGTAGCCGAGCTACGCAACAAGCTGGCGGAAACGTACGCCTTCTACAAGGACTACGATCCACAGTTCGATTGGTGGGTAACCGAACCCTATAAACGATTGGATATCGCTCTTGGGAAAACGGTCGAATTTCTCCGCGAAGTTCTAGTAGGTGTTAAACCCGGCGACGAAGAAACCATCGTCGGCGAGCCTATCGGCCGGGACGGTCTTCTCACAGATCTCGAGGCCGAAATGATACCATACTCACCCGAAGAACTGCTGCGGATCGCCGAGAAGGAGTACACATGGTGCGAGGCCGAAATGATCAAAGCATCGCACCAACTCGGCTTCAGCAACAACTGGCGCGCAGCCCTCGAGCACGCGAAGAACCTGTACGAGCCACCCGGCGCCTACCCAGCCTTCATCCGATCTCTCGTCAACGAAGGCGCCGCCTACGTCAAAAAGTACGACCTCGTAAGCGTGCCGCGCGTAGCCGAGGAAGCCATCCGCATGACCATGATCTCAGCGGAAGAGCAGAAGGTCTCCCCCTTCTTCCTCGGCGGCACCTGGATGCAGATGTCGTACCCGACACGCACCATGCCCCACGAGTCCAAGCTCATGTCCCTGCGCGGCAACAACCGCCCCTTCGCCCGCGCCACTGCCTTCCACGAGATGATCCCCGGCCACCACCTCCAAGTCTTCATCGGTGAGCGCCATCGCCACTACCGCCGTCCTCTGTTCGACACCCCGTTCTACGTCGAGGGCTGGGCACTCTACTGGGAGATGCTGCTTTGGGACCGCGGCGACTTTTTCGTCTCGCCCGAGGATAAAGTAGGCTCGCTGTTCTGGCGCATGCATCGCTGCGCGAGGATCTTGTTCTCGGTCAAGTTTCACTTGGGACAGTTGGACGCGGTGCAGTGTGTTGATTTGCTGGTTCAGAAGGTGGGGCATGAGAGGGCTACGGCGGAGGGCGAGGTGAGACGGAGCTTGGGTGGTGAGTATTCGCCTCTGTACCAGGCTGGCTATATGCTAGGTGCGCTGCAGTTGATGGGCTTGCGGAAGGAGGCGGTTGGGAAGGGGTATGGGAAGATTCGGGAGAAGGAGTTCCATGATCGGGTTTTGAGGGCAAATGTTATGCCGATTGAGATGTTGAGGGCGCTGGTTTTGGATAAGGAACTCAACAAGGATTTTAAGTCTGAGTGGAGGTTTTATGATGATAAGTTATGATGGGATGGTGGGATAGGATATGATGTGAGGCTCGTGTATACATAGATGCGGCGTGCTATTTCTTTCTCGGGTTTTGCGGGTTATGGGTTGGTTATGAGTACTGAATTGAATAAATATTGCGGTAAACTTCTCCAAGGTGTAAAAATAGGTAGGTATATGCGAGAGTTTATGGTTTTGTTAAGTCAACCGTTACTATGTATCACTAGAAGAACATCCTCCTGTATAAATGTCAACGAAATCAAGATTGCATCCGGAACACCCCCTCCCCAAGTGGGTGATGAACACGACCCGTTAGATCCCTTATTTATTATCCCTTTTGTGACCTAAGTAGGATTTTCCTTGCCCAACCCCTTCACCCTATTTTGAAAACGTAACCTTAATCACCTCGATATGATTATTATTCGTAAACGAAATCGTCAGCGTCTTCCCACTAGCATCAAGATACGGGTGAGCAACACCCGCATACGTCAGACCACCATCGATAGGCGTCGCGGTATACACCTTCACATCCGGGGTCCACGGGCCTTCAAGCGACGTCGCGGTTCGAAGTAGGACATCACCGCTTCCAGGACCTGTCCTCATGTAAGCTTCACACACCCAACCCAAACAGCACAGTCGAATTTCTAGGTAGTTGGGTTAATTAAATACTCACCCAAATGCACAAAAACATAAACCCCCCAAAACGCACTCCACACAAACTGTCCCTGGCCCACAAACCACATCACCGCATTCCTTACCCCAAACTCCGTCAGCGGCCTCCCCGTCTTCCAACCCCCCGCCGCTTCACCCCACCAGTACTCGTACTTACTCAATTCATAAGCGTCGGCGGCTTTCACGCGGAGCAGGTACACGTACTGCGCGTCCGTGGTGTCGGTGATCGATGTCGGCGCCCCGCCCCATGCGTACACGTACTCCGACCGCGGGTCCCGGAACGCGGCTACGTCGCCGTAGCGGGGAGTGCTGGGGGACGGCCACCAGTACCCTGAGACGCCGAAGCGTTTGGTTACCGTTGGGACGCCGGATACGAGCTCGATTTTGGCTATGCCGGCGCCTTTGAGGCCGGCGTCGTTGGCGTTCTGAGGTAGGTGATTAGTTTATCTTGGCGTTGGAAATAGGGGGGTGGTAAAAGGCAGGTGGGAGGTATTTTGGAGTTCCGGGGCTAGGTTGGGAGGGGAAACTCGCTTACGACAAGATAAAATATACCGCCGGCTCCGTTGGCCGTCTCGAAAATACTCGTGCCCCCGAACCCGTAGGTATTATCCTCGCCCCAGGAAGCGTTGAACGGGACGAATTGCTTTTGATGGCGGACCGGACTATCGTCATTAAGATGCAAGTCCACGACCACGAGCGGGTCATTCGTGGTCAGAGATAACGAGTCGCGCACCATACCGTGGAACTCGCTAGTGTTGTCCTTGCTCGGGTCGGTTAGGGGCTCCGCGCACCACAGCGTATCGCCGAAGAGCGCGTACCATTTCCCCTGTAGCTCGCCTGTGAATCCTAGGTCCCGGTGACTGCAACTGTTGTTTGCATTCTGCTGCCCCAGGTACACCGTCTCGAACTTGACGATCGGGTTCGTGCCCACGGGCTGTGTGGGGTCTCCGGCGCCACGTTGCTGCTTGGCATAGTCAGCGAGGACCGCCGCTGCCCACAGGCAGGCGAGGAGGAGGATATGAAAGCGGCGCAACATTATGTGTGAGCCGAGGGGTGTATATGAGTTACAGCAGGGTCCGGTGGAGATAAAAGAAAGTTGCCGGGGCAGGTGCAAGCATCTTTATGAACGAATGGATGGATGGGCATGTGAGAATGGGGAGTCGCAACCTGAATGGGGAAACGAAAGCGAGATGACACGGGAAGTCGATTAGCAGCTGCTTTCTGGGATGTGAGATGGGATGGGATCGTCGTATGTCTCGGAGTTAGACATTTGAATGATATTTCTCAACTCGACTTCTATTTTCTTTTCTCCTTCTAAATTTAGGTAGATTGGACTGATCAGCTCATTTGGCTAGGGAAGCCTAGCTAGCGGCGTATAATCCTTCAGATTTGCGATCTGGTAGCGATCCCCGCATCCATTTATGTAGATGACTTTCAGTGAACCGGGGTATGAGAAGATGTTGTCTCGAACTTAAGGTATAAAAGATCATTGCATACATTCTTTAAATCGTTCATTGCTGTGTCACTGACAGTTTGTTGCTAGTATATTCTTTGTTCCGTTCCGTTGGTAGAGATATAGCGTTTAAATCTACCAATGAACAATCAAGTTCGAAGAATTGCTTAGAATACTGAAACGACCTTGAAGAAATCGAGAATGAACTTGTAAGGTTAGATAGTTGATACACACGCATTTGGACTTGTAACATAGAAGGTACCTAGTATATTCACCTCTTATTCCTATCTCATTTCGTAAAAAAATGCTCTTTACCAATCTCACGATGCTGTTGAAAACAAGAATGTGTCTTGTGTAAGGTAAGTAGTAGATGTGAACCTTTCTCATTGGTGGACTCAGTTATAAGGTGTAACCCCCTTTTGGAAGAATCGTGCCAAGATTTGTTGCTGCTGCGGGATGATGCGGGATGATGCGGGGAGCGCAATCCGGGCAGGTACGTATCTAGATCGGCTTACCCCTGGTCTAACGATCCTAAACTGGTATGGCGATATCATTGGAAGCGGACCCTTATCGCGCTATATTCCGAGGGTCGGCATATGAAAGATACCCTCACCGTATCATGTCTAGACAATAAAACAACTTGCTGTTCCCAAGTGGTTTGAAATCGGTAGAGCCCCAGGAAGAGCGAGACACGTCGACAAAATGGACTACAAGCGACAAAATGAGCAGACCACGGCGCAGGTAAAGCCCCGTATCATTATTCACGGCGGCGCTGGCAACATCACACCTGAGAAGTTGGGGTTGCAGGGATATAGACAATACCGGAATGCGCTTCTAACCATTGTGAGTACTTATACTCATTTACGTAGCCAAAATGGAAACTAAGACGTACGAAATAGGTCTCGAGAACGGATTTGTACATGCGCACCCCAATCCCAGCAAATGAGAATGAGAATCCTTACTCTTCCACAACTAAGTTTCCTTCGGCGCTCGACATTGCAACATACGCTGTAAAGCTACTTGAAGATAACCCGCTCTTCAATTCGGGCCATGGTGCTGTTTTCACACGTGATGGTATCAACGAAATGGATTCCTCGGTCATGGTATCGAGGGGATTTGCTAAGCGTGGTGTGGGGTTGACGGGAATGCGCAGAGTCAAGAATCCCATTTTGCTTGCCAAGGCAATGTTGGAACATGGCGACCAGGATCTATCGAATCTGGCGAGAAGGGCCGAATTAAACTCCGACGATTTGGGGACGACAGAGCTCGATATTCCCTCAGCACAAGGCCATACGCTTCTTTATGGGCCGACAGCTGAGCAGCTAGCTAAGAAATACGGGTTGGAATTGGTGGATCCCAAGTATTTCTTCACTCAGAAGAGATGGGATGAACATATACAGGCGCTGGAAAAGGAGAAGGCAGGAAAGGGCTTGGCAACCTGGAGTGCCGAGGAATATCTGCCTCAAGGTACATGTGGTGCAGTAGCTCTTGATGCGGATGGAGTAGTGTGTGCAGCAACTAGCACGGGCGGAATGACGAACAAGCTGACAGGGCGCGTCGGCGATACACCCGTAGTCGGTGCCGGCTTCTGGGCTGAGGAATGGGTCGAAAAGGGCAATATCAGCGGCGCAACCCCGAGACCAACTAACGATGCATGGCAGAGATTAAGGACGCGCTTAGAATTACCGGGACCGATCGTGGATTTGTCGTCCGGCCTACGAAGGCTCCTCGCTGACTGCCTCCCAACCCCATTTACATATTCGCCGGTTGCGGAATCGGCGGGTGCTATTGGTACTGAATCGGTCTGTCGGAATGCGCAGACAAGAAGATCAATTGCTCTATCGGGCACAGGCAATGGTGATTCTTTCCTGCGAGTAGCCGCTGCTAGGACGGTCGGTTCCGTCGCTCGATGGGGTGGATTGTCTGCGGCGGATGCGTTGCATCATGTCGCGGGCGATGGCGGAGATTTAGAAGAGAGTGCCGGGGAACGCTGGGGCAAGACAGGAGAAGGAGAAGGCGGTATGATCGGTATAGAGAGTATCATCTCGCGAGATGAATCCGGCCGCGTGGTTAGTAGCCACGCCAATATATTACAGGACCATAATTGCGCTGGTATGTTTCGGGCCTGGATTGATGATAACGGATATGCCGTAATGCGAATATTCCACCCCGAAAACGAAAAAGAGCGTTTATGTGGGATGGACATGCTTGAAGTCGAAGATGAAGCTGAGGAGGTTTGGCGTTGGTGTAAAGCGTAAGGAGTAGCATTAGTAAACTAGATAGATCCAGATTAGCGATAAAATATTACAATCCAACCAATAGATTCGTCCAAAGTATGTGTTCATCAACATTAGGTAGTGTATTTAAATGCGGCTGTCTGCTGGGACAGTATGGGGAAGCAGGTCCCGGCAACAGCTATCCTTTATTTTACATGTCATTCTCCGATGACCCGTGCCGTTATGCAAAGTTCGCCTAATGCCCATATGAAATACATGAACCGACCGAGAGGTGTATCGGAAATGAGTTGAGTGGTAATGTTTCTTTTCGTTGCGTTCGTTATTGTGGGATCTAAGCCAGGGCCTTTTCTGCGTCGGGTGGAGGTGGCATCTAAACACATATTAGCTTACCACACTTCCAGCTTTTATTTCGGTTTATAAGTTCGAGGGGAATACTAACCTCCAATTTTGTCGAGCTCGCAAGCATTCTTTGGAACCCTATTCCGACACCTTCGATGACAGCCAAGAGCACAGCGCAACCGATAGCGCCATTACGTGCCGCCTTATATCCTCCTCGAACAGCTAGAGCACCACCGGTAAAGAAACCGGCAACTGCCAAGGTAATTAGTAAATCCCGGGAGTCTAGAAAAACATAGAACTCACTAATCGCATTATAAGGATCCTCCTTCTTCCGTATTCCCTTAACAGCGCAGTCAAATGTAGAGAACAACCCACCCCATACACCTGTAAAGACAAATGTTAGATAATGCTGTCACTGATTTCAGGAATTTAGCGCCTACCGAAATTTCCACCTAATACCGGTGCTCTTGCTTTTATGGCTGTGATCGCTCCTATTCTCCTCTCACCCATTGGACTATTCCGGAAACCTTTGATGCCATGCCATATGGTTCCACCGATTGCCTAGAAGAAAATAGGGGTTAAGTCACGTCTCAGAGTCGATAATTGGTCGCAGAAAGGGTCATAACATACACCCATAGAGAAAGCACCTCCAAAGTCATTTAGGATGACCCAAGGGCAAGGGTCTCGTGTGTGATCCATCTTGAAGTATGAAGAAGCGAGGGGAAAATCTACGAATATTAGTGCGGGCCAAGCACCGATTCAGTCGATTTTAGTCGCAAAGGATATCGAGGGTAAAACCCAGAAACTTGGTTTGGATATTATTCCGATGAGGTATGAGTAGATCCGCAGTTGTCGTTCGCAGCGGAGGTGGCGCAAGTCGGTGTTGAAATTTCAACAATAGATGAACCGAAAGATTAATTGAGAATGATGTCGATAGAAATTTATTATTTGCGCACAGACCAACACTGGAATGTGAGATAAATCTTCTTCCGATAAGTGATAAGCGATAGCCGCCTCAAACCTTGAAGTCCAAGGCGACCATTCTGGCGGTCCAGCCCTTGAAGCCTGGACCCTGCAGACCCATATTATTTATTAGCGCGGCCGTAGTATTAGGTACAAGTCAGCTTTTTTAACTTGATTTTTTAATACAAGTCCAAGTTTAAGAGAACAGCTTTAGTTTCGATATAATTATTGTCATATTTTTATCATCCATTTATCCGCTGTTCATTTTGTTTGACAACCAAGAGGGAAATAATATTGCTCTCTTTTCAAGGTATCTATTCATGCAAGGTACATATGTACCCTACTTAAGAACTATGACTCTTTCGCCGATATCGGAATAAAATGACTAGGGAATACTTTCTTAAGCCACCGGGAATCATGAAACCCAGCTGCCCAGTTATGTTCTATTTACATGGCACATTAAAAGAAAAATAACGCTGCAACACAGCGTGATACAAGTTATGTAGGTACCAATATCCATGGATGCTTTAGACAACTTGATTTTTTCACCCCATGTTAGCTAAGCATATATCAGGCCAACAAGCTGATAAATGTAAGGGGAGCTTTCAACCATCAGTAATATCCAATCAGACATATTGATTCTTCTTGAAAATCAGTATGACGTGTGAATCAAGCTAAAGTGCATCATTGGTCTTGACAAGAAATCTCTGATCTTGTTTGTTACATTTTAAAACTGCGGTCTGCTGAAGAAGAAGCACATTGGATGGTGAGCTGCGGTCATGTCTGAACGGAACTCTGAATATTGTTTACGACGTATTAGAGCTTAGATCTCCGGTCCTTTTATACCAAAATCGATAGCTGTCAAGACAGCCACTTTGGCTAGGCATAATCTGACCATGGCAATGTGAGATTAAATCCACTTTATCGTGTCTCGCGTATAGATAGCAAAAGATCGCGCCATATCCCGGAAGTTCAGGTCTGACCGACCATCACTACATGTTAGTGTAGCAAGCCTCTATCTGCAAACTGGCCAATTGATCTTCCGAAAGTCCATAATAAGAAAATTCCGCTCACCGTAATTCGGTTGTCGGAAATCATCCTGCCATTCTGCAAGGTATTTAAAAACCTCAGCCCGCTCTTGTCGCTCTTTTTTCTTGTACGTGTCCTCTCGTGTGTCCTCGGCCATATGAACCAACTACTCTCATAATAATTCACTGTCGAGGAAACCGTCATCATGGCTGTTGGGCTCGGCGAGAGGATAAGTGGTTGCCAACGTTGCCAAGAGATCGAGGATGAAGAATCCAAGAAGAAGAACAGCGAAGGTTTGGGGAGAATCTATACCAATGGAGTTCAAAATACTAGCTGTAAGTGTTTCATTACAAGTTTGTCAAGCCATGGTAAAGGCCATGATAGCTTCGAGGATAACTGCAGGACCTTGGAACGTGATCTTCCCTAGTTGATCATGTATAAATCTTCTTTCCTCAGCATGCTGGATCACCAATCCTTCTAGACCCCATCTTCACAGCACCATTACTGCATTTGGGAAACCTGTGCAACATCTCCAGCTTCCAATCTAGGAGACATTTTAAAAGGTTGACCAATAGCAACAATCTGGACTCCAAATGGGAAACATCCATGGATGAAAGCTAAAACCCCGGGGTTGACCCACTTGGCCCGTTAATTCTGGAGCAGGTGCGCCTAAGTGCGCCTGAAGTGCCTTGAAGCACGGCACTGCAGGCGCTACCATGGAAGGGATGGCAGCTCCCCCACATTGAAAGCAATCTTGTCAATCATTAAACCACACGTCATCTCCAATTCTTTCCAACGCTGAATCCACTATCCACTATCTTCAATCCATCGTCAATTTTTTATACTGGATGGATTTATTATATACATTCCTTCAACCCCTCACGCAAAGAAATTTCCCCTCGTCTAATTCCAATTGCTCATTTATATATTCCTTTGACAATCCTTATGTTCTAACAAAGTTCAATCGCGCACAGTAATTGTACCATCCATGATGGCTACTTCGGCTCCGTCACCGATACTCGAAGTTCCTCCGCACACGACGCCTCAATTGCACCACAATCTCCAGCACGATAGCTCAGTACTTGCCCTCGCTGTTGGAAATGACAGCATATACACAGGAACACAGAATGGGGAGATTGTTCGATGGCGTCTAGGCACTTTTGAGAAAATCAGTCACATCCAAGCTCATAAGCGCAGTGTCATGTGCCTTTGCCTGTCCGACGATGGATCTCTCCTCTTTTCCAGTGCCAGCGACCCGATCGTAAATGTCTGGTGCCCGCAATCTATGAATCGATTGTATGAAATATACAGCACCAACGATTCTTTTGGCGATATCTTTTCCGTTTCCTACTCGTCCCAACACGAAACTGTTTACTATGGCGCCCAAAATACATCGATTCAATGGATTAGTCTGAAGGAACCCAACAGGCGCGTTGGCCACGATTCGCAAAGTCACCCCGATCGACGAAACCATCGATTTTTCGACTCAAGAGCCGTTGGTGGAACAAGTACGCCGAGACCTACCGACGAACGATACGAACTAATACCGCGACCTCGCGCTACACTCGAAACCGACAAGCGGGCAAACAAAATGTTTGCGCACTTTGGCTATGTGTACTGCATGCTCGTAGCAAAGGGAAGCACCGCTTATACAGAGGCGGATGAGGATGTCCTAGTTTCGGGTGGCGGAGACGGTACCATTAAGGTCTGGAAACTCGGCGGAAAGGAAATCGGCCCTGATGGATATGAGAATGGCATTGAGGAGATTATGACACTCGGAGAGCAAGATGCCATGTCTGTCATGTCTCTCGCCGTTGATGGGTCGTTTCTGTACAGTGGAAAGCTCAACGGCGTTATCGAGCTATGGGACCTTGATACTAAACAGAAGTTAAGAGTCATCAAAGCTCACAAAGGTGATGTCATGGCTATACAGATGGGATGGGGATATCTGTGGAGCGCAAGTCGCGCTGGGACTGCTTGCGTGAGTGGATTCGTCCTTATTATCTAACATGACCTAACCCTATAACAGAAGCACAACACGGTCCACTATGGAGAGTATCAGCGAGATTCCTCACAAAATGTCAACCAAAAGTACCAATGCCTAACACAGTGGAAGGCTCATGATGGGAAAGTTCTATCATCGGCCGTAACAACACATAATGGAAATCAGCTATACATAACAGGCGCCAATGACAACAATGTCGCTATCTGGATGCTTAAGAGCGAAGGGTCGGCCGAGCAACCGTCGCGCGAAGAACACGAAGATATGATGTTGACCTCTCTACGGGAATTTGTTTCTTTCAGGACAGTGTCATCTCGACCAGAATATGCGGAAGATTGTCGCCGAGGTGCTAGCTTTCTTCGTACCTTGTTCAAGAAACTCGGCGGTGATGTGGAGATGCTGAGTGGCGAAGAGGATACACTCCACCATCCTGTGGTCCTTGCCAAATTCAGCGGCAAGCTTGAGCCAGCTGAGAAGCGAAAGAGAGTCCTCTTTTATGGCCATTACGATGTGGTACCAGCAGAAACCAAAAATGGAAAATGGTCACACGACCCATTCCAACTAATCGGGACCAACGGATATCTATATGGTCGTGGAGTAAGCGATAATAAAGGTCCTATCATGGCTGCACTCTATGCTGTCACGGATCTTATACAGGCCAAGTCATTGGATTCAGATGTGGTTTTTCTAATTGAAGGGCAAGAGGAATCCGGATCTCGCGGTTTTAAGGAAACCGTCCGCAAGCACAAAGAGCACATTGGCAACATCGATTATATTTTGCTCGCAAACAGTTATTGGCTGAACGACGATACGCCATGTTTAACCTATGGGTTGAGAGGTGTTATGCATGCAACAGTCTGTGTCGAGTCTAGTAACCCTGACCTGCACTCCGGTGTCGATGGTTCTTACATGGTCAATGAACCACTATCCGATCTTATGTCATTGCTCTCGAAACTCAAGGGACCACGGAATCGCATTATGATTCCCGGGTTTTATAACGGCATTCTTCCCCTCACGGCGGAAGAGGAAGCTAGATACGATGATATACTGTCGGTTCTCATGGAGCAAGGCCAAAGTAATGTGTCGGCGACCACCCTCAAAGCCAATCTCATGGCGCGTTGGCGAGAGCCAAATCTCACCCATCATAAAGTTAAGGTCTCAGGTCCAGATGGTAGTTTGATTAGCAGCCATGCAAACGCCAAGATCAGCGTACGATTGGTCCCTGGGCAAGAGGTAGAGGAAGTCACCCAATCCTTGACCTCATTTTTGGAGAAGGAATTCAGAAATTTGGAATCCGATAACAAATTGAGCATTCAAATCGACAATCAAGCAGAGCCCTGGCTTGGCGACCCCAGCAACGAAATTTTTCGAACTCTTGAAGAAGCTCTCGTAGAGGCATGGGCACCTCTATTTTCTGACCATGCCGTTGGTAGCACCTCAAATGGAGTTAATGGGACAAATGGAATCGGCACTAATGGAGGTTATACTAATGCCGGATCCAAGGTCCGCAAGCCCCTCTACATCAGAGAAGGTGGCTCGATTCCAGCGATAAGATTCTTAGAGAAAGAATTCAACGCGCCGGCTGCACATCTACCGTGCGGACAATCCTCCGACTCGGCGCATTTAGATAATGAACGGCTAAGAGTTGTGAATCTGCTGAAGAGCCGGGAGATATTCAGCTACGTCTTCAAGAAGCTTTAGAAAGATTGTGTTAGATGAGGCATCTATTTCCGCGCGTTTGCGGATCAGGTTGGGAAAATGCGCATTAGATGTCCATTAAGGGCGTATGAAAAATAGACTTGAAAATAGATTCCAACGAGGGAGCATGGAGTTTGCGGTTCATAGATGAATTGATACCCTTTTCGCCATTTTATTTGCTGCAGATTATGACCTTGGAAGTTACTTGTTCGCAATATTTTTAGAGGTCCGGTGATTACTAGGTGTGTTTGACAAGTAGGACACCCCTATATTACTATCACTGCCGACCGCCTGCCAGAGCACATAGTCCACCTAACACGATTCGATCAGCCTAGTACAGAGTGGGGCGATGCTAATCGAATACCTAACATCTACCTAACCTAAGGCGTTTTCTTTCAAAATCACACCTCCTAGGTATTTTTACTAACTACTAACAATTCAAAAACTTACCTATCTAATAACTGCTAGGTATTTAGTTTTACAAGCTTTACAAATTCATACCCCCATCCTTTTTCCCTCGCCCTCTCCCCTCTCCCGATATGACTCCCTAGGTACCCCTCCCCACCATAGCCCTCCCAACCCACCGCCACAGCGGGGGCGGGGGGCTATGGCTCCCGCCACCCACGAATCAACCGCTTCAGATGACACGGCTGCTCCCGCCTCTCGCGACTCTGCGCCCTAGACCGACTCGCACTCGATCGATTTCCCGCCGACGGCGGCGGTACCGACGATGACATTGTTCTTTCCGGCGTAGGCTGCTGGGTCACTGGTCGCGGCGCCCGGATATCAGGCCACGGCGCTCTTGCGGGGATGAGCGGAGAGGCGGCTGATCGCTGGCCTGCTTCGAATCCTTCCCGGTAGACGGCCTCGATGGTGCGGTGATCGTGGGTGGTGGGGCTGGAGTGCGCGTGCAGGAATGCGGGGATCGGGGTTGCGGGTCGGTGGGAAAGGTTTAGTGTTGACCACCCTAGCCCGCGGAGATCGGTTTGCGTGTATGCGTGCTTGCGGGAGGGCTTTCTGTCCCGGTGTGGATTGGGGGGAGGTGGTGAGTGACGGAGTGACATTTGTCGTTGGAAGCGCGAGGGCAGGTCACTGTCGCTGCGGTCTTGGACGGTCATGTGGCGGTCGAAGTCTTGGGTTAGCTGCTCTACGGTGGGTGTGGGGTTCTCTTCTCGCTGGCCGGTATGGCTGGCGTGGGATCTGGTTCCTTCGTACCGGCCCCGCGCCGATGGTGGTCGTGCTGACATTGGCGCCGATACTCTGCGGTTTCCAGTTCCGATGGCCGCGGCAGTCGAACTTACCGACGCTTGTCTAGATCGTTGACTGGTCTCCCGTGGGTTTTCCGGCCGCCCGTTGGAGGCCCTTGGAGAGGATGCGAAGCCCTGCTCGGATCTTCTCTGCTGCCGTGCGGCTTCGCGGCTTCTTTCAAATTCGATGTCATCGTCGTCATCGAGAAATTCGATCCGGAGCGAGTATCGCTTGCGGCGCTTAGGCTCTTCGCCGGTAGATCTAGAGGATCGGGAGCCGGAGCCATGCGATGAGGATGACTGCATTATTCCCTTATCCTCGGGGTTTCAACAACTAGATCAGCATAAAGTGAAGATAAAGGTGAATTAGAGGCTATTAAGTACCTAGACATAGCAGTAATATCTTATTAGAAGATTACACAAACATCAAGTTATTATATACAGTCGATTGATCCATGGATATTTCAAAGAAAGACATTACCTTGACGATTTAACCCGGCACCTCTACTCGAATCTATGAACTATCTACAACAAGCGTATGTTTAAGGCATGATTTACCCCTATTCAACCCAAGACATACAATACATCAATCTTCAACTCTTTATCATTCTATTAACTAAACTAGTGTGACTCTCTTCAGTCTATCTAATCCTACCAACAGCACGGTTGTAACTAGAACAATGTTCTGAACTAGCTACGAACCACACCGACATCAACCTAGAAGTTTCATTACAAACTGAACATTCAAACGAACATTTCACCATTGCCTATAAGTTTTGTCGCATGTCAGACCGACTCTTTTCTCCAAAGCTATCCTTTGATTGGAAAAGCCAATGGGTTCTAGAAGTTGCATCTTGTGTGTGCACCCGGCAGCAGTTAACCTATGATATATTCCGCATCCATCAAATTATGCCTGTAGTACTTACAGATTATTAGTGAGAACTTAGTTGATCTCTCTGCCACCAAACTAGACTAAGCCTATCAGCAAAAGCAACTACCTACGTCCCTAGATACCGTTACGCACATTCTACGTAAACAAATACTATATGATGAGGCTCGCCGTCTTTTAATCTATCAAATGCATCTAAGTTGTTGTCATGCAGGCTGAGTGGTTAAATAATAGGTAGGCTGGGTGGGTGCCTATGCAGCTACGTGGCAGTACAGCTTATTACCCCTCCTGTATGCCTACTAGATACTGGTGGCGGGATCCGACGGGTCTAAACTAGAAAAAGCCGCAGTATAAGGCTTAGCTATCAACCTTGAAGGGCTTTTTCCATGTGTATACCATAGTTGAGGCAAAGGGGCATAATCTGCTTAGTGTGTAGTAACAGGTTGGCCTTTTTATTTAACAGGTATTCTCATGATTTCGTTCAAAAAAATCATCCATCAATGGCTATCTGTGAGTCAAAATCAGAGATGCGCAGGCAATGCGAGTGTCATTCTACCGTAAACATGGCTACACCAAGTCAAGGTACGATGAAAATGGAATCCCTTAGGGTAATTAAAGAAATCGAAGTTAACAAGATTAATATAGGTCTGGTAAAGGGGGTGGAATTAAGTGATTTGATGGTCTCAAATCCGCAAGATACTCTATGGCCATTTGATTCCGAAAGCAACGTCGTCCTCATGTGGGTTAACATGAGATTGTCAGAAAGTCATATTCTAACTTCAATAAATAGAGTTGCTAAAGCGAATGAAATCCGCAACTGTATATTCTGCCGCGAGACCCTCACCGAGAGACTTGGCATGCCACGCTTCTGGTGGTCAGATACGTACAAGAGAATGAATGGGTATTTTGGATCTGAATCTACGAGAAATTCAGGTGGGATTATTGATACTTGCTGTGAGTCTGAGTCTCCATGATGCTAAATACCGTTAGTTTGCTAAACCCATGATAAAGCAACATGGTCTCGAGCTCTTGTCAAACATTTTACCACATCACCCATTTCAGGGTCCAAACCAGATATACAGTATCGTTGGCTCAAATTCAACTTATTTACACGATGGGTTATGCCAAACAAGATGGCAATCCTTGCTTTTGACCCAGTCGACATAATAGAGGAATGGTTATCATCACAATTTATAAAACATCTACATCAAGATGAACTTCAGGATCCTTACTGGCCTTATATACGCGTCCTTGAAGAACTCGTGACTCTTCATGGAACATCAGTTTGGAGTCTCCGAAATTTAATAAGAACTACAGAGTTATCACCATCAAGGGACCATAGAAATGCGAGAAACAAGCCAAAACACAACTACTCGCGTCTTCATGACATTGCTCGCCACGCTATTCATGTCTCAGAAACCTTAGATCTATCTGTGAAGCTGTCAGAAAATATTCTGCAAGAGCATAAACAGCTAGCGACGCCAGATTCAGATGTTGATCGAAGATTTTCCACTGAGGGGGCTCAAATGTTTAAAAGGGCATATTGCAATACCCGTTCTCGAATCGCCTTCTTCAGAAATGCACTATCCAGTTTACGCTGTCGTTCATCATCCAATCACCAACGGTTGAATAACGAGATTCAATTAAGGTTTCATACAGACTCTCAGTACGATTCGCAAGCATCGGTTGAAATTAATTGGTCAACTAAATCGGACAGCGCATCGATGAGGTGGATCGCGATAGTGAGTCTCGTGTTTCTCCCGGCAAACTTGGTTTCATCGATTTTTAGCACGACCTTTTTTAGTGGTTCAGACGGAGCATTGTCAGTATCAAGCGACTTCTGGATATACTGGGTTGTATTAGTTGTCGTTACGGTGGTAACTATGATCTTCTGGTTTTACTTGCCACGTCTTTCTCCGGTCGTGGATATACGACGCGACAACTCGACGGAGAAGGACGCAGAGAGTTCGTTTCGAACCTCTTTTCGTGGTTTAAATGGAGTGGATACTGATTTGACGAGTCACGTATAATGATGTATGAGATATCTGACCAAGGAGGAGAAGAGACGACAAACATTATAGATCAAGGAGGCTGCATTGTAATTTCTTTAGGTTATCATAGACAAACACCCAACTACCTACCTAGGTAGGTACAGGTAGATATTTTATTCCAATATTAGAGGGGTATGCGCCTAAATGTACCAATTCAGGGGTACGTAATCTCAGCGACCGGAAATTGCTATGGGGCACTAACGGGACAAGCGCTCTGGGTCTATTGCTGATAACTTAGGTCTTAAACCGCCACTAAAAAGCGCCAAAGATAACCGCTAATTGACAAATTACAGCTCTAGTATCACTAAACGACAAGATTTCTGGCGTCCTTTCAGCTAACCGCTTGTTTTACGCAACCCTCTGCCATTGACACACATTGCTGCACAGAATGAGATTACTGTGAACACGGTAGATGCAGCAAATGAGTACCTCAGCCCATCATAGTAAACCATGCGTGCCTTGAGCTGAATATCAGGAGGCAATTCTCGTAGTGATTCAGCTGAATGCCTAATTGCGTCGATAATCTAAAACGTTATTATTAATCAGCATTCACACGATATCTTGGAATTTATTAATAACAGGGTCATACTCTCCATTTGTCTGGTACATCGCTCAAGACCGTTGGAAGTCGAATGCTGAGCGTAGTTTGTACAATGGCGGAGCTAATTGACACACCCCAAACAGTTCCTAGGGATCTGATGAGATAAACGGTAGATGCCGATACTGCGTGGTCTAAAATGTGTCAACAACGTGCTCAAATTGGAGTGGATGCATAAGAATCCTACCGGCATGCTCGAAAGTAGCTAAGGAGGTGAAGAGAATGCCTGGATATATGATCCCCTGCCCTAAGTTGGCTGGGAAGATATAAACGAAATACTTCCAGTCAGCGTCAACGAAACTCAACGAAGTTACCAAGCTGTTTCCAATAGTCATCAAAATGGCCCCAACCCGAACAAGAGTAACAAGCTTTCCCCATCGTGACATTACGATACCTGCGATAAGACCCCCGATAGGGGTTGCTAACGATGGGATGGCTAGTCTGGCTCCCGCAGTCGTTGCCGTATCGAGTAAAACAATCTGAAAGAATAAGGGTAGTAGAAAGAGATACTACAAAAAGAATGTTAGTTCCTATTAATGGAGAGCTCAGCCATATACCTACTTACCGCATAAGCGGATATTCCCGCACAAACATTGGCTAATTGTGTAAAAAGGGGTAAGCGCCCCTTCAGCATTCTCAGAGGGATGATAGGAATTGCAGTAGTCTTGGCTTCAACCCGAAGAAAAAGACCAAAAAGAATTACACTTGCGACTAGAGATACGATTACCCAAGGGCTGCTCCAGGGCAATTCATTCCCACCTAGGCTTAACCCAACCAACTGGATAGATATTGCCGTGACTAGAATGAAAGACCCTGAGAAGTCCACTATGCGCCAAGTTTCCTTAAGACTCGAACCTCTGCTGAAATCAGAGGTCTGGTTTTTTATGACAATATAGCCAAAGAAAAGTGCTATAGCTGATATTGGAACTTGCTATGTCATCCATAATGTTAGGTTCACTGTTAATTGAAGTCAGATACGAAGAGATATACTTACTAGTATAAAGCACCAACGCCATCCGATAGTATCGGCTATCGAGCCACCAAATGAAGCACCGCATATTGCACCGAAACCAAATATGCCATTCTGCATTGCTTGGTACATCCCACGCTTACGGAAGGGGATCATATCTGAGTTGACAATGGTGGCTGAGAGCTAATTAGCAAAGCTGCCCCTAACCTAGGGAGATCACCTACCCATAGTCATGAGTCCCCCGCCACCAAAACCAGCCAAAGCTCTCATACAATTCAGTAATACTATATCACCCGCAAGACCACATCCAAGACAACCTATTGCAAAGGTAATGGTCGAGATGAAGAAGCATATACGACGACCGAAAATGTCAGATACGCGACCATATAAGGGCTGAAATGCGGTGCTGGTGATGAGATATGAAGTTGTCAACCAAGACGCGGTGTTGGTTGCATCGAACTCGGAACTGATAACTGCGTATGTCGAAGCGGTGATGGTTCCGTCAAATCCGTACAGAAAGACATTGGACATGATTGCTAGCTCAATCCACGCGAAGTGGCGAGGAGCTATCCAGCCATCTTCCTTTGGTGGGTTCAACCCTATCAGGGGCTGACGTTCTCCAGATTCTGGATCATGAGAATTTCCTTCTGATAATTGGCTGGTGTCTTCGTTTTCATCTATCTCGGAGTCATGTTGGCTTGAAGCCACAACACTGGGCTCAGTGTGACGTTCGTGAGAAGTAACCATTTTAATAAAATCCTTATGAATTTGAGAATAATATTGCCATAGAGATGATTGTGTCGGTAGGGGATGCCTTGAGTGGAAGAGGTGATACGATATCAGTTCGAGGAGTATGAAAATTTGTAGCTGCCGAGCTGTAAAACGCTCGGTGACACGCCGTGAAGTACATGTACTTCTTTCACATGGGATACAAATCAAAGTAGTGTGACTGGTCTAAAATGTCATAGATATGTCGAGAAGATAAGAATCAAAACGGAGAGAAGGACCGGAGAACAGGGGCGATCACCGAATTCGGCCTCCTACTTTGAGAGCCGGCCTATGATATAGAGCCACGGTATCCTTGCATACTGACTACTACCTAGTAGTTAATGATTTGTAGGCTAAAATGGTGCAATAGTGGATTCTAGAGCTTCCATAGCTGTACAAAGTCGTCATTTCATGGCCGATATGGCTGTAGCGCATAAAAGGCGCAGGAACTCATCCCAGTCATTATGTCGGTTGGTCAAATTTTGTGACTATCTCCAAATGTCGTAATTCTGGAGCATTGTTAGAGAATAATCGGGACGATAGTGTTATATGGCAAGTGTTTGGTGTGGTTTATATAGGTATGAATATAACTGACATTTACGAACCTCCTTCGGCTCGCCCTTCATTACCTACCTAAACACAGACTTCTCGATCTTCCAACATACCGAAACTTTCAAGTTTGAACATCAATACAAAACATCAACAATTATAAGAAAAGGGTTATCTAGGGTTACTGTATTGAACCAAGGTTAATGTACCCTCCTTTAACTTTGAACGATGGAGTCGGTTTCTAACGCATCCAGCATTACCCCTTTCCACCAACCACCATGAAACCCACCGTTTTCATAGGGGTGGCTTTGACTCTATCACGCCCAATTGCAGCGGATTGGCAATTTAAGTCCCGTTCGGACCTTGCGCCACCAAGGCTAAACATTACCATTCCGGCGACCAAGGATGTTGAAAAGGGGTATTTGTTCGTTGCCCCTTTTGCAGGTTTCCCTGACACCCCTACGGAACAACATGGACCCAGACAGGCAGGTCCATATATCTTCCGCGATAACGGCGACTTGATTTGGTCTGGCTATGGCATCTATAGCATCTGGTCAACGAACTTCCAAGCGAGCCGCTGGAGAGGCAAAGATATTCTCTTCAGCTTCGAAGGGGATCATAATCCAGGCTACGGTCATGGGCACGGTCATATTACCATAATGGACAATCATTATGAGACTATCCGCGAACTTCGAGCTGGCAACCACAAGCTTGTGGACAAGCATGAGTTCCATGTTGTCAATGAGGAGACGGGTCTTATCCAAATTTATCAACCAGTTGCTCGTGACCTGACGAATTGGGGCGGGAGCACAGAGCAACAGTGGATTGTCAATTCTATAATCCAAGGTAAAAACTCTTGCAGTCGATAATTCCAAAGGAGACTACTAATTTAAGCGCAAGAACTTGATATTGCTACTGGCAAATTATTGTTCGAGTGGGCAAGTTTAGATCACGTTTCACCCGATGGTATGTCTGATTTACTACTTGAGACTATGATAATGCGTGTTCTAATATTCTATAGAGGCCATTCTTCCCCTCAATCCTGGTCAAGCCGGCTCTGGTTTCAACAGTTCCGATGCCTGGGACTATTTCCATATTAACAGCGTTGACAAGGATTCAGACGGCAATTACCTCATATCAGCACGAGATGCGTGCAGCATCCATAAGATCAACGGGACCGATGGAAGTATCATCTGGAAGCTAGACGGCAAGGATAGCTCTTTCAACGTACCCAAGGAGGCCAAATTCTGTTTCCAACATCACGCGCGATTCATCAGCCAAGAAGATGATGTTGAAATCATTAGTCTTTACGATAATAGTGCTCATGGAACCGAGCATGGAGGTGGATCCGAAGTTCATACAGCGCCGACTAGTAGTGGGAAGATAATCAAGGTGAACACTACATCATGGGAGGCCGAATTAGTACAAGCTTTCTTCCCGCCAGACGACCTCCTATCCAAATCGCAGGGTTCTACTCAGACGCTTCCGAATGGAAATGCGCTCGTAAACTGGGGGTCTTCGGGAGCAGTGACCGAGTATCTGTCTGATGGAACACCAATTTTCCATGCTTACATGGACTCAGACTACCTTGGTCTAGGTGTTGAAAACTACCGCGCATTTCGTTACAACTGGACTGGTATTCCCAACGAAGAACCTGCTATTGTGGCACTCAGGAACGAGGAAGGTCTTACAGCATACGTCAGTTGGAATGGAGACACCGAGACCAAAACGTGGAGGTTTTATGCTTCGACAGATGATTATGGATCTAAAGAGTTCCTAGGCGAGGCGACCAGGACAAGCTTCGAGACGTCAATTCGAATCCAGGACGTAAATATCGGTGGAATTTCCGCGGAGGCGATCGACGGCAATGGAAGGTCGCTACGAAACACGCGTGTAGCTTTTGTGGAACAAGAAACTAAGCCTGGGGGTAAACCGACTCAAGTTTCTATACAGAAAGCCACGACCGAGAAGACAATCGTAAAGCCCAACAGCCGCTGGGAAGGATATGGCATCTTGAAGTATTTCCGGTCTTTTACCAACGAACTCTGAGCCAACAATTGTCAAAAAAGCGGTATGTTGGTGTTATTTGAACGAACGACGTCGGACCCCTCTCATACCAATTCTTCTCTCCTTTCATTAACAAGAATTTCTGCACCCATGGTGGGATCGCAACATGATACCGCACTCTGTATTTAAGCCTTGAGGATTGCCACACTCGTTTGACGATTGATCCCAACTGACCTTAATACACTCATTGAAACAATATTTCTAGGCGCATAAGAGAATACAGACTATTGATATGGGGCTTGGTGACACTTATAGCATCATTGCTACCCACCATAATGTCCATTGTTGTCTTATGTTAAATGGTGGTAGCTGGGATGCAACGCTGTAAATACGATCCAGCCTATCACATAGAAATAATGATCATTCCCACGATCTCATATTCAACAGTATTCGGCCGTCGATCATACTTCTTTGAGTTTATAGGGAACCCGATTAGATTAAGGAGAAATAAGCTGACCTTGAGTGGGAATAGCTGATGCCCATCATTGACCACATTTCAAGCGTGGCTGGCCTCATCTTCAGCCCACTGCCCACTTAATATGTACCGATGTATGAGCATAGCCCTCTCCTAATTACCTAACGTTCACCATTATTGATGGCGATCTTGGTGGAATAATGAAATTAAGCCTAACCAATCTATCATATAAGGGTACCTAGGTACCCAGTTCTCATGAAGTGCAGTTCCTAAGATTTTCGCGTGAGAGTAGATTCTGCCTGGGTGAACCATTATGGCCGGTCAAGTTATTGCTTCGCTCGTTCTGGCATTTGCCGCTACCTCAACGTTGGCAGCAAATACGCCTGTACCATTCTATGGTCAATCCGCATCTGGAAAAGCTTCTCCTCCGAGAGGGTGGAATTCTTTCGTCGCGCAATCTAACGGTGCCAAACTTACTGTAGATCTTCTCGATGAACAATGCAGCTTCTTCTACAATAAGACCGAGTCGGGTTTCAATTATGTTTGCGGCTTCGATTCTGGTTGGTCGGCGGGTTCCAACGGTGATGAATTTGGTCGCATTATTCCCGATGACAATGTGTTCAGCACTATGAACATACAAGACTTCGCGGCCAAGTTGCACAGCAACGGAATGAAACTCGGCGTCTATATGATCCCCGGTGCCTTTACTAGCGATGCGAAGAAACTGGTGAAGGGAACCAACATAGCCATCGGATCGCTCTTCAACACTACCGAAGACCCTCGGGACGCTATAAGTAACTCCTACAATGCTCGTAATGATTTCGATTACACCAAAACCGGCGTCCAAGAATGGCATGATTCAGTAGTGGAGCTCTTTCATTCGTGGTATGTGATTGCAACGTCGCTAGCCTAGTCGTTCTCGTACTTGCTAATATGAAGGGCCAGGGGAGTTGATTTCGTTAAACTAGACTATGTGACCCCCGGCAGCGATTACCTGAGCGGTAACAAAGACAACGTTAGACCGGCGAATGATAGCGGTGCTGTAGCATGCATGCACAATGCCATCATGAAGTATGCCCCGGATATGCAACTCGACATTTCCTGGAAGTTGGAGAGGGAGGAGCCGTTCTGGGATTTATGGCAACATAACGCCGATACGATACGAGTCGATAGAGACATCAATTACGGAAAAAATGCCGTGACGTGGGGCCCTACACAGAGGACAATAGAACAATACCGCGTTTTCATCAACCAGCAAGTACTGGACTCGAGGCGGCAGAACAAGCCGATCATGATCCGCCCGGACATGGACAACTTGTTAGTCGCAACACCATCATCAAGTTCCTCTTGGTCGGGTTATAGTACCATCGAACGATATGCGCAAACTATTCTTTGGATTGGCGCAGGAGCTAACTTGATCAGCGGCTGCGACATGACTAAAGTCGATGACCTTGGTAAGAAATTGCTCACCGACTCCGAAGTCCTAGGAGTGGCTGCATTTACATCGAATTATCCTATGGTGCCGAAGAATCCTTCCAGCGCACAGGAACCCGGAGGACCTAATGCTTCTCAGCTTCAGGCATGGATTGCTGGGCCTAACGATGCTGGCACCGCGATCGTGGTCCTGTCAAATCTCGGCCCCGATCAGTGCTGGGACAACGAATGCTCCTACAACACTAAAACCACTGGCGACCAGTTGGTGAACGTGACTCTTAATGACTTGGGCATTGGCGGAGAGAAATGGTTCGTCCGTCGCGTCCTTGGAGGCGGCGGAAGAGGCGGAGAGGACGGTTCGGATATCGGTGTAGCGGACGAAGAAATAGCAAGTTGGTTAAGCGAACACGAAAGCGTTCTCTACAAATTGCAAAAATGTGGAAGTGAGGGGGCTTCGTGCTGACACGAGATTGCCACTATGTTAATTAATTACTGCAATTACTAAACCAGTAACGCGCCGGTATTGTTACATTAGGGTATTACAATGACAAACAGCGGATGGATTATGCATGTTTACAAGCCTCGTGCTAATTGTTGCCGATACTATAGGTGTTGTGATGATATTTTATTACCTAATGGGACTATTTACGAAGTTATCGTGGGAGTTAACGATGCAAGCCTGCATTAATAGCGATGCATCGCAAGGGCAATATTATAACTAGCTCGCCGCGATATAGGCTAGCTAGTACATGAAATATTCCGGACATGACCTCGGAAGCTCGTATCGAAGAATATCTCTGAAAATTACTCCAAAGCTACGTTAGTAATACCTCAGTTCAAGGTAGGAGTAAGTATGCGGAAGTGAGTAAGAAAATAACATGCAGCATTAGACATAGACCAAGATATGTCTAAGACAGGTATGAGATCGTGTTTATCACCGCCATCAAGATCCATCTCTATCACCAGTTTGGTCATCAGACTCTGGGACGGAATCTTTCTAGAATCTAGGACCCTCCGCAGAACGCCCAAAAATAGATTTAAGGTCTTAAACCGCGAGCTACCACGTTACATGGCTTTCCACCAATCATGAGCCGAGTCTTACGCCAGCTACGCTAGCTAGCCCTGATGTGCCGAGACAGTCGCTCAATAGCCTATCGCAGACTGCCTCATAGGGCTAGGGCGACGATCACTTCCGTGTGGGGACGAGCTGTGCGAGATGGGGCTATTCCGGACTCTTCCAAGATGACCATACGACCCATACGATGTGCCGAGCAATCCAGACAAAGAACCCCAGGTTCAGCAATACGAGCGAGAGCCTCATGCGCTTTGTTACATTCGCTAACTATTCCGGAATAATCAAGATTGAGGCATCATCTCATGCTCTTGCTGGTCATGTGACTATGGAAAGACCACTGCAAGACGAGCTACGTCAATACGAGCTTCAACAAGGAGCGGTCATCTGTCCGAGCCCAATCGGCTTAGGCAAGTCTAGTCAGGCCATCGCTATACGTCCAGAATACGGATGGACTTGAGATCATGATGTCGACGATTCCAAGGTAACAGGAGACTTGGTGTATAAAATGGCAACGAGTCTCCCTCCAATGTCGACTCAAGATACTTTCACCATCACCAACAACAATCACAACATCATCACAACACTCTTCCACTCGCTCAACCAATAATAACTACCTACCTACTATTACTTAATCTTAATACCTTAAGACCCAACCACCCAAACCTCCAAAATGAAGTTCACCACCACCGCCCTAACATCCCTCCTCGCCGCCGTCTCCCTCGCGGCCCCAACCCCCTCCCCGGAGGTCAAATCCGCAATGGCCAACGTCGAGCAATGGACCATCGAAAGCATGCAGCGCGTATGCGACAGCGCCGACACCAGCTGCAAATGGTCGTTCCGCGTGAACACGCACGTGGGCAACCCCACGGCCTGCAGCTTCACAGTCAAGGGGTCGCCCGCCAGCCAGACCGACTCCAGCGGCAACATCTGCGGCCCGTACACCGTGGGATCCGGGTGGAGCGGCCAGTTCGGCCCCGGCAACGGCTTCACGACCCTCAGCGTCGTGAACTATGGTGCCAAGCTCATTGTCTGGCCCGCTTACACTGATAAGCAGCTCCAGTCTGGCGCGGTTGTTACGCCTGACCTGAGCTATGCTCCTACTGTTCTCAACTTCTAAGTTTGAGAGTTGGGGTTTTATGAGGATTTGATGATGTGAGGAAGGGGGGGGTTTAAGGAATGGGGAGGGGGTATGGGAGGGAGTATGGGGTTTTGACTCAGCGCTACGGAAAAGGACATTCATTGCATACATTCGTACATTCTCTGCATATACATTATAGAGCGACAATCTAATTGTTAATAAAATCACGGATTGCATTTTGGGAAAAAGACCTTTCTTTGTTGTTCATGGTGTTTGTTATTAGCCAAGGCAAGCGTAATATCAAGCCTTCTAATAACCAGTATCTGCTAAACGGATAGAATGCTCGCCACCTATCCTAGAGCTCCCCACCCCGGGCTCCTATGATGTGCAGACAATGCCATGCCATGATGATAAGTACATACACAAGAAGCGAATTCGTAAAACAGATTTTCCGTCCGTCCGCCCCTGGCTTGCTATGCTGAGTAATCATGTATCGTTTCGTCGTCATTGTTCTTCGTTTAATCATCGTTGAACGGGTCGGCTTTGTACGCGCCTCGCGCTTCTTCGAATATGCTCTTGTAGCGCTTTGCGGCGAGCGTGATTAGGAACAGTGCCTCGTACTGCCAGAACCACATCTCCTGCTCTTCCAGCCACTCGTCAAGAACCTCGTCGCCGTCAGTCTGTTCGCTGAGCGTGCGGTAGGTGGCGAAGTTAGGCGCGATGGGCTCGTCGGAGGTGTCGAGATCGCGTGTCTCGGAGTCCAGTTCTTGGGTTGTGGACTGTGCGTCCTCCTCGTCCTCCTCGTCCTCCTTCTCCTCCTTCTCCTCATCTTCCTCCTTCTCCTCATCTTCCTCCTTCTCCTTCTGCTTCTCCTTTTCTAGCTCGAGATCGCTGAGCTGTGCTTCCGACATGCTGCTGAGAAGGTCTGGAAGAGAGGTGTCGAAGTCCAAATCCGAGCTTGCGTCTGAATTTGACTCTGATGAATCCGAGGGGAACGACGCGTCTACTGGCGAACGCTCTCTGTCTTCCGGTAATGGGCCGGTTGTGAGTAGCTCTTGGTCTGAGGGCTTGGGGAATTCCACCGATGAGAGTTCGTCCTCTACATCATCTGCCCAAGAAAACGGCTCGCTCGGAGGTAGTAGCGCGATAGGGGCAGCGACGGCGGTAGATTCAGACTGCTCTGCCTTTGAGATCTCCGTCTCGTTCGCATCCTTGGTATCCTTATTGATACTTCGTTCGTCCAGTACGAAGAAACCATCCTCGTCATATCCATCCTCTTCATCGGTGTATGATTCCTGACTTGAATCATCGGGAGAAGGATTGACGACCTCCTGCAAGCCGAATATTCCCACTTGATTCTCCATATCATAGAAGTAATCCTCGAGGTAGCTGTATCCTCCGACAAGAATACACTCCATGTCGTTGTGGGTGAGAAATCCACCGTTGACGAGTCGTTGAAGGCACCTCTCGGTAAGAGGTCTGACTCGCTTCATGATGTCTTCGACGTCGAAGTCACTGGTGGGGATAACGACGTCGGATTGGCTCATCATCTGACGTAACTCTGTCATCGAAAGTCCCAGGAGCCAGAGGTAATGCTCTCGAGTTTCTTCGAATTTGCTTCTGACGTGATCTCCCTCAACGATGAACTCCTCCATATCGTAATGGATACGACGCTGAAGAGAGGTCATTTCTCTGATCCTGGAGCGGACCTGCCAGACCATGAGATGCACTCGCGACACGGACATATCCATAATGTCGACTTTGATGGGATTTAATCTTCAGAATAGAGGATCAGGTTTGTGACCACGCCGAGTGAGTAATCTGCGATATGACGCGTTAGTTTGCGAGTAATAGGTTAGAAAAGAACGCGGGAGTAGCGAAAATGGAATTTACCTTCGCCCGCGAAAGATTTAGGCGAAAATCGCATTATACAGAGGTTCACCGACGCGAAACCAAGAGAAGCTGATGATATATGAAAATTGAGGAAAGGTATGAGTATCATCAACAAGCCTGTGATAAAACAATGGTCTTGTTTAGAATAGAACAACGCGACTGATGCCGTGAACAAAAGAAATGAAAATACCTTGTGGTTGTACTAGAGAAATCTTCGATGTTTTGAAGATTTTTGAGTCGAATGATGCTTTGTAGTGTGATAAAGAAACGAGTACTTTCCAGACTATTGTCGTACAATAGAGTTGAACTTGAATGAAAATTTTCTGGAAGTTGTTTTTTTCTCGAATTTTGGTTATGGAATTGTCGACTTCGGTGAGGAATATGAATCAATCATGGAAACTTTGGAATGGTATCCACCGAATGGATATGGTGGTTACCGACCCGGGTACCCAATTACCCCAGACTGTCCCTAAAAGCAGCACAGCGCGAGTAGAAGAATAGTGATAGGTAACGAATAGAATTGAGAAATTAGAAATGTTTGTAAAGTTGAAAGTGCTAGAACGGAGCTAGTGGTTAAGTGACCACAACTGATCATAGGCCTTCGTCGATATTGTCCGATTTAAGGTCATGTGCTACTTCCAACTGCGCCAGTAAAGTCTACGACACAACAAAAACACCTACATTACATTTAGAGATACCTACCTAGGTACCTAACAAATAGCTGCATTCATTTCCATATTTTAACATTCACCCTGTGTTCACCGCCCAGTACCTGGGTAGCCTACCTAGTACCCAAATGATTGGGTACCTACTTTAAAAAATATTAGCAATTTGACGTGCATTTTGGACCTATTGTTGGTTATCTGGATTTAGACGCGTAGATACGTTTACGTACGTAGAGGCGACCAATATAAATGGATGAAGGCCGTATCAACGCGAGTGATGAAAAGAGGATGTCCATTTGGTAGTCGACATCGAATTTAACTCACCGCAATTGAAAAAGGGGTATCTTAATATACGATATCTATTTATCAGTATTCCACTAATTTGTTAATTACATATCTGCTTAGATAAATAGCGCATTTTCTTCCCATTTCAACTCTGCTGGCGCTAGTGACGTAATCTCAACTCGAACCACAAATTCACACATCTCGATTTTCGAACGCGAATGGGGATCATTCAAGATACGATGGTTGCTGGAGAGAGCCTATCGATTGACCCTTTTATATCTAACTATCAAGAAAACCTGCTGCCAGCGGCGTTTCATCTTCCACTCATTCCCAGCAGCCTTGACCCTCGTCCAGCCAGCAAATCGGTGCAAATCAGTGGGGCTTCTGTAGCGGAGGTGACTCGCTAAGAGCCTTGGGCTGAATCAGATTTGCTAGCTGGCGGGACCAGTCGGGACAGTGAGACGTCACAGCCGCTATCCCACAAGGATACCTACAAGAACTAGGTGCAACACCACGCCATAGATGTCCATTACGTGTATTTGTTGACTCTTTGTCCTCTTCGGGAATTGTACATATTCTTCTCTATTCTCTGTCCAAAGTTTCCAACCTTCATACATACGATATTGTCCTAAATCGCCATAATATTTTAATCGGAAGGTATCGAGCGTTTTCTTGAGTGGGTCCTGCTTGCGAATAGCATCGTTGATCGTTGGGTAGCATGGCAGAAACGACACCCCTCCCGCCAAATGAATCCGTCCACCAAGCCGGTGGCGGCCAGCCGGGCGGCGAAGGTTTGAGCATCAAGGAAGTCAAATCTACTACCTTGAAGTATTTGGAACAAGTTTACACCACGCACGCCTCGGCCAAAGACAAGCAATGGGACAAAGAGACCATTGTAGAGTTCCTGCATCACAGGCAGGCCGATAAGGTTACAGACCCGTCATCGGCCCAAATGGCCGCCAACGATGCGCTCGACTTAGCCGGCTTCTTACGCTACATGACATCTCCGGCGACTAACGCGCTGGCCGCCCCGCTGGATCAGGACCTGTCATTTCCTCTGGCTAGCTACTACATCAGCTCAAGCCACAATACGTACCTAACAGGCAACCAGTTAAGCAGCGATTCCGACGCCGATGCATATCGCAGCGTCCTTCTACGTGGTTGTCGATGTGTCGAGATCGACGTGTGGAATGGCGACGACTCCGACGTGGAATCTTTAGGAAGCAGTTCTGATAGTTCTATAGACGAAGATGCTAAAGAGGTGAAGGCTATTCGCAAGGCGAGTCGTAGGGAGAAGCTCGCCTCGAAGCTCCCCAGCTCGCTCGCTAGCAAGCTCGAGAAGACATCATTGGGCAAACGGATTACGGGGAAGGAGAAGGAAAAGGAAACCGGATCAACTATTGAGAAAACGACTTCCGCGCCGAAAAAATCATCAAGCCCACCGCCGGGCGTAGTCGAACCTAGAGTTCTGCACGGCTATACACTCACCAAGGAAATCTCTTTCCGAGAGGTTTGTGAGGCAATTCGGGAGAGTGCGTTTGTGGTTACCGATTTACCCCTCATCGTCAGTTTGGAGGTGCATTGCAGTCAGCAGCAGCAGGAAGCCATGGTTAAGATCATGAATGAGGTCTGGGACGGTCTACTATTGCCTCACCCTGACGATGATTGCAAGTTCCTTCCCTCCCCGGCCGATTTACGTCGCAAAATTCTAGTCAAAGTGAAATACGCACCACCCGAAGTGCACCTTCCGAGCACTGGCAAAGATTCTGTGGAGCACCTCCCTCCAGACGTCAAGGGAGATCCAAAGGCAGATATAAAGACCGATCCCAAGCTCAAGACTGCTACGCAGGAGAAAGTCAAGAAAGCGTCCAAGATCATCCAGGCTCTGTCGGCGCTCGGGGTGTACACGCGTGGCGTATCGTTCAAATCCCTATCCCAACCAGAGGCCAAGATGCCGACACACATCTTCTCGCTGTCCGAGGGAGGTGTAGCTGAGGTACACGAGACTGAAGCGGCACGGCTATTCGAACATAATCGAGAGTACTTGATGCGCACGTATCCATCAGGCATGCGTATTGGCTCCTCGAACCTGGACCCCGAAGTCTTCTGGCGGAAAGGTATCCAGATCGTCGCCCTCAATTGGCAAAAGTGGGATGAAGGAATGATGCTTAACGAGGGTATGTTCGCTGGAACGGGAGGCTATATACTGAAGCCAGAGGGGTACCGCGGGAAGAAGCCAGTCGTCATCGAGGCTCCAGAGGGTGACGACAAGGACAAGAAAGAGACGAAGGTAGCCCCGGTCCCCGCATCCGAGACAATTCTACACCAAACCCTCGAACTCAACATCACCGTAATAGCGGCGCAAAACATACCGCTACCCGAACACGACGACAAGGAAAGTGGGTTTAAGCCGTACGTCAAGATTGAGCTGCATACAGAGCCACCGCACGACGAGCACTTATCCGTAACCCGGTCCAATTCACACACCACGAAAACCTCAACCAGGGCAAAGGAGGGCGAATACAAGGCGCGCACGAAGACACAGCGCGGGATCCACCCAGACTTCAAGTCCGAGACTCTGGAGGTGGCCAAGGGTGTATCTGGTGTAGTTCCGGAGCTGGCGTTCGTTCGCTTCCTCGTCAAAGACGACGAGATCGGTCGCGACGACTTAGCCGCATGGGCGTGTATCCGGCTCGATCGTCTAAAGACCGGGTACCGGTTCGTGCACCTTCTAGACAAAGAGGGGAAGCAGAGCGAGGGCGTGATATTCGTCAAGATCGAGAAGAAGCTCGCCTAGGGGGCGGTTTTCGACTGGAGCGACGACGAATCGGAAGGTGGGAAGAAGCATCATCATCATTTCGGGGACTGTAAGACATCGTAGCATCTGGTAGCGGGGAGGTTGTGTTGGCAAGCGTGCATGTGCGTAATGTGCTCGACTTTCAGGTCGGAGATCGAACTAGGTTAATGCCTAGTAGTATTTATGATTTTTGGTTCTTTGGTATCTCAAGATAAAAACAAGTTGCTGGCACTGGGTATTAATTAACCTACCGTTGCCTCTTCAATGCAACCCACGCCGCAAATCAGTATGTACGAATTTAAAATTACCTAACTACACGTATCATAACTCCGGATCGAGTGTGCTGTGATTGTCTGTCGTTGATATGAGATTGATAGTGTTCCAAGGGCCATCGCCTTCCATATTAGCCTGTGCTGCTCTGAAGGCGCGTAGTCTCGTGTCGTAGGCATGATCAGATAGCGCGGAGGCTTGAGAATCTTCCGAGAGGAATTCACCCTCTGATGATGAAGTCGACTTGATACTCGGTTCTTGACCGTTTTGGAAAGAGTCGTAATCTCGTTTACTATGAGGCGGTGGGGATACAGATGGCTGGATAGCTTTCCCCATAGTGGGTTCGCGGGGTTGAGGCACCTCGGCGGGTGGAATGATGGGGCTAGAGGAGAACAGTGCTGCTGCTGGCTGGGTTTCCGGTTGACTTTCCCTCTCTTCAACTTCCCCTTGCGGCTCGCGCTGCAGCTCTTGTATTTGGTCTATCATACGGTCATGCTCGAAGATATTTTCAGTACAGAGATCACCGAAGAGACCTCGCATTGTGATACCCTTTTGTATCCAGTCAGCTGGATCCACCGTACATGGCCAAATATCCTTTGGTTTGAAAGTCTTAACGAGATGTCGCAGCTCGGGAAGAGAAGAGTGCCTCGCATATGGAAAGATAATTCGATTGGATAGCGTGCTGGATTGGTTGTTTTTCTCCAATTTCTTCACCGGGTTATGGATCGCGTTTACTTTCTTGACGACTGATTTGAAAATTTCCGTGATCGACTCTTTCTCCGTGAACTCGGACACATCCATATCTATCTCGATGTCTCTGGAAGTAACTCGCGCTTTCTGAAGGATACGCTTGACTTCGGTTCCTAGTTCACCAAGCAATTGATCATTCCGCTCGATTCTGTAAATAATTAGCTTCGGCATATTGAAAATGCATGATTCCGAAGACATACAAGTCAATCAATGATACGATGTCTTCAGCCTCGAGACTCGGTTTTTGAGCTAGATCATCGCCGCCCCCACCAATGCCTACTTCAACCATATCCCGCCCGTCCTTAAGATGCGCGACAATAGGTTTAATCCAGACAATCGGTTTTGTACCTACAGCGCAGCTCGTTCCCTTCTCGCAGCTATGAATCCGCACATTTTCATACAATGTTAAGCAACCCTCGCGCTGGTTATTACCGCAAGTGAACCCGACTAGATAGGGTGCTTCCTTGATCAAGTGAGTTTGCGCGGCGAAGCGGCTATCTTTTGGTTTCGTCGCGAGAGACTTATAAACACCCATCTTGTACTTGTCGACGTGTATCTTCGAATATGATTAGCGATGTTATAAAAAAGCTGGATTTCGTCACCTCACCTTCGAATTGAGGGCCTTTGAAAGGGCAACCCAGACCTCTTCATATCTAAAACAAGGTTAGACTAAGAAATCTATAGAGGCGTGTTATCTTACCCGTAAGTCCATGCTTGCATGAAGAAACAGGTGTCTTTTGGGTAGCGTGCAATCTTCTCTAAAAGTTCGTGGAGTCCTTCGGCCTTCGTCTGCAGGGGGAAGTCATCCAGCATCGATGTATCAAGGTAGATACGGTCGAGCGTCTTTAGTCCGGATGAGTACTCGATTATGCTAGGGTTTCTGGCAATGGAATTGACCCACCAGGGCTCGCTCCTGATATCTCCGGTGTACAACACAGCCCTTCCATTGCCTTCAATAACTACCAAGGAAGTTAGAACGAGTAATTAAGTTGTAGTGCGCCGACATACGAAACATAACGGCGCCGGCGCAGTGGTTGGCATCCAAGAGCGTCACTTGAATACTCTTGCCGGGCTCTAATTCGACTTCAGTGGGCGTATCAAGAGGAATAGGCTTCAGCACTTTGGCAAGATGCTTGTATGTCTGCATACGCGGATCCTCGAAGATTCCTTTGGCATAGTTCAGCCGACAGGGGTACTTCTCAAGGCGAAGCAAAATTTCCCTTGTCGCCGCTGAACAGTAGACACTAAAGACACGGTATCAGTAACATACGGGCACTTAATTGGCTATGGAAATAACATACAATGGGCTTCTAAGCCGGTCAAGCCCAGCGAGATGATCACTATGTATGTGGCTTAAGAAGCAAGCCAATGGGGGCTGACTTTGGAATCCTCGAAAGAAGTCGATTCTTATATCTGGGAACTCGTGGATAATGCCATTGAAAGTCGACATTTTGGCTTAGGGGCAGGCGGGTGGTATAAGGTCCATTTCAATTCCATTGATGTCGGTGGATCAAAATCGAATGTAGTCTCTCAATGCTTTGGTTTAAAAATAAAAGAGTTAAGGAAATGAAACGCTGATAGGCAGCACTCGTCATAGCATGCTGATCCACAATTTCGGGATATTTTAGCGTCATACTTAGCGGGATATCCCTGCTAGGCTACCGTAGTTAACCGCTGTACCTCCCCATTTCCGATCTCACTCCCGACTTTCTGGTATCATATCGCAAATCAATTCCTAAATAACCGAACTTTATTCCTTTACAACCTTTCAACTATTCTAATAAAAGAGGCCATCTCTTGAGCCTTCGAGATCCTCGAATTATGCGGTTCCAGCATATCTTGCGGCTGATACATGTCGTTGTGTGCGTCGATTACCAACCGAAAAATGGGTAATACGGCGATGAAGCGCAGATACGCCGTATTCCTAAAATGCGGTTGATCCAACGGACGGCAAGACGATATACCTTTAAAGAGAGCGCCCATACTGTCCCATATCTATTATGGTTACCAATATCTCCTTTTATTCTCATTTCTTACGCGCAGATGAGTTCTCTTGAGATATTTAACTTCAAATTCTTCTTCCAAGCATCTTAAACGCCGGTGACGATCAGTCTTACCAGGGTTATTCACATAAGTCGGTTAGAACAAGCACTGAGGCTCTGACGCAAGCAAACCAACCAATATGTCTTTCTTGGACTATCCAGCCGAAACTTTGCAACTTACCAATAGGATCAAAATTCCCTTAACAGGCACCCAAGAGACCTTAATGGGACCGTTGATAGCTAGAGCAAGGGATGCACGAATGCCTCAGCCTATTCTAAACGATATATATGCAGCTCAGATACTAGATTGGATCGACCATGACATCGAGAAGTTCCATGTCGACGACACCCAAGCTACTATGCATGCACTCCGTGCCTCATGTATAGATAGATGGGTTATCGAGTTTTTAACGAACAACCCAGAATGTACGGTCGTCCATCTAGCCTGCGGACTCGATAGCCGATGGCAGCGCATCCAACCGGATCTGACCAGGGTTCGTTGGATCGACTTAGATCTCCCCGACGTCATCGAAATACGTAATAAGCTCATTCCCAACCCTGAAGGCAACTACATGCTGGTCGCCGCAGATGCCACCGAGGAGTCATGGCTTCAACAGATCCCCGCAGATCGACCCACCGTTATCGTCGGTCAGGGGCTGATGATGTATTTGCAAGAAGAGGCAGGCAAACGTTTGATCCAGCGAGTTGTCGAGCATTTCAACTCCGGCCAGCTTATCATTGATTGCGTCGGCACCATCATGCTTTCCCTACAACATCGCATCGAAACCCTCACAGCCACGGGGTCGAGCTTCCAATGGGGCGTTGACGAACCGAAAACGTTAGAAAATCTTCACCCGAAGTTGACGATGCTGGAGTGTTTAGGTCCGGCTGAGCTTGGTGGCTTCTCGCAAATGCCCCTTGGCACGCGCATAATGCTGTCGACTTATTCGTACCTACCTTGGTTCCGGTATCTCAGCTCCTACGTACGGTTCGCTTTCTAAATCTTTGAGCTACTTTGGACGACATGACATGGGTTAGGAATTTAGTCATTTTTTTGCTATATATGAGATATGATAATGGACGAGGCGCTTTTCATATGGTTTAGATATTATCGATTTTTTTATTAATTCCTTTTCATCATAAACCCCCCTGATATGACTTATCACACCGGCTTATCAATGGACCTCTCCACCGCACCCAGCACAACCTTCAGCACCGCATCCGGAGCCAACTCTCCCGGCTCGCTAGTCCACGTTACTGTATCCACCATATCCCTAAGATTCAACGTCTGCGCCAGTCCATGATCCGCGAAATCCATCGCTCTCCGACCATCATCATCATCGCCCACGCGGAAGAACTGGATACCAACCTGGTACGGCGGCGCATGATAAAAATCCAACTTCCGCGCCGTCTCGATCAGCGTATCGTACGGGTTATCATCAGTGACACCCGCCGTAATCACAATAAGATTCAACGGCCTCAAGTTCTCCGCCTGCTGAACACCATCTTTAACCCGTCTTATGTACTCCTCCATATACGGGTCCAGGATCGCGCTTAGCCTGTGATCAAGCCGACACCCCCCATGCGGTCTCACCGCGCGGAAGATGCCCGCTACGTTATCGCAGTTGTCGCATGCGTCGCCTGCCGTTTTGCCGATGTTGAAGTACCCCCCGCGCTCCTTCTTCCGTCCGATCGTTGCGTATAGGTAGTACCCCCGCGGCCGGTGGTTCACGAAGTACATGTCGATCCCGTTGCGGTCGTGCTCGGCGCAGACCCCGCTGATTTGCCCCAGGAGCTTGCCGACTGCGTCCCAGTGCTCGACCATTGCGGCTGAGTCGTCGATTAGGAAGACGGTGTCGAAGTATGAGAGGAATGTATATGGGCCTGAAGTGTAGATGTCCTTGCGCTCCAGCTTGGTGTGTGTACCTGTGCGCCATGACCGGTGGTGGTTTTCGTCGGGCATTAGGGTGCCGTCGGAGGGGGTGTCTAGGGGGTAAGGGGGTTGAGGCCGAGGGGGATGGGAGAGCGACATAGTGACTACTAGGTATGGCTTTTTCTTGGTGTCTTTGGGTAGATAGGTATGTTATAATAAGGCTGAGATCTCTGTCTCTTGATGTGTTCTTATATGGCTGGTCGAATTTCTTTGTTGAGGACGGGGTGTTTACAAGTTTTTAAATACTGTGGCCATAGTGATAGCAGCAAACATGTTTCATCTTTTTGTCATTTTAGTACGGCCTACAAGCGTAGGTGATGAATCCGAGATGTTCGTGAGGTGTAATATTCGATTAAGCGCCCAGTCGTTTATGGCGTGGGGTTTCACTTGGTAGTAGTATATGACATGCGACCGCTTTTCTCACCATTGACCGTGTCGCGCCAGTTGGTTGTGCCAAATGTGAATAGGTTTTTGCATTTTATAGTCGTAATTGTTATATGCATGCTAAAATGTTCAGATGAGTGAAACACGTAGTCACTTTTAAATAAGATGTGTGGTACTGAGCCTCGAGGAGCTTTCTATCACTATTTCGTCATTTGCGCTGTCAGCCCCGAGAGCTGGCCACTATCTGGCTATAAGGCAGGGAAGTTAACTGCCAAGGAGGGATCCCTGTAACTTGCTTCCAATGGAAGCCCTGGAGCTTATTCATGGCCACTATATTACAGTGGCTGAGAACTAGGCTATGAATACATGGATGCCATAGTCGACCGCTAATCTATGACGTTATAGCGCACTCTAGGTTCTAAAGCGACCACCAGGCGTAGGTGCTGTTTTTAGGTAACATTCTAGAGCGATTAGCGCCTATTTATTCAATTGCGCATGGTATCAAATCGCCAACATCCACGGAGTCAAAAAAAGGGGCTACGGCAGGTACAAAGAAATCGCGACCTTCTTCGATCCGGCAGTTCGGATACCTTCTCTTCATCATATCTAGAAGCCTCATATCGTCCCATCATCATTGGCTGATTTTCACTGCCAAGGTTGAAGGATATAGAGATACGAAGGAAGAAGGTATCCCTGGTCGCCAAGGCAACAGCTTGTGAGCCTTAACAGTGCTTAGAAGGGAAGGAGATAAGCATAACCAAGACGCTGACGCTTTCGCGTAGCTCTAATCGTTCCCCGCGGTAACATCATGCTATGGCACGCTGCAGCAATATGCGATGCGCAATTTGCGCGTCGATCACGAGCGAGCTCTGCCGAGCCTCCATCGGATCATTCTTAATAACAGCAGTATAAGTATATAAAAGGGCAGGCAATCCATTCTCAATTTCTACTCGGCCATGCTTCCATTCCTCTCTCTTTGAGCATCGAGCCGTTCCAATTGGGCACACGAGCGGAGACCGGAATCCTGAAATAGCTCAACCATGGAGCTCACAACCCTACTCCTCGTAGGATCTTCGCTCCTGCATTCCGCACTCGCCATTGAACCGGCGCGCGTCCCACACCAACCAACCGGCAACGGCGAAAAGATCCTGACGTGGAACGAGACAGTCGGCAGCAACCAATTCGGCGCGCGCTCCACATCCGTCAGCTGGCTGTCCGGCGGGGAAGACGGACAGTACATCTACGCAGGCGACGGCGGGGCGCTGATCCTCGAGAACTTCGTCACGGGCGCGAGCACGACGTTTGTCGCCGCGGACCTGATCCCGGACAACGTGTACGAGTACTGGATCCGGCCCGACCTGGCGAAGGTTCTGTTCGCGACAAATCGCACCAAGCAGTACCGCCACTCGTATTTCTCCGATTACTCGGTTCTGGACGTGGCGTCGGGGAATCTGACGCCGTTGGTCGACGACCAGGTCGGCGATATCCAGTACGCGGAGCTTGCGCCGAAGGGCGATGCGATTGCGTTCGTGCGCGGGAATAATTTGTTCTTGAAGAAGAATGGCACGGTTTCGCAGATCACGGATGATGGGTCGCCGGATCTGTTTAATGGTGTGCCCGATTGGGTGTACGAGGAAGAGATCTTTGGCGATCGTTCGGCGATTTGGTTCTCGCCTGACGGAGAGGTCCTTGCGTATCTTAGCTTCAACGAGACTGGGGTCGAGACCTTTACCGTGCAGTATTTCATGAATAATCAGGCTATTGCGCCTGTTTATCCTCGCTTATTGGATTTGAGATATCCTAAGGTCGGCACAAAGAATCCTACGGTGTCTTTGACTTTATTGAAGATCGGAAGCGAGGAGAAGCAGCCAGTGCCAATTGACGCTTTCCCCGCGGATGATCTGGTTGTTGGTGAGATTTCATGGGTCACATCTGGGCACAGCAGCGTCATTTACCGCGCCTTCAATCGCGTGCAAGATACTTCGAAACACGTGCGAGTTGACGTAGGCGATGAAATCACCACAGAGGTCGTCCGAGAACGAGATGGTACGGATGGATGGCTCGATAACGACATGGGTATCAAGTTCGTCGGACCTGTGAATGGTTCTACTGGGGATTTTTACGTCGATGTTTCGGACGAGTCAGGATGGCAGCACATTTACCTACTCGCTGTCAACGGGTCGAATGTCACTGCCCTCACGGGGGGAGAATGGGAGGTAACATCCGTTCTCAAGGTCGACACCGAACGTGAATTAATCTACTACACCTCTACCAAAGCCGATAGCACTGAGCGACACATCTACTCTGTGTCATATTCAACTTTAGAATCTAAAGCTCTTGTTGACGACACGATTCCCGCAGTTTGGAGTGCATCGTTCAGTTCAGCTGGTGGATACTACATTCTTAGCTATTCTGGACCCGACGTGCCGTACCAGGAATTGTACGCGGTTAACGACACCGCGACGCCTCTCAGAACCATTACATCAAACGAAGCCCTATTGAACAAGCTCCAGGATTACAACTTACCGAACATCACATATTTCACTCTCGAGCATCCCGACGGGTACAGTCTAAATGTGATGGAACGACTCCCTCCTAATTTCGACCCCGCCAAGAAATACCCCGTTCTCTTCACGCCTTACGGTGGACCGGGATCGCAGGAAGTGTCCAAGTCGTTCAAGTCAATAGGGTGGAACGCGTACATCTCATCTGACCCCGACCTAGAGTTCATCCAATACACGGTCGATAACCGAGGCACAGGTTATAAAGGCCGGAAATTCCGTGCACTCGTAGCATCTCACCTGGGCGAATTCGAGGCCGCAGACCAAATCTGGGCAGCGCAAGAATTAGGATCTCGTAACTCGTTTATAGATACGGAGAAAGTTGGAATCTTCGGATGGTCGTACGGCGGGTATCTCTCAGCGAAGGTCGTAGAGGTAGACTCGGGGGTGTTCACCTTGGGATTGATCGTGGCACCCGTGAGCGACTGGCGCTTCTACGACAGCATGTACACGGAGAGGTACATGAAGACATCGCAGATGAACCCGGGTGGGTATAATAACTCGGCCGTGCGTAAACCTGATGGTTTTAAAAACATTGCCGGTGGTTTCTCAATTCAACATGGCTTGGGCGATGATAACGTTCATTATCAAAACACCGCAGCTCTCCTGGATCTGCTTGTGGGGGCCAACGTATCTCCGGCTAAGATGCAATGGCGTGTCTTCACCGATAGCGACCATGGAATTTCGTACCATGGCGCTTCCACGTATTTATACAAGTTCCTAACAGACCTACTGTACCGTGAGAAAATAAGGACGAGCGGGGGTATTGTCCATCAATGGACGAGGAGGGCGAAGTCATGGTTAATGGGCGAACCCTAGGTCGACAATACCTAGCAGTTCTCTTCGCTTAGTATGAAGTTATGTCAAAATAATCAATTCATGGATATAATATATTACCTAATATCTTCAATCATATCCATTACTTTGGTTTCATCTCCCGGTTTTCGATCTCAAATTTCGAGGGTGAAATAGTGTCGAGGCTTTCTAATTGGCGCTGAAGTTGAAATTTACCTACTGGGTTTGTATTAGCTGATCTCCACTGTATGCTGCATAATCCTTGGTGCATAGCCGCTATCAAATAGCTGGTGAGCCCTGGAGTTCTTGACTTCAAGATTTCAAACAGAAAACAGAAAATGGCACATTATGAAAAGCCTAATGTGATCTTGAATCCCTATCTATCTACTTATTACTAAGTTCTTATCTATGAATCATAGTTCTAAGAAAGTGGCTATCGCGTAATGATATACTGTTCTGGCTTACAGTCGCTGAGTACTCCTATACCTGTAGCACTACACAACGCTCTAGGTACCTAATATCGTCAACCTTTTGTTTCAATCCCTTATTGAAATGCGCCTTTGAGAGCGGTATTATCTTTACTTATCCTCGCCCACTGAGCGCTCTTAATCCAGAGCTTTTCTTGCTTTGACTCGTCCCTACTCTCAGGAGAGCTTTCATCCTTCTCCAGCAATTCGAAATAGCCCCTTTCACCTGGATGCACGCGGTCAAGTGCAAGCTCAATGGCATCTGCACCAGAATCAGCTCCTAGGCGCATCTGCGGATTCTGGTACTTCAGCAATGGCAATAAGGGCTGCACCGCGTATCGCATCAGAAAGCTCAGCGACAAAGACGTGTTCTTCTGGAACATGCGCGAGTCTACAAGACCGCCCGGGTTATAAGCCACAGCGGTAATCTTGTTGAGGTTTTCGTCCTTTTGAAGTCCGTTAGATTTTAGATCGTGTAAGTTTTAGAGGGTTCTTACCTTTTCGAGATATCGATTTAGCGCATGTGTCCAGGCGGTAGTAGCTAGTTTGGAGCAGCCATATCTGTGAAACCCAGCGCCCATTTTATCTTCGCGGGCGGTCGGTTTGGCGAGTAAATCCAGATCATCCGGAATCGTAGGTGGTATCTTCTCTAGCAGCGCCCTACCAGGCTCGTGCGCCTCGCTAGAAAACATCACAATTCGACCACCATCCGGAGAAAAGCTGTCGAGTAACCGAAGTACTAGGGCCACATGAGATATGTGGTTTATCTGGAAGGTTTTATCATATCCATCATCCGTCAACTCTGGATCGGCCACGAGGTTCCAGTAGCATGCATTGCATACAATAGTTTTCAGGGGCGGCGTCTTTTCAGAGGCAATTTCCTCCGAAAGTGCACTTGCGAAGTCGTGGACGGTTGAAATACTCGAAAGATCAAGTTGCTGGATTGATGCCTTGGCTTCTGGGTACCGAGATATTATTTCGCGTAATCTTTGCGTGTTGGGGTCGGCTTCCGACGCATCTCGAACAGTGAGGATTGCTGTGTGTTCTGGGTAATTCTCGAGAAGATAATCTACGGCGGGGAGGGCGAGGGTTCCATTGGCCCCGGTGATCAGGACGCTACCTGCCATGGCCTTTAGGTGGTATGTCGCTGTAGGTCGCTATAAGAACTCAGGTTTAGGCCTAATTGGTGAAGTGGGGGAATGGTTTGGACAGGGCTTAAAATGTGTGAACATGTGAAAGACAGGAAAAGCGTCTCTGCTTCCAACGATTCTAGATAAGCAAATATCGTCCTCTCTTCGAAGAATTCAATTTATTGAATCCAGACTTGACATCTGATAGCCTTTACAGGATCGAATCCTTCCAAACTAGACTGCTAGACTACTAAGCGATGAGGGTCCCTTGAAGACTTATCCAAAATAAGAATAAGAACATAGATGCCCGATTAGGTTGGTGATTAGCATCTTTTGAGGGGTCCCCTTGCTTATTTTGTGGGTGCGAGGTCCACTAACTCGGTTCGGTAACCCCCCTGTGAAGATCATCGTGAGATGCGCCGATGCTGCGGCCTTTGCGATCAGACATGCACCATTCTATCGGAATTTACATACACATGTCGGTACTTTCATGTGTGTTGTTAACTAACACAATTTATTCAATTCTAATTTATTGGACTCTAAAAACAACCTTATACAGCGTATCCCACGCTCCTCCACTCCTGGGAGTCATGCCGGCCATCCTCCAGTTCTATGTAGGAGTCATGGCGTAGATGCGCTTCACTTGGGGATTGTGCAGAGCTTCTAATTCGAGTTGCGGGATATGCCATAGATCCTTCTTTTATATGAGAATTCGAAAATGAACTCTTCGTCCCCTGGGATTCTAGTGGTTCTTTCCCACGCATACGAGCCCAGAATCGTGGGAACAGCGGCATGCAGCCTACAAATATGGTTCCGAAGTACTCGGCGAACCTGTATGAATATTAGCACCTGCAGAACATTTCATATACTAGGTAGACTACCACTCACGTAAATAGCCCTACTTTGGCGATAGCCATAGTCAGATTATCGTCTGTGACGAGAGGAACGCGAAAAACAACCCCAAGGACAGCAATTGCACAGGTACTAAGACAAGACGAGTTAGCTGACGAACGCCGAACAACGTGAGTCAGTTAGAGGAGTATCGCCTTACAAGAACCCGACGCCAAATACGGATATAACTCCCAGCTTACGCTTCATGGGCATTTGAATGAGCCATATTGCCCACAGAGGAGTTAAGAAGATACCAATATCCAGGAGCATGTTGATGACGCCAGAAACCAACGTGGCGACCTTAAAGTTGATGCAGGTCGCATCTGGCTCTAGCACCGGGTTCCATATCGCAGCACGAGGCCAGCACTGGAACGTGAAGGTGAAGAAGCAGGCGATGTAGTATCCCACCGTTGCCGCGATGAGGCCGTTGATTATCCACCATACCGAGTTCCTCAAACTTCCGGGACAGAATATTCTTCTTAGCTGAACAAGCACGAAATACTTGGCTGCCAGCATCGAAGGTCCGTAGATAATTTCGATGACGTTCATCATCTATCAACGGTGAGCATACGGACCCTTCTTTGATATGATCAAGACTACTTCGTTAACGTACGTATAGGAAGTAGGACACATCGATAGCTCGAATATCCCATTGATTTCGAGATAACCCAAGGCCCGACAAGTATATAAATATTATATCCCAGATGAGAAAACCAATCTAACTAAATGTTAGCCTTGGAGTTCAACTGCAATGTCTAGGTGCTTTCCATACCAAGGCGAAGATGGCGAAGTCTAAGGTTACACATGGTTAGTCATCGTCTCAATATTCGAATAGGGGGAAACACTTACAATCCTCATGCTTCATAGACTTCAGAATGACCGCCTTTGTGTATATCCGAATACCCACAGCTGCAGTCATCAGCACAATGCTGATGAGGCCGATGGCGAGAATCCATGGGTAAAACGTAAACGGGTCGATAAAATTCGGCACCACACCCGCAGGTGGTTCCAAAGCCGGCAGTTGCGATATATCCTGCGCTGTATCCATAATCCGTGATGCAAGTCTTCGTCAGCGAAGAAGACTGCGTCTCCGGGAGACTGGTAAGGAGGGTGGGATGCCCTTTATTGCCGACCATCTTACTCACATATCGTGCCGCAAGTGGGTTTGCAACCGGCGATCTAAACGTGGGATTCATATTTGTGTCTATTAATTCTCGGAGCGCTTAATCTAATTCGTTACACCGTCTCGTAGACAAGAGGGAGGGTTACATAGGCGCGATAGTCGCCGCAATCCTCCGGCGTAGTCGATGGAGTTAGTTAATCGTAGCGTGCTTCGGTAAGAGGACGCCTACGGCATACGATACCGAACAGATAATGGTCGATGGTAGGCCACCCTGTTGATGTTGCATGATACATCGTGGTGTAACCTAGCTAGACCGACCTCTTCGAGCTAAGTCGATCTAGTAGTTCACCTAAATCTACTACGTTGGATAGGCTTGGTGATGAACTAGGCGCTTGGCAAGGCAGAGGCGTGTATCTTGGTGGCTACTCAATTGGCGCATGACATAGATCCACTCATGGGGATTCTCTTCGAAAATAGGCAACTAGCTATATAGTAGTTGGAATAGGGGGGGAAGGATTCATGCCCTAAGCAAGCTTAAATCCTTCGCGGTTCCGGGGTGATATATAAACTCACCTCCAGATGGCATCACGTAGCACGTCAACAGCTGACTTTAGCCTCACAGTAGTAGAAGCTAGGAACATTAATGCGCTTCGTCTTAGGTAAGAAGAGGTTAGATCTACTCATTTCTATAATAAATATAGATCTATGGCGTGTCGCAATGTTGATCTATTCCCCGAAAGACTTATCCTTCGTCTGCTCACCCCCAGATAAGAAGCCCGAAATCTATAAAATGAAGCTTCTCACGATTTAGAATAAACGGCACATATGAGTTAGCGTGATGATGCGGCATGTGGGTAATAGACTATCGCAAGCCCATATCCACTCTTTCGGTTCAATGCCGAGGATGTAGGTAGAGATATCCACAGATCAGATGATAGAATCAATGCACTTAACTAACCATATCAAATTGATCTTAGGTTCTAGTTATATGATTGCAATTCGTAGAAATCGAGGTTAAATAGGTTGACTTAAGATATTTACTTGAGTTATAATCGCTTAGACACTTGATATCAGATGGAATAGGGGTCTACTGCCTCGTACCTGGCATATGGCAGACTAAACCACGTCCCACTAACGCAAAAACGGCAGCTCACAAGATACCAAGATGCTTAAACCACGAGGTAAAAAGAAGTGGATCAATAATATGAGATATATATTACCAGGTCTGCAATAAACGAAGTTGAATCTCAAGATCTAGATGAAACCATCGTTCAGTGTAACGGTAAAAAGACCCTTCTCCGCATTCACATCGCGATTTCAAGTTTATTCCCCTTGGCCTCCTCGGTAAATTTGCCTGTAACCCCTCGTTTCTCTAACGATGCCCTACCTTCTTCGGTATCGTGCCCCGAGCCTTCAACAACTCGGCCGCCGATTATCTGATTCTTCTCCTTCCTCTCCTGTCTCCGGGTGAACCACATTACCACTGGCAGCCAAGCAGACAATGCCAGAGATGCTGCAAGGCCAGCACGGTAGCCGCGATAGAAGCGAGGCGCTTCAACTGTCGGAACGAATACCTGAAATTGCGGTTAGTATCGCTTAAAAGTATTAGCCACCAGAAAAGGATAGGACTTACTTGATTCCACCAAGTACCGTGGGCCAACCCAATCGAGTTCAGTGCACCGATCACGATAGCCCTCTCCTCTGCGTCTCCAGAACAGACCCTATGTGTCCAGCTGACGATAATAGGGAACAGAGACTGAATGGTTCCAGCAATATAAAACGCGAAGAAAATAGCCGGCTTTCCCAAGTTCCAGGCAACCAACAGAGATTCCGAGACTATCTGCGTCATGCAGATCAATGCCACAGACTCTACTTGGGAGCCCCTCCAGTCATTGTAGGTACCCGATACCAACATGAAGATAATCGATACAGCTGAGTAGACAGTAGGTAAGTTGTTGGCATCTGGCACCGAGTACTTGTCTGCCTTAAGCCACAGCGCCATGGTGGATGTGGTTGGAGCTTGGTAAACGAAGTACATGAGCGAAAACCAAGTCACCAGAATCCAGAAATGCCATCTCCCAAGCACGCGCTTGAAGAGTGTTCGGTCAAACCGACCCAGGGGCTTGCGGTTGTCTGCTTCGAGCCGCTTCATACACATCTGTCGCTCCTTTTCGGTCATCCACCATGTGCTCTTCTCATATAAAGGATTGGGGATTATTATCAACCCGATGATTACCATGGGGCAAGTGATCAAGAAGTCTGATATGTGGTGAGGTTATAGCGTTAGTTGGCTGATCGTATATAGGTGGGGTAAAGGGGTAGTGTGTACCGATGATGAAGAGCCATCTCCACCCTCTGATACCTAGGTGACCGTCAATCGTTTGGTATATGCCAGCTTGGATATAGCCTGAAAACATAGTGGCAGCGATCCCGGATGCTGTAAATATGCCACTCCTTTTGTTGATTTCATGGTTTCGGTACCATGTTCCAATCTGTATAAAGTTAACGATTGCGACTTCGATTTACTACCACAGTTGCCCTGAGTTCTACTAGGGGTATCCAGATGCGTCTCTATAACGAAAAAAAGAGAAGAATATTACGGCTAGTTAAATGAGTTTCATACTGCGAACATGTTAGTGGGTATAAACACTAGTAGGTTGGAGGATATTCCGTACCCATAAAATGCAGACCGGGCCAACTAGCTGCCTCGATAAACCCGACGCAGAATCTAAGGGCATATATCTGTTGCGCATTTTGACACTTGTAAATAAACAAGACGAAAAACGCCCATAAGAATTCCGCGGCGGGAAGATACCATCGTGGCGAAATCTTGGTTAACAAGATCTGCGATGGTATTTGACCAACGATATATCCGATCTGGAACCAAGTGACCATCCAATTGAGTTCGTTACCATAAAGACCCAAGTCTTCCTTCATGCCAGAGATGTAAGCATTGTTGATGTTATTTCGATCGAGATCCTTCGCAAAGAATGTCAAGCAGCAGAAAGTGAGAATTGCGAGATCTAATTTCTGCACCAGTTTCTTTTCTTCTTTCGAGGTACCCGGCCGGGTCCAGAAGTAAAACTTGTCGCTAGTCTTCAGAGAGGCCATCGCATCTTCGCCGGTCGTCTCAGCTGTGACCGGCGCTTCTACGACCTCCGAGGACTCGTTTTGTCGGCTTTGGCCTAACATCTTGCGAAGAAGTGTCGACGCCATTACGTACGAATAAACGGAATCAGACGATGTAGTCTGACGAAGCCGATTGAGAATCCCGAATGGGAAAGAAATGCGATGATGAAATATCAAGTCTCGAACGCGTTATCACATTTCTTCCCCTTGCAATCATCACAATCATCACCATGAACTCCACTATCCCATTATCAAGTTGATGTTCTGTTTTGATAAGATATCTGGTATTATCAACCAACGTACATAATTGACTGCTATCACGTTCAGGGGCTATGAACTAACAATTACTAGGCGTAAGCGTGAGTGAGGGGTACCAAGAGCTGACTTCAGGGGAATAAGGCGGAGATTAGCGTGCTGTTGGTTTATCGTTGCATTCTCCAGTGGCTGTTATCGGCTTTTCCCAGCGCGTTAGGGAATCGTACAGGGGTACTGGAGTGGTCCGTCGGCTTGTTTCCGAAAGACGTCAAGTTTCCTTAACATATCATATTAATATGGAATAATACATTGCGGATTAATAAGGTGAAGTGGGATATGACTTACATAGAATAAACCATGTGAATAATAATCATTTACGATTGCTAAGCCATGGCATCGATAAAGCTAACAAAAGATAGCCCTATCATTATTGTAGGGGCAGGAGTGTTCGGTCTGTCGAGGTACCTGCCTACCATCTTATAGTGCATCTCAGCCCAAATTATTTAGGTACTCGACAACTAACAAAACTGTCTGTAGCGCACTCCACCTCTCACAAGCAGGTTACAAGAACATCACTGTTTTCGACAAACAGCCGTACGCAGAAAATGCGTATTCCACCACCGACGGCGCCGACGCAGCATCCGCAGATTTTAACAAAGTCATGCGGATGAGCTACGGCGACGAGATCGAGTATCAAAGGCTTGCATTCGAAGGCATCGACATATGGAATGCGTGGAACGACGAGATCAGATCTTCGGAACCTGGGGACCTGCCGTACGGCCTCAAGCCTACGGATCTTATCTGGAATAACTGTGGATTCCTCCGCATGAGCATCGATGGGAAGTTATCCGCAGTCGAACATGCTACCCTTGCAGGGATGACCCGCGAGGGTCTGCGTCAAACGCAATTTGTGCTGGGTGATGTCGAGGACGAGAAGAGCGCGAGATCGCATTTCAGAGAGGGAGAATGGGAAAAGAAGTCGGATCCGTTTGGACGCAAGAAACAGGGGAAGGACCTTGTCGGTGTTTTCGACTCTACGGCCGGGTTTGTTGAAGCTAGTAAAGCGTGTATATGGGCGATGCATCTGTGTCGCAGGAATGGTGTTCGGTTTGTGTTGGGTGAGAAGGAGGGCCAAGTCTTTACGTTCATTAAAAACGAAAGTGGTAGAACAGTCGGTCTTCGTACCGTGTCAGGCGTCGAATATCACTCCGAGCTTTTGATATTAGCAGGTACGTTAATAACTGCTAGGTACCTATTTTTAGGGAATGGCGCACTGATGCGAATAATTATCACAGCTGGTGGCTGGACGCCATCGCTACTTCCGTCTATATCATCACTTCTAGAGACAACTGCGGGTAGTGTCGTGTACTTCCAGTTACCACCCAAAGATCAAGCCCCAGAGCTGTGGGACAAGTTCTCGTCGGAGAATTTCCCCGTCTTCGCATACGGGGGCTGGTCGAAGGGTCACGGTATCGGAGGTTTCCCTCGGACTGAAGACGGAATAGTAAAGATAGGATATCGCGGTACTAAGTATACCAATTACGAAGATGTCCAAGACCCTGTTACAGGCTTAAAGCATCGCATAAGTGTTCCTAGAACGAGATACTGGCCTCAACCCCACGACCCCGCGATTACTAAGCAAGCCGTCGATGCCGTTAAGGAAGTGGTAAAGGAGGCGATGCCCGAGCTTACAGCGATTGGAATTACGGGATGCAGAAACTGTTGGTATACCGATAGTCTTGACAATTCGTTTCTCGTTGATTTTGTACCTGAAGATGAAGGTATGCTTATATGCTCGGGAGGCTCTGGTCATGGTTTCAAGTTTCTCCCAATATTGGGGAGGGAGGTAGTCAAGATTATTGAGAATCCAGGGGAGAAGAATGCTCTTGGAAAGCTCTGGCAGTGGCGAACTAAGGAAGTTGGACCTAGGAATGGCCTGGAACAAGGCGAGACAGGGCCTAGGAATTGGAAAAAGCAAGTGATGGCGACCAAAGATGACTGGAAATTTAAGGAGTAATATGGTCTTTGAGGCAAATTGTAAACATAAAAATTTATTCCAATGCTTGGCAGGAATTTCGATCGCTAAATCTTCTACGGATTTTAGTGCCCAGAAGTCGATGGATGTTGATTGTTTAGGGGTTTAGGATTGACCCCGTGGTGCCCGCTTCTAGGTACTGTTCACCTTGTCTGCGAATAGTTTTCAATTGAAAGAAATCATTCATGGCAGTTCTATATCTAGTTGACTGTATAGAAATTTATAGATCTAGGTGTCTAGATGAATAGATTATTATTCCTTAGCATCATCCATTGATATTTCCGCCGACTTTTCCAGTCGTCAATTCTGGGGTGCCCCACCCACCACCACCTGGAGTCCTGATAATGAATCTCTCACCACTTTGTAGTTTTACAATACCACGAGGTCCAAGACTGACCAACCTCTCTTTCCCTCCAGACTTCCTAAGGATCAGATTCTCGCCGGGCGCACCATCTTCTCCGCCATGGAGTCCGTACGGCCTGCTAACCCTCCTTTCAGATATCATTGAAAATGTCAGCGGTTCCCGACACTCGATAACTCGAGTAACGCCATCACCTCCACTGTATTTACCCCGACCACCCGAACCCGGGCGAATTGAGAATTCCCGTACTATTATCGGATATCGCTTTTCCATAATCTCGACATCTGAGATTCGAGTATTCGTCATATGGCAGTGAACAGCACTACGCAGATACTCGTTAGTGACCTTCATATTCTTTATGTGTGCCAAGTTCGAACTCACCTTGCTCCATTCCACCCGGGGCCCGCCCCAGATCCGCCGCATATCGTTTCGCCGTAGGCAAATTTATAGCCATCACTTGACTTTCTCTCTCGTCCCCCAAAAAATCCAACACTGTTCATGCACCCTTGACTAGCGGCACAGGCCTATTCAACGCGTGTTAATAAATATACTTTTAGTAAAACAGGAGGGCGGCACATACATCAAATGCTCTCAGAATAACGTCGACGACGCGTTGGCTGGTCTGCGTGTTCCCGGCATAGACAGCCGCTTGGTCGCTAGGGTTCAGTATACTGCCTTCGGGATTAATAACCTGAATAGATGACAGACACCCCTGGTTCAATGGGATATCATCGTTGATGAGGCAGCGCAATGCATAGATGATGGCCGACAAGCAAATGCTCTTTGGCGCATTGTTGTTACCGACGACTTCCGGCCCGGTTCCAGTGAAGTCGAAAACAGCGCTACCGTCAGGCTTGATACGTATTTCAAGCTGGATCCGAGTTCCGTTATCGAGACTGTCCACGGCCTGTAATATATTCCCGTTGAGTCCTTCCGACGTCTTCTGGAGGAATTTCCGCACGGCTACTTCTGCATTTGCCTGAATACGGTCCATGTAGAACTAGCGCGACGATCAGAATTAGCAGGCATCTTTCGGTCAATTTGGGGGATTCTTGTATTACTTACCTGGACAACCTCACGCCCGTATTCTTGGAAGAGCTTTTCTATTAGTTTCGATCCCTTCGCATTTGCCGCAACCTGGGCCCGTAAATCTGAGAGATTGTCGTAGAGGCTGGATGTGCCAACACAATCAGGAAATTGCCCAGGCTCGTCAACAAGTATCTTAGTGATACCCTCTTCGTCAAACGTCCCATTCGAAACAAGTTTAAACGAGATAATTCTTGCGCCCTCTTGATATAGCTCAGTAGCATTGGCGTTACCCGAAATACCCTCAAAACCACCAATGTCCCTGTGATGACCCCTAGAGGCCGTATAAAATATTATCTGCTTGCCACTCGGGTCAAAAACAGGTGTTATGACTGTAATGTCGGGAAGATGTGTTCCGCCAGCGATTGGGTGGTTAGAAGCCAGCACATCGCCGGGTCGAAGTGTAGCCCCATGTCTTTCATGTTGATATTTCACCGCATAAGCCATACTTCCTAGGTGAACAGGAACGTCTAAAAAATGGTTAATTCAACCATAGGTAAGTTTGATATTATGTCGAAATCACTCACGCGGTGCATTGGCAACTAGATCGCCACTGGGTCCAAATATGGCACAGGAGAAGTCAAGCCTGAAATGGATTAGAGAGAGTAAATTAAATGAGTTAGGGAATAGGATGGGTACCTTTCCTTGATATTAATACTGACAGCAGTCTTTTGTAATGTTCTTCCCATCTGCTCAGCGATAGACATAAATCCTGTTATATTTATTAGCTAATGCAGAGTTCGTACCAGGTAGGTAGAAATGAAGAAGTGGGTTCGTACGGTGACCGAAGATAGATAACTGGGCTGGATCTGGATCCGTCAAGGCCAGTGATTGCGGTGCGATTGGTTGCTTTTGCGATCCTACACTTAATATAATATGTTCAGACAAGACCTTTGCGGTTGAAAACGGTGTTACGACAATTGTCTGCGTATCATCGATTATGATGCCCGGTCCCTCAATTTGATCTCCTGGCTGAAGGTTTTGGAGTAGATAAATAGGGGTATCAACCCACCCCACATTAGCGAAGTATGTTTTTGATAATTTTTCGCAAGACGGATTTGGTCGAGTTTCTGTTTCGGCCAACTCTCTGTAGACGTTATGCGATTGTCGTTCGAACTCCTTTGCAACTCCCCGGACACGAATATCGTCAACGACGATGTCACGAGAAGGCAATAGGAAGGAGAATTCTTGTTGATGAAGTTCCTCGAATGATCGTCTAAAGTCACCATCATGTGGTAGCGATACCATCATTTGGGTATCAGTACCTTCGTAACGTAGATTTAAGAATTGCTGAGTTTCGATATGTTTCGTAGAGGAAACCCCTTGTAGTAGAAGGCCCTGCACAGCGCGTTCTTTTAGCGACTCAAATCTTTTGTGGATCTCAGGGGTTGTTAGCGGCCCTAGCACCAAGGAAGACGGCTCCTGAACTTCTTCCACTAGGTTCGCGAGTGCCATTCCATACGCCGACAGAATACTAGAATATTTATGGATAAGAACGGTGTGTATTCCTAGGTTTCTGGCAATTGATGCAGCATGTTGTCCCCCGGCGCCACCAAACACGGCAAGTCGATGAGCTGAAGTGTGGTATCCTTTCCCTTCAGTTAGCGCACGAATGGGCCGACACATGGCTTCATTAGCGACCGCAAGAAATCCTAGAGCGACCTCTTCTGGACTTTTACGAATCGCGGAGCCCTCATTAATCGAGTTGCTAAGGTTTATGAATTTATTCTTCGTGACTTCGTAATCGAGCGGTAAATTCTCCTCGGGTCCAAAAATAGCAGGGAAATATTCCGGAAGAAGCCGACCGAGGAATAGGTTCGCATCCGTCACTGTTAAAGGACCGCCTTTGCGGTAGCAGGCTGGACCAGGGTGAGCCGATGCACTCTCAGGTCCTACAGTGAATAGGCCATTTTTCCAACCGAGTATGCTACCTCCGCCAGAAGCGACCGTGTTGATATCAAGCTGAGGAGATTGGATCGTAACACCAGCAGTGGTAGTCTCAAAGACGTGGCCGTAGTCTCCAGCGTAACGGCTAACATCTGTTGACGTACCCCCCATATCAAAGCCTATCACTGGTGTATTATCTTCGGGATGCCACGAAGTTTTCGCATACCCAACTACACCTCCAGCAGGTCCAGATAAGATAGCGCGCAAACCTGAGAACCTTTCCACATCGACAAGTCCACCGTCACTCTGCATGAATTGACATCTAGTCGACTCAAGTCCATCCTCGAAGCCGCGTCTGAAATTTGAAATGTATCTCTTGATCTCAGGGGTTAAATATGCATCAGCTGTAGCGCTCATGCCACGCGATATTAGTTTTATCATCGGAATTAAGTTTGATGATGCCGATATGCTGGTGAATCCTACTTCCTTTGCAAGATCGCGGATGGCGTTTTCATGATCAGGGAAACTGTAGCTGTGTGCTAAACAGATGCATATGCTTCGGTATCCCTTTTCAAATAGTTTTTCAAGCGAGTTTCTCGTGCTCTCGACATTGAGTGGTTTAATGATTCTGATGATATCACCACTTTGTCCGATTTTCAATGTGGGATTAGAGTCAACTTCAATACTGTGTTGAAAGGGGTCTTTGGTTGAATCTTCCATTGTCACCCTCTCCTCGACCTCGACAACTTCGGAATAAAGCACATCGGGCTTATTTATTGCGAGGTCAAAAAGCTTAGGTCTTGCCTGATATCCGATTTCCAATGCATCACGGAAGCCTTCGGTTATCAATAACGCCGAACGCTCTCCTTTTCTCTCGAGTAGCGCATTTGTAGCTACCGTCCTATTAAAAGATTTAGATCATACCAATTTCACAGCTTAGGGATACTCACGTTCCCATTCGTATTACACCGATATGGTCTGAGCTGAGTTTGGCATCTCTTGGATGCGGCCGACCTGTGAACTTTTCGAGGATTCGGCGGATACCTTCCGTTGGGGCATCTTCGTAATTTCCCGGGTCGACTGAAAGTAACTTGATCACGATGTCATCCTTTCCACCTCTCTGAGAGATACCAACACAATCCGTAAAAGTTCCGCCACGCTGATTTGTCATGTCAGTAAGGGGTATTCAATGCTATTATTTGGGTATGTATAAAGACACTCACATCAATGAAGATATCAATCTTAGGCTCTGTTGTCGCGTGTGGCATGACGGAGGTAACACTTAATCAGACCAAGCTTCTAGGCATGAAATAACAAGAAAAGTTACATTAATGGCTTTTCTATCTCATCTAGCAACATATCTTAATATGTGTTGTAGATGACGATTTAGGCAATATCTAGTAGGGGATATTCGTCGGTCCAATCCGCGCGAAGTAGTGGAGCCCCTGTTTCTGTAGGCGGGTATAGGCGGTTTGGCCTAAAATTGTACCTATAGATCCACCGGTTTTAGCCGACAGAGACTCCTGAGTTATTCACCAGTCAGTTGTGTCGCGTTGAAGTAGCTTCGAGTTAAGAAGATGAGCAATAGATTGCGCGAAAGCGCGGTACAGCGTGCGATCAGGATATGGCTATCTTGTAGATCGAATGGGTGCTGAATAAGAATGAGTTACATCAAAGATAAGCTCACCTCCCTAACTGCACCCATGCGAATCCACTGGGACATAGGAAAGCGCGTTGGATAAAAATGATAGCTAATAGGTCGTCCTTTCGACATCGTCCTCAACTTTCGAATATGCGGTGGCTTGTTGCTTGAAGATTACCCTCGTGAGGGTTGCTCATACCGAGGTACCTAGGCATTTACGATTTCTACCGCTTTAGTTGACGCTAAGTTCTCAAATCGCCAAAACAACCCTCGGGGTCGTCGCCCTGTCAGTTTCGCAGTGCGAACCAGAGATGACGCGCATCTTCGCCGACATGAATAGCGTGCTTTACATTCTAGCGCATTGAGGAAAAGGGCCTGCACGCATATGTTAGACCGTACTTTGTAACAGATCTAGCACAGGAACTATCGGACAAAGAACGTACCTCAAATTACTCCCTTGACTCTATCGCGGTTTCTTCTATCTTGTCCGCGGTTATGGTGTGAGACAAGCAGGTTGCAGCAAGCGCTACGTCTTCATCAGTCACCAAATCGACGGATCAGACAATATGGCTGGTACAATGCACCCTGTCTCCCAGTCGAACAAGGACGTCACATGTGGTTGCCCAGGTGGTTATTCGCATCTATTGTAATCGAGATGTTGTAAACGCCAAAGTCGCCATGATCAAGGACGCAGAGGTACAAAAGATTCTCATCGCCTGCAGGCATTATGTGTGGAATGAGATGAATGAGTGGCTATTTTGCCGCTGCGGTAACTAGGCCGACTATGTTCCGTCGGACAACTTAAGGTGAATTCCCTTTTGACATCGACCCTCGTGTAAGCACGGGGCGTGTGATGAGGTAAACGGCGGTCTTGGCTATCCGTAACTATCATAGTTATTGCAACCGGTATGAACGCCCAGAACGTCAACCACCTCAGCAGCAAGATGCTTCTCGATTTCCTAGACGAGAAGTTTTATATCCCACCTATCATGGAACGCACTGCGGACTAGGATGATTATGGGTTGACCATTGATGTTACTGACATCAGTCATCTTGGGCTAAGGATCACGGAATAGTATGGCGAAGCGAGAGATGCGGTAAAAGTAGTTTGGCGTTAAAAATACGATACTGATTTAGATCTTTGAAAATCCCGACGCGACGAACAACAGCGGTGGTCCGTGTTCTGCCACAACTCATTCCACAGCAGCAAATAGACACGACACCTACTAGGTAAATATGCAAGCTCCGCAAGCTAGATCAAGCCTTTAAGTTATAACTCAATTCCAAATAATCAAAGATGAAAATTAGGTGAAGATGAAGTTGAGAGCCAAGACATTATCGTGGCTTCCGTGAAGTTGGCGGAAACTTGATAGCGCAAGCCCACACTAGCATAGCCAGCAGTGAGAGCCCCGAAGGACCGTCTGGGTTATCGAGTGGCCGTGATTTATTATCATATCTTTTTCCAGAATAACCTGCTCCCGGATTTTCTCTATTATCTCGCAATTTCCTTGATAATAGCGGTAGACTTTTGACCAAGGGTTGCGATTGAAGATTATTTCCCTCCGACGTGCTTTGATATTTTAACAGGGAATATACTACCTCGATAGAGCACCAGTTTCCATATCCGTCGGTGTTAGCCGACCGTAGAGTAGCTAACCATAACTAAAGGCCTATGATTGAGCTAGCGAGCGGGGCTTTACTATTGGCGGGAATAAGGATGATTAAATCGTAAGGAAATGAAAAGAGGCATTAGGTAAAAGAGGGGAAGGAAGATAAGACGCGAAGTATTTATCAATAATGGTAACCTGGGAAGTGATCGAAATCAAGCAACTAACACCAGTGAAGCTCTCGGGTCGGCTACGATGTGGGTACCTGCCTCCTGGGGGGCTGATTGGGGGAGGTGCTGGGTTGCGTGCGGCGAACATCGGCATACACTACCGATACTCGACCCCGACGTGGGAATTTCACTTCGTCTGTTGTTCGATCATCATCACACACCAGAAAACCAATCTCAGACCCGAGTTTAGTGGTTCGTGGTTCGTTTGATGATCCAATCATGGGTGACCCAATGCATTCTCGTAGTCCAAATAGAGCATTGTCAACTAGGCTCAGCAGAAGCACAAACGCGTGCGTGAGGTGCCGTAGGAGGAAACAACGAGTAAGCATTCGCCGAATAGAATCCTCTCTCGTAGACACTCAATCTAACTTCATATGCCTTTCCGCTCTCTCAGTGTGATCTACGCTATCCGAAATGTTCAAGCTGCGAGACTGCACAAGTGCCTTGCTTGGCTTATGATAGCGAGAAACAGGCTGAGATCCCACGTAATTACGTGTCGATCCTCGAGTCGGAAGTCAGGCAACTCAAGTCCGAGCTTGAGAATTTGAGGAGACAGAGTGTATCGACGACCATCATCTCTACCAGTCCAATTCCGGCTGTTCAAGATGAGCACCAAAGCGTCAGTTCACCTATTGCCGCACCAACTGTGCAGTCAACTACATCAGATCCACAAGAAGTTGTCAAGTCAATGGGTCTGGTTATGCTCGACAGCGGTAGCCAGCCGAAATTCATGGGGACGAGCAGCGGCGTCACCTTTGCGAAGATGGTTCTCGCGTGTGTGAAAACTGATATCACGATCCCATTGTCTCCAACCACTTCGAGGGGATCGTATCGGATGACTGCACCGCCCCCTATCATCACATCATCACTGCCTCCTCGCCACGCAGCTCAGCACATCTCAGATGTGTACTTTCGATACCGGACGCCACATGTACCGATACTGATACGATCGAAAGTGAATGATGTGCTAGGACGTGTGTACGGAGTATTCGAATCTCATCGACCCGACTTCTCAGGAGTTGCGGAAGGAGACCTATTCATCGCCTATATGGTCTTTGCTGTTGGTCTATGCAGCTTGCCAGTTGCAGGGGGGTCGAGGCCTCCCCAAAGCGAGGGCTGTTTCAACTCGGCTCTTCGATGTGTTGACAAACTTCTCTCATACTCGTCCAATGACCTTGATACCCTCACGGTGGTATTGCTGTTAGCTCAGTATATCGCCTTAAATCCCAGCAAAGGAAGTTTATGGCAACTTACCGGTATAGCTATACGTCTATGCATTGACCTTGGCTTGCATTGGGAAACGGAGGCCATGCTTGCTCTGCCTCAAGCAGCCCTCAACGAGAGACGTAGACTTTTTTGGGCTGCTTATCGATTCGATCGCCTTCTCGCGGTTACCCTTGGAAGACCTTTCGGCATTGTTGATCAGAGTATCAGCGTCGGCTTCCCAGAGCCTTCTTCCGCGGAGAATTCGAGCCCAACCGAAGTGCATAGTCAACGAATGGCCAATCATATTATTGACATATACAAGCTTGAGTCCGAAATCAAACATGTCCTGTACCATCAGCTTCAGGGGCCAACATTAGCATACCCCCGCGCTGACTATGCATTGTGGTTTCGTGATATTCAGCCGCGACTCCGCGCTTGGAAGGACGAAATACCTGACATATCTAAGGCGGATCCCGAAAGCATTTATTCCCACCAAGTCTGGTGGGATGCTATGTGGCTCAACGCTGTCTTACTGCTCCATCGACCAAACCCTCTAGTCCCGCATCCCACAGCAGAATCACTACAAACGTGTTTCGACGCGGCTTGCCAGTTAATCAAAGCGATCAAAACTTTGCAAAGAGATGGGAGAATCTGCGTCATTTGGCAAACCGTACACGGCCTTTTTCTCGCGGGTTTGATCATGATATATTGCATTTGGGAATCCGCGGATGTACGTGACAAAGGGCGCATTCTCGACATCGTGACCACGGCGCAAGATTGTGCGAGTACGCTCACGGCCTTAGCGGAGCGTTTCCCTGACGCCTGTGGCTGTAGGGACGCGTTTGAATCCCTCTCAGCAGCAACTTTAAAATGGCTGGTGGCGAGAGATCAGGGAAACACTGCTTCCCAGCCAACACCAAGCGAGATAAACGCGTTAAAACAGAATATGCCCTTCTCCACAGCGGCCTGGAGAGCCGAAGAACCTACTAGCATCTTTCCAGATGAGCCTTTCGAGTTCGCAGAATATCTTATCGCGGCATCGCAATGGCCAGGTTCTAATAACGATGTCGGAAACTCATTTAACTTGCAGGATGTTTTTGATTCTCCGAGCGCAGATTTTGGATGAAGTTTTAAGGTTCCGATTAAACGCCACGGTAGCATATTTACTATTTAGGGGTTTCATTAAGAAAACTTTATGGCAGAACGTCAATGCCACACAAGGGTAATGCCACAAACTACAGGGCTTCCATAGCGGGCATTGTCGAAAGCTCAGCGGTAACCCTACTAGCTAGAGGTACTGGGCAAGCCCTGAAGACCAAATAGGTGGGGTGATGGGTCACACTCCCCGGGGTCCTGGAGATCATTAATTAACCCCGCCATCCGTACCCCGCACAATCTTGCGTCTACGCGAAAGAGCCTCTGGACAATAACCTTGGAACGCTTAGTGCTTATATTTAGGAGGTAAAGTGCCTAATTGAAGTACGCGACCCTTCTGCGGCGCCCACAACATTAGCGCCTTCCGCTCGCCCACAGGTGAAAAAATTCCGGCGCATCGTCGAATAGCAGACATCTGCAGGTTGAATTCGAAAGTGCAACTCTCTTCCTTCAATCATTCCTATCCAGCTAGATGTATATGTCTCTAGATAAGTCAAAAGTGGAGGGGCGCATATGTACGTAAGGTTACTTGACGCAACCTTCTGTCGTTTACCGACCTGATATCTTCTGCCTACGATTGGCCTTTCTGAGAGGGGGTTACAATCGAAATGATTACAACGGAGAGGTTCAAAAGACTGTCGCGAGGAATTTGAAAATCAATATTTTCAATCTCAATTGAGTTTCGAATGTGTTTTGAAGAGCTTAGTCGATTTAATCACAGAAAGCTTTACTCATCTTAATCTACCCGTATCGGAGTAGGAATGATTGACGTCCGCGAGATAACAATAGAACAAGCACAAGATGGTATCAAAACTGGAAGATTCTCCGCAAAGGAGTTAGCTGAAGCATTTCTCGATCGCATTGCGACATGGGACAAGAATGGCCCGCGGATTAACTCGACAATGGCCTTATCGACTACGGCACTTCAAGAAGCTGCTGCGCTTGATAGTTACCTAGAAGAGACTGGCAAATTCAAGGGGAAACTCCACGGAATTCCTGTACTAGTGAAAGACCAAGTACGAGCCTGCCTTACACAATGAATTAAATTTGAACTAACGAGACCTACCTTACATAGGCCGATACGAAGGGAATGGTTACCACATACGGCTCGGCAGTCGCCAAAAACAACGTTCCAGACGAAGATGCTTTTGTGGTCGCGAGGTTGAAAGAAGAAGGCGCCGTGGTTCTAGGAAAGACTGCACTCGCCGAATGGGCATCAGTTTGGTTCAGCGTGAATAGTGCGAACAATGACGAATTCACCAAAAACCCTTATAATCTCGACCACGATTCAGGTGCATCTTCCGGGGGTTCTGCTGCGGCTGTTGCGGCGAACTTCACAATCTTGGCCGTAGGCGAAGATACTGGTGGTTCGATTAGGGTACCATCATCGTTCTGTAACATTGTCGGTCTTCGTCCAACCCCGGGGCTCATCTCGCGAACGGGGTTCTGTCCGTTGATCAAAGTTCAGGACACTCCTGGTCCAATGGCCCGGACAGTGACAGATTGTGCGCTAATGCTGGATTGCATGGTTGGGTTCGACCCTAAAGACGACTTTACAGGTGTCGCAGCCACTGCAGCTGCCCTGGGATTGCCTAAAGGTGGTAGTTACGGCGCGTTCTTGGCAGACGGACGCCAAAAGATTAAGGGGGCTAAAATAGGTGTTATCAAACAGAGCTTCGGTTCGGAATCCGATCCCTATTGCAACGCTGTCAATGAAGTCATATCTGCAGCAATTGACAAGCTCAAAAGTGCCGGTACGACTTTCGTCAGCATTGACTTCGACGAATTCGAATATCACATAAACTACCCGCTCACCTATTTACAAAGGTCACGCAGCGATATCAACAGCTTTCTAGCAACAAAACCCCATCTCCCTCAAGACATTGCGGATATACTGCCAGAGACTTCGGACAAGCCGTATTTGAAATTTACATGCGCTATGGCACATGGCCCAAAGGACCCCAAAGAAGACCCGACCTATGTAGATAGAATCCTAAGACGGGATGAGCTCAAGCGCAGGATAGACTGCCTTATTGCCTCTCTCGGGCTGGATGTGCTCACACTGCCAGACGTGAGGGTCCCACCCCCGCGATTCGAAGATGCTATGAGCGGCAGGTTTATCAAGGACGGGTGTGAAGATTTCCCGACCAATACATTCCTCGCTAGCGTAATTCGACATCCGGCCATCTCGGTTCCTGCCGGCTTCACAAAGGATGGGCTTCCGGTCGGGATAGAATTCGTCGGACTTGAATATCAGGAACAGAGTCTTCTCGAGTTAGCTTACGGGGTAGAATGTATTGTTCAAGCCAGAGCATTGCCACCTGGGTTAATGTAGGTGGTTGTCATCCCATACAAATAATTCGTACCTATTTAACCCAGTAACTTGAACCTTGATAAATTTACAACGATGGACAGTTTTTCTAGAAAACCTATTTAGAAAATTAAGTGTTTCTTACTAAGTACATACATTTATATTTATCACTTGCTAATATTTGCCAAACAATGTCTGGTGGCTTTTAAGGGCGTTCAATTAGCCCTCTGAACCCACCCATCAGGTAACTTAACCCCTCCAATGGACAAGGTATTCCAACACCGGTTTTCCTCCTTGCCTATTCACGCGACGGGATAACAACTTCTTTACCTCACCTGAGATCCACTGCAGAGACAATCCTATATCTAGACCACTTCGACTTTTCGAGACGTAAGCCTCTCAATATCATCAAATACCCACTGAATTGGGTCAGCAAACGTAATGTCCGTCCCGTCGTCGATTTTTTCAAGTTTCCCCTTGTCTGTTGGCACTAGTCTCGGCAGCATGTTCCCACCGGGGTATATTCTTCTTCCGTCGCTAGGCCAGACTCCCTCGTTATCACTAGAAGTGAGGAGACCAACAATACGACCACGCTCGTCGAATACACAAGAACCCGAGTCCCCTTTGTCGGAAAACCTTCCCATGGCAGTAATGATAACTACTTGCCGAGCGTAGGGGCAGCCCTCGAGATCTTTTGGCTTCCTAACAACAGCTTCAACTTCGTTCTTCTGTCCGACTGTTAGTCCTGAGGTAGCCCCGACCTTAAAGACTGTCCTCTGAGAATTCATATCATAGCAACATTGTTTTAGGCGCATGAATTCATTCTGATCTTTTTCTTCATCGGGAAACGCCATTATAATATTCGGGCCTTCAATTGGGCTCTCCTCTGGCCTCTGCCCTCCAACAAAGATTGAATTTTTTGGACTCTCGGAAAACTTGTCCTCGTCAAGTTTAATTAATGCCCAGTCCTTCAGGTATCCTTCTTGATGGGTGGGAAATTCCATTGACGAATGAAACATGAGCTGACCGATCTTTCTAGCACTTTTATCCTCGAGTCGCTCGAGAGGTTCAACAAACCTCTTTCCGTAAGCCAGATCGTCGGCCCGCGATTTCAAATCGGAAAGGTCACCATCGTCGAAACGCAAGTGAGCTTTACTTTCATCCAGATGATAATAATCGTCCCATCGCTGTTTTTTAAGGGAAAGAAACTTCGTCTTGCCCTCTAAATACTCGATTCGGTTCCCCGTCAAGTACTGGCAATCTTGGAAAGTTCGCGTGTTTGCTTGGACATGGTACTGTGGCTCGGACTCTTCCGAGAACTTATAACTGTCCTTGGCGGGTCTATCAGCACACACGACATGACGGCAAGTAAGGCCATAGATTGATTCATCGCCACGGAGTTTTACGTATAGCCCCATAGTACCTTGGCCAAGTCGACCATCGTAATAGGACACAGGGTTGCCCGGATATGATAGTAAAGGCCGTAGAATCCTGTTGAATTGACGGAGTGACCGGGTTAGATCCACAAGACTCTCAAAGCTCCGCTGAGGCAGCGAGATTGTGACGGCGACCTTCCCGAATTTCCACTTCAACGTCGTGAATATCTTGTTTCCGTAAAAGTTCTCGGCAATCTAAAGCGATCAGAATGCCTTCTTCCCAGCACAGAGTGTCGTTCTCAACCGCTATTAGGAGTATTGCGGGAGGAATTTTCCTGTTCCTTTTGCGTTCAACATCCATTCGGATGGGAAAGAAAAAGGTCCATGAGCAACTTCGCAATAAGCCCGTGATTTTCGCTACCAAGTCGGATGACCATTTTAAAGCTATGGCGCTGTTGGCACCAATTGTAGAATACTTTTTGCGAGCAGGCCTCTGTATTGGTCCATTCCATCCTTCTGCCTCTACAATAATCGGTTTCACCCACGGGTCACAGCTCGTTCTGGCTATCAGTTTCGGCTGTCCCGAGAGGCCGAAATAATAACAGTCTCTTTCTTCGACACTTGGTTTTTGAGGAGTTGAGGGCGACGCCATTATCGGGTGGAAAAGCCTACTATATGTAGATAGGTCGTCGATTTCGAATTCGATAAACTGTCCGGAGAGTACAGAGGATCAGAGAGGTATTTAACATATTTGGAAGTTTTCTGCGCAAAATATGAGAAGGATACATATCGAATAAAACTTATCAACGCTAGAAACCTTATGTTGGAAGTCAAAGCCCTGGAGGTAAAATATTCACGCAACAACCTTCTGGATATATGATTTGGGGAAGTTACCTAAAAGCCATAGAACTTAGATTGAAACAAAGTTCTTTCCCGACGTGAGAGCCAATTGCTTAGTGGGTACCTAATAGGTACCTACCTATTACAGAAGCGTCATAGGTAGGTATGGTCCGTGCCTATATTTAGGTATGTTCACATTCTCATTTCATCTTAGAAAAGGGGATATGATGTTGTATTCATTCAATGTTGAAGTTCACTTTGGACCTTTAGATAGATACTTCCACAGGGCCAGTAGCACTTTCCGTCTCAGTACCCTCCATCTCTATTTAGGTGGTATCCCCTGGAACGTACTTCTCTAGCAGATATTTCAGTTCATCAATTGCTAGTTGCCTTGTGTTCGCACCAGGAAAATGAGCCGAGTTGATTATGAGTGTCTCCACCGAATACAATCGATTGCGATCATCAAATTCTTCCACAGGTTCACTTGGCTTATAATTTTTGAAGTACTCATTTCGGTACTCTTTAGCCTTCATCTGATGATGCTCGCAGCGCCAAATTCCAACTTCCTTTTCATGATGTGCATAGTATGAGCATGCGTCAAAGATGTAGAGCTCTCCGGTATGAGCGTCAGTACCAATATTGGACTCCCAGAGGTCGCCGTGAATGAGGCACGGCTTGATAGAGCGCCCATCTGCTATTAGAGGATCAAGCAGTCGAGGTATCAACTTTTCCAGTGTGATTTGCATCACGTCATCCAACGGCTTCCAAAATCCATTGATCTCGGTGTCCAATTTATAGACATCTAGCATAAGCTTCTTGAAGAACGATGTCCACTGTGTTATATTGTTCAATTTACGGTTGTTGTTGGGAGACAAGAAGTATAATAGATTCGAGCAAACTCACGTTGCTATCCCATGTTGTATTCAAAGGCAACTTCCCGTCGAACGTTGTGACATGGAATCCAAATTTACCAGTCGGCGAAATACTCTTGTGGTGAAGTTCGGCAAGCTTCTTACCTAGCTGTACAGCATTGGGCAGGTCGTGATTGATTGTCAAGTAGTCGCATAGGAAAAAATAGGCATTTTCGTTATCGCATTTACCATATGCTCGAGGTTGTGGTGCAAAGTTAGGCGAGGTGGAATGGATCTCGAGCATTGCCCTGTACTCGCCCAGTACACGCTCAGCCGCATCCTCCGTTTTCAACGTCTATAAGCCAATCGCTTCGGTTAGCCTCTCTGGGTTTAACGAATGAGATAGCCAATATAGAGATAACAAAGATTACCTTGAGAAAGTAGGCCCCTGAGGAGTCATCGGCGCCCTGGACGTCTACTCTAGCTGTTGAAGCCCAGCTTGATGTGCCGTATTGCTGTACTTCAACGACCTTTTCGCCCGACTTAAGGGCTATACCATTGTTAACCATGCTTCTTGGGTCTGTAAACACCATTACAAGGTAATTTACCTCTCACGATTGCCGGATCAAGTTGGATTACTTCGCTCATTTTAACAGCCACCTCGAAGGAAACATAGGTAATAAGACAATAAACCAAATCAAGTCCAGTGTCTTATTACCTATACGGTCCTCCACATCTACCATTTATATTCCCCTCAAGGCTCTAGACGAGGGGTATCTAACATCCATGGATATTGTAACATGGGGGCCAAAAATAATGGCGTGTGTAAGATTACTACCAAGGTATGCGGTTGGTAGGTAATCGCCAGGGATATTTATCTTGAAATTGGCGCCAGCCTTCTTCCCAATCCAATCAGTACTCACATCTAACTCATGTTGGTTCGGGTTCGGGTTATGTTGGCGGCTTTCCGCATGTTCAATATTGTAATATCTCATTCCAACTACAACTTATCAAGAGTTGCAGTTCAATTCAGATAAACTATCTGTTTTCGGTCGCGAAATGGATATTATGCCGTTCTGGTAGTATTGCAAGTAAACTCAGTCAATAATGGTAACGTAATGGATTCGTTCTGGGTGCTGCTATCCATACGTACTAATGATAGATACCATAGTGGAAACGAATTCGATCTCGAAAACAGTCTGGTTCAGATATCTCATCTAACTCAACATCAAACCCTACGAGCTCGACAGACCGTCCCCGCTATAATTCCCTCCCAGAACCAACCCTATCGTTACCAGAACGGACACGAGCCCAACGTCGCGAATCCGATCAAAGCGCAATCTCCGATATACATGCTCAACTATTCTCGTTACCGACGTCAGCCGAACATCGAAGACAACGCTCTCGGGATAGAAGAAATGATCCTCTTGGATTGTTTGTTCTACACGCACCAGTGCAGCGTTCGGTTGACATACTTTTCATTCACGGGCTTGGCGGGACTAGTTTACGGAGTTGGTGTCGTAACCGGGACTTAGAAAATCTTTGGCCACAACTTTGGCTCCCCGAAGAACCTGACCTTACTTCGGCGAGGATTCTCTCCTTTGGATATAATGCGCACTTTTCGTCAAAGAAAGAGCAAGCCTCTCTTACAATCGGGGACTTTGCGAATGATCTGTTATTTCGCATGAAATATGGTGAAAATGGACCTGAGCGATTGGGCCAAGTCCCACTAATCGTGGTCGCCCACTCAATGGGCGGCCTGGTGTTTAAGAAGGCCTTCATCCATGGACACATGAACGAAGAGTTTCGCGGTATCATTTCCAGTATCAAAGCCGTCTTGTTCTTAGCAACGCCACACCGAGGTACAGACCTTGCTGAGACTCTAAACAAAATTCTTACTAGTTCGTTCTTCGGACATTCGTCTAAGGACTATGTTTCAGAGCTTGCAAGGAGGAGTCCGACAATTGACGAGCTCAATGAGTCGTTTCGCCATCACGCTTCAAAACTACAGATATTCTCTTTTTACGAGACTCTAAGCACGAATGTTGGCCTCATGTCTTTTATGATTCTGGAGAAGCAATCTTCAGTATTAGGTTATCCGAATGAAACTCCTCAACCACTAACTGCTAATCACCACGATGTCTGCAAGTTTAAGGACAGAAATGATCCTAATTATATATCCGTTGTGGGTGCCTTGCGCGGGGTGATTGCCACAATAAACTCTGATCAGAACCCGGATGATAACATCGAAGAAGATTTAACACACGTCGCCGCGCTACTGGGTATTTCTTCCCCCCCTGAAGATGATATCACGGCTTGTCGCGCCGTTCGGAAAGCAGGAACTTGCCAGAAACTCCTATATTCTGAGGAATTCGATAGCTGGAAGGAAGCTGACTCTTCTCACGTCTTATGGGTTCATGCGCCTCCCGGGAGCGGGAAATCAACTATATGCTCAACAGTCGTAGATTACCTTTTAGAGGAGGGTCATAATTGCGCGTATTTCTTCTTCAAACACGGCAATCGTCAGAAACGGTCGCTCAGTAACATGCTCCGATCTTTGGCTTATCAGAGCGCTCTGATGATTCCCAGTTATCGCCGTGCATTGGCAGATCTTGCGAAGTCCGGACAACAATTCCATGCTTCAGACGCTCTTACTGTCTGGAAACGACTCTACGTGTCAATTCTATCGCACCTCAAGTTTGAAGGTTTATATTGGATCTTGGATGCCATTGATGAATCGGAATCGACCAAACAAGTTGTTGAGTTTATATCAATGACTGGCGACTTTGAAAGCCAAGTTCGAATCTTAGTATTCAGTCGCCCTTTACCAATCATTAATCAGTCATTTCAAATGGCGAAACGGCGAACCCACATTGTCACCATGGCTCTACCGAGAAATGAAGACGACATTCGGCTATTGGTTGCTGAAGAGATCGAATATCTCCCATCCGATGACGGCTTTAAAATAGAAACAACCGACGAGATAATTAGGCGTTCCCAAGGGAACTTCCTTTGGGTAAGCTTGGTTCTGAAACGGGTCATAAGATGTCATCGTCAAGAGCAAGTGAAAAGGGTGTTAGACGAGACCCCGGATGGCATGGACGAGCTATACGACCGCATGTTAAGTGCAGTTGTAGGCCTCGACTTGAAAGAAGATAAGATCCTGGCGCGAATTCTTCTCTCGTGGGCAATGTATGCGAAGACATCGCTCACAATCGACGAGCTTTCCGAACCGTATGCTAATGAATTTGGATCTGTCATGGATCTGAAGCATACAATCAGCCAGATCTGCGGACAATTCGTTATCGTCGACGCTCATAATCGAATATCCTTAGTCCACCACTCGGCTCATCAATATCTAAAACGATCTGGTCAGTCTAGGCTACAATCATTCTCTTTGGACTCGGAGACAGTACACGAAGAACTCCTATGCAAATGTCTGCAAACACTATGCGATAGGACACTGCGCAATAAAATCAACACCCTTAAAATCCCCCAATTTCTCCCATACGCAGCAACTTCATGGGCATTTCATCTAGAGAGTTGTTCAGCAGAGTCAGATAGAGTCCTAGACACACTTGTTAGATTTTTCGGCGGGCCGTTTCCGTTTCCATGGATCCAATACCTATCCATGAGCAACCACTTAGCTGAGCTCACCACTGTCTCCCGCAGGCTGACGTCCTTCACTCGTCGACGCAGGAAAGTTGAGAACGATAGGTCACCAATGCTACACAGGTTATCGGATCTATCTTCAATAGACAATTGGGCGGTCGACTTATTGAAACTACCGGCTAAGTTCGGTCGACATCTTACAGAGGATCCACAGCTAATCTACAAATGCATTCCTGCACTTAGTCCCATCTCATCGGCAATTTTCCAGAAGTTTTCCGGAAGCCCTACTACTACGCTGTCTGTTTCTGGCCTATCAAATGTAGAGTGGGATGACTGCCTTGCTCGGGTATCTGCCAATACTGGTAAAGCTCTACGGCTTGCAGTAACTTCACTCTACTTGGCTGTCGCTTCTGACATGCCAATGGGGAATATAACATTATGGGACACGAACCTCTTTGTGGAATTCGCGACTTTTGACGTGGGAGAGTATATCCACTCACTCGCGTTTGATGATTCCGGTTCTCTTCTTGCGTGCTATGGACTTTCGCATACGTATGTGTGGAAACTGGGAACCTCTTCTCTTATACGAACTGTAAGAAATCCTGTTAGAGAACGCGCCTTGGAATTCAAATTTTCCGGGTCAGATTCTTTGATGATGATCACAGATTTACGCCGGGTTTACTATTTATCAATAAGTGATGATATAGACACCTCTGTTGGTTGGACACGGTTAAGCGCAACATTGATGGAGGAGACAAATATCCCCGAGGGGATGTTTTTAGGCTCTCCGTCTTCTGTTTCATTCAACAACAACTTTACTCAAATCGCAGTCTCATATCGAGCTTTTCCCCTAACTATCTGGAATATCAACCCCCCCGAAATAGTAGCTCGCCTAAAGCTAAAACCAAAGCAAGGTCAAGGAGCTATTAACTCACACACCGGTACTAATAAAGTCGTGTGGCATCCATCAGGTACACAGGTGGTCGGCATATATGGCCAAGTATTTCGATGGAGTCCGGTGGACGATACATATGACGAAGCAAAGGGAGATTCCGGCATAATACCTAACGAGATACAATGTAGCCCGAACGGTTTGGTGTTTATCACCAGCGACGTCGAAGGGACTATCAAGATATATGATTTTGCACAAATGACGGTCATATATAAACTAACGTCTGAGGACCAAATTAACATGATTTGCTTCAGTCCCGGCAGTATTCGATTCTACGATCTTCGAGGTTCATACTGCAACATATGGGAACCAAACTGTCTTCTCCGATTAGCTGATGCTGTACATGAGCGCATTAGCGATTCAGATAGCGTGAGCGAAAGTATCTGGTCTGATACAGAAGATACACGTAGCACATCTATCTCGCTTCCAACCTCGGAGAGTCATGCAGACAGCAAGCCTGCTATTACAACTGTGGCTGCAAGTACCAGGGCTGATCAATATATCGCATACGGCAATGATGATGGTGTAATTGAAATTTTCGACCCGACGAGCAACAGCCGACATATTGTTGCACAGACCCTATTTGGGATAGGGATAGAATCCCTCGCCTGGAATCGAAGCCATGACCAACTTGCATTCTCCCTTCTAGATGGGACAATCACTATCAAGGAGATTTCAGGGAGAACCGCAGGGAAAAGACAAGTGTCTGTAAAAGATTTGTATGTCGAAAAGACGCCGCCCGCGAAACGTGGTCGCGTCCAGCAGCTACTTTTCGATCCTGCTGGAAAGTTGTTATTTGTCCATGGAGCTAGCAAGTCGCAAGTTCTAGTTCTGCCTACTGGAGAGGTAGCGGCGGAGCATGATACGCCAGAAGATGAATCTTCCCAATGGATACAACACCCCTCAAGGCAAGATGCATTAATAAGCGTCAATACCAGAAGCCTCTCTATTTTCACCTGGAAGTTGGAGGAGGACCATACAGTTCCTCTGGAGATAATGTCTAGCTTGCCTAACTCGTTTACAATCGATGCGCTCTACCAATGTCATTATCCACGATTCTTTTTACTACGGACATCAAACCTACATCTTAACAAACTACAACACGGCTTCATACTCTTACCCATAACCAATTTGGGTGCTGGACATAATAGAGACGAAACCCAAGCATCGATAAAGCCCGTTGACCTTCCTGAGACTATCACCCAGGCAGTCTCGCACCCTCTAGGAGTACTACCAGATGGTCGCATGGTTTTTCTAGATAACAACTTGTGGGTTTGCACTACACAACTTTCTAGCGCAACGAAAACAATAACCCGTCATTTTTTCATACCACATGATTGGGTTACAGATTCTGGCCTTAGGCTTTGTCAACTGCTACGAGATGGGACCCTCCTTTGCCCTAGCAAGGGTGAGGTAGCGATTATCCAGAACGATATGGTTTCGGAGTGGTAGAATACCTACCTAGGCATGAATCCTATATTAAGTAGAACTTTGAGGGGACGAAAACATCTCGGGTAGCTAATATCAAGCTTTTATCGCTAATAAAGGTGCCTGAATATTTCCTTTGTCAGTATAGAAACCCCCCAATTTTTACCCCTGACCCCTAAACTCCTCATGCTGGGTTGCTAGTAAATCTTTGATACCATATGAATATCCTAAATAAATAGGTACTATCCACACCTTTGAGATATGCCATTTGGTATATATATGGTAGGTAGGTAGATACGTAGGTGGGTAGGTAGAATATGATATCGGTGAATATAAAATTGACCCTGCAACCCAGATTCCCAGAGTACCTACCTAGTAGGTATATAGTGTTCATGTTAAATTCTCAACGTCACCTTCCCTTCTCCGCGTCCGAGTCAAATACCACCATAGCCCAATAGTTACAAGAGTAAGACCGCCTCCTATGGCTACGTACACCCAGAAGTAGAAGGTCAACACGGACTTCTCCTCGTTTACGTTCCAGTTGAAGACTCCCATTGAGAATATGGACTTTAAAGAGTTAGCTTCCATAAATTCATAGGTTGTAATATGGTGTACCAACCGCGACCGATGTCAGTGGAAGGTATACCATTGTTACCAAGGCGATAGACCTCATTTGAGAATTCTCTTGTCGTGATTCAACGGATATGCGTATATTTGCGAAATCTGCAGCCTATTCCCTTATGTGTCAGCTTTTCTGCGGATAAACAAGGCAGAGCGTCTTGGTAGTAATAATTACACCGTACCATTTGAGTTTCGAATATTAGATTCTTAGGAATCGAATGACATTGGTCAAGCTTTTCGTCGTACTCCGCATCAATTTCAAGAAGGCGCTCGCAGATATGGCCCCCTGTATTCGGCAAGGTAGGGTATACCTCAAACCTGGAGTAAGCTTTATCATCAAAGCTCAACTTCCTGCGCGGCTTTTTCTTCCTTCTTGTATTGTCGAAGGCCTCGTTGAGGTCGCGTGTGTGGTTGTATATATCGGATATATAGCGCTTGACCTTTCCAATACCCTTGACTAGTTGCATACTGTCATTATATAAATCCGATAGTTCTTCATGGCTTTTACCAAGATCCATGATAGCCTTAGGGTCACGCGTCGTGCGACTCAGCTTTTGCATGGTCAGCACGAGTGAGTCGGTGACTAACTCAACTTCTCCCACAAGGCGACTACGATCGAGTTCCACCAAGATGCCCGGTGCTAATATCGGGTGATAGACAGATCCGCGCGCTCTGGCTATACGACTCTCGATCTCGAAAGATTGATCTTGACTGCAGCCATAGAAGACAGAGAGGTTTAGCCTTCTATGTACTAGATAAGTTGAGGACACAGCGATATCGTTTGCCCAATCTGGGCTCATCCTTGCTGTGTATACTAAGAGGTATATTTGTTAAATCGGAAATCTATGCTTGAATAATCTTAACTTTAGCAACTTACCAAGATTATCCACATCGGGACCCTCGGTACAGAGCCACATACTTGAAAAGTATGCGATCTCCCTGCAGATTGTTCGAGCGATTGTGCGATGAATGTGAAATACTTCAATGAGTTCACTAAAGTCTTCCTTCGAAACAGGAAGATTTGATGGATTTGAGTAGAATTTATCGCCACCACGGCTGAAAAGGCTATTTGTCAAGCTTTCATTAGGTACCGAGCCTTAAACATGTCACTTGGGGCGCTGAGTACTAACATAGCGATTGTTCCATCTTCACAGGTCTCATACACCGCTTTATTCTACAGGATATTAGCTACTAGGCAGATAACACATAGACCTTATTGTCAAACATTTTCAATCCATTCTCTCAGGGCTCTGGAAGACTCAATATACCAGCATTTTGGCTCCTAGGGTGAAGTTAGTGGTAAGGTGCCTTGAGAAAAACAAACAAAGAATATCGGGTAAGAACGCCTACGCACCACTTTCGACCACAGTTTCATGATAATTTTGAACGGCCTAGATTCATATTTGAAAACACGGAAGTCCTCAGGGATAAAGGATGTATCCGCACATTGACAATCCATCCTAACCGTCGTGGTGTTACAACATATAAGACACTGGCATCGGTGTGTAAAATACGTAGAAAATGGTACCAGGAACCAGGTTGAGCAAAAATGCACTTTTAAGTGCAACGCCGAATTGGTAGTTGGGTCTTTTGGGTGGGCTAACTATCTGGCTCGGGATGACTGGCCATTCCCGAAGAGCCTCATAATGAAACATTCGGCATTTGAATAATTTGTTCAGGCAGCAATGGGTTGCTATCAAGACGCGGGATGCTGTTCGTGGTTGGTTAAACCAGTTGGAGTTTTCTTATGATGGCGTTCTCTGCTGCCGCCATGAAGTAACATGTGGCCAATCACTTCCTTTTCGTATATTAGGATACGCAGAATACTGCCCCGCGCCAACTAGATCAATGTAGGAAGTCGCAAAGTCTCACATGCATGATTCGGGGGTGGTATCATGGATACTGACGTGCTTTAAGGTTGCTAGTGTCGGGTAAGTGAGCTTGGGGCTTGGGTATCGGGGAAATTTAATGTCTATAAAAAAAGAAAAATCAACCTCGCTGTCTGCCTTGATCTTTCATGGCGCATACACCTATATACTAGACACCTACCTAGTACCTACCTAGCTACCTACGACTATGTTCAATTTCAGAATCCGGAAGAAGAAACCCCCTTGCCAATCCGACTGGGTCGATTCCATTTTAAGACATGCATATAAAGACGGACACGGCATCAAGCAGGGCTTGGATAAACTACTTGGGACTGATCAATATACTCTCAAGGTACATAACTACGCATTTTCAAGGCTGCATCAAGCATATCTGGGTAAATCTAGCTAACATGTTCCTGAAAGCTTCGCAGTGGTCGCTGGATCATCTCAGCGCCTAGGAAATTAAATGATGTACGCAAGCAACACACTTTCTTAGTATTAATGAACATGGGCGATAGAATGCAATTCTGACAAACTATCTATAGAAGGATGAGTCCGAAATTGAAAGGATCGCAGGCGTCCATTATTGACATTGTAACTTTCTGTGAAGTTTAACGTACCTACCTACCTACCTAGTAGGTAGATTGATATTGAATCCATCTGTATCTACTTAGGTACTTAGTAGCAAAGAGAATACGTGGGAGAGCAAGCCTTGGCTTCCGTTATGATATAGCATATGAGAAGTACACATTAGTTTAAGACGAACTATGAACCATTCCTATCTTATCTAAGGGTTTCTATAAAAAATACCACCATTGCTTCCTGCATCTCGGCCTCCTAAACGGTGATAACCAACCCAAAATGACTATGAATGTAATAATCCGATTTTCTCTATTTGTCGTTTGACGCCCCTCTAGCCTTAAAACCTGTAAAAGAACACTCCATCTACTACTCAGTAGCTAGCATGATGATACCAAATCAAAAAGCCTCTCAGTTTCCCATATCGTTTCTTGTATATCGCCCATTATAGAGTTTTCCGAAGACTCTCTAGGTAATGTGCGACATCAGATGCTGTCGGGCGGCCTGCCACCTCAATGCATAGCATTTTGACTTCGATGAAGGTGAGGAACTTCCTCAGATATTCAGAGCATTTTGGACGTTGGCGAAGATCGGAGATCCACTCTTTCACAGATGGCTTCAGTTTAGCGCTGCGACCATCTTTCGAAATCCAATAGAACTTATCCTCACTTATGCTGTTCTTATCAAGTGCTCCTCGGATGCTAGGGAATTCTCGATCTACGGCATCGTATCCTCTGATGTAGCACGTGATAAAGTCCAGGAATGTACATCCGAGAGCCCAGATATCTGACTTCCTAGACACCTTTCTCCCCTCAAGCTCAAACTCTGGAGCTTGGTATGTGATGGTTCTGCTGAGCTTGCTGGCGGTTTGGATGGAAATAGATATGGCACGGTGAAATGTCGTTAAACCGAAATCAGAAAGTACCAAGCACCATCCTTCAGGGCCTGGAACGCCTGGCTTAGCAAACCAGAGAATATTGCCAGCTTTTATATCTCCATGGCGGCCGTAAATGGGGAAATCCTGTCCATTGTCCATATTCTGGTCCTTGTGGAGTATGGATAGCGCCCCTGCGATTCCGACGGACTGCTTGGCCATCCAAGGTATCAATGAGTCATCCGGATTAATGCAGAACTGTCTCTCCCAGAAGTGTCGCAAATCACCATTTGCCTTTGGAAACAGCATGTAATATTTACCCACGTCGTCGTCTTTCTCAATCGTGGCTAGCAGAGGAATCAAGTGGTCATCAATGCCGTAATTATACTTTCTGAGAGCATCGACCTCCAATTTGAATTCGGCAGGGTTTCGAGATTTTAGGCACTTGAGTGCGAATGAGTGAGAGCCGTCGCTATACTGTCACATTGTTAGCACTCGGGATGTACTAAATAAACATAAAAATATGCCAGGGCTTACGGGTTGATCGTGAAAGCTGTAATGGGACGGATGTAGTTTCACTATGAAAACGTCGCCGAAACCTCCTTGCAACATTAGATCCTTGACGTCTTGATCTAGTGATTGCATATCAATATCAATTTTGTTCGTTTTCTCGGTGAATGGTAGCATGTCATTCGCTTCCAAGACGTAATGAGGAATGATTTTCTCGGGTCGGCTAAAAAAGGGGGCGATAGCCCACCACTGATAGGAATTGAAGCTGTTCAGATTGTTCCGGGTCCAAACTCGTTGGTCTTTGAAGAGCTCTTCCAACTTGGAATTAGGAATTTTGCGACTATTTTCATACCGCAAAGATGAAACTTTGATACCATTCCCTTTCCTTTCTATGTTTGGCAACGGGAGACAAGAATCATCAATTTTCAGTTCAATGAACTTACTAATGCACCCGGGATTGTCGCACATTACCAAAATAGCAAATATCCTGAAGAATGAAGGGTGACCTGGAGTGGACCAGTCGACACATATCTTATTTAACAAAGCTTCCTTCTTGCTTTCCGATATGTCACTTGGTCCAAGAGCAAGTTGCGCAAGATGCCGATTCAGAGCTAAACTAAGCTTATCGAAGGGTATGAAGCAATTGGCGCTATTGAGGGGGCAGGAGGTTTTGGCTTCCCATAAAATGTCCGAGAGAGTACGATTGTCTCTGGGAGGTAGTCCATTTTGTACAATCAGATCAAGGTTATGTGCATTCCGATGATCGAGTCGAATTTGGTTGCCACGGTCATGGTATTTTGTATGATGGCGTTGATAACCGATCCCGCTCATCTAAGTAGGGAAGTTGGCATTGGGTTGTCCAGTGACTAAATAGTAAAAGATTGCAGGAGATGTGGCTTACTTCTAGAATATGCCTTGAAGTATGAACTTCTTTCCTTTATGATCCAATGACAGTAGAAGATAATGTACCTGAAGGGTTTGAATAAATGCTAGAAGGTATATGTTGAAACCTATAGTATCTGTACTATTGGAGTAATAATGGACCGAGACGTTTGGAAAAGAACACCCACAATCACTAAGTTTATTTCTACTCGCTCGTAGCCCTCCTGTATATTTATACACATTCAATCCATACACAAGTCTCGAAAAGAGGCAACCAAGTAGATTAAGGCGCCTATCATCTAAGGCAGTGAGGTAGGCAACGAGGTAGGCAACAGCCACGTTGCCTTGTAGTATTTAGCTAGACAAAGCCCGCACGCAGCCTTACACTCTCTACGAGGCATATCTAATGACCCTTGTTGCACATTTTCGGTGAATGATGGTGGTGGAAGTTCAGAACAGAATACTTGCCATGATAAAGGACTTACCTAAGTGCCCAGCAGTCTTCCAAAGCACCTAGTGAACTGAGGTGGATTAATCCACGGGCAGGCATCCGATATCTTCTTCAACAGTAACCGCAATACCCATACGCATTTTCTAATATTGATAAGTTAATTCATACCACCATAGTTGGGGAGGGGGGCCAGGAATGAATATAGATTGTACCACACACCATAAAGACTGCCTCGGGGGAAATACCCCTTTAACCGATCGATCCCGATCCCGATTCTAAGCCATATGCTACAGCACGCCACAACGTCGCTTTTCTCGAATTTACTAAATATGGCTTGCAGTGTACAGCTGAGGTGATAAAATGAAATACAGTCAGATTGGATTCTTACCTACCTACCTAGTAGGTAGGTACCTATGCATGCATGACATACCTTCGGAGTTAAGTAAATACAGGAAATGCAAGAAATACCAATTCACATTCCCTACCTTAGCCTTAACCTAAACCTCAACCTCAACCTTAACCCTAACCCTAGAAGTATGCCTAATACATGCAAGGATAAAAAGCCTTGAATGGATGTTCTTAATAAAGTTATGAAATATCTAGGTAGTGTACAAAGGAAGTATTGTAGCAGATGAAGCGGAGAAGTGGGGTGTGTTACACAAATGTGTTGGCAAATTGGAGGTCCGCCGCCGATTAGTACTTTCCTTGCATGTCTTGTGCATTCCGGTCAAATATTACTACGTACGATAAATGAATCCGGACGGATTACTTGAACCCCGGTCAGTATCTGGGACGTTTTCTCATGGCTATCTGCGGTAGTACATATACAAAGCGGAGTTCACTACCAAAAAAGAAAAAAGGGGCAAAGAGTATCTCGTTTAAAGTGAATAACCCTAAACGATTTCTTTTCTTGGAAGATTAAGCACATACTAAGCTTTTAGCCTCGTGGCGTAGTCTTAATCCAATATATAACCGTCCTTTCTATAACATGATCTATGTGATTACACGAGAAGAAAAGAACTGACCTATTTAAATCAGATTACTTCCCATACCTACTTCTACCCAAAGTTCATATGTTATTCACATCTCTTCTTAAATTCCATATGTGTTCATCATCCCAAGTTGATATCATGTCAAAATCCGAAAACATCAACGAATTCCATGGAGCTGCGCCGATGGAGGATGACTACGCCGCAACACATCCGATAGAATACAAAATTCCGGGGTTTCTCGTTAACCCAACGAAACTCGCTCAGGTTTTACGGTCAAAGTTTGAAACTGGTCAATATACAGTGAAGGTAACATCACGAATCGCATGCGCTGGTGTCAATATCACTACCTAACATTCTACAAAGCTTAGAAACGACAACTATTCGATATCCGCTCCAACAAAGCTCACCAAGGTACGATTTTCTAGAATCCACAAAGACAAAAGAAATTGTTTTGGCTAACAAGCTAGGACGAGCTCATAATGTGTCATTGAGCTACAAGAAGGGCATTCATATCAAGGAGTTCCTATGATTTCAGTTTTATCTAGGCTATCGATGGGCAATAATCGTGAGAATACCATTTAGGAATACTGTAATATTCAGCGAACTTTGAATAGTTATCTATGGGTTGTACAATGGAAACTTGAGAAAATTCTCCAATCTACCTAATATAGTATGCACTTTTCAACCCTACTCTTCTTGATCGCTCTTCAGTTGGTGATTCATATCTAATGATAAGTTTTAAGGTATTAGGTACGCGTCAATTTATGGAGATAAAATCTAATGCTCTACGAAGAGTAACAGTCGAATTTAAATCGCATTCCGCTCAGGAGGACTAGTACCTAATACAGATCCAGAGACGCATTTGCTGTCCCAGGACATAAGTAATGTACTGAATAAAGGTGCGTGGATAATATGTTTGTTGGTCATAAGAAGATAACGATAATGAATATTCATAGATTTCCGGCACCTAAGTAGGTAAACTGAGATGGTGAGTTTCTACTCTGGCAAACACACCTTCGACTTAACTTAAAGTTGCACAAATTATTTATCTTGAACTGACACGCATACAGCCTCGACTCGAACAGATTGAAATATCGATGATCGACAGGCTACCTGGCAATATTTTGTGTCGCCCTGCGCAACATAGAAAGGGGGCGGTGACACCCTTTAATAGCCCAAGGCATAAATATTTATTTATCTGCCCTTCCCCTATAATGCGAACCTTATGGTTGGAACACATTGTACCAGTGTGGTGGCAAGTAGACTTAGTGTTTAGTAGGTATCCATGGAAGCTCGGGGCTGGTTGGAGGCTAGCCACGTGGTGCCTCTCGCATCAGAGGACGTGTTCTAAACAATTGTGGAATGTTGAAGGGAAATACACCTCATAGACACATAAGGTGTCTTGGCATCAATTATTGATTACATAGGTAGGTACCTAACTCTTATTATCTGTTGAGTGGATAGGAAGAACGAGCCCTGAGCCATGAGTTTGCCTTTGGCGCGGTTCACTAAGTAGGAACAGCCACGATGACAGCCTCATTGAGCTGCTTTGTGTATTCCAATAACTTCAAGATCTTCAGTCCTGCTTTTTCAAGAAGCGCCTCCCATTGGGCATACGATCGTTCCATCGCACCAAAGTAAGAGTACATGATGAAGTCGAACTGAGTAGCTCTCCAGTGCGCACCGCGTTCTGGAAGCACCATGTCATCAATCAAGATTTTGGACTCCTTTGTCATACCAGCTTTGAGATTTTTTAGGATCTCGATACATTTGTCGTCGGGCCAATTATGGAGGATAGCACGCAAATAGTATGCCCGAGCACCTATTATATGTGTTATTACTTAGGTAGATACATTAGTACCTACCAGGATTGGGTAACTTACCTTTGATAGGTTGCGGCTTGAAGATGTCGTGGGGTTCCGCCTCGATACCTTCGAATCCAGGCAGTGGACTTGATTTTACCTAGCGAAGTATCAGATAACCGAAAGTATTGCTAATCGAATTGTATTTGAAAATATCGGGGAGTTATGCCACAGATGACGAAAAAAGGGGTAAACTTAAAGGGGCGGCATTCGTACCTGTTGGATGACTTCTGGCCTATCTTGAAGGATAATTCGACCAGAGAGTTCGGGATACCTTTTCTTGAGTGCGATACACTGGTGACCCGAGGCTCCGGCAACATCAACAAATAGGATGGTCGAATCGGATGAGTCCTGTGCTATCTCTTCCTTGATATCAAACGCGTCGAAAATCGTAGGTAGATCATATCTAAAGCATTGAGTCCATATAGTAAAGCGCTCTCTCTGTGGAAGGTCTTTCCCAAGCCACGACCAGAAGGTCTCATCTGGATGCAAAAGGTTCAAGGGACAATTGTTTATGTCCGCGTTGTTGGAATACCCTTTCTTCTTGAGGAATTCTGGAAGTGCGTTGTATATGGAAACAAACTTTTCCAAGCTACCTGTTGTGTTAATCAGATGTTCAAATGACGTTAATGACGCTAATATGTACGCACTGAACCGGACAAGCAGCACGCGCTCCTAGCGATGCCATGGCCTTTGTCATATTGTTGGCCCCGTAAGCATCGTCGCTTGGTTGGGATATAAACCCGAAAGATTGATAATACCGTAGTAATCTTTCTGATTTATGTGAGTTGAGTGAAATGCATCATTTAGATAAAACATACTGAGCATAGCAGGGTCGACATTGACTTTCTTCGCCAATTCTACGTTGGTAGTAGTTCCGTCAATCCCTGATAAAACTTCGAAGATTCGTGTCTCGACGCCGACAGTGGCTAGGGGAAGTTGGAATGGCTGTAAGATAAATATCATGTTATTAGTAGGTGCGTATGGATGGATACCTAAGAGGTACTTGACACTTGGAAACTTTGAGTTTTATATCGTAACAGGTCTTACCGAGTATATAACCCTATGAACAGTATCACCCGGTGCTTCTAGTGCCCAGTTCAACTTTCTAGCTGCCTCACACAACCTATGCCGGTCCTCATCCTTCAACGAGATGGAGTTTCTGTTGATATCCTCGACTAAGTTCTCCAGCTGTTCTGCCAAAGCTAAGGCATTAATCGACTTTAAAGCCATAGTGATTAGTGATGTAATATAAGATTTTACATCAATTTAGAAGATAGTAAATATAGAGACAGGTCTACCATAACACCTAGAGTACAGAACGTCTTAAATATAGATTTGTAGGACAGGGATCTGGGACAGTCGCGCAAAGAGTCTCATCTCTTTCCAGCCGTTCAATTCCCGTTACCACTGACGCGTTTTTGGCAAAAGGACCTAGGTCACGGGGCATCTAGACCCAGACTATCTTTACAAGCGGCACTAAATCCGCATATCGACCGTGGTCGGTCGTGATCGTTCAACGGATGATGACCTAGTAGGTAGACGGAGAATCTCCTTAACTTCTTATCCTCCGGAAGATCCGGGTCACGACATCAGACAACTTGATTCCAATATGTTATCTGATTAGTTTTGGTTACACTGTAGCGCCTCATGTAAGATATCATTCAATGGAGGGGTTACATACATAATGCAAGACAAGTTAACCGACATGGCGTTGAAAGACATTGTAAGCTGTGCCGTAGCTTATTAATGTGTGATATACTTCAAGGGAGAAATGATCAACGTACTGGACGTATAGAGAACCAAATCAGAATTTACTCCGGCACTTATACCTTTATAATATTTAATTGGTACACAGTTCTTGGTTTTACGAGGGTTAGGTGTCTTACAAGGTTCTTACCTACCTAGTACCTAGGTAAGTCAAGTATAGTTACATCTAGATTAAACTCAGTTACTCAGTACCTAAATATGCACATACCAATCTCCTTACCTACCTACCTAGGTATCCTCCCTACATCATTAGTGATGATAACATGAAGGTATCTAGACACGCACATGACCGTATACCTATTCAAAGGTTGCAAGTTTATACAGCGCCACTTATAGACTGTTTCTGATACAAAAGTCTTCTTAACCTAGTAAAGCGTCTCGTAGTTAACTAGGTATCTGTTGATTAGGCAGAATAGGTAGCTTGTTAGCCTTGTTTTCCCTGTTAGATTCATCTTGAAAAAGCTTGTCCAAAGCTATTATATACCTTCCAGGTTATTATCTATTTAGGTATATATACGTGTAGTGGTCCGCTTCAGTTTCCCTTAGTTTCAGCTCTTCCGGCCTTACTATTGAGATATTCGTTACTATATGTAGTTATATTATTAATATTAAATCTTTGAAGCCAATTTAGTTCTTTTTTGACGTTAACATACCGCTTCATAGCCCAGTCCATGGCATAATAGGCAGCTAAGAGTGGCGGGGCCCAATATAGAACTTGCTTGCTGAATCGACGCCAGGTGTTGAATACGGCATCATTAGCGGCTCCGGCGAGAATGTTCTGGCGGTTTGGGCTAAGCTGATAGGTGTTTATTCCTTTCTGTGGCAGAATACAACCTGCGGGGTAAGACATGTTAGGTGACGGAAGACTACCTACTTAGACAACTCAAGATATAGGTCACTATCTAACTTACCAAGGTGGCCCCAAGTATCCTTGTTCAGATAACTACCCAACTGTAAGACTACGGCGCAGAAGCGGTTCCTCGTTGATATAACGTAGAATATGGTATAGTGAAGACTGATATCAGTCTCTTTCTACTTACTGGCCATATTTTCCAATAGGGATTTCGTCGCTTCGAAGAATCTGCGATGGACGCATCTTGTGATTCAGTTGATCGGACTCTATTCAGCTAAAAGCTACCTACTAGGGGTACAGAAGTGAACCAAATAAAATTCATAGATCTAGCTTTCTCATGAACTATGAATGAAGTTGTCTGCCTATGACGGGATAGCGGATTAACGCATCGATCCGAACACCACAAGGTAGGATGGATGTAAACTGCTTACATTGCGGGGAGGACTGAACCAGACCCGGCAAATCCGGGGGTCTTATTTGGATTGGATAAAATATGACTGGTTGGATTTCCGGAAACCCAGCCGAGCTTGCTTACGGCGTATACAGGTCTCTTTGTTCCATGGGTAAGTTCATCCCTTCTTAGTACATACCTACTTAGTACCTAGGCAGATTGAGGCTGCTTGTCTTTTGATCCTATTCCTGGCGGACAGTTACCTTCGCTTAACCTTCCTGTCGTTTTCTGGCTTGTTTCTTCCATGGATCTGGTCGACGAGGAGTCCCCAGTTACATTTATCGACTGGCCTAACAATCAGGAGACGTCTAACCTAACTCTATCTAAAACACTATGTAATGCGACCACAGCTTTCTCTGGCTGAGCATGTTGCGGCACGGCGCAGCGCTCTAGTGGCGAAGCACAACCCTCTTGTACCTAAGCACGGGAACTGGCTAAGCGAATGGACTCTGCTCTAAGACGCTGACGGACCAATTCATTGAATCACTTGCAGAAACTCCGCAGAAACTTAATGCATGTATGTCTCTTCTTCTTATCTCCGCGCCATCTGCGGGTGGCATTGCGCTTCTTGTTGAGGAAGCTATCGTCCGTCCTTCCCCTCCATAATTATTCCGTGGATATGTCTGTAGAACAGTGGCTTACAAGTTACCTAGGTACTAATGGATGAGCTATGAAATAATACAGTGTTTAATACCGTGTCTGTGCGTAAGTACGCACTATGTGGGTATCTGTATTGAATTTTGAGGAAGAGACGAAGTATTTTCGTAGCGCCAAAATCTTCAACAAAAACTTCTAATTCACCAAGAATTCTTATCAGCTAATCCAACTCGATGGAACCCGAAACGGCAGGGTTCTTTCAAGAACCGGATGATTATTATCCCCCGTCGCCGCCACCGACCTTCCAGGTCTACACGACACAATCTGGAAAAACCATCACGCTTCATCTGGTGGGGCACAGCCCTTTAGAAGCTCATCATCTATGGAACGGTAGTCGCATCATCTCTAAGTACTTCGAGACACATGTATCCGAGGTCAAAGACCGGACCGTCCTTGAGCTCGGAGCCGGTGCCGGTCTTCCCAGCATCGTATGTGCTATCTTGGGGGCCGAAAAAGTCGTAGTCACGGACTTTCCCGATCCGGATTTGGTTGCGAATATGAAGAAAAACATTCTTGGGTGCGACCTCATACCGGCTATAGACGGTGATGCCGAGAACTCACCAATAGTTGCCGATGGGCACGTGTGGGGGGCTGATCCGACTCATCTACTCGCGCATCTCGAGTCTACCAAGAGCGACAAGTTTGACGTCCTTATCTTGGCCGACCTACTATTTAGGCATTCAGAGCATAGAAATATGATCTCTTCCATCGAAGCCACGATGAGCCGAAAGAAGACGAGCACTGCCTTTGTATGCTTCACGAGTTACCGCCCGTGGTTGCAGCACAAGGACCTAGCCTTCTTTGATATCGCACGGGAGAAGGGATTCATAGTTGAGAAAATCTTGGAAGAGAAGATGGACAAGGCTATGTTCGAGAATGACCCGGGCGATGAAGAAGTTCGAAAGACTGTCACTTGTTTCACATTGCGTTGGCCTGATGAGAAGTGCACATAGGCAGATAGGGTGCACTGCGGCTAAGTCTACCTATCACTAGTTACCTAGACTAGTACTTTCCCCGAGAGACTCTTCAAATCTCCCCGGATCGTATCCAATGGCTAGAGGCGATGGTCCGCGCCCATTGTGCACTTCTTTACCTACCAGCCTACCTGCCTAGGCACATACATCTCGCACCAACCTCCAACCTTCGTCCATACACATATCACGAAAGTGACGCCATATTACTACCTATCCACTGTTGAACGCCTCCCAACGATGACGAGCATTCAACGTTCCAAGTTGTTAGTCTCGCCACGCCGAATGCACAACATATTAAAGCTGCTGTGTTGCCCTCCTCGATTGGATGTGAAAGACGGCAACGGGATAGACACCAATGGAAACAAGTGAGCACTGAGCAGTCGTTCTTATCTTGACTGGTCTTAAATCATTCTGCGCCTCATTTTTTCTCATTCGAGTTGTTCTTTGCCCCCTTTGGGTTGCGTTGAGTGGACCTCCGAGGCAGTGCATGCATGTGTAGGTCTATGATTTTGTCACTAATCCAACCTCGGCCTCACCTGTCAGCCTGCCAAATTCCAACATTTCTGTGATTCTTCCATCGTTGAAGTGTTTCAAAACAATTGTAAATATGACAGCCCTAGGTAACTTAGAAGATTCCATTGTGTCTACTATTCACGATTGGTGTTGTTGGCGAGCGCGCGCCAAGACCAATGACCTTTGCATTGGCTGTTGCCACTGAAGCAGTAAATCTGTTAGCAAGCGATTCCTTAAATAGCTCTGACGTGCCGACGATGATCAGCTAGCCTACCGCAATATTGGCTGGCTGCATAGGTACCTACAGTGCGGGTTGCAGTCATAGCGAGGCATAGCCTCATTCCGATTACCGAGGCCAAAAATATCCACGAGACGTTCTTTACTCATATTGATGTTTCTTTCATCTTGAAACATATCTTTGGTTCGCATCCTCCATTCCCACGGGAGAATTACTGGCGTCTTCGGATCATACCGACCGAGCGAACAACCAGCGAAGTAGCCACTAGTTCTCCATAGAATGGAACTATCAAAGTGGGCGTCGACAAGATGGAGCTTATCGAGATGTCTTCTATTTGCCAGGCTGTTACAAGCAGTGGGTACGCTTTCAACCGCTACGATGAATGGGTTTATTTTGGTTCACGTCAACGCCAATAGCCTCAGTCCTACGACTGGGATGATTTGTCTAGAAATGATGGTTCGTGATAATCGTCCGTCGAATCAACTTCCAATCAGTCTATTAACTTGAAGACTTTCAGGTCTGCATCGCGCTCATCTATTCGAGCATTGTATTGCTCTTTCAGCATTCTGGGGCACCACAGAGGAGATCTAGCAGCCCATGGATCATGGCCTTTATCGCTGGCGACGTGGTTTTCAACGGAGTAATGATCGCGGTCGTGACTGTGCTAGCTCATGCAGGACTTCCAACTAACTGCTATGGATTAACTCGGAGTGAAAGTAATTACCCAACAGTCCTCTTCGTCCATGCCATAATACTTACTTTGAAATAGCGGAAACGGATGATGCTAATAAGAACCCGCCTAAGGGCTTTGGTGATGGTGATATAAAAGGGGACCTTGACAAATATTGCGGTCTAGAGCGGAGTTTTTATTTTATCATCGCGGCGTTAATGTACGATATCTGTACCTAGCCCTTCGCGCGTGTTCCTACTAATATTGGCAGGTTCACTTACACGTTAACGATAACTCTTGGGGTCCTGCGAATATTTGAGAAGCGCTGGAGCCATGGCCAAGATGATTCCCTATTCACTTCGGCGAATGATGTCTATCAGCTCGGCCACATCAGATCTAAAATACTTAGCCCCAACATTAGCAGGGACTTGGAAAACGCGGAGCCGTCTAGAGAAGGGGTACTTACGCCACCTTCAAGGTCCGGTACATCGTTACAGACCCGAGTATTGAGGCCTTCCGAAGACGGTCATAGAACCCAGACGTTCCGTGAACAGGCGCAGTCACAGCCGCTCCCAGTCTCGCCTGTTTCCGCGACAACATCACCTATCTGCCAAGTATCACCTATATCACCCACCACGCATCTCCGCAGATCATTTATGACTACCACTCCCGGCATGCTGGACACGTCTATGGGAGGATTAATGATAGATCACTCCGCGGAGGCGATGGTGACTGATGGATATCGATCCCGACTTCAACCTGGCATGCAACCACAACCACGGTACTCGCCCGGTCAGTCCAGGGGACAGTTCATGGACGGACACGGCGACGAATCTAACGAAATGCGACTAAGCGAGTACGTCAAAGGCGAATCGCGAGCGCAACATATGAAAGACTCGGGAATGGGTATGTAGGATGTGATTTGATATCCATGTCTTATTTCCGATGGCGTAATACCCAAAAGGCGGCGGTATATTTGTTTCAATCTTCATGAGCGACGGCGTAGGGGATCGATTCAAGGTTGCGTTTCGAATTCTACCAAGTCTTCTGGTTGATGGATTCAGACTTTCAAGCTTTCATATATTGCTGAAAATTGGTATATAATATGATTTAGGTAGTATAATCATGTATGATACCATAGATAAATCATAGAGAAAAAGTCATTATTCTCATGATACACCCTGAGACTAGGTGCACTCAGTTCTTTGACAGGTACCTACCCAGCTACCTACAGTACCCCTATTCATCCAATGCCCCACTGAGGAGGTACCTAGAATCGTACCGATCGCGCGCAACGTTGTATCATTCGCGCGGTACCGCGGGCAACCCCGCAGCGCAATGAGATCACCGATCACCTCCACTACCTCCACCACCTCTATCTCCTATCACCAGACAACTTGGAACTTACCTAGTATTTATCAAGGGAAAGATCGACGACGTCGCGCTAAGACGCCTGTCACATAACTTAGCAGCTGCTTAATTCTACCTACCACCATCCCATCACCAGACAATACCTAACTGCCTAGTAGGTATCACAACCTCAAATCTCGGTCAACCTCCAAATCCCGGAAACATCACCAGTCCATCCACGGGGGCATATGAGGTACCTCCAACCTACCTAGTACATACCGGAGTCCGCGTAAGGTTTGAATCAGGCACATCCATTATCCCCGCGCAAGGCGACGTTACGCACGTAATTACCGGAGGTCACACTTACCTACCCAGAGAGCCAAGTAACCCCCAAAGCCACGAGTCCCCCATCCACTAGCCCGGAACCCCAAACCCAAACCCCCTCGCCTGCCCGCAAGATGCCCACCTCAACGCTCCGCTCCCAGCTCGACAAAGACGGCTTCGTCATAATCCGCTCCCTCCTCCCCCCCTCCCACCTAACCCAACTCCGCAGCGCCGCAACCCGCACAACCGCCCTCGCAACAGCCGGATCCTGGCCGCACGTGCGCACGGTAGGGAAGCAGTTCCCGCCATGGACCTGGAGTCCCGGGGTCGGGATCTGGGGGGTGCAGCATCTCCTCAACCCATCTCTCCCTGACTCCGATGTCTTCACCGCGAGTTACTTCAGCGACGAGATCCTGGATGTGGCGAAGGAGTTGTTGGGGCCGTGCGGTGACGACGAGCTGGTGATGGAGCTGTATAATCTGCTGATCCGCCCGTCGGATGGGAGGGGGTACGAGTTACGTTGGCACCGCGACGATATCCCCGACTCCGCGAGCGCGGAGGAGGAGGTGCGGAGACTGGGCAAGCCGGCGTGGCATGCGCAGTGGAATTTGGCGCTGTGTGATGGGGATGAGAGTTTGGTTGTGGTTCCTGGGTCGCATGGAAGAGCGAGGACGGAGGCGGAGAGGACGGCGGGGCCGTTTGAGGTGGATATGCCGGGGAAGTTGGTGGTGAGGTTGGATGCGGGGGATGTGGTGTTCTATAATAATAATATCTTGCATCGAGGTGTTTATGACGGGACGCGTGAACGCATGAGCTTGCATGGCTCGGTTGGACATGTGGCGGGGGGCAGACTGAGGGCCAGGAATGTCCTGCAGCATGCCGTTGGGAGTGTGAGTGTTTGAGAAAATTTCCTTTTTTTTCACTCATTTCATTTCACGCTTCGTTTCATTGCTTTTTTTCAGCGACGAATGACGATCCCGCGAACTGGGAATCTTCGCCCGTCTTAACGCCGCTTCTTCATTTTCACGACACCTTCTTGAACTAGGAAAGATCTGCTGACTTTGGAAATTGCAGTGGGTGGATGGATGCGATTTCAGTGGATTGCCTGAAAGGCACAGGGACAGGGCCGAAGGAATGCGCGCGCGGTTGGTGAAATTGGGGCGCGAGAGCGGCGAGGTGGGATATTCGCTGGAAGGTTGATGGAGATTTCGGACACCACGTGTAGAGGGAGAGAGAAAAGGCGAAATATTTTCGAAAATTGTTCAAAACGCTAAATTCGATTCGAGCCTACCTACTACCTAGTCCAAAATTTCACCTACTATATACATGAAAGAATAGGTATTTACGCAAAAAGCGAAAGGATATACAGCGAAAAATATGCAAGTCCCATGATATGCCCCGAAGACCTAGCCTCGATTCTCCCATAACCCAGATAACCATGTAAAAACGACGTTCCTGCCGACATATATAAGCGTTCAGACGGGTCCTAACCTGTCCTGAACAGCATGACATTCGATGGGAAGACGTTCTGGTTGTCTTGCCACTTCGCCAAGCTCGTGCCGTCTTTATCGATCATGCTTAGCGAGCCGATCGTATTGAGGGCGTAAATGTTGACATTGGATGTCGAGCCTTCGAGCGAGACGATTCGGGATTGGCAGTTTTCACCAGCCTCTACCGTGGAGCAAGCTAGGAAGGTAAGTTGTTAGCGTTGGTCTAATTATAAAACGAAGGAAGAGGCGGGTGAGGCAAGGACTTACTAGTACTGTAGTTATTGAAGAACGAGTAGTGACCGGCTCCGTAGATGTAAATGTCTGTGGAGTCGATAATTCGTAAACCCCATGCGTTGGCGCAGTTTCCTGAAACACCAGAGCAAGAGGTCTTGAAATCGGGGTCCTTGAGAGCTGCAACTACGGGGAAAGGTACGGTGGCATCGGGCGTGGGTTGGTAGTACGGCGTCTCTGTCTGGAGCATGCTGGCGAAGATGTTCTTCGTGTTGGCGAATTGGTAGTTGTAAAGATTGTTGTGTTCGACGGCGGTTCCGACAAGCCAGAAGTTACCGACGGTTGACTCGATGTAAAGACCCCTGCCAGCGTAAACGGTGATCTGGGTGTTGTTGGAATCCTCAATATCGTGGTCGGCTGTCCATAACCATGTGTTCTCCATGTACAAGTTACTTGCCGATGGTGTAACGTGCATCAGCATGTAAGCTCCGATGCAGTTTGTGTTCACAGTGCTAGACCCGGGTTGCTTCAGGCACTGGGCAACCTGGAAGTCCGAGCCCTGGAATCCACCAACACGAGCATGGACATCCCACATTCCGCTAGGAGTATCGGCCTTGGAGGCCAGGTTCCACTCGATAAGAGTAGCACCGGGCGCTGCTCCTTGAGATCCGACGACAAAGTCCGAAAACTCTACTTGACCAGCATCGCCTGACTTAGCTCCGACCTGCAATAGAGGCTTCGGGTTGCTCATGTCGCCAAACTTGGCACCACTTGCTACGATGATGGGATAGCCTTCTCCGACAATCTTCGCGCCGTCTGGAATGATCAGAGTGTCGGTGACTTTGTAGATACCGAAGTCGAGGAAGAGAACCTTTCCGCCGGAAGCAGCGCTGTTGATGGCAGATTGAAGTGCTGCGGTATCATCGGTTGTGGAGTCACCCTTGGCACCAGAGGTTCGAGCGCTCACGATATCAGACACAGTAAGGCTCTCATATTGAGGTTTTGATCGGGAGTAAAACACGCTGTCGGCCTGAAGAGCCGAAGGTCGGTCGTTAGGGGTAATATCTCCTTGGAATGTGTTTGGTCCATTGGGAGTGTACTGGTGACCCTGTCCCCATCCGGTAATCGTCTTCGTGCCACCTGCAAGTAATGTCGAACTACCAGGACCCTCAACTGCGACAGGGACGTTCTGGAGGTTCAAGTTCTCGATGATCATGCTTGCTGCGGTTGCAGGCTTAGACCCGGTCTGCCACGCGGTCGTGATACCGACAGGGGTATCCTTGAATGTGCTGTCGATAACCGTGAGGGAGCCGACGTTGAGCCCAGAGTCGCCGGTAGCGGTAATGTTAATACCCTTCTGGCAGTTGTTGATGTTCAGTCCAATATAAGTCCATCCCCAGTTCCAAAGTTGAATGATGGCAGTCTGAGCGTTGTTGAAGGTAATGTTTCTCATAGTGTATTGCTGGTTACCCATAGATGCTCCTGTAGCACCACCGTTAAAGGTCAAGTCACTCATGAAACCACCAGATCCTATATAGGTTCCAAGGTTAGTATAAATAAGTCATTTCAGATATTTTATGTGATACTAACCGCTCTCAATGAATAAACCGACGTGGACGACGCTTGGGTCGGTCGGCATGTTGAACTCGACATTGATAAGACTGGTCGCCTGGGAAGTCGGCCAGTGCATGCCGGTTGCTGGGGTGCCTGGTGCGATACCAGTGGTATCGATGACAAAGTTTCGTACTTGGCGATAGAATACATTCGTCGATATCCAGTTCAAGTTCTCGGTGTAGTACGGGTTGCCGTCAATCAAACCAAAACCCTGGAAGTTGCTGGTGGCTTTTAATACAGGGCGGTTGGTCGGGTCGCCGACCATCTGCGTAAAGTAAGGAGGGACAATAGATGACGAGATTAAGTAGGTTCCTGATGGGAAGTAGACAACTGCTGGCTTAGTAGTGGAGGAGGCCTAAAGGTTGTTAATAGAGTATCATGATTTAGTCCAAGTATAACTTACGCATCCTTGTAAGCACCTATTGTCAGGTGTGTTCATGGCCTTAGTGATAGCAGCAGTATCATCTGTTGTTCCATCACCTACCAAACATTAGTATCGTAGCTCGTCTAAGTCGTGGCTCAAGATTGCCAACCTTTAGCACCGAAGTCCTTCACGTTACGGAAAACCGTATATCCATCACCACCGAAAGGTGCAACACCTTGGTCTAACGCGGAGTTAGCTAGTAGCTCCTTAAGATTTTCTCAGGTCAACCTTACGCTTTACGTCTTCAAGCCAGTATGCATTTACACTCAAGGCGAGGGTGATTACACCCGTTAGGAACGTCTGGAACCGCATTTTGAAATCTAAGTGGTGAAGACACAGTCAACAAGATGCTTAGAGAATCCGAGTTGGGACGGAGAGACAAGGCACTTATATCTAAAGGCTGACAGGGTTGGGTGTCGTCACAAGGCGCGGAGCACCACAGCTGCCCATGTCATCCATATAGTTGGCATTGGCGCGGCGAGGTAACGTGCACTATAAGCGGCTGGAGCACTGGAGATGTATTGCAGGATTGTGGCAACCGAGAGACAAGAAAGGTCAAGAGCCATATCAGATCCCTGACCTTTGGAATAGGCCCATGTTGAACCAGTGAACTGGAATTGATTGCCCAGACCGAGCACGGGAGCTAGCATACGGGGTGGTTGACCATTAGGAGACCTAGCCATTCACGTAAGGTCTGTCGAGTACATGTTGAACTTTACCAAGACACTGCATTCCTGGAGTTGGAGGAAACGATCCAGCGAAGTAGCATTGTAAGCAAGTTTCAGAGGTTACAAACACGCGAAACTAGCTGCGGTTGGTTTTCCAGCTAGTGAACAGACTCCATCTAAGCCGGTAGTAGTGTGGGGTCGAGTGCATCGAGGGTCATCCTTTCATTGCAGCAGCACTGAAGACTACATCATCTCAGAGGTCGGCTGCGCCGCGGCTTGGTAGCCTCCTACTCGAAATGGAATCGTCGCCAGGTACCACCCGAGATGTGATAGGTAGGTAAATGAACTTGAGAGGAGATTGGATGCCATGGCCATCCTAAATTAGCTAAAGTGTTCCAAATAGAGGTGGTTGTTTCACGCATGTGATGTTGGAGCCGCGAGACACTCAAGCCACATGTAAGTCATCCGCGGAAAGCTGATGGGGATTTGATCGAGACAGGGGACGGAGGACCATCTGACGCGGCTTTGCGCTATGGAAGTTCCGCCTCTCTGGGCCCTGAAACATTATCGAACGTTATATAGCGCGCCATAGAGTGGTTGTGCTGTCTTGGTAGCTTAATGAAGCTTGACGCCTAAAAAACGCCTAAAATCGAAGCCCGACTCGGACGAGTAATCACTATTTTCTGACCAACCATTCAGTAGCTTTCCATTCCGTAGAGTTTAAAGTTGATGATGCGTTGCATTGCTGCCCCTGGCGCTAAGCCTTTTCATCTAATCTCAAGTGGCGAAGATCCATAGGCGCTGAGAGGACCACAAAGCCACGATGCAATCAAGCCCCTACAAGTCCGAAGCCCGCCTGACTGGCTTGAATGGCTTTAACTGACCCACTGATAGAATCCAGGGGCCGGCCCGATTGGGTCTCGATCAATCTAAATAAATGGAAGGTGGTGAATCGGTCAAATCTGGGGGAGTTCGGGGGTTTTTTCCAGGTTCCATCCTTAGCCATCCATAGCCATCCTAGAAGTCCTGGCAGACCTGGCCATCCTTGGAGTTGTTTCAAAGCATGACTTGCAGTGGTGGGCAAGTTACCTGATAGGCTACAGTAATCGGGAGAGATCTATACTGTAAGTTATGCACTGTTCAAGTTTTGTTCCATCCGATCTATCTATGTTATCCTTGCTCGAATCCTCCCCCCCTTAATTATTCCTTTATCGATTTAGGCTCGTCTATACTTCAATGCGAAGAAAGATATCAAGACACCTATCCCCGACGCGTGGCACTGTTCCAGAGCTTTTTAAAGAAAGCAATCGGATCCGCTTGCTTCTCGCACGAAAACCGAGTCAACCAAGTCCGTAGAAAGACATAAAGGCAGACGGACATGCCGCAGGTAAGCAATGATTCAGAATAAGCTGGCATTTGTCCCTTCCGATGCGCCCAACATGGCAGCATGGTTGCGTATGCCAACCTGTCTCGACGCACTTCGTGCGCAAGCGCAGTCTAACCTCGGACTCGCCTGAATTGCAAGACCGTCTTCGGATCAAATAAGAGCTGGTTTTATTCTTGACCTTTCTACCATATCCCGACCCCGTTACCCTAACCCATGCGAGTCGATCATCCGTACGCCGTTTCTACGAGGAGAATGAGTCGCAGCAAACGAAGCTCTTCCCCTCTTCTAGAAGCTTGAATGAAGCTTCATTTCCGTTCATGATAGGAGCTTTGGGCCTTGGCGATAAGGCTTGAATTACCCGCTTGTCCAAGTTCATCTGCCGACGTCCCCCTCTACTATTTTGCTCCGCTTCGAATGTCTACCTAACCCATCAGATCAAAAGGTGAAGCCTCTTTCTACGCTATAGGGCTGGGACATTGCATCTCTGGTATCGCAACCTCTTCGTCTTTTTTAAATCCGCCTATAGAGACGTCGCGATGGTATCATGAGATCTCGTCATGGGTCTTCTTGTCCACCCAGTTTAATACTGCCAAGATACGAAAGAGGTGGTGGCAATGTCTCAGCCATTGACGATGGTGATAGCTTCAGTTACGTATGGGACTTTCCCCGCGGTAGTAGTTCGAAATTCTTCACCATTCAAATTGAAGATTGGATCTCTGTGATTATCCGTCCAAGGATAACTCGTTGAGGCCCACCATCTCTGATCCCGTTGATGATAATTGCTGCGGTGGGACCTTGGCGCTACGATTCTTGGCTACAGGATATTGATGAAATCCGGGGTTCGCTAAATGGTGGTTGTCACGGTATCTGAAAAGAGGTACCCTTTTGTATGGAGTATCCGGAACTTGACCGTCCATCGTCCACCGGGAGAGCGGATATATTACATTTGTAAACTGGAGAAATTGAAGAAAAGTTTGAAAGCCATTGATAATATCTTAGGTAAGTTACCTAATATTTACGTCCAGGCAGGAAGTAGTAGGGAAGTAAGTTCCAAATGTGAATACCGTATCCTTTGGCCAATTTCAGTCTAGTCCCAATCAATATTTGGAGCAGGTAAGATCCAGTCCGTGCTCAAACTATTTTATTTTAGTTTAGCGACTGCACCCCGTGCATTCCCTGCTACACACAGGCTAGTATGGAAGGTACCTACGGTACTCCGCATCACCCAAAAAATTTCAACCTCGTTCCCCAGTTCCCCAATTCTTCAACTCCACATGTTCGGGTAATTTGCTCCCCTTCAAGAGCAGTGCAGCTCAGAATGCCGAGTTCTAGGTGAAGTGAACTTAGAGAAGTCCCAATATCTTGCACTCTAATCTCATATTACTTTTTTCCGCATATTCAGATCATAATAGATGACGCTAAAAGGTACCAGCCAGGCAACTAATCAGATGTTCGGAGTTATGTACTAGGTAAGTTTTCTCTCGGCCATACATACATGCAGACTAGGTACGTCCACGGGTGTTCTCAACATTAAAAACAGCCGTGACATGTGCACATGCTACCTAGGTACCTTGGAGATATATAAATGTAGGTCACGGTAAGTATGGAGAAAACCTTGTCACCTTGTTTTCTTACATGCTGCTGCATAAGAGCAAAGAGCTGACCCGAATCCCTTCCATAGATCCACCACCTTGACCGTCTAGTGCCCGTTAGATTCATACTTACCTGTACCTATCTGCCAGCCATCATCATCAATCTTCCCCTCTTTGCCTAGCCCGCCGGCAAAGCACACCTGTAGTTAGGTGTATCTTTGCTGATCATTACCGCAACTAGTTCTTCATCTAGGAGAGATCACGCTATCCGAATACCACGACCCCTTAGACCTGATTTGAGTGCCAGTGGTGGGCGCTTTGGGCTTGGAGGTGTATTACCATGCTACCACTCCCAATACTTACCTTCTTACCTTTTTCTAGCTATTCCAGCCGGGAACACGTGAAGCATGGCCTCGTTATTCGAAAAGGTCGCAATAAAGGTCTCGCAGCAGCATGAAGCTTGACGATGATAGTGGGTATTTTGCAAGGTTTCGTTTTTCTCTTATGTGTTCTTTTCCGCTTTATTCTTTTCGTCTCGTCTACCAGACACTTCCTTTTAATCCCACCAATCACAACGAAGCTATAACTTTTAGTGTTTTTGCTAGCATTTAGGTGGTCTTACTTTTCACAGGTAGATACGACATAATAATTGTAGCCTTGGTCTTCTTAATATCTACCAAAACCTAGAAAATTCATATGTGTACCTATATAGGTAGTTTTAACATCCTCTTCAACTATAGAAGCCACCTTGGAACCTCATAATTCTTAAAGTCTTTACCGAATATATCCTACAACTATTAAAGTACAATATTGTAACCTAACCACATAAGTACCTAGAAGCATCATTTATGTGACCATGTCTGATTGGTTCCCCCCGCCCCCCACATTTTCCCACATATGTAAAGTCAGTTTCTCCAATGCGGAGATGGTACCGAAGGGGGGCGCTACGAAGAAGTATGGGGATTTTGACAAGGACCCATCTCTACGGGCTGGTATTTCATGGATGCTTGTTTATGTCTGGGGGCGGGGAATGCACCTCAAGAATTCAGTGCTACTCCCAATATCCTCTACCTAACCTAGGTATTTGTCGACCCGCGGGTTGTAATACTGACATACATACAGCATACAGCATACATACATGTATTGCTTCTTCTAACCATTAAAACGTTGCAGATCATTCTTTCAAGGTACGCCTCGGTACTACCGGTAAGTAATATGTATCTCGCTTCGTATGAAAAATGAGGAGTAAGAGGTACCTATGACCTAGGCTACTAGGTACTAGAAAATAAGATTAGGTAACCTTCTTTGCATCGTACAGCGTACAGCACCAAGGTCATCCATCCCCCAATAGCTTTACAAACTCCTAACACGGCATTGGATAGATGGATGGATGGATAACATTGGATGCGAAGACACCACATGGAGGATGAGAGTAGTTGTTTACTTACACACCTAATAAGTATCTAGGTAGGTAGGTAGTTAGTTGATCAATTCAACAAATTCGACATTAGGAAGGAAAGCAAGCAAGGCAGGTCGCGAGTGCAAAGTCCCAGAGTTTCCAAGTCGGTTGCCACTTTTTATGTTTCTTTCAGGTTCGGGTTTCACCCACCACACCGGCTCGTAACTGCTGTTTTTTTTACTACATGTACCTAAGAAATCCCATAAACCCATACTAACCTAACCTAACCTAACTTTGCGATTTCCCCATCTCCGCATCTTTCTCCTCCCCTCCTCTTTACTCCTCCTCACTCCTCACCTAAAATATCCCTACAATTTAGCTCAACCCCGAATTCAACCAAATCTATCATCAATCTCATCGTCTTGTCATCTCTTCCAACCCCTTCTTAGATATAAGGAATTAACTAGCCCAATTCTTTTAATATCTCATCTAACGTCTTCAATTATATTTGAGACATACCTACGTCTCTATCTTCCAAACGTTTAAGAAAAGAAACTGTCTAATTTCTTACATGTAAAGTCTCACAGTACGATATTGTTAGCCTTCTCCTACATCTCCACACTCTCTCCTCCTTTTACTCCCATCTTCTCCGCGTCAACGTCGGCGACCAATAAACCAACCAGTAAAAGCCCTCTTTGTACCGGTTAATTACTTGGGGTTCGTTTTCGATCTCCGCGAGAAACGTATCAAGTCACAGCCTCGCCTGCCACCAACCGTCGACGGGTTACCTCAGCCCTATTGGTTTGGTTCCTACTATCAAACTCTCTGATCCTTCTCAGGTTACCGTCTCTGTTGATCACGACGTTGCTCGCCAAATTGGCGGGTGGCCGATCTCTTGGGGGAAGATAACGAGGACAAATGTAGTGGAAGCCCGCGCCACGTACCTACCGAGTATACTTGAAGTCGATTGATACTACATACATAACATCACGTCCATGAATTCATCCATCAATAGTCCACCCCGCAAGACGTTCATTCCTCTTTCCGGCATAACTTCCTGGCCCTGGACTTTCAACCCCCTTCTAGCCTAACCCCCCACTTCCGGGTGCTGCGTGACTTCTTCTGCACTACACCCATATTTTGTACAGGGAACTTACCTTATACTAATTGTTATTCACTTATTCACTTACCCTAACCCCAAATGCAGGCCATGCCGTCCATAGAGGGCTCTGGCGTCACTGGTACTGCCGAGGAGAACGTGGAGGGCCGGCAGCAGAAGCCTAAGACCTTACCATGTAAGTTCTGCGACAAGCGTTTTAGGTAAGACGACCATACTCTGTTTATCTCCTCGCGCTTCTGTCTACTTCCGTTGGTAATTTACTTGCTTACACGGCAATATCGTAATTAGACGCGTGGAGCACGTTCAACGCCATGAGAGAACTCATACTAAAGAGAAGCCTTTCTCCTGCGCATGGCTTCGCTGTGGGAAGACTTTTGGACGTCGGTTAGTCAAAATTTTTAATCATTACTTATCTTATTTTACACCTAACGGAGATTTTATGGGCTGTGTATGGTGGTCGACTTCGCCTTACCCACCAGTTGTCCAACCAGTCACCGTCTTTTGTCCGCGCTAAATCACCCCCGTTTCCCCCCCTCAGATGCTCGCTGCACATATCACACATCACACATATGGCCCTAACGCATTTCCCCCCTCTCTATAATCCATAACCAGTGACCCCCGATTCCCACCATCTCCCACGCTTCCCTGTGAATATGCTTATATGGACATCAGGGATCTCCTCGTCCGTCACGAGAAACTCGTCCACCTCAATGAAGGGTCTAATAAGGATGGCAACCGGCCACGGAAGCCATCCACGGCTGGCGCTGCCCAACCGCGGCTCTCCACAGACAGTCATGTCGATACCGAAATGATGGGTGTGCCTCGGGCTCACCCGCAGCATTATCACTCGGACTCTATGTCCTCATCCGTAGTTGTTCCTCCGCTTGCTCCTGACCCTCGTCATTCTGCTAGAGCCGCAGCTTGCAATCTTGACCTCTTATCTGATGCTGCGACCCAGATAGCCTCCGCAAACGAGGTTAATTCGATGCAACCGATGATGCCAGAGTTGAGTCAGTCAGGGGGTGGGCTAACACGCATCAAGTCCTACGACGAGAGTATGCCATACGCCGATCGTGGACGTGAGCCCGAGCCAGTTCCAATGTCTGTGGGACTACCTAATCCAGCAGCACCGCCTGCCTTTGACGATTACAACCTCTTCTTGGACGAATTTGCGACTTCGTCTCACTTTCTACCACAAGGCTTCGAAGCGGATCAGGGTATGAGTATCTGGCCACGCCATCTTGCAGATATCCACCGAGGCGTGCTGTCAAAACCATCGTCACAGTTTCCCTCTCGTTTCCCGTCGTTAGCACCTGATCCGAGGGACCCGTCAGAAAGTGGGAACAGGACGCATGACGAGTCGGCAAGAGCGCAGCCTATGAGAGTCTCGGCGATGGACCACACAGTCATTAAAAACCGACTAGACGAGTTTTCATCAGTACTACCTAACGATTTTGTATTCCCCTCTCGACACACTCTCACTCGTTTCCTAGAAGGGTACGTAAGCGGTTTCCACGAACACCTACCGATCCTACATTTACCGACCATCACGGCCGCCGAGTTGGCACCGGAACTATTGTTGGCTATTCTAGCAGTAGGTGCCCAATATAGGTTTGAAAGCCATCGATCAAATGCACTATGGTACGCCGCAAAAGCGGTGGCACTCGAGCAAATTCGACGCCGCCATAGTCATGAGATCCATGGTTTGCTACCTACGCCAGCTGCATATAGCCCACACTCTACACGGCCGTCCCCGAGTCACGGTTTCCGCCATTCGTTCAGTTCCGTCCAACAAGAGCGCCCAATGACCCAAGACACGCATCGGGAACCATAGTAAGCAAACCTAGCCACAGGCTAACTTTCGTCTCCTCTAATGGTTCGCTAACTCTTTAAAAGTTCACCTAACACACCTCAATCCCGAATGGAAACCATACAGGCTCTCTTACTACTCTTTGCCGTTGGCCTCTGGGGTGCTAAAGCCATCCTTCGCGAAGCCTTGTCGTTACAGAGTCTTCTAGCCCTTCTAGTGCGCGAAGAAGGATTCTTATCTGAGTCCACACAAACGGCGGACTGGGAAGCATGGGTCCGAATAGAAGGAGCAAACCGCACCAAGCTCATTACATATTGCTTCTTCAACCTCTCTAGCATCGCTTACAATATGCCGCCTCTATTGCTTACGTCAGAACTTAGCCTTATACTTCCACACTCTGCGAAACTCTGGAGAGCGGAAACAGCTTGGCAATGGCAAGAAGCACGTCAATCTTTCCCAAGTATGGATATATCTCTCCAAGACGCATTTTCGAGATTATTCAGTCGAACCTCGCAAGGGCCTCCGGCATACATGTCGTCTCTGGGTAATTACATCCTAATCCATGCCATATTACAACACATTTTCCTCCTGAAGCAGACATCATTCAACTCGGTGTCCATCTTCGGCGGGCTTCGCCAAGATGATGTGGAAGATTGCTTCCAGGCCCTACGAATCTGGCAGATGAGTTTCGAGCAACACCAGGCGCGTGTGACAGAGGGCTCCCAGCAGAACGGTTCGGACGTGTTCCACGGAGGCCCTGTTGCTTATAATTCGACAGCACTCTGGCGACTGGCTTCGATCCGTTTATATACCGATTTGAGCCCGAGTAGGACTCTCGAAACAAGAGACGCGAGTCAAATCGCCCAATCATTCCATGACGCGCCATATCTCCTTCGTAGTGTCCGTCTTAACCGAGCAGTGTTCCAGGCCATACACGCGCTGTCTATGCTCGTAAAGGTGGGCGTTAACTACGTAGCGAGAAGGAAGTCGTCGGAGTGGAGTATGCAGCACTCATGTAAGTGGCTACAGAATACCGAGTGAGACCTGAGAAGGGATATATCATCTAACTTTGGCATAGTGTGTAATCTAGAATGCGCTATACTTCTATCGAAGTGGTTAATGACGCTTTCCTCGACGGGATCGACAGGTGCTCCACCCGAAGTTGACGAAAGAAACCTCCTCGAGATGCTACGCCATATGCTTGACGAAACAGAGTTCGCAGTGCCTATCGATCCGTCGCTTTCCGGGGGAGGTCCAGGGCACGGGCCGTCGAATATGGACATAGCCGCTAATGATGGTACAAAATTGCGTCAGCTTGCTGTGGCGGTAATCCGTCTGTGGGCTGAGACATTTAAGGGATCGCACATTTTCGACATTGTTAAAGTAATCGGGGCCGGATTGGAGGGGTACGCAGACCTGTTGGAGAAACCGCGCGATAGAACACCATTAGGCCGTATGGTGCCCAATTCAGGGCTTGGCTGATTCAATCCGGGAGAATTCTACCATAACCGACGTATGAGCGTGCCTCAGGGACGCTCCGGACTTACCCGATCACGCATCAATATTGACCTTGTCGTTGATGGGTACGTAGTCTTTCAGTCAGCCCTCCGACCAAATACTTCGCAACATAAAGGATGGTTGTGCTATTTATTAGAATATGATGTGGATGGATCTTGGTGCTTAGCTTAGCATGAAAAGCCTGATCAACATAAGCATTACTATAGCTATTAGTAAGTATAGTGTTAAAAGGCTCAACAATGACCTATCTTAACCTATTTTGGGTGGATAGAAGGAACAAATTGTTCCGATAATCAGCATGTCGAGAAATTAAATATTTTGCTGAAACGCGAAAGACGCAAGAAAGTCACAACACTGTTACGGTCGAAGATTTCTTCGAATATCCAAACATGTAGTGTACCACTTCTTAGCAACAATTAAGATCAAGCTAAAATAGAAAAGAAAAAAGAATACGAGACAACTGCGTTTCTTTTTGTTTGTGATGACGTACTTGATGTGTACCTGATCTGCTTTGTCAATGCCCTTCCTCAAGAACTAACCAGCGTTCTTTCTCATCGGGTTTCAAGAGATAGGTTCGAGAACTGTGCTGAATAATTCAAGTCGGAAAGAGGCAGGTAGGCAGTCACGTGATAGCGTGTATTCCCCGCGATCCGATCCATCTCAACGCGTCATCAATCGTCTCAGATCGACGTCTTTCTTCCTCGTCTCAAATTCCATCTAAAGAACCAATATATTATATATATATAAAGTAAACTGAATTCTGGAAATTGTTTACAACAATGCCTCCTAAAAAGCGTACCGCCGCCGAAGCTGCTTCTATTCCACAGACCTCGCGCCGCAGATCCGGTCGCATCGGCTTGAGCGGGAAGAAGAGCACGTATTTCGAGGCCGCCGACGACGACGGTAGCGATGAGTTGAGCACGGTGATGCCACCGCGCAAGGCGGCGAAGACGCAGGCGACGCCGAAGAGGGGTAAAAAGGCTGCGTCGGATGATGACGAACTGTTATATGAAGACGAGAAGAGCGAGTCTGAGATTGATAGCGGTGATGATGGGGACGGCTATGTTGAGGATAAAGAAGAATCTGATGATGATAATTCGGAAAGCGAAGGGTCGCTACCACCGGTGGCACAGAAACGCGGCCGCGGGAGACCGGCTAAGACCCCGACTCCGACTAAAGCTACCGCGAAGAAGTCTGCTGCGAAACCCCGGGTCTCAGATGCGGGTGCGGCTAAGGGGAGGGGGAGGCCGAAGGCTCAGGGTAAAGCTGTGGCTAAGGCGAAAGCGAAAACTAAGTCTGAAGAATCTGATGCCGAGGAGGATGATGATGATGACGATGACGACGATGATGAGGAGGAGAATTTGATTACCTTTATTCCTGGTGAGCATGTCCTTATCAAATTAATTATCTCGGCGTATGTGATCCGTGTAGAAGATACTAACTTAGAGTGTCGCAGCCGTGAAATTGAGGGATCTAGATGGGGTTGATTATGAGGACGAACGGCTTCATAAAAATACATTTCTCTTCCTGAAAGATCTGAAGGCCAATAATAATAGGAAGTGGCTAAAAGGTATATGGCTTTTTACTCCTCCCTTAGCCTTCGTGACTTATACATTCTCTATTTAATTCTAACTCGATATTACTGTTTTTTTTAGCAAACGATAAAGAATATAGGAGGTCCCTGAAAGACTGGGAGTCGTTCGTCGAGACTCTCACGGAGAAGATCATCGAGGCCGACGACACCATTCCAGAACTCCCCATCAAGGACGTAGTCTTCCGTATCTACCGCGACGTCCGATTTAGCAAAGATCAGACACCGTATAAAGTAAGTTGCCTCTCTCCCTAACATAGGTTACATATCACGAAAGAGAACAAGTCCTAACCAGCTGCTCCTTTACAAACAGCCCCACTACTCAGCCGCGTGGTCGCGAACAGGCAGGAAGGGACCGTACGCGTGCTACTACGTGCACGCCGAGCCCGGGCGCTGCATAATCGGCGGCGGGATCTGGCATCCGGACGCGGAAGCCCTCGCCCTACTGCGCGCGAGCGTCGACGAACGCCCGCATCGCATCCGTCGCGTCCTGATGAACCCTACGTTCCGGAAGACGTTCCTGCCTGAGGCCAAAGCCAACGAGAAGTCCGTGCTGGCCGCGTTTGCGGCGAAGAACCAGGAGAATGCGCTGAAGAAGAAACCGAAGGTATGGGCCCTCTCCCAATTTCCCCTTTCCTAGTCGTGATGCCTTTATAGTTCAGGGTCCAGGGTTTGGCTTTGAAGGAGTTGATAGGGCATGCTGACTATGGCAGGGCTTCCACCCGGAGCACCGAGACATCGAGCTCCTGAAGCTAAGGAACTACACCATCGGCACAGAGATCGAGGAGGCGGATTTTACTACGGACGATGCGCAGGAGAAGATCATGCGCGTTATTTCGGCTATGGTTGAATTCGTGAGTAGTGCGCCTGCTTTCTTACCTTATTTATGTGAGCTGAACTGACTTTGTGTATGTGCGAAGGTTTCGTTCCTCAATAGTGTGGTCAAGCCCGATCCTAATGTCGATAGCGACTCTGACGAGGCAGGAGAGTGACGATGAGGACGATGAGATCTAACCCATGCAGCTTTGGGAGATGTTGAAATTTTTGGTAAGATTCGATAGTTTGATGTATGTAATTATAGCTTTATTATTCATTTGGTGGGTGAGTAAGAGGATCGCGATAACACTAGTCGCGCATATGATAGATTCTTCGACTTCGGATCTTTTAAAGAACTAGTCGAGACTACATGTTCGTAGTGAATATCCTAAGAATTCCTTTTACGTATGATACCCACTCTACCCTAAGTCTAGACCCACGCTCCTATCTAACTAACCCTACCTTATCGAAATGAACATCAAAAGCGACTTTTCTAATAATATGCAAACATCCGCACAACCCTACGAGTCAATAAATATTATCTTTTCATCCACCCGTTCATCCGACCTCGTTTGCAAAGTCATGCGGAAGTCTCGATTGGTCTAGTGGTCAGGATACCTGCTTGTCATCGTTGTTTGCCAATCGAGCAAGCGCGCAGGTGGCCGGGGTTCGATTCCCCGATCGAGAGTATCTTTTTCCTTTATCTTTTTCCTTCCTTGTATACCTAGTACATGGCATCAATCGCCATCTTTTCGGGTCGGGTTCAGGGGGTATGGCTGCATTTCTCATTCCAAGAGAAATAATGTGTTTCGTAGGTATGTATAATAAATATATGCAAAAGAGGGCTTTTGTCTAACCCGCTTACCTATATGTACAACCGACATGGTTCTTCGCACTTCGATGTTAGATACAGTCCCTTACCACACCCACCACCTTATCTTTTCCTTTCAAACTGCCTTCTATTTTTCTCGCTCGCCCTTAACAATTCGGTTGTACTTCATTCAATTAATCTAAAAGGCCTGTCGACAAACTGGGCGGCAGATCCTCGTCCCTCGTACCCCATTCACTCTCTTCAGGACCCAATATAAAGTCCAGCGTCCCGCCGTTGACGAAAAAGTCGTGCGTGATCCAATTTCGCGTATATGGCTGTCCGTTCAATCTAGCGCTCTGTATGTAGATATTCCGATAGCGTGGGCCGTCGAACCCGCCTACATTACGTAGAGTAGCTAGCTTGCCAGTCGGCGTGCGGATACTAACCTCTCGGAACATAGGTGACGTAAGCAAATAAACATCCTGTCCCGCTACGGGATAGAATCCCATAAACGCGAACGCCGTGAAAGCGCCCATGGCACAATCGTCGTTGCCGGGGATGCCGTTGAGGCTAGTGTTGAACTGGTTGGGTATGTACTGATGCACCCAATAGCTACTTCGACCAGGACGGCCGCCATAGTGGAACTGGAAAGTTGGCAGGAAGTTCGGTTCGTTACCCATATAGTTAATTCCCGATGAGTGGAAATAATCCAGCCGTTCGACGAAAGATTCACGTCCTCCTAGCGCTTTTATGAGAGAGGCCATGTCCTGTGGCACGTAGAAGGTGTAAAGCCACGGACTCCCCTCGTATGTCTCGTACTGTGTGTCGAAGTAACAGCTGTGTTGTTGATATATCGGACTACAGAGTCTCGTGTTCTGGTATCGCCAGGTACCGTTGCGGAAGCGTGGCTGCAGAAACCCTTTGAAGTCCGACTTTTGCACGTCGCCATCCTCATCGCGGAACCGATCCTCCTGCTCGGGGTTGAAAAGATTCTTCCAGTTCCGGCTACGCTGGAGGTACTTCGTTTCGTCACCTTTATGCCCAAGTCCTCGTGCCATGAGCGCTATGACAAAATCGTCGTATGCGTATTCTACCGTGCGTGAGATACCTCGGCTCATAGGACCTGTTCCGTTGGTGTCGACGTCATCATAAGGTATGTATCCCAGGTCATGCCAGCTCACGAGACCACCCCTTCCTGTCGTAGACCAGTCCTTGGGCTCCACCTCTGCATCCGATACCACAGCCTCATATCCAAGATTCCAGTCGATACCATCTGTGAGATTTTTTAGATATGCATCTGCAAGAACCACATCTGCGTTGGAGCCTCCTTGTGTGTATCCCTTGCTAAAACTCATGCGGCAATCCGGTAGTTTCCCTTCGTGTTTGTATGTATCAATCAATGATCTCACCATCTTAGTCTGTACAACAGGGTCGATAATTGTGAGCAGAGGATGTTGAGCTCGAAAGGAATCCCAAATGCAATAAAACGAGTCATAATACGGCTCAGTCGAGTCCCAAAGCTGATTTTCTCCTGTGTAGTCTTGGGGTGAAATAATCGCGCGGTAGAGACCCGACCAGAATGTCGTTAGAAACTCACGGCTCATACCAGAATAATCAGGCTTGATCACGGACAACTTCTCCTTCCAAGCTTTCTCGCTAGCCTTCACCACACTCTCGAACCCCCAATCGGGGATTTCAGTCTCCACATTGTGACAGGCTTGTTCAACAGATATGAACGAAAGCCCGACACGCGCCATAATCTGATTATCGGATGGGTGTGCGAAGTGGATCCAAGCACCCGCCGAGCCAGACGGGATGTAATAACCGCTTCCTTGATTTCCCATAGCATTAACCCCCTCCGTTATGTTATTCATTACGAAGACACCTGTCTTTCGAATATCGGCGCCCTTGAAATCAGCGCATACGTGCGCTGTATACTTCCCGGTTCCAAATGACGGACTAAAAGATCCATTCCCTGTTATTCGGCCCGTAACAGGGTTAACTTCAATATCGCCTCCGGTCCGACTACTGCCAAGGTCTATTAAGTCAAGAAGGATTAGCGGGTTAGTAGGTACCATAGCACGATTCGACATGACCTCCGCCTCTTTCGACAGACTGAATCTGTAAAGTGTTGCATGCTCAGTTGCCGTCATCTCTGCATAGACCGAATTATTAAGCCCGATGGCGAAGTAACCCGGACGTGCTGTCGCGGAGCCATTTACTCTTGCAACCACCCTCCCGAAAGATGTGAATTTGCATTGTGAATAGTCATCCTCCGGACATCCTGGATGTACAAAGAGTGGGAAATTACCCAACGAGGGGCTCTGTTGCTGGTTAGAATCACAAATCTTACAGAAAATTCATGAAACTCACTCCTCCGGTGCCTTATTAAAAGTTAGCGATATGAATAGATGATAGCATTTAGATAGTTAGATACCTGAGTCGTGCAAATGAGAAAAACCTTGAATCTTCGAGTCGTCTGAGACAAAACCGGCAGCTATCTCGCCACGATTGTCGGCATCCGCCACAGCTTTTGCCATGCCTGGGGGTCTGATTAGTATGTGGGGATGTCCCAGATGCTCACGCATGCATTAAAACTTACCATATGGCAAGGTTGCGCCGGGAAATACATGGCCTATGTTGGTCTCAGTCAAAATTCTTGGAGTATGTATTGATTGACGTTCATTCCCTACCTCCATTCGCGGTGCCGATAAGAGGGTCGACGTATTGTAATATATAATCGCTAGATATCCCTGATGAGCCTTTGATGTGTAACAATGTAGTTGGAGAATTGAACCTAGAAGGAGGGAGCAAGGCCCAGACTAGCAATGCTATCACTGGGATGGCGATGAGAAAACGCCGCCGTCGCGGAAGGCTCTTGAGCAGCGGCATCATCATCAAAGCCATAGCGATTCGAGAATGGGCCGAGCGACAACTCGCTCTTAAAAGCCTAATTCACGTATCGACTGTATTGTAGGTGGCTGGCAGTGCAGAGACAAAAGCCATTGGTACCGGGAATTGGAACTTCAATCCCGAACGCGCTCAGCATGGGTCAGCGATGCACAACCAAAACAACGATTTGCTTTTTTCTTTTCTTGCTCCCTCACCTAAGGTTTACTATAATAAAGTAGAAGAAATCATTCTTTAGGATTTCGAGCGAAATATACACCAGGTTTAATATTCATAATAATTAAGCTGCCCTTGCATTGATACGGCGCGGTATGAATGCCAATGTTGGCGAGAATGTAGAGATGCGAATTGGGGGCGCAGACTTGGCAATTAGGGGAATTCGGCTGAATTACATTTGACCAGGGACCCCTTTGCGTAGGGTTGCATTGGCACCTAAAAATGGTAAGTATATGGGGATTATTGGCTATAAATCGAATGCTAGAAAGGCGAGGCCAGATTGTTCGGATCGGTTGATATTTTTGGTGCTCGCATATCGGGGCATGAAGAATGTTGATATTAATGAAGGAGCTTGCTCTTCCGGTTTTCAGTCAATTCGTTCGACGTTGCGGTTGTACCTCTCTTGTCACACGGTCTCATCGTCGCACAAACCCCACTATACATAGGTACCCAGGTACATATAGGTACGTACATGATATTTCACAAAGTTCAGAGACGCTTATCTTCATTTGCACAATTTCTTATCCATAGTTAACAATGAAAAGACTTCGACCTAAACATATTAAATAATCTTCAATTCTATTCCATAAGGATATCTGGAAAAGTATTAGATGTTACGTGAAAATAACATTAATGACGCTGGTTATTCATTCCAATCTAGGTTAAGGTGTAATTAGGACAATTCGGTCTAAACATTTAGATAAGTGCCCGCCATATCTTATCTACTAAGTACCTTATATAATGTCTTACGATTTTAACTCCATTCAATCCCAACATTCAAAGTAATTGCATGGCCTATTAGCAGTCTGTAATAGGATCGGTGTACAAATATGAATAATTATATAAGCATGAGGAAGGCCAACGCTGGCTGAGAAAACACTCGAAGAAACCCTGGTAGCCGCCCCATATCGTGCCGGTAGTCAGCCGCACCCCGCGATCTGATCCATGATCCATGATCCACCAAACCCCTCCGACGTCATATGTTTCTCCCCGACCAGCCAGCTTCATCTTTACCTACTAGGTACCTAGAAGCTAAACGGCGATGTTACAATATCACAAAAAAACATTGGCTTAATCGTGATAACAATGCTGATATTTTGATCTGCTACATGTGAAATCACATGTATTCTGGAGATACCTCTTATATATAAGTAGTTAAATGTCAACTATTAAACTCCGAAACCGGACAGTCGATAGTTAGAGCTACAATTGGGATATTACCTATTATTTACAAATGTACACACGTACTAGGTAGATAAGCCAACAGTACAGATTGTGTCAAAATACATAAGCTTCCTCGTACATCGTATACATATAATATTTACGAGACTTCGTATTTTCCTTGTTATTTCTTAAAACGCAAAGAAATACCTTTCATCTGAATTAAATCTTAACCCGTCAACATCCATGTTTTACCTGATAGGTCAAGCCTAAACCTTCTTCACCTTTACCCCTTACGTACCCCGCTAATCCAAGCTTGAGCTGTGGCACCGATAACCCTGATAGCTGACCAAAAAAAAGACGTTCCCACAAAAAAATTGCAATTTTTGTCAACCCTCTCAAACCAAGTCGTATGTTGACTCATTTTTTTAAACTTTTCTCCGCATTCGCATCCCAGAGCTGTTTAACTACAGGTGCATGGTATTTATTTACTTACTACTCACAGTAATCTATCATCTACACCAGAAGTTAGAGTACGTCACCACTTGAGCACCTATCAACGTTCGCGATCATGTCTAAGGGTCGTGTCTGTCTGTGAGTTCTAGCTGAGACCCTTATACACTCCTATTTTCATTGATTAGTAATTAACACATTTCCTACAGCGCCTATTCTGGAGGTATGATCTTGGATTCTAAGACTAGTACATCCTTGCTAGCCCGTCGACTGACTATAGCTCATAGGTCTTGATACCTCTACTATCCTTAAGTACCTTATCAACGACGGCTACACGGTCGTGGTATGCTTCCATCTACTCTTTTTAGTATTTATCCATTTCTAACCATGACATAGTGCTTCCTTGCCAATGTCGGACAGGAAGAGGACTGGGCGGAGGTAGAGAAGAAGGTATACATAATGATTATCTGTATTTCCTAAGCACAGATGCTAAACTCACTAGGCCCTCGCCTTGGGAGCTGAGAAGATGGTCATCCGAGACCTCCAGGCCCAGTTTGTTAACGAATTGGTGTTCCGGGCCGTTCAATGTAACGCCATCTATGTGAGTTACCTCATGCTGTAGGGCGAAAACACGTCCATATGGTGATATTAACAGGTAATACAGGAGGATAGATATCTTCTCGGAACCAGCTTGGCCCGCCCTGTCATCGCTCGCGAGTAAGTAATTATGCCTTGCTACTAAAAGATATAGAAGATGGCTAGGCGAAGACTACATCACCGAGACAAGCCTTATATCCGATATCTATATTTGACGGTGTAAGAACTCGCTGACATATAATATAGACAAGTTCGTGTCGCACAGGAGTATAAGTGTGATATACTCAGTCACGGTTGTACCGGAAAGGGTAATGACCAAGTCAGATTGTACGTTATTCCTTCATTAGTTGCTTCATGCAGACTATCCTACCTGTCCTTTTGCATGGGGTTAATGTCGACGCTTGGCAATCCCTAAAAATAACGGACCTCGAAGAAATTACTAACATAAGACGTTACAGTGAGCTTGCTTGGCAAGGTACGTTCGAATGTCTAAACATTTCATCGGTCTCCATTTCGCACTTATAGCGTTCACTTTATATTCAAACTTGACACTCAATCATCAACCTTCTCTTATCCAATACTAGAGTACCATACTAACATAGAGAAGCACTGGCGCCTTCCATCAAGATCATCGCACCCTGGAGAATCGAGGAGTTTATTAGCAAGTTCAAGGGTCGAGCAGACCTGCTTGAATATGCTAGAATCAACAACATCCCCGTCTCATCAACACCCAAGGCTCCGTGGAGGTTAGTTACCCTTTCTCTCCTTGTCCTGGGACGAAGATAGCTAAATATGATATAGTATGGATGAGAACCTTGTCCACTGCAGTTACGAGGCTGGAATTCTCGAGGATCCTGACCACGAGCCGCCGAAGCATCTCTGGAAGATGACCATCGACCCTCTCGATGCCCCCGACAAGCCCTACCACTTCAGCATCCAGTTCGCTAAGGGTATCCCTATTAAAGTCACCACCGAGGACAAGAAAGAGGCCACCGAAGCTGTGGAGTTGTTCAAGCTTCTCAACCGTATCGGACATGATAACGGTGTAGGCAGAATCGATATTGTGAGTTGTGATAGTTCACTGCATCCCTTTGGAAGACTGTTTCGAATGTAGCAATTACACAGCAAAGCTTTAGCGATTAGACTGAAATACTACTAACAAGCTATCATAGGTCGAGAATCGATTCATCGGCCTGAAGAGCAGAGGTTGCTACGATACCCCCGGCTTAACAATCCTTCGCCTTGCACATATCGACCTCGAGGGATTGGTACTCGACAGCAAAGTCCGAGAAATCCGTGACCAATTCTGCACTCTCTCTTGGAGCCGACAGCTCTACAACGGCATGTATTTGTAAGTGCCTTATCTTAAACCTACCTCGTCATAAATAATAAATACTAATAGTTAAACAGCTCACCGGAGAGAGAGTTCGTTGAGAACTCCATCCTCTTCTCCCAGGAGAATGTGAACGGTGTTGTCCGTATGATGGTGTACAGTACGTAAAATCCCCATCTAACCTTTCGCTTTAGGTCATACTAGCTTGCGAAGGTCTAGAAGAAGTTAGAGAAATTTACTAATACAAATTTATAGAGGGTAACGCCTACGTGCTTGGCCGCAGCAGCGAGACGAGCAACCTGTACAGTGAGGAGGACGCGTCGATGGACTCACTTGACACATTCTCACCGATGGACACTACTGGATTCATCGCTATCCAGGCAATCCGCCTCAAGAAGTATGGCGAGAGCAAGATCGCTCAGGGCAAACCCCTTACCGAGTTGTAAGGCGCACACATTCTTATCTGTGCACTTAATGCTTTTACCAGAACGTCTTGATTACCAAATAGTCAGGATGAGTTGCATGTTACACTCTTCAGTGCCTATCTGCGTGCCAAGGTTTCAGAAACTTTGGCAGATACCAAAAATGGGGACATAGATAGATAAAAAAATGAAGTGATGATTTTCCGCATTCTGTATTCGTGCCTCGAATGGTGAAATGCTTGCATATACATTATAAATAGGTAGCTTAACGTACTAGGTAGGTGGACAAAATGAACATGGGACAGGTTTGAATTTGATGATATCCAAGCTAGGATTGAGCTGATTTATCGATTGGTTTGTTTTAATTATGACTATGATTCGAAAAAATATGATAGGTTCTAATAATAGACCATCTATGACGTAGTTTAGAATCATCAATACTGTTTGTTAGATGGAGCGCGCTTAGTCATCGATTAATAATAGGGGAGAGCCCCTGAACCCCTAAACCCCTGAGCCCCACCTCCGAGGAATGCTTTTGCTGCCTACCTGCAGCTCAACAGATGGATGCCTTCAAGTCACCGCACACGCACCTAGTATCCCTTTCAAAGTTTTGTAATGACAAGGTTTCGTGTTTCCACACTCTCACGCGGAGGTGCCTGTGGCGCTGCCACCGGACTTTCTACTGAAACGTGGGGGCAATCTGACCTTGGACGTTAGCAAACAGTTCCTTTTCTAGATAACTCCGAGGGCATGCTTACACCGCGCATTCGATCCTGCGTGACTGTCGAATGTCATGAACAGAAAAGGTTCGTCAGACCGCTGGTTTGGCAACCAATACCACCGTTGGTCTTTATTGTATTTGAGGTAATATATCTCCTGGTTCCATTTCGGATATACTCTATCTGTGGCAACGAGGTCATTCGCATCGATAGAGGTGTAGTCGCACATCGCAAGCGGTCGGTCTTCGCAGCGTGGTAATATTGAGCGCCACGTGCTGCAGGAACAAATTAGTTGCCAATAGTTTCTCGGGAACTAGGACAAGCGATATGCCTACTTAATTAACCTGAAGCGGTACCCAGGCTTATAGAAGGTTTCCAGCTGCTCTTCAGTGATGATGTTCTTGAGGAGGCGTGGTACAGTATCGAGTGAGATGTCTGAACTGGATGAGAAAATGTCCGACGTGTGTTTCGGTTGTATCACGTACCAACTAGAATGCATCAGCTTTTAAACCCATTTCCTAATTGAAATCTAGACGCTTACCGTGTGCACCCACAGCGACCTGTTCTACAAGAAGTGGATCGCTTGGATCAAAGCTTTCTAAAGTCATCGGTGCGTTTTTCCGCAACTAAGGGAGTTATTCAATACAAAGACTTCACTAGGTAGGTACTTCCAAGATCATTTCCTCACCTTGCAATCATAGCAATGGACGAGTTCGGCGTTGAGAAAGGATTGTAGAAAATTCTCACTCTCCTTGCGGTAATCCGCCAATCCTTCGGTATTCATACCAAGATTCGGAAGGCATTTTGAATCATGCTTGGTGTAGCAGAACCCGTTCTTTTCTAAACTAATATCTTCCCTGTCACGCATGCTATATACGGTGACAGGCTTGGTGTCCCATTCGACGTTAGAGGTCTTTATCTCGTCAAGATTAACATCGTTCGAGGCAGAAGGGTGTAGAAAGAAAGGCTTCTCTTCTCCATATACCGGGAGATCAGCAATGAAATCAATAGATGTTTCTATATTCACATCAGGTGAAGCCATGTTGACTTCAATAGTTGAAAGATAATTGACATATTGTCATTCCGTCTAGATAGGTACGTTGGACATGAGAGCAACGAACTAAGAGGGAACAGGTTTCTACCTGTAATATGGTCCCCCATAAGTCTACAAGTTTTCGATATTCTCTTCCAGTACCTACCCAAGTCTCCGAAACCTGATGTACTAGGTATTGTTGAGCCTCACGATACTACGTAGCTAGAACCCCTTTGCTCATCGGTGATTCTTACCTGATTAAGGAATCGGAATCGGAATCGGCTTAGTGGGGTGATCCCGGTTTAATGACGAGCGTTACTCCAATATGAACCAATTAAAAGCGAGGGATATGATAAACCCATTTCGATGACTTAGAACAGAGCCTCAATAACATGATAGTGGCAGCATGGAAGTGAATTTGCGAATAAGATAAGAAAGAGGCTAAGTGGGGTTAAATAAGTATGAACCAATCATACATATTAGGGCTTACCAAGTTTGTGCATGGATGATTTTGACCGGTTGAATATCAGCTAGGGTCGGTTGGATACCTACCAACCATAAAGAAATGCACTTTTTCAAATGAGCGTAATAAATTTCGGCTTTAACCACTGGGCACTTCATTGCGGCTCTGCCTAACAGAAAATGTTCCGAATGACACCCTCTTGTTACCTTTATCATGTTATAAAATACACTTTCAGCTGTTCATGTAGGCTACGAACATCGTCATGCCACTAAGTTGAGCCTCAATATTCGGGGGTGGTAACAGCCTTAATACCTATTCACTACCCCAAAGGCGACAGGACGGGATAAGAAAAGCAAAATGTGCTTTTTGAAAAACGCCGAGTTTTAAGACATGGGTTAATGTAGTATGTACTCGGTGTCGATCCATTAAAAAATGTCCTTGATCCGTGCCCTATTTCTTCACTTTTGGATCAAAGTGTGGCATCCTTGGATCATACTACCTAACTACCTAGGTAGGTAGGTAGGCCTTGTTCATATCGGTGAATGTTTGCATAGTACCTACCTATATTGCCATGCTACATTCTAAGATCATGCATGTAAGTTCTAGATCAATACATTAAACTGATGCTCATGTTATGATTCAGGGCCCTGTGACGACATGTCTATCCGCTATCCCCCTTTTATAAGGTAGGTATGTAGGTAGCTATCTGCCTAGGTAGGTGACTACCTTCGTTATAGATTGCCTACCTACCTATGTACGCCTAAGACACCATGATTCGAGAAAAGGAGTACCATGTAGTTGTCACGGCCTGCGCTGTAAGTAAAGTAACATTCATCAGAATAGGATACTTTATCATGATACTCATTCTATTCATTAGCCATTCAAAGAAAATGAGACAAACCCAACACAGGATGTTAAACTCAAGCTTCCTGATCGCATTGAGCGTGAAGGTCGGATTCCCATTAGGATCATAAAGTATCCTACCGATTTCAGGAACGTCCTTAAGGACATGAACATAATTCCTGAGCTCTGGAACGGGGAGAAAAGCGTGTATGAACCTGGCAGTAAGCAACACCAAGGGATACACATCGACGCAATGCTCCATTTGGGTATGAATTTTTCCGATGTGTGGCAAGTGGAAACTCGAGCACGTCGGGATGGATACGACTGGGTTGGAGACGACGGATTGCCTCTGCCAAAGTATAATGGAGGGGAGGGTGGGAGATGGGAAGGGTTGCCCAGAGTCCTTGAGCCCTACTTCAATGTAGAAGAGATAACGAAACGTCTTCACAAGGAATTACCGGTAAGAAACTCTATCTCGATAGTATGAATAGTTGCTAATAGTTGTTAGAACACACCAGTAATGATTTCAAGAAACGCAGGTCTTTTGTATTGTGAATTTATTTTCTACACCTCTCTCTCCGCCCTGTATAAGAAGGATGAGACACAACGCGCAATGTTTTTGCACCACGCTGGTAATAAAACAGAGAGTCGCGATATTGAAGAGGGCGCAAAGGTTGCAGCTTCCGTCATATGTTCAATGGTTGACCAGTTGGAAAAGTCAAACAAGATGCTCTCGCAACCTGGGAGTATACTTTGGCGGTAATTCTCAAGTGCTTTGTTAAGGAACTTTCCTCATAGAGATCCTCGCAAAAGGTAGATCATGAAATTCAATGAATGAATACCAGGTACCTACTTACTAGGAAGGTAGGTAGTTAATTAGGTACTACTCTACACGTGATAATAGCTGTCTACCTAGGTATCGTAAGACTGTGTAATTTGACGGCCCGTCCCTTGCCACCCCTTCCTACAAGGTAAACTACTACATCTACAGAAAGCCCGTTAATGTGGCCTGAGGCACATCTCGTATTTCGGACATGATATTCGAGAAAATATGCAGTAAGATGATCCCAGAGCCCAACGTACGACTTGATATCCTCGAATGACGAGGAGTAGAGTGTTAATGAGATAGGTACCTAAAGGACAGCGACAGGCTGTGATGGAAAAGCCAATATGAGGCATATTATGCTTAATCCTGTTCAGCCGTTTGGTATGTGGCGGTTGATTATTAGCGAATATCATTGATCTGCGATCTGATTCGGGACTCCCCACTCTCTGACTGGCAGAGCAGAGCCTCAACCTTATCGTTGTCGACACGGGAGCCGATCATAACCAGTCGGGGACACTCGGATCTGTCTATATGCATTTCTTTTCGCATACACACCAAAGCAGACCGGAATCCTGATCGTCACAGGTTAATAAAAAGTGTGGTAAGCATGAGGTCTCAGCGCAGAAAAAAGGAAATTCAAGGCGTTATCGTGTCTGAGTAGTATTCGGGTATGGCAAGGTCAGGAAGAGACGACCAATACAGCACAAATAGCAGCCTAGTCCCCCCTTTCGGAACTCCAGCTCAGTCCTAGGTACAGCATACTCACACATACCTGCACAACCATTATCCACTCATCAAGTCTCGATTCTCATATTGTCCTTGGCAACAATGTCCGGAAGCCCGCTCCAAATTAAAGACCCAGAGGTTCTGAACCTATTGCGCCTCGACCGGGACTTTGACATGCGTACCGTAACAGAGCGCTCTGGGTATCCCCCCATCCAGTACAAGTCGCAAGGCTGGCGTGCTCAAAGCCACCTCGCGTTTCCGCCTTGCCAAGGCGCAAACTCCCAGGGATCTGATACGGCTAGAAGGCTTGTTCGTGGAGGCAAAATCTACCTGGCTGGTACTGGTATTCAGCCAGATGGTCCACGTCGCCCAGAGCCTCCTGTAGACAACTGATATCGCGCCTTATCTGTACGTTATCCTGCTGTTCCTTTGTCAGTAACCAAGATAGCCGACTAAATATACCAGGGAGTCTAGTTAAAGCCCACATAAGGCTCGGCAAGGCAACCTAACTTCACTCAGAAACTCATATGTTGCTGCCCATCTGATATTCGGCATGGCGACTAGGAGTTAAGGAGTGGAATGGATTTTGGTTTGGAGCATACGAAGGACAAATTAGGAACTGCTTCATAACTTTTATGAATTTAAAGGAATTTTTCTCGTGGAAGGACAGTTTACAGTACCAAAGTTGGAATTATTTCTGTTTTTGAATTCACTCGTTGAGAGAGCCCTCAATATGTTATTGAATCTTGAATTCTAATTAGTTACGTTGTGCCATGCGTAAGCAGTTCTGAAATCATCGTACCCAGGTATTAGATATGACTCTATTCCAAACACTTTTCTATCTACTAGGTACCCAGTAGGTAGGTAGACTAAATTGAACCTAGATCGGCAGATTACAATTGTCGGTTCTATCAACCTATGCATGGATCGTTACGGCAATTTGTACGATCCCCACGAAAACTTGAAGTATACCTAGGGCAACACTTGCAGCTCCAATTATGATAACCGCTTTGAATGTAAGTAACTTCTCGGGATCTCGTTGATCACGCCAAACTTCAAAGAGACTCGTTGGCCTTTGACTAGAGCTGTAATCAGCTAGCTCCATTAGTCGGGACCCTAAATGGGGAAAAGATATGTCTGCATCGTAGACGCCACGCTCGCAAAGGTATTCCTCGATGCCATCAAAACCGTATACGTTGTCTTGACCACAGAGAGCATAAAGGAGAGGGTCGAGGGCATCATTCCAGGCCGCATTTCCCCGCTCTTTCTTGACAAAGTGGGTGCGAGAAGCTTGATGCTGTCCAAATAATAGACGATAGCTAAGAAGGACCTCGGCCAGGTATGGTTTAGCTACGCTCTCGGGGATAGACCAGCAATTTTTCTGGCAGCTGTGGCTTTTGAATAACCTAAATTAAGTATGAAGTTAACTTGAGGCTCATTCGAACATGAAGCTCCTGGACATTAACTCACCGATCAATAAAAGTTTCGTCTTTATCGCCTAGGAAAATCTTAGCACAGAGCGAGGGTAGACGGAATAGTTTTAATTGTTTTATTTTGCCGTGTCGATCGAACTCGCAATGGCTGGAAAGATCGTTAACCCAGGTAATCTTGACGTGTCCGAGCCAATGAAGGGAGCAAAAATTTAAAGAATTCACAGTCAAACGAGTTGGCAGTCCCTGTGATGACTTCCGATAGGCAGGTAAACATGCTATTGGCATGAGTCCCTGGCTTCGAAGCATACTTCCTACTGGCCTCTGGCATGAATGTTTGACAAGTACGACAGGTAGCTTAGCTGGACCATTCGTGAACTGAGTCTCTGTAACGTTCGGCAGATCGCTGTCTTCTGCTTCGGATGTGACAGTGTACAGCATAGTCGACCATCCGATAACAGCAAATACCAAATTGCGCATCTCGTTTTCGTGGATTTTCATATTACTTGCAGATACTTTAAAGTAATCGCACAATAGTTTCACAATGTCGTCAATTGACGGCTGTTCTGTCGAAGACCTGATCAAACTCACGATCTTCGTAGCGGTCCGGAATTGCCGCTCTAAATAGGAGGTTAGCTTTGGGTGAGATGCCCACAGCATATTTAGTAGGTCAGTCATAGAACTTTCGTATTCTAACATGCGTTTTTCCACGATATCCTCGAATATCTTCAAACCCTCGTCCAGTGAATGTTGTTGTTGTCCACTATTTCCGCAGCAGGTATTGATGAATTGGACTCTCATGTCATTTGGAGAGGGTAGGTAGGCAAGGGTGTGATGTCTGATCATACGTGCCGGTCTTCTAGGCGCCATGATTGCGCTGATATTTTCGCTAAGACCGAAATCGGATGAGATAATAAGTTGGGACACGCTTGCAACATCAAAGGGAGTAATATCCTGATCAAGATGAAGAGGCACTTGTCATTTTGACCAACATACTTACCTACCTATATTAATAGGGTAATACAGCCGAGAAAGGTGCGGTTGCAATGCTCTGCTAGGCTTCATGATCCGGGCCATAGAGAATGAAACGATTACTGAGGGGATGTAGTTGGGCAGAATGATTACCACTAACAAAAGCCACCATAGCGCAAATGCCGTGGAAATGCGTGATATCGGTACCTACCTAAGGTTATCTAAAGCAGGCTGTAGGATACCTATCCATGGATTACGTAGGTGGTGTAAAGACAACGCCCCGTCAGCTCGGTTAGGTACAAATACACCCTACCATCTGCTAGGACATCGAAATATGCCCCTCCCACTGCCTCCGATTGCCCTAAGTTGCCCTAAAGTTGCCCCCATGGTTGTGTCCAGGTATTGATCGCTGGCGATTCAAAATAACGGCATGCAATTACCATTTTCACTCTCCAGTACCAGCAATTGTATTGCTATGTAGTAAGTAAGCCATTAGTAGGAGTTCCAATTTTCGCAATAACTAACGCACGCACCAGCGATGAGATATATTCTCAATCTTGGCAGGATACAATAACGCAATGCGAAAGGACACTGGAGCGACCTGACCTTGAACGCGCTTTGCGGGTCAAGTCCCGACAAGATTTCCGGGAAGAGCTAGGAAAACTCCTAATCAACTACCCAGATGAGCCGTCAAAGAAGGCAATCCTTCTCATCCATCCCCATCTGGATCATTACGAGGTTTTCGCTCGGAATTTCGTGGATATGATGGAAAATCCTGTGGATACTTCCATGATGTGGGGATTGTTGTCTCTGGTTTTCAATGTATGAAATGCGACATCTAGTAGGTAGTCAAATGGCGATATAATGCTAATTCGAAAAGCTTGCTCTTGGGAGTTCAGGTCCCATTAGCCCTTTGAGGCAGATCACGACATGGCTAGAGAGGATTGGCCTCGAGTTGAAGCACTCTAATGAATGTAGGAACAAAATTACGGATCTCGAAGGCGTCAAGTCTGATGTAGTAGAGGTAAACAAGGAAGTTGTTATCCTCTGGCTGAATATCATAATGATGTTCCGCAATGAAGGCGTCGGACATGAAAGTATGTACGCGCGACGGAAATCACGTCGATATCTCGATGAAAGGTTACCGAGAGGTCACCTAGGTACCGATACTAACTTTTACAGGCTGGCTAGGTAGGAGCTCATGGAATACTCTAACAACCAAATTCAATGCAGCCTTGAAAAATATTGCGGAAGCTGTACATCGCATGGAGAAGGTGGTTGAGATGGCAGAAAAACATGCCCAGAATATGAACCAGTGGTCAATCTTGCAAAGCCACCTTTCACTAAGTCACCTCCAACTAGAAACTGTAACTAGTCCCTGCCATACACTTCCCGTGGCCGAGAACCGTCAGTTTTTTGGCCGTCAAGAGATTCTACGACAGTTAGAAGATCATCTCAAACCAGCAGATACAAATGCTCGTCTTTCATCCATAGCTCTATATGGCCTTGGTGGCGTCGGAAAGACTCAAGTTGCTCTAGCATACGCATATCAGAAGATCGATCATCTTGATGCTATATTTTGGATATCCGCCGAGAGTCCCTATTCTATTCAACAAAGTTTCAGTCGCGCAGCTCTCGATGCTCTGAGGCTTCCGAAAGCGAAACCCCAGGCATATCAAGAGAATATGGTCTTGGTACTGAACTGGCTACAAAAGACACGTAAGATATAAAAGCGAATTAGTTACCTATGAACCAAATGTTAACCATACCTATATTAGCTGCTAAATGGTTAGTAATATTCGATAATGTCGATAACCATGCTGTACTTGAAGACTGCTGGCCGATTTCACAGCACGGCGCCATTCTCGTAACCAGCAGAGATATTGTTGTTGCCACGCTCCCTATTGACACTGGTCTAGAAGTAGATGAATTTGAGATTGACGAGGGAGCAAAGTTCCTACTTCATATGACACCCAAGAGGCGACCCATTGACAACACCATCGAAAAAGCGGCAGCACATGCTGTATCCAATGAATTGGGCGGTCTACCGCTCGCTCTGAATCAAATGGCCGCCTTAATTAATACAAGGAATTACACGATTGGCGAGTTCCATGCTATGTATATTAAGCATAAACAAAACTTGCACAAACAGAAGAAAAGTGGCTGGAAATACTTAGGATACCAACATGCCCTTGACACAGTATGGGAGATATCATTTACCAACCTCGGAGAACACGCCCGTGCTTGCCTTGGCGTCCTCAGCTTTTTCTCTGCCGATTCGGTCCCGTGTGATCTATTCACAACCGCAAAGTCCAGTAAGCTACCAGAAATACTTGCTTTTTCTGGTGACGAATTGAGGCATGCAATTGCATTCTAGCGGTGTTTCATATTGCTAATTGATAATAGTCTTGGCGATGCCATAGAAGAGCTAACTCACCATGCCCTTGTGAGAAAGAACATTGAGCACGGTAGCTTTCGAATCCATCGATTAGTGCAAGCGGAATATCGAGCCAGAATGGAGAATCCACAAGAAGAGTTTGAAGCTGCTATTAAGCTACTGCTTGACAAGCTTCCATCGCAGGACTCGAGCAAATTCGACGATAAAGAATGGCTCTTGTACAAACGATACATTCCTCAGGTCCTTGCTCTTCTCAAGAACTACGACGATTCGCAAACCGACCCGAATCCCCTCAAGCCCACGATGGATTTCGTGAGGCTTCTTACAAACTCCTCTTAGTATGTTAGCCCTCCACCATACCTGTAACCAACTGACTATCTGCCAGTGCGCTCCATGATAATGATACCATGGATGTAATCCCTAAACTTCTTGAAACCGCAGATTCTGCTTATCATAAATGCAGAGGAGAGGAACAAGACAGACTGCTCTGGGCTTTGTTACAGTACTTAAAATGTATACACCACTTCTGTACTTCGGAATTCGCCAGGTCAGAAAGGGAAATGACGGAATGTCTTAAAATCCGTCTAGAACTGCTTCATCATGATGACACACTTATAGCTCTATCGTACAGCGGTCTCGGGATGGCCGTAGGTGCCCAAGGACGATACGAAGAGGGTCTAGATTGGCTACAGAAAGCTCACAAAGTGTACGAGGGGCCAGCGGGAAAGAATCTCCCAAAACGTATCGTATGGGGATATAACATCTCACGGAATTATTACTGCATGGGTAGATATGCAGAATCCGAAAGCTGTTTGACCAAGGCCCTAGAAATTGCGAATGGGCTTCAGAGCTGGTATATGCAGGTTTAGTAGGTCATTGTCTTCGACACAACGAATCCTTCACTTACAATATCTAGTGGACACCTCACCTTTGCTTCACTTCGAACGAAGATGAACGAACTTGCCGATGCAAAGCAGCACGTTGATGCGGCAAAGGAGATTCTAGAAGTATCCGGGAACTCGGCTAGTCTGAGTTGGCTCAGTTCATACTGTGCTTATCGAAGTGGCGATGTAGCAATGAAGCAACGTCGATTCACTGCCGCCATGTAAGTAAATCCGACTGTTTTTTTCTCTAAATTATTACTAAGCGTGACCTCAGTCAAGAAACAGAGAAAGCAACGGTCATTGGGAAACGCGTGAAGATACCAACTGGTATCCTCGCCCGATGTGTCCACGCCTACTCAAAGGCACTGGCTACAGACCCGTCAAGATTAGATGAATCAGAGACACAGCGACTGGAGGCTAGACGATTGCGGTCGACGTTGCCAGATGGCGGCGGTGACTTGGACGATGAAGGCGATGAGGCTTTCGAAAGGCTTGTAAAGATGGATCATCGGTAGCAATCCATTATAGCCGTTATGAGCAAGTACAAGAAGGGCTATCAGGAGTATTGGTCTCGGCTGTTTACTTGGTACATACACTGCCGTAGGTATTAAGACGGATAGGGATTTGATGATAATCTGGGATTCCTATAGACAGGTAACAATCTGGATGTCACCGCTCCATATACTAAGAACATTCACTCACATGCAGAACTGACTGGCCTAGCCTCGGTAGAGCTCCTTCATTTAAATCATGTGTCTCCATGTTCCTTTAGACTAGAACACCCTACCAAACGATAGGCACACATTCGAAGGTAGTAAGACGATAGATCCTAGGAAAAGATGTAGCAACACGGATTGCAGATCAACTCCGAGAGAATACCCAGGGAAGTCCGCCGCGAATCCATGGGCAGCGAACCCGATCTTCCGCTGTTCATCATATTTAGGTATATGCACAGCAGACCCAACATATGAAGAATCATTTAGCAGGTGTCGTAGGTGGTATATGCAGGAAACATGGCAATCCCCCCTACATATCAGGACAGAAATTCGTTAAAAAAAAATCCCCTGAAAAAAGAAAATAATTCGCAAAATACAGAAATAAAATATCGATAGGATGGATGCTGAGTGTACTAGGTAGGCAGCCTAGAAGTCAAGCCCATCAAAGAACCGAGAATTCAAAAAAAAAATGAAATACAAAAAAAAGCTCAGTTTCGAATTCGAATTCGAAACCTACGAAAAACTCAGTTGGGTCGCCGCGGTGTCAAGTGCTGGGTTGTAAACCGCTCCACCATATCGGCATGGTCCTCGTCGAGTTTTCTCTGGCCTCATGTCACCCAGGGATACGTCCTTTAGCGGGGTCGGCTTGAAAGTTTTGTACTTATTAATCCTTATAAGCCTTGTATCGTTCGGAAATTTGTCGGCTGTCCGTAGCGACAGCAATGGTTGAGATGGTGACTCGACCCAAATAAAAACAAATGACTCAACTGTGCACGTGACCGAGGATAACATCCTTATCATACCTGTATGCTCATTCTTTAGTTACCTGCATAATTCCCACTTGAAAGACACTTGCTGGTGGAAGGGTACAAAACACAGCTTCCATCATCCCAAATACTAGTAAATATTCGGAGACGCCGGTGTATCGAAACAAGCAGGATAACGCCCTACCTTCAATAGCGACACGATCCCGGGCGCCGTGCAGAAAAGACCATAATGCAAGAGACATCCAGGCATATCGGTTGCTGTGATGAATCTACTCAGCAACGCCGTAGTAGAAAGGGTTCCCAATCCATTTTCGAGGTATTGATTTTCACCAAGTATAGATTCCGGGATATTGTCCACTACCGCGTTATTGGCACATTCGAGGTAAGGGATGTGTATCGACTCCGAAATTACCGTCGTGATTTGGCAACGTCTTTGATAGCTCTTCATAGAGACTAACGAGTCGACCTCTCGAAATCAATACCGCGGATTGTGTTGCATGGATATCGATTCGGTGCTCTATGGGCAATACAACGCGGCATGTTTGTTATTTCGAGAAGGGTTTGATGGGATGCTCGATTTCGATCTCGTGGTTCTTTTCCCAGCCTTCCAACGGCGACGACCTACGGTTGTTACAGCATCTTTCGGGTGGATGGAAAGTTGTGTTGAGTCTTGACAAGTTGACTGCCATGGATCACAACCGTTCAAATTGGGATGGACTAATCAAGTGACCAATAAAATCTTTTTCCGACTTGGTCCGATATACATAATATAATTCCTAGAACGTGTTAATCTTAGTCAGAACTAAGCTCTTCATACGAGTTTCATTCAGAGTGCACAGCGGATTTCGACGTGAAATGCGAATTTCGCTAGGGCTGAGCATTGCAATGCCGAACCCCAGCTTGGCGGATACAAGCCTCACCCACTAATTTTCAGCTGTCGTAAAGTCCTTGAATTAAACGTTACGTGCTTTACCTAATCGATCCAACACTTGCAACCATTTACAACTTCAATGTTATGTGAAAAGAGGCCGAGCTTCCTGGTTTTCCAATAGGAATATTCCAAACTGAATAATTAGATAACGATATCTAACAAAACAGGATCCAACGTGATGAATTATGAAACGATTTATCATAAAAATAGTGCCTACCTAGTGAGGTTTAACTAGATGCCTAACCATCTTACCATTTTCAGATCGAATGACAACATTACTAGGTACAACTCGAAGCCAAGGACATAAGCTCATATGTGCCAAGTTGGCGTGTGGCTCCAGATAGCCATATGAACATTAAGAAGAGATCCCAAATATCAAGCTATTCAATTTATTATGGAGTTTCCACAGCATAGCCATATCCATCCTGGCGGGCAACGCCAACATCTTCCGTAGCTCTAACTTTCCATAGGTCGACTTGTACGACACGCCAATACAATGCTAACACTCTCTATAACCTCCTCTCGTTTACATGAATCCATATATAGACTCAATTTAGTATAAAGAGATCTGATTCTCCCGTCTAAGTTCAATATATTCATCATCAAACAACTCAGTCTCATCATCCACAACCAACTTCTACCTCTATCCATCCCATTCGAATATCGACATCTATCAATAATTCAACACAAATAACATCCTCATCATGCTTTCCAAGACTCTCACCGCTACCCTAATCGCCATCACCGGCCTCCTCATGCCTCTCACGGTATCTGCGTCTCCGGCTGAGCCCGAGTTACTCGACACACGAGGACGAACGAACGGCGTGAGTATTCTGCCCAACAGCACCCACATCTAAGAAACAGCCACTCTAATATTTCTACTAATAGCAATGCCGATTCGATGATGGCGGCAAGTGTGGTGGACGAGGATTCTGCCACTTAGTCACCGGCGAGGCCGTCTGCTGTGGAAAGATGAACCACTACCACTGCTCCGGCAACAACAACCACTGCGAGGCCGGCGGTGCCAGAATTGTCGTCAACTGCGACTAAGCCAAGGAAGAGGCAGATTAGAGAGGGTGTCCGGATATCGCTGCTTTGGGGTTATCTCGGGAACTGAAATCGATCCTATCACTTTAGTCATCTATTCGCTATACATATAACTTTCACGTACCATATTTTACCAACAGACAAACTCAATACAATCGCTTAAACCATAACTACGGTCTCATGCAACTCATAAATATGTCTCATTTTCACCTGAGAGATGTTCAATCAGACGTGGGTAAATAGTTAGATAATACACATATGCCATAGATATGGGAGGGGGTGCCTATCAAACCATCTGAATTCAGCCACCTAGGTAATATTCCAACAGGATACTACGAACCTAAAGCGCCCCTTTCCTTCAATCAAAACATATCGATGTTGCATAGGGGTAGGTAGGAGGTAGTTTCAAGAAAAGAATATAGTATGTGGAGTCAGGGGTGAGTAGGTACCTAGCATAACTCACCACTAACTTGGACATCTTCAAGCAGGATTAAATATCGGAGAGTTAATGATAGGTAAGAATAATAGAAACAATTAATGCCAAGGGAAAATAATTTGAAATCAGTGACATCATAGATTAATGATATCATGATCCTAAGGTTGTCTTACATCAGTGGCTGTCAGGGGAAGCAATGCAGCAGCGCCTTCGCCGTATCTTGTGTAACCTTCTCGGACGAATATGGCGGAGCCGAGGGCGCCACGGGATTTTAGAGACAGGGCAGACGCAATTAGACATACAATTACTAATAATCTAGACGGAGCTACCTGCTTTTATCACTTAGTCTGATAGTCTTCAACTATAAGCCCAGCCCCTGGCTGGAATAGGAGTGTTCCTAGTCTAGATTTGTCTGACGATCGCATATGTGATGAGAAATCATACATAAAGGGAGAGATAGAGGTACCTACCTACATATGTAAGCAATCGCATCCTAGATTTGCATCGATCCATATCTCGAGTTTAGCTAGTAGGCTATAGTATATATCCGTATCGCAGCTTTAGACTACTAAGCATATTCCCATCGCTTACCAAGCTGCCAAGTACCTAGGTAGGTAGGTAGGTAGGAAATTAATCTCAGGTATGATACAAGATCCGCGGTCTCCAGGAAACTTCATGGGATCAATTCAATAGATCTTAAGTTATCGGTCGGATGGGCTGACAATGTAATGATGTATAGGGGGGCTTGCAAGAGAGTCAAAAAATATCGATCCCTTAGTTGCTAGTTGCTACCTAGACTTCGCTTCATTCATGCTCTAAGGGAAAGCCTTTTGCCTAAAGTCAACAAACCTACCTAGGTACCTGGGTAAGGTGGTGAGTATTCAGGGGCATATTTGTTATATACCTATCCTACACAGTTGACCAACATGCTTAATTTTAGTAGTGCGACTCTAGGCTTGGAAGGAGGCATAGAATGGAAGCAGGAAGTGAATATTAAGGGGTATCGAAGACTGCTGACGCTTCCACGAATCAACGAGTTGCCTAGATTGAAGCTATGAGTGCCGAAAAGCAGCCTATCGGGGGATAGCGTAGCATCCTTCAGCTCCCGAATAGGGAATCAGCTTCAGAAAAGAAAATCGATTTTTACGCAGCATTAAGACGACTATGGCAAATATTGATGACGTTGGGCAGATCTGTGGGATAATTTCCGTCTTGTCCTATTCATTGTCATCAAATATTATATCTGCGACTAATCAGGGGCTTCACTTTTACGTGATACGCTCCAGTTAATTCATTATACGGCAATTGTCTCTCAGCCGCAGCCTCACCTGCGTCGCTGGAAGGAACCGTAAGGGGTATTTCTAATCATAATCATCTACTAGGTAATCTATCTAAATTAAGTAATGCGGCTTAAGATACTGGCATAAGGCCGGTAACCTTGCGGCCCTGTAGTTAATTACAAGCGCACGATGAAGCTCCTTCTGGAAAGGACCTATGATCGCCAGTAAGCAGCCATGGTCCTGATTTATACAAATAACATCAGACTGCCCCTTAGATGGTAGAGCATTTTCAGATCCTCATCAAGCTCAGCTCGACATCCACGACACTCAAACACCCGTCCCAAGCAACTTACCTGATTCTTATATCGCACAATGTCTCTCAGAACCCTTCTCGGAGTTTCCATGTTCCTTGGCGCCTCTCTGGCGAGAGATGTGCCCTCGAATGTGAAGAACTTCTACAACAGCATCAAGAGCAAGGGCCAGTGCAGCTCCGCCCTAGCGTCAGGTTTCTACAGCGAGTACAACGACGACAACTGTAAGTAATTAGCATCCGTATAAAATCGCCCGACGATACGCTAATGAAAGCTTTAGCCTTTTGCTACTGTGGTGATCACCTCAAAGACGACAAGGTCATCTACATCACCGGAAAGAATGGACAATTCGCCAACATGGACATCGATTGCGACGGGACTCAAGGCAGTGCTGCTGACGACGGTCGCTGCGGAAAGTCGGGTTCCACCCAGTCGATCACGTCTTTTGCCGATACCGTGAGGGGATACGGCAAGGGTATCAGAGACCTGGATGCCAACATTCACCCTTACGTCGTCTTCGGCAACGTTGGTGACAAGCCGGGCTTCACGTCGTTCGACCCCCAGAAGCACGGTGTTGAGCCTTTGTCTGTCATGGCTGTAGTCTGTGGCAACAAGCTGGTAAGGAGCCAAGCCTCCGATGTTCAGAAGTGATGACAGCTAACCAATGATATCAGATCTACGGTGTCTGGGGTGATGAGAACGGCGCCGACGGTCAGAAGTCTGTTGTGGGAGAGGCCTCGATCTCGCTCGCTACCGCATGCTACGGTAAGGGGATCAACGGAAACAGCGGACACGACCAGAACGACGTCCTGTTCCTTGCCTTCACCGGCAAGGATGCCGTCCCTGGAAAGAACGGAGCTAAGTGGGATGCGAAGAACTACAACGAGTTCGAGTCTAGCATCCAGGCTCTCGGTGACAAGCTCATCCAACGCATCAAGTAAAGCCAGAAAAGCGTTGCACGATTTTAGGCAGCTTGACCTACGATAGTCTCGCTTAACTGCGTGCCGACTTTGTTTCTTCCACCTGTATATATGTACCTAGCTTCTAGAATGTAAATATTGATTGAGTCCCTTAAAAATATGAACTCGTAATTTCGGTGCTGAAAGTGAAAAAGAAAGAATGGGAAAGAGAAAAGCCAAAAAAGAAAAAAAAGAAAAAGAAATGTACAACACCAGGGATTCGCTGGTCGTCACCGACCCAACTACTAATCTAGCGGTATTTGGTTTATCAAGGGGAGAGCGGACGGGATCCCGAGCTTTCCAAATCCTATGGTCGTACATGTTAGACATTACTGTTATGATTAATTATCAGTGAGTTGTCGCGAAGTTCGATGTTTAGAACAGTAGAATGAACAAATTTTTGAATTGAATTTGAAAACAACTGTGGAACTTGATGAATAAAGTTTATGAATTGTTGTAAATGCATAACTTATACGGAATAATTAAATTTGTGACATAAAATTTGCATAATGCATTAATTGGACATGGATATCTGCATTTCTCCGCATGGTGGCTTTCAGCCCCCAACACACAAACAAATTGCCTGGACTTTTCAGCAATGAGACGACTTACAGATGGAATTTCAACCATCACGGTTCTATATTCATCGCGTGAAATCAAACCGAACTAATAAAACTGAAATATAACAAGCCCATCTACTTACCCCTAGAATCTGAAGCTCCAAATATCCATGATACCTACCCCATGTTTACCTCCCTATACATAAATACTACGTAGTATTACCATATAGATATCCAATGTTAGCTCACAAACATCTTACCCCGAATGACTGTCAGCCTCAAGGGCGGGGAAGCACTAACTAGTACCTAGGTAAAGCTTCATTAGGAAACTCACAAACGAAGAGGATTTGAGCAGCGGAAGTGTTCACGGTCCTACCAATAAGACCCAATGTCTAAGACCGGGGGTACCTAATAACTTTGACAAAGAATCAAATCACAGTGAGTTACCGCCGCCGCGGTGTTCCCTCGAGAATGCACCTTTGTACCCGCATCGAACAAACCAGGCTTTTCCCCGCATTCTCCTCGACCTATCTCGGCTCCAATCTTGTTTATTTCCTCGAACCATTGCAATCGTGGCCGGTCAGACAGCCAGATTAAACGTCATATGCTCTCTTTTTGCTCCGAGCATTCCTGCAAGGGTTCATAAACATGGCCAGTCGGGAACCATCACCAAGCTGCGTGTGTGACAGGGCTAGCTGTGCGTCGATCTTCGGTCCAGACGGCATGACCTAGAACAAACAAAGAGCAGATCATATTGATAAATTCACATTCAAATATTACTGGGCGCCTCGCCTCTTTCAATCTGGAAAGTCCGAGACTCCATGTCCTGCCTCTGATGTATTTACTTTTTCCCTGTTCATGTAGATACTAGGTACCTACCTTTAGGACCATCACAGTTAATACGATGCCTCTCCCGCTTCTGTTACTTACCTTCTTCTCTGGTCTTCTTCGTACCGTCTCGGCGCAATGTCCCGACTACGATGACTATTCTAAGACGACACACGAACCTTTCTCGGCTGGGAAGTACCAGCTCTCATACCAGAGACCGGTAGCAGCATGTCGAAAATTCAACTCGTCGGACGTCGAAGCAACTATTACGGATATGCAAGGAATAGTCAAAGATCCAGATCTGTTCCGGCTTTTTCAAAATGCGTTTCCGAACACATTGGACACTACAGTGACATGGAAAGGATATGCGGCCAATGATTCGACAGAAGAGGTACAATGACCCGTTGAAACACATGTCCAAGTGATGTTAACACCCCTCAGCTTACCTTTGTCACGACCGGAGACATTGTTGCCATGTGGCTCCGTGATAGCGCGAACCAGATGCGCAGCTATAAGTCATTACTAAAGGCCGATGACAGTCCAGACTCATTAGCATCTTTGTTCCGTGGCGCGATCAATCTGCAATCGCGATATATTATCCACAACCCATACTGCAATGCGTTCCAAGCACCCACAGAATCTGGTCTTCCGCCGGTAGACAATGGGTATGCGGACACCGATAAAGTGACACCCCCTTACAATACAAGCTTCGTCTTCGAATGCAAGTACGAGCTCGACTCAATTTCGGCTTTCTTGCAATTATCTCACGATTATTACGATCAAACCGAAGATGCCGACTTTTTCGGGAAATTCCAATGGGTTACCGCAATTCAAACGATTCTCGACGTTGCCGAAGGTCTCCTCGTCGGGACGTACGCTGACGATGGCACCGTCAACAAATCGCCGTACACGTTCCAACGAACAGCCACCAGCGCAACAGAGACGCTTGCGAACACAGGAGCCGGCAACCCCGTTAAAAGCGGCACCGGATTGGTTCGTAGCGCGTTCCGGCCATCCGACGACTCGACCATCTACCAATTATTCATTCCGGCGAACATGCAATTCTCCAGCTATCTCGGGAAATGCGCCAATATAATGAAGGCGCACGATGCTGAGCTAGCACAGCGCATGAGCGACTTCGCCTCCAACGTCCGGAATGGGATCGAGACATATGGTAAGGTGCAGCATCCGGTGTTGGGCGAGATATATGCGTACGAAATCGACGGGTTTGGGTCGAGCAACTTTATGGACGATGCCAACGTTCCGAGTTTATTGAGTGCGCCAATTCTGGATTATCTGGACGCCTCGGACGAGACGTATCAGAACACGCGCAAATTCGTCCTCTCGACGTGGAACCCGTATTACATGCACGGGCCTGTGCTAAATGGGTACGTCGGCTTTATATGAGTCCACGATTCAAAGGAATGATGCTAACCTGCACCCAGTACCGGCGGCCCACATGTCGGACCCGGAAAGGCGTGGCCAATGTCAATCATCACGTCACTCTTGACTTCGGACGACGATAGCGAGATCGTCGCGGGGTTGCAGATGCTCGTTTCCTCAACCGACGGCTTGGGGTTGATCCACGAATCTATAGATACGTTCAACGCAGCGACTTGGACTCGAGAATGGTTTTCCTGGGCCAATGGCTTGTTTGGTGAGATGCTGTTAGGGCTGAAGGATAGGAAACCTCATTTACTCGAGACGAGTTTCCAGTAAGGCCTAGAGCGAGCTCGAGTGTATATGCGAGTAGTTATAGATGTCATGTATACATAATCGACACGTCACCCCTGAAAATTACCTGCTGATAGCAACTCACGTATTATTCGGTGACAGGAACTAACATCTTGGAGGTGGTCGTACTGACTATAGTCACTGCAATATGCGACTTTTATACATAGCAAGTGAAGTGGTCCAATTGCATTTAATCCGAGTTTGCCGTCAGAATTGCAACATGAGTCGAGTCGCACGCAACCAGAGTTTCCTAACGCAGGAACAATCTACGGCTAATAGCTAGGCCTCTCTCACTCACACCTTGGAGGATCTTATCAGGGGTGTGGTATGACTGAGCCGAGTTGGTCAGATGAACCGTTGTAAATGTGACCTATCCAGCAAGGTGAATATAGTGCTGCATAGTAGACTGCAGATAAGGTACAGTATGCGGAGTCCTACGGCGCGGTCTAGGGAAACCAATGCACTCTACCAGGCTGCCAGCCCAGTCATTTTTTCGGTGAATGCTAGCTTCGTTTTGAAGAAGCAGAACGATGTAGACGATCGATGTTTTCGCCAATCACGATAGTTCCTAGGAGGAGGCTTCAGTCCTGCAACATAAGGTGCCTAGTATGTAGGCCAATTACTAGATAGAAACAGGGGGTAGGTACTGTTTCCTGCACCCGTTTTTGACGTTGTGGGGATGGTTGTAACACGATATGCGTGGCTCCGTGCCTGTGGCCTGCTTAGCTGCAGTGATATGCTGCAGCTAATAATGAGCTAGAAATGGTAATCCATATCCCAGGCTCTTGGGGGCAGAATAGAGGTCCAGAGCAGCAGCAGAGGTCCAGCGTAAGACTCATCAGAGGGTTGAATGGTCAAATAGTCGAATAGTAGAATCGATAGGTAAGATGCTGCTGTACAGCAATATTTCTTCCGCCGTCCACGGTTTGTGTGCGTCGATCAATGTCTTTCTTTCCTCCATTCGCAGGTTTTTACACTTTCAATGCTGCTAATAATCCTGGATTGGATCATATTAATAGAATTGACTAGACCGAACTTGAATTGGCAGAATTGGTTACTGGTTTAGTTTCTCAAGACACTTGCAATTGGAAGATGAAAGATGGAAGAGTCAAGTTTCTTATTCTTATTCTTAGATCTGTATTGCTCTTTACACAATTACTTAGTACCTAGGTACCTAGCTTTACATAATACGTTAAACTTTCAACGATCAGCATCAACGTTTGAACCTTATGTCGACATATACACTACATATTGAGAATACCTATATTTTATGTATCTTTGCGTGCTGCAGGTGGTTTAACTCGCAGCTACCTCAGGTGCTGAGTACATTTCCATGGATGTGCTTAGCGAATGCCAAGGTACGAGTATACATCCAATACATTATGTACAAAAACAGCGAACAACCTTGAAGGTCGTCATAGCCAACCAATCACAATTGATTGTTCTTGTCTTGGCTTACTTTGTTCTAGTCTTATCAGTTCCAGTGCCGGTCGGCTCGTCCTATCTTTCCCTTCTATCTTTTTTTACGCAGTCAGGCAGTACAGCGCTGCATCGGTCGGCTTCTCAAATCCCAACTGAAGCAACTTCTTGGAGCTTGTCTGTCTCTCCCACCAATCCTTTAACTAGAACGGTCCGGACCGATGACGGATGGCCACAAGATTGGAAGAGATCACGAGGAGTATTCCGTCTGACTTATCCCCGGCATTGACAGCTACTCACTAGACCTGACCCTGATCCTGACCCTGGTCTGTCTGGCCCTAACCCCCGACCTCTTCTTCATTACTCTCTCTGTATTCAGATTTGAATTCTTCTTTTGCGACTAATCGCAAGACACTGACACTTACACACTCACACACTCACTCTTTTTTCCGAAGTCACCAACTCAACAACTGACGCATCCCCGATCGATTAACTAACCAAATTCGTACCGATTTGCTTTTAAACCCAACCGCATCGACAATACACGGACATAGCGCACTGCTTTAAGCATAAACTAGATACACCTTACCTTAACGGTTAACCTGACATACCTATTCCTATACCTATACCTATACCTATCCCTGATACTCATACTCATACCCATAAACGTATCAGCGCAATTCTTCCACACCCATCCCTCTTATACATACCTTTTCTCCTACTAGGCACCATCGACATGGCACAGATCGCCTAGCTCAACTGCCTGGCTAGCTCCTCCAAAATCACACAAACCACAAACCACAAACCAGAAACCCTGCAGCAACCCGCATCCAGTTAGCAGAGCCGCCCGCCACGTTCTTCTGCCGGTTACCAGTACCCTCCATACATACATTTCATCACAGTTGACGCTTTATCTGTATTATTACTCTATGTCTGCCTACGTGTTTCGACAGCCTATCTACTAGTAAAGCAACTTGCGATCTCCGCACCGCAGCTAGGCTTTCTTAACTTGTATCCCTTCCTATAAACCCTGTGTATGCCTAGTTATCTGCCTGCCCTATATTTGACCTTACGAACAATGGATGCCAAAGTTCGGTGGCATCCTACTTCCATCTAAGCTAGGTCGATCCTCGCAGGACGCCTCATCTTGTTGGCGATAATCCTCGACGCCTTCCATCCGTGCCACGATCTTAACCGAGATACGACGTCACCGAGATTGTGCATCGATCTGACCAACAAGCCAACAATTACTACGTCCCTGCCCTCGCCATATCTATCAGGCTACACGTAGCCTGAGCTTCGACGACTTCAGGATGCATCAAACTCCCCGCGCCCCGCCTCGTACAGCCTCCCCCGCCTTGTCACAACAAACAAATCCCACAAGAACAAATAATCAGAGAGATCCAGGAAGTCCTGGTTCTGGTCCACCATCTAGACCAGGCTCTCGAGCTCAGGAGAGGACGTCGACGGGAGCGGGTGGAGGCAATCGTGGAGATGGAGGTCCTACTCGTGATTCTATTAAGAAATTAGACCAGATTATCCAGGTTGGTTTTCTATCAATCATGTTGTTATGGTCGTATGTACTCACAAATGGCCCCCAATCTAGAATATCTACTCGAAAGCCGGTACCGTAATATTACAGACACGCATGCAAGTAACCCCGATTCTCGTGGGTAAGTCTCTAGAGAGGAGAACGAGTAGATGGGTAAGTCCAAACCTTGAAGATGCCGATTCCTCAATCTTACCAAATGCCCTGAGATACAGTTTCAACTCGATACCGACGATATTGACGACTTTCGAGAAGAGTTCCGTGTATGGAAACAATGCGGCGGATTTGAGAATCGCCCACCTCCGTTAGTGATCGAAACTTACCTTGATACGACTCGATTGAAGGGTGGCCAAAGCTTGGTAATTCTGGATGAAAATGGAAAGAGATGGGATGTTATCGAGGCCCTTAACGCTTTCGATCAGTCTGGCGACGGCAGCTCTGGTCGTCAGGGGAAACCGATAACCCGCCTTGTATTAGAGCGATGGCGTGTTGAGCTAAAAGGAAAACCCCCCGATCAACTAGATGACTTTGGTCTACTGCTTCCTACAGTGTACAAGAAGGCAATTGTCTTGATGCGATCGATATATACGACGACAGGCCTCTTGCCCGCCTGGAAGCTCGCTAGGAATTCTAAAACAAAGGGCACCCATCCCGCCTTAGCGGTCCGCTGCCGAGTCTTCTCTGGGGAATCTCCAACGTATGGATCCGACTCCCTGAGGATACCCTTGTTCGCCGGCAGAGGGGATGTCTCGACCGATTATGTGTTTGGTAACCTCGAAGTCCCTGTGGGACGATTCTACGTTTCTGTGTCTTACCGCAACCACTGCAACTTCCAGGTGGTTGATTCCGAATCTTTGCTGAGCTCACGCATTGATATATCTGATGACATGTTCAAGCCATCGTTGCCCCGTCATGGCCATGGACGTCGCGACTCTTATGCCCCTGAAGTCGGGTCGCTCCCTTACCATCGGCACGTGCAGAACATCACAGAAAATCAGCAACGATACGGTAGTTTATCCACGTTTCACGGCGAAGGGCCGATTGGCACGAGCCCTATCTCCGCATTAAAGGCAGTAAAAGCTCCAGGTTCGGACACCAGTTCACCACCGGATTCTAGACCTGCGAGCATTGAAGCCCCCCCTCATACCCTCCCAATTGCCAACCACGCCCGTCGACCATCTCTCAGAGGGATAGATACCTCGCGACGCCCATCCGTCTCCTTCCAGTCTTCGCCATTCAAGCATGGCTCTCTTTCAGGGTCACCCGCGCTTCGGCCGCAGGACCCTGATGTTCCACCGTCGCCACAATCCTTAAACCGCCCTTCAAGTTTTAATACGCATGTGAGAAATCGCTCTTCATTGACGGCTGGAATGCCGGCTTCTCTCCGTGGGGCACCACCCCCTGCCCCGGCAGATAACTCTCTCGCCAGTTCGCCAAGGCCATCTGTCTCTAATCGATTTAGTAGCAGCTTTGGGCATCGGCGTAGTCGGCCATCTCTTAGCGGCGCTAGGGTTGATGATGACCAAAACAGCAGTGGCAAGCAAAGTTTATCATCTTCGGTTGTCCAACCGGGCTCCGGTCTATTGAACGAGATTGGCGCTGCCGGTAGTTCCGGATCTTTCCAAACTGATGATGAGAGCATCCAGAACTTCTTGAAGATGATTGAAAGCAAGAAGACATTAGCAAGTTTCGACTCATCTAAGAAAGGAGAATCGGCGACTAAGAGAACGGCGGCTCAGCTTTCGAAGTTTCAACATATGCGTGAGTCGAATAATGCGCTGACCGAATCCATGAACTCGTCTATGCAGCTTCAACGTTCATCTAGCTCTTCTAGCCGTCAGTTAGCTAATGTACCGGGTATGTCAACATCATCGTCCCCGGGAAAGCCGTTATCACCTCATACCCCACATACACCCGCCATCCCATCTCGCTTAAGCGAGAACTCGAGTGTCGATTATGCACCGACTACAAGAGTTGCGTCGCGGTCGCGCAACGTTGAGGGTCTTCCAGAAGAACCTACGGTCAGTGCACAGGCTACTCATGAGGGGACGACCGCCATCGACATTCCTACATCGCCAAGGCCTTACCCACATGCCAGGCGATCTAGTTCCGTTGCTCACCAGAATCGTGCATTAGTTGACGACGACGACATTGATGCTCATCGCAGTATTAGCCTTGGCGCGGAAGACCGCGAACCTCCCAGTCTTAGTGTTCTATTGGGATTAGGCTCTGATGAGCCAACTAGTGCGGTGGATACTCCGGGTCTACAATCTGCTGCTGATATTAGGGCAACAAGTCCTCCGGATATGCTTGGGCAAGAATCAGAATCTGTTGAGCGTGAAGTCCGGCCTCCAGGCGGCCTTTACTCCGGATTCTCGAGTTCGCCTTACAGCAGACGTTATGGCAACAATGCCGGCCGAGGCATTACGCCTCCCCACTCAGGAAGTGGTAGTCTGGTCGGGTCCAGCGGCAGATTCGGCAGGGGTTATTCACGCGGAGGCGCTACAGGCCTAGGTGTGACAGGTGCTGCCGCAGATGAGCCTGACGATGAGCCGCTTCTATTTGATATGTCTGAGATTACTCGTGAGCAATCTCGTCGCAGCCTCGAGGAAGCCAGAGGTGGCGGAAGTGTAGGGTCCAGTGGCGATAAGGGAGCCTATGAGACCAGTCACAGGAGCCGTCGTTGGTAATGAGGTTATGGCAGACCTAATCGTTTACGACTTGAAACGAGTTTGCATTTTGCATTTTCTCGCTGCATAAGATGTTGTGTAATGCTTGTATTGGGTGTGGATCGACGATATAGGAAACTAGGAAACACTCCGGGTGGTATGGTGCAGAGCTTTCATTCTTCAGAACACGGGTACGTCCGGAGATCTATTACGACTACAGATTGTCATCGACATTGTTATTTGATTTTGGATGAGCCCGGATGTTTTTGTTTTCAGAGGAGTTTGAAGGCACTATGGATGGAAATGATTATTACCAAGGGCCGGAGTCTAGAGCGGAGTTTGAGGTTCATTATCATGACACGCTCGAGGACGACCGTCTGGCGTTTCATTCGGAAGGGTGAAGGGCATCACAGAGCGGTTTGGCTTTTCTGCTCTCGGTCGTCCTTTTTTAATCCGAGGTTATAGGGTATGCGGACGGGGTGTTTGCTATAAGACTAGGTACATATAAGGTAGCTCAGGATGAAGTTCCAGTCGTCTCATCCCACAGAGCACCTTTAGATGGAATAGAAAGAATATGGTGAACCACGCCGAGACGTAACTCTTTACCACCAGGGATTAACCTAGGTTGTAGGTATTGGCTTGTATATTAGGAGCCGGGTATTTAAACAAATCTCATGTCATATACACCTGCATATATTATCATGATCTTGTCTTGCCTTGTGTATATGAATACATGTTACTCGATTAAATAATTTTATTATTTATGTCTCTTGATACTACATAGGTAGGTAATTGTCTGTATACTAAGTACTTACATAGTACCAGGATGCATACTATATTCCGAATGTAAAGCTCCGAACGCGAGAAAAGTTTTCTGAAATTCCTACCTATCACATTGAGGACATAGAAGGGTCGAATAGTACCTAGCACTTTGCCTTCTGCTCTGCCTTACAAGCTCGGAAATCTGTTGGTCTAAACGAAGTCAATCGGATGTTGAGGCGCAGTTTAATCTAGCATGGAAGGTATGACAGGCATGGATTGATATTGATAGAAATATTCGGACGTCATTGCATTGCGCGTTGTGGATAGCGGATAGTTCCCAGAAGGCAGCTACAGGTCACCGGGTTCGCTGCTAACCACCAATATTAGGTACCATGCATTGCCCCAGAGGCTGGGCCAGAACGCTAGTATATATCGAGCTACGCTAAGGAAGCACAGGCCAACGTCATCAATTATGTACTCCTCTAGGCTGTAACTTTTAGAACCTCTCCACCAACCTACCTCATAATTCTTAACGCTACAACTACAACTACCAATCTCTATCTTTAAGTCACACGTTCCGACCATTCCACCGTCACGATACCCGCGATACCCGACGCAATATAACTCATAAACCGAGGGAATTAAAGTTGGTACCGCCGTAGAAGGGAGACAAAAACACCAGATCATAGGGATAGTCTTTTCTCCCGCCCGCTGCCCACCATGTTTCGGGGAACAGCAGTCGGTCCTTATGATGAAGTAATCGGTACGCACCGCACCACAACGTAACCACATTCAGCCCCCAATATGGTCATAAAACTGACATAGCTTCGACCATTCTAGCCAAGGCGACCGACGAGAACCTCACTTCGGAGGACTGGGGGGCTATTATCGAGGTCTGCGACAAAGTAACCAGTGATCCTAATGGACCCAACCAAGCAGTTCAGGGCTTGATCAAGCGCCTAGCACATCGCAACGCCAATGTTCAGCTCTACACCCTCGAGGTACGTATTCCAAACGCCGTTTACCTCGCTTCATCGTTCGCCCATTTATTTCCGCTAATATTAACTTGTATTAGCTCGCGAATGCGCTATCGCAAAACTGCGGCAAGAACATGCATCGCGAGCTCGCCAGCCGCGCTTTCACCGATGCCCTACTAAAACTTGCCAACGACCGCAATACCCACCAACAAGTTAAGGTCAAGGTTTTAGAAAGAACAAAGGAATGGTCTGATATGTTTAGCCAAGATGCAGACCTTGGTATCATGTACGATGCCTACTACCGTCTTAAGCAGACCAACCCGACCTTACAACCACCGTCGGCCCCGCAGAAGACCGGCCTTACCGATCTAGATCGCCAGAAGGAAGAAGATGAGCTTCAAATGGCGCTCACGCTATCTTTACAAGAAGAAGAAAGGAAGAAGGTCCCTCAACCCGGTCCCTCTGTCGCAGGGCCAAGCTCAGGGGCAGGACCAAGTGCGGCGACTAATCAGGCGGAACCAATACCCTCTCACCCTACCGGAACAACAGCCGCCACCGTATCACGAGTCCGCGCCCTCTACGATTTCGTTCCGACCGAGCCTGGCGAACTTGAGTTTAAGAAGGGTGATATTATCGCCGTCCTCGAGTCCGTCTTCAAGGACTGGTGGCGAGGTTCGTTGAAAGGTCGAACTGGCATTTTCCCTCTTAACTACGTCGAGAAACTTGCGGACCCGACCCCCGATGAGCTCCAACGCGAGGCGCAAATGGAGGCTGAAGTTTTTGCCGAAATCAAGAACGTCGAGAAGCTTCTTACCTTGCTAAGCACGTCTAATGCATCGCCGAGGGAAGAGGACAATGAGGAGATATCAGTATGTCTAAAATGGCTACACTATACCCATTTGCAATAGCTAACGTCTCTAGAAACTCTATCACCAAACTCTGGCTATCCGACCGAAACTAATCAAATTAATTGAAAAGTACTCACAGAAGAAAGAGGACTTTACTCAACTAAACGAAAAGTTCATTAAGGCCAGAAGAGATTACGAATCACTCTTAGAATCTTCGATGTCTCATCCACCCCAACCGAACTACCATCAATATGCTCCGAGACCGATCATGAACCACGGGTATGGGGGTCCCGGGGGTCCGGGTCCGGGTCCGGGTTTTGCGCCTCAGGGGCCACCCGTTCAGCAAGAACCCCAAAGATATTATACCCCCGGCCCTCAAGGGCCTCCTCCACAAGGTATGTGGACTGCAGGTATCTCTACGGGAAGTGAGCTCACACATAATTAGAGCAAACCCAATACCAGGCGACATCACCGCCTCCTACCTTCCAACGGCCAACGCCTGCCCCTGCTCCGTTCTATCTGCAGGGCGCAGAGATTCCACCTCAGGCGAGCCAACCGCCACCTCAACAATACCCGCCAAGAGACCAGCCTTCGCGCATAGCAATGGGCAAGCAGCCCGCTCCTATACAAACCTCGTCTCCCCCGCCACAGGCCTACCAGGCATATTCTCAACCTCCCCCTCAAGTGGGACAGAGGCCCCAGAGCACTTACGGCAATCCCCAGGAACTAGCCACGTCCGCATATGACTCCCCGGTGGCTACTCATAACCCGGGCCGCACCGACCCTTACTCTGCATCGGTCTATTCTCAAGAGGACCCTTACGCATCGAGCCCGACTGCTCCCGCGCCAAGTGCTCCTATCTTACCCGCTCCCTCTGCTCCCTTAGCACCTTCCGCACCCCCGGCCGCCGTGCCCACTCCCCTAGCTATTGCCTCTCACCCTTCGCAGCCGCAATATTCGGCGTACAACCCGAACGCCCATCGCCAAGACTCGTACGATGCGGGTATTCCTCCCCCGCAGCCCACCGGCTCAGCGCCCCCGATCCCAGTTCAGCCGCCACCTAGCGTGCTAACGCCACCACCGCTACACCCAGGCGGACCGGCGTTCGATGCTAGGCAGAGTCTACCGAGTCAGGTCGTACCGGGGAATGTGGGCATGGGAGGTGTTCAGCCCCAGTACAAGGCATACGTGCCTCCTGGCAACGAACCGAGCGCCCCACAGGACTTTTACAGGCAGAACGCTGCTTATTAAGACTATGTAGGATAGGGGTCAAGGGTTAGGAAGTTGAATGGCGAGGGCGAGAATTGGTGAACAAAGGAAGAAGATAAGGGGACGCAGAATGCGAGTCAAGGGATTTGAAGGCTGGGTTTAGGTTTTTGCGAGCTACGGCATACTTGTATCAACTAGGCTTTTAATGCATCGGTGCATTTCAATGTTGCGGGGTTTAGTTGGTCGCTTGGTACACAGCTTGCTAGGGGATACCCCGGAAAGGGGAACGGTTCCTGCTTGATGATCCATCTGTTGGGATCTTGGGGTTGGTAGATATGATAACATAATCGAAGTGGTGATATATTAAACAATTGAACGTGGATGTTGTTATTTTGTGTTGTGAGCGCTGTGAGTGCTGTGAGTGTAAAATAGTGGTAGTGTTTTCTTGGGACTGGTTATAGGTGGCTTTGGTCTTATGTTGGGCTATTTTTAGCAAGGATATCAGCTATAATACTGCCCGGGCTCTTGAAGTGAGTGGTTCAAAAGTGTACAAGTAAACAGTGTTCATTAACTTGACAACTTCTATAAGTTTAACAAATTCATCAATGCTCTAAGAGTTCCTGGTATTTCAATCTGCCTTTTCGAGTGTATGAAAAGATTATACGCATAATCTATTTGTTGTTCTGTATTTCAGGGTCGACTTAGAACTGTAAATTCGATGCCCCTCTAAATTTATAAATTCGGTTGACTTATAAGGCTGTCTTACTTTTATCCTATAGCCCTAGAGGATTACCAGAGCGATACCAATAGCGCTACTTATCCCCTATATATATAAGGCCGATAGTGTACCTAACGGTGAAGCTGGACGAGGGGAAGGTACTTCCAAACTGAATCTTCCGAGGTCACACAAGGATGTGGGAGTGCTTACATAACCAGCAATATGCCTGGTGCCTATGGAAAGTTTCCAGTTTGAAATTGAAACTGCAACTTAGGAAAATACAACATCAAACCATCCCCGAACGAACAAAGTCAGATCCAATTATTACTCACTATTTATGCCCTACAAAATACTCCAATTACTCGATTATATATACGATATTAATAAGGATATAATTCAAAATACATACCACATGCTGCTTTATATATAGTCGAGTGTTCCTAGCTATATACTGCGCCATGTATAAAATTGAAAGAAAAGCGAGTCAATGGCCCCCAAATCTGATCAGTTCAGATTGCCACAGCCTACACAACCACCGCCATGTGGTGAGACTCTGTTAATGTTGTTTCCTAGCGTGCTTACCAGAGGCATGAGGTTGTCTCGCCATTCAAGTATATTATGGGTAAGACGGTAGCACCCCTGCTCACTATCCTTTCAGCTCCCTGCGCCTATCATGGAAGTTATAAACGCCCCGCAGTCGAGTCCAAAATCTTCGGAACCCCAGTCCACCAAGATTCAACTCCCGCAGAATGCGACTCATCAACACTTCATCCCTGGAATTTGAAGAGTTCCATGGGGATGCAGTTCCGCCCTATGCGATACTAAGCCATACATGGGTCGAAGGAGAAGAGATCAGCTTTCGCGAGTTCATAGACCCCAACCTATCTACGACCACTAAATCCGGATTTCATAAGATCAAGGGCGCGTGTAAGATAGCGCGACAAGATGGCATCGATTGGATATGGATTGATACCAATTGTATTGACAAGGCCAGTTCGGCTGAGCTCACCGAGGCCATAAATTCTATGTATAATTGGTATAAGGGGTCCGAAGTATGCTACGCTTACCTATCCGACGTCACAGATTTCCCTTTACGCGACGGAGAGGACGGACCATATGACCTGAATAGCCAGTTTCGTCAGAGCAAGTGGTTTTTACGTGGATGGACGCTCCAAGAGTTAATCGCGCCGCGACGATTAGTATTCTACAGCTCTTCCTGGGCTAAGATTGGTGATCGTTCAGATCTTGCATCCGATATCTCCGCCGTTACCGGAATCGAGACGCGGCTCCTACGAGGCGTTGCAGATATACATGCAGTTAGCATCGCGAAAAAGATGTCGTGGGCAGCTCGGCGTGAGACTACACGTGTTGAGGATATCGCATACTGTCTACTGGGGCTATTCGATGTCAATATGCCGCTGTTGTACGGCGAGGGCACCAAGGCATTTACGCGGCTCCAGGAGGAAATAATAAAGACATCAAACGACCACACCGTGTTCTGCTGGAGCCGTACTAGCGTGCCGGCAGACTGGACTAGCATGCTAGCGCCCTCGCCGGCTGTGTTCCGTGACGCCGGGGATTATGTCCCGATAGACGCCTGGGAGATACCGATGCCTCATTCAATGACGAACCTGGGATTGTCGATATACTTACCTATTGTATATACCTTAACGCAGATGTTCGTCATGCTTGACGCTGGGCTCTTGGGGGGACGCGCTGATATGCGTGCTTGTATTGCTATGGAGAGAACGAATCCACGGCGGTCGGGATCAAATATTCTTGACAGGAGTAGTGTTTTCATGGGCCCGACGATGCTTTCGAAAGAGGCAACCGATACGAGGGAGCGGTACAACTTGTTCATCCGATCTAGACACGTGCCGCAACCCGAGAGCCCACTAAGACCATGTGGGCCCCGTATATCCAAGCACGGCATTTTGTTATTTGTAGATCCGACCGCGACACGACTCTTATCGACCGGCAAACGCGGAGCACCTCTCGGGTCCGTGGGCTATGACATTGAGACGCATCCTCATGGAATTTTCAACGAGAAAACCGCCGTACTATGGTTGCCGGCCTTTGATGGCGGTAGTTCGCTTATCACATCCGGCTTGGTGCGTATCCGTTTCAAGTCGCCGCAAGAAACAGATCTATATCTTTTTCTCGCAGTCATATTAACGATTAGTGGAAGAGAAGCCTGGTACTGCGGCCTATATTCAGCAGATGAGTTCTGGTTCATCGAACGAGAAATCAAGGAAAGAATCAATGAAGAGGTTGCACCTGATGAAGAGATGGTGATGATAAATGGTTACCTGCGAACCGTCGCCTGGGAGCATGGCCGCAAACAGCTCACGGATCATACGCAAGACGAATCCTTGTTTGTTTCTATTGGGGGGACGATGACTCGCAACCCCAAGACTGATATCAGGGCGGCTATGCTCTCTGGCAAGTGCGAGTCCCCTTATTCGTTTCCTATGAGCGCCATCGATATTGGCGGTGTAGTTGATGAGACGGACGACGATGATAGTGCGGAGGACGAAGAGTTTGAAGATTGGGACTCGTCAAATGAAGATGAGGATAGTGATGAATCTGCAGGGGAGAAGACCAATGGATCACGTAGATGGGACGTTAATAGCTCTGGTGAAAGCTCCCAGACCTTGTCGTCCACATCATCATGGTCTAAAACTTCACCGCCACCTAAACTCCCAGCTTCCTAGCGTTCTTCATGAACTGTGGGGTCCGCTCAACTTAATATCCCTAGGTTTATCGATTCGATCATGATAAACGCTTCGTGGAAGAACCCATTCCGAACCACCGAGCAGACAACAAATCTGTGGATGATCATCTAACGTTTGATAGAGTCGATTTGCAAAATATAGACATTGCACATAGCCTATAAAGTGAATTATTTAGATAATTAAGTAATGCTGTTACATCGCAAGGAGGACTATCCACCTATGCGCATTACTAAGAGTATTGGCGTTTTCAGTCTCCCAGACTTTGAATCAGTGTAGGCTATTCAAAAAGAGCAACCTTGTTCATAGATGGTATGTAGGAATGTATGCATTGTGTTTTACAGTTCTTGGGCATTATTTGTTGAGGACGCAGCATGTCACCCAAGTAAGTTATTTCCTTGTCCCTGACAGACTTCTCCGTAGTCGGTTTTGACCATTGGACCATAGGTAGCAAGCATATCCTGGATCAGCATAGCAATAATAACCCCTCACTCATATGGTTCTCAATGCCATGTCATCGTGCCCCCATGCCATTCATATTCAGCCTTCTTCATCTCCGCCGCCACCCCACCGTTTCAGAGATGATGATGCCAACCCAAAATAGCCTTGCCTCTCGGAACACCGCCTTACGTAGAATATGCTTCTCCACTCCCATAGGGAGCGCGGCAACCACGCCGACATGGAAACTAGAAGCCAGGGAATAATAGGACGAAGTTCAAATAGTTGGGTCGAAAGGTGGTAGTTACCTAATCAAGGCTTGGTTCCTGCTGAGCTAAAGCACTGAATGGATGGATCCTAGAAGAGAAAGCTGTCGCTTTGGAGATCAGCGCTTCTAGATCAGATCACACCGTAAGACCTCAATCTCCTGTCCAGACGGCCGCGCGTTCTGGACCTCCGCGGCGCGAAAGAGGTGGACAGAAATGAAAAAAAACCTGGGGCAGGGCGGTGGAGAATGGCTATGTATGCCGGGACGGTAGTGTTCACGGTAGCGCAAACGCTAGGCAAGGCAGCGCGGGCCGTTGTTCGTGAACCAGCGTTTCGACCCGCGTTGAACCAATCAGGGCAGCTAGAACAGTCTGCTCAATTGCCTTGTTGGGGTCGTCCTATGCCCTTCGCGTGCTAGCGGGTTCGTGTTGTCCCTATGCCATGACAAGAGGAAACATCCCGAGCCGGCAATGATCGCGGCCCCGGTTGAGGCTCCACATGGGGGTTCCTGAGCTAATATTGCAGCTTCATGCAACGCCGCCGATCCTAACGTGGTCGACCTCGAGCTAGCCTTGCCTCGACCGCACACCGTGATATCCTCACCCGCTCAGCCTGGTCGCCCCTTGGTCGGCTGGGCAAAAGACGACGAAGCCATGCCTCCGTGAAAAGGTATAAAGAAGCCTCAGGTTCGCCGGTTTAGGTTTGTATTTTCCCTTTCCTCATCACAGCAGACAATTCATCACATCCATCCATCCATCTCAACAACATCTCAAACTTTTCAAACCTTCCAACCCAAACCCAACCCACAAACCATCAAAATGCGTTTCTCCACCGCCATCAGCACCATCGCCCTCGCCCTCAGCGGCAGCGCCATCGCGCAGAGCACCGAAGAAGTGACCATCACGAGCCTGACCCTGCACAAGGCCGGTGTCTCCGGCACCTCGGTCGGCACCGTCGACGGCGCCGCCTTCAAGCTAGACGGCAATGACGGCAAGGGCATCGACTGCAGCGCCACCGCCGCGGGCATCACCTCCGGTGTTCCCACCGCCGACCTAGCCTGCGGCAGCAGCACCTACAAGTTCAGCGTCCTCCCCGGCGCCGACGCCTCTACCTTCGGCTTGAAGATCACCCACAACGCGTAAGTAGCCTAACCTCCCCCTTATCCCCATACTAGGGTATGGAGATAAACATAATAAAACCCGAAACTAACACCTCAATAGCATCTCCGGCCAAGGCACCGTCAACGTCGTCTGCCGCAGCGGCGGCGGCGACACCTCCGTGTGCAGCCTGACCAGCGACTCGCTCAAGATCAGCCTGAAGGCTTAGATTCGCCTTTCCCGGAACGATCAGTTAATGTCGTGAATGAATTTTTGGAAATGAAAGTTTACGAAAGCATGTTTTGAGAACTTTTAGAGATGAGATGAGATGGATGGATCCGCTGTTTTTGATTTCGAAGTAACATTCTTACACATAGACAATTTTAGAACATCTTGTTTTACAACTCCTAGTTCCTTGAGACTGAAAGTGAATATGTCGAGTCTTAAAATAGGCTGGTGCTTTAGTATCAACGGTGTACCTCAGTAAATTCATGAATGTGAAGTTTATTTAGTATTATATAAGTTATTTCTAACAGATGCCACCTTGAGCGTGTTAGAGAGTATCCTATCTAGTGGATTGTGCTCTGAAACAGTAAATAGTACATGTAAATACTATACATAGATGTATAAAATGGCAGAACAACCTATATTTGTTCGACTTCCCCTTTCGAGCCTTCTTATAGCCATACGCCTGGTTATCCTAATTTTCCTTTAAGAACGCCCTAAAACTCCAGTACTGGACGCTTCCATAATAGATAGGTACCTAGTCAACTATATATATAACTTAAATTCTGAGGTCATAGAATATATGGGGTGTATTAGTTTCTTTGGCATAGATTGACTCGTATATACGAGTGTTAGTGTTCAATCTGATTTGCCGTCGTAAATCATTACCTAGTAGTAGCCACTGGGCTGGGTCTGCAACCGTGTCTCATGCTAAAGATAGACGCTCAATGATCTAGGGAGAATCATCTGATAGCTTGAGGCATCGTTCGAATAATTCGACGGTCTCTTGGACATATCCTACTTTCTCGCCCAATTCGATCGACCGATAATACCACGGTTGGTCGATCTGTTGTGGGAAATTGCTTTTGGCATCCGCCGTATCACGAAATACGCGCCATCTACTCTCAAAGTCTCGGCCCATCTGGTCGGCTCCTGCTGTAGCGCCTATCTTTCGGCAGTAGTTTTCTACGGCGGATATCGCTTCAAGTGTCTGAATATGCGACGGGCCATAAATTTCCTGCGAGAGTTTGAGAAGGTTGTGTCCTGCTTGTACTGCCTCCGCTTGTGTTCCTTTGCGCTCTTTAACTTCAAACATCAACCAGGCAGCCTTGCAGCGGAGATCCGGGTAAGCACTGGGTGGTCGTGTATCTAGCCACTCGATTATTTCTTTGGTAACAGTCTCAGCCTTCTTCACTCGTCGACGTCCAAGGGAAACAAGTGCTAATCTGAACTTAGTTTCCTGAAGAAGAAATTCCGCGGCTTCTCTCGAAATCGCTCCCCCTGTAATCATAGCCTGAATGACAGTCTCAAGCAAATTATATGACAGCAAACCGGTACAGTGAAGCTGAATAAATACGAACGCGCCCTGGACGTCGTTGGTAGTGTTCGTCTCCCGCGAGTTGACATGTCGTCCCCACATGTCCAAGTAAGATTCAAATATGGCGCCAGCGTGGTCATTGATCCCACTCATTCCCGTAAGTACAACTCGAGACCATAATTGGTTGAATGGATGCCCTCGTGGCAAAATTAATGCTGTGAGCTTTGAAGCATAGTCAATGAAGGCATCACCAAGCTTGTTGTTTTGACTCGCGAGGACTATTGCGCACTTGTAGGTCGCCAGCCAGAACATCGAATCGGGTTGTTGTAATTGTAGCTTGTACTGGTCGAAGCACATGCCCAGCAGCGAGAAGCCTTCTTTTATTCGGCCATGGCGAATCAATCCCTGAGACGAAGCCACGTAATGTTGCCAGGTAAAAGCACCGTTCATTTCAGCTCGATCTCCCTTGGCCGCCATTTGCCATATCCCATTATCGAATGCCCCATTTATGAAATTGCGGAGAATCTGCATGCACTCGTGCGGCACTCTCAATTCGGTAGGTTCCTCGATGCGGGGGGAAATGGATACATTGGAATCGGTCGTGTCTGGCGACGGTGATGGCGAGGGTGTTCGACAAATTACTTGGGATATCCTTGAATTCGATCCCTCATCATCGGCCCCCTTTTCGGCGCGCATGATCTTTTTCGAAATAAGAGGTGCCGCACGATATCGATACCGTTGTAGTCGATCTGGGTCAATCCGCCTGCCTCTGATGTATGCTACCGTTGGTTTTCCGGCTGCGGCGCGAGCAGTCTGTTGGCGAAAGATCTCGACAGCTTCCTCGGCTTTGATTTTCTTTTCGATGCCCCATTTTTGGAAGCGGGCTTTGTACATCCTTACGCTTATTAACCTGTTAGATGATTGTCCAACAATCACGACGAACTAGGGAGTGAGTCGTAGCTAATCGAAACGTACGTTGCGTAGAATTGGTGATTATCCTGCATTGTCTGCATAATCTCCTTTAACGTCTTATTCTGGTCTCGATCTAATGGAAAGGTATACTGTTAATTGATGTTCCATTATGCAAGCAAGGACAACCTAGGTAAAGTAGGAGCTAAGGATAGTGAAGGAATATCAGGCATTGACGATCAATTGCGGAAGGATGAGGGGTTAATTGAACATACTGACAGCACGTTAGCTAAATGCAAGCACGATAGGGTGAATCGAAATGGGAAGATAATACCAGAGAGTTGTGATGTAATCTCTTTGTGAAGCCCAATCGTTGGCGGTGGCCCAGCCATTGTGGCCAGTAGGTGTAGTAGACATTGCGACGCGAAGAACCAAGCAATGGGGAATCGAACATCAGCTAAGCATCTACAGTTTGGCCAATTGGTTCGTAGATCGTAGATCGTGGCACGACAGATCTGAGGTCAGACGGTGGACAAGAGAGGAAATCGTTAATAATGTTGGCAGATGAAAAACGATAGTGACACTATCGCGGGCCGTGTAAATTCAATGTATCCAATGTATCCAAGGTATTCAAGGTATCCAAAGGTGTGGGAAACGGGAAATGCAGGTAAGCAAGTAAGCCACACAAATAGAACCAACAGAGTGTCATTCCCGCATCTTCTCGGGAACAAATTAAGATAAAGGGTGGGTGACGATCCGATCTAGTAAGTGACAATAACTATTCGGCGATCTTGTAACACAATTATCGGGATGCGACTATGCGATGGATATTCTGATGTTCCGTTCTCATCGTGGGGTGTCTGGCAGACTGGCAGTGGGTGAGGACTGAGCACGGTGTATTGATCGAGACTCGGCAATGCCCGTACTGTATTGTAAGCAAAAAAGGGTCAAAGCGTCAAAGACAGATCGTCCGGAGTAGACGAAACAGGACCGACAAGACCGACAAGACTAACAACCTTGTCTCTCTCACATATTAATATTAGCCTGAATTGTATGAAGATGGCGAGACCTTCATATTCTTCGAGTACTGAGTAATGAATATGTTTGTCCGCGATATCCGAAACGTTGAAGACAGTTTCTACTGCTGCTTTACCTAGGTGGAAATCCTCGACATTGTTGGCTAGGGATATGAATGTTGGAACATTGAAAGGAGAAATTCAATCGTGCGGCGCAGCGACGTTGTACAACAGTGTCACGCGCGAATCAGTTCGGCAATTCAACCTGATTTGTACCAGGTACCTACTCCATAGATGTACATGGAACGATGAGTGGAATGGTTCCATGCGAGTCTACTGCTGCTCTAAATTAGAATAAGGTACAAGACCGTAAGCTAACTCTAATACGCACGGTCTCTGGATGGTGTATCGATACATACTGCCGACAGTGGCAGAGTGGATATGGACAAGTGGGGGTCAAAAGGATTTTGGAAGCTGTGACTGCCAGCTGTGAGCCAGCTGTCAAGTAGCATGGCAAGCTTCTCATAGCTGTTACACAGTTGCCCCATACCTGACTCGGTAGCACCTTACAGCCACAAACAGATAAAACTCGAGAGTGGTTGATAAGCTGAGCTGGTTGACCCGGTAAATTATGTCATTGGCCGCCGTCATTGTAAACAACATCGAATAAAGTTAAATCTCCCAACGGTCTAAACAAACAATCACCCGAGGTCAATATTTACAAGTACACAACATAATTATTCTCTTTAGAATCCTGTCCATATTGTCGTAATCACACACTACATCCCCGTTTTGCCAACAGATCCCATTTCGGCTTTCTATGAGGTTTGTTTACCCCACCTACAAACATCCCACTTCGCAGCCTGAAACCTCATATTCACCATCAATTTATCTAGAAAGCCAGGCGACAGCTTCGGAATTCGGCCAAGGAACGACCTTAAGTCAACCGACACACCCGATTTCCTTAAGCCTAAGTATACGAAGCACAATAAATGGGTTGAGAAAGAAATAGAAGGACTCAAGAATTGGATTACAAGTGACAATCACATTAAAGGAACTCAACAGAAGCATTCCACCATGGTGAAGGAACACGCACCGCCAAAGGCGCCGCTTGGCCCTTTGGGATCTAACGAAACAAATGGCATTACTTCAAACCAGACAACTGAAAAAACATCAGGTGTTGCAAACACCAGCACAGTCAACGCTACTTCAAATGCACGACCTGCCCCTGGCCCTGCACCAGCTATCAAGTCGCGAGCTTTCTCTAAAAACATCGAGGACAAATATGCCAACCTCTTCATTCAACCAAAAAGCCGCCCAGAACACCACCGACCACAACGAATCTCGGGACCGTTGCAGCCTACTTTTAAGGACAAGAAGCCGCCACCACCTCCCATGTTCAATACCATACCCGGCCCGGAAGGATCGTCTAATAATCCAATATCGGTCCCAGATGGTCCAGTCTCAATATATAGCCAACCTGGAATTTATTCTACGTACGTCGACCCGAAGAAAGCCGCTTCCGATATCAAAGCTTTGCTCGAAGGCAGTATAGAAGATGAGCAGGAGAATGAAGTGAAGGAAGAAGATGAGGAAGATAAGTCTCGCGTTGAAGGGCTCAGCGTACCACTCTTGCGCCATCAGATCGAGGGTGTAGAGTGGATGAAAGGCCGCGAACTCGGTCCTGTCAAGAAAGGGAAGGTACCCAAAGGCGGTCTGCTTGCTGACGACATGGGATTGGGGAAAACCTTACAATCTATAGCCCTTATCTTGAGCAACCAAAAGCCACAAGACAAATACCCGGGAGTCGAGAAGACGACATTGGTTGTCGCCCCTCTAGCACTTATCCGTCAATGGGAGGCTGAGTTAAAAGAAAAGGTGACTGAATCTCACAGGATGAAAGTCCTTGTGCATCACGGACCACAACGCACCAAGCGCTTCGAAGACCTCCGTCGATATGATGTAGTCATCACAACCTATCAGATCCTAGTGTCTGAGCATGGCCACTCTAGTGACAGCTTGAAAGCTGGTTGTTTCGGACTACATTGGTATCGGGTCATCTTGGATGAAGCACATACGATCAAGAACAGAAATGCCAAGGCTACAAAGGCGTGTTACGAACTTAGAAGCGTATTTCGTTGGTGTCTTTCTGGAACTCCGATGCAGAATAACCTAGACGAGCTGCAAAGCTTAGTCAAATTTCTCAGAATTAAGCCCTACGACGACCTTCGCGAATGGAAGGATCATTTCGAAATACCGATGAAGAACGGCAAAGGAGATGTTGCAATGCGCCGTCTTCATAGCTTACTGCAATGTTTCATGAAACGTAGAACCAAGGACATCTTGAAGGTGGCTGGCGCTCTCAGCACTGGCGGAAAGGAATCCAAGGACGGCGAAAAGGGCGCAACCTCCAGCTTCAAAGTTACCGAGAGAAAGGTTGTAACGGTCGCGGCTGAGTTTACGCCAGCTGAGAGACGTTTCTATGATAGATTGGAAAAGCGTACAGATAAGAGTCTCGAACAGATGATGAGGAACAAGCTTAACTATGCCAGTGCCTTGGTGCTTCTCTTGCGCCTCCGACAGGCTTGCGACCACCCAAAGCTTGTCGAAGGCAAACTCGAGAAGGACAAGGATGCCTTGTCTGAAGAGACGAAACCGAAGAAAAATGATGCAGACATGGATGCTCTTGCTGACCTTCTAGGTGGATTGGGTGTCGAGACTAAGCACTGTGATATCTGTGGTTGGGAGCTAGACCACGAAAGTCGCCAACCCGGTTCGGACAAATGCAAGGCCTGCTTCGAAGACCTCGAGTATTTTAAGCACCACGAAGAGGGAGGAGACCTGAAAACTCCGAAGATTAGACCAAAAAAGAAGAAGAGCAAGGCCAAGGTTAAGAAGGTGGTGGAACAAAAAGTCAAAATCGAGGTTGTGAAGAAACGGAAACCCAGAAATCGACGCGCGGTCATTGACAGTGACGATGAAGAGGAGGAAGCTGACTGGATCGTCTCCGGGGATGAGCAAGGCCCATTACGTTTAGGCAAGGCCGGCGGTACAGATGATGAAAATGCCGAGGGCGAAGGCGAATCCATCAACTCGGAAGATTCAGAAGATGAAGAGACCCAAGACGGCAGTCAATTAAACAGCTTCATCGTGGATGATGGCAAAGATACGAAGCCAGAAGAGCTGCAGCGTGCATTGGAAGAATCAGATTCCGAGGATGAATTTGAGTCCGTTTCTGTAATCGAATCCAAGATGAGAAAAGCAAAGCTCGAAGACAGCGAGGATGATGAAGGGGATGAGGGCGATGATGAAGACGACAAGGATGATGATAAGGATGATGACGAGGAAGACGCAGAGACAGAGTCCCAATCTGAATCTGAAGATGAAGATACTGGTATTTCCGAATCCGACATAGACGGAGATTCTTCAGATGAAGAAGGCTACTACCCCCACTCCCGCCGCGAAAAGGAAAGAACACCACACGTCTTAGCATCCGCCAAGATCCGGCAGCTCATCACGCTCCTCCATAAGGAGGTACACGACCACAAGTTTATCGTCTTCTCGCAATTCACCAGCATGCTCGACCTCGTAGAGCCCTTCTTCCGCAAGGAAGGCATCAAATACACGCGATACGACGGCAGCATGAAAAACGACGCACGCGAGGAAGCCCTCAACTCCCTACGCAACGACGCGCGCACCAGAGTCCTGCTCTGCTCGCTCCGATGCGGTGCCCTAGGCCTCAACCTCACAGCCGCCAGCCGCGTCGTCATCCTCGAGCCCTTCTGGAATCCATTCGTCGAGGAACAGGCCATCGACCGGGTGCACCGCCTCACGCAAACCGTCGACGTCATCGTCTACAAACTCACGATCGAGAACAGCGTCGAGGAACGCATCCTCGAGCTCCAGGAAAAGAAACGACTCCTCGCCGAAGCCGCCATCGAAAGCGGTGCCAAGAGAGAAGGCGGCCTCAAGCTCGGCCTCAAGGAAATGATGGAGTTGTTCCGCCACGTGGGCGATAGCAGAGGTGTCGGCGATGCGATCCCCGGCGTGTATGATGAGGACGAGGCCCATCGACGCGATCTTGCGGCTTCGATGTCGACTATGCGAAGCAAGAATTCTCAGGCCCCGAAGAAGAATAGTGAGAGCGCTATTTATGGGCGGAGGTGGTGATGGGGATGAGTGGGAGTCTTATTATACAAATGTCGTTTATGATAGAAGGGTGTTGAAAGGCTCTGCTTTCTCGTTGGGTTGGGTTATGATTAATGGATAACTAACCTTAGGTATTTTTATAAATACAATGAAGTGTGCATGCAATATATTTTGAGTAGATCTTGTGGTCGAGGTTATGGTACTATTAACTACCTATTCGGAATTTATTTGTTTTTCTATACTTGACAGGCCGTAGGTACGTCATACAATCTTGATACAGTCTCAGACTAGTCCGCGATCCCTCCTGAAGCCGTGTACAAACCGTAGCACCCACGCCATTTACAGTACAGCCTCGACTCACTTTGATTGGATATCTACCTAATCAACACAAACTCGATCCAAGGCCAATTTCCACAGTCTCCCATTAAGTATTAACTATCACCATAATCCTAACTCCGACCCCCACCAACTCCGCGATGAACGGGAGCATCGGCATCAGCTCGTGACGTTGATTCGTCCAGGTAGAACCGTAGAACGTGGTCGGGGATCGCCAAGTGCGTGGTTTGTTCGAACTCTTGTAGGCTAGTTAGGCGTAGCAACATCTCAAGTAGGGAGAGTGAGGTTTGGATAGCGCCGAAGGGGGAGCGCTCGAGTAGGTCCTCGTCCAAGGTTCCGGAATCAGGTACCAGTGCCCCGGAGTTTCGGGACGAAGGGCGCGAGGAGGCTAGGCTCATCCGGCTTAGTTGCGATACTAAGTTTGAGTCCGCGGAATGGCGGGAGTCGTGTTTGATGCGACGGGGACGCGGTGAGTCTTGGGTAGCTTCGTTTTTAGATGGTGTATCTTGGTTCTCCTCTTCCGGTGTAGGTTCGTCCTCGTCTTCTGTGTCTTCTGTGCCGTCGTCGTTAATGTCAAAAACTTCGAGGGCTAGCCACTCTGGATCCAGGTCTTGAGGAAATTTTAAAGGGCTAGGACTTTTTGTTGGCCGGGTGTTCTCGCTTTCGAGTTGGAGCTGGAGTTGAAGTTGGTCATTAGCGTCATCATGCGAACCAGCTTCCAACGTGCCATTAGATGTGGCGCTTTCGTCAACGTCTTGAATCAACCCTGTTTGGGCCATCTGATGTGTGATTGTTGGTATCTCCTTGTTTACATGTAGAGCTTTGGTATCCCTCTTGAGCAGAAGTACTGGATTGCTTGAGGCACCGTCGTCATTGTTAATATTCAGTATCCTTCCAACGTCTGCGTAGAACATCTTTGATATTTGGTGGACAGGGACAAATTCCCGAATTCCGGCTGTACGGACGCCATCATAGGAACTTGGTTGATCATCACCATCTTCGACTGTGTGAACTCTCCCATCATCTAAATCTTCCACAATCTGAAGTTGGTACGCGTAACTCGCATATGAGGCGTTGTTTCCTAAACCGTTCATATCACCGAATTCATCCTCAAATGGCACTCGACGGAGCCGGACTCGTGCCTTGTGAATTACCTCCTGCCATAGTGGCTTGCGTTGATCATCTTCTAAGCCGTATGGTTCCCTGGGATCCTCACGAGAAGTATGGGCCCGAAAGAGCATGTAAATAGACAGCACAAAGTCCGGACCAATCTGCATAGGCGTACCAGAATTGAGGATATATTGAGTATCTCCAACGTTCACTAGCATGCTAGCCTGCAATAGGCGGGACGGTGAGAAAGCCGAAGGCTGGGTTTGTATGCCCCCAATCGCGGAAACCCAGAGGTTGATGAGTGGTATAGAATCATCAATGTCTACAATTAGCTGCTTGATATCCGTGATAATGCTTTGAATTTCGATTCGCCGCAGAGCAGCGGCGGTAGAGTTCTTGGCTGCCCCATTTTGCCGTGATTCATCTGCTAAGGCGGCATTTTCAAGGCGTTTACCGAGAGAATCGACATCGGTCCGTAGTTCCTGTGCTGTTCGTACCACGGCCTCTAGAGCTGAGTTCCCTCGCGTGTAACGGAACTCGATGGACTCTAATATAGGAGAGACGAGCTACTAGAATAATTAGTCGCGGTTTAAATTTAACACGTTAAAACAGGTTTTTCGGTGAGCAGCCTACATTCTAACTGATCCGGTTAGATATGACTTACCTCGATCTTGCGAGCCAACCGTCTTTGCAGGTGGCTTAGCTCGGTACGTAAGGGGTCATCGTCGACTGTCTATATTACATAATTAGCTTGGGCAGCTATTACATAACCTAAGGCAAGATACCTAGACATAGATAGGGCAACTCCTTCATACCTTGAGTAACCTCGAACCTTGCTGAATGACATAAGTGGAGGTAAGAGCAAGACAAGATCTGATTGCGTAGTTGGTGGCGTGGTAAGATAATTTGGCTAGGAATGCATCCATGACCAATAGACCAATATATATGGTTGGGAATATATGGATGGTTGTTATTGTCTTATTATTGCCCTATCCACACATGCGAATTATGCATGAAGAAAGAGTTGCTCGCCCCATGAAGGGCAGCTGGGACCTCGTAGATGCCCAACTTGTTAAGTATCGGCCAAGCCACACCTTAGGTCAATGTTTGTGCTCGAATCGGAATGCACAGGTTCATAATTATGGATGTTGAAAGAGGAAGATTCATTAAAGTTCACTGTTCATGTGCAAAACACACCGCATAACTTACTTCAGGTAGCACAATACCAGTATAAGCAATCCACTATTATTCAGCAAACAGCGTGGATACTCCATTTAAAGAATATATATTACCTTTAAATGGATAAACTGGAGTTAGCAGATATAATTGTAGAGAGTGGGTCATTATGTACATATTGAATGCATATCCTCAATGCTTAGTAGAATACTGTATGTACAAACTTAAAATACCTAGTATGACAGTATAATACCGAGAGGCTGTTTCCTCCGTCATTGGCGGGGCAAAACCTCTCACCCCGCTAAGCTTTGCGGCGTTCAAATACATAATTCTTTTTCCCTTCACCTCTCGCCGCAATCTCACAAACAATCAGGTCAGATCAGGCACATTTCCCATCACCCTTCACTCTTCTATCTGACTCACCAAAGGGTTCCTTTACCCTTGTCCTTCATTTACCTCCTAAATATATCGACTGCCGCACTACTGTTTACTAAAGAGTTCTCGGTCGCACAACCACGACATCAATTTCCTTTTCGCGACACCGATTTTCTTCTTCTTTTTCGTTAGCACTCAAGCAGACTATTTCACGGCGAGAATTGACACCATGGCGGATCTTAACTCCTGGGAAGATGACCCTGCCGCTCAGGACGACAATTTGTCGAGACAGACTCAGCAGATGAACCTGAACAACCAACCCCAAAACCCTGCCGCCGCATCATTCCGACCTGGTGCAACTTCCTTCCAACCCGGTGCCCAGACATTCCAACCAGGCCAAGGCTACGGTGGTGGTTATATGCCAAATTATCAGCAAGGCTATTATGGAGGCCAGAACTACTATCCCCAATATGGTGGAGCTCAGGGAGGTTTCCCTCAATATGGCCAAGGTCAAGGACAGGGACAGGGCCAGGGCCAGGGATATGGAAATGTCTATGGACAGGGCGGATACAATCAAGCTTATAGTATTATTTATCTCCCCAAAACAAAAATAAGAACCGTCAATAGCTAACTTAATAAGACCAACAGCAGCAGCAGCAACAATACTATCAGCAACAACCTCAATCCCAACAGAAGCCCAAGCAACAACAACCCCAAACCGTGCCTACCATTGCTAAGCGAGGCGACCAAACCGCGACACCCGCCGCTGCTCCTGCTGTCTCTACTGCGAATGCGCCGAAGCCTGTTGCTAAACAAGAAGGAGGAACTAAAGTCTTAAGTATAGGTGGTGATCCTCCGAAGCCCAAGGCCGCTAAGGTCCTATCAATCGGTGTTCCGACACCCCCGAAAGACGAACCGAAGACCGAGAAGGATGCATCCGCAGATGCTGGCTCGAAGATGACAGCATCAAAAGCCATCGAAAAAACAGGCGAGTCCACCAAATCGTCCAAGGCGTCGAGTGGCAAGACATCGCCCACGCCATCCTCTGGACGCTCGAGCCCTTCAAGAGCAAGCAAGAGCGCCGCGCGCGATGCCGATGCTGTTGCGAACGAACAGGCTGCCGATGTCGACGAAGATACATTGAAGGAAATTTATGGTAAAGAACACATGAACATTATCTTCATTGGTCACGTCGATGCTGGAAAATCGACACTAGGTGGCTCGATCCTATACGTTACCGGCATGGTTGACCAGCGTACAATGGATAAGTACAAGAGAGAAGCCAAGGACCTGGGCCGAGAGACATGGTATCTATCGTGGGCTCTTGATTTAACGAATGAGGAACGGTCTAAGGGTAAAACCGTCGAAGTAGGAAGAGGATTCTTCGAGACCGACAAGCGACGATATAGCATTCTGGATGCTCCCGGCCACAAGACATACGTCCCAAGTATGATTGGAGGTGCTTCCCAGGCAGATGTTGGTATTCTGGTTATCAGTGCGCGCAAAGGAGAGTATGAGACCGGATTCGAGAAAGGTGGACAGACCCGTGAACATGCCATGCTTGCCAAAACGCAAGGTGTCAACAAACTTGTTGTGGCTATCAACAAGATGGATGACCCTACGGTCAACTGGTCGGAAGCCCGGTACAAGGAATGCACAACGAAACTCGCGCAGTTCCTTAAGGGCACTGGGTATAACCTGAAAACCGATGTCTTTTTCATGCCCATCGCTGCTCAACAGACGATGGGTATCAAGGATCGTATCCCAGCGGGCGTATGCCCCTGGTATGACGGACCTTCTCTGCTCGAATACCTCGATAACATGCAGGCTCTCGAGCGAAAGGTCAACGCGCCGTTCATGATGGCTATCAGCGGAAAGTACCGAGATATGGGCACGATGGTTGAAGGCAAGATCGAAGCAGGCGTTTGCAAGAAAGGCATGACATTGATTATGATGCCGAATAAGGAGAAAGTTGACATTGCGGCCCTCTATGGCGAGACCGAAGACGAGATCCAGGTTGCCCAATGTGGTGACCAGGTCCGAATACGACTCCGAGGTATCGAAGAAGATGATATCTCCGCCGGATTTGTTCTCTGCTCCCCGAAACGTCTGGTTCATAACGTCGCAGCTTTCGAGGCACAGATCAGGATCCTCGAACTGAAGAGCATCCTCACTGCCGGCTTTAACTGCGTTTTGCACGTTCACTCCGCCGTTGAGGAGGTAACCTTCGCCGCGTTACTACACAAGTTGCAGAAAGGAACCGGCAGGAAGAGCAAGGCGCCACCAACGCATGCGAAGAAGGGAGATAGTATCATTGCTAAAATGCAAATTACAGGCGGCGCTGGTTCCGTCTGTATCGAAAAATTCGAAGACTATCCTCAAATGGGTCGTTTCACCTTAAGAGACCAGGTACGTTCCATCACTCACTCTTTTCTCACAACTAAATACTAATCAAGTAATTGCAGGGTCAAACAATCGCCATTGGCAAGATCACGAAGCTTCTCACCGAAGAGTCTGGTTAAGGAAAACTGAGAACTACTATTGATGAAGCCAAGAGAGCATCAATAGCCGATACGTTGCCTACTTCCCCTGAGAAAGGGAAATGAGCTACATTGGCGAAGTAGTAGCAAGTCGCTCAACTGCGATGCTACTACTGATGGATGATGCCACTTCTCCATAGGCGAGAATGTAGAAATGCTAGCAGGGACAAGGAATGGCAAAGATAGACTTGACCATCTCCAATAAAAAGCCATTCTTTCTCCTAAATCAGATGCTACTTTATTAGCTCTCAAATCAAATGCGCCAAGTAATCTTTTCTAGCACCCGTAATCAGGCGTATAATGCAAACTCAGTCAAGTCGAAATTTCCAACGCTTTCAACGTTGTTATATATTAAGTCCTAGTTACGTGATACTATATGTGTGTACATCCTCTTACAATCCTGTGTGCTTGTTTCGGTCGCAGGGCATTAAAGTGACCTGTTCTAGCTAGTAGTTTGATTAATCTTGAATAATCACGTATCTATCAACCCCTACCTTACGGCAAACCTGGGTAAATACAAAGCTTTAGGTGGCCATTTGTATATGAGTTGATGGTAGATATTTGGAATACAACTAGGATAGATAAGTAGGTTAATTTATGAGTAATATAAGGTAATATAAGTGTTTAGTGACTGCAACCCTTCCTAGTATATAGGAAAATGTTATTTGCGTCCCAATATTAGGTAATGACAAGCAAAGATCCAACATGTGCCCTACCTCTGTGGATGGGTAGTAAGGTAAATATTTTGAGTCCAATGGTACCTAGGTAAGTAAAATAAACTCTACACACTCCCCTTTCTGGTAGGTACCTATGAATAGGAGTAAAACGACTACTTGATCTATACCTACCTAGAACGAACTCATGCGACTAGTCGTAGATCATTTCCAATAGACGAAATTCTCGTAAGAAACTGTAATTCTCAACATCGCTTAGTCCTGCTGAAAAAAAAAAAAAAAACATAGAGGACAAGTCTTCCTTGTGCGAGGTAACATCGCTATTTAGGGGTATCACGATGTCATCCCGGGACCCGGAGAGTGCGTGGCTCGCGCGTGACCACCACGTACATAGCCGAGCCCAGGTATACGGGAACGGGGTGGTCAGCACTTAATCTTCGTCGTCGACGATGCTACCGTCGATCTCTGGCTCACCGCGAACACTTCCAGCCGCTAGCGTGGTAGCGATGTTACTAGGCTCGACTGCGTGCAGGCGGCGAAGCGTTTAGGGGTTTGCGAGGCGTGGACCAAAGCCCGTCTTACATACATACCTACATGCCTGCAGTATCGGTTTTCACCGGTCGTGTTGGGTGCTGATTGATAGCCCTGTTTTCCCTGCTTCGCGATTTGTCGAGCCGCGGCGGTCTGTTTCTCATCGATCACGACTCTCGTATGATACAAGCACAAGGATCGATATTTCGAGGCTTTAGTGCTTTTTTTAGTGCGGTCTGTCGTGCGTGAACGGGTTGCGGGCCGATGTCTTGCTTCTCTTGTGCATTGGTGGCTCCTCGTTTTCTGTATGGGACTCGATGTCGTGCGTGGTTGATCGCAGCATGCGAACACCCTCGGATGGTTCCTGTGGGATTCGGGGTTTGGTGCAGCATTAGTCTCGTTTTTGCTATACCGTGCCGTGCTTGTGGAGCGTTGGGTGTGTTTTAAAAGGGGTAACTGTTAGCTTGGGGGCATCGTGGCGGGAATGGTGATGGTATGACTAAGTTACTAGGGGCTATGACTAAGGTTTTGAGGCGTTAATGGATACTTAAGTGACCTTCTAACACGATTAGAAATGCCAGTAGTAATATTCTTGTAAATCTATGAATAATTCCCTAGCACTTGAATGACGTCCCTAGGTACAATAATGCAAGGGGTTGGGTGTTAAGAATTTGCGAGAAATCGGTTGATACTATCGTCACTTATGGCTTGGGAATTGTGAAGGCTCAGTAACACGCCTGAATTCCTATTACATACATCTACATAATGTGTAGGTACTAGAGTATTTACGGCATGTAAGACCCTATAGCATGCAGACGAATGATACCGCATACTCATCGACCGGAAAGGTTCTAGTTGCAATACTCCTGAAAATACGTTGCACGAAATTTCCTATCATAGCTTACTTTGAGGTTTAGCAAGCGAAAGTTTTGAGGTCAACGTTGCCTCTGCCTCCTTCTCTATCCTGTCCAAGAGAGCACCGCACGTCGGGATGTCATGAATCAGACCAATGACCTGTCCGGCAGTCCAAACCTGTTATTCCTCGTGTTTAGCAAATCGTGACCAGGGGTAGGGGAAAAAAACGAGGATTGTGTCACTTACACCGAATTCAGCGTCTCCATTTATGAAAACTTCCCGGCCTCGCTTACCGCTTACATAAGGGGCGATCTCGGCGAATTCGCCCGTCTTACTCTCCTTTTCGATCTTCACGACCTGGTCCGTGACTTTGTTACGGTATAGACGCGTGGTGTTGGTCCACCTCCGCATTACCAAGGCCGTGTCGGTTTCTTGAGCCTGAACGATCTGCTCCTTGATCTTCTGGTGGATTGGGGCTTCAACGGTACACATGAAGCGGGTCCCCATGTTGATGCCTTCTGCGCCCAGGCAAAGGGCCGCGGCCAGACCTTGGCCATCGGCGAAACCTCCAGACGCGATGAAGGGTACCTTGAGCGTCTGACGTGCCTTACTTAGGAGGATGAAGTTGGTGATGTCCGACTCGCCCACGTGTCTACCAACCATGATGAGCGTTTTGTGACTAAGTTATGCGAACGGGCATATGATCCCGGTAACTGGGATCTGTTTAGTTTACTCACCCCGCGCATTCGAATCCATCTATGGAGAGAAAATCTACGCCTAGCTTGATGGCACTCTGTGCGTGCCTGATAGTAGTACATTTGTGGAGAATGATGATACCAGCAGTCTTCAGCTTGGATATGACTGGACCGGGGCTGTTACCTGCGGTCTCGACGATCTTGATACCTTCATCGATAACGATCTGGGCATAGGCAGCATAGTTCGGGGGGACCAGGGTAGGCAACAGCGTAATGTTGACGCCGAATGGGTATTTCGTCATTTCCCTACACCGCCGGATCTCATTTCTCAAATCCTCGGGAGTGGGCTGGGTGAGAGCTGTGAGGATACCCAACCCCCCAGCATTAGACACGGCAGCGGCCAGCTCAGCGTATCCAACATACTGCATACCACCCTGCACGACAGGAATTTTAATGCCCAGGCGGCGAGTCAGCTCGGTGTCGAAAGGCATCTCGACTTCGGGATTGGTGGCCTTATGTCAATCACCTTGATTTAAGTTGAGCCTGATAAATGCTGATAAACGCCTAGGCAGATATATGACAAGCCGGATAAGATGGCCGACAGACGAACGAGGTAGAAGGGATATATTGATGATATATTGAATGTAATATAGCAAATAAACGAACAAACCGAAAGACAAGCTTGATTGAAATAAGAGTTGACAACAGATCTTAGTTGACGCGGTTAAGGTTCTCAGAGACGTGTAAGATCACATAAAAGGGCGAAGAGATGCCGAGGTAAGTTAGATTCACAAGACCCACATTCGGTGTTAGGATCAGTTGACCTTGAATCGTATCCCCGTATTCCGGTCATGACTTCCACATTCCTGTCACTCACCGAGGGTTTCGTTACCCGTAACTTCCAATCTTTGTTACCTGTTACCGATTAAACCCATCTTAGACTTCCAAGTCAGGTGCCGGGTTAGCTTATTACCTCGTTACACAACGCATGTGTCTTGCACGTGCCGAATACTTCTAGGTTAGGTAAAGAATGGTAAGGGGTACTTGAACGGAATCCGGGGTTAACTATGACCGCCGTTCTTGGCAGTGGGGACTAGGTCCTTCCCCTTCCTCAGCTTCTCCAAATGCAGCCGCCGTCTTATTCATCTCATCTTATTAGTCGCCATCAATTATCAACACTTAATTTGAACTTCAAACAACGTCAGTTTCCTTACCTAGAACAGCTAAGAGCAATGAAACTAAGCCAATAAATGATTTGAGATCCAACATTCCATTCAAGATAAAACCCCTCATTATTAACAACAATTGACACTTCACTTCTCATCTTGACAATCACTTGTCCTTGATTTACTACAAGTTTTAGTCAACAATAGGTCCAATCTATCATTTTCCCGGTTTCGTGCACTTCGATCTAAACGCAGAATTGACCCGTCATTCGTCGCTCGTTAATCTGAAAAGATGAAGGGCGGCAAGGGGTTTACTGGATGACGGGTGACAAACCGAGTTTTCACTTCATGTCGTGTCATGATCCGTTTGTTCCGTGTAACGCTGGATATTTCGGCAGACTACCTGTTTAGTATCTATTCCAAGGTTCGCTTTGCTGGAATCCTGCGCTGCCCATGGCATGGCCTGCCGCATCCCTATAACTTTATAACTCAACGTTGGCTCAACATTGGCTCTCCTTCCCGAACGAATGGGCTGAACCCGATAACCGGACCTCCATACGAACAATCGCTATAGATTTCTCGATGTAGAATTCCCGACAGGGCTACGAAGTATGGCCTTTGGGCCTTTGAACCTTTGAGTACCAGCTGATTTCAGCAGCATAGTCAGCAGCATAGTGATGGTCTAAGAACCTGAACGTCACTATGAGGCGGCTGCGTCTTTTCGGACGAATAAAGTAATACTTGGCTGTTTAGGTGGGTAGGGACTGCTGCTGCTAATTTCCGTTTCTTAGATCTGACCGGAATTTGAAGGCGAATATTACACTCATGCTGACCCCCGGTGCAGGTCGCTGTACGAATCGTTCTACATGGATCCGGACATCTTGTTGATTTAGTGTCGTCATCATCGCGATGCTCTACTTAGGGAGTATGCTGTAATCTGTCTAGACCTGCTTGACTGTTTTTTTTTCTTCTCTTTTCTATGTTGTTTCAGTTCGCTCACTTACTGCCGCCCCCTGGTATGAGTCATCTTGACAACGCCGGGTACTGGCAAACATTTGCTTACAACCAAGCCTTCTTTCTCTAAAAGTACATATACGTTACTATACTCAATCAGACTCCTAACCCGGGGATGATCTATATGATTTCTCACATGAGGCTTCCGATCTGTCTAGCCCGGACATCCTTGCAAGCGCACCATCCAAGGTCTGGACAAAGCGTCTAAATTGATCTTCACAAGGATCTTTTACCCTCTCCATTATCGTGGAATACGTGGGTCTCCCCTACTCCTCCTAGTCCTTACCATATCTTCGGCCGAATCATATGAATTCAGAATTCTTGTCCTGAATTTCATATGTACGTAGAATACAGGGCTTCTACGTTCGTCTCTGCACTACGCAGTTCCACGTTGCCATGCTGTTCCGACGAACCATCCTGATGGGTCCGTCACTAATCAGAAATCACAACATCTTAAGCCCCCAGATAAGATCATAAACCCTCGTTTTAAACACGATTTCTTGTTTGACGGGTCGGGGACGTGCAGCAGGACCTGGGTACGCAGGGCTGATACATGGAGATAGCTCCAAGGAACCTGTACCTGCCCTATTTTTTGCCAGCATACATGATAGCATCATGTGAGCAGCACAGCGGTCTCCACCGGTAACTCAGAGGCCCACTGGTACCGGTGGCGTGCATGTCACATTTATTCCTTTGGCATTAGATTATGCGTGCTGAGACTCGGTATTCCGTCTAGATATGTTATATAAATTTCTCATCTTGGGGGGGCACGAATGCCTACTAATTTCCAGGTACAAGTCAACAAACCACAACGAGGACCATTCGTTTCCGGGATATGACGGCTTACAACCCGAAATAGCCAGTCAAACTTCGCTCGCGTGTCCTGGGCAAAGTAGTATCCTGTCGTCACAGCCGCCCTTCACACCGACTTGCTTGGCGGGTCGAATGGTCAATTCCAGACTCATTATGAGTTCATGGAGGCTAGGTACCTACCTATCGTCATATATGCCTAATAAAAAAACAGGATAGCTAAGTCGATCATCTTCAGCTCCTTTGACCAGTCCCGAGACGCAATGGCTGCTAGACTGTTCGCCTCAAACCCCTGCTTCAGCTTAAATCCTTCATCTGAAGTTGGGGGTTCTTCATGAGCAGCCACAAACGAGAACCGTAACCACATTCGTCATCCCGTTCAGTTTATGCCTAACTTGTTACCGAATGCGCCAGCCTAACTTTTCTTCAAGAGTACGGAATGCTAGATATTCTCAAAACAGGCCGTTGTCCTTATGCGACCGACCGTTCCTCGATCGTTCTGCATGCTTGTATCTGTCCCAACCAATCACAGGTTCAAGTCCCGATCAATTGGGTCGAAATTTGGGGGTAAGGTCCCTGATGGATCCCCCTGCCGGGGAATAAAATAATAAAAAAGCAAACATCAACAGCACAGCGCAGCAAGCGAGAAAAGAGGCGTTTATGGTTGTCACCGTTGCGTCAAGAAGACAGTGCATTGAATCGGGCAGAAAACAACACAGCATGGCCTAATAAAATGACTCCTCTCTACCCTGCAAACTTTGCTCTTAGACATCTAGATAATAGGTACCTAGTAGATACTGTATGCGCGATGCAGTCGGCCTCTGATACGACCGGTAGGCAGTATCAGCGTGCTCGCGGCATTCTGTTCGACGTTGAGTGAGTCGGGCTGTGTTCCAAGGTTACAAGGACGACTCGAGACTCGGGGATTTTTCTATTGCTCACAACTGCCAGGATGCCACAACGGCAGCAGCTGTCCGTCGTGGCGCGGCTCAACCACGTTGTTGGGTCTGAATTGTCACGCAATAAGTCAAGGGACTTCTAACGCTTGGCCTGTGGAATTGGCCTCCTGCCTGTCCCGAGCCTACTATTCATAAACGGGCTACATCTATCGTCTAATTGGAGCTTCCTCAAGTCTCGGGTTGAGACAGATTGTTCAGGATTGAGTCGGCCACCAAAGCGCTTGGTTGTCATACAGCCGCGTAATAAGGTGCATACAGAAACTGCATACAGAAACTGCGCACATATCAACTACCACCTAGGCTGCTAGGAACCCACGGCAGCGCGGTACCACTCATTACCACTCATTTATCAAAATATCTCCGAACTGGGGAAGTACCTAGGGGTACTATGACATTGGCTGCTACGTCAAAGCTTGACAGCAATACATCAGCCCTTTTCTACGCATACATCATAGTACTATGTACTAGGCACTAAGGGTAGCCCTGGAGCTATGCGTTTATTGCTCGCATGCTCTCATCAATGTTGCAGGAAGCTGTCATTAAGTTGTACCCACGTACGCCCCGCGCCCGATTTGGCTTGTCGATGGTACGGTATTCTCTCGTTTTCTTTTTCCATCTGCGTCGTTTCAAATACTGCTTTTCTTTATGTGTGTACCATGCAGCTTCTCAGCCTGCATCTACGTTGCATGTATTGTATGCACATACACCCGTCCTTCTTTTTTTTATCAATAGTTTTTACCATACCATACCTAGCTCTTTTTTTCTCCCCTTGACCTACTCGGGGTGGGTCATAGATGGATTGGATGTCTATCATATTGTCCACTTATATTTTTCTTCTTTTTTATTTTACGGCTCACCGGCCCTCTCACCTTTGGGGTTAGTTAGCATCGATGTTACCCGAACGAACACCTGCACAGTACCCGGCTACATCGTTTACCCCAGAGCTCCTTTCTCGTCTCGCAAAGTACGGAAGATGGAGGTCGACGATGGGTCTTTTTTTTCTTTCTCTTTCAGATAGGGGGGTGAAAACGAGAAAAGAAAAACAATCCTTTAATCTATCTCGATATGTTTGCTTGATAAGTTTCCTACCTTGGCCCATTGACCCTAGTAAGCAGTTGGCTCTGGTCGAGAAGGAATCGGTAGGTATGTGGTAGGTACGGTATGCCTCGATTGTAACTTATAACGGCAACGAGAATTGTGTCGTTTATTTTCCTACTTCATCCTTCTCTTCCACCACTTCTAACGCCTCTCTCTACTACGAAACCTGCCGTCCACCCACCACGTACGTACACATACACGATGCATCATGCCGTCTTTGCTGCCGAATAATTTCCCTTCACAGCCGTACTGTACCGTTGCGCAAACAGCTAGAGAGCCGCTAACTAATCCTTTCCTGCCACATCACCCGTCGCCTCGTCACAATTCGCGGTTTTGATCTCACTTGCCATTCCCTTCATACCTGCCTATGCCTGTACGTAGATAATATCTTTCGTCCATGCTGCTGGTCGTGTCTCTCCCTGCCTAATCGGGAAAAAAACGAGAACAACGATTATACTTCGAATATATAAGGTATTTACATTGCCCGATCTCCCACCTAAGCGTTGAGGGTTGGTCTGTCTATTCTCTCATCCATATCGTACCACCTCAAAGAAAACACTGGCCATCTACCTACTCTGCTACGTCGCAAAGCATATATCTCTTTTGGTTCGAAGTGTCAGCTTCTCTCATTACCTTCTCCGCGAGACTTTATATCCAATCATCATCATCATCATGCCGTCCTCACAACAGCAGACCTCGAGCACGCCGTGGCAGGACCGGTTGGCAGGTGGGACATCAAAACTTTCACATGGGACTTGTAGGAGTACGACTAACTTTTTTTTTGCTTCGCCAGAGGTGTGTCGTGAATACCAGATCACGGCTCCTCACTTCCAAATAGTGTCTGACCGACGAGGTGAGAGAGAGACCATGTCCAGTTTTGTTTTATTCTCTTGTCAGTGTCCTCTCAATTGGTGGGTTAACTAACCGGGCTCGTTTTTTTTCTTGACGCGTAGGCGGTCGCACCGCCTGGTCCAGTATAGTTACCGTATACGGAAAGCGGATCGAAGCGCGCTACTGGTATGATGGAAGAAACATCACCAACGCCAGGGAGGATGCCGCGGAGGCGGCTCTAAACTGGCTCTCGACCCAAGCGAACTTGAACTCGAACTGGTAAAGAAGCGCGCTTCCTCGGACCTATCACCGACCCACGGTATTCTACTCGATATTGTTTTTGATTTCTGTTTGTTTGACTTAAGGTTCTTCGACCCGAACATGCGTGACTCCTTTTTTTTATTTTTAATCTTTCGCCCTCCAAAAACTTTCTCCTTCCCAATTCGCGCGAATTGATTCACTTCAATACCCCCTATTTTACCCGACGATGGTCTTTTGCGATCATGTCTCCTCGCTTTGCACTTGAACTTCCTGTTCTGTACGATACTAGCAAATCGGAGTTTGGGAAAGGATTTGGCAGCCCCACGGCAAGGAGACGGAAAGGAAAGAAAAAAAAGAAGAAGAGAGAAGGGAGAGAGCAATTACATCAGCATTCTTATGGATTCGGCGCACGTTCCTGCTTCATTGATTGGTTTCCAATGGACGACAGAATTGGGGATTTAGCATTCCGGTCCACCACGCGCATTTTCAGGCAGCAAAGAGACATGTTTATCACTACAACCAGGGGGGGGATCATCACCAGGACAGGAACACAAAAGCAGGGGTTTTATTCGGGAGGACCAGGCGCAGGACATTTATTGATTCGCCATATTTTGTCGTTTTTATTTTCCAGAAGCGAATCGCGGGAGGGATTATTTGTTAGTGTGTTTTTTGCTATCGTTTTCTTTCCTTCTCTTCGTGGCTTCAATTTTTTTCTGGAGACATCATTTTTTTTGGTTTTGTTGTTTGAAATGATTACAGGACGGACGGTGGGAAAAAAGTAAAAATTCGGGTTCCTGAGACAAAATACGATGGGCATTTGGTCCCCATCGATTTTCTATCAAATACGTGTACGCTTCTTAGGCTACGAACATGGGATTCTGGATTTTGTTGGGCTTATGGTCAGGGAATAGGGATTAAGACATGCGAAAGAAGAAATCGGAGAAGGAAGAATAAACAAAAAGGAAAAAAAAGCATCGGCTCGTTTTAGAAAGACCGGGAGAGGAAAATTCGGAATTGCGATCAGTCTGATCGAGGAGTAGGTAATGAATTATGTCGATCTCCTACAGGAAACTTGGGTTTAATTATCGTTGTTCTTCCGTCGATATTCTTTTTTCAATGGAACTGAGAAAGATAAATATCCGAATTACTGAATTCCCCTAAATGACGTGATGCCCGCGCTCTTGTCGAGATATTTTGTATGAGCTATTGCGTGTGTGAATGTTCCTGCTTACTGTAGCATGCCATGCGTATGCACGCACTCCTGAAATTCGTCTGATAAAAAGAAAACGAAATACGCAATGCAACACCAGCCAGGGACGGGGGCGCAAGCTACCTTAGCAGCTTACCTACCTGCTACCCTACCCTACTGGACACGCTAGAGCCCTAGCATATCTTCATCGAGCATCATGTGTGCCGGTGCCGGTGGCCGGAAGGATCGCGTTGGGGGTAAGCATACATATTGTACCTTGAATAAGGTAGGCGTCGACCGCAGACGTCCATCGTCAGCTTATAACAAAACACACCAAGGACTACGACCTCCCGGTTTCAAGCTAGGTTCGGTCTGGTCAGGTGTACATCTGTTACGCCATCATAGATCTGACCCCAGGCTTAGACGATCCAAAAGGAGGTAAGCTTATTAGATGGTAGCCTCAGGAATCCCTACCTAGGTCCGACCGGTGAGGGCTCCACGGTCTTCGTTAGATAGATAGGCGGGCAGCTGTCATCTGGGTATGTGACCATACGGTCGCATGATTAGCGCTCGCTGCCGACGTCCGCATCAACCGTAGGTGGTACAGTATCCGAAGGATGCGTGAGACTGAGACAGCAGTCCAAAGCGTGGAGGCGCCTAGGCGGCACAGCGCAGGTTCGACGAAGGTTCGAGACATGGAATGTCTTATAGAATTATGTCCCAACTCGGGATAGCTGGACTTTGAAAACGCATACCTTTCGGATAATAGGGTAGGTCGATACGACGTCGTTCATACGATAGGAACTATTAGGAAGCAGAGAACTCCAAAGAACCAAACTATCTAGCATAACCGGAGGGCGGGCCGGATCCTAATATTCGGATTCCTCTTCAGGTCGTCGTATCGTTCTCACGTATTAGCTATTTGGGTAGCAGTGGTGGACACGGTGGGGTTAACTATTAATATGTAGCCCTGTTACAATCCGCCCGCTCATCACCCGCGTGGGGGAAGGATGGGGGATTTCGGATCTTGGACAGTGGATATGAGGGTAAAAGGGCTTCCAGGGATCATTAGTCACCAATAGAACGGTTCTAGATTGACGAACTATTATGTATGTGTGGGCTTGTTGCTAAAAGAAAAGGGTGAAGAAAAGAAAGTTGAGTAAACGAGAAATGGAAATAAATGAACAGAAGAGTTGGAGATGATAAGAGGAGATAAAAATATCGACAGAATATATTGGACACATATTGGATGCTGTTGGACGAAAGTTGATGCTGCATACAGTATATTGACTGCATTCGTAAGGGGGCTGACAAGATGATTGAAAGATTGACGACAGCTAGAACCCCTGAGATAATGTAACGATGAAGATGTGGCTCGATTCCCGAGTGGCTGTGATAGCTAATTGTGGCTTCCTACTTTTCCCTTAACCTCGGAAGGAGCTATGAGGGGTTCCGAGCTCTTGGCGCTATTGATAAACAGATAAGGTATTATGTGGCTCGTGCACGAAATCGGATTAATTATGGGTCTTCACATTACCCGAATTGATTATCGGATAACATTTTTTGCTGAAGCTCTATCAATTCAACGAGGGGGACAACAAGGACGACGAGATCGAGGCACTAGAAGCCAGTACGGGACCTGATATCGATGCGCCGAAACCCAACCCCGAAATAGACGCTATGTCTTGTAAATTGACTCCCCGGGGGGCCGCCGCCGCCGCGCGAAATCTCAGCATCCGGACGCGACTACCACACACATTAGCGCTACAACGAATAGCCCGGTCGAGCAAGGCACCAGCACAACGGACGCCATTCTTAATAACGAGACGTGGGCTTTCAGATGACATCAATTCGAGACCACCGCCACCAGGCGACAACTCCGACCTACCCCCACCACCACCTCAAGAACCCTCAGAACCCTCAGAAGTCGCAGCGCCGGGCGAGTACGTGCCCCGACCACCCGAGATCTTCGCGCAAAACTTCCTCAACGAAGAGGCCATTGCGGCGCTCCAGAAGGCCTCCGAGGGCTACAACGTATACGACGAAGAGGCCGAGGGTCTGCTATTCGACAAGCCCGAAAAAGTCGGCAAGAACGAGCAGCTGCAGAACCGATACCACCCCGTCGTGGATCAGGTCACGAAGCTTCTCATGAAAGACGGGAAGCTCAGCAAGGCGCAGAGAGTACGTTTCCCCACCCCATTCCCTCTACCCCCCATGTCCCCTTTCCACCACCACCTATTCGACGCCCCGATTCCGGGGACATCACCATTTCCCTTAAAGAGAGAGAAGAAAGAACGAAACCTCAAAAACAGACAGCAAGCTAACACATCACCAGCACATGACCCTAATCCTCAACTACCTCCGCACCAACCCGGCCCCCAAAGTCTCCCCCCTCCGGCCCCTCCTCCCGGGCTCCCCACCCCCCTCCCAACTCCCACTAAACCCTCTCCTGTACCTAACTCTCGCAATCGAGTCCGTCGCGCCCATAATCCGCATCGCATCCATCAAAGGCGCCGCCGGCGGAGGCCACGCTCTCGAAGTGCCCGAGCCACTGGCCGCGCGTCCGCGTCGGCGAACGGCGATAATGTGGATAATAGACGCGGTGCTCAAGAAGCGGGGGACGGGGTCCGGACGCGCGCAGTTCGCGACGCGGTTCGCGCAGGAGATAGTGGCGGTTGTTGAGGGGCGGTCCGGGGTGTGGCAGAAGCGCGAGGCGGTGCATAAGCTGGGCACTGCTTCGCGGGCTAATTTGACGCATCGCGCTGTTACTGGTGCGAAGATGGGGAGGTCTGCGAAGTAAGGGGGACTTGGTTGTTCTTCTCTGGCTCGCTGGCTGTGGGGTTTGGTGGTTGGGTTGTCAACGAGGTGGATTTCTTGTCTATGCGTTGAGATGTGTAGGTAGGCTTCTGAGCTATGTAGGTACCTACTCTGCGTCGAGATACGGAAATAGACTTGTGTATAAAGGAACTGAAGACGATGAATGTATCGCTTGCTACTTAGTGATTTTGTGATGACTGATGGACGTGCCTTGGACTCAAGCCTTGAAGTTTGACTGCTCCATCCTGTAACTTAGATCGCCTAATAACATATTGGCCTTGAGGAGAAGTTAAAAAGAAGGCTTTATCCGACGGTCCAATTTTAGAAATGTGTTGCTACAAGAGACGAAATGAGAGAAGAGGGATGAGTAGGTGAGTAGAAGTTGTCACGGCAACAAGAAACATTTCGTGAATGTCATTGAACATAATTGCTTCAAGTCTATCGCTAGTGTAATTGATATTCGACCATGCGCGCTAATCACTGCGCAATATATATATCTTTCTGCATTTCCTATTCCTCCACTATGCATGCCATCATCCCTCATAAATCATACGAAGAACGAGAACCGTTGGCATCGTTTTCGGATGACGTAGTCTGGACTTGTGTCTGAATTGCATGGTAAATGAGAATGCATAGCTCTCTCACTATGGTTGCGCCCGTCTCAAAAGTACACCCCCCTCTTTCCTGGAGTGGACATTGGCGTCCCAGGTATCAGAGTGGCGGGCTTTCTAGAGGGTGTGGTAGGTCCAACTGCTCCATCAACTGGCGGGGTGTCTGTCCTGGAGAAAGTCCCTCCTGGGCTTACCCTAGCCGGTGGCTTGAAATTAGAGGCGACGCCTTTCGCATAGATCTCTTGGAGCATGGTATCGAGAACTCCCGCCTCGTCAAATTCCTGGTACTTGCGGTATAACTTCAAAGCAGTTCTAGCATCTTCAATAGAATCGTGAGTACTTTGCTGGATATCTTCTTTCAGTAACGTGTGTGCGAGGAACTGCAAACTTAATTTCCTGAGTCGCTCCTTGATGAAGAAAAGGTCACTCGTGTCGATTACTTGCGCCTTTGGCACGTGGATGTTGATTACTCGGAAATCCTGCTTTAGCCCGTGGCCTAGGAACTTGCACCCGAGGTTGAGTAGGATCCATATCTTTTTATATGCTATCCTTAGCGGCACGAGGTTGTGACCTCTCTGCTTTGCCATGGTTAAGTCCAAATCCTCGGGAGTAATTCCGGAGTAAGACGTTAGGTAGTCGACCACCTTCTCCTTGATAGTGATATAGTCGTCAATAAACGGGGCACCTTCGTCCATACCTCCACCTCGCACAATAGATGTCCGGGCCAAAGCGTGTACGGTTGGTCTGATGATTTTGGAATCTCCGTCTGAATGCATTTCCACCTCCGGTTGCGAAATCTTCACGAATTCCGTATCTATCGCGACTATTGTATTTGGCCCAGCTGGCTCAGTCTGCCTATCTAATGTTTGATACGTTTTATCTGCTCGATCGGCCCTGAAAAGTAGTTAGTAGAATGATTAGGGCATGTTAGGGTTGAGACTCACTGAAGGTCCAAGTAGAGCAATCTAGAGTCTAAATTGTCCTTCCAAGTAGAATCGAGCTGGTTGTTGGCAGACTTCACTTGATATGTAATGACGGACGGTGTCTTCCATGATGTATTGAATGTCAGTGCCTCCTGAGGTGTAATCGGCTTGACATGGAAATCGTTGAAAAGATACCACTGGCTCTGACCAGGAGCTGTTGGAGCGGAGTGTGCGACTGGGATCAATGCATTAGCTTCTTTACTGTTCGAAAGGTGAGATGGGAAGCGTACTGTTTGCCATGGCCACAAGATGAGACCTCTGTTGTTGGCCACCTTCAATGTTCACGGCTAAACCGGTTAACGAATAAACTGTAATGTTATGTATTCCTCGCTGCAGATGCAACTTTAAGTCTTCACCCTCGAAACAAAAGAATTGGCCATTATCTACTATGACGCCAATTTCTTCCGGTAGCCACCCAGGGGTGGCCCAAAGTCGTCGGTGATCGTTATTGTTGATCGCAGTTGTGAGCATCAACACAGTAGGCACTCTGTGTATGGTCTTTCGGGTTGCCAAAGTCTGGTATCTATGACAGCTGTTGCACCAACCCTTATTAGTAGTTTCTCTTTCGACGCTCATCTTCAGCACTTGGGAAAACGTAGTTGCACGTATTCTCGGGTTCCTGTGGCCGGTTTTCTGTTTCAATTAGTCTTTATAACATCGAAGACGTGGTAAGAATGTTATAATTACGTTTTGCGGGTACATCAACTCATTCACCATAGTATGATCGGCCTTTGTGGTTTCACTCCTGCAATTCATACAACGAATGGAACTTGTTGCAGTCGTTTGGAATAACTATAAATATTAACAGAATGACCTTATGTTTCGATAGCGAATATGTTTACCTCTTCAAATACCCCAGGGCGAGGTGTTTCTGCAGAATATGGTTGGGAATTCTGAACCATCAGGCTATAATTCTGGGTTGTCTGTCGGAGGAGGAACCTAGTCAACTGCTGCAACATTACAGTCCGAGATGCATGAGGCTCTTCCTCGAGCAGACCCAGCTTCCCCGCTAATGAGCCCTTATTAGCTTAGTTATGCAAAATGGAAAGATGAACAATACGTACCTTCGGGATGATAGCTGAGGGTCTTGGTGAAGTTAGATGCCTGACAAGCCTCTCCTTCGGCTTTATAGAGCATGTCAAAGAGGAATCCCAGTTCGCAGAGGAGACATAATTCGTCAACGCAAGCTGTTGCCGCATGCTGGAGGGCAACGTTCCGGATGAGGGGGGTATAATGCATGACCTGCAGTAGTGGATTTGCATAGGCATTAACAATATGATTTTGCAATCCAGAATACTGTGTCTTGTTGAAATAACTAGATTCTACATTAGCCTGCCCTGAAGAAGAAAATTGAATTCACATACCCGAAATCGAAATCGTCAATACCAAACTTGCTATACTTAATTTCAATGTTTTGGTATAACTCCGGGACCTCGATCTTGAGACTTTCGAGCTTTGTGTCTTGTAAAACCTGGGGGAATTCGGGGATGACTTCCTCGGGCGCTGGTGTCCCCGCTGGAGATTTGGCCGCCTCTCTTGCTTTTTCGCTCAAGAACTTGGGTGGTTTAAGAGAGCTTTGGAGGTTCTCAGTGCTACGCGTATCCTCAACTTGGTTCCTCCTTAACGGTCGGGTATTCTTGCCGAAGTAACCCCAATCTCTCTCTTGGAGTGTTGTTAAGAATTGCGCGTCGATTTTGACTGGAGGTGCTCCAATCTCCGTCACCATATTGCTTGGCCATGCAGATAGCAATACTTCTCTATAGTACGGCATACCGACAGAGCTCAATGGTCTAATATTAAATGAGTAAACATTTCTATATGATTTATATTGATCGTACTCACATATCAGGAGAATCAAATTCGATCCGCGGCCCGGTACTTGAATCAGCGGTTTCAATAGGCGTAGGAAATTCGGCGAAGTGAATCTTATTGGGAGATCCCCAAAGGTGGATATAACAATCGCCGTCCGCCAGGGCGACAGCCTCGCCTGAAGAGGCAATTTCTATCATAGAAAAGTAGGACAGACTATTCGCTTGACGCACATTGCTAGTGTTAGGGTTCATTAGGTCAACTACATGCATTTGCCCAATTTGTGACATGACAATGCTTGTAGTAGACATCCGAGGATGCATACGGACATAAGCAGCGCCGGCTGGGAACGGAATAGGGGACATGGAAATCATATTTTTCAGATCGAACACGTTGACGAACGGGTCAGGCATGTAATTGCCCCCGTGCCTCATAGAGTACCCGCAAGTCACTATAAAATCGTGTTGCGCGTCCATATCATTAATAGCAGCCGTGTGAGCATTCCAGACCTTAATGACTTGGAAGCTAAGAGAGTCAATAATATGAACGGCGCCAGTAGGGGTTGCGGCGCATATGTATCGACTCCTTCTCATGATTGTGTACTTATGGTCAGTCGGAATCTGAAAGCAAATGTTAGTCATATAGCCTTACTCTTGCGACATTAGTAGATAGTACCTGCTTAGTAACTTCACCCTTATTGGTGTCAATAACGAGCATCTTGTCTTGTTCGCCAGCAACCAGGATTTCGGCGGTGCCCTTTGACGTGAAGCTCATACACCGCAGTTCTTGCATATCGTCGTGCCTGCCATTTCCCCTTAATAAGTATTTTCATAGAATATTCCCACTCATGAAAAGGCAATCCTACCTAAGCGACCATAGAGGCGGTCCTCTTCTCAACGCCATATGTACCACACGGGACCCGAGGGCTATAACACCCTTATCATTAAATAATATCTGTCGGACCGGGCCATCTTGGGAGGTGTGGGCCTTGAAGGAGGTATACGGCTGTAGCTTCGTGCCGTAAAACGAACATACCCGGCCCTATCCGAACTATTAGTATATCTTTTAGGGAAGCATAGTCGAATCGAAGGTTCGTACGTATTCATTGCCAGTCCATAGAAGTTCTTGACTTGTATCGAATGCTAGAACCGTGACAGGCGTTGGCATTGCCCGCAGACCTGGTGGCGGGAACGGTATGCGCGCAACCTATGGAGTAGAAATATTGTCAGCCTTGCGCTCTATCATATCATACATCTTTTGCGACAAGATCTCAACAACGCTGCAGGTGTCCCCCGCCTACATTTGAATAATTGAGGATTCGTGCAGTAGTTATTACTTGCCTCGTCCCAATCCCCGTCCATTTTGGCGGGCTTATCATCGTCGAATTAATACCATTAGTGGAGTATTTGCCTTCCAGGTTGGAAGCTCGAATCGCGCGTCGCGTCTCTAAAATATGGGAAGAGTAGAAGTTGGATGTATGTCATTCAAAGTCACAAAGTTCAAACTTATCCCACTTTCGATTCAAACATTTACGATAGTGATTGGCGCTAGCGAATACGGTACACTTTATTTTCTACCGTATCTGCGCTTGCCAAGAAATACGGATACGGTAGTCTAATTAGCCGAGAATTTTCCCAAACTTGTCCAAGTTCAAGGTTTCGAATCCACAATCCAAGCTGGATTACATAATCTCAGTTTTACATCATCGGACCTCCGCTTCAAGTTCTACCATGAACGGAACATAATATTCTACTTCGTGCAACTCAAGACACAAGCTTCAAATGACAATTCAGAAGAACATTGAAATTTGTTCTATTATATCCTAAACCTTTATTTACTTGGAAGAAAATCTAGTTAAACCCGATTGTAATTCTTCCATCAACGAACACTGCATCCTTCGCAGGTCTTTTCATTCATCCGTTGCGCGCAGTTGTTCGGAACTCCCCGCATTCAATCTGTACGTCCAGTTCTTTGTCTAGAGCTGTCTCATACTTTCCCGTCCGGTGTATCGCGCGGATCGATGTACCAATCATTCCACAGATGCGTCGTTCCCCAAGATAAATATGCCAAAAAATATAAACGATGCTCAACTCCTAACCTATAAACGATGGAAACGAGACGAGAGAAAAAAGATGCCGTGAAGCGCCTTGCTTTTAAATAACTGGTCCTGCCGCCTTGACTTCGTCGGTGGCTTCCGATTCGTACTTCTTGAAGTTCTCAATGAATAGTCCTCCCAACTTCTTGACCTCCTGGTTGAAGCTGTCCGCTCCCGCAGTCCATGCAGTCTTGGGGTTGAGAAGCTCTGCGGGGACACCAGGGCATGATGTGGGGACTTGGAGGTTGAAGACATCATATGTCTCGTACTGGGATTTCGCAAGCTCGCCGGAGTGGATGGCATCAAGGATGGCACGGGTGTATTTGAGCGGGCATCGCTTACCACCGTGGACGTAACCGGCACCAACCCAACCGGTGTTTAGGAGCCAGGCGTTAGCAGAGTGCTTTTCTATCTTGTCCGCCAACATCTTTGCGTATCTCATGGGGTGAAGAGCAAGGAAGGGCTGAGCGAAGCAAGAGGAGAAAGTCGCTTGAGGTTCTGTTACACCGTCTTCAGTTCCAGCCATCTTAGAGGTGTAACCGGAGATAAAGTGGAACATTGTCTGGGCGCTGTCGAGTTTTGATATCGGCGGCAATACACCACGGGCATCACATGTCAACAGAATGATGTTGCTTGGGTGGTTTTCCGACAAGCAGGGAATCTTAGCGTTGCTAATGTACTCGATGGGGTATGCACTGCAGGCTCATTAGTTTCACTTTCACCAACACGTCAGCATCGCAACATGAACTTACCATCTTGTGTTCTCGGTTAGAGTAGCGTCGTCGTAGTCAACTTCTCGAGTTTCCTGGTCAAAAACGACATTCTCAAGGACTGAGCCGAAGCGGATGGCACCGAAAATATCAGGTTCCTTCTCAGCTGACAAGCCAATGCACTTGGCATAGCAACCGCCCTCAATGTTGAAGACACCTCGTTCACTCCAGCAGTGCTCGTCATCACCAATCAGAGCTCGGTTAGGGTCGGCTGAGAGAGTGGTCTTGCCGGTACCGGATAAGCCGAAGAAAAGCGTGACGTCTCCATTCTTGCCCTCGTTTGCAGACGAGTGAAGAGTGAGTACGTTGTGGATTATGGGCATTTCGTAGAACAATACGGTGAAGACACCCTTCTTCATCTCGCCTGCATACTCGGTACCGAGGATGACCATCTCCTTTTCGGCAAAGTTAATGGCGACTGAGGTTCCCGAGGTCATGCCTTCGGTGTATCTGTTGGCTGGGAAGCTTCCGGCATTGTAGATTGTGTAGTCGGGGTGGAAGTGCTCAAGCTCTTCCCGAGGGGGGCGAATGAGCATGTTGCGCATGAACAAGGCATGGTAGGCACGAGCACAGATAACTCGAACACGAATTCGGTACTTCTCATCCCAGCCTGCATAACCATCGATAACATAGATTCTCGTTCGGGTGTTTAGGTAATCAACTGCGCGTTCACGGTTGATTTTCCAGACCTAGAGAACGTAAACATGTTAGTCATTATTAACTCTAACCAAATCGGGGTGAGGATAATTATAGCACGTGAGGCTTGGAAATTTGGGAATTTTTGGAGTTTGGTGGGGCTGAAATGGCCCGGCTCAGTGGAAGCGCGGGGTGCATTGCCGGATCTGAGCCGAGCACTCCAGAATAGCGCCTCGGATGACGCCAATGACAGGGGTCAACTCTAGCAACAAGTCTAGGCCATGCACCATATGACATCCTCAGAGATGCGTGATTCAGCTTCAATTGGGGAACAACAAGGACCACGATGCTTGACGATGAGCTAGGGATTTTGTGACGTAAAGATATTGTCATAGGGCAAATCTCAATCATCCTAAGGTTTGATCCTCAGATGCGGGTAGGGTAGATGTAGAGGTAAGTTAAGGAAAAAGAAATAGAAGTTCGCTAACGAAGCCCCAGTAAAGTAGGGACAATAACGGTGAGTATCTTACCTCAGGTGCCATTGGCTTGTTGACGGGTCCCCACCTATAAGAGGAAGAGTTAGCTTTCGTTCAATCATGCGCAGAACTGAGTCGTCGTTGTATCAGACGATGGATCTCTTACCAGACATCCTTTTCTGATGACGGCTCCCTGACGATTCTCTTATCTGAAGGTGATCGGCCAGTCTTTGCACCGGAGTAAGCTGTCAAGGCACCGCTCGACGAAATGGCTGAGCCCATCTCGTATACCTTGAGAGTCCATCAGTATGCATGTGTGGAGAGTTGGTCGCGTGACCCAATTTAAGGGGCTAACTTACAAGGGCATCTTCGTATAAGGCGGCAACTGATGGGTTAGGAATCTGCATTTTGGTTAGTTATATTATCAATACCCAAGATTCAATATTGTTTGCTCACAATAGCGACTCTGTCGTAGTCGATGTGTGCCTTTTCATGTAATTCCTCCTCTATGTCGGGTGTTAGCGGACCCGTGAACAAAGCCACTAAAATCAATTGTCGGGAATTTGAGCTCGAGCGTCTCTTTCGTACCTAGTTCCGTGTGTTCCCGTTCATGGTGGGGTCTACAAAGGACTTTTGTTAGAAGCGAGGTTCCATGTGGTGTTGAGGGGAAGCTTCTTACTCTACACCGCTAGGGTGGAGGGCGGTCTTGTTGACTTTGTTGTTGGCAATCACTAATAAGGTAGTTAGATTTCTGGTGCTGGAAACTCTCAAAGAGCCGGTTTCTTCGAGGTTGGCTTACTCTTGCTTTGCTGGAGGAGAGAGTGGGAGTGACCGTTGGTAAGTTGCTGGGACTTGGGGCCTTTCACGGATGGATCAGTGTAGGGAGAAGCAGTTCTCAGGACGGGGTCGGCCATGGTTCTTAAGGTTGACAAGTTTCGGGATACGATATAGTTATGATAGCTTATGGGATAGTTCCAGCCGAAGACAGATGGGGAATATGGATATCTAGTTTGATTAAATGGGGCAGACGAAACGCCGGCAATGCAGGTTAACTTAAGGTAACTTTTCGGTCTGCTAGTCATGGACTGAACCCGAGGATATATAGGAAATATGGAAGCAGTGGAGATGGCGAACTTTGAGCGAGACATTCCACTGGCCAGTAACCGCCGTTGTCATTGATTAGGCACTGAGGCACGAATTCAAACCGGAACAATCCACCCTGCATCATCGGGAAGGGAGAGCTGAACCAGGGCTCCCTTTGTTTTCCTGTCTCGGTACGCTAGCAAGGAATCGCGGAGTGGCGTAGCGTAAAAAAACATCAAAGATCTTGCTAGTTTGTGTAAGGATTAGTCTGCCGAGTTGCGGATTTCAAGTTACAACCAGAAGCATCGCATCGAGAGAGGTTAGGAGTTGGTGTGTGGTGGTGGTGTCATATGCAATTGAGTTTCGTTCCATTCCGTTTTTTCCCTCAGCCTCTCCTGACCCCTGCAATGATCTACGCCTATCAGTATTCGACTGGGATTATAGGCTGTCGGCCTGGATTTTATCCTACGATCGTTTTCGTCCTAAGTACGTACATACATCGGTACATCAAGCTTTACTTTTGCCTGCACAACGTAGCACCAAATCGCGCTGCGTATAGCTATCTACTATTTACATGCTCGATCTGGACATTAGATGTTCTATGAAAATTCCAGAAAATTATCTTGTCTAAATTGCTGTTACATGCTTTGACTAAACGAATGCACGATGGAGAAAATTTTGAATCAGGGGAAATGGAAGTTGGAGAAACGGCAGACGGTGGCGGCGGGGTAGGTAGCCAATTGGTACCCAGCCCTAGGAAAGCTCGATACATGTACCTACAGGTACATATGTTCTTCCCCGTTCTCCTATCAGCCCCACAGATGGGACAGCCATATGGGTAGACCCGGTACAGGGGCGAGGGGGCAAGAGATACACGATACCTTCGTCAACCTCGGGAAACTTTTAGACGAGAATTAAATGAGCTTAAGCTCCGGCTCTGTTCCTAGTTGTCAGCTCCAGATGAGCTAATATAGTAAAAATACTATAGGAATACTAGTAAGGTACATACCATGGGTAACAGGGCACAGAAGAGATGACATGGCTAACTTGCCAACCGCATCTAGGTCTAATAATAAATTATACCATATTGTAGAAGGATCACGAGAGCAAGATTTTCGATAGTCCTTCTCATCCATTGCTATAGAACAGCCGATTAACGCTAGGAAACCGACTTTGCTGTTCTATCCTCGGTTTTCCGCGATCTTCCCCCGAAAATATTACCTTCCCGAACGCTCCACGAAACATGTGAACTTACATTGTTGATATGGCACGGACTGAAACCTATCTAAGTCTCGAAGAGCCTTCTGATATTGGGAGGTAGTTGGCTATAATCCCTGCAGGTGTACGCGAATAACGATCCGAATCTTTCCATCCGTTCAACCATGCATGGAGATCATTCGGTACTTGGGTTAGGTCTTTTTTGAGCCGCCAAGATTCATAGGCAGATACAGGATGCGACCAGGAGAACGGACGCGGCTCGAGGCGTACTGGTGTACCAAGTACTGCGTAATCGCCCTTGCATCGCATATCTGCGCCCGACATGCGTTTCATGAATCTAGGATCAGTTTGGAAAAATGTACATATCTAGTCCCCTTCGCCCCGTAGACTTACCGAAGTTCATCCCGCGATTGGGCTAGTTAAATTGTCAGTTATTCCGACTTCTTCCGCCGTTCTGGGGAATTCTGGGTCTCTGCTACGCAGTAGACAAAGAACCATGATGATGAAGTCCGGGGTACCAAGGAATGACAAGAATCTAAGACCCCAGACTAGTCTTGTTACGTAAACGGAAGAGTCCAAGCCACGGTGGAGAAGCTGGATCACGATGCCCTCATTCTTCAGCTTGGTTGTACGACGTAATGGATGATACCTTAAGCCGAAGCTTACGAGAAAATCCGGAGCGCCACGTGAAATCCCGTCATAATTACTTGGGATATGAAGTGCGATCGTCCAATAAGTGACCTCTAAAACTTGCGCCAGAACAGAACGGGACAGTTAACCGGTCTCAAATACGTGCTCCAATCAGCATCAAGATATTCGATAATATGGATTATCTTTCGTAAAGTTGTCAATCGCTAACAGCTACTAAAATCTTTTAGCGCCAAGAAATCTCGAATAATTCTTTTGCAATTCGGGCAATCTCGGGTCAGCGATAACGTAATCCAGGAAAGTCACTGATGGCCAGACCCATCATCTAGACCATGGTCGAGACTACCCCGGGAAAAGAGTGGGGTCTCCGTTCGGCCGGTAGACTTAACGATTTACGGATCCGGTCCGACCCGTGACCCAACGTCATTTTCCACCGGACTGCACCTTCCAGCGTCTCACCGCTCCGTTCCGTCGTGGCGGTGAGCCGGTTGTTGTAGGGTGCTGTCAATTGAGAATAAATTCTCGTTGCTGAACTATTACACAATTGCCTACAAGTTTATCTATTACTTGACCATAGGCTTTCCACTACGAACATTCATGTTGAAGGTGATTTATGGCTAATATATTTGGGTTGTCACCTATGGGGAGATTGTATGGCTTCACCGGAGAACAGTATTGCGATTTCTATATCAAGATTTTTCATAGTTGTTCCATTTCAGCGCCAAGATTTTCTTCTTTTTCCATTGCAAGCTACTGGTAAGCCCTCTTCGACAGTCTTTCACTGGCACCGATGGCGTATATGGCTGAATAAGATAAAATTACCCACCTAGTATACAACTAGGTGCTTCATACAATTGTAGGTACCTAGTTTCATCTCTTAAAATCGACATTTTTGCTGAGGTAAAATTTTTTATAACATTATTGAGGAATATCCTCCATCTTTCATTCATTGCAGTGTTACACACAAAACTGTTAATGGTTACCTAAGCTGCTAAGTAGGTACCTATGAAAAAGATATGCTTTTTATGAAAGAAAACGCCACACTAACCAGCAGCATAAATGAAATTTCCCGTCACCACCGCTATGACCGCGTTCTTAAAATATACAATTCAAGGGCTTGGATTCAAAAAGACCTTGTTATGTATTATTAGTCATTGAGTTTCATTGGCGGTGCCTAGAAAGGATTTACATAAACTGCTGCGCCTAGTCAGCCCTACGCATGTCCCAATATTCTCGCTCTCGCGTTCGCAAACCTTCTGAAGAGAGTTGCATGCACTATCGCTTATTGGGTCTAGTGCAGTCGCTTCGGTCAAATTAAAATATGGACCTCCAGCTGTGAGAAATCCTTCACCAGCTGCAAAAAGTACTACCAGCCGGCAGCAGATTATCGTAACGAAACCGAGAACGACGGCGATAAATTCGCTGCGGCGCAGTCGCTTCCATGGCTTCACTTTTAGGCCAGCCACCTATGTTCTCTGCGACAATTCACTCAATATGTAATCTTAACAGCCTAGGGGTCGACGTCACTTAGTATGCAGGATTCGTGACGATGGCTTCAGAAATTAATATAAAATGTCTTCGATCTGCTCCCTATTGTCTCTCTTCTTGGCAGGACAGCAGGACAGTACGGCAGCACATCAGACTCAATTCGGCATCTGAGTCTTTTACCTAGCAAACACTCTTCCAAGATGCGGTTTTCCAAATCTTTGGCCCTTCTAGCGGCTCAAAGCAGCGTTACTGTTGCCCAAACCAACAGCACCAACAGCACGACCGTGCCTTACCTGCCTCTCAGCGCAGACGACCACTTCTCGTTTATTCTCTACGAAGCGCTCTCCTTAGCCAACGGCGGGGGTTCTTCAACAGGCGAAGTGATGCGCGCCACCGCCAAGATCGTCGCCGGGGACACAGAGAGTTTCTACAACGAGTTTAAGTTCCTAGGCGACTCCGTGCACGACATCGCGGAGTCCATCAACGCGACCAAGTTCCCGGTATCAGCCCGCGAGGCATACTTCCGCGCTTCTTCCTACTACAGATTGTCCGTCTTCTACATGACCGCCAACCAATCGGATCCCAGGCTCTACAGCGTATGGGACTCTGCCCTTGCAGACTTCGACAAAGCGATTTCTCTGACGGAAGTGCGGGGCGAGCGGATGACTATCAAGGGACCTGGATTCGATATCCCTATTATTTACTGGAAATCGCCCAAGGCCGCTGGATGTGGTCCTGTTCCTACGGTCTTGGTCGGAAGCGGCTATGACGCGCCCCAAGAGGATACGTACCACTCAATTGGCCGCGAAATCATCGACCGTGGCTGGAACTTCGTCACCTACGAGGGCCCGGGCCAACCTACTGTCCGCCGCCAGCAAGGCCTCGGCTTCATCCCGAACTGGTGGGATGTCGTGACCCCAGTTGTCGACTACCTGGAAACCAGACCCGAAGTCGACAAGAAGCGCATTGCCCTTGGAGGTCTCTCGTTTGGCGGAATTCTAGCGCCCCTTGCCGCTACCAGGGAACACCGATTTGCCGCCGTCCTCGCCATCGACGGCGTGCAGAACCTCCAAACGACAGCACTGAAGCAGTTCCCACCGGCTCTGGCCCAACTCTACAACAGCGGCAACAAGACCGTGTTCGATGCTTATCTCAACAAAGCGCGAGTAAACCCCGAAGCCAACACGATGTTCAAATGGTTCATTGGACAGGGGTTATGGTCCTTCGCCACCGAGAGCCCGTACGATTGGTTTACGAGACTGGGGGGCATCAACCTCGACGGAACTGTCCTGAGCAACATTACCAGCCCCGTTTTCGTTGGTAAGGGCGAGGATGATAAGGTAGCTGGAGGTCAGGAGGAGGTAGTGGCGAAGTTGTTAGGAGACAAGGCTTACCTGTATGAATTCAAGACTGCGCTTGGTGCTGGAGAGCATTGCCAATTGGGGGCCGAGCAACAGCTGGCGCAGGTTTCTCTGGATTGGCTTGCTGAGGTGTTCGAGGCAGTAAAATGATGGTAAAGCGACGAGAAATGATTCATAACCCATTTGGAGGTATTTTATTCGCATTTGGGGTTGGTTAGTTTTTATAGACCGTTTGGAGTTGAAGTAGGTAATTATATAATGTTAGTACCTATGTTTTCATAATTGGGAAAACCGGGTTAATAGAATCAAATTCCAATGTTGTTAGGTGTGTTTATTTGAAGTTAAGAATCATGCGGATTGTTTGTTGCGTATATATATTACAATATATCCAGATTTGGTATAACAAAGGTGAGTCTTCCCATATACAATATCTCTATCCGTAGTCTACTGTTCATTAATGTTGGAGGTGGGAGAGGTCTACTCTCAGGGCACTTCGTGCCTTTATTCAAGGCAAGGGAGGGGTGTTTTGATGATATCGTTAATTAGTTGAGAAAAAAATCGGTTTCGTGCGTTAAGCTGGACACATCCCAACTGTCGCTTGAGAGTCCCGAACTGTATGATAATTCTCGTGATTGAGACCACGATATACCCATTTGGCCATGTACCCATACCATAGCATCGGCCCATTCTAGCGATAGATCGGGGTGGGACGTCTTTAATAGATCTGAGATCTCTATCGCGAGTCGATCTGCTATCGTCGTCACCCACCAAATTCCCTGGTCCATCTTACTTAACAGCACGGCCCAGTGTGAGATAATGAGTAAGGCGAAAGGATCGGATTTGCTGACGAGTGAGGTAAAGGGCTTGCCCGCCAATCCTGGAAAAGCAGTGCCGAATCCCCTCAAGATGCCCCTGGCTTCCTCGGCATAGCAAGTTTCCAGACCGGCAATAGCCATTTCGAACAAATCGTGGTCGCGTATCTCAATTACCCCATCTGCAACTCCATTGCTACTGATTGGTTCTGCTGTAACTTGGTTCCGTACATCGTTAATAGCACGTAACCTAGCCAAAGCAATTTTACTGTCGGCATCTATTAGGTCTTTCGATGCGCCCATGCGCGATATGAAAGCACGCAGCGGAAGGGCGCTATTGAGAAGCCACGGCATTCCCATCATCCCGATGCTAGTGCTACCATTGACCAAGTCGAGAGCCACCACTAGAAGATCGATCACGCTGGCTCGTTGGGGTATCGATAGGTGCACGGATATGGCTATGGCGGAGAACATGTATAAGACGTGGGCGTTGTCGGCATTCATCCTTCCCAAGTGTGTTCGAAATGAGCTACTACCTTTGTTGTAGTACTCTAGTCCCGCGTTGATATATTTCTTGGAGTTCGCCCCTCCAGACTGGGCTATATGTAGGGATGAGATAGCCATGATACAATTCAACATGAAATCGTATTCGAGAGCGCACCGCGGCAGCAGGCACTGTAGGTAAGGTCCATCTTCAGGTATGCCACAGAAAGCTTTGTACGTAGTCGTCGACCACTGATGCATCAATTCCAACTCTAGCAATCTAGACGGTCCACCGTAGGCCGCGCATATCGTGCCTACATCGCCCCGCGGTCGTTCAACTTCGATAGAAAGTGCCGTCGTAGATGTCTCTCCATTCCTGGATCGTATGGTGAGAGAGCGGTTATGATCATGATTGGCGGCCTCGGTTTTGGGGCGACTGTAAACGCATTTGGCCTTCCGCAGCGCGCAGTTGTTGCATGGTGGTCCTTGCTCATCGCACTTGGTGTGCCATTTCTTACAGTTCTGGCATCCGTTGCGAGATTTCTTGTGAGATCGTCGTTTCTGCATGGCCTTGATGAAGTATTTCTCTAGATGGGTATTTCCCCAGACCAAGTACGGGATTTTAAGGTGTTCACGTCATCAGGCAATTCGGGTCTTTATATTAAAATCGGTTGTCAATTGCGGCAGTGCCGTAAATGGTTACACTCGTCCTACTAGGCATAAACATTTGGAAAGTTCTAAACTTGCTGTGCCACGATCGCCCCCCACGAGCTGAAAGAGATCCATGGATGTGGCTCAAATCACCCCTGGTCATTGGCGGGGGTTTACGACGAGCTTTGCAGAGATCACAGAGCCAGGTTGATAGGCTGTCGATCTTGAGACATTGAGACATTCTAATCGAGCCCTACTGCCCTATAATCACCACGTGTACGTGAATCGCATTAGCGGCTTGGCCAGGTACCCATGATCGAGCAGTGTCGGTTAATCCTTTGACGAAGATTTCTTGATCGTCTGCAAATGATTCGACAATCCGATGTTGATGAAATAAGAATTTAGCTAGCAAACAAGACCGGGTCTCTCGTAGGGCTTGCAGGGATATTTGGTCCAATATCATATCCCTAAAGGGTAAACGCGGGAAGCCCCTTTTTCACCCCGCAGCCATCAGCCATGATATTCCGCGATGCGCGAAATAAAAGTATGCCTTGCCCACCTTGGCTTGGCCTTATTTCACGTAATGAATGTGTTTCTATTAGCTCTATTATTATAACATGGATAGTTGGAATTTGAACTCATCCAGTAGGTACCTATTAATTCGATTCTAACATCGGCGTGCATAGGTATCTTGGTTTCATCTCTGATTGGTATGGAGACTGCTTGGCTAATATTTATCTGATGTGAGATTCATATCTGATGTCACTTTAAATGATTCTCTTTACTAACCCAATCGTCGAGATCAGTTGCCGTCCTAGATCTTACCATCGTTTAACTACTTGGAAACCGATATCTTTTCTATTCGATTCTCAATTGACGAATCTACTTATTACTTACTATTACCGTTAATACTATTTAATGCGAGAGCATATCAAAGACAATGATTACTTCAATTCTCACCTTTATATGAATCATATTTGCTCAATACCAAACCGTGTAATTTGAGATACACGCGCGCCGTGTGCCATTTTTCTTCAGTGGCTCAGCCCCTAAAGTCTAGTGAATGCCCGCTATATCTCAGTGGTGTTTTAAGCGGGTGGATCACTATTAGATTGGACATCTTAGCCTAACCTCATGCAGTATTCAGCTGTTGTTTACTTGATTACGCGCCGGGCAAGGAACGTGGCTGACGCGAAGCTGTCTTGTTGATTGCCAAACAGAGGAGTTTCAGGGAGTTAAGTTACGAATTAATGAGATATCTAGAAAATCAATCGGGGTAGATTTTTATAGCCCTCGATTGCTTCAAATCCTCCGCGACGAAGATCAATTGCACAGTCGATGGATCTCAATGTGATGCAAGGATTTTAGTGGCAGTGCTCACCTGGGCAGTTTAGATCAACAAAACGAAGGAGCACGGCTCTTGGACTACGTCACCCGCTCTTTACGGTCGTTTAGATGGGCCATTTAAAACCTATTGGGGGTATTTAATGTGTGTTGCATCCTATCCGTGAGTGCGTTTCCTGTAATTTCTCGCTATCGACGTATAAAGTAGATGTTAACAATGAATCCTGACCACGAACCACTGCCTTCCCACGATGCTTCGACGGAAGGGTCCCCAGAGGATGTCCTGGCGCCCGAAACCCTTGTGTTAAGAGGCCAAGCAGTAGTGTCTGGTACTGACACTGCAAAAATGCTCTACCGCATGAACTGGAACATCACCTCTATTCCGCAAAAGAGCTCTTCAGTTATATTTGAAAGAGTAAAGGACGATCTGCTACTGGAGAATGAAGACCCAACCCCTACCAAGCAACGAGATGAACACATTTTCTACCTTGCGCACCCAGCGGGCGCCAAGTATCAGAAGGAAACCCCTGAATACTATCTGACATCCGTCTCGCCGGAGTCATTGGGTAATATCAGTCTTGAGACGTCAAAGCCGGGGTTCCGGAAGACGGAGTTCAGGATGCTCCTAAGCGCAGGGCGAACTTGGTCTGATAAACCGCTTTTCGAAGAGGACGCGGAGACTTTATTCGAAGTCAAACCAAAGTGGATGAGTAGTCGCTATACATGGACCAACCGCACCGATGAGCAAGTAGCATACGAAGATAAGAAAGAAGATGAACGAATTCTTGTCACCTTAGTATCGATGGAGAGAAAACTAAGGGATGCGCTGGTCGCTACTTGGTGTTTGAGATTATGGTACGAAACAGCTGAAAGCACACGGGCTCAGAGGGATGGTGAGTTAAGACATATCATCATAGAATATCTGATTACCCTTGGTCTTTATACTAATACATCTTTAGAAATGGAACGTTTGACACCAGCTAAAGCTATGCATGGTTATACAGACCTAAAAACGGCGAAAAGAACCGGCGCGCTTGGTTCTCTGGGTGGAGCCGGCGCATGACTTGACGAAACAATGAAAACCATCATATCCTTTCACAGGCTGTCAAGTACTGGCGGTCCTCCTAACAGGGATATACTAGATGCATGAAGGGCATATCAAGCAGTGAAGTTTTGACGCAATTGAGCTGAACTAGTTACATCGTTTCATACGATCTCCGAGTCTCAGATCTGGGGTCTAACAAGTTTTTTGACATCTACAGGTCTTCTCTTCAAGTGTAAAGGCCTTGTGATACTATATTCGCCTGGGCAGTGTTAAATCCATCGTGTGAGTTTGAATTTCCCCAGACGACCACATCTTGACACTTGCCCCCTATTATCTAAGAGTCCTATGAAAAGTCATCAATGAAAGATTACACTTTCACGGATTTAGTCCTTCCAATGCCTACCTACCAAACAAGCTAAATTCGAAATAGGAATATATTGGAATGTGCTTGGTCACCAACCTCTGGGTTCAGATTAGCCTGTACAATGGCCCTTTAGATAATTTCTCATCTGGTTAACTCGAATCTAAATCACATGCAACATTAGGTCTCTATCTCGAGTCCTTCCGAACCCGCTCGGCGTTATAACTATTGTGATGCGATAATAAAGATAGCTCTATACACACCTACTTGGGTACCTGAGCAGTAAGCTGACCTGCCCATAGCTCCGAGAGTCGGATGCACCCGCTTTCATATCACCAACATACCTACCTGGCCACCAACTGAATTCGAGCTTGCCAATTAGAGTACGCATCTTGCTATCTCGACCGAGGACGCGAGGAAAGAAAGAAAATTTCGCATCTAAGATTACGGCTCCACGTACATCCGACGTAGTCGTAATTCTAGCATGATACATGTATTCCGAATCACCGACGTAGTACTCGCAACGGACCGATCCTTTCTATTCTGCGTCAGCAAAAGCAGGCTGGCCGATATACCGCTGAGGTTATACAGTTATCTTTAACTCTCGTCGATCTAGAGGTATGTCATCAGCCGGCTGTGGCTGCTTCTGTGTAATGCGTAGGTCGGTGTGCGGCACATATACTAAGTGGCTTATGAAAGCATCGGATTTATGATCTAAGTATGAAAGATCATCACATTCCTGAAGTTCCATCATTTTTAAATATGACAGGCCAATGGAATTTAACGCAGATATATTGACTTGATAGGCACGGTAGTACATGTCAGACGCTTATCAAATTAATCGAAAATCCTCCGATGCTTACCTACCATGTGCCAAGGACGGCGCTATGGAAGGATCCCATGAAGTATACCTTGCATTGCCTTTCATTATCTATGTACGTTAACCTCATTCCTATCAGGTAGCTTAACCCTGACTAACATGACTTATATTAGTAACTCAGACGCGATTCTACCCGCAGAGCTACTAGGTAAGTATACCGGAGTATATCGCTAGTTAGCCACACTGTTTTTCATTTAAAATGATACGGGAATTAAAAATGGGCTATGCCAGGTCACCATCGCTGTGGCGGGCTGGCGGAGTATCATTGCCTTGACCGGTGTGTATACGGATGTCAATTCATCACCTCTTAATACCATTGACTAGACTATCAGGCAGGCTGTAACTTCAGTTCAAGGACATAATTCTAGTTCCTTAATCTCACCCGAATCATCCAATCCCCACTATCATTAAAATCGTATTATTTACGTTTTATTTGCGCGCGGGCAATGACGTATACGAGACCTAGCCACCGGTAACGTACGCAATGTTTCTGACGCCTCCTATACCTAGTATCAATTACTGACACCAAGCCAGTCGTCCAAATGCTTGAATGGAAGTATAATGCGAGTAATCATTCGATTTCTGAAGGTCCGCGATACTTTCGTCATTCCAACTTTGATATTGTCGATTCCATGAACAACAAGTCCTCACAATGCCGAGCCTTCCCATAACACCGAATAAGCAGCCTTGAACTCGAATCAGTCTTCGTACGTCATAATAATGATTCAGGATATAGATGGACTTGACCGATAAAACCGATGTCACCGTTTATAGCGGGGACGCGTCCTTCATGTGTTACTCGAAGTTCTTGGCGGAATATACTCCTCGCCGCTTATTGCCACCGGACGAAAAAAATGTGAAAGGTCTTCGTTCAAAGGAGGCTTCTCTGATCCGCGTAAGGCTTCGGCACAGTGGAGGTGTGTAACTGCCTAACCTTTATGCTGGGTTCTATATCAGAACAGAGTTATAATTGAGGGACTGAGAATTTGTTGGTGGGGAAAAGTGGCATGCTAACTGACTTATTCACTCAATGCCAAGTATTCTAGACAGGCTTGTGTTGGACCAAGCTTGTCTTAGATGTTGGTTTTCTCTTATGTACCTCTCTTAGATATCACTATCTTCGGGCTATGGGTTCCAAGGTTTCCAAAGATCCAAGAAACCAACTTGACTGTATTATCTTACAACTAAGTAAAAATTACCAACTTAGTACCTAACCTTGGTATTTTGGATAAATGATCTCCTTCTTAGTCACCACGGTTATTCTGCTTTCATAATCCGGTATACCTATTTCGATATAGCTTACGAATAATTTCTAACCAACAGACAATTTCCCCCGTTGCAAATCAAATTACGATGCTGAGGTGAGAAAACGTATCGTGCGCACTTACCTCGGCAGGTAAACAAATGGGGGTGACACAAGGGCTCGGTAAGATTAAGTGATGTGGCTTTAAGGTTACCAGAACCTGGCCTCTTGGGGAACGAATTTATCGCATTATTTCTATTTTGAGGTACTTTACGCACGTAATAGATGTTGAAAGAAGGTTATGTATTATCATGTACTAGGCGCCTTAGGCAGATAGGCACTAAAGCCTCTTAAATGCTCTAGCCGAGAGGGGTATTTGAGCGTTAAATAAGGGCTTTATATATTCTATCTTTACAGATATATCTTTGTCTTTTGTATAACCAGTATTGTATTTCCCATATTGTCTCAAGTCGGCTATGAAGTGTTTCAGGGGGCTCTACTCCGCCTGCAGATGCGGTGAAGTAGGTAGGTAGGCAGAGCACTGCCATCGAATCGATATTATCTGATTGGAGAGATATTCGTCACGGCTCCCGTACGTACATAGACACGCCGCTTTCTTGTCTAACATTGCGTTTAATCTGATGGGGGCCATGGAATTTAACTGGTTGGTGGCTTGTAAAGATCCTTGTCAGCTTATGGTTTATCTATGCTAAATCCGCATCATGTTTAGTAAAATGTAGATTTCGAGTATTTCACATAGTGAAACGGGAGATCGTCGAGCATTAGGCAGGGCTTAGTGGCTGTATCCATGGTTTGCTTTTCAAATGTCTTTCCCGTATGAAATCCGAACGGGCACTGTAGTCCGAACTTCAGCGAATCGTGAAGTCGACTCTTGCGTGTTGACATTTGGCTCTCTACCTGATGATCCGTTAATTTCTCTTGCTTATACTCCTGATAGTCGGAAGGGGAAAGGCTACTATCCGCAGCTTACGAAGTTATCGCAACATGAGCCGATATTTATGCTCCGGAAAGACCAATAGAGACAGAAGAGTGGAATCTGACCGGATGCGCATAGTCTGGGTATACAATTTATACAGCAGTGGATAACCCAATAAAGCGGTAGTCAGATCATGTTTGCGATAAGAAAGAGCTGCAATGAGGCTCTTTTCATCCGAGCTTATGATCGCCCTACGACATGGCACCCTGGACAGTGGCAGTGATGTAGCTACCAGATAGGTATGTAAGAGCGACAAACGATGATGCAGGCGTTGTTGTACCGCATGATCCACAACACTTCTTGCATGCTGTGCGACCCCATTAATGACGAATCCGTAAAGGGGGATGAGTCAGGAGTACAGGGGTACATCGTGATGATTACCTATTTCCGGAATAAATAAGTTCAAGTTATTCTTTTAACCAGTCATTAGTCACCTTCAATTTTCATTATGAATCTAACGAGTAACCAAAATCGCGCGTTATGTAAGCATCCCGAGTACCCAAGTAGGGGGCTAGATAAATAGGTATATTCAGAAAGTTGTTAGTTGCTAGGTAGGTACCTACTGTAATGCGACAGCTCTATCATATGTATGTCTATTTCTTTGACGTACTTGGTTTGATCTAGATTTTGATATCATTCAATTTAAATCCCTCCAACCTTGCTGTTTCGTTAAAAAGGATGGGCCTCATAGGCCTTGTCTGCTTCCACGATGGCGTCATACCCCCATAGCCATGGTTGTACAGATGGGCACGACCTAAGTTGAAGTGATACATTAGTTATGCAAGTTGTATCAGATAGTATTCTTCATCAAGTTCTTACCATCGACTTGGGAAATGCGGTGGTGGCTCCTTGCCAAGATATTCTAGAAGCAAGGCATCCCTTTGCTCTTGTTCTGGTCCGTCAGGTAGATGGAATGAATCTCTCTGTAGCAACTATTATTAATAATAGCCCAATTAATCAACGCATGAAAAAGGGCTTGCTTGAACCAACCTGTCCTAATGCTTCCTTTGCTATTCCCTCACCTCGAATTTTTCGCAGATGTTGGTACATTTCGAGAGCTGGGATCAGCTTGTCACGACTCGTCACATACTTCAATAATCGGCCGAGAACCGCACCGTCTTCCAAGGATGAGTTGGCACCTTGCGCAAGATAGGGAAGCATTGGATGACATGCATCGCCGCTAAATCCGGGAAAGTCAGAATACCCATCTTGGAAATATAGACGACTTCAAGATAGACTTACGCCATTAAGAAGGTACCCTCTTCATTCACCCAAGCATCTAGCGTGGATACTAGACAGATCAGATAAGATTAGATGCGTTTTTTATACAGCTTTAAGCCGAAGGGGTTATAGTATACTTACTATGCATAAGTCGCCACTTATCCACCTGGTTTACGCACGCTAATAGCTTGCTTAGACTGTGATAAGCCCTATGTGAGAAATGAACGCGTAACGCTAAGTGTTATGAAGTTTAGCTCACATGGGATCCCAAGACTCGAATAGTTTTCGCATCTCATCCACATCAGCAGCGGCTCGGCTTACGTCTTCGGGTAGATCGTCGGGGCGAAGCAAGACAAGGTTATATGTCTGGCCCTGTCGTAGAGAATACCCCACTACGTGGGATTCTGGACCGATCCATAAGTTGACAGAAGGCTTCGAGACCAATTCTCGCAATTCCGGATCCTTGACATCTTCCAGATTGAGTATGATCCGATATGCAAGATCTCCGGTCGGCTTCGGTGTTAGCTGCCGACCTAGCAAGAAACTCCTTGTGCGCGACCACAAACCATCGGCGCCGAGAATGAGATCGCCTTGCACCGTCTGGCCATCTCGTGTGGTAACTGTGGCGCGTTTGAAGTCAACTTGTTGGACATCAGCACCCAAGCGAATTTCAACACCGAGAGACTTTGCGCGATTTACTAATGCTTCTTGCAAGTCGGCACGATGAATGTCCCAAAAAGGAGCCTTGTAACGCTCAAGGACCTTCTCTTGGAAATGTTCCTCGTATGATAGAAGTCGGGTACCATCATAACGTCTAACGGCCAGGTAAGAAGGAATTGCGGCTTTGGAACTCAGCTCATCGTAAACTCCCCAGTGATGGAACAGACGACTCGCATTAGGAGTGACCTGCAATCCGGCACCGATTTCCTCTAGCTTGGAAACCTTTTCCAGCACCGTGACGCGGTGGCCTTCTAGCTGAGTGCTAATGGCGGCCGCAAGTCCGGCTAGACCTGCACCGATAACGATGAGGTGCAATTGCAATTTTGCGGGTTTATCGCCATTCTGAGTTCCGTTAACTGTCATTGCGGAAGATGACTTCGAAGGTCCAGATAATTATGTATGGAAATAGGTGTTTCTGTTTCAATTAGACATAGTCCGGCGACGGGATGGTCTGGTACGAGGTTCCTTTTGTTGTAATAAATCTAGGTGGGGTGGAAGAAGGGATAAAATGACAACCTCATCGGAGAGGTAAGATATTCGGATCGTAGATAGGATTTCGAGGGATTTCGTTTCGGTGTGTAAGCCATTTCGTAGTAATGCCACCCCTGTAAGTGCAAATACTCTCGTACCACCCGGGCACTCTTGTCCGTACGATTATGTACGTAACGACAATTATTCCTTATTCCCACCATCCCGCGCGGTTGTCATACCAATGGCACCGAGTACGTAAGGTTGATCTATCGATAAGCTTAAATCCTAACCGACCAATTGACCAATTAAATCTTCGTCTAAAAGACTATCGAGCTTTTCGGGGTCTGCGGAGTTATAGTCGTTGCGGCACTTACCACTGGGCTGCTTACCTTCCCGCTTCAGGTCGTCTCACAACGCCTTGGCCCGCCATGACCCGCCTTTTTGGTGTCACTCTGTACACTCCGAGAGATAGGGGTGAGCCTAGAGGACTAGGGGGCCAAGAGGACCTGGTATAATACATCTAAGATTCCAAATGATCCTTACATCAGCAGCATGATATGACAACGGGGAAACCAGGATCCTAGCCACTTACATAACGGAAGGGAGCGGCGTATTTGTTTACCCATTGAGGTTAGACGACGCCGTATTGTTTCGGTTCTAATATAAAGCTATCACATGTTACCAAATCAGGTAGACAGGAGAAAATGTTATAGCTGAGGCTGTACTTCACCTTATTGCATCATGCTGGCGCGGGCTTATTATTCCTGCTTATATTCACCGGCTTGCACAGCGGATTGATCTGTCAGCTCCTGTGAGAGGCGGCCAAGTGGGGATAATTGTTATCATAACACAGCATAACTTCCCTTGGTCCAGAGTGCCCGGGAAATTCCTTGATAACGATGAATCGGGGCAACTATTTATTAAATGTAGAGGCAATTCCCTCTCAGAAGCCTGGGTGATCCGTAGAGGTTCGGTGTGTCTTCACTTCTTCAAGATGTATCGCGTAGCTGTATTTGCTGGCCTTGGGTCCGAATCCCTCTTTTCACGCACTACTTTGGACACAGCTGTCCAAGATGCATCTTTGCCGGAATCCCAGATAATCTTGCGAGCATGCCATGCTACCTTTCGAACGCAGATAGAAAAAGCGATAGAGCAATGCCTTCTATCCCCGGAGTTAGTTAGTCTAGACGACTTCGATCAACCAGAAAGTCTCATACAACCTCCTCTTATATATCATCACAATGTTGTGATACAGCACACGGCCATATATCTCATTCAAATCTTTCGATTCCTTCGTCATTCAAGAGGCTCTCATGATGTCCAAGGCGCTGCTGGATTTTGCGCTGGGCTGTTGCCCGCTGCTGTGGTAGCCACATCTCACAACGTGATTGAATTCATGCAGCGAGCACAGGAGTTCTTCCATGTTACCCTCTGGCTTGGCATAAACTCAGAATCATACCGCCGTACAGAAGTCTCCCGAAGTGGATGCTCTCCTAATCTACCTTGGAGTGTGGTAGTTCATAATATCTCTCATGATATCATTACCGAGTTGCTCAGTGTATGTATATGCAAAGAAGATACTTACTCACTGATAAGAAGCAAAGCTAACCAATGAATAGGATACTGAAGTCCCTATATACGTTAGCGCTAGAAACTCACTGGGTTGTGTGACCTTGAGCGGAAAGGGAGACCAGCTTGCGCAGTTCATCGACGAGAAACTTCCATCCCAATGTAGAACGCGACCGACAAATGTCTTCTCCTTATATCACAACCGCGATAAATTAAGCGAAGTTTTCCATCAGACTGTAGGAATCCTTGGACAGGAAATATCTTCTCAATGGAAACTTCCGATCGTTCTGGCGGTCCCACTTTTCTCCACGGTGACGGGTGAGGCCTTATCCATCTCCGCCAACCTAGAAGCTTCGACCACGCTCGGCGAACTGGTCTCTCTCCTGTTGGAAATGATATTTCTAGAGCCAGTCGATTGGGTATCTGTCCAAGAAAGTATTCTGTCAGATATTCAGCACCACGTCGATTCAGAAAAATGCGAGATCTTGAACTTTGGACCAGGATACGGAGTATCGAAGCCAGCACAGCAGCTACCTCAGACTGTGGAAATCCGAGATGTCTCAGCTACTGGGGTATCCAGCACACCTGGAGAAGGAGCTTCTAACATATCGTTAGACGACATAGCCATCGTTGGGATGGCAGTTGACCTACCCGGCGCTTCGGATGCTGATGAACTGTGGGATAACCTTTGCAACGGGGTAAACTCTTGTTCAGAGATCCCAAGCTCGAGGTTCCACATAGATGACTTCTATCAGAAGAAGGATGAGAAGGGAAGCCGCGCCAAACGATCAATCAATACCAGATACGGAAACTTCCTAAAGAACCCGTTCCTATTTGACAACGATCTCTTCGATATATCTCCTCGGGAGGCCAAGTCAATTGACCCGCAGCAACGAGTGCTTCTTCAGACGTCGTATCGCGCTTTGGAAGATGCTGGATATGTTCCTGATTCAACTCCCTCTTTTGCTCGCGATACATTCGGGTGTTTCGTCGGTAATGCAACACTTGATTACACCGAGAACCTTCGCGCTGATATCGACGTGTACTATAGCCCAGGTAAGTTACTATTCGTATACCAACCTGTATGGGACTTGGCTTATGCTACGTCGTAGGGACGCTGCGGGCATTCCAGAGTGGACGTATCTCATACTACTTTGGTTGGAGTGGCCCATCGATTACACTTGATACCGCTTGCAGTTCTTCAATGGTTGCTCTTCACCAGGCAGTGCGTGCCTTGACAGCTGGTGACTGCAGAGCAGCACTCGTAGGCGGGGTGAATGTTATCACTAGCCCGGACGTAAGTGTTTTCATCTCTTGCTGACTAAGGGGAGTGCTTGGTGAGCTCACATGTTGTAGATGTACCTCGGCCTTGATCGCGCACATTTTCTCAGCCCTACGGGGCAATGCAAAGCTTTCGATGCCTCTGCAGATGGGTACTGTCGTTCCGAAGGCTGCGGCATTTTCATTGTTAAGAAGATGCGAGATGCACTCGCGGAAGGCGATCGAATCCACGCTGTCATAAAAGGAATCGAGTTGAACCAAAGTGGGAATGCGCACTCGATTACTCATCCCCACTCTCCCACTCAAGAGCAGCTGTTCCGCCAACTGTTAGGCAAGACGAAGATCCATCCTCACCAGCTGTCTGTTGTTGAAACTCATGGAACAGGGTAAGAAATTGTCTTTCCAACACTTGTTGAGTCGCAGATCAATACTCACTATTTTCGGCATCTAGAACTCAGGCTGGAGACCCGAATGAATTAGAAAGTTTACGGAGTGCCCTGTGTAGTGGCCGTAGCCCTCGAAACCCGGTACACTTTACATCGGTAAGTTACCCTTCCAGATAAAGGCATTAATGTACATGCTATAGTGGAGGTGCAGAAATCTAATGCATAGAAATCATAATAGATCAAAGCAAACCTTGGGCACGCAGAGGCAGCGTCGGGTGCTGCCGCCTTGGCCAAGGTGATTCTTATGATGAGACATGGAAAGATACCACCCTTGGTATCTTTAAAGAATTTAAACCCCAAGATTCAGAAGCTTGACGTGGACGGCTCCGTAATTGATCGCGAGGTGACAACTTGGCGACAGCCTGAAGGCCAACCGAGACTAGCATTGATAAACAACTTCGGGGCGGCTGGATCAAATGCTGCGGTAATCGTTCGGGAGTATGAAGTCCCTACTGTTCCCCGACATACCCTTAGCGGTGATGCGCAAACATATGTCTTAGGCTTATCTAGCAAGAGCACTAAGGTCCTTAACAAGCTTCGCGAGGAGCTTATTGCCGAATTGACTCGGACTCTTCCAACAGGCTCGCCTTCTTTAGGCGATATCTGTTACACAATGACAGCACGTCGACAACTTTATGGCCACCGCATCTCAGTAACGGCAGATTCAGTTGACAAGTTAATAAAGGCTTTGCAGAGTGCCCAACCCAGCCATGTGCCACTTGCGAAGGCCTCTGGGCTTCGGATTGCCTTTGTCTTTTCGGGGCAGGGGTCGCAGTATTTGGGAATGGGTCAGCAGCTCATGTCCATCTACCCGGTCTTCTCAAGAACCATTCGCCAATGCGACCAGATACTGAAGAGAAATGGCTTCCCTGGGTGCTTGGAAATTATCGATCCAAGCACGGTGGCCAATACAAACTTGGAAGACAACAACTCACAGATTCAGGCTTTTCAGTCCGCCATATATGCATTGGAAGTCGCTTTGGCTCAGCTATTGATATCGTGGAATATTCTTCCAAGTTTAGTCGTCGGACATAGGTAGGACTCGCTACATATTTCCTAGAATTACATCAAGTCAGAATTGCTAATGTTTGAGATTAGTCTCGGCGAATATGCTGCGCTCGTAACTGCGGGGGTGTTAGATATATCGAGTGGTGCCCTCTTAGTTGCACGCCGAGCCCAGCTAATGGTGACCAAATGTGAAATTGGGAAAACTTCGATGCTAGCTGTGAACCTCGGGGCCTCTGATGCGCGGGCGATTATCGCAAGCGACACCCGTTTCCAGCAATTGGCCATCTCATGCGATAACAGCCGTACAGATTGCGTGGTGGGTGGGCCTGTACCTCAGTTGGAAGCTTTTAAGAATCATCTTAAAAGTACGAGTGGCATCAAAAGTAAGCTCCTCGATGTACCATTGGCGTATCATACGGACGCCATGGACCCTATTCTCCCTGAGCTGGTGGAGTATGCGAATACTGTGGTATTGAGAAAGCCTTCCATTCCGGTTGTCTCAAATGTCTTGGGGCATATAGTACCAGCAGGAGAGGATGTGTTTACTCCTGAGTATTTTGCACGTCACTCACGCCAGACGGTAGCCTTCCAACAAGGCTTAGATGAATACCTAGCGGATTCTCCTGATGCGGCGATGACCCATTGGGTGGAACTTGGACCACATGCTTCCCTCCTCCCCATGATCTCGACACAAGCTACCACAGCACAGGCCGGCTTGGTGCCATGCCTTCGAAAAGGACTTTCCCCATCTGCCACTTTATCGCAACTTTTAAGTCACTTTTATCAGCGAGCAGCTCCGATCAAGTGGCGCAAGGCTTTCGATTTTCAGGAAAAGCCTCAACTGGTAGACCTCCCTGGTTTGCCGTTCTTCCAATCTGAATTCGTGGTGTCGTACCCTCATGAAACTTCGGCTTTGTTAACCGGATTACCCGAGAAAGTTCACGAGACGACATCTAGTAATGCATTCCTTAGCCGGACCATCCAAAAGGCCTCCGAGACAAATGACTTCATCGGAATATATCAGACATCAATCCAGTCTCTAAGAGAGTTCATTACCGGCCATATCGTTTGCGAGCATGCTCTCTGCCCGGCGTCGGTATACCATCAAATGGCTCTATCAGCTGTGCAGGACATGCAGCCGGAAAAGGGAATAGAATCAGCTTGGTCGTTGTCAGACATAACATACGTTGCCCCGCTTCTCTACACGAGCCAGTCGACCGCTATAGTCCGCATTCGTGTTTTCCCATCTAGTGGTTCTCAGAATGAATTTAGTTTTGAGGTGTCGTCTTTCGCCGATGGTACTGAACCAGACCGTGGGATTACTCATTGCAAGGGTCATCTGAAGTGCAAGGTCAGAAAGACCACAGAGAAGAAATACACACGAGCGGCTCGTATGTTGAAAAGACAGGTCGACAGATTCATTCATCCTGATCCAAATACCATCTTAGAAACATTCTCGACAAAAGCTATGTACGAGAATGTTTTCACCCGAGTGGTCACATACTCCAAGTTGTATCAACAAGTGCAATACATCCGCATTAGTCCGGAATGCGATGAAGCATATGCGCGGTGTAAGTCTTCAGTTACACCCTCGAACACACCGGCAGATAGCAGCGCTATATTTATGGATGTTTTGTTGCATGTGGCCGGGTTTGTTGCGAACCTCTCCATTGGCAGTGGAGAGGCTTGTATTTGCAAAGAAGTGGAGTCGGCATTAGTACTGCGTGAACCGGTCTCCCCCGGAACCATGTTTGACGTCCACTGTACCGTGATTGAATTACCCAGAGAGGGACTTTTCATCGCCGACGCACAGGCGACTGACGAGCACGGTGTTATGGCTTCCTTCAAGGGAATGGCCTTCCAGCGAGTCCAACTAGCTAAGATCAACCAGGCGTTCGGTATCCAATCAAGGAGAGGACAGGGAACGTCCAACGCAGCACCACGCCCTCAGCAGCCCAATAACACTAAAAAGGCCGTTGAACTCCAGCCTGCGGTTTCGGTTCCGTCGTCTCAATCAAAATTTGCTGTGAAAAACCTCATAGCTCAGACGTGCGGAGCAGATGCGACTGACTTATCTTCGGAAGCGAATTTAGAGGCATTCGGCTTCGACTCATTACTAATGATCGAATTGGAAGCCCAATTATCATCAGCCTATCCTCAATTAGATGTGTCTGCCTTGGCAGAGTGTCATACCATCGGCGATATTGAGAACCTCTGCTCTGGACAGCAAACCATAGAGACTCCTCCTAATTCTGTTATTGGTGTGCCAAACGAAGACGTAGCAGATGTCGCCGATGATATTCCGAATATTCAAAGGTTAACTCGTGCTATTATTGCCGAGACATGCAGCGGGGATGTTGATAGTATTGACTCAAGTTCCGAGCTGTCGGCGCTGGGTATAGACTCGCTTATGATTTTCGAACTGGAATCGAGTCTGTCGAAAATCAGCAACGGTGGGTATCTGTCGTCGTCTGATTTGGAGGAATGCCACACAGTTGGTGATGTTGAGAAGTTGGTAAGTGATACCCTCAGGCTTTCTGCCACGAAATCAAAGATCTAATATTTCTCCAGATCTTAAGCAGCTACCCGCGATCTCCAACACAAGACAGCAGCTCCGCCGTCTCAAGTTCAAATTCATCCTCATCAACAAGCCCCGTATCATCATCAGGTGCAACTACCCCCACCGCGACTCCCACCGCTCTCGCAACACCCATAACCGCAGAATCATCCCAAGTCCTCTTCAACACTGCCACTATCGAGAAAGTCACAAAAATCCTCAACTTAGATCAACAGCCTGAGATCGTGCAAGCAGCTCCCTCATCTCAACTTACAGGCAACGACAAGCGAGAGCCGTCTCTCTTCCTCATTCACGATGGCAGCGGCGTATGCACGCACTACCACCGTTTACAGCCCCTCAGGCGTCCCGTGTACGCGCTACACGACCCGAAGCTGCTAGACCCATTCGACGGGTGGAAAAGCCTCAGCGCCATGGCGGAAGAATACGCTCGCCAAATCAGCGCTACAACTGCCGGGCCGTATCTCCTAGGCGGCTGGTCATTCGGCGGCGTCGTAGCCTTCGAAGCAGCACGTCAACTACTTTCCCAAGGGCATGGCGTAATCGGAGTGATCCTAATCGACTCACCCGCGCCACTAGACCATCAACCACTCTCAGCGCGCATAATCGACGCAGTAACAAGCCAAGCCAAAGAGCCAGGAACCGAGGCAGCGAAAGCAATCCGCGCCGTAACGCGGCGCAGCTTCGCTTCGTGCGCGAACCTTCTCGGCGCTTTTACACCCTCACCGCCGTCCGCGCAGCCCGTGCCGCGCGTCTTCTTGCTACGATCGCGGGAGGGCTGGCAGGACGCGTCAGATCCTGACTTCTTCGAGAATGAGTGGTTGCAGGACCGACGCAGCCCGCGCGGGGCTATCAGCGGCTGGGAGACGGTGACCGCGTCCAAAGTTGCTTGGGTTGATATCCCTGGTAACCATTTCCAGGTCTTTGACGCTGCTAATATTGAGGCTACTTCCACGTCGATACGTCGTGCTTGTGCTGAGTTGGAGGGCGCATATTCACGCGTTTGAAAAACGACTTGGGGTTTCAAAGATTTGGGTTATGTAAGGACGGAGAATTATGTAAGTGGCTCAGATTACGTAATGAGAAAGGATTATGTAAGAATTGGGAGGGGAAATTTGATGAGGTAATCTTGGATGACATAATAATCTAACTAAGCAAGATGAACCCCTCCGAGGGGTTGGGTTTCTTCCTTCATTACCTACATGATCTTCTTCCTACACAATATTTCCTTGGAGGTAGACGGGGTAGGATAGACACTTTTCGGCTCCTCGATATAGAAGTAGATCATAGATATTTGGATACAGTTCAATTTGATAAGTATTAATAGGTATAACGAGAATATTTACCCATTCAATTGCCGTTGAGCAAGACTCTTTTAACTGGTACCCCTAAACTAGCATAACACTAAGCCCTAGAAGTCCACTAACATTCACTGATCCACTAAATGCTTAATTAGGTGGCCCTGGGGTTAAGTAGATTTAGCGATGCCCCCCCTAAAAATCTGCAGTACGTCCCCTGAAACCTCCACAACTCTCAGATCCATATTTTTATTTCAACCACATTTTTACTACTCACTTCTGTAATACCCAACGATGCTTTCAGGTGGAATTTCATACGATTAAATTCCATGATAACCTAATAGCTAGCAGTATACAGACCTCGGATGCATTGAGCCTGTTCCTTTAGTTGGCTATTACCGGGATACGTGCCTAGGTTCCAAGTAGGTACTACGTTTTATGATTCCATCGCAGGACGGGACTAAAAGGCTAGGATACAATAAAATTGTTGCGCGAGAAGCCCTAAACTACTCTCACTAAGGAAAAAACGGCATACATACAGGTGAGGCCCTTTGTCTGTTGTGTTCCAAGAGCTAGCTACCAACAAGACCTCATGGTCCCAACGGACCCCCACCGGCCGAGTCCTGATCCCACATACTCCTAGCCTTACATATATAGCCCCTAAATACATGCGGCGAAACTCCAGGAAAATGACTTGGCTATGCAGTGCCTACTTCCAACGAGATGATGCCATATCAGGATTTAATAGGTCACTTATCTTTTTAATCGTAAAGCCTAACCATACAAGTCGGCTCTCTTATCAAGGATACAAGCTACTCAGACTCAAGATGGTCCCACTCGGGGAAGCACAATCCCAGTGATACGGCTCAGTGACTACGGGAATAAGACGTCGATAGTATCCCGGAAGTCGATTTCTATTACCTAGTTCTTCCCTCCCTGAATGTCAGGGAAGATGAATTTCCAATGTTGTCTTATTGGTATCGCATACTGCGCCGCTCATACCAGGATTTAGATACGCGTGATGACCAATTCCGCCGTCGAGGAAAGAAAATAGGCCATGGCGTTTAGGCTTATCACTGAATCCTAACGCCGACCCTCCGAGGAAACTCACACGTTCTCAAATGATGCTAACAAGTAGATAGGTTAGAGACCGGAATGCCGGATTCTGTGATTATCTAGTAATGTGAGAGCATACACTGGATTAATCTGACTCGCAAAAAGTTTGATTGGTTTCCTATACGCCACATCCGTGCTTATTTATGAGAGATCGCTACCAAAGGTTCATCATTCCTTGAGAATCGAAAGCGGGACTCACAAGGCGCTCACCGAGTTTCATCCGTAGGTAGATATTTGAGTTCATGGGGGCTTCGTAATAGTTCCTGGGCAATACTAAGACTGTCAGGTTCCAACCTGTGTAGAATCTGCATCGGGGGCTACGGATAGAAGCAAGGGTTGAGTGACCTCGAGGTTTAGAGGTCAAGATGTCACAAGACATACCCCAGGAAGACTAGTTTTTGAGGAATTATGATTCCATGGCCGTTGTGTTTACCGTGTATATAATGTTAGCTACCTATCAATTATATACAAGTTTTTCATTACAATTTTGTATCTCTTTTATACTATCATCAATATCAAAATGTTGAACAATCAGACAAACGTTGAATTGCTTCTTGCAAAGTGTGTTGGCCAAAAGGTCAAGATCCCGGATTTCTTTGCCATTTGTCCATGGAGCGTCGAAGTGTCTGCTAAGGATGAAAAGATGGAGAGGGAAGTAGATCGATGGCGATCAAGGTATTATACTCCGTATCCCAAGGTCTTGTAATAGCTCCTTTCGTTCTTACAAAATTCAAGATGGATCAAGACCCCGAAAAGTTTAAAGCGAAACCGTATAGTTGACCCCTGTCTATTTGCTCGGGCGGCTGCTCCAAAGGCTTCCTTTGATGAGTTAGTAATATTATCTAAGTGGGTTGCTTGGGTAAGTTCGAACAGGTTGAGACTCATTCAAGTCGCTCGAAACACCGGAACTAATGAGCATGATAGACATATTATTGGGATGATGGTATGATACCCACTACCAAATTCAGACAGCCAAACTTATAAATTGCATATTACCTACAGCTCATGACTTCGGCGAGTTTGACGGCATGACTCAGGAGGTTATTGACCATCAAAAGCAGACAATAGAATTGTACCGGCAGTGTCTATTTTCCAAGTCACCGAGATCTATTAACCCCGCCGCAGTTTCCCCTGACTATCTCACTGTACAGTCGGCCCATGAATTCGCAGCTGTCGTAGGAGAGGAAGCTTTGTCATGTAAGAATCCGCGAAATATCATGAATGGGTATCTTACTAACCTGTGCACAGCATCGCTGAAGAAATGGACTTTCAAAGTCCTCGCCAACTCCTGTAGGGCTGTTTCCCGTCTCCAGCATGAGTTTGATAAGAGAAATGTACTGGATCTTGAGACATACTGGAAACTCCGTATGGACTCATCTGCTGCATTGCCTACTCTAGCAATCATCTTGTCAGTTATCACACCTTCTCTAATAAAATCTTACTAAGACTAGTCTAGGTTTACCGATCAGATCGCTTTTCCAGATTGGTTTTTCGACCACGACCTCGTCAACAAGGCAGCGGAACTAGCTGATATCATCATATCGATGTAAGTCATTGTTACCCAATATCTAATCATTAGATACAGAGTTGATAACAAGAATCAGTGTTAACGATATCGCGTCTGCGAGATACGAACTTGTAATTATATCACTCTCAAGATCTTATCTGTGACTAACAACAACAGCAATGCAAGCATGTTGACAATCTCATCCCAATACTAGTTCATCACAAGGGAATTACACCCCAAAAAGCTATAGATGAAGCGGCTAAAATTGCTCACCAAGCTTATCTTGACTTTGAGGCACTAGAACCACAGCTCATCCAGCTTGGTAAGAGTCGTGGTGCCACTTACGAGATGAGAAGGTTTATCGCAAGCTGTAAATCGGAGTGTACTGGAATTATTCATTGGCAGTGAGTCGCAATTTATTATATAAAGGGGGGATAAAAAGCCAAATACTAACATCCATATGGTAGTTATCATGTTAAGCGGTACCTCCCCTGGAAGCCAGGCATGGATCGTGGGAATGTATCATTGGTCCTCGGTGAGGATCTACCTAAATAATATAGGTGCCTAGAGACTTAGTTGGCTAGAAAACTAGGTAGGTACCTGGTTATTGGAGACTTGATATGCCGAACTTCTAATCGAATCGGGGTTAGGACCGATCCGTTAAGGGGGCTCATTGGTCACTGCTCCTAGGACAACGTAGGCAAAGGACATGGTCTGTATGTATATCGTAGTGCGATCTTTATTAGATACCTAGAGTCGAAACTTATTCCTCAATAACGTCATTTTTATCCTATCCATCGACTTTCTATCGTGACACATGACTTCTTTCATCGAAGTGGGTGACTACCCCCGCTGATTATAGAACCAATTTACAAAGTGAATGGGAGGGGCATATTAACAATGGTAATCAAAGGTACATTCATTTCCGGCTAATATATCATATGAACGTACCTATACGCCATCGACGTCAACCGTTAAATATCACGACTCCCATAACTTCAGTATTTAAGGACTGTATCTTAGTAAGGGCGGCTTGGAACATATCATGGAAACCGAATTTTCGACGCCTTTACTCAATACGATCTATCAGAATCAGAACCGTGACGAAGATATCTCATAGGAGATGATCTGCCCACGGCTCAGCCTGAGCTATGATAGACTTACCTATCTAGCTGATGAACTCGTCTATCTATAAGTCGCTATTGACCTGACTCGCAACTCGTTGAAACTTGTCTCTATTCACACAAACGCCGATCTTACAAGACAGACCTAGATATTGGTCTCTGGAACTATATTTAAATCAACTACCACGAAGCAACTTCGCGACTACAACGAGCAATTCACCAGAACCTCTACCAATTATCTACTATTGAAGAATACCCGTACAATCAATTGTATCCGTCTCCGACGATTCCGCATAGCACTCTACAAGCTCCGGGCTCTCCGTATTCCGTCTAAGATCACACGGCAAACACCGATATTTTCCTAAATTTCAAATATCTAACCATGGACGAGGTAACTTGAACCCTTCTATACCCTGAGTGATTCGAAGCTGACAAAAGTACAAGTCCGAGACCTGTCCGGACTGCAGCAGCTCCGAAGTCTGCTCGGCATGCACGGAGAAGAAGCGCCAGGAAACGGCAGAGAGACGCAAGAAAGCAAAGGAAGACCGTGTGGGTAAATGAGATGAAGAACAATACGTGATTATCTGCATCCTTGGGATATTGGAATGCTCTGGATTATCAGTCAAGGCCCTGTGATCTGATCAGGTGTATCTGCTTTTCGCGCGTGGACGTTTTAGGTTGGATGTGGCATCGTCGTATTCGTTATCTTACTCCGTGCCAAAAGAAGTAATAGCAAAAAAATAAACGACGTTTATCTAATATCATAGTTATTATTTCTCAATTCAGGGTTATATTCAACTTACGCTAAGCTACCTCCATAACGCACCCATCCGCGCAGGATCGCAACTCCCTAGCTTTGCGCTCTTCGCCTTGCCATCAAAGACGATCTCGCTTACTAATTTCCCCGTTGCAGGCGCGTTCTGAATGCCCCAGCATGTGTGTCCTGCCGCGACGACCAACCCTTCGGTGTCGTCTACCTTACCTATCCAAGGACCCCCCTGAGGTAGATAACACGCCTGCTTCGCAAGTACTTGTCCATCTTTCCCCAGCTCATCGCTTATCCCGCTGACCTGATATATGATATCGTCACATCGCGCCGTGTCAACTTCGACGTCGGCACTTGTAAGGGGCAACTCGATAGCGTTGTCTGTGGGCCCACAGGCATATGCGGTGCCGTCAGGTCGTGCGTAAATTTCAGGTTCTACAATCTGTTGTCCTATTAGAGGTCGTATGGTTGTTGACTTTCGCCTAGCATCCTGTGGCGTTGGAGTGGGGAAGCCGGTGGGCAGCATGATTGAAGTGAAGAGTGCATATGCGGACACGGGCCTCGGCGTCTTGATGACGACACTATGCGCGCGAGCCGCGGTAATAGGGACATCAGGTAAGAGACGAGTCGTCCATGGACCTGCCGCTACTATGCAATCTGTAGTTGGTAGTATTTCCTCTTTATCATCTTTGATAAACGTTACGCTCTCCACGCTCTTTCCGTCCGCAGTCTTGTTGATAGTCGTAACTCTTGCGCCTGTCACGATCTTCACTCCTTGTTCCTCAGCTAATTGTGCCATACTTCGAGTGAATAGTTCTGGGTGAACTTGCGCTGTCTTATCTGGCGTAGACATTTCCTCGTAGGCAGCTAGGGCATCATCCGTATCCAGCCAATCTAAATCTTCGGGGGCGCCAAGCTTTTGAAGAGCTTTGATATCTGTTTTATGATCCTTATGGAGGCCCTTTGAGCGCTGCTCCGGTTTCCCTCTGACAGGCTCCGTTCCCACCGCCAGGCTGTTGTCGAAACCAGGCGGTAAACGCGCGCGGCAATCGATCTGGCTAGCATAACACCGCCTATATCCCCATCTCTTATCGCCGCCGTGTTCCTTTGCGAGCTCGGCGTGCAATCTAAAACTCAGCGGCACAATTTCCGATGGGAAAGCCCATAGCGCGAGTAAGCCACCCGCTTTGCCACTTGCACCGCCTGCGATACCATCGTGAGCGGGGTTCTTCTTAGACGCGGTTGTGGGGTCGGCTAGCGTCGCCGGGTCCTGGATGCTTTCCGAGGTTCGCCCTCCAGCACTACTTGACGAGGCCTCGAGGAGAGTTATGCGATGCGTCTCGGGAGAGTAGGAAGGGTGTCGAGTAAGGAAATACGCAGTACAACAGCCGATAATTCCTCCACCAATTATGGTGATATCTTTTGGCGTTGAGGTCATTTTCCGCCCTCTTGAAGTAGTAAGAAGACGGAGTGGGGCGAGATTAAGCATTCATTCGAGCCTCATTCATACTCGATCGTTTTTCGATCGTTCGCGCTTTAGAAAGTAGAAATTGGGAGTGTCTGGAATTTGAAACTTGGAACTCGGCGCAAAACAAATTGCCTAGGAACCTCAATTAATATATTTACCAATCTTTACGTAATCAGGGGACTTAATGGTTACGTCACTCCGTATTGTCAGCATGAAATGTCCACTTTTCCACCCCTATCCAACAACCTTGAAACCTGAGTGGTAGTCAGCTATTACTAATCAGCATGCCCCGCAGTCTCCCTGTAAATCGACTTAATTATAGGGGATATCTACTATAAATGCGCTATGAGTATTCATTAACCCCCCAAAGGTTTACCCACTTTTAGGTTTATTCTATTTCCCTGACGGTCTGATCCGCCCTTGTACGATACCACGTACCGCCTTTAATACACCAAAGATCCCACCCCATCTTCAATCCAGTAGTAGGATTAATCGTGATAATCTCAAGGTACAATAGATACCTAGGGACACTGACTTTTATTCCGTGTCATAACACTTACCAAGGAAGCTTATCATTCTTCAAGTTAAAGAACTCACCGGACGTTTCATCTCGGGTCGCTCCGTCAATCTACATTAAACAATTAGCAGGGCAGGAGACATAAAGCTCATATAACTCACTATTTTCATCATACCCTCAACGCTCTCCTCGACGGTATATGTAGCTTTCCCCAATCCCCACTCCTTGGCAATCCAGTTCCCAGGTTCAGTTTGGACCAACCTTGGCAATATTTAGTTATGACGGTTAACAGTTTTTGAGGAATCACATCTTACCCTGGATTGAGCGCCACGGCGACGAGCCATTCATTCGTGAAATGGATTGCACTATCAACCAAACTAATCAGCATGACAGAGTGTAGGTATTATATGTGCGACGCAAGTCGTAAGGCAAAAGGATAGGCGAATGTTGGAGATAGGTGCTTACCGGGTAAGCCAATTTAAAGCAGCCTTCGCTGCGGCATAGGAGGTGCCATCCCAAGACCGGATTTTTCCCATGAGAGAGATCGAGCCACCTCCCGTTGATATTGACACCCATTTCGGCGCGGAAGCCTTTTGCAAAAGGGGACGACATGCCTGGAATAGCATGAGAGGGCCTATGGCGTTGACCTGATACGTGTTCGTCATCTCCTCGGCAGTAACTCTATCCAGTGGCGTAGTCGGAAGTGGGCTCCCGCCGGCATTCGCGATGACAATGTCCAAGTGCTCGATTCCTTCAGACTTCACCACCTCCAAAGCCTTCTGTGGGTCAGTCGGTGAGGTACTTTCGATTGTGACCAGCAGCAACTTGGACCCATCCGCTGCTGGGAAAGCCTTCAGTTCTTCAACGCCTGGGGCCAAGGCGGCACTTTCGCGGATGCTACCGATAACAATGTGTTGGGGCCTTGAAAGATAGGCTTTGGCGAAGCCGTTCCCTATGCCTATAAGGGTAATAATGATGATCAGTAATCAGAAATGACGGCCGAAAAGCGCTTGAGTCTACGTACCGCGACTCACACCGCTTATGAAAACCACAGTGGCCATGATGAACAAATTCGAGAAATAGAGCAGTATGAGCACAGCGAGAGAGAAATCGTCGATGATAGTCAATCGTTAGAGCTCGTTCAAGCTACCTCTCAAATAGGGGGCATCGAGTTCTTCAACAAAGACCCATGAAGAACAGGTCCCTCTTTGAATCCCTGCATTGCGCCACATATGGAGTGACACGTGCTGATGTTGGAAGAAACAGAAACCAACTGCATATTTAAGTCCCGTACTATTGAAATATTCAGTAAGATTTATAATCGAATACTCGTAGATAAAGAAGGGCCTCAAACATCACGATCAGAGGATGCGATCTGCAATTATCTACCATGGATTCTCTGTCGAAGCTTCAGTCTATGATAACCCAGTTCTGGCCGCCCCGCCCCGAATTCACGGATGCCAACATCCCCGCGGGTTCCCAGGCCGGGCGAGTCTTCATAGTGACGGGAGGCAATGCGGGAATAGGCTACGAGCTATGTAAAATTCTATTCGGTACTGGCGCAACGGTATACATGGCCACTCGATCCGAGGTATAGTCGTTCGAGTCGCACTTAATAGTGCTAGGTCAGATGGACCAACTAACCCTCCTCACAGGAGCGAGCCGAAGCATCCATCAAATCAATCAAAGCCTCATACCCAGAAGCCAGCAGCACAACCGGCAAGCTCAAGTTCCTACACCTAGACCTAAGCGACCAGAACTCCGTCCGCGCCGCAGCCCATCTCTTCGCACAATCCGAGACCAAACTCGACGTCCTCTGGAACAACGCGGGCATCGGCCCCAACGCCAACCCTCCCAAGACGCGCACAGCGCAAGATCTAGAGCTATTCATGGGCGTCCACTGCGTCGGCGCGCTTCTCTTCGCGGAGCTCCTCCAACCTCAACTCAAAGCCGCGACGTCCCCTGAACATCCCTCCCGCGTCATCTGGCTGACGAGTGTATTGATCGACTTCTCGGCGCCGAAGAACGGTATCGACTTCGATATCCTGGAGACCGGCGTTCGCGACCAGATCGTGAATTACTCGACCTCGAAGGCGGGGGTGTGGGTTTTGGGACGAGAGTACGGGCGTAGACATGCTGAGGACGGGATCCTTAGCGTGATCGCGAACCCCGGGAATTTGGACGCTGGGGCGTTTAAGGGGACGTCGCGGTTTGCGATGTTCATGATGCGGATATTGTGGTTGCAGAAACCGGTTTTTGGGGCGTACACGGAGCTGTTTGCGGGGCTGTCTCCTGAGGTTACTAATGGGAGGTATGTTTTCCCGTGGGGAAGATCAGTTCCGGATAGTAGTGTTGTGCGTCAGGATGTGTTGAAGGCGGGTGAGACGGAGGAGTTGGGCGGGCTTGGGTATGGTAAGAAGTTGTGGGAGTGGTGTGAGACTAAATGGAAGTTGGCGGAGTAGCTTTGGGGGCAACAAAGAAAGCATCCGCGACCATTCGTTAAGTTAATACATAATGTTCCTTGTCGTCATACCAGCGATAGATCAATAGTTCTTTGTGGCTCTTCCAGGTTCGCATATGGGTGACCCGATAAGACAACGGTCTCTTTTGCTCCATCTGTCTCATTTCATGTTTCTTAAATACTCCAGCCTAGATTAATCTCAAAATCAGCCATCTAGTCAAAATCAAGAAATCATTATAGCTAAATCGCATCTCGATAATGGTTTTTAGCCCAAGGCAACTGCCTAAACGGCCTCAAACCCCTTTTCAAAGACTAGAAGATGAAGTTAGAGTTGGTGTTTTCGATCAAGGCGATGTGCCATATAATAGCGACCCGCAGCTAATCATACCGAACGGCCGGTCGGGATGTTACGGTCTTTATCTCATCACGCCTGATGGCGTAGAGTTCATCTTCCACCACGCAATCATGGAGTATGCTACCACATGTGGCTGTCTCACTAGAATGAGCCCGGGAGAAACGACGTTCCAAATTTCTGCTGAGCTGGATGATCATCGATTACGACTCATTCGCCGAATAAACCACCCAATAGAACCAAAACTCGCAGCTATGGTCGTCATGAAGTTGTTTCTAGGCCTGGAAGTCCCAGAGTACTTTCGTATTAAACGGAGACGCGAAATTGAAAAAGCCGACATAGAAAGTACATAGGCAAGCATAAAATAAACAGATGGTGTACACGTTTACCATTCAGTCTTTATTATGTGACGTATGTCGGATTTGAACCCACCATCCTTTCTTCTTCAAACGGACGATTAGAATTTGACCTTGACCTGTTTGACTTGATGGAAATGCTTTGAGGCTGCCCCAATTATTTTCGCATTGTACTTCAGGGGGTTCATGTCCTTCCCGAGACGCGGTAGTGTGATGAATGATGAAATCTTGGAGGACCGCATCAGCGGCTTCATGCTCGCCGTCGTGCTCATATAGTTCGATCAGCGTAAAATACAAGATCCACATTTCGTTTGATAGAATATCATGTATGGGTACCAAGGTATCTAAGGTCAGCGTTTCTGGTTCGAATAACACAGCTCAGATTATACCACCATATCGCGTTATCGATATATTCAACATCTTCTGACCATGCTGCAAGCAATCGACAACAGTTCAATATCTTGTCCTTGACTTCAAAGGTTGGTCGGTGCACTTCCAAGGCTTCGGCAAGAGCTGTCAAATGAATAACGCGCGGCTTCATCAAGGAGTATAATAGAAGTGACTGAAATTATCATGTTGTTGTTGTAAGATTGATGAGGTACCTCCCTAAGGTTATTTAGGTCCGTGCACGTATTATGATATTTGCTTACTAATACAATTCTACGATTACGTAATAAATGCTTATATAATACAAATGCCAGATCCACCCCTCAAGTTTCTTTTCACTCCCAAAATAATTCAACCCTGCCACTTAACCCTCTTTTCTCTAAAGATGCTCACCATTCCCATCGGTAGTAATCCCGGCTCGACAATATTCAACCCACCAAAACGGTCCATGACTTCAGGTCCGTATAGCTGAGCGACCCATTTCCAATACGGCTCCATAGAAACCCAATTTCCTTTAATACATTTCAGGTTCCCTTGTCGCGTGAGGGCACTGATTCCATCCAGGACACTGGGGCTGGCATGTTGAATACCTTCTTCCAGGGGGACCTTCATCAGTTCTTTGTACACCACCCAAAGATTACCCGGGAATTTGTAGTGTACGTCCTCGCGATACCGCGTAAACTCAGCAAAATCCATGAACCTACTCCAATCTGTCTTGTCCTCGGGTTCCCATTTTTGGCCAAACATGCTTCTCTCATTGGAGAGGCTAATAGATGAATTCTCGAATTCGCGTTTGAGAAAATAGTATGAGTCTTTTTCATTTCTGAGAAACTCATCCAGTTTCTTCGCCGAGTCTTGAAGTACTGTGTCATTGACCTGCAAGATGGAAATGAAAGGGCTTTTGAGGTCAAGGCCGCCCAGTTCTATAGGGAAGAAGAGATAGGCATCAGGAATATCTACGACTCCAAACCGTTCCCGCATGAGATTCTTAAGGTAGTCGACGATATTTGTTGCACTTTGCTGGTCTCCGTTACCCGAGTTTAAGGAAGACGACGATGAGAATACTTCACGCTGAATTCGTTCATGAGTTGCAAGCATCTGCGCAACATGATCTTGTCCAAAGCAATTCGCCGCTTTACCGAAATTTGATGTGAAGAACGTTGCCGCATATGCGTTCCATGCTTGGATGAACGATATGATGCTCTTTCGTTTATCGTGCAGCTGCTTGCGCAAATCAATAATGTGCTTATCGACCATATTCTGGTCGATCTCGAATTTTCCGGTCTGTGGCGAGAGCCTGAGAAAACCCCAGCGGATATCGCCCACGGGAAGAGATCTATCAATCTCGAGCGAAATAGACGGATCTCGTGAGAAACGCATGGTACCGGTCTTCTTATGATTCACATAAGTACCAGTCGCCTCAACGAAATCAGTAACCGACTTCCATGCAGTCACGGCAACCGAATGATCTCGCGACCAGAACCAAAGGTCGTCCTGCATGCGGAAGAGTATAGCTCCGCCTGTCGACTGATTTACTGCAAAGTCGAGGCAGAACAAAATCGACTCACCGAAGACGTCACTGAGGACGTGTGACGCAGGTGTGCCTCGAGATCGATTGCGTGGAAGTGTCGAGGGATCGTCATCAAGAAATTTTAACGGTGCCTTCAGGAACTTTTTGAAGAAGTTCAACCATGTCTCCGAGACTCCAAATAATGACAGTACTGTCAAAATCGTTTCATGCGGAAGCAAAGTATTCCATCTTTCAAATGAGGAATGAAATGCAGTGACCTCGCCGTACAATTTAGTGTTGATAGCAATTTCGGTTGATAAGAGTCGCAATAATCGCTGTTTCGACTGCATCGGTTGCTTGTTACCGGAGCTTGTCTCATCGTCATCGTCTGTATCTTCACTGTCTGTTTCTTCGTCTGGTTGATCGTAAGGATTTTCTGGCTTCACGATTCTTCTGTGTCGCATTACCCCCTTCTTTTTCGCTGGCATCGCCAAACATGGAGCTGGCTGAGAGGCGGGGGCACCAAATGAAGGCGCCGCAGAACGTTGTTGCACCATGGAGACTGGCGCATATTCGGCTTCTTCCTCGCCATCGGCGGTCTGGCTTTGCTGCGTTTCATGGTCCATAAGCTGAGCCATGAAATAATGCTTGCGGTGTATCCTGTTCCTTAGGTATTGAACCGTATGTTTACGGCTTTCCTCTGATCCTAGATAATAAGTCCGACGCTTTGCATCGATGGTAGGTATCCGTTTCCAGCAAGTCTCCCATGCTCCAGGTGTGGTTCGAAACTCGTTGAAAGCCTTTTTGAGAAAGGCTGACCACTTGACGCCTATATATTGTAAAAAGATCGCTTGAAGCAGGTCCTCATGCATGAGGACGTTATACACCCCACTGATTTGACGTCGTTGCTCTAGGGGTACGCTAGTCCCCCAAGACCACATATCCAAAGATGTAAGTCTCATGTTCAGAACATCAGCAATCTCAGCAAGGATAATAGGATTGTTTTTGAAATCTCTCAACACTTCTCTCTTGTCGTCCGTGAGAAGGTCTGACGCTAGTAACCCATCCGCAATCCACTTCAGCGTTGTCAAATTGAACTGATCTGGTTGGGACATCTGATTTTCAAAAGCCGCGACCTTAGACTTAAACTGATTGAGAGCTTTCAATTTTTCGGGACCATCTCCCTCTTTCACGCCGAATAGTTGGCCTAAATACGACCGAAGTTTGGCCTCGTCAACCTTACCCGGTTCGAAAACCGTGCGCTCCCATTGCTGTCGGTAATCTTGTTTCATTTCACTCGCCACATCTTCGAAGCCTTCGGTCATTGCGACGTCAATGGTGTCGGCCTCCTTTGATGTCTTTGTGGATAGCCATTCGGTGACAAGCTGGGCGTAGAGTGACGCATATTGGTATTTGAGCGATTGTGTATTCAGATGGCCCAACAGGGATTCTTCCCAGGTCTGCATCATTCTTAGAGACACGGACGGATCGTACTTCGCTTGGGATAAGAAGCAATCGAGGTTCTTCAGCTCAATTTCCAGTTTCGAATTCCTCGATAGGGTTGCGTTATGAACCTTGGTGTACTTGCCGAGCTTCAGGGCATAACAGGCCTTCACACCTTGGCTCAGGATGTAGAGACGCCGAGAAGGATCCTTCTCATTTTCTAGCATAGATAGGATGTTAGACTTGGTGGTTTCATAAGCCGATCGACGTTTGGAGAGTTCTTCCAATTTTATGTTGGTGATATCCTGGAGCGTCTCGGAGAAGACACTGCCGTTAGTCGAAGACATCTTTCTTATATAAATAATATCAGGTCTAGTGCAGAGGGTTTCATGAAGATAATTATATGTAGTTTATGTAGTTGGGAGTGTGTAGAGAGAAGTTGTAGAGCTGAAAATGGAGGAAGGTGGGTGGAAGAAGGGTTCTTATAGGCAACCACCTGAGCAGGATGCCTACTAGTCTTGCTTACCTAATTAGCAAGCAGATGCTAGTATCAGGTATCACTATAGTTCATATACGCAACAACGTTTTAGTGCTTGTGAGTGCTGCAACTTTTTACTTTCTTCACTCGAATTACATAGAGTTGATCACGATGAACTATTCTTACAGAAGAATGCGAAGGAAAATAAAAGCCTTCGTAAATCAGTAGGTATCGAGTCTTATGAAATAAATATCACATAATTCAGTTACATAGAAGAATATTTGATCTTCTAACTTATCCATATCATCTCCATCATTTCCAAAGCTCTCCAGCACTTAGTGGTAACTAATAGTGGATGCCTATTGTGTAGCACAGCTCTCCAGGACTAGAGGGGATGGATGGATTCGATTACAGTGCACCTACTTCGTACTAAAGCAACTCCAGGGCTAATTTTAGCATTCCATTCTAACTACACGGGCGCTACATCGCCCGGTCGCTAATACCTTTACATCCATCGCATCATCGTTACACAAGAATTAGGCAGATACCACGGTCGCAGACTTCCTAAAAGTTTTGAATAAAAAACATATTTAATCTTTCTTCAATAGCCTTATAGTATATTATAGATGCAGCGCGAGAATTATTATTTAGGGAGCTCCTTAGATGCCTAAAGGTCGAGAATGACGCGGGTAATTGATTCGCACCCATTTCAATCACTAAGACTGGTGGTCTTCCATACAACTGAAAAGATCATAGTTGCAGCTATAGCAATCATATTGCCATTCGACAGCAGTCAAGAAGTTTAGAGACGGCGAATCGCGAGGAAGGATCACTCACACGTGTTAGACTCCACCGGGAGCAGCAGCAACAGTAACAGCAGCGTTTTATAGCTTACTACCTAGAGAATCCGGCTTCACTGAGAAATTAGAAGATGAATGCTCACAGGCCAACGTTCCGGGAATACCGTGTTGTCGTATTTCAACACGGTTATTATAGAGAGTACGCTGTATGCGCGTATTCCCCGTAATGAGAGGCTGATAGCGGTACACTAGAGAGCTGAACTCCCGCCCGTTAGCTCACATCGAACTGGGAGGCGCTGTAACAGACGGAAGCGGCTCGTATGGGATTTAGTCGGGGTCATCGCAATTGTCTCGGGCAAAGTATCGCCATCGTGCAAATGAAGAAGGTAACACCAGCAATAATCATGAAGTTGAAGGTAAGTTAAAGTATGGTGGTATTCAAACATTGCTAATGGTCGATGTAGTTATAATTGGCGAGCCCCGATGCAGAGGCAGATTCCCCCCTACCGTAGCTTCTTAAGAGCCGTGATACGTGAATGAAGTCCCAATCCAAGCACTCACCATTTATATGGAACGATGGACACATCATCTCTTCCTAACTATTCCCTCCGTATGGTTACAGATACGTAACCTGAGTACCAGAGTACGGAGCAATCAGTCCTACAAATACGAGTTCTCAGTATCACGATTATCTCCGACGACTACCATCCCGAGTATATAGGCGTCCAATCCGCCCTAAATTCGGGATGATCAGCACTACAGACGTACCTATTTACAGGTATACTCCAAGTGCCGACACCCCGAGGGTGGTAACACAGGGCGCCATCACAAAGGAGCACCCCACGCCCACGTCAAATAACGCGCTTTATTCTCGTGACTCGACCGTAGTATCTCCATCTCTTTACCTACGTAGTATATAAAAAAGCGACTCATATGTAGCAAGCCAAACCGCAAGAGTGAACAAGATATCATCTAGTCACCCAGCTTCAAGATGCTCAACAAGAAGGTCAAAGCATGCGCCCTACACGTGGCGCCCGTGTACATGGACAAGGCCGCCAGTCTCCGCAAGGTAGTCAATCTGATCTCGCAAGCAGCAGTTGAGTCCATCGAGCTCCTCGCCTTCCCCGAGGTATTCGTACCCGGGTTTCCCTACTTCACAAACTGCTACGCGCCGAACGCGGCGACCGTCGCCCTGTACGCAGCACAGAGCGTCGAGGTGCCGGACGACTTGACCGAAGTACAAGCCGCATGCGCGACATACGGGATCGTAGTCGTGCTAGGCGTATCGGAGCGCATGCGCGGGGGACACACCATATTCAACAGCATCGTGACGATCGACTCGGATGGCGCCATCCTCGGCGTCCACCGCAAGCTGCAGCCGACGTGGGCGGAGCGGCTCGTCTGGGGCCAAGGGTCCGGGTACACGCTGAAGACGTACGAGCCGAAGGGGGCGGGGTACCGGATCGGCGGGCTGGCGTGCTGGGAGCACACGATGAATGGGGCGCGGCAGGCGCTCATCGATCAGGGGCAGCATATCCACGTCGGCTGCTGGCCGGCCCTCGACATCCTCGACGGCTTCGAGAACGTCGCGTGCATGCAGATCGAGGCGCTGATGAAGACGCACGCTTTAACCGCGCAGGTGTTCGTACTGTGTCCGAGTAGCTACGTCGATGCTACTTGCTTGGAGTGGATGGAGAAGAATCTTGGCCCGCAGGATAAGGTCAAGCCTGGTGGGGGCTGGACCGCTATCATTCACCCGTTCTGCACTTTTGTTGCTGGTCCGTATATGAGTGACTTTGACCTGCTTGTCGTGGGAGAGGTTGATCTCTCACAGTTGGATTTGGTGAAGGCTTATGTTGATGGGGTGGGCCATTATAAGAGGCCTGAGGTCTTCAAGTTGGATGTTGATACGACTCAGCGATGGAAGGATGAGCCGGACATCGTTGGCCCCATCCCGTTGAAAAAGCCGTAAGCCGGACAAGTTCGCGCCCTTGGTGTCTTAGTGGGTCTTCCGTGACTCAACGGGAATTTACGTGGTGGCGTCATTCCGTGATCGGCCGGGTGTAGTCATCACGCGATTTGAGCTTACTTATCAGGTTCTTATAATAGGTACCTAGTATCTAACATATGTAGGTTATGATTTGATATGATATTAATTTCATCACGAGAGTGAGACCTTTCTTATTTCTATCAACTATCTTAAGCCCATAACCATTAGCACGATGGCGGAGGACAAGCAAAGCCTAGACTACATTCTCCATGTATACTTCACCCGATATTCTAGTAAGTTACCTAACAACTCATACCACAGAATCCATTAGCAGTATTAGAGCTAGAATTTTAATCTCCTAAACTAGGTTGGGGAGTCCGAGTGGCACTCATCCTCGATTATTTTCAAATCCCCCACACAACGAAAGGGTATGGCTGGAGAGCGGAAGTCGCTCCACCAACCCATTTATCAGGGGGTTTACTTCCTGTTCTACAACCAGACCCAAATGATGAGGGTTTCCTGATCGGTGATTCTCTGGCCATAAGCGAATTTCTTGCTGAGCAGAACCCGGAGCTTCATCTATGGCCAAAGGATCTGAAGTTGAGGGCGCTGGCACGAACAGCAGTGGCTCAAATGCATTCTGGCTTTAATGTAATGCGTAATGCGTATCACACTAACTTCTTTGGCAAGTATACTGGGAAAATCCCCATCAGCGAAGCTGCGGCAAAGGAAATTAGGGAGATGGTTCAGCTTTGGAGCAAGGCTCGAGCAGATACGAAGAAGAGGTTGCAGGAACTTGGTGAGGAAGATGAAGGATTCTTATTTGGGGCGTTTAGTATCGCCGATGCTTTCTTCTGGCCTGTTTTATGGGTGGGTGACTTACGAGTTTCGATGCGTGCTTTACGTTGTGCTAATGCTTTAGTGCAGCGATTCCGAAGCTACCAACTACCCCTGACTGGGATCAGCGACGATGCGTTGAAGTGGGTAGCGAAGATGTGGAATGACCCAGCCATAAAGAAACATTCACAGGAATTCTTCAGGCAGGCACAGGACCCTTTAACTGTCGTTGAGAAGTATGAGAATATCTTTCGAGGGAACCCCGACATTGAGTACAGCCAATTTTCCGGGGACTGGACCTTCGATCCAACGGAGGCGTGAGGTCTTAGCTACCAAGTTCTTACCACCTCAATCACGCCCGAGATCATAGAATTGAGAATGATTACACGCATATAAAGTCATTAATCGCGCACTAAACTTGGATCTGACTTTCTAGATTAATAATTGCATAATTATTAATCTGTATAGTCCTTGTTCTGATCGAGATGTGCCTAGGTTCTAGGTACCTATGTGACTCGCGGAGTTTACATTTTAATGCCGGGCACATCGCCAAAGTTCACTTGTGCCGAACGCGATATCCGTATTCTTGTCTTACATCCGCAGATATATATTTGTCTAGGCTTTTTCCGTTTGCCCCTATTCATCGGCCCCATATCCATCGAGACCCTTAGCACGGTCATTAGGAAGATGCCTCGTTATGTGTTTCTTACAGGAGGCAATGGCTTCATAGGGTCACATATACTCGCCGAGCTCCTGAACAATGACTTCTATGTTAGTTGCGCCGTTAGAACTCAAGCTAAGGGTGATAAGATTCTAGAGGATTTCGCTGCTCAAAAATCTCAGATCGATATTTCCGTTATACCGGACATCATTTCACCGGACGCTTATAATGCAGCATTAAAAAGACATCCCTTCGAGGCTGTATTTCATACAGCATCCCAATTTTCATCCAATGCGGAGGGCGATAAATACCAATTATACCTCAAGCCCGCGATAGAAGGGACCTTGAACCTCCTTCGAACTGTGAAAGATCATGCTCCAAGCGTGAGGAGGGTCATCTGGACGGGAAGTTGTGCTAGTGTGATTGACTACGGCGATCTTGTCTCTGTAGACCACCCTAGGGTATACGACGAGAAGGATTGGAATCCGATAACCTTGGAGGACGTCAAGCAAGGCAGTCCATCTCAAGCCTACATAGCAAGCAAGAAGTTTGCTGAGCAGGGAGGTAACGTGATTGCTTTATCATTTCATTGAGTGCTATGATGTGTAATCTTATACTGATTCATTCTGTCCACGCAGCTTGGGCGTTTATGGAACAAGAGAAACCCCACTTTGAGTTGGTGACATTATGCCCTCCTGCAACATTCGGTCCTCTACGACATTCAATCTCGAGAATCGAAGATCTGAATGAATCGAATGACAGGCTGTGGAAATACTGCTTTGACTCAACAGAGGATGCCCCTATGCCGTACATCCCTGTACACACGTATGTTGACGTCCGAGTGAGTCTCCCAACTCAAATCGTGTTTGGTTTATTCCCCTTAACAATGACTTCTTAGGACTTAGCAAAAGTCCAAGTCCAATCGATGATTGTACCAGAGGCAGCAAACCAACGCTTCATCGTATGTGCTCGCCAGTTCAGTTACCAGGATATATGTGATATTTTGAGATCGCATTTCCCCGAGCTGAGAAAACGCACACCTCTTGGAAGGCCTAGTATCAGCTCCCTGCCTCAAGGTGCATATTCCGTCGATAATACCAAGGTGAGAGAAATACTGGGGATAGAATTCCGGAGTCTCGAAGAGACAGTGTTGGATACTGCACGGTATATGTTACACGTTGAACAGGATGAAAACCGAACAGTGTGATATCTACATCAATGATACTGGTCGGCATGTAACTAGGTACCAACCAGGTAGTTAATTTTAATGAGGTAATCAAGATGTTCCGAGAATAGGTACCTAGTAGAGCTAGGCATCAATTGAATTGAATTAGAATTTAGGTAATGACCTCTATCCTGCTCAGTCAATTATAGATGCCCAGTATCAAGCAAATATGAAGTACTGTAGGAAAGAGCGTTTGTTCCCGCCCCACTATTTTTCTTAACTTTGAATGTGATGGCATACTTCGTACTGTTTGAAGAATTCAACTCACAATTCACAAGATTCTACTCATTTCCTATAAAGTGCCTATTTATTTCCTTTTATCAATGTAAAGCTGCCTTGAACTAAAAATCATTATTGATCAGTTGAGGATTTCGGTCTCTCAAAATTCATCTTGTTCTATTTCAACCATCTCGCCACTCTTCAGCAGCGATATCTGATACCCAACTCCTATTTTGAGACGAAAAAGAAAAGAAAAAACACACCGCAATGGCATTGCCAACCAGTAACCTTGCGTTGCAGGTTGTCGAACCCCAGGAAGGCTGGGCACACACGCACACAGTCATATTACTTCACGGCAGAGGCAGCAACGGCCAAGAATTTTTGAACGAATTCTTCGAGTGCAAGACTACTGAGCCCGTAGGTCAACCTCGAACACTACGCGACCTTTTCCCCACCATTCGATGGGTTTTCCCTTCCGCGCCAACCACTTATTCGGAAAGATCAAATGATGTTGAATCACAGTGGTTCGACATATGGTCCGTGGGAAGTCCTAACGATAAGCCCGAGATTCAAATAAACGGCTTAATGGAGAGCATTGAATTAGTCTTAGCTCTCGTTCAGCAAGAGGAGGAACTTGTTCCTCGCAGAAGCATATTCCTAGGAGGAATTAGCCAGGGTTTTGCAACTGCATTCTCAACATTTCTCTTCGGTGAGAAAGATTACGCTGGATTGATCGGCCTTTGTGGCTGGGCGCCTTCGGCGGCTTTGGCGTTATTAGGAGGGGAACTGGACGGAGTACCAGAGTCCGAAGAGCGAGACGAAACACCCGTCTTTCTTGGACACTCGAGAAACGATACCGTTGTCCCTCTCGAGGAAGGCCGAAAGCTATGCAGTATACTATGGAGACGCGCGGATACTGTGGTAGATTTTCATGAGTACCCAGTAGGTGGACACTGGATCAACGAGCCGACGGGGGTGAATGACATCGCTGAGTTCCTCGAAAACAACATGGATATCGAATAACTACATTACAGTAACGGAGCATCGAATCATAGCTAGACTATACAGTTAGAAGCGGCATGCTTTCAGTATAAATAAATAAATAGATAACTTTATATGCGCAATTAGTAGTCCCACTGTTTGACATCTACTTAATGCGCTAGGCTAGGGCTCTTATAGTTTTAAATCGCCGTCTATGTACATACTAGGAAGGGCTTGCGCTGGGATTTGCGCTGACTTTAGGCGCTGTGTGTAGCTGTCACAGTGCATTTAGTGGGCAATTCCCCAACTGAATTTCCTTTGCGCGCGACGCTTGCCCAGGTGATCAGCATACAGCTAAAACCTACCCGTAATTCCCAGGGCTGTCCGCTACCTCCCTTTACCTAAATCACCTGCCGGTCAAACCTCCCCCTATCCAATCATTCCGGGTCCGAAAGGGAAATCACTAAGTTTGACTGGACCGATTGGCTTCCGTCATATTATGGGTCGACCGGTCTCTCGGAATAGTAAGGTCAAACCTCACTTGCCCTATTAAGAAATCATTCGTAGGGCTCTAAGTCTGGAGATGTAAAAGCTTACAGTGAGTCGATTTACATTTCCAATCACAGTTGTTTCTTCTCACAATTTGCCTTTTTATTTTCAAATTCTTATAGCTCTAATGAGTTAGCCTTCCAAAGGACACGTCCTTTACTTATTCTAATTCGGGACGGGGAAAATCTTACTACGCTCTCCATGGCCGTTAGCTTACCTACCTACCTAATACCATACCTCTGTGCTTACAATAGGCCTAGGTACCGTGTTTCCAGGGTAATTATAGACCGGGGTTACGGGGAATGCATGTTGCTGCCATTTCCAACCCGAGATTCTAGTAAAATCATTTCTCGTTTCATCATAGAAAATTTCATCAATGCCAGTAGCGTCGAGACTAGCTTTCCTGTATTAGAACTCAAGATTAGTAGTTACTTGCTCTTGTGATTCATAAATACCTACCTAGCCAGTATTACCAAGTCTTTGGTTCGACGTTGGATACAGGAGGCGACCCTCGAGTCATCCTGCAGCGATATGTTGAGGCAATCTATTGCGGACGGCACCGATAACTGAAAAGACCGAATGTCTTTCAATTTACAAATAAGGAACTTAATATGCCTCTAGAATACGGATGAAATTACAAATCAGCTCTCGCCTCTTCTCCAGCCCAAGCCCTGCGGATTAACTCTCTTATTGGACCTCTTTCAATAGGACGAGGATTCCAATATGGGTTGCTCACGGCAATATCTGCTGCCTTGTCGATATCGCTTTCTTGCATGCCCAGCGCCTTCAGTCCCCTTTCAACTTTTAGCTTCTGTAAGAGAATGTTCAACCCTTTCGTTGCGTCGCCTTCGCTCTCGGGCAATGCCGCTGCTAGAGCCTCCATTGCGGCAGGAACCTTTGGTGCATTGTATGATAGTGCGTGAGGTAGAACTATCGTATGAGTCTCTGAGTGCGGAAGGTTGAAGCTGCCTCCTAAAGTATGGCAGAGCTTGTGATGGATGGACATTCCCACGCTGCCGAGACAAGCTCCGCAAAGCCATGCGCCGTATAGCGCAGACGAGCGGGCTGTTTGCGATGCTGGATCGGAAATTAAAATGGGGAGGGAACTAGCGAGAGCTTTCACTCCCTCCTGTGCAAGTAAATTGATGACCGGGTTGGTGTTGCGAGCGTACAAAGCCTCGACAGCATGCGCAATAGCATTAACACCACTGGTAGCGGTAAGACTAACTGGGAGGGTCATCGTAAGGTCGACATCATATACAACAGTATTCGGCAAGATCTTTGGATCGGATCTTGTCGTCTTTCTCCCAGCATCGGTCTCGCCTAGGATAGGCGTTACCTCACTGCCCGCGTATGTCGTCGGAATTGTCAAGTGAAAAAGACCTGTTCGAATGCTAAGAGCTTTGCCCAACCCGACGGTACTCCCACCTCCGATGGAAATGATGGAGTCGGCCCCTGAAGATTTAATCTGTTCGAGTGCCCTTTCGGTAACCTCTACTGGCGTATGCATTGTAGCCTCGGTGAACACCCCGGAAACAGTAGCACCAAGGACATTCTTGAGCAAGTCGATATGACTCACTTGCTGAGGTGTGCTGAGAAGAAACGGCATAGACACATTGGCTCTCATAAGCTCTGCAGGCACATTTTGGATGGTGCCACTGCCGAAGATAACACGGGCGGGACTAGAGGTATACTCAAAATTGTCCATGTTGGAATAAGATTTCTCTTCCAAGTAGATAGAGCAACGTTTATGACAGAGTAGATATTGATCGTGATTTGTCAATGACAGATTTGAATCGATATAAATCTATAACCCCTAAAGGTGGACACTCATTAGATATAAGTCGTGTTAGGCCAATACTTACCGACCCGGGTTATTGGGTTCCGCATTTGAGCGATAGCTGCTGAAATCGAGCAAGTCCCCTCCTCTATCAAGTGCCGACACAGCATGGCACAATGGAGTCGGCATCGCGGAGTACTTAGGGTCATTCCCCGCATCGGGAGCAAAGTATGATCAACCATAAATCATTTTAGGGCTGACCGTAGATCCTAGGACCTAGATATTTCGAGGCCCTCAGAATGGGGTCACGGGAGACTTAGAAAAACCACGGCAATTTCTCTAGAAAATTTAGCTAGAATAACCTATACTCATAGTTAAATGACATAGGCATATAGCCGTATTTTCACAGTGACAAGAGCATTCAGATACCAAGGACCAAGAAACACTGTCGTGAAAATGTTTCTCACTGGAGTTAACAACAACGTTCTAATAAAAATATTTACTTGTACTGTCTATTGGCGTTTGGTTGAAATAGACAGTACGAGGATGCTGAAGAAAAGTTAGGCCAAAGAACAAAGTCGGTAGGTTTCGATCGCAATGCGTCCCGGCTTCCTAATAATTAGTATCGGCGTTTCTATTCTTAGATTTGAAAAATAAAAATTCAGACTGCTCTTTCCAATTGAAGATTTCAATTGAGGTTGCGCACTGTAGGTACCTAGGTACAATATTGATATGCAGTCGCCATTGGAGGATCCAATTGGTTTCACAACTTTAGCGCCGGGATACTCCACAACTCCAGGATTAGGGAGCGCGGACCCCCAGCTGGCCATCACTAGGGCAACTATGGTTTCTTATGCAGGTGCACAATGTAAACAAATGGATCTTTCTATTGTTGCATCAATTGATCTCTCCATCAGACCCCTGCTTATACATTCTACATCTCTCAAGTCTTCACATTCCCGAGAGATCGATCTTACCACACATTTCTCGTGGCGGATTCGATTTCCAGTTGATTAATGATAACCTAATTTCGAGACATTCTAAAGCCGATCGACTATCGAATTTCTATACGCGCGCCTTACGCCTAGCTCACCGACATTGTAGACACCATCTCCATTTGCAACAGCATTGGGGAGGATGCCTGCGGCCACGGATGGCCCGACAGTTGCCCTGTCGTGTATGTCTTCTTGTAAAGTTGGAATGAGATCGAGGTTGTCATATTACATACTAATGCCAAATAAACAGTCGCCAATAACTTCTGGGGCAAAGATGACGCCGGCGTCGGGCCATTGCTCGATCGCATGGCCTCTGCGAAGCAGACCAGCGACGAGCTTAGATCTTTCTACAGCGGTAGGCTTCTTCCAACCGTTTTTTACTTCTACATCAAGCTAATACATCGATTTGACCAGCACGTGCCTCCATCGAAGATGAATACGCCCGAAAGCTTCTATCCTTATGCCGAAAACCGTTGGGCACACATGAGATGGGGAGTCTGAAGGGCTCGTTAGATACCGTACGAGGAGAGGTCGAATCTATGGGCAAACAGCATGCTGGAATAGCGGCCCAGATGAAGAGCGAATTAGAAGAGCCACTTGCTGCTTTCGCCGGCGGAATGAAAGAGAGACGCAAGATCATCCAAGGTACGGTGGAGAAGCTCCTCAAGGTCAAGATACAACAAACGAACCAGGTTAATAAAGTAAGTAACAACTTTATACTACGGGATGTTGTATACCTAGCTAACGTTATTAACTGTATAGACTCGTGATCGTTACGAGAACGATTGCTTGAAAATAAAAGGCTACCTAGCTCAAGGGCACATGGTCATGGGCCAGGAGGAGAGAAAGAATAAAGCTAGGTTGGAAAAGACACAGATCAGTCTTGCTACATCCAACACCGAGTACGAGAACGCGGTTAAGGTTCTCGAAGAGACCACCGCGAGATGGAACAGGGAGTGGAAGGCAGCTGCCGACAAGTTCCAAGATCTCGAAGAGGAGAGACTGGATTTTACAAAAAGCAGCATGTGGACATTCGCTAACATCGCATCTACCGTCTGCGTTAGTGACGATGCGTCATGCGAGAAGATCCGTCTATCCCTCGAAAAGATGGATGTCGAGAAGGACATAATCCACTTCATCAGTGAGAAGGGAACTGGCCAGGAAATCCCAGACCCGCCTAAGTACATCAACTTCTGTCGTGGTGACGTAGAAGACCATCATTCAGAGGTCTCCGACGACGATAATTACTCAGTGGCACAATTCCCACGAAGTATCAACCCTGCATTCCGCACCTCATCACCTCAACCATCAACCTTCGAGTCGCATCACGATCCTAACTCCGCTCTCGCCCGAAATCTAGCACACGAACCCCCCGTAGCTGCGCCTGCACCGCTTGCGAGGGAACCAGCCGCATCACCCCAAAAGGCTACAGTGACTACGATGGTCCAGCAAGAACGCCGGCGAGCAAATGACCCGCTACAATACCCACGTAGCATTAATCCCGGATTCTCAGCCCCCTCCCCCCAACCATCTACCTACGAATCTCATCATGATCCTGATTCCTCACTTGCTCGAGATCTCCAACGCCGAGACCGAGACCCTAATCCTCCTGCTCCTCGAGACGTAGTGCCTCGGGATCTAGTAACTCGAGATGTCGCCCCTCGAGATATCGCCCCGAGGGATATTACTCCGAGGGAAGTTATTCGAGATATAGTGCCTCGAAGTCTACAACGTAATGACCCTACTTCCTCATTTTCGCGAGATATTCAGCGTCACGAACCCGAATTATCTCTATCGCGCGATCTACAAAGGCAAGATCTCCAGCGGCAAGAGTTACAGCGTGAAGAATTGCAGCGCCAGGAGTTACAACGTCAAGAACTACAACGCCAAGATTTGCAACGCCAGGAACTACAGCGACAAGAGCAGCAGCGAGAACAGCAGCGAGAACAGCAGCGACTGGAGCAGCAAAGACAGGAGCAACAACGGCAGGAGCAACAGCGTCAAGAATTACAACGCCAAGAGTTGCAACGCCATGAGCCTACTCCTCCCGTAACTCGAGAGCTGCCGCGCAGTGACCCTCCGCCACTATCCAACAGGGATCCGGTTGTCCATACGCATAAATCCTCAGGATCTATCTCCGGGTCTATCATGTCGCAAGGGGGCCGAAAGGGAAGTACTCAGCAGTACGACGCTTCCCACTTTGCTCCCGTTCCTCACGACCCGTATCCCTTGGATGGTATGACGATGCTTTGCCGCACAGATGGTATGAATTCGGCTACGAGCTCGAATTTGTCTGCGCGGCCATCAAGCCGTGACGATAACAGCGAGTACTCGAACCCGACATCCTTCTCTAGTCAGGAGCCAGCAAGCGGTATGGTGTCGCCCACAAAGCAGGAACCAGAACCCGTAGTAGCAGCATCCCCTGAAAAGCGCATGATGAAGAAAAAGAGCGGATTCTTCCAAAATCACAGCCCGTTCCGCCGAAAGAGTGTCAAAGATACACAGCAGCCGGTGCAAACATCTAACAGAAACACCTGGGGCCCTGTAGCTTCTCGAACTCCTCAGGCGTCTCCAACTAAGATTCAAACACAAACTCAAAACACACCCACTTCTCGACGGCCTGCCTTCCAGCCTCCACAACCGGCACCAGAGCCCCAGACCATAATTCCAGATAGGGCAGAGAGAACAGCCAGTCCTGATCCGATTGATGCAAACGCAAGTCTAGCATTGAATGTAGGGCAGAACGTATTCCATGTTGCGAATACCGATAAGCGCAACAAGGCGAACGACAGTACTCCAGCAGCACCAGAGGAAGATCCCATCGCTCTAGCCCTAGCAGAACTTAAGGGTGTTGGTAGCAATAAGCAAGCTGCTGGACGAATTTCGGCTGATCACTACCATGGTCTCGCTACGCCCGTGCCAGACCGAGCCCAGAATATGTCCCGCTCCGTGCCCGCTCCAAGGGGAAGCAGTGATGTGGGCGCCGCCGTGAGAGGCACCCCACCACCGTCGTATGACCAGCAGGTCACCGCAGTGCAGCGACTAGGAGTCCCACCGCCCGCAGTTACATCCAAGGCGATGCAAGAAGCATCTCGGAAGTACGCGGAGCAGACGAGGGACATGTTCAGTGCTAAGCGCCCTGGATCCGGAGCGTATACTAGTGGTACACAATCCTCCAAATTTTCACGGCCCGGGACCAGAGGCAGCGAGATGCCTCGCGCGACATCACCGGCAGCCCCACGTGCCACTTCTCCCCGACCTGGAATGCACCAGGATACACGTCAAAGCCACCGATCAGTGTCGCCGAACCCATATAGCAGCAGTCAGACGCGAAACTCACCAGCAGCTTCGCCGAGCTCATATGGTGGTACTCGAAACTCACCGCAACCAGCTTCACCAGTTTCGCCGATGTCCTATGGCGGTGCTCGACAGCAAGCCTCACCACAACCTGCCATGTCCGTGAAGCGGGGATCGGATCAAGGATACTACAGACAAAACAACTCGTCGGCCAACTCAATCAGAGCACCTTCTCCATCCCCTTATAGGGGCGATTATAGTCGCCCGACTAGTAGAGCTGGCGAGATGGCTATGCAGCTTGCCCCAGTCGGCGGAGACGGCTCCGTCTACGGATCGATGCGAGGACGGGGCAACGGTAGACCCGATACCAGTGCAAGCTCTAGGGGAATGACGGGAGCCATGACTTTCTACGATGGACGAGACCCTGTAGCCGAGAGCTCGAGACAACGCAGTAAGAGTGTGGCAGATCCGAGTCGACAATATACACCAGACGGTCGGGCTATCCTGCATTATGGTAAGTTTTTTTTAATTCATTCTTTCGATCCGATATATCAACTAACTGTTTGGTAGCTCGAGCATTGTACATGTACCAGGCGGCGATCCCCGAAGAGCTTGGCTTTGCCAAAGGCGATGTCTTGGCCGTTCTTCGACACCAAGACGACGGTTGGTGGGAAGCTGAGATTCACTCCGGGCAAGGCGTTGGTAGGTCCGGTTTGGTGCCTAGTAATTATCTGCAACCATGTTAAATCAACATGGCGAGCAAGGGGTTTTGTCCTTGGTTAACGAAGGTTGACGAGACAAAGATTGATGTTGATACGTATGTCAAGGGGGACATGAGCACATATGTATGAACAAGGCGACAGGCGGGTGGGGATGATTTTTTTTCTTCTTTTCTTGCTCATTTAAAATTCTTTGCCATAACTTTTTGCCGCGTTTGCTTTGGCATGTTTGGCTGTATCGATTTGTTTGGGGATGCATTCACCGTGTAACGTCATTATACATTGCCTATTGGGCAGTGCCATTAAAGGATACTGGAGTCGATATGAAATTGCATTTGATATATAATTAAAGTTGATAAACATCACGCGTGGCACTTGGGATGATTTTGTGATGTGGTTGAATACTCCGAGTTACGAAGTAGTTATGAAAAAAGAACAGAATTGAATTGAATTTCCTACCTAGTCAATAGTATTCAAATTTTGATAACTTAATCATTTTTACAGAAAACAGGTCTATAACGCAACTTCCAATCCCGACAATGTATGATTGGGAAGGCAATGACGTCGAAGCCTATTGTGACATCGACTGGGACTGGGGCGAGAGCAAGCGCGATAGGGATAGGTGGATCGCTGGGACAGCTGGAACGGCAAGTCGGCTGCCAAGAGCTCCGTCGATAGCTTTGACGTAGCTACCGAAGCCACCAATAACGAAAACCGAAACACCTTCACATGCCACCACTCACGCTGGTCCAACGCGACCAGCCTTCTCTCTGCTGTGATCCCGGACTACAATATTTCTATTCCTTCTTCGCCTAGGAACACATATTTTGAAAATCGTCAGGCCCCGCGCCGAATGGCGCTTCTACCTCCCCTGTGAAAATGGTAAGTCGTGCTTCATCTTATATTTGCATCTTTATTTTGAGCATGCCTGAACTAACAGTACCGCCCTAATAGCAATACATAAAGGGCTCCTACAGAGCCGCGACCTCTCCGGCGGCCCAGAGAACGTACCTTAGCGCAGCTCTGTTCTTCGGTGCATCCTTAGCGCTGCTGTGTATTGCTGCTCTAGCTTATCCCGTCTTCTACTATAATTATGTGCCTAAGAAGCTCATCACCATTCCGGTGCATCTGCAGTACGAGTAAGGGCACCTTTTATTTCTCCCAGTTCTTTTTATGGGTTCACGAATTAATGCGCGGGGTGGTTTAGCTCTGGTGTCAATCCCTATGGCGTCACCTTACTTTCCTCGAATCTTATGCTTGAGCAGGCCTACGACGTATCCGTGGAGCTGACGGTACCACGATCGCCTACTAACTTACAGCGGGGAAACTTCATGGTAGCACTATTCGCGATAAAATCGGTGCCGGATAATCCAGCTTTCACGTTCTCCTACTCCAAGGCAATGGAAGACATGTACACCCACGTGAGGGAGGACAACGTCGTCTTCATGAGCCGCCGGCCTACGCTAATACCGTACATGGACCCGATCGTGAGAATGGCGTCGCGCTTCTTATTCTTGTTCTATCATATATTATATCCCGACCAAGGAGAAACCACGACACTTACAGTCCCGATGGGTGAGCTAGTCGAGTTCAAAGATGTGCTACCGTTGAGTTTCTTGCTTGATGTGCAAGCCGGACAGACGCTCCAGGTATATTCGGCTACCATTACCCTCGTGGCCCGACTTACTGGAATCCGATGGGCCATGTATAACCACCGCATTATTTCGTTTGCAGTATGCGTCACTGTCTTCTGGGTCGCTGAAATGCTGTCGGCAGGATTAGCATGGCTACTTCTGAGCCTTTTCATCTCTGGTCGAAAGCCTGCAGAGCCGGATGATGACGAGGATGTTGAACTTGACGAAAATCCTTGGACGGGCCGGCCGCCTCTACCTAAAGCTTTCTTCCGTGGTGCACTTGAAGACTCCGAGGGTGAAGAGGCTATAGGGGTCAAGAAAGAGGAGAGTGATGATGAAGATGTGAAGGTGAAGAAAGAGAGTCCAGAGAAAGAGACATTGATGGATCAGCCTGCAGATGACGAGGAAGATGCTGATGATAGATGGAGGGAGTCAGGAGTCGGAACAAGTTTTAGTCACAAGAAGGGGGGCAGTCTGCGCAGGCGTTCGTCACGAGGCAGGTCTTGATAAGGTAAAATGGGTGATTGTTAAAGGTGAATTACCTAGCTAGCTTTTATTCCTCACTCCACATAATATAGATACCACTTATTTTTATTCTGAATCAAATCTTCATCCATATATCCGGAAATATTCGGTACTTACCTACCTACCTACATAGTAGACATACTGGGCATATGTACAGCGGTCGACCAGACCCGATGTCCAATTATAATTGATATTTAGATGTACCTAATACCTGAGTACCTTGATTGTGGGAAGCGTGACATAATCAGAAGTACGGGTAGGAAGGTGCTTAGGTAGTATTAAAGTTTGTACCTTCCTTAGGACATCTAGACAGCACATCACAGCAGCTTTGACGTGTTCAGGTGACGAGGGTGGTTCCCAGAAGCGCGGTGGGCCAATCAGATCCATTCACACCTCCCCCGCCATGGTCAACAACCGAACCAGCGACTCGACCTTGAATCTTTCTTATTGCAACTTTCAACCTTTCGCCTCTTCTTACTAGATGCACCGAATGCACATGTACAAGCAACAGACGATAGGTTGCTCACATTGCCTTCGATAATTAAATCATTTACACATACCTTATTTTATTTGCTGCCAAGGCATTCTTCACACCAGTACATAACCTTGGAAGTAATAGGACACACAACAGACACAGCACTTTTCCCACTCCATTTGTTCCATTTGTCGATTTCGACCGACACTTGGTACACAACCTAGTACAGTACCTTTGCACCTACTTAGGTAGCTTGCAACGTCTGGACTTTGGTGCCTCTTTCTATATTTTGAATCGGGCTTGGACTAGCAACGAGCACGAGAACCGAAACAATCATTTTTCGTACCCTCAGAACCCCTCGGATGCCCAAACTAAGAGTAAAATACCCGCAAAGCATATAATTTTTTTGTGGTCAACGATAAGGTTTTTATTCTACTTTTTTATACCTACCGTGGACGTCTACCTAGGTACTCTAGGTACTAGGTAGCTCGCAAGGGAATCGGAAATCTACTACACCGCTGAAAGGTGTAAATTACTTTCCTCTAATACCCAAATTCCTACTTCATTCCCACCACTCATCCACTCATTTTCTTTACCTTACAAACCCCCCAAACTGTGGTCCTGTCCCCCCAAACCCAGACCGACAGACCGACAATTACCAACCTTCCTAAAGATCGATCGAACCAAAGTTCACCCTCATTAATCGAATTGTCTTGCCTGCAAAGAACAACTCCAAGACTTTTCATCGAACCGAGCGAGCACCCATTGTTCACCGACTGCAGAGATTTCTTCGCACGCGGACCCGGTCACGGTAGAAATAACTCTACTATCGCCTGACTAATCCCCTCCTCTCTACACCGCCCAACACTATATCTAAACTTCCGTCACGATGCCCTGCTTCAAGGGCATCGCTGTTAGCATTCATGCAAACTCTGCCCCGCTACCGGAGTATGGCTTGCAGAAACAATCTCGCATGTCCCGCATCAGCGCCTATATACCTGTTCCACAACCTCAGTTGAACCCGGAGACTTCTCAGCACGAGGCGGCCAAGTTTGCCATCTCCATCACGCTATTGACACCTGGCCATGAAATCCCTTACACGACGCCGAAGCCCACTGCGGCCAATCCCCACCCGCGACCTCTTTATGCAGGACCTCTCTCGTCAACCGATCCTTCCAAGCATGCTAATGCGGTCACGCCATACATGCCTCTAACGCACTCTGAGAACGAAACCATCGCAGCATATATCTACTTTGACGGACGAGCTAAAGAGGAGGTCGCTACTCTGCTACGACCAGGCGAAGAAACATGGGTTAACAGCCGTTGGGTCCAAGTCCCCGAGCTTGAGGGAGGAGGTCTTGCCGAGCGAGAATTCCTCTTCCGCGAGGTTGGCCTAGAGAGATGGCTTAATGGCCTAGATCTTAAGGGCCATGACGCCGCGGAGAAGGTAGAGCGTCGAAGACAGAAGTTTGAGAGACGCCATCGTCGTCACAGGTCTACACCCAACGGCGAGATGGATGCGGAGAAGCCAACCCGCACTCGAGATACTCTAGCCTATGGATCCGAAGACCAATCACCCCTTGCAAGCCCCACTGACTCAGACAATGATTCTATGTCCGATGATGATGAGCCTCCTGAGGCTACAGGTCAAATCAAAGTAGCCATGTTCCGCGTGATTGCTTCTGGCGAGATTAAGAAGGGAGAGTATTCGCCTCAGTTCGATGCCCATGACGACGATGATGAGAGTGACAATGGAACTAAGGGGGCTAACAATGGGGCTATCGATGCCGATGTCGAGCATACCACTAGCTTTGCCAAGCCTAAGAGCCTTGATCCTAAGACGATCAGCACCCAAACTGTTACCGGAATTGATGCGCCGGAGAAGCCCTACGCGGTATTCACCTTCTTTTATCGCGGACAACGTAAGAAACCCGATCGTCCCGTTTGACAGCTACACACTAACGTATCTTCAGGTCAACTTACTAAGATGGGACTATTCCCCAGTGCCAAGTCTGACCAGAAGGCACCAGGCACCAAACGACGATCGACACAGCTCGATTTCTCAGGTCTTGGCCCACTGAAATCTACCGGTACCGTGGGATTCTCCGCTTTCAGAGATCAGGAAGCCGATGCGGCTAAGAGACGCAAGGCTCGCAAGAAGAGTAACGGCACCAATGGAATCATGATGGATGAGGATAGCGATGACGACGATAACGACGACGGTCCTCTTACCAAGATGGAAGATTCTGATGATAAGGACGTCAAGATTCATCTGGCACCAGAGGATGCCCAAGTTGCCGGGGAACTGCAGGCTGGCATTGATCGAATTCGGGTACGTTGTTATATATATATCTTCAGCCATGGAAGTTCTAACAGCTAACAATCATACAGCTAAAGCGCCAGCACTCGATGGATCCCGATGCCTCAGCGGCATCAAGTTCTAGGAAATCTCCCAGCGCTGGCCCTAACGCCGAAGAAGCTACCCCTACGGATTCTAACAATCAAGCCGTTCCTAACACTGTAGCGAACCTACTCTCTCAGGCCTTTGACGGAGATTCAACAGTCGGAAGTCCGTTAAAAAAGCAACGAGCAGACGATGAGATCACGGATCGTTCTGCCAACTTTCCATCAGCTTTGGGTGATGTCTTAGGCAGAGCTATGGCGGATCAAGAGAAGAAAGGAGAGCAGCAGGTCAAAGTTGAGGTTGACGAAGACGAGGAGCTTTAGGAGAGCTCTTCACCATATCACACTTCGAACCTCGAGACTAGACCCATTCAGTCGGCATCGCCAGCTAAGGGCAGAACTCACAGAACTCGCATGACAGCTCCTCGTGTTTCTTCCAACTTACGACACTGCGAGAGCGGAGATGCTATGGATTTGTCTGGGCAAGACGCCTAAGCTCAGCGAAGCGATAGAAGTCCCAAGTAGACAAGGTTGCCGAAGACACGGAGTAGCCATGTCACGTTGCGAGACCTTTTTTCAGTGAACATGCCGATATCTTACACCACAACGTGAAAGATTCGGCATCGTACAACTAGAAAATGCATTGTGGGGGGAGGCAGGAGATTCCATTAGCAGATGACCGATCCTTTCTGGAGTTACCAGCTTGGACAGAGAGCAGTCCTGTTTGTTGATCTGGGTACATGAGGAGCATTCGCTGGATGAGGCGACTAGCTCCTATTTGTTTAGAATAGGCAGTCATGTTTGACTTACAAGCTTCTCTTCTCGGGGCGTTTTTCATAGAGAAAATACCCGGATAACCAATGAAACCAGCCACCGACCTCAAGGTCGCGTGAGCTTTTGATTAATAGGGGGTTTACCGCTATGTGAATGTTTCATAGGCCTATTTAATCACGATATCATAAGAACATGCCCAGTTGATGGATTACCTTTTCGTAAGCGGATATCTAAATGAAGATATCCTGTAATTTTACTCATGACGTACTACGTGAATATTCTTTTCATTGTCCTCGAAGACTAAGGAAGTCAGACCTGCCCCGGACTTACATTCGAACTAGTACAGTTATCGGTAGCATTTGAAAATGGCAAGGCGGGGGTTCCACACACTATCTAGATAGGCACGCTGGCTCAACTTTAGCCACTTATCTCATAGCTATGCCGAAGCCTTCTGCTACCTACTTATTTTAACACTGTCGGTATCTGTACCGACACACCTTTCCCAAGCCCTAATAACTCGGCATCCCGGAACGCTTCGGTTATCACCCCCCCGATCCTCTCCGTCATAGCGAAGGCCCGGGCTAGGAGATGCGATTTATGATTTGCCCCTACACGGCGGCATTGACGACGGCGCTCGCGCTATTAACGCCGGGTTTTGCGCTAGGATACCCGGACGAGGGCTTGGCGCAGGAGGTCATGGTTTCTACTGGGGGAGAAGGAAGGGGGGATAATCCTCTTGATGAGGGTTTTGCTGCTTTTACCAGGGCGGCGCTTGAGCGGTGGCATGTTCCTGGTATTGCGGTTGCGGTGGTTGATGGGGAGGAGACTTGGACTGAGGTTTGTGGTATTTTTCTTCGTTTTGGGGGTTTGCTTGCATCTGTAGATAATTACATACATATGGTTATGGCGATGATAAGGAAGGAACCTAGGTCCCAGAATACACCATCATACTAAAACATACCCCAAACTGACATCCCTCCACAGGGCTACGGTATCTCCAGCTTCCCATCCACCCCAGTAACGCCCTCAACATTATTCTACGCCGGCAGCACAACCAAGGCCTTCACAGCCGCCATCGTGTCCCTGCTAATCGACTCAGGGGACTACACCTTCGACTCCGGTCCCCTGAGCTGGCAGACGCCGCTCGCGGACCTGCTCAGGGACGACTTCGTCCTAGCCCCGGGGTACGAGTGGCCGGCCGCACACCTTACGCTCGAGGACGCGCTCTCCCATCGCACGGGCTTCCCGCGCCATGACAAAGCGCTAGCTCGCCGCTACGGCCCCGATTCTCACCCGGGGACTGTGCGCGATGTCGTGCGCAGCTTGAGATATCTGCCTATGGTTGCGGAGCCGAGGGTCGAGTGGCGGTATTGTAATGTGATGTACATGGTTGTCTCGCACGCGATCCAGACGCTGACGGGGAGGTGGTTGGGCGATACAATGAAGGAAAGGATTTGGACGCCTTTGGGGATGAACGATACGTTTTTAAGCGTGGAGCAGGCGATGGATGGGGGGAGGGAGGTTGCTGGTGGGTATTATTGGGATTATAAGGGGAAGGGGGGGTTCGTGGAGGTTCCGAAGTTGGGGCTCGAGTTGGCGAATGGGGCGGGGGGTGTGGTGAGTAATGTTAGGGATTATGCTAGGTGGGTTAGGTGTTTGATTCAAGGGGATCGTGGGGATGGGGGTGCGGTTTTGTCGAAGGAGGCGCATCGGGAGTTGAAGAGGGCGAGGATTGTACAGGGGCTGGAGAGTCAGAAGGGGTTTGATGCTCCGTTGGCGTATGCGCTTGGTTGGGACGTTGGGACGTATAAGGGGCATAGGTTGTTTAAACATAGTGGTGGTATGGAGGCATATGGTGCTTTGGTTTATTTCTTTCCGGACTTGGAGTTCGGGGTTGTGACGCTGGCTAATACGGCGGTGACGAGTAATGTTGTGGGCCAGGAGCTCATCTGGAAACTGGTTGATGAGAAATTGGGTATTCCGAAGGAGGATCGGTACGACTGGGCTGGCTTGTGAGTTTTCTTATCTCGTGGTTTGTTACTATACTGGCGTGTAGATGTGGGATGCTGACTCTTCTTAATAGAGGAAATAAGATGATACAACAACAGCTCAAGCAACCCGAAACGGCGGTGGAAGAGCTATATCCAAAACGCGCGGATCCACCAGTACCTCGCACGCTTCCGCTCCAGGAGTACGTGGGAGTCTACTCTCATCCAGCTTACCAGAATATTACTCTTGAGCTAGTCGATGGGGTGGACACTGCTTCTAGAACGAGCCCGTCGAAGACAAGTGAGTTGAAGGCTAACCGTGGCAATATGGAATGGCAGATGACTTTCGAGTTCATCCACGTCTCAGGCGAGTTCTGGGCTGTGGTCATTGACATGTTGAATACGCCCAATTCTCTCAACGGGCAGCTAGCTCGTGCTGAGTTTGTGGTCGGCGTTAACGGGAAGGTGGATAAGTTGAAGATGGAATTCATGGAGGATGGGAGCGAAGGCGTTATTGTGTTTGATAAGGTTGCTTGAAACCTTGGAAGATTCATGGCGATCGTAGGAGTTTCGGCATTATATCACTGAGGTCTCTATGGCGAATGGAGTCTCAGCTCGCAGGAGTTAATCAAGTTGATCTTTAATAACATTTAGCAAGATCGGGAAAATCCGTGGCCTCTTGCTCTTTTGTCGGCATATTGATTGGCCTGGCACTACATATTAGCACTTTTTAATGCATGTCCTACCACAGGTGGTAAGATTGTAAACATGACAATCAGACGATTGAGCCGTATATATTTCTCAAATTTTATGCGTATTAAATTATTTGGTAGATTATAAAGACAGGTCCATCCAGCGTCTAACCTCGCTGTGATAGTATCGAACATATATTTAAATTGGGTTGTAGCATCCTCATAGATGAACATAACCGCAACCATGCCTATGATTCCAGCAAGCGTAAATAGTTCCCTAGAACTATCCCACTACTAGATTCGAAACAATATCGTTGCAGGGATGGAAGACAGTAGGACACAAAATGTTCCCACCCTCCCCGCAGATGATTCTAAAAACTCTCACTGAAGAACACCCACTCAGACCTGTCCCAGAGATCGACATCGGCAACCTATGCAAGTCAGCTATGTTGATCAAAGCTAGATATAGCAAGAAGAAAATATTCCAAATATGTTAAGTCAGACTGTTGAGCTTGATAGGTATTGAATCCACATGAGAGTTCAGTTGGCTGTTCTTAGAAGTGTTTGATCATCATATAACATGAAGTGAAGGAAAGAATAAAAGAGAAAAGAAACAATGCTTACACTGATTGCTAGTCATGTATAATTTTATAAAATATACAGACTTAGTTAGCTCTCTCGATAGACAGACGGAAAGAAGCATGGTGGTTCTTGGGAAAGAACATTCGCGATAGAAATTTGTATGAACGTTAAAATAAAAATGTTTGCGGGCGAAAATAAATATGGTAGGGACGCCAAGCCAAGAACGAAGTTTTCCCGATCGCGATCACGTGGGAGCCCAATACCCACTTTGCCTTAGTCAGTGCCGCTAAGTCGCTCAACTGACTTCACTCTACCGATCAACTCCAATCCTTGAACCGTTTGAACCGCAAGAGACGACATCAATCTCCACTCTGCCTCGACAACCTACAACCTATAATCTACACTAATCCATCACTCTACATCTTCCCCTAAGGAACCCACGGTCATTTCACCATCAGTCCGAGGATATATCGTCGAAGTATTTGGAGAAGGATACAAAAAGGAGAAAGAACCGGACAAAAGGGAATCTTGGAAAAAGCAAAGAGTTCATCAAGTAGGCATAGTCATGCCCACCGTCCGACCCAACACCGCCGTACGGGCCACCCGCGCCCTGCAGCAGAAGTCTAAGCAACCCTCCACCACATCAGTCAGATCCTTCTCGGCCACAACAAGAGCGTCTTCGTCCCACGGCCCGCAGTACGACCCCCCGACCGGCTGGCTGTTCGGGGTAAAGCCCGGCGAGAAGTACCAGAAGGAGGGCTGGGAGAACTCATTTTTCTACGGCTTCTGCGGAAGCGTCGCTGTTGGTGCTATCGCCTACGGTTTCAAGCCTGACACCTCGTAAGTCTTTTATTTTAGCTTCACTGGCTATGTTATGGAGGGTGGGAGTTGAGGAACGGTGATATAATCCTGTTATCAGTATGCGATATGAAGTGGCAAAAGAGTCACATTTATGTTCCTTTGATACTACCGTTATGGCTTTCAACTACTCATTACAGTAGCTAACGCTTCATTTCCTACAGGATACAAACATGGGCCTTAGAAGAGGCGCGACGAAGATTAGAAGCTGAGGGTATCCTTGAAGACCCGGACAAGAAGAAATGATAGATCTTCGCTGGTGTATGGATGTTATAAACGGGAGTTAAAGTTGGCACAACAACAACACTGAATCGAGATTCGACTTGTACATGGATCCCCGGCTTTCCTTTTGACTCTCTGCGTCTCCGTTCTTCTGACGGAGGATCGCCTTCGATTAGAGAAACTCATCATAGACGGATCGCCCCCAAGCTGGTGAGGCGGCATAGTACATGCAACAAACTGCAATTGATCTTTTTTTACTACACGACATGATTCGCTTCCCGCCTGCCTAGGCGCTCATTGACTCGGGAACCTCTTGAGGATTCTTTCATCGTGCTCGAATTAGGTCTACATTTAATGATCTTTTAATAGGCCAGGTAAGTACGCCATCGCGCCGGGTCGACACCGTCTATATGCATGCATGAAGACAGTCCCAAGTTGCCCATAATGCTCCTCTACTCTCCTCTCCCCCCTTTTATTTATCCCCCTTTCTTATTTTAGCACACGTGACTCCACTCATGTTCCTCGTCTCCGTATTGTCTCGCCTCTATCCAGTTCTTCATCTTCAGCGCAACCTCGCCAGACTCTTCCGTCTCGCTGAGGCCGCAGTCGACCAGTTTACCCTTCCAGCTGATCTTGCGGACGGGGCTCACGATGGCGGCAGTGCCGGCACCGAAGACCTCGAGCAACCGGCCATCAAGCGAGGCCTGGTGCAATTGGTTCATGGTAATCTTGCGCTCGGAGATGAGCCAGCCCTCAGGGGCGAGCTTCTCGCGCGCTAGGCTAAGGATGGAGTCGCGAGTGACGCCCTCGAGGATGGTGCCGTCGAGCGGCGCCGTGATGAGCTCCTTTTGTCCCGTCTCGGCGTTCTTGATCGCCACGAACAGGTTCATCGTTCCCACCTCCGTCACATACTCCTCCGGTCCGAACAGCCACAGGTTCTGCTGGAATCCCCTCGCCGCCGCCTCTAGCTGCGGCACAATGCATGGCGCGTAGTTCGCGCCTAGTTTCTTGTCGCCCACGCCGCCGGGCCAGGCTCGCACGGCGTAGTCCGTCGCTTCGAGAGATACGGCTTTGAAGCCCGTTGGGTAATACGGCCCCACGGGGGAGGCGATGACGAAGAGAAGCGCGGAGCCCGGCGCGCTGATCCCGAGGGTCCGCTGCGTGCCGATCAAGGTCGGGCGCAGGTACAGGGAGTAGCCGCGCTCCTTAGGGATGAAGCGCTCCTCGAGCTTCGCAAATTTGGCGATTAGTTCGATAAGGGCGGTCGACTCGAAGGTGGGTAGCGCGATCCGCGCGGCGGACCCGTTGAACCGCTCCATGTTCTTGTCCGGACGGAACAACCGGATCTCACCCTTCGCGTCGCGGTATGCTTTCATGCCCTCGAAACACTCGAAGGCGTAGTGGAAGACGCAGGTGGCGGGGTCGAGGGAGAGGTTCTGGTATGGCTGGATGGTCGGCGCGAGCCAGCCGTCGTTCTTGGTCCATTCGATCGTGAGCATGTGATCTGTGACAGCGAGGTTAGTTCGTGCCATTGGATGGCTTGTGGTGGGGGGATGGTTTGCGAACCTGTGAATTCTCGCCCGAAGATCAGTTCGGATGGGTCCTTGGGCGTCTTGGGTGACTGTGTCTTGGTGATGGTGAGCTTCGTGGGGTCGATGTCTACGGGTTTCGAGGTCGAAGCCGCCTCGGGCTTGATGCTGTACCACCGGCTCGCCGTCTGCTGGAGAGCGGGCAGCGCACGGGACGAGGCGCGCGTGGCGGCGGGTGCTCGGAGAGCTCTACCGCATCGCGGCAAGAGCTGACGAAGCATGGTGTATCCTAGTATGAAGATTTTACGTCTAGCTACGTTAAGGTATCGGTGTGATACAGAATTGTACGGAGAAGTAAGCAAATTGGAGAATGTCTCGAAATGTCTTGATATATCTTACGCCCTCAATTGAACCGAACAAACACCCTTTGACTCAATGCTCTTCCGAAGTGAAGGGATGGGGCCGGACAAGGGTTAATAAGCGGCCCCAATTTGCCTTTGTATCGTCGATAACAGCTGCCCTTACGTGACGCTTGACTCGAATTGAAGAAAAAAAGTGTGGATTCATTCTATTGGAGTCGCAAGCGATCTCGGAGGGCGCTAACATGCATATGTAGGTACATGTCCATTGTACACACGCTAAGGTATGAGTCGGGACCAATCATATGCAGGCTTTTACAGTCGATGGTGAGTTACATGATTTTATAGCTAAATTTGTACGAGGGGTAGGTATCTCGAATATTGTGGTAGGTATCATCCAATCACACTTCCAAGTTTATGTACTTAGATTTGTGCCACGTTAGGTGGGGATTTGTGATGAACGATTGTGGCTTTAAAGATCCGTGAAGTTTGCACCGCCTTTCAGCCCGGAGGTTACGAAATTACAGGGGACCCCTGATTGTTAGACAAGAGCTTAAGCTTGGCGCTGATTTACAACGCGCAGATACAAGATAAAAACGATTTCCAAAAGTTAACTTGTCCTTATAACGCTTTATACGTCATTCACGAAGCGCATTGTTTGCAACGTCCATTGCGTGGTTTCGAAAGTGAGAGGGTAACAGGCCTGATCTAACCCGTTGTCTTAGTTTCCATCGAGTACATTGCCGATTAGCCCAGTTACCTAACTGCGCCATCATCCAGTAGGATCGATTGGATATTAAAAGGAGGACAGAATTACAAACACATGCTTCTTTCTACCCACGACACTACGATATGAGGGTCGCTAGTCACCCTCTAAAACACCGTCGCCGATCATGTTCTCCTCGTTGAAGGGTTTCTCTTCCCACATCAACTCCAACTACTCCGTATCGCAAACCGTTGCCTCCACAGCCGGTCCGTGGAAGATTTACGATGCCAAGAAGAAATCGACGGGAAAGACGTACTCCGTCTTCGTTTTTGAGAGGAAGTCAATAGAGTCGCATGGTAAGGGATCCATATAAATGTTGAGCAATACCGTCAGGCGCTGATTTGGCTCTAGGAGGTTCTCTTGGTCGATCTGGCGCGGCAGCCTTCAAGCGCTCTCTAGAGGAGGTGACCGAGCGATTGAAGAAGGAAGCGTCATCTCTCGCTAGACTACGACATCCAAATATCCTAGAACTTGTCGAACCTGTTGAGGAAATTAGAGGAGGCCTTCAATTCGTTACCGAATCAGTCACTACGTCGCTAGCAAGCCTACTACAAGAGAAAGATGATCAGGAAAGGGGCGGCGGGGTCGGGGGCCGGTCCAGTCGGTATGTCACTGAGGACTCGGATGGTACGAGACGTAGGCGGGAGATAGAGATCGACGAACTCGAGATACAGAAGGGTTTGCTTCAGATAAGCAAGGCCCTTGAGTTCTTGCATGAAAATGCTGGCCTCGTCCATGCAAACCTCACGCCTGATGCCATATTAATCAACTCGAAAGTGAGTCTTATCACTTTTCTATAGCTCCCTTGAAGAGTTATCTCTGCTTTACAAGATACCTCGAGACGGTGCCCCGCTCACTTATTGATATACCCCTTACTAACATGTGAATAGTCTGACTGGAAAGTCAGCGGGCTCGCATTTTGTAGTCCGCCCGAGGGCTCAACAAAACCCACTTCAGTTCAACCCATCAGTCTTTCGGAAGTTCTGAACTTGGACCCTCGGCTACCTCGATATGTTCAAATCAATCTTGATTATACGTCTCCTGACTTCATCCTCGATAACAATCTCACCAGCTCTGCCGACATGTTCTCCCTAGGCCTTTTATGTATCGCGCTATACAATTCACCTCATCGATCTCCCATAGAAAGTAGTGGGAGCATCTCTGCCTACAAGAGATTATTCACGTCATCCTCAACCGTACCATCCTCCGGTAATGGATTCTTATCTAAGAGACCGCTGCCGAGGGACCTTTCGGCACATGTCTTGCCCCGGCTAATTACGAGGCGTCCGGCGCAGCGCATGACAGCTCGTGAATTTCAGGAAAGCGAATATTTCGATAACATATTAATATCGACAATTCGATTCCTTGACGCCTTCCCGGCTAAGACACCGAACGAGAAAGCCCAATTCATGAGAGGCCTCAACAAAGTTCTACCATCCTTCCCCAAGTCGGTTATGGAGAAGAAAGTACTCCCAGCGCTGCTCGAGGAGCTCAAAGACAAAGATCTCTTGTCTCTTATCCTTCAGAATGTCTTCAAGATTATGGACCTGTTACCTTCCTCGAGGCGAGCATTTTCGGAGAAGATACGACCGAGGCTCAAGGAGATATTTGTTGTTAATGCTAAGCAGGCTCAGGAGAAAGATCCACCTAGAGATGCTGGTTTGATGGTAGTTTTAGAAAATGCCAGCCTGATAGCTGAAAACTCTTCTGGTAAAGAATTTAAAGATGGTAAGCTTCGTATCAACCCGATTATTGTGGCGCCAGCCACTCATGACGTCTTTCGATCATTTATTCAGCCCGGAGCTAACGAAGCCATCTAGATGTATTGCCAATTATTTTAGCGGCTATTGAGTCACCGACGCCTTCACTCATCGATGCTTCCCTACGAAGCTTACCCGTTGTCTTACCAGTACTAGATTTCAGCACTATCAAGAACGAACTATTCCCTATCATCGCAGCTGTTTTTAGCAAGACTAGTAGCTTAGCTATCAAGGTCCGCGGCTGTAGGGCTTTCGTTATTCTTTGTGGCGGTTCCAATGAATCATCATCAGCTGATGATGGGCTTGATGGTCTTGGACCCGACAAGAAAAAGAAGACGTCGTCAAGCGCTCTGGACAAATATACAATGCAAGAAAAGATCATACCGCTCATCAAAGCTATAAAAACCAAGGAGCCCGCGGTTATGATGGCCGCCTTAGACGTGTTGCGAGTAGTTGGAGATAACGCAGATGCCGAATTCGTAGCCATGGATATCCTACCCATTCTATGGAATATGAGTTTGGGGCCTTTGCTAGATCTCAAGCAGTTCCAATCTTTCATGGAGTTGATTAAGTCACTTTCCAGACGGGTTGAAGAGGAGCAGATGAAGAAGTTACAAGAGCTTTCTACCTTGAACGGAGGAAGATCACCAACTCCTAACGATGACTTCCTTGGATTTGGCGGTGTTTCTGGGTCAACGTTCGATGCATCGAATGGGGCTACAGAAGATGACTTTGAGCGATTGGTTAAGGGGAAGTCTGTCGGAACCTCAAGTGATACAATAGACGCAGGATGGGATGTCAATCCAGCGGCATCAGCGTCAGCAGCTGCGTCAGCTTCAATCAAGTCTCCTCAGTTTGCCTGGTCTACGCCGAGTCCTACTTCCAACGGTCCTTATGGCCCTCCTAAATCTCAACCACCTTTCCGGACGGTCACACCAGACCTTGCTTCGTTCGGGACTTTGGCCCCTTCGTCTACTCAATATTCACAACCTCTACAGCCCGCCACGGGTAATACGGCAAAGCCTATGTCAACGGCACCACAAACCTCTTCAGCAGTCAATTGGTCTACCTCGGCCGCAACAACCAATGCTTGGGCTTCGAGCTCGACCACTCCGATATCTCCGGCAGTGTCATCGTTCAGCAATGTAAGCTCAGGCATATCAAACATGAATCTTGGTCAACCGAGACCTACGATGAACCAGTCATCGTCATTTTCTCTTCCTCCACCGCCTTCTAAGGCTAGCGCTACGCCAACCAGCTTCAGTTTAGCACCACCTCCCGGAGGTGTTCAGAGACAGAACTCGGCGACATCCTTCAGTCAACCTACTAGCAATTTCAGTAGCACGGCTCATCAACCCTCCGGAAGCATGGGTAGTATGATGAACTCGGGTATGGGAGGCATGAATAGGAGTATGAATAGCATGAGCAGCATGATGGGAAGCATGAATACCATGACGCCGATTCAACCAGTATCCCAACCACCGCCACCACAACAACAGAAGCAACAGCAACCTCAAGGGTCGGGCTTGGATAAATACGAAAGTCTGCTGTAAAGGGGTCGGAGAAGGAATTAGCGAACGAGCGATTAGGATCATCTATATAGCATTCATTCAGGCTTGAATGTGAAGTCTTTTTTCTTAGAACACATTTGATGTGCGGATACCCGAATAGTTGATGTCTAGGAGATAGGTACGTGTATGGTACGAGGCGGGGGAGCGAAAGGGGACAGTTTAAAACGATTAATATATGAACTGGAGTGATGGCGTTCACTCGTCTAGTTACGGTATCGTGCTTACGTAGGTACCTATGTATGGGCATGTTTTGGGTGCAGCTCCGTCACGGTCGTATCCGCATTTTGTCTGGTGAAGGCTGCGTAGGATACCTTCTTAGGTACCCGAATAAGGTGTCAGTGAGCTGGATTATCGGATGATGTCGGATTCCTCGATAGGAAAGCCTAGTCGTTGAAGCCTAGCAGATCGCTAAGAGAGAGTGAAATGTTTGATAGGCTGCCTTCTTGTCATGCACATTCCGCAAGTATGTACACCTTGATATCATATCTAGGCAGCAATATCACATGTCAAGTACGTAATTCGATGTAACTCACGCAGGCTGCAAAGGAGGAGCAGATGCCAGGACCTGCGCCTGTCAAATGTAGAAAATTCGATCGAGAAAGCTTCGGGTGATTAACCCCATTTCCCAGCCTCGGGGACTCCTCCAATAGTTCTCCTTACCTCCGAAGCTGCCTTGTCGCCTTATATCCGGCTCTTCGTAACAATACTGGGTGGTAATGTGCCATCTATACGTCCTTGCGAGTCGAAACCGATTGGAAGCGATTAGATGAGTAAAATACAATCGATTCAGGACGGAGAAGTACCATCAGATCATATTTCAACCTGTTTGGGCGGAGAAATAGGTGGCTGGCTGATAGGTACTAGAATATCATGGACACGTTCCACAATTTCAATTCTGCAAATGTGCAGCAAAAACGCCATGTTTCAGAAGCAAAAAGAAATAGTGCTCTAGCTCAAAGTTCACGATTGGCTGATTAGAAAGATCTTCAGATCTGTGGTGAATTGTAATACTTAGGTCATACTGTGATCATGATAAGTTGCTACGTGGATCATGGGTTGCTACGAGATAAGCACATTGCATCTCAGGCGCAGTATGTTGTTCATTGCAATTTATTAGCAGTCGTCGTAGCTATGATGAGCGTGGCAGACAGACTGATTCGCTTCGTCTGCTGGTACCAGGAATTTGTTTTCCTCGCCGATTTTGCCAAGCTCCCGACCGGCATGAGGCCAAACGCCACACGCAATGCAAATGTATGGTACATAAAAAACACATATCCTCCACGAATAAAAGTCTCGTTGACAGGCCAAATGCGTATGGTATAGTAAACTTCGAGGCCAAGGTCCAGATCCGCGATTTCCTCCATCTGTCGTCTCGACCTTTAGGAGATTATAGTCATCCTGATGGGAAAAGAGGAAGTTTTGCCAACTGCCAAAATTAGACTGAAATTCGTATTGCAAGGTTGAGGCTACACATCGGCCTCCAATTGTGAGAAAAATCCCTCAGAAACGTAAAAACCCTAAACTCCTTGCTGCTAAAATGAATACGGAATTGCCACACCATACCCCAGTCGAGAAAATGCAAATAATATAAGAGCAGCCGCTATTGAATCATTGGCTTGTCGGAGTTGATCAATCCTTGTCTTCTTCAGGCGTCGACGTTTCGCTCACTGTAAAGATATGTCGACTCTTGTAGCCCTCTTCCAGTCTGGTATCCACAACTTGGTCGGGAGACACCATCTTATGTTTAAGCTCCCATCCAGCACGGCGACACAGCTCCGCGACAACCACATCGCAGTCTCCAAGCAAGTCAATATCGAAGTTGATATGACTCACTGGAGTTCTCGAGATGTAGATCTGCGGAATGTGAGGGGGAAGGTACGGCACGACTTCGGATACTGGTGCAACCTTGAGTGATGTACCAATTACGACGACTAGGTCGACGAGATCGCGGTCGTGCTTAACGAGTCGCTGACTAAACTCGTCAGGAAGCTCCTCACCAAAGAAGGTGATATCCGGCTTCATGACACCAGCAGCAGGAATATCATACTGGTCATCGTCATCATCGTCATCATCTTCCGAACTTCTGCGTCGAGTTCTCTTACCCGCAGTCTTCTTGGTGGAGCGCTTGCGCTTGGTCGAACCGTTGCTGCGGAGGGAGGCGACACACTTGACACACCGTGGTATCTTACCGTCCTTGATGTCGGCAAAGATGGTATCACCCTTGACCTTGTGACCACACTTCTGACAGGTAGCAGTGGCGAAGGAGCCATGACATTGAACAAGCTTGTCGGGACTGATACCTGCATTCGCCTCAATGTTGTCGATATTTTGCGAATAATTGGTCAAGAGCTTGCCCATGTTCTGTAATTGAGCGATGAAGGCGTGCGTGGGTGAGAAGAGTCCTTTGGTATCGGGTAGAATATCCTTCGCAACCGAGTAGAAGATGGTGGGGTCGTCACGGAAGACATCGATATTAAAGACCTCTTGTGGGTCATTGATACCCAATCCGAGCTTCTCAAGCTTCGTGTAGAGACCCGTCTCTTTCGATCGGAAGTCAGGGATGCCAAGCGAAGTAGAGATTCCAGCTCCAGTAAGAACGACGATGTTGCGCGATCTCTTCAATAAGGCAACGGCATCATCGATAGTGTTGTACTTAGGGAGCTTAGCGCGTTTGGCTAGTTCGCGCGACATGGCCAAAGTGAGCAGTCCAAAATATGCGTCATCAGTGAGGCCTTCAAGGAAAAGAGGGGGTCTTATCCCAAAGGCTGTCAAAAGCTTCTTCGCCGAAATGGCGCCGCAATCGACAGTCTGCCTGCAAAATTCCCGAGGGCCGATGGTACGCAGCTGCTCGCGGTACTCGACCGCTTGCTCCGGAGTGACGGCATCGACTAAGGCAGGGTTAGAATATTGAGTAAAAGTAAAGGTGAAAGTGGATGTGAAAGTGAAAATGGACTTACTATCATCGAAAAAGCTAACTTCGGTGATATCCTCGATGACATCCTCAAATAACGACTCCGTCTCCCAAGAATCACCCAGGTCGCTAATACGCTCTTCGAGTTCGTTGCGAGCTTGACCATGGGGTCTTACGTTAAGATGGCCGACTTGTTGGTCATCGGCAACTTCAACTTGGGCCTTGGAAGCTCTTGGCTTCTTCTGAGCGTCTTTCTTCGGGGCGTCCTTCTTCGAAGCATCTTTCTGAGCATCTTTCTGGGCATCCTTCTCGGCATCCTTCTCGGAAGGGTTGTTCTTGCGAGGCCTACCGACAGGTCGTCTGCCCGTCATTGTGTCGTTGATAGTGTGACACGTGATAAGAAGGAAATGGGAGGAAAGGTGAAAAAGATAAGTGAGAAAATCGAGGATGAAGTATTTATAGGTAATGAAAGTGGAAGTGTAGAATTAGCAGCGTGGTCTGAAGTAATTGATGGACTGCTTGATGGATCAACTAGCTAGAGTTGGTGCGAAGTTGAAGTCGTGGTTTGACGAAAATCTAGGGTGAAGTTATTAGTGAGAGGAAAAATAAAAGAAAAAAAAGAAAAAAAAGAAAAAAAAGAAAGAGAGCAGAAGGAACAGGAAGGTATGTAAATGTGCCGGTGCGGGAAATATTGAATCGAGAAATTAGGAACTGGCGCAACTGGCTAGTTTAAAGTTGTGCCGGGATGAGATGGTCAGGATGGTCAACGCGTTTTTGTGTTATTGTACTGCGTCGTGCTGATTGATGCTGATGAAAGTGATTCTGGATAGGGGATGATTGACATTGATGAATTGGGAATGGGAATATGAATAGGAACAGGTATGGCAGGGTAAGGTAAGGTAGAGAGTATGGATTAGAAAAATAGGAAAGGGTACGAGCTAGAAATAAATCAGATAGTTACCTACTCGTAAAACGCACGTAATAATTGTAACTAGGTAGTTGTAATGATGTGGAAAAGGAAGTGTGCGTGGTTTGGGGATTTAATGAGTGAATACCTGGCAGGTAGGAACTGGAAATCTGGAATCTGAAAATGGAAATTGGAAAATGGAAATATGTAAGTAACTTACAAGAAGGTCAAGGAACAATTAACCGTTAAGCTGTTGGTAAAAAAAAGATTTACCAGATAGGTTCCAAGGTTGCCTTTTCTAAATTTCGTAGCAGTAAAGTTGATGAAGGAAAGAAGTTGAGTTTGTGTGTGTATGTGTGTAATGAAAAAGGTGAGGGAAGAATAAAATGACAATCAACTTCATGCGAAGGGAAATCCGAAAGAAGGACGGGATCGATTTTTTGAAACTTCAAATGGATGTTGATAAGTTCCAGACTAGGCCATACCCTGATAGGCTACAGCTAACTTTACCACCTGCTCCTACCTCTACCTCCTACCTCTACTTCCTACCTCTACCTACTTCCTACTATGTACTCTGCTACTTTATACCTACTACTATGTACAAATACTCTACTACTTTACTTCTCTACACTCTTTTTTTTTTACTACTCTACCACTCTACTAACCCAATTATACCACCCATATTAATTGTACATACATTGTAGTAACGAACATATGATAGGGACCATCTTTTTGGGGGCATGCTTAAATCATATTATCCCCTCAGTTTATATTGTATACCACCATATTCCAACCTTACCTGATTTGTCTCAATTGCTTCCCAATGTTTGTCCATCCGTCGTTCAAATAACAAACCTCTCCGCAATATATCGACCAGTTGTCATCTCCATCGAGTTACTGACCGGTAGTATCTTGTTCAGAGCATCTGCGCGAGATTCATCCGAATTTTCCCTTGAGTGAAATAGGGCGATGTTGCCATTCGAACGATTAGAATGACTCCAAGTCCTTGGACGAACCCGAGCTCTGCCAAGACTTTCCGTCTCCGCAACTCCGAATTATTTTCATGTATTTCTCAACATATTAATACCGACATCCGCCTATTATATAATTCAAATTGCACTCACCTTCATACTAGACGGTACGAATTCCCTTGGAGCTTTCAATAACTACCTACGCATAGTAGGCATCCCATAGGAGTCCCGGGTCTAGAATTCGATTATGTTATTGTGTGCCATTGTGTCCGGCGAGCCCCGCGTGAAGCTAGACATGAATAAATCTAGTTCCCCCGACCATCTCGCAACCTAATATTTGCCTCCCGATTTAAGACGGGAGATCATCGCTCCCAAAGCCCGATCATATGGATCTATCCGGCAAGTATGAGTAATCGCTTGCCACTTTCCTGCTGCTTACGGAAGGCTCGAACTTTCTACGAGTTGCCTAGGTAGGCACATAGGTACATGACGAGGAATTATTCAACCGACAACCAAGAGACACAAAAGTCATATCATGACAGAGGCGAACATATGCCACGTGGTAGAGATATCTGCGGATATAAGTTACCCCACAATCTCGATTACCTCAACAAGTTAGCCGTACCCTACGTCCACATCACGACGATTACTTTCACTAAAGAATCGCAACTGCCTTGGCACTATTATTGAACGATATGGAATCTGAGTCCTAATCATTGAGGTATTCTAGGTACTTAGGCAGGTACCTAGTAGCTATCCTAACTCACTGCACTCCTTAAGGAGGGGTAGGCTTCGATGTCTAAGACAACAGTCTTTGCCAGAGAAATACTTCAATATTCTTCATATTCAAGACGTTGAATCAGTCTAATATCCCTGACTAATCGTTTCTAGATTCAAGTCATCAGTAAAGCACAACCCCGGATCACGTTCCCCGGCGATTTACTGATTTACTGATGCAGTCAGTCATCGTTCTAACCGATACTTGACCAATCAAGATTCGCCACTCAAAACAGGTAATGAAAATTAAAAACACTTCGCTATTATGTCAAGCACATCGTATTCTTCAAGAGCCAATTTAAGAATTAATTTTCATGTTTGAACTCGCTGAGATAATCTAACAAGAGACCTGATTTTCCTCGCTGTGCATTTATCAATAACGATTCATTTACGCGGCATCGAGAGTTTTAGTGGGGTCGTCAACGCCCCCTTTTTTGATGTACCTAGGTACCTCCCTATACACCTAGCAACTTCCAACTTTAAACCCACCATACCAGATGTACTATGTATGTACATACGTAGTTAGGTACCTGCCATTGATCGCATCTCGATGCAATATCGTCAGCCTTAAAAGGAACCAACTGACGAGGTGATATATAGAAAATATCTATACAATATAAAGAGCCTGCTCAAGAAAGTTGCACCACATAGCAGCCGTGCGGCCCCCAATACCTCGATGATACATATAACGAGCGCCCTACCAAAGTGAACATTCAAAATATCGCGTAACACCCCTCTAATAATAGCACCACTCACCTCCAGCAAGAAACCCAAACTAACAGGATAAAGCCAGCAATCCAGCGTGACTATGCGCAGTGATTCATGCTGTGCGACGACGTCGACAGAGCCACCTAAACCTCCCACGCAAATCCGAAAATACATATCCACATCCCCATCGCCCCAATATTCCCTGCCTCTCGTTAGCCTCAGCCTATCGCGATAGAATTCCTCGGTGGGCTTGCTAATGGGAGGTCGTAGTGTAGGCAGGTATTATTTGTTCGAAAGCCGATGTCACGTAAAACGCATTGCCCATACGGCGTGCGCCTACATATGTCGTACAACCTACATTATACAGCATAGGCCAATTACTAACTGACGGGAGCTCGTCTCCCCATTACGATTACTCATATAGCTTTGCAAACAGGTAAGTAAGAAGTAGGCAGGGAAAGCCCATCACACAAGGCAAACGGACCTACGAAATCACCAACATCGCCATCGCAGCAACAGCAAGTTTCAGTACTTTTTTCTCTGTTTCACCACACACATCTTGTCTTAATCTTATCTAAGGCCTTTGATCCAGACGCCTGAAAAAACCAAACCCGACCCCCTACTACGAACAAAGAAGAATTGACGAACAACGAACAACGCTCTAATCAGCTGCATGCATGCCGCCCCATGTTTTTATCTATAGCATTTAACATTTGTGTATCCTCGGACCTGGGATGCCTATGAACCACTGTCCGCAATTTAGACAAACACGAAGGAGCTCCCCGCAAGAAAACTCCTTATTTCCTAAAAATCCCTTTACCCTGACAGGAACCGCCCGGCCTAGTTCGCCTTAATGACTAGGTTAATCCCTACCCTCAACCCCGGCGACCCGCGAACCCGGAGCTGCGGACTCACGCGTCACTCATCCCCACGACGGATTTCAGGTCGGCTTGCCTCTTGGTCACGGTTATGCTCCGCGATGGGACTCCGGGGACGTGGTCTCTTCGGTAATTCCTGCCGGGGTTGGTGAGCGTATTATAGAAGTAGTATGCCAGACGAGCAACAATAGTTGCTTATTATCAGGCTATGAGAAGACGTAGATTAAAATTAGAATATAGGTTGTCTTCGGATACTTCGCTCGCTCTTCGTGCGTATGTTCTCGCTGCCTCTGCATGTCTTTGTATCAGGTGCAGTCGAGCTTGGTTGATCCAGACAAAAGAATCCTTCACACCACCTAAGAAATAGACTTTTGCTTTTGGGGTGGATGGGGGACGCTGAGCCGGGGTACGGTAGACGAGCCGAGGTCTTGAATTTGTGCAGGTTCTTCCGTTAGGATTGGCGCCGGCTCTAGATCACTATTGTCTCGATTCGACAACGGCGAAGGTGATGGGCGAGGGGGTTGCATGAAGTCACGGTCTCCAGTCCTCTCGATAGGAGACCATCCTGCTGCCACGCTACCAGCAATAATACCAGCCATAACCGTAGGGGCACCTAATGCCGAGTTCGACCGCGATCTCATAGACCTAGAACGTTTTCTGGAATCAGGTGTGGGAGCTGGCGAGGGAGAGCTGAAACTATCTTCGCGTGTCGGGGTCTGTGGCACCCTAATCGAGTTTGATCGTGAGTGAGACGGACTTCTCGTCTTCGAGATAAAGGTCTCGCGAGGATGTTTGACGGCGAATTTCAAATTGTTAAGACGACCACCCTTGAGTTTCTTGAGGAACGCAAGCTCATCTCTAACATCAGCAAGGACCTCAGGATAGTCATTGAAGCGCTCCTCGTCCGAGATTGTCAATCCGGGAATACCACGCTTCTTCCTTAGCGATGCAGGAATACACTTCCTAATCAATTCATCTGGGATCAAACGGATAATGACGCCAACGGGTATAGAAATGAAACCGAGAACGATTGCACAACCCCATTGGGCAGACGTCTGTGGCGGGTCTTGCCCAGATATGCTAAATGGAGTCCCGCCAACGAAAATGATAAGAACCTGGGCACCGGACACCGCCAGGTTGATGGCGATGAAGTACCAATTCTGCAATAAGCCTTCGAAAATGTTGAACTGGTTGTCCAGCCGACGATTGCTGTGGCAATATTAGCACGTGTTGCTCAAAGATAACAAAAATAGTCATTACTTACTTCCATTGGTTGAAGATCTGCATCCATACGAAGGTGTTAAAAACTAGGGTATCACGTCGTGTGATTTCGTCAACTATACCGATAGTTTCCGCAGCATAGTAGAGTATGAAGGTAATTGCCAACTGGTAAATTGCCTGACCGAGGATCATCTTCCACATCGTAATCGAGATGATGCTAGAACCTCTTGGTTCTGGCTTTCGGTCTAAGCAACTATCTTGAGGGGGATCGGTAGCGAGTGCAAGTGCTGCGAGAGTATCCATGATCAAGTTAACCCATAGAAGCTGGACTGCCGTGAGTACGGAGCCTTCATCATCGCTGGAGACGGCAGTGACAAAAGTCAATACGACAGCAGTTACGTTGACGGTAAGCTGAAATTGTAGGAATCGCTTCACAGCGTCGTTGACAGCGCGACCCCATTTCAAAGCCTTCACAATACTGGTGAAATTGTCGTCCATAAGGATAATGGCGGATGCCTCTTTCGCCACCTCGGTACCGGCAATGCCCATAGAAAATCCTACATCTGCCAACTTCAAAGCGGGTGCGTCGTTCGTTCCGTCGCCTGTGACAGCAACGGTCTCACCCAAATCCTTAAGGCGACGCACTAGAATTCGTTTATCTTCGGGGCTAGAACGTGCCAGTACACGAAGTCGCGGAATGATTTCGTTCTGTCTGTGCTTGCTAAGATTGCGGAATTCCGGACCTTCCATTACAAGTGCGTCCGGTTGTTGTAGAATGCCACACTCCTTCGCGATAGCCTGAGCCGTAAGTTTGTTGTCACCGGTAACCATGCGGACAACCACGCCAGCTCTCTGGCATTGTTTAACCGCCTCGGGGACACCTTCGCGAAGAGGATCTTGGATACCCACCATGCCAATAAACACCATCTGCTTGAAAACATCCTCGAAGATGACCTCATTTTGGCTTCCTTCGGCGCGTCTGGTGTTGCGTGGAGGCCATCTCTCAAAATCGCGGTAGGCAATTCCAATAGTTCGTAAAGACCGAGATGCATAATTTTCAATGAGACCTTTAATCTGTTCCGTGTCGTCGATGCTCATACCAGTGCTTGATGCGTCTCGAGTAGGGTCGCGAAGGATCGCTGTGCATTTACCAAGGACAATCTCCGAAGCTCCCTTGACGAACAAGCGAGCTGTACCGTTATCAAGTTGAACTACTATGCCCATGCACTTTCGGCCAGAGTCGAACGGGATAAGCTGTAATATTTTCGCATTCGATCGCTCCTCGCTTACGGGTCCCATACCAAGATAGGCCTTTGCATATTCTAATAGCGCGGTTTCCGTCTTCGATCCAATGAATGTTTTGACTCCGTCTAGATCACCTTCGAAGGCCGTGGAGTTTAGAGAGATAGACTTGAGCAGGATTTCTTGAGTCGGCTTGCTGAGAGTACTAGCAAATTCCTTTTCCGTCGGCTCACTCCGTCCTTTTTCTTCTTCCTCCTTCGATATTCCGCTTCCAAATCGATGAGAGATACCAATCGTTCCCGCAACAACAGTCATCTTGTTTTGTGTTAAGGTACCGGTTTTGTCAGAGCAGATAGTTGTCGCATTCCCCATAACCTCACAAGCTTTCAAGTGCCTCACCAAGTTGTTGTCCTTAATCATACGGTTGGTGGCGAAAGCTAACGCTAGCGTGACCGCAAGGGGCAAGCCCTCGGGTACCGCGACGACGATAATAGTGACCACGACGATGAAGATATTGATAAACTGCTGGCCTTTCTGGGAAGGTGATAGCCAATAATTCGAAGGGAGGCGGACCAGGAACATGATAAAGAGAACGATAAACAGGAGTAAACCGGCGGCACCTCCTAGCTTTGCGATATATTCGGCGATAACGTTGAGCTTGGATTGGAGCGGGGTGATCTCAGGGTCTTCGCTAAGAGACATCATGGTCTTGCCGTAACTTGAATGAATACCGGTTGTCGTTGCGAGGAATGTACCTACACCCTCCATTACTCTGCCTCCAGATTGAATGAAGGGATCCAGCTTCCTCGTATCCTCACCGTTCTCAATCGCGGCAAACACGTCATCGGCAGGTCTCTTGCGGAGGACATCCGATTCACCTGTCGCTTGAGATTCGTCGCACTTCACATTGAAACCTTGGATGAGGACACCATCAACGGGAATGAGATCACCAGGTTCTAGGTGGACTACGTCGCCAGCTAAAAGATCGTAAATCGAAATCTCGACGGTATGTCCCGCGCGGATTACCTTGACGACTCGGTCCTGCTTCTTCCTGTTGAGTTTGGCGAACTGTCTCTCCTTTTGCCAATCATTTAGAGATCCAACAAGCACGACAATGACAATGGCCGCAATAATAGCTACACCTTCGATCCATTCAACGGATGGCTCCCCATCCGGGTGTTCTCCACCGAACGTTTGGTACAACCCGACAGCAAGTGACACGATAGCGGCAACGGAAAGCAGGATCAAGACCTTGTCATTGTAAGTAATCCAGACCAATTGTAAAAAGCTCTTGCCTTTCTTTTCGGGAATTCGATTATCTCCGTAAACGCGTTTCCTGTCGAAAAAGGCCTCGTCAGATCCGTGTCCACGCGCGGTATCTGACCGGACAACTGGTGTCTGTGGGCTCTCTACCCCTTCATTAAGCAACTTGGATGGTGTTCGGTTCGTCGCTTGTTCAAATGAGACCTTCCCATCTAAATGCTTCTCATCCGGGCTCAAGCCAGTGTCGCGATTAGTACGGAGCCCCTTTTCCATTCCGGCAAGTCCTCCTAGTTGATAAAAAGCAGAGAGACTCTTTGGGTCGAACATCTTCGTAAGTTGGCCTGGGCTGTACGCAAAAGGGTTGTTCTCCACCTCGAAATCAGCTTCCTTGCCTTGATCCGGCTTTAAGGCATTCTCGTCCTTCATAATTTTCTCGTTGTCGAATGATTGCTTCGTCGTCGTGCTCCTCTCGCCTTGCCATGACGCCGTTACGGTGTCACCTTGCGAGGAACTGATCGATCGTGATCCATCTTCGCTATCGACTGAGTTCTGTCTCGAACGATGGTGGTCCGGCACAGAAAGAAAAGCTTGTCCCTTTTCGGTTCCCCTCGAGGTTACTGGACTGGAAACATTATGAGGGCTAGTTGGCCGGCTATCTCTAGCACTATCAAAAGAATGGCTCGGCCGAGACTCCCCCTTAATACTCAAGTTAGACGACTGAGATGCTAATGGGACAGTAGTCTTTTCAGATGCCCAACTCGAAGTTAGCGCTGTCGGACTTATTGGCTCGTCGTGGGGGGATACGGGTGAATGCTGAGGAACTGCGGCTGCAGGTTCGGTATCATTCGTCGTATCAATTGTAATAGTAGGGCTAAGTGTCAAGTCAGAATAATGAATAAGAGATATAAACAGATGACCAAATATAATTAGTCGATGGGGTCAACTTACGCTCTCGCCCTTCGCGGTGTCCCCTCGGGGCCACTCTTATTAGGCTCGGACATGTTGCGTAGGCCGGAGTAAAAATTAAGTTAAAGGAAGCCAGAAAATCGATTACAGCATCCAAGGCGCGGACAGGTAGTTAATGCTTAGACACAGCCTTGTGACGGGAGGCTAGGATGCGAGTGTAGGCGGAATGGTTCGCGCGCGTAGAAATCGGCCATCGACGGAGGCAATGTCAGCGAGGCAGAAAAGGACTAGACAAATTGCAGACACAATTGACTTCCAAAAATAATAAGGATTAAGGGATAAATCCGAATATTTGGAATGCGGATTGATAATGAGAGCTCGCCAAATATCTCCGCTCTGAATGAGGCGCAGCGAAGTCCGGCGATAAAATTGATATTTTTCTGTCCGTGGTTCGTTCCTTCGGCGCGTCCAAAACTCGATGCTCAACCATATAAGACAATACTTCCTAGGAGTAGAGATTCGGTAAATGTATACCCGGGCACGTATTCAGGCCAATTCGTGTTATCAGGGTCGCACTCGGGATCCGGGAGCTAGGAGTATGATGGTCCACGATCGGTCGCCGCGAGGTCAACAAGGTCTCAAAGGCCAAGAGGGTCTCGACCTAGATTCGGGGATATAGATGTCTCTCAAGAATAATAGGAAAGTTGTAGATAATACGACGATGGTATGAGGAAATGCTATGGCATGTTGTTTCGGGAAGGTGTTCTGTAACGACTAATCGAGGCACAGATATCTGTATTTGGTAGGCACCTTAGGATAAATACACACAGGTATGAGCGTCGCGTTCCTGGTACCTGAGAACGGTTGAGATCGGGGGAGGCTGTGCAAGCTAGCCACTTATTAGAGTTATCCAGTATATCGATTCGAATGGCAAAATGGAGGCAAAATGCCACGGCGAGGTCAAAGTGTTATGTATGTCTCGACTCACGTCCACCAATCCGTTTGCTGGAGACAGACAAAGCAGGTGTGAGTTGACGGGGGGGAAGATGGCGAGGATGAGTTTGATGTATTTTGCTGTTTGTCACGAATCCAAGCCACCTCGGTGGAATACACAGCTCGAGGTTTGAAAGTATGAGAAGGAACACATAAAAACAACTACCAGAAGGCAGAGTGAATCAAGATTTTAGCAATCCGACATAGCGGCAATAAGGAGTGTATGAAAGTTGGATGATGGAGAGGAAGAGGAAGAATAGTGATAAGTGCAAATACAAGTGCAGATACAAGTGCAATTGAACCAATCGTGGTCTTGAAATTTGCTGGATTGGTTACTCTCGACACTCCTAGGGGAAGCTAAGATATGCTAAGATACTTCGTCAGGGGTGTGCATGGTACAATGGAAATACCTGCATTGAATCATTTGAATGAGCGAAATGCGCTAGATTACGCCATTAACGGAAAGTAACCTAAGCGTACCTGGGTATTATCAATTCAATGTTTCGTGCTACACAAGCGACGTAGACCCTGTACCGCGCAGCAATCCGTTTGTTTTAGTAGAAGTTTATATTTTACCTCTAACCCTGCCAGGTGAGTTTAACGAAATCTGTTAAGGAGAATATGCCATGGTTCAAATATTCGAGTGTAATTATTAGCCAATTGTTGATAAAGAGAGTTTTTGTCATCCATGAACACTGTTTACTGCAAGCAGTCGCAAGGTGGATGACATGAGGTCAATGACTCCCAACCCTATTCATTCGCATGATGGATGTATCGATGTATCACCAAAGTCCTCTTTTCATATTTACATAGTATCATTCATTATTAAGGTGCTTAGCTTCATCAATCGTCAACTTGGCGCAACATGGCACAACAAAACCTGGACCGCGTGGTCGGTCTTGGGTTGCTTGGTAAATTACAAAAAGTCAGGATATGGAGCCCCTAGATAAATACCTGATCGTCGTGTCATTCCAAGTCTATCCCACTTCGCATCTCGCAGTCAACAACAACCGCCTTGGATTCTTGGAATACAAACACTTGCCTGCACTTGCAATAGTGCACATACGTATACCGAATGTACCGTGGCCGTCGGTTATTACTTTCCAGGGAAAGGTTAGTCCTCGTTCGGCGAATTAGGAGCAAGGTTACAAATTGCCAAGGGAGGCTGTGCAAGAAAGACTCCTCACCCTCAAGCACCCTTCGCAGCAATCGGGAGAGAAAAAGAGAAGTCGAGCCGATACACACCTACCTGATGTACATGGTACAATCGAGATCGTCATAATCTATCCTTTCAGCTGAATATCTACAATTTTACATTTTTATCATTTTTTGCCTCACTCAGGAGACCGTGGACTGTTTTGGAAGTTGAATCTAGTTAACTAGTTAAGCCTAGTTACTATTAACTCTAATAGTCTTAAACCAAATGGATGTGTAACAAAACTCATAGTCTCTGAGTGGTCTGAGAGGTGTATTGAGTCTACAGTATGTAGGTACCTATGTACGAAGTAAGGAGGCGTCATATACTATCGAATTAAGTTGAACACTTTTTTCAACAATATTCCTTAAGAATATTAATATCCATATCAAACGCCCGCCACCTCCAACCACCATAGGCTTGGATAGGTACAATACCTACCTAGGTAAGTATTCCCTGATTTCCCTTGTTCACTTTCAAGGTAGTTATTTTTGACCATTCAAATCGACTCTTTCTATCCCCTTTCCTTTTTTTCCTTTTTCTTTAGGCAGGGACATACATACATACAACCCATATGCGCCTAGTTAAGCAGCAAGTTGCGGTCTGTACGTGTGTACCAGTGTCTGACCTTCACGACTGCTTGGTTAGGCTTCTTCGATACCCAACTCGCATCCATGGATCTAGCGTCATCCACACTTGGCTATATGCTTCTGCAGAACTCCAGAAGCAGTTCTTGTCAGGAACTGCTTATGTGCTCCTTGCGGGTCTCAACCTGTACCTCAGAGCCGGTATGATCGCCATCTTCAACGTCCTCTAACGCGCCAGACTACGTAGACTAGAAAGTAATCCCCTCAATATTGGCTGGTCTTAAGAGTAAACATCACGATCAGATACTCAAGTCAGCCCAACCATTTTGCGTCAGCCTTGTTGTTCCAGATAAGAGCCAAGGTTTGGCCACTAATAAGGCTACTATGCGAAGAGAGGCATATATATCAACTGTACAAGTCTCACGTTCCATCCACGTGGGACTCCGGGGATAAATTTCATTGGCACGGTGATTCATCGAGGTTCTGACACGCGTGGTAGTCTTCTCCAAATACTACGCTGTCTCATCGCCTCGTTGGTTGATAGGTGAGGGAGGAGACCGGTGTGCAGTCAACCAGATGCAGGAGGGCTCTTAGTAACATCGCCCACCGTCTCTCCTTTTCCTTTTGCTAAAGTATTCTCCTATCCACACACATCCTCTCTACTAGTTTTCGGCCTTAAAGCCTTACACACATTGACACCGAGTTATAGATATCTCCGTCAGAAAAAGGAGAAAAGTATCTCACGAAGAGATATTAGCAACGGTATTATAGCGGTGCATGTATATTTCCGTACTAACCAGTTCAACGCCTGGATTTCGCATGTGAAAATATGGAGAATAACGGACTTAGGTCCGCGAGTCCGCGCCTTGATCTCTTTTCAATAATTACATGTTATCATAGCTATCAATGCTAACAGCAAGATGCTTTATGTTAAGATTGTCCGAGCTCCTCTATAAATTGATGGTCCCGAACCTTACCGGAAAGAGCATGGCATCTCCGATATCAACCTCATCACGAATATGATCTTGTCAAGGCAGATTTCCCAGGATTGACATCTGTCTTCGGACGAAAATCGTCTCAACGAGCTAAACATAGGGTTTCTAAAAATACGGTATTTTAAGTAAAATACCGGTATAATACTTAATCCCTGTAAAACACGTATAATTGGGTATTATACTTCGGACCGGAATAACCTTTTCCGGTATTGTTCGCAATACTTATTACTAATTTGAGTCATAACGTACATACTTATTAGGTATAAATTGTATGATGTATTAACTTAGTTAGAAGTGCGTAAGGATTAAATGATTGACTTGAATGATTGATTGATTGAATGAGCGATTGACTGCGCGGGTGAAAAGAAGCGATCTATTCAAGGTCTACCTACCTACTTACATCGCAAAACCTGGCTTAGATTTAATTGGTCCAAAATTACTAATCCTGTAAATAAATGGGTACATGTCCCCACATATATATGTTCCGAAATGGTTTCTCCGGTTCCGAAAATACAGTATTTTATTTAAAATACAATAGAATACGTGAATAATACTATAAAATAGAATACTGTATTTTATTTTAGAAACCCTAGCTAAACATCCTAACGATCCTCATGCTACCCTCGGACAGGGGAAGTTTGTCTGATGGGTAGCAACAGTATCCTACGTAGTAAGCACTTTGCATCAGATTATTAACGGATTTATTAAGTGATAACAAACTACCGGTACTTGTTGCAAGAATTTCATGCAGAACATCCGTCTAACGTATAATTCGCCCTCGATAAGGGATCCAGGATCTCTCCCAACCGCGTGGTTGCGGCTGAGTTGTAACTATCATCGGATTCCTCTCGCAACCTACACAGTACAACATACCTATTGTCTACATAAATCTCCTTTTAGTTTCAAGTTTACGGAATCACACACCAGGAGTTGTCAACGAATTACTAAGCTTGATCAAAGTTCTTAGTTTTCTACCTACCTACCTACTTATATTAATTACTTTTTTGACAAGTGACACTCACTCTGCATACAGCAGGTAAGCACTCGGGCGTACAGGAAATAGAAAATAGGAAAAAATATCCCTAGAATACTTCTCATCAGTCAGTCGAGGCACAGTAGATATGCTATACAAATATGCTTCTTTATACGCAGATCGGAGGCACAGTAGTTTACCTATGTTCAAAGGTCTGGAGATGATATGCAAGTATAAAGACTGCCAAGCCTGGGGTTCCTCGCCTATCATCGTCACATCGCGCATCTCGAATCTCGCCCCATACCCCTTCAACACTATACCAAATGGGTAGTTCGAAGAGGAAACAGACAGAGAGAGAGAGGGCGCATTTGAAACAACCACCAAGCCAGTATCTATGTAATAGATTAAGTAGGTTGGGAGAGAGAGAAACTTACACAAAACACATCCGTGTGGCTGTGCAATTTTTATGGGAGCATATGTCGTGCGCGGTCCGCCCACCGCACAATCCATCCTCTCCTCACCTCACCTCTGCAGTTCGTTCGTTCTCACCATAGTATCGGGTTCAAGCATCATGTATGTAGTATGCGTCCTGCCGCCCAATTGAGAATTGGAACGAGAAAAAAAGTCTGCGAAATACCTAGCGTGAGTAACATCCGCGTGGCAGTGCTCGATAGTGTCTCTCGTCAGCTCATTTAACTAATTTTCTTGTCCATCGTCATTCTATCATACCTACCTAACACGGACATCGACGTAGAAACACAAGTACGTTAGATAGCCTTAATAACGGACGGACCAGCAGGCCAAGGAGAATATTCGAACACTCCGGTTTCTGCCCTCCCTCCCAGATGAGCATTCAAATCAAACATTGAGCTCTATTGACTACCTAGTAACTACCCGAGTAGGCTTGGTATCTTGGTATCTCGGCAATCCAGGGGACCAGATTTGGATAAGCATCGGCTCACACTTGTGCGAACCAAGATAGCCAAGCTCCGACGGGAAACACACCAACAGCCTTTCGATACGGCTCGGTCCTTGGCTTAATAACCTCATAAATGTTTATCGAGGACATCCATACAGATTAGCATTATCAAACCCACTCTAGTGGAGAGCATAACGATGGAAGAGTATCCATCCGACCTCAATGTTTAGACTCAGTCATGCTCCGTAGGTACGATAGAGATCCATAACTCCCCAGCTCCCCCATATTATCCATTTTCACAGGTAGCCAGAATAAGGGAAAGCTATCAGAGCTAGGTATGTAGAAACAAACGAAACGAAACGCGTATTCGCAGATACGTGTGAATCCGCCTCTGGACGAAGCGCCCACGATAAATACGATATAACTCCACCTCGTCGTAACTCGTAAGAGCCCATAAATCAAAGACCATATAGCTGACGGATCGTCGACATAGCCACACAATAATCTTGTTGAATTTCCCGGTTTTCGCACCTGGGCACGAAGCTCGTCATCTTGATGTAAGCGGGAATATGATTCGTAAAGTTATATTCGCCGCTCCCACTGTCTCGATCGCGTTCGACAGCGTGCACCATGCAATCCGCAGTTTCACTGCATCTTGAATTGCCGTACCACCTATATTCCCGCTCCCCGTAGAATGCCTACCTAATGCAATGTAGAACAGGGTGCTACATAGGTAGGTATCTAGGCTACATAGTATGTATTTGTGTAGAGTTCTCGTTCTCGCATATGCAGAGTAATAGCCCTAATGCTAAAGCTTTGCACTTCTGTGCCATCCAGATGTGGATATCAGTTCGTAACACCGAGTATTCAGTATCCCCCCTTTTTCGAATCATCACTCGAGTCAAACAGAAAAGCTCTTCGTCGTAAACGTAGGATCACGATGCTTCCTCTACGTCAACTAAACGGTAACCGTACCGAGATGTCTCAGCACAGACTCAATTTTTCAACATCTAGGCTATCGTCCCAAATCCACATGTCTCACGTGTACCAGCCTCTCTTCCTCTTTATTTTCACCATGGTTCTTCCCTCTTCCCTCCCCATCTCTCCCACCAACCCCAAAGAACTTCGCTACCGCAACCCCTAGGACATCCTCCCACAGCCCGGCAACCAAGCCCCTCAACTCCTCGCCCGTCTGCTTAAAATCCGGAAACGCGTTAACCTCGAGTAACCAAGCAGTGCCCTGGGCATCAACCAAAAAATCCAAACCGTATACCTCGAACGCATTCGGTAGCGGGCGAAAGTGCATCAGCATCGCCCGAGCCGCCGCCTCGAAGACCTCTCCGGTGACATCACAAATTTGGTTGAAGATATGCTTCTTTTTCTCCTCCCCTAGTTCCAGATCCCAGAACCGTTGCACGGTACCATCGCTCACGGAACGCTGGAGACACGTGTTGGTAAGATGGGCTTCTAGATCTATATCTCCTACTTCCTCCGTATTTGAAGATCCGGGTGTATCCGTAGCCGTAGAAGTAGACGTAGCGGTATGAGTAGCCCCTGGTGCAATATATTCCCTCCCTGCGAACAGGGCGAGCATGTGTCTGTACACGTAGACGTCAAGGCTCCCAACGCAAGCGACGTACGTGCGGATGTGAAACTTGCGGTTGTTGGCGGGGAGAAGGAGCGGTGGGTGAATGTATGGCTGAGCCACGAAGTGACGAAGATGTGAGGTCGTAATATTGTCTTTTCCATCAGCGCTGCGGCCTGAGACCGCGTCAGCATTGCCATTCCCCCTATCTCCGTTCTCACTCCCGTCTTCATCTTCGTCCTCGCTATCAACTTCCCACCCATCAAAAATGTCCTGCAACTCCTCCATCGTCGCAAACAACCTGATCCCTTGTCCCCTATCGCTCATACCCGGCTTTAAAATCCACCACTCCCTCTCTTTTTCTTCTTTATCCTCGTTCTCCTCCAGGCTCGCCCTTAGGTCGAACGCCTCAACCAGTGCGTCGTCCAGGAACTCGGCGTAGTCAAGCTCGAAGTGCTCGCTCCTCTTGACATGTGTCGCTAACACGCTCTCCGGCCGCTTAGCCACCCACTGCTCCACCGTCGCCGAGAGGTAGTGTTTCCGGATCAGCGCCTTACGCAGCATGTAGCTATTCACTAAGCACGTACGTGGATGTGCGTCTACGTAGTCCCAATCGATGTCCTCGTACGGCGTGATCTGTAGGATCTGGCTACTACTATTATCCGGCAATAACTTGCTTAGAGAAATCTGCTCCCCTGGGACCGCGGCCTCGGGGATTGAAAGTAGGGTATACGCTTCCGGAGGCAATAGCTTCTGGAGGGCAGATAGAATAAGGGGTTGGACATAAGGGTCCTCGTACGCGATTAAGGCATAGAAATGCTGCTTAGGTCGGTAAATTAGAGTCGACCTGGACAACGGTATGTCTTCAAGCTCCGAGTTACTCCTGGAAAGAATGAGGATGAGAAACCGCGATTGAGGGTATAATACAAATCTTATGTGTTCGATATACGTATAGTAATTGACAATCCCTTTATCGTATCGCACCTCTTGTATGGTCTAGAAAGTGACGGTGTCTTCTCTATCTGACAGATCGTCTTTGCAGTCATGTATACCCCAACTCTCTATAATGCTGCCACCCCCATCTAAACACCAAATGCAATACAATAGACTCAACTTACAATTTGAACTCCTCTCCATGCAGGTGCGTTGCGGCGTGATAGAAATTTGCTTTTAATGGTGTTATACTACATGATATGTCAGTCTTGAGACCTAGGCGTGATAGTCAATGTGTATAAAGGGATAAGAACCAGACTTACCTAGTGAAGCCCTCCTTGACAGCCCATCCATCGTTGCCTGGTGTCGATTCATCAACGCTCTTAAAAACATCCGTATACCTCGGCGCCCACTTGAAATGTCTATGCGTGTATCGTGTCTTGCCCTCCTCGTTTGCGTCGCCTTTTGTTTCCGAGTCAGGGGCCTCTGATGCTTTGGATTCCTCACCCTCACGTATCCTCTCTTCCTCTTCGTCCTCATCACCAATACTCCCCTCAACTTCTTCAAAACAAACCCCATTGTCGCCCCAATAATTCTGCAGCATTTCCGTCCAGAGTGATTTTGATTGTTCAACGCCTTCAATAAGAGGTACATTGACCGAATACAAGTCAACACTCCTGTCTTCCGGCCATTGTTCATATAACTTCTCGATAACTCTCACACTGTGGCGACCAGCGGCATCGATGATGGTAGGATCGTGATTCCGGTTAAAGAAGGCGTAGCTTAATGCAATGGACTTCTTTCTGCATACCGCAGCCTCGATAGCACCACCAAGCGTACCCGAGCTCAGCGCGAATACAGCTGTTGTATTTCGACCATAGTTGGGTCCCGAGACTACAAGGTCGATCGGTCCCTTCTCCTGGAAGAAATGATGTAGGCCGATCTGGGCACAACTTGCGGGTGTTCCATCCACAAGAATCCACTCTTCTTCTTTGCTATTCTTGCTTGGTCGTGTGCTTGTGGTACCTTGTGTGTGGGAGGCGGTACTAGGGGACGGATCGAAGGTCTCGGACGGCCGGTAATATAGTGGCTTGACAGTTTGGCCAATTATGTGGGCTTTCCCAATCCAGGAGCGTTGAGTGTGAGGTAGACAGACTGAGACATCGTGTCCCCTCTTCTGAAGTTCACGGACCAGACTATGGACATAGGGAGAGGATGTGGGAGACGGCGGTCCATCGTCGTTCGTTACTAGTATGTGCATGACGGAGTAGTCTTGACGGATCTAGAGAAGATTCTAAAGTTAACTGGAGTTATGAGGTTTGCACAAGACCGTGGGAGTGAACGAGATATTGTGGGACCGGAGAACTTATAATATAATGTGCATATCGAGGAATGAAGGAAGTCGAAGTTGACTTTAGAAGTGTTAAGCATAAGTGCAAGTGGCTTCCGAATTGCGGATATCAAGTTTGGCTAAGTAAAATTTAGGCGGGGGCGGGGCAGCGCGGGCAATTGGTTCCAAGGATTGCACCTTCTTCTATTTGTATAGTGAAATATAGCATGACGTGATAATCTCCTGCAGGAGGAAACTGTCACAGATGTTGAGAGAAGACCGTTGAAGTTTCCTTGAGAGATAGGCAGATAATATAGTTTTACCAACATAGTGGATTCTCGGGAGGAAATATCTATCATATGGACTCTGATAGTATTGTTTCTGTTCAAATATCCAAACTGATTATTTACAATCATATTCTAGCAATATCTATTTGTGTAACGTCCAGTTCCCTAGTTGGCACTAGAATCAATAGCTTCGACCCTAATGTTCAGGCGTTGGACCTGATACGTCCGCGTAAATATCATGTATTTATGAATTGGATGGTGATTTGTTTAAAAGGGAGGACTACCTATGCACTATCTACTACCTATATCTTCATCATCTATAACATACTAAGGACCTGATGTCATTGGCTCGGGGTCTCTACTTCTTTAAGTTACACCTAATACCTACCTAGACTGCTAAATACACACGTAAAATAAAAGACAATATGATTCACATGAAACTAAAGACCATAAGTTCATATTTTATAAAATCAATTCGTTTTGCGGCAAGCTAAACTAAGGGGGGCTAAGCTAAAGTCCCTGTAACTATGGATTAACCCGGGGAAGGACTTCATGTCCATCCAGGTAGCTAGCTACCGATCACATTTTGGCTGATGTTGGAGAAGGACCTTGTCCTTCAATCATGACGCCAGACACCTCTTGGTGAAATCATGTTTTCCTTCCCAATGGCCTGCTGTAATTCCATGGCCTACTGCAATTGCTGCCTCAATAAAAATCCACAAAAGGAAAGTGATAAATTTGAGGCAGACTGAATCTCAAATCATCACTCGATTACAACTTCCTAGGTGCTAGAATTGAAGCCTCGAAGCAGCCCCTTAGCGGCTGACTAGACTCGCTGACGCTTAGAGGCCTCATCCTGTCCCTCTAGGGGCTCACCCTCTCGTTTCTGGCCTTGTGTGCTGGCTCGACTCTTAGATCGACGCCAACCGTCGAAGGGGTTGCGCGGCTTCGATTGTTTCGCCGAGGATCCAACTGCTTGCATTCTAGTACTAGCACGTGTGGCGCGGGCTGTCGAGGGAGGAGAAACGGGCGTGAACTTGGCTGTCACAGGAGTCACCGACTTCTCTACAACCGTTGTAGTGGGGGTTTCTGGTTCCGGCACCTCAGCAGACTCGTCTTCAGCACCTAGGAGCACGTGATCTTCGATGTCCGTAACAGCCTCTTCATCGTCTGTAGATGCCTTGGTAGTTGCCTTACCCTTCGTTGGGAACAGAAGGCGTGGCTTGAGAGATGAGCGGGTATTGGCACGGATCGGAGAGCCGTCATTATGCCCATCGATGGGTCCGTCCTCATCCTGGGAAAACTTGCGGAAAATTCGCTTTCCTCGACTATATAGGGAGAATGATTAGTAAAGGGATAATACAAGATTAAGATACGGAGATGGGATGATAACTTACAATACATAGACAATTCCGTCCTCACGTTTCAGTGCCTCTTCGATAGAAATCTTGCCCTCGCCTGGAACATAAACCTGCTTGCTTCGGGTTTGTCTGGTCGATTGATCGCGCTCCGGGGTGGATGATGCCTGCTCGAAGAAAGGATTCTGGACAGTGTTATCAGCCTCAGGAATGCGGTCGCGCGTGTCGGTAAAGATCTCAATAGGCTCCTCGACGTTCTCAGCAGTGAAGCTGTCTAGGGTAAGGCCGGTGTACTTCTTAGCCTTTCTTTTCTTGGGAGAAGGTACAGCTTCGGGTTCGGAGAATAAGTTGCGCGCGATCGCACGGACATTGGCCTTTGACTTCTCATCCGGCTGCTTCTGGGGAGTCTTGGCGGGTGTGGGAAGCATCGTGGAACTACTGGTGATTGACTTAGACTTCTTATGCGAAGAATTAATTCCAAGGGAATCGGCAGCGTTGGCTGCGCCTTCGGCGATCAAGCTGTTAGATGCACGTCGAACTGAATCCATAGCTGGTTGACGCTTCTTCTGTGGGGAGACTGCTGGCGTGATGGCGTCCGAAGATGAAGGTGGAATTCGTGTCGAGTTGCGATTGCGGGAAGATGCACGAGGCGAAGGTGTGCGTTGAGATGCGCGTTGTGCGATGCGAGATGACTTTCTTGGAGAATAAGGCTCCCAAGAATCACCATAACCGAATCGCGGAGTAGTTGGTGTGTGCACTCGCGAAGGAGGCGAAGGGGTTGAAGGTGTTGATAAGATGGAACTCATCTTGTTTGCCGAGGTAGAATTTTGATCTTAAAATTCTGGCAAACAAAATTGAACCCTTAGGATTAAACAGCGCCTGATCGTATCAATCCTTTGATATCCTTTACTGCACTTTGATCCCAATTGAATGTTGCCTGAGGAATTGGGGTTTGGGATGAATCAAAGTGGAATGTTGAAGGTGGGAAAAATTCTAAGGTAGGTGGACGTGAATAAAACCTGAGAATAAGTAAAGTGCATCAGTGGGGATTCAAAAGAAATTGGTTAGTGGTTTCCCTGAAGTCCTCGCCGATGTTGGCGTCGCGTTCGGCGTTGAATCGTAATCGGCTTGAATATCGAAATCGAATTGAAATAATAAAAAAAGAAAAGTAATATTCCAAGTGATAATAAACGTTTCACGCGACGAGTCAAGACGAGCAAATCCAACGACAAGGAATGTAGAGAGATATGTACGAATGACTGTCGGCGGAAAACGAAAACGAAGTTATGTCAAAGACGAAGTTGTAGGATTGTAAGTTTAAGGACCAAGCGCTGATGAGTATAGGGTGATAGTAATGGAAATTTGATTTAGGTTTAGGTTTAATGTTAGGGATAAGGATGGTCGTCAGATGGATGGGTAGGAATTGCGGACGTACTGGTCATTGAATGTAGAAGGGGAAAGTGGGAAGCGGGAAAGATTGAAAGTGGCTGGGCCATCAGGGAAGCCGGAGCTGGGGGAGTTGCTGAGAGTTGCTACGACCTAAACATTTGGGGGGCTCCTTTACTATCCCAAGTGAACAAGTGGAACGTGCAGGCGATCGCTAAGTAAATTATGACATTCCAGCCAATCAACCTCCACTACCCTGTTTTAATTACTACGGAGTACTCACTCTAGGCGTTAATTTGTGCACTACGAGATGTACCCCGCACAGTGGCGCACGGTATAACAAACATAACTTTCAATATTAATAATGCACCTTTATTAAAACGCGTAGAGGAATCCCTGCACGCGTCGCACATCGGAACCCACCAAGACCCACTCACGTCTACCGTGAATTGAATGGTGAAAGACGTATCGATAAAGAAAATAGCTATTTTCATTCGTCAATTTTCCATAGCCAGCGCATCGTCAACTCCGCAACAGAAAACACTGTGCTGTACGACAACGCATGTCAACAGAGCTAGAGAAGGCAGCCCTGGAGAAAGTTCCAAGTTCCCTTCTAGCTTACTTTACGTCACTAATCGGAAAAATCATCCGGAGCCGTACTCTGAAAATAATTGGAGTCTAGACCTTCCTGTCCCCTGGATAGCTACCCCGCCAATCAATCTTCACCATTCATCTTCACGATACCTGGTATAATCCGATATCAACCCTCCGACGCAGCCATGTCTGACAACGATGATTCCTACAACGAAGATCTCTTCGCTTCACCATCGAAGAAATCTACCACACCAAAAGAACAGCCGCCGCGATCTACAACCCCGTTGGCCCCTCCTCCCAACGCCCGCTACCATGACACCGAAGAAAACCGCGACGCCAATCTACGGCGAGAGCTTGAAGGTGTGCGGAACATCAACGAACTACTCGAAGGCGTAATCGGGACTCTTGAACGAGCAAAGGGCAATATGCATGTACGTCACCACTACTTCCTTTCCTTCCCTTTCGCTTCCTCTCCCTTCCTCCTTCTCTCTCCTAGCTTCCCCTCAAACCCACGCCACAACCAAGCTAACAACCCCCTCAGACCGTCTCCAACACCGTAAACACAGCCTCCACCCTCCTCAACACCTGGACCCGCATCCTCTCCCAAACCGAGCACAACCAACGCCTAATCCTGAACCCAACTTGGCGCGGCGCCACCGCCGACCTCGCCGAAATCGAAGCCGAAGCAGCGCAGAAACAGCGCGAAGCCGAACAACGCGCCGCGGCCGAAGAACGCCGTCGTGCGGAAGCGAGACGCAAGCATGAAGAGGAAGCGCGTCAGCGAGAAGCCGCGTCTAATGCGCGGAGCGCAAGTGCCGCGGGACGAGGCACACGGGGACGGGGAGGAAGCGGATTGGGCCGGAGTCGAAGTGTGCGAGGCCGGGGAACGGCGGCGGCGACGGGCTCGGGAAGAAGTGTGTCGAGCGGGAGTGCGATAAGCAGGCCTACGTCCGCGGCGGACACGAGCTCGACTAGTACGGCGCGAGGCGCGTCGGGGATCGGACGGGGGTTTCTGAGGGGACGGTCGAGAGGACCGCGGGGATATTAGGGGTGGGAGTGAGGCAATGTGGTTGCGGTTGGTGGGCCTTAAGAATAAGAAGGCTTTATGCTGCCATTGCTGTATGTCTATGCTTACACGAATGACGATGATGATGGATATGCCGGGCTTACCTACTAGGTACATAGCCTGTCTATGGAGCCTACGAATTACGAGTTACGTAGTGCGAATACTATACACATGATGATCCTGCCATGACATAACGCCTGTTCCTACTTCCAACCGACCGATCTTTATTATCATTTCTAGGTATATCTTATTTCTTCTTAAAGAAATCACTCATCTTCTTCATCCCCACCGTATTTACTTTCTTTAAATCTCGTACCCCCCTACTCTCTCCGGCCTTCTTCCTCTTCTCATCCTCGTCCTTTCTCCGCTTCTTCTCCCCGCGCTCCGCCATCTCCTCTTCGTCCATCACCCGCTTGCGCGAGTAGTCTCCCATCCCGCGCGCGGCGGTGGCTTCTTGCCGCAGCTGGGTGATCTGCGTGAGGTACGCGTCTAGTGGCGCGAAGTTCACCTTTACTTCATCTGCATTTGCCAGTTTCTTTTGCAGAAGCGCGGCTTGTGCGGGTGTGATGTAGGCCGAGCAGATGAAGGCGAAGGCTATGCGTAGCCGTTGTAGTTTCACAACTTCGGGTGAGGCGTGGAGTGTGGGAATTTCTTCTACGGCGCTGGGCTCGTCGGCGGCGACGGAGGTGGTAGCTGTGGGGGCGTCTGAGACGGAGGTTGTGGTGGTATCTGTTGATGAGTTGGAAGATTGGCTATCAACCGATTCGACCTTGGGGGTTGATGCCCCTGAAGTTGGCTCAGATGGTTCTATTTGTATTGGTGTTTTCTCGGTGCCGGTTGTGTTCTCCCTTTTTACACCTACGACTGGCGCTTCTAGTGTCTTGGCCACGAACTTATCTTCCATACTCTTCGGTAGTGGCTGCTCGCTCATTTTCCGCGCCTTGCCTAGTACTTCAGCTAGGAGTTTCTCTTCGTTGAAGCGGAACATGGTTTCGTCACCCGCTTCCTTTGTGTCGCATATCGCTGCCATCCGCGACTCTAGTAGCGTCCGTACCTTGCCCCATCGCAATATCTCTGATAAGTGCGACGAATCACTCCGTATAGAGTCGAGGTGATCGTCGCTTGTTACAAACATTCGCTTCCCGTCTTTAGTCTTGGAGGATTGATCTGCGAAGGCGGGCAAGAGGAGGAATATGGGGTCGACTGGTGTCGCGATATATAGGTCAGCGCCTTTTGTGATATAGGCGCGAAGTTCGGCGCTATCTTCAGATGTCTTTTGTTCGACTTTGTCCGTACTCTCGCACTCTATTAACCAACTTCTGGGAGTGGATTTGGGAGCGGCGATCTTGGTGAATTCATATATTCCGGTTTCTGGACATACGAGATACCTCGTTGGCTTTCCATATCTTGGATTTGGGAGAGAGACTATTCTTGCGTCCTTGGTAGTTTTCGTAGGAAGAATGAAGAGCTTCGGTGGGTTTAGGGACTCTTTAGGTAATGTGTACTTCGATTTGATATTAGGGGTGCTCGCAGGCTTAGAATTCGATTTTGCGGCGGATGCGCTCGCTTTTGATCTGGTTGTCCTCGCCATGTTCCGCGGCTGCTGTATTTTCGCCAAACCACAAGATATCCAAGTTGAATTTTACGTCAATTGATATTCTAAAGCAAGGGCGAAGTCGATAATCTAGATTGCGATCAATTATAACCCGTTGTTGTAACAGAAGTATAACTCCAGTGTTGAGGACTCAGGAGCTTTGTTAGCAATTCAAGGTACCTATGTACCAATATACATGACCCCTGTCGACGCGTTTAGATACAGTGTAAGTCGCGTCCTAGTAATAGGAAAACGCGACTCCACTGAACCAATCACAGGTCGGCATCTTTACTTGGCCATGATCACCACTTATCGATATCCCGGTACTAAGTACATACATACTCTGTAGGTACTGTACTTCGCTTTCCAACATGTGCAACATCTTTTTTGAACCTCGTGATCAGTGCGACGTTTGACGACGTCCAATTCATTCAGTACTCCGGATTCTGTGGAGGCATTTTGGAAATGAATAGACGGTGTACGGTATTCAAAAACCATATCATTGGCGCCTCGACCTCGATATCAACCGCCAACCGCAAATCTGCCTTATCCCCCGGACGATCTCTACCACGTCCATATTTGCTGCATGATATAATATCCAGCAAGGCGTCCGACCCCTGCAGATTTTGAGTGGAGGGGACGGACGCACTGCCGAATCAACAAGGCGGATGGGAAACGACAACAATAGTTATGATGCCTGCTAGTATGTCCCGATACATTTACACTTAATTCATTCACTCCGGAATATGTTGGCGGCATTTCTTTGCAATCGATCTCGATGTCAAATCACTTACCAAAAATGACAGGGTCGGGCGCCGACCCCGAAGCCCAATGGCCGCCACGATCGCCCCACGATGTTCTCCTCAGCACACCCGGGGGACGCGAACGATTGCGACGCATGGCTGAGCGGGCGTCGCCATCACCGTCCCCGAGTAAGCGATCTCGAATAACACCAATCCTGCTCTCTCGATCTAGTAACTCCCGGCGCAACATCGTGGACGATTTGGATACGGATATGCGTATGGATGTGGACGAGGCCGAGGACGAAGACGATGAAGAAGACGAAGAAATGCTACAATTAAAACTACAGGCCATCCAAGCAAAGCTTAAACTAAAGAAATTACAAAGCGCCAAGGCAAAGAAGGCATCTGGAGGAGATGCGACCTTAACTCGAACTGAATCTAATCCCATACCGGATATTTCAATAACAAGCCGAGCTCGATCGCAAACAGAATCAGTACGGCCACGACCGACACAACGATCACGGTCTCAAACAGAAATTCAGGTCCCAGTATCACCGGTGAGAAGGGCGCCAGTATTACAACCTGACTCGCCCAGTAGAGTACGTCTAGGTATTGACAAGGGAATCAAAGCGAAGGATATCTCCTTGAAGAGGGCACCAAGTCTGAGGAAAACTACAGAGAACAGTAATGGGTCACAGGGAGGAGGTTATCTTCGAAGAGCACATACTCCCTCTTTCACCAATGCCGAACAATCTACCAAACAGGAACGCCCGATGACTTTCAGCGAGCGGTTGGCCGCTGCCAGAACGGAGGAGCAAAGCCGACAGGAGAAGCGGGAAAGGATAAAACAAGTAAGGACCAATGCCTTTGAACTAGGTCGACAGGAAATGGAGCAGTTCAAAAGCAATGCGACCGAGATACCCGACGTTCCAATACAGCCGGAACAATTTAGTCACGAAGAAGTCATGGCTGGTAGTCGACTCAGACGTAGCAATACAGTGCCAAGTTTAAGACGACCTACACAAGACGAGAATCGATCAGAGAGTAGCCTGGGGGGAGTAAGCGATTCACAACCAAGTCAGAACAAGAAAGTATCCCCTTCCGAAGTGCCGGAAGAGGAAACATCCGCATTTGAACCCTACTCAGCCGTTCACCTCTCGAAACGTGTAATACCACATCCAGTCCTCACACGGAACTTATCAGGCAAGAAGACGTACGTGATCAAGGACCTACTCAAACATGTAAAGGCGCCCGAGTTTCAGCTCCCAGAGATCGAGCAGGATATAGTCGTCTTCGGGATCTTAGCTTCTAAATCGGAACCACGCTCACATAAAACATCCAACCACAACCTGAAAGAAAAGGCACAGACCGACCCGGCCAAGGGAAAATACATGGTCTTACAACTCGTCGACTTACAATGGGAGCTCGAACTCTTTCTCTTCAACTCCGGCTTCGACCGGTACTGGAAGCTAACACCAGGCACACTCCTCGCAGTCCTCAACCCGAACATCATGCCACCACCACCAGGCCGCACTGACACAGGGCGCTTCAGCCTCGTAATCAACAGCGGTCAAGACACCATCCTCGAGATCGGGACGGCGCGCGACTTGGGATTCTGCAAATCGATCAAGAAAGACGGCGAGCTGTGCAACGGGTGGGTGAACCGCAAGCGCACTGAGTTCTGCGAATTCCACATGAACATGGGTCTAGCAAAGCACCGGCAAGCGCGACAGGACGTGAACGCATTCAACACGGGTCTCGGCCCGCGCAAGGACCGGAACGCAAGCGGTAGCGGAGGCGGGCGCGGCGGGAAGAACTCGTACCGACTGCATGACTGGGAAGCGCACCTCAACGACCCGAAAAAGAAGAGCCGCGGCAACTACGACCGCTCCACCGGCAGCCAGTGGTTCATCAACAAGCCCAGCGCCGCCAGCATGCTCGACAACGAGATCGTCGGCGGCCACGTCGCGAACACCGTCGAGCGCAGCGAGGCGCTCCGGCGCCGTCTCGTGACTGAGGAGAAGGAGCGCGAGCTCATGAAGACCCTGGGGAAGATCGGGTCAGGCGCCGGAAAAGAGTACATGCAGAAGGGCGGCACGAACACCAGTAAGAATGGTGGGACTAGCACGCCTGGTGCTCTCGGCTGGGGCCTGCCCTCGGATGAGCAGCCTAGACAAGATGCCGATGCTAAGACCTTGGGTCTGGTCCGTCCGAAGGGCAGTGAGCTGAAGATGCATCTTAGCCCCGTTAAGCGCAAGCGTAGCGACAACAGCTCGTTCAGTCTCGGCTTTTCCTCTTCTACTTCTGGCGGAACTGCCTCCGGGAGTAAACCGGCGTTAGGCTGGGGTGGAGGGTTGCGGGATAAGCTGTCGCGCATGAAAGAGGGGGAGAGGTTGCGGCCCGCGAGCTCGTTTGCTAATTCTAGCTCGGTGGTGGATAGGGATAGGGATGTAAGCGGGACCGACGACGGGGGTGGTGGAAGCGGAAGCGGTGGCAATAGCATGCGTCCCCCGGCCCGCAAGAAGACGCGGTTCGTCACCGCAAAGGGCATCCGCGAGGCCGGGCGCGAGAGTCTAGGCGGGGAGCTGGGGTCGGCTGATGGCGATGCTAGCGCGAGCACGGATTTAAACACGGTTTCCAATTCCGGGGGTAGACAACGGAGGATGGTTGTTCTTGACGAGGACGACGATGATGAGTTGGAGATTCTCCGGTGAAGATACGAGAGAGAGAAAGAGAGAGAGAGCCGTTGTATACCCGAACATTCCCAACCGTACCATTAACAACCTACATACCTACATAATTCCTTTTGTCATTTACGCGTGCGGTACGATACGGCATCAATATCAAACAACCCGGATACAGGCGAAATCGGAGTAAAGATTAAGAGAGAGAGAAAGAGAAGCAAAAAAGTAGATCGGACTCTGCAAAGGGGGCTCGTATGGGCGATATGAAAGGGTAGGCCTGGGATAAGGGGGATAAGGGAAGGGAAGGTAGGATAGGGCGGGTCCGAGTATCTATCTACACTTATCTCCAGCTGCTGTTATTTTGTATGGATTGGGGTAATTCATATAAGGCTTTTTTGGGACCTTGGACCTGGCTTAGTTGACCGACTGGTTTGAATGGAAACTGATTATATTCATGTTATGAGTTACTCTTGCCGTGACTTGTTAAGCATGGTGGTTCCGATGATGAAATGAATGGTCAGAGCCTTGCGTATTGTAGCTTGAGAACATCGCTTGAAGTTACGCCTCATGTTAGGTATATTCTCCCGAAACAATAAACCAATGGTAGAATATCGAACAGTAGACGTCTTGATATTTCCCCATTGGACAAGCTGTTGAGCCATCGAATACCGCAAGAGATCAGGCATGAGTATTAACAACAATGTTCCAAATATCACAACTTCGAAAGGCCTAGACGGATCAGTCTAAATATCGAGATCTTATTCGGGTAATTATATACTGCCTAGTGTAGTTAGAATACGTAAACTTCCAGTTAACCAGAGTCGGGGCCTGGAGATCCCAGACAATCCAAAGTCTTTATATAAGAATTCTATGACGAATCGGAACTACAGGATTCGAAGCCTAAGAGGCCTTTCAAGAACTGGAAAAGGAGTACAATCAAGAGGAGCGAACGAGGGACAAAATGACTATGTAGGCTAACATCATAGATGTGCCGTGATCTACGGTTTGCTGTTTTCTGCTTTTCTTTTCCTTGATACCTTTTTTGCACTGTTTCGCAACTGCGTGAAATCCCTCGCCTTCAATCCATTTCGTACCACCCTCCTAAACAAAGGAAATGTGGAATGAACTGGAAACGAAACACGACGGACTTGCACTCCCTAACGGTAGAAATGGTTGTCGTATAATCATTCTGCCACCTCATCCTTAACCTCTTCAACCTTTTGGACTTGGTCTCCTGAAGGCTTCTTCTCGATGGTCTCTTCTAATATAGACTCGCCAGCTGTGTTGGTAGCAAGTGTTTTGGTCTCTTCTATCGGTTGAGGTTCGCTCTCCGTTTCTGTCGGTTTAGAATCGGCTAGATCGTCTTCTGGTTTGACCGGTGGTGTTCCTTCAAGTTTACTTTCTGGTTTAGACTCCGAGTTGTCTTCTGGCGACACGGGTAATTGGGCCTTGTCCGCCTCGATTGGCTCTTCGCTCGCCGTCTCGCCCGGTTTCGTCTCTACTTCTGACGATGCCGCTGGCCCTAAGCCGTCCACCGTCATAGTACCCTCCTCATCTATACTCCATAGCGTACGAGTCATAGAGAAACTGAGAGTAGGTTTCCCATTAGCCACAGGTGGATGTCCCGATTCTGTTCCGCTCGGGCCCGCCGCCTTAGTAGGAGCTCGTCGCTGAGGACCACGGGCACGGCCTTTCCTTGCGTCAGATAATGGAGTCTTCTCTTTTTCCTCGACGGGATTTTCGGCGGGAGGATCTTCCTTTTTAGGGGCCTGGGGGCCTAGTCGTAGACGTTTGTTTAGATCCGACATGAAACCTGCTTGCAACGCAGCAATCTTCCCTCCGGCGGGCCTTGCAGGTACCGCTGGCTTCGTCTTTACCACGGGCTCGGGTCCCTTGGATTCCACGACTGGCTTGGAAGGGCGAATGGGAATTTGAGGCTTCGGACGATCGGGGATACTGGGTTTCGAATCGTCACCTGATCCTTGCTTCTTGGGACGTGAAGGTACTGCGGGTTTTGGGGGCGCGTGTTCGGCGGCTGGCTTTGGCTCCTCATCTGCTTGCGGCTCATCAGGAGTTTCCGGGGTTGAAACAGTAGCAGTAAATTGTAGAGAATCAGGTGTATCCTCCCAAACGTCTCGGCTCGGAAATCTCTGAGTTGAGCTGGGTCGGACGTTGTTCTCCTTAGCCAAATGCGATTGATTTCCAACCCACGACGGGGGCTTTTGTTGTCGGTATAGGAAGCTGTCAGGAGTAACAGCCTCTTTTTCGGCCAGTTCCTCTTGTTTCCGCGCAAAGGCCTGAGCGGGGGTTTCACCCTCTCGTGTTGGTACGTCTAAAATAGCTTGTTCCTTCTGGCGAGCTTCTAATAACTCTGGTGTCGAGACTTCCGCGGTAGAATGCACGCTGTTAGGAGCATCCTCCCAGATGTCCTGACTAGGGAATCTCTGGCGGCGCTCCTTCAGCTTCTCGGCCTGGGTCATAGGCTTCTTACCGCTCTTCTCGTCTTCCGGAAATAAGGGCTCATACTCTTCGACGTCGTCCAACGGAGTAGAATGCAGCTCAGTGGGTGGGGGGCTATATATACTTGCAGGTCTACTTGTGGGACGGCTTTTAGATTCCCCTTGTCGCTCGGAAGGAGGCTCTACTGCAGGTTGCTGCTGGTAAGGGGAGGGATCTTTAGCTACTTCGTCGGATGCGAGGATTGGGTACTCGGATTCGTCATCAACACCTTCGCCCTCGGCAGATTGCTCGTCGCCAAATTTGGCATATCCCTTACGTCGTGGCTCATCTACGTGGATTACCTCGTCATTGTTAGCAGTCCCGGCTTGACCGGTAGTCGCCTCGGCGGCTGTGAAGCTCGACTTCAAGGGCGACGTAAGATTCGCGTCGTGGTTAGGGGCAGTGGATGGCGGTCTCGAGATACGCGAAGTATATTCGTCGGCGGCTCGGTAGCCGACTTGCTCACTGGGAGTTCCAACGTGTTCTGCGGAAGTACCTATAATGATTGATTAGAAACACTCCAAAGCTTGCTGGCATCTTGCGTTACCAAAACCAGCACCACGGCTGGCCGTGTCCCGAACGATCTTGTTGAGATTCTCGCTACTCATCGAATAATCGTTGGCACGATCGTGAAGATGGTTATACCGCTCCTTCTGCAAAGCATCGGGATGCTTTTCGTAGTACGCCTTCTCAAGCTTGTCGGTGTTCGCAACGCCGTGGCCGTGAAGACCATAAACATCCGATGGGAGATCGCCAAACCCGCCTCGAGAGCTTGTCTTTCTCGTGTGATTTCGGGCGGGCTTGGTTCCGTCAACACTCACAGCTCTAGGGGCCGGAGCGGGCGAAGGTGCCTGAACATCACCGGCATTGAGTAGCATGGGAACGCGTTGTCCAATCTCAGGTATGCCATGTTCATCCTCGGCGTAGGGTTCACTCTGGTGAGAAAGCTGGCTTGTGGTGCTTCCTTTCTTCTTCAGACTTCGGCCAGGGTAAGCCTGGTCTTCGAAAGAGGAGCGCCCAATTCCGAAAGCAGCAGCTCTCTCAGAGTCGGTGCGGGTGACTTGGGCAACCCGTTGCTTGGCGCTTTGGGCGGGCATTGTCGGCTTTGGCGCATAAAGTTTAATATCCTCGCCAACAGTACGAGTCTGTTCAGGGGAAGTAGACGATCGACGACTTTCATCATCATCTGGGGATGTGCCTAACCCCCCTATAGCCACAGCATATTCCCGACCTTCCTCGCCCACATTGGGCATATCAACACTAGTAGGACGCTCCAACTCCTCACCAAGATGGGTTTGGCTGTGTCGAGCAGCACCGGGGCTTTTTGGGCCGAAAGGACTCTCATTTAAGGGTGAAGGAGCAAATCGAGCCGGATTGGGAGAGAGAGAACGATTCAGGCGGCGGACGGGACGCGGGGGAATAGCAGGTACGGACGAGCCATTGTCCTTCTCCTGACTCCTAGTAGGGCGAGGAGGGACCGACGGATTAGATTGTATAGTGGCGGCAGACATCTTGGGTAAAATAGAAACAAAAATGCAATTGCTGTTAGCTCAAGTGCACAAAACAGCCGCAATTAATATGTAGTCGGTAGCAATGTGACCTAGACAATTCGATTAAATATTAGTAAAAATTGATTGTGGTGTGGAACGAGTAGGAAATAGATTGAGCCGGGACAGAGCGAGCAATGATTCTATTCCTTAGTATATCTAGAATATTGGCTTTGCTCAGATAAGGATACAGCGATTATACGCTTAGACACCCGCCTAAGTAGCTGGGTAGTTGTAGGGTTGGGATATTGGGATTAAGTATGTGCTGTAAGCTGACGGTTATACGTACCACATAAATACCAATGAGCCTCAAAAATGATCGTATAGGTCCAACGAGGCGATAACGCAGGAGTCCAATGGATTGAAATAGGGTTGGACTGAGGAATCTCGTGTGTCTCGGTAGTGGTCTAGGTAGTGGATCGTGGGTTTATCAGATACACTAGACCAAAGGCCAGACCAGGTTTTAAGCTTGCCTAACTGTCCACCCGTTAGATCCAATCCCCTGTCACTATCATGCGGTGAAGAGATAAAAAAGGATATTGTGAAAATATGCGGTTAGGTTGATAAGCTAGCTTAGGAAGAGAGTAGCGGGATAGTCTGTCTTGTCTTGATAGGAAATGCGATGTGTTTGTGGGAATGGAAACGGACCCGGCGATATGCCACGTTCCTCCTATCAAAATGCCATTGAAATGCAGATCTGACGTTTCCCGTCTTTCCTGACGAGAAACGAGAAACGGGAAAGTTGGGTAACAAATATGGTTATTTACACCATGAATTTGAACAAGACAGATGTTTGTTCAAACCAAGACAGAAAGGGAAAAGGAAGCAAAAACTAACATGGCTACGCTATAATAGACAAAGAACGTAGGGATTCTAGGGAAGGTTCTGTGATGGAGGGGTTCTCCAAAGCTGTGCGTCGGCCACTCACAAGTTCGATAATTGATTGGTCGATGGGACAAAGTGGGCAATGTATGTCAGACTCGGCCAGGTCAGCAGCCTTAGCCGGATCTCGATTGGTGATAATGTTGCAGTAATGTTGCAGTGTCGGTAGTATCGATGTCGGTTGAGTTCCTAGTAGTCGATCTTTTGTTCGGTTCAAATTTCGAATAAGAAAACCATTGAAGTTGTAAAGAAGAGGAAAGGAAAATATACGAAAATAGCTTTCCGGGAATTAAAACGTCTTGTCGATAAACGATGATGTAAACGTCAGACAGTTTTAGCCGTAATAAGAATTTGACGAGAAAGTGTAACAAACGGTTACGATTGCGCAACCAAGCAACCAACTTAGGTGGGTAGTTACGAGTTTCCAAGGTCAATTATTCCCGAGTCGTGAACAAAGGACATCAATTAGAAGATTCTAAAGTTTCTTCTAGGCCAGGTACGTAAACAGGCGTCGTCTCCAGAGCTCGTATTGAGGGTCTTATTGATAAGTATTTGAAAATGATTGGGTCTTGATCGTCTTGATTCTGTAACTAGTAAAGTCACGATGATGAAACTCGAAGAGGGACTCGGATGACTTAAATACCTGGCCACTCTCAAGTTCGTCAATGCAGGCGGGTTAGTAACAGTACCTGAAGCTATTGGCGATGTCATGGAATAATCTTGGTTCCTATTAGCTACCAATAATTGATCGAAGACAAGGATGGCAGGTTGTTGAAAAGGTCGAATAGACGAATAATCGGACCTCGATGAGCTACCGTTTAAGGTACCCCGCTTGTACTACATAAATGTACATAGTAAAATGTAGGTATGTACTTTCTCTTCCGGGTCACAAGCTCCTGCTCTTGCTCCTAGCTAGCAACCACGATCCTCTAGTGAGGGGTACATTCGGGGTACACGCATCGCGAGTGCCTCATTGATCTATTTGTTCGACTTTTATGCAGGCGGTCTGAAGACGATATTGGCCAATCACGGCGGCCTAATACATAATGTTAGCAACGCTGGAGCTCTTTCCAGTGGAGGAACCTAAGTGCTGCCCCTCTAACGCATAATGCTCTTTTAGCGCCATTATCGACGCAAGCATCCACAAGGAGTTCGATTAATGCAAGTGACAGTTACTATTACCAGTAAAAGAGACTTAAACGTACATAACGGTTTCATATATGATTGTGTACATACATATGTATGTATGATACGTATCTACTATCTAGAACTAGAAAGTCTGGTTGTCACTCTTAGAGGTTTGATGAAGATCCGGGAATAAGAAAATAAGGATGCCTCCTTAATTAGAACCCATTATATTCAAATATTATAAACTCTAGAAACAGATCGTGGGGGTGAAGTGTGTACGACCTACCTACTCCAATATCTCCAATAGGTACCAGTTGACATATCCGGTCCGTGAATGGCCAGAATGAAAGAGGCACAGTATACCTTAAGTATACTCCCGCAAGCTTTCGTGAGCCTCACCATCGGGTTTTCTCTAGACGCAACATCAATATCCGCGCCGATCCTGGGCAATTCTAGAATCTTGATCATGCGGTAAAATACACATGTATACAAGGTAACATGATGTATCAGAGTTTTTACGGCGAAGCGAATAAGCCAAACTATCTCCTTACACAGAATAGTTAGTCGGGTACTTAGACGGTAGCCCGTGATAGGGGTATAAATAGGTACTGTACGATACCTAGGTATGTATGACTCTAGAGCTTCTAGTTAGCTCTCCGCTTTATATAGTGCATTGTAGGTACCTAGTAGTACCGTATAGTCCGCTCAGCTTATTCGGTCACCGTACTAGTATAAGCATAGGTCCTCTTTTTCGGTAACAGCTCGGTCTGGCGAGGAACTCGTGTATGTAGGACCTAGGTACATCTAGATCACCACGTAAAGCAATTGAAAAATGTGATGTGTAGTGTGACACCGGAGGCCGCTTTAATGGACATGACAACGATCCAAAAAATGCAGTATAACCCCGTTCCCCAACTGTGATATGTCAAACGGACGCAACATCGTGGTCACGCTCCATCGTCCCCGCTCCGGGGGCTCAACTGCATGCACCATATAGAGCGCGAGGGACGGTAGTCGTTCCCGTAAGTGCCGTGCCGACGATATTCCAGGTAAGGTGGTCTTTTAATAATAACCAGTTGATAATATCAACTCACTGTAGCAAATTCGAAGGCCTTTAGAAAGTCAATATCATCCAAAATAGTACAGGCAGCTCTAAATTCTAGGTGAGAAAGTAACAAGATTGGAACCTTCATTGGAAAGAAATGTAAGAGAAGCTATCGTGAAACCCCATTAACTAACCCCCTAGTCTGCAGTAGTAGCAATGACGGCATGCAGCATATATTTCCCCACGGTTTTGGCCCTTACTGTATTATGTACCTTTCTAACGTAGCATTCGTTGAGAAAGGTTTTTTAGAAAAAATCTGTCCGTTTTTTTGGAGGCTCGAACTGAGTCGTTGAAACTTTCTCCCTTTCCAGACTTCCCGAAATGGACCTAAAACGTAACCAGCAGTACGGAACTTCATATTCACGTTTCAGTCATGTACATACTTCGACATGTATATATGGGTAAGTACGCAATCAATCTAGTTACGTATTTGGTAGTTGGAAAACTTCTTCAATTGATAAGTTCACTAAGTGGCAACATATACCTATAGGTAGGTATGTTCCAGATATTCAGGGTCGCCTTGCATCAGCTGGGTTTATAGAAAAGCAAGTGGGGGCCTATGTGGGGTGATTCAGACTGGTGGAAGCCATGACGCTTTAGATATAGCTCTAATGTCCCTTGAAAATCGTTTATTATCATAGGTATGCTCTGCTAGTACGATGCTGTTCGTGGATTAATTGATCGTACCTTTTGACAGCTATCCAGACTCATGCTAGTAGTGTGTACCGACGCAACGGTACGTATGTAGCCACATGCTTATTATCAACCAGACCACAAACAAGTCACAGTATAAAGCCTAGTCCAGTCAACATTCTTTTAGAACTTAGGTCTTAGGTATCGCAGTAGAGGTAGGAACTTAGAAAGATGTCAGATTCAAAACACCAGGTCCAGACTGGGGTATCTCATCCATTCTGGATGCGGTATCAAGTCAGGAAAACCAGAACTTCCGCAGCCGTCTTGTTTGTCATATTCCGTTACGCCGTTCCTAACGATCAAAAAACAATGCAAACCCTTCCTTTTCTCCTCCGAATAGGGTAACAAGACCAGAAAACCACACATACACCCCTTCACGTGCAGGGTACAACTCCTTTTAAGCCACTGATACTCGTGAATCACGTCGAGAACGAAACCTTCCACCAACTGTTCCTGCACAAGCTAGAGAGACGTGTACCGCTCTAAAGCGTTCGAGGTCGTTGATTCGTTTGCATCATGAATTGATCATACGATCATCTGCGCAACGCCCGCGCCGCCCAAGGTCTTGCTTCCGACGAAGGCCTGGCCTTTGACACCAGCAAGAGTGTAGCATAGAGCGGTAAATGTCAGGACAACAGCGGCAGCGATCAGGCTGCTGACGGCGACTGCGAGACTGACCCATTGGACGGCAGCCATCACGCCGTAAGCAGCAGCACGCATGTAGTTGGTCGAGACTTTGCGGATTGCGGCATCGAAAGAAGCCGAAGTAGGGCAGATTCGGAGTAGGAGGGGCACTTCGACGAAGAGGATGATGAAACAAGAGACCCTATTGACAGAGTATATTAGCTTCCGGCTGTTCCCCTTGAAGTAGTCTTCTTAGGAGGGTAAGAACTTACAGAGCAAGGATGGAGAAGATGATAAGGAGAAAGTGGCCGAAGAGGTTAAAGAGGTTCGCAATGCCCAGCGCAAAGCATAGGATCATGGACAAGATACCGAGCCTGATTACAGTATTCCGTTAGCCATAACAATCCGGGAGAACAATACCTCGCAGCCCAACTTGAGTATTCGCCATTTGACAAGTTGAAGACATTGGCTACGTCGCGAGGACATCAAAGAGATGACATCTGGAGGCTTACCATTGTCCATAGATACCTGGTTGCACAATAGTCAGCCACCGTTTACTATATCAAAATCGGCTTGCAAGCGCTAGCCTGATGGATGGGTTAAATATATAGATGTATGGATGGCTTACTGAAGTTCCTCGTCGCAAACTCGTCTTTCAGCGACATCTTGACTATTTCTGTCGATGAACGATGAATAGTCTTGTTGGTATTGCGTAGTACGATTGAATGCCCAAGCAGGGACTAAAATGCTAATGCTGACGACAACCAAATAAATCGGGACTGACGGCACAGAGACGATATGCGATTCGATGGCCTTAGACACTGGTAAATCGTTTATGTTTATCGTTCGTTCACTCGTGATAGTTTTATCGCACCGACGTCGGATGGTTAAGACGGCAAGGTTTGAATGGGGATTGTATGGCGCAGAATAATAAGCGAGATTGGCGTGAACAAAGATGTGTTAAGGTTAGTGTTGACATGAAATGTTTTAGAGAGGTTGAACTTGATGATGGCTGATTCCAGTTTGTGCAGTCTGTGCAGTCTGTGTGACGAACTTCGTATTGTACAGATGTACAACATCCAATTAGGTCCAATTAGGAGCTTAGGTGGATCAACTAGGTGACATTCATAGTGGCAGCTTCCAGCGCAAAGTTGGAAGCCTGCCTGCCCAGCCGTTGTCCAGGTGCTAAGGTGCTAAGGTGCGAAGGTTCTGAGGCGCAAACCGCTCTTGCCGGTCTTACGTAACCCAGCCAACGTACCTGCCTGCACCTAGAAATACAAGCCACAATAGCAACGTCACCCGTTTAGGCCAATAAGAGGCTTAATCAAGCACCTACTCACCTAGTTGTCTAGTAGCCTAATAGGCATCGTGTTTTTACACCATACTTACCTATAAGTTAAACTATTAGGCAGCTTCTTTATTGCCTAAGCTGCATGTTGCCTTTATTGCATGGTATTCCTTTGTCACGAACTTGAACCTATTCGCAATTGAATCCTTCTCTTGAATAAGGAGGATAGCGCGATCAATCAACTAAGAGCGAGTCAGGAGGAAAGAAGGACCCGAGAGAAAACAAAAATACGTTGCGAATTTTCATTTCTGAATTTAGCCATATTCGAGAGTGATTGGGAGAAAATTAGACAATATTTTTGCCATTCAACATGGTCAAGGGAATCTAGGCATAGGCATACCAACGACACAATCACCCAGTCATCACAATCTCCCTACAAGGCAAACAGTATTCTGGCTTGGTCCTAGTCTGCCGAGTTAGAACACTTGCAAGGACGATATCTTCGGATGGCAGATAAGTTGCAACACCACACCAAGAACATGACAGCCTCGAATATATTAATTGCTTGTATAATATCGAATTACATTATCAATTTAGTCGTTGATGAGCGTATCATTATCGCCTCTTGAGTTCCCTACTTAGATCTAGGTACCTAGGCATATATCAACCCTGTAACTATTTTTTTATACGCGAATTCATCACAGCAAAGTGGTGGCAATCTGATCCGTGAAAATAGTTCCTTCTCCGTTTACCACCAAGTTCTATTATTTTCTCTTCCTCGTTATACCATGAATAGGCGTGTCCCCTTTTCTGCATACCTTCAAAAGACATGCTTACACATTCACCTATAGAGACATATTCTCAAATGGGGGTATTTCCAGAAGAGCCGTTGGCTCAAGTGACAGTTCCTCATTAAAGCTTCACCAATCCAATTGCGGGGGACCCTTGTCAATGTCACGTTATAATGGCGAGTTCATAAAAAATGGTACTTACATTTATTCACTGAAATTATGTTCAGTAACGTTGGATATTTTAGTAATTTTATAGTCGAAATTTCAATGCTCTAACGAGAAACGAGAAACTAGGTACCTAGGTAATATTGAAGTGGAGCGAAAGTATAACCTGGAAGTCTTCTCCCCTGGTTTAGATGTCGTATAGGCGTTAATAGGAAACAACTGAATACCGAACCTGTAAGTGGCTCTCACCAAAGTTTCAACGTGTGACAAAAACAACATTGGGACGTACTTGACTCGAACAATTGGGATATGAGGAAGCGGCATTCTTACAATTCGAGAATATATTTGGAAGGAACACTAAGAACTCCCTAGGGGCTCGGTATCGGTTGCCCCTTACTTTCCTACCAAACCTTCAACATCAGCCAACTTAGCTAACATGAAATCCGTAGATTCATATTTCCAGAATAAAACCATCATGATTTTAAAGGCCTAAACAAACTCATAGGTACATAAGAGGTCAATTCAAGTCCATATTTAAACCCCAAAATTCAAACACAATGGCGCTCCCCAACTTCTCACCAGAATCCTGGATCGTCTACGCAACAGCCTTCATCCTCATCCCCATCCTAACCATCATCATCGTCATCCAATCTTATTCCCAGCGGAAACTCAACCCACGAGAACCCACAGTCCTCGCGCCCGCAATCCCCGTGATCGGACACATAATAGGCATGGCGATCTTCGGCGGTCGGTATATCAAGAATCTCGGAATCCGGCACCGCGATCTCCCTATTTTCACACTCCCCGTCCCCGGATCCCGCATCTACATCGTCGCAGACCCATCCCTCGCTGTCGCCGTGCAGCGCGCGTCCAAAGTTCTCTCTTTCACCCCCATCATCCCAGAAGTCACCGAGCGTGTACTCGGCCTCGACGCCGCAACCATGGAAATCACGCGCAAGAACCTCGACCCAGGACCCGGCGAGGAGCGCGGCTTTCTCGCCGATATCCAGGATATGGTGTACGTACAGCTGGGTCCGGGGTCGTACCTCGAAGAGCTCAGTCTCGCCGCAGCTCACGAGATACAGGACGAAATCGCCTCTGTCACCACACAGCCTACTAGCCCTATAGACCTCCTCTCATGGGTTCGCCATCTCGTCACCGTATCAACCGCAAAGTACCTCTACGGGCCGCAGAACCCAATCGCCGTAGACCCGTCTCTCGAAACCTCGTTCTGGGACTTCGACCACGGGCTCGGGTCCCTGCTAATGAATATTTACCCTTCGATTACAGCCCCGAAGGCGTATTTGGGCCGTGAAAAACTATCCGCGGCGCTTCTTGTGTACTTAGAAGCAGGCCTGCACAAGAAGGGATCATCAATCGTGCAGCGGCGCGTAGAAATTGCACAGCAGCACGGGTGGGCTTTACCAGCCATCGCACGCGAAGAACTCTCCTTCCTCTTCGCGGGGATCGTGAACGCCACAACGTCGACATTCTGGATTTTGGTGCACCTATACGCCGACCCCTCGCTACTAGCTAGCGTGCGAGAGGAAGTCCAAGCAGTTCTCGAAACACCCAAACTAGATTCAACTTCAGGGAGGGCTCGATTGTACCTCACGGACCTCCGAGACACCTGCCCCGTCCTCGTGGCCGTGTATCGCGAATGCCTGCGTCTCGGATCCGACACCTATTCCACTCGCCTAGTGAAGCAGGACCACATCCTCGCAAACCAGTACTTCCTAGCGAAGAACTCTGTAGTTCAGATCGCAGGCGGCGTCATCCACGCCGATAGCCGGATCTGGGGCGAAGATGTCGATTCGTTCAACCCTAAGCGCTTTCTGGTTACGAAGGAAGGTGGCGTCGGAAAAGAAAATGGAGGGGTGGGGGGAGTGGTGAAACAGAAACAAAATAACGCATTCCATCCCGCGGCTTTTAGGGCTTTCGGTGGAGGCAAGACATTGTGCCCTGGACGCCACTTCGCCATGAATGAAATCCTGGCTTTCGTCGCGCTGGTCGTGCTGCAGTTTGATATGAAACCCGCACATGGGGATAAGATTGAGGTTCCTCGGAAGAACGACGGCGTTTTGCCCGTTCATATCTTGGAGCCTGTTTGTCCGGTTGAGGTGTTGATATCGAGGCGGGAGGATTCTGTGGCGCGGAAGGCGCGGAAAGCCAAGTTTTCCATGTAGACGATTAATGGCGTGGATGGTATTATGTCCTATAAGAGGGTCTTAGACTGTTCATATAATGATGATGGGTACCGGTACTGGGTATATATGGGATACGGGAAGGAAATACTTCTATCGAAAGCATGACTGGGTTGGCAGGTGCTTAATAGGCGAGGCATGTTTAATAGTCGATCCCTTCGTGGGACTGGTTTTCATAGGTGTATTATTGACTATACAAAGTAGGAGATGTGTGGCTTCTTCCGTAATCTAAGCTGTGAACCCCGCTATAAGAAAAGGACGGTCCTCTAGCACCCTCTAACACATTTCTTATAAATATAACAAGGTAGATCTATTAAATATATCTCGTTCGGTTAGTACAACCACTCATCTAACCGATGCCGATTCCGCCAGGTTTTTTCATCCTCGTAATCGTAAAGTTGCCTCACAACCCCGAAGTTCTGCTGGTGCACTATTGGTACGCGCTGCACATCTGCCTCATCATTTACTCTGAACCCAGACCCTGTTTCGATAAGGGCTATCCGCTCACCACGTCGTTTATACATGCTGTCCTTGGTAGAACATGTGGCCGACCGTGTTGACGGCCACGGGCTACTCTTGGGAGTGATCTCGACTAGAATCCCCGAGAGTCCCGCGAGTATTGTCGGCGAGTCATCTGACGGCGATGCGAGCGAGTACACGGGCGAGCTGGTCCTGGTCTTGAACGTCGGGAGCCACATGTTAAAGTTGGGGCGGTAAAAGTCGTGTCGCGAAAGCGCGTGCCACCGGCACGGTAGACCAGCCACGTAATCGCATGTAGCTCGATCGTTAGGGAAGGACGGCTCTTCTACGATAGACGGCGGCCGAGGCATCGGATGGGGGAAACCGGGGCCACAGGGAAAACCGTCGGTATGGTAATAGCTCTTCGGCCAACGATAGTCAAACACCTTCAACATGGAACTATGGGCGCTGCCGGCAATAAACCTCTCGAGGCCGCGGGAAAGTAGAGCGTTGATCGGGGTTGTGACTTCAAAGTTGTCTTGGAAGATCATGTCGGTCGGAGAAGGCGTACGGAGGTCCTGGAGACGGACCGTACCGTCGTCCCATGAGGTGAGCACGGCATTTCCACCCCCACTGGTGAGCGAACTGGTATCCACGGGCAAAATTGCCCGGACTGTTTTGAGCCGACTGTCATGTCTTATATTTTGAATTTTAGTCTTCGTTGTGTGAGATATGACGATTCCCGTTGGCGTGTATTCCAGGTACTGAAGCGGCCTAGGTCCTCTATTCAACCCTACGGCCAGGGTGTTTCCATTTACGTATTTGACGGATCGGATGAAGTCAAAAGTACCCACATCCTTTTGATTGGCCTTTAAACTGAAATCATCATCAACATAGACATAATTTGTAAAGCCACGATCTTGGTTGAGCGCATTATGAATTGTCTGTCGGTCTTTGTCGAGGGAGTAGTTAAGGATACAGTGTTTGGTCGCAGCTGTTAGAAGGCCTTGTTTATAGTTGACGTCGATGGATTGTATTTCCGTCTTAACTAAAGCTTTATGCAGTGGATTGAGATCTTTAAAACTCAAGAGCACATTGCCGAAATCTTCGGCACCCATAGACAGAAGCTGGAGTCGGCCATGAGCTCTACCTACTAGGACTTGGGGCCCCTCTCCTTGTCCGTAGTTGTATTTGCTGTCTCTGAGTATGGAAACGCAAGTGACGTCGTCTTTTCCAGGATGATACCCAGACAACTCACCCTTTCTAGCGAAATATTCATCAGTATGAGCTTTGGGTCCCTTCTGATGTCGTAGTAAGCCGAATACGTCTTCTCCGGCGCCCCAGAAAATGAGGTCCTGGACAGAATTCCCTTCGTGCCGGTGGTAGGCGTCGACTATGATATTACTAGGAATGGATTGTCTGGCAAAACCATCCCGCCTTCGTTGCTGAGGTAGCGGGGAAAGGGCGTCGACGACAAATCCATGCTTATCCCAATCCCTCGATTGTGAAGTTAATGATTGTGCACGTGCTTTCCACTCATCGGCAGACGAGATGTTAGAAATCATAAATGTATTGAAGCGTTGTGTAACGAATATTTGCCATCCTCTTTCAGAGACGAGGTGATATAGCCCTTTACAAGTTGCTGACAGATGAGCAACGCTCCTTGCGGTATCCAAGTATGATATTACGATATAGATAATATCGGCAGGCAACTTTGAAAGGCTTGGGGCCTCGTCAGAGAGTGTGAGAAACTTGATGGATTCCATAGCTCATGTCTGATATTTAGGAAGTATCAGATTTTGCCGAGATGATATCATATTGATTATGAAGTTGAACTTGATGGTCACGACGTATGCCCGCAGCAATTATCGCCTCTTCAGGCCAGATTAGACGATTTCTGTAATATTCGGAATTCAACGAATGTAAATGATAATCCTAGAAGAAAGCTGTATAAGATGAAGTAACAACGTTCCAAGGTTGTTGTTACCTGGACGTTTTTATAGCGGTGTTCAGAAAGTTTGTTGAGTAGCACAGTAGAAAATAGGATGTCCATAAGCGGTTACATGCATATATTGAGTCATAATACATTTCGCGGACCAATCATAGGCTTACATTCTATCCACTATCGTCCCAATCTTTAATTGAGTCATCTCTAACCTCGAACGTTCGCATTGTACCTAGTATTACTTTAGCTAATTTTAAGGGCAAAATATAAGAAATTATTACTAAAGTTCTTATTCTTGAACCAATTTTACAAGATCTTATAAGTTTCAAGTAAATAGCCGCTGCCTTTTTCTAAACGGGTAAATATGTAACACGGCAAACAATTTGGTACCTACTAAAGCCAAATCGACCCAATCTCAGAAATTACAGTGTGTTTGGGGGCGTATATACCACTCTTGCACTGTATTTCATCGCTAAGTCCCCTATATAAATACGGGTACTTAGTACGTAGGTGCTATAAGGAATCTTCAAGGAGATTTAGCAACAGCTTAACAACTTTAGAACAGTTTCAAATTGTGATTATATATCAAGATAAATTGTCTTTTCATTCCTAATTCAAAGTGCTCCAATCGAACCTACCTAGGTAGGTAGAATTTTGTAGGCTGTACTATGGATATAGCTGTTGCTGAACTGTCGTTGAAAGTAATGGGTTAATTGGGTGAAATTACAGAATACTCTATCACTAAACCCTTCTATAGTTATAACACGGCACAGCGCTAAGCCTGCTATTCCTGTAGGGGGTTAGGCGATAAAAATACAGTATCCAGGATATTCCAGTATTAAACCTACTGTTTTCCGGGGCGATGCGATTTGGCGATTTCGAGTATTATAAGCATTTCACACACCGCAATATGCCATTTAACGAAGCATATGCTCTGGTATATACAGTTTTATAAATCAATATGCCTCTCTCAAAAAGATTGGTCAACTAGATGAAAACTTCATATATTGCATTAAGCATTGCCGGTTCGATTGTGTAGGGGAGGAGAGGGGCAACTTTGATAACGACGTTCCTCTTGGACTGAACATGAAATACGTACAAGATGTTGAATAGAGCCTAGGTTTGGGAATCGATACCAAATATTATAATAAATATGTTATGATTCCCATGAGAGACTAAGTATCTACCTTAGATAAACTTCCAATTGGATCTCACTCACCCCTGATCTGGATCTGAACTCCTATCATGGCTATACTCACAATCTCCGATGTCTACACACCAACCATAATTACTATAATAGCAGGATTTATCTACAAATACATATTCTACCCATCCATAATCTCACCTCTCTCAAAAATCCCAAAGGCCCACTGGTCCTGCTCCATCTCACCCGCCTGGATCCTATGGGCTCGCTTCCAGAGCCGTGAAAACCGCACTCTCCACGCGGCTCACCAACACCATGGACCGATCGTGCGAGTCGGTCCCAACGAGCTAAGCGTCAACAGCATCGAGGGCGTGAAGACCATCTACCAAGGCGGCTTCGATAAACACGAGTGGTACTCCGTCTTCAACAACTACGGGTATGTAATCCCCTCCCCCCAAAACCAACTCAAACTAACCACCCCCAGCGTCCCATGCGCCTTCTCCGCGCTCACCTCAAAATCCCACTCCCAGCGCAAACGCATGGTCTCCCACGTCTACTCCAAAACCAGCATCCACAGCTCCCCAGCGCTGCGCTCCCAAGCCCACACAATCCTCAGCACGCGCCTCCTCCCCCTCCTCCTCTCCTCCACACACACCTCCCAGGCCCCGCACGGCATAGACGTACACTCCCTCTTCTGCGCCACAGCTATGGACTTCATCACCGCGTACTGTTTCGGGCTCCCGCGCTGCGCAGACTTCGTCCGCCGCCGCGCGTACCGCGAACACTGGCTCGCGCTGTACACCGTGCGCACGGGGTACGGGTTCTTCGCGCAGGAACTACCTTTGCTCTCTTCGGTCTTCTCTTGTCTTGGTATTAAGTTAACCCCGACCTGGGCCAGCAATGCGACGCGTGAGCTCGAGGCTTGGTGTAAGGAGCTGAGCGATGCTACGGTCCGGTTCCTGGACCGTGAAAAGGAGGAACTGGGGAAGGGGGAGGGGGGATCGGTGGTAGGCACGGCGGATGACCCCGTTGTCGTACGCGCGCTTCTCGCGGGGATTGAGAAGGAATATTCGGCTCATGGGGCGGAGTCTTTGCTTTATAGTACTGTGATCCAGCAACGTGAACTCAGCGTTGCCTCTGAGATCTTCGACCATGTGCTCGCCGGCCAGGAGACTACGGGTGTTGCGTTGACCTACCTCTCATACCACCTCTCACAGTCGCTCGACCTGCAGCGCGAGTTGCGTCAGGAGCTGCTTACGCTGGAGCCTAGCATGCGGTATGTGAGTGAAGATAGAGATAAAGAGAAGGGTAATAAGATCAAGATGCCGGACTCGAGACAGCTAGACAATCTACCCATACTACACGCTATGGTAATGGAGACAGTCCGGCGGTACGTGCCCGCAGGCGGACCAGAACCGCGCGTGACGCCATCGTCCTCGTCCTGTCGCATCGGACCCTACGAAGTTCCGTGTGGCGTGCGAGTATCGGCCTCGGCGTACAATCTACACCGTGACGAGACTGTGTTCCCCGATGCCGAGAGATGGGATCACACACGATGGCTGCGCAACGAAGTTACTACCGAACTGGACGATTCTAACGGAGGCAAGGAGAAGAGTAATTTAAATAGGCACTTTTGGGGTTTCTCGAGCGGTGGACGAATGTGTCTGGGGTCGAATTTTGCTATGCATGGTCTGGCTCCTTCTCCTTTCCATCCCGAAACTATGCTTATCTCGAGTTTTTTGCTGACTTCGTAATTGTCGTGATACTATAGATATGAAACTTATAATAGCCGCTATATATTCTAACTACACTACCTACGTAGTTGACGATGAAGGAATAGAGCCTACTGATGCTTATACAGGACACCCGAAGGGCAATTCATTATATTTGCGATTTGAGAGGGTTACAATGGGCTAACGCGCATATCTGATTTAAGTGTACATATTGTGTTTATCTAATAAGTGAGATCATAATACTAGGGTTAGTCGGAGGATATCATACCGTTGAGGATTTATACATATCACGAACACAGCGAGGCTCGGGTATCAGCAATTTATGCTAACTACTGTATTATGCTACATGAAGGCAATTCTTCTGCTGTGTCGTCCCTACGACACAAAACGTCTTAAATATCGCATAACCCACCATGGACTGACTCCTTTTACTTCCCAACTTTCATCCTAGACTGAGTATGGTAGGCGATTAACCTTAAGGGGAATGAACTATCTACTATAGGTGCCATTTTTGCGTGGAAATGCACGTTGCTAATCCTCCTCAATGTCTTCCTAACTCATTTTCACCTCAAAACTTCGTAATAGAACCGGGGGCAAAGGGGGTTTAGAGGCCGGCCATCACCGTCGAGTAATGTGACCAGGCGAAATCTCGGGAATGTTTCAGTAGGACGTCTTCCGTCAAGGGAAGGTGTAAGATGCGTTCATGTTCCATCTAATTGTTGTTAGTATTTTGTTAAGTGATTTGGGTAGACAAATAATTTACCTCTCCTGCCTTTGCCATATTGGCTACCACCTTTGCGACCTCCGCTGCCATATCCGTCAATGCAGCATACTCTACCATGCCAGCTTCAGGTGTATTGCCATGCATAGCCGGCAATCCTTCGAGGAGCGCGTTTAGTAAGATAGGGGGTGGGTATTCGGCTCGTCGTTGACAACTTAGTAATTGGAGGAATGCTTTGTAGATATCACCACCAACATTCCAGTCGGGGACTTGTGAGTGGTGGCCTTCGAACTGATGAAGTAGATCAGCTAAGGCGTCGTAGTCACGCTCGATTATGGTGACCGGGGCGACTTCTTTGATGAAAGTGCGATGAGCATCAGCCCACGACTCTGCGTGAAGTAAGCATTGGACTTCGGCAGCCGGGTCTTTTTTGACGCTACGCATGAACAACGCCTTCGAATGCCAAATCCATCTTCTCGGAATCTTGAAATCCGCCGCGAGCTTCTTGAAGCTGCTAGAGTCCTCGTTTCCGATTAGTCCGGCATGTCTGCAGAGGTGGTCTTGTATGGCTTTAGATCGCGCATCGGGATCCGTGAGATGCAACAGGACGAAAGTTGCTTCTAACCAGCTACCTTCATTCGTTAACTGTGCAGCGAACGAGACACTAGCGGCATCTGCTTTTTCTGTGGCGTTCTTTCCAAATGAAGCACGCCCGGTAGATGTCAAAGCTTGTCCTAGTTGCCAGGAGAGTCGGAAATCAAGAGGGGAGAGTTGAGAGTTCTCTGGTCGTAATATCGCTTCCAGATCGACCTGGCTATTGGAGTATAATTGTAGTAAACCCCAAAGTAGATCTTCTCGCTGATCCTGGTTCGGATCATTCCAGATGCCCTTGATACCATGCTCCGTAAACCAAGTGACAGGTGGCAGCTCTCGATCTTGCTCCACATCTTCTTTATACTTCTCCACTGCGTCCGCGATGCGATCCTCTGAGGATATCGCGTACCAGAGCCTTAGTCCAAAAGCTTGTTGCCAGTTGAGACCGAATCTTTTGGAGATGAGGAAAGACTCAGTCCGGTTTTCTAGGGCACCTTTGGTACCTTCGCAGGCACAGACGTTACCGCTTAGCATTTCGTAAAGCGCTCGGATTGGCTGAGAGAATTCGGAAAGCACATGAGCCTCGTGCCACTCCTTCATCTGTTCTCGCACGTCCTTCTTAACACCGTCGTTGGTGCCGATAAGAGAAACTAAAGTGGCAAGACGAAAGTTTTTGCCATCTAGAAGATGCTTACAAGCCTCAGCTACTCGGTGACCGGACAAAGAGGCCAAAGCCTTCTCCTCGCTTGATCCAGCCATTGCGGCAGTCTGGTTTGTCTGTTCCTCCACCATTCTCTCCCAGAACCGAGACAGATTCTCCCGCCGAAGTTTTTCCACAGCTTCAGCATCGTTCTGCAACTCTAGGGGGATCTTGATGCTATCAAATAGGACACTTGAAAGTTCCCATACAAGCCTCTCATGATCCTCTGCAGAGTTCTTAGCGGTGTTGCCGATGGAAAAATCCTTCAATGTTGTCCTTGGGCTGAGTCGAACAGACGGTACGCCACCAATAAGTTGAATCTGGGCCAATTTAGAGTGGACATGAATCGCTCTAGCAGACATCTAGGGGTCGTGTTAGTACGCATCCGGCATATTAGGTGGTATAAAGCAAATCAAATCATACCTCATTTGTGAATTTGGCGATTCTGATGTCCTGTGTTTCTGATACGATACCGCCTTTCAGCACGGTCATAAGTGCATTCTTGTCAGTAATACGGCCTGACCTTCCGAATGCCGAGCCACTTGGAGTTGCAGAAAAAACCAGAGTGCCGTTTGGACCCCAGGTAGGTCGCATAGTATCATGCCAAACTCGATCCTGCTCATCCATATCACCTTCGTCGAGATGCTTAGTGTGCCGTTTGTATGGCCACTTAATACCTTTAGGTCTCACAGAAGCCTGGAGATTCTCGGTTGGTGCCTTGGCCTTCTCGAATAGTGAATTCATCAAATCGATACTCGTTGCAAAACCACGACCATCTGGTACAATGCGTTTCTTCGTCGGGGATGCTTCCCGAGAATATCCATTCGCCGCACGTTGTTGATCGGCTTCATTGATGGTCCTTAGAAGTGCTCGATCGCGCTTCTGCGGGCTAATAGTCTTGCTAAGCATATCCATCCAGTCATCTCCTGACGATACCTGAACTTTCATTGGTGTTGCCGAGCCCTTGATCGCGCGCATGCGAGCTCTCATGATACCTGCAGGTGTCTCGGGCACAGTATCGAATTGGGAGCCATCAAACGAGTTATCCTCCTGCTCCGCGGCGAGATGCTGTCCAAGGGAAGTACTCGTTTCTTCATGTACCTCGGACATCGCATATTCATCATCCGACTCGTCCTGCTCTATGCGGACGAGCGCATTGGATTTTGAACCCACGGAGCGATTAGCTAAAAAAGACGGTTGAGATCTAGTGGCCTCTGTCATCTCTGCCTCCTCTTGATAAGTGTCATCCTCGAGATCGAAGGCGCCTGGGAGTACTGGGTAGCCTCGTTTGCCATCTAGGGTACCACCAACGTCGGAGGTGACGTCTTCCGAAGCGGCAGATGGGGACGAGGAGACTTCCTTGTCTAGCGTATAAGCCAATGGGGCGCCAGAAGGTCTACTCTCAGAGTCATCTTCATCCTCTGATTCGTCGAGTTCATATGTTGTGAAATGCTCAACAGAGAATGTCCATTCACCAGTTTGTTCGTTGTAATTTTCGAGTTTAGTGTCTGGGATTCTCTTCAGGCGCTCGACGTGTTTCGTAATCGAGATCGGTTTACCCTTTTTCGATGCACGCGGCCAGGAATTCTCCAAGTTGATAATGGCAGGTACATTCAAGCCCTTACCAACGGGCGGCTTCTTAGCGGCATTGGGATAAACTGTGGCGCTTCGTGGCTCCAGGATGACAATGTTATGGAATATACTGTCAACATCAACGGATGTCAAATCAACAGGCACCTTGAACTTGACGTAGCCGACATTTTCACGCCCCACGGTGAACTCAGATACCTTCTGGCGCTGGACTCTATTCAACATTTGGATCTCTTCCTTAGTCGGGGACATCCAATACTCGCCAGGATCTCCGTCAGATAGGGCAGTCGTCGAGGTGCGGCCTTGGGGAGAGGGGGCCTCTTCTTCATGCACAACTGCCAGCTCATTGCCCTTGACCTGCTCCATCTCGGGGATGGGAGTCGACTTCGAACCGTTGACTCCGTTAGTAGCCTTCGGTCGAACGTAGCCCAATTGCTCTGCGCTTGGTGTAGAGTGAGCGGAGCCGTTAGCAGCCGCACCATCTTCAACGGCATCTACGTTGCTAGTATCAAAACTAACACGCTTCGTTAGCTTCCGAGAGCTGTTGGGCGTCTCGGGCACAGATTTGTCCCTCGTTGGTGTCGAGAATAAATCACTGCGTAAGTCCTTATTGATGACGAGTTTCTTGACACTGCCGCTCCCGTAGAGTCTCGAGGTAGAACTAGCGGAAAATGCGCCAGGAGCTAGGAGACTATCTTCGACATTGAAGCTACGTCTAAGGTTACTTGTCGACACACTCTTAGCAAGAGAATTGCCGACACTTCGAGTCAAACTTCCGCCCAACAAACTCTGCGACATAGTACCTGGAGTACTAGCTACGCTCGAGGGACTGTTCGGGGTGCCGTAAGTACTATAAGAGAAGCCGAAGCCACGTTTCTGTGGCGTCACGAATCGAGAGCCGGAGGCCGGGTTTAACTTATAGTAAGGTAATATAGAAGGCCGTCTTGACTGTTTCTTGTTCGTCGGTGTTGCGAGAGGACCAGGGTCAGAGATCTCATTGTTGCCAAGATTAGCAAATAGGGAACCATACGCCGATAGATCGTTGATACTAGCAGTGAACGACGCTGTAGATTGGTTGGCTTGCGGGTTTCCGAACATGGAGTTCCCCATCGTGTTGTTCTGCGGTTGTTGCTGCGCAGCTGACGTCCCAAAGAGTGATGAACCCTGCTGTTGATTGTTCTGGTTGCCGAACATACCGCCACCGGTCGCCTGCGTAGTGCTACCGAACATAGAGGGTTTCTGTTGGTTTTGCCCTAGAGACCCAAACAAGCCAGAGCCTTGTTGGGGCTGCTGCTGCTGCTGGTTGTTTTGGCCGAGGCTGCCAAACAAACCACCTCCGGTAGTATTGGTATTCTGAGTTGCACCGGTGTTACCGAATAATCCGCCGCCAGTGCCGGTAGCAGGCTTGTTGCCAAAGAGACCGCCCCCTGTCTGATTAGTAGTTGGCTGACCAAAGGTATTGGATGTATTGGTCGAACCACCAAAGAGGCCGCCGCCAGTTCCGCCGGTGTTGGTGGTACTTCCGAATAGGCCTGTACCAGCTGGCTTCTGTTGATTGTTATTGAACAGAGATGATCCAGTCTGCTGCTGGCTCTGATTTCCGAAGCCGCCAGAGCCCCCACCGAACACGCTGCCCGTATTCTGAGGCGTCGCGTTGCCAAAGAGACCACCACCGGAGCTCTGGTTAGTATTGGTGTTACCACCAAAAAGACCACCGCCTGTGCTAGGAGTAGCGGCACCGAAGCCTCCGGTGTTAGTACCGAAGCCACCGCTGCTACCGGCATTGTTGTTCGTATTATTGAAGCTGAAGCCTCCAGGCTTTTGCTGGTTAGCGTTGTTGGCGGCCCCGAACATAGAGCTTCCGGTGTTAGTATTTGTGGCACCAAATCCGGTGTTGGTATTTCCTGTACTGCCAAAGCCAGTGTTTCCGGAACCAAACAAACCACCGGACTGTGCTGGCTGAGTTGTGGCAGAATTGCCAAACAGACCGCCGGTCGCCGCTGGCTTGTTTCCAAACATACCACCAGTTCCAGAAGTGTTTGTACCAAATCCAGTCGTAGCGGTGTTGTTATTATTCTGCCCAAAGACGCCACCGGCCGATGAATTATTGCCAAATAGACCACCACCAGTATTGGTCGTGGTATTCGTGTTACCAAAAGAACTGGAGGCCTGGGTGTTTGCACCGAATCCACTGCCAAATCCGGATCCGACACCAAAAGTTCCGGTACCAGAAGTGCCTCCAAAACGACGACCAGCAGCGTAGTCGGCGAGTCTTAGTTCTTCCGCGGACCACTTCTTGTACGGATCTTGAAAGAGGATGTTCTGGTAGGAGTTCTGGGCACTACTAGTTGCATTTTCCTTCTCGACCAGAGGAGCGAAGTTGGTAACGTTGGCAGTTCCTGGAGGATCGCCTACCGGACCCAACGCTGTGCTGGCTGGAGTGTTCGACGTGTTACCGAATCCACCAAACCCTGTCGAAGTAGCGGTGTTCGAGGCCGTGTTGCCACTTCCGAAGAGTCCACCGCCGCTAGTCGAACCTGTGTTCGTTGCCCCGAAGGCTGGCTTATTAGCATTGCTACCGAAGATAGACCCGCCAGTGCTACCGCCACCACCACCGAACGGGCTCGACGTCGAGGCGTTGTTGCTGGTTCCTCCAAACCCTCCGAATCCACCACCAGAAGTCGTAGTGGTAGAGCCGCCGAACAAACCGCCGCTTGTGGATGTGCCTCCGAAGGCTGGCTTTTGTTGGCCAAACGCGCCGGTGTTACTTGATGCTCCGAATCCACCTGTAGCCATAATATGTTAGTGTCTGCTTGAAAATAATACTGAAACAATAATGTAATGTGCTAGAAAGTTAGGTAGCGACGGCACATACCGGTGTTTCCACCGAAGCCGGATGACGCATTCCCGGAGCCAAATAGGCCACCTCCTGTATTGCTGGAGGCACCAAAGCCACCGGCGTTGCCAGTTGTGCCGAAGCCTTTTGTTACCAGACCGGGTCAGTTGTTGGGTGTCACGCAAGATGATAATAGGAGTTGATGATGGGATAATTTGAGATGTTCGAAAAGCGAGGAAAGGGGAAAACCGTACCTGTGTTGCTCGTATTATTACCACCGAATCCACCAAACCCAGTGGATGTGTTGTTGTTATTACTAGTATTACCAAAGCCGCTTCCGCCGGTTCCAAAGCCACCAAAGGCCGACATGATGGGCCGTGTGTGCTAGGATGACTCGATGTTCGCGACTGGTAATGTGATGACGAAAGGATCGCGTCTGACGCGTGGGTGAAAGTTTAAAAGGAGTGCGACGAGATTAAGTAAAGGAAGGCATGGAAAAAAGACGGTTCGGTCGCCGTGGTAATTGTCGGTCGAGATGATAAAGAGGAAGAGTGACAAGCGTTGTGAAGGCGATGATGCGCAGGGAAAAGTTATTCGCGAACCGTGGTTCAACTTTTTTTTTCTGCGATCCGCGCTGCTGGGGCCAAGAGGCGAACTGATGGTAGGGTTTAGACGTACAAAGATGCCTTGATTCAGGTAGAGAATCGAGGAATATAGATGCGGGAAAGTGTGTGGAATGACTGTAATAGAATCGGAAGATGATCAATGGCGGAAATACCTACGTGTGCAGGTACGATACCTGATTAAAGAAAAGGGAATAAGAAAAAAAGCGTCGTTGTAGAAAGATGCGAAATGCGTAGTTGTTACAGTTAGCTTAAGGGAAAATGTAATAAGGTAGAGAATTGACACGGTTGGGTTGAACCAGGTCAAGGAGAGCAAGGAGGGAAAAGGGCGGACCACCTCTTTCCCACTAAAGAATTTCAACTGGTGGTGAGAAAAATAATATGGGGCAGTAAGTTTGCTGCACGGGACTTGTACCTGCCTCAGGCCAGCCGCGGTAACCTATCCAATTATATGTATATATACTTGAAATGCTGCCTAAACTGATAGTAGTCACGCGGTACTCATACTTCGCCTCGGTGCAACGAACAATGATCTAGAAGCAGAAACTGAATTCTAACATGTACGATTTATTTTATTGTGCAAAGTCACAACATATGACACATATCTCGGTCACATGCATATGATGATATATTATAGTACGAGGTAGTTTCCTAAGGCATTCTTTCGAAGAAATGTATTCTTTACAATTCATTGTAGAGAGTGCAGGCAAACGCGCGAACTGACGCTGCCAGGCTCGGAATCTACAGAACATAATATTATGTAATCGAGGTAGACCAGGTTGATGCCGATTAAAGGGAGCTTGGGCCATGCCAGGTACCTAGGTACCTAATCCAAACAGAGCTTTCGGTGCTCATTACCCGACTTTTAGACGTCCATGCTTCCTCAACCCAATTAAGAGGCACAATTCAGAACTCATCATAGCCACTTGTTTGTGTTGGACATAAACATTCTCAAGCTGTTAGCTAACACCTCTCAAATCAGAAATATTTAATAATTCGTCCACAAGTAATAATAATTAAGGATTTATACATTCTTAGGCCATTGACTTGCTCTTATTCACAGAGAATTTTTGATAAATTGTCATGAATAGATCATAGAGAAGCGTAAGTCCGACCATCGTACGTAAGAGCTCTCTTGCTCAAATATGAAGGTGCGCGCCTCAAGACCGCTAAATTGACTGTTGGTGGGACAAAGACTAGCACCAATACAGCAGGGTCTCGTACCTACCCGGGTAAGCAGCTAAAACCTGTAGGTACATGTATGTACCTATCAAGCGCGTCTACGTGTACCGATTTTCGTGTGAACGCGCCCAACCCCCTGACTTCTTTCAGTATGCAAGAAAACGAAGGAAGGAAGAAAAAAACATCGCGAAGTTTGAGTTGCAAGTATACAAAGGAGAAAAATAATAAATAATAAATCGCCCTAGTAATACGCCCCCAAAAGTCGATAATAGTCAGTATAATCCATTGGCTCGGCAAATTTTTATTTTTGCATTTGAAATTTCTACATCTGTTGCGCATTCAATTCAATCCGTGCGCAAATCACATTCTACCATTCCATTATCCCATTCCGCCTCTTCGACACCGGGTTTAACGGCTTTGAAACTTTGAGGCTTCGCGATCGCTGGACCTGTGTCACCTCGCTCGGTTGGATTTGCTCGATATATACGCGCTATCAATTGCAAAGTCGTGTCGAAGAGGTCAATCGATGCTCTAATTGTTGATTTGGATATCGTGTTTCTTGTCAACGCAACCACCATTCGCAAACCATTGCATACCGACGGCAATTCGCACAGCTGACGCTCTCCCTCAGCCGAGTCTATTTCGAAGCGCCACCATTATCACAATCATAATCATCAATCCAACAACAAGACCGACCTCTTCAGCACGCTTCTGAGCTCCAGCGCGTAAAACAGAACACAAGCTCCCAGGGCTGCGCGCTCAGAGCATCACATACAAAAGAGCATGAACAACTACGCAAGCAGCACCATGAACGACTACAACGCGTCAGCGCGTCCGGGGTCAACGCGGCCAGGATCGCGATGGGCGCCTCCGGTACGAAATCCCGAGCTGACGGATCCGTGGGAACAAATAAGCGACGAGCACCGGAACGAAATTAATGATTGCGTAAGTGCCCCTTATCCGTGTCCTATACGAGATACGCCAACAACGGAGCGAAGAAACAAGACTAACACCCCCAGTTCCACCTCTTCGACATGAACAAAGACGAACAGCTCGACTTCTCCGAATTCCGGTACGCCCTGCAAGCCCTCGGCTTCTCGAACCTCTCGCGACCAGACCTAATCAACGCCTTCAAATCCGCCGCCCGGCCGCGCGCGGGATGGACACCACTCCCCACGCTCCCCAACCAACCGCCGCCAAACACGGCCCCGGGCGTCGTCGACCTGCGTCTCTCACGTGAAGGCTTCCAAGCCATAGCCGCGCGGTACGTAGCAGCGCGGGACCCGCGCGAGGAGCTGTTAAAGACATTCGCGCTGTTCGACCGCGGCGGAAAGGGCGTGATCACGACGGACGACCTGCGCGGCGTGGTGAAGGAGCTCGGCGAGGACGTGCCGGACAACGAGCTGCACAGCATGATCGAGCAGTTCGACGTCGAGGGCAAAGGGGGCGTGAGCCGCGAAGAGTTCCTCGGTATTTTCCTCGACAGGTGACCTTCCTAACCCGTTAAAAGAGCGTGCATAAGACGAGGAAGCCGCGAGAAGGATGATGACGGTCAGCTTCGCCGGGCGTGAGGAGGGGAGAACGCCGGCGGTGAGGGTGGGGATGAAAAAGCGGTGGGGATCGGATTAGACCCACCGAGTGTCCCACTTGACCCAATATCCCGCCGTCTGAATCATGTATACCCCCTAGATAGTCTTCGACAAAAGGGAAGACGAGCAAGCGGCAAGCCGAGGGGGTCCCAGACTACAGGGTCGGGAACGGGGACGATACAAAATAGTATGGGGGTGACAGGATGAGAAGCACGATGATCCGCTGGATAAAGCGGTAGGTAGCTAGCACATGCGGCTGCCGACGCGGGTAGCAGAGCCAAAAGCAAAAGGGGTCGCAGAAGATACCGTACCTGCAGGATCCCCTACCTACCTACCTACAGAATTACCTCAAGTTTACAATACTTTACGCCACATTTCTCTTCAAACACACCAAGAACCGCTTTAGGTAAAGCGATAGGAAGGGGTTTTAATTGTATATACCCTATGTCCGTCTTGCTTATACGGAGCACACACTATGTTGTCATGGGTTAGGTTGGTTCTAATCACGCGCGGAGTTTCCCTGGTATGCGTTTGTTTATTCAGCATGGGAGAATTTTGGAAGGTTGGCGTTCAGGCGAAGGAAAAAAGCAGGCGGAATATGAACTGCATGAGCTATATGCATGTATATAGTACCAAAGCAAAGGCGTCTTAAGATTCTGACATTGAAAAAGCATTACGATAATCATCCGCAAGATTATTACGGATATGTACTGTGACACTATATATAGAGGAGGCTTAAATCATCGCCTTTCTAGTATTGATCGTTTCCTTGCTATGGACTTATGGCCCATCAATCGAAGAAATCCCATTCCATCCGTGCCACCATCCTCCAACAAAAACACTATACGCGTCAGCAGAGGGAATTACCATACAAAATCAAATACTCTTTTAAGATTTTGCTTGCTGATCGAATATGGACCGCCCTACCAGCCGACTCTATATCCCCTATCCACCATCATAGCGTCGAGCGGAGGAGCCGAAAGAACGCTAACGAGTAAACATAGACCAGGATGGGATTGTCGCCCAACTCTGAGAAGAATGCATTGCATTGAGAAATGCAGATGAAGAACGCGCGATCTGCATCGCAAGTGCCTTCACAAAAGAAATGTCTAGAACTGGATGAGATCTTGTCCCTGGTTATTGTTTTGTTGTTGCGGTCGCCCAGCGAATGGGTTGGCCGTTCCACCATATCCATTCATGCCGACAGGTCCGGTGGCCGCAGGCATCTGCTGCTGACCGTATGATATCGTAGGCATACCGGTATACTGTTGTCGTAGGAATGGGTTGCTTCCCGTAGCCTCAGCGGTGAGTCTGTTTGCGTTAGCACCCGCCGAGTTAACAAATGTGCCCGGCGCCGTATGTTGAGCCGGGATACGAAGGTCGCCAGTGTTTCCGAACGTGTCCATGCCGTCGCCACTAGCAAGCAGGGCATTAAGTCTCTGTTCATGCTCACTAAGTTGCTTCTGAGGTTGTTGCGGTTGGTTGAAGGAAGGCTGGGGCTGTAGCTGAGGTTGGGGTGAAGGAGTAAACGACTGAAGCGATTTCTGTTCGGGAAGACTTGATAGGCTACTAAGCGTAGGCATCGGCGGGGCCTTGGCTGTTTGGGGCCGTCCAAAGCCAGTAGCAAAGGGGTTGTTCGAGCCGGTCGGCATCGGTTTGAGTGCGGACTGGGATTGGTTATTAGAAGCCCACGGGTTGTTACTACCCGGTTGGGCAGTTGGCTCGGGAGAGGCTGTAGGCTGAGGTTGGAACTGTTGAAATTGAGGTTGCTGCTGGCCGTAGGGGTTGTAGCCGGTAGGCTGAGGCTGCATTTGGAACTGCTGCTGCGGAGGCTGGAGGGTATTTTGCTGCTGCTGTTGCGCATAAGGGTCATACATGCCCGTCGGCTGAGGGTTGAAACCATTGTTATAGCCGTTCGAATATCCGTTTTGCGGAAATCCGGTGTAGGCGTTGTTCATATATCCAGTTGGCTGTTGTTGCATCATTTGGTTTTGATCGATTGGATTTCCAAGCCAGTCGACATTGCTACCCTGCTGATATCCCATATTGATGCCAGTCGGCTGAGGTACGTTGCTCGGTGCAGGGTTGTCGTCGAATAGAGAACCAGCATTGGCATCTTCCAACTCTCGCCTCCTTCGCTCTTCCTCCTCTTTACTGAGCTTAATGGCCTTGGCAAGATCGTCGTCATCCTCATTCCCTTGGCGACTTTCCCGTTTCCGTCTATCCTCCTCCTCTTGGTGTTTGCTAGCTTCTATAGCTAACCTATACTCAGCATCATCCTCCTCGTCGCTAGGTCGCCTAGTACGCTGGCGTCGCTGCTGTGGGACTGCTGGTCCATCTGAGCCGAACTCCTCAATGCCGGTGACGCGAGACTTCCAGGTCTTCCGATCGCTACGTTCGGCGCGCAGCCTTTCTTCGTCTAAGATCAGAGCTGTCAACTCCTTCGCGGCAACTCGGACTATTCATTCGTAAGCATTAACACAGCCTCAAATCTCACTGTGACTACGCACCATTTTGGCCCACATCCCGTCCATCCTCGTCGATGTAAACGAACTCGCGCAAGGTCTTGATGATGTAGACGTTTTTACGTGCCCAAGTGACAACTAATTCGGAACCTTCGTGTAGACAGTAATCCAGTACTTTTAAGGCTTTCAAAACGTGTCTCCAGTTCTTTCCTTTATCGTTTAAACGCTTGTCAAGCATATCGACAATATCGTAGAACTCGGTCGATCTAAAGATCAGGTTAGATAGACCTTCTTAATACAAAGAGTTAAGCGACTCGGTGGCGGCATACGAGTTGTAGGTTAATTGAGCGATCTCGCTCATCTGAGTTCCGGTCGGTCCCCATGGATCATTACTTGTTGCTATAAGAAAGGGGTAAGTATATTCGCATTATACAAGGTGACTCGGGCGCAAGAGGATTTGCTGTGAATCGATGATGGATTTATATGTACGAACCTTCGCGCACTTTGACCTGGACACTCGAGTAGCCCTTGGTGACATTTTTTACACTTCTCATAACCTTAGACATCTTGGCGGTATTTTCGGGTTTGGTGGAGGAGATGACTGTGTTGTAGGGCGTCAAGAATTAATCGAGAAAGAGAAAAGAGGAGAGGGAGGTTGTTGTGTGTTGTAGTAGAGATGGTACGATCGCAGGGTGGTCAATGGTCGGCGCAATGAAAGCGCAATCCAGCCGGTGGATTATCTCTCAGTACGGTATTTGCAAGGCCAGCAATGGCGCAAACCTGAATTCAAGAACAACGAAAGTAAAGTAAAAATAAAGGTTCAAATGAACCGTCCCTATACAAGTTTTCCCTCGAGCGAAATTCAGGCAGTGGCAAGCACAAGGCCTCCAACACTCGACTGCGATTAAAGGAGGACTTTGGATGAGGGAGGAAGAAAGAGGTTGGTTGATTATGGTAACTTTAATTGATGGATCGATGAAGTTTGGGGAGGGGAGCCCAAGAAGCTGCCTGTACACGTTGTATGGACCCAGGAATCGAGACAGGCGTAATGGCGGGCCTTGGCACCAAGACGCAGTATGTCACAAACGCAAACGCTTCTCTTTTCGGTCTCTTGGATGTACCTTGGCTGGGCAATCTGGCAATTTATTAAAAAGGATGACAGTCCCTAGGTACAGTCAGTCCTGGCTTGTTTTTTTTCCCTTCTTATTTTGTTTTTCTTTGTGTTGGTGTCTAAGACTTTATTAATGATGAAATATAAAATGCAGAATTAATGATGATGATGATAATTGGTATTAATTACAACAAAGGTCAATTGTAAGAAATTATTATCATTCGTTCTCTGGTCTGGAATTGTTTCTGGAACGATTAGCGAAAAGGGGAAAAGAGTTGATATGATGAGAGTCACTAAAAGAGACTTCTTCAATGGGCTATCTAGGTGAGAGATACTTTAGTGTACCAGTGAACCTTGTCTGCTAGTAAACTTAGTGCCTGGCTTATCCGTCCACCTGCTCCTTTCCATTTTTCCATTTGGGTGGCCATTGTGACGCGGCAGGAGCGTTCAGCGTGTGAGCACTGACCAACAGCACGATCGGACACGTCTATGGGGCTTTCTGGCCGGGCTGGGCTGGCTGGGAGCGTTTTTAGGTTGCGGTTTCCCCGTCGTCCGTTGAATGCCAGTAGAAAGCATAAGTATATTTCCGTACATTTTCTGCATTACTACTGTATGTAGGTACATCGTCCGGATTGTAACTGTACGAAAATACCGAGGTACTTTCGTATGCGGTTGTCACCCCATCAATTCATTGAGTATGGAATGACGTAACAAGTGGAGTCATCAAATCTCAATTAAACCATCCAGATGTTCATCCTATGCAGTTCATATGCACAAAATCTTCATACATACAACTGCTTACTGGTTTCTGTGCTTTCTATCGTATCCATGATGGGAGATGGGAACCGTACTTATTAATGTGTCGGTTAGCCACAGACAGGAGAGATGGAGTGCATCCCACAAGTGTCACATACCCTCAGGCGCGTGTATTAGCCGTCTGAGGTCTGTGGTCTATTTGTGACAAGCTCCATTAATGCACAGATGCAATGTCTAGAGCATGAATCAAGGGTTGCCAAAAATCCATCAAGAAACTCTAAGAGCATAGACAGCAAAACATCCATATGGTTGGGATGTTTTGTAATGGGTACCTAGTATACATATAACAAATAACTCAAGTCATCAAGCACAAAATTAAACAGCCTCTAAGGTACCTACTATATAAGAGAGACATTGACACCTTATGTGTAGATAAATAGGTTGAAATAGAGTTATGATTTGTTCCATCTGTCAAACACTAATAAAGTAAGTATTCCAATACCATGATTCCTAGGTAAACGCTATGTATAGAACACCATTCCCATTATAACAAGGTATACAAGTTTTGCTAACCAACCCCCACCAAGACTTCAGCTTGTAACTGGTGCCTCGCCATCCTCTTTTGGTTCAACCTCCATCATATCCAACCACTCAAGCGCAAAAGCTGTAACGATCTTGGCCCAGTCGCGCACAGTCGGCATATCCAGGTGTGCGCCATCGTCGTCCATCGTGTGCCATACCTTTGGGAACGGAGAGGCGATAACGTGTAAAACCGGGACTCCACGGGCCATAAAAGGTTTGTGGTCATCTTCGATGAAGCCGCGATAAAATGTGGTCGTCTCCTTTTCCAAGTCCGGCAGAAAGGGGCGCTGCGGGACCGATTCTAGAAGTCCTAACTTGCGCATTCTACCTTCGATAGTGGCCATAGCTTTATATGCCCAGTGAGTCGTTTGGAAGAATGATGGCACCGTCGGGTTAGCGGAACCAAGAAGGTCCAGCAATACGAACATGCTTATTTGATCCAATGGGTTGCGATAGAATGACATTGCAGGATGAACCGAATTCTCCCAGGTCTCCGCCAGTGCTCTAAATGGCTATTAGTGATACAATCCCATGAGACGATATCAAGATCAAGTATATGTTTACCTCGCCCCGTATAGGGAATCCGTATCTGTCCATTGCTTAAATGCCTCTTCACCGTCGAGCAGGAGAATCTGCACGCCCATATCCATAGGGACAGTCCCGCCTTCACCAAGTGCAGCCATTTCATCATGCATCTGTGTAAGAAACTTGTCCAGGGTTCTCGCAACATGCATCAAGATAGCACAAGGCACGGCGCTGTCAGTAGCGCCGATGAATCCCTCAGGATATATCTTGCTGTCATAATGAGCTACTAGTGTTAATAAGTTGGATTGTCCTTGCTGGACCCATGGCGGTTCCCTCTTAAACAACAAGTTGGCAAACGGCACTTGTTTGTCGCCGGTGACGGGAGTTGTAGATGTTGAGTTAAACCACTCGATATTCCATTTCGGCAGTTCTTTTGCGAAGAAGTTCACGAAATGCTGTTGAGCGGCCGTCTGACCGGGGGTGCCGGCGACGCGCGGTATTAGGATAGGCGCTAGCAGCTTTCCATTGTCAATATCGAAGTCTGCGCCTCCCGATGGAACTAGCTGGAGAAAATGATCCGATAAGGCCGTGTACGCGACGACGGGTGAGATGAGAAGATGGTGCAGGGCCAAGATGAGCAGCATTGGGATTACGTGGCCCGACATTAGTAAGTTTGAGTTATGACACTTCATATCTGCCCAATCCGCTGGCTACCTCGGACCAGCGAGGCCATCATACACCTGTCTTGTTTGAACAGAAAGGTTGACGCCAGTTAAGACGTTGGAAATTGTTGAATCTGGGGAATTGGACAGACTGACAAGTTCAACTTTAGCCGTGTTTATAATAATTGGCCCCCTTATCTGCAAGGCTGAAACACTAAATACCAACATGTGTCCTTAGCCGTTTTAAGTATATGCATATATACATTATATAATCATGTATAACGGGATACATACTTATTGAAGAATAACTCTGATTGTGAAATAAATAATTCGCATCCGAAATATCCAACACCCCATGATTTCAACGTACTCTTTAATTATTCGAATCGTGGATATAGTTACCTATTTATGAAGCCTTATGATTGTGGATTGTTTGATTCTATTCTATGTTATGGATTCCAGCGTAAAACTTTCTCTCTACATACCTAGGTTATCTGCAGCATTGTTAAAGAAAGACAATCAATTTGTATGAGGAATCAACTTGATACCACAATATTAAAAGCGAAGATGAAAACTGCGATTGGACAGTGTTTTCATTTGCTTCAGAATTATGGAATCTAACTTCTCTTAACTAGGTAGGTAGAGATTCAAGTTGTCAGAAACATTAAGTGAACATGTTGATATAAAGGCCTACTCACTAGTATCTCAATCATGCCCTCATTATAAATACTCACTAAATTGACCTCAATAAGACAAGTATCTCTAGTCATAAACTCAAGTCATCCATATCCCACAGTTCCCAGGCACGAAAATCCGAACGCCTGTTTAACAAACACAAATCGAGCTCTCAATTAGGTATCTAGTAAAGTCCCATAACTACCTGCTTGCTATTCGCCTCGACGCCGATCCCCCGAATCCCTTACACACACTAGGCTCCCGATCCCATTCGCGAAGCCATCGAGAAGGTATCCTAGCTATACACAAATTCTACACATGTTCACGAGCGCCGATTGAAGACGATGCCTAGTTGAACTATTCGCGCCGGTTATGCCTCTTCAGCTACACTCTCCTGATTGTCGGTTCCGCCCATGACGATATCGCCGTTAGCATCGTTCGTCGAAGCGACGCTGTCTTCGACAACGGCTTCGGTTCTGGCAGCCAAGACGGCTAATTGCTTGCCCTTTTGGCCTTTGCTAGCCTCTGTCTGTACCTGGACGGTATCCTCTGTGTTTTCATCGGCCGTGGAAGAAGTTGGTCCCTGCTGACGCTGCCGTTCGAGCCATGCTGGAGGTAAACCTGGTCCACTATCCGCGTTTCCGTAATCGCTCTTTTTAGTGCCCTTCGGCCAACGGCCGGGACCACGACCAGTTCCGCCGGGCTTGCGTTTACCGTTGTTTGCTTTCGGAGCCGACTTCCGAACCGAGGAACCACCGGTCGAGCGACGGACCTTGGGTCGCGCAGCTCGTCTAGCGCTGGGAGGTGGGATACGCGGCAATGCCGGTCTAGAGATGGCAGAGTTGAGGCGTGATATGGCTGTGCGTCTATTATTAATAGCTGGGAAAACTTGGAACCTGCTGACGGGGATCGCATCGTAGGGTTTAATCCATGCATTCTCGTCATCAGGAGCGCTCGCAGCAGCACTAGTTGATGCTCTAGGGTCTTCTGAATGCTCCTCAGGAGCTTCTGCATTCTCTTTTCCAATCCCATTAAGTTTCGAATCTTCGCTGTTCTCCATAACGGCATTGTCATTAGGTTCTGTGGACTCGAGAACTGATGGCTCGGCCCCAGGAGGCGGTTTTTGGTTAATGGGCTGAGTGATGGCAAAATCTCCAGTTGCGATACCACTCTCTGCAAGATTTTGGACAGCCTTAAGATCCTCATCTTCCTCGCGCGGTGCAATTGTATTTAAAGCTGGTCCTAATTCGAAATTCGTAGCATTGCTACGGCCCATAAGATAGGGCATCCAAGTAAGATTTTTGGGATTTAACTTCACGTATTTTTTCGCTTCCCATTTGGCAACCTCTTTGTGGCAGTATGGTAAATCGACCCGGAAAGCGTAGACCTGAGTGACGGGATCACGGACGAGGAAACGTAGCGCTTCAAGGGCTGAGATTACATCGTCGGGAGTCATCCCCGTATCGTCGGATATCTGTCTGATGCTCAGGCCTTTCTTCTGCGACTTCTCCCCGGGCATGTGGTCTATAAGGTATTTACAGAGAATCAATCTCCAGTAGTTTCTGTATGAGACAAGGCCCATATCAGACAACGGTTTCTCGGGAGAACCAGTCTTCTCTTCTACCTTCGTTAAAAGATAAGAGAAATCAATGAGCAGATGTCCATATCCCTTTCGCTGGTGGATAGGTAACGTTAAAATGCAGCTAACATTGTTCTGACTGCTCGCACGTTTTTCTTTGGAGAAGTAGCCGACAAAGTGATAGCCTAGATCGTCATACTCGCAAAGGACGTAAAATAAGAATGGTTCAACATCATAGTAGAGCGTCTTTGAACCGAGGAAAAGCTTGGCCAAAAGACAGAGGTTTTGACAGTAAACTGGATTTTTCCGTCCATCAACTTCGAAAAATGAAATAGAACCGCGCCTGTATATTTCGTCGCCTGGTGGATGTTTTGCAGGGCACTTGAGCTTGTGCCGCCACGCGACATAATCCGAGTTCATATACTTCAAGCAGAATTCGCAGATGTATAGAACCCGGTTACGGCTGTACTCTTCGGGGTATGGAGCTGCATACCACGTGTCTATTTCCCAGCCTCCAAACTCGATGCATTCGATTTGACTTGCGGGTCCGGAAGCCTTCCTCGACTTCTTCACCGGTACCTCAGCCTCCGCCTGCATAGCAAGCAAACGATTCCTCCATTCTTCTTCGGCTTTCTGTTTGGCTTCGTCGAAACGCCGTCGGTCGTCTTTTGTAGGCAGAGTCTTAGTCGTGTCTGCTTGTTCCTCGGTCAAGATCCCGCCATATGGTTTTCCCTTAAGCTCATCTGGTTCCTTGTCATAGAACGAGTAGAATGGTTGCGAGTAGCTGGACGGGAAGAATGGAGCCATTGGAGGTGGTTCTGCAACAGCAGCAGCTCGTGTTGATGCAACATTTCTAGAAGATCGCGACGAGCGGGATGCGGCTGCCCGACCAGTTCGTTTTCTCCTCCGTGATCTTGGATTTTGTAAAATCTTATTTAACTCCGTTGCACCCACTCGCATCTTTACTACTAGACTGGAACGCGACTTCTTAACGATGGTGCATAATGCCTCTGAGCTTGACGCTTTATGCCGCAAAGAGCGTCCTGACCGTGATCTAGTTGATGATTCCGCTGCATTCGAATTATCTTGGCCGGTCTCATCTTGGATAGACCCCTCAGACGTATTCTTTCTTCTTTTTCGCACCGATTTTACTTCTTCCTCTTCCGGTTCGGCTGACGACGTCTTTCTCTTCTTACGTAGGACTCGTGAGCCGTCCATAGGATCTTCGTCTAGAACTAATTGATTAAAGACGGAATGTGAGTCTGGCTTGCTCATGCTAGGTGGGAGAAGATCTCGAGCAACTTTAGGGGCAGTTGATCGGTTAGTAGATGTAGGAGATAAATCGCTATCCACGCCACCATTCAACTCCATATCATGGTCACCTTCTGCGTCCTCGCGACCAAATTCTACTTCTGAATCAGAGCCCATATCGTCCCGAGCGCAATCTGGGCACCTCCAATTCGAGGCATCTAGATAAACAGGTGAGTAATTAGAAGGTGGATGAATGGGTGTTGTGCCAAACATACTTTGTTTCTCGTCAAGGGCTCCTTCGTCTCGTGCGCATTGTTGGTGAGCTAAAGCAGTGTTTGTTAGATGACTGACGTGTTGGCTAGGCTTCGCACAACGTACCGTGTTCACCACAACCTTTGCAGGTGAGATAAGATTCGAAGTCTTCACCCGGATCGTGTTCCTCATCTTTCTTACAGAAAATGCACGAATTAGGGTCGGCCACATCGGAATCTTCTTCCAATTCTTCTTCCTCGTCATTATCGACGGCATCTTCCCATTCCGCTGCAGATTCTCGGTCACTAGAGCCTGACGCCAAGCTGGCTTCGTCTTCGCTATCACTCTCTTCGTCATCAGTATCACCAGGTTTGATCTTGACGGCGCCAACGCCTTCGTTCTCGTCATCTTCTTCGACAGGTTCTTGTTCGGCATCGTCCTCATCACTAGAAGCTAAATTCGGGTCGATTTGACGCAGGCCAAGGTCTTCATCGTCTTCACCCTCGGCATCAACATCGAAGGCATCGTCATCATGGACGTCATCATCGGCACTGGACTCGTCTTCATCTTGGTCTGCATCCTCCTCCTCAGCTGGCTCATCTTCCAGCTCGGCCTCCTCGTCTTCATCTGGTGCCATATCATCTACGAGTGCGGTGTCAACTTCGGTATCTACATGTCCGTCAAAACGTTCGATGTCGTTATGTATATATTCTTTATCTGGTTCACCGTCTCCGAGCGGGTCCACGCCCGACGGATAAGGATGGAGAGGGGGGCCTGAGTCGCCAACAGATTGCGGGATACTAGTACCAGCCATGATTACTTGGTTTGGCAAGTCTTCCTCAAATTCAGCATCCTCTTCAGACAGTACTACGCTTTGTTGTAGTTCTTCCTGCATGAGTTGGGTATTGGCCATTGCCTTCATAAATATGAAGGTGGATCAGAGATCTTGGGTGGGTCGGAAAACGATCGTGTATGTGGAGTTGTCGTGTATGATTAAAGATGTGCTGTATCCCACGCTCAGGATACGTATGGTGGCGAAGGCGTGTTCCGAGACCTCCAAGTCGCACCACTTCGCGTCATGAATGGTCTTGTCGCATACCCGTCGCGAAATATTAATTAGGGTTAAAAAGTTCGGGACTGTATGGTAGACAGGAGCGAGACGGTTATGGGCTTGAGAATGAACGATGCGCGAGACATTTGAGTCTATTGTTGGAAGTTTACTAAGCGAACTTCGAAAGCTGTTAGACGCGCCGAATTCTATTATAGGAGAATTATTGTTGAATTATCGAGAGAGAAGGAGGATTGGAGAGGAAATCGACGCGTATTTTCGACTAAATGGAGACATGAAAGAAGTGTTAAGAAGGAGGAAAGTACAATTTGCGACAGAGTGTAGCTCCCCTCGCGATGGACTTTAGATGGGCGAAGTTAACATTGTTGGTGGTGCAATTGTTGCCGAGCCCCACAAATTAGTCAGATCAGCCTACTCAGCGCCTGCCCAGTGCCAGTGCCAGGTGCCTTGAACCTTCATTTTGTTTATGTAATCTCCACAGTCACTGCCATTTCAATGTGCACTCGAACCATTGCGGGTCCACGCTAAGACCAAGCTCGCTAGGTACCTAGGTACAGTACATAGGTACTTCCAAGTTGTTTGTGTCCCGTGGACTTGAGCCTTCAATGTTAGGCCATCATAATTGAATCGACATCATTGGTCAGCGAACTCTAAACCTCACCCACCATTCAACTTACCAAGAGCTATTTGTCGATTGACGCTCTCGAGACAATTGAAATCAAAACGACTGGTGCAAATAATAGTAAGTCCTCTAAAGTCGCATAGTCAGCTTATTATACTAATTGATCAAATTGAAGATTTGGCCTATAGCTTCACAATGGCCGTTCCCTTCGAAGCATTGATTCCCTATGGAATCATCCTCGCCGTAAGGTCCCTCCATCTCCCAATCGACAACGAGTTCCTCTACACTCCCAAGTGCTAAGACATATTAGATGTTCGGCGCCACTGGCGCGGGTCTTTCGAAATTTAAACACTGGTACAACGGGAACAAGAGACCGAGACGATCGTTAGATATGTGGGATAGGCAAAGTACGGCGAATTTAGTATACAACACGTCTAGAACCGGGCAAACTGACTTGATGTTTTTGCAGTGATGGACCGAGACCGCCGATTAACCGGACACCTACGCGGGCAGACCGACGGTCCCATAGCACCTCCGGGCTTTGAGCTGAACAACCCTTGGAAGGTAGGTTTCTCAATCTACGACATTATAATTACGTCCACAATACTTATACGATATCTAGGTTGAGAACCGTATTGGTTGATTTAAGCGGAATAATGCTGGCCCAGGGTATCGAAAAGATGAAATACGATTTATGGGTAACCACTTGTACATAGCCCAAAATATAACATCCGATATTGAAGCCTTTGGTCCCAATCGTATCTATTAACCATCATTTTACTCGGGTATCTTCCAAATACTAATGCAACAAATCTAAATATGCCGAAACGCCTTATCCGTCCCAAGTCTATATCGTGATTTCCGGTCGATTTTTATTTAAGCCCTCAAGAAGCATGCAAGCTTGGCATAACTTTTGGCTCGACATATAGCCACACTTCTCACATGTCCCTAGCTTTTGTTTTAGCCTTATGGGGACAGTGGTTCCCGCCGTCTTAAGTTGACCATTATTCGAGTTTTGTTTCTCATGTTGTTGGCTTTTAACCTTCGTAGTTGTAATTTCAGTTTCGAGTCCCGCTGCCTCGGCGGCTTCGGTTTCTCTAAGTTGCCTCTCCATAGCTGCCATCTCGCCACCGTTGGTTCGTCCGTTTGCTGAGCCACAACCTCCTATATTGTCTTCATCGGTGGGAGCCCGATGGGACGTAGTCTTCTCGTCACAACTGCAGGAACTTGGTGTAGCTCCAGGGACCAGTCTCGCCATATCCTCGCCACTCCGAACAACGTCTAATATGGCACTAGGACGGACCCTCTCTAAATTTTTGATTAAACTTCTAGCACTTCCCCTAAAGGCCTCTGGACTATATATGCATTCGGTGCTGAAGTAGTCGAGTTTTTTGTGATGTGCATATAGTACGATTTCCTTCTCATATGAGTACTTAAGTGGCTTGCTCCTCTTGACTTCACTAGCATCATTTCCGGTAACGATGCTTGTGCTTCTTGACAAGCGTGGTAGGTCTCCTCGAAGTAGGTTCATTAAAACAGTTTCGGCGACATCGTCAGCATTATGGCCAGTGACAACATGCTTAATCCCCAGCATCTTTGCGCCCCGGTCTAGGGCCTGTCGCCGGAAGACGCCACAGTAAGTGCAATTCCCTTTTTTGCCGATGGTTTCGACGACCTGGTCCATTGTCCAGCCGTAGAGTTCACCATATCCTACTATCTTAAGGGGCATGTCATACTGGACTGCATTGCGTTTGACTGTCTCCAGTGAATCATCCCTGTAACCCTTGATACCCTCATCGATACTTAGGAGCACTAAGTCAACCCCATAGTTATGTCTTTCGTTAAGAGTCTTAAGAACCGAGGCTAAAACGGTAGAATCTTTGCCGCCTGACGCTCCAATCGCTACTTTTTCTCCTGGAAAGAATAATTGCGACGAGGTAATAGTGTGATGCACTTCATCTTCAAATATCTGAATAAAACAACCCTTGCACAGTTTTTGGTAGTTCTTGGGTCTCTTGATTAGCGCTCTCTCTGTCTTGCAGAGAGCACAGAGTGCTGGTGGCATTTTCAAAATTCCTGTCTTTGAGAGAAGTTATGAAGAAATGTCGGAAATGAATGAAGGAATATAAAATAAGTCAGATACAAGAAGATTATACAAATGAATATTAAGAAATCAAGGTTCTGCTGGTGTTGACTCAACTCAAATCCATTAGACTTCAAATTCAGCAAAGAATCTTAGTGGGGTTGAAAGCAGATACAAAGGTACCTGGGTCGCACTGGCGGGGCAATTCACACTAGTCTGGTTACGGTCTAGGTCAAACGCACTTTGCCGACTTTTTACCCGTTGCGAAACCCTACGCACAATTTCTTACATTAATTTTTCAAGTTCGCGACCTTTCAAGATATTTTTTCTTTCCTCACACCTCTCAAACTTGGTCGATCTTCATTCACACATCACGACCACACGACAAACTAATCAACATGGTAAGCTTCTGATATCCGCGATTGATATGCGCTTGCGCATACAATCAATTAATTTTGTGGCACTCGCTCGCCGAGTTGTCTGAAATCCGCCTTGTCGTCTCCGGACGCAGGCGAAGAACTGGCTTGAGATTTTCGTGTGGTGTGCAGAAATGTCACCCATGATTATTTCTTTAGAGTTCAAGGAAGACCACAGTCAATGGAACACATTTGCTGATGTCTTTCTTCTCAATGATAGCCTCCCAAGTCTGGAAAGAAGGCCGCCCCGGCCCCATTCGCCTCCAAGGCGGGTTCCAAGAAGGCCCCTAAGGTGAGTACTGATATCTATTTCCACATCCTCTGCATTGATTTACGAAGCGATATTGACATGTTATTCAGAACCCCCTCATCGAGAAGCGACCCCGCAACTTCGGTGTCGGCCAAGATATCCAGCCCAAGCGAAACCTTTCTCGCATGGTGAAGTGGCCCGAGTATGTCCGCCTTCAACGCCAGCGCAAGATCATCAACATGCGCTTGAAGGTCCCGCCTGCTATTTCTCAGTTCCAGCATGTCCTTGACCGCAACACTGCTGCCCAGGCGTTCAAGCTCCTCAACAAGTACCGACCCGAGTCCAAGGCTGAGAAGAAGGAGCGATTAGTGAAGGAGGCTACCGCCATCAAGGAGGGTAAGAAGAAGGAGGACGTCAGCAAGAAGCCTTACGCTGTCAAGTTTGGTCTGAACCACGTCGTCGGCCTTATCGAGAACAAGAAGGCTTCTCTCGTCCTGATCCCCAACGATGTTGATCCCATTGAGTTGGTCATCTTCCTACCCGCTCTCTGCCGAAAGATGGGTGTCCCCTACGCCATCATCAAGGGCAAGGCCCGTCTCGGAACTGTTGTCCACAAGAAGGTATGCATGCATGGAATTCATCTTATATTTGGTATAATTAAGCTAATTAAGGATAGACTGCTGCTGTTCTCGCCCTTACTGAGGTTCGATCCGAGGACAAGAGTGAGCTCTCCAAGCTCGTCAGCGCCGTCAAGGATGGCTACCTAGCCAACTCTGAGAACGCTCGACGACAATGGGGTGGTGGCATCATGGGCGCTAAGGCCAACAAGCGCATCGAGAAGAAGAAGAAGGCTCTCGAGCAGGCTATCAAGGTCTAAAGCTTGGATGTAAGCATCGGAGTCGGTCACGGGTCATGATTTCTAGCTATGCACGGTTCAGGCGTTGGAGGTGGTAAAACGGAATACCAAACACGTGGATTTGCATGATGAAAGCCTACTCCGTCTCCAGAATTTGACCGAAGAACAAATGTGACAATGATTAACAAACAATGGTCCAGAACTTCAGCCTAGTGACGTCTGTTCTTTGCACCGTATGCCAATACCAATTAATAGTGCCAAGTCTTACGATATCTCTTGGTAGTTATTTAAAGAAGATGGATCTCTCGGTATTCAGTAAGCAGTACGGGGTCCGGATGGGTCCGTAGGTCGGTTTAAACTATTTTATTGGTTGATTACTAAATGCCGTATGAGGATAGTCAAGCCGAGCCGAGCCAAGCCAAGCAGCCAAGCACGCCTCGTTGCAGCATAGCATTTATCAGGACAAAACGGGTATTCAAACAGAAAGCGTTCCTGAGTGTTGGGTCTGTAACTTGACATCTTATCACATCTCATCGTTTTAGCTTACGTATGCACAATTCTAATAACAAAGAGAAGCAATGCATGTCTAGACTAAGTACGGTTCGTAAAACAACATGATAATATTGCAGCCTATATATCAATGATTGTACAGGGTGATCAGGAGGTATCTCAATGGTCGTTGCGTTTGAGATAATACCTCGTATCTATGTACCTCCGTTAGAGGGTATCTTTTGCAATCCTCACCGCTTTCTAACGCAATGCCGCGAGCCCTGTCCAGTTCCTGGCAGGGATTAATGAGTTCAGCACATGGGCACGTTGGATTTGTGATTGGCTTATTGGCTGACTTGGCTACGGGCTAGGATTGCACATACATAAGGGTACCGCATAAGCCCTGGAGGTTGAGGTCCGGGTATTGGCTCCTAGGCTCGTTGGATACTCCGTTCTGGTGCGCAGTATGCTACCCTTACCAGGGTAGGTATATCTAGCTATGTATCCCTAGTAGGTGTATGCATATTATATTACAAGCTTCTTTGTTGATAGGAGGTACGATATGTACCTAGAGGACCTAGAGGACCTAGATGGCTAGCTTACCAAATCTGTTATGCTTGATTGCTTGCTTCGTCTCAATCTCAAATCTCAATCTGTGCGTTTCCGCCGGACCTTGTGACATGGAGGTTTCATATCAAACGCAGATACGGTTCATCCCACGTTCGGCCAGGTCAGGTATGGTACTGGCACGGGTAATGGAAAGTATTGGCGCCGAGATGGGGGGGCGAAGCCTAAGCTATCGAAATCTGCGAAATCTGGGCAAACTCTGGGCAAATAAACGGTAATATCTGCTATGTATGTTAGATAAGGTTAAGAAATGATGCACGGCTTCGCGGTTTTGAGGGCCTGTTACCTCTTTTACCCCGGACTCCGGACAGGCCGATCCTATCTTTATATGTAAGGTGTGCCATGAACAATGGAATAAAGAAGGAATGGATAGTTTCGAGTCAAGCTGTACATAAGATTGAAATCTCCGGAAACCATAGGAGCTTTAAAGTCTGCGTTGCTTGTTGCGTTTATGTTGTGTTTGCCTCTTTGCTGACGCCAAGTTCGTCATCTTTTATAATACCTCACTCTGAGCCAGCTGAGCCTCTTCCTATTCATCTTTCGGCGTTTACCTACGTGTCCCATTTTCATCATTCCATGAATCTTGTTTCATTCCCTACACACATTAGTAGATCCGTATCTCCGCTGATCCGTTTGGGCCGAACCTTCCTACGTACTTAACCTATCGAAGACCTCGTCCGTGAGCCGCTTTATTTGTTTACCTAGGTTATACCTCACGGGCTCCGTCGTTCCATTCACCATCACCGTACGATTCGATCACCGCCTCCCCCGAGTGATCACCGACCCAGCCGAGAGGGCGATTTTGAGGTCGAAAAAGAACGCTAGGAAGACTCGGTCAAAGACGTTATTCAGCAAACAACTTGGAAATAAACCGAAGAAAGCCTTCCAGACTCCCAGGGCTTCCTAGTGGTGTGTGGACGAGTGGGTGAACACCAAATCTGATTGGGCTTGGGACTTCCTAATTCGCTCATATCCTACAACAACATCCCGCATCCAGTCTCAGTCCCCTTTGGGTGGGATCTTGCGTGCCGCTCGCGGTCATCATACATACATACCTCGTCATATACGTCCCAGTCGCATTTACGTATAAAAGGGCGCAACCCGGGCGCTCACATCTGTCGAGAAATGCCTGCTCCTCCGCGTACGTTTACTTCTTCGCTCATCCTTCCCTAACCCCCAATCCAGTAGTTTACCCCGCCAAGAAAAGGAGGAACGGTACTCCTGGATCTGGATCTGCAGGGGTGGACATTGGCATCTCGTACAAAAATAATACGCTTAAACTTATTTTTGAGATCCCCGAGATTGGCGAGGGTAACTTCGTCTTTTTTTGCCAATACCGTTTTCGCTTACCATGGCCGCAGAAGATGCCTTCGCCTACGCGCTGAGCTCGAATCAAGCATGGGCTGGCTATAAGGGCCACCAAAACCCAGACTTCTTCCCTAAGTTGGCTTCGGGACAGTCACCGGCAATTCGTACGTATAACCCCCGTTTCCTTGGTCATAATATAATCTCGAGTATGGTATTACTCATTTCCTTTGTTGAGATGCGAGGCGAAGCCTGTCAAGCGAAGACCCACTCAACAGAGCGTTAGCTCGGTCTCGGAACTGTGTATCCTTGGCCCTGACCAGGGCAGGTGACTTGTCAGCTCCTATGTGAGGTGGAGATGTCGGTACTTACACGCCATGTACTATGCGAATCAAGAATGAGGAGAAGAGATAAGAGACGGCTAACAGCGCGTGTGACAAACAGTGTGGCTAGGATGCTCCGACTCCCGCTGCCCGGAGACCACGATCCTGGGCTTGCAACCGGGCGACGTGTTCGTGCACCGCAACATCGCCAATATCATATCGCCGACGGACATCAATACGTCAGCCGTCATTGAGTACGCGGTTACGCACCTAAAGGTCAAGCATGTGGTGCTATGCGGACATTCGTCGTGCGGAGGTGCTGCCGCTGCGCTGAGCGACGTTCGGGTCGGAGGCGTGCTGGACACGTGGCTGGTTCCTCTTAAGGCTATTCGCAACGCGAACAAGGAAGAGTTATCGTCCATTACCGACGACAAGTTGCGCGGCGTGCGCATCGCAGAGCTTAACGTGGAGGCCGGTATCAATGTTCTCATGGCAAACCCCGCGGTGCAGGACGCTATCGCCGAGCGGGGTCTCCAGGTTCATGGCACGTTCTTCGACATTGGTTCAGGTCGAATTCGAGACCTAGGCCTCGGAACGAAGGGAGGACACAATGGAATTCCGGGATTGAACGGCGATGCCGGCGACGTGGTAAGGGGAAAGCACGCCATGCTTGTGTTCCGAACGGACGGAGCAGGAAGTATGCAGGCTCGCTAAAGGATTTGTAAGGGCGGTGATTCTCGTCGAATTAGGGCGTTTTTACAAAAGTTGGTGTCTTGGAGGCATCGAATTGAAATTGGTCATCCATGGATCTCGGAACGGCGGCGGCAACTTCGACGGTAGAAGAGCATATTTGGCGGGCGAGTGAAATTCAGTGAAATTGGTGACATTGGTGAATAACCTAGGTATAGTCTTACGATACGATACCTAGACCTTCACAGAGGGTGAGGTCCTTTCAATGGCGGCGTTTCGAGCAAAGTGTCTACGCGGTATTGGCACCGGCAAGCATGGCGATGGTATGTACGGACGGGGTGTATGTGCATTTGCAGCATTGCATTGCTTGCGCACCCGTATTTCTGGCGATGAGGATTAAGTGTTTATTGGCTTATGGTTTGGTTTATTGGTCAATGCAATGCCTAGGCTTAGGTACTTGGTATTCTGAGGAATTCGAATTCATATTGAATCTTGCATCTTCATTTGCATTTTCTGCATTTGGAGATGTTTAGATCAAATCAATTTTTCTGTTTTTTGTTTTGGCTAGTGCTAGTGGATGTCTTGTCCTTTAATTCCGAATTTAGATCCCAGTCTCACTTGCTGGTTGGTTTAAGTTTGATGGCTAAATCTACTAATCTGTCATCAGTATATCGCCGTTTCTGTCAAATCCAAAGTCAATCATCGTAAGTTGCCAAGATTACCAAGCTTACCCCTCTATATTCATACGTCACTTCCAGTTCGTTAAGGTTCATCTGGGAGGGTCTTATTACGCAGCCCAGCCGCCAAAGGTGCTAAGGATGGTGGGGTAGCTACTGTAGACCACTCTGCTACTGTAGAGGTAGGTACGATACTGCTATTCTACCGCCATCCGTTGTCTTGGTATTTCTTTGTCACACCACACCAACCCGATCAGTTCTGGCCATCCCAGCTATTCTTTACCATCCCATCTCCATTTCTCGGATTTAGTGAGATCAAAGGCTAGGAATAGGAATGTCGCGTAAACGCCAAGATCAGTGGCGTTTTGACAGAATTGCGTGGTTTTTACAATATCCTGCTTAGAGATGGAGGGTATACGTAGTGGTAGAGTGCGTTCGGCTAAGGAAGTACATCCTCATTCCGCCTATCCTAGCACTGATCTTCTCTCTTACCTCGATACCAGGCAGCCTATCTCGAGATTTCCTTAAGGATTTACTTATCTAACATACTTACCTTTTTACTTACTTACCAAGGTTACCTAGCAATTCGAAGACAAGGGCGAGGCTATCAATGACTAACACACATCTCTTTATTCCTCATCTACTGGACCCAATTATCTAGACTTCATCTCAACTTGATCTATAAATAATATAGAATTTTCACCAATAAAGTGTGAAACATGTCTCTGACCGTCCTATCTGACGAGCAGATTCGATATTTGTTAGAGAATCTAAGCCATGAAGAGGCAGGAAGGTTTATGGAGACATTGCAAAATGCTCTTCATGAATACTCAACTGGTACACAGTCGATAGCTGATGGCGTTGTCCACCAACCCGAACGGACGTCGGTACATTCTAACACGACTGGTACAACCACACTGTTCATGCCATCGTATAGTACTCTTGGTCATGCAGTGAAGGGTACGTCCACCAATCTTAGAAAACAATTTAGAAATTCAACATCTCGAATCTTGGACCTAACGAAACTAATTAATTTATAGTTGTAACACTTTCATCACCATCAGCTGATCCCGCACTACCTGCTATTACGCCTACGGGGTCGGTGACCCTATACTCCCCTCAAGGACCACCTCTTGGCTTCCTTAACGCCAAGACCTTGACTGCATTTCGTACAGCCTTGGCCTCTTCTTGTCTTCTGATGAAACGGGCTTCAGTTCGTACTTTGACTGTCTTTGGTTCGGGTTTACAGGCATACTGGCATATCCGCTTGGCGCTGATGCTGCGCGGCGATACTATCCGTCAGGTATACATTATCAACCGCCGATTCAGCGAGAGTGCAAGGGATACGTTCAAGAAAATCTACGGTATACATACGGAGATTAAGCAGCGTGAAGGATGGGAAAAAGCACAATTCAGTCTCCTTACCCCTGGCTATGGAGAGTTTGATAGGCTGCAGAGGGACCACTTGAGAGCTGCAGACGTTATTTATTGCTGTACGCCGAGCACAAAGGACCTGTTTGACGCGAGCATCCTCACAAGCCACGAGGGGCGTAGAAAAGGCAGATTGATCGTGGCGGTCGGGAGTTACACACCACAGATGCATGAACTGCCTCGAGAATTGCTACTCCAGGCCACCAAAAACCATGTACCGGGCCATCTCCACTATCACAAACATGCGACCGAAGGAGGAGTAATAGTCGTCGACACATTAGACGGTGCACTGAAAGAGGCAGGCGAAATCATCGAGGCTGGTCTAGAGCCTAAGCAGCTCGTCGAGTAAGTCCTAAAAACATATCCCGGTGTCTTATGAAACGAACATAGAGAAGGCTAACAAGTAGCAGACTAGGTGAATTAGTCATGATCCACAGACTCGCTAAGGAAGAGGAAGAGGAATCGCTTGCCTCCCAAAGTTCTACTGAAACATCTTCCATAAACGACTCTCTTGAGAAACTCGATATCACATCGTCTGGTACCGCCATGTCCACCGTGTTCGGTTCCGAATCCGGCAGCGGAAGCAAGCGTTCGTGCTCCCGAAGCCCGAGCCGGCGTGGAAGTAGCAGCGGCCAGTCACGTCCCTCCTACCACCGCCGTAGTTCGAGTCAGCTAGTTTCCGAGGACCAGGAACATAAGAAGTCACAGCCACAAAGCCGCGATAATCATCTGTCTCGCTGGCTCTCCGTTGGCAATGTCATATACAAGAGCGTAGGGCTAGGACTCATGGACCTCGTGGTCGGGTTCGAAATCGTACGATTGGCGAAGGAGAGGGATCTGGGCAGCCATGTCGAGGGATTCTCTTCGTAGTACGGAGAGAACACCCGTCCCCCGCTGGCACATATAATGAGTGACCTGGAACTACTTCCGGTATGTCGTTGCGGCAAGGGCCAAAGTCAGCGGCAGCGGCGAATGTCACATTGATTTCGATACCTACAGCCGCGGAATAAGTTTTGGAGCGTATATTCAGTACCAAGATAAACGATTTGTATTCTAGAGACGGAAGACAGCAGGACAGACCGTATTGGCATATATGTATTTGGTATGATACGATTTGATACGATACACATACTAAACGCCGCGCGGATATATAATGTACACAAATGCTATCTGACCGCCGTCCCCAATCATGACCATAGCCATGATGTCGTGTGTGACGGTATATATATGCATATCAGGACTCTAGACGAGTCTTCCCGTATCCAAAATGGTTGTAAGTAGTACACATCGATGTTGCACAGTACTTTTCAAATCCCCGGCATCCCTCGCTCTGAGCAAAGTTGTCTCTTAGGTACCTAGGCGCCTTACTCGGCAACCCAGACAGCAGCCATACCCATACCCGTACCAATACACATACTCGTAACCCCGACCTTCTGCCCCCGGCGTCTGAGCTCATAGAGCAGGGTGCTCACCTGGCGCGCGCCGGTACACCCGAGGGGATGGCCGAAGGCGATGGCGCCGCCCTTGGGGTTGATCTTCTCCTGCGGGATGCCGAGCTCGTTCGCGCACCACAGACACTGCGACGCGAAGGCCTCGTTGATCTCGAAGATGTCGACGTCGTCTTTCGTCAACCCGCCCGCGAGCTCGAAGGCCTTCGGGATCGCTTTCCACGGCCCGAGACCCATTAATAAAGGCTTCACGCCGACGATGCTGGCTGCGACGTATTTACCCAGGATGGTTTGCCCGAGACGCTCCGCTGTGGATCGCTTCATTAGGAGAACGGCGGCGGCGCCGTCGGAAATTTGGGATGCGTTGCCTGCGTGGATCGACCCGTTCTCTGCGAACGCGGGGCGGATCTTGCCGAGCGATTCGGCGGTGATGCCGGGGCGCACGCCGTCGTCTTTGGATACGGTGATTGTCTTGGTCTCGCCGCTCTTCGGGTCGGTGAATTGCACTGATAGCGGGTGGATCTCCTCGTCGAAGAGACCGGCTTGTTGGGCCTTGAGCGCCTTTTGGTAAGATGAGGCGGCGAAGGCGTCTTGGTCGGCGCGCTTGATGTTGCGGTCGCGCGCCATGTCTTCGGATAGAACGCCCATGGGCACTTTGCAGTTGGCGGCTTCGGGGTGAGATTCGAGGAGCTCGGAGAACTCGGTTACGGCGTTGGGACTGTTTGAATTTCTCGTTAGTTTAAGGGAGTTGACGAATTGGGTGAGTCCGGGAAGCTATGGAGCAGAAAGGTGGTGGGGGAAAAGCGACTTACCCGTATTGCAAGCTCATGCTCTCAACACCGGCACCAATGCCGACTTCGATCATGCCAGCGCGGATCTGGTTCGCAACGTCGACACACGCCTGCAAGCCCGAGGAGCATTGACGGTTGAGTGTACGGACGGCGGTACTCTCGGGAAAACCAGCGACGAGAGCGGCAGCCCGCATCTCTGTGGCGCCGCCACCAGGGGCTAGGACCTCACCGACACAGACATCCTCGACTAGTGCCGGGTTGATCTTAGAACGCTCTAGGAGTCCCTTCAACGCACCCGCCATTAGGTCGGCTGCCTGCGTATCCTTGAACCCGCCCTTGCCACCTTTCGTGAAAGCCGTTCGAAGACATGCTGTTACCACGATCTATATTCACCCGATAGTATTAGCTTCTGCTGGTTGGATGTTTCGGTCGTGTTAGAAAGTGGTAGTTGGGACTTACGTCGTCCGGGCTCTTCTGAAGGATCTTATCCCGTGCGGATTTGGAACCAGCGATCTGGCCGGAGATTTGTGTTAATCGGTCGATTGCTGTTGTTTGGTCTTGTCAGCTGTTATTTCCGCGAGTAACTACCGACTCTGTTGGAGCTGAGATAGGTAAGTACTTACCGCCCATTGTGATTGTTTCTCCTTTAGGCTGTGATATTGGTATTAAGGTAGTATTGAAATGGCGTAGATGTGACTGGTTGATATATAATCTTGTAGAAAGAGTTTGGAAGGTTCGTAGAGTTTATGATTACATTAAGAAGGAATAGGTAGGTATGTAATCTGTCATGCTGCATGCTTGAGCAGTTACCTCGGATGCATGGGTCTACTTTTCGCTTGTAGATATCCGGTACCAGTCGAAAGTTCCAATGCGCTAACCATTCGCGCTGATGTCAGTAGGGTCCACTATAAACCGGCCGAGGCACATGCCGGAAGCTCTTGCTTTCTTCTTTAGCGTTGTATTTTCCACAGCGTTCTTCATTCACATGCCAACCTGCCCCAGACTTTTCTCCGACTTCTCCAACTGTACTATGTAGCACAAGGGACTTCCCCAACTTTCTAGCCGTGATTCGTTAGAGATCTTTAATGTCTCCGTGACCAATGTGACGTACATACATTTTCATAAGATCTTCAGATGAATTATAAATACATAGTCCTGGACTTGAATGATCTTAATGGCCGAGCTTAACGGATCTAGACACGATACCGGCTATGTCGAGGTTAAAGAATCTAGAACCTGCCAGTACCCAAGCTTTCTCAAGTTCCTTCACAATCTTAAGGATAATTCTCTATGTGCAGTCCGTGGGCTGGAATGAATATACCGCTGAAGAAAAAAGTAAGGGTATGAAACCGGTGTAAGAGCCATGATATTCTGATGGTCACTATTGGATGTCCTACATAACTGTCTCAAGCCTTCGTTGCGCCATTCCGTCATTGCGCATTCATCCCTTACTCGATCATCACCCCAACAACTCACCAAATACTCGGTATGACAGAAGCAACGAAAATATGCCAAACTATTATGATAACTGATAACAAAAGGAATACCATCAAAGACCCAAATAGCGAAATCAACCAAGGCGGGATATAATTGCATACGATTCATTATGAACCTATAACCATGACTGTGCCCTAATAACCAACCCTATGCATCCTCTAAGCCCAGATTTTATGTAAAGGTATCCTATGTATTCATCCGCCGTCGTGAGATTCCGATCTTCAAATAATTTCAAGTAATGACCATTATATAAATATGTGTATGTGTGTACGTATGTACGTGTATATGTGAATATGGTATCGATATCAAAGGTAGGTTAGGTAGATTAAGCGAAAGATTCCCGAGTGTTGACTCGGTCGATATCGTACGGGTTTCCCTCGTAGGTCCTACTCCTCGTTTGAGTGAGGCTGTGATGGTGGCTGGTAGCCACGGAACTCGACCGTCTACGTGGTCTAATAATAGAAGCCGTCTGCACCTCGTAGCCAGACTCTCCTGTGCTTGTGTCTCTGTCGGCTGTCTTTTCCTCCTCCTCTTGCTCTTCGGACTCTTCGCGTCCGGAACTGGCCTGCGCGTCTTGCAGCTTCTCGACGAAGGCGGCGGACTGGGCCGCGTACTTGCACCGCTTGCGGATGGCCGGCCCGTACTTGTAGAAGAGGAACGGGAACGGGACGCAGATGAGTGCGAGGAAGGCGGGGATCGTCGACGCCCAGTGAATACCGAGGTTGGCGTACATGTAGCTTGTAAATAAGGGGAAGGCCGCACCGAATAGCGAACGAAGGACAGAGTTGGCAGCCAGGACGGACGCGGCGAAAATGGTGTAAGAGTCGATGAGGTAGTTCATGATACTCAAGAAGACCAGAACCATTCCGAACCCAAACGGAACACCAGCCGCGATACTAGCCATCCAGTGTATGGACGGAGAATTGGTCCACGCGAACCAGAAAAGTCCAATAGGCAGGAATATACATCCTACCAACGTCGGCGGAAGTCGAGCTTCGGGGGGAGCGAAACCGCCGTGTTCCTGCTGCACTCTGATATATCTCTTATTGTCGGGGAAGGTATACGCAATCGCGAAGAGCATGCCGACCAATATTCCCAAGAACGCAAGACCGCCAATTCCGGCACTCCATCCTCGGGACTGCTGGTATACGATGGGGAAAGCTGCGAAAAGCATGTATAGGGTTCCGTAGATAATAGCCTATTAAACCGTCAGCTTCATTACGTAAAGGCCATGGATATGAACATGGAAATAAACAAATTGACAGATTTATAACGTACCATGTAGAGCGACATGAGAAACACAATAGGCTCCTGGAACAGCAGAATCCACGGCCGCGAAAGCGCCACCTTGAACGACTCGCCCAGCGACACGCGTCCCTGATCGCGATCAATGGCGCTGATGTAATGCTTCCCAGTCATCTGCGACAGCTTCGCGGCGCGTTTGCGCAAGAGGACCGGCGCGTACGTTTCCGGCACGAGGAGCGCTCCCAGGATCCACAGCGCGCCAGAAAACGCGGCGAGGAAACCCATAACCCATCGCCAGCCGGCGCCAATGCCCAGGAAGCCGCCAATGATGGGACCGAGCACGGGACCGAGGAAAGGCGCGGCGGCGAAGACGGCCATGGCTTGTCCGCGCTCGGAGGCGGGAAACATGTCGGCGATGACGCCACCGGCGTTAGTCAGCGGCGAGGAGCCGAACGCGCCGGCGAAGAATCGGAGGATAAGCAGGGTCTCGACGTTCTGCGCGCCCGCGCACCCGGCGTTGAAAGCGGTGAGGGCGCCGTAGGTGACGAAGAACAGGACCTGGCGACCGAAGAGCTCGGAAAGGGGGGCCCATAGTAAAGGACCGACGGCGAAGCCTACGACGAAGAGGGAGACGCCGAGGATGGCGACCTCGGAGCTGATGTGGAAGGCTTTGATGATCTCGGCGACGCCGCCGGAGTATGCTGAGGAGACGAGGGCGACGGCGAGGGTGGCGATGGCGACGACGATGGTGATAGACCAGCGCGTGAACACGCTGAAGTTCATCGGGTTACGCGGGTCGTCGGGGATCCATTTTACTAGGTACGGGTCGCTTTCTGTCCCTGATCCTTCGTATTCGTAGTTTCTGACCTCAGGCGTGATGCCGGCCTGGTCGACGACCAAGCGCCAACGAGGCAACGTCACGCTCATTTTTTTCGGTTTTCCTTTTCTTTCGCGCGCAATCTCCCCCTCGCTTTCTGCTCTATTAGCTTGTGTTAAATTTCCGGCGACCAAGAATTGGTTAGTAGGTCGTCTGGCTTTGTTGGTCGTATTCCTAGATGGGACTCTCCGGCGAAGAATGAAAAGTTAGGTGCGAAGGAAATGAAATTCCTAATTTCTGGGCAGAACTGGCATTCATTTATGATTTATGAGTCAAGTAGGATCGAGCTATATTGAGAGCATAAGATTATGCGGCTCAAAGTTGGGTAATTATGATGGAATGAACCGCGATCCGAGTCGGATGATGCGAATTCATGGTGAGAAACTACTGGGTTACTAGCTAGTGTAAGGGTTCATAACTCGGACGGTCGGTTTTGTTGACTTGATTATCTGGAATGCTCCATAGCTGAATACTAGTTGACGGCGTTTGCGTTAGGCTTGTGTAGCTGTCGAGTTTTTTTTTTTTTTCTCAATTTGACCTACCGGATCGGGAACGAGCCGTACTAACCCTTTATGAAAACAGTTATGCAGTTTGATTGAGTCGTTGGTGGAGACAAAGAGATGATGGTGTGTGAATGTAGGCGGATATAAAAGCTCTCTAACTCCAGCTTATCAACCTAAGCATTTGCTAAGATTGTCCGGCAAAAATAGGCCGTAAAGAATAGTTGGGACCTTTGGTGATAACCCGAAAAGGAGTCGTCTGTACTATATTTTTAACCAAGATCTGGTATCAACGGGTTACATACAGATCTGTACCTAGTATCATCTCGGATGAGCTAACCAACTAGCAAGGGTCACTTGCCTTTAGTATGACAAATTTAACGGGCAGGATTTCGCGTATCTTTTCAAGTTTTGTTTTGTTAGATTCCTTCGTTGCTGAGCTATTCTATTTCGGACTCTATACCTCGGCATGTATAATTTATACTGTTTGTTTGATCGATCAAACTACTCTGTAGTCTATCCATGAGTTTCACTTTGAAGCTCTTCTCTTTTAGTTATTTGTCCTTAGGCTGAAGAGTTTTGATTCGATACTGTATCCGTCACTGTATCTATCACTGTATACCTAGGTAGGTATCTTGAAATAAGTCTTCTAAAAAGTCTTCGGGGTTTCCGGGTCGGGCTTACTAGGTATCTTCTTCCGTTGTCGAACGGGATAACCCAATGCCGACCCGATTCCCGATTCCCGATGATGGTACGGCCGCGAGACTGGAGTTAGATGTAAGCGGCCGAGACGTACATAAAGGGGCTTGGGCAGAAATATGGTCATCTGAATGACTCAACGCCGTAGATGTCTAACACCATGTTCCCGGAGTAATAACCCAATGGTCTCTTGGTAAATGTCCGTAATGCTATCAATCGTGGGCAGATGAATTCTATTTCCCCCTTAAATCTCTAGAAACACTGTCAGCTTAGTTTCCAAGGTTCTCACTTACGACATCGCCTTGCTTATTACTAGCTTCGCCCCTTCAATGTTGGAATACGCGTAAAGCTTTAGGGTTAAATGACATCGCCGCACCCGGTCAAACCATTTGTTTCTTGGCCGTCACGCCCTTTTTGCGCCCCGTTCCCCGTTCCCCGTTTATGTCGGGTTTGCTAGGACTTGATCCTTGGTCTTGCATGACCTTGCATGGCCGGCTTTCGTTCGTTGTTTAGTAATAGTAGATCCATAGTCGCTATTCCTTAAGCTGATCGCGGACGTCTCTCGCGTTTATTCCGTGCGACTGCGACGTTGAGTGACCTCTCTTGAATGAGCGGCATTTGCTCGGCAGCCTCAAGTCTTCATCAAACTGTCGAATGGATGTGCCCGAACTATAAACCAAGAAACAAGCCTGACCTTGCGTGAGCAATCATCCCTGGCGTCGTTCCCGGTGCGGTGGTTCATGGCGTAATCTGAGACCCGGAACTAACCGAAATCTTTAAGTATCGCCGAGTCCTTGTATCCTAATCATATTCTGAGCTGTCATATTCTTTCCCTTAAAGCTGTACGCCCAATTCAGTTGTGACGTTGCTTTTCTGCATGCGAAGTTACTATCTTCTGGTTGAGTCTCATCCGTGCTCGCTGTTTAAGAGAGAGAACACTCACGTTACACCGAGGACCGAGGTGTGTATAGTTGCTGACATATCCGATCGTATTGAAAAAGTCTATGGGAAAGAAACAAACATACCTGGATAAACAACGGAAGGGTACGAAGGCCTTGCCGTATGGACTGAAGAAAAATGCAAGGGATAGATAATCTTTTCCGGCATCTCGGGTTCGGCGTCGTTTCCTTAGCAACCCTTTTTCTTCTCCGCGGATGTTATCAATGTGTTCTTAATCTCGTTTCACGCCTTCGAATTGCTGATGCGATAATTGAAGCTTTTACTCATGATAGCCATCCAGGCCATCTCGCCCTTTGCGGCAGTGATAAATTGGGATATAAACCATCTGCTAAAATTTTTATAGGTAGGTACCTAAGTTTAGGAATGATACTTGAACTCTACCTACGACACCCAACATGTGTCTCCCCTTTAAAAAGGATCAAGATATCCTCATCTTATGAGTGGAAATGGCGAATATTTATTCGTACGCTTCGATAACATGTTCGGTGAAGGTAGGCATAGTCGTTGTTGTTCTATTAGAAGTTGATGAAAGAGGTCGTGACCCGAGACGATGTAAGCACTAGGACCTTTCTTTTATACGCCCTTCTATTCTCACCAACCCCTGACTGAGTACACAGTTCTGGAGCTAACAGACCCCATCCGTTGGTATGCTATAGGCTACTACATCAACGGAAGCCAATAAAAATGAGCGGTTGTGGCAGGATAATGTGAATAGGGTTTTATAGGACAGGTAAAATAAAAGGAATGACCACCGCGCAAAAGAGGAGAAAAAGGAATCTGTTACCTACCTAGCCAAAGACTCTAGCTACTCATTTACTCATCGTCGGTTTGGACTCTCGGTCGGTATAAGACGAAAGTTTAAACCACCATGGCCGCGACTATCCTCATAACAGGGGCCTCCGGGCTAATCGGCTTCCGGGTCCTCCTCTCCGCCCTCGCCGCCGGGCATAACGTGCGCTACACGGTGCGATCCGAAGAGAAAGCCCGTGTCGTCTTTTCGAACCCAGCGGTGCAAAAGCTAGCTCCCGGCGATCGCCTCTCCCCCGCCATTATCTCCGATTTTAGCGCTGACGGCGCCTTCGACTCTGCGCTGCGGGGAGTAACCCATATCGTCCATGCTGGCTCGCCAGTTCCAGTCCCCACATACGACCCGACGACGGAAGTCTTCGAACCCACGGTGAAGATCACATCAGGTCTGCTCGCCTCCGCACTCAAGACACCGACCGTCCAGCGCGTCATCATCACCTCGTCAATCGTCGCGAACCTCGGGCTCGTACCACCCTCTACCCCCGTAACCGCCTCAACGCGCATCCCGCTACCCACTCCCATCCCGTCTACCTTCAGTGATGTCTTCGAGGGATACATAACAGGCAAGATAGTCGAACTGCACAACACAGACGAATTCGCCAAGACGCGCGCCCCGCACTTCACCATCGCGCACGTAATCCCCGGGTACGTCTTCGGGCGCAACGGGCTCGCGCTCGACGCAGCGATGATGCAGACGCAGAACAGCTCGAACAATTTCCTGATGATGGGGATGGTCGGCGGGGAGTTACCGTTCCCGATTCACGGCGGCTTCGTGCACATCGACGACCTAGCTGACCTGCATCTCCGCATTCTCTTCCACGAGCCTAAGGCCGCGGGGAAAGTGGAAGATTTCGGCGTCGCGACGAAGGTGGACTACGGGTCGATATTTGAGCACGTCGCGACGGCGTTCCCGAAGGCCGTTGAGGCCGGGGTGTTTAAACGAGGTAAGGTGCCCACGTTGCCCGCTAACTACAAGTCGAGCGACGTTGAGGAGCTGCTAGGAAGGAAGTTGAGGACGTTTGATACTGCGGTGGTGGATGTCGCGAGCCAGTATCTAGAGACGCTGGGGAAGGATAAAGCTTGAGATGTTGGATGCGGAAGTATTCCCAGTTGCATACCCGTAAGTAACCTGTCCCAATGGGGTAACATAATGCTACCGTGGTGTGTAGCATTACCAGGTGCCCCATATATCGTTTCTCTACTTCGGTAATCGAAGGCATTGCTTGGCTACATTCATGGTAGGCAGGCAAGGACGGAAGTATGCAGGTTGATTGAAACAGTGAAAATCTAGTGGCTACAAACGACCCGGCATCTGAATAATTAGTGATTAGTTATCAAATATTGCTTCAACCAAGTCAACGACCGGCCAACGATCACTGAAATATTGACGTTGTGTAACCATGTTGGAGCTACATTAGATAGGGTGCACATATATCACCTCTATTCTATGCCAGTGCTCCCTTTTACTTTCGATACCTGGCTATAAAGGATGCTGGGCTGTACGAGAGGAGGGGGAAGGGGGATAGTGGATGTATCTATCGTTCCTTTTTATCTAATATACCGCCACGGCCATTGTTGAATACGACTACATTATTCGGTAGAAGCCATGTCGCTTCTATCAGGTCTCGCAGATTTGATCGGATCCTCTACCGCATTTTTTCTTCTTGTCCTCGCCTGGTATGTAACCTCAGCTGTTTATTCATGGTACCGTCTTCGCCATGTACCGGGCCCGTTCCTGGCATCATTTTCGTACCTGTGGCTAGCTTACTATGCTTTGAGCGGCAAACAGCTTGAGATCATCGATTATATCGGCAAGAAGTACGGTTCGCTCATTCGACTCGGCCCCAACGTGCTCTTATCGGACGATCCAGAAGTCATAAAGTCCTTGTCGAGTGCGAAGAGCAAGTATAAGAAGTCGACCTGGTACCTTGGGAGTCGCTTCAATCCGTACCATACAACTATGTTCATAACGCTGGACCCGATAGCTCACGACAAGACCAAGGCTCAGGTTTGGCCTGGATATAGTGGCCGCGATAATCCCAATTACGAGTCTGACATCGACTCTCAAATTAGCAATTTCGTTAGCATCATTCGGAAGAGATATATCACAATAGCGGGTGTAGGGGGATACCGCCCCTTGAATTTAGCGCAGACCGTTTCGTACTTCACCATAGATGTTATATCAAAGTTGTCAATAGGACAAGAATTCGGATGTCTGGAAACCGAAACGGACCGTCATGGATTCATCGAAACCACCCACAAACAACTTCTCCTGATAGCTATAGCACAGGATGTGCCCTTAGTTCGGAATATTGCCTACTCAACACTCGGGTTGAAGATTTGGGGACCCAAGGAAACCGACAAAAAAGGGCTAGGGAGAATTATGCAGTAAGTTATCCGAGTTCTGATATGCTCAGCGTATTTGATTCGTGATCTCCTGTTGAGACTAGACTTGTAGCATAGCAAACGAGGCCGTACGAAAGCACTTCAAACCGGATGCAGATAAGGATGATAAAGCCGTGTTAGTAAGTTTTTCAATGGTGACGACGAGACGTTTTCTTCATCGCATGATCAAGACGCATAGATGGCTGACGTTTACGCGTGTGGAAGGCCTCGTTTATGAGACATGGTCTAACGCAGCCTCAATGTGAAGTAGAGTCAATCTTCATGTTTGTGGCTGGCTCCGATACAACCGCATCTGCGATCCGGGCTACACTGCTGCATATCTTTTCGATACCGCGGGTATACCAGCGTTTGAAAGATGAGATAAGATCAGCTGTCGTAGAGGGAGGGGTATCGCATCCTATTACACAAGCGGAGGCTAGAGAGTTGCCATACCTCCAGGTTAGTCTATCCAGGTGGGCGCATTGCCATGTCTCACTAGTTGACGAGGTAAAAACAGGGTGTAATTTACGAAGGCTTGCGGATACGCCCCGTGACGACTGCCATGATAGCCAAAGAAGTGCCTCCCGAGGGCGACACGATTAATGGCAAATTCATTCCCGGGGGAATGATAGTCGGTTCAAATTTCCAGTCACTTCTGCGCTCAAAGGTTTTGTTCGGTGAAGATTCGGACATGTTTCGACCAGAAAGATTCCTGGAACTCGACCAGAAAGCTCGCGCTGAAATGGAGCGGAATGTCGAACTTTCTTTCGGGTACGGCAGATGGATGTGTGCCGGAAAGCCTATTGCATTCATGGAATTGAATAAGATCTTCTTCGAGGTACGTGTTTACCCCATTCCTTAGGTACCTAGCCAAGCCCCTATTCTGTTAAGAGTATGGCTTACTTAGAACGTAGTTGCTGCGAAATTTCGACTTTCAGCTTGTAAATCCTCAGAAACCGATGACTACTGCTAGTTATGGTCTTTACATTGATGAAGGACTCGTTGTAAGAGTGACGGAATCTGATATTGCTCATTGATTTTGGTGATAATTGATGAATGATTAGTACTACAAGTTGGAAGTTTCAATGATGGGATGCATTCCTATTAGTCATATGTGGATGAGAGGTGGTAGCTTCCAGGTTAGTGACCTGTTAGTGACCTATTTTATAGGTGTTGGTAATAAAAAATAGAGTTACTCCAACTCTGTGTAACGCCTCCACTTCTGCACTTATAGCACTTGCACTTCCGCCTCCCACATCCGCCTTTCCCCTCCTACATCCGTACTACCCCTCGGAGATAGTTTCACCCCGCATAAGTGATTACAAGGTAAGATCAACGTTGATGATGTAGCTGGTGTTGCCGTGGGATTCAGATTCCCCCTCAATCTGTAATACCCCAAGTTTTCCTTTCATCTTTTCATTATATGAGGCGATATTGAACGAGATCTATCGTCTTCTACGCATGAACAGCTTTATGAAGAAGCAAGTCGCGTTATTCTAAGTATGGCCGTGTTTCTATATATAACCACTATTGTGGTTGGTATACTCTCTGCCTTTCTATATTCTCCCCTCAAACGTGAAGCTTTGATTCTGGGGGTTTTGCGACCACTGAGCTCATGGGAAAAAGTCCATGGGATTGAGAACCGTGTAATCGAAGACACTGTTGCTTGTGAGGATCTACACTACCATGAACCGTCTGGCCTTCTGTATTCAGCATGCATGGATGATATGAAAAAAGCATCAGGTTGGTTTCCGGGGTATGTACAACCAAGTAAGTACCGGAAGTGGGAGGATTGACTAATGCGTAATATATAGGTCTGGCACGTTCGATCATCCTGAGAACCCTAGTTTTGGGACGCTGGTGGTGATAGATTCGAAGGTGAGTTATGAAGATACTCGTTATTTATAATGAGTATACCTAAGTATTCCTCATATTATATGGCATACTTACGTTGTTCTCCCAGACTATGAAGACGACAAAGCTTTCCCTTGCGGGCTTTCCATATCCAGTATTCGTAACTCACGGAATAAGCATCTACAGTCATCCCTCAGATAACAAGACCGTTTTTATATTCGCTGTGAATCATCATCCCAACCAAATTCAGTCATCAGCTGCGCCAGAGCAGCCTAAGGCAGACTCGCGGGTTGAGTTGTTCATACATACCGTGGGGAGTGACACGGCAAAGCATCTACGCTCTATTTCGCACCCCTTAATTAGGACACCTAACGACCTTCTCGCTTTATCTGACAAGGAGTTTCTAGTCACCAACTGCCATTACTACCGTGATGGGTTGATGCGCTTCGTGGAGGACTTAAGTCACATAGCATGGACTGATATCATACATGTGAATATCGACGGTGACAACGTTACTGCTACAGCTATCCTCAACTCAATCGGCACAAACAATGGTTTGGGCTGGGGTCCGAATGAGCAGGTTCTGATCGGGGATGCCACCGGCGGAAACCTCTACTTCGCAGGATTAGTGGTAGAGAACAAGACTCTATCGGTTTCCCATTACGTATCCGCAGATGGCATCGTCGATAACCCGAGCTTCTTTTCTGACCCGTACACCGAGTTTGACGGAAAGGATTATAGCGGGTATATTCTACCTGGACTTGGGCGTCCGATCGATTTGGCCGTGAGTTTTAGAGATCCTACGGGGAAAGCCCCTATCCCAAGCCTTGTCTGGTTTGTACCGGCAAGTGCGGGAAAGAAAGGAGAAGGTAGTGACAAACAGGCAAGGCTCTTGTTTTCGGACGACGGAAGCTCATTAAGGGGCGTCACGACAGCAGTGATGGTCGCTATTGATCCTGCAACCAATGACGGTAAAAGAGAAGGATGGCTATTCTTAACCGGAGTCGTAGCGCCAAATATGCTAGCTACAAAGATCGACTTCGCTACTATTTTGTCGTAAAATAGTTGGATAACGGCTGGATTTGTGACGGGGTAGGTACAGAGTAGATTGACGAAGGATGCTGTCGCTTACCCCTATTTCTTATTGGCATGTTCTGAGTATGGTGGGGATATAGGTACTATGGAGTATTGCAGAGAGACGCTTGGATGTATGACTTACTAAGTTAAATGTTGAAATAAGCATCATGTGTGTCTGACGTGCATGTGTTTAATCCATTGGTGCTGAGTCACTGACTCATGAGCCGCAACTTTTGACAACATTGAACCCGCAAATCCTGATGAATTTCGCGATTGGTGCGAGATCTTGGAGTAAACAGGCTAAATTCGCACTGCGTGGCGTTTCCCCCCGGTCCTTAGGCCATAACGCCCACCCACTAGAAATTAAGCGGATAGATCACCTAGATCACCTAGATCACTAAATCTAACACAGTATTTGATAATTCCTCATTCTATCACTTACTGCCAGAGTTCTGTTTCGTGACACTTCTAAAGTTCCAAGGTTATTTCGAACAATACGATCTGAACCCTGCGCTTATTTCTCTGAGATAATATATTTTGTTGACGAAAGAGCTGGAAACTGAAAATCGGGTATTTATATCATGTTCTCATCTGGTTTGTCATAATTTCATGTCTTAGGCATTACCGTGCTACCAGCAGCAGATCAATAGCACGGATTGCCCTATGGATTGGACTGTATTGGCAGTCCTGGGGTATCGATAAGTCTCCTCTAAGTTATTTCTTATAGTGTGCTTAGCGCTATTAGGTACTCGCTAAGGCTTAGAACCTGGAAGGGATTGTAGCGTACACTACCTAACCACTGTCAACCCCGCGTTCAGCCGTGGTTCAGCTGTTGCTGAGTTACTGTCGAGCCTGTGCTAAGCCTAACTTAATAGGGGCTACAGTAGGTCGACGGCAGCTAATCAACCCCAGATATCCCGCGCCACATCTCGAACAAGTTCCAATTTATCCCACATCGTCTCCATCGTCATTCCTATACCCCCGGCCAAGCTACTGCTACTAAATCCACACTGAGGGCTAATGGCAAGGCATCCTATCGCTTCCTCCTTACTTATCCCCTGAGCCTTAGCGATGACTTCGGCAGCAGCAAACACCCTTTCTTTAATCGCGCTTGCGTCCTCTAGCTCGGGCGTCTTGGTTGAGACGAGACCTAGCACCACATTCTTGCCTTTGGGGAGGAACCGCAAAGGTTCGAAGCCACCGGCGCGCTCGAGATCGTCGAACTCGAGATAGTACGTCTGGTAGTCCGTCTCGTTGAAGAGCTTGTACGCGATCTTCTCGTAAGAGCCGGATACCCAATGCGTGGATCCGGACATGTTACCTCGGCAAAGATGCATTCCTGCGTGTAGGTCCGCCGGCTTGTTCGCCAAGAGCTGGTTATGAGTTCGCGTATAGAGGTCTAGCAGTTCATCCGTGTCTGTGCCGTCCTTTTTACACCCTTCGAGGAACTGGGAAGAGCAGAAGTATGTCAGATGTGGATCGTCCACCTGGATGTTGCAGAGACCTGCATCGTAAAGCGATTGAAGTTCCGCAGCATAACATTTGGCGAGGTCGTCAAAGTATTCTTGGTCTGAAGAATAGCCCGAGTCTTTGGTCCACGCAGTTCCGGGTTTGAGTTGGATATGCTGGTAGTTTGGTGCTGGAATGGTGAATTTGGCCTGAGACCATGATTCCTTAGGTAAGTTGCCGCGGAGTTCAAGCCATTCCGAGAGGTAAGGAGACTCCTTATACTCAATCTTGCCAGTACACATAACTGCGGCCCGAGTCTTTGCTCCCATCTTCGCAAGGCCCGTAGTTGTTGGAAAGTCGGTTCGGAATGCATCTGGAATCGGAAGATCCGGTTTGGCTTCAAAACCAGAGAGTTTTTCGAAGAAGCCCCCATAGTAGATATGGCGAGCATATTCGCCATCCGTGATGGGCCGAATGCCTTTCCGTAACTGCTCTTGGACTACTTCGCTAATTGCTTGCAGCTCCGCATCTTTGACCGACTGTGGGATGTCCAACGAATACATCTGAGAGGGGGAGGAAAGACATTTGCGGGCTTCTAGAAGCGACTGAGGCCTTAGCAGCGACCCAATGTGATCGGCTCTAAAAGGGGGGGCCATTTTCTATGTCGTCAAGTAGTGTGTTACCTAGTACTCAGTTAGCTCAAGTTTGATAGATGAAATTATAGAGACAGCATTGAGGTTTTCGATGATCCTTCAGAATACCCCCTCCTTTCGCTATAACTACCTGCCGATGCATTATGCTACCTACTCCGCATCTAACCCTTTCGTGTCATTGTCTCATCACTGTGGACCCATGGCCAATGATTATCTACACTTCAATTTGAATTCGTCTCCTTGAGATCTTTATTCATAACCGAAGTTCACTGTTTATTTCCCACTTCTACTTACCAACCGAGGTCAAAGTTTGAATGCTGAATCTGGTTGAAGGCTGTTTCGCTTAGCCTCGCATGTCTATAAGTTAGTGATATAATTAGGTTATATGATAGAATAAGAGGCTAGACTGGGTAGGAGTTAGGCCAAATTAATTTGTATATCTCGGGGGTCAAAGGTGTATGTTGCTTATTGTCTTCATGAGCTCGAAGGGATCTAGAAGGTTTTTATATTAAAAAGCTTCCGAAGTTAGATTGCATATGGATACATCGTAATATAACTCCTTTGTAGGTACTGTACCCCCCTGAATCAGAAATATAGGATTAGTGCTTGATATGACACCTCTAACCGTTACGTCATTGTCGTCATCGCTATTGTCGCTTGATTAGAAATTTCCATAATTAAAGTGCATCTCACTCCTATTGTCAACTAACGAGCATCGAAGCCCAAGATACCTACATAGTAGGTAGGTATCTAAACTCTCGCAACGTCACTCTAAAATATTATACTATATTCCTACTTGGTCCTTGAGTTTTGACAAATTCCAACTAATAACACCAACAATTGCCCTGTCGTCGTTGCCTATTGGTACTTGCGCCGACTTCATATCTGAGCTCGCTAGAGTTGTCTTAACCGCTGGCTATATACTGGATGAGGTCTGTGGCTATCCTAACCTAGGGATATACGATTAATGAAGTTGGAGGCTTCGAGCCAAGCCTTGGACCTTCCAACGTGACGTTATCGTCAGCGGAAGATTTATACGTACGAGAGTTAATATGACACGCGGTGTTTATTGTTTAGCGAATATACAGATATCTAATTACGTACGTTCACCTATGATGCGGCTGAATATTGAGACGAGGCAAAGACTCCAGCTAATACCAGATACCCAGGTTCCCAAAAGCTCATGCCGCCACGAAGAAGGGAGATGGCCTCTAATCATCCTAAGGTGGCATCATATGAGCTTCTCAAGCGACAGTCTTGACGCCACCTAGACAGAAAGGGGGACGAGACCGAGAGACGACAAGTATAAAGAGTAGCAGAATCACCCGTCGAGATGTTGAAGTCCAGCCCAGCAGAGTTCCATCGATATCGAAAACCACCTCCAAATCGCATTCGCAGATTCCCCAAGTCTTTACGACATAGCCAATCTCTCATTTCCTCAGAACTTCCTTAAAAAAGCCCATCATGCGCGCCTCAGCAATCATCCTCACAGCCATGACAACAGTAGCCATCAACGGCTACCAAGTCGACCCCAACCTTACCGACGGGGTCTACTTCATCCCCGCGCTGAACCTAACCGGCAGCGGAAAACTAACCCAGCACTTCGGGGCCCCCATGCGCGTCGGCGACATCAGCAACCCCCAAACCGGCAGCAGCTCGAAAGTCGAGTTCGACGTAGTGGGCGAAGTGCCCGTTCCAGCAGACTCGCACACGTGCTACGACGCGACGGAGAACGGGGTCGACCACATCGGGGCGCGCGACGCTTTGAAGAAGACGTGCAACGACGGGGCCTGGGTGCCGGGGTGGCGGGCAGAGCAATCGGGCATCATACTGGCGCGGTACGCGAGCTCGCTTGCCTTCGTGTGCAATTGGTCAACAAACACGCAGGCCTGCGCGCCCAACGAGATCGAGGATGCGTATACCCAGATCAGCAACAATTGCGACGGCGAGACTAAGGGCGGACATATCTGCGCGAGCAGTTGGAAGAAGTGCTATGGACACTCGACTGTTATGGGGGAGATCTGTGATAATGATGTTTAAGTCTCTTGAGTGGGATACTGTCGTCATTGGACCGGGGAGGGGAGAGTTGTTTCCTTGAGTTTTGATTTATTCTCTTCGCATTCCAACCAACATATTCAGGGGGGACGTGGGGGTCGAAAAATGATTTCTGATATCCGCGGAACACCCTCGTTCTAGAACCTCCGTTGGACACTTTGTTTTATGGTTAGAACATTCCATATATTCCAATCAAGGAGTATTTACACATACTAGAATATAGACAGGGGTGAATACCTAATTAACATACAAGAATTTGGAGTACAAGAGCCTCACCGTTCTGACATACAAGCTGTCTAGTTCGAGATCATGTCATTTTCGCATTGTACCCAAGTAATTGCGCGGTGATGGCAGTGGAAAAAGGTTAGCCAAGGGTTTAACGAACCGACATTCAGATACCCATCACATCTCAAATTCTCTATTTACATATGGTGATATTAATAACAGCCATTTGGAATATCAGCCAAGGTTATTTTGCGAGGATGTTGTAGAGAGTGCAGCCAACTCCTCGGATTCGATGCGGTGAAGGTCACGCACGTCGCAACGCCGTAAAGTTGCATGGAGCTGTGCCTTCTCCTCGGTTGTTAGTAATGTTAAACCCCGGATAACTTTAGATACATGCAATAATGTCGAGGTAACGAGCGTCATCAGTGCCGTTACCGATATATCAAATAATTTGATTACGTAGGATGGAAAAAAGAAACGTTGTGGATGGGTAATATTTATGACTCTTTGTAGACTCGGTATAGACATCCAATCATCATAAGATTGTCTAGTGCTGACTTTAAATCATCCAATATTCTGATAAAAATACTGCGTTGATATAGTCATCTCCGCTGCGCCAACATTCGGGACATTCGGTCTGACAACCGCGGAGAATATAGGTACCTAGGGAGCTGACCCCTGGAGAATGAAATGAAGGAATACCTATATATGACTAGAGATGAAACTCCAACCTTCCCTATTTTTTTAGTTTTATACCTATATAGCTAGAGATCGAACTTCGAATATGTACAATATGTCAGCTGAATCATATGACTTCGTTATCGTAGGGGGTGGAACGGCTGGGCTTACTCTTGCGACTCGGCTTTCAGAAGACCCTAATACGAGCATTCTTGTGCTAGAGGCTGGTTCTGACCATAACGAAGACCCACGAGTCAAGACACCAGCACTGTTTGGAAGCATGATGAATACCGACCTTCACTGGGGCTTCCAAACAAAACCTCAGGTACGTTGTTAGTGGTCTTCTGTCGGAACAACCTAGTACTAAATTATACCATAGGCAAATATGAATATGAGGAAGATGGACATCAGCCAGGTAAGTCCGATAACCTATGATTCCTTAAAATCAGGTGTTATGATCTCTCCAGCCCTTCAACTATTAGGATGAGGAATTCTGACCTTGAATGCTCATATAGGGCAGGATTCTTGGTGGCTCGAGTGCGGTAAATGCAGAAATCTTTCTTCCGCCGACCAAGAGGATAATCGACTCCTGGGCTTCGCTGGGAAACGATGGTTGGGATTGGGATGGATTTGGTCGATACTACGCCAAAGTATTCACCTCCCCGCCGATACCAGAGGCTTCAAGAAAGAGTCTGGGTATTGACGGATGGTCTACCAACAATAATACTTCCACTGGGCCGCTTAAATCCTCGTTCCCCGGTAATCCACGGCACCCCATTCGTAAGGCCTGGGCAGAGACTTTCAAAAGCATGGGGTATCTCATGGAAAATGACCCCTTTGCAGACCCATCGATGGGAGTGGGCGCCTTCAGCAACCTCGCAAGTATAGATCCTGTGCGAAAGGAGCGAAGTCATGCTGCTAACGCATATTACGACCCAATTAAGGACCGGAAGAACCTTCATGTTATAACTAATGCTCTAGCTGAAAAGGTTCTTTTTCAGGGTCATTCGACAACGGCTACAGGGGTCCAATATCGACACGGGTCCGAAACGAGGATTGCCAAGGCTCGTAAGGAGGTCATTCTTGCAGCCGGTGCTTTGCAAACCCCTAAGCTATTGGAACTGTCTGGCGTCGGAAATGCGGATGTTATTAAGCCGCACGATATCGACGTTGTGAAGCACATAGAGACTGTCGGAGAAAACCTTCAGGACCATCTGCTTTGTGGTATGGTGTTCGAGGCAAATGATGACATAGAAACTCTTGACGTACTTCTTGAACCCAAGGACTTAGGGAAGGCCATGAATGAGTACGCGACTAACAAAACGGGCCCGCTCACAACCTGCGGTATCCAAACGAGCGCCTATATGCCAGTAATCAAGCACCAGTCGCAGGCAGGTCACAAGACACTGGAAGATCTGCTAAACAGGAACCGTCCTGCTGCTGGTGACTTTTTGGACCAGAGCCAAAGTCGAGCGACGGCTTATTATGAAATAGCCGAGAAGACCCTGCTGGACCCAAAAGCACCGTCGGCTGCTTACATCACATCTCTTGTGCAGGGTGGTTTGGCGCCCGACCCACTTACTGGAAAGCCATCGCCGCCGGTGCCTGGTAGATATATCGACTTCATTGCCATACTCGCCCAGCCCCTTTCCAGAGGAAGTGTGCATATCGCGTCCAATGATATATCAGAGGGTCCTATTATTGACCCCAAGTACTTGACAAATCCTGTGGATCTTGATATTTTCGCCGAGCATGTACTTTCTCTCCACACCCTCGCTGCATCGGAGCCCCTAACAGCCCTACTCAAACAACCGCTAAATATATCTCCTTCGGCAGCTAGGTTTACCGATTTGGATGCTGCGAAGGAGTATATCAAGTCTCGGACTATCTCGATGTGGCATCCCGCGGGGACGTGTGCGATGCTTCCGGAGAGCAAGGGAGGTGTCGTCGATAACAAACTAAAAGTCTACGGGGTTGAAAAGCTTCGAGTTATTGATGCTAGCGTTGTTCCCTTACTTCCTCCTGGCAACCTGCAATCAACGGTGTATGCGATTGCGGAAAAGGCGGCTGATTTGATCAAGCGGGAATATGGATTGAACCAAGCTGATTAGATGACCCAATTTGTACGAAGTATGTAGAATGAGAAAACATCAATCATTGATCTGTTGAGATTCCGATGCATTGGAGCCTGAGGTACCTAGCTGCCATTGTAAAGATAGCCGCTGGAACGTAGGTGGGCATGCTAATGGATTATTTTAGTACCTAGAAACGTCGCCCGAAAACGCCCTAAACCTTCAGCTACTGGCAGCCATTAAACCCCGCAAAAATGTTACCGATCGAGGAGCGGAATGAGCGTGATTTCATAGCTTCAGCTGTTCTAGGGTCAAACACAGGCCAACAGCGGCCAACATTGTCCACTGCGACCTCATCGGTCTCTTGTGTCGGAAGGCAATAATAGTGACCCAACACACAGTGGCGCCCTCTACCAACAGGGCGACAACCCGGGTAGGCTTATAGATACAGCATGAACCGATCGCGAATCGTAGTAAGGCACTCACATAGCCAACCTGCCTTGGAGTTAGACGCCCATTGGATAACTTCGACTTCTGGCGCTGAGCCGGTAATGGGACCCCAACGAAAGGCAGCGTAGAAGCGATGAATAGGGAACCGTAGGTAGTAGAGATTACGTCCGACCAGGTATTTATAGCCATACCTTATGAGAGAATGCGCCGAGCAGTGCCGTCGCGTTGTTTGTGAGAAAGAATTGATGACTGAGTAAGGTTACTAGGTAGTAGAGGGACCTGCAGGGTAAAAAGTGTAGGTTCTAAGATAATTCCTGCTAAGGTACCTAGTACCTAGGTAGATATTTAGGTAATGATATCACATGACAGTAGGGCTTAGCGTAACTTTTATAGTACTGTAATAGGTACCTACCAGGTACAACTAGGGCTTTGATTGGTCCTTCTCTAGAGTTGAACTTCTTTAGGGATCCCTTAAGACCTCTAGGCTCTTTAGCATCAAGAGGAGCCTAGCAATTCAACCTTCTCAACCCTTCTACATTTTTTTCTCAATTTGTCACTTACATATATGCATCACGCGAACATAGACGGTAAATCGAACACGATAGAAACTTACCAGTTTGTAGGTACCTAGTATTCAACTCAAAATGATTTTTGAAATAGTAAACATGTCAAGTACTCACCTATACCCATCTTCCATCTATGTAGTAGACTAGGCTCTTTTAAAACGCCAAGAGGGCTTCTTGACGTACAGCGCGCTGTTTCCAAAAGGCTCGCCGGCGATACCCCGTCTACCTAACCTACTAGCAAAATCATAGTATGGATGTTGACCTATACTCGCTCCTGGGATTGGGATAGGGTCATACTCAACCATCATTCTTCTAGTCCGGACAGAATCTATATCCCCTAAAGATACCCTCAAATCCGGGTCTATATCGAGCTCTTCATCTGCGAGTTCGGGCTTCCAATACATAGCTGCGGGTCGCGCAATGTCAGCAACAATCTCTCGGATCGGTATAGGCGCGTTGTGGCTCATTACAAACGTATGTTCGTTGATCATTGTGAACCCATGGGCGCCATGGCCGCCGATAACTTGGAAACCCATTAGGGAAAGGGCCTCTTTGCAGGCAGATGTATAGCCTGGGTCTTGTAGATAGATACCTATCCTTGTAGATGCGTTCTTCTCTTCCAGGGTACGTGCTATTGTCAACGCAATAGCGTGCTCTATTTGATGTGATTTCCTAGATGCACGAGCTGCGACCACGCCTAGACCAAATGCTATGATTTTGTCGATCCAAGGCATGGCTACGGGCTCTAGAGCGCTGATCAGGTTTCTACATCTTTCACTATCTTCCCATTCTCTTATTCTTGTCCGCAATTCATCCACTGCTTGAGCTACTGAGCATGTGGGTAGAGAACTTACAAGACGTTCAGGGCGGAGAGTCAAGAATGCACCTTGTCTCCCTGCTTCGGTAGCGCGTCGTAATCCTCTTTCATCCCCAAATGCCACAGTGTTAAACCACTCGATTCGCCTATCAGTTATACCCTCATACTTACCATCGCCGAAACACTCGTTTCGCACTTTATGACAGGTCCCATCGTGACTTATCAATGAGAAACGTTCGACATTCCTATCGAGTTCCTGCTCAATCCAAATGAGACGTTCGAGGTTGAATAGTTGCTGGCCGTTCGACATTATGATGATTCCTATCGTAATGATGCTGTAGGTAAAATAATTAATACACCAACTCAATAGCTTAGCTTCTATATATATACCTCGCTCAAGGAAGTTATTGTTACTGCACACTACATAGTGTTTACGTACCGGTCTGAAACCCAGACTGAGAAGACAAACGAAGGAAGCATTTAGAGCGAGGATAGGGGATTATGCGCTGCGACAAAATCATAGCATGCATCTAGTGAGGGCTCTCCGCCCGCCGGCCTGCCTGAGCTCTAGGTGCCACCGGGGTAGAGCTCTCATACTATATAGATCTACGCTGAAGCGCGTGTGCCGCGTGGGTGCGGGGGAGCTAACGCCATAGAAATAATAACTCCACCTACTAGGTGCTGAACGACGCATCCTACGCCTTACTAACAACTTACCTAGGTATTTAATTACCCAAGTATAACAAGGAAGTCGTTAGCTAACCCCGAAATAATGAAGCACCTTTGTACGAGGTGCAAAGGGCTCGAACTAGACGACAAAGCCTTAGGCGGCCGCAAAATACTGAACGATGATGGGGAGGGGAGCCTCGAGTTACCGCTCGAGCAACCCGACATTGACGGAGAAGGAAATATTCCGTTGGATTACCAACTTCTCGACAATTCTCCCGAATTTCCAAAGCTGGCCGCGGCTTCTCGGGCAGGATGCGACTTTTGCAGAATACTGAAAGATGCGATTGTCAAGTTCGTAAAGTTCGAGGGAGAACAGGTGTTCGATATCTCAATGGAGTACCGATGGAGTCAAAGTCGAGATGCGAAGCTCGGGTTGACGGGCTTATTTGCAACACTAAAATTGGCAGATCGTGATGTTGCGCTTCGGTATGCGGACTCAAATAGACAGCAGTCACTACGATTTCTCATTGACGGCGAGCCTGGTGGGTGACCCCTCATTATTCCTGCATCTGTAAACATGTTCTATGCCGTCTAAAACCTGACAGGGATATGTTCTCAGTGGCTTAATCTCAGGCCGCCTCTCATTGCCCATGCATTGCACCCTAACAATCTCTCCATGATAGAGGAACAGCTCGACCAGTGCGAGAAGAAGCATAAACACCACATTGGCAGTCAATCCCGTTTTCTACCAACTCGACTTATTGAAATTGGAAATCAAAATTCCCAACCCGAGTTTCGCCTTGTGTTGACAGACTCTCGTATGAAAAGGAAAGCGCCTCGATATGTTGCCCTGAGCTATTGCTGGGGGTCTCGTAGTGATTCAGCGACACAATTCAAGACAGAAAAGATGACGCTCGCGGACAGAATTTCTGGGTTTTCGTTCGACGCAATGACCCGGGTTATGCGCGATGCTGTCACTGTAGCAAGAGCGCTATCTATCTCATACATATGGATCGACGCCCTCTGCATTGTCCAAGACGATCGGGCTGATTGGGAACGGGAATCAGCCACTATGGCAGACGTCTACCGCCAAGCGTACATCACAATATGCACGCCAGGATCCTCCTCCTGCCACCAAGGCTTTCTCGATCGCAAGCCAAAAAGCATCGCCTTTCCTTTTGAGTCCACCATCGATCCAGAGGTAAAGGGTTCATATAATATACGCATAGGTGGACGCGCAACACCGTCCAACTCCATCGCCGAGGGTATGGACTTTACATACGATGAGTTAATCCACGACCATTCATCATGGAGTCAACGCGCCTGGACATTCCAAGAAGGCGTGCTCTCGACACGGACCCTGCACTTCGGGTCATTCGAGCTTTCGTACCAATGCCCAGATCGCGTCCGGTCGGAAGCAGGTCATTCTTCCTATCCCATTGAAACCGACATCGGAATATTCGACGACCTTTCCAACGCCCCGGCCCGCCACGCCATGTGGAATGAGCTTATGAGCCAGTACACGCCCCGCCACCTAACCCACGAGACGGACAGGCTCCCCGCCATCTCCGGTCTTGCCCGGATTATGGGCCATGGTCCCAAGGACTACTACGCGGGACTCTGGAGACAGAGTCTAGTAGTTGATCTCTGTTGGATTAGACACGTAGATGACATTGGTCCAACTGACACTAAAGATGAAATCCTACGCCTCCTCGATGCTAAGCAACCATATGTCGCTCCGTCTTGGAGCTGGGCTGTGCGGAGGCAATCATTCGAGCACCTAATTGATATAAATGATTACAGGGACGAAACGCGGTCGGTCGTCGCATCTACAACGCCGCAAGGGTTAGATCCATTTGGACAGATCAAAGGCAGCTCGCTTACGATACGCGGGATTGTTGTGCCCTTGCCTTCAAACATCGTCCATGATCCACCGCCTGGGGCTCGGCGTTCGTTATTCCACTTCAAGTATGTCTACGAAAAAGACAAGAGGATAGCGCAAGTAAGTTTAGATTGGTGGGTGCAGGACCCCGAGGATAGAACGGAGTTATCGATGTTACTACTTACAAGTCATCTTTACCCCTTTGAAGGCGTGCACCGTCGAGTCCGAGTAGGGTTCGGTATTATATTGCATCCCAGCAGCACTCCGGGGCGGTATGTTAGGGTCGGCGCTTTCACGACAGATAGGCACGGCTTCGGGCTATTCCAGCGCTCAAGTTATCAGACTGTCAAAATATTATGATATGCTTTCTTTTTGCCACGAAATAACGTCGAATGGCATGCTGTGCCGAGCGTATAACTCGGCGTAATTATCTAATCATACACACCAACATAAGTCATAACCTAGTCCGGCGTCTTACCTCTAGACACCCCTTTGACGTGATATGACAAGAAATCCAGATCCTATTTCTTCGCCGCTGCCTTGGCCAGGTCGGCTAGGGCGTCGCGACGCTTGAATTTGGCATCCTGAATGACACCTGTCACGATGTCGTTAGCATGTCAATGTCACAAAATTCAATTGGTCGGAAGGATTAGGTAGGTATTTGAAAAAGATACGTACTCGCATCTGCGTCACTGGAAAAGTTACCGGTCCACTCGACGAAGGTCATGTTTTCAAATTCGCCGGATGTGACAGGATATAAGCGGATGGTGGAGAGGACCGATGAGTAGCTGAGCTCAGGCTTGGCGGTGATTACACTGTAGGTGATATAATGATGGATAGTCTTCGCATACTGTTAGCATTCCATCTATCTCATAATACGGACTTCTGTGAAATAATGAATCAGGTACTAGGTAAGAAACATACGCTGTGCTCCTCTAGCTTCACTTCGAGCTCAGTACCGTCCTTGAAAACCCATTTGACGATAGAGGTTTCGTCACTAGCGCCTTCAACGACATGGCTGGACTTTAAAGCGGTCCAGAACTTGGAGAAGTCTTGGACTGCTGGGTGTTAGAAGGGTATGTGGTTATTGTCGATTGAGTTGTTGCTTGACTTACGCTTGATGAGATGCCAGACGTGGCTGAGGGGCGACTTGACGACGGTAGTCTCCACAACGGAAGTTGAAGTTGGGATGGTCGACATGATGGTTGATGGTTGATGGTTGTTGATTATTGAATGATGTTCTCAGTCTTTTGAAAATTGGAATATGGGATTGAAGTTCAGTCGATATCTAGAGAAGGGGGAAATATGAAAAGGAAAGTTGGGAAGTTGTCTTCTTTTGAAAAGTTAAGAAGTTCAATGTTGATGTCGTTTGTACCTGCAGCAAACGAAGTCATAACGTCACCGCATGAGGGGCATCTACAGCTTACTACCTACAAGAGCTTAGAAGGTGCAGCTGTTTGTGGGTCCCTTTGCCTACAGCACCTTCTACAGCTAGATCATAGGCTAATAGTATAGCTGGGCTGAACTGTCTTAGGCAGATTACTGTAAGCTCTTGCTACATCCCCAGTAGTGAAACACAAGTATCGCATGCAATTTCTTTCGCACATTATGGGTGTCTTAAAAGAGAGGCAATCTTGCTCTACAGCACTTCAATTAAGGGCTGAATCCCTACCTCTTCTTGCCCTCTTCCCCCAACCCCGCACCCAGTTCTATGCGAAGTACCCAAGTACCTACTACAGAATGATTCTTCCATACAATTCTACGTAAGGGCCTATTCTGATTACCCTTACAGAAATATTTCACTCGGTAACCGCGAGATCCCTAACAAGAAGTTCTCAAATGTCGCTATTTGAAGAAGCAACCCTATGCACCTCCTATGCCCTTACAAAATGGGGCGTTCAAGTATTGTAAAATATTTCCTAAATAGGAAAATCCGGTGGAAGCTACAGTGGAGAACAACGGAACCAGTGGGGTCTCGGGACCGGCGTCAAAGACGGGGTAGGAGCCACTGGACGGATATAAACCACCTAAGTACCTCTTCACACTTTTCTCACAGGTCTCAGACACTTCTCCCCACCATATTTTATCGATTCACCAAAAATGATCCTCAAGTTAGCTTTATTTCCCTTAACGCTAGCATTGTTAGCTCTGGTCGATGCTTCAAGTGCCCAAACTTCCAAGTCAACCCCTATTGTCCTACTTAAAGAAAAGGGAATCGCGTCCGATCTGTTGAGTGAAACATCCTCGGGTCTGAAATTCGGTCATGGATGCTTCTGTTCGCTCGCTGTAAGTATGCAGCCCGATTTCTCATAGATAATTGCTTCTGATTGGGCCACTTTCTCATCGTGCTATCAGTGCGATACCCTCACCACCATACTCGGCAAGGATAGATCCGATATTATAGGACAAGAATCTTACGAAACTACCCGATCTAAGTTCTGGTCGCTACAGCAATCAAAGGAAACTAGCCCTCGATGCTTTGCTCATCCGATTAACGCTGAGGAAGTGTCTATTATCGTTTTATTATCCCGAGCCACTAATTGCCCATTCGCTGTCAAGGGCGGTGGTCATGCCGCTTTCAAGGGTGCCTCTAATAGTGATGGCGGTATCACCATCGACTTTGACCGAATGAAGCATGTAATTCCAAATGCTGATACGAAATCAGTAGCGATCGGGCCCGGAAATACCTGGCTCGATGTGTACACTGTTCTAGAAAAGTTCAACCTGACTATGGCGGGCGGGCGCACGGCTACAGTGGGCGTTAGTGGATTGACGCTAGGGGGTGGTCTCTCGTTCTTTAGCGGGCTGTATGGGATGACCTGCGACAACATCATTAATTATGAAATCGTCCTCGGATCAGGCGAGATCATCACCGTCGACTCAAAAACCAACGCCGATTTATTTTGGGCTCTACGAGGCGGCGGAGGCAACTTCGGAGTCGTCACTCAATTTGTTGCCAGCACTTTCAAGCAAGGACCTATGTGGGGAGGTACAGTTGCTTGGGAAATGCACAGCACCAAGGCTACTTTGATCGATGCACTGGTCAGCTATGCGGAGAATGGATCGCAGGAAGATCCAAATTCAGCCCTCATTGTATCTTTTGCGTATATCCAAAACTATCAAGCGTGGCTTTCAGTAGTTATGGCGCACCACTCGGATCCCCAGCCGTCAGGTAGCCACCCGAAGGTTTTTGACGACTTTATGAGCATAGAGAATGAAGTTCAAGGTAGTAAGAGAAATGCGTTCCATTCGAATTTCACCGTGGAGATCGACGATGCTAGCCCGCCCGGTCTGCGCGAGAGCTATTGGACTCTCACGACTCACGTGGATAAACAATTGACCTTAGATCTGCTGGCCATATTCGAGGAAGAAATAATCCCAATTCAGAACCTCACCGAATTTCTCCCTGCGTTCGTATACCAAGTTGTAACGGTCCCTCAGCTCAAAGCGATGACGCGTAATGGTGGTAACGCGCTCGGTATTGATGGCAGCGAGAAACCTCTTTTTTTGATCAACTACTCTGCTAGATGGAAGTTCGATTCAGACGATGCATTGGTTTTGACAGCGATGTCTAATATACTTTCACGGAGTCGAGAATTGGCGCGGGCACGTGGCCTAGATCACCCGTTTCTTTACATGAATTACGCCAGTCAATTCCAGGATCCATTGGGAAGCTACGGAACGGAAAACAAGGCTAGATTAATGAGGATCTCTAGGAAATATGACCCGGATGGTGTGTTTGAGGCCCTGAGTCCTGGGTATTTCAAGTTTAACGGGGCACCCGCACAATTTTAGCTGTCGGGAGGCTTGACCATATAAACAGTAAGCTCCCTAGTCACAGTATCTTGAGGGCCATATCAGAGAGCCTAGCTAACATTATCTAAATAGCTACCTAGTATATTCTATAAAACTATCTGGATTTATGGCTATTGCATGTGTATTTCCCCTTAACGGACCATCTACGCTTTCCACATTGACGTTAATCGAATTCCGTTCAGCCACAATAGAACGGTCCAGTACATTCAAGATTCCCTCTTGACAGCTTTACTGGATTCCTGAGAACGGACACTTCACAAAAGCGCTGATGAATGGAACGCCTGCTTGGACACACTGGTCTACTTCTGCCGAGTATGGAGTGCTGCCACATTCGGCGTCCGTGTAAAGATTGACTTGATAACCGATATATATTAGCCCCGTTTAATTCTTTCTAACTGTAGAAATTGGGATATTGATTTTTGTTACTTACCAAAACAGTCAGGGTAGATAGTGGTCGGCTTGTAACTCAGGATATCCGGAGTGTTGTCGTGTCTATCTAGGGGCTGACATCTCCCGCCGCGTCCAAAGATTGGATCTGCCCAAACAAAAGTTTCGTTACTACAGTCAGGCCCCGAAAAGATCTCGGCAACGGTGTTGTAAAAGTCGGGGTCGCCAGGCCCAGCCGTAACAACAGCAGCCGCAGACAACGCAAGGCTCAGGATTCGAAGCATATTCGGGGCTAAAAGCAATTGTATTTCGATTAAGGCGTCCGTTGGTGTACCTGAAGTGGCAGTAAATCAGCGCTCGTTTTTTATCTCCCCGTCCATGATTTATATAGACTGTCACTGCAGGTTAAGGGCAGTCTTCCTGAAACTTCCATGCCGTCCCTTTCTCAAGATAAGCTGACTGGATCACGAAAGGGGGGCAGGGGTATTTAATGATCTGAGGTAACGAAGTCACCCACAGAGCTTGAAGAAGGGGACCACGCGGTTACCTTAGATAGGCAGGTTCGAAAGGCGAGATTATTGGCCAAGAGCATGGCCCCCTATCTACTGTAGGGCTATATATGGGGGACACAGAAGTGCCAGCACATGACAGAAATCACAAAAACAGGTTATCTTGAGTATCAGCAGAAATCAATACAGGATTAGCCGGCATCATTAACCGGCCGACCTATCCGTTGCTGTGGAAGAGCTCAATGACGTTTATCTTGGCACAATTTGTTTACCATAATGGTTGAATTTAACGAACAAACCAAACAGTCACGCCTAAAACCTGGTGAAGAAACATGCAGCTCGCTTGACAAAATACGTAAGCAAAGTTATAGCAAGTACACACCTGTTCAAATTTGGATTGGTATCACTAGATGAATGTGTCCCAATCTAGAACAATATTAGGTAACTTCTCTATAAATATCTCTTATATAATCCAGAAAGTGACTTTGGCAACATATTAAGGTTAAGAAAGCTTTGAATCCTTTTATCAAACCATTCTGTTGATCATGCGGGTAGGCTCTTAAGGACCTAGGCTAGTAGGCATGTCGTGACTGATAACTCAATGAATATTTTGAATTGTATAAACTTTAACCTCTGCACTTAGATACCTCTATAGAGTTTAATACTTTACACCAATAAGTCATATGGTGGAAGGATATAACCAATCAAAATTTGACAAAGTCAATCCGACATACCCTTTACGGAATCTTTTAACTGTTTCAGCCAATCAGAGTTAGCGAATAGGTACCTAGTTGAAACTCCACTCCAAAGACTCAAGGGTATATAGAACGCCAAATCGTTATGATATAAGAAACTAGAGAATATTCCGTAATATGACCCTCTACTCTCTCACCAATACATTATAGTAAACTAATAAAGGTGGAAGCGATTGCTACTTAATAAAACACGTCAGCTAGGTATCCACTCATAAACTCGTCACTTTGATCGGCATCAACCCCTTTCAATCTCTGAATCACCTCAGTTCTTGAGAACTTAACATAGATGAGTGGATGTTTCTATGGTATCTTATTTCTATCATCGATAGCTAATACCCGCAAGGAATGATCTAAGCTCCGGTGATTCTTATTGAGCAAGACATATAGCATAAGAAGGCTCTGATCCGGTAACAATCAACTGCTAACCCAAATGGCCGGGTTGGTACGGCGGTGCTTACAATCGATGAAATTGCTATGGCTCTGACATCCCAGGTGAGCTCTCGCTTGGCGGTTCGATTCCCTCGGCGGCCCAATTACTTTTTTCTTTTTCAAGTCGACCAGTCCCTTTTTCTTTTTCTTTTTTTAAAAAACTCATCTCGAAAATCGAACATCGTGCTTCTCTCCATTCATGCCTACCTAGGTACCTACCTTACAGAAATAAGAGACTGCCTTAGAATATTTTCAAACAGGCGCATATTAGAAGGCTCCTAGGAGGTATACCATCTCTTGCGATATTGGCCGCATGCCAACAACGTGCAACTACGTATACTGGGTAGCTGCCGATCTCGATGAAAAAAAAAATTTTAAAAAGAAGAAAATAAAATCTTATTGACAATGCCAATTATTATTTCTATCAATCGAATGATTTTATGGCCAAAACTATCAAAAATCCTGCGTCGGCCAACTTATCTCCTACTTCGCAAGTGTTATATCAAGTGACAGAGCCATAGACTAGGGGCTTGGCGGGTCTGCATATATCCGACCAATAACGGTGACTTTTCGGAGATTCACGCTGATAACCACCTAGGATAAAACCCGAACGTTTCCCGATGCGCAGAAGGCATAGATGGCTGCTTTAGTTATCACCACAGGAACAGCAAGTCAAATATCTAGACGAGTTGTGGCTGCGAGAACGGAAGTGAAACTATCGCGACACCAACCTTTCTCTCATATGCGATGACTGAAATGTAAAAAATTCATCTGCCAGAAGCAACGCAACCCATTCCAGCAATGTTCGGCTTTGATACAATAACTATCGGGTTATCAATGGTTTCAAATATTCATACCTAAGTTACGTGCTAGGGGTGTTTTCTAAAGAGAGCGTCTAGAAGACATAGGTCAGTAATGTATAAAACCCGAGGCATCACCTATGTAAATCGCAGGATAGCAGTCTTTAGTTACCTACCTAGGTAAGCCCAACCCTTCTAATCACGAGACAAAAGTAGGTATCTCCAACCACATCGTATACCCGATAGAACATACCAAGGTAGATACTTGCTTTGCCTCTTATCGTCTAGCTTGCATAGGTAGCTGTAACCCAAAAAGGAGCGAGAGAAGCAAACCTTGCATGAAGTAAATCTAACCGAAGACCTGACATCTTACATTCCCTTTATAGAAAATCCAAGGTCCAATATATTGGAATAAAGCCACTTCCCGTTCGGCATAGATTGCTGTTAGTCATATGTCGTAACGTTGTGAATAATGGTTTCCGGGATGGTGGGCGCAGTGCTACAGTGCTATACAGCGAGACGAGACCTGTGACTGCCCCAGCAATATCTATAAAACAAGGGGGATATGCGGGGTGGACCGCGTAGATCTCAAATGTGGTACGCAGCCCAGCGCCTGGTTATCTCGCTGTAGATGCACGATGATGGGTGCTCTATACGCTAGTATTATCAGTAACCACTCACGGCATTGGTGTTATCATCCGGACACTAGCGCCGCCATAAGCAGCCATCTAGGCACTGGGCAATCTCCAACGCTGCTTCAACTGAGATCTACTAACACATATCAACTGGGGTTATAAAGCCCAATTGCTCTGCAGATGATCCGGCAATGCTTATCGTGTACTGCTTCACGTTCCGAGGTGCGGAGGCCGTTATCGGTTTTCGTAGGTATATTCATATATTGCCTTTCCTTTAACCTCATCGTTGAATGTGCCGACGATACGAATGAAGGGGCATCTTATGAGTGGTGATAGCGTTGGTGGAACATTCATGACATTCGCATAGGACCGACCTCCTGCCATTTGTATCGATATTGTATTTAACTAATATCCAACATGTCTTCATCTACCGTTATTTGGTTAGCATCGGGCATCATCTTATCCCTAATCACTTTTCTCGCTCTCAACCGATCTCAGAAAGATGTAGTACTTAGGAGGTTAGGGCTGGGAGGGCGCAATGCGTCGCGCCCGAGTACGCCGTTGCTAGAGAAGCAGGTCTCTTCGAAGCCACTTGCCTCATCCACAACAGACCTCCTATTGACATTACCACCATCGCCACGAGGACAACTGAAAATAATGATGGAGAAAATGTCTCCTGCGCAACGAAAAGCTCTGGGCGACTTATCGTTTAATACGAACACATTCACAAACTCTCTTCTGAAGTTCGATGAGGACTACCGAACCGCCGACGACTCGAAGTATTGCTACACCGGCTTTTCGGTGAAAGAGATCAAAGCGCTAGGGGATTTTCCAGACTATTCGACGCTCTCTGAGGTCCCGATGCCTAAGCCATACTTAGAATTCGACATTAACAAGGCCAAGCCGCGGCCGTATCGCCCATTCAGATGGGCATACCATCAGACGATGTGTAAGCAACCCATACCACAGAACTCCCCCTATACTAGGATGCAAAATGCTAATAACTTGTGATAGCATTGACTAAACTCGAGACCGACTGGTGGCTAGAGCTAGAATCAACCTACAAGCAGCGCATCGCCCAGCGCAAGGCACTATTCGCCGAACACGGATCCGCCGTTCTGCAATCACTCCCCGGCTCGGAGCTCGCGTGTAAGGAGCTCATGGAGATGGTAATACAGTTCCTTTGCGCGCGGTATCCGCAATACTTCGTCCTATCCGCGGATAAGTCACGACTCGAGAACAAGATCCTCGGCACCGTATCCATGATCAAGGAGAAGCACCCCCTCCTCATCCTACTAGACAACGTGCCCGAAGACTTCGGCATGGTCCTACGGGACCCGGAGTCCGGATACTATGCCTTCCGCGCCGGTTTGATCTGCTCGGCTCTGGGCTGGAACGTCGGGAGTAAGATTGGGATGAAGCTGCACGAGATCCATACGCCGATCCCGGATTACAAGGAGAAGATGCAGTTTAGCATGGACCGGTAAGGCGCCCCTTTCTAGAAAAAAAGAAACTCATCTTACGGTCACATTCCTAACATCGACATAGATATTTCTCCAAAATGCCCGCCAACAAGCCGATCCAGCGCGGCTCCTGGGGCCTCGAAGTAGACCAGCCGCTGTACATGCCGCCCGGCGACCCGCACGCCAGCTACCGGGACTCGCAAGACACGACGCTAACACGGGACCGGATCCATCTCCGCGTAGACTGGCAGACGCTGCGGCGGCTCCCGCTATCAGGAGCCGTGGTCTTCAATTTCAAAGCGCTGTTCACGCCGATCGAAGAATTCCGAGACGAGCCGTACGTGCCGAGTTTGATCCTGAAGGTGTTGAAGGAGGGCAAGGAGAATCTCATGAAATACAAGAACACCTGGCACACGGAGCACATCGTGATCCCGACGCTGGAGGAGTTCGCGAAGGAGCAGATTGAGAAAGGGTTGGTTGAGAAGGATTGGGAGCCTAAGACTTTGGATGATAGCCCTTGGTTTCCCGGGTGGCAGGAGAAATGGCATAGGCAGCAGGGTTTTTAGGACGCTGGTGGGGAAAATGATGATTAGTGTAGTGTATCCAATATTATCAACAGTGGTATAAAGACTTTTGATTCTCCGTACAAGGTATCTAGGTGATCCGACTATTGCTCCAGCTTTATTCAATCTCATATATATACAGTTGAATATATAAGGCTTTATATCGGGAGTCCCCGTCTAATTTGGCGCGTGGTTTCCCGTCCGCCGTTCGATTGAAGCAATGTTGATACACCGAGAAGTTGAATTCGAGCATATCGCCATGACCCATGCATCATACGCCCCGTCCACCCAAAAATGCAGGCCGGGCCTCCCCAAAACGCCAGAGGTCATTCTTTATAATCCGGGCCCCATGCTATCGTTCTTTTTTTTCTCATGTCATGTAGTACTTGGGTCCTTCGCCGCCTTGAGGCACAGCCCAGTTAATGTCCTGATTGGGTGCCTTAATGTCGCATGTCTTGCAATGGATGCAGCTACGGGCGTGTTAGTACAGGGCTTATTGGATAAGTGACTAGCGAAAAGTAAGGGTACTCACTTTTGAGAATTGATCTGGAATCTCACGCCAAGTGGCTTCGATTCGTCTTCGACATATTCGTAAACGCCTGCAGGGCAGAAGCGGTTTTCGACACCTTTATATTTAGGCCATGTTTCTTGAGTGTGAGCATCCCAGTCCTTAACCTGGAGATGAACGGGTTGGTCTTCCTCGTGGTTTGTCCCCGTCCTGGAGACACTTGTCAAGATGTCAAAGGAGATCTTCCCATCTGGTTTCGGATATTCGATCTTAGGGTATGAGTCGGCGCTCTTGGTAGCACCATAATCGGTATGTCTGTGCTTGAGAGTCCATGGAACATGGCCCTTAAGAATGAATGCCTCTAGACCGGAGTACATGACACCACCAAGAGTTCCTAAAGGAGTTTGGAATGAGGGCCGCATGTTTCGAACCTCCTTCAACTCCTTCCAGACACTAGATTTCCGGAGAGAATCTTCGTAGTTGTATAAAAAGACGGTCTCTTCGCTGCCTTCCGCAAGTGCCGTCCAAGCAGCCTCAGCGGCTAGCATGCCTGTCCTCATAGCGTTATGAGTGCCCTTGACTTGCGGAACGTTGACGAAGCCAGCAGAATCCCCGATCAATGCGCCACCAGGAAAAGCGACCTTGGGGATTGATTGGAATCCACCCTCGCTAAGAGCCCTCGCACCATAGGAAATGCACTTGCCACCTTCCAAGACAGATCTATATAATGGGTGTTGCTTCATCTTCTGAAACTCACCATATGGCGACAACCACGGGTTCTTATAATCTAGGGCTACAACGATCCCTATACTAACAAGGTTATCTCCGAAATGATATAGCCATCCACCACCATACGTATCTAGGGATAGGGGGTAGCCCATAGAATGGACGACTTCGCCTTTTCGGAACTTTTCTGGTTGAATTTCCCAAACTTCTTTCACTCCTAGACCGTAAGTTTGGTGTTGGCTATCTCTTCTTAGGTCGAACTTCTTGACGACTTGTTTGGTCAAACTGCCGTGGCATCCTTCAGCGAAAAGGGTAACTCGGGCATGAAACTCCATGCCTCTCTCAAAGCTATCCTTTGGTTTCCCGTCTCGTCCTATGCCAAGATCATTTGTCGCAACACCAAGAACCGATCCGTCGGGCTTGTAAATCACCTCGGATGCGGCGAACCCGGGGTATACCTCTACGCCGATCTCCTCCGCCCGCTCTCCCAGCCACTTTGTGAATTGGTTTAAGCTGACGATATAATTGCCATGGTTGTGCATCTGTGGTGGGGCCGGTAAAGGTATCGCGCTGCCCTTGGTCAAAAACCTCATCTTGTCTCCTGTTGCTGCCGTCGCATGTTCGAATCGGTTCTCGTTCGCTTCGTCAAGCCAGTCGGGGAATAGCTCCTTAACCGCAACCGGATTTATGACAGCCCCAGACAGAATATGTGCGCCAATTTCACCTGCCTTCTCTAACAACAGAACTCTGAAATCTTCATTTCCGTTCTCATTGGCGAGTTGTTTCAAACGTATTGCAGCGCTCAGCCCCGCAGGACCTCCGCCGATAATGCATACATCAACCTCATCGCTCTCCCGCTCCACAGTCTTGGGATCGAAGCTATCGTCGGTCGTAGCGGAATATCTCGGACGGGTTGTACTAAAGGGTCGAAGGGTCGAACAGGCAAGGGGAGGAAATGTCGTGACTGCACATCTTGGTCGGTTTGGGGTTATCGGGGAAGAGTATGAAACTATGCACGCCCCCTTGGGGATTTTTGGTCGAATTGACGTAACCCTGCGCTGCGCGAAAGTACGAAGCGGTACCGACGCAGACATTGTAAGGCTTCTCTCTACCTAGGCTGTCTATTTTTGGGAGGATGAGGGTTTCTTAATTGACAGTATGGACTCTTCACCGTATTCTAGACGCCATAGGCATTACGAGAGTGACTCGAAGTCGGTTATCAATGGTCAATTCGTGATTCGTGGTTCGAAAACCAAAAATGGTTATGATGACATCAAACTTTGGTACAAGGGTTAAAAAGTAATTTTGCACCTGCAAATATTTGACCGACCTACCGAGGCTACTCGTCACTATTGGTCCAAAACTTTAACAAAGACCGTTGCAAACCGCGTCCGGAGTTTTCCATGAGCCAATCATCTTCCTATGATTAGGAAGCTCTCTAAGAATGTGTGGCTTCAATAGCTTTTGTGGCTGGGCTAGAGGCTTAAAGCAGAGAAACCTTGAAATCCATGTGATGGAATGTGGGGGCTTACTTTGCTGCCCTTGGTCCTACCGGCCGAGATTTAGAGGTCAAGATAGAGTGAAGATTCCAGCGGGGAATTCTCCACTCGTCCTACCTAGGTCCCCCATAAGTCCCCCATAAGGTCCCTCCACTGTTCCCGAGGTCATTCATCCCGCTTCTTGTCGGTTACACTTCTGATCTGATCCACTGTTCAAATATCATACTCCATTCGCAACGAGTTGACAGTATGTATCAAGTTTTAATCACGCAATAGTCGCTCAAAGCGCCTATCACTGCCACCCGTCAATGTTGTCATTGTTATCAGTCGATAAAAGCGATTCGCATTGATGGATTCTCGCAATGATTCTCACGATTGCTCCCAAGGGACAGAAATAGCATCGCATCATCATGGGAAAGCGATCATTTTTATGCTATGATTTTCCTTGGCTTGATCGCCGGCGAAGCTTTTTTTCGCATGGCAGACGCGAAATGAGGATCTCCGGTTACCCCTATGCAGCAGCAAACAACAAGAATTGGTTTCTCTGCCCGGTTCCCACGCTGTCGGCTGTTACCTCACGATGCTGCACACACAGACGCGGTCCTGGCGTGTTTCCCGCGGGAGTGCCGCAGCGGTGATCGACGCTATTTTTATGAACCAGACAATGTCGAATTCAACACCGGTCGATTCTATCACTCGACTAGATGCTGGCTAGATGCTGGCTAGATGTTCTTTGTGTTTCTAGGAGTGCTAATACCACCGACTAGAAACGCCGTAGGCGCTTATGTTAACACTTTCAAAGTTTCTGATGTAGCTCAATCCGATCCATCATGTTTGGATTCAGACTAAAGACACAGCCACCTTCGCTCTGGTCTTCTGGGCTTCTAGGCTTTCTAGGCTATCAACCAAGCCAATGCGCGACCTGTTCGATGCTTCGGGGCTTCCTAAATAGGAATCGTCTTCGGGCGGGACTCCTGGTTGCAACCGGGAAAGTAAGAACCCACCGATGGCGAGCTCTCAACCTAGCGTATCGTATGACGAGCTAAGCCCGCAGCTCGTCAAGTTAAAGTTGTTCTCATCAACTCAGCTCTGCTGCCTGCTCTCACGTGATCGAGCGATTGCTGGGAAGATTTCCTGTTCTGTGTCCTAACAGTGTCTGAGGCTCGTTTGATCTCCCCTGTCTCACGTTACAGGCTCCGTTGCCGAGAAATTTGAGAGCCTCAAAGCGCCCACCCTGTCCCCACGCTTTCTTGGCATCTCAAGTTTCAAACTTTTATGATCCTCAAGGATCTCCTAATTGATCTTCCTAGTGTTACTACGAATCTGGGATATCAGATCTGCGTTATTTTCAACGGTCTCTGTATGATCTGCCCAGCTGGTGATCTTATTCTACTTTATTCTACCTCCCCCATGTTTTGAGTGGGACGGAAAGTCTTCTCGACGTGTTTGGTATAGGTGGGTCTTCAACCTCCTCGATCCAATCAGAATCTCGTTTGCAGGTTTTGTTCCCTGTGTTTCTTGATATTCCAATGTCTTGACCTGTGGTACCGATGCCAAGATTCCATGTTTGCAGGCATACTTTTGCTGCTATGGGGTAGATGAGAGTTGGGATGTTACCGTCTATCACAAGAACCTTGCGCTACTATACTAGGTAAGTTAGATAGGATATTCGATGTCAGGATATTCAAAGTTCATCGAAACTTGAATGCATTTCATTTCACCATAAATGTCTCGACTTCCCGGCCGTTCTATTTCGATTTATTTCTTTCTCTTCACACATCCACAATAATCCCAATCGTCAACCCTTTCTTTCTTGGTTGTTTCTTGTTCGAAGAGGTACGTCTAACTATAATGCCAAGCCTTTCGGATTCTCGACTCGATAGCTAACTATTACTATAGCTGTGCTCATACCTTCTTTACTGTACTATTTCGTCACTTGACAACTTACTTTCGACCACTCCTTATTTTCTGTAAAGTGTCTGGATATACACTCTTTCAACATGAAGAACTTCGGAGCTATTTTGTTGACCCTGGCCGCCGCTGCCTCTTTCGGAGCTGCGCTGCCCACCCAGCCCGGTCAGGGGGCTATCGCAGCCCGCGGCGATGCGCATGGCTTTGGTATATACTGATTTTCTCAACAGATCCACAATGATGCTAATACGATTTATAGCCCTTGATGTCAGATTCCCCAAGAAGAACAAGAACAAGGGTGCCGCCGCCGCTGCCAACAACGGAACTGCTGCTGCTGTCGACGCTAATGCTGCCGCCAACGGAACTGCCAACGCTGGACAGGATGCTGCTACCGGCAAGAAGGGCAAGAAGGCTAAGGCTGCTGCTGCTAAGGCCGCCGCCGAGGAGGCTGCTGCCGCGGATGCCGCTGCCGCCCAAGGTGGTGATGCTGCCGCTGCAGCTGGACAGGACGCCGCCGCCGGACAAAACGCTAATGCTAAGGCCGGAAAGGGACAGAAGGCTGCGAAGGGTGCTGCTGCTCAGAACGGGACCGCTACGGCTACTCAGGGCGCGAATGCAAAGGGCGCCGCCGCTGGTGCTGATGCCAACCAAGGTGCCGCTGCTCAACAAGGCGCGACACAACAGCAAGGCGGTAATGCACTCACCGACCTTGTCGGCAACCTTCTTGGCGGTAATGCTAACAACGCAGACGCTCTATCAGGTCTTCTCGGCGGACTCACAGGCGGCAACGCTGCTGGCGCCAAGCAAGGTGCTGGTGCTCAGCAAGGCGCTGGTGCTCAGCAGGGTGGTCTAGCTGGTCTCCTGTCCGGACTCCTTAAATAAGCGTTTCTCAAATGCTTCTACCTAATCCGATAACGACGGATACCACTGTAAATAATAGGGCATAGACGGGAAAGGGTTTATTTAATGTTTCTTCCCCCAGCCTCCGCGGGAAAGCTCCAACGCGGCGGCTTCGGGGATCATGACGGAGCGGCTTATTCGGAATTCTCTTCTAGCTAGTCTAGATTTGTCATGTTTATGAGGGAAGTGTACTATACAGACACGGCTGCGGGAAACTTGGGATTGTACATCTTTTTTTAAGGCGTCGGGGAAGCCGGTTCAAAAGCCCTTCCGGTCCCGCGCCTTGTTCGCAGAACTTTTCGAGCGAGTACGCCAATTGAGAGTTGTGGATGTGGGAACTTTTTATCTTCTGTGTTTTTGAGTGAAGTGTGAGATGATGAACTAGTAAATTATGCTATAACACCATTTCCGGGTGTCTATTGCAAGGTATGAATGTATGAATTGTCTTATACTGCGAGCTTTCTGTCTAAAATGAAGATAGTGATATCGTAAACATCATTAATTGAGAGATCAATCATTTCATCATGAGCTTCAATAACCCATCTTCGTCTACCTTCAAGTTGAATAGTACACTAAAACCACCCACTGATCATTACTCTTCATCACACGAACGCTCCAACGCTCCCACATCTCCCAAGTCTAATCCATTACCACCTAGGGCACTTTCCAATTCCCATCTACCATCCCCCTTTTCCACCCCAGCCTCTAACATAGCCACATACACTAGCGCAGTCACGATTGCCTATCTACAATCCATGCAAGCCGCTAAGATATCCATCCCCAGACACTATCCGTTCCACCAAAGCCATCGTTTACTCGACCAAGAAATTTAGGACAGTAAGGAAACGGTAACAGGAAGTGTTACAAGATGATCTTTTTCTCGTCTGACGAACTTTCGTTTTTTAACTCTTGTCGTCCGAACTCATTCGCACTTGACACAGCGCATTGCCCACCACCTCATCTCTTCATGTTGTTGCTCGTTAGATCGGCTCGTCTCTTGGCTCGATCAACACCTCGTTCACAGCGACGTGACTCGGCTGTTTAACCGCGTAGACAATCGCGCCCGCGACCTCCTCAGGGCTGAGGACCTTAGCACCGGTAGGCTCGCCGTATTTCTTGATAGCCTCAGCATCCGTCGATATGCCCAACAAGTCCGTGGCGGTGTTCCCCGGCTGAACAGACGTGACGCGCAGGCCCGACCCAGCGGTCTCGAGACGCAGGCTTTGAAGCGTAGCTTCGACGAAAAACTTGCTGGCGGAGTACACCCCGAGTCCAGGGAACACCTTGCGCCCGGCGTCCGACGAGATAGCGATGATATGTCCGGACCCGCGGGACAGCATGCCGGGAACGGTTGACGCGAGACAGTACATCAGGCCTTTGCAGTTGACGTCGACGGTGCGCTCCCACTCATCCATGTGCACGTTGGCCATCATGGTGTAGTACATGACACCCGCGCAGCAGACGAGAATATCGATCGACCCGAGCTCTTCCGTCGCTTTCTGCATGAGCGATTCCACTTGTTTCTTATCTGTGACATCTGTCTTGTGAACCAGGACTTTACTTCCGAAGCTGGTGATTTTATTTTTGAGGGTCTCGAGGGCTTCGGTGCGACGTGCGGCGATTGCTACGTGTGCGCCTTCTCTCGCCAGAGCGGCGGCGACAGCAGCTCCGATACCCGATGACGCTCCTGTAACAACTGCAACTTTTCCAGCAAGCGGGCCTCGGTTCGAGAGTTTCGCGACTCCGTTGATGTGGCTGCGTCGTGGCGGACGCGGTAGCCAACCCCGCGCGCAGAAATGACGGGTATATGTCTCAAATAATTTACTATCGATTTTGGGGCGTTGGAGACCGGTCTTAAGAAGAACGGGTTCCGTCGCAGGATCCTTTAGGACAGTGACCCATTTCAAAAAGTCGACGGTAGGCATGCCGCGGCGAAGGATGTCAACAGTAAAGATGTTATCTCCCTTGCTAGACCCTCTCTGCTCATCCCATAGAGAAACCCATTCGTCCCATCCAAGTGTCTTCGTCGGGTACCCCAGTTGATCAAGTATGCCGAATATTTCTTTTGTAGGTACTGGGGACGGGTCACCCAAATGGAATACACGTTGGTCTGTGTCCACAACATCGGCAAGAGAAGTGATGGCTTTACTGACGAAATCGACTGGAGTCATTTCCGCATACCAGCCCTCAATGTCTGGAGCATGTCCTAGTTGAAGCGACTCCACAATTAACGCGTTCAGAAGATCGTAAGTATTTGTAGAGCCGGACGTGCTGTGACCGCTGATGGTTCCTGGTCGGTATATCCTCGCCGGCAACCCACGTCTGGCAGCCTCAAGAACAAGTTGTTCCGCCACCCACTTCGTTTGACCATATCCATCAAGCAATTTCTCCGGCACTTCATCTACGTCCAGCATAACATCCTCAGACCATCCTTCAACCGAAGGCGGTAGCACACCATTCGTAGAGATATGGTGTACAGTTGCGCCGCTCTTGCTTGCCAGGCGCAGAATCTCTCTCGTTCCGAAGACGTTGGCTCCCTGCATAGCGGCGTAAGGGTAAACAAGATTAACCGTAGCAGCAGAGTGGATAATGACCTGCACGCGAGCAGCCAATTCCTCGAAGCTTTCGGGGGAGAGACCAAACCGCTTCCGAGCCAAGTTTGCCGGTAGAACTTCAATACGATCCAGAATCGAGTCATCCCAAAGACCTAGATCGAGGAGATTCTTTCGAATCCGGGCGAGTCCAGCAGAGTAGTTTCCGTTCCCTAGATCCACAAATCTAACAAGACATATGATCTTTGCAGATGTATTTTCTAGGATAGTGCTAAGCAAGAAAGCTCCTAAGAACCCAGTTGTCCCAGTCAGTAAAACTGTATCTGCATCACTCAGGCGTTGCATCTTAACCAGGGAAGGCTTTATCTCTGGTGGAAGAATAGAATCGGCACGTAGAACAGCGGGTAGATCAGCTTGGACGGCTGCGGTATGTCCATCTCGCGCCTGACAAACAACCTCAAGATGCCCCTTAAGCGTCGGGTTTCCAGCAAGGCGACCAAGAGGCACCGGGAAACCGTAAGCACCTGTCAGCTTCGTCACGAGGTCGACAAGTGCTAAGGAATGACCACCCAAATCGAAAAAGTCGTGCTCTTGTGTCATTACAGATTTGTAGGGGATATTAAGGGCTGCGGCCCACATCTTTGCTATATCCTCGATAGTAATCTTCTGGTTATGATCACCATTTTGACCGGGTCCCAATGATGCTTTAGGACTCCGTGACCTAGTTGGCGAAGGCAGACGTTTGAGATCGACTTTTCCTGATACCTCGTGGGTAGGTAAACTGTCTAATTCTACCCAAAGGGCCGGTATCATGTAATGAGCTAGATGTTCTGAGAGAGCACGTCGCGCAACCGGACTAAACCCTGCCTCGTCGATTTTCACAGCCATTCGATCGGTAGACTCTTCATCGTCAGGGACGATGTAAGCAAGAAGTTGACGGTCAAGGCCGTCGCCGTGGGAGACCACAGCGCAGCTGCGGACTGCAAGATGTTTTATAATTGCGTTCTCGACGGCCGGTGGTTGCACGCTATAACCCCTGATTTTGATCATCGCTCCTACACGACCGGTGATTTCGAGGAGCCCTGATGGAAGTATTCGTGCTGTGTCTCCGGTTCTATACATTCGCGAGCCAGGGGTTGAATCAAAGGGATCGTCGTTGAAGGCCTTCGCAGTTGCTTCAGGAAGGTTAAGATATCCACGTGCTAGGAGATTCCCGCCAACAAATAGCTCGCCACTAACACCTATCTCAACCCTTTTCCCCTCTTCATCGAGGATGTACGTATGCTCCAGGTCCAAAGGAGGGCCTACCGGAACGACACGATCTTCATCATTAATCATCTCCCTTATATCGCCGCATGCAATCTCGTGAGTTTCACTTGCGCTATAGCAATTCAGTAATCGTGCGTTCGGAAGTGCCTTTAGACCGCGGCGAGCCAAATCAGTCGTTACAACTTCACCATTCAACCAGACAGTACGCAAATTTGGGACGCGCGACCCGAGTTGTGAATGTCGAGAAAGTACTGTTGCCAGTAACGTTGGTGTCATGAGGGTTTCCGTGATGTTCTTCGAACGGAGCAACTCGACAAGAGCAACAGGATCGTAACTCGTCTCATCCGGAACAGTAACGACCGTTGCTCCCCGTAATAAGGGGCGCAATATTTCCCAGACGAAGAAAACATTGCAGGCCACACGGTCACCTGGCTTGAGGTCATTTATACCAAATCGCAGGTCGTATGATAGAACAGCTGCTCTGTGAGGATTTGAAATTCCTTTCGGTTTTCCAGTCGTGCCGGATGAATAAGAAACAAAGGCAAGTTTTTCCAAATCATCTTCCGAGGGTAACTCGGGCAGCGTCTTCGATGAACCATTCAGTAGAGCAACTTCGTCTTTATTCGCAGCCTCATCGTCTAGGATGATTAAAGGGGTCTCAGACTTGATCTTGCCAGCATGTGCTGTATGAGTTATGACCACAGCAGGTCGAGCATCTTCAATTACGTCGGCTAGAAGACTTGGGGGATACGCCAGCTCGAGGACTAGGAAAGCTCCACCAGCACGAAGTGCGGCAAGGCAAGAAATGACATAATCCGCGCTCCGTCCGAGTAAAACACCAACAAGGGCATCTCGACCAACACCGTCATGACGCAGACGAGTAGCGAGCGACTCAACCTTACGATCAAGTTCAGCGTACGTTAACGCCGTAGGCCCATCTTCTAGAGCAATGGCATCGGGTGTGGCCTTGACCTGGTGGAGGAAAAGAGCGGATAGGTCTTTGCTGGTATCAATGATAGTCATCTTCCCCCTTTTTTCAGCCAACCAAACTTGTTACGGGAACTAAAACGCCGAGCTCAAGACGAAGAGACTGGTCGTTTAAACTATCACACGCTCTTAAAGATTGACACGTGACTACTTGATATCAAGCAACGTGGCTAAATGAAGGGCTAGAGAAGCTAAAGAACTCCACGTCCGTAAATTCTGGGTCGACGGGGTGCACGCTAGATAGCTCCTTGGATCGGACCACCTGTAAAACGTGGAGGACGGGAGGTAAAAGGGGGATGAAAGGGATATCTCTGGAGGTGTGGAGAGAAAGTGGCTGACGTTTATCTGCGGCTAGAGAAAGGACAATGCCGTAAACGGAGGTTCGTGGGACTGTCCGTGTATCGTCAGAAGTCTAATGGAAGCCGGCAGAATGAAAAGCAGGTACCAATGCCACACAACGATGTAACTAGCGGTGACGGGTGTTGCTCTAACCCTTTTCAACGGACAGATCCTAAGAACCAGAGATAGGGACAGAAAACGCATAGGATGGATCCAAGATACATATACAAATACACACCGACATGTCTATTCTTGATTAAGACTGCGGTGCTGGTCCAGTCCTAAGTCGCCAGGTTGCCATTGTCGCCCATTGTTGCCCATTGTCGCCTCAACCGGCGGCTGCCCACGTTTCTGTGCGAATAAGCTTCCCTCCGATGACAAGTTATCTTGGTCGATACGTAATGGCAATGTAATGGATCAACCTTGGGATTTACTTAGCTGAGATAGTATAGACCAATTCGCCTCACAGCTACCAGCTTTTGGTAATAAGTTATACTAAACGTGGTTGCGTGGTTGCGTGGGTAGGCCGATTGGCGATTGGCGATTGGGGATCTCAACAGGAACAGGGATGTTCAGGGCTAAGAGGCACCAATTTTCCCAAGCGATCCCAAGCGAATGGTGAGTGGGTAAGACAATTCCACAAGATAGGAAAGTCTGGATTTCTTGGGTTGCTAAACCTAGATTTTAGTATGTAACAATACATACCAGGTAACATCATTGATGTATTAGTCTAGAAAACCTAGGAAGCCTCAGAGCCCGTCCGAGTGGAAGATGGGAAGCTGCCCCCACACCGATCACGTCATCACTTTCTTTTCCCAATAATAGGCTCCCGAATTCTCCCCACCCGGCTTTCCAAATGCCGGAGGCCGTGAAATACCTGACCTCGATCGGTCCAAGTCGGAGCTTGGCTGGTCACACTTAGACCTTGCAACATCGCCGGTTTCATTCATTATCGAAGTAATTATCTCTGTCCTCTTATATGCGACTGTTGGCATTTCATCATATAAATAAAACTACGCTCGCTTTAAGTAAGAATCGGACTTATCGGATAAAACTTGAAATCAACTAGATACCTGGTGTATGATATAACGGATACATTTCAGTGTCATTACTAGGCATTTGGCTCGATACCTATCTTACAAGCTATGCATTTGGTGTTGCGTTGCAGAGCCTCGCATACGAATTATAGCTAGAGTGGGATGCCGATTTATGCTAGCTTGAGGGACACTGCGACGAAAGTAACGTCGTTATCCTTTTGAATCCCAGTAATATCAATACGGAGCAAAATTAGGGGAATCTCTACGCTTGGAGATCATGATGAATACGCACTCAACATGCAGTGAGGAAATACTATTCTACCTACAGCTGCAGCCTAAATATACTTGCTAGATAAAAGTAACTGGTATGATATTAAGGGCCTAGTTAACTAACTTGTTTAGAAGAGGGTGAGTGATATCGTACGGGCTGCAAAGCGGCGAGGGTGTAGAGTGGGGAGAAGATATCGGGTATTTTATTGTTACTATCGCAATGGCAATTATTGACCATAAGACAGATCGATCGAATAGTCGAGGTAGATAATGCTCGTTGAAATAACCTTACCAATATGTAGGTAAGCAATTAGGAATTGATCGTAGGACAAGGTATCTATTTGATACCCATTTGCATGAGGCTCTTTGACACTCGAGACACTAAGCGACTTGAGATATTGATCGACATGGAGCGCCACAAGAGACTCATGGGACCAACTGCATTAATAAGCAGACAAATACCTAGTGCCTACACTGCTACAAAGCTGTAACTGGGTTGTTCGCGCTTCAAAGAGTCGCTAGGTTGAAAAAAGAGGTGAGATCGCAAAACTGACTGAAAAAAGAGATAAATATCGCAATGGTGACCTTGGAATAGATGCGCATGAGGGTCAATCGTATCGATGTAGGGAAGCCATATAGAGTACATATATCAAAGTTGCAAATGACTTCGTGAAGGAAATCTAAAATTGGAAGTCGACGATAGAGCACAGTGGAAATACACTGGTTACTTAAGGGTACTTGCATATTCAAGCCGCAATTTGTGCAGCCTGCATTGTCAGACCGCATCGTTACATCAGGTGATTTGAAAGTACCGAGCGCTTGCATACAATTCCATGCCAACCGAGGCAGCCAAGCCAGCCTGCCTCATCTTAGGCTCCCAGGGATGTCGCGTCATGGCAGACCGGCGCGAAAATTAGCGCTCAGATAATAAACGGTGCAATAGTTCCTTCAATAGCTCATGACGCAAATACGAACTCGGGGGTCCCAACGTAGGTATTCATGTCTTACCAACAGGTTGAAAAAAAACCATAATAATTCTAATCTTCGTATTGTTTGCCGGAGTCGCAGACCTACAAGAAATATGTAAAAGCAAGCTTGCCGACAGATGCATTTGATTGTGCAAGAAGAAAAAAGGCTAGATGAGTCATATCCAGCACGCGCCAAGACCGGATGCATGACAAGGAATTTTGGCTGGTATGGTTGAACGAGGCTGGTGCTGTAGACTCCCGAGTAAAGAAAATTTTCGTGAAAAAAAAAAAAAAAACCAATTGAGGGACACAATGCTGAAGGTGGCGATCGACAGGGATCTTCCAGGAGGCTACCTGTACGCTAGGTCTGGGTCCCGCCCTGTGAACCGATAAAATACGAAACCAAATAATAATGGCCACTGCGCACAGTAAGGGAAGTGAACAAACTGCAATAGCGTAGTGCATATCGATATGGATATACTGTGCCGTGGTCGCTTTTAAGGACCGACCAACCTTAACTCCTACAATAGGAGGGATGCGCATTTAAGCACTCACGAGATGAGCGAAATAAAAACCTTCTGGCGTATGGGGATTCAAGCAACGCGACGTCGGAAACCGTATGTTGTTGAGTGAGGATAGATTTTGCTCGTCAAAATTGATGGCGTTTGTCACTCCATAAGACATGAAGTGATAATTGACTGGCTAGGGAGTCCCTGGAGAGGGTAGGGTAGTGGCATTCTCCGATTGCGGTTGCGGCTGGTACCTCCGAAACCACCGAAATGAGACCTGCAATTGATCAGCGGGAAGAGGGATCATCGCAGCCCAAGCGAAGAAAGGGGACAGAAAATAAAATAAAATTTCTGAAGTAGGATAGGATGGCTGGACGGCTGAGTACGACAGCAACACAGCCGCAGCTTGGTAATCCGATAATATCTCGTTTACTCGCACATCATGGCAAAAGAACCGCCATTTGTTTGTATGTACGCGTAATACCTTTCTTAACTCATTGTTTGGGATTTTGGATTGTTTGGGATATCCATTCACGATGAAAAACCGATTAGGTGGGTAATACTGCGAAAAGTGAGCGAGACTAAGATGACTAGTGGCTGGAAAGGCGATCAAAAACCGAAAGAGAAGAAAAAAAGCATGAGAATAGGGGCTGTAGGGGTAAAAGAGGAGGTATTGTGTGCGTTTCAGGGAGTGAAGGGGTGGTTTAGAAGTCTTAGGGTGGCAGCAAACCAGGCCTTGCAGGGTATGGTTGGGGTCCAAAACTCCATCTCTGCCCACACCCACCCATTAAGAAAAATTTTTCAGAGCCTGAACGGGTGGCTGTCAGTTACCTAGCTTAGAGCCCAGAGCCCAGTGTGAGCTATTATCTGTGACACTGACTGACGATGCTTCCACTCCCAGCGCTCCGTAGGTGGTGGATGTAGTTGACCGAGTCATGCATTTCAGCACCCCGGAAAGCGTCACGAGGTCGTTCTCAATAATTACGTCGGCTGGGATCCTTAGATAAATATTAATTGATCCTTCAGAAGTCGTGATAGTAGTTTTCCGATCTGGTCGTATTAATATACTTGGTAATGTGAATGGAAAATATTCTCATATTGATGCGATGGATTGCGAGACGCGTAGGGTTTTAATGGAGGAAAAGGTAGGTAACTAGGAGGAACATTAAAAGACTTAGTGAGAACTTAGAGTGACGAGCGAGGAAAGAAAAAGATTGAGAAAGATAAAATAAGGGGCAAGCGACGAGACATGATTGGACGGATTGATACTAGCGCAACCGCTAAGGGTGGGAATCAAGGAGCAGAAAGTTGTGGGTTTCCGCCACACTGGGGCGTCCCTACCTAAAGAGTCAATGCACACGTACACAGGTGCTTGCTTCAAAAATTATAAATTGCGCGGCTTCCCCTCTACCTCAATGTTTCGAAAATTCTTGCCCGCGGAAGTCCCGACCCGAAGGTCCCCTCTCTCTTCTTATCTCCTCAGCCACAACCATCCACAAACCACCAGCCACCTGTTTCTTGCCAGCTGCCACCGTGCACTGTCAATCGATAACGTCTGGCTACTAATAATTTATTATTATTCCTTCCTTCCCTCTTTCGACAGCGTCATTGCTTGTTGAACCCCGCCTTTCTCTTTGATACAGTGATTGACTCCGAGAGAGTACGTACCTTCCTCCGGTCCCCATAGAATAGACCTGAACCCTCATACCCCACACTATTTAATCGGTTTCCGATCAATATTTTCCATCTTCCTCTCCGCATCATTTCAACGTCAACCAACGTCACACCGTACACTGTCATTTACTTCATTATCACGTCTCACTTGGACACATTCAAGTGCCTACTCCTCGTTTTCGTCGAGCTCGCCCGCTAAATCAATCTAGGAGTTGACAAAGCAATCAAAGGTTACCCTTTATTCATTGTCGCTCGCCTATTCTAGGATTCGAGCAGTCGCATCAAGAAGAAAACCAACCAATATTCCTCCATTCTTTCTAATATCACGCCGCACGGGACACGGTGCAGTGTAGCCAAGAACAAGATAGACCAACAATAGAGTCCGAGTTTTTGAAAGAACAGAATACCGAGGTTGAGGATTTACTTCCCCGATACCGTCGTCGCTAGATATCGAGTACCCGCCGTCGTCGTTGTCGAATCCTTATAAGATACCTCGACCTCGACTGCGCTCGAGCATCTCGCACTTCGAATTTGTGGAAGGAAAGCTTACGACCTTCTCCGATCTGATAATATCGAGAAGTGATCCGTCTTTGACATCTAAGATCTACGTTACGTGTGTGTGCCCTTTGGTCGATTGATCGAAAGATTTATACGACCTTATTATCGTACCAGCCTTTATCGTGTTGGGGGAGACATTTGCTTGTTCATCTCCTACGCACCGTTTGGTAAGGCTGACCTTTTTTCAACTTTCGTCACCGACCCTTGAAAACTTTGAGATTCAAACTGTAGAATAGAGCTTGTAACCGTGCTATTGGTTACTGTCCTTCATTACCACCATCGCTCCTTCCGCACTTCTACTGTTGCCCTGCAAAAAAAAGATCCCAAAACACCATCCTCACACTGACTCACAGGCCTATTTTGGTAGCCCCACTCTGGTGATTCTGGCCTCAATTTTCGATTTTGAAAAACTATTTAACACCACCGACCCCTCCCACTTCCAAACCTTCCCTTCTATTTTATTTTTTCCTCATGCGATTTTCCCATTCCCCCACCACTTTCCTTTCAACCAAACAATCGCATTTCACTTCACTCATCCACCGCCGACTCTCGCATTCGCGCACTTTATTTAATCATTCACTTTGATTCTATTCTAACGTTCATTATCCAGACAATCTTTTGCGACCGCCCTCAATTGATTTATTAATCCTTTGAGTATACATCTGCAGCAATGGATGCCATTCAGACTCACCCTTCCACTGCCGCGCAGGCAAAGGCCTTCACTGCGCCTAACTCCTTCGCCATGACGGGAGGTGTCGGCGGCCTTCCCAGCAATGGTGGCCTTACCCCACCTTTTGACTCTGATAAGGCTAATGGCATTATTAACGGTCAGCGCCACCAGCAGGTGGCTAACGGTACCGGGGTGACTCCCGCTACTCCCGCTGCCACCCCTGCTGCTGTGCAGGGCGGAAGCGGTCTGACGCCTACCTTGCAGTATGTATCACTTGTGCCTGATGAGTAAACTTCTTAGCTTACAATGCATGTCAAGGAACATCGTCGCAACGGTGAACCTCGAGTGCCGTCTTGACTTGAAGACCATCGCTCTTCATGCACGCAATGCGGAGTACAATCCCAAGGTACTACAGATCTATCAATGATTGTAGATTTTGAGTGAACATCTGCTAACTGACCTAGCGATTCGCCGCCGTGATCATGCGAATTCGTGATCCCAAGACCACCGCGCTTATCTTCGCTTCGGGCAAGATGGTTGTTACTGGCGCCAAGTCCGAAGATGATTCGAAGCTTGCTTCTCGCAAGTACGCACGAATCATCCAGAAGTTGGGTTTTAACGCGAAGTTCTCGGATTTCAAGATCCAGAACATTGTCGGTAGTTGCGACATCAAGTTTCCCATTCGTCTGGAAGGATTGGCTTCGCGCCACCACAATTTCAGCTCTTACGAGCCTGAGTTGTTCCCTGGTTTGATCTACCGCATGATCAAGCCTAAGATCGTTCTCTTGATCTTCGTCAGTGGCAAGATTGTCTTGACCGGTGCCAAAGTTCGTGAAGAGATCTACCAGGCATTCGAGATGATCTATCCCGTGCTTCAAGGTATGCATCATAGACTTAGCATGATTCAAAGGGCTGTTGCTAACATATACCAGATTTCCGCAAGGTCTAAGGGCATCATCCCTACCAGTCTGGGACATTCTGGGTGGATATCGCTTACCTGACTGCGCAAAAGATCCCATCTTAGACTATCACTGGGATTTGTAAATTACAATACTTCACGATTTCACGACTATCGTCTCACGATTAACGACGCGTTGATTTGGACAGGTCACAGTCCAAACATTCTCGTCTTCTGTATCATTTGCATTTCGGACACTGCATGGCACTGGCGTTGACAAAGGGAGGGACCCTAAAGGAAGGATGACGCTGAGTTCATGGAAAACACAAAAATCCCTTAAAATCGTTTCTTTTAAAGAGCCGGATTGACGCCACTGATTTACACTACGGTACTCTCCGATGGCATTTTCCGCTGGTCGATGGTGCCGTCTTAATTCGACCCGGAGGAGGTGGAGGTGTTGCACAGTTGGTGACTAGGTGCACACATGGTGGTTTACTATGCCGAACTTTGCTTCGGTCATAGTTATGCTTTACATAAAGCAATCAGTGAGGTGAATGGGTTTCTTTATGAAACTCATTCCGCATACCTCCTGGAGAAGGGTGATTTTGGCAGTTAGCTCGGCACTCATCCGTTGACAAGATAGCTAAGTTTCCTAGATGATCGTTTGTTGCTTGTCTGGTCATATGGCCGACATCTACTTGCACAAACTGGCATCTGAACTTCCTACGGATTTGTGTTCCTTGTGGTTATACCCTGGGAGCATATAATTGCATCATTTTCCCCTTTTAAGTCTACTTATGCTTTTGGTGTGTCTTATACTGTGAATTGTCGTGAACGAAGTATGATTTGTAGTAACTACTTGTCTTTGCTGACCCTCTTAAACTCGTCTTCGAGAATAAGCCCTGGTTCGCCGCCCCTGCTTCCATCCTGCGTTACAATGGCCTTCTCTATATCATCTACTGCCTTCCACTTCCACTTCTGCTGAAATTCTATAGGACAATGACCCATAATGCAATCCACCACCTTATCACCAATAATTGGTAAGAATTTGAAAGCGTGCCCACTGCCGCCTGTAGCAACAAATAGCCCTTGCCAATATGGGTGGTAGTCTATTATCCAGTCTCCTGTGGCGGTGTCGGTATACCAGCAGAGGCGAGTGCGTGAAAATGGCCGCTCTTGTAATTCTGGCCAGGGAATTAACCTTCGCAGGCCTTCCCGTAGCGACCTCTCGCCTTCCTCCGGGATCGAGAGGGAGGGATCGTCAATGTGGGTAAAGGGTTGGGAGATGGGTTTGACTGTCGACTTCTCAGATCCGGGGATTCCTAGAGGAGCCTGGGAAGGTGTCTTGGGATTCAGATATCCAAATGCGTGTCTCGCGACCTTGAGCACGCGATTCCTAGGAGGGATAACGAAGAAGCCTGTTGTTAGGTTCAGAATCACTGGGATATCCTCTAGTTTCTTTTGTTCCTCTTCTGTAAGATCGATGTATCCGAGAACTTGACCCGTAGCTATGGCTTGCGACGATAGATCTATCAGCGTAGGCGTCCAGGCGCCCGCAGCCGTAATCACTAGGTCCGCCGAAATCGTGCTGCCGTCCTTCAGTCGTGCCCCGGTAACCTTCCTCTCCGCCTCGTTTGTCTCAAGGCTCTCCACCGTTCCGTTGACGAAGGTAACTCGGCCCGTCTCAATAACCTGCTCGTAGAACCATCCCATACTCGCTTCGGCGTCCGCCCAGCCACTCGCGTCGTTCAAGTATCCCCAGTCGGCGAACTCTCCCACCCCGGTTACGCGAGCGAGTCGCTTAGCCCCCGCCATCAACCGCACGGAGCTCAGAGGCCGCCCTTCGGCTTGCGCCAGCGCCATCGCGTTCACCCAGCTCTTCTTCGCGTACGCGATCCCCGTCGGCGAGCCATCTTCCCTCATCAACGGGCCGGCGTCCGCCGCTAATATGAACCCGGACTCGGTATATCGTCCGTCACGGCCGATTTCGGTTTCGCGCCATCGTGCTTGCGCCTCGGAGGCGAGCTTGGCGTAGGATGGGTCGGCGTAGTCGGGGCGGATGATGCGCGAGGAGTCGATGGAGGAGGCGTCGCGGGAGGGGAAGACGCCGGTCTCGGGGGAGCGGTCGAGGATTGTTATGGTGGTTTGTGCGAATTCGGGACGTTGGGATAGCGAGAGCGCGGTGCTGAGGCCGAAGACGCCGGCGCCGATGATCAGGATCCGGGTGGGTGCTTTGTACGGCTTCTGAGAGACGTCAATTGGGGTCTGCACTATGTCGGGGAGGACGTGTGCGGGACACGATAGGATGTTCTGGAGTGGCAGCGCTGACGCCATCGGGGGTGTGCTGCTTTGCTTGTGATTGGAGGTGGGTTGGGTATGGTGGTATTTAGGAATGGTAATTCATATATTGCGCCTGTGAGACATTACAAACTTCGGCTCTTGATATTTATTTATAGTTAGATTCTATCTATACATTTCGTGCGCCGATAGGGGAATAAGAACTCTTATACTCCGCAGTTCGATCTTACAAGTATCCACTGCTTGGACCAAAAAAGGCGCGCTTGACCGACGATGCCCGTATGATCGGAGGGCAACGGCTGAGCGGGCTGCTTAGAAATTGCAATAGCGACCAGTAGCAACTTGGATATCTGCACCGTATCTGTGTATCTTTTTAGTACCTGTCGAAAAGTTCGGCGGTACCGCGGGGTAGGTGCGATATGGGCAGATGTGATATGCGATAGCGATAGGGACAGTGTACTCCACATTTGAACACTGTACACAGACACGGTATTTTAGCTTTAGGTAACTAAGAGTGAACGGATCTGATCAATCTGACCAATCTCACCAATCTCCCTGTGTTTGAACGCGCCTGAATTACCGAACAAAGTAATAAGACACAAGTCATTCTTCTCATAACCTTCTCAAAACGTTCTCAGCTTCTACTCTTACTACTCTAGTAAACGACGCGAGAGAAAAACGGTACTTATAGAATGCGACATCCCACGTAGCCCTAAAGTGGCCTCTTCTTTTCTCTTTTCTTCCTTTCCATTATGTCTTCCGGGAAGAAACTTACCGACTTCCCCGACCTCGAGGCGAAGCTACAGAAACCGTCGAAGCAATCCGCGTTCGAGAAACAGAAGGCCGATGCCGAAGCTAAACGGAAGAGGGAAGCTGCCGAAACAGCCGCCGTATACGAGAGCTTTGTGAAGAGTTTCGATCACGACGACGACGATGACGAGGCGGGTACTACTACGGATCAACAGAACGCATTCGGTGCTCGCCAACAGGGTAGCTATTTCGGTCGAGAAGGAGGTAGAGTACCGCCGCCGAAGAGACATTTCGGTGCTGGGCTTGGTGCCCCGCCTGCGCTGAAGAGTGGTCCTGGATCTTTGGGTCCCGCGCCGACGCCCTTTGTTAATAAGAGGAGGTTTGAGACAAATACAAATCAACAAGGGTTCAACAGAAGGGGTATAGATGATTCAAGAGGTCGGTTAGGATTCCACGATGATGATATTAGCGATGGTGGTCGCGCGCCGAAGTCGAAGGGTATTTCGAAAGTATTCGATACGAGCGACGACGAAGCCGACACAAGATCTAGAGACTTAGCTGAGCAGAAGGCTATTGCGAAACCGACACTCCGTCTTTCTAACCTCCCGCCAGGAACATCGCCTGCAGTTATCAAAGCTCTAATGCCGTCAAGTCTAACCATAGAAAATGTCAAGATCCTACCAGTCAGTGCCTCGGGGACTACAGAAAGGAAATCTATAGGAGCAATTGTCACTTTGTCCAAAGAAACGCCCGCAACTGATATCGATGCTGCGGTCAGCTCTCTACAAAACCGATACTTAGGCTACGGCTTCTACCTATCACTACACCGACATCTATCATCCGCGGTAACTTCTACTGCGGTCACCTCAAGCTTCACCTCCTCGACCACTTCCCAACCTTTTGGCGCAAAGCCAGTCCCTCAGCCTAATGGTAACAATCCTCACCACCCAGGTGGATTCCAACGCGGATTTGCTCCACCGACATCCTATGAATCAAGTGGCGGCCCAATAAATCGAGTCCTCTTACATGTTCCGGTCCAAGCTCCAAGAGATATTAAGCAACTTCAGCTTATCCACAAAGTCGTCGAATCTGTACTAGCACATGGCCCAGAGTTCGAAGCTCTGTTGATGTCACGACCTGATGTACAAAGAGAAGAGAAATGGGCCTGGCTCTGGGATGCGCGTAGCGAAGGTGGGGTTTGGTATCGGTGGAGGCTATGGCAGGTTATCACGGGCGCAGAAGCGAACGCAGAGCATAGGAAAAAATACATACCGCTCTTCGAAGGCAGCCATGCGTGGAGGATACCCAAGAAGGACTTATCATACGAGTATGCTACCGCCATCGACGAATTTGTATCCGACCCGGAGTATAATTCGTCTGACGAGGAGGATTACGAAGACGAAGGGCAAAGACCAGCAGACAAGGATGACAATGAGGAAAGTACATACTTGAATCCACTCGACAAAGCGAGACTCACGCACCTGCTGGCTCGCCTCCCAACGACATTAACGAAGATCCGGAAGGGTGATGTTGCTAGGGTGACTACTTTTGCAATCACTCATGCGAGTAGAGGGGCGGATGAGATAGTGGATATGATTGTGGCTAATGTAGTCAAGCCATTCTCGTTGACATCAGCAAACCCCGAATACAACAAAGCCAGTAAGGATTCTGAAGACCACGGCGAGTCGCTCAACTCGACGCCTTTCCCCGAAGATGCGGGCACGAAGCCCGGCGACGTCCAGGACACGAGCGCTGCAAGCCTCATCGGTATATACATTGTAAGCGACATCCTCTCAGCCGCTGCGGCAAGCGGCGTCCGACATGCCTGGCGGTTTCGTCAACTTTTCGACGCGTCCCTCAAAGATGGCAAAGTTTTTGAGAACTTGGGTCTTATGTCAGAGCGCCTCAATTGGGGTCGCCTCAGGGCAGAGAAATGGAAGCGTAGCGTTAAACTCGTACTGAGTTTATGGGAGGGATGGTGCGCATTTCCACACGAGAGCCAGCAGCTCTTCAACGAGACGTTCGAGAATCCACCTAGTGCGAAGAAAGAGGAACAGGTTGACGAAGTTGCTAAGAAGAATAAGTGGAAGACTTTGGAGACTGGTGGCTCGGGTACTATCCAGAGCGAAGGCAGAGGGTTCGTACCACTATCTGCAAGCATGGACACCCGAAAGAATGATGAGATGAGAGGAGAGGCCGATGACGAAGATGGAGAACCGATGGATGAATACATGTCTATGGACGAGGAGGATCTCGATACCGATATTGACGGAGTCCCAATGGATGACAGCGAAGATGGTGAGCCTATGAACGAGACAGACGTAGGAGACGTGGAACAAGATAAATCTACTGGTAAATCATTGGAGGCTCACACCGAAGGAAATGAGAGGCAGCAGGGCGGCGAAGATACTAGAAACCCCGAAATAAGTAGCTCATCTAAGGAGCAAGCGGCTGCCCAACAACCGAGGAGGCGTATGAGGGCTGTGGATATGTTCGCTGACTCCGATAACTCTGATAACGGGTCGTGATGGTATAAGAGATGAGGTTGATCTCGGTTAACGAAGAAACTTGTCGTCTTAGCATGAGTCTTAGTGGTGGAAGGATCCTATACGAGCTATGTTGAGAACATGATCAAATAAACAGAACTTACCAAGAAAAGGGGTTATACCTGCCAATTACTAGTCGTTGATCCTGACCAGGAGGACAGTCGCATAATAAATACCAGCTTCAAACATGGGATATGTCTACGGTATGTGGCCGTATGGATAGACATGAAAAGAATCGCATACGAAATTTTAAGTCGGCATCTACCACTCTACTGATCTACTGATATCCATACTCTTCTATCTCACTACGGTCTATGAATATTGGATATAACCTGTTCTACTTGAATGGTACCTTTTTTCGCGGATGTGAGGCTCCTACATGCAATTTCATCATTAGTATCCTCGAAGTATAGTTGTGTCCTCCTTCAATTACACTGAAACTCTGGTAATTTACAATAGAAGTTTATTTTAATGAGAAAAGAACCGGTAATTATATGGTAAATGTTGAACTTGAATGTATCGTTATCATTGAGAAACTGAGGATATTGTTGATAACTCGTTTATTTGATTCACAGGTCATAGGATCTATTGCATTATAGATATTGAAGTACTTAACTACCTGTAAACAAAAACGACTACACCCAACAAACTTGCAGTGAAGTCACTCCCGCCAAGGTTCAATCCGAAACTCTAATTAGCGAAACTTTAATCCTACTACCCCGGAGGTTTGTCAGCATATACTTTGGAGATCAATATATCAGAGTCTTCCTAAGGCAAGTACGCTAAGACTTGAGTACAGCTGTTGTGGTTATCTAGGTAAAGTTGCTGTGTTTTAGAAGGCAGGCATGCGTTAACTTCAACTTCCCTACACATTACCTATTCAGACTGTTAAAATTCAATATATCTGCTCAAGATATCATGGAAGCAACAACGATCATCTTGGGGAATAGACTTAACAGTTTATGATTAAGTTGTCATCACAAATCATATGATAGCATATATGAGCGAGTTAGTCATTACTCTAGTATCATCAGATTGTTAAAAGGTAGAAACATCAAAATAATAGGCGCATAGGTACCTTATAAGCAGGCCCCCGCAATGTGTGTAGCTTCCCGGAGTCTTTGATGTTTCCTAGGGTTCTAGAATACCAAGGTACTTACTTAGGTACTTAGGGACATTGGACAATATGATGACATCGGCTTAGAGATGTATGATCTGCTAAAATTGCGGAATACACGTGGAGCGTAGTAACGGACCCCTGGATTTGCCTACTTCTGAACTGTAAGAAGGCTTAAGTCAGTGTAAATAGACATCTGTATGATCTACCTAGACAGCCCTATTTATTTTTATCCTGCCTGGGGGTTGCAACTCGGACCAGATCTATGTATTACTTCGAAAGGTACAAACATCTAGGTATGCCAAGTCTTGCCATACGCTAAGAAACCATTACCTAAATGGGATAAGCTACGCTACGCTTGGGTACAATAGGTAATAGAATGGGTAGATCCCTTTGCCCTTTCTTTTTAAGCTTGTCGTCATTGAAAGTTTTATCATAAATCATAACATGTTTCAACAGCCACCTGGTCTAAGCTGTGGCCAAAACGACATGTCAACTGCCTGATCCGAAAATTTAGATGCTAGTCCAGATGACGTATATTTTCAAGGTTAGGACTTTAATTCAAGGCAATCGCATGTTGCGAAATTATATAAAAGATATTTAGAATTTGTACGGCCAGGCATTTAAAAGCACAGCTGAGCCCTACTGCTGGATTGCGATCTGGAGAAGCTCGGTAGCGTTACGTAGCAGCAGCCCCACGTTTTTTTTATCGAGTCCAAGCCTGGAGTTCACGACTTTTGCGGCATTGCCCCTCTTCAGCCCCTCCATCAAAAGTTCATAAATTGAATTTAGTGGTCATTGGACGTAAATGATACGCATCTTTCTGCAGGACCCTTTACGTTCCCGTTCTCTCCCCGTTTAGCGCGTTCTGCAAGTACCTACCTATTGGTAGCTGGTCTTCCTTGCCTACAGCACCTTACCCTACCTAGTGTTTATCTACATAGTACAATACCATACCCTATTATTTCCTACCCTACATGCCCTAGAGGGTACATTAGTACTTAGCCTGGCCAACCCCCCTGTCTTTTTGGTAGGGGAAGTGAAGGATCTAACTTGAAGTCAGCACCATTCGAGCAGAATCAGCCAATCAAAACTTGCTCGTTTTGGGAAACCCCCACAGACAACACGACACTCACCATCCCAATCATCTTTCACTTCTGCTAGGAGAGCATACCAAAACCCTTTGACCCTTTTCCTGGGAGTTTAGACCACCAGATGTCTCTGGTTTGAAATCTTATTGTGGTGGGACCTGAACTTTCTTCATTGGAAGAAACGGGTTATTGTCACTCGGTGCAACGAACGAACTGGAGAAACCCAAAAAACCTACAGCAAGTTTCCAAGTTCCTGGAGGACTGGGAAATCTAACAAGTCACATCAACTAGGAACTATCAACTATTAACTACCAACCATTGACTTCTACTTGCCGGAAATATATAGGAAATCCCCTTCATTACAATCACCATCTCTGATTTCAACGCACTATATAGACACAAGACGTTCTCTAGACATACTAACGTCTTAAAAAATACCGGTTCCTTGGTTGGAATCCCCCTTCTTACCGCCCGTCTAGACCGCAAGACCGAGGCTTCCCCGGAGTACACATTCTTTGTATTCTATCCGTCCTGTCATCAGCCTCGATTCAAGAAAAGGGCTTACCTGTTTCGTACGCCTACTAACGTTGTTGGTTGGAGACGTTACATGTGGAAAATCGGACGAGGAACACTCACTCACCCTACCCCCTCTCCTCCCTGGACAATCATTCTTCCTTATCGATCATTACAACAGACAAACATATTGTCCAAACTGATCCGGGCTTTCGGTGGCGGACTCATCCTGAAGGAATCGGACGTAACTTGCATTACATCCACTTACCATTCGACTGCGTCGACGTTTTTGGCGTTTTGACGCCTACATACCATAACCCTGACTACAACGTCTCCCGAACCGCCGACCCCAAAGGCGCACGTTTTGAGCAGAGTACCGTTACTCTGCGCCGTCGAATTCCTTAGCCCTTCTTACTGGGTACTCCGCCTTCACCTCGCTCCAATTCACCTCCATCTCACTCGGACCACATTGAATTGCGACCATTAACCGGGTAGATTAAACTTCATTCGGGTTTCCCTCCAGACTTCCCAAGGATACATCATCATTAGAAGCCCCGTTATATAGACTCCTTACTTACTTACCCGTCAACCCCCTATAGTAACCCAAGCTTCTGGTACGTATAGGTTATCCAAGGCTCTTGTGGGACCCTGAGTTTCCGCTTTTAGGTAGACTTGAGGTCATTCTCAAGGCTCGAGTTGTACGAAGGCAGCCACTTTCATCTCATAGCGAAGTATCCATCAAACCTTTTTCGGAGTACGGCACATCTAAAGCGCATTTACCACTCGTGCGTATCGACGCATATGAGAGGAATCACCGAGATCACCGTGCTAGTTGGAACCGACTGGGATTTCGGCAGTTGATCTCCAAGGCAGAGTTTGATCTAACAGTCGCGGAGACCGTGTCTACGATCCTCACATGGTCAACGGTGTTCTGTCCCATTGCCTAGGTGCGACCTGAATTATCGTCGCGTTGGCATCTGCCCGCGACTTCGTTCAAAATGCCTATCGTCAATGGACAAAAAATGGCCTGGTACGTTAAAATTTTTCTCTATTGTCGCCTGTTATTTGCGCAAGTGCTTCCTGGATGGTCTCGGAAGGCTGCAGGTTGTCGCGCTAATTTTGACGCGCTTCTTCTGGCAAACCATCTCTATTCGATGCCGGTGGCTCGTGTAACCGACATGGGTATCCGATGATCTGGGAAGGCGATCGGATTGAAGTTGCTCTGTTGCTAACCTATTATCTCATCTTTTAGCCAGCCCTGCATACGAGGTCATCGTTCGACAAAGTGCACTCATGGAGGAGACCGTATGTTAGTGCCCGTTCGTAAACCTGGCCGACCTCTTAGTACGTGTCCCCATCCACCGGGAAAAGACTGTCAATGTCGCAACGTGACGGCTGCCATTCCAAAAGGAGTAGCCTGTCGCTGTGGAGGCTCACAGGGTGTCAAACCAAATGGCACGCCGACGCTGGTAAAGGCCGAACCATCGGAGAATGCGCCGTTATCGCCTACGAAACAGGCATCCTTTCGCGTGCAGAAGCCGGCAACGAAACCGAATAGGAAGCAGTCTTTAGATGCTTCTGTAGCATTACAACGCATGGACTCGAATAATCTAAACCTGCAGAATGGTGCGAATGAATATTTGGCGCAAAGCGCGAATGGAGTAACTTCATCAAACTGGGGAAGTTTCGTTTCGCCTTTGCAAAACGGAGCCAATCCATATTCAACATATCCATCGATGACCTCGCGTCTTGAGGGAACGATGGATTCCTCGATTCTTCACATCAATGGTGGTCTCGCGGATATAGCACCAAACCTTTCTTCTGGAAATGGCATATCGGACCATTCCACCGTGAGTTCAGGTACACTCACACCTGGTACATCGGATTCTCCTTATCATACGCCGACTTCTAGTAATGGAGAGCCTTCTCAGGAGTTATCTTTAGAGCCGCCCGGAAGTTGCTGTTCCCAGCGAATGCAACAACCCCAGCAAGTGCCAAACCGGATGCAATTCCAAGGCCATCTCCAGAGCGGCCCTAGAGAATCGCCGAATATGATGGGATATGCGCCTCAGGTCACCATCCGCAACGGATCAATGATGGAACAAGTTCCTACTCAGGTTACCGTGAACCAGCAGCTATACACTGTTAATAATTATGCGCAAGCGGGGCTGTTTTCGGACAACCTGTCGTTCGGAACACCACAATTACCTCTTCAGCAGGCGCAGTGGGAACAGTTGATGGCAAATTTTATGCCTCAAGCGGGATCAAATGAAGGTGGCCCCAGTTACACGAATCATGTGTGCGATTGCGGTCCTGGATGCGAATGTCTTGGTTGTGCCTCTCACCCATATAACCAAGTCAGTATACAATACGTTCGAGAAGCGATGGCTTTGCAGGAGAGCTTGAGTAATGGTAGCCTTGATACGCCGACGCCGATTGCCGATCCGCCGTTGGTAGGTGAAGCATCACCACCACCTACGCATAGTCCAGCCGAGACCGAATCGCCAGGTGCGAACGAACTCAATCTATCGCCTAGCGAATTTCTATTTGTCGACTATGGTAGTGGAATATGTGGCTGTGGAGATGATTGTGCCTGCGTCAACTGCATGATTCACCGTGACCCTTTGGATCATAAGATGACCGGACATGGCATTGGTGGACTTCATGATAAGACGCCGAATTGATAGAGGTAGAACTCGGCGTCCGAATATATAACACCTCTGCTAGGAGCTATAGATGAATGAAGCGAGCGGAGGATACCTTCGAGGGTCATTGCTGAAACCCGACAATCGAGCTTTGAAACACATAGCTAAGCGGATATATGAATGGACGAAGACAAACGACGAAATATATGGAAGACAATTCCGAGAGATGATATCAAGGAAGCTATTTCGAGAATTTTCCACACGAGCTATGGATCAGCACAAAGATGCGACGGCCATGAGCTGGGTGGGATAGAGCATGATTGATCACATTCTCGATGAGCTGGTGGACAGTGGCCTGCGGGCATACCCGCTAGGTGGAGATTTTCTGTACTCATCAGGCTCCAATCGGCATCGCTGGCACCTCCCCGGCGAGAGGGGAATCCCAGTCGAACCTGATGAGAAGGATCTAGCTGCAGGTCGCCTACATCCTACATCGGTTTTCGACTCAAGCCTCAATCCTCGTTCCGGACTTTTCATCGGGGAAAGAGGATCAACGCAAACATGATGAGGTTTGAGGAGTCACAATCGGCTCTGAATTAACTACGAAAATTTTATGAAGCGGAACGTAACGGAACTTGCTTGAAAGATGATTGAGGAGATACGAAATGATACCTAGCTAGCGATTATATACGCGTTTGAAATTACCTGACCAAGCGGATTTGCTCTTGAGTTTTCTCGGTGTCTCTACCGAGTTGAGGTGAGATAGAAGAGACTCCACTACATAGTGTGCTATTATAGCTGTAAATAAAAGCGAGTAAAACCTGTCCTATTTCGTCTGAAGTGCTTTAATTACTTATGTATGTGTATGTTGCCTACCTAGATGGGATGAAATATCTTTTATAGCTACTATGGTAGTTGGAAGAGGTTGTGTTGATAGGTAATGATAAATTGTGATAGTTGTACACCGGAAAGGACGAGTAAATACATTTATGGATGTCTTACTTCGGATTCTCGGCGTGTGAGATTCTGCTGACTGTCATGGCGTAAGTGAGGACCTTGATGGATAACCCAATTATTATGTAATTACTAATTAATACAGGAAAATGGTGATGGATCTGACGTTCTTGGTAGAAGCCCCCACATGCCACATGGCGCTAGAAATTCCCGACAAGCAACTATCAAATGCTATGCTACCTCGTCTAAGCACGCGTACCGTTCTTCATTCCGAGCTTACTATTAGCCTGTCAACCTGTACGACCGAAACACACGAAATGCCTCTTGGAGCCACTAGAGGAGATCGATACCAGGGTCCCGGCTTCGGACGTACACGAATCCTACGCTCTATTCGCTAGGCGAATTATCCTATAGGACGTCGGCTACGTGCTGTCATTGCATAATGACGAAACCTGGGCTTAGCGGGTCCCGAGACCGCGGACTGGGAGACGAGCATGCGAGGTACAAACGAACGCGTGGGGGAGACGATGGGGGCGAAAGAGGTGGGAAACGTCTCAGGAGAGAATATGATGGTGATGAATATGATCGCGAAGAGCGTGGATCGAGAAGGAGATCTGTATCGTCGCCGGACGAGGCGCGAGAGACGAGGCGTCGGAGCCGCGACAGGTATCAGCATCGACATTTCGAAGACGACCACACATCACAATTGAAATCCAAATCGACCAATTCGTCACATAGAGAAAGAAGAGAGCCAAGCCATCCAAATCGCGCTGCTGAACATTCACCTTCGACGTCCTCGACCCGACACCATCACCACTCCCACCATCACCATCATCATCACCGACACCGTCACCCTTCGAAGAACCCCAGCCACACCCCAAACGAACTGCCTTTCGGCGCACGACCTCTAGTCCGCTCCGATCTCGACGCGTTTAAACCGCTTTTCGCACAATACATCGAAGTACAAAAGAACAAAGATGCCGCAGCGATGGACGAACGCGAGATCAGAGGTCGCTGGAAGAGCTTCATCGGCAAGTGGAACCGCGGCGAACTAGCCGAGGGTTGGTACCGTGCCGAGACGCTCGACTCGGCCAGGGAGGACGGTTTCGGCGCTGCTATACAAACACATACCACAACAGAGCAGGAAAAGCGCGGTATCAATATCGACAAGTCCCCATCTCCAGCAGCCTCGTTGTGCGGACAGAGTCCAAGTCACACACGCGAAGACCACTCCGACAACTCCGAGTCCGAGTCCGACTCCTACGGACCTACCCTCCCCCAATCCTCCTCTACCGCCACAACCACAAAACACGGCCCCGACGTCCCAAGCCTACAAGACCTCTCCCTGCGCCGCGAAACCGCCGCAGAGGAACAGCAGCAACGCATAGCGGATCTCCGGGCCGAACGCAAGCACGACCGGAAACAGCAGCGGGAAAGACTCGAGGAGCTCGCGCCTCGCGCGGAACCGGGGACGCGGGAGCGGAAGCTGGAGAAGAAGCGCGAGGTCGGGGATAAGATGCGCGGGTTCCGGGAGCGGTCTCCCGGGGGGGAAGTAGGTGAGGCGGAGCTGATGGGGGGAGGGGACGGGGTTGCGGAATATAAGAGGATGAGGAAGGAGGGGGAGAGACGGAGGACGGAGCGAGAGGTTAGGAGGGAGGAGGAGGAGAGGGCTAGGGAGGCGGAGAGGGAGGAGCGGAGAAGGGTTTGGAGGGTTAGGGAGGAAGGGGTGCTGGAGGGGTTGAGGAGGATTGCTAGGGAGAGGTTTGGGTAGGGGGGTGAAGAAGTTGAGGAGGGGGAGAGGGGGAGGGGGAGTGGGAGTGGGAGTGAGAGGCTCTTTGGTTGTGGATGTGTGTAAGAGGGGGGTGGTGTGTGTAATAGTAGGTACCTATGGAGTGTCCGGGGGTTGAATGGGTGGTATGAAGCATACGCTGCGCTGGTATTATGAGACTAGAGGAACTCGTATACAATATTACCTAGGTAGTTATCTATTATTGGCCTGGAATTGGTTTTCCCCTGGAGTTATATCAAAGCTACCTATACCATCCCATTTTGAATACTGAATAATAGTCTCGTAGTTTGATATTCTACAAAGTCAAAGTTGGGGCATAGGGTCACAGGCAGGGAAAAGGGGGACACCTTCCCCACTCTATTACGTATAACCAATCGGGTCAGCCAATGAAATCTTGGTAGTATATAGAAGCATTTACCGAACAAAATTTTCAACGCACTATCAAGGCGCAGTGGCAGAGTGGTCTAATGCGTGTGACTAGAATTTCTAGAATATCTTATAGATTATCACATCCCTTCGGGGGCGTCTGTTCGAATCAGGCCTGCGTCGGTACAATTTACTTTTTTCTAGTGTCCTCTTCGATACTATTTTTTATCTTTCCCTTCTTTTTCCTAATTTATTTTTTAAAATCGAATTTTTCCCGGTGCCATTGAACCTAATGCGCCCATATCAAGGGACAATTCCGAAAAAAGTCAAAAGGAAAGTGAAGCTTAAAAGCTAGCCATCGTCAGCCAACCCAAGTATGTTGGTGGTGTTTCCTTCTCACTGCAACACACAATTCTCTCGCCTTCTTTGCCTAATCGATCAATTGATCCCCTTATTCTTCCATTGAACTTTCATTTGGAAGAATTGCAGGTACTAGCTAAGAGATGACCCCTGCAAATCGTCGAGTAAGTGGAGCTAACTTGGAAAAAGGGGGTTCCATGAAAAGTTCGAGTATTTGGCTAACACAATCCGAACCTAGTCCGATCAAATACCTATATAATCTCACGTAAGAATGTGCATGTCGGCCACCTAGTCAAAGCTCATATTCTCCGCCGGCTGCACCAAGACTCCGCCATTCGTGCTCACACAGCTACCCGTGTTATTCGAGTCCTTCATCAAGTAGATATACGCCTCCGCGACCTCCTCCGGAGACCCGATCTTGCCTAGCAGCGCCGACTTCGCCATGTACGCGACTATCTTCTCGCGCGCCTCGCCCTCCCCGAATATTTCCGTGTCCGTGGCTCCGGGGCTTACAAGGTTCGCGCGCACGGGAGCCAGGTCCAACGCTAGCCCGCGCGTGACGCCGTATAGCGCCGCGGCCCACCCCGAGGCTACGGTCATGTTCTTCATGGGAAGCTCGGCGAGACGGCCGCTTGTGAAGATTAGGGATGAGGTGTAGTGCTGCTTGACGAAGCGCGCTGATAGCTTGGCGATTAGAAGCGGTACGACGTATCCGAACTGCACGCTGTTGCGCAGGTATTCGGCGGACACGCTGCTTACGGGACGCACGTCGAGCGATGCCGCGGTGTACACGATGTGGTCGAGAGCCTGCCCTGTCGCGGCAACGACGTCGGTGAAGAGCTTCTCGAGCTGCGACTCTGCGTCGTCGTTGGATACGTCTACGGTGTACCCCTTGATGCTAGCGCCCGGGGTAGAAGTGAGGAGCTTGGCTACGGCGCTGGAGACGCGGGTGGCGTTGGATGAGGCGATGGATACGTTGACGCCTTCGGCGGAGGCGAGCTTGGCTACGGCGAATCCGATGCCCGAGGAACCGCCGATGACGAGGATGTTTTGGTTCTTGATCGAAGGCATGATGACGACGACGAGTCGGGAAGGGATGGAGGAGGAGGTTTATTGGGGGTAAAAGTCAAGATAAAGGGGGTTTATGAAGTTTGGACTAATCGGTCAATTCAGTGAAAGGGCAATCGATGATGGAAGCGAATTCAGTGAGGAAAAAAGGGACATCATAGGCGATATATGTTGGATTTCACAGTTTTCGCATGGATCGCCATCGTAAACAACCCTCGATATTCCAGGTTGTACGCAGTGTTCACGGATTACTTCGAGCACCTATGCGGGGTCCGATCCCACCGACGGCAACGGGGATCTGGCCGAGTCTCACTATCCCGAGTGGGACTATCTTAAGTGACATCTCGGTAACGCCTGACGATCATGTCGATCCGATTTGGAGAATTGTCCCGGCTCCCGGCAGCTTGGGTTGTGGCCTCGGGGATGACGGGGTTAGTCGTCGATGGAGTTAAAGAAGTCGGAGTTAATGTCATTCCCTAAGTGGCGTCCGGACGTCCGAGTACTTGGTGGGCTAAGTACGAGGATCGGGGTGAGAACCTTCTCCTCCGACATATCCTGCTGATTAAGAAAGCGATGGTCATGAAACGTGACGACTCACGATACTATGCAGGCATATCGGACGTATCCGATGTCACCCACCTGCCATGTGTTAATCCCCAATTCGAACCGTCAGAATCAACCGACCACTGCCTCCACACCGACGAGTAATCTCTTTTTCCTAAAATATACGAAAAACTCTTGCACCGATATCTTTCACACACATCTACACACCTACTCTTTCTGTGAGTATAAGATGTGGGATGCCATTGGGCACGTCGGGCAGAATTATTGTCAGTTTCGGGGTTTCCAAGGTTACCTTAGCTGCACAAGATGCTAGACGATAAAATCAGCTTTCAGCTGTCGCCGATCATGGAAATCGATTGGTTCTCATTTGACTCGATGAAGCAGGCTGTTGCTCTTTACGTCGGTAAAGAATACACAAGCTTCTCGAAAAGGAGAGATTCTTGTCTACATATTTTCATATAGCCTCTTTGGACTTACTACTCCTCTAACCTCGAGTCTATCTACCGATGGGACATATTCTACGAATGTTATTATACGACGAAGATGAATACAGGGCCACCAAGCAACGCTTGTTTCACCTGCAAATCTACAGGCAAGCAAACTTATTCTTGCATCCAATGCAATAATCTTTCGTTCTGTAACGACTGTTGGTCTCAATGGGTTCTGCACTTACCCGGCGCCGTTGGTTACGATAATAGACCACACGAAAAGGCAAACGCGCAAGTCGTCCAACGGCTCCGCCAAATCCTCGAGCCCTCTAAAAACGAAAATGACCACGAACAAGAACTTCAAAGCGATGACGACACAACCTGGTTCGGAGTTGGTCGAGATTCGGCTAACCAGCCAGTCTTCCAAGATCATGGTCGCTTTGCGAATCTGATGAGCGAGAGCCAGACACAAGACCTTGGGAACCGATATCCCCAGCTTGTTTCTTTTATCGGACAGACAGGTAGAACTTATATATCCTGTATGATTATTGGTCATTAATTGTTAACGTCGCTAGGTGCTGGGAAGAGTACACTGATTAAGATGCTAATCGATCGACTTGATATGAGACTTAATGATCAGAGAACTCGATTTCCTTCCCCTGTCACGTCGTCCAGTAATGACCGAGTTCCTACTACGGGAGGTGAGTGTATCGCCCAACAAGTACTACAAAGCCACTAAAGGTGTTAAGATGTTCATTTATACGCCGATCCATCTTCTTATTACACAAAAGGGCCTGTGCTGTATGCAGACTGCGAAGGCCTCGATGGAGGAGAAGCTATTCCTAGGGGATTAAGTAAGTAATTTTGTACATTTATTGTATTCATCAAGAGCCACGTCTTTCGCACCCCCCTTGAATTATCTATCGGTACTAATATGAACCATTGTAGGACACCGAGCCAAGGAAAACGGAGATCCAAAACCCGAGACACCTGCTGGCAACGGATCTTCTCGAATGATGCGAGCGTCATACCAACCTTCTTCTAATCGTAACCATGCGCAACCTACCAATACCAATTCTATGCACATCGAGACGAAGAAGAAGATGCAGAAGAATCGACATAGTTCTCAAAGAGACATAACTTGGGCAGTAACTCCTGAAACCAAGAAACGAGAATATGCCGTGACTCAGCTATACCCTCGGTTACTATACACCTTTTCTGATGTCGTCGTGTTTGTGCTTAGGAACCCGAGGGCATTCGAATCAACAGTGTTGGAAAAGCTCTTACAGTGGGGATCATCATCGATTGATAAGTCCCTGAATCAGCCTGCTCTTCCACACGCCGTAATCGTCCTCAATGCAACTGAGAACGCCGACGAGAAAGAATGGGATATAGAGACCGCTACCAACCTGTTTCTAAACGACATTAAGGGCGCCGTCTTCCGCGAACCCCGTTTCTCTGAGCATGCACGTATGTGGCAGGATACTGGCCGGAAGATTAAATCTACCCGCGACCTCCTCGAATGCTACTACGCTTCAATCACTGTAGTCAGAATTCCATCACGCGGTAGGTATATGTTGATGGATGAACAGGCAGAAAAGCTTTTTGGTGTCATTAAGGGGAAATGCCAAGAGTCTCTGTTCACGAAGAAAAGAGTCCGCATGTTGGCAACAGCAGAAAAGCTCCAAAAATACCTGCAAGCCGCCTATGACCACTTTTCTAGAGACCTCAACACGCCGTTTGATTTCATCAAAGAGGCTTTGAAACACAACCCGATCCCACAGGATTTTGGTGGAAATATCTTGAATCTCGCCGTTGCAATCAAACAAAACTGTGACTCGCTTCAGGGGGACACGGAAAAGATATTCGACATGATGGCTCCTATGATATCATCCTGTATTATGCTTGATGCTGTCCGCCAGAACTTAATGGGTAAGTGAAATGCATCCTTGAGAACCCTTTCAACAGAGCACTAACCAATATGAAGGGACTACGATACAGCTTCTCAACGATGCTTATGTCGAATTTTGCCAGCTCGCCCTCCAGGAATTCTCAGACCTCTACACTCCCTGTACTTACAGGAGCTATAAGTACGGAAAATGTTGTAATGTCAAAGCAGGACATAACCCCAAAGGGCACCAGAATGAAAGTGGCAAGATCATCGGTTCTGGAGGCTACGAATCCAACTTCGACTACCACGAATATGCACCCAAATGGATAGACCGTATTTCAGCCAAACTGGAAGAGTTGCAATTCAAATTCATCGAACGAAGCTATAAGTTACTAGAGTACTCCGAGCACCATATTGCGGCTGATGTTCATAAAAAGACGATCAACGAATTCTACCGTTCTCTAGGAAACCCCGAGGATTTCAAAAGCCACACTGCATGCTTTTCTTGCCTTCGCGAACTTCCCGAACATGCCTTGCCTTGTGGCCACGTCCTATGTCTCCCATGCGTTAAGGCATACGGGACGAACGTGTCAAAAACCACGATAGAACTCCGGAATTGTCCTTTGCACGCACGGGACACGACCTGGGAATCGGTGTGGACTGTTTTGGTAAAGCCTGCATTTGCCGGTACTCGAGTACTCTGTTTAGATGGGTGAGTTACATGGGATTTATTTGGAAATTACGAAGTCTAACATTAATATTAGAGGCGGCATACGAGGTATCGTTGAGCTGCAGACCCTGAAAGCTATTGAAAGGATACTGGGGCCAAAACTTCCCATCCAATACTTTTTCGACCTAATCGTAGGCACAAGGTATGATTGAAACTTGGAATTCGTTAAATACCTAATAGGTGCATGCTAAATGTTCTTAGTACTGGTGGTATCATTGCTTTAGGACTGGGTGTGAACAATTGGACAGTGGACGAATGCATTCGCAATTTCAAGGACCTGTGCGGCCAAGCCTTCAAGCCCCGAGAGATGATCGGAATCCCCTTACTCCAAAATCTGGCTGTTCTAAATCACGGAAGCATGTATAAAACAAGACCGTTCGAAGCATTACTCAGGAAGACATTCACGGAGAAGCCTCTGTTTGGGGGTGCTAACGATCTAAGCGAGATGATCACGAAGGTAGCCATTACAACGACAAGTGAGATGAAACAGCATGCAGTAGTCCTCGCAAACTACAATCGACAGGGATCAACTGAATACGGTAAGAGATAATCATGAACTAGAATGATGATACTATCAGCTAAGACTTATAGACCTGCCTTACAGATTTGATAGGTTTACCGAACCGGAAAAGGAGTTCAAAATATGGGAGGCGTAAGTAGGTGAACGAACTGAACGTAAAAATCGCTAACATCATGTCAATAGAGCTCGTGCTACATCTGCTGCTCCCCCATTCTTCAAGACCTTCCAGAAACACGAAACGCGAAACACTTACATCGACGGCGCTCTCTACCACAACAACCCGGTATGGGTTGCTCATCATGAGAGGAAGCTCATTTGGCCAGACGTCTGTAATTCCCCTCCAGATATTCTGCTCTCAATCGGTACGGGGAAGAATACCTTAGAAATGGATGAACACTACCTACATTCGAGTCAGGCAAGACAATTCGATCTTCCTTCCCATTCAAAACCGAAGACTCGCAAAAGGACCTCACTACCCCATTCACTATTAAGCATAGCCACAAATCGATTCGACAACTTACTTGAATGCAACAAAATCTGGGACAACTACTTCGCAGAGACCTCGTCTTCGGACTATAGTAGGATCTCTAGCATGAATAAACGGCGGTTGATCCGCCTCAATCCGGACCTGCGCTTCAAAGTTCCACGATTAGATGCTGTCGAAGAGCTCGATCATATTGAAAAGGCTGCGATTGCAGATCTTAATAAAAACAAAGCGAAGGTTATAGAAGTTGCTCACAGGCTCATCGCCAGCACGTTCTTTTTCGAGAAAGATCCCAACTCAGTGAGACCTACAGATCACGGTTATGAATGCATTGGTTCGTATTTTCTTTCCTTTCGTCTAATCAGATGACTTCAAGGGCTAAGATTACCAGGGCGAATCCACTGTAGGTTTACCAACTCGTCGGCTGAAATGAAGGCCTTGGGAGGCTTCTTGAGGAATTGCCTTCAAGAACACTTCGAGCCTTTCTTCGTGGTGGAGGAAGATACGAGTTACCTAGGAGATGAAGTCAAGCACATCATCAGCGAGAAAAGCATCGAAGACATGTATGTCCGAGGTCGGTTCGACTTGCCAAATATCCAGGTACAAATGTCTAAAGAGCTTGCCGTTACAACCATCTCGCTGTCGCTGCAATCAGGAAATTATCCTCACACGGCAAACTCCTACCTTCCCATTAGTGGCTTTCCTCGAGAGCTTGTGATAGAAGACAACAAGGAAATAGGTAAGTTTAATTTCAGACTCAGTATTTGTTTGAAAGGATCGCAGCTAATTCTAATATGAAGTTTCGAAACCTCGTCCACGGCTATTTCAGCCCCGTCATAGTGGCGAGCACCGTGTACCCCATCGGTTCCATAGTCTCAAGTCTTCAAATAGCCTTCGGCACTTGTCTTCAAAGAAAAACCTACGGGAAGTATTCTCTGATAGTGGAATCTCAGGAGCCGATACAGAAAAGGCGCCAACTTCTCCTTCATTGGAAGTCCCATACGCACCAAATGACGTTCGCAGGTGGGTGCATGATCGTGCCAATTCCCCAGGGCAGTTTGTGTATGAGTTGGAAGCATAATATGGGTTATTATAAATAGAGTCATTCAATACCTAGGTACAGGTACCTAGTAGTATGTTTATGGCGAGTAGGTCATGTTTATAGTCGATCGTTCTAAGGTGATCTCATCTTGTATCTAACAGAAAATAAACAATCATCCATCAACATCATTAAACCTTCAACCAAAATAACCAAACCACTTAATTTCCCCCATGAATAAACACCAAGCGCCTCATTACAATGCATACGACCCCCATATTTCCATCTCATTTAATATTCGACGCAAGCCATCTGAGACCATTCCCATAACCCTGCCTCTCAACAATCGAACACATAAACAACTCAATAGGTCGAAACTTCACAGAATCCACACAAAGATGCCAACGGAGCTTATCCTCAGAAACCGCATCAGGGTGATCGATCTTATTCCCCAAAATCAAGAACGGCACATCTTTCAACTCCTCCACCATAAGGAGTCCCAACAACTCATCCCTAGCTTCGTCGAGACGCTCGACGTCCTTCGCGTCGACGATGAACACAATGCCGCCGACCTCGGGGAAGTAATCCCGCCAGAGCCGTCTGGCTTGCTGGTGGCCGCCTAGGTCGAATGTGGTGCAGCGGAGGTTGCCGATTACGAGTTCGGTTGATGTGGGGTGGATCGTTGGCTGTAGAGCGCCGAGGCGGTCTTGCTTAAGTCGTAGTAATAGTGTCGACTTGCCGGCGTTGTCGAGCCCGAGAAGAAGGATCCTGGCGTGTTTCCGGAAAAGGCCGATGTAGACCAATGCATTGTAGATTTTATCGGTGATCCACATGGTGACAATGTGAGGTAGGTAGTGAGATTTTTGCTTGGAAAAAGGGTGAGTTGGAAGAGAATAGGAGGTTTTAATAAACAAAGGGAAACAAATCAACACTTAGAGAGATTAAAGTATGTACATACCTATGGAGTCTATAAGCTTTTGTACATGGCTTGAGAGAAGCTTTGTGGCTATAACGTTAGAGACATCGTGAAACTCTAAGATTCAATTATAACCCAGGATGAACAACATTTGTGGTGACACTGTCAACTAGGTACCAAAGGAATTGCGGCAATGTTTAAAACCAAGTACCTACCTCGTTTCAGAGAACTAATTATTCTAAAGTTTATAGAGATAACTGTTTCGAGATAGCTTCCCCTATTTTACTGATGAAATTGATTATATAATATTGCTATGTCTAGTAAGCCTATCAAATATCTCTAAATGGACGTTTATATCGACTAACCTGCAGCTTATAAATATCAGAGAAGTTAAGAAAGTTAAGAGAATTAGTTAGCTAAGGTTAAAGACATGTTACTTAAAATGGATAAAAAAGAGACATTGATCGATGTGGGAGTTGAACCCACGCGGATTGCTTTACTGCGCAGTTGTCAATGGTAGAACTTGGCAGATCAGTAACCACTCAGCCATTCGATCCTCTTCCGTCATGGATTCCCAAACTGGCTCCATACGGGTAACAAGTTAAGTAACAAGTTGCTTGTTTCTATATAAATACCAAATACATTAGATCAAACGCATTGAAATATCATTACGTCATGTGCCATTGCTAGGAAGGCCCTTAATCCATAATTAGGAGAAAATCTTGTATAGTTAGTCTTTTTCTATATGAAACTTACCAAACCTCTTTGAATCAAGAAGGTCACGAAGATTTCAATTCATCGTGGATAGATATCAAAATTCGCTGATGGATAAGTTTGAAGCAGCCATAACTTTTCGGTGCTAACCCCCATGGAGTCAAGTTCACACTCCCGACTTCTAGAACACGAAGGAACTTCTCTGGAAAGACATCTCCGTGGGAAGAATTAAACAAAATCAATAGATCGAAGAGCTAGTCGCAAGAGTTCTCTTCCAAACCCGCAACCTCCAACACCGAAGAGAGAACGCCTGCACTAGCAACTATGCGGTCCAATCAAGCAGCAAACGCCTTCCTAAAAGAGCAACACATCAATTCATACCTTATAATAAAAAGGGGTTAGCATGCTCAAAATACGAACTGTCACGTAGGTAAATAGGTCGCCGGGCCATCGAGCCTATACCCGCGACCGGCTACCCGAGAGTTCGCCAGGGGTTCCCGGCCCCGGAAGCTAGTGCTCCCTACCGAATCGGGACGAACCAAGGAGCAAGGCGCGCATTCTATTCGCGGGAAAAATCGATCAGGAGATCGAGGGACCCCACTAATTTCCCCCATGAACCTCCGCTGTTCTGCGAAAGGGGAATCCAGCGCGAGACATTTGGCTGTGGGCCGTCCGTGTGCTGTGCGTTTTTACGTACGTGGTGGTGCCATTGATACCACCTGTCATCGCACCCTAGATTTAATGAAAGGGGGTTTGAGATGCCTCTAGACGGATGAAAACCCGGGAAAGCTCGCGTGATGTGACATCGGGGTTCATCTATACGTAGGTACAGATTGCGCGCAAATGAATATAAATCAACCATCTTGCATACCCGTGCGAAGTAATATGTGAGAGCCAACTTCGAGTGCGGAGCCGCCTTCAAGTTCTAAGGAGAAGGGACACCAATACCTACCTAGGTACCTACCCAAGATAACTACAAGTCTTGGCGCGACGATGAGGTTCCTCGCCTGGACCCAGTTATTTTCCGCGGCCGCTGAAGCCGCCTTAACGTGGCAGAACGTCAAAATCGGAGGCGGTGGCGGCTTTGTACCGGGAATCGTCTTCCATCCGACGACAAAGGGCGTAGCATATGCTCGGACGGATATCGGTGGTCTGTACCGTCTGAACTCGGACGATTCGTGGACGGCGATAACGGATGGTATCACGGACAATGATAATTGGCATAACTGGGGTGTCGATGCCCTTGCCCTCGACCCACAGGACGCGAATGTGGTGTACGCTGCTGTGGGCATGTATACAAATGATTGGTATGCCACAAAGCGATGCGTCTAACCTAGCGTCGCTAATACTATGTCAGGGACCCAAAACCCGGCTCTATAATTCGCAGCAGTGATAAAGGCGCCACATGGAAGACCACCGCCCTATCCTTCAAGGTTGGAGGTAATATGCCAGGAAGAGGAATGGGCGAACGTCTCGCCGTCGATCCAGCTAACTCCAAGATTTTGTACTTTGGTGCACGAAGCGGCAATGGGCTATGGAAGAGCACGGACTCCGGCGCAACATTTACTAAGGTATCCTCGTTTACAGCGGTCGGAACTTTCATCCCGGACCCCAAGGACGTCGGAGGATATAATGGCGATAAACAAGGACTAGCTTTCGTGACCTTCGACTCTACGGGTGGCACGGCAGATGGAGCCACTAAGAGGATCTTTGTAGGTACGGCTGACAACACGACCGCGAGCGTCTACGTATCCGAGGATGCGGGAGCGACTTGGAATCCAGTCAAGGGCCAGCCGGGCAAATATTTCCCACACAAGTGTGTTCTGCAACCTCAAGAGAAGGCCTTGTACCTTACGTATAGCGATGGCTCAGGTCCGTACGACGGAACTTTGGGTGCGGTATACCGATATGATCTCGCGACAAGTACTTGGAAGGACATCACGCCGGTCTCCGGTAGTGACCTGTACTTCGGTTTCGGGGGACTCGGTGTTGACATGAAAAAACCGGGGACGATTGTTATAGCGAGCTTGAATTCGTGGTGGCCTGACGCACAGATCTTTAGATCGACCGACTCGGGAGCAACATGGTCTAGAATATGGGGGTGGTCAAATTATCCAGAAATGAACCGGTACTACGGACAATCAGTAAGTGATTGGTTAAACAGCGTATGAATAACGGGACTAATGTCAGTTTATAGGCATCGAAAGCGCCATGGATAAAGACGGGCTTCCTTGATACCGATACGAAGGATCTTGGATGGATGATCGAGGCGTTGGTGATTAACCCCCTCGATAGTGACCACTGGCTCTACTCGACTGGCCTGACTATATTTGGTGGCCATGACTTGACTAAATGGGATTCTTCTCATAATGTAACAATTCAGTCTCTCGCAGATGGCATCGAAGAATTCGCAGTGCAAGATCTTGCCTCACCTCCCGGAGGAAGCGAGCTACTGGCTGCGGTAGGCGACGACAGCGGGTTTACCTTCAAAGACGCGGCTAGTTTGAAGGTTTCTCCTAACACGCCTTGGATGAACCCTATCTGGACGACATCCTCGAGCGTTGATTATGCTGGGACATCTGTGAAGAACATTATTCGCATTGGTAATTCTGCTCAGCAGGCTGCTGTCTCGAGTGACGGTGGTGTGACCTGGAGTAATTACTCAGGCGCGGCTACTACCTTGAGCGGCGGCACAGTAGCCTACTCCGCTAAGGGGGACACGGTGCTCTGGTCAACATCTTCTAGCGGCGTACAGCGTTCCCAGAACCAGGGCACTTTCTCGGCAGCGTCTAGTCTCCCCTCAAGCGCCGTAATCGCCTCAGACAAACAGAACAACACTGTTTTCTACGGCGGCTCAGCAGCTAGCTTCTATGTTAGTACCGACACTGGGACTTCGTTTGCCAAAGCCGGTTCCCTCGGTAGCGCCACTGCGGTCCGCGACATTGCGGCCCATCCAACCAAAGCGGGCGAAGTCTGGGTATCGACCGACGTAGGTATATTCCATTCAACAAACTATGGTTCTTCGTTCACTCAGCCATCGACCGCTCTGAAGAGCACGTACCAAGTCGCGCTCGGAAAAGGATCAGGAACGACATGGAATATATACGCGTTTGGCACGGGTTCTGCCGGCGCTAAACTATACGGCAGCGCGGACGATGGCGCAACTTGGACTGATATCCAGGGCAGTCAAGGGTTTGGCTCCATTGACAGTTGTAAGCTTGCCGGTAGTGGAAATACTGCCGGACAGGTGTATGTTGGGACAAACGGGCGCGGAGTGTTTTATGCATCTGGCACGATTAAGAAGAGGTCGTCGACCTTTAACGCGTAGTGTTCCTTTGAATTTACCTAGTTGGTATTGGAATCGAGAAAAGTATTTCTTCCTCTTGTTGAATTTGAAGGCTATGTGCGTCCAATCGGCTAATGACCTTGTTGGTTTTGCTTTTTCATGCGCCAAGGACCTTTTCTATGGTATCGGGACCATCTTGTAAGACCCCTCCATCTCTCCGCCACTCAACCAGTAAAGTCCGGTATTTAAGCACTGGATACCTACCTATACAAGCCACAAGAGAGTTGTCATCTCATAGGCTGAGTAGGTATGTACCTAGGTATGTATCCATACATCGTGAATCTATTTGTCGAAAGACAAAAGAAGTAAAATGGCTCTAGACTAAAAGAATTGTGTACATATCAAAAGTCCAATCAGCTCGACAATCTCATATCCCAGGCTTCTCCACAGTTATGACGATGCCGTCTCCTTGGCTCCTTCCATGCTTGCCCTGTCCTAGTTTCAGATGCAGCTGACAAGAACCGGTACATGGCAGGTACGTACTGCACCGCCATCTTTCAAGGTGGCAGCTGCGTGGTCGGTGAGGAATACATAAAGATAAGGCAAGGAAGGGCTCAAAGCCTAAATCCATCTCTTACCAAAGTTCTTCAGCGAAAGAAATAAGAAAAACCAGACATCCGAAGTTTGAGACATCAATCTCCCTGATCCGTATGTGGTTCCACTTCTAGTTGGGTACGATTGACTAAACTAAGACACAGTAGAATTACTCCGGATTCTACCTACGCAATCGAAAATGGCTTGCAGCTCGTCACATTCTCACCTCGTCAACAGAAACGGCCCTGGCAGCGCCGCGTCTTCGACTATCGTGAGCATCATCAAACCCGCCGAAGTGACTGGAGGAAAGACGAAGTGTATCGACTGTGGCGACTTCGAGTGTTGCTGCATCCCCTGCACGGTCATGTGAGATAGTGAAGAAGGTCGGCGATGGTGGTACATGAATGAACGATTGAATGAAGCGGATCTGTATTTGCGAATAAAGTTTTATTGTGGTCTGACAATGTACTCTGACAAGTAGAGACATTCATAGTCCAACAAAAACAATACTACTAGGTACTCGAAGGTATTGGAATACGTTCCGAATACCTAATCTAGACCATTGAAATCAAAGGGTATCTTTGCCGAAGATTCTAATCCATCTGGAAAAGCCTGTTCTGATTCATGAATTTTACGACTTCAACGTATACTCCATAACGATGGTCGCCCTGAGCAATTATAAACGGTGTTGTCCCCTAAAGATCCTCAACAGCCGTCGTCCAAGTCTCGCGTTCGTAGGCCCATATATCCTTCTTTGGTGGTGTCGTCAAGGTGCTGACAAGTTCTTCCTGAATCTTAAGACTGCCTAATCCTTCCATGACCCTATCGGCCTTGTCCTTCGCATCCCGTATTGCATCTGTCTCTGCGCGCGTCTGGTCTAGCTGTGCCTGCATCATCGAGATTAGAGATTCGCGAGCTTGGTGCGGCCGGTATTCGTTGATGAGATGATGGAAGTTGATGAATAGATCTCGGATATCATTTGTCTTCTTTTCAGCCTGTGTTATAAATGTTAGTGTTTGGAAATAGAATTTGAGTATCGATGAAATAACTAACAGCCTCTGGATCTATAGCTAATAGTCCTACTAGCTCTAAGAAGTTCAACAACAGCGACTTGGCCAATTTCTTGAGAATAAGCGCGCGGTCGAAATGCTTCCCGTCTTGATCTCTCTCTTCAGGGTTCGGGAATAGTCGTCGGATGTTTGACTCTTCCAGTCGAGGCAGCTCGTCGTTCAATCGGTATGTGTCGCCAAAGACTCTCCACACTCCATCTGCCGGCTCTTGAGGCGGTTGAAGATTGCGCAATCCGCGGGGTAGGCCTTGAAGGCGAACCTTGGAAGCATCTTCAACACCTTCCTTCTCCGCTTCTTCCTTTCGTAGTTCGTTGACGCGCGCGATATTCTCGGGTGTGAAGTCGCGCCAGAAGGGAGGCGGGGGCGGCCAGGTGGAAGACACCTGCTGCTGCTGTTCCTCCTCCATCGCTTCTCACTGCTGGTGATGCAATATAAAGGATTGACCAAATGGAAATAGTAAGATGCGGTAGAACCCAATTGTGTTTATATGGGAATAGAAACACAAGAAACACCTATGGGTGTTCAGTAAAGAAATGTTCAAGTGTTAATATTCTGTGGTGGGATATTTAGAAGCTTTAACAGTACGAAGTAGCAGCTTGAACTCTAAATTCAGTAGACCCGGTACGTCAGCTCAGGTACCATGTACTAGCGCTTGGGTTACTCCGCAATCAGCAGCTCTGAGCTCCAATTGGGGAAGCCATTTGAGTGCGGGGCAACCCTGGAAGAAGCTAACTTTTTAGTGGACGTTAGGCTGTGGCTGAACTCCCGACAGGGTGACCCGCATCTCAGTGAGGTCAGGCCGTCGTTTCGCTAATTGGTTCACTAGCCAGGTAATAAAGCAGCTTAAAGTCGTACTAACCGCCGGAAAAAAAGAGAAGCCACAGACGATCGTCACCATGACAATTGGCAGCTGGAGCTGAACGTGGACCCTAAACCAAAAAGGACAATCTCGAAAGTTTATAATAACAATCGAACAGAGCACTTTCTTAGCATCGTGTTCCGATTCTACCGAATTCATCAACTATCTACGTATCTAGATACTTACACCGACTTTCTATACACGCGAGAAGTAGAAGCAACGACGTCGTACGAGCAACCACCACCACCGTCACGTCCCGCAATGGCAGACGCCCGCGCCCTCCTCCGCGCCAACCGCGCCGAGCACCGCATCAAGCACCCGCACGCCGCGTACTCCGACGCCGGCAAGCTTCTCTGCAAGCTGTGCCACGAGCCCGTGAAGGCCGAGTCGCTCTGGGAGAACCACATCCGGGGCCCGAACCACCGGAAGCGAGCACAGCTCCAGAGCTCCTCGCAGCCAGAATCACAGCCCGTACCCACGACAGATCGAAGTAGCAACAACGACAATGGGGTTGGGGGTGGCAAGCGGAAACTCGACGAGGTAGACGAAAGCCAGTCCTCGGCATCAGACTCCGCGTCGGAGGACGCGATCCGCAGGAAACGCAGCCGAGCCAGCATCAGCAGCAGCGGGGAGAAGCGGCAGACACCGCCGGTGCTCGGGCGTAGGGCCTCGAACGCGCCCGCGCAAGGCGTCGAGATCGCGATACCGTCGCGGCCAGCGACCCCAGCCGCGGGCTCGAACTCAGCGACGTCGACGCCGAAGGGGATGCCCGTGGGCCGCTCACCGCTCATCGGGGCCGAGGCGCAGATGGGCACGCCCATGTCCATATCAACACCCACATCCACGCCGTCCCAGACCAACTTACCCATATCGACGCAACCGCTCCCCGCTCCGTCTACAGGCGCTACGTCTAGTCTTAATAATAATAATTCCACCTCCCAAGCAACTTCAACCGCCGTCGACGAAGCAGAATGGGCAGCATTCGAAGCCGAAATCGCCACGGCCTCCGCAGTCCCCGAGAGCAGTAACGGCAGCGACCCCTACACCTCCGCCACCATCTCCGCGCCAGCCCTCAGCGCCGCCCAGCTAGCCGCGAAATCGGAAGAGGAAGAGAACGAGCGGCGGAAACACTTCCTCGACGCGCAGATCGCAGATGAAAAGGAAGACGCAACACTAGCTCTCGAAGCCGAGTTCGCAGAGATGGAAGAACTAGAATCCCGTGTGCGGCGGCTAAAGGAACGACGTGAGGAGCTGCGGAAGGGGAGTGTGGCGAATCTACGGGCTACGGCGGGAGACGATTCCGATATCAGCATGACTAAGAGTCCGGCTGGTGGGAAGGAGAATGAGAGTGCCGGGGCTATTGAGGAGGAGGATGAAGATGATGACGACGACGATGATGAGGATGCTTGGGATGCATTTCGATTTCGGTGAGACGAGTTAGGGGTGAGGTGAGGAGAGGTGGGGTACGATGGGGTGTGATAACATACAAACATAGCATTGGAGAGGGTTTCGCGGTGATAAGACGAAACAAAAGGGGATTACCTTGCATAGGACCGCGACGGCGTTCTTCTGATTACGAATTTTACTAATAAGCCATATAGGGGAAGGAAGGCAAAGTTAGCCGAAAAGGGGGCGCATTCGAGTACATATCCATCTACATACAGATGAAATTAGCATGCTCAATTGCTTCTTCCATTGCTATCGCTATACATAGTGTACCATAAGGGAGTGAAATCCCCAGAGACAGAAACTGAAAACCGAGAGGATATCCCCGAACGCCTAGTCATTAGGTTAAATCGTTTGAAAAATCAGCCGCCTTTAAAAAACGTGACCCTCCTGCGTATCTAGCAGAGTTGAGGTCTTCATATGTGAATAGGTTCTCATAAGCAAATTCTTGTTGGTCTTCGTCAGTCATATATCATCCATGCATCCAAACTTGAGATCCCCTGCAAAACAGAGATGGACGCCGAGCCACTATGGTGAGCGATGATGAACAGAGGGTGTCATCCTCATCGAACGAATCCGGTTCATCACATCACACCCTGGACGTCGTCGGTATCCTTCCCCACGCGTTCCCAGAACCGCCTCAACCGCCAAACCCTCCCAACCCCGGCACGCTCCTCCCATTTTTTGACACCCTCACTCCTTTCCCTAACCTCTCCACGCCAGACGGCACCAACCCAACGTCGGAGGCCATCCTTAAGCCTCTCCTTTTCGACGGCACGCTTTTTAGCGACAAGACCAGGGGCCATATGCCCCTCGATGATCTCGGGCGGAAGCACTCCACGTTGAACGAGCGACTCGGCAGATGGACGTAGTGGCAAGCGCCGAGAAAGCCGAATCGCAACTAGGTTTCGAGCGAGACGCCGTGAGATCTGCGTGGTATGAGTTAGGAAGATATGACGTGCGATTAACTCTGCGAGGGTCGGTCGTGAGGGTGACGTTAGAAGGGGTGGCAAGCACACACGAGCGCGCCGAAGGCGCAGGGTGTGCAAGATAGGGTGTAGGCACAGAGTCCTAAAGTGGTGGTTGATCTATTGTCATGGTCAGTATAGTATGATCAACGAGACGTTGTATTATTTTCGAAGATTGGTGCTGTGGGGATCCAAGGACTAATAAAGGGGGCGTATTGGACCAAGATCAACGCAGTTACGTTTCAACGAACGCGTCTCCATGAGAAAAATACGAGTATGAGAATAATGGCTCATATTCAGGTTACATGTGAGTGAAACCATAGAACTCCTCGTGCAACCTGAATAAAGTCTCGATTCTTCAAATACGGCAAAAATAAGCCGAACTCAGTGTTCCTATCATCATCATAGTATAAGCAAAAGGACAACATACCCTTGACGTAGCTAGTAGATCGCCCACATCTAGGAAGGTGAGTATATGCATCAAGACCTCATTCGGCAGGCCGTCTAGACTGAGCGAGTCCCACCCCCAGCGAAGCAAAGAGGACGGCCTCGTCACCATGACATCCACCATTTCTTCATCATGCGGTTCTTGAGTAGATGACGCATCAGGCGCGGATCGAGACACACCCGGCGAGGCTGCCGTACCTGGTGACGGGCATGAAACATCCACAATTTGACCCGCGGCTGGCCGCATCCGGTCATCGAGAACCCCAGGGTGGAATTCCAGGTGCTCGGAGTCTAATGAATCCGCAACTAGGGCAATTGGTTGGGCATCAACAGTGGCCGTTCTAGAGACCGGCACCCGCGGGGTAGCATCGCCACGCTCGGCAGCCGGCGATGAGAAAGGTAGAGAAGATGAAGTTTGCGGCAAGAGCGCGTCACGCGGCGTCAGCAAGGCCAGCTCTCGATTGCCCGTAACGAGGTTTTCTTGCGAGCCGGGCTCTTCAGGTGCTGAATGCGCCGACATGTTTGCAGCCTGGCCTAGCCACGCCGGGATGCGCGGGGCTACTGGCCAGGTAGTAATGATGATGAAGTGGCAGTAGGGATAGCCCTCCTTCGTTTAGGTGTGTCCCCAACGCAGCGGAGTACGGTTCAAAAGTGCAATACTGTACGAGGTCAGTCCTCGGTGAGACTTTGCGTGAATATCTGCCGTCTGATAACAGTAAGGTGTGATGGTGAGTGCCAGTCGATGTGTCTTATGCCAGGTCGAAGAGTTCCGCGTTCCCCGAGTGGCTGTCAAGGCCGAATCGCCAGGATGGGAAGTAGTGTGGTTTAGTTTGTGATGTGCGGTTAGTTGCTTGCGCCGGAAGAATGCATGTCTCGACGTGTGCCTAAATATGTCTTAGTACATCTATATCAAACAACTGTTAATGTTGTGTGTTGAATGAGGCGAACGGCAGCTAGGGAAGCTATTCCCAGCTAGTAACGCTTATGTACGGTGTTCCTGATGAAGGAGGGGAATGGTACCTAGACGCGCAAAGAGGGGATAGATTGGCGCACAGGAAATATCTGTCGTGTTGATAAGACAATATGTATATGGGCGGCTAACAATACACAATACAGAGAGCCGGTACAATTTATCTGTTAATACATGGGATGAATGTAATGTATGGGATGTGTGGATGTAAGGATGTATGTATTGTGTTGTAAGGCCGTTTAAGCGGTCGAGGTCGTGTAAGGCAACCGCTTTAAGGGTGGTTGAAGTGAGTGATCATAAAGGCCACGGGTTGCTGGAGGGGCTCATAGAAACGCTCCCCGACGCGCATGTGGTCGGATAATAGTACACGCATAGATAACTAGATGATGTGCGACGTTGGTAGATGAACTTGATCAAATAACGAGTTCAACAATTAAAACGTTTACAGTTGACGTGAACTTTGAAGTTGTTGTTTAAGGAGCTTACTAGGTCAGAAGGTCAAATGTTAAGGAAGAGTAGTTCAAGGTTCACTTAGTCCTTGCGAATCTTGTTTCGGTGTTTCGTCAGAGCCACACTGATAGGCATGGCGGTACCTTCCCCCCATTGACGAATGCGTACGTAGATGTACCTACCTCAGTGTGAGTCGTACGAGGTACATTGGCCCCATTAATAGCAGCTATGGATAGCTCCTACCCATGTTCGGCTTAGCTAAACTAAACAGACTAAGCCAGGCGCACGGACTACGGGGAAGGAGATACTTCACCTTAACATGAATGGGCAGTGGCAGGTGTCCGGATTGCCAAATTTGGAACAAATCACGGAGACTTAGTGGTCCTAGTTTCCCTTCAACTACCGTCACCAATCAAAGTTATAAATAAGGACACGGCCCGACATATGATATAAAGTTGACATCTGCGGGATTCCGAATATTTTGATAGCCGCTTTTAAAAAGTTTGTGTGATGTGTATGGCGTTAGAAGTAGAAAGATGGCTGATGAAAACAAATGATCCTAGTGGCCGGAGTATGGTATTGGTCCGACGGAAAACAATAGTGCATAAAATGGAATAGAAGGTAGTAAACAGCCCAATAGTCCCTACTCTGTACTATCATCTCCGATGTACGCCCTCCGCACATTGGGATTCCAAATGGACATACTGTACCACTTCAGGTGGGACCTGGAAGTTGACGTAGCCCGGTATTTACTTGCCGGCCTCGTTACAATGCCAGATCAAGATCGCATGCTGTATTTCGTACAGCACGGGAGCGGGACCAGGACCAGAGATGATCCAAGATTTCCGAATTACGTAGGGACCACGTAGGAACCGAGGCGAATATATGCTCTATCTTAAGTAAGAATATCATCTATCTCGCTAGGTAATATTTCAACGTCCGGGTTAAATGCACTACGTAGTAGTACATAGATGTACCGAGGTAGGCGGCGGGAGATCTACGGAGATGGTTCTCCAGAACATGTACGCTGTATGAACGCGCGGGATGTCATGTATGGATCACGCGTATAGTAGATGCAAGACGATGCATATACATATACGTCAACTATAGTAAGGGGTTTATAGTAAGGGGGGATGCTTACCTAGTAGAGGGGCGTAGAGGGGTTATTCGGGCGGGGGTGTGGCTTGAGGGAGTGCTCGTATTGATTCTCGCATGCACCACAGCATCAGAGCCATTACCCCACACATATTTTGTACACTTTGTAGGTACATTAGGAATTATTCATACCTAGTAGTATTCATATCGGTTCATATCGTTCATGTGTAGGGCCTAAGTTATCGCTAAACTTTCTTAGCTTCAACACGACGCATTCTTGAATCAAAAAGGGAAAAGAGCAAGGGTAATAGACTATGATCGCTCTTTCGTATAGTAACGCTGTTCGTGTGTTGTCAAATCTAGCCTTTTTATCTCCATACTTGGGTACAGTAGCGGCAACCCGAAAAGTGAAAAAAGGTGGACCAAGCTGTGCTATGGAATGGACCCTCAGTCTTAATTGAAGTATTATTATCCCATATTAAGTTTAGGCTAACCTAAGTAAAACATTCAGTCGATATAATTGGTCAAGTCGCGTGTGTAAGTCGAACGTGATGTCTGATGGTCAGTCAGTTCAATTAATCTCTTCCTTCATTCACGCAACCACTCACTACAAAATCGCATACAATCATTTATTTTTCGGATTTTTCATATTTTTCTAGAATAAAACTGTCATATTATTACTTCATAGTAACGAGATATAAGTCCCGGCCCGGACAATTGTTACAGGATTCTGTTACTTATCACAATTCCCGGAATCCCGTCCGACGCGTTGCATGTACCTGACATATAAGAACGTGGTGCTGTAAGTAAGAAAGTACCTCTAAACATCGGATGACGTGTTTCCAGCCCCCAAATCCCCCGAGGGGTACAGTCCCTTGCTAACACCGGCGACGAACGGTGGAGCTCGGCGCGGCCTGGAGGGCCGAATGCGGTCGCCTTTTCTGGCCGTCAACGTGGTCGCGATCACTCCGACCCCTCGGCCTCTCTTTTCGGTTTAGTATCAATGCCCAATGACAGGAATTGGTGCTTTTGTACGACCGGTCAATTGGGCTCCGAAACTTCGCTACGGGTGTGGCCAACGTACCCAGTGCGCCTCGCTCACTCGCTCATTTCTTCCTCGTCTAGAAATGATGATACATTGGTACTCGTCATTATACGCTTAAATATTTGGCGAGCCCGCGAAGTACTTACTCGAATGCTCAGTTGTAACTCTGCAATGCAGATGTATGGTAAAAAAAAATTAGATCACCCTGCATCTATGCGATGCGAGCACATCCGCTGTGGAGTACCTATCTGTGAACCCATTCTCCAGGCAGAGTCGGCAACGGAGCCGTTCCAATCACTTACCCTTGTCTGACCTTGAATTCGATGGCGTTAAGGGGACAACTCATAGTTTTGTCCAACCGTGGGTAACGACAAAAATGTACTAACCACTGAGAAGAGCTTGATGAAGCCTCGCTCGGGACTTCGAAATAGACGGTGAGCCAAGAGAGGGCTTACATTTGCAGGAGTTGAAATAGTCTACGTGAAGAGTTCGACGAATCCCAGCTCTCTTGTAGAGACGAGTAACTGTATATGTTACACAGAGTCAAATCGCCAGCTTCCAGCGGCGAATCAGGTGTCAGTCTCCGGGGAGGCGTTACATAGGTACCTTTTCTGGTTCCTTTTGACCTCAGAGAATGTCTTAAAGAACTATTCTGTACGTATCCTCCGGATAAGACTAAGACACATCCCGCTGCGGCGACTTTTCTGGTTCTAGCCCCCAACCAATGAGCTGGCGATGCAGGGCTTCAAGAGGCTGTTAACAAAACAGGAACACATGGCTGATCTTCTCTCCCTAAAGTCCAACTCTCTTACGGGTGGGCTCAGATGCATACTACTGCATCTAGGGGGGAAGAGGGGGGGACCTTGTACTCCCCACGCCCCCCATGGGTGTCCCACCCCTATAAAAATAAAGGTGGGTAGCGATGGATGGGAGAGTGTCTCGGAGGCTACGGGGTATTATTGGGCTAGAGGAGTAAGGAGGCCATTTTGCTTACTTTGGACTATGGGAATGCGCATATCATTTCTTGCACATGATTTAGACATAGTGTGGCCGGAATTATCATATTCTTGGTAGAATTCTTCCATGCCGTCGAATGGCTGAAAGCCCATGATTGGCTGGTCGAAACCAAATTCAACGTCAAATCTACCATCTTGTAGGGGTAATGAAATATGTCGACGCTGCAGATGTCAAGCAGCAGCCGAGGTTTTATCTAATACTTAGATCAACAACTGTCTCTAAATCAGCGTGAACGGAACGGGCCGTGGAAAGCTAGGCCAAGCGCCTATAATATCCCAGAAAAGGATTTGTTCATGATGGTACCTGGCCGCTTTGTCTGGCCTTGTTGACCCAGGGGTCCGCGTACGCTATGTAGCATGGTAATAGACGCAAACAATAATGTTAGTAGACATAACATCGCTCAAATTCCATACCGAAGCCTGCTTACGATTCTGGCTATCCCTTGCCGCCGTAAAGAAAAGGTTACTTTGCTATCATGCTAGTTAATTCTCGTTTAGAAGACAGCACACAACACTAACGTTGAAATATCACCTCATATCTTATGATATAAGAGCATTAGCAAATAGTACTATAGTCGAAGTTGTGGCCATACCTTGTCGGTAATAAACGAAGCAAACATCCTGCATGTGTGGAGTCATGCTATGGGTTAAATATGGCATTACTATGATTATCGGGTCGTTACCATGTCGTAAAATGTAAGGTCGGTTATATAGCTGGATAAGAATTTGGTGGAAGATATAGCCAAGGGGTTTTATCTATTACTATTCTCGTGTCTGTATGTCGTTACTATTTATAACATGACAAATAATATGATATACAACTGTTCCGTTAGCCTTTCTAGGGAAATATTAGATTCCAATTTAAAACCTGGATCGGTTCCCCAGAGATTCGAATTTTGTCACGAGAGACTCACGTTACACCCACCATATTCTAAGAATTGTAAATGTTCTATGAGCCCCATAGAAGTGGTTTGTACTTTAACCATGCTTGGATAGCGGCATGAACCGGTACCGAGGACTAGATGCGGCCATGATCGTAGCCACTCCCTTCAAGGTGATAAATTGGGAAAGGTTAGGGCTGCTTTCGATCCCCCAGAGTTCCTGGGCACGCATCTTGCACAAGCCGGGGGCGAAATCGTGCAGGTGGGCCTGGTCCAAAAGTGCATTGCCACGTCGCTGGTCTAACTAAACCCCCGTTGAAGATCTTGAGTTTACCTGACTCGCGTATAACCGGAGTGGGAAGCTGTATATATGTGACTTTATGTAGTTTCACGTGAATTAAATGGCGTCGTGATATCGTAGGAAACAAAAAAATTCTCCTGGGGGCTTACATGTAGGTGTAGGCAGGCAGGAGGTAGGTATATAGGCTTGGCTACCTAAGGTAAGCGGCCGCAGGAAGGTAGCCTAGCCCTTCAACCCAAAAAAGATGCTACTATCGACGAAGTCGTCATAGTAACCCAACCCCCTGTACAGACGATGTGTTGTCTTTTCCGGGAAAGGGTTAGAAATTTCCGTAACTGATGTGACGGGTATATCGGATGCTATGGAAGAGAAGCTTGAACAACCTATAGCAGTTGTTGGCTGCAAGTGCTGCCCAGGGTGCGTCAGAACGATATCGTCTTTCCCGATGTGGCTTGATGATGAGCTGGACAGTTCGAAAACATAGTTTATGGAAACCCAATCAAACAAAATCAGGCGAGAAGCGGCAACAGAAGGGAGTGGCAAAGCAATCAACGACTGCTAGTCGATAAACCACGCAATATGGGGACCTGTCTAAGCCTAAACAAAGAGACCAGCGTTGGCTGCTATAGATGCAGGATATAGTCTCGGAGTTTTGCGGCGAGTGATTGGGCATCTGTTTAAGGTAATGACCCGAGACGTGGCAAGGGACGAAACATGATCCCCTGTTCCAGTGATTGACAATACATGCTCGTCCTAAAAGGCAAGTTGCCTCACGAAGGCAGGGGGGGTGGGAGACCTACCCGCGACTAGCCAGATGGCTTGCATAGGCAGTCAGTGGGGATGGGACAAATCCTGGTTGCAGACGGGAAAGGATCAAACTCTGCGTGCAACGGGGTGTAGTAACAGGGTGTCAAATTCGGAGGCTGATGGCTCACGTATCAGGGATAACGGCGGACCGCTCAGAGACGTTAGAAAATCGACCCAATAGAGAACAGCATAGGGAAAGAGGGGCCGCCATCTATCATTCTCGAATCAAGTAGCTGGTAAACTATTCATCAGTCAGGGTACTCGTAGCCTGTATCCAGAGTGGGGAAGTTGAGCCGGTGGAAATGGAAGTAACTAGAGTCAACGTGGCATCCGTCCAGCATTCTAGGAAACATGTTGGACGGACTGGTAGCGAAATGGACATGCAACCCCAATTAGCAGACAGGCTGAGTTGTCAACGACCAATCCTCGGCGATTGTTTGTGATAACTATAGGCACAGTGTTGACGAATATGTAGTGAAAGGTTGCGGCCAAACGCGAGTCGAGAACGGATGCCGGGTTGGGATAGCCAGAAGGAAACCCAAGACGTGGGCAAAGCAAAAAAGTATAAGTATTCCTGTTATTCCCTTACTGATGTCACTCGGTATCCGTTGGTGGAGTAATTCGAACCAAGATAGCTATCGAGAATCTCAACCTATACGAAAAATAAAGGGGGAGCGTCAAACCAAGCCCACCGAGACCACCGAAAACGATACCCTTGTTGAAATATAGAGGTATAAAGTGCCTGACAAGCCTGTGTTCCCCTTCGACTAAGCTAATTGGTGCGTCGGTAGGCCAAGCTTCTTACTCAGATCGACTCTTCTAAGCGGCAACGATGTGCTATTTCGAACAAACGCGTTGGATGTGCGGGTACTGGCGATGGGGCCACTTCCGTCAACAATGTACGAAGGAGTATCGAACCGGAGAGACATGCGGACTGAAGCTGGTGTATTCTACGAATCAAGAGCAGGATAACTGTAAACTCTGCAAAGACATCGAGAAGAAACAACGAAAGTATAACAAACTCTCCAACGACATCTTACGGTGGGAACGAGAAGGGAACCGAACCGCAACGATCGAGAAAGCCCAAAAGGATATAGGAGAAGTCGACGAGGCGATCCAAGTAATGTGCCAAAAACATCATGACAGGCAATACTCGGTGGTATAGGGGTTTGTGTGGCCAGCGGAATAACTCGAAGAGGAGGGTTAGCACGACTGCTTATGATCAGTAGATTTCTTTTGTCACGGGTCTATGGGGACAACCGAGAAAGGCGGGAGAGGTTAATTTCAAAACTTGGAACCGGCATCTAGGGGAAGACGTGTCTTCTGGATTAGCATTACTGACGCTGGAAAGCCGGTCTTTTGTACGTTGTACGGGATGCGAATTGTTTGAACTAAATGTACTAGAGAGGTCTTTTGTGATTCCCAAACTTCAGTACTCGGTCCGGTTTTAGAAGGATTTTATGCGTGACCGATGCTCGGAAGAGTCCTATTGGGGCCTATCTTTTCCTGTATTCGCTCTTACGACGAATGATTTAACCCTCGGCCGGATGTTTTGTCACGGACATCTGAATTGATTGATGAATTATGAATTGATATGAAAGGGAAAATTCTAGCGAGGCAATTGAACTAAACGGCAGGACTATAGCCAGTCACATTCATCTTAGCGGGTGTGATGGAAATATGGGCAACACCTACTAGATAGGGGCGGTCTCTACTAACTCCTTAGTCACGCGGATGCTGCAATAGGAAGATACGGTGAATTGGGGTAAAATAATAGGTCAGATTATTCTTGTGGTATTCTCTACGGTAGGTGGATTATGACCAGCAACTCTTAACCCTAAGTGAGTGGATAGTAGACCGGGGATACTTATTAGGGGGGGTGTTGTTTGCGGCCCTTCCCGGATTCCCCGCTTACTGGCTAGATCCGACGCACAGACTCCCGTTTTGAATTCTAGAATGTCTATCGTGAACTTCTTCGGAGTGCTGGATTCTTCCCACGATACCGAAGCCGGAAGAGAATCACCTTGACATGGTTAGATGTTTATAGAAATGCGTACCGGTCAGGCGGGACTCCTATAGAACACCCACTTTATAGCTAGGCACGTGTCTGATACTCGATGGGGTTGCTCCTCTTAAAACGCTAGAAATCGTCACCTGATTGGCTAAGAGGATGCTGGTAAAACGCAGGGAAGCGGATAGACAATGGTTATATTAACTTAATTTAGTATATGCATCTCGGTCTCCATTGCGTACTCCAAGATTGGAATAGAGCAAGACCCGCGGTGAACCCTTACCAGGTCTAGAAAACCTACAAGACCTAGAAAACTTATCACCAAGTTGACACTAGCTCTTGGCTAGTCATATTCAAAGGCCAGCTGGCGGAGGTGAATAAACCCCAATCGGCGACCTAGCGTTATTTATTCGTTAATGTAGCTTCTTCCTAAGCCCTTGCTGCAGTTATGTCTGCGAATGTTCCCACAAGGGGACCGCCTACTTCATCCTTGATGCCGGGAAGATGGCCTTGCAATTCGACGGTGTCATCCTCGCTTAGTAGCCATTCCACGGTACCGGGACCACCATCTGCCGAAGTTGTTTCCCTTTCTGTTGAGAGCTTGGCTAGAATATTCTGGTAGCGGGCCATACGAGCATCTTGTCCTGAAAATAAGGCTGGCTGAGTCCTCTGAGACTCTTGTGGAGCGATCTCGAATACATCAACAAGGTTGCTATGGAGATAATTAGTACTTATGGTAGCATAAGTATGGATTGAATTGGTATTGAGTGAGGCATACTTGGAAGTTCGCGCTACTACTCTTTGTAGGGCTTCGACCTCTCGTTGCGATTCGAGCGGGTCGGCTTGAGAATTCATGTTATGCTCGCTAAAACTCCCATACTGGAGATTGTTCGGATCGTCAAAGAGAAGTCGGGATACATCGTCCTATTTGAATGAGTCAACACCAATTGCGCTAATCGTCATTTGCGGGTGTTCAGGGGAATAGAGCGCATACTTCATCGTACGAGTCGCGGCGTCGGCTGCCGAGGCAGGAGGCGCAAATGCCCATTTTGATTGTAATAAACGGATTGTGGTAGGGGGAATTGAAGAAATAACGGAATGGGACATCTGCCCTTTTTGAAGGACTAGTAGAATGAAAACATAAAAGACTGTATAATCTGCCTGGTGCCCCGGGCGAGAGTTAGAAACTTTCAGGCGCTCGTCGCAAAAAAAGGTTGACGTTGGAGGAATTTCGGAAATGTCGCCGTCCATGCGCGACACGGGGATGTACGAAGTACCTATTGCATTGTACCTTCCAGCTTTCCACTCCTTCTAGAAGCCCGTGCACAGCCTACAATTATGTAATCATAACTTCACCAATGACGACATGTGGCACCTCTCTCCTTTTCTTTTTTATTAAATCTTAATTTCAACTTAACAAATTTACATTCATAATTCCGCATTGTTTTATATTCTCACTCTTATTCACGTTGTCATCGTTTCCTATGTCCTGTAGAGCCCTTCTTTTCCATTTTTACTCGTATCCATGAATGTTACCTACATTTCCCTTAAATAAATGTTGATAAGGAAATTTCATTTCAAGCAAACGTTATGTAATCAATCCTTTCAAACGATGTTAATGTGCTGTCAGAGCGCGTCGTATCATGCTCGAAATTCCCGCGATGTCGTCTTTGGTGCTCTTCTGACTTCCCATGAGATACAACACATTTCCTAATACTCGGCTATGGACGTTCCACGCAGCTTCCTTGTCACCTTCAAGTAGAACACGCTGTAACTTTAGTGCGGCATTGCTTTTATAGCCTAGGCCGTCTGCAGCACTCATGTGGATCGCAAGAATACTTCCCAAGGCCCAGGTTCCAGCTACGAGTTGCGTTTGATTCGAGATCCAATCCAACAGGTCCCAGGGCCAAATGGACCACACTTCCGATTTCGTGGCGCTGGATTGGTTACTCAAAGATCCCGACCATTCGCTGTCTTTTGCCCAACCCCACTCATCTTGCTTTTCCATCGCCTGCATTTGTCGTACCGATTCCAAGGCAACCTGGCAACCGATTGGGTGGGCCGTGTAGCTATGTCCATGGAGTAAAGCATCAGCTTTGTCATCACTTTCGAAGATCTTGAAAATGCTATCCGATGCCAGCGTGGTACTTAACGGCACCAAACCGCCGGTCAAGAGCTTGGCATGAACGGAAATGTCAGCGTCACTTTTGAGAAAGGAGGAGGCCGTGAATCGGCCAAGGCGATATAGTCCGGTGAACACTTCGTCAAAAATGACGGGAAGGCCAGTCCAAGATGTAGGGTCTAGGTTGTTTGACTCAGAACTCGAGCCGAATAGATTCGCCGAGCGACGGACTACATTGACGAGGGCACGCTGGAAAAGGGGATCCCTATCTTCAAGTTAACCCTCACGCTTTCTGAAAGGTGCTGTCAGCTTGCTTCTTACACTAATTGCATGCCTCCGGCTCCGATCACTACAGGCTCCATGAGCAAGGCACCAAATTTTCGGCCGTTTCTTCGATGACGTGCGAGTACTTTTTCGATATAATCCTCATAAACCTTGTGTTCGCCCCTTGATTCGCGCGAATCGATATCGAACACGTCGGATAAACTCGTAAATACCAGGTTATCTCCAAGATCGGCACTTAGCGTATTAGGTACCTCGACGACCCACTGACCATGAACACACTTAATATTCGGATAATCGAACCAGATACCTTTTCCGTTATACCATTCGATATTTTCGTTATAGGTACTCGGCTCAGCGCAGTCCATGGCTCCAATGGTGTCGCCATGATAACCACCCTTTAACCCGATGATTCCAATATCATCACTTGCAGCCCAGTCATATCGAAGTCGAGCTGCTCGTAAGGCCATTTTCACCGCTACTTCCACGCCTGTGCTGCCATTGTCCGAAAAGAACACACGTGTGAGTCGAGGATTCTCTATACCAGACAAGAGAGTTTCCGCCAATGCTAGAGCAGGTTCATGAACTGCCCCAGCAAACATGACATGACCATAGCGACCTGCCGCATAGGCTGCGGCCATTGTAAGCGAAGGATTGCCGTGTCCGAGCCCTTGAGTCCACCAAGATGCAGAGCCGTCAAAGGAAGGCTGCAGAATGGGATCTTTTTTTCCATTTTCCCCTTTTATACTTGGTACGAGGGTCTGAAAGAAGTCTCCTCGAGCGCTGTCAATGACGGCAATACTGTCTTGAGAAATATGCTTGTGTTGGGTGAAGGGGTACCATATCCTTTTGTATGCTTCACCGGACATGGACTCAAGCCTTTCAATGCGCGTTTGATGTTTGCGATCTAAATGATCGAGAACATTCTGAGCGGCTACACTTTCACCTTCCTTTTCATAGTATTGCAGCATTGCTTTGGCATCCGTATCTCCACTATACACCCGAGATGGAGGCTTTGGCAAAGATACCACAGGTATACCGTGAGCAGCGAAGTAATCCCTCAGGTATTTCTCGTTGTCGTATTCACCATCTTGAAACACAAGAATACTCTCGACATCATATCCGCGAAGTTTCAGGGATTCGAAAGCCGAGATTGTGAGCGAGATACCCCCGAGCTTCGAGTCACCGATTAACACGACAGGGCATCTCAATGCGGTGTACAAGTCTGCCTGGGTGGTGCCTGATGGTCCGGGAGAATGTACACCTCCGGCCGTTTCAATGAATAGCCATCCGGGACCGCGAGTCGCCTTTCGAGATGCGAATTGATATATTTTAGAGAGGAGCTCTTTATCTGGTGGCGCGAACTTCATAACTGGATGGTAAGTTGCGAGCGATGCTAATGTCTTAATTGAAGCATTACATACCTTGCCCTTCGCCGCAGCATGCGGACTAATCGCAAGATCATATTGCAATAACGTCGAACGATCTACTCCCGGAGCATATTTTTGGATATGACTAAATTTATATCAATAACTCTGTAATTCAACAGTTTTTTTTTTTCTTGCTCCTACAATTTTCGCAGGTTAGTATGATGAACAACTGATAAGCAAGCCAATTAGAAGCTCACTTACACCGGTCATCGGCTTCATCTTCTGGACCTGTCGACACGGGCTTTAGGAAGGTTGTTTGTTCTTTTCCCCATATATGATTCGCTGCTCTACAAAGAACCGTGGTGAATACTGTTTTCCCGACATCAGTGTTGGCGCCGTAGACTTGGAAGACTCGAAGAGAGCGCCAAAGCAAAGGGTGGACTGGCGCCATTTACACTGCGTCGAGATTGTTGAGGTGGCGAGCCCTCAATGTCTGTCCAGGTACAATCTAGTGGGTATTATATATAAAATTACGTGCTGGATACCATGTTCTATTTAAGCCACAGTTCGATCGATCTGTCTATACCCCACTAACTTGCAGCTGTAACATCAGTACCGATATTACCACATTAGCGCCAAAGATAGAGCATCGATCAGCTTTTAGCGAGAAAATTTAGAGGATCGTCATTCAGAATGACTTTGAACTTCTCGCAGTCTATTCGAAGAGACAGCGATGCCGGAATCCCGACGACAACTAGACGATACCCTAGGGGTTCTTCTAGCACGCCGGAAATCTCATGGAAGACTTAGGAGGTTGAGTAACGCTCCACCTAACTCCGTTGACTTCTCATCAAACGGCTACCTATCATTGTCGACAAATCCGGTAATCCAGAAATCTTTGGTGTCACGGCTAGAGTCCGAACTCGCAAACTCTGAGAATAGCAACGCATTGCGTCGGCGCTCAATTCTCGGCTCAGGAGGCTCCCGTCTTCTTGATGGAAACTCGTCGTTTGCAGAATCTCTCGAGGCGAAAATTGCATCTTTTCACAATGCAGAAGCTGCGCTTTTATTCACGTCTGCATTTGATGCTAACACAGGACTTCTCTCTTGCGTCCCGCAACCTGGAGATGTGATCATCTACGATGAATTGATTCATGCTAGTGTTCACGACGGTACGCGTATGAGTCGCGCTACGAAGAGGATTCCATTTTCGCATGATTCTATATCAGAAACTCATCAATGGCGATGTTCTAACGGCGAGGATGGTCATGTGGGCCACCAGAACAAGAGCAAGAGCCAGGGGCTTGATGATGTTCTGAAGCAATTATCAGGGGATGAGCATGTTATGAGCTCTAAGTCGAACGTCTTCATCTGTATAGAGGGTCTCTATAGTATGGACGGTGACGTACCGCTCCTGAAAAAGATTGTCGAGACCGTTGATCAATACTTACCATCCGGAAATGGCTATATCATAGTTGACGAAGCGCATTCTGTCGGCGTATTTGGCGAAAAAGGCAACGGCTTGGTTTGCAAATTTGGTCTAGAAAACCGAATATGGGCAAGAGTCCTCGGGTTCGGGAAGGCGATGGGTTGTGCTGGAGGTATGTGTCATGCAGCCACCAACAATTTTGCTGCCGCTGTATTTTCACCCTGGTCGATCCGCTGCGATACTTCTGAAAGCCAAGAAATCAGTTTTAATGTGTTTTGAACTAGGCGCCATTCTCTGTTCATCTATCACTCGCGAGTATTTGATAAACTACGCTAGAAGCCTCATCTATACGACTTCAATGACCTTTACATCGTTGAGTAGTATAGATGTAGTTTACGAATATCTCATAAGCGGACATTCCGAACCACTACGGCAGCACCTGGAGACGCTTATTGGCCACACATACCTTCAACTTCATGCGCTATGTGCTCGGTTGCACCCAGGTCGGCGCACTCTTTACATTGAAAAGCGTCCCTCCAAATCACCCATCATACCGATCTTCACGGCCCATCCTCGAAATCTTGCGGAACATTGCCAAAGACATGGCTTCATGGTACGACCTATCGTAGCCCCTACTGTTCCTGCCGGGAGTGAAAGAGTAAGGATTTGTCTACATTCTGCCAACACACCCGATCAGATCGATGGCCTATGCGATGCGATTGGAATGTGGGTACAGAGTCAGATGGCCACGGAGAAACTTCAATTGAGCAAGCAGCAACATAAGCAAATAACGTACGGAGCAGATGTAGTCACCAAACAAGATAAGCCTCGGCTCTAGCACCCGCAATCTAAAATTGAAGTCTTTTAAACTAAACATAGTCTAAGTACGAGCATCTACGAACTACCGCCAGTTGCAGGTGGCGGAGACTTGTCAAAACTCTTCATTGGACCCAACCCCCAGCGGTCGAACATCTCCTTATCCTCATCATAGCCATTGCACTCCGTCGTCAGCATCTTCTCACCAGTAAAGATGGCATTGGCGCCGGCCATGAAACAAAGAGCTTGCTTCTCCTCTGCCATATTCTTCCTACCAGCCGCGATCCGGACGATAGTAGCAGGCATAATGATGCGGGCAGTAGCAATAGTACGCAGCACTAAAATTTCCAATTAGCATAGCTATTAATCGAAGACTTCGAATTGAGAGCGAAGGGATCTATGCAAGTGGTGGGTGTACTTACTACTCGGAAAATCAATCGGGTCTCGATGTCCTAGAGGAGTTCCCTTAATAGGCACCAGGGCATTCACGGGGAAGCTTTCGGGGTGCTTCGGTAGAGTTGACACAGTATGTAACAGACCAACCCGATCCGTGCTTGTCTCACCCAGCCCCAAAATCCCACCCGAACACACGTTAATCCCGGCATCGCGCACATGGCCCAGAGTCTGCAGACGCTCATCATACGTGCGCGTAGAAATAACGGAGGGGTAGAACTCCCGGCTCGTGTCCACGTTGTGGTTGTAGGCCGTCAGGCCCGCGGCGGCTAGCTCCTTCGCCTGCTCGCCGTCGATCATACCCAGTGTCACGCAGGCTTCCATGCCCAGCTCGCGCACGCCCTTGATCATCGCCGCGATGTTGCGCAGACTGTTCTTGCGCCCTCGCATGTCTCGCCACGCGGCCCCCATGCAGAACCGGGTGCTCCCGTTCGCCGCGGCAGTCCGCGCTGCTTCGAGCACTGATTCGACAGACTCGACCTTTTTCGCTTGTAGGCCAGTCCCTTTCTGGTACCGCGTTGATTGGGCGCAGTATGAGCAGTCTTCTGTGCAACCTCCAGTCTTTGTGTTTGTGCGGGGTTAGTGCGGAGGTAGAGGGTATGAGGAGGGAGACTCACCTTGATGTTCATGAGGGTGCAGAGCTGGACTTCGGCCGGGTCATGGAAACGTCGGTGGACTAGGCTCTACAGTTGCTAGCGGCATCAGTCGAGTCCAGCTCTATGGTCAATATAGGTAGATTTGTGTTGCCTCTTTATAGATCGGGTTGCATTGGAGATCGTGTATAAGTATCACTTCCTGGGGGTTCTTACAGCTTGGTGCACTAGGTCCATCAGCGGATGGTTGTAAATCACTGCTATCTCATCCCTAGTCCAGTTGTTCCTCGGCCGGGTCGCAGACACGGCATCGCGGAGAACATTCTTCGGGGTCGGAGTAGGAGCAGGAGCGGGAGCAGGAGCTTCGTGCCTAACAGGGTTTGGCCCGGGAATGGGAATGGGAAATGGGGGATGATCAGGTGGCTGCTGTTGGATGGCGGCGGCGGCAGCGGCAGGTGACGGGCGAGATGACGCTGTGGTAAATAATCGAAGACGGTTGCATCGAGCAGGCCGGACTAGCGGCTCCGCCAGTCGACGAACAACCAGGCGCGCGGGTTTCATGATCTGATCAAGTACGGATAGAATCTCGTCAACTCACAGAAAAGATCCGGAACCAGAACAGAGGTTTAACAGGTTCGGATCCCGACGAAGTAAGCAGCTGAGCTACCTAGCTAGGTATTTCCACTCCCGTTTCCCCGACCCCCACGTCTCTACGGAAACAAAACCCCCCTACCTCAATGATTTTTCTGTTGGTGGGGAGGTGGGTTTGGCTGCGAGAGGGGAAAGATCTAAGAGCCAGCGATCGCTCATCGACGGCATAAGCCTACCTAATACGAGTTAATACGCAGGGGAGGTGGTATTCTCAGCAAGCCAAGTCTCAGACTTAGCCGGCACTAGGTTAGAGGGATCGGTGCTATTAATCCACATCGCGCCCCCGCTACAGTGCATGCAGCCACTGAAGATCGCCTTCTTTCAACCTTAGAGCTCTGATTCGCTACGCATTGCCATTGCGTAATGCCTCAACGAGCATATTGGCGTTCTTTAGCGCACATGAGGGGGGAATAACGGCTATTGGGGGCTTGGTTTTTAAGGGGCTTTCCGCAAGATAGGAGGGATTTATTTTAAGACAAAACCGATAGCTTCTTGGCTTGCGCGGACTTGTTATGTAACTAAATAAAATCATCCTCAAAACAGCTCACACGTGTTGAAATCTCTCTCTAATCTTGAATTATATTAATTTACTAGGTAACTATCGATTTATAGGGAGTATAGAGGGGAAATTCCGGTCGTTACCCTGCTACACGAAATTCCCGCAGTCCGTAACGGGCGTTTCGCAGATTTCATGGCGCTCATAATCAATACATGAGAAAAGCAATCCGAATAAAACGAAATAAGTCTTATATTCAGCAGAAGTTCCAGATACCCAGTGCGTGATATAAATGACGACGGATCTCGGTTAAGATGACCTAGAATAAGCCACTAATAAAAAGCAATGGCATATTTCCAGCTCTCTCAAAGTTCTCTTACAAGTCACTCATTATGAGTAAACAGGCCCGTTTGAGGGCCACGTACGTACGATATTTACACATATATGTTGTTTGAGTCATTTTAATCGGAATACAGTCTGACATTATCTACATCCACATTGGCAAGCACGCACGAACTCACAACTGACATGTATGTTGTGATATCGTCGCTTCACACTTTTTACAAATATATATCTAGATCCTATTTCAATTTTATAATTCGGTTGGCGAGCTAGCACTAAGCTATGTGATTAATGTCGACGGCGGTAAATATAAACATGTGGATAATGTTGGATATATCTCATCGTCGTTTATCTGACAGACAGGAAATTAACTTAAAGCAGAAGTCCTAGACTCTGTATCTATGATGGTGTTTGTACGACATTGAATAAATTTCTTATATGTTGATAGCATATGCATCCTGAACCTTCTCCCATCTGTCCAAAAATGCTCAATTGATATGAAAACTTCTTCAAATACAAAATGAATTTGAACACCGAGTTCAGAATATACCCCAGCTTCTCAGGGAACCAGCTGAGAATTCTGGATAAGCTCGATGTAGCTTTACGAAGTCGACACGGTCCGGAATGGCAGGCCCAGAGAATGGTTGGCGATATCCTCCGTATCTGCGCCGAGGCAGACTCTTTGCAGCGCCTTTCGAGTATTCTTCGAGATCTTTGGGCAGTAGTAATTCTACTCGCTAGTCAGTTTAGTTCAGATGGACAGGACCAGAGAACTCTGGTAAATTTTATCGAGACTCTTCGAGAGCGAGAAGATGAGGTCAGAAAAGGTTCTAATGTAAGTAATTACCCCTTGTAAAAGGGCATTTAACTTGAACTAACGGTTTATAAAGATCTTCTGGAAGGATTTGCCTTATCTAGCAGACTGTCTATCTGAGAATTGGAATGGTACTTGGCGCATTATCTTACCCCATTACGGTTCCCATCTTGCTAACTTGATGGTAGATCCGTTATCCTCGTCCAGGCGATTAACTCAAAGAGATATGACAGAATGGGAGAACCTGAATTCTTTCGTTGCTCGACTAACGAACAAGAATTTCTGCCCGTGGCTTCAACTTCCCATCAAGGAACTCAGGAATGCCCTCGAGTGTCCTCAATCTAGAGGAGCAGTGATGGAATGCAGAGTGTTGGTCGCTACTGATTGGATCATACGATGTGGGGACGTCCTGCTTCACAAATTAACGGGCGAGAATGCTGATCGGCATTTGGCCTTGAGTCTGGTAACGGGACCGTTGTGCAGAAACGTCCCCTTGCTAGGTGTCGAGAGATGGGCATTTTGGAGTAAGAGGTTCCAGGAGATAGGTAATAACTACCAAAAGCTGGAACTTAATGATGCGATATATCTGCGGATAGGAAAGGCGCTGCGCGTAATGTCGGCTTTCGAAAGAGAGAGGGCCTATTTGGACCGCACTTAGGAGTATATCATCAGGTTGGGATATGAGATGCTATTTGCTCTGCAATATCACCTTGAGAGATTGTCGTATCTTATTTTATCTCATAGAATTAGTAGGTAGATAATATATTTGTAATTATGTGAACCCATTCAGGTAAGATACAAAAAGGGGTATCCTTTGATAGGAGGTCGTTGCCTACCCCTAAGTTACCAGAGTCTGTTGAGTTCCGTCGCACCAATAAGCAATATAACTCAAGAAACTACCAGTATCCATTTATGCATCTCCATCTAGACCAATAGCGTATCAATTTAGTATGTCGCGCATCTTCCACCCCAGGATTTGGATCAGCTTAACACTGCCTACTAGGTTAGGTAATCAACTATCTTGAGTTGATTAGTAAGGTTACGTAAGTAGATGTGGCTAATGTGTATCTGGTGAAAGTGGCTGTATAGTGGCTGTGTTGTGGCCGGTGCGAGGCATGAACCCCTAATCTACTCACTCTACGAGAGCTTGTTGGTTTGTACCATAATCCACTTCATCAATAGACCCGACTAATTATCACCCACCTGCTTATAAAATGCTTCTCGTGAGGTTGCCTGTGTCACTCCAAGATCATCTCACATCAGCCCTAGCTTCGTCAAACCCGGAAGAGCCGTGAGCTCTAGATAATCCTTCCCCCTTTGAGATCCCCTTATGGACACCCCCTTGAGTTTGACGTCAAAGTAGACATACAGTGATCAGCAATAAGCTAATAGGATATGTCGAGTAAACAGAAACCTTGCCTAGGGATCGATATGTCAGACTTTTTATTGTGTTACCAACTGCGAGAAACAGCAACATAAAAAGCCGTCAAGATGTCCTGGCTTAAATTCCAGGTAGCACATTAACAACTTTCAACAAAACCTCAGGTCTTTCGGTTCTTACCCACTCCTAAGGTAGACTATTTGATAGAAAACCCATCAAAATGACACGATTCAATCACCTTCCATCACTCCTAGTCTTTGGGCCTCAGACCAGGTTTCCATCACAAGAAGTATTAGAAGACTTACGCCGGGAACTTGTTAACAACCCTCTGTTAGCCGTCCTCGCTAATGCTGCGACAGAACTCCCTCAATTCTGGGAGACCCTTGTAGAATCCGATGAAAGTCTACAGCTAATCCCTGGCACCAAGTACCTCAATGAACTCGGGCAGTGGGTCAAGGAAGGTGGCCCATTTCCCAACCAAAATATCTCGCCAAACATTTATGCTCTACCCGCCACCATTCTTCTCCAAATCACCCAGTACACACGCTACCTTAGACACCTTGGTGACGACTCCCATCGCCAGGTTCTTGAGAGCGTTAAGACTGCAGGAATCCAAGGACTCTGTGTTGGCTCCATTAGTGCCGCTGTAGTAGCTAGCTCGAAAACCGAAGCTGATATCGGTCCCGCTGCTACTGCTGGGCTTCGTCTTGCACTTGCGATAGGTGCATATGTTGACTTAGACCACATCTCAGAATACATTGATGGATTCACATGTATTGCGATCCGATGGAGGGAAGGGAATGCCGAAGAGAAAGCCAGGATTGACACCATCATACAATCGTATCCTGAGGTAATTCTGACCTGTTTCATATTAGCTTCGACCTAGACGTTACTAATTACTTCTAATTAGGCTTACATATCCAGCATCAATGATAGTGCCAGCGTGAGCGTCACTCTTAGAACTGAAGACCTGGGTAGTTTCGTTCAGCAGATCCATAAACGAAGCTTTCAAGCGGCGACGACGTCGGTGAACGGCCGTTTCCACACTTCTGCCCACTCAGATGCCTCGATTAAGCTTGCGAAGCTAGGCTTAAAAACCGAAGCGCTTCGGCTTCCAGAAGCTGGGATGCTCCTTGTCCCTTTGCGATCTACCGCAGACGGTAAAATTATTCGCGAGGGCTCTTTGACCGAGTTTGTAATCCGGAACACACTGCTGAAACCTGCAGACTGGTACATGACTATGAAGGAATCGACTCTTCAGTTACCCCATTCGAACATCACAGTCGTATCCGCAGGATTTGGCAATAATATCCCCCCATCTCTGATTCGTGATGCATATTTCCATGTATTGGATCTGGGAGGGACGAAAAAGGGAAAACAATACACAAATTCGTAACTCATCGGTTACATGGCTACCGAGGGACAGCTCGCTATATCACTGGCATAATAACTCTCCAAAGGGGGCTACGACCTCCGGAAGCCATCTCCGCATTCTGCTGCCCCACCAGTTACAAGCATGAGTGGTGGAAGAGATATCCAATCCACGGATCCCGACAGATTCCCGGTGTCGCACCGTGCTTCACAAAACGGCCCGCCATTTAATTCTACGGAGCTAGAATTAGAGTATGTAAGGAGCCTTGATTGATAGGACTATTGAGTCCTAGTTAGATGGGCTCCACATATATGTGATATAAGCAGCGACTCTAACTCCCAAGGCTAGGACGCCACTCTTCGAGGATAACGGTTTCTCAGCTTGTATAGGGTCTAGTCACAGAAGTAGTGATTGTGAGAACGAATTCGGAGCTAGAATATAAGGCAATTTAACGGAATTTTCGATGAATACTTACCTAGGAATATAGATACGACTATAGAGCAAGCCTCTCGAGATGTTCAAGTTCGCGGAGTATGACAGACTCAAGTTTACACACGTCGTCTTATTATGCAAGGGCCTAAACCCGCGGAAATATGGAAGGCTTCCGGTGGGGGATATGCACCTTGTTGTCAACCCATGAACCTGAAGAGTAAATATGAGGAAGCTGAAAGCCCCTGAAAAGCCCCTTTTTCTTTTTTTTCGGGCTGCGATGGTGGGGAAGTGCGCCCCAATGAAACGCGGCCACCGGCGGCCTCACGTATCAGGGTACACGACATTTACTATCATGGGATGTGCCATGCTGCCAGGTTACCTAGGTATTTAAGATAATACACTAATTATGGCGCTGTTAGGTAGGTGGTTTCTGATTACGTCAGGCTATCGACGGGCACCTGGCAGTCTATGATTAGCTCAACCGAGTGTGTGGGTAGGCATATTAAGTTCATTGCATCCGTCGAGCAATGCCCCTTTCTTTTCAATAGACCCTACCTTGCATTATGACCCAGATCTAGGACCCAATGACTATGTAAACATACATCATTCGGAAGACCTTTTCAAAAAAAGGATCTACTAAACCGCTGAAAGTCTTGAAGGCTAGCGAATCTGCAACGGATAACCTGTCGATAGTTAGGTGATTTGGCGGTGGGACATCGTCATATGTTGCACCCTTAGTGCTGTACCTACTCATTTTTCTATGGCTTCAGGTAACTACGGCTGTCAATGCATTCTCCCGCAAAGGCAAAACCGGCCGTAGACGGATAGATCCGCCTCCCATCATCCAAGTCCAGCTTTATGGCTTCTCGAAATTTATTTTCAATGAAACTCAGTGGATACTTGCAGAGAAAGTCATGTCTTATTTCGAAAATCTCATTCATAGCCTAGGCAAATACCCGGAGTATCTTGAAAGAATATAAGTAGGTAGTCTTGCGGCATCCTATGCTCTCTTTTTGAGAAACCCCAGCATTCAACTTCAGGACTCAACTTCGATTTCTGCACATTATGGCTGCCGCTGACGTAGCTAGCATCAGCCAGGCACCTGTCCCTGGCTATATTCATGCCACCCCCTCTCGAGGTCTATATCGAGATGTTGATCAGGCAATTCACGACTACATCGGGGCTAGTAGTAAACTAGAGCACGACTTCAGCGAAGATGAACCCTTTTTCGTTGCCGACCTAGGACAGGTGCTGATACAACATCAAAAATGGCAAAAATACCTTCCAATGGTTGAGCCATTCTATGGTACTTAGAGCCATCTTCATAATCATGTAAAGATACGCTAACACTTCGTAGCAGTGAAATGCAACCCGGACCTGCCTCTTTTGAGATACCTAGGGACACTCGGTACTGGCTTTGACTGTGCCTCGATTGAAGAGATTCGGACTATGCTCTCTTGGGGGGTTGAACCTTCGCGCATAATCTTTGCCAACCCATGCAAAAGCCCGTCCTCGGTTCGATTTGCAAGGAGTGTTGGGGTCTACCGAACGACATGTGACAACATTGACGAGCTTGAAAAGATACACTTCATCATGCCTGAGGCTATGATAGTGTTGCGCCTTTTCGCTTCAGACCCAGAAGCCATGACCGACCTCAGTGATAAGTTCGGGGCCACTAAGGACGTTGCGCTCGATCTTCTCAAGCGTGCCCGACAGTTAGGGATGAATGTTGAAGGAGTCAGTTTCCACGTAGGTGCGTTGACAAGACATTGAGCGCTTATACCCTAATGATATACCTACTTATCCTTGATAAAGGGTCTGGCTCCCGGAGCGCCACGGCATTTGAGACAGCTCTACGAGATTCTAAGCATATCTTGGAGGTAGCACGATCCTTAGGCTTCAAATCCAATCTACTTGACATCGGTGGCGGTTTTCTCGACGAACACTTCGTCATAGTTGCGGAGAAGATTCGCTGCTTCATTGAGACGGAAATACCCAGTGACATACGCGTCATTGCAGAGCCAGGCCGCTTTTATGTTCAAAATGCGTACAGTCTGGTAACTAAAGTGATCGCTAGACGACAAGCGACCTCTCAGCATGGTGTATCTACCATAGGTATGCTGTACCAAAACGATGGAATTTATCGAAATTTCATGAATGCCGTCTTCGAGAACCTAAGGCCGGAGCCCCAACTGATCAGATCGAACATTAACCCTATTGGGCCAGAGGCACCTAGAAGAACACGCTGTGAGCATGAATATCATATCTGGGGGCCGACATGCGACTCGAGGGACAGCATCACGAAAACCGCCATCTTTGATTCGGAGGTCTTGGTTGGTGATTGGTTGAAGTATAAAGATATGGGAGGTATGTTCTTCTCCAAAGCTTCAACTTCTATTATTATCACCATAATAATTTACGCCACGCAGCTTACACTTTGGCAATGGCTACACGGTTCAACGGTTTCGATAGCCAGTGCAAGATAGTTTACGTTTCTAGCAAACTCTAGGTTAGCGCTTCCTAACGTGATGCCGTCTGCATTAGACATACCTCGAAAGCTCGAAAGTCTGATTATCTTGAGATTGGAAATAGGTAAGACAGAAGGTCATCAGAATAGAATTGGTTATTACCTAAAAGTTTAATTCTAACTACTGAGCCACAAACCAAAATGAGTTTTACTAAAGACGAAGCCGATCAATGTCCAAGTAAAAGTCCGTTAAGAATCAGATATATGAAAACTACATAAAGGATAGTAAGCGCATCAATAAATTGTAGTCTCTCCTTTTATCTTGACTTTTGCTAAGAAGACCCCCGAGTCACGGATTATCTCCGGTATTTAAAGTTAACTCCGATACGGGGTGAATAGGTACCTACTAGGTAGTACAGTGGGCGGTGAAGGGGTTTCCCGAATTTCGTCAACATTAGCCTATAGATAAAGTTGCGAGATAGGAACTACCTACCGCGAAAGAAAAAAAAAAATACGCCCTGCTTTCGAGGCCTGATGACTCCTTCCTTCTTGTCAACCTCTACCTACCCTCTCTCATTGAGCCTTCCAAGACAATTGCGACAATTGCGGCAATTGCTTCATCCACTGCCTCAGATGGCAACAGCCAACTCGAGTATTGCTCGGACCAGAAGTTTTAACGCTCTCATCTCGACAGCTCATAGCAGCCGAAGCCGGGTCAATTGCCACCAACGTCATGGCTTCCACATCGCAGCAGGTAAATCAAATTCCTTACTAATCGCCCTTTCCCAAATATCTACCGAGAATAAAGAGAAAAAAAAAGTTCAAGCATCGGGAGCTCCCCACATTATTAAAGCTTACTACCCAAATTTTTCTCTGATTGCTTCTGATTACGTACGTAACGATATCAGGTGTTTGTTATATCGCCCGATGTTCGGCTCTCTTCCTAGTGGATAGTGGATGCACCCCTTTTTCTCAGTTCTTCCAATTCTTCCAATAGCATCTTGAACCGTCAGTACCTCTTCTGCACGACAGTGGTATGATGTACAACGTCCCACACTTTTAAGGCGAACCAACTACGCACGCGATCAGGCGGTAAAAAATATTTGGGGATCACATCCCTTGGGCATCTGGATGAGAGACGGGAGCGCGGGTTCCAATTTGATCTGCGTGGGTTTCCTAAACACAACGAGTGCACATGCACAGAATTTCCAAGTTCCAAGTTCCCAGATCCGATCCCCAAGAAGCTGAAGTTAGGCTTAATATTCTATTAAGTCTTCTATTCGCTCTCCCTTCTCACCGTCTAACCATCTGATCCCTGGTAGAAATTCCCTCATTGTTCCAATCATTTTATGAATTAAAACTCCCCTCGCCACTTTTTTCCCCGTGTTTTTCCTAGTCAATCTTCTTTCCCATCTGATAATTTTACGCTGGAACCATCTTACTGAACCACGTTTTTGTTAGCAGGAGCGGTAGTACCGGTACCAAACCTAGCACGAGTATTAGCAGGAAAACGAACAGTAGCGATACCTACCCCGCTATTATCATTTTCAGGGTCTTTTACCCCGCCATCTCCAAGCCCACTACACCCTCCAAAAAGGCTATTTCACCACCAAACAGCGGCGATGACGAGACTTAACCTTGGAAATATCAACCCGCACATCGTCGAGGCCAAGTATGCCGTTCGTGGTGAACTCGCCGTCAAGTCCGAGGAATACCGTGCTAGACTTAGGAAAGGCGACAAAAGTCTACCCTTTGACGAGGTAATTAGCGCCAACATCGGTAACCCGCAGCAGCTTGACCAGAAGCCCATCACCTACTTCCGTCAAGTCTTGAGTTTACTCGAGAACCCGAAGCTATTGGAACACAAGGATATCCTACTCAACTCTCTAGATTACAAGACAGATGTCATAGAGCGAGCGCAATGGCTATTAGACCACGCGGGCAGCGTTGGAGCATACAGCGCCAGCGCAGGTGTTCCCGTCATCAAGGAGAGCATTGCTAAGTTCCTTGAGAGTACGTTATAGTAACCCACGTGAGGTTTTCATTAAGTTAACTTCAAATCCTAGAACGAGATGGCTTCCCTGCCGATCCAGCACATATCTACTTGTCAGCTGGTGCCTCTTCCGGTGTCAACACTCTTTTACACATCATCTGCGCCTCTCCTAGCACTGGTGTACTCGTCCCTATCCCTCAGTACCCGCTCTATACCGCTTCGCTATCCGTATTGAACTCCACATGCGTACCTTACTACCTCGATGAGGCGGCTCACTGGGGCACATCGGTTGCCACCATCAAGGAGGCGTACAACAAAGCTAAGGGTGATGGCATTGACGTCCGTGCCATTGTCATCATCAACCCTGGAAACCCTACAGGCGCCTCGCTATCCGAGGAAGACGTCCGAAACGTCCTAGAGTTCGCTGCTGAGGAACGACTCGTAGTTATGGCTGACGAAGTCTACCAGACTAATGTGTTCATTGGCAAGTTCCACAGCTTCCGACAGGTCCTTCTTACTCTACAGAAAGAACACCCTGGTAAATACGACAACGTCGAGCTTGCATCCCTGCACTCCATCTCCAAGGGCATGGTCGGCGAGTGCGGACATCGTGGCGGCTACTTCGACCTCATCGGCTTTACGCCCGAGGTTGAGGAGCAGATTTACAAATTCGTCTCCATTACGCTGTGCGCACCTGTAATTGGCCAATGCCTTGTTGAGCTCATGGTCAACCCACCCAAGCCCGGTGAGCCGTCCTATGAGCTTTATGACAAGGAATACAACTTCATCTTCAACAACCTTAAGACGCGCGCCTATGCGCTTTACGAAGCCTTCAAGGAGATGGAGGGCGTCGAATGCGGCGAGCCTCAGGGTAGCATGTACCTCTTCCCCACTATCCGTGTACCTCCTAAGGCCGTCGAAGCTGCTAAGAAGGAAAACCGCAACCCCGATGAGTTCTACTGCATGCGTCTGCTTGAGGCTACTGGTGTGTGTGTCGTCCCCGGCAGCGGCTTTGGCCAGGCCGAGGGAACCCTGCACCTCCGAACTACGTTCTTAGCCCCTGGCACGGAATGGGTTGTTAACATTAAGAAGTTCCACAAGGAGTTTATGGATACCTACAGATAAGAGAGATATTATTCTAGAATAAAAGAGGCTTGGGAAATCCTACGAAAGAAGGATATTCGGGTTAGATGGTTCGGTTCGAGATATACCTTAGATGGCTGTCTTGACAGAAGTGAAACGAGCAAAGCCTTGTATGCCCTAGATACTAGGTACCTACAAAAACGAGGCTGGTTTGCGCGTTTGATAATCCGTAGTGACTGCTTTTATGAAAGGGCCTCGTACGATGGAACAGGACGGTATAGGGGCCTTGACTGGGGTTCAACTAAATACCTGGTACTTACCTACTCTCCACTACTCCGTATGCATCACATCAATAGAAACAAACCCTCCCAAATCCGGTTTACGATGCAATGAAAACCTCATAGCAAAAATTTCAAATGTGATCCAAAAACATCAAGCGATTCTCAGCTCGTCTACGTTAGGCTGGTATTTATTGGTACATTAATTTTTTTCTTCTATTGCACAGACTTCGCAATGCTGTCTTCTTCGTCCCGGACGCCTGTCCCATCCATCCTCCACCCACCCATCCATACTTACATACGTACTAGGTATTCCCCACAACTTTTACCACTATTCCTAGTGAATAAACGAAACGCCGGGATACCTAGGATATGTATGTATGTATGTAATCTTCCTACCTCCCCTCTTGTACCTTTTACGCCCTCTCGCTACCCCGTAGCCGCACGGCCTGTCCGTACTTCTGGAGCTTGGTGATGAGCTGGTCGCCCTGCTTGACGACGTCCTGGTACTGCTTGTTCTTGTCGTCGGGGCGGTTGGTCTCGATGACGCCTTTGCCGGTGACGCGGTCGATGGTGCAGGGGATGCGGCCGCCGGCGATGAATTTGGCTAGGTCGCTGTTTTTGGTCATGTTAGTATTTTCTGGTTGTAGGAAATGTGGGATTGTGTAACATGAGGAGAGGGGAAGGGGATATGGATGAGTAAACATACCGATCTAGGAAATCCACCGTGACGCCGAAGTCATTGGCCATGCTCTCGAGCCCGACGACACGGTAGCTCTGTAGTAGCTGCTGGTAGGCACGGAGGCGCATCTCCCGGATGAACCAGCCCTTATGCTCGTGCAGGTAGCGGTCCTGGGTCAGGAACTGCTCCTCGACTTGGGCGAGGGCCTGGAAGAAGAGCTTGTAGTGGCCGTTGTACAGGCTGCTCACCAGCTGGGCTAGGGGAGAGAAGTCCACGGCCAGCTCGGTCTCGGGTTGGTCCGTGCTGGTGCCTAGGGTCGTCAGGTTCACGGCCGTTACGGTCTTGGTGGGGGCCGCGGGTGAGGAGGCCGCTTCCTTGGCGGCGGTATCGCGCACTTCAGAGTCCTCAGCGCCAGGACCTGCAGATATGGCGCCGGTTAGGGCCAGGAGCTTGTCGTCGCCGTCGGCGCCGAGGATGGCCTTGATTTCAGGGGCGTCAACGACCTTGCTCTTGAAGTCAACCCGCTTAAGAGAGACTGAACCGGCAAGAACGGAGTAGACGACTAGGTTCGAGTACGTGCACAACTCGTAACTGGTGAAGGTCGACAGGGAGTCGAGGAGTAAAGGAGCGGCGAGGTTATACGATCGTACCGTTAGTAGGTGGAGGCCCTCGTAGGCCTTTAGTCGGTTGCGGCGGTCCCAGTCGCCGCCGCTGTCAACAAGAGTCTTAGCGCGCGCAACATGCTTCTTCACTAGAGCCTTGTCGCCGTAGAAAAGTCCCATGCGGATTATGGCGAGAACTAAGTCGATCTTGGTGCCTAAGATGCCCGTCTTCTCGAAGACGTCTTCGTAGGTTGCTATCGCTTTATCCTGTTGCGCGAAGCTGTTAGTCATAGTCATACGAGGATTAACATAGTCATGGAGGACCATATAGTAACAAATTAATATACCTTGTCACCAATCTTAGCAAAGAAATCGGCACGCTTTCCCTTCGCTGCCATGATTTCCGTTTCGCCAGCCTGCTCAACTGCTTCATCCTCCTCCTTCTGGAACCCCTCCAGCTCCTTATCATTCTCTGCCTGTAACTTATTGTAAAGATTCTCGTCCCAAGCTAAGGTAGCGCCGGCAGTCTTGCTAGCAACCATCCCGGCGGCGCTTGGTTTCCTCCCGGTAGGCTTCTGGGGCGCTGATGCCGATGTGGTCTCACCGATGGTATTTAGGATACCCTCGGTAGGATGGGCTAGATACTTGTACAGCGGGGCCATTTTATTCTCACTGATTCCATCTTGTAAGCTCTTTATGGCAGCCTGCTGGGCGGGTCGAGTGGCGTAGGGATTCGTGATGGTGAAGACATGTTGGGCTAATGGTAGAGCAGGCCATTTCGCGTACTGGGGGTCGGAACCCATGATGAATTGGGCGACAGAAGAGCTGACGTGGGCTTAAATAGAGTATCAGAGGGTATAATGAGTCGTAGGATGAAGATAGACCACTGGATTCTCGATTATGTCGACGTCGTTGGTTGATGAAGCCTCATAAAAACTTCAGAGCTTCGTTTAACGGTTTATGGTTTATGGATTTGCCAGCGGTTGCAAGCAGCTGCAGGCGGCCATCGGTGGACGTAACTTTCACCAGTAAACCTAGCTCTGAGCCAATCATATAGCATATGTGGGTCTTGTCGGAGCCTCAGCAGTACGTACCTCCCAGCTACAAAAGCGCTTGAGCTCTACAAAGCAAAATGGAAAGGTGCGGATTACCCCGGTCCTAATAAGCTCAATGCCAAGACTTACATCCATTTTCTACACCTTTCGTCCTCCACATTAGAAACTCTCCGAGGTGCAGTACACGAACATACCACTTTCCTTCTTCAACCTGTTTTTTTTTCTCTTGGACCTCATGAAACGATTTTGACGAGATTGTCATCCCATCCAATTTGAACAGAATAATAATCAATAACTGCCCAGTTACCTATTCGAAAATAACAAAGAAGACGTAGAAATTCACTCTCCGTCGCTCATAATGGCAGGAGACGATGGTCCCGAGGAGCTTCCTCAGCCCTTCGACGCGAAGCGACTCGAGTCCGCTAAGAAACGGAAGCATTCGCAATCCCCCGTCAGAAACAAAAGCAAGCATCGTGATGATAACTCAGACATGCCTTCAATCGACGAACTCCCTCAACCATTTGACGCAAAGAAGCTCGAACCAGCCAAGAAACGCCAGCGCTCGAGGTCACCGACAGGCGAGGCGCCTCGAAGGCTTAAGCGACCCGGTCGCGGCGCCCGATTCTCCCAGGCAGAGAGTTCGTCCATCCGTCACCGCCATGAGCAACGCGAGCGCGAGGCTGCCGAGGCCGCTGCCACGCAGGCCGTGCTAGACCAGAGAGGCATCAACGACGTCGTGCGACAGCACTATAACGCGGTGCCGGAGAGAGGCCGAGACTGGCGAAAGACGGACAGCAGAATCAAGGGGTTGAGATCCTTCAACAATTGGGTCAAGAGCACGCTAATACAGAAGTTCTCGCCGGACGAGGACTACACACCCGGTGCCCACGAAAGAGGTCATGATATGGCTGGCGCTAGGGACCACCAGCTACTTGTACTCGACATTGGATGTGGTAAGGGTGGTGATTTGGGCAAGTGGCAACAGGCCCCGCAGAGGGTTGCGCTATACGTTGGACTGGATCCTGCAGATGTCTCAATCGATCAGGCGCGAGAGCGGTACCGCAATATGAGCCATCGCGGTGGAGGCGGCGGACGAGGTGGTAGGGGCGGCCATAGGGGTGGTCGCCACCAACATCTTTTCGATGCACGCTTCTTTGCGAAAGATTGCTATGGGGAATCTATCGGCGATATCGATATCATCAGACAAGTCGGATTTGATCATTCACCCATGGGGAGGAGTGGGTTCGATATCGTCAGCATGATGTTCTGTATGCACTACGCATTTGAGAGCGAAGAGAAGGCCCGCATGATGCTTCAGAATGTCTCCGGAGCTCTAAAAAAGGGCGGTCGATTCATCGGCTGCATACCCAACTCGGACGTGATCGGCGAGCGAGTTGTCAAGTTCAATGACTGGCTTGCGAAAAAGCAGAAAGCAGAGGCAGCCAAGGAGAAAGAAGCACCTCCCCCTAAGGAGGAGAAAGAAGAAGGCGAAGAAAAGGAAGAGGGGGAAGAAGGAGAGGTCGAGGAGACGGCGGAATGGGGTAACGATCTCTATCGGGTTAGGTTCCCCGGTAAGACGCCCGGAGATGGAATATTTCGACCGCCGTTCGGCTGGAAATACAGCTTCTTCCTTGACGAGGCTGTAGAGGAAGTGCCTGAATACGTTGTTCCGTGGCCGGCGTTCCGTGCCATTGCGGAAGACTACAATCTCGAGTTGCAATACCATCAGAAATTTGACGAAATTTGGGAGGCTGAAAAGGATGATCACATTCTAGGGCCTCTAAGCGAGCGTATGGGCGTTCGCGAGAGAGGGAGGGGGCCACTTTTAGTCTCGCCAGAAGAGATGGAGGTTGCGAACTTCTATCTGGCGTTCTGCTTCTATAAAGTATAGTCGTTCTTGCAGGCAATGGGATTGGCTTTTGTGGTTGGTTGCAAGGCGGCATCCTCATTAGATGAAGACATTGGCATTGTTTATTCAAGGGCCTAGGACATTTCTTAATGGCGTTGGGGATGTCCTGGAAGTTGACGCTATCCTTGAAATCCGACGTTCCCTAGGATTGATAGGATAGCATATCAAGTGCGTACTATATGCCCAATGAAGTGCTAGCTGATCATAAGGACTAAGCTGTGGCTGAAGTAAGACTGCTGTGGCCATCAATAGCAGAGTCTCTTGACCTGAAGTAGATAAGCACTACTAAATCACAACTCCCAGGCTGACTATCTGGTACCAACCTAAGAAGTAGCCAACTGGATATTCGTTGTATTCTCAGCTGTTACAATTCTAAAATATCCACCCACTCAATCGCGAAGTTGGCGTAGAAAATATTCTCAACATACGACTGGATGATTTCCTCCCTTCCGGATCCCCACTTTCTGATTCCGGTAATGCTACTAACTTTCTATTGGTCGAGTCATTATATGCAGTATGTCGTGTTGTTTGCTCCCTACCAAAGGAGGTAGATTATTAGCAAGGAGAAATCCAATGCCAAATCATACAAATTGGAAAACATATTAAAAGTTGTAATCTTGAAGAAAAGAAAGTGGTAGCCCTTTATTATCTTTGCCGTCTAACTAGTCGTATAACCCATTCACGGACCTACCCATACCTACCTATCACCCCTTCTTTTTTTCCAAGTTTATTCGACTTTTCCCGCCCAAGATATCTCTAGACGCTCTTGATCCCTTTCCAAACCCCTATTCATACAAGTAAGCAGGTTGACAAACAGAAACAAAGAAATCAGGAAACCGCCGTTAATAGATTCGTGATGGATTCATCAAGGTCCCAGACCCACGCTTGTTATCTCTCGAGATACCCGGTACTGTTCTCCCGTCGTCATCGTGTAGATAAGCCATATACCACCCAAGCCCAAGCCTCGTGACAAAGAAATAGAAAAAGAAGAAAAAAAACTCGCAGTGAAACGACGGCAGCCCCCCTTTTATACGAAGTAATATACCGCCCCTAATACCCAGTCCCAAGTTATACCGTCCGAACCAAACCCCTATTTTTTATTCCTCGTTTGTGTAGATTTCCCAATTTCCTAAGCCCCCTAAACAAATCCCATCCCGTCCCATTCGCTGAGCATAACATTATCCCACAGCTTGCGCCTCACCTCTCAACCCACCCACCAACACACCTAGACAATATCCAAGCAGGTTTGTAGCTAGATAGATACCTAGATAGATTCGTCCATACGCATCCATCACGTCCAAACCCTCTCCCCAACCCCCCGCGGCACCCCCGGCACCTGTCCAACCGCCGCGTCGCGATGCGCCGGGCCCTCGTAGTAGCTGCCGAGACTACTCCCGCTGTCCCGGTTTCGGAGATAGTCCGCGTTCGGCATCGTTGCGTACGGGTTATGGTTCCCACCATTCCCATTCCCATTTCCGTTTCCGTTTCCGTTCCCGTTACCAAGGTTGTGGCTGTCGTGGTTCATATGGCTGAGATGCTGCTGATTCATATGGCTATGGCTATGGCTATGGTTATGGTTATGGTTAGGGTCGTTGGTGTTGGGGTTAGCATGATGCCCCATCGCCGTCCCGAACCCGAAGTACGTCGGCTGAGCCATGATCTCGGCACTGCTGGTGTGGTGGGTGCGCGCGTGCAGGTGGTTGTGGGAGGGGTTAGGGGGTGTGAAGGTGGGGAAGTCTGTGGCTGTTGGGGGGGTGGATGAGTCACTGTGTCGTTCTGGCCGTGGGAGAGGTGGTTGTGGGGGTTCCCAGGGGTAGTTTATGTTGCCGCTGTTGCTGGTGTTGGCGCTGAGATGGGCTTGGGGTGGCGAGAGAATGGGCTTGGGTTTGTTGTCGTAGGATCTAGGAGGCGGTGTTAGTGTGGCAGGCTATCTAGCTAGTTGGGAGGAAGGGGTAGAATGTTAGAGTAGATTTATCATACTTTTGCGCGTTGTACATCTGTGCTTGGTGGCTATCAATAGGGTTGTAAATGTGCGGTTGGTTTATCTGGAGCGGCATGGCCAGATGGCCGCCGGTGTTGTGAGGATACGTCGTCGCCATGTTATTGGCCATCATAGACGGAGACGTGGAAGCTGAGCCGCTCGAGAAACTGCCATCGTGGACACTGGCACTGGAGCTCGACGAGGCACGTTTTCGACAGTTGTATTTGCGGATGCCCCAGCGGATCAAGCGACCTCTATACGCTCTAACGCTGCGATGGGAGAGCGCGTTTGTATTAGTGTTTATTTTTCTATTTGCCTATCTACAACGCGTTCGTATTCCAAGGTTAAGGGAAAGGGGATAGATGATAGTGAAATAGAATATGTTAATGAGGATATTGGAAAACAGGATTAGAAAGGGGGATAAGAGGAAAAGGGTTGATTCTCACGAGGCTTTGAACCCATATTGTTCAATCATAATCTGGCGCACCACAGCGAGCGTGTTCTCAGCGTAGAGTTCTTTTATGGTGGCCTCGTACATATCCCATTGCTTCGTCATATTTGTGATAATAATAAGTCTACTTTTCTCTTATCGGAGATGATGCCGAGTTCGAAGTTAACTACAGGTTATGAATGGCAATACTTGGGGAAGAGTAAGGGCAAACGAATAGTCGCGCCATCTGGGGCAAGCAAAACGGTCGTCATTTGATGTCACGTTTTTTTTTCCCTTAGGGGACGTAGGCAAAGGGGAGGGGGGGTGTCGGACGTCAGAGCCTCACCGGGATTCCCTGAGGACTTCACTGCACTACACTACACTGCGTGCGGGGAGCCTACATACCTAAGGTGATCTATTGATCTATTCGGGAAGGGGGGTGAGTTTTTGATCGGTTGGGGAGGGCTAAATAGAGGCTTGTTTGTCCGCGCGGCTCACAGTCCCTACCTATCTACCTACTTACCTACCTAGGTAGGTAATAAGAGAATAACAGTGCTATGAAGCAGGCTACGGGGCTATCCTGCTCTTCGCCATTATTCCCTTTACACATCCCACTCGCTGGGCGCTGAGCGCTGAACACTGAGCGCTGAATTCTGCGAGTTACCTTCCGTTACTTACTCCATGACCCTATCCTATCTGGGCGGGCTTGCATAAAGATGGGATTAAGGGGCGTATTATGGCCCAGGTGTATGAACTATCCTTGCTTAGAGCCTTACCGCTAAGCTGGCTCGATCTGGGTAGGAAGGATAGTGAGAAAGATCCTACCTTTACGGCTTATGGGCTTTGGGGATTGTCCTTTGCAGATCTGGGGAAAGAATCAGCGAAAAAAACAAAAGGACATCGTTTTTCGTCTAGGCCGCAGCCACAAGTCCGGAGCCTGCTTCTCTAGCGCCATCTACACAGTTCCTCGGAGAGATAACGATGTTGCATAGTATCAGGCTGTCAAGTTAAAAAGTCAACCTCGCAATAAAGAATTGGAGATAGGTATGTATGTTATAGCCTTATAGCCTTATGCCAAACATAGTAGTTGCAGATATCATATACTACCGTATGTTTGCGATTGCTGCACGAAATTCTACTTGCGTATGCTTTGTAACGTGAGAGGAACTGGTACACACAAGAACAAGAAGCTTGAATCAGCCCCCACGATCGTACATACATTGACTCACTTCACCTTAAAGCCACAATACCTAACTAGTATCCTTCACCTGAACCGGGGTGCCTGAGGCTGACTGCTCCCCATGTATTGTACCGCGCGGTTGAAGACGCTTTAGAACGTGGGCTAGAACCTAGCCAATCGGATAGAGGATGGAATCAATATGGTTCAAATTTATGAGCGGTTTTTAGTCATCGTTGAACAAGACTATTAATAGGACTTATGTTATTGATCGGGTCGGCCGAGGTCAGGTCTGGAGAAACAACCGGAAAATAAACAGCCAACATTGAAAACGATGTTATAAATTTTAAAAAGCGAGTATGTCGAACTATGATATGCACAGCCATGATTGTTATGAGATAGTTAGTTCCAGAAATTTGAAGAAGACGAACTTCCAACGTCAGTGATCTCTCATTGGCATATTAAAAGGCGATATGGAGAAAATACAATACCACCCCACCATTATGCGCTGCAGCCTCATTCCTTTTTCGATTTTTGCTGACTGCCGCATGCTAATTCAGTCATGTTTCTGGCCAAACCCCGCTTCCGGTCGCCTCGTTTGATCCTTCGCTTCATACATTAAGACCATTGCGCCGCGCCCCAAGGAGAACATTGCCTAGCCGCCGCCTAGAATCACTCGTACGAGACCGGACCAACGCTCTGATAGTTAAGGACCTTGAGGTCAATGAGGCTGGATCAAGCTGAATCATTCTTCGAGCCCATCTCACTATAATCTCACCCCAGCCATTACAGACTCGGCCGCGAAAAGACCTTCCAGTTCTTCCGAACTGGGACGGTGGGCAAGCTACGTCTCTAAGCAGTCGCCTTCTTCTCATCTGTAGAAGAGCCATTCTTAATGGTGTCTTGTTTGGTAATTGGCGAAATCTCTGTAGGACTGCTGACAGTTTCGCCGCCCGTAATACCGGTATCCTGTTCTTTATGGGCAGCGGCTGCGTCAATCTTTGGGTTCGGCTTCGTCTCGCTAACAGTACCAATAGGTGAAACTGGTTGGCTCGCGTAAGCAGCACCTGTTGCACCGGCAGCAGTCCGGATAGCGTCGAACCACTTTTGAGCCTCAGAAGAAGAATGGGCCTTGAAATTAAGCTCTGAAGTCCCTGCGATTTTGCTGCTAATGCTCTTACTCTTGTCTTTTCCCTTAACGGAGAATTTGTCCCCGCTAGGAGCACCGAGGACGGCATCCGGGAGATAGATGGAAAGCTCCGGTTTTGGATCATATCGCAAGTTATCGTCGTCTTTAAACTCATGCAAGAATTTAGACGGAGTCACCACATAGTATCCGGATTGTGTACCCCAAGACAGCTTATTGCGTGACTTGCGTTCTAGACTGCCTTCGATGAGCGCCTTGGTTGAAGTATGGTTTTGGTTGGGGAACACAAGTTCCTCCACAGTTCGCGGCGGATCATTCGGGTCAACAAGGCGATGACCGTCACGAGCAACGAAACCCTGCCATTCAAAGTCGCCCGGGATACGTTGCGCTGCACCTAACATGTCGGTGTAGAGCGCTCTCGTCTTCTCAGCCTGCCCGCCGGCAACCTGGTTCAATGCATCCATTGATTGTTGGACCACCTCAACTACATGAGCCTCGAAGGCTTTGAAGCTGTCCTGGACATTGATCAGGTCATTTCTGTGGTTGTTCTCTTCGATGACCTGTTTGTTCAACCTATGGATGACGCCTCGCTGGATGACATAAGGATCGTCGCTCGGAGTCATCTTACCACCCGTTGACTCGAAGGCTGCAGTATGCTGACCAAGAAGTTCGATTTGCTTCTGGGTGGTGTTTCTAGCCTTCTCGATCTCTTTCGCACCCTTTTCAACTCCATGCGACACCTCCTTTTGCTTCGCCTTAATCTCCTTGTGTAGTCGCTCAAGAATAGGTAGGACAGAGCCCTTTAGAGTTTTTTCCGTTTCCGCATTCGAATTGATCATAGCCTAAGACATGTTAAATATAAAGATTCAACGTGTGTTAGTATTCAATATCATACCTGTGTGTTGACTCGCATATTTTCAAAGAAACCGGCAACTCCGCCAAGACCTTGGTCAAAGTGCGCCCCCTCCTTTAGAGGATGAGAGATCGTCTTAAGCACCTTCTCATACTCTTTGGAGTGCGCTTTATGAACCTTCTCTACCGCCCCGACATAATCTTCTAGATATCCTACGGCATGTTTCCAGGCTTGAAGTCTTTCGGCGAGTAAACCGGCAGTCTAGAGATAAAGGGGTTCTTGTCAGCGACGGAATGGGGAGTAAGGAAGCTTCAGGAGACTTAATGCGATGTAAATGCGACTCAAATGCGACTTACAGTAGTAGGATCAATATCTGGTACAGCTTCCAAGTCGCTGAAATTGGTCCCTTTCCTGACGGGAATTGTAAGGGAGTCGCCGCTCATCTTGGAATTTGCTGTTTTGCTATTTTGCGATTATCGGAGCTTTGTATGTCTTGCTTCTGATTGCGCCCGCTAGTCCGAAAATCACCCCGCACGGAAGACGATGAGATCTGCTATGATCGATTGACGTCGATTGAAATTGAGCGTCTATTCAATTCAAAAAAAATAAGTGTCGATTCTTCTCTCGTAATAGGAGTTATGGTAATGATTTACTTCGAGTCGGTGAGATAAAAGATCTGAAACAAAAACCCCTAGGAATTATCAAGATTAAACATTAAACAAGCTTGAGCCAAGCAATTTCCTAATGTTAGGAGCACAACGACTGGGCACTGGGCAGTTATGTCTGGTGATGCGAATTGGTGGATATTAAAATCCCTGCGTCGATCATCGAGCCTTGACCCTGGCTGGGAATGGTGGGATAGTATGACGCCGATTTATCGATTGATGATAGCTAGAACAGGTTAGGAATTCAATCTATAGATGAGTGCTAATACATAGTGATGCGGTAGTTGGAATTCTAGGAAGATATTGAAGTCATCAAAGGACTCGGTCGCACAGCTTCAGCCAATTAAATATTGACAACCGTAGTACAGCATCGACTATACCTGCACTTTCTCACATAGGGGAAAGTCTGATAGAAAAATGATGTCATCTACCTGGAAGATATGTACATAATCGTATCTAGCACTGCAGTCTAGGTACATAATTGTATTGACGTAAGCAGGTTTTTAGCTTGGAAGTGGCCAGCTGAAGTACCTCCTTCGTACATATTCAAGAATTTGTACAGAATACAAAATACTTTTTCGTACGATTCAATCGATGTTATCCCTGTGATCGCTCCTTTTAATATATCACGATGCCTTCGACAACGTTGCATCATTCGACTGGACAAAGCACAGGTAGCTTATTAAGTTAGGTATCAATGTATCGATGTATACACTTCCGATATAGCATCTACGGAGGTAGTGCATAGATATTGACAAATACCTAAAATAAAGCATACTACTATGTGAAGCTAAGAATATCCTTTGTACGCTCACTTGACCACTACCCCTTACTCATGCCTCAATATTATTGTTTTCCCTCTAACAAAAAACACGGCAAAGGATAATCGCTCACCCGGCAAAGACCGATCTAAAATCAAGAAGGTATTGCAATGTGCGACGATTCCACTTGCGGCCAGGCCGAGATCTCGGGATGAACAAGTGTTGTATTCCACCGGCTTGACTCGCCAGTCCCGACACACCTTACGCGACGCCCAGCACCGTTGCAAGGTAGCAACAAGCGAGAAAAATTTCCTCGTTTCTCTCTACGTCCTAAATGCAACGCTCCGTAGCACACGTTATGCAAGAGTACAAGAGCACAAGAAGCACAACCGTAATTATCCGTGCTGAGGTTGCAGAGGTGAAAACTTTCTTTTAATTCTTCTTTCTCCTCGGTAACCGATTTGCCGAGGCCTCAGGAATGGACTGTGGTATCGCCTCCTAACATTGACTGTCTTGGGTGTCTCTTGGTAGTCTAAATGCCAATGTGCCAATGTGCCAATAGTGAACAAGAACATGATGGGGTATATAACAATTCTCAGATATGTCCATCCTTAACAAAACCGGCCAATTTGATCGCCTGCTCGAATCCCGCAACCAAACGCCATTACGCCTCTCTCATGTAATATGTATGTATATGTAAAGTGTGGCCCGTCCCGATGAAACCCACCCCCTTTACGAACCGTGGCGCATGTAAATCTTTCCCCCTGAGCCATTAAAACGCCTAGCCAAGAGAAATATATATAACACAAAATAAATCACACCGATAACCTTGGTAACCCATAGAAAATCTCGGGGTGGGGACCATTTCCAGATGGCAAAGTAGCAGTAGTAGAGTCACAATCCTCCACAAAGGCGTCGTGGCAACTAACCAGTCCTGCCTTGGATGAGTCGCAGCCGTCTTTCTCCATCAGCGCCGCCGACCGCGGCATGGCTGGGGAAGAAATTGAACCCCCCCATCGAGTGCCGATTGGTCGACCGAGTTCTTGACGTGCTTCTCGACCCGGTGGCCGAAGGTGTCCTGGAACCCTCCGCATGTGGGCCCTCTGTTATGGTTGCTAGAGGATCCGTTGTTACGATGCGCGTAGGCGAATTCGGCGAACTCATAGAACTCATGGCGGTCTGATAATCCGGAAGTGCTATGGGACCCGTGTAACTGTTCGACCTTGGCAGCGGCGCTCTAGTGGCCGTTGTATAACTCGGTACTTTGCTCAATTGCTCCAAATCTAGACATTCAGTGTGTTCCGGCGGTGTATGGTGGCCCCCTGCATGAGGTGGGTGATCCTCCTCGCTTGTCTGTCGCGACAATTGTGTCGAATGCGCTTGCGAAGAGTCTCCTGTGTGTTCGCCATCTGTAGGATGATGAAATGGCGTTGTTGACCCCGATACGGATGTCATTGACGTGTAGGATTCGTTTCTCCGAGATTCGTCAAGTGATACATTCTGCAATCTAGAAGATAGTGCAGCGGGAGGAACAGCTATGGCATGGGCCATTGCTGCGAGATTTTCCGTCGAGCCCGCCCGAGATTGTGCGTAGAAAGGACTGTTAAGACCGCTCTGTACTGCGGGCGTCATGAGACCATTTGGTTCCATGTCTTCGTACAACTGGTCTAGGACGTGCATTCCATAGCCAGGAGGAGCCATACTTGTCGTTTCGCTCTCGGTAGTTGCTTCGCTGGAGTTCTCTGGTGCCTGAGAGACTAGATTGCCTTCTTCGTCTAAAGGCATATTCGGCGAAATAAAAATAGTGATTGGCAGTGATGCTCGAAGCTGCTCGCAAAATTGTTAGCATGGGCATCCCCCTCAAAATGGGTTCGTAGAGTGAAACCATACCTCAGAAATATGTCCGTCGGGATTCCTCAAGGCAACTGTTAGCTTGAGCTTATGCCTAATCTTGATACCATGGACTGAACAGTCCTGGATGCACTTGCTCAATCTCTTCGGCAGCGGCAATTCCTTGATAATAACCCATCCTTCCTGACCGGTCTCTTCGATATTGTCATGCCAGCTAGTTTCGCGGTTGACTTCGAAATTCCACGAGGTGACGTCGCGATCGTGCTTGTACATTTTGGTTGGGGTCGGAAAACCCGACACACTGAATTCCTGAACCTCGATAAGTTTAACCATGATGTTGCCCATTTCCAAGCCCTTCAACAACGGCGTAAATCGCATTTCCAGGGGAATGTTGCTACCAAACACCACAGCCTTTTGCGGGATAACCACAGAATACTCGATCTTGTTAGGCCATATATTCTCTACGCTCATAGCGTGGTTGAATTCAAGCGCTGCCGGTTCTAAAGTTCGAATAATTCGGAGTCGTTTGTACGCATGTACATTCTTGGCTAACTTCCCCCTTGAGATGGTGGCTTTTAAGACATAGGTAATCCCAGTTTGGTAGAGCCCCTCCACACTCTCGGCAGTGTCTCCCGGTAGCAGAAATTCGAATGGCCATTCATAGTTTCCGGGGGCTAAAGTGTTGTGATGCGTCGTTTCTCCTACGAAGGCAGGCCATGTATGCCTTAGAATCGTGACTGTTCTGTCGACTTTCTGGTTGTGAATACCCGACGGTGTTTGCCTTCCATCAACCCACGCAACTCGGCAGCTACCCATAAGTCGTAAATGAACATCTTCGACCTTTAAGTGTTCTCTCAGACATAAGACTAAGACACCCTTCAACAGCTGGCCGGAAGCCTCATGCTCGTTTCCACGTAAAACGATAAAATCATTCTCAAGACTGCAGCCGATACTCAGTAAGTTGTCGTTGGTTGTGTTTTTTTGCTATCAGGTAGCCAACACCAACGGATTAGCTTACCGTATCTCGAATAAGGTACAGGCACTTCGGCTAGCAACCGAAGTGAAAGGGTTAAAAGATGGCATTTTTAATTCTGCTGTCTCAACAGCATGTATTATTGCTTTCGAAGTAGTGACGCCTGCACTCGGATGGGAGCCGGCTTGCGGATTTCGTCCACGAAAAGTGAACGGTAGATGGTGAAGATTGGTCATGAGGAAAGTAAGTATATGTAGTTGGGAGAGACGGGAGTTATTAAAAGTAGTTAAAAACAGATCCTAGTACAAAGACGTGGGACAGCTTTGCAAGGACATGTATGACACAAGATACGAAGGCCGACTCCTTAGCGGGTGGATACACGCTACTTTTTAGTATATCTCGTTCTCCCTTGACGTGGGAAATATTTTTTATCTTTTTTTGAGATGGGCCATGCCTATTCAAATACATAGTACAATGGGGACACTGGAAATTGCAACGGCTTTAAGTGACGGTAACCAGAAACAGTCATGAGCCAGTAGGTAAAGGGCAGGCAAAGGATATGCCCGCCGCCGTGCTCGGGCAACTCGTCCCATTTTTCTAGGTCATGGTCAGTTTCCGTCGTCGACCAGTCAAGAGATACATACATACATACGCACATAGTATTGTGTACGTACATATTTGATAAATGGGATGTATTGGACGAATGTAGAAGTGACCAGGGCTGTATTAAGGAACCTTCGATTGCCAGGCTGCCAGGGGCAATTTTGGAACTTGGCTGGACCTTGATCGGCTTCGTCTCTTTGGCTAGATGGCCTAGCTGGTTAGAAACGGTGATAGCCGGCCGGGATCTGCGCTTGTAGTAGATCGCCAAATCGTGAAGAAAAGTACCAAGATACATGCATGCACACTGGCGGACTGGATCAACGGAAGCGAATGGATATCCACCTATCCACACCTGCGGCGGAGGGCTGTGTATCATCGACCTAAGAGATTTTTTCTCTTGTCCATTTTTTTTTCTCTCATAGAGGGTAACATCCATTTGATTTTGATGTGTTAAAGAGGGTTCAGGTGAGGAGCTCAAATCTTGAATCTCCTAATCATTCCCGGTCTTACAGTAGTCAGGTGGGGCATTAAAGGCCTGAAATCGGACGGTCGCACCTACTGGTGTTCTGGTGTTACTGGTGGCTGCTGGTAGTACACAATCTACTGGCAATTGGGAAAGAACTTTGAACTACTTCGTATTTGGTAATGTGATGGCGTGCAAGTCACGCGGTAGTAGAAGGTTTGATAGGGCATAACTTACTCCTAGCTATCCGTCAGCTATCCCCAATCATTCCCAAATCACTCTTAAATCTTCAACTCTTCATATCGTCGTCCGTTTCCGGCTTCTTAGTCGTTGTCACTGCGGACGTACACTGGTACATACATACCTGTTTCAATTCCTTCCACCCATCTAGCGGTCATCCACACCTTTTGAAGACGATGGACTGATCATCTCCCAATTATCAACTACGCCATCACATGTGTTGCGGACGTTGCAGGTGTTACAGTTCACGCTGTGCAAGTATTTAAACCGCCCGTCCCTGCTGTTATGTTACCATTCCAGTCCCACGAGCAGCATAAGTTATGGGACATGTTTCTCCCCTTCGGCCAATCAGGCTGTTTAGCTGGACCTTTCATGTTCATGTTGAGTAAAGTATGTACCTTGTACCTTACTCTACATGAGAGATCTAAGGCTGGTTTAAGCATCTGGAATCGTCGCATCATGATGTGGTGTGTGGGATTGGCTCGCTCTCCTGCGAAGCCCGCATATTCGTTCATATGATTTCTCCTCAGCTCAGCTTTCCACGTCGCCTTCAGCCATGCAACATCCCCCAAACTTGTTTACATTGATACAACGCAGACTCACATTCATAATCGCAAGCAAGGCGGAGCTGACCTACATTCTGCGGCGCGGGGATTTATTGGTCTCATGATGTCGCTTAGTAGTAGATATCTGCGAAAGATCTTTTTTCGAAACAAAAAAGAATGCATTGTCTTACGAAGAGCGTCCCCCCCGAAATATCTACGAACGTCCGTGGGGGTGGCCTGGGCGGCCTGGATTCAATTCGGCATCTTACATCTTACAAGTTACAATGCCAATTTCCAAATTCTCCCTTATTAAGAATTCAAGGGTTTAAGGGCTCGGCGGTGAATACCGATGAAACAACACCGCTTTATGAATATCACGATCCGTCCATTTCCATTATTTCCTTTTCTCGATACACCTAGGGACTAGCACTGGTACCATCCTGAGTAGTTCGTTCTACGTATGATTGAAGGTGGCTTTATTTATGACATGATCCAAATACTGCGGATCTATGCGCCAAGCTTGGTTTGGTTCAAACGGACTACGACCTTGTCCGCTTGTATGCATGCATGGTTCCTGGAGGCTGTTCGCTTTATACTTTTGGCCTTTATTGCTCCCATTCCCTCATCCGGGTCTCACAAACTCACACTCGGGCAAACAAACAACCGGATGAACCGAAGCAAACAGTACGATCCCGGCTTTCGACTCAGCCCTGCCGCATATTCATATGCTACACATGCTACATACACCTACATCTCATATTTAATATGCGATTTACTTCTTATTGGTTGTAAATTATCTCATTGACAATTACCTAGGCATATCCTTAGATTCTAAATTGTTGCATACCGGGTAGGGTACAGCTTACGGCACCGTAATCGGCTCAGGGAACCGGTTCATGCTTGATCGCGTAGCCGTATCTACAATCTACAATCTACATATCTCATCATATTTCAAATTCTAAATCAGCCCTTCTTTTCAGGCGAAATTCACTCGGCCGCTAGCCGATGCTTAATCGTTACTGGAGCTTAACCTATTCGTCTTTGTCCAACCTGACACAGCTTAGAAGGCCTTCCATGTCTAGTGGCGGAAACTCGCCAAACCGTCTTGACGAGTTAAACTATTTTTCTTTTCGCTTAAAAGGCCATGGCAGCAACGCCCCGCCGCATAAAAGATAAGGTCGCGTCATCACGACATTGACACGTTTGTAGCTGTTGGTAATGTCTCGCACCTGCATCTAGGTAGCGATATGGTATCATCTCATCCCTTTTTCGGGGATCCACTCCTCCTAGCCAACTACTACAACGGGACTGGACATCACTGTGTCAGAGCCTCAATTATACGGTTACGCTGCATCAACTCTCAAATGATAATTAATGGATGTCTGCTGATGGCAACAGAAACCTCTCGTCAGTTGATCGTCGTCAACCTCTAAGTCAAACCTTAGCTGTGTATACCATTACGCGTCATGGGTTACACGGAATATGTATGCGTATGTATTCGACATTTCCCGATGCGTTCGTATCAAGCAATCCACTTAAGCGGAACCCGAATCGCTATTGAATCTCGACGGCCCGAGCAACCAAGCGTCATAGACTATCACTAGGTCCGGAAGAGGTTGACTCTTTGAGGCTATTTCGAGTACGGTGGTTTATTTACCACTAGATATTGTTAGGTTCCATCATCTAGTTAAACACCGGTCTTATCCCACCCACCTGGGACGGCGAAGGTTCGAAGCGGTTTTTCCCGAGATAGCACTATGAGACCATTTAAGTCGCGGACGAGGTTTTTAGAAAGTGCCTGACATGAATCCGTTCTGAAGCGCTCAGGCGGGTCAAGCTAGCGTTGAGCCTTCAGATTGCTAAGTGGACCTTAGTGTCGTCGGTGGAGCTGCTAGCGGTGCTCGAAAGAAAAAAATCGTAGGTTTCCATATCTATGCCACGTGGGGGGCACAAAGGCGTATCCTACAAAAACCTGGCGGTGCAGTGCCTGACGATCCTACAAGCTCCTAGTGAGGGGATAAAAAAGAAAAAAAAGAGTTCACACCGACCGCTCTCTCTGCATACGCATAACTGTTAATAGGCTCAAGATTTAACTAGCTGCATCGACGGAACGGGTTACCTTTTTTAGAGTCGTCATCCTATGATTCCTATCCATGCCCATTGCCTATTTGTTTCTGGCTCTAAGCTTGCTAACAGGGTAGCTAGCCTTACCAGCAGATAGGGTCCATAAGGGACCACTCTGTTTCACGGCTTGCTAGGATCTGAAGGGCCGACTAAAAATCGAGTCGAATCGAGTCAAGTCGAGAAGAAAAAAATTACCTTCAACCTACCTACCTAAGCTGCTAAGGTATGCAATAACCTTGTTGAGGCTCTCTCTATTAGGCGCGTTCTAGACGCGGACGCCGCGCAAAGGCGATCCCGGTGCCGGCCGCCGACGAATCAGCCAACCAGCCTCCCCCTTGCCTCGATGCAGGTAAGCCGTCGTTGGAACTTAGCTGTATTGCACATAGCTATGTAAGCTAGAGCTGACTTTATTGGCCGGGGGTGCGAAGATAAGGAAATACTATTTCAAAAAAAGAGATAAATTTGATATAATGCGATCCATCCCAATAATAGCGATGGATCTTCACATGCTTACGATGGCTGCTTCGCTCTCGATCCCGCTCCCGCGCAATTGTTCCTTGCGCCCGTAACGTAGGAGCCTCATACATATGTAGGTATATGTATATGTATGTATGTACGTGCCTTCCTGTCATAATTGGTGATGAGATGAGATGAGACGAGAGGCGCAGCGGCTTCCCTTATCAAGCCATCCCGTCATAGATCTAGCTGTTCGCGTATCGAACTTGCGCATGTGAGAGAATATGACAAAAAACAATTCCATAATAGCGAAAAAAAAAAATACGGTATCGCACGGCAACAGCCGAAGGCACCTTGGAATTTGGAAAAAAGAAAAAAAAAGTAATCAATACAACACGGACCCTCCCTTTTTGAAATACCTGTTTTATGTAGGTTAGGTACCTTCATTAAAGTACAATATCCACGAGCATCAAACGAAACGGGCTCGTCGAAACTCCTGCGCGCGTATCATCTATTATCATAAGTAGGATCGCAGACTCCATACCCTAAGTTCCTTAACCTGATTCGATCGTCGTCCAAGTTCCAAAACGGATAATGGATACAACCCATTCCTGCCCTATCCACCGCTCTGCAGGCTGAACGGGTCCTGTCAGAGAAAACTACCGGGGTCCCACACTAACACCGAAAAGCCACCGGGCCAGCCTCCCGGGCGGCGAGCGGCAACAGACGGGCGAGCTAGGAGCCCAACAGGAAATCGATTTTCGTTGGATGGGGCTCCCGTCGTAGTATCCCGGAGAATTTTGTCCTTGCAAGATATGCAAAATCGCGCTCTAGCTGGTGACTAACGGCAATGCGTCAAAGATGCCTGTTCTAGCTTTAAAACCTGCCATTTGCGCATGAGATCCACAGAGTCATTTGATTTGATGGGTACCCTCGTTCGACGTTGCCTGAGTTTTGTGATTGAGCCGATTCAGACGCTCCCGTCTGTTTCTCAACTATGAGTCTGCTTGTCCTAGAGAGTCTGACGGCCGATTCCAAGTTCTGATGTGACCTAGAATAAGCACTTTAGTATACCTAGATCATCAACAATATCTGAATTCCATGAACAGTTTTACGTACCTGTCTTGCAGCTTACGACGATAGCATCTTCAGTGAATTCGATCCAGCTAAGGGGGTGCTTATCCGCTACCTTCGTCAACACTGGCGGCAATATCGCCGTTCGCGATCGTGGTTCCACCGGATGGTTAATCGCATTTTCCTCCGCGTCTAGCAATGCCGAAACAACAGAATCCGACCGTATCCTATCGGTCGCAACGCTCTGGGTTTCGGCTCGCTGTGATGCGGGAAGTCGAGAAGAGATAGAGCCACGCTGTCGACTTGATGTCTGCCGAATCATGTTAGCAACTTAATGAGCAGCGGCCCAAGATAACGTACTACTTTTGGTTTATGTAACATCCCGACGTTAAAATCCCAGAGGCATAAACGACAATCTTCACCCACGCTACCAAAGCGATAGTTTCTCTCATCGCATCTCCAAGGATCGAATGCAACAGATGTCACCCACGACTGATGACCCTGGCATCGCGCTATGAGTGTCGTTTCTGAGGGACACCAGATTGAGATCAGGTCGTCTTGTCCTCCGGTGAGGACGTATTTGCCGTCGGGAGACCAACATACGCACGTAAATCCACCGTAATAGGCATTGTATACCCCAAGAAGTCTACATGATCGTTAACGCTATTCTTAACAAGTTTGCAGGGTCAACGCTTTTGACACTTACTCTTCTTTAAGATAATCAATAATTCGCATCGTGCCATCTTCGGAAACTACCGCAAGATGACGGTTGTCGGGCGAGAATTCAAAAGCATTGATCCGCTGATTCGACAATTTCCATACAGCCACGGGATTGCTTTTCTGATTTCTAGAATGAACAGACTTGAACACATTAATCTCTTTAAAGTGGTCGACACATTTAGGAGCCGAAACGTCCCCATTAGATTGAGTCCCTTCCTCCTCGGCATTGAAGATCGCATCCTCTTTCTCCTTGTCATAGACAACTAAGGAGCCGTCCATATGTCCAGCGAGAAATAGGTTTTCTGCTCCTGGTATCCATCGGATTTGGGAAACAGGCGTCTTGTTAATGACACCCTAAGAACGGTTAATAAATCCCCTTTCTGAAAAAGACACTGGAAATCTTACATTTTTATTTAGTCTAGTATATCGTTGGGACATGGGCTCCCACCATATGATTTCACCTGTCGAGAAGCCCATGATAATATCAATATGAGTCGAACTCTTGGTGACTAAGTTCACATCGTGGCTTAAGCAATGCGCTTTAGTAAAGAGAATTTTAGTTAGGTAATCAGCCTTTGTGGGAGACGAGAGATCTAGCCATTGAAATGCACGATTAATGTTCGCAAAGGCAAATAGTCCGTCACTTGGTCGGTCGGCTAACTTCTTGGAGAAAGCCTCATTAATAATGACCCTTGATATAAAGGACGAGTTACTCTTGGTCATATTATTTTTCGGTTTGCGCCGCTTGTTAGGATCTTTGGTTTTCTCTGGCGCAAGTAAAGCATTGCCATCCCCAAAGGCTGGCGCCGAGATGGCAGTAGCAGATGTCGACGGCCCGCCATCACTAAGGGATGTGCCTCTCCCCTCTCCATCACTGCTTAGCTTGGCATCGTTGGAGTAACGTCCCTCACTCGGGTGCTCGGCGATACTCGGTGATAGGGTGGTAGTCGTTGGAGTAAGCTTAAAGAGAGCTGGAGGTGGTGGTCGTGTTTCAAGGCTAAGGATTGAGATCTTGGTTCCGGCTGTAGCTGGCTGCGGTGTCGTGGCTAAAGGATTGGGATTGAGAACCGGTGCTTCGGAAGGATGGGGTGGTGGTGTCGCAAGGAGTAGATCTTCTTTAAGCACATATGTTCCTATATCACGTCACAGTCTCAGCGCGAGTTTCTGAGTAATCATCGTCGCTTCTCTCCAGAATCTCACCTTCTCCGGCTAAAAATTGGTCTTCGGGATTTGACAGTATATTATTGGTCTCGATCATAGGTGTTGCATGGCCGGCAGCGACAGCGGCATTATACGCTGCCTGCGTAGGGTACCTCGGCGGAGGCGGTAGCACACTAAATGCGCGAGACAACTTGGCGTTAGCTGTCTGGGCATGATCATGGTCGTGGAACACTGCATGCTCCGTAGGGACAAAGTAGCCTTACAACATGACGAGTCTCTCCTAGACTGTGACTGAAAACCCCCCTAAACGGCTGAAAAGACGCCGTGTAATTCTCGGCATGTAGATGTACAATTCGAATTGCGCGAGGCAATTGGATTTTGTATGTGGTTTAGAATAGAGTAAATAAAATCGAAACAATCAGTATTGGTAAGCGATCTACGTCGGTTTATAATCCTAATGCTTATGGGTATAGTATAGAATTACAACTTGAATTCGAACGGTATATGTTGTTGAGTGAGAAACTTGGAGGAAGAAGCCAAGGAAGAGGTTGGAGAGTAATGTCGCGCATTGTTAAAATCGACAGGAACGACTCCCATGTCAAGAAGTCTTCAAGGTCGGGGTTAACCTAAGTGAATGATAAACAGGGGTGTAGAGACTCTCGGGATGATGATGTGGGGTAACTCAACTATTTGAAGGATGGGGGGTCCATCTTTGGATGAGGGGAAGAACAGTCATTCAAGGTTAACACCGACAGCTATAATAGTCAAGCCGTACCTACCTACCTGCCTAGTACCTACTCTGCTATACCTACCTACGTTGATGTACCCATTATCAACCTTGAATGGATGCAGGCAGGTACTCTAGGTATACGCATATGTAAGTAACCTTGGAGATCATATATGTAGGTAGCTAATATGGCGTAAATATATCAATTCGGTTGATGGATGACGATAGGTGTTCATCCAATAATTCGGAAATCTGATCTCAATGGAGGGACTTGCAGGTAATCGTCCAGGGCTGCATCCCACTTGTAATAGATGTACTCTTATAGGTGGTACACATGGGTCTACCTACCGTCTTCACCTATCAAAGTGAGAAGTGCCGTCATTGATACAGGCGGGTGTAACTTCGAGTCTTCCATGAATTGATATAATTGAATGATAAAAAGTTGGCATAATTCATATGATATGCTTTTTTATTTTAAATTTGCCAGATTGGTATTATTAATTTCAAACGGTTTGTGGTCGTATCAAGCAATCAAAAATTTCAATATTTACTTGTGCAGGTACTTATTTAAAAGGTACATGCCTATGTATTGTACCTAGTACCTAATCGGATAATCACAAGGTTGGCCCGAACAATATCGAATATCGATACGTACAGAGTAACTTCCGGGGCATTGGATTTCGTCGACCCATTTGCAGAATGCCATCCAATACATCCAGCTCCAATCAACTTTAACGTGGGATGCTCGTGAAGCGGAGAACGAATCAACACCGCTCATCCGGTTAATACGCAAGTAATCGACGTTATCTTCTGATCTTCTAAGCTTCAGCTCATCGTTTACCATCTGCGCTCCCCTCAACCAGCGTTTGTACATCCCGAGCGCCTCACAATAATCTGTACAGCTTTGGAATGAATGGCATTGTAGTGAAGGAACTCCATATTGTTGGATTTAACCAATATGGCAACAGGTACATAAGTCTACCTTTTGTCCTATCTGTCGCAACCTGAATTTTAGATAATTAACAGCTTCAATTTATACAGTACGAGTTTGTGTTTGCGGAGATGAAGGCACTGGTAAATCTAGCCTCATCGCATCTCTCGTTAAGGATGTGTTTGTTAGCAATAAGATCCAACCCGTCCTACCACAAATAACCATTCCGCCGAGTATTGGAACCCCCGAAAATGTTACGACTACTATCGTCGATACGTCGGCGCGTCCACAAGACCGGACTACCCTACGCAAAGAGATCCGAAAGTCCAACGTTATCCTCCTAGTCTATTCAGACCACTACAGTTATGAGCGAGTGGCCCTCTTCTGGATGCCCTATTTCCGGTCCCTCGGTGTAAACGTCCCCGTAGTCCTATGCGCCAACAAGTCCGACCTAACCGATAACACCACCCCTCAAGTTGTCGAAGATGAGATGCTACCCGTCATGAACGAGTTCAGGGAAATTGATTCCTGTATAAGAGCTAGCGCCAGAGAACACCAAAATGTTAACGAGACATTCTTCCTCTGCCAGAAAGCTGTTACACATCCTATCGCACCGCTCTTCGACTACAAGGAAGGGAACCTAAAGCCAGTCTGTGTGTCGGCTCTGAAAAGAATATTCTACCTCTGCGACAAGGACCAAGACGGATACTTAAATGACGATGAGATACAAGAATTTCAGTTCAAGTGTTTCGAGAAACCCTTGTCCCCCGAAGACCTTGATAACATCAAGCTATCGATCGCAAAATCTGTGCCTGGTTCTGATACTACGAAAGGTGTTGATATGCGAGGCTTTCTTCAGCTAAATAAGATATATGCCGAAAAAGGTCGGCACGAAACTATTTGGATTATTCTACGTAAATATCACTATACCGATAGTCTGAGCCTGGAAGACAATTTCATCCACCCGAAACTTGACGTTCCGGAATATGCCTCCGCCGAGCTAAGCCCAGCTGGATATCGGTTCTTCATGGACCTTTTTCTACTATTCGATAAGGATAATGATGGCGGTTTGAACAATCAGGAACTACGCGCCTTGTTTGCCCCCACCCCAGGCCTACCTCTTTCCTGGGTAGAATCCTCGTTCCCATCTACGACTGTTCGCAACGAAGCCGGTTACATCACACTACAAGGATGGCTCGCTCAATGGAGCATGACCACATTTCTCGAACCGAAAACTACTCTTGAATATCTTGCGTATCTAGGTTTCGAGCCTCCGAATGCCAGAGAATCTCTGACCTCAGCCTTGAAAGTAACAAAACCTCGGAAAAGAAGAAGACGTCCTGGTCGGGTTGAACGAAATGTTGTGTTGTGCTACATCATTGGCGGGTCCGGAGCTGGAAAGTCATCTCTTTTGGATGCGTTCCTTAACCGGCCCTTCGATGGCTTATACAACCCGACTATCAAGCCCAGAAGAGCCGTGAACAGTGTTGAACTCCAAGGCGGCAAACAATGTTACCTTATTTTGGAGGAACTCGGTGAGCTTGAACCAGCCATTCTGGAGAACCAAGTCAGGCTAGATTCCTGTGATCTCATTTGTTATGCGTATGATTCATCTGACCCGGATTCATTCTCTCATATCGTCGACCTTCGAAAACGATACCCGCAGCTCGATGATCTACCTTCAATCTATACGGCCTTGAAAGCCGACAAAGATAAGACTACCCAGCGAAGCGAACTACAACCAGACCAGTATACGTCGAGCTTGATGATGAGTACACCAGTTCATGTAAGTGTAACATGGAACAGTATCGGTGAGCTCTTCGTTGCTTTAGCTGAGGCTGCTACGAATCCAAGCACGGCATTTCCTAAAAGCGAAGAACCACCACCAGACCGAACAAGTCTATACCTTGCTCTAGGAGCAACTACATGTGCTGCGGTGGCGGCGTTCATGATTTGGAGAAGATCCACGAATTCCATCTAGAGTTCCGAGCATTACCTAAAGCCTTACACCCCCTTTTCATATATACCTACTTTTAATTCGATTGGCTAGGCATTTGTCAGGTGTACGACTTTTCAATATCGTGGAGTCTGTGGTTATCGTCTAATTCTTTATGTCCCCTGCTCCATTGTTTTTTCTTATATATGATACCCATCCCTCTTCTACTGTCGTTGAACACATCGGTGCTAGAGAAACACGTAAACACATAGTACTTAATGAATACAATTATCAGAAATCGAATCGGAATGTCTTGTTATGCGATGCCATATTTAGTGTATGGGATGCTGATTCCTAGGACGAACTTGTACGAGTACCTATCACTTGCTGAGTTGAATTGAATTTTTTGAGGATATTATATTAGGTCTCGAGCATAAGATTAATGTCTGGTAAACATTTATACTTGTTTAGTTATTGGGATTTTGTCATTTGCTTCGCTTCGTCGTCCTTTCCATAACCCATCACGTCCTCTAGCACACCACTAATCTACGAAGATAAGACGGCACAGGATCCCTAAACACTAGTACGCCGAACGAACTCCGGAGTTTCTCACTAGAGAGCAACGTCGACGAGTAATAATAACGGTAATCAGTAATGACGCCAAAAAGAAGTGGACCGCGACGAGATAACGCTTTACGCGATCAGTCATAGCGCTACCGAGGTTCTCGGGAGCAATTCGCCGAGTTTTCTCGATTTCGCAATGGCTTTCGCTGGATATGGCTTCATATGATTTTTCTTCCTTTCCTTCTCTCTTTCGGTGGAACGTATTGGCAGGTTTGACAATCGGTAGCCTGCTCGGGAGGTCATAGAAGCGGTCAATCGTTTTATCCCATATACATACACCCATCCTCCTCAAGGCAGATAGAACTTGAGTCGAGCCTCGCAACTCCTACCTACCAGATAATATCAAACCTCTAATCCACCGACACACCGCCCCAAAAACCACCATGGCGCAACCCAGCCAACCCACCCCAGCACAACTCGCCGACGTCAAGAACGCCATCCGCGCCCTCCTCCACCAACCCTCCTACGACGACGGCTCCGCCGGCCCCGTCCTCGTGCGTCTCGCCTGGCACGCATCCGGAACCTACGACGCGGCATCTGACACAGGGGGCTCCCAAGGCGCGGGCATGCGCTGGGAAGCCGAGGGCGGCGACCCCGCGAACGCCGGGCTACAGCACGCGCGCGCCTTCCTCGAGCCGGTGAAGCAGCGGTTCCCGTGGCTCACGTACGCGGACCTGTGGACGCTCGCGGCGGTTGTCGCGATCGCGGAGATGGGCGGGCCGGAGATAGAGTGGAAGGGCGGACGATCGGATTTTGAGAACGAGAGGGATGAGAGGGTTCCTCCGCGGGGACGGTTGCCGGATGGGGCGCGGGGCGCAGGGCACTTGAGGGATGTGTTTTACAGGATGGGGTTTGGGGATAGGGAGATTGTGGCGTTGAGCGGGGCGCATAATTTGGGGAGGTGTCATGGGGATAGGAGTGGGTTTGAGGGGAAGTGGGTTAATAACCCGACGAGGTTCTCGAATCAGTATTTTAGACTGCTGCTTGCGAATGAGAGGGAGTGGAGGAGGAAGACGCTTGGGAATGGGGTTGTGCAGTTTGTGTATGAGGAGGCGGAGGAGGATGGGGAGGAGGAGGAGGGGGAGAAGATGGAGGGGTTGATGATGTTGCCGACGGATATGTCGTTGTTGAGTGATTCCGAGTTTCGCCCGTGGGTGGAACGGTATGCGCGGGATAAGGAGCTGTTCTTTGATGATTTCGCGAAGGTTTTTGCGAAGTTGTTGGAGTTGGGGATTAAGCGGGATGCTAATGGTGTGGTTTTGACGAAGGATAATGCTAAGGAGGGGTATAAGAGCGCGCCGAAGAAAAGTGATACGGCTACGGCGGTGGGGAGTGAGAAGGAACTGAAAAGAAAGGAGGGCGCGAAGTTATAGATGACTAGGGGTTTATAGAAGGTACTATATGTTGTCTATAGATTGGACGGCTAGATGGTTAGACCAGTATACCTATGTAGATAGATGGTAGATTACTAGAGTCCATAGACGTAGAGTTAGTACGATACCACGTAGAATCCATAGACTGAAATAGACCGAATCATAAAGTCAACAATTTGTCGTTGATCATAACTTCGTGTGCATTATTAGCTAAAGCCATGTCGGCCTTACCAGCAATTTGATGAACTCATCAAGCTAAAGTTCCTCATCTTCATCTTCGTCTTCGTCATCATCGTCATCATCTTCAATGTCTTCCACTTGTCGACGTCCTCTTCCGCGATCTTCTCGCTCCTTCTTGATTTTACGGCCTTGAGTGATTCTCATAGACGAATCACCATCGATAGTATCGCCCTCGCCTTCACCGTCGTCATCCTCGTCCTCGCGTTCCGAGGCTAGTCGACGTTGAATAAGACGGAGCCGAACCGGGTCGGGATGGAAATCCTTAATCGAGACTTCCTATACCTCGAGTCAGCACTCTCGCAATACTAAAACATGCGCCTATAGATAGTGATATTGTACGTACCTTATTACATCCCACCTGCGGACATCGCGCCCGTCGGCCCGGTCTAGAAAGAAGGAACTGGGTGATCGAGTCCTTCTCAAAAGTGTGTTTGCACACCGAGCTCGTGTACGGATCCTGCATAACGACCATGGAAAGGGGACAGTGGATATCCAACTGCTCGCCCTCAATAACCAGATCCTCATCATCGTCTTCCTCGTCCTCACCCCCGTTCTGTCCAAACCACTTCGTCGCATCGGGCAACGGCTTGCCATCACCACCGTGCACGGCATCATGCCACAGGCGTTTGAACCCGATATAGTCGTTGCTAAGCCCATACTTCTCATGCAGACTCTTCGCCGCATACTCCTCCGCAGCCCGCTCCCTCGCCTGCCGCAACACCGCCGTCGGCTCCGGCCACGTCTCCTCCATCTCCACATCCTCATCCTCCGCGCCCCGCGCCCCGCGACGTCTCATATCCTCCTCGAAGAACACCGCTGTGGCGCTAAGCGCCGTGTTGCTATCCTCAAGCACGACTCGCGAATCAATGACACTCCTCACCGCATTATCACATTCCGCCGTCAACGCCGGGACAGATGCCTTCAGCGCCAACACAGCCTTCTCCTCCGCGCGTTCACGATCGTTCTTCTCGCCCCCGTTCTCGGCCCGTTTCTCCTGCAGCCGTTTTAAACTGCTCTGCCGCTCCGCGTACCGGTCGTTGATGTCCCGCACCGTCGCGCTGAGTAGCTCGATGCTCTTCTTCAGGTGCGCTTCGTACGCGCGCGTGTCCTTCCCTGCGGACAGCTGTGTTAGCTCCCGGATCGCGGACGCGTCGAGGGGGCGCGAGAGAGGCTCGTAGTCTGGGAGGGCGGTGGGGGCGTGCGAGGAGACGCTGCTGTGGCGCGGACGGCCGGCTTGCAGGCGCCGTTTGCCTGGGATGTTGGACATTGTTGTGCGGTTTCGTGTTTATTGGGTTTGGGTTTGGAGGCGATATGTGGGAGGGTAAAATGAGAGGTTAATTATGGGGGTTGTAGATCATTCGGATCATGTGTGGCGATTTTGGGTCGTCGTTGGTTATGGTGACGACGGTGTGGGAGAGCTGAAATTTTGGAGAAATGCCTTGCACCTTGTACGCGTCGAAGCGCGTAGGTTCTCGTTAAAGTGCCTTAGATAAGCTATATCGATCGCCCGGAAGGTGCTATCTAAGGTTATCACAGTGGGGCGGAATTCACTAGGTTATGGCGGGGCAGTTACCCCTCGGTGGTCCGACGGGATGTCAGTCATTATTACCATTAATTAGCATAATTTCGTATAACTTGGCATAACTTTCATCGTACATGGCCGAGAATCTCATCCTTTCCCCGTTTCCTTGACCAGTCCGTCCTTCTAATCCAATCTAATACAACTTTTTGATATCTCGAAGCTTTAATAAGTACGTCTTACAAATGATATGATTCTAGTGGAATCGAAAATTGTTTAAGAAAAGTTAAGTTTTTAAAAGTCTTGGGCTCTTAATCGCCATAATCACTCTCGCTCTCATGCCCGTCATTACCAGTCATTTTTTCATGGACGCAATATAATGCCCCAATCCATGTGTCGAGCATGGTGCTTAAAGACCGTTCTTGGTCATGATCTAGCCGCATGTCGTAGACCTTGTCTCGCAATCTCTCGTAAGCTTCGATCATCACCCACACCTGCAGTGCTGATGTCTCTGCGGCTGGGCGGAGAGATGATCCGTTCGCAGCCGAGCACAACTCGCGACCGAGGAGATCGAGGCAGATCTGCAAACTGTGGCTTCCTGGTGATGCTCGTCTTGGTGGGGGGATTGACAATCTATGTAAGTGAATATCCCGAGGTGAAGGGGGCTCGGGTGAGATTGATGCAGGCTTGAAAGAGACTGCATCCTCATCAAAAGCTACAAGTGTTCCGTCGTCCGAATGGGGTGAACCTGTCGCAGACGAAGTATCGGGTATTTCATGAATGATATCTTCTCGGACACCATATTTATTCACCCCGGTATGGTAAGATTGCTCGAGACGCAGCGGCGAGGGCGGCTCGTTTAAGATGGCGCAGCTTGATTCCAATAGGGCCCTATACGATTCCGCTATCTGCTCGACACTTGATACTCTATGAGCCGCGAGTTCGTTCTTTCGCCTCGAATGGTTTTCTAATTGCCCGATATGGTGGACTGGCGTCTTTGCGTATCGTCTCGATAACGAGGCTGTAGAAGGAGGAATAGCGCAAGATGCCCTCTTATCTAGCTGTCTTCCCGGTTTCGTTTCGCTGAGACTGAGATGTGCAAGCTCGGGGATCACTTGCATAGAATGCCGGTGAGGCTTATTGCTTGGTTCCACGAGAGGCTGTGTACGACAGAGATAACCGCTTTTGCGGAGTTGTTCAAGCCATTTTCCGTCATTAGGGTCGGGTGTTTCCGAAAATGATCTAGGATTGGGATGAGGAATAGGTTTCGAGATTGTAGTTGCTTTCGTATTTGTGTTGATGTTGATTTTCCCGGCCTTTTTGACGTCGTCGTTGTTATTGTTGTCGTTGGATTTATGCCAACGCTGCTGGGTACCGATCTTTTGGAGCTTCCGCCTTAGCTTCTTACCGGTGCTCTCCGGCTTCACAGCAGCAGGCTGCTCCGTTATTATCGTCGAATTTCTATACCAGTTCATCTTGAACTAAAAGATTACATTCCTAGAGAAAAGACATCGAGTGCGTCAATACGAAGTGAGCGGGAATGCAGTGCTATAAGACAATACGAAGCACATATGTTTTTTTGGTTATTTCTTTGCCTACCTCGCAGAGTTACATCAGAGCAACTTTTCCAACGATGACGTTGGCGTATCGTGGGATTGTCTGTGTGTCCACCGCATCTAGCAGAACCAATACGAAAACCGGATTTGCATAGCCCCTGGACACCAAGTCGCATTGGCGGATTGGTTAGCCTGGCTGACCTGCATATGCAATCGTGATGACCTTGTCGTTCTGCAACCCGCCAACTTGGGAGCCTGCTTTTTGTCCGGCTCTTCGATCTAGCTGAAGCCGGATTAGAGAATAGTTTAGTGTTCCCGTCAGCAGTGATGAAATCGAACACCAGACCCTTTCACCTCTACCCGAACATAGAGAATTTTACCTGATGGTTACTTGATGGTTACTTGATGATGTGATACTCGCCCGAGCTCGCTTAAACATATCGATAATTCAACCAATTCAACTGTACTTTTACCCGAGGGGCCAAAAAGAAAGACTTATCTATGAGCTAGAGAACTAATAACCAATACTTCTAGTTATCTCTCATCGTATGAATGGGTCTTGGCATGGAATGCCCCATCGTTCGATTGCTGTCATGCAGGGAATCATGCAGGGTATTACTATGCAATGAGACTATTTACAACCGATACGAGCTGGTCGAGGCCTACTGTTCTGCTTTGGGGGTTGGGCGAAACGCCTTACAATCCAACCAACACCAAAAGGGCAAGAATATTTTTCTTTACAGCTCGTAACCCAAAGCTGCAGATCGATAGATTGCGCTGGTGTTGTCAGTTTCGTCTATATTGCCTATTTCCGTAGGGTCAGTTGTAGGGTAGCACCGTGGTGTTGCTGCGATGCTTACCGAAACAACCCGACGATAAGACCTGCTGAAGAAAGGGGAAAGAAGTTGTAAGACGTGCAGTTAGGCTGCTTATTATAGAAGCGGCACCACGCGCAGCAATGGCACGGTGGGGGATAACGACACCGCTATTCCTCCGCATGTAGGTGTGAACCATCAACGCTGCCACGTTCTGTAGATAAGATTCTAGCGCTACTTGTCATACCCAAACGTTTCTATTCCGGCTTCCAGGCAGCGGTTAATCATGCCGTTCCGAGAGCCTTTCCGGATCTCTCGGGTCCGGTCACTACCGTGTCTCAGCATCTCATAGTCTTTATGTTCTCGAGCGGATGGATTTGTCGTGATATCGTCTCCAAAGCAGTAGCTTGGAACCTAGCAACCTCACAGGTCACAACAATCCGGAGTTACATAGGTATTCAGTGTATAAGAAAGATACGTTTATTACCCGCAATAAGCAATGCTTCTATCTATTCATGGATGTTTGGCTTATCTAGCTTCAACTTCATTCACCCAGGCCTTAGGATCATCTAACTACTTCCCCCGGACCTTCTTACCCACTAGCAGTCGTCTCTACAGTGATGTTGATGTGCTGACAGGCAGGGTTCGTCGGCAGCCTCCCGAGATTAGCGCCCAAGACCTAAGACATCATTCTTCAGCTGCACATGGCATAATGCCATAGATACCAGTTATTATAATATTGACTCGGCTGATTAGTCGTGATATTATTTCCACCATCTCTGCTACTACAGCTCATCTTCGGGTCGTCAATACCAATCATCATTAAATTACCACTGGTAGAATCAAAGCCTTGTACCTTGGGATTTTCGGTCTGGTTGGAAACCGGAACCGCGCCGTTAGACCCGGGGTCATACCTTAATCCTACGGGTCCGTACACTGCGATACCATCAGTGCCGACCGTGTTATTGTCGACCCAACGCCACGAGAGGTACCCCTACTGCTTCGAGAATACACTTTTCATCCACACCCTTTCCTATACCCAACGAGATACCTCGTTACTCTGTTGTGTGTAACAATATCTTGAGGTATGGATTGTAAGGTCGTCTCAAAGAGCATCACAGTCTCATCTTGATTTTAAGCCATTCTAATACGGTAGCAAATCCTAAATCGCGAGTCTGTGATATGTCTTACAGTGAGGCAGATACAAGTAATCCCAGGCGGATTTACAAATTACAATGACATTTAATAACTGTATGATAGTATCTTGTCTTCCTATTGATACTACGAGAGAAGTTGGATTTACTATTCCCCTGTCAGAAGACTGAATCGTCTCGCTGAGAGTTTACTAGTTCCAAGTACATTCTTAGGTATGTGCCATACGCCTTTCAGGTCTAAATATAGGAATTCCCCAATCACTAGGCTGTCTCTTGTGATCGCGCTATGCCCAGGCTCACAGCTACACTTACCTAGGACTTAGGTACCTGATATGCGACTAGATGGCACGGCATACAATTGATACGTCTTTAAATTACTCTGGAACATGTCCTGTGAAGAGGGGTCCACCGGAATCCTGCCTTGACAGCTGCGAAATTTGTGCGATGTCAATGCCGTCGTGACTCCTCCACGTGGCGTTCTAGGTTGGAGATTAGCATGCAGTGTTACCCATGGCGAACTGCACGATTCGGGCATAGGGCGGCAATGGAAACCGGTGAGTTGATATCGGAGTATAATATTATCTAGGCTGCCAGGATATAAATTATATAGCATCCATAACGGACTGACGGTTAAAAAAACCTCAACTCGGCAGGCTCGTCAAGCCAGGGCTGCCACGTTTAAGACCCGAGAATATCACTTCTTTTTGAACTGATAGTAACATGATTTCGAGTGGATGAAGCACGTGGTTTACAGACCGTAACAAGATGTGTTATACAATTTACCAACTGAAAGTGGTCACATAAGGCCCTCCCATATTAGTATTCGTGTATCCTTAGTCAGGTATTGTGTTGCCAGGTGCCCGCATAGGTAGGTAGGAAAAGAAACGTAATTATGACCTAATTACTTTCAGGTTTCTTCTAGAAAGATAGGTTATGTGATTGAAGTCCCAAGGCACTGGTATAATACGTAAAATATCTATGCAAACAAAAGACCTAACCAATAGCAGGTGTCTGAATTCCAATCCGATCAGGCTACCAAGCAGACCGGCTGATTTGAAAATGTTCAATCAGACCATTTAGGTGAGAGGGTTAGAAAATTTGAGGCTGAATCAATCAGAAGATGGTCCAGATCTCTCCTAGCACTACCTAGCACGGACTATTAGTCCCTACTTGAACCAACCATAATCCAGTCGAAATAATCACAAGTGCTATGATTGGTCATCTTCAAACTCTCAAAGAAGCCTTTGACCAATAAGCGTCAACTTGATTACCATTTCCTTCAACTAGATGCAAACAGTGATGTCAGTCATAGCCTCATAGGCTTGTGTTGATAGCAATAGCCCATCCTTTATTGGCCAAGAGGTAATACACCTATAGCTACAAATACCTGAGCTTTTCTTCCTGAGATAGAACACAAAGCTCTCTCATATACTACAATCCAAACACCAAGTTACCTAAATCTAAATCATCTGCAACAAGAATCCTTGAGCTCTCACTTCGTCTACATCGCAACCTACCACAACCATAATCACAATGGCAACCGAAGTCTTAAAGGCAACTCCCACCTGCTGCGGCAAGAATGCCGGAGGCGAATGTGTCTGCGGTAAGCTCATACGTCCACCTATAGAGCGAACCCATGTATAGATATCTAGTTATACGGACCAAACTGACTCTCCTCTCTTCGCAGCCAAGCAAGCTACGTGCTCTTGCGGACAGAAGTCGGCCCTCGAATGCACATGCGAGAAGGCGTCTCTAGAGAACACTCTGAGCGGTGCCCGATGCTCGTGCCGCGCCCGCCCTGCCGGCCAATGTACTTGCGAGAACTCGGCAAGCGAGAACGTCCCTATCGCCGGTAGCGCCTGTGCGTGCGGTTCCCGTCCCGCTGGCTCGTGTACTTGTGAGCTTGCCGGCTCGAACCCGAACGAGGTCGACTTTACCACGCAGAAATAGGGGATTTTGGACGCGGTGGTACGATGTATGATATTCAGGGACGCGGCGACGACATTTTCCCTGCTTAGAGGGACATTTGTCAATAGGGGTCCGCCAAATTGCGATGGTCGGAGTCTGGAGTTCGGTCGCGGTAACGAAAATACTATTAAACTGAGACTTTTCTCTCGAGTCTTCACAGGCTATGTAGCTACTGAAAGGTAGTCTACAAGTATCTGGGTTCTCATCTTCGAGAGAGGATGAGGAATGGGCTGTGATGGCATTCGCGGACATTTATTAGACTGGGAAGGAATGCTAGGTACTTAGGTACAGAAGCCAAATATTATTGATGACATAATAATGATCATGTATTGAGGCTAAACTATTCTGGGATCCATGTGCTTCAGTACTTTGGTACATTTACCTGATTAGGATCAATTGATCCTTGATCCTTTCTGTAGGAAAAATCCTATTGGCTGATTAATAACTGGTAAGCTTCAAGTACCTAAGTACCCAATTGAGTTGAATGATTGAAGTACCGCTTTCCCCTTTTTAGATTTTCTGCCGGCTGAAAATTCCCAAATCGACAAGGATCATAGCTAAAGATCGGGTCTGCGCTAGGCGGTGAGAAGGGTGTTCTAGCGATCTCTGATCCGATTAGGCCTGGTAGACCCCACTACAGCTGCAGTAAAAAAAAAGCTATAGTGGGGCTCAAATCGCGATAGCCGTTGTTTTGGTACTAAAAATTGTGCTACAATTGTACTCTCGTACAAATTTCTGATGCAAGCGGCCTTGGGCAGTTAGGGTACCCGGTATATTAACAACTCAAGCAAAAAAACTTCCATCTTCGCGTTTTTTGTTCCTACACAACACTTTCATCAACGAAAACATTTCCTCTTTTTTTTCTCGAGCAACCATTGTCACTTGTTCTCGAGGAAAACAAAGAATTTTTTCCCCACACTGAATTTCTGCACTAGAACTTCAATCATTCTACGTGTTTTCACATCAAGACATACTCTCAAGTAAATATCGAGTGTTGCAAATCAGGTCACGTCTCTTGTAGAAAGACGCGATTTTGCATTACACTGCACCATAATCAGCACACCACTTCTTAGTCACGTACATACAATTCCTCTACCAACCTGTTACTCATTTAAAATACATCCCATCTTCTACCATCATCTTCCATCCACTACTATCAATTACTATCAATTACTGCCACATACTATCGCACAACCAACAACCATCTACCTTCCATCGAACTTTCATCAATCAATTTACTGTAAAGGGGTCGCTAAAGATCCTTTCAAAGTATCTCGCATACCTCTTACTATTATTCAACACTTCACATCGGTACCTGCGGGTTACCTTACCTTAAGCAACGATGCCTCCCCGTGGTCGCAAGGCCACCGCCCCAACCGGCGCGAAGTCTTCTGCGACAGTTAAGAAGACCGCGACCAAAGCTACAGCACCCAAGACTAGCCGAGCAAACAAGGTCACTAAGCCGACCGCTGCTCCCAAACGCTCTAGCGCTCGCGCGTCATTGGAAGAGTCTGAAGATGAGAACGAGAATGGTGTGAACGGACGCGCCCAAGGTGCTACACGAGCTACCGGAAAGTCTAAAGCTAAGCGATCAAGCGGAACGACCGCTGATGCCAACCTACAAGAAGCCATCGGCGCCGAGGAAGATGAACGCGTCAATGGTAACGGCAGTGGTGAATCGAATGGTTCTAAGCGTAAGAGAGAAGACGAAGATGATCAGGATCAAGATGAAGAGCCTGAGAAAGCACCTCCAGCCAAGAGAGCCAAGCGAGCTCCTGCTAGTCAATCCCAGCCCAAACAACCTGCTAAAGCACCTCGAGCGAAGACTACAAAGGCCGCGAAGACCGCTGCTCCTGCGAAGAAGCCCCGTGCCCCTCGAGGCAAGGCTAAGGCAGAAGAAGTTCAGGATGACGAAGTTGCTGAAGATGAAGAGCCCGAGGAAGCGCCTCCCGCAAAGAAGAGCCGCGCTACTAAACCCGCTGCCAAAGCTGTCAAAGCTGCCGCGAAACCCGCAAAGGCTGCCCCTGCCAAGCCCGCCGCACGTACTCGAGGCCTGGGTGCCAAAGGTGTCGCATTCAACGACATTCCCTCGAAGCCATTTGATGTCTTCGTCTTCGGTGAGGGATCTTCTGGTGAGCTCGGTCTTGGTAGCAAGAAGCATGACGGCAAGAAGCCTATCGACGTGAAGCGTCCTCGAATTAACCACAACCTGAAGGGTGTGGTTGATATTGCATGTGGTGGCATGCACTGTATTGCCTTGACCAATGAACAGGCTATTTTCACTTGGGGTGTCAATGATGATCGAGCACTGGGCCGCGATACCCAGTGGGAAGGTGGCACTCGCGACGTCGATGATGAATCGGACTCCGACTCCGACGACGATGACACTGGTGTCAACCCCAATGAGAGTACTCCTGGCCGTGTCGACCTCAGTGTTCTTCCCGAAGGCACAAAGATTGCCCAAGTAGCCGCGACGGACTCGGCTTCCTTCATCCTCACCGACGACGGCTGGGTATATGGTTGGGGAACTTTCCGAGGCTCTGACGGAATCATCGGGTTCAGCGAAGGAGTGCGAACTCAACACACTCCTATCATCATCCCTGGACTGAAGAACATTAGTCGATTGGCGTGCGGTTCCAATCATGTCCTTGCACTTGATCTAACTGGAAAGGTCTTTACTTGGGGTAGTGGAGGTCAGTTCCAGCTCGGCCGAAAGCCTCTCAGCCGTCTCGGAGGCGCAAGTGCCGGACTCAGCCCACAGCCTTGTGGAAAGTTCTCCAAGAAGCATCGTGCCGTCAAAGTTGGTGCCGGTTCATACCACAGTTTTTACATTGACGAGAGCGACCAGGTTTGGGCTTGGGGTCTGAACAACTACGCGCAGACTGGACTTAACGACAACACCGGCGAAGATGACGCGATGGTCCTCCAACCACAGATTGTCAAGTCACTTGAAGACCAAAAGGTCTCACAGATCGCTGGTGGCGAGCACCATTCTGTCGCTTGCACAGCAGATGGAAAGCTGCTCACCTGGGGACGTGTCGACGGCCACCAAGTTGGTCAACCGTCCAGCATCTACAACGAGGACAACGCCTTATTCGATGGTACCGGCAAACCTCGAATTCTCTTGACTCCTACACTGATCGATGGTATGTTACACTTAAACCCTAGTACTCTAAACGAACGATGGATGCTAACAAGTTGTATAGGGATTAAGACCACATACGTCGCGGCTGGTACAGACACCAGTTTCGCTATTGACGAAGCCGGCAAGGTTTACTCCTGGGGTTTCTCTGCAAACTACCAGACCGGCCAGGGAACTATCGATGATATTGAAGTTCCCACGTTGATCGACAACACGGCCATCCGTGACCGCAAGATTATCTGGGCTGGTGCTGGTGGTCAGTTCTCGATGGTGGCAGCTGCTGCCAACGAGGATCTACCTAACGGCCATTAGGCGGCATCATAAGTTAGGATAACATTCGGGTTAAGGGTGCATTGAAAAGGATTGGTGTACGCGGGAGGGCGCGTCATACCAGTATACAACAGTTGCGTTTCAGGTTTCAGGTTTGAAATGTGAATCAAGTCCGAGAGGGACATTTTAGCAGAGCGAGGTTTTGCGGCTGTCAAGGAATCGCCTTGGAAGATGTCCCGAATTTTGTGGCGGACGGACAGGGCCAATGAATAACCCAACAGTAGGGAACCTCATGTACATTATAATTGCTAGCGCTGCTTTCTATGTACTCACCTGTACATATGTTCATGATATGACTGATGTGGTCATCAATCAGAATTCTACTCGACTATATCTGGGTTTTCGTGATTTCGATATGATGCTTACTTATAATTGACTATAGTTATCGTAGATATGAATTATTAGCTAGGAAAGATGCTGTGAATCACAACGGGCATGTGGTGCGAGCGACACTCTTAAAAGCGAAGCACCGAAATCCGAGGCAAACCTGGTCAGCTTATTTAATCACGGGCTTCCATACGGACAGCGAATGAGCGCCCGCAATATTTCCCCAGATATAGCGTTCTAAATGCCCTAATTCGGGGCTGCTCGCGGCTAACGACTCCTGCAACGGCGCACTCGTGCTACCGACGCTTGACAGTTAGGCGGTTCTATAGTGACGTAGGGGAAGCGAGGGCGCACTACTAATGCAAGATACAGGCGGTACGGCCATCTACATGACACCTGAAGAGCTAATCGATACTGCCGGGTAATTTATATAAGACATCGGTCAACACACATTCTTCCTTCTCGGAAACCGCGAGACATCGAAACGGCTGCATATCCTCTCTGGGTGTTTTTGTTGCAGATATACTAAATTAACGCGCTTGTATTCGTCATACAGGTACGAGAGAATAGGTACTTCGGTTCGGACCGGGAAAATGGGAATGCTGGGCCGTTTACTCCTGACCGTCGACGCCGCTGGCTTGGCTATCGGGTCCGTTGTTGCTGATTGCTTCAACGAGACGCATATGTTTAACCCGCGATGGCGTCCACATGCTAAGTGAGTTCTATCTTATACCTATTACCTATTACCTAGCTGCCTAGTTACTATGTTCTATTTCTAAGGCACATCATCAAACACGAAAACCAACTTGCTTTTGTCGTTGGGTGCCGTCTTCTCAGACATACATACATCCCACAACAGCCACTCCCTTACCTCCCCATCCCAAGCCCCCAAGCCCCCAAGCCCCCAAAACGCCCAGCCAGCCACCCACCCACTCCCACCACATAGTTAACAACCCCCCACGCACGCAGATTCCACAACGCCCAAACCGTCGCCCTAGCAGTCATCCTCGCCTTCCTCACGCTCTACTACACCTGGCGGCCCGCCAAAACACGCGAACTCCGCCGCGAGTTCGTCTTCGCGAGCGCGGTTGCGGGGTCGATTTACTGGATCGCGGGGTTGCTCGCTATCTTGCCGCCTGGGACGATGGGCGTCGACCCCGAGTTTGGTGGGCCCGGGTTCCCGCAGGCGAAGGTGTTCGTGGGGTTTATGGGTGCTGGGTTGCTGGGGGCTTGGTTGGAGTGGCGGTAGGGGGGTTTGGATTCTGGGAAGGGGATGAGGGTGATGGTAGGGGTGAGGGGAGGATGGTATGGTGGTGATGGTTTTTGGTGGGTTTGGTGTTCAGGGAGTGCGCCGATGCTGATGTATAATACGGTTTTGAGAATAGGGGATGGGGTGTCGAGACATGATTGCGTGGGCTGTTGCAAGCTGTGAGACTATGATAGGTATGGAAAATCTCAACTATACCTAGTACATAACGTGCGTGAAATATTATAAGTTAATAGGAATCTCATCGGATCGTAATGTAATTAGGTACCTAGACAGTTTACGTAATCGCACTTACATTGGTCTAGGAATAGCAACTTCGGAGTATTGCTGTCGAGAGATTATTATCTACCTGGGTAGGATACTCATAGGAGGAATATATGATCGTGGTCGGTTGAGTCGGAGGTTTGACACAATAGGGCTGACTCTAGGACGTCTCTTGCTTTCCTTTCGGCCGTTGTGCCGTTGAAAGGTAAGACATCATGTCTTGAAGGATTGCCGAGATGTCCTACAACGAAGAAGGTGAGATCGTATCATCAATAGGCGTGTGGTTTCGAGTAGTTGTGCTCACTAACGGTAACACGACCTCTGACAGCTATCATTCATCAAGCTGGTATCTACCTAGGCACTGGTATCGTTGGTAAGGCTTACAGGCTGATTGGGGCTTTACACTCACTATATTTCTGCATTTGGATCTTATTCTGACGATCGTTGGTACAGTTGCTTTTTCTTGTGGAAACCTACGATGCTGCGTAACCCAACAAGGCAATCAGAGAGCGGATGGGCGAATCATACTGAAGAGGCGTCGAGGCCGTTTGGCCGGACTTCCGATGCACGTCGGCGCCACCACTTCGTTGTCTAGGCAGATAAGATTAATAATGCGTCATATACTCATTCAATTCTGCTACTTTAAACGCCGTGTGCGTCGCTACTCGTTAGTTACCTACCTAGGTACCTAGTAGGTATGCTAGCAATTCCCTGATCTCGGATTTATCAGAATCATCGACGGAAAATGGCCGAACAGCCTATGAAATACTACCAGGAACCTGTACATGTCGTTGGCACGACCATATTTTTGACGGTGCTTAACATAGTATTAATAAGCCTTAGGTTCAGGGTGAGAAGCCTCCAGAAGCTACCCTTGGGGCTAGATGACTGGATCATGATACCAGCTTTAGTATGTGGCTTAAAATAACCAGCTCTAATGCGAGTAATGAACTGACTGAACTGTATAGATCATGACAATGCTCCTCGGAATTGACATAGGGTATGGGGTTTCTCGAAAAGCGCTGGCTTATCGTACTGAAGTGCCCCCTGGATCTACTGGTGATCTCACATTCGAAGTTATCACAGACCAAATCTTATTATCTTTCAAGGTACGAATCCTAATTTACAGAAATACTATATACCTAGTATTAGCTGACGGAGAATTAACTAGATTGGATATATGTTCAATATAACGTTCGTTCTAGCTATCGGTTTCGTAAAATCCAGCATCCTCCTGTTCTACCTCCGACTATTTTCTATCAAGAACGGCAAAGTTCGGGTGATTCTCATCACCCTAATTATCATTGTTGTTATGTGGACCGTGGCCTGGCTTTTTGAATCGATATTCAACTGCAAACTAAATTTCTGGGCAGTTCAGGGAACGTCTCAAGATCTCAAAAATAAGTGTGTCGACTTTTCGGCTGCTGACCTAACCCTCTGTATCACGGACTTTGTCATAGATGTCGCGATAATTATTTTCCCTATCCCACTTGTAAGTGAAATTGCGTTCAAGCTGTCTCCTATACTATATCATGAACGTTCTTGTGCAATTAACAACTGACTTACTCTAGATCTGGAACTTAAATGCATCAACCCGTAGAAAGATTGCGACGAGTGGCGTATTCCTTCTAGGAATTGGGTAAGTAATAGTGCATACTTGAATATTGGCATTGAATTCTTACATTTCTAGTACTATCGCGACCTCTCTTGTTCGCGTTGTCGTGGTAAGTAAAATAGTTGCAATCGGTTTAGCCACTGATTCCGACCAAGTTCGTAAGTAACCTCATTTGAACTTATAAACAATGCCCAGCGGCTACTGATGAGTTAGTAACAATTACCGCGTATGTGTACTGGGGGATGGTTGAGACCGGTATTGGTATACTTGTCGCTTGTCTACCAACATTGGCTTTTCTCTTCAAGGACATCACTTTCAAATCTATCATGACTGCCACGAAACGCCTTTTCTGCAAAGTTCATCTAAATTCTACGAGCCTCGACAACGATTCTATCCAAGCCCAGAGCTTGAGTAATGACATATATCAGAAAAAAACGAGCATATCTACGAAGTCAAACTTGAGCTCAAGACCATGGATGTTGGCTACTAGTGGCGATGATCCTATGCTAGATCAAGATTCATATGCTATGAAAGATATTATCAATGCTAGGGAGTCTGTATAAATTAATAGGACCTGGCCACTTGAATCTTGATGAGTAATTCTGTTCTTTTCATATACCTGGATCTGACCGCGTTCCCTTAATCAAGCAAGGTATGATTAAACAATGTGTATATCGAATTCATTAATGTTAACCTCCTCATGAAACTCATCTAGTCATACCAGCATGATAATAAACCCGCTATGACCCGACCAACAGTGAAAATGATTACAAGGTATCATAGGGGTAAACGAATGACTGTTAACCAACTCCCACCTAACCCAGTTCCAACCCCTGAAAATACAGAATAACAATCACATTACGCAGCCTTCTGCACCTCGCTCTCAAGCTTTTCGACCAATTTATCCACCACCAATCCCGCAAGCTGAACCAACGTGCCACTTCCAACAATCTCTAACACACTGATCACGAGTCCGAACGCGCCCTTAAACCAGCGCCTCAACTCAATCGCCATGAGCGAATCAAGTCCCATCTGCGCCAACGTCAAGCTCACATCAACCTCCTCGTCGGGCCTAAGCAAGAAATCGTAGATCTTCCTGCCAATCTCATGGGCCAAGAAGTCGAGGCTCTTCTCTTCCTTCAGGAGCGCCTTCCCGCCCTCTCCGGCGACTCGCGCTAGGAACTCTTGCAGCGCGTCGCTTTCGCTCGTCTTGGCTGTGTTTTCGATCCGCACGTTATGGTACAACCCCATGCGTCGGTCGCGCCGCCACATCGTCCGCGTGTTCGGGTCGTCGAGGTCTTGCTCCGATCGCAGTCCCATTATTACTTGCGTGCTGTTATACCACGGCTTCGGCGGAACCGTAAGAGGCGCTGCGGTGGCAGACTCCGTGGGATGGCTGTCCAAGAGACTTAGTTCTAAGAAGTCGAGGAACTCGCGCTCGCTGAGAAGAGGCAGGCCTTGGGCTCGGATGTTCTGCATGGCCTGGGCGTTCTCGGCTACGAACCCGACGTCGCGGATGGGTCCGATGTTGAGGACGGAAGCGGGTAGGCCTAGGGAGTGCCGGTATCGACAGAAGGCTTCGATGAACATGCTTGCTGCGACGTAGTTACCTTGTCCGACGGAATCGGCGACAGTGACGAGCGAGCTGGCTAGGAAGAAGAAATCTAGCTTCTTGGATTCGAACGCGCGGTGGAGATTCCAGGTGCCGTCGACCTTGGGCGCGAGTGCGTCTTGCCATTGAGACCACTCCATGTCTACTAGTGGCATATCCTATGAGGCTTTGTTAGTACGCTCCTCATGCTGTGATAATTCGAGAGAAATCTTACCCTTAGGACCATGGCTAATTGTATCACTCCCTTGATAGGAGATCTTGATCGGTGTACTGCCCCCTGCACGTCGTCTATCCGATCAACGCGTCCGGCAACAGCTGTGACAGAACATCCCATAGACTCGAGTTCTGTGAACAAGGCCTTGCTGACTTCGCTAAGACCGGCGCTGCGAGAGAGGAACGTTAGACTGCGTGCGCCTCGCTCCACCATCCATGTCGCTATGGATCTACCTAGACCACCAACACCACCGACGAGGAGATAGGTAGCAGCGGGATCAAATTTGATGTTACGGCGCTGGGGTACCGATTCAAGGGGAGAACCGGTGCCAGGGGGAGAGAAGGATACCGTGACTTTGCCGAGATGGTCGCCGTCTTCTAGGTGACGGAATGCCCTCGAGATTTGCTTCGCGTCGAATGTTGCCACGGGATCGATCGGCTGGAGTAATCCTTGCTTGTAAAAGTCGACGAAGGTGTTTAATAGCCTGATAAATCGTAAGTAATGAGATGACACCAACAGAATGCAGGAAAACTTACCTCCTCAACCACTTCGGCCGCTCCCTAAACTCCGACAAATTAACACCATGATACGAGCGATTCTCCGCAAACGGCAACATATTCAAACTGCCGGAGCCCATCGAGTCCCTCAACCCGAGCTCGACCATAATCCCAAACTTGGCCACACAGCGCCAGGACTCATGCAACAACTCGCCCGAAAGCGAATTCAGCACCAAATCGACACCCCGTCCGCCCGTCTCCCGCATAACCCCCTCCGCAAACCCAGCATCGCGGGAATTAAAGATCCTCTCCCTCGGAACCCCAAACCGGTCCATCAAAAACCTGACCTTCCTCTCGCTCCCCACAGTCGCATACACCCGCGCCCCCAACATCCCACAAACCTGCAACGCCGCGATCCCGACCCCGCCACACGCAGAGTGTATCAAAACACTCTGTCCCCGCTCCACGCGCCCTATATCAATCAACGCATAGATCACCGTCCCGAAACACACGGGGATAGTAGCCGCAGACGCAAAAGACAGCGAGTCCGGGATCTTCATGACGATTTCGGCGGGGGCAATGTTCCGCGTCGCGAGACACCCGTTGCAGAGCGCCATTACCCGGTCCCCGGGCGCTAGGTCCGTCACTGCGGACCCGACTTTTGTGATTACGCCCGCGAGCTCGTAGCCTAGTGGGATGCGTGTCGATGTCGGGGATTGCAGGATCCCGCGCGCGAGGACGACGTCTCGGAAGTTGAGACCTACGGCGCGCGTGGATATCTCGACGTGGTCGGGTGGTAGGGTGGGAGGCAAGGGTTCGTCGATCCAGTGCAGGGTTTCCATTGAGCCGACTTTGCCGACGGTTAGTGCGGTTCGGGTGTTCTCCTCTCCTTCTACGGGGGTTTTAGGTCGAGTGCTACTGCTCCTGTCTTTGAGACGCTCGGTTAGTGAGAAGGGGTGGTATCGCGGGATGCAGATTTGTGCGTTTTCGACGGCGAATTCTCGGTCTGGGCCGAGGGTTCCGATGTCTTCTTGCGACTGGATCTTGGCGAATACTTTGAGCACTAGGTCGCTGAAGTTGGGCTCCGAGGCGCTGATCTCGAGGGTGCTGAGCCCCGGTACGGTTTCGGCGCGGAGACTGCGGGCCGCGCCGATGAAGGTTGCGGGACGCGGGTCTGTGCACCGGATTTGCACTGGGTGTGCGAGCCATAGGATCTTTTGTTGCTCGACGGCCTTGGCGAATTTTTGGAGGTGGGCGAAGTTCTCTTTGGTTAGGTTGGTGAACCACTCGCTTTCGAGGTTGAGGCACGAGATGATGTCTTGGTCGGCGGGAGGTGTGGATGTTAGTCGACATGGTGTGACTTCCCATCCGGAGCTCTGGAGAGAAGTTTTCAGGGTGCTTGCTACGCTTGATTCCTCGTTCTCGCATAGGAGAGTGACTCGCTTCGATGATGGTTCACTCTTAGGTTGTGGCCGAGACACGATAGTGACGATCTGGTTGTAGGGAGCTTCATCGTCAGCGACGAATGAATCTACACCAGCGAATCCAGCACTCTTTAGTTCTCTACCCCAACGCTCAACCGGTATTAAGGGGTTAGCCGGTCTAGCATCGGCCTCGCCAAGCCACCACCCAGCGAAGTGACCGAACATATAATTCGCCGTCCGCAGTGTTGGCAAAAGTTCTGTTAGCACCAGCATTCCATCCGGTTTTAACAATGATTTTATGTTCCCGAGAGTCTCTGTGATGAACGGTGTTGCATGGACAACGTTCGCCGCTAGAATCAAATCATAAGACTCCTTTTCTCCGATCTTGAACCCCTGCTCAGCAGGCGATTTGCTGATATCGAGGACCTTGTACTCCATATTAGGGGCATACGAGAATCGCTCGCGGGCCTTGACTAAGAAGCCAGATGAGACATCTGTAAACGTATAAACTGAGTAAATAGGGAACCCGCCCTCATCAACGAGTCCGCGCAAGATAAGCTCCGTCGTGCCTCCCGTACCGGCACCGACTTCGAGGATGCGCAGGTTTGGCCGCGTGTTGGAAAGTAGACGTACGAAATCGCCATACCCGAAACTCGTATGGTTGTAGATCTCAGCTAGTAGGTTGCCCTGCATCAGCACATCGAGGGTCTCGCGTGTCCCAGCGAAAATCTCAGCCGCATGGTCTAAAACGCGCTTAAGTCCAACAGAAAGCGCGCTGTGATATCCCTTCTCGAGGATCGCCAAATGCGAATCTATCATTTTCCGCTGCTCCTCGGAACTTAGCTCTAGCAGACGCGCCGGGTTGTCAACGAGTGGGAACGAGCTCTTCCCGACAACGGCATCTTGAATCTCTTTCTTCATCCAGTCGCGCAGCTTGGCAAAATGGGGCTGGCACGGCTTGATGCCTTCTACGGCTTTCACCTCTTGCACCATGCATAGGAAAGCGAGCTCCTGCTGCATGCTAAGATGCGCCCGGTGAGGCTTGGGCGCGGCGAATAGCGATCTGTGGTCTACGAAGTCGAAATCGGGAAGCCACTGGACGTGTGCTGCCGCGTGTTTATCTATCGACTCGGTGGCTATGTCATCTTCTTCGAGTGGCGTTAGTTGCAGACCGCGCATCTTTAGTACTACATGTCCATCTGCGACACACTCGACTTCACCGAGGCGGAGATCACCCTTCTTAGTCCAAGCGCGCGCATGCATTTCCGATGCGCCCCGAGAAATGATGAGTTCCTCGATTGATGTTGGCACTGCAAGACCATTGAAATTGCGGCAGAGTCCCTGAGCTGTTGCGATCATGAGAAGTTGCAAGCAGCCGTCAATTGCTACGGGGTGAAGAGAGAATGGCTCGGATGCATGATTATGCTTGTCAATAATCTTGGCCTCGGCAATCTGCTCTGTGGTGGACGTAGCAATATCTGTAAGAGATTGGAATTCGGGACCGTAGATGAAGCCATTCCGTTCCATTGTTTCGTAGAATGTTGGGCTAGATAGCTTGCGAGGGAGCCCCTTAGGGGCCGAAGAGGGAGTATTGTTAAGCCCTTCGACATGTTTAATCTCTCCCGTGCAGTGCTTTATCCAGGCAGAGCCACTATATGATGTGATGTTAAACTCATACCATTGGGATTCATCGTTGTCCGTGAGACGTTTTTGTCGCAATGTTGTGACTATCTCTGCCGGCTTAGAATCAGTTAGGACGAGAGCTGTACGGACTACTAAATGGCGAATATGGTAACTCGACCCCAAATCGGCGCCAGCCACTTGCCGAATCGCCTCGCCAGCTGTAGCGACATACCCGGCGAAAGGGAAGACGACATCCTGTGATACCTTGTGGTCGACAAGCCAAGGTGCGTCGTCGAGATGCAGAACATTTCTCCAGAGCGGCTCAGCATCCGGCGATTGTGGGTCCCTCACACCAAGTACGCAATGATGAGGGTACTTGCGATGCCGCCACGCTGTCGACAACCGGCTTTCGTTCCAAAAGGATTGTCCGCTGCGGTCCCACGCATACGACGGGAGTCCCGGAACAACGCGGCCACCCGAGAAGAGAGGGGCAAAATCGATAGTTACATTCTCCTGAAAAAGTCGACCTAATGCAGCTAGCAGAGACACGGCGCTGTCGCTACCCCGGTTTTGGACCGCTACATAATTGCACTGCCACGAACCTGCAGTGCAGATCTGGCGTAAGGGACCGGCTAAGGCACCGTGAGGTCCAATCTCCAATAGGACGTCCGAGTCGCCTCGTAGCTCGAAAAGGTTCTTAACAGCTGTCCTAAAGCGAACTGGAGAGACCAGGTTGGCGACCCAGTACTCCGGGCCTAGATCTGTTGGATTGTCAATCACCTTGGCGGTGACACTCGACATGAATATTGATCGACGACGAAGCCCCGCCCCGCTATCGGATGGAGTCTTTTCCTGCCGGAGCATGTGCAGGTAGTCCTTAGCTAGGGGATCCATGTGATCTGTAAAAGCAATGTGGTTAGCTGAAATCGACATATTCGGACGAGAGCTGAGCAGCTGAACTTTCCACTTACGGGAATGATATGCCATGTCGACTTTCAGCATGCGAGCGAAGGTATCCGGCTTAACTGCTTTGATCGTAGACACCGTCTGCTCGACCAATGCGCGGTCTCCTGATATCGTCGTGCTGTGAGGGCTATTTTCGCACGCGACGACGACACCTTCCGGTAGAAGCCTCGCTACTTCTTTAGCTCCAAGTCCGATAGCAGCCATAGAGCCATCCCTGGACGTGCTCTTTGAAGACACTAGACCACGATAGTATGCAGCCTTGACAGCGAATTCGAGGGAAATGAATCCAGCGGCATACGCAGCGGCGATTTCACCGCTCGAGTGTCCCACAACTGCAGTAGGTATGACACCAAGACGCTTCAGTTGTCGGAAGATCGCTATTTGAAGCGCGGTACACATAGGCTGTGCCAGCTCAGCTCTGTTGATCCCGCTGATTTCAAAGGGCTTGAGTATCTCAGCTAAATAGGGGCAAGAGAAAGTTAAATGTCAACACACTGCTATAAGATACTCCTTCAAGTCTTAGGAAAGACTCACCTTCAAGTGTCCATCTTGGGGGCCTTGCACAATGTCTCAAGACGTCGTCCATTAAATGGATATCCCCCCGAAATTCCGAGCTGGTTATGAACAATCCCTTCCCCATCTCGGCCCATTGACTTCCCTGTCCGGTGAAAACCATGGTGACTTTACGGCGAGATAACTTTCCTGATGTTTTCACCATGCCGGAGGTTTCCAATAGCTTGTCACCGGACATTACCAGATATGCTCTGTGCGGTAGCCGTTCTCGGCGGAGAGCTAATGTGTACGCAATGTCCCGTATGGCCGATGGATGCTGGGAGACATATTCCTGGTAGAGTTCTATTTGGGTCTTTAGAGAATTCTGGCTATTAGCTGATAGCATAAGAAGCTCTGGTCTTTTGGCTGTCTGTATGAAGCCTCTTGACAGCTTTGGATTGGGAAATGAATCAAGGATGACCTTTAGTCATGTTAGCAGGTGTAAATTGCTAATAGAGATGAGATAGGACTAGGTAGATACTCACGTGTGCGTTTGAACCTCCGATTCCAAAGGAGTTCACACTGATTCTTTCGGCTTTGTGGTTGGGAAACGGTATTGGTTTAGTCGGTACCGTGAGCTTCTTTTCTCTGAATGGGACTACAAGTTGGATAGTTAGTACGGGGGATCCTCCTTAACTACGGATGCGCAAGACTAGACTTACTCTTAGGATTAGGTGTGCTGAATTTGATATTAGGGGGTATCGTTCTATTCTCTAGAGCTAACACTGCTTTAATTAAACTGGCGAGACCGGCAGATCCCTCACAGTGGCCTACATTAGGCTTCACAGAACCAATGTAAACTCCATCGTGGCCGAAAACCTCTCCAACCGCAGAAGTTTCGATGGGATCGCCGACAGAGGTTCCGGTGCCATGACACTATAGCGTTATGAGTATACCGAAAAAATGACAAGAGGGGATTGAAGACATACCTCGACAAACGCAGTCTCAGCCGGATTTAATCCTGCATCCGAGTATATCTTCCTCATAAGTGCTTCGAGGGCTTCCCCTCGCGGAACAAGCATTCCTTGGCTTTTGCCATCGCTGTTCGCCGCGGTGCCCCGAATGACCGCTCTGATAGCGTTGCCATCGCGGATGGCATCAGTAAGCTTCTTCACATATATGGCAGTGATTCCTTCAGCTCTGGCATAGCCATTGGCCGAAGCATCAAAACTTTTACATGACCCGTCTGGAGATAGGACCCCTTCCGAAGTCATAAGCATAGTAAGGGAAGGCCCCAATATCAGATTTGTGCCAGCAACAACTGCGGCGGAGGCATCCCCGAACTGGACAGCCCTGCAAGCCTCATGTAAGGCTATTAGTGATGCCGAACAGGCTGTCCTTATGACCATGCTATGATGTTTCGGTTAGCTGCAAGTTAGGGGCCAAGCAAATATGACGACTCACCTCGGTCCACTAAGATTGTACTCGTAAGAAACCCGGTTGGCAAGCATCCAATCCCCAGAACCCGTGACAAGATGGCTGCCAACCTGTTGAGCATCCTTGTCTCGCATATGCTGCCACTCCTCGCCGAACGTGCCTACGTAGCAGCCAATCGGCTTTCCACGATAATTTGTTTCACCTGCATCTTCGAGACACTCGCGGGTAACCTCCAATAGCAATCGTTGCTGAGGATCGCATCTCTCCAACTCCTTCTGCGTCATAGAAAAGAGAGAGGGATCGAAACGTGATAGATCATCTTCCAGATAGTATCCGAACTTGGTCTCTATGCGCTCCTTGCCGCCAAGGGAGCCATCGAACCCGTCCGCATTGTACCGGCTGCTCGGAACTGGCCCGCGGGCGTCCCGGCCATTAACCAGGAGATCCCAGAAGTCGTCGGCATTCCGGATGCCCCCGGAAAGCCTTATGCCAAGGCCGCAGATCGCGATCGGGACAGATCCTGGGGCTGTCGCGTCTTTGATCTCCTCGAAGCTCGAGGACGCGGAGGAATACGAGGTCGAGTGGCCGCTGCTTCCGCTCATTGTGAGGGAGTTGAGGCGGGAGGCCGGAACTGAGCTCCCCGCGGCAATAGTCCAGGATTATTCCCCAAAGGCTAACTAACGTAGGGCGCGCGCCTTGACGCGTTGCTAGGATGAGAGGGGGGGCGGCGGCTGTAGGAGATTTGATGGTGGGGATTGCTTTTTTCGAAACGGAGGCGCCAACTTCGCCGAAGTTCACGGGATGCGCCCGTTCTTATTTCAACTCGAGCCGGCCCGTCTGAGCTTTCTAAAGGTTGTAAATCTCGGTCTTAACGGACAAGAGCGAGGATTGAGTTGAGGTCGTCTGACCTTGGTCCCTGAATAGAGTATAGTGTAACTCGGTGATGGCCCAATATGGCAGATACCGGCCTATATAAGGTAAGGATAAGTAGGGCAAACCGTCATCGCATCGTCTCTGGGACTATTGACCAAGACGGCAACCTTGATAAGCACTCAAACTAAAAGTACACATCTAAGACGCTATTTTACCCATCAGCTCCGCATCTGTCTGGACGCTATTTCGACCAGTCCTGCATTCGTCTCAAAACTATTTCGACCCCGTCGCGAATCTTGCTATCCTATAGCATCTAGGAAATAAATGGCTGACAAGTTATTTGCATGTCTTGGAACTAACGGAACCAATGGGAAGATCAAGTTTTCGGTAGGTCAAACACCCAACGGGACGGGATCGTATGTAGGTTTGCTGTCTTGATATGGACGTGTACGGCACGGATCCATCGTCAAGAGCTCTAAAGAAAGACGCCAAGGGCTTAAGCGTCATTGCAAGGTAGCTATAGGTTAGATTCCATGCAGACTGGATTTGCAGTTTTTCTAATAAGGGTTTGGCCTGCTGCAACGGCGACACAAAAGGGCATAGCAGAAGTGGTAACCCGCAGGAGGCATTACCAGGCTTACCTCTGAAGGATGAAGCCGGAAGCTGGACCAGTTCGCCTGCAAGGGGGTTTAGGTTACATTAAAATCGCACGATAAATTGTGAACCGCATGAACCACTCCGTTGGGATCTATCTGACGTGTCAAATCGCTCGACCACGTTCCCTTTGCAGAAGAGAGGAGCGCGAGATATGCAGGCTTTGCAGGCTTTGCAGCAACGCGCCGGTAGTGTTAGGTCGACCACGACTTATGATAGGCGACTGGCGAAGCAAAGCCCGTACAAGTGCGGCCCGCGTTGCCCTGGAGCAACCGACCCAACCGCCACGTGCTGACGGTTATAAATGAGGTATAATTGAGTTCTTATTAAGTACGCCATTCACGCATATAACTGCCGCCCTTATGGCCAATAGTAAACCTGGGGTGGCATTTCGAGGTAGGCTCAGTCCTGCAATTGCTTGCTGACATCGAAAATCATCAGTCGTCTTTGATCCTCTGGTACTACCGTGATACTATTACTATGACTAGTACATAGTAGAGGGCAGCGTACATAGTAGTTCGTAAGACTTTGCATTTTCACCGCCAATTCGCACGACCGAAAACCGACCGTCAACTGGAAGTAGGCTGTTGGTGCTAAGGAAAGGTGAGGAAGAGAGAGAGAAAAATCTTCACGTGCATCACTAGAACTACATAGTAGGACCCGAGAACTATTTGTTCGGACCGGATTGTTTCTACGCACCTACTAATAGTTGCGATTGCTAAGCGCCCTCCGCAATCCCGTACGAAACAAGGACAAGGGCTTACAAAGCTAAGCCGGAAGTGACATGGTACGGTTGGAGCGTTATATCTACACGGACCTACAGGCTATTGTAATAAGCGTTGCGAATAGAACATTGACCAACCAACCAACCATCGATGCCAATGGTACATCCATACTTACAGTAAAACCAGGCTGGAGATCTTCCGTTTGACAATTCGGTCATAGATTTCGTTACAGATATCGATTATGCTTAAATATATTAATTGTGCAACTTTTGTCGTCAAAGCTGAGACAATGCTGTGTAATGATAGGGCAGAATAGGGGTTAGGCGAAGCGGGACAGCGAACAGTGTGGTACTGCGCCGTTGCACTATCGACTTTTTCGGATTAATGAAATATTGTATGTAACTCTAACTCTTCCCCTTTTCCCCTCTGTAACTAATACTATGTATGTCTCTGTTTCTTTTCCACCCCACGCAACCCTTCGCAAGCCATACGCGGCCGCGAGGATGACGATGTGTTGGTGGAGTGGAGTGAGAATACAGAATAAGGTGATTTTCCTTTCCCCAGCTGTCCAGTCCGTCAGCACACTCAGCTCTACTAGAATGGACGGCGAATGCCTTGGTATCTTACCTACCTAGGTATTTACTAGGTAATACCTAGACAGCCACGCGCATATGTACGCATGTATGTATATACATGCCCCACACATACCTTGTAAGTGTGTATGCATATCATTTCTTGCTACTACCCTGCTGCCCTGCTGCCCTGATGCCCTGTCAGACTACTGTCCGTTTGCGGTAAAGAGTATTATTGAGCTCCCACATACGAGGGTCAACATTAGTTCGCGTTCCGAGAGCTGTTTCGACCTATAGATTATAGAGGATAAGCGGAGCTTGAATAATAGTCCACTTTTACGGACAAGGGACTTTGTAGCAATAGGATCCTTATGGGAAAAGGAATAGGCAGGTAAAGTGAGAAAAAAGAGGAAAAGATCACTGTAATAATAAAATCTCATCTCCAATTAACACATATTCCTACGCGAATTGCGTCCCAATGTCACTGTTCCCCCCCCTCCCCTCCATCCATCCCCCTTCGTGCTTCCTGTCTGTCATCATCCCTCCATCGATGAAGTGACATTTTTTGATTACATGTGCTGCTAGCTTACTTAATGTAAGTTGGTTCCATTCTTACTTTTTCCTCTCTCGATCACCAACCTACATGTGGTTTGAAACTTCAAAGTTTCATCCAAACTTCGGTGTGTAAATGCCTCGGGAACGAACCTGAATTTCCAACTACGGGAACGGCCCGACGCTAGCGCTTGAGCTCTTGATCCGTTAGTTACGATCACAGATCACACAAAATACATACTTGTCTATCTCCATATACCTATATACCTCCCTAGGTAACTTAATACTTGAGATAAGACCCGACTGACCGGATGGAGGCAACCAACGTCACCTCAAGTTCACCAAAAGATCGAGGGAGACATAGGTTATTGGCTGTGAGACCCTCAACGGCTAGTAGCAGAGCCACTTCGGGTTCCTCTCGCCATCATCGTACCCCGCTCCCACATAGCCCTCGTTCCCCATTATACACCGATAATTTCACCTTGTCCGCACACCCCCCTGGGACCTATCACCCGTCTAGCCCGCCAGCACCGTCTTTCATGTCAACGACCAGCAGTGGCACAGATCGACCACCGTCGCCATCGCCAACTACCGCCGATGTTGCCGGCCATTTTCAGTATGCCTTAAGCTCGGCCGAGGGTCTATCTTCCGGACTGCAAGTGAGTACGACGCTACGCTAATGCTGATGCTAATGCTGTTTTACCCCTTTCGGCCGTTGATCAATTCTTATTATTATTATTATCATTTTTTTTGATCTGTCACATTCTCATCACACGCAAGCCCAACCCGAAACACGACACCCTTTCCCTTACCTGCGGAATAACGGGTGGCTGATATGTAATATCGATAGTTCAATCCGGCCTTGGAGCAAGGGTGGCCGCGGATTGACCCTGACGGTGCAGGTGATGGCGCCGGTGTTGATGAGGAAGACGATCATGATCCGGATGAAGGTCTTTCTCTCTCCCCCCGCCAGACTCGAAGGAGGTAAGTAAAAATGGGCCAATCTCTCTCTGTTCAGCATAGCTCTCTGTCTGAGAACCGAAGTGAAACTGACTATGGACCCTATCTCTTCCTCCAGGGATTCCACGAAGGCCGCTAGTAGTTCGAGCTCGAGCTCTTCGAGATTCTTTCGCTCGATAGTATACAAGTTTGGCCGCACGTTCAACAGGAGTGCGTGCTCCGTGTAACCCCAAATCCTAAAGGGCTATAGTACTAACATGTAATATAACAAGACTACTTCCTCCCTTCGGATAAGGTATGCCCGACGAAACTAGGAGCTGCTGCGATGATCGATGGACTAACCAGAATGCACGTCTAGCAAGAACAAGAGCGCATGAGTAAGACATCCCTTCGCTTTCCATTGGTCCATCTCGAGGTTGATATACTAAACAAACAAACAAACGAACAGACCTTCAGCATGAAATAAGTGTCGAAGTTCACGATGGCGAGCTACATCTCTGTCCAGTAATAAAGCCGAGGAGAGTCCTCGATGTCGGCACGGGTACAGGCATATGGGCCGTGGAATTCGGCACGTCCCACCTCGATCCCTGGCGTTACATCCGTGCATGAGTGTTAACATCTATGCAGCCCGAAGGAACCCAGATAGCGAAGTGCTTGGGATCGATCTAAATCCAGTCCCACCGCCTATCGTACCCAACTGCCATTTCGGCGTAGCAGACGTGTATGATGAATGGAAGTACGGCGGTCCCTTTGATTTCATCCACGTGCGAAGCTTAGGCGAGCCTACCGATAAGCGCAAGCTGTTCAGACTGATCTACGAGAATCTCGCGCCCGGCGGCTGGGTCGAGTTTCAGGAATGGATTCTTCACGCCCAATCCTCAGACCGCTCTCTCGACGGCACGGCATTCCAAAAATGGAATAAACTCATGTCCGAAGGCAAGTTCTCGACAATCCCGTATCTCCTCTGTTATTTTCTATGTCCTCTTGAAACTAACTACTAATTTAGGTATCAAACATTTAGGGAAGTCCCTGTTCTACGCCCTCGATTACAAACGTACCCTCGAGCACACGGGCTTCGAGAATATCGTCGAGCGGAAGTACGCCGTACCTACTAATACATGGCCTCCGGGGAAGCAGAGCCAGAGGATTGGCGCGATGCAGAGGGCGAATACGCTACAGATCATCGATGTTTTCTCGTGGCCCGTGTTTTCGAATGGGTTGGGGTGGTCTAAAGATGCTCTGGATAGGCTACTGATCGAAGTGCGGAAGGATATTGAGAACACGCGCATCCATTCGTATTCTACTTTGTGAGTTACATGACTGATCTTTGAATGAGTCTTTGCTGATATCACTTAGAATGACAGTATACTGCAAGAAGCCGCATTCATCTACTACATCGTCCCTAGCCACGGCGGAAACACCACCGAGGCTACCGAGGCCGTCCATGTCATAGTAAACACAAAAGGAGGAATTGAGTCTAATTCGGATGTAACCCTGCAATCCTGTGAAAGGGATAGTGTAATGGATTGTAAGGATATAGGTATTGGGCAGAATGGAGGTGACGGGCATGGAATTAGACGCAGGACAGCGTTGGCGTTTGGGGGCGGTCGATTGGGAGGCCCCATTGGCAATGGAGTACGTAAAGAGTGTGTTCCATTAATGATAGGTTACTGCTAGGTAGCCTACCTAGTACCTAACAAAAATAAAATGTTTCAGATGACCGACATCTTTCAGAGGAATAATTGCATCAATAATGCATATTTTGAGTGAACACGCAGTAAAATGTGAATGGATTTTGCCTTACCTACCTAGTACCTACCTAGTAGGTACCTAGTACACTACCCTACTTGGAATGATCTATAGACTGGAGGTTGAAATAAGACATCAACAAATATACGATAAGATTACCTAGGTTACCGACTCCCTGAAAACTCAAGTATATTTTACTGAATAGACGCGGCCATTCTGGCGGCCTACGAGCGGTGTCGTTGTAATAGACTCTACCTGCCTCCCAACGGCGTTGCAACGTAACGCTGAATATGGAACGGGGCGGTGGCATTGCTTTCAGCCCCCTTTTCACGACCGCCTCACATGATCTGTGACGACTCCAATGTAATCATACTATAAGTACGTTATATTGAAGCGCATGCGTTCCTAGAAAATTTCCGAATATTATATCCAAACAGTAACTGATGCTGGTTCAAAAGCCAACAAGAAAGTATGTACATGATCTCGGGGTCATCACACCACGGCACTCCGAAGTGCCTGTGCAACGCCGGCGCGAAGAGCGGGAACACGCGGCATCCCAAGCCATCCCCAGCGTAAGCGTGATTCCGGATGGGGCGGTTCGACGACACGAAAACGACGAATTAATTATCAGTCGACCAAGACAATTTCACCGTTAAATGAAAATCATCCCATGCGTATATTGCAACCATTCAATAGATTGTCGTGGTGGCCAATAGGACTATTTGCGGTATATTCTCCGACGAAAAATGGGATGATGGCTCCCATCTCAACTCCACGCGCGCGTGAACAACAACAACAACAACAACAACAACGTACGCTTCCGCGACCCATTGCAAATCAATATCACGCCCCTCATATTTCCCCGGTTCTCAACCATATATGAAAAGCTTTCGGCGCCGGCGAGACTGAATCATACGTCTCTCGCACAGCGAAGAAGAAATTGTGGGGCCATGCTCTGTGGCGGCAGGTTTTCGCGGTCTATATCCAGTCAAGGTGGCCCTCATTGATGGAAATTCCAATAATGGGCGCTAGCATACCTGCCTAGCTAAGATTATAGAACGAAGGTCCCCGGTGGCGATGAAGATGATCTCACGATTCCGCGCTAAAGATGTTCGAAGATGGAAGGCCGCACGAAAGGCTACTGCGAAAAACGAGGCCCTGTATGATGAGTTGTAAATCACCGCTGGGATTTCATAGGGCTAGAATAAAGGGGGCGGAAGACCGATTGTTGAGAGTCTTCGGCGACATACTGTACTCTTCATCAAGAACATCACTTGACCCGCTTAGAGTGCTAGCTTTTACGCCGATGAAGAGCGATGAGAAGCCAGGAACTTTTGTCATGTGTGTCTCCGCTTTGACTCTCTATCCTCAATTTTCCGGAAATATTGCTGAGTTCGTTTTCGTTGTGGGCTTGCTTTGATGGTTGGAATATCGGATCCGTCGTCCTCATAACCAAAGACTTTAGTAGTTAAAAAGAAAGGGGATATTATAAGTTCCCCGACATTAACATCTTCTATCTCAATGGGAGATTGCTTTCTGGAAATCCCAGCGAGATAACCTGGAATTACTTACAGCCCATGACTGAAGAACATCTTGCCACGGCCATGCTTACGATTGATTCTTCTTGAAATGAGTCTCTTTCCAGACAGCCACCTACTTAAGGGCAGAGATTCTACCTAAGATATCGGCCCCGGGACGTCGATGAGAGGGCCGGTGTATAGATGCCAAAGCTACTGAGCTCTGTTTCGGACTGGAAAGTGTATGCGATGGTACCACTAGGACGACATCTCATTATTGGGTAAATCAGCCAATCAATCAAATTTGAGAATGACCCCCGGACTTAGGGCGACGACCGGAACAAGAATTTCGAGTGCCTGGAAGTATTATTGTTATGTAATAGCTCGAATCAGCGAGCTTAGGTAATACACTAACGCTGAGTCAGCTTAGATAATCCGAGACTCATCATGGATCTGAAGAGCTTAGGTAATCCAGATTTATTTGGCTGACATAATCTAGGATTACCTAATAACAATGTGACAGTTTTTGAGGTCGACCTGGGTTCTATCACTTGACAAATCCTGTCTAGATATGGCGGTTTTCATGTAGATACGGTTTGAGCTGCATGCTAAATACCTACCTTAGATCCCTCGTAGCTCTTAGTCGCGGGTTGATTGGGTGTAAACGTAGAGTAGGACGATATTGTTGAATATAAAAACCCACGTATTTCCCCTTGGTGATTCGTCCGAACTACCAGGAACCTCAATTTCATGGTAGAGGGCGCTCGATCGAATATAGTGGTGCGAATGTGGATGTTGCACAAGAACCCTTAGCGAATAGATCGATTACGAGATTAGACAGAATTGAAAAGTTCTACGATCGCTTGCTTGCCATGACCGGTTGCTGGCAAAATGGACGAGTGAATCGCCAGGCCATCATTGTATAGTACCTAGTAGTTCGTAATGTCGGGTCCCTGGTGATGGCTTCCATATTACCCCGCGTTACGCTCCCGAATCTGGTAGGAAATCGAGCTGGTTGTCTTGACAGACTTCGTTAAAGTAAGAATCGAAGGATAAGGTCATATTCGCTCCTCCACGCTCGCATCTAATAGTTTCATGAAGTCGCTCTTCATCTACGACCGCTTCGGGTAATTCTCGCTAGGGAGTTGGTAAATGGCACCACAATTGGTGAAGCTTGACGTTTGTGTCGGCTGGGTAGGTGCTAGGTAGGGAACGGGGTATACGGAATGCTGAGCTTTGGTCGGATAATTTCTTGTGTAATCTGGGTTAGGGTATCTAGAACCCGGTCTGCGTCGTCGAGATGCTCTAAGAAGCTAGAAAAAATCGTTTTCGCTATAAATGAGCAGTTTGTGAAAACCGTATGATTGAAATCTATCTCACACGGCCGGTGGTGTGCTATCATGCTGTGATTGTGAACGTTGTGCTTTTTAGGTGCCGTACTACTAAGATTATTTTCTTTTAGGTACCTACCTAGGTACATTTGTGATTACATATCCCCTGAACCCTGCCCTGGATGGCCCTGTCCTGGCTTCCAGATTGACTCGATACGTCATGGGGAATCCCGGGTCATTCCCCATTTATGTCCCTGCTGCTACCCGCCCCCTGTCAGCCCGACGGAGTCTTATTTCTTCCCTAAAGCAATCTTTTCATACGCTGTAATTCCTACCTAACCTTTACAGCCATTGGAGAACGTCTCATACTCGACGATAAGAACTCTTAAGGTCTGGATCTTTACTCATATCTAATGCGACAATAATTATATGACTAGACGTCCCATATGCATGCACGGCATATCGTTTTAATCATGTTTGGACCCTGCAAGACCCCTATCTGTGGCATCAGAACGCAAATTCGGTACATGGCTAATTTTACGCATATGAGGAGAGAGACGCAATCAACAAAATGAGATAGATACCGGTGTCTCACTCTCCGGTCCAGATCTTTATGGAAGAGACCTTCAAGAGAGATCTAGATCCTTTTTGGTAGTTCAGCACTCAACCGTAGAGCCTCTGATTGGGCAAGACTCGTGGGATCCGTGGAACAACACCTTCGTCATATGAATAGAGCTTGAAGATGTCTATTAGCAACGGCAGCGCAATGAACCGAACTTCTTGTTAACGACTACCATCTCCGCGCTCAGTATCTGGTAAAAACGTTACTATTCTCTTGGCAGTTAATTAGGTACCTACCCAGGTAGGCAGGTAGTATAATGGCGTACCTACAAGAGATAGCATGATAATGATATGAAGAGGAGAGAGGGTTACTGACAATCTTTAGATATGGATAAGTTAGGATCCTCTAACTTTCTAGCATGTTCACTATAGATTTGGAATAGCAAATGAACAACACTTCAGCGACACTTTGAAACTTTTCTTCTTTCTCCCACTCCAGTCTATCGGGATGTGGCAGCTTGGAGTCATAATATTATCCGCCGTATATGGCGTGTTCGCCAAACAGAACTGCCCTCTATACGGGCTAGGGTACCCGAAGCCCACGGATCTTCTCGGGCGCCCAGAAACCCAGAAAGCAGCAGCAGCTCTAGATTCCTTGTTCTTTGAATACTTCGACAATTCGAATAATACCAAATCTAGCAACTTCTCGTACTCAGTTGAAGTATTCTCCACGGAAGATGAAGAACCTCTGTGGTCTCATTATCGGACGGCGCCTAATTTGAAGGGACTCAATTCTACAGGCGTTGACGAAGTTGATGGCACTACGGTCTACCGAATTGGGAGTGTTACGAAGGTGTTTACAATGTTGACATTTCTAGCGGAAGTCGGTGATTCTCTTTGGAACGAACCTATCACCAATTATATCCCTGAAATTGCGGCTCTGGTTGACGGTGCTGACAATTCCCATTCGATCTCAACCGCAGATTGGGAATCCATCACACTCGGCTCGCTAGCGAGTCAAATGTCTGGTCTTGAAAGAGACTGTAAGGGACCGTTCGTCTTTAAGAGATCTTTTAAAAGAAGGCTAAACTAAAGTTGCGTACAGATGCTCTAGTCGGCGAGCTCACGCAAGGAGCGACCGCAGCTCAAGCTGCAGGTCTCGGATTTCCCATCATAGATGATGATGAAATACCGCCTTGCGGTAACAGACCAGTCTGTAATAGAACTCGTAAGTTCACTATTCATGGTCTAAATCTCAATGTTAATTCGTCAGCAGAGTTCTTCCAGGGTCTCAAGAAGTTACCTCCTTCATTTTCACCCTATATCACGCCTGCCTACTCAAATATCGGATTCACTCTTCTAGGCTATGCTCTAGAACAAATGACCGGGAAACCTTTCAACGAGATGGTACAAGATAGAGTACTCAAGCCACTGAATTTGACTCGCACATTCTACAGCGCCCCCCAAGATTCCCTGGGAGTAATACCCGGTGACCGCTATAAAACCAACTGGGCTTTTGACCTGGGTAATGAATCGCCGTAAGTAGCTTCCTATCGCATGCCAACTTTTCCCTTCGCTTACTAAGAGACAGCACTGGCAATATGTATACATCGTCTTCGGACTTATCCCAACTTGGCCGAGAAATTTTGAAATCAACGTTGTTACCTCCAACCATGACACGAAGATGGCTCAAGCCCGTGGTATTCAGTTCCGATCCAAAATCCGGTATCGGCATGCCGTGGGGTGTGCGCCAGTTACCCCTTTCTACAGGTATGTAGAATAGCCCTGGTCGCGACTTGGTGGCTGACTGATCACGGATAGATATGCCATACCAGTTCGCAACAACTTTCAACAAAGCTGGGACATTGGGAAAATACGATGCACTTCTAGCTATTATTCCCGACTTCAACATCGGCTTCTCCGTCTTAGCGGCAGGTGATGGCCTTAGCGGAATAGCGATGGATATGGCGGATATACTGTCGAATGTATACCTTCCCACTATGGTGAACACAGCACGTGCCCAAGCCGACGAGGTATACAGCGGCACGTATAAGAGCTCAGAACCTGGAGTAAACTCAACCCTTACCGTCGTGGCGGACAGTCAGACCCCTGGGCTAAGCCTAAGCTCTTGGATAAGCAATGGCACGAATTTGATGTGGTACTCAGTAGTTATAAGCCAAGGTGTACAAGAGGAATATTGGGGAAAGGTCCAGCCGAGCGTCCGACTCTATCCAACTGGCCTATGGGATGCGGTCGCCGACGGCGGAAAGAGAGTGGCGTTCAAAGCCGTATTCGAGGACTTGAGCTTACGTAATATTTCGAATCCATTCACAACGGACTGTGTCTCCTGGGTCACTGGTTCAGGTATCCTGTACGGGTCTAGGCCATTAGACCAATTCATCTTCAACATCGACGCCACGGGAAAGGTAACAAGCGTGGAGAATGGCGCGCTAAGGAACAAGTTAGACAAGGTGTAAATAATCACTCATCCGGCTTTTATCTCGGTGTCGCGATTACATACGCTCCGTTCCTCCCCCTATTTTGTCTTACTCGCCACGGACGTCTTCGAAGGTTTTCCGGGATTTACCCTGCCGCATCCGCATGTAAGCTTGATTCTGCGGCTTTAACGCGGCCACAAATTTGACGGGGTCTGTCAAGGGCGGGGATCCTTTTTTGGAGTCGTGACGGTGACGTCGCAATCAAGCGGGCGATCCCATGATACGCGAAGGATCCCGGTCCCGAGATGAAAGTTTACTTAAGCCCGGTTTTATCAGCATTTGTTAATATGTAGTCATGGAAAACCTTTCCAAATATTCAGCTGAAAAGCCGCTATTGCTAGACTTATATGCAGTGTCCTTAGTAACCAGGCTTAGTTGAACCACACAGGGCTTGACTTCCCGTCGGGTTTGGGACGCAGCGCGATCATTTGAAACCTAGCCACTCCGGATAGAGCGTTTGTATGTCTACAATAAGCCCTAGGTAACTAGGCGAGGCTTAATTGTTTATCGTGCTCCTTCGTGGCATTGGATCGGTGGGTTGAATGGAAATATTTTCCCTTCGTCGACTGCTGTAGGTAAGGCCTTACAAAGTAATTGGTAAGGGTCATGGAATAAATCAAGTACATGTATCATTGTTGCCCCGCTGCTACCGTTGCGTCCTCATTTGGCGACTGGTTTTGGCCATATATATCGCCAGATACGTTGCTATATGATAGCCAGTATCATGCTGTAACATCGGAATCAACAACTGAGTTAAATATATCATATATTCGCTATCCTGTCAAATATTTTTCTCTATCAACTCACACGCCATGTCCGATACCAAATCATTCAACATTGCTATTGTCGGTGGAGGCATCAGCGGGATTTCGCTAGCCATAGGTCTCTATAAGAAGAATGTGCCCTTCACAGTCTACGAGTCAGCCTCGAAATTCGGAGAAATCGGCGCCGGCTTAGGCTTCGGGCCAAACGCTGTAGTAGCCATGGGGCTCATCTCCCCAGACATCGTCGCAGGGTATGAGCGGTGCGTCACACACGGCTGGAAGTCAAAGGAGAGGGACTGGTTTACCGTCCGCGTCGGCGACGAACGTAAAGCCGGTCCAGACGGAATCCTGAAGCAGAAGGAGAAGGAGGGGTTGAAAGTCGGCGACCCCATCTTCGATATTCGCTACACTAATGATGGCCTTGCCGGGGGTGTACATCGGGCCCATTTCCTAGACGAAATGCTCAAGTTGATACCTGGCTCCGTCTCGAAGTTTGGAAAGAGGTTAGTCGACATTACAACTGCTGACGGGTCTGAAGACGTCGTGCTCCACTTCGCGGATGGGACAACAGCGCAACATAGCGCCGTGGTGGGCTGTGATGGGATCAAATCTAAAACTAGGGATATTCTGCTGGGGGAAGAAGGAGGAAAGGCGTTGTTCTCTGGCAAGTACGCATATAGGGGGTTGGTACCGATGGAAAAAGCTGTCGAGTTGCTTGGCGAGGAATTGGCTTGGAATAACCAGCTCTTTATGGGATATCATGGCCACTTGCTTACCTTCCCCATCGAAAAGGGGAAGACAATGAATGGTAAGTGAAGGCCAGGAGTTTTATCCTCGCACGGCGAACTTGGACTAACTAGGTAATTGATAAATAGTTGTCGCTTTCAGCTCCTGCGATACATGGACCGACCCCCAGTGGGTGATCAAAACGACAAAGGAGAAGATGCTTGAAGACTTTAGCACATGGGGCCCTATGGTGGTCAAGATCATCGAGGCCATGGGGAAACGGGACATCTGGGCTTTGTTCAATGACCCTCCTGCGTCAACCTACTATGGTACGAATCCGCGTGTCTGTCTCCTTGGTGACGCCGCACATGCAACGACTCCGCATCAAGGGTCTGGAGCGGGCATGTGTATCGAGGATAGTTACATCCTCAGTGGCCTGATGGGAGAAGCTAAAAGCGTACAGGACCTTGACAAGGTGTTCAAAGCATACGATGAGGTGAGACGACCGAGAACTCAGAGATTGGTCGAAACGAGTAGAGAGGCGGGTATGCTGTATGAATTTGAACTTGAAGGTGATGATCTTGAGGCGATTGAAAAGAACTTCCAGGCTCGGATGAGCTGGATTTGGGATGAGGATTTGCAGAAGGAGCTGGGAAAAGCTCTTTCGATATTTTATGCAAACGTAGAAGGATAAAGCAAGAGACCAATTTATTTTCTAATCTTATATACTATCTATATACCTATAACGATATTCAGCTTTCATTATCTTCAGAATCGAAACCAGTGCCCTTTTCAAGAAACATCAGAATGGCCTCTTGATGCTCTTCGAAAGCGTATGACAACGGCGTTTGGCCTCGATTATCTCTACAAGTTAAATCAGTGCCTTTATCAAGTAGTATCTTGATGATCGATTTTTTATAGGCTTCGATAGCATATGATAACGCTGTTCGGCCCTGGTCATCTTTAAATTCGACATCAGCGCCCCTTTCAATTAGGAACTTAACAATCGCCTCATGTCCTTTTTTAGCAGCCCTGTGTAATGGCGGACAGTTAGTTTCAGACTCAATGTTAGCGCCTTCTTCAACTAGAAACTCAACGATCGCCATATGCCCACAATTAGCAGCCCAAGATAACGGCGAATTGTAAGACGCTGTTTTGCCATTAAGGTTAGCGCCCTTTTCAACTAGGAACTTAACAATTGACTCATGCCCATTCTCAGCAGCCTTGTGTAACGGTGTAGAAATACTTCCAGACTCAATGTCAGCACCATTTTGAACTAGGAACTTAACAATTGCCTCATGACCATTCCCAGCAGCCTTGCATAACGGCGTATAGTCATCTCCAGACTCGATATCAGCCCTTTTCAACTAGGAACCTAACAACTGCCTCATGTCCATTCTTAGTAGCCTCGCGTAACGGCGTATAGTAACCTCCAGACGCAATGTAAGCGCCCTTTTCAACTAGCAGCTTGACTACTTCTTCGAATCCTTTAGCAGCTGCTAAACACAGTAGTGTCTCTCTAGAATTATTCTTCACGCCGACGTCGAAATCGGTTAGACTGAGGAAATTAAAGACGATTGGCTCATTAAATTTCTCCATGAAATAGAAGGCAGGGTGCGTTTTTCGTGGGTAAGTGAAGTCGCGTCCAAGGCTGGAATGTTTACTTCCGTCCTGGTACAAATTTTCACATAAGTTGTGAAATGGAGACGATGGAGGTATGATTTTTTCCAGAGTTTGCAAGAATGCCCGGACTGCTTCATGGCTGTCGGTAGCCAGCGCTGCGAGAAGTGGCATGCCGTAACGTTCATCCTCAACTTCGAAGTAGGCTAGGTTGGATGGTCGGGTTTTAATGAGATTCCCCAAATTGTTCTCTGCCAATATATATAAAAGACTTGCCGTTGGAGTATGACGGCGTACTTCGTGTCGTTCAAATAGGTTGTCAAGTTTAACCCAATCAGGAATCTGAAAAGTCTGTAGAAATTGCATCTGGTTGACTCCGCCTCCCTCTGCTGTATCCGAGTGGTAGAGAACATTTCGTACAGCGTAATCTAAAAACGGGAACGCTTTGTCTACCGATCGGCGAAGTGCCGCAGCTTCCTGGGACGATGCTTTCGGAAGTGAGTTGACGTCCACACAGGCAGAGATGTCAATACTGATGTAGTTGAGACAGCACTGCTTTAATCGTTCGTGGCTTTCTCCTTGGAAATTACTTCCGAGATCAGACCAAATTTCCTTCAATTCGTTTTCTTTGAAAAGAAAATCTTTCACCGATTCATGAATGAATTGAACCGTCGGAATCTTGGACCTAGTGATTTCTGCTAGTCCTTTAGAGGAACTGAGTATAAATCTCTTGATAACGGATGCCGTTATCTCGTCGGGATTCCAATCGGATAAGGCTTCAGGTTCGACACCGGAAAGGATGGCAAAGTATAACTGCTCCGGCTTTAAAGGTCGTCTTGCGAAAAGTACCCACTGAATGCATAGAAGTAGTTCGCCTCTGTTGTGGTGATCGCGCATTAGAATATCACGGAACAGCTCGTGCAAGTCCCCAGGGATTTCTCGAAGTCTTCGTCGAAGCGTATGAGTATGACCATCGTCATTCTCCTTGTTTAGGATTTGAACCACTAGAACAACCCACATGAAGACCCCTGCTGCCTTTTCTTTGAGATCGATGCGGATCTGCTCAGCGAGCTTACTGCGCCCAATCCTCAACTCGCTGTCCAAATAGCTTACTATATCTTGGCTGTGCCCCTCTTGCCCTTCGAGAACCAGACTGAGTCCTTTCTTGATCGTGATATGAGGGTAATGCCTACTCGAAAAACAAACTTGGAATTTGGTAGTCAGTTCGCTTATGTGTTCGAAAAAGGATATCATATCTCGGATTTGATACTCGTCGCACTCATCCAATGCATCGACAAAACATACCAGGGAATGTTCTTCAAGATTCTGCATAGCTTGTTCAAAGAGTGCCTTTAGAGCCTCAACACTCCATCGATGGCGTCCACCGTTCCATGTTGCTAATCCTAAGGAATCAAAGACGCGTTGAAGTCCTGGAAGTTGTTCAAGAAGCTGTAATAGTAATGCTCGATACATTCCAGTTGTAGACTTCTCTAAATTGTCACCTCGGGCATTGAAGAAAAAAGAGATAATAATATTGCCTTTCATCTTCTTTCGGGCATTGGCAAAGATGAACTTCATCAGTGTTGACTTTCCGGCCCCGGGTTTCCCTTTAATCCATAAAAAGCCATGATGTATGCCGAATTTATCACGATCAAGCCAATCGAGATATTCTGTATTTTTTAGTAGCCATCTGCACGTCTTGGCGTATGCATTCTTGATAGTCATTTGGCGAGCATCGATTTGGTCGAATCTCAATGAGTCTAGCAGTATCCGTTTCTGCTCTTCATTCAACGACCACCCCGTAACTCTTGTGGGCTTGTTAGATACTATAGCTGTCATCCTGCAGAGAGCGTCGGCGACCTTCTGGTACTCAATATCATCGAATCCCGTGAAGCGACACATTTCCCTGTGGTCCCGCCCAATATGTTCAGTTATCTCAACGCCAGGAATATTAAGGTAAGATGACATATCATCTACAACCTAACTAGGGTTAGCAATATACGGAAATATATATCATCAAACATACCTTCTGGCCGCTGAGAAGATTGATGCCAAACTGTTCCTGGAAGGAGTGTATGATCCAATTCTGCTCTTGAGCCATCGGCCCAAATTCGTCCCTCAGTTCTCTAAGACGTTCCGAAGATGGCAATAGAGAGTTTACGATTTGCTCGTTGACAGAAAACCCGGCGGCTTTGATTACTTTCTCGGCAATGCTCTTGAGAAACCCGCGAGGGTCAGCTCCGGCGTGTGGGGTGCCAAAAAACATGATCCCAATTGTGGACTCAAATACCGTATAAAGGTGAGCATGGCCCATATGACAACCTCTCGACCGCCGAAGAAGCTCCTTGACGAGAATCCCCCCCAGACTATGCACCACAAACAACATTGGCCTCGATGGCTCTGATCGACGTTTGGACTCAAGGGCAACCAAGAGATCCCAAGCGAAATCGTAGACCGTATTTCTGTTTACAGGAGATCCTATCACATGTCTGATGTGTGTATCGTACCCATATGTCAAGATACGTGTATTGGGGATTGTTGTTGGAACTAAATCTCGCGGCCAGTAGGTAGGAGCTCTACTGTCATCATGGGAGCTTGAGAAAGGATTAAGCTTTCGAAATTTATGGGGGCGCTCGGCAAGTTCACCGCCTGCACAGTCGTTATGATGTCTTGCACCACCTTTCTTTGAAGTCCATGTGCGTTCAGGATGGCCGGTAAATCCATGTATAAACACGATGCTTTCTCAATTAGTAAGAAGTACACGGTTTTTATGAATAAGAAGAAACTCACTCAAGAGTCGGGTTATTAGATTCAAAAAGGACCGTTAGTCCGGTCGCAGAAACATGCTTGCGCCAATATTCCTCCTCCGACTCGTTCATCTCATGTAATAACCCAAAGGAATTGAGGATGTTAGTTTTGAACTAAGTTTTAGTTGAGGTATGTAGGGTTTTCGGTTTCAGATGGAGAAAATTTTGAAGGCAAATGAAGAAAGTGCGAGGGAAAAGAAAATAGGACGAGGGCGAATTGTCTAGCGAGTATTCAGCCTCGTTGGGTCGAATATATCAGGTAGGCAGAGTGCAGCGTGGCTGAGGAACCCAAGCCGAGCCGAGCTCACGTCGGAGACTGGATTGAGTTTCTACTGGATACCTACCGCCTGTAATATTCCATCATCGCCCCAAAATACAACTCTATGGCGGTGGCGGTGGTGAGGGGCAGCGGGCCAACTCAAACATTCTCGACGAAGAGCTGGCTATAGACAGATACGTCCGGGGTTGATGCTCCTATGTTAACAAACGCTTAAACAAGCGACGGATAGGTTAGGAAGTTGAAACTGAAATTGATGACTAGAATATCGTAAACTCCTCCTCCCAAGCCCTCAATTTAAGCGCCTCCCCATCCATCATGCCCACGACAAAACAAGGACCAACAATACGCCAAAACAATGCAGCACGACGGAGGACGATAGGAATTGATAGGCCATACAGAACCACGACTATATCCCCGCTGCGGACACACATGTCCCCAAGCCCAAGATAACCGTGGGCGGTCCAAAAGAGAGATGCGTGGCCTAGACGCAGGAAAAGGTCGACGAACTCAGACCTCACTTCTTCGATATTAGGCGGATCGGCGCCCGCCGCGACGTCGAACACGGGCCAATGGGAAACGGAGCCAGTCCGCCGCAACTTCAACCCGGGGCACAGGCCGAGCGATAGAAGTTGATCTGCGGCTTCCGAAAGCTGGATGTACCTGTGGTAGTTCCGATCGCCTTCCCCCTTCGAGATGAATTTCGCTATACTTTGAAACCAAACCTGAAACCTGGGCTGCCAGTACTCGATGTCGAATGAACTCTCCTGTTCGTTGGGATATGTCAATCCGAGGTGTGTGGTGTCTATCGGGTCAACCCTCACACCGCGAACTTTAACTAGCCGTCGATTGTCGACGACTGATACGTGCGGGGGCTTCGAGCCGCTTGCGTCGAAGAGCCCCTGGCTGCGGAATATCTCGAAAGGCTGCACGAGATGTGTAAAGTTTGGGATCCAGCTCTGGCTCGACGCGGGTACGCTGCTAGCGTTGCAAAGAAGAAATAGTCGAAGGTCTTGTTCCCTTTGAAGGATAAAGGTGCAAGCGTCTCTATAGGACTCCTCGACAGCCTTCCCATCGCATACCCTAAAGGGCAGGAGTCCGCGAATATCTCGGTAAATCGGGAAGAGGGCGTAGATTTTATCTCGGGGATCGGTTGCCTGCAAGCCCCGTGTTGCGAATAACATACTCATCAAAGAGTTCCAGTCTGCAGTGCCCCCTAAAGGGGGACCATTGCTGGAATTTTCTTTGCCAGTATGACTTGACCTGATCCGCGCAAGTTCGTACATGGCTTGAAGCTTTGGTACCCACGGGATCAATTTTGTGACGCGATATCTATTTAGCATCATCGTCCGGATGGCGTCATTCACCGCGAATGCATCCTCGAGAGCTATTTGCTTGTCGCCGCATAATATGTAGCTAGGGGTATTCGGGGTTGACGCCTCCTGCCATACCCAAACTCGGTGCCAGTACTTGCGAAGGGCTAAGTTATCTAGAGATTTCGTCTCTCGTAGAGACAGATCGGTTGGTTCGATTAATTCTCCTTGTCGGACTTTATCGACAAGTCGCAACCAGCAGTCAATTGCGACACCGCTATCATGACTATCCTCCCCAAGCCAGAGACCGATATGGCTTGCCCTTTTATATATTTCGCCCATTAATGTCAATTGCAGACTTTTTTCATGCTTATCTAATTGGTTGATGCAAATTGCATCGACCCAGAGAAGTGTTTCATCGATGCCAGATGCGTATGGAGGTAAGGAATTAGAATTGGAGTGTCGTCGAAGAAAGGCATGAAGGTTATTTTGAATAGGGGTGTTATGTCCATCTATACTAATTATTTGGTCCGGATTGTCTGCCCCCCACGTGTATGAAAGTGCCATGTAGCTGGGACACGACTCGAGTGGGAAGCTGACCAGCTCATAGCTGAGAATGTCGCTAGTATCATGATCCTGATCAGATGAAGGCGGAGGCCCGCGAACTAGTCGCATAAGCCGTATGTGAGTTGTGGGAATTTTCTGATAAGGATAAATTGACATCGAAGTACTGTAGAAATTCAATTCTGAAATTTCAATTCAACGGAATCAAAGCTCAAGAATGTATCCATGGATGTACACTTGATGAGGGAGATATAAATGAATAAGCAAGTAACCCAAATGTAGCACGGCATTCAGGTACATGACTTCCTAACCTTCTCAGTACTAGTCTGGTACTTGGTGTAACATTGCATAAGTACACAGCCACAGATACACAGCCGCAAAAAATCTACGCAGTATGTAACCCGAAACTCCCTCAGTTATCTTGCCCAGTGGGTAATCGGATAAGCAATCGCCGTAAACTGTATTCGGTTAGAATAAGATCACCTAGACCTAATAGTGATCTGTCCGCCTATAACTCCACTCAAATATAACGAGCATCTACTAAATTCTAAGGGCTGAACCGCTGAAGAAGAACTCCCCACGCTGCCCACGCTGCCACGGTGCGAGAGTGACCTTGTACTCAGACCTTCGTACTTAGGTAGATTTCCATAAAAGCTCGCTCTTGCTGTTGTTTGGTCTCAATCGGGGTATCTACACTCTAAGGTTCAATGGCCTGACAGCCCCCAATTCTTACATTTAGCAAGGTCAATAATCATTGCATATGCCGGAACCCAATGGATGATTTTTTTACACTTAAGAACCATTCTGCCGTTCTCATCTTCCTGAAAAGTGTGGATGTACCAGGAACACAGCCACTACACAGCCGAAACCATATATGTGACGGTTAGATTACTTGCGCAGATTTATGGCAGCTGCGAACAGCTGCGTCCCGGCTGTTTCCCCAGATACTATTGTTCCTATTAGTTACCCCTATTGATTGTTTCGTTTATTTGTCAATTGAGGTATCTATCGACGTATGTAATACCTAATAGGCCTAACAGCCTATGACAATTGTGCAAGAACTATTTACATGACGAAACGAGTTGAATCAATCTTATGACCTCCTAGCTGCCAAACGAATTTGCAAGATGAAAGTTAAAGTACCGCGATCGTGCCACTAGTGGGATGCGTGATAGTTGTAGAGTTTGGGGCCACTGCCGCTGCCTGGTATGACGAGATAGTAAGGTGGGATAGTGCGACGCGAGTTACTTTCTCCTGAGGTACATGCACGTAGGGCTTGTACTCAGACAGCGTCTTGGTACTAACGTGGTACCTGGCGGGATTTTGAGAGAATATTGAGGATTGAAAGAAAGCAAATAGGTATCATAAGATGAAACTTTGCCGGAACCGAAACTCCCCGGGCCTCGCGGCCTATGGTTTAAATATCGTTTACTCATCTTCCTCCTTGATGTAGACTGAATGGAAATCTTCATGTGAATGCCGAGGTTTCAAGGCATCGTGAATCGGAAAATCGGCCTAGTATGGCAAATAGACGAACCTGAACTTTCGGGATTTCACCATCACCACCACTGGCGGTAGTAGTGTCCGAGAAATATGTCGGTCGATGAGAACCTAGCTTGGTTTCTACATCAACGTCACCACCACGCAAATGCGAAAAGAAAAGAAAAAACAAAGAAAATTCGTCAGATCCGGATCCAGATGAGTCACTTCACCAGTTGGCTCACTTAATGAAGAGCTGGGTGACGCGATGTAATTTATGTGAGTTATCCATAGGCCGAGGGATAAAGGTATTGACAGTCCAAGGCAGACCCCAAAACACATAGAAAGTGATGGATGCGAGGAGCACTGCTCTAAGAAACTCATCATGGGATGTGCCTCTACTGGATGGGGTTAGATTCTCTACCATCCAGAATATACTCAGCATCATCACTGCCTGCAGAATTCCCTGTATCACTGCTGAAATCAGACATCTTGTTCTTCCTAACGAGCCATCTACCCCCTAGAAACTTACGAATGCACGGGTCCGAAGGCTTACGCTGCTTCGATTCAAAGGGTACTAGTTTCGCATTGTTGTTGTCGATCGCACTCGTCGTGCAGCCACACGAAAGGCCGGGTACTCCCATCTGACGCTTGACGTCGCGAGCCACCTCATCCCATTCTCGACGCTTGCTGCCGAAGCTCTCAAATGGTCCTATTACGAGCGTCTCAAAATCAAGCGTTTTCGGTTCGCTCTCATTGGCCTGTTGTCCGACCTCTCGTGGTACTTGGCCGTTCGGTTCCGATCCAAGTAAGAGCTGGTGCTCATGAGGAGGGCATTGTTCACAAAGTCCATGTGCGTAGCCAATATCGCGGAAGTACCAAATTTGGGTTCTAGGCAAGAACATATTGACACTGAGCGTGTGAACAGGGGCGTCGCCATATCGCTCATAGTAAAAACCGCCAGCTCTGTCTAGATGGTCGAAATAAGCTTGATGTTCTTCGCCACGGAAAAATTCTAGAGAGCCGATCTCGAAGTTCGAGTAAAATTGGCAGTTGTTATATTCACCATCACCAGAGGCGTGTTGAATGCCAGTACTGGGATGGAGAGTCTCGTCGCGATCCTTAGGGTCGTGTAATAACCAGTTAAAATCGGCATCCGGGTGTATGAGCTCCCCATTACTGTCGATAAAGTCTTTGGTGTGTTCCCAGAGAGAAGGGAAAGATCGAGCATCGTCGAGGATAGCCATGTTGAATCCGTACGACATGTTGTTCTCTTGCATGAATCGGAACACATCGTATTTGATATCACAATAGAATTTGACCTGTGATGGTTTTGTTAGTTACATGACTTACCACAGGGGTAGAAGCTAACTTACGCCAGGTTCAACTCGCCAAAACCAGTCATAGTCTTTGAGGCGGTCTTCCAATGCAAAGAGGCCAGCATTCCAACGGCACATATGGTGGTAGCTCTGGAGCCAAGCTTTACCAACGCCGATCCTTCCCATGAATTGACGGCCAACATCAAACCGAGTCTCATCGATAAAACTCGGAATTCTCCAATTTGTTACGTTGATACGTTCGAAGTGGCACTGGGAGTAAGTCGCCTTAGAGACAGCTTCTTTGAATTCCTCAGAGAATTCTTCGTTGTTGAAGAATACCCAATCATACTGATGGGTTTCACGCTTGTTGAAGCGAGCCTCTATCTGGGTGATGCTGGCAACCATATCTTCAACCTCCTCGTTTCGTACCAAAGACATGAAAGCTGCCTTTGGACGTGTGTCGATCAGCATCTGCACCTGCTGTGCTGATAGATCTTCCAAGTCTAAGAATGTGTTCTTGCGGAGCCACTCGACTGGGTGACCGGCTTCACCTGGAATGGTGTAACCTGCGGGCGGCGGCGGCATAGGAGGGATATAGGCGTCGATGAGAGCTGGTTTCTGGACATAGGGCACTCCTGAATCCCTGGTAGTACAAATAAAGCTTGCACCAAGAAGAGTGACGATCAAGCCCAGAATAACGACTTTTCGGAAAGAAATGGGCCTTTAACGGGGTTCGATATTATTAATAGGTGATTCACATCGGGAAATATGCGCGAAACATACCTAACTCGACGCGGCACGAACCTCCACCAGGAGCCTCGGGCATTGTTATAAGGCGGTTCTACCGCATCATCTAGAGCACCTGCCTGGATAACTTCATCTTCTCGGGGCGTAAGGTGAAGAGGGGAAACACGATCTTCATTCGATGAACGCGACCAGGAAGGGACATGACCTTTGCCACCAGTTGGTCGGGCTTGAACCCCAGCACTACGACTGCCGACGTTACGGGAATATGATTGAGACATATCGGACTTTACTCGTCCTTCGTTACGTTAGTCAAGGACGAAGCAAATAGATGGGACTTATAGAGTTCAGGTCGACAGGATTTACATCGTAAGACTCAAAGGGGACAACGACGAGTGATGGGGCTGTAGCAAAAAAGCAACAACAACAGGGCACTTACGAGGATGAATGAGATCCCGACGAGGCAAAGACGCGAAATGGCAGTCTGATTTGAAAAGGGAGTGCGAAAATTGGGGTAGGATTGTGGATAAACCGTGAATGGGTTTATCAGGAAGACAAGATACGATTAGGTGAGGCAGAAGTGAAAGTAAAAGAAAAACGGTTTGAGGTGTCGACGAAAGGTGTGGACGAAAAAGGGTAGTGAAGTGAACAGTGAAGTTGTTAATGGGAAGGTTATTTTTTTACCGTGGAAGTGGGTGGTGGGCTTAGTGTTGTTTCATGGGAAAGATACTGTACCTGTGCTTCGCTTGATGAGATTGGAAGTCGTGGATTGTTTCCATACTGGGGCAAACAATTAAGCTTGGTGCCTTATCCATAGGTAGCCGCCTGGGAAACAACCTGATAAAAGGAGGTCATACGCGACTTCCTACGGGATGCTACACCAAACCATATTTCGCTGGTTGTTATCTTCCGTTCTGCACCGACCACTCTAGCCCGTCACCTGCCATCTGCCGGCCAATTCAGAATCCAATCACGTACTGTATAATCATGTGACGCATCAGACACCAGCACTATAGGCCCTTATGGATTGAAGAAGCTAAATATAGTACAGGTAGCTAAAGCAGGTAATACCGGTCAATTAGGGCATTTCGGACTGGCACCTACGTCTGAAGATCCGATAACTAAACGCCCCTTCCCATTTACAACCTAGTAACTCCCCCGTGAATAATAGTACCGTCCCATTTACGTATCGACCGTCATAGCATCGCCGGTTATGTCGTCTTCCAGCGTGAGGTCGAGGACTCGTCCGTATTGTACAGTCAGGCGTTGTAGTTCCCTGAATTTTCCTAGAGGATAGTTAGCGTCTGATAAAGACGAGACGAGACACAGCAAGATTGCGATAAAGGATGCTTACCTAGAATCATCACCACTCCTTTCAGCAGTTCTTTTCGATCCCAACCGCAGATGTCGTCTTCTTTGCTGTACCATCCCTTACCCCCCGCCTCACCTTCCCCTTTCTTATCTTGCAGTACCCCACCTAGCAAGCTATTGAGAAGTTCTTCCACCTTCCCTCGATGTCCTTCCGCTCCGATCCGTTTCGCGTACATGAATAGGTAAAGTCGGAATTCTTCCTTTGATCCTAGTTGTAAGGCACCGGCGATACGGTTCTCCAGGTGGGCGATGCTGACGCTGGACTCGAAAGACTCGAACCCGTCTCTCGACAGCAAGGTCTTGATCAAACGTTGCAGTGTGTATGCCCTACCCTTTAGTAAGAACTCGTTTGTTGTATGTCGCTCTAGGAACGGAATTATGCCAGCTGAAACAGTAGCTTCCTCGCTTTGACCATCCTTAGAAGATACAGGTCCGACTGCTGTAGACTGTAGAGCACCAACTGAGGAGTCGTTACTATTCCAATATTGACTACCTACAGCCCACCAGGATTCGGAGAGTCGTTGCCAAGAATACATAGTGGGAGAATAATAGTATCCGTCTCCATTAGTAAGTGTGACAACGATATGGCCATTGGAGTTCAGATGCGCGGAAGTGACGCCGGGAGCTGGCATGGCGCTATGCGTTTGAAGAGAGCTGATTGCGATCTCGAGTACGGGGGCAAGTGATACTGGAGGGTGAGGTGAAGAAAGCGAATTGATATTCCAAACGTGGCATATACCAACCGCTGTGATGCACAGCAGCCACCAATCTCGACATTCCAGAATGACAGGTTGAGATTCCAATACCATCGCATTAATGAGCCGGCGTCCAGCTGGTGTCCAGGTATACAAACTACCATCCTCACAGGCCGCAGCCCAGAATCTCTTACTGCCTGTTACAAGGACGATAGCACGGGGGAGGTAATCTTGCCACAGTAAAGTACCTCGTTTCGATGCTGTGATGTGTGACGGGTCTCTGATCGACACTGGGTTCTTCGCTTCAAGTACAGTATTTTCAGTCACTTTTGACGCTTCATCTGGGCTACCCTCTTCAAGCAGAACACCTCGTTCTAACGGACGAAGAATATGTGATCTCACCTTGGGGACTGCTAGGCGAACTTGGGAAATAGCAATAGACGGGTTCAGAATCGCCGGTCTGAGATATTCGGGCGTTGGCACTAGACCGTGATTGAGGGGCTCCAAAGCCGCAGGCTCAAGGCTGTCGGCCCCGTTTCTCATTATCGTTCTTGGCCCGGAAGCAGCCCGTTTGCTTGGATGCTCTTCGTCTTCTTCTCCTTCAGGGGAAATTGCTTTTCTCTTATTGCCGAGCAGCATAGCTGCTAAGCCACCTTCAGGTAGCCCATCATACGGTTTAGAGAGGTCTAATATTGTTTGCGGTGCATCATTTTGTGCGGCTTTCGAGCTAGATCCAACCAGTTGGCTCTGAGGAAGTGAAGATTGACCGGTCCCGGATGAGGAGATGAGCATTGGTGCTACTCTTTTCTTTCCATCCTTAGTAATTGTTACGCGTGACTTTAATTCGTTTACCCGCTGGGCGGTTTTATCAGCCGTCTCTTCTGCGGGGGCAACCTGATCGGCCTTTTCCTTCTCTGGTTGGGAATCGGGCTGTCCGTTGGTTGATGGGGGGTTTGGTGTCGATGCAGTGGTGTTCTTAACCCCATTTGTTGCAGGGGGCGCATCTTTGGGAAGTGGATGAAAATCGCCCATGAGAGCTCCCATTCTCGATTCGGCACCTCTCCTTTCTCCCTCCTTGCTATAGTTTTCTAGCTGAAGCCCGTCAACATCTTCAGCAATACCCATGGCTTTCCGTGAAGCTCCATATTTAGAGAGGGCCTTGTCAGTCTCTTCGAGATTAGCCACCCACCCCAATTCTCCAGTGTCAAACTTGACAGCAACAATACCACCGTCAAGGCTCGATGCGAAGAGTATTTGTCCATCAGGGGTCCAGGCAAGATCGGAGATTGATTTCGCTGCAAGGTCCTGTAATATAACTACAGGTCTCGACGTGTTCGTGTTCCAAATACTCAAGGTTTTGTCTTGGCCAGCAGACGCTATCACCGTTACCAATGCTCCTCCCGAGTGGCCATTAGCCGCTCCATTTTCCAATGGTTTTTTGGTATGGAATAATCGAGGAGAGAACATGCAAACTTCCGTTGGACCCTCGTGGCCAATTAAGTTAATTTCACTATCCCATCTTGTTCGCTCGATTATAGCAACCGAGCTTACGGGCCCATTGACTGCATTAGCTGCAGCAATGTGGTTGCCATCTGGCGACCACGAGCACCTTCGGAAATATGTGGTTAAAGGGGACGATTTAAAGGGGGAGCTAATGGTGGTCTCGAGCTGAAAGTTGTTTACCATGTCGTGTTGAGTCGCATTAGGGGCAGGTGGGGTAAATCGGAATATCTTGATAGATCGATCATCACTTGCGGTAGCGAAGAATTTATTAGCAGGGTCGAAAGTAATTCCTTTCACATGGCTTTGGTGGTTTCCCAGCACCTTGAGCTTCTCGAAGGTGTGCCCTGACCAGATAACAACCTTAGAATCTAGACCGACAGAAACAAGAATGGAGCCATCATAAGACCAAGCCAAATCTTGAACATCGTTATCATGTCCTATTAGTCGCCTCGAAGTTTTCCAATTCTCGACGGGAGGTGGTTCGTTCGTTCCGAAAGGAGCAATGGTTGGAGGACCACTCTCTAGTTGATATATACATATGATTTTGTCATCTGCGCCAGAGGCAAGGTAACGGCCGTTGGGTGAGAATCGTACGGAGTGTATGGTTCCTAGATGGTGGCTCATATGGCAGAGCTGCCTAGGTTTTTTGTAGGATGGATCGTCGGCATTGTAGATAGATTCTGTCGACCAAACTCGAACGTGTCCATCTGGAAAGAAAAGACATTAGCACATGCAAAATAACTAATAATAAGCCTTATCTGAAACATACCTCCACCAGCGGTTGCAAGTCTTTTGCCATCGGGTGATATGTGACAGCTGTAGACCTCAAAGTCTTTTTGTTCGCCTTCAAAAAATGGTCAGCTTTTTTCGCGAAGATCCCAGTACTTGAAGATGCGGAATTCATACCTTTATGGCTTAGCCACGATGGCTTAATGATGCGCATGGTGACTCGATGATGTGTATTGAAATGCGCATGTCATCATGAGGTTAATGCCAATAAAGCTAGTATTGGTAATAATGGGAATAGAACAAGATGCGCGTGCTCTAGGAAATTCAATGCATGATAATGTTGGTTTTGAAGTTTCCCAGGCGCGCGACGCGGCCGAGTCTGCATTCAATTTAAAGTTTATGTAATCATTTTAGCCTTAGCAGGGTCCACCTTTGGACCATGTACAAGGTACATTGATCAACGTCACACCCTGTCCTTGCCAGGATGACAGTTGCCGTTCTCCAGGGATCCAATCTTAATTCTGCTTAGGTAAACTTACGTAAGGGATTGATGATTACCTAATTAGGTCTTTACCCCTAAAAGGACTCGTTAGATTAAAGACAAGACCTTTGCCTTCTACTAACAACATATGATTTAAGCTGTTATGGCTTAAAGATAATAGTCACAATACATATCTTAAGGGGCACTAAGATATCAGATCAATTAATCAGAAATGCAACCGTCTTTCATTGATTCATTTCTTATAGAGCAAATGCATCATCAGTTTTCGTGGCCGAGCAACTACTTCGGGCAAAAGACAAAGGAAAATGGATATTGAGGCATCCTGCCACGGCAACGACATTCCCATGACTATTGCACCATGACATTCATCGCCTTCTGAAAAAGGGATTGTTCTCATGCGTAGTTCCTATCCCCCCTAACTCCTCTCAAATGCCTAGTTCCCCCTTCCAACGCCCCGTGAAACCATTGCTCGCATGCCGCATAGCTTGCGAAAACATTGGAAAATGAGAAGGTCAGTGCTTCCTCCTCCTGCAAGAGACGCATTCTAGACGTGGCGCACATCATGGGTTTCCGATCGAGAACGCATTTAACGATGGGGATGTGTAGTATTGTATTCGTGATTAATACCAGAGCAAGCGTATCGCGTATCCTGAAAGGCAAGAATGATGCTCGGTGTAAATAGCATATTCTAAGTTTCGGATACATCGTATCATACCTCATTTATTGGGTAGGATGGGCGCTGCTCAAGCGTATCCGTTATTTCCGTAGCGGGTCGGATGACGCGTCGTCGTCGTCGGCTCGTTGAAGTAAGGATGGTGACAAGCCTGCTTGGCAGAGATACGACCAGCGGGGTCATAAACGAGAAGAGACTCTAGAAGATCGAGACCGTTATCGTCAAGGTTCGAGCACAAGCTCTGCGAAGGGTCGCGCATCCATTTGGGGAAAGACGCTTTGAAGTCAGGGTACGAGGTTACTCCAGGCCAGATATCCTCGGAAGGCGTTCCCAGAAGGCTACTGAGATGTAAGTAAGATTGTCATAAATAGGCTGAGAGTGCATCATACCGAAATGTCTTGAAGATCTGATCAATCTCCGAGTCACCAGGGAACAGGGGCTTTCTGGTGCACATCTCCGCAAAGATGCATCCAACCGACCACATGTCAACACCTGTAGAGTACTGTCGGCCACCGAGCAAGATCTCGGGAGCGCGGTACCAGAGAGTAACGACTTCGTGAGTGTAAGTACGAAGAGGAACGCCAAAAGCACGAGCCAAGCCGAAATCAGCAAGCTTCAGGTTGCCGTCACGGTCGATCAACAAGTTCTGGGGCTTCAGATCCCGATGTAGAATTCGGTGGCTGTGGCAGTAACGAATTCCTTCGCACAGTTGACTCATGAATCGACGAACCATACTCGCACCTAGTCCAAGACGTCCTAACTCCGGCCCGGAACCTTCAGGAAGAGCCTTGCCACGACCACCATCGCTGATAGGAAGCGCTTCCATGTACTTCTTCAAGTCGAGATCGAGAAACTCGAACACCAGGTAAAGCTTGTGTCCTTCGGCGTGAACGATGTTGAAAAGTCGGACGATGTTAGGATCACGCATCTCCTTGAGTAAAGAGATCTCACGGATGGCAGTGCTAGGGACACCTTCATCTTCCGACTCAAGACGAATCTTCTTCAATGCGACAATACGGCCACCGTGGGCCAGGTCTCGGGCTTTGTAGACGACACCATAAGTACCTAAAAGAGATATTAAATTAGTATATAATCAATTAACCGGTACGGATAAGGAATGAGAGGATGAAAACAATTCAAGGTACAGTGAGAGAGAAGTAGGTAGTAATCAGACGATAGAGAAGGGAAATGAAGGTGAAATGTGATGACAATGGGAGATGGAAATCTAACATACCTTCGCCAATCTTCTCAAGCTTCTGGTAATTCTCCATTTTGACGTATGACTACCAATATAATGGATTGAATTGGATTGAAGGAGCGTGAGAAAAGAAAATCAGGTTGGCGGGTTTTGTTGTTATGGATGGTATTGGAAACTTCAAATGCAACAATAAAGTTGAACTTGGTTGCTATTTACTTGTTGGACCTTAAGCGGTGGGCAGCGATTTATCCGTTGACAGTTGGTTTAGTATTGGGGGGTAACGCCCAGGGGAGAAAAAAACGAGGGGCAATAGTGGGATGGGGGATGGGAAAGAAAACTTGACTGAGTGGAATAATTAATCGCAGCTGTCAAAATAGAGAACGGACAGATTCGATTCTGTGCGATCCCGAAATTGATCAAAACTCCATTGAGGCTGCAGCAGGTAGTTCGCGGTTTTGAGATTGCTGCAGGAATCCGAAGAGTTCGTCAGCGGCAGGTTGAAATTAGGGATTTACACAGCTGAATAATGGGTGGAAAGATTGATTTGTGGTTGTTTTCCCATCAATAAATCAATAATTAGAAGGTAAACACTTTCGATACGCGCTGATTTGTGGCTAGCAGGGTTTATCGCGTTTGTGGCTTAGAAAGGTACCTATTCCAGCTTGGTCCACCGTACGACCTAAAAATACCTTAATACTTAGGTACATATCAGCCTGCAGGTACTGTACCTATCGCACTATCTTATCGCCGAAAAAGTACCCTTACAGTTCTAATTATGCATCATATGATCATAATGTTCGATTTGCACAAAATTCAACCCACAAAATATCGTCGAACAACCTGAATATAGTATGAAGTATGAAGTATGAATTACTAAACAAAAAATAATTTTGAAGTACCCAGTATACAAGAGACTACCCTCACCATCATGACGCTTGACCTCACCACTTTAGATGCTCATCAGCAGCCAGATACTGAACTCAAGGCGACTTGGAAAAAATACTCCAGAACTGACCATGAGGACTTCATTAACCATCCCGATATAGATGAATTAGATCCTACGAAAGATATGGGCGCATTCAAGCTAGCAGGACATATCCCCAAAGAAAAACTTAGAAGCTCATTTAAACAGCTCGAGGATGTGAATTGGGATGAAAACCGAATATCTCAAGATGCCCCCTTTTATTTCCACCCCCTACTCCCAGGTCGGTCTGTATCTATCTAACCTCTTTAACGATGTTTCTCATAATTGATATCAGGTCTGCTCATATTCCCTTCTCTGATACCCCCGAGTACGCAAAAAGCACTCCTATCTCGGATGATTCATAGGGATTTGAGCAACCCCACCCATCAGACTAATTTACATCTTCACTATGATCTTCCTTATCGAGAAGAGGAATACAAAGAGAACGACACATCCCGATCATTTTTCTCTTATCCTCCAGAATCATCCGTAAAATTTACGCCAAAAGACCCCGAGATACACAAGCCATTATCTATCAAACAAGTCCTCGAGCGGCGACTGTCCTGGGTCACGCTTGGGGGGCAGTACGATTGGACCAATCGGGTGTATCCTAACCAGCCTCCTCCTGGGTTCCCCCGTGATATTGCCACCCTTCTTCAGACTCTTTTCCCGGATACCCTCGCCCAGGCTGCTATCGTCAACTTCTATACCCCAGGAGATACGATGATGATGCATCGGGATGTGAGTGAGGAGTCGGACAAAGGTCTAGTAAGTCTCAGTATCGGGTGCGATGCGTTGTTCATGATTGCGCCGAACGATCACGCAAAACACACTACGTCGAATGAAGAGGGTGATCCAGAAAAGCCCTATCTCCTCCTACGGCTACGATCGGGCGATGCTATTTACATGAGTCAAGACTCTCGCTACGCTTGGCACGGTGTACCTAAAGTTCTCAAAGGGACATGTCCTGATTTCCTAGCTGATTGGCCAGCAGAAGATGGCAAGTTTGAAGAATGGAGGGGATGGATGCGAAACAAGCGCATCAACTTGAATGTCAGACAGATGAAGGATTGAATGGGGGTTTACCCTATGGTACCTAAACGCATGTCAACAACATTTACGTCGATATTTGAGGGGTCTCCTTTAACATTTTAGGAGGCCGCACATATTAGACAAGTATTACAATGACACCGACTAAGGATACACATCCTAGACTGCAATATCTTCCCCGTCGACACGTAAAAAGTTGGTATATGATCTCCTAGTATACGCATTCCACAATACAAGGTAGATATATATACACATGAATTCAAATATCCACATCTTACATCCCAATATCAAGCCTTTACTTTTCCCTCCGCTCTCATCCGGTCGTACCGCAACACACTCTGCAGCAAAACTTCCGCACCTATAGCGCAGTCTTCAGGACTAGTGTACTCCTCCGGATTATGACTAACCCCATTCTTCGACGGGACGAAAATCATACTCGTCGGACACCGGCGACTAGCGTACACGCTGTCGTGTCCAGCCCCGCTTGTCATGTCTCTGACCAAACTAGCACTCCCAGTCACAGCCTCGGCGGAAGCACGCACAGCAGCGACGCAGTCCGGGTGGAATATCGTGGCCGGGGAGACGAAATCCGTCTTCCACTCCACAGTAAGCGGCTTCCCGGGCGTCGAGCCGGCGAGGAGTCCGTCGATGTCCTCGCCCGCCGCTAGTCTTGCGAAATCGCGCTTCAGATCGGCTTCCATAGCGTCGACGGTCGCGTCGGCCGGGGCGCGAACGTCGAGTGTGAAGCGAACACGGCCGGGAATCGTGTTCGTGCTGCCTGGGCTTAGTGTTAATATACCCGTCGAAGCGAGCGCAGAATGTGTGGTTGCTAAGCGGTGAGAGTGCATAATCAAGCGGGCCGCGAGAAGCATTGCGTCCGCGCGGTTTTGGAGGGGCGTGGTTCCTGTGTGTGCGTCTAGTGATCCCTCGTGTAATCAGCTTCTACTCCGTTTTCGGTTCGGATAAAAAAGGGGAATTTGTGAGAAGTACCTCGACCCGAAATGTCAACTGTAAACCATTTATAAGCCTGAACCCCTTTTACGACTCCCACCTTCTGCTGCTCCGTTTCGAGGATCGGCCCCTGTTCGATGTGTAGCTCGAAGTGTGCCGCCATAGGTGAGCTTCGGTAGCTCGCTGGTATCGAGCCGAGGTACCCGATTCGCTGTAGCTCGGACTTCATCGTCGCTGTTCCGCCGCCTACCTCCTGAAGGTCATAAGCTTGCTCAAGTGGAATTTCTTCTGCCCATACCCCGGACGAAGACATGCTGATCGGGAAACGAGCACCCTCCTCACTATCACGTTCCGTTAACCAGGTATCAACGCGAAACTCCACGATACTCTATCTGTTGAAGACGGGACGTACTTGGTCCAATTCACGAGTCCAACAGGGAACTCGGTCTCCCAATTATGGTCTCGCAGCACAGTAAGCATTTCGATACCAGCCAAGACACCTAGTATCCCATCGTACCGACCACCTGTTGGCTGGGTATCAAGATGAGACCCTGCAAACGTAGCCGGTCCTTCGCGTCGTCCGGGGCGTACAGCGAAAATATTTCCCATGGCGTCAATAGTAACATTGCACCCCAGATCCTTAGTTGTCTTGACGAACCAATCTCGGACATCCTTATCTGAATCGCTCAGTGCAAGCCGTGACATGCCAGTTTCTTCAGTTGCCCTATCGTCGGTATCAGCTCGCTACTACTCAGAAATATTGCAGAATTTAGGAGAGGACTCACTTTCCCCATCTCTCTCCCGGTCCAAAGACGCAGGTTCCATGCAATGTCTCCATTAACCTATCCTGCCGCACTTTCAGAGTCATAAAATCTTGAAGCTCCATTGCTCTTGCATTCTTGGCACTATCACTGAAACGTCGTATTGGGTGGAGCGGGGAGCTTGGTGATAGTTTTGATGATGAGGGAAACAATAAACCTCCTAAAGGACGATACTTGGTTGTTGACGTGAAGTGACCTATAGAACAGCGCAATAGGAAAGCCATGATAAATTCGCAAAACCGCAAGACTTAGTGGGATTATAAACCGGTTGATATACTTGCAGGCATTTAGAGGAGTAGAGGAATGTATAGATAAGACCAAGCGAGGTCGGCGATAGTCACGTGCCACCCCTTGGACGCCCTCTAACTACGATACCATAACTGGTGATATCATTCGTCAAGTTTATGTAAAACCATATATTTACGTGAGTGATCATGAGGGAAATCTGTGGGATAAACATTTATCGGGATCGATGATAGGGAGTCAGTCAAAGTAGGACATTAAAGAGCGGCATATGACTAAACATTCAAGAATCTCTTAAACCTCGATCGTCAATTATAAGATGTAACAAGTAGTAATTATATTAAATATAAATAAATAGAGATATGTAAACACCATAGACCTTATCTCAATAAGGGATAAGAGTCTTTCACTTGTAATTGGCTGGTAGAGTTCAAGATAGTAATAGGAGGTTTGCCATAGGTCCTTTAGTAGCAGTGTCTAAACTATTCCAAGACTCTTGAGGGTCTTTGGATCCATTATATGGATCCAACTAGAGGCTCTCCAGTTGGGAAACCTCATCACCTTACGCACTTTCACTAATATTTCTCGAGGCCTTTATAGGTAAGATAGGCATGATCTCATGCTTGCTAAGGAATATTATTCTACAATGTCTATTCGAGTATAACAATTCCATTTGTTAGTCAACTAGGTCGAGGTATACTAGGATATGGTTACCTAGGTACTTTGTAGGAAGGGGATCGCCTGCTTTGAGCCTCACTTTGGCTAGTCACCAAAGACAGACAAACCATCGTTCTGCTAATATTAAAGCATATTCTTGTTTGGTCCGCGCGTGTGATTTAAATCTAACCTCCATTGGCTACATGATTGTATGTGGAACCATCTGGGGCTGAATTCCCCTGACCCACAGGAAGTTCTTCGCGACTAGATTATTTTTCAAGCCGTCCGTACATGGTGAGAGGTAGAAGTTGCTATGGACCAAAGAGAATAGAAACACGGAAGCCCTGGGTAGTTGATATTACTGTGTGTGTATTTGGAGGCAAGTTCTACTCGATCGTGGCGTAAATCTATGAAAGAAGGACGCGTATAGTATAGGAAGCCGAACATTTTAGCGTCCCTGTCATAAAGTTAGTGTTAGCGGTAACCGGCATCGGTAGGTAAAGTCTCATTTATCATGAATATGCCGCTAATTTTTTCCGTCAACGGTTAGCGGTTGCGTCAAATGTCTCTAGTGATCATTTTTTCCCTTGACCGAGGCGAATGGCGTCCTTGAGCTGTGCTTGGCAAATGTTGCAAATGTTCAGCTGTCAGGGGCATGGCGCTTCTTGACAAGGGCATAAATTTTCTCCATCAAAATGTCGCCCGAGAAAGCTAGTGAGCCGCGGATAGTATAAAGTGCGCCTGCGCAGCTGCTCGCAATGATCGCGATGCTTGGTTTTTGATTGGGATGCCGGGTTGTTCTCTTGTTACCCCCCGTCGCGCTCGCTGTCGCGCATCTACCCTCCTTTGATATTCTCGGGCGTTTCCTTCCATCGTCGGGACTCTATACGAGAAGGTAGTGACAATGCCTCAATTGTGGTTGTTACTTGGTTGGGCGTGTTTATGCACGAAACTTGTGAGAGCAGAGGACATTGTCTATGTGACCGATCTTTCTATTTTCACTGTGTTGGTAAGTCGACTTTATTTAATCGCCACATCAAGGAGAAAAAAAGTCCGCTGAGGAGAGATTTGTAATATTAGAAGGACGAGATGCTAAGAGAACTAAGCGGCAAAAGGAAGTATATTGTGGAGGGGGGAGAGAGAGGAAATCGCATATAGCTTTACGATCTATGATTTAGCCAGGATAATAAGCAATTTCTTGGGAACGGTGCTGATTATAGTAGGCACCATGTGCAGCCACTGCTATCTCCGAGAATGTCCAGGCGAAAACGAATGACAACTGCCCCGAAGCAGTCACTGATCTTCAATCATGTGTCTGCACGAAAGACAACAACTTTGCTTCGATATCATCGGGAATCTCAAAGTCGATTAGCTGGGGCTGTGGCTCAACGGCATCAGAGGACCAGACGAGTGCGGCCAGCGTTTTCTCCGCTTATTGCAACCAGGCCTCGATCACGCCGTTTCCAACTCCTACAAATCCGGTCACCCAATATATTACAGATTTTCCAGCGTGGCGGGAACTCGCTCCTTGTGCCGCCTCGGGTCTATCCTATATCGTACAGTGAGTAGCTCTCGTTTTCCAAGTCGATCCCCGATTAATTTATCGAATATTCTCTAACTGCCTTGTAGGAGCTTAGTGAGTGGTGTTGGGATTTTATGCATTTGATGTTCCATCTAATGCCCAAGGGTAGACATATGAGCTGTGCAATGCGGAAGCGAGCCTTCTCGCTACCTGTGCATGTGATAAGAATCAAAATTCCCTTCGTGTAAGCCAGAGTATTAACACCTCTGTGAAATACTCATGCTCATCGCACACGGCCGATAGTAAGTACTGTGGAATGCTATATCAAGTGAAGCATCAGCTAACACAACCCAGTCGACTCGGCCCAGGCGGTGTTTGCAGGCTATTGTGGGCTAGTACATGGGACGTCATCTTTTCCAACGACTTCGAACCCCCCAGGTGACAGTATGCCATGCCTCACCCGTATTCTATAGATAATCAGCTAATATGGGCGACAAGTGACATACTATATCACTGCACTCCCCGAGTTTAGCTCACTGGCCTCTTGCGCACAGGATGCAGTGTCAACTGCAGTTATGAGTGTAGGATCTAAACCCCCAAGTAGTTATTTAGCTGCTGACACTTACCTTTGAAGCAAACCTACGACTTCTGCCCCTCTGGCCCAGAAGCTTTGGCTTCGTGCGTCTGTATCAAGAGTACCATGTCTGGCCATGTTAGTAATCAGGTAGGCTCGGACGTCACATATCATTGTGATTCAACAGCGACCGAGGACCTCAGCTCCGCCAGACGAGTTTTCGATATGTACTGTAGTGCTGCCAAGGGGCTGACGACTCTTGCTGGAATCACTGAATCCGGTAAGTCGAATAACCAATCCCCTACCTAACCACTCTTTCTTTTAATATTTATTGTGATAGTGCAACAAACGAGCGCTTATGCGACTAGCGGGACGTCTGGACCAAAGGAAACAAGTGTTACAAGTGGCGTTACGAGTGCTGAAGGACCTGTGGAATCTGAGGGATCAACTACGAATTCAGCCAGTAAATCAAACGTTGGTACAATTGTAGGAGCCGCAGTCGGTGCTGTGGCTGGGTCGGCAATGTTAGGCTTGATAGCCTTCTTTTTCTGGAGGAGGTCGAGACTTAATCGAGGCTACGACAAAGCAGTGCCGCTTGATTCCGCTGAAGGATTTGCTGGAAAACCCGAGCTTGATGGTGCTGTACTCGCATCTGCATCCGCGATAAGCCCGGGCTTCAGTACGTCGGGCGGTCAGGCCGCATCCATGGTTGACAATGTGTCTCCGGTATCAGCACCAAGCTCCCCCTACAAGCCAGAGCTTCAAGGCCATAATCCCCCGCAATACTCGCATATACCTGAATTGCATGACCAGAACCAAAACACATATAGCATACACGAGGCACAAGGTCAGCCTAGGTCGGAGCTTCCGGGAATGGGGTGGCAATCAGGACCGGTGGCAGAATTCCACGAATTGGATAGCAATTATCGAAAGTGACGGACATCGGAGGAAGGCTAGAGATGCCTTTGATGGAACTTCGAGGTTTCGATCGCTTCACATGAGGAGCGGTGGTAGGACTGATGCATGATACCCATTAGGAAGCATGAAGTAATTAGGAAAATAATTGATATTTTAAACTGCCCGGCTGCTCAGGTAAATGTAAATGTTTCCTAGGTACTTTAAGGCACCTATCTACTGGTAGGATAGGTGGGACAGATGGTCAAAGCTCCTGAAGCTGATCATTTGAGGTTAGCCTTGGAGGTAAAAAATAGTGGTACCGCCTAGGATGTCTGTGTAACAATGAACAGCAGGGGAATTAGTTGCTAGCCTCGTCGCGCCTTCCACCGAAAACAGTTTACTTTCAGAGCAATGTTGGCTTCCTTTGTGAAAGAAATGAAAACCCGAATCTTGACATATTCACATTTTTGATTCTTTCATCGCCACCAACACTCACTCACCTTTACAACATTAATGATTGATTGATTCACCTAACGATCAATTATTTCATTACTTCGATTATTTTGACCCTACTTCATTCCTTCATTCATTTCTTCATCAAACTTCATCTTCCTCTCCATCTCCATCTTTCTCTTTCTATCACGCCTTTAGTATTTTTTTTTTTCACATTCCCTACGCGATCGCAATTCACCAGCGACGACATTCTCAACAAAGGATTCGGCCATCATAGTATCCACTCGAAATTAATCTCAAGTATACCTGATTCATTTACCTAATGGCCATATCTTGATCTGGTATTCGATACGATGGCAGCTGCAGATGTAGATCTGGGCTACCTGGCTACCCATCTGGGTATGCCTCAGGTCAACCTAACAACCGTTGCCACGGATCCTACCACCGAACTTGTCCAAGCAATTTTATCTGCTGTCGCCGCTAAAGGTCACGAATACGATGCGCTATTCACCCAGAAACTTCAGTTGGAAGTCGAACTCGAAACCTCCGTACGTAGCGCCGAAGCTCAACGCGACGCTAGTAACGAGACCGCCAAAAAGGCCCTTAAGGATGTTGAGGAGCTTCGCCAGAAACTTAAGAATGAAGGTACACATATTTATTTCTATATTCGCGTGTCTTCGATTTGAAATACTCACATCGCTGCGCAGAAACCACCCGCCAGAACCTAGAAAACGAGCTGCAGTCCATCAAGTCATCCAGTTCAACTTCTCAGTCCGAGATCGATAAACTTCGAGCGCGTATCGCATCCCTAGAGACTTCGAGCCGAGAGTCGCTCGCGATTATCGATACTAAGAATTCCGCAAATGAGGCGTTGTCTCTGGAGCTACAGGCTCAGCATCAGAAAAATCTGAAATTAAGCCAGGAAGTTACATCTCTGCAGCAATCTGTGCAGAATGCGAATAATACGGCAAATAGCTCAAAATTCAGAGAGCAGTCGCTACAGCAGCAGCTACAGATGGCCCAGAGTAGCAGTGACTTCTTTGAAAACGAGCTTAAGAATAAATCTGCCGAAGCCCTCAAATACCGAAAAGAGAAAGGCGCCCGCATCGCCGAACTTCAGCGTCTCAACGACGATGCTACTTCTAGCATAGAATCTCTCAAGCGCACCGAAAAGACCCTTCGCCAGCGCCTCGATGAATCACAGAAGAAGGCAGACGACGGCCTTACTAAAATTCAGCAGTTGCAAGAGGCTGCAGGTCGCCGTGAGGAGGACTACCGACAGGAGGGTGACGGTTTACGACGACTCGTCGATCTAAAGGAGCAACAAACCTTAGCCTACAAGAAGCGAGTACAGGAAGTCGAAACAAGAGAGGAACAAGTGAAGCGAGAATGCGAAGATAGTATTCGCCGAATTAGCGAAGAGCTTGCCAGATCCAATTCAGACAAAGAAGAACTCTCACAAGCGGTCGAGTCACTTCGTGATGAAGTCGGCCGTCTAGAAGCTATGGTCGCGGGAGGTAGTCCTGCGCAGCCTGGTTCTGCACCACAAACTCCAAGGCCATTAAATGGATCGCTCTACCGATCGGGCTCGCCATTTGCAACGCCAGGCTCCACGCGAAGAGCGCTTTCTACGACACAGCTAATGGAAGATTTCTACAAGATCAAGGGTCAATTAAACGCGGAGAAGCTCCGCAGCAGCAATCTCGCAAAGGAGCTTGATGATGTTATTGACCAACTTGAAGCTAAGCGTCCTGAGCTTGAGGATCTCCAGGCCGACAATGAGCGACTTCAACAGGAAATGAAGACTATGTCCCATCTCTCAGACGAGAGCTTCAAAGAGCGTGATACGGCTAAAAAGGCTGCGCGCAGGGCTGAGGCAGCTGCAGCTGATGCCGAGAAGCGGAATACCCTCCTACACTATGAAGTAAAGAGCCTCAGTGCCCAGATCCAAATGCTAACTTTCAATGTGCACTGTCTCGAAAAGGGCCTGGATCAACTCACTTCCGACGAACGATTAATCCTGCAAAGATTGGAGAGAGGTCAGATCAATGACCAAATAGGGGACGAAGAATCAAACGCCCATACCTCAATTTTGGAGCGTCTTGTTGTCTTCAAGAATATCAAGGAACTTCAAGAGCGGAATGAACAGCTTCTCCAAGTTACCCACGAACTAGCCGAAAGAATGGAGAATGAAGAGGCGGTTGCGGCTAAGAGCCAGGCAATGGAGGACCATAAGGAACGTATCCGCTTGGAGCAGGAATTGGAAGTTTTCAGTGATACTCTTCGTGGTTTCCAAATCAAGACAGAGTCTATTACTAAGGAGCGGGACATGTTCCGACGCATAGTCGAGTCAAGAGCATCAGCCGAGGAGATGGCATCGGCCTTGGGTCGATCTACACAAGATGGAGTTCTTGCTAGCATCGAACACAACTCCGCTGCGAACGACGACACTTCTGATTACACTACTCTGCTCCGAGATCTACAGCAGAACTTCGACCTGTACCGAAATGAACAGTCCTCTGATCGAAAGACAATGAAAGAGCAATTAGAGAAACTGTCTGCTGGAAGGAACTCGCTCCAGGCAGAAGTTTCTAAGCTACAAAGCCAACTCTCACTTGCGTCGGAGCGCTATGAGATCCTCCAGTCGAACCTTGCAGCCCTACAAGGCGAAAACAAAGAACTGCAAAAGAGGAACCAAACCATGTCCGAGTCCGCAGCTAAACAAGATATTCGCACACAGCAAGTGGCTGAAGATCTGGTTGAGGCAAGGGGCTTGCTTGAGAGTATGCGTAGCGAGAATGCAAACCTCAAGGCCGAGAAGAAGCTATGGAAAGATATTCAGGATCGGTTAAGCCAGGATAATGAAAGCTTGATGCAAGAAAAGTCACGCATGAACGGTCTTCTAGCCACGCAGCAGACTCTTCAGAATGAGCGTGAACTAAGTGACTCTGAGGCTAAACGACGCCTACAATCTCAGATCGATGCCTTGGAAACGGATCTTAACACTACTAAGCGTAGATTGGTAGACGAGGTAGAGGAGGGAAAGAAGGCACAGCTGCGGAAGGAGTACGATGCTCAGCAGTTCCAGAAGCGGATTGACGAACTTACATCAAATATGGGCCAAATCCGAGAGGAGCTTGTCGCTACAAAGACTAGCCGAGATCATCTCCAGAGTAGAGTCGATGAGCTTACGATTCAGCTTCGAAGTGCAGAGGAACGCGCAGAGAGACTTCAACCACGACCCACCCCGAGACCAGGATCCATGGTTCCTATATCAGAACAAGGTGCTACGCAAGCTGATACGGATGAGCGTATTCAAGAGCTGATCCATGAGGTGGCGGATCTCAAGCGTGACCTTGAACTCACAAAGTCGCATCTCGAGAATGCCCAGACTCAAGTCGAACAATACAAGCAATTGAGTCAATCATCGGAGGAAGAACTAGAAAGGATAAACTCCACACAGGATCAGTACCAACAAGAAATGGACACAACGATCTCAGCCAAGGACGCTACCATCAAGGAACTTGAGCAACGAGTAGAAGATTTATCTGCCGAATTAGCAAGATCTAACAGCGAATTGTCAAGTCTGCGCGATTCCCAAGCAGAGATTGCGAAGCGTTTTGAAGACGACAAGGCTATCCTAGAAGAAGAAATCAAACGTCTTAAGGTCGAGGAGGAAAGACACACGGCGGCTTCACAGTTCCACCAACAAGATATTCGTGCGCAAGCTGAGATAGCAGCCAATGCGCAACAAGCGTACGAGATCGAGGTTATGAAACATGGCGAAACGGCAAAATCATTGTCTAATCTCCGTGGCGAGTACAACGAGATAAAGACGTCTGCGGCAACCTGGAAAGCGGAGGCAGAGTCGGCAAAGGCCACGCTGCTACAGAACGAAAGCTCTTGGGATGACAGGAGACAGCGATTGGAGCGTGAAATCTCCGAACTCCGTGCTCGCAGAGATGATGCGAATGGGCAGAATAAGCTACTCCACCAGCAGCTAGATGATGTGACTAAACAAGTCTCGGCCTTACAGCAAAGTCGAAACTCAGCCGATGAATCTTTAGATGCTATTGCCGCGCAGCCTAGCGGTTCGGAAGCTGACAAATTCCGAGAATTGAGCAATTACCTTCGTCGTGAGAAGGATATCTTGGAGGTGCAATATGATCTCAAAGTCCAAGAAGCCAAGAGATTGCAGCAACAACTTGAATATTCACAGTCACAACTTGACGAGGCTAGATTGAAGCTTGAGCAAGAACGTCGTTCTCAGGGTGATAGTGACCGAACTACTATGGCCCATAAAGATCTTATGAGCAAATTGGAAGAGCTCAATCTCTTCCGAGAGAGTAGCGCCGCTTTGCGAGCAGAGGCTCGTCAAGCACAGACTCAGTTAACCGAAAAAACTGCCAGGATTTCCGAATTAGAGTCAGTAATTCAACCACTTGAAGCTCAGATCGAAGAGCTTCAGAGTCAACAAGCTTTCCGAGAAGCCGAAATGAAGCAACTCCACGAGGATCGGGATCGATGGCAAAAGCGAACGGAAGACATTCTTTCGAGACATGGCAGGACCGATCCAGCAGAAGTCGAAGAGCTTAAACAGATGGTTGCAAAGCTTGAGTCGGAACGAAATGCTTTGCAGGAAGCCGAGACAGCTCTTAAGGATACTGTGCAAAAGCTTGAACAGGATCTAAAAGAGAAGGAAGCTTCGTGGGCGACGTCAAGAGAGAAGCTAGTTAGCCAGGCGAAGGAACGATCTAGAACTCTTACCACCGCTAAGACTGAACTAACAACCGAAAGAGACGGGCTACGAACAAAACTAAGCGAAGTTTCGGAACAACTCTCGACAACGCATAAGGAACTTGATCTATCTAAAAAGGCAAGGTCCAGCCTAGAGGAGCAGGTCAACAGCTTCAAACGTCAAGTTGATGCTCTTCAACAAGAGGCGCAAAGGACTTCTACTACTTCTGCTCCAGTAGATCCATCCAACGTCGAGGCCCTTGCCACACTACAGACTCAATTAACCGAGGTCCGCGCAGAATTAGACAATGTTTCGTCACAGAAGGCCACCATCGAAGGAGAGCTCCAGAGTGCTCGTGATGAACTCAACTCGGCAATTATAGAGCGAGATCAAGCTATCGCAGAGGCACAGGCTCGGGTAACAAATGGCGACACGATAATGGAGAATAGTGCGGCTACTTCAGAAAAGCCATTGTCCGTAGCGTTATCTGACAACGAGCGTAAAGCACTCGAGGAGAAGGTCTCGGAAGCTACCGCTAAAGCCGCCGAATGGGAGGCGAGAGTCAAGGAGCTAGAAGAAAAGCAAGATCAAATTGTTAAGACTAGAAGTGATAAGATGAAAGAGGCATTGAATAAGCGCTTATCTGATTATAAAACTCAGATGGAAGAAGAACGCGAACAGATAAAGCGAGATACGGAGAAGTTGGAGTCCGATTTCAAGTTACGCATGGAACAGGAACGAAAGATTTGGGAGGCGGAGCATTCTAATGGACCGAAACCACCCGCTACCCCTGCCCGACAGCACCCCTCAGAAACCCCTGCTGGGACCCCTACAGCCCTAGCGGGTGACTTGAATGGGCTGAATGATAAAGAGATCAGGGATCTCGTGTCCAATAACGCTACGATCAAGAGTATTATTCAGAATAACATTAAGAATAAGCTCGCGATCGAGACAAAGAAAGTACGGGAAGAGCAGGAGACGCTAAAGGCGGAATGGGAGCAGAAAGTTGTTCAGGCGCGGGAACAGGCTACTCAGCTAGCTACGTCAAAGAGTAACCTCAAGCTCAACATGGCGGACAAGAGAGCCCAGATAGCTAGCGCTAAGTTAGCTGTTGTGGAAACCGCAGCGAAGGAAACACCACAGCAACCTGTTGGAGAGGTATGGGAAGTTGCGAAAAATGCAAAGCCACCACCACCACCTCCTAAACCAGCCACTACGGAACCGCCTGCTACCCCAGCAACAGGCAACTCTCTACCTGGTACGTTATTTCACAATTTTGTTCTTGAAGAAATATCGAATTTTACTAACAGTGCTGTAGCTCCTAATGCCCAATCCACAAGTACCAATACGACTGCACAAGAGACGAAAGCCATTCCCACCAGTATACCCAAACTAGGCATGCCAAGTAACATACCAGCGGCGAACAACCCCTTCGCAAATACCAAACAAGAGCAATCACAGTCGGCACCTACAGTTCCAAACCCTTTTGCTCAGAGTTTACAACAAACCGCGCCCCAATCAGGACCAACCGCGACGCAGCCATTCAGTCAATCTATGACGGCATCGCAGATTCCAACCAAGGCTACCGGCCTTCCAATGCCGACAGCGGGCACTCGTAAGCCGGGTGGTCCCAACCAGACACGCGGTGGTGCGCGTGGTGGAGGCAACGCAAACCGTGGAGGTCGTGGAGGCGCACAAGGTCGGGCCAGTCTCAATCCTGCAGTAGACAATTTCCAACCCGGAAACAAACGTCCTCGGGGTGACTCGGAAATAAGCAATAATGCGAAGAGAGTACGGGGTGGCGGCCCGCACTAGAATCGCAGCCGACACTACTAGGCATCGAACTTCCATATGAAGAGGTGTTGGGAAACCGACAGACATTTACGCTCATATTTGTACATCACTGGCTATGGATTACATTTAATGCATGTCCCGCGCTACGAAGGAAGGGCATCGGGCTTTCGTTGCTTGCTATGTTATTTTTCCGGTTGGAATTGAGGTTGACCTGGTCAAGGTCGGAAAACAATGGTGTTTTGCATTTGTTATTGTAGTTTCAATCCATAAGGTGCATGAATGGTACGCATCATCTCTTTTGTGCAAGATTCCCCTGTGCTCTCAATGTTGTGGATGTAATGACTGTTATGCTTTATTCTATGAAAGGCCTGACCTGTACGAAGATTCGGGTCAAAAATTTGGACCACGCGCTGCGGATTCTAATGGCCTAAAGCCGTGTAATCTAGCGTTTTTCTGTAGTGGCCAAGTCCCCTAAGCGGGCTTAAATTACAGCAGCTGCCCATCTGAATTTAGTGAAAGGATCACTGCTAGGTCTCGGTTATAGCCTGGACCAAATACAGCCCTGGACCTGAATCAGCCTAGTGCATGATTAGATAAGCAATTATCTCGAACTGTATTAAGTATGTAGGTCTGGGCTAAAACTGAGACCTAGCAATGATCCTTTCGCTAAATTCTGGCGGTTGACTGCTATAACCTAAGCTTAGTTAGGGAGCTAGGCCACTGTAAAAAAACGATATACGGTAAAAGGATATTTCAATCTACACGGCTTTAGGTCATCAACACCCGACATGATTACTCACCCCCCTTTAATTTACGTAATCGGATCCTTTTCCCTATCACCTGTCCCCTTTGATAGCACCATCCCTTTATTTACAACCCATTACAGCCGTATATCTATCTAGCCTAATGGGGACGTCGCCGCTCATATCAAACATGGAGTACTAGTTAAATCAATCTAACATGAGGGCCTCTTCAGCTTGTAATCGTCAGTCGGTCACATTGATTTCACGTAGGTAGTTGAGGACTACAAGTTGAAGCACGATCAAAGTAAAGGAACCGTTTCGTATTAGTCTCGACAGTAACTACCTAAACTCCTGTTTACCCGTGTTTACATTTGCCTCCCGTTTTCTCTTTGGTTGTATGTGTCTTGGAGAGGATCTGACACAGTTCGAAGACGGGAGGGAAAGTTGTGTTTTTTTTTTGGCTTTTTTTATTTTTTATCCCATAAAAGCAAAATACATTTTTTTCGAGGCCCTGATTGAACGTTAGATAAAGTTCAGTATGGGGTGGACTGGAGTCTGGCTACTTACGGTTCCATCCGTTGTGTTCCTTGGTATCATCTAGGGTTCAGAAGGCCCCCTAATCGACATGGCCATAGCAATTGATCTCTGTGTTGGTGACTTCCTCTTCCATATTGACTGTATGCGGTTTGAAGAGCACGTTCTGTCCATGGTATTCGAGTCGGATCAATTGGCTTGTCAGATGGCGATTAGACGTGTCCGCAAGCAATTGCGATGATGTGCTCAGCGGCCATACCAACGAGAGGCTAGTGATTGGACTGTTGTTAGTTAGACTGTACTTATATATGTATTGAGAATGGCTCTGTTGTGGGGATTGAATTGGCGTAGGTAGGATGAAGGAAAAGGGGTTAGGATATTTTAGTAACAGAAGTGTCATAAACGAGGGCTCATAACATAGAGAGATAATATATTGGATGGGAAGGGATAGTTGTAACAGGTTAGATCATGGGGTTATTCAGCCTGAATAAAGTCTTAAGACTCATTAAGGAATGTAGAATGGGGTGCAGATATCTGAGTGTTGGTAGCTGATTTGTATAAGAGGACTTACGTTTCCACTGGTACGTGCACCAGCCACTACCTGGAGCTCTCCGATGAAGCGTCGCTCTAGCTGGTCATACGTGGTGGGCTGGGGTCCAGGGTAATGTTGGGCCTGGAACTCTAGAAGTACGACTTCCTTCCAGTCGCCAGCGATTCGATAGTGTACCCAATCGGCGATGTAGAGAACCACTTCGGATGCGGACGTGAAGCGAGCATGACGATCATCGCGTAGACAATGCATGATGAATCGTTTCCATCGGTATTCGCGCTATTGGTGTGGGAGGCCAGTTAGCGAAATATACCATAAAAATAATGACCAAAAGGAAGGATTATGAGGGTATTTGTGAAAATAGGTGTATACTTACAAGAAACCACACCAAGGCACGGTTGAGAGTCAAGATTACATCATAGCCTACAATGCTGAAGAACTGCACGTATGTGACGAGCAAGAACAAAACAATGAAGGAAAAACAGAGGAAGCCTTCCGTAAGTCGTTCAACCAGTGCAATCAATGCGTAAGACCAGGCCAGGAGTAGCAGGTACTCAAAGAGCGGAGCGCTGCAGTAGGTCGCAATGCAGACCAAGGCCAAAGGTACCACGTAGGTAATTCGACGGCCGAGGTAAAGATTGCCGGATTGGAACACATACCAGACGATAGCGCGCCAGTTGATGAACAACGAGATCAGAATCGGCAAGCCGAGGGCGATGAGGATGGTGGAAACCATGATCGAGGTGATTGACTGACGTAGGGTGTTTAGGTATCTTACTTTCTTCAGAGCGTTTACCTGTAGAATACGTGAATAGAACCACGCGTCGGAAATAGAAATTGGGAATGCAGGTATTACCTAAGCTATTGAGCAAGACTAGAAAAAAAGTTTCTAGGGGGTGCTTGAGGTTATGTGTGATGGATAGATAGGGTAGCGAAGAGAGTGGTGCCTTGAAGGAAGATTATGAAGGGATGCGAATTCAACTCTCCTCGGGAAATTTATGAAGAAGTTGAGAGGAAAAAAAAGTAGGAGACACAGGACATAATTATAAGCATAGATATTACTAGGCATCTGGGTAGGTAGCTAGAAGAGCCCGGTAGGTAAATCTACCAGACCGTCAACGCGGATAGGGATATTTTTCACTGAGGTTGAGGACGGGGAGAGAATAACGGTTGGTAGTTATCAAGGAAATGTTAACGTCGAAGAGGATATACATTTGTCGCTATTGATGAGGCACTTAGAAGACCGTGCCTTGCTTTCTTCACATCAACCACTTCTCCTTTCACTGGTATGATAAGAGAATAATAATGGCACAACCAGTTGACCTGGGAAGCCTTCATTAGATAAAGGTATTAGTCTTCTATTTCGCCAGAAATGGTGAAAAGTCCAATCTTCATTGCTCATTATACCACTAACTCCTATTTGTATCCCTGAAGCAGGATCCCTTCAGCTTTAGATTCTTCCGATTTTGAGCGAATAAGTAAATCCCAAAAGAACTCGACAAAAAGAAATCATTCAATGACACAAGTCCTTACCAAAAAAGAGCTACAAGTACGAGAAATAAAGAGATCACGAACGGCTTTTGAGGTGGCATTTCAACCCCTTTTGTCGAGGAAACCAGCTTCCTACAACTTTCCACTCGCTTGTAGGATCAGCTAGCTCAATCTCAAAATGGCTGACCAGGGTTGCTACAACTTTGTATACTTCCATCTGTGCGATATAACGACCAAGGCACATGCGAGAGCCGCCACCAAACGTCAGGTCTGCGGCGTTGAAGCGCTTCATGCGTCCCCGGTACGCATCCTCGCTTTCCTCTTCGCCCCGTAACCATCTTTCGGGTCGAAATTCATTGGCATCGGGGCCCCAGATATCGTTGTTACGGCCTAACACATATGGATTGATCCCAACCGCTGTTCCGGGAGGAATATAATTACCATCTGGTAGAGTCAGGCCTGGTTCTGGCACATATCTCTCCAACAACATGCAGACGCTAGGGTGAATACGCATTGCCTCGCGTACTGTAGCTTCAAGGTCTAAAGGAACAGTCAAATGTTAGACGATATAAGAGGTGGGCAATCTAGATCAACTCAAGCTTACAAGGTAGTGCTCGAGCTAAGGAGTATGGTGCTGGCTCTGCTAGTTTGGCGGCAAGGATTTCTTCTTCCAGCCGACGATAAACAGGTGGATTGCGTAGAGAATAATAGAAAATAGTACGTATCGTGATAGCCGTCGTGTCAGCCCCAGCTATCAAGGTAGTGAGCAAGTTCATCAGAATATCGGTTTCGGTAACATTAGGGTCAGAGTTATTCACATCGATGAAATGCTGGAGATAATCAAGAGCACCACTAGGTTTAAAATCCTTAGCGGCAAGTCGTTCTGTGAGATGCTTGGTTGCAATGAGAGTGATGTTTCCAAGGTTCGGTGGGCCAAGACGTATAATAGGATTCTTATCCAAGAGGTTATCCAAGAAAGGGATCTGACCAACGGCGGCGAAGCTAGAAGGACAGAGATATCAGCTTTATCGTTCAATTAATCGAGGGGATTCGAAGTCTTACTAGTCTAAAGACTTATCGGCGATACTAAGGGAATGATCAAAGTCGTAGCCTTTGTCCATATATCCAAAAGGTTGACTAAATGTCATATTGCCAAGAATATCCCACGCACCTTGCTATATGTCAACAGATGCTTCCAAACATGTATATTACCTTTAGAGTAAATTATCATAGGATGGAACACTTACAAAAAGCTATCCATTCTCCTAGGTCACAAGATTTTTCATGGTAACGGTACTCTAGGTGACTACACAGGTCTATGATAGCCTTGTCCATGAGGACTTCTTTAGATAGAACCATACCGTGCCCAAAGAACTTTGCAATAGGACGTTTCATGCGAGCATGGCTAGCAGGATCAATCTCGCTAAAAAGTTGATACGTTGTTTTCCCGTTGATGACTACGCTGTTGTTCTTGTAGAACTCGGTCTGATATTGGTGGTAAGACCAGGTTAGAACTAGGTCTGTACAGTAAATATTGAGTCTGGGTTACCTTCTGCCAACTCGCGTCGGAACCGTATAGTGTTTTAACAAGTTTAGGGATGTCTAGATCGAGTAGGTTTGGTCCGATTCGGAGAACGGGTCCGTATTGGTCATGAAGTTCCTTGATGCGGATGTGGTAGCTGCCGGTGCGTACTAATGCAAATCTCCACCAGTTTGTCCATTCTACCAGTAGAAAGTCGTCAGTCATGTATATATATAAATGGAAATATGGGATGAAGGAAATAAAAGGAGCATTATACATCAGGAGTCTTGGTTGGGCATCACTTACTTGCAAGAAAAGGCCCGGGATATTCATTCAATGGTGAGATGACCTCTGATATCACCAGCCAGCTAAGTACAGCAGAAACCCCGAGAACGAAGGCCATTGCTACATAATTGTCTTTCACATCATCTTCTCGATGGAAGTTGCTAGAAGGAAATAAATCCATTATGCACCCCCTTGATCGACGATGTCCGTTTCTTTTCACAGTTGACTGACTTATGATTAAAAATGAGTGGTTTCGAAATTTATACTTTTCAGCTCTCTAAAAGCTAGAATATCAAGCCATTACCCCTCTTATACTAGTGATATTTTAGTAAATGCGCCTCGTGAGGCATAGATTGTGCAACGTCTTCATATGTACACTTTAGAATTGCCCCCAACGTGGCTTCACCTGAAATATCGACTACTGTACTAGTAACGTTATATCCATGGATTTCTTATCTCCATAGTATTAGCTGCTAGTACGCGACTACAGCATAATGTTGTGGCATAGCTTTCCTAAGTATGTCAACCCGCCGTTACGCGCCAACCTACGAGTATGGTGTTGTGGTAATTTCATGAGAAATGGTGGGGCATATAAGGTACCTAGGTATAGGCGCGTAACGGCGGGTTAACTTATATCATAATGATCAGTCAACTTGTTCATTATGAGGAAACATCTAAGTCTACCAAACGCAGGTTCTATTTTAGAATCATTCTTGCCTTGAGAGATATTAGATAAGCGATCTTCCAACCAGCCGTGATGATTTATCTCACAGTGCGTATGCGTGTTTAGATTGTCGTAGCACTGTATTTTATTGTTCAACCCCTATAATTCCAGTGACCCTATAAGTCCTTCCCCGCTATAATTGTAGGCATATTAACTTCTAAAAGATCCATTCTAAATTAGAGGCAACCTCTGAAGTACCTATTGTATGTTGTCACGATATAATGACCCGACATGCTCAGAACTCCCTCAAGAAACGGTAGAATAAAGTAGCATTGGAATATCTTTTCTCACTTGTATAGGTAGATAATTATCTACAGGCAATCATATGAAGCGGCCTGGAATGCTTACAAACTGTATTACTACCTAGGTACCTAGCCACAAACTCTACTAACTCAACCCCAGACTTAGGCAGCTAAAAACCTTATTTCCAAGCCCTGCCTGGGGAATACCATTAACGCCACCTGAACTAAAAAGGGGGTTTATGAAACCATATATTAGATCAGTTTATCTAGTCCCCCAATTCCTCATTGAATTCCCCTGGGATGCCCGGTGGTTGCCAAAATTTACACTCATTTTTATGACGAAATCGGATTCAGTTAGAAATTTCTCAATGTAATATGTTGGTGGGAAATTTTCGACTTTGGCGGCACGAGTTTGTTCGGTGCCGTGTTCTTTACAATCAGGCTGAGCTTGCGCCGTAATTGATTCTCCGTTGTTGGCTTGGACGGGTGTAGATAGGAGTGGAGACGATGCAAGGATTGGACTTGATGTAGTTGAGGGGAGGGGCCTCATAGTACGCATCTCTTGGGATATGAGGGAGAAGTGTTGGTGCTTTTACATCGTTGCCTTTGGTTTTCGAAGCCGACTCTTGTTTCTCGTGATATTTCCTGAGCGCTTTGATAGATGCCTGTAGCGCTTTTTCAATGTGCTTTTCTATCTCTTCCATGTCCTCGCGCTGCTCGCGGTCGATATCTTGTTCGTGGCCATTCTCCGAAGTGTTGTTCAGATGTTCTTTGCGCTTATTGATTTCCGCTTTGGCGTTGTTCATCTGTATTCCGATATTTTGTAACAACCAGGGGAACGTAGGTGCCTTCCTCTTTTTGGCCATTTCTGTGGGCTTCGTGTATTATACGATAATTCGGTATTTGTTTATGGTTCCAGAAGTGTTAGGATCAAGTGTGGGATTGGAAAAGATTAAGAACAACTTCAGAAGTTGGAGAGGATCTTCTACGATATAAATACTCCGTGGGGTCTCATAGACTACATCCTGAGAAGTATAATTAGAATCTAGCGGATAATAGGTAGATCGAAGAAGACTTTCACTTTATTTCCATGGAAGCTGGCGCAAGTTTAACGCCTCTGAAAGCTTATTCCGAAAGTGGAATAAAATCAGAAAGTAAACAAACGTCAATAACCTCTCGGTAAGCACTATCTGCTATTAGCCTAGTCAAGCTCAGGAACAAACATGCTTCCAGAGCTCTCCCCCGGATAGAAGTCCGGGTTGGACTTATATCCTTCCACCTTGGCCCTGAAGTGCTTCTCTTCCTCAACCAAGCCAAGTTCCGAGAGAAAATCGAATACCGAGAAGGTGGATTCCTTTGCCATCAATTTTCCAATTAAGCCCTTGTATTGTCCACCATTAGAAAGCCTGGCGAAATCAACGATGCCTATGCAAACTTTCACCCAGTGAATTATCTGGTCAGGGTCTAGACAACCTGCCATCTGTCGGAACTCGATAGTCTGCGTGTTGCCTCCTACTTCATCCACGGGCAGAAATTTCGCGAATGAGATTGAACCTCTGTAGTAACTGTAGGATACCAAGAATTAGCAATTCCATTTTTACTCAATTATCTAGATTATCAATAGATTAACATAAGCACTCACCAGAAATGCAATGGGTCATCCATCATACGAGCCAACTCCACGATACTGTCAGTTGCCTAAACGGTACGAATCTGTTCGACATCCAAGAATTAGAATTCACAGTTTCCTTGGTAAGCCGACCTATATACATCGGGGAGCATGGTGTTTATATACTAACCTGAAGAAGTTGGTTTGCATCAGCGACGTCTGGAATGAATTCGGCCATTCCGTGTTCTAAAGATCTCGTAATTAAGCTGTCGTACGTCTTCCTCTGGCTATGTTCCAATCTACCGATTGTAGAACAACGAGAAACCAGACGACAGTGAGCGCTGGTGCGACGAGCAGGATGATGAAGTCCCATCAACATATCATCCACGAATAGAATTAGCGTGATGACTTTCTTTATCGTGAGGAGACTAAAGGGTTCGTCTCCAAGTCCGACATGTACATGGACCGCAGTTGTATCGTTCAAGTGGACTCGGAGTTGTCGCATGGCACGGCAAACCTTTGTGATTTTCTCGGTATAGACCTCAGGATCGTCAGACTTTAGGACCTCGGAGGTAATCTCTCGTCCCACCCAGCGGTAGTGGTAGCATTCCTCCTTTCGGAATTTAACTGAAAGGTCCCTTAGAATACGCCACTCATCATAGCGAATGATATTTCTATACGGGGGATGGAATTCATCTTCCAGGTCAGTGCGGAACTCAATGTCGCAGTGGTTTGTGATAGCATCAAGAATAGTGATGTCTGCCTTGAGGATATCGCGGTATCCGAATAGAGGGCGCTTCTCATCTGGAAAAGGGTCATCGATGTCTTTTCTCGAGAAAGGAACCAGGAATTCCAATTCAACGCCAAAGGTCAGGGAGCCCTTAGTATCATCCGGAGATTCGATGGCCTCGAGGTACTTAGGAATTAGTGGATGTAGTGGAGGTGGGTGCCGATAAACCACAGCCATGGTAACGGGTCAATAATAGAATATCAGATATCTCAGAAAGATAAATGATGGGCTTAGGTTACCGGGTTAAAGGAACAAGGAGTGGTTGTTCTAGAAAGAAAGAGTGAATGAAAATTAAAATGTTAACCACCTAGGTAGGTACCTAGGTAGGTAAATAGCAAGGGCAGTAACTATCTATGAAAAGTTCTCATTCACAAATCGATTTCGGTATGTCTGCACCAGCCTTCAATTAGACGACAAAAGACGAATTAAAACTGGTCTGGGGTGACTCAAGAGTATTTGGTAGACTACGGTCGTTGAATGGATTCCGAAGGGATTAAATTATACTGGAGTATCGAATCCGTGTGATGTTTACTTGATACCTATCTTCTTCAACAATCTTCAACCTAGGTGCCATCTCATGGCTATTTCCAAGTGACCCATCCAAGCATGATGCCCCTTTTTATACCGCTGAACTGCCTATAGAATAAATATATTCGGCTGAGTATGTGTCATTTGACGGGATGGTGTGACGCTTACGGTATGGTAAAAATAGTAGAAAATATATTGAGTCTTCCACTTTGTCGGAGAGCCAACAGCAAACGGGCTCGGGTTTGGGTTCAGCGACGGGGTAGTGATTGCGTGCTGAGTGACTAGGTACTTCTTAGAAAAGTGAAGGCAGCCAGAAGAGTGCTTGATAAAAAGAGCTGTAGTCTGAAGACCCTTGAGCATCTGGTTAGATGGTAGAGCCTTTATACTGGATGTAACTTGGTCGGGTTTACCTAGGTACCTACTAGGTAGGTAGGTAGGTACCTAGAGGTAGGTAAGCATCGAATTCAATGGAGAAACTCACCCAGTCGCACAAAATACGAGAATATTAGACGAGTAGCACCCAAAAGAAGAATATCTGACCGACATATTATTATTCATTTCTGATTTGGTACCTAGCTGGTATCAATCACCCCGGATTGAACCTCCTAGGCTTTACAAGACATGGCAGGCCTCCTTTCATCGGCAATGTAAGGCTGCTCTTGCTTACTCTCTCGCCCTCATAATGTGGCATGAAGTCGAATAGGAGCACCATCGTGGCGATGACTTGGATAGCTAATGACTCTGCCATTCGCTTCCCGAGACATAACCGCGGGCCACCATTGAAGACCGGGAATTCGGCTGCGCTCTTGGTAACCAACTTCCCATCCTCCGTAAGCCACCGCTCAGGCCTGAATGATTCAGCGTCCTCTCCCCAGGTAACCTTTGATCGATTCATAGCCCAAGTGCACCAGAATACTATAGCTTTTTCCGGGAGAAAAGTACCGTCCGGTAAGGTGGTTGGCTTCTCGCATTGCTTGATCTCGAAAGGGATGGGTGGATATAATCTTAATGTCTCGTAAAAAGTTGCCATGGTGTATGGCAGTGATGTTGGGGTGAAAACATTAGAGTTAACCTTCTCAATGTCGCTGCCATTGGAAATTACAAAGGGCTCTTGGATATTCCCCAGGGAAGTTCGTACTTCGTTTCGAATTTTCCCAGCGACGAATCTGTGCTGCATAAGCAGATACATGCACCATGTCAGCGCCTGGGCAACCGTGTCTCTACCAGCAGAGAGGTAGTTTAAGGCGGCATCGGATACCAATTTCTGGTCGTCGCCAAAGACGTCCAATAAGGATTGTATTAAACTGCCCGACACTTCGTCAAGTCTGTCGGAGGCCGACCCTAGCGCAGAACGGGCGTCTCGGGGATTCTTCCTTGTTTCAGCAGCGCTTTCCACAATTCCGAGGCCAAAAGTACGAATAGTATGAAGCGCTCCCCGGAACCGAAAGCCAGTGAAGAATTCTGTGATGAACCACAATGGGTTCTGAAAACGCTCGGTCGTAACACCTGAGGCGTAGTCAAAGGCAACGGTAAACTCATCATCGGCATGCATTTCCATATCATAAGCCATCTTTCCCATAAGCTGGCTTGTGATTTCATGGAATACGTGCTGTAGGTCCACGTCGCTTTCCGCACTTGCTTGCGCTCGTAGATAATCGACGGCAAGGCCAAGATAACGCGGTAGAGCAACTTCCGTCAAGACCCGCAGGTTAGACGCGTTGAGAAAGGCGAGTCCGGCTTTCCTCTGGGTCTTCCACAATTCGCCGTCGACATTAATAATTCCGTATCCAAACAAATCCCAAGAAAGTCTCTTGAAAAGGTCACCCTTCGAAAAAATACCCTCATTTTTGAAAACATAGTCTAAATTCTTGGGATCATTGATTACTACACCTGGAGGTAAGGTGGGGACGTTAATCTGGAACGTCTCGTGCCCGAACTGCCTCTCACACTTGACGAACCAAGAGAATAGCTTCTGGCGCGGACGAAGAAAAAGAATTCCATTGCCGACTATGGGCAATGTATTCGGCGGTTTTCTATAGATATGTTAATCGTCAATCCGTAAATACCTATCTATATGTTTGGGGTAGAGAATTGTGGCAAATCTAAGGTACCTTAAAGGAGCCCCATTCCGTTGAATAGTTGGGCTCTGTAAAACGAATTGATAGTAGAGAAGTGCGCCGAGAAGCCCGAACCATAGTAGCGCAGATCCTTCCAATAGCGCCATAATTATTATTCCAATTTCATATCTGACATTGTAGATGAAGAAAAAGAGATAGATACACCATTCAGTCAACTGAAGTTCAAGTTAGTCAAGTTCGTCAAGTTGATGTCAGAATAAAAGATTAACCTCCCATTGGTCATTATCGTATCCATCGTTCTGTTAGGGGGGATTTCGCATCGCCGTTTCAGCCTTACCTTTATGATGCAATGTTTTGTAGGAGCCCCTATTTTTCTGTACGCAGGGACGTGGTCCATCGTATTCTGAGTAATCTGATTGGCTCTTTCCTAGCCCAGGGTAGCTTTTAGCTTCTGAGCTCCCCTAGCTCCTACGCTGTAGCTACCTAGCTTCCTGCCCCTGGAATTGTGGGATGTGTCTGAGCTTAACTCGAAACTCGACAAACGTCAATCGCAAGGCAATCACGATGACGATAATGACACATACTAGATGAAATCGTTCCTCCTTGCATATCTGATCTCTTCACTCTCGTTTTTCTTTTCTCATACATGAATTGATGCTGTCTCAACTTACTGGCTAGCTTCAAGTAGCTTTAATTAGCTGCCCAGTACCTATCTAATCGCGACTATCTAGGCGTTTAATAAGATCAGACATCCGACAAAGTCAATTACGTACTCTACAACGAACTAGTAACTTGCATAACACAAAGCTACACACGATATCCTCGTTGGTTGTACAATGGCTACACCTTGGATTCCCCGAATGCATCTCTGGGAGATCGACGATCAGCCGTGGTGAGTAAACATAAGCCAAGCCTACAATCCATAGCCCATAAGCACTATAACTCCGGAAGTCCGCACCGCGACATCCCCAATTGGCTGGCTCGTCGTACAAGCGTTCCAGGGCGTTGGGTCAACAAGATTTTGCTGGCCAAGTCCAACAGGTCCGGCATCTGATGTCCTGCCATTCCGGTGACGCTGCAGGTCCCAAGTACCTGTCCAAGACCACGTACCTACATCAGCCTACATGCAAAATGTCTCTCTAACGAGTAATCGTCTGCCTCTAGGTTCCCCTCCTTCCTCCGCAACTACGTTCAGATCGGTCTAACACATGCCTGGACCACCCACCTTCCACTGCTGCAGTCTGGCAGCCCCGCCACCCTCGTGGCCGCGATTCTGCGGCGCGTGCTCGGCGCATCTGTATCGCGGCACACCTATATTGACTTCTGCGCCGGCGCGGGGGGTCCCACGCCCTTTATAGAGCGCGCCCTGAACCAGCAGCTCTCCAACTCCACCACCTCCTCTACCGCACCGAGCTACGCTGCCGTTGCCGACCCTAAAACTGCATCTGCCACCGCAGTAGACTTCGTACTCACGGACCTACACCCGAACGTCGAGTCCTGGGAAGAAGCGAGCAAGAAGAGCGATCACCTAAGCTACGTCGCGCGCCCCGTCGACGCCTCCGCCGCACCCGCCGAACTCCTGCACCAATATGGCAAAGAGAACAAGAACGGCAAGGGAATATTCCGGCTCTTCAACCTAGCATTCCACCACTTCGACGACAACCTCGCGCGCGCGATCCTAAAGAACACGCTCGAAACTAGCGAAGGATTCGGGTAAGCACTCACCACCTCCCTACCATAACCACCCATCGAAATAAAAAAAAATCCGCAAAGTACCTAGTAGCTAGCCAATACTCACCCATCCGTCGCGTTTAGCATATTCGAGCTCCAAGAACGCACCCTCTCGGGCTTCACGACCTGCATCCTCTTCGGCTTCTTCATCCTACTAATCGCGCCCATCCTGTACTGGTGGAATCCCCTGCGGCTTCTCTTCATCTACCCCCTCCCCGTCGTCCCCTTCGTCCTCGTCTTCGACGGCCTAATCTCCTCCCTCCGCACCCGCACCGCCGACGAAGTCGAAGCTCTCCTACGCACCTGCGGCGCCGACTGCGACGGGTGGGAGATAAAGAGCGGGCGCGAGCGCTTCCTCTGGCCTTGCGGGTACCTGAACTGGGTTATCTGCACCAAGAAGTCCGCGCTGCCGTGAACGGGGGGTGGTGATCTAGGAAGGATTCGGACCGTAGGATAAGAAAGGATCGATGTCGGCGCGAAGCGTAGGATATCTAAGGATGACAAAATAACGCAACGAATTGGTTTTTTTTTCTCGCTTACATATCTGTTACACTATCAGCTCGGAACATTTCCATTGTAATTAATAATAGGCTGCGAGATCTTAGAAATAGAGCTAGACGCCTCGTATAGCGAGCCCCGGATCTAGATTAGCCAGTTATATCCCCTGTTATCGAAATCGTTGGGTTCGGAATCAGCCATCAATATTCCATATTATGTACAGGGAAGCATTGCTTGCTCACTGCCAATTTCAAGATAGATACAGAATATACAGAAGACGTTATCTTTGCATTCCAAAGTGCGTTGTATATGAAAGCTATAAACTATATACGAATGGTATTCCTAATCATTTCCCCGTAAATGTCATGACGATGCTGTTCCGTGATTAACCGTTAAACGCCCCATACACTTTCTTTACATAGACACATTCTCGTGAAGATACAGATGAACATGAACATAATAGGTGATCGGTCCGGGTTCGGCCCGCCAAATCATCTCGTCAGCCAACCCAGGTAGTCCACGACGATTAGGGTTACCATGCTACAATATGACGTTAGCGCGCATTTATCGAGATGTGGGTCCGATGCTCGGAAAGGGTTCAAAGGGTTCTACTTACGCGTGGGGGGCGATGCGGACGTAGTATGTGCCAAATCCACGGTAAAATCGCGTGAGACCTTCCTGCTTCGCGACTTTGACGAAGCAATCCGTCATGCTCTTGTACGGAAGCTTACCATCGGGACCGCGCTGTTGCTTCTGCAACCTCGTCTTTACGAAGTCGAAAGGCAAACTGAAGAATGAGGCGAAGAAACCGGCGATTGCGCTAGCTGTTAAGGTTTGCGACTGGGCTGACCAGTTAGTTTTCGTTTTGAGTTGGGATTTGGCCTCTGAGAAAAAAGCCAATTGACCCAGGTTGAGTGACATAGCCCGGACTACCGTTGGCGCTGCGCCCGCCCAGAGCGCGGTAACCCCTTCGGACTTAACAATCGATGTCAACGCATCAATAACAGATTTATAGTTTTTTCTCTCTGCAATAGGCTTGAGACCATCTGATTGCATTCGGATGAGGGCGAGGTCGGCCGGGTTTCCGATGAACGCTGCTATCCCACCCGCCGCGAGACCCGCGCTTGCCCTCTCAGCGAAGCTAATCTTAGTACCCTTCTCCTGAGCACGCGTCGCCAGGCCTTTCATAAAGGTATCGAAGAAGCCTAGTCTTGCTGTAGTGTACACAGCTTGACGAAGAAGACCTGCCGATAGACCGGTGTATAAGTCGAGAACCTTGCCTTGCGCAAGGATATCTCGCGTAACAGATAACGGAGTAGGTTTAGGTCCGGTAGCAATACCCTCGCCCGCAAGCTGCAACCTGACTTTAATCATGTCCACGGGCTGGATGACGGTGGTGGCAACCATCCCAGACATACCTCCGTTAATAAAAGGTAGGGCCGCCCGCATAACCGGAGTGTGGAGGAAGTCGTTACCCACGGCGGCAACAGTCTCCGAGCCTTGCTTGCCCATGGTGGACGACTTGGTTCGTGCGGCTTCCGCAGCTTGCTTCAGAGTGTTGGAGCTCATAATTCCAATACAAAAACAAGACAACAAGGAGTCGAAGGAATCGTACGCTGACGCAAGGCCGGGTCCCGTTTAAACTCTAATAACAGGCGACAGAGGGAATGAAAAGCTAGCGTAAAAGATACATAGTTAGCAAGTTGTCCGTAAGGGCAGCCTGGCGTGGGTTAAATATGGACAGGAGGCCTGTAAGCTTATAATGAAAGGCCGGACTAGGTAGGGAACTCCATAGAAGGTCCGGTAAAACGTCATTGGCTGGTTTACTCAACATCCGCTAAACAGCATGCCCATGGCCGAGGTGGATAGACAACCGACGTGTACTTCGGCTTCATTAAACGGGTCGAAACGGTAATGTGGTTGAGGCTTTGATTATCTATAATACTATGCGTAGATGCAGATGTGGATCTCATCGGGAGAGATAGGGAGTGGGGGGCCAAGTGGATAGACCAGGTACAGCTGAGATGCTACCTGGTAGGGACCTAGCGAGGACGTTGGAATTGGATTCATGGATGTCGGATACCCGTTCCAGCGTTGAAAGGACCCACCAGTAGGGTAGTTGTCAATAGCGTATAGTGGATAGCGGTGACCAAACAGTTGAGGAATGGCTGGCTAGCTGGATGTATATCGTGTGGTTGACAATAATAATAGATCACAGGTAGATCAACGAAATTGGGGGTAACCAACTTATGCGACAATGTCTCAGTAGATCAACCGGACATGGGTTTCTATTCTCCCCAACTAGCAAGCTAGATGGTAGCTCTCAGCCCTGGATCGCTGTAAGCTCACCGAGACCGGCAGGATTGCGGATCTATCAGGTTGAGCTCAACAAGCGGGAGCTTGTATATAGGGCGCTGCGCCAGGGAAAAGCAAGATGATGTCAGCAGAAGGAATATTCCGCGATAAACTAGAAGCAAACAAACATCAAATTTAAGGAAGGAAAACCAACGGAAGTAATGGTGAAGTTTGCAAATCTAACCAGGACACGCGATCAATCCGGGCGGCTGGCCGTCTGGCCGTCTAGATATAGGGGTTCGAGAGATGTAAGGAGATGGGAAGAACAAAGCATCGATTTAGATAGGGAGGCGTCCGGTCGCTCAAGGCAAAGAAATATTAACCTTTCTAGCATCCAAAAGGGAAAAGCCGGACAAGCAAACTAGGCAATCCTAGCTATCTAGATTCGGGAGTCAAGTGACAATAAGTGAAGACGATGTATGACCTCGGTAGTAGATGGTAAAAGTTGGAAAGTTGATGATGGATAATTGATCATAAAAATCCGGATCATTAATTAAAAAGATAAAAATAAGCAAGGCAAGTCAAATGGAAGGTAGGAAAGAACAACGAGTCCATGCTCTCACTTATGTAAAGAGATCAACAGAAGAGCAAGAGCAAGAACCATTTAGTGCAATGCGCGGCAACTACATGGCGAATAGATATCAATCGCCTCCTCTCTTCCTTCCTCGACTAACCGAGTACTCGTTGATGATTGGTTCCAAGCTTTAAATGCCCTCTAATACATCTGATATGTACATACAGCTTGGGCACATCCAGACTACCGAGAAGATCAAATGCGGGGTTGCGCATAGTATTCATCATCTTGATATCGAATGGAAATTAAGACGGTGTTGCGTGTGATGGCAAGTAGTGATACACGCGTTCTCGACGTGTCGCATATTGCTCAGTGCTTTCAGTCACTGATACCATTTATATCAATGCTACATGAAAGTAACAAATCCACCAAGTAGTGGTCATACCAACTTCGTTTTGGACGAGATTGCCTGCTCTTCAGGCTTATTCAACCTTCTTCAAATAGCATGCCTGTGTACTAGGTCTAGAGGCGAATTGGGAAGAATAATATTAACTATTAGGTATGTACCTATAGCTTGACCATAGCAAGGGAGCTAGAGTATATAGTACGCGAACTTAAGTGCGCACATGGCTGGATGGATCTCGGCATTCAGTTGGAGATCTGCACTTGGTCCAGACTGCCTTCCCGTTCAACCGGAACTTTTAAACTGCGGTCTGATGATATCAGTCCTATGTATGTGTTTGCGGATGTCCGAGTGGAAAAGAGTGAAGACTCGAGGGATTGACTCTAGTATCCTGATGCTATAGACTTCGGATATATTGAAACTTCCCTTGAACTAACAGGAAACAAAGGCTGAGATTCCTTCTACGATAATGGATGTTTTAAATCTCGTCTTTCTCTTTGATATACTGTGACATCCTCGTTGCTAGTCCCGAAAGTTGGCGTATTGCGGGGTAAAGTCCCTACATGTCTAAAGTACCTAAGTGGGACAGCACGATTAGCTCTATCGCGCTAGCCTAGCTAGTGCATAGAGAGGTACTGTATCGATAAGCACGTGCTAATTTTCTATTGAGATTGCGAAGCTCTTTGTATCAGTTTTATGAGAAGAAGCCATCTATTGGATGACTATTGCTTTACTTTAACAATTTGGGCTCAGAGACATTATTATACAAGTTATTGAATGTATATTGAATACGTGAGAGGATGAGAGGACGTAGCTACCTTGGTAAATATTGTCAATTGATACAACCATTCAGGTGACGTCAGGTCTCTTGGAGCTCTTTCTCGCCTTAACAATGCATGAAATCTGATAGGCGCACCACACATATTTAGGCAGGTCTTATCCTATCCTAATAAGGACACCTGCATTTCTGATTTCTGATCTCCAACTCTAAGACTCCAATAATTTTTCGTCACCCTCTTCCCTCCAACCAGCCAAGCTTTTATTATATCAACCGACGTCTGCGCTCTGGTACACACAGCTACCGAGCAGCCTAGGCGCACATGCCTAACTAAACACAAAACTACAGCGATATGGCCAAGCTCCAATGATAAATTCTACTCCCAAAAGAATGAAACCATGGGCAATATGGTCCAAACAAACAGCTAGAGTACCTACATACAACATATACGCAAATCTTAGGACCATTCCATTTATATCTTTAATTTAATGATTTCGCCTTGAATCTAAGCCGCCACTACATCATACTCTCAGCTCCTTAGGGAGCTTGAACTTTCCGGGAACGGCCCGGGTATCCAGATACATATCCACTGAAGTTGTATTAGTATTGGAAAAAGCGAATGAACACGCAAAGCTAGGCGAATTCATTATTGGTTCATTTTCCTAATGGCGCGCAATGTCGACATGTAGCTATAAACGCGCAATGAGAATAACAGGGTTAGGGCGTCTGTTTGAGCTAGAGCTCCAACTTTAGATGCGCTTTTTCATATTTCCCTCTTCCCACCAGCGTAGGAGAGACCGCAATAGAACCGACCTATCACGCGATGGGTAGCGTACGGATATTGGACCTCATTTTGATATCGGAAATATCCCTGCTTTTTCGTGGCTCGCTGTCGTGTCAAGCGTCTTCCAACCCTTCATCTTTTAGCACAGTTGTCCCCTAGAACATTTAGCGGCTTAACATGTCCACTCTCGCCAGCGCGTCAATTTCTATACTTCACGATAACCGGTCGGGCCGAATTTCTCCCACAGGTCCTGTATCGTAATGGTGTCGAGACCTATGATATCTTGGTGTACATAGGTAGGATCAGACAGAGTTTTCATATGAAAGGAGTCGACCCGGCCGGATCTTTCCGATATTTCTCGAACCGAAGACTTTGATTTCTCAGACGGGCTTATTCAATTACTTACCAACACACCTGGGATCCGTTTTAAGTTACGCCGAGTTACAGACATCCTGCTAGCATCTGTCTGCCATCTACTAATAGATCCGAGGCCTTAGTCGGGTACTTGAACAATTCTATGGGTGTCCTCAGTCATTTTCCATCCATCCAATCATGAGAATAACTATATCGAGTCGGTGAATCCCTCAATGCGGAACAGCAAGCCGCCGTCATGATTATCAATGCGTGTTACGCCTCAACGTCCACAGGGACGTCGCGTATTTACTAGATGGCAGGCAGCATAATTGGCCTCAACCCACAGCAGCGGATCCAGGGGCGATAGCTTCTCGGCGGGTATTATGTATCTATTATAGATGGGTACATAATGCTGACTTATCCATGGCCACGATATTCTATTAGTTGACAAATTGCAACGGCTTGTGGATATATTGGGATTCCAAGCTAGGTCCCATCTTCCGGCTTTGTGGCTAAATCGCCCCTAGCCAACTTTAAGCCATCTCGTTCGAATTTCCTACACTACACCGACATGCATCTTCAGGATTCTCGTTAATGGCAATGACCAAGTCATCGTCACGTCTAATGTGGGATATTTCTATATCTAGTAGACCTACCTAGTAACTACCTATAATAGAAAGACTTGAACTTCTGGAGACGCTAGACACGAGGATAATGGTTCAACCCCGGCCTATACCACCGGAACCAATAACGGTAGGAAGCCTCATTCATCAAATACCTATGAATAGGTCACTGGAAACAATAACGGTAGATTCTTTCACAGAATCCCTGGGACGCATGAACATTCTAACTGCATTACCCACTCAAGCCCGCAATTATACACCTAGCTAATCTCAGTAGAGGCGGGAGATCACTGACCTCGGGTAATGCTTCATGGAACTACGGTCTTCGGCTCGGGCCACCGGACTAATTTCATTACAACACCCGCCTAGGTGCCGATATCTAAGACCCAATTCAACGTTACTTAAAAACAAATTGCTACCGTTTTCGATTTTTCGGAATTAGATCTGTACCCCGAAGCATACTAGCAGATGTCTGGGCGATTGGTTGAATACTTTGCTATGGTTCTCAGCCGCATCATAGCCTCTATGCTCCAGAGCAACCTAAAACGTGGAGGGGAACGTCGTCAATCTTCCTCCATCGGTCACGATGACTGCGCCGTTATTATAAGCTCCTGCTCTAGAGGCCAAGTAGAGGATGGTGCCTCCTAGGTCCTTCTCATCTCCAGGACGCTCGAGTGGTATTTGATCCTTCCCAAGACCTCCTCTAGCAAGAATGGGAGCGGACATCTCACTTGGATATACTATTCGCTAGTTAGCCCATTGAATTCACCGAATGTCATTTTATCTACTCTCAAACCCCTTCCCGTATAGAAGGGGGATGATATCAAATGGGGTGAATATAATTACTTACGGCCGGGGCATATGGCATTAGCTCTGATATTCCACTGTGGCAGTACTACACTTAGGTGCTTGACAAGGTGTAGACAGGCAGCCTTACTCTGCCCGTACGCGAATCCGCCGGTGTTTATCTTATTCAACGCACCAATGCTACTTATAGCAATTACGTGGCTCATCTGTTCCACATTGCCTTGCTTGTTCCCTGCATCGAGGAGCTTCAGGAATGACATGGTGGTGTACCATACAGCGCTCGTGTTGACGTTGAATGTGTTTGTGTAGTCCTCAATAGGTACAGACAAGTTAGCTTCGACGAACTCGTCTAGCGTGGTCTCTTTTTTGGGTCGACTGCCGTACGGCCCGCCGATGCCCGAGTTGCAGATTAGCAGGTTGACGAAGCCGACATCCTGCTTGACATGGTCGACTGCTGATTGTAGCGACTCCTTGGATGTTACATCTGTTGCAATGGGTATGACATTGGAGCCAATTTCAGCTGCGGCTTTCTGCAAGATTTCTAGACGTCTGCCCAAGATGTACACTTTGGAAGCGCCGTTGACTGCAAGTGCCTTGGTTATCATGAGACCAATTCCTGCGGTTGGTTGCTATGTCAGCAAAGGTACTAGGTATTGAATAAACCCCGTGGGCTTATAGTTGAACCTACCCGTACCACCGCCCGTGACGACGGCAACTAATCCCTTGACATTGAATAAATTCTCCGCGCCAAGCGCGGCTGACGTCGTCTGTGAAGTCGCCATTTCAACTACCTAGTAGCTATGGTATATGATCAATAAGAGTGGATAAGATTAATAGAACCCATACATATAGGCACCTATATATTAAATTTGTGTATGTTTGCCAAGTACCTGCCTCACAATTAACATTCCTTATAGGAATGAGTCATAGACCTACCGTTCCTTCTTTGTTAGCAGGTAAATGACAACTTAATCTTGAGCGTCGAAGGTTCCTGGTAAGCCACAATCTGATTCACACCCTATGCCACCAACATTCCCCTCAGTGGAGACCGAGCTCGCGATATCCGGACACCGACATCGTCATTGGATGGTTCGATGACTTCCAAGGTCATAGTAGAATGTTACCCGGTAGTTAGGCGCAAGCGCTATCTTATCTCTACAACACTAGCCTGAACCTTCAGATGATGTACCTACCTATTTTCCCTGTACTTGAAGACCTATAAGGTTAGTAATCATTGCTCGTAAACATTATGATTTTAAAAGCTGACGCTAGGGACGTTTTGTAGCGCTGTTCGCCATGTCTCAGATGTTAGTCAAAGGCGTGGTGAGTAAAACTCGATAACTGCATCAAGAATATGATAAGCCAATAATACCTTTTATACACATATACATGACAAATACTATGTATATAGCAACATATTACAATAACCATAACTCTTCCTATCTCCAAAAATTTTAACATCAAAATTTCTAGATATTTGATCATTGGTGCAAATAACCACAAACCACCCAACATGCCGAAACGGAAACGGAGCTACGAACCCACTCTCTCGGAGAAGCTTACACAATGGCACAAGGAACTCGCGCGGGGCATGAAGACGGCTAAGGGTTTCGAGCGCCAGCGTTTAAGCAAGCGCATCCGCGAAGCCCAGGCCCAGGGCACTCCAGACAAGGCGGCGAGGCTGGAGAGGGAGGTCGCTGTGCTGAAGGTGCGCAACAATTACCCCTGCACTTACATATATGTTAAGGGACAGAATAGGAGTAAAAGCTAACATATGAAATTCTTCAGAGTCTCGACCTCCAACAAGCTGCACACGCGCACCTATGCTCGTCCCTCTTAAAAATCAAAGGCGTCGCCGAGTCCCCCCGACTACCGTCCGATCTAGTGAGACCTATACCGAAGCCTGACGGCCTATCTGAGGAGGAGAAGGCGGCGCTGCATAATGTGACGAGTGCGCTGTGCAATCGCAAGCAGATCCGCGATGTGATCGAGGAGGCGATTATGGGGACGTGCATGGCTTTGCGGGTGCTGATGCCGGATAAGATGAAGAAGGGCGGGAAAGATAAGAAGGATAAGAAAGAGAGGACGAAAGAAAAGGAGGGGCAGACTGATGAGAGAGATGATGGTGCGAAGGTAGTTGGTCGGGGGAAGGAGAAAGAAGATGAGGAACAAGCCGGATCTGGAGAAGAGGAGCCCGAGCCGGTGCTGTTGAAGAGGAAACGGGATAATGTCGCGGAGGAGGAACAAGAGGTCAGTGGCGATGAAGAGGATGAGCCAGAGGACGAGGAACCGTTTGAAGGCTTTTCGGGCAGCGATGCGGAAGAACGAGTATGGTCACGGTACGATGCTTTCGTAGCAGGTTCTTCCAGCGACGAAGATGAATCGGATGAAGACGGGGCAAGCGAAGATGCGCTCGCAGCGGATAGCAAGTCACGATCAGTCCGAAAAACAACGACCGCCGACGATATTTTCATCTCATCAGCCGACTCTGCGTCAGAAGACGAAGATGAAGACGAAGAAGACCTAGACATATCAGGTAGCGAAAGCTCCGCATCCGCTTCCCTCCCACCACCGAAGAAGTCCAAAACCGCAAGATCCGGCCCCATCTCGGTCAACGGGTCCGCGTTCCTGCCTTCTCTAATGGGAGGTTACATATCAGGCTCCGAGTCCGAAGCCTCCGACATCGACGTCAACCCGCCCGAGCGGAAAAACAGGCGAGGTCAGCGGGCGCGTCAGGCTATCTGGGAGAAGAAGTACAAGGAAAAAGCGAAGCATCTACAGAACCAGGACAAGGGGCGGGACCAAGGCTGGGATATGCGCCGAGGCGCCGTGGGGGATGACGATGGGTCGAATAAGCCCTGGAAGAAGGGCATTCACAATCCGTTTGAGAACAAGGACGTGCATCCCGAACGGTTAAGGCAGATGCAGGGTGGTGGGAGCGGAGGTAGACGGTTCGAGGAAAGACGGCCTATGGTGGATAAGCCGAGACCAAAGGCTCCCACGAAGAGAGATGATACGGGTCCTTTACATCCTAGTTGGGCGGCGGCTAAGAAGGCTAAAGAAGAGGCACAGAAGGTTGAGTTTCAGGGACGTAAGGTCGTGTTTGACTAGGATACCAATTAGTAAATCACAGAGACTACGAGAATTGCAATGCTGTAGGAAATCATCAATCGTGTTCGCGCAAGCTAAGCTAATTCTACATAGCAAAAGATATGTTATGCAATATCTTCTCAATCCTGACCCTCCTTGAAATCAGCGTGGTTCATGATCTGCTTATTCTCATTTTCATCGATTTTTACTGTATCGTTGGCCTCTTTGCCTTTGGATATGCTAGTGATATTTCCAGCGAAATTTCAGCAGATCAAGATTCTTAGTCAATAACAAATTGGGACCGGTAGATAAAGTGTGATGAAGAATCTAGGTCATTGAACTAAGGCCGATACCATCCGGATGAAATGCACTGTAAGGAATTAACCCTTGGATTTAGTTGACGAATTCAATTTTCGGCGTTTCGTCGACGATCCACCACTCTCAGAATTCTTCTTGCTCGGTCGCTTGCGCGGGGGACGAGGAGGAGGAATTGGTTCTTGGATAAGAAGTTCATCGTCTCCGGGCGGGGTATCTTCCTGGTAGAATCTGTCGCTTTCAGATTCATAGTCCCATCCGGTTGACTCATCACTATCATCGTCGTTATTATTCTGGTTTGGCGTCGTTGGGTCGATGGATGGGCCTCGGGAATGGCCATCGGCAGGCTCAATCTTGACAGATCTGCCCGGCGAGGATGTGGGGACGAAGAGTGACTCTTCGTCGTCGTCGCCTGTGAGATCGATTGTAATCGGATCTAAGGGACCAGCGCTACCAAAACTAAGACCTGGATCAGGGTGTGGATTATTCTCTAAATTCTTGCCTAATGCATTCCCATCACCGTTTCCAGGGGGCTCTTCCTTGTCTACTTCCATTCTCTCCGAAGGGGTGATAGTTGAATTGGAACGCGAGCTCACAAATAGGCCACTTGATCTGTCGTCATCATCGCTAGCATTTTCACTAGCTTTGTCATCACGCTTCTGTCTGTATTGTTCAGCTCGATTGGGAGGAGTAGCAGGTGGTGTCATAAGAGTCTCTGGAGACCCAGGAGGCACTGGGTCATCTTCGTCATCCAATAATGACCCAGCAACACTTTCGTAGTCGCTTTCCAAATCATCTTCAGCAAGGTCTTCATCATCGGAGTTCCCATAGCCATAAGCCCAGTCCACATTAGGTGATTCATCATAGAAGGCCTCGACGATTCTCATATCCTTCTCCGATGGAATCCAGTCTTCGAGGCCCTTCAGGGGTAATAAGTATTTGAGCTCGCTCTTGATCTCTGCGCTTCGGCGCTTTGGCTGAGTCACGGCTCTTCCTATGTCTTCGAGGAATGATGGGTCTAGAATCGACTGTCGTTTTTGTACGCCGTCACGCTCTTTGAAGCGAATCCACTTCATGCCGCGGAGCTGGTAAATGTAATCCATACCCTGTACCGTTCGCATTGATCGGAGCTTTTGGCGGTTTTTGTTTTCCTTCATTAGCGCAGCAACGGGATTGAATGGTACGTCTGAGGGGCGACAAGTGTCCTCATCGTCGCTGTGATTATCCCTGTTATTATTAACTTTGCTGCGATTACCTTTGCGGCCGTTGCCGTAATTGCCGTTACTACCATTCTCGCTGACGAAGAGCTGCTCTTCCTCTTCCTCTTCATAATCGTCGTCATCGTCATCGTCATCTTCAGAATTCCATACCTTATCCGGGTTCTCGTATTTCCTTCTCCTCCTATCTTTCGCCGACTCCTGGATGTGCACTACAAGTGTCCGAAGACGTCTCGTCTTAGTAAACCAGGACAGCCCGACCGAGCGACGAGAGATTCTCGTCTTATGTCGACGCATGTTAGAGCCATGCCACATGAGTTCGACATTCACAAGCCTCTCCACACGTGCCATGCCAATGCCGTTGCAAAAACGATGCCATTCGCCTAATGAGCTAAACGCGAATGTATTTGCTCCGTAAAACGCGTGTACCCCGACGTAGTACCATCTTTTGCAAACTAGGAGAGGATCGAGTACATCATGTGGTCGGCGCATTAGTGCGATTTGGCATGGGCGTGTGCTGAAATGGAATCCGGTTGGCAATTGACTTTCGCCTTTCGTGTCCTTCTTTGGAAAGTCTTCCTGGAGGGGCGGGTTCAGGGGGTCCAGCCGAGATAGGCAGTGGACAAGAGGACTCTTTACGAAAACGCGGGCAAAGATCTTGACTTGAATCTCAGCAGGCAATCTCTCAAACGGAAATGTTGGTTGCCCTAATAGACGGTGATATATTGGCTGGACAGTAATAAAGATACTCGGCAGGATCAGTGCCATGAATCGACGATGAGATAGAAAGTCGCCTGGTGATGTATCGTATTTATTTCGCGCGCGTTCGCGACGAAGTAGGAGGGTCTGTTCAGATACCACTTCATGCCGTAGACCTAAGCTGGGATGAAGAACCGTCATCTTCTGCGACATGTTCTCCTGCTTGCAACTGTCGCGAAAAATCGTGCCGTAATCCCCTGTTTCGCCCTGAAGGAACTCTCTGAGCTTGTGACTCCACGGCTGTATATAAATGTTAATTAATCGCGATTCATACATGAATTAAAGAATTACTTACCACGGGAGGTTCGCTGATCCCATTAATTCGGTCTTCCAACTCCTTGGTCCTTTTCTCGAGTTTACGTCTCTCACGGGTGGTTCGATTCTTCAGCGATCTTATCATCTTAACCTTCTCCTCAATCTGTCTTCCGTAGGCCTTGATAATCATCAGCTGATCATCATACTTCTCTTTGAGGATATTGTAGTTACGACCGGTGTCTCCCTCGTTGTACTGGGTGAGGTTTAACATGTTCTTGAGCAGATTTGGAATGCGCGATGGTCCATTGTCTAAGAGATTTAGCATATATCTCACAACGTAATGGGAGTGTGACAGTTACCTTCCTCTTCGTTCCCTTCGACATTTGGCTCTTCAGTGACCTGCTCATCGATGACTTCGGTCAACTCCTCAATCATGTCAACAACACCAGTTTCGAGTTCGGTGACATCGCTGTCGCAGTCGCTGCTATCCGGGGACGACATCTTGACGCAGATTATAGGTGATCTAGAAAGATACCGGAAGAATTCGGAGAGTGTAATTGGTCAACCCTAGTGCTTTCCACTGAGATAAGTTAATAATAAGTATCGGCCATGAAGGAAGTCACTATGGAGTAGATGGTAGAATGAAAGAAGTAGACCGAGGGTATTATATTGAAATTGGATTGTAGTAGGGCTATGATTGATTGCGTAGGAGGTTCTTGAACGAAGTCGTTGATCATGAGCGCAGAGTAGATGGCCTGACACGGCTTTCACCGGCGAAGGTGTGCAAGTTGACGTTGAAGAACCTAGTATTACGGTTATCAGGAGCTAGGTGTAGGGATGAGAATAAGTTGTGCGAACCATCAGCGTTTGTAATACTGGGTGATGAGTAGCTGGCCGTAGGGTTAGATCTTCAGATTTAATGCCTTTGTATGTGTAGGATATGTTGATAATAGATAGGGAGAAGTCAGATCGGAGGAATAGGTATCTATAAGGGAAAGATGGTCTAAGTAACCGTGGTGTATTGAGGAAGTCGTAATGCATAATATTGGCATTGGGTAAGGGGTGAACATCTTCAAGCTGACCAGGGAAGGTATCATAGAAACTAGGAAACAACGTACCATAAATCTAGAGTAAAAATCCGCTAACGTGTAATAATAATTAAACTAGGGGCAGTGGCGAGATAATAATAGTGTATGGGTTTACATGGCAGTTTGATTGAATCATAAGGTGTGAGGCTTCGCTCTCGGAAGAGTAGTTGGGTTTTTGTTATGATGGAAATAAGGTAGATTCATCTTGAATTGAGTAGGATGTCGATAATGTATGAGTGTTCATCTTCGGGGAAAGAAATATTGATGATATGTTCAATTGTAAGGACAAGAGATACCAATCTAGTACCTACCATAAGAGTGTAGATATCGTAGCTGATTAAAGGTAAAACTGATGTTAAATTGAAGCTCCTAATATCATTCAGCGTGTCCAACTTGATATTTTGTGTAGTAATACAATAGTGTGCCCATAGCATAGGGCAGCATGGTCATAATTTCGAGGAAGGCAGGTAGTAGGTATCTGTCTCTATAAACGTATCTATCGTAGGCAATGTACAAACCGATGACCAGATTGAAGGTATCACATATATTCTTGACTAAGATGAAGAGGTCTATATTCCCTTCATCGATCGGAAGAAATCCTATGCACAGAGAGTATTAGCGACCAATACATCGGAAAAGAACTTGGGGGAGAAGGGGGTCCTGAAATCTTACCATCATGCCCGTGAAAACGACGAGCAGGATACCTCCTCCTGGTCCAAGTCTTAGGACCTTAGGCAGGAAACCCTTATACAGAGCACCGAAACCTTCTTCCTTCATCACGGTCGCACAAGCAGGCCAAGCCCAGTTGTACTTGGGCACCGTTCCGGCGATTTTAGGGCTGTTCTGGATACGTGACTTGACCACGTCCATTGGCGTGTTGATTATCGTGCCAACTGTACCACCAACCGAGCCAGAGATGAGACCATTGAGGATCTCGCCTTGCTTGGTTTCGGCCTTGGGTAGAAGCTCTTTGACCTGGAAAATACAGCCGAAGTAGCCGGCATTCCAGAGTATGTGTCGCCAAAGGGTACTCTCGAGACCATTGTACATGGCTAGAATACCTTCATTCTTGATCGTCTTGGCAACGACATCGATCATGCCGGAATATTTGCCTGCTGAGGCCTTGTCCTGCAGCCGAATCTTGACTAACTCGAAAGGCACAACGACAAAGGACTCGGTAGCTCCAGCAGACGCGCCAGTCAAAATTGAGAGTGACTGGTTCATCTTCTCAGCGCCAAAGGCCTTGCGATATAACTTGCCCCACTCATCGTTGGCGGCGAACTTGGTAGCACGCTTTGGGGCTTCCATCAAAATAGGGGCGGTGATACCTCTGTATAATCTCGAGAACCTATGCTTTGGATAAGCCTGAGGTTCCGTATTCTAGGAGGATATCATACCCTTCATTTCGAACAATCTTCTGGAAGCAGTCCATCATACCATTGTAAGAGTCTGCGCCAGTTCCCTTGCCCGTTTGAAGTTGTCTGCCACATCGTAAGCATAGTCCGGGTTAGGAAAGGTCGGATTGATTTGCTGCCTACACTCGGGTTTTCACAACATCGAGAGGATACCTAGTCCATGTCAACTATGCGCACGCGACAGTCTAAAGCGGGGTGTTGTACATGGTCAGAATCTAATAGAAGTACGATATTAATGCCCATAAATGTCCTCGATAAAAGAATGTGTGTCAATTGCTTACCTCCGAGATGCCAGCGACGGCACCTAAGCAAGATCGTTAGTCTACACTCTATGGCAGTCATCGTGATGGAGAACTATAATGCGACTAACCTGCGGCGAAGGTGTATACGAATGGTAACGGCTTATCTTGCGACATCTTGGGCAAACTTTGACCTATACGAAGTGATGGGGGAACCCGTTGTTAGATCTCAATTGGAGGTAGAATAGAAATAAAATATTTCAAGGCTCGGCGACTACATACCAGCGGTTACTGACGGGTAGTGGGTTTTGAGAAAGAAGTTCGAATAATTTGCGATGGAAGCGCATACTGCATAGTACATAGAGAATAACGTTAGCGTTCTTTGCCCCACGACTGCCCGCCGGATCGGAGTTTTCTAGGCATGTTCAAGGGTCCCCACAAGTCGCAAAACACAACCTGAGGTGCACAGGCCCTTGTTCACCTGTTCAAGTAATCCTTACTTGTTGATATTACGTACGTTAAAGACAGAAGTTAATAATCCAAACATTCGTTCAAGGTTATGCCCTGAGTGTTCTGAGTTTACGAAAGGTTATTATGTTAAAAGTTTCCTATTGCAGTAATTCCGACGTTTCCGGCGCTAGTCACCTACAATCCCCGTTAAATCCCTACCGCCGCTAGGTCCGAGGTTCTTGATTGGTTCCAGGTTCAGCCCTTTGAGATTTAACTGTGGCCCGTGTGCTGCAAGGGCTCTTCTAATTACTTTTGAAGCGCTCACGTAGCTCTGTTTTATTCAACCAACCACGAACAACCAACAAAAAAATCGCAATAATGGGTGCCACTACCATGCTGGTAGAGAATTGTTTCCTTCATTTCTCTTCCTATAGAAGCTCCCATTTTGATCTAGAAAATAGATCTACGAGTCACCGTTATAATAATGGGTGAAACAATCGATCCACAGGGAACGCCTGTCGCGCCTCGGAAGAATCGCGTAATTAAGGCTAACAATAAAACACCTGCAGCCAAATACAACACTGTGATGGTGCAGAGAATTGTAGAAACTCTGAAGCAAGATCCTGAAGCCGATCTGGTTACCATCATAGGGAAAGATTACGCTAAGAAACGAGAGCTATTCCAGAATGTTGGTGGTAAGAGTTCTGCCTGCTCATCACACGGATATCTGGTAGCTTATACTCAAACAGCGAGACTCGGAAGCACTACCAAGAAGCTAACCGTTCCTAATCCTTCCCCGGGCGACACACGGTTGCTTCTCGACCCGGACGAAGCGGCTACGATCCTCTCGCCATTTTCGGAAGATATGCTGCTTCTCCTCCCTAACATAGACGTCGATAATCTTATGCACTCTGTTATCCAACTCTTGTCCGAAGCCGAAGTTATCTTTCAAACTAAATGGGGATGCTCCACTATGATTTTGCTAGTCTCCGACGGCATCGTTACCAAGATCTCACGGCGCTCGGACGGCACCGATGAATATACTGCTTTGCAGTACCTTGAAGAACACCTACCAAGCTTTCCTGCCCCTAGACCACATGGGATGATTGAATTAGAACATTTCTATCTTATGTTCATGACCTATATTCCTGGTTTAGACCTTGAAAAAGCATGGCCACAGTTAAACGTGGCTCAAAAACAAGACATCAGCAGTCAGCTCGACGCCCTGTTCTCTGAATTGCGATTACTTCCGTGCTTAGAGGACAGTCCACTTGGTGGCGCTCAAGGGGAACTATGTAAGGATGCTAGAAGAGGTCTACGTGTAGCTTCTACTCCAATTACGAGTGTAAAGGAGTTTGAAGATTTCGTCTTTTCCGGTTCTAGATCTGCAACCCCAGTCTATTTGGAGTTTTTGCGAGGGCTCTGTCCACCAAGTCCGAACAAGTCCGTCTTTACCCACGGAGATGTCCGACCAGCAAATATTGTGGTCGATTCTGACGATTCAGGCAAGTGGCAAGTTACAGGTATCATCGATTGGGAGCGCAGCGGCTTCTACCCAGAGTACTGGGAGTCCATAAAAATTACAAACTGCTTGTACGCCGGTGAAGACTGGGACTGGTATAAGTATCTGCCTGGATGTTTGCACCCAAAAAATCACGCACAGCGCTGGCTATTAGATCTGGCGTGGGATCCCATGGTGGCTTCGATAGAAACATCCTTATGATTCAATTCAATATACGTCTTACATAGACCACGTTACAACAGTTTCTTGAGGGATGAGCAAACCAAGACCTACAAATGATCAACCTTGGTTGTTTTTAAAGGCACGGTCATCCGCACCAACTAATGATATCCCAAGTTAGTCTCACAAATAACTATAAGTTTCATGACTCTAATTTCGTGCGAAAAATTACAGTGTTCAAGACTTAGATAAAGCTCTCCGCAACCTTCAAAGGCTAGGTACTAGTGACTGCCTACCTTAAAATGGAGCGAGAATAAAGTCTATAATGAAAGAAGTTAGTCGTAACACGTCGAAGAGGCATTCAAAATGGTATAGGCGTTAGGTATACTTTAGAGGAGGTATCTATAGGGCTGACCTGGGCTATCTAGGGATAATCGGTGATGTGGATCACCGTGCCGATTTAACCAAACATACTTAACCAAACCAACGTTCCTCCCGCCATAATAAAGCTACCTGCCTCGTACGAAGCCCGCGCTTTGAATAACTTATTGTTTCCACGTAACGACTGCAACTTCGAGGTCAAGATGTTCACCAGTTTCGGCCCATCTTCAGCTCAATATGGGAATGTGATATTCAAAAACGACATCAATCCAAATTCCAGGCAGAGAGTCGCTACAAGAGATGGTAAAGAGGCCAAGACAAGCAGTGACGTTGCTCAATCAAGTAGCCAGCATGCTCGAGACCATTTGACCATTAATACGGCTATCTTTACGCCGTTAGAGGGAAACTATCTCCACTGGTCGCTCGTTATTCACGATTGCGATGCCCAGGAGGCAGACGCTTGGCATATCTGGGAAGTTGCCCAAGAACATCCCTTCGCGCCATATAAGGCAAATTATATCCGCGTTGATCCAACCCGCGAGACAAGGTTTCGACACTTAGTCAGAATGGGCACCGTGCCTCGTGGTCGCCTAAATGAAATCCAAGCCGCTGTCCGGGCTGCTGATGCCGCGGAGGAAGAGCGGGCCGCCCAGTGGAATTGTCAGGATTACGTCTTCGAGGTGTGGGAGAACATCTGGAGAGATGGACTCGTTACAGAAGAGACGTATTATGCAGCGCGTGATGAGCTGCTAGACTACTATGGTCCGGGCGCTAGTGGACCCGGAGAGGACGGGGATGAAAATGAGGCCGAAGAAAATGAAGAGGAGCGCGATGAAGAAGCTGAAAAGCCCCGTCGGATTTTATCGGAAGAGTTTGTTTATGATTCGGACGAATAAACATCATGTAATTCATACCTTGAGCGATAACTGTAGGATCCACCATTCTGTTAAATCATTTTTGTAATAAGTAATGAAATATTATAATAAATTGGCAAATTCCTATTCGCAGCCTTGTAGCTCAGCTGAGCTTAATAACTCCTAGCTCTTGCTTATTGTCAAATCCCTACTATTATCTACCAAACTGGGGGATTTCGTGGGGAACGCGCATGATAACTCCACAGAACTTTACAGAAGCGCGAACGGCGACTTGTGGTTACGCGCTTAGACTTACATAAATTAGGTACCTGGTAGGTATGTAGAAAAGATATTGAAGATTTAGTCGTGCCTGCCTGCTACGTTGTAGGTATACCTAGAACAAGGTTTCTAACTCACATACCTAGTTCTATAGGTACAATTACATCATGACACATGATTGGAACGGCTTATAAGTTATAGCAACTACGATGCCCTGAGGATTTACCATGCTCTTTCGCGACTTAATATGATTGGTCGAGATAGACTACTCCGATGACCCGGCTTTAACTTAGCGTCGCGGGGCTAGGGACGCGCACAAACCCCAGCAGTGGAAGTGGCAGCTATCATCTTCTCCATTGCCATTGCCTATTGTCTGTTATCTTCCTATTTGACTTTCATCTATGATAACTTGTAACAACTTTCAATAGAACACAGCCATCCTTCTCTCAAGATATCTATTAGTTCCGAAAATATTACCGCAGACGAATATCCGACGAATTTGCGACTATTCGTAGTACAAATCTTGTAGGCGGATCATCCCGACCGCCGACCCCTCGATAGCCAGAATCGAACCAATCCAACTCGTCAATTACGACCTGTTCTATCTATTCTCCATCCACGTATCACTTATCCTAAACGTGCCTCGACGATTTCGTAGATCATTCAAAGCGAAAGCAATCCTCGACCGACTTCTCCGTAGCATCTCGTAACAATCACTCTTAAAGACACAACCATCGCATATTTCATCCTAGTCGCGGACCCTTATCTACGCAACGAACGTATTGGGATAACCTCCCAAACTTTTGTCAAGTCGAAGCGCTTCCAATAGCACCTTTAAACAAGCCGTGATCCCCCGAGACTCACAGCGAGGTGCAGTTTGAAGTGCTTTGAACGACACCATATCATACACACATGAGTCATCTACTTTGGAAATATTACTGGGAAAATGACGTCGACAAATTTTGTCGGCTACTGGCCCCGGTCAACTATTCCCACAATCCGTCCAAGAGTCCAGGTGCGTCAATAGGTAGTCCCGGCGCATTCGGAACTTCTCCACGAATTAGCAAATCTCGCAAGGCCCCGGGATTTGGCGCTGGCGCATCCAAGACTACTGGTAACGGCCTTGGAAGGAGTGAGATTAATAGCCGCGACTATTCGGGTCTGACTATTCTCCTTCGGGCTGCTTCATCTACCTCATCCGATGCTGTCTCTTTTGTTGAGGCCCTTCTCGACCATCCTGCGATTGATATATATGTCCAAGATTATGAGAGTGGGTGGAATGCATTGCACAGGGCACTCTACAATGGAAATATTTCTATCGCGCGACTGCTTCTAGAGAAGGAACGTAAAGACTTGACAGGCTCTATCGGCGGTGCTACCGTGACTAAGGTGGCTCAGTTAATAAAGACGAAAGACCACGAAGGAAACAGTCCCTTCGACGTTTACAATGCAACTATCGCACTGCGTACTCTGAAAGTCTCAGAGGATCGTGCCAACTTGGAAGAGGACGGATCGGATACAGAGGAAGGTTCAAGTAGTGACGATGCCAGGTTAGATGCGAGCCCATCAGACTCAAGTAATGCCTCACTAACGTACTCCCTAGATACCATGGTAGATATCCTGGCCTTGGCGAAGAGGTGTTCACATTTGGAAGCAACAATAACCTTACTCTCGGTCTTGGCGATGAAGATGATCGACAATTTCCCGAGCGCATCTATTTAAGGCGACCCGATCATTTGATTAAACGCTTCTACGACCAATATCTCGAAGAGAGGAAGCGTCGACCTAATACGGATGATTCAACATCTGATGATATTTCAGAGGTTCCCTCTTTGATTCAAAATCGCGCATTGATGATTCAAGATGTCGTACTCTCTAAGCTTCATAGCGCCATCCTTACTACCGACCCCATGTCCAATCTGTACATCTGTGGTATTGGACGTGGAGGTCGTCTAGGTCTTGGTGATGAAAATACCAGGTTCAATTTTATGCCTGTCCAAGGCGGCCTAGCTGACAGGAAAGTTGTCCAAATATCCCTTGGCCAGAATCACTCGATGGCAGTAACCAGCACTGGAGAACTTTGGACTTGGGGTATGAATACATACTCGCAACTTGGGTTTGCTTTGCCCCCTCCTACGAAACCTGACGAAGATCCAATGAGCTCGATTCCTCGACAGCTATTTGGCCCGCTGAAGAAGGAAATTGTATATGGGACGGCAGCTTCTGCCATTCATTCAGTAGCACATACAGGCTCTTCCTTATTCTGCTGGGGTAAAAACGTCGGCCAACTGGCTTTGATGGATGCAGATTCAAGGTCACTTGAGGTTCAGACGATACCGAGGAAAGTTGCCGCCACCATTCTATCCAATCATTCTTCAATCGTTATGGTGTCGGCTATAGATAAAGCAACATCCTGTCTATTTGAGGATCACACGGTCTGTGTCTTCACGAGCTATGGCTACAACATGATTAAGTTTCCTACGTACGACCCTTTCACAAGCTCACCTCTCCAACGCTCAGTGCAACTTTCAACGTCTACTCACTACGATCCTGGTCGCCGTGAAATACATCATATCACTTCTGGTGGAGAAACGATAGCAGCACTGACGGGAAATGGCGACCTATTTACAATGGTTGTTAATCATAAATCCGATGGAAACCAGCCCGCTACGTCAACAACCAACCCGTCCAAGATCAAGGATGCCGTAACAATACCGCAGTGCATTTGGAGTTCCAAAAAAGATGGCGTCAAATCCGTTACTGTTGGAGAGAATGGTTCTGTCATGCTCTCTACTCAGTCAGGGGCAGTTTGGCGACGCGTTAAGCGAACAAAAGCCAAAGATACTAAGACACCCACGATGATAGACTTCAAGCGCAAGGATTTCAAATTTCAACGAGTCCCTTATATCACGGACATTGTTGCTGTTAGAAGCTCTGCGTTCGGTGCGTATGCCGCGATCCGAAAGGACTGCGATGTAACACGGGAACAGATCGAGATTGACGAACCGACGTTGTGGCAAGATATCGCCCCTCTATTTCCATTCCAAGGATTCAAGGCTTCAAATCATAAAGTAAGAGAGAATAAAGATACATGGAAATTCCAGGATCCTGAAGTACTAAAGGGTCGAGTTGATACACTAGCATATGAGGTGCTGACTTCGACCGACCTTGAGGAGGATCTTCGAACGCACGTTCAAAATTGGCGTTTTCGGAATCAAGATCTCGACACGGTTGTTCGTGCGGCCTCTTACCCAGAAATAATGATTCCTGTACACTCATGGCTTTTGTCAGCGAGAAGCCCATTGCTTCGAGCTGGGCTGCAGCGATTCAGGGAGACTGGGAAGTATGAGGTTATGGATTTCCTTCACATCAGTGAACAGAATAGCATTACAGTTGTGGGACTTATTGGCAGCGTCGATCTAATCACTCTGATGAACCTTGTCGTCTATATGTACCGCGACAGGGTCATCCCCGCTTGGAACTTCACACGCCAATCAAAACCTCTAGCGTTTAGGTATCGCCAAATCCGCACAGAGCTTATGAAAATAGCCACCAAGCTTGGTATGACCGATTTAGAAGCTGCTGTCAGAATTCAGAGCTCGCCATCACGGTCTATGAACATGGACTTTAAGAAAGCCATAGAGGATCCGGCCTTTTTTGAGGACGGTGACGCTGTTTTAGAATTAGATGGTGACGAAATCCCTATTCATAGTACAATGCTTTGCCAGAGATGTCCATGGTTCAAGGGCTTATTTGACGGTCGATCCCGAGGATTCTGGCTGGAGAGCCGTCGTGCAGCACTGCAAGAGTCGGATCGCATCAAAATCGACATGAAACACATGAATCCAGAATCCTTTCATTACGTACTTCAACACTTGTACGCAGATATTGGCGAAGAGCTTTTTGACAATACGATTGCAGAGAATATCGATGAGTTTTCCGAGTTGGTGATGGATGTGATGAGTATTGCGAATGAGCTTATGCTGGATCGCCTTTCGCAAATATGTCAGAAAGTTATTGGTCGTTTCGGTAAGTTACTACTATGCACATATTGCTCAGGCGTAATTTCTAACTTTGCTAGTTACTACTCGGAATATTTCAAATTTGCTCAATGCTATCAGTCCTTGTTCTGTGGTTGAATTCAAAGATAAGGGTCTGGAATATATCTGCCTCCAAATGGAGTCAATGCTTGAAAATCAGTAAGTCTATTCGATGGGTCACTGTATCAAATAACCTTTTGTTTATGATTTTATATATGTGTGGTTGTTTTGTCCTTCTGCGGAGTTGCTATGATATTCCCAGGGCCCATTGTGGGAATGCTATTATAAAGGTGAACTGCCATGCTAACGTATATATAGTCTACTTGACGACCTTGATGAGGATCTTCTAGTAGAGCTTGATGAAGTTGTCCGGGATAATCAACTAGCTAGGTCTCCATTTGCGCGAAGTGGAAGGGCTGATTTACTGCTCCATGGGCGTAACCCCCAGTTAGCTCAAGATATCGACGACGAAAGACAACGACGAATAAGGGAAATGATTTTCCGAGCTACTCAAAGAGAGGATGAAAAGAAGTTGGCGTCTTCATTGAAGACACGCGTCGGGAGTTTGGACGAATCATTTGGTACTTCAATGCCAGATCGGAGCAGAGGAAAGTCAAAGGCAGTGCAAAATGAGCCCTTCACGCCCGAACTTAGGCCTAGAGACTCGCATGCGGACCTTATATTTGCTATGGACGAAGAAGAAACCCGCAGTCCCGCAAGTCCCATTTCCCCGAAGCCCCATCTACTACATTCTAGTGAACAAACCGATATAGACCAATTGCCTACGCTCTCTGGTCCTTGGCGAGATTCCAAGGGGAAAATTGTTAAGGATTCTGTTTCTCCACTTGCTACTCCCCCAACCTTAGCATCGCAGTCGAGCCTTGCTGCTACTAAGTCACATGTTAATCCTATCGCAATGCGTGTTCCTTCAGGGGGCAATCCATGGGGCCCTTCAGCACTCGCAACCTCGCGTTTAGACCTTAGTGAGGTATTGGCCGAATCTCGGCCCATTCAATCGGCACTTTCCGCAGGTCTAGCAGCCGAGAGGAAGGATACAGGTAGCAAGACTACGCCTCAAAAGATGTCTCAAAAGGAGAGAAAAAGGCAACTACAGCAGCAGAAAGTAGAACAAACAGCCCGACAAGCATCCCAGTCCCAACAATCGCCTTGGACAAAAGTTGGGGAGAAGAAGGAATCACCTTGGCAAAATACCTCACCCGCCCCGAAGACTACTCTGATGGATACCTCAGAATCTCCAGCTGGTCCATCAACGGGACTCCCCAAGCCAAAACCACTTGTTGCTGCCGAGACTTCTGAGAAGTTGACACCACGACGTACAGCATCTCCAGATACCAGATTTTCAGGCCAAAGAACCAATAATAGCACACGAGGATCCACATCCACCCCGCAGTCCAAACCCCAGCAAATAATCCCACATTCGAAGTCTTACATTAAGCGAACACCTAGACCAGAGCAGGAGATGGGCCTCGGCCTAGCTGATATCATTGGGGAACAGCAGCGCGAGCAAGAAGTAGTGCGCGAAGCAGCCGCCAAACGCAGTTTACAGGAGATTCAACAGGAACAAGCCTTTCAAGAATGGTGGGATCAAGAAAGCCGACGCATGCAGGAAGAGGAGGCGAGGCGAACCGCACGTGAAGAGGGCAAGGACAAGAAAAAAGACCATGGCGGTCGAAGGAGTAATCGCAACAATAAGTCGAAAGGGGGCAATAATAATAATCGCGGGGGTGGGGCCTCTAGCAATACTAACGCTAATGCTACCACAGAAGGGGGGCCTAGTTCCAGTTCCAGGGGACGGGGACGCAGTAACAGAGGGAGAGCTACGTGAGTTAACGAGTGCATCTCAAGTCTCGTTTGCGGAATTTCAACAATACAATATCGTATGTATATATTTATGTATAAGTTCAATATCCCTACCATCGGTACTTGCTTATGTTATCTCTGTACTTAGGTAGTATATATGTAGAATCATTGAAGAATTTACTCCTATTCCACTTCTTTTAATTATGATCTTCGATTAGTCAGCCTTACCATTTTATTACATAAGACTGCCCGTTACGTAAGGTCTCCCGATTAGATAATCAATCCATTGGTTGCTACTTTGAGTGGTGTAGCCGCTAAACGTTAGTGGATAACCACAATGGCTCAGGGGCTTGGTCAGCGTCTATTAGTATGGGATGATTCGCTTTTTATCGGCCACAATCAAATGTTTTTAACTGCTTCGTAAAGATAAAGAAAGATAAAGGAATTGTCTATTAACATAAGAGAAAGGCGGTTTTTGTTATTGATAAGTGCTATTATTTAGATTCTTTAATTCATTTCCTGTTTACTATATAATACGTAACGTCCCCTGGTATCTTTCAAAAACATCCAGTCGTACTATACACTCCTAGTCTACAACTCTATAAAATAATGGATTCTTCAATGGATATCAAGAACGGGAAATCTAACCCTTGTGCCTTTGGCAAATTACCACTTGAGCTGGTTCAAAGGATCATGGGTCATCTTGACCTAAAAGGTTTACTGGCAATGATTCGAACGTCTTCGAATATAAATGGTATATTCAAGGCAGCTCAGGAAGTCATTCTCTATCATGTTATCTTCAACGAACTCGGTCCTGACATTTTCCCACTCGCAATATTGCATTACGCCTGCTTGGACCCGAACCTAAAAGTCGACGCAGGAGCAGTCGTTACTAGTAAGTCACATATCCCCACCCCTGCTGTTTTGCTCCATTTCAACAACGAGGAACTATACATCGATGCGACAAGATATCAAATGTCAAAACACATATTTACTCGAGCGGTTGCCTACAAGGTTCTCTCGACTTATAAACAGATCCATCACGACATGGAACAATTCATAGACTGGGTACATGGCACATTCACCATGCACAATATGTCACCCCCTCAGGAGGGTTGTTTCAGTGCTACGGAGAGACTGCATATGCAGCTATGCATATACGTAGCTGATTGCGCGAGAATATTGTTTCCAGATGAATATCAGTTGGACGAGCAGAACAGGTGGACTACTGTCATCTTTAGCCGCGAAAATTTGGAATGGGTTGTTGTTAACAAGGTCCCCGAGAACGATCCCCCTTTTGGGATTCGCTCGGCAAACTATATCTGCGATATAGCACGTGTGGTGAGACATAGAACTCGAACATAGTCTATTAATCATGGATATCTAGTTGCACTTGTGCGGATGTTAGAAATATTAGTTGTTGGATAGATCAATAGACTACCACCCACTACCTACTAACCTAAGCAGCTAACCTACTCGGGTATTCACTGAGTAGGTAGATAAACTCTACATATTTCCATAGATAATAATTTCCACTTTGAATATGCCAAAATATTTCATAATTTTTGAGTGACAGATCTGTTGAATTTTCAAATCCATATTTCACTGAAAGTGATGTACGAGTCATCTTTTTAGTCAATGATACCATTTATAAATACTGTCACAGGGCAATTAGGTAATACTGGTGAAGGTTACTTAATTGCCCCCGGCAAAAGCTTACTGATTATGTCAGCTAAGGGTGGATATATTAGACCAGCTCGCTTCTAGGAGCGAGGCTCCCTTTTCCTTAGGCAATAAATCCTACCTTTCATAAAGCGAATGATCAGGTACCAGATAACTAGATAACTATGTCATAAATACATCCTGAGTTTTCTAACTGACATAATCTACGATCACGTACCTAATTACCAGCTGAATGTATAATCCGTCATTACGTAATCGCTCAGTGGAGATTACCTAATAATAGGGATGTCCACCTGCCTAGGTATAGAGTGGTCTATATGAAAAGATATAATGGATCAACAAAAAAAGAATTCTTGAATACTTTGGTTCACTTTAGTTCTAAGGTATGTATTAGTACTCACGACTTTAAGGTAAAGTATATGGAGGCATTATTAACCTGAAAGGTAACTAGTTGATACCGTGGGTTAATAGGTTCTAAGTACAATGTCCTAGGTTCACTCACGCTCAATTGAATAGGTTAAAATATAATAATTATATATTGATTTCATTGTATGCTCTTTTCTATCTAAAACATCCGGAGCATCCTTTCAGAAGTTTCACATATCATTGGTATCTGAAGAAGTGTAGTATCTGGATCCGCCGGGCGCGGTTACATTTGCCTCAATAAAGTCCGCTTCTTCGATCCAGTCTCTAAAGTTCAGAGCTACCCATCTAGGGTATTCTACAGAGGTTGGAATAGTTCGTGCTTCGACTCCTTCTTGGAAAGCTGCTTCCATATCATCAAGCATTGCTAAAAATCTGTCCGCATCTGAATTGCGAGGTCGGACGTGAATTTGCTCGCCTTCTTTCTCATTTTCCAGTTCTACCCCGTGGAACTTGGCCAACTCTACTTCAGATTTTCGGTCTTCCTTTTCCTGGGCTGAACGTACGAAAATAATCCAAGCGTCATCGTTATCCCAGGTTTGCTTTCCCTCGAAGAGCTCCTTTGCAGTAATGATTTCAACTAAATCAAACCAATATAGATCGCCACATTCATTCTTACCTGTTTCAACTATTTTAGAAAGATTACCGAAGCAACCAATTCCCCAATCGAATCCAGGTCGTGAAAGCTTCATCGAAAGTCTATGTAGGAAACTCAACTCTTCAATTACGACGGTATCATCGATAATGAGGGGCGGTGGTGCATGTTTCCTATGACCATGGAATTTGCGGACTTTCAAATCATCCGCTGCTTTTGGCAAACCTTCATTGTTGACACTTACCTCTAATCGAATCTCTTCACCATCGTAATTAACTTTATTAATGTCGAGATTCTCCATCGCGATCTGATTGTCAGAGTACTAACCTATCGAGGTGGGATATGACTAGTTTTAAAGCAAATGTCCAAAGAGCGGATCTTTCTGTATAAATAATTCTCTTGTAGTGTGAAACAACGATGATTGTTAGCTTGATGTGAGAAATAGTGACTCTTTGTCGTAGGGACAACGCAATTGTTGGCTCACAATCAGTTTGAAATAAAGAGCCCTGAATCTAATTACCAGATTAGAGACGCTAGGTACCATTAGTGGGGACACAGAGGCGATGGGAAAGCGGTTTATTATCCCAAGGCTGCTTAGGTAGGTATCTGTCCAAGTAACATTACTTCTACCTCATTATCTCTCAAATTTGTGCTACCTGAGATAGGGTTAGGGTTAGGGTTGAGGTGAGACTTGGGGTTAGGGATAGAAGACTTACTCTGACATACTAGGTACATTCTATTTCGAATTAGGCTACTTATTGTTATATTATATAGATTAGTGTACGCATCTTTTGGATGGACCTACCGACTCTTGTATTTAACTAGATCAAATAATCTCTCTCTACAGTTATTGTGCAACACAACCCTACCTTCGATAGTAGCGGGAGCTTCGTATCGATGAGTGTATGACTCAGTCAGTTTAACAACTGCTTTACCTTGAATAAACATCCCTCTATATCCCCTTTCTCGACGGGCGTCGATTCCTATGTATGGGCCCTCGTCTCGGTTTGGATGTGGGTCGTCTACGTCTCGAATACTTACGAACTCTTCGGGGAACTCCTTTCCTTCCAGCCCTCGGCCATTGTGGGTATAAATCGGCAGGCATTGAAGATGCTCACCGAAAACACGATACACAATCATCTTACGATACTTAGAGTTCAACGTACCAAAAGGAGTTGCTGTCAAATGAGGATCGTCATTTGGAACGTGCAATTCGTCAGAGGCCACCGCTGTGTGGACAGGGGCGCTGAATACAACGCCGGGGAAATATGCGTCTCGGGGTTGCTTTACATCGGTCTCCCGAAGCGTTGACGAATTCATGCCATACATGAAGCCTTGGACCGTGTTCCATCGTTTAAGCGTCTTAACTCGTTCTTTGTTGAATTCCTTTGGGTCAATGCGCCTAGTTCGGCCCCGGGGGCCGGGAGGGGATACCCATTCATTATCTGTGAGAAGATATTGGCTCTGTACACTGTAACGGTCAAGCTCATCTTGCAGCTCTATTGGGGACATACATCCAGTAGAGGTGGGTGTGTCGATAGAAGGACTTAGAGATGATCTAAGTCGCATCTCTTTGTCTTTGGCCCATGGTGTACTTTTCCGCCAGTCTTTTTCTAGAAATTCCACCGCCGGCGGTTTGCTAGTAGACATGGATCTATGTTTTTCAATACGCATACTTGGCTTAGAGGGATCATGTCTCAATGGCGTACCGGGACGGCTTCGCGAACTTGAAGCGATGGAGTCCCTGCGTTTATTAAAGACTTGCACTCGGTCTAAGTGGTGCCGATCACTGTCAGCCATCCAAACATCTGGGTAAGCGGTATGAGACCTAGGGTTATTCGAACGAGGGCCTGCCCTCGCCGAACTAGGTTTAAGGAAGCCCCGGTAATTCCTATCGGCCATCTTATAAGTATGAGATGTTAGCTTCGAGTTACTAGTCCGAATGAAGTGGTTCTTTCGATCTACAGGTACTCGAATGGCGATGGAAGTAAGATGTGGTTGGAGTTAGTATGCTACAGAAAGTTCCTGAGCTGGGTGGTATAGATAAGAAGAATCGCCAGCAATTGCTCTTTATATATATTTTCATGGTGACCAAACCAGATGCAGAGTTGATTGACAATTCCATTGTTATCGCACATTATTTAGAACAGTATTTAGTAACCATGCTGTTTGAGAGCCCTTTGAAACTCTCTCTTTCATCCCCGCCGAACAAGAAAAACAGGAGACATTTTATGACATGTTATATTATCGTCAATTTCGAATCTTGTATGAGAATATTTTCGTCGATTCTCTCATCTCAGATCCGCAGATTAAATAAAGGCACGATGGTTTCCCACCCGACTCATGGATTTTCCAAGTTTGAAGATTTGAAAGAATATCTCGAATTTGTCGAGTCAGTGTACAAATGGATGGAGGATATTGAGCCCAATATACATGATATAGGCTCATATTTAGCACTCGAGAGAATCACGACCACCTATAAATGCGATTCTGATGTTCCACCAGAGATTCCTAGGAGGAACATTCTTAGACTCAAGAGTTCAAAGTCTCTACCAAAGACAAAGCATTTCTTAAAAAAAGCTAAAGTCTACATTCATGACCATACCGACAAACAGAAATAGCAGCACCGATAGTTCGCTATGGAATACGATGGTACCTATGTGAAGTGGTGACAGTGATATCACCTAGTCTCCCTCCACAATCGAGCGCGAAACCCTCTTTAAGGTATAGATAGGTACTTACCCACATACCTAGTGCCGATATACGCATCTACCTCGTAATTTCCCATGCTATGGCCATATATTTAATATTCAACAGTTCTTGTTTTTCGGTTCTACAATTTGAACCAAATCGAGAAGATGGCCAAATCTACTTGCTGATTATGTAACACATCTATTCAAAGAGTCCCATTCAAACTCCAGCAGCTAGTTATTGCTAATAATTAACATAAAGTCAAATATACTTATTTATTATCTGAGAGCTGTAATTTATCATAAATACTATTGTAAATACTTTTAATAATGGTACTTGTTCCTAAGAATATTGGTAAAGGTGTTCTCATCAGGATGTAGCCCCAACCCTAACCCTAACCCCCCAGCTATCATTTACCAGGTGTCGTGTTTTCAAATTGCTTTCACTTGCCTTTGGAACCTCGGAATTTCTTTTGTGAATTTGGCCGGGTCGTCTCTCGCACCTTCTTTCCAGTACTCATACTCTATCCATGCGTTCTCGGGCATTTGTTCCTCCATCGCAGCCATCCAATTTCCTAGATCTGGAGATAGGGGGATGACACCTGTCTCTAAAACATACTGATCCCACAATTTGATCAATTCCTTCAATCTCTCAGACTCTTTTTCGGCGAGATCATGGACTTCCCCAGGATCCTTCACGAGATTATATAACTGCCAACGCTCCGGACCCTTGGGCTTGGGGATGAACACGATCTTCCAGTCGCCCTTTCTACATGCCGCCCGCCCACATGTTTCCCATCCGTTGATAAAGTCTTTCTCGTGGATAGTCTCTGCCTTTTTCTGTAAGTAGGGAACCATCGATTTTCCCCTCATTGATACCACTTCTCGACCTTGATACGTAGGGGCGGGGTGTTGCACGCCTGCCATGTCGAGTACGGTGGGGGCGAGATCCATCACCGTTGCAAATTGGTGTGTGATGCTACCGGCTTCAAATTTTCCGTTGAAGCTTGCAGGCGGCCTCATCAAATATGGGACGCGCACTCCACCCTCTGTTGTGTATGCTTTGTACAGCCTGCTCGGCGCAGTGGCAGCTTGCGCCCATCTTGGACCGTACCATATAAATGAATCTCCGTTTCCGAGATTATCGATTTTGTTATTATAATATTTCTGTAGGTGTTGGAGCATGGTGCTTTGGACAATCGGATAAGCCTCGTAAGCGGCACCTTCAGCTCCGTTGTCCGAGAGGAAGCAGACAAAGGTATTGTCAAGTTCGCCGATTTCTTCAAGATAGTCGACAACCTTCCCGACGTTGGCATCGATACACTCAACCATGCCAGCAAAACACTCCATGGCGCGGCACGAGTTAGCTCGCTCTTCCTCGCTCATGTCATTCCATTCTTTTACTTCGTCGGCTACAACAGGGTGCGGCTCCACATCTTGTGGGACCATACCGAGATCCTTGAGGCGCTGGAGTCTTTTTCGGCGCAGAGCATCAGGGCCGTCATCGTACACGCCACGGTACTTTTTGATATACTCCTGCGGTGCTTGAAGGGGCCAATGCGGCGCGGTAAATGGTAGATACGCGAAGAAAGGCCTCTCATCCTCCCCCTCCTTCCAATCCTTCAAGTAATCTACCATCTTATCGCCGTATCCATTGGAAGAGTACCATCCTTCTGGTAACTTCTTGACATACTCCCCATCTTCGCTATGAAGAGCGATGAAGCTCATCGTCATGAATTCAGGTATTTGGTCCATACCTTCTAATTGAGGTTCGTAGCCATAATGATTACTGCATGCCGGTAAATGGGCAAAGCTTTTTTCAAAACCCCTGGCTTTTGGACTTCGCTCTGGTGTTAGGCCTAAATGCCACTTACCTGCCATGAGGGTGAGGTAGCCTGCATCGCGGAGCAGTTCAGGTAAAGCCACGACTCGTTCATTGAGATACCCCTCATAACCAGGCATCCCACGCTGAACAGCAGTTGACATGGTCCCGTTTGGATCATTTTGACCAGAAATATTAGTCCATTCGACCAAGTTGCCTAACCCGGCTATGTGATGGTCCGTACCAGTCATGATCATGGCGCGGGAGGGTGAGCACGCAGCAGCAGCGTGGAAATCGGTGAACCGAATGCCATCTTTGGCGAGTTTATCGATGTTCGGGGTGTTGATTTCACCACCGAATGGCCCAACGTCTGAAAACCCCAAATCGTCCGCTAGAGCAATTAGAAAGTTGGGCTTTTTCCCTGGTGCCATATTACCGTCACGCGTTCCTGTATCTAAAATGGAAAGTAACGGTACATCCAGTGTTCTTTTTTCCGATTGCAGGCTTAGGGGTTCAACCTGTCAAGAGGATCCCTAAATCAGAAGTACGTGACGTATACGAACACTTACAAAAGAGCTTGAGTTGCCTTGTATATAAAAGAACCGGATGACTATAAGTTTCCGATGTCGCAATGGCTCTAAACCCGTAGGAACTACTCATAGAAACAATAGTAATGGCCTGATCAGCTACAGTAGCCCCTATCGCGGTTCTTGCTATTGTGGAGTTAGGAGGTGTGAATTCAGCGATGCTCGGCGACTCGGCCAGTAGGTGTTTTCATTGGTTACCATTTACTGATTGCCGTGCTGGAACAGGCACTAGGGTCAGGGCTACACTCCTCCCCGGATTCGCGTCATTAACCCCTGGAGCTACCCCACAGGCGTACCGGAGATCTTCGGTTGTCGCTAGATTACCCCTCTGTATGGTTGACAAATATCCCCTAAATGGTAATATTTTCAATCCCTTAATCACGTCATCCCTACAACGTTACCCTATCGCGTCGAGATTCCAATCATTACCATGTCCATTTCTTGTTCGATTCGATCTGTCAACTGATGCAACAGTATTTTCAGTTGTAAACCGATCTCAATTTAAAAAGACGAAAGTCTTGGAGATGTCATGGAGGAAACTCAGCCCTTACTTCAACGATCCAGTGAAGACGAACAAGCCTTTACACCACCCCAAGATATGAAGGGGACAACTTTAGGGAAGATCCGAGCCTATTGGCTGGGTTCGGTAGTATGTATGGGTGGTTTTCTATTTGGATACGACTCTGGGATGTGAGTATCACCCTGGGGTTACTTTGTGCTTTATAATTCCGTATGCTAACTTGGTTACAGCGTTGGTTAGTGAATCAGTTCATGAAATTTCACGATATTTCTAGGAACCTTTGATGTTAACTAGAAAATAATTACAGGTGGCGTATTGACGCTGACTTCCTTTCAGTCTGATTATCGCTATGGGGGCGCTGACCAGACACGTACCAATTCCCTTTCAGTGGGTCTTCAGCAATTAGGTGGCTTCGTAGCATGCTTCCTAGCATGGCCTCTAACTGAAAGGCTAGGGCGCAAGAAATCACTGATGATCTCTTCCTTTATCTTCTGCATCGGCGCCATGATTCAGACAATCAACACCCACTCATTGGCGGCCTTTTATTTTGCGAGGGTGGTTTCCGGGTTAGGACTTGGTGCAGCGACCGTAATTGTACCAATGTTTAACAGTGAGATGATGTCAAAAGAGATGCGAGGCCAAGTTGGATCATTTTTTCAGTGGTTTTACACATTTGTAAGGCACTAGTTTTCCCCTCCATTGTACCTAGAGATGAAATTATACTGAACTGCTTAAGGGTATCTTTGCGTCATATTGGATCGACTATGGCGTAGCAAAAGGCATCAAGTCCACCAATTCGTCGCAATGGCAAATTCCGATCGGACTTCAGCTTGTACCCGCCGCCTTACTCGGTCTAGGAATGTTAACAGTTCCAGAAAGTACACGATGGCTTACGAAGAAGGGTAGACACGAGGAGGCCTGGAAAAGTCTCCAGTGGATTCGAGCAGATGATTCCCAAATGACCACTGATGAGATGGAAGAGATCCGGTCAGGGGTCACGGCAGAGTCTCAAGCCACTGAAGGTTTTCATGTTCGAGGTAAACCTACCTACCTACTCTGTCCGATATAATAAATCTTTCAATTCTAACATCATTCAACTAAAGAGCTTTTGGAAGGGGACAATTTCAAACGAATTTTCGCCGCTTTCGCCATATTCACCGCACAACAGGCGACCGGCGCAACAGCTTTTGCTTACTTCGGACCCCAATACTTCAATCTCATTGTTGACAATTCTGAAGAAAGCCTTTTGTTAACCGCCATATTTGGGGCAGTGAAAGTTGCAGCTTGCGGCCTATTTGTTTTATTCTTTGCTGAGCGTCTTTCTCGTCGGCAAGTGCTCATTGGTGGCGCTGCCTTCATGGCGGCTTGCCAGATCACTACAGCAGCTGTCGTGAAATCCTTCCCTGCTAGCGGAGAAAGAAACTCAATCGCACCCTCCGGAATTGCTACAGTTGCCCTTATTTACTTATTCGTAATTGCCTATAACTTCAGCTGGGGGCCAATGCCTTGGCCATATGTTTCGGAGTAAGATCTGACTAGCCCCTGATTCGAGGCTATCTATTAGGTACCTGTATGCTAACATCATCGAAAGGATTTTCCCGACGAGGATTCGAGAAGTGGGTGTGGCGGTTGGCGTTGCCTCGCAATGGCTGTTTAACTTCGTCTTCACATTGACTACGCCTTATATGATTTCTTCAATGGGCTGGGGTACCTTCTTATTGTGGGGTAAGTCGAAGGTATTCCAAAAAGAGAGGGTGCATGCTAATTTTACCAGGTATTTTTGACGCCGTCATTGCAGTTCTCGCATTCATCTATCTCCAGGAGACAAGAGGTCTATCACTTGAGGCTATCGCGCACCAACACTTCAATAGTAGCAATCAACCGGACGTGCCACCATATAAGAATAACGATGTATTTTCGGAACATCACGAGGGCTATGGATCGAGAGGAGTTCATGCCCAAACATAATGCTGAATTTTCAGAATATTATCAATAACTTAAAATACCTGCACCTATCTACCTATTTTAAAATGTTGCGCCCTCTGACTTATCATGCACATTCGGTTTACCGCCTGCCGAGGACCCCTACAACAACGAACTAGGCCTTTATCCATCCATTTTATCCGGGAATATGGTCCTGAGGTAGGATTATGCGGGGTGGTCAGCCCCAGTGTTAATTTCGCTGCTTGATAAAGCGTGAAACCCTCACTTGATTGGAGTATACTACGACTGCCTATGTAAATATCTAATGAGGCTCATGTGCTCAATGGCGCCCATGATGAAAGCTGTCGTAGTGTGTCTCGTAGCTATATTCGCCTCCCTAACATTGGGAACCAAGCCATATACTCAAAATTCTACATACTACAACCCCATATTGCCAGGTTTCCATCCAGATCCTAGTTGCATCTTCGTAAAGGAGTGGGATGATACTTTCTTCTGCGTATCTTCAAGCTTCAACGCCTTTCCTGGCATCCCCTTGCACGCAAGCAAGGATTTACGGAACTGGAAACTCATTGGTCTGACGTCTTCTCATCGGATTCAAGTCCTAGTAACGAATGCTAACCATCATAGGACATGTCTTGAACCGCAGGGAGCAACTCCCTCGGCTTGCGGAGACGAATAGATCAACAAGGTACTGTAATGAACAGTTACCTAAGAAGTTTATGAAGTAAAACTGACTTGCCATAGTGGGATCTGGGCTCCGACACTGAGATTTCACGACGAAACATTCTGGTTGGTAACGACTCTTGTCGATGATGACAGAGCAACCGATGATGCGTCACGGTGGGATAATGTAAAAGTTAATCCATATAACCTCTGCTAAGTATTAGCTAATCCTAGGCACAGATAATATTCCAGTCCAATAATCCATTTGATCCCCCTTCCTGGTCTGAGGCGATACACTTCGACCTTGAGGGGTACGACACCTCGCCGGTGTGGGATTCTAATGGAAAGACATACATTGTCGGTGCACATTCTTGGAAAGTCTTGTACGTTATCTATTAAAAAATTCGTTAATTGTATCCAAGGGTGCTTACTTTCTCAGCCCAGGCATCCTTCTAGCTGAAGCCAATCTAGAGACTGGCGAAGTAGGTGAATGGAATGTCATATGGAATGGTACTGGTGGGACAGTAAGTCAACCTTGGAAAAACGAGTTCAATTTTATCTCTGACTACAGATTCAGGCTCCAGAAGGGCCCCATATATACCTCAAGGATGGATGGTACTACTTGCTCGCTGCTGAAGGTAAGAACGGACGATTCACCTTTTGGTATAATCAGTTGCTGATATACTGTGTCTATTGAAGGGGGTACGGGACTCGAGCATATGGTTACGATGGCAAGATCTAAGAGTATTCACGGACCCTACGAAGCTAATTCCGCGAATCCGGTTCTCACGAATTCAAATACGACCAACTATTGTAAGTGAAGGTATCACCACCAAGAATATCTTTTAGGTACTAATGATTCATAGTCCAAACCGTCGGCCACGCAGACCTGTTCCAAGATTCAACTGGTAACTGGTGAGTAGCAAGTCTTTATGTAGAATTGAAAGCCTAACAATTCCAGGTGGGGTGTCGCACTCTCAACTAGATCGGGTCCCGAGTACATCAACTATCCGATGGGAAGAGAGACTGTGATGGTACCCGTCATGTGGGCCGATGGCGAATTTCCGGTCTGGTCCCCCTTAAACGGTGAGATGAGTGGATGGGAATTCCCCGAAACGAATCTAGAAGTCGACGGGCCGGGGTAGGTCATATACTTCCTCAGCTTTTAAGCGTATAACTCACCTGCGTAGGCCGATCATCACCGAGGGAGATACTATCGATTTCGAACCAGAGTCAACACTCCCAGCGCATTTCACACATTGGAGATTCCCAATCCCGGAATCATATACCATATCACCTCCGGACCATCCAAATACCTTGAAGCTAAACCCATCAAAATTGAATCTCACAGCACTCAACGGGAATTATGCCGGTCCTGACGGTCAGACATTCGTTGGGCGACGCCAGCAAGACACGCTCTTTACATACAGCGTCGATCTCGATTTCGCTCCAACGTCTCTAGAAGAGGAAGCAGGAGTCTCGGTGTTCTTAACGCAGAACCACCATCTAGACCTCGGTGTCGTTCTACTTCCAGCCAATGCAAGTACCGCATCGTTCGGAAATACAGATCTCCCAACGAACTCTTCAGAGTTGATTCCTCAACTAAGATTCCGCGGAATCTCATACGTGCCTGTGCCGGATGATGTTATCGTCCCAATTCCCGAAGCCTGGTCCGATAAAAGACTCAGACTAGAAATCAAGGCCCATAATATGACGCATTATTCTATGTCTGCTGGACCTGCAGATGCGCTCTCGCAGATGCGGACCATCCTTGATGTGTCGAATGCGCCTGTTAGTTGGGGCTTCTCAGGTAAGGCGGCACTTGTTTTTAGGGCTAATGCTGACATTTTCCAGGCGTCATCCTCGGTATTTACTGTACGAGCAATGGCTATGAAGGGAACACGCCAGCGTATTTTTCTAAATGGAGATATATTCCACAAGGCCAATTCAGGAATTAAATTCTCGATTTTATTGTTAGGTACCTAGGTAGGATCAAGAGTTTTTATTGAGAAAAATATAGGCATTTTGGTATCTTTCACGTTATTTCCCTCTTGGTGTCTGTATCGCTGGTTTCCAAGTTCCCAGTGACATAAATCGCTATTGAGACCTACCTTGGAGCTCAGTACTAGCACTGAGGTGCCTAACAGCTAGGCACCTATCCACGTTTAGCGGCATCCGCAAGAGTCGTGAAAATAAATATTTATTGTGTCACACCTTATTATACCAGTTGAAAGTCAGTATATTTACGTTAAAATCAAAGACTCTTCCAGATACCGTCCTTTCAATCGTCGGGAAGTCGTTACCAATCGGTGATCTAACTTTGGCAGCATGCTAAGGCGCTAACCCGCCCAAGCCATGACGGCTTCCAGGGCTCGCAGTCTTTACTAGAAGGGTACGCTGTAAGTTGTACAATACGCTAGAGCGTACCATAGCAATACATGTAGGTAACACTAAGCCATCCGTAGGTATCGTACCCAACCAATTGAAAATTATGAGGGGTACTAGGTAGGTACTCAATGAATTTTCTATATTCTCGCTATCTCCCAACGATGAATTACTTAGTAAGTACATGAAGTAAATTAAGAGTATAGAAGGTATGTAATTCCATGCCCATCTGGTCTTGTACTGATTTTATCTCCCTCCCGAAGTCTTGATCCCTAGCAGCTAATTGATCGCAACGCGGGGTTGTGGATGGCGGGGCATTGTAGCGGCGTCTTCGTCTCTAGAACGCCCACTGATTTTCAAGGTTAAATTCGTTACTCGCCGGTAATTCCTGGGCCAATGAGTAAGGACGATATAAGTTCAAGGGTAAATTCCTTCCCCGAGGAGTCGTATCGAGGAACTTTTCCTTGACCTACAAATTCGTGTGGTTGACGGCTGCAGCTGGAGCTTATGCGATCGCACAATAAAGTCAGATACAGGATAAAACCCGACGACTTCGCCCCGTCTACTGTCTTACGGTATGCAAACATAAATTTCCTGACCGCACCTATAGCAGGCAGATAGATTTCTTAAAACATACCTACCTATCTCTGGCAACCCATCAAGAAGTGGAGACCGGGGGACGAACCTCGACAAGGCGTATTCATAGGTACGTAGGTACTTATAATATCCCTTTTTGGTGAATGGCAAATACGTGATTGGTCCAATCGGCGACGGAGCAAGCAGATCGGACGGGTCCTCGCAGATCTTTGTGGGGCTTACGGCGTATATGTGCAGCGCATAGAATTACACCTAAGGGGTGATAGTGAGTAAGAATCCTAAGGGAATTATACAAATCGCAAAGATATGTACCTAGTACCTAGTAGTAAGTAAGCAGATGCCTTAAAATCCCAATTATACAACTGGCAGTGCATACTACCGTAGATCTTCCTCGACGATAATCTCGGGAAACTTGCACAATGTATCGTAGATCTCTTCAGAGCATGCCATCGCCCATGGCATTTTCCGATTCCACTTCGTGATAATTCTGTCGCATTCTGCAATTTTTTCCTGTGCTTTTTCTACAAACACAAGTGCTTTTATATATGCCCTCGCAACCTCTTGTTTATTCTCTACGTCGTTCATGGCGCAAATATCCCTCGACTGTTCTTTCGTTGCCTTTATAGCAAGTGGGAGGATCGCCTCTATTTGCCATCGCCGGGCCTTGTCCTCGGAGAGAAGACTCTGAAGGTCAACTGTTATTGATTCGATGTTATAAGTAATTAAAATCAGCTCATGTAATATTGTCCTGCCAAATTCACCCATCCGGTGAGCATCCGTGGCCTCTAAATCGGCAGACATTTCTGTTATCCTCAGAAGAAATCAATAAGCACTCGCCCTCAACCGTTCTAGGCGCCGGACTGTCTCCTTTTATTTTATAACCACCCATTAGCTTTATCACCTTTTTTTTGTTCCCAAGTTGCTAGTAACGATACTTTACCTTGTCCTCCTTTATTCCAACCCTACTTCCTTACCATATCCTTCCCTTTGTTGCATTAACGAAATTGTCGGCCGCATTGAACCTTTCAGAAACCTTAAAAATTATATTGACAATTCAGTAAGCACACTACAATCCCTAGAAGATAAGTAGGCATTTAAGTGCATGTGTTTCCTCTTAAACCAAAATCAGGTTTAAAATATACTAAAGGCGACATGATAACTAAATCTTTAAAGCGCTTAGTGAAGATGGATTGTTACCTAACTCCCTCATAGTACACGATGTAACCAATCTTGCCAAGTTGTTTATTTTAGCTTTTTTAGCCAATGACTAGGTACTCTGAGTCCTGTTATTTTAGCGGACCTACCAGCTATCAAATCTCTCCGACTTATTCGCTACAGCCGCTAAGCAAACATTGTCAACCTTGGAAGATATGCATTGCCTTATGTTCCAATATTAGTTACATATTACAACATTGACGATATTTACATATGTAGATATATCATTCGCCTCATTACCTAATTTTAAACATTATGCCTAGTCCCTGTTTTGGGTTATGTGGGTCACGATATCGTAGAGCACTGCGCCGCATCTCGGTACATGTACCCGCCGTAAAACAAGTAGGAGTAGGATTCAACTAACTAATAGTAGCTTGATAGAGCGAGCTCCTGCACATTTCAGAATAGACTGCCCTAAAACTTGGCTGACACTACCCAATAGTTATTCCTATTGGTTTTCAGCTACTGATTGGTCTATTTCCGAATCGGTAGTCTTACCACAAATTTTGCTATCCTCAGTAACAGGAGGAGCAAGCTATCAATTGAGGGCCAAGGTACTAAGTAGTCTAAGTCGCATGACAGCATAAGTATGTGAGAAGATCATTGACACGTATAATCCCATTTTAATTTAGTTGGAATATGGATTTTATCTAGTCCAAGCTAGCCGCTTAGGCAGCCGTTATTTTCTGCAGCTACGCCTCAATAAGGGGGAGGCCAAGATCTCAAATTCTCAAATCATTACCGATGTAAGTAGGCGCCTATATACGATTCTTGCAATACTATATTTCTTCAGCCGCCAGAAATCCTCAGATCCTTTTCAATTGCAAGATATACTCGCGATTGGGGAAAATAGAAATCCGGGGACCTGGAACTAGCTCAAGAACACCTTAGCGCTTACAGATTTTCTATTCTTGACAATACCAGTACACTTCGTCTAATTGCTAGTGGTAGTACCAAAATCCATTTTTGGCAGTGGCCTCATCGTCGTGTAACTATCATGGACCTTAGTCTAGCCTCAGGGGTTTCCAAAATGGGGTTTAACTGGCGACAACAGTATTTTCTCGCAGCAATGTACAGCTTCACTTGAATATAAATACAATCGTCTTCCCAGCGTTGAAAAACAATTTTCATCAGCTCAACACACAACAACAACAACTCATCAACTCATCAATCAACACATTCAACCTCACTACTTCCAACAATCTCAAAGTTTCTCAACTTTCAACTTTAACACCCAACCCAAACAGTCAAAATGGTTCAAATCGCTACCTTCGTCGTTGCTTTCACCGCAGTCCTCTCTGGATTTGCCTCTGCTAAGAGCTGCAAGAACGGTGGTGTCTACTGCGGATCAGCTCTTATTCACCGAGGTAAGCTTCAACCAACTCATACTACATTAGAAGCAGCTTCACAAATTTCACTCGTTCTTGGGAAGCACTATTTACTAATACTTTCCACTCTAAAGGAGACTACCATGACGACATCGTCACCCAACTAGCTGCCCACAAGCAGTCCACCAACGAGATCCACGTCCAGCAGTCTCTCTTCGGCTGTGGCAAGCACGGCCAAATCACCTTCCGCCAGTACTGCAGCAAGGGCTGTGTTGGAGGTGACAAGAAGGACGACTACTGCTCTTAAATGGCTGCAACGCAGCCAGGGAGCTAAAACCTTTCATTCAGCGCATGTTTTTTCTATCGCGGACGATAGATAAAGACAATGGGAGGTTAGCAATGTATGGATACTGTAAATAGCCGGGATGGTGGGATTGCATTTGGGTGTGCGGACAAACTTTTCTCTTCTTGTATCTCTTGTTAGAAACACCACATTCGTTTACCTTTATCTGGAAAATTGAACTTTGAACTTTTTCATTTCTCAATGGCTTTATGACTTGATATTTTTACTAAGTTGATCTCGTGATTTTTACCAAAAGTGTACCCCTATACTTGCCTTAAAGGTCGAATGTATAATGTCCTAACAACTCATGAAGATGGTTCGGGAGGTGCATTGTGAAAGATGAGTAATTCCAACTAAATCAATAGCGATAGCATAAAACTTACCTATTAACCCAGACCGCTAGAGGTCTACCTGTAGATATATCTCTTTTATAGGTATTTCATAAAATATATCAAGATGGGGATTATACCTAGGCACCTAGATAGCCTCAAAAATATAAACATAAAGTCATTTAACGGATATTTTCGCTTCATTGAATGAGATATGTAAGAAGGTAGCAGGTAGGGAAGTCTTTTTTTTTTTTTCATAACTTGATATTAAGATTACACGTTAGAGAGTACGAGTAAGCACGCTGGTTTAAAGAAAGATTTCTCATTATAAGTTCAAGGTAGGAATCACTACAAAATGAACATTCTTCTCTGGAGTAACCCACGGAAATATTTTGCCCTGTGAGTACATATTATCGCGTGGAGGGTAAGCGCATCTGAATTAACTAAACGTCCCTGAGATTTAGAAATTCAACATGTCCCAATCCCTTTTTATCTTTCCCCCTCTATTCTCTGCGTATCTACATTTTTTCACTGAAACCGGAGATGTCGCATTCGTCGTCTGTATGTCTCCCTCATTGTATTCATTTTATATTTGAAAAGACAATGATTTGAATTGAACTATCATGAGGCGAAACGAAAAAGCCCTGAAATCGACGTTATGTTGCGAATTTAGTGGACTAGAAGTTGATAAGCTGATCCTAGATTATGCCAGTTCTTCGAGTAATTTTGATAAATTACATAAGATCTGTTCCGTTTAATACCTCGTCTCATTTGTACAACGGCATGGCCTTTCTATTTCGAAATATATCCGGCCCCTAATGCTCACGCACTGGTGGGGAAATCTCTTCCTTGTCACGTCCTGAGTGCAGATATGTGTCACAAAACCACTTGATGTTTTCAGCTGAAGGGAATTCGAACCATCGTTTTTCACGAACAAACTCCGGCCAATGCTCCTCGGGGGCCTGTGTTTCACAAAGTTGAATGGCTAGTAGGTATTAGGTAGGTTCTAGGTAAGTATATGGGAATATTAAATGGAGGTTTATTTAGAACTTAGAGTACGATTACATAATAAGTACAATAGCATTTTGCCAGCACTGAGCCGTCAACTGGCAGGGATGCAAGTTACAACTGTTTGCCCTATTGCCAGCTGATCATGACCCACCTATAACTTTGTAAGGTAGGTACCTAGGTACTGGTCATGTAGTTGGCTACAATTATACTTATCTTAGCGCAGGTCAATCCTCGCCTTGTCCAACCCTCGTCCAACCCAAAAGTTTCCTGCCATATTTATCACATCGCGCTCAATTCACCTCCTACGTATTAACTCTCATTTCTCTCAGCTTTGAATATTAACGCCTCTTTATCATATACCCCGCTATTCGTTAGATCGACCGTACCGTCAATATGGCTGACATCACCAGCCTCGAAGACGATATCAAGCAATACCAAGAGCAGGTGAGCTACCTTCCGTCGGTCGCTATCAATCGATTTGCTGTATACTGACTTCTCTAATAGCTCGATGTCGTAAATATCGGTTTAAAAGATGATGCCGGTAACGCAGAGCTTCTTGCTCTCAAGTCTGAGTTAGATGATGCGCTTGCGCTATTGAACGAAACCCTTGCTGAGCTAAAGCCGACCAAGGCACCACCGAAGCCGAAAGCACCATCACCACCGCCAGTCCAGGAGAAATGGTCACGAGAGAATCATCCCGCGTTCAAGAAAGCCGCTCCTGCCGAGGAAAAGGAAGCCGACGCGGGTCCGGTAAATTACAAGGTCAATGATAATATTATGGCAAAATGGCTGTCTGGAGATAAAGCATTCTACCCCGCGCGTATCACCTCCATTACCGGCTCGTCTACGGCTCCTATCTACGTCGTTAAGTTCAAGAGTTACGACACGACCGAACAACTACGTGCCAAGGATATCCGCCCTATCGCACAGAAACGAAAGGCTGATGGCACACCAGTCGGTACCTCCGGCCCGTTTTCGGCTCCGTCCCAACCCGCAGCCCCTTCGACATCATCCAACCCTGGCGTCATCTCCGCTGCCGCCAGCATAAACCCCGAATTAGCACAGAAGAATAGAGAGGAGGCGCTGAAGAACGCCGACGATGTGAAGCCTAAGGCCAAGAAACTCAAGGCGACCAAAGAGTTGGAGGCTGGCAAGAGCAAGTGGCAAGAATTCAACACCAAGTCAAAGTTCGCCAAGGCACACAAAACCAAGAAGGACAGTATGTTTCGCACGCCTGAAGGCGTTCATGGAAGAGGTAATTTAAGCACATTTATCTTATGATTGAACTATAAGCTAATCTGTTTTATAGTCGGGTTCACAGGCTCAGGGCAAGCTATGCGGAAGGACCCCACAAGAAGCCGCCACATCTACCAAACCAACGATGATTTGGACTAATACTAGCTACAGGTGGTTGCGGCGTGGAGGATGCATGGATTACGTCTTATTATGAGGAGTTGGGGTTGGCACTGGAGATTTATAGGCTTTGATCCCCTTTTGTCCTTATTTAGGTTCTATGGATGCTAACATAGCCCTCGAACTAGACGCTCTCTTTAGTGCCTCGGTTCTTCTGATTGAGCTCTTGTGCCTCAAAGCACAAGTATTTAGAATGGAGAGTTCCTTTGCTATTCCAATGACCCTAAGATTTTATAGTGAAATTGATTTGCTAAAGTCTCGCTGTGGACAGGCACGGATCAACTCGCCAACCAGCCAACAGTCGGCACATTAGACTCGATATATGTTGTTCGATGCGGACTCGAAGCCTTCAATATGTTGTGGGCTAGCGCAACACACGAGTCGGAGGCAAGCCAAGTCTAATTCATGCCATTGTAGAAGGACGCAGTTTAGATCGCTTTATCAACATATGACAGACGCTTAAAGCTATTGCAGTTGTTTTACAGCCCTATTTTCAACCCTACTCGCTTCGCAATATCCATAAAGACCTGTGACCTTTGACTATCGGGCTCAGAGACAACAGTTGGTTTCCCTCTTTGGCCGTCATCTCCAACATTCTGATGTAATGGAATATCACCAAGTAGATCGATAGAATGTTCCTTACAAATTTCCTGAACACGTTCATTAGATCCGAATACTGCCGTTTCGTGGTGGCAGTGTGGACAATTAAACAGGGACATATTCTGGACGAGGCCAAGTAAGGGTACATCGACCTTCTTAAACATATTAATCCCCTTTACCGCATCCTTTACTGCTAGAGTATGCGGCGTGGTGACGATAACAGAACCTAAATGCCGTTTAAGTGTTCCTGGAATGCCTTTCTATTAGGTGGGGGTGGCGCTTACCGTCAAGTACAATTTGTTGCGTGACACTGAGTTGTGTATCGCCTGTGCCGGGTGGTAAGTCCAGCACCAGAATGTCTAGACCGCCCCAGTCAACTTCATGAAGAAGCTGCTGTAAGGCTTTCATAACCATGAGACCGCGCCACACAACGGGAGCGTCCTCGCCAACTAGATATCCCATCGACATAGTCTTGACACCGTAATTCGACAAGGGCAGCAACTGATTATCTACATTTCCAGAAATTAAAATCGTGGCTAATCATCGTGAAAGGCAGAGTAAGCGTATGAGACCAAAAGTAGTTACGTACTCGACGACAACCGCGGCTCCCCACTCAAATCGAAGAGCGTCGGTATGGAAGGCCCGAAGATATCTGTATCGAGGATGCCGGAACGGTAACCCATCCGAGCAAAGGCCAATGATAGATTCGCCGCTACAGTGCTCTTTCCCACGCCGCCTTTGGCCGACGATACGGCGATCACCTTAGCGACATTCTTGATCTTGCGCCGTTCCGGAAGCCCGCGCTGCATTCGCGGGATCGAACCTGTCCGGGGCAGACCCTAGGGTTTTGAATCAGCGTGTATCTACTTTCAAATATGAGAAATAAACCGGAGCTTACGAGAGGGTTTTCATGGCTTAGGGCACGGAGGGTTTGGTGGAGAAGACGCCGTTGGAATGTTGCCATGGTGCACGGTAGATCCCCCTACAGTAGGTAGCTATGAGAAGGAGTAAAATGCTAATCAACGATGAGATGAAATACCTTATGTACTACGGTTGTTATTCATCCAATATATATAATAAACCATCTCGTTAACGAGCATTCAATAGCATAGGTATAAGTTGAAATTGCATGAGCTTTTTGTACTCTTCAATTATTCGTCTTGCCGTTAGTACTAGCTGGTGTGTAGATTCTAATGCTCGCGATCTAAGGTTCGCTGTAAGATCTTGTTCGGTGTTCGGGGGACCCCTGGACTGGTATGGACCCACTAATTTATACTGCCTGCTTCCACCGCTAAAATTTTTCGAACTTTTTCAATTTCGAGCTTTCTTTTCTCTCAGCGTGGGGCCGATTCAAATACCTTCACTTGCCAGCTAAATAATTTCTTGCTAAAGACACATACAATGTCAAAGCCAAAGGGGCGTGCGCGGCAATTTGCCGAGTTAGTAGAGCGTCCAGTAAATGGTATTGATGCTCAAATTTAATTCAACTCCCTTAGATCGTTCAATGCTAATGTTTGCTGCTTGAACAACAGATTTCGATCCGGAAGTTGAAGTTCCAGAGGATGATACCAGCAATAGCGAAGAGAGTGCGGATGAGAATGCGGGAACGGAGCACTACGTGTCTGTTGGGTACGATACTTTATACGAAGAATCGAATGTCGAATGGAGCATACTAAGAAATCAATAGCAAAAGCAAGCTTCGTCGCAAAGATCTAGTATCACTAGGACCCCAGTACAAGGGTGCTCCTGTGAGTCGCGCAGCTCTAGAAGATGACGATGACGATGAAGAAAGCGGAAGCGACGAAGTTCCATCAGATTACGAAGATGCGCTCCAAGAAATAGACGGCGAGAGCGGATCCGAAGAATTCGACAATCCCGACGACGCGGATCTCGAAGCCGACCAGGATGACGAGGATATAGAAATTGACAGTGACAATGCCTTCAATGAGAGTGACGAAGAAAAATTTAAGGGCTTTGTCTTCAGGGGGAGTTCACAGACTATTCCCCAGAAAGGGAAAAGAGTAGCGAGACCTACTGCTGCTGACTATATGGTATCTGATGAGGATGACAGTGCCAGTGCCAGTGAAGGAGCAGAGCTTGACGAAGAAGAAGACTCTGACGGGGACGAAAGCATTTCCGATGGCGAAGGAATTGATGGCTTCATAGACGACGAGGCTGAAGAAGATGAAGAGGAGGACGAAGACGATATCGATGAGGATATGGATGATGCAAGTGATGCGGGGAGCGATGAAGACGAGTTCGATGAGGAAGAAGACGGTGATTCAGGGAAGCCCCCTGGAACCAACAACACGAACCGTAGCACGATACAAGAGATGATGAATGCCGGCCAACGTGCCGTAGCCGGTACCTTGTCAACCGCTGCGCAAAAAGATATCGCCAAAGGGAAGGCTGTTCAGCAACAACGAAAAGCTTTTGATGCACTTCTTAATATTCGAATCCGATTGCAGAAGTCACTCGTCGCAGTAAATTCATTCAATTCCTTAGAGGATCTAGGAGATCAATCGCAACCTTATGAAGCAGCCGAAGCCGCTGCGCTCAAGTTATGGAATACCATTGATGGTTTCCGTACGAGTATTCAATCTGATCAGTCTGGGAAGACAGGAAATAAACGCAAACGAACTGCCGATATAGAAATCTCAAATCAAGACATGTGGGAAAATATGGAGGCTGTCGAACAAAGGGCACTCGTTCGTCGCAGAGCCGTTTTGGAAAAGTGGTCGAACAACGCACGAAATATAAGGATGGTGGATAGGTCATCCCGCAGATTTACCAATACGGTAGAGAAATCTCTAACTAAGAGGCTGGATGAAGAGCTTATTACACCAGAACGGCTCATCAAGCGGACACGAACCCCGCGATCATGCGCGCCGGTTCAAGTTGCGCGAAAAGTCAATGAAGATCCTAGTATCTACGATGATGCCGATTTCTACCAGCTATTACTCAAGGAGCTCGTCGATCAAAGAACGGGAGATATGTCGGGAGCTCCAGGCGGTCCCGCAGCGACAATCCGGTTCGCCGCTGTCAAGGAGGCAAAGGCAAAACGGCATGTTGATACCAAGGCTAGCAAAGGCCGAAAGATGCGCTTCAACGTGCATGATAAGCTACAGAATTTCATGGCGCCAGAGGATCGCCGAAGCTGGGAGCAGAGTGCTATCGACCGATTCTTTGGGACACTGTTCGGTCAAAAAATGGTACTAAACGAAGACGATGACGATGATAATAAGGAAGCTTCCGACGAAGAAATGGGCGGTGCACCGATTGCAGATGGAGGCATTCGACTATTTAGGTAGAGACTAATTGACAAAATCGTATTTTTTCGCGATTGGTGTATAAATTTGATAGAGTATCTGTTGGAGAAAAGATTTTCGAAATCTCGTATTCCTTTCACGGGAACGAAAGATAAGAGGGTCCACGATGCACCGTGATCGACATGACACCCCGTGTTCCGACAGCACGAATGCTAGGCAAAATGGGGCACGGATGAAATAATAAAGACCCTCAGCCGCATCTAAGATCGTCTTTTTAATTTTCACTTCCTCCTTCTCCCTAATCGTCTTACCTTTGCGATACGATAGAATCAATGCTCCTCCATCACGAGGCAGCTTCGTTTTCAAGTCCGGTCCAACCTTATCGAGCATAAGCCACCTACGTTACTATCGTCACCTACCTAGGCAGAATTCATATATCAACGAATTAGCTTACGAGCCTTCTATAATGATAAGCATAGAACGGTAACATCTATCAAAACTCACCTAGCCAACTAACCTAGTTATCGCCATAACGCCCACGTCGATGCAGTTTGCGAGGATGAGGATGAGGATGAGGATGAGAATGGAGTGATAATAATAATATATTATTCTTCACTTAGCTCAGGGGGAGCCAGACAAGTCTACGAATAATGACCTAACCGACGAAAACTATTCTTAGTTCAAAGAGAGTTTCGAGTTCAGTCTAGATCCTCTCGGCAAACTGGAGATGGGATCAATTCACGCTTTACTTATTGTAGGGGTCCGTGCCTAGTGGTCGTCCCAGGAAGGATTCTCACGATAGGCTTACTCGAAAAGCCCCATTCGATCTATGCGTAGGAAATTAACAAAATTCTTATTGTATAGTACGGGCAGCGCAGGCAACAGAATATCGTCGCATCGTCGCATCGCCGATTTAGGGTCGATTAAGAGTCGATTCAAGAGAGGACTAACTTGGCCAGGTCATTGCACGTGGAAAATCAAAAGTGGCCGGGGGCATTCCTAAGGAAACACCAAGAATGAGAATGCATCGTTACACCATCGGGCACCTTAACATCTTTTTTTGCAGCTTGGTCACGACTATTACTGGTAGCAGTCGCAGAGTCTCACCCGGAGTCAACGGTATTGATTTTAGCAACAAGTGCAACCACCTCAACTTGCCATCGTCAGTCATTCCCATTCTCATCCTCATTTCCGTTCCCATGGCGTGGCATCTATTCTCGGTACGCGAGCCTTCGCGTAGGCTATGCGACATTCGCTCGGTTAACCAACCTTGCCCTAAGTGCCGGTATGGGTACTAGGCAATCGTCAAACGTTCGATACATAATGCACCATACCCCTTATTCTCACGGAAACAATTGACCTATCCGATGACGCCGGTGTTTCACCGTCGAGATATTATCAATATATGACTTTGCAGACTTATGAGCTGGCTCGTCGTACGAAAGAAACTGCTCGTCGTCTATAGGCCGGGATAATGCTGGGTGAACAGCGGAGAAGGAAAGGCCTCGCACTGAATCGGACGATAACCCTGGAGATGTTACGGGGTCGCGTCGCGCAGGCCTACGATAAATGCATTGCATCACAAGCTAGAAGATAGCTAGGAGATAGCGAACAAGTGTTCGATATCTCTCAGCTGAGAGTTCCAACCAAGCTGTTCTAGCGAAAGTGATAAGATCGCGAGTTGCGCTGAAGATACGTTACGTCGTTTACCGGTCCCTGAAGATGACTAGCATAAACGTGCAGCTGTCACCTGCAAAGTGACCTAAGCTAGTGAGTTGGAGAGTTCATGATATGGACGTGGCCCGAATCAGCATCGTCTTCCGAGAAGCTTGATTTTGGATAGGTATTTTTCTATCTTGCAATGTTTTCTCGTCTCTTTCACACTTCTTCCAGAATTCTTTCAGTCGGTTGGGCAACATTTTATCAAGTCCCTAACCGGCGCTTTCTCGGCCATCGATCAGTTTCCGCATTGAGACGGAAATGATAAGTCTTTTTCAAGTTAAAGAATTCTGCGCCGCCTACACATTTACCAAATCCTCCAATCATAGTTCGCGGGAACTAAATTCATCTGAAGTTAGAACCCCTGTGGGAGTATCCACGCGGTTCGCCGCAGGTACAAGAGGGCCTTCAATCAATCAGGTGTTCTGACGAGACTTAAGACATCTTGGAGTCGATCCACCAAAAACATCTAGATCGCACCGCATGTGAATCCCACCACGAGGGACTGGAAACAGGAAATTTTTGGTGAAAATTCTCCTAAGGCAATGTGTCCATCGGTGCATATGCTGTATACATTCGTCATATATTAATTTGTTTATACCAAACAAATAGCCTCAGTATCGTCGTCATCTGCCTGTTTTCTCCGTCAATCATGTACTTCCCCCTATATCCTTCAAGGCTGCCACTCAATTAACATCCACCACCACTCGGGTCGCCAAGACTGTATTTTTGAGACTCTTAGCCATGCGGGGCATCTGTCCGGGGTTGATCTGCGACCAATACCGATCTTGTGGCGGTCCATCTGTGATTTGGGATTGTATATCGGACTTTTTAACCCTCATTGGAATGTCGTTTCATCCACCACCCAATCAGGAACATCCGCGTTGCCAAGGTGGTTGTGTCGCTATGTTTCCTTGAATAACCTACTCGATCCCATTACCCCCTTAATCATCCTTAAGGGTCACGCCCGAACTGCCAATAGCACCACGCGCCTACAACTTTAACCTCAACTTACTTAATAACAGGTTTTTCTAAGTAAACACATCGAGCCAAGTTTTTTAGCTATATCTTTTTTCTTTCTTTCTGCACAACTTGCATCTTGTATAGGTCTGTAATCTACCTCTTCAGATCGCAAGGTAGGGCCTGGACTCCGGAGGAATGTAACTAGACCGTGTAACTTGACCGTGCCCGGACAAGTATGTCGAGGTATGTTACGCCTTGACCGGAGAGCCGGTGCTTGTGCAATCTTACTGCCCGACCACCACCATGTATGTGATTTCGTTCGCCCCTCCTATAGAGAACTATACTCGTGGTCTAGATGCGCGTGGTTTCGCTCACAGCTCCTATCCGTGCACTGCTGATGGCACCTTGGACGCTCGGGACCCTGGTCACCTTCCCTTTCGAAGCTCACGAGAACTTCAGTTCCTGCCGCGGGTTGGGCCAGCGCCGGACTGGTTCATTCCAGGGCTCGGCTGTCCGCTCGACTCCTCTATCCTTCTCTCTGTTTCCCACCACCTCTTCCTCGCTTAACCCCCCCTGTCCGTCTGTTCCTTTCCCGTGTCTGCCCATTCTATATCATAGTCTATTCTATATATAAAGCGATATATAAGATGGATAATCCACCCTCGCCAAGTTCATAGAAGGGGACGATCTTCACCCTAAGTATTGGATACCCCATATACCATACCATAGTCTATACAGCTGGTCTATGACTTACACTCCTTTTTACCCCTTTCGGTTCTTCTACAAGTGTACATATTCCAACGGCGTCACCTCGTCGACGTCCGTACATACATCTGCATAGTCAGAGCTAGGGCCTGTCCTTACAGTTCTCACATCATCATCGCCACCATCGTCGTCGATCCTCCTCAACGATGTACGCCAAACTCCTAACCGCGGCGCTAGTCGCAGCAACGGCAACGACAGTGTCGGCCGAGTCCGCCCCAGGCTACAGCGGGTGGAACAACGTATGGACAGAAACCTTCAACGGCGCGGCCGGGTCGTCCGTCAACTCAGGCAACTGGAACATCATCACAGGCCTGAAGGTCAACAACGAGGTGCAGACCTACACGACCTCGAACCAGAACCTGCAGCTCAGCGGCGGCGCCACCCTGCAGATCGTCCCGCGCAAAGACAGTTCCGGGGCCTGGACCTCCGCGCGCATCGAGAGCAAGTACACGTTCACGCCGACCGCGGGCGCGCGCACGCTCGCCGAAGCCAAGATCCGCTTCGGCGACAACGCGATCGCGAATAAACAAGGCATCTGGCCGGCGTTCTGGCTGCTGGGCAACAGCGTGCGCAACGGCGTCGCGTGGCCCGCCTGCGGCGAGATCGACGTCATGGAGACCGTCAACGGCATCCTCACCGGCCACGGCACCCTCCACTGCGACGTCTACCCCAACGGCGCGTGCGGCGAGCCGAATGGGATCGGGGGCCCCGTGAATTTGTCCGACCAGGGCTGGCATACGTGGCGCGCGGTCTGGGATCGTAGGGCGAGTTCGTGGTCCGGGGAGACGATTACCTGGTATTTGGATGGAAACCAGTTTTTCCAGGTCTCCGGGGCGAGGGTCGGCAGTCAGAGTGTCTGGAATACGTTGGCGGGGAGCCCGGTTTATTTTATTTTGAATGTTGCTGTTGGGGGGAACTGGGTAGGTGCTCTTTTTAATAAGCGAAAGAAAGGCAATATACTAATTGATCGTACAGCCTGGTCCACCGAACAGCGCCACCCTTGATGGCTATGGGAGCATGATGGAGGTTGCGTATGTTGCGCAGTACGTCGCATAGACATGATCGCTGTCTATCATTATCTATCATCTATCATCTATCACTATCATTCACACCACCGAGATCGACGCATGGGAGGGAGTATCGCGTGTGGAGTTTTGGGTCTTTCGCGGGTGGGAATACCTTTTCTTGCATTTGCATTCTTCGTCCTTCGCTGCTAAGCATGAGCATGAGCATACCCCTATACCATTTTGCTGTTTTTTGTTGTTGCTTTTGGATTCTTGCACATAGTTGCCCGCCTTCGCTTTCGCTTCCCTGTACATACTTAAGATACAATCGTTGTATATATCTACATGAAGATACCAATACCATCTGATGAATCAGAGAAAACGTTATTGATTCCCTTGAATGTGATGTTGCCATGAGGGCGAAATCCTCGCTACGGAGGGATGTAAGTGTATGTTTGACTTAGGCATCCACGAAATGTCGTTGTGGGTAAGTCATGTTGGAGGTTGCCCGAACCCCCAGTTCTCCGAGCCATGATGTTACAATCTTCATCTTGAGAGTTACACGTCGTCGTGTTAGCCACCACATGTAAATTCATTCGCCTTTTCCAAAGGCTCCAACGTCCTTGGGAGAGCAAGGGTAATGTGAAGACCTTCTAAATATTAGTGGATTATATCCACGCAAACGGAGTTGCCGGTTGATCGGATTCCGCGAATAGCTCATCAATGAGGTGATTGTAGGCTCTCAAGAGCCATGGCCTCAACCGGCCCCAATATATCGTGAATGTCGGCGCAAGAGCCGACGTAAAGAAATAATCTACTAGTAGACCATAATATCCGACTTTCTAAAAACATCCGGACTTCCCAGCTTTGATTCGGTGAACTAATGAAGAACGCCGAACGAGAGTAATTCTGGGGGAGGTAGGAGGGTGGAAATTCCGTATGTTAGAAGAAATTCCAACCCTTCCCTCTTGAGAAGGGGATAGTCCCTCAGATGTAAAGGTTATCTTATCCTAACCTCACGGCGCCAGCCCGCTAGCGGGGAGAGCTCCGACATACCTCTTTCCGCTCCATCGAGGGCATGATTCATCCTCTGTGGATACTTTCATGAGCTGTGGCTGTGCCCGAAAAGCAGCTTTTGGGATCTAATGATTGGCACCTTCACGTGTGTGAAACTAAGTCAACGTCCCCGGGACTATAGCGCGGCGAGGGTCGCCCACAAACTTCGAGAACGTCTCGAAGCATCACCAGTAGGTGGCTCTAGAGCGCCATGAAGGGGTCTTCCATTGAGTAAGGCCTTCGCCTTCTCTAATGGGAACGTCTAGAATATTGATTCCGCAGTATATCTCCGTCGAAATCATGCATGAACGATCTTCTCTGTTGTCTCCTACCCGCCAATGTTTTTCCAGTGGCTCGTAATGCCCTCTCTTCGTAGAGGGTCTTGTATTAGAAGTTGTCTTTGTCCCCGAATTGACCATCGTTATTATCCTCCAAGTCTTCCGGACATGCGACTTGACCCTATGAGGGCTCTAAAGTGCCATTGAGGTGGGCCAGCCCCCGGGCCTCCTGTAGGAGCTTGTGTGCTAGAACTCATGCTTAATAATATGAAACTTATCAGGGGTTCATTCCCTTAGAGTGTGTACACTCTTGTGAAATGCCCTCGATGGGTATAACGTTGTAGTCGGTGGCGTGTTCATGTTTACCATGAATTAGGACGGCAATAAATCGTGTATGTTTCGTTGGTCGATGATCTCTATGTCCAGCGCTTTTAGAGGTTGGATGTACATGTTGGCTTGGCTTCCATGTACATTATTATAATGGTCTGAAGATTCAAGCATGGCTTGAAGAAGAGTAGAAATCATGAGACGATCGTAGCTCTCCGCGTAGGACATTGGTGTTGTATTTGTTAATGACCTACCCATGAGGCAATCCATGGGTTATATTGTCAAGATAGAAGATATCCACTTCTTCCCAAAGGCTATATTGCCTTTCTGCCTTATAATAGGCTTCGATCGGTGATCTCCGGTTGGGACATGGGGGTATGTCAATCTAAATTCTTGTTAGACTTACTCTCTCTCAACCCACTAGAATATTTTAGGACAGACTTGCCTCCTCCTGCGATATCCCAATAGCCTCAAGCTTTTTCGTTCGAGGATATAATTTTCGCGTAATCTTGCTCAAATTATCGCACGCAAATTCGCGCACCAGCCCAACGCCAGGACGTAAGTACCATCCTTTGCCTTGACCACCAATACTCTGGTGTGTGCTCACAATTTCCCTGCTAGTTCCCCTCCCAGGGAACGAAGGACAGGAATCTTGTGGGATGAATTACATCCTCCCAGTCCCCTACACGGGAAACCCTATATAAGTTCCCAGTGTCGGAGTGGTCGTCGTAAAAAACTGACATACCTACTTACTAGGTAGGTATGTATCTAAAAGGGAAACGAGGTTAGGAGACGGGACGAATATTATATGAAAATATTCCCGTATAGGATTATCCTATGGAGATGCCATTTATAGCTCCCCATTGGATTCAAACCGGTCGGCCGTTCCCACCATGAAGGGTATCCTAATATCAGTTAGTATAAACGTTTGAAATACTGTCAACATGGACGCGCGAAAGAACCTACAAGTTCGCCAGACCCTACCCACAGGTCAAAATTCCGACTAGATACAATTGAATATTTCTTAAAAACAATGGGCTATACCGTAATAAAGTATATTGGCTTTTAATAGAAATTCGAGGGTTTAGGGAATGTAGGTTCTTATTGATAATAGAATAATGATAGTAGAAGATGTAAGATATTGATTTAAGGTAGGTCGAAAATTTATTTATACGCCGTGTTTGATGTTAAAAACTGGTGTATGTTTTATGAAGAAAGAAAAAAAGATGGATGAGAAGGAAAGTCGAGTTTAAATACCCTTACCCAGGGAACAGTTCAGAGAACATTAACCGGCACCGGCACCGGGACACTGGCACCTGGCCAATACCTTCAAGGTTACTAGCGACTCACAAGGTCATGTCTTTGATGAGTCGATGGCCATGCCGGCACCACAAGCAAAGCCTACGTAAATGTCGACTTAAGTAGATCAGTTCTGCGGTTTGCAAATCCCCCAAAATGACTCATCAACTGGGTTAAACGGCAATAGAGCTTCATTTAGTAGGGGGTCATGAGGCTATATGGCTTGTGATAATATCAAGACGTTTCAACGGGGTGTAGAAGAGCGATATCGTGTAGATTTATTCATGACACTGTGAAAGTTAAGATAAAGGGGTCCAGAAAGGGGACAGGTAGTTTATCATGAATAGAAATAATTCCTCCATTATCACTTTTATGACTACCCCGACTTGATTAGGATAATATTTATGGAAATATTCGTGGAACAAACTATAGAAAATGTAGCTTCTGTTATATGCCTTTATCCATACACCTATCTACACGATCTTCCTAGTAGAGTTAAATAAACTTTCCAGGTTATTATAGTTACATCGGTACCTTACAACTGAGGATGTGCTGAATGCCCGCTGATGATCTGGCCTGTATCCTTAGAATAATTGTGTAAGTAAAATGACGTAACTTAAGTACCTAGATTTAGCCCACTATCCCCTTTGCCCGAGGAGAAAGCAGGAGTAACTTTTCTTTAATTCTTGCGCCCTATTGTCTTGTCTTGATCATCACGGACTTTTATGCATGAGCCCGCTTACCAATGAAGTATAATGTGGAATCTTGCATTCTGGAAAAGGTTAGAGCTTATTGTGATTGTTGGGATTTATAGCAAGCGCTGCAAATATGTGTTCGCACCCGCGCTTGGATACCTAAAACAGTCGATGACTAAAACAATCTATATCACATAGAGGTATAGATCGCATCTAGAACTGTGGAAGTCCTACTTTGCGAAGTCTTTGAAAGCGAGGGCTCAGCCGATGACGTCCTCGGTAGTCCTAAGATGAATCTACTGTTCGGAAGGCACCCCGGAAGCACTGCCGCTTCTAGCGCCGTTCAGGATCAACGCGGGGATGCAAATCAAGAATTGCCAAGCCAAACGCATCCCGCATCCTTCTATTTCATCACGGTACGACCCGAACCGGAAGGTTTACCCAAAAGTAAGCCGGTTTCGCGACAGCCTCGAAGCTTCAGCTAGACAATAGATGATTAAGCGTAAAGCTTGATATTGACTAGCAAGAATGTTCCCCCGTACCCATAGATGTCAGCCCTAATGTGAATGTGTCCCTAATGTGTCAGCATAAACTGCATTGACGTCTTGCGCGCCTTAACTATCCAGATGCTTTGCAGCCGCAATGGATCTACAAGATGGGGAAATATCACACGATATTCGAATAATTTGGAATCTCTCCAAATCCCGCGGGGATACTGACTAAAGTAAGTTAAAGCCCGAGGAATAATTGGTGAGACCAATGAGTCAAGCCAAGAGCGAGACCCGAACTTCCCTGTATTGTCTGGGAATGGTTACGATATGGGAAGATGGGAATAATTAAGCACTGAATTGTTGGGCTAGGGAAAAGTATATATATGATCAACCGTTGACACCTTGATGGCACCTTCTATCTACTCCGCACAACGATAACATAGCTCTTACATTCAACACCCCGCTACAATAATATAAGCTTCTGCATATACGCTTCAAATTCAACTATCGAATTTACCCCTTTCACAATGGCAAAGCAAGGAAGTTGTTTCTGCGGCAAAGTCCGCATCTCCATCGAGGGAGAGCCGGTTGCGAAGGTTTGTTTCTTTTTATTACTACTACTATCGCACGTCCCCTGAAGATCTTCATATTCTAACTATCACCCAGGTCCTCTGCCATTGTCTCGACTGCCGCAAGATCACGGGCTCGGTTTTCAGCACCAACCTCATTACGCCTGGCTCGGGGTTCAAGGTTCTATCTGGCGAGCCAAAGGCCATCTCCAAGACTGGAGACTCTGGTAACGAGGTCACTTCGCACTTCTGCGGTGACTGTGGCAGCACCCTCTGGCGCGACGGACCCAGCTTCGGCGACAACAAGGTTATCAAAGTTGGTGTATTGGACGACTACGAAGCCCTCAACGAGGCCAAGCCTGTCGGGGAGCTTTTCATCAACCACCGAGTTAACTGGGTCCCCGAGGTTCCTGGTACTGCTCAGAAGTCTGCCATGTAAATATGGTAAAATGAACAAGTTAGGAATTAAGGAGAAGTGACCGTTTGGTAGTCAAAGAAAATACATGATACAGGTTGCCCACCTGCTACCTATGAAATTGAATACAATACAAGAACTACTTAGAGATAATAGCTCTATTCTATACGAATAATACCCAGTTTTAAGTCGTGATATACCGTTTGTTATTCAAATACAGAACCGATGTAGAAGATACTCTGTGCATGTGTAGAATGCTACCTCCACCGGGAAACCGCCCAACTAGGGGCAATATGTAACGAGATTTCATAAGCTGAAGCTGATAACCCGTAGAGGCGAGGAGCTTATTTTGACCACAGTTGATAGACAGCGGTAGCATTAGATCGGCTCGGAAATGACTCCGCTGTGTAAAATCTCAACAGAACTGACGTGCTATTCTATGATGACTATACTATGACCATCATAATAAACTCCGAATAGGACTTATGGAGGTAGTAATCTATGTAGTGTAACAAGACCATCCTTCAGTAGGTAGTCATAATCAACTCCTGTCTATCGCTCGATAGTTTAATGAACGCGCCTTGCCATTTCTGTTCCCTCTATGGGCTTATTAGGTACTTTTGTAGAATTTTACGCCTGAATTCTCACTATTTTAATTAGTCTATGCGTTATCCATGCAGCCAAATAGTAACCTTAGGCGCGTTCAAAACTTCGAATAACATCGATGAAAGAAGGTTGAGTAGGCTATTACCATCACTCTTTTTTTCTGAGAATCAACTAGTAAGTATCGATACAATTTGGCCGTTTGGTAGAAGACGGTGGAGGTGCTCATGGATTATCTATCCCCAGATATGCGTAGCTCCCTAGTTAGGGAAGTATCCTGGGGATCAGAGCCATAGCCACAAAGCCATTCCATCCTAAGTGACTGTGCAACTGCTGTGATGGCTTGGTTATTCCGAGCTTTGTGGCAATAAAAGTAGATATCCACATCATGAGATTGTCATTTTTAAAGAAATACGCATCTTAAGAAACTTGCAGACTTGATAACTGATCTTGGTCCTAAGGGAAGGGTTTAGAGGGTTGTGACGATGGTTACACGTAACCTCTACCCCATTTTTATTCCCTTGTGGAGATCATCGATATTACCTTGCGTCCAAGCTTTCTCTCTTCCCTGTTCACATAGATTCTCGAATTCGCTCTTTTGGTTCAAAGCTTCCGGCATTCATAGATTTAACCCGTTAGCTTGGGATATCGGGTATCTAACAACGTACCTAGTAGGTAAACAGGCAGTAGATAATGCAGTAATTTAAGATGATATGAGTGTTATTGTGCTGCGTTACGTAAAATTGATCATAGCCCGGGTATTTAATTTCATGAAAGAGGCAGTGAGGCTCGTCGGTGATTGCATGCGATGTTACATTTCGATAGATACATAGTAGTATTTTAACTAACATCTCTGTCGGTAAATTGTTGCCGACCGAATCTGCGAATCTGCGAATGTGCAGAAGAGGTAGAATTTTGATCTGCTGGGCTGTGCCGCGGTTCTGCCCCCTATTTGTTCGTCTGATCTCACGTCTAAGAATGGCTGGCTGGATTTTACTCCCTTTTTTCATGTTGGTTGTTTCGTTGAAGAGGGCGGCTGGACAACGAGGGGTAACGCGAATGTTTCACCTTGGATGATCTTCAATTGACATCATAAATCGGAAAATCGTAACAAGTTGTCGATCCAACTCCAGTATTTCTGGTATTTATATTTTACGGTTGTACAGTACGCGCTGCACAACTGAATTTAATTGAGTCTAAAAGTGCTAAGCTTTTTTGATAGCGCGTTTTCTCTCAACTGATTGGATGCAGGTACAACGTGGAGCGGATCAGTCGGAATCGCCAAGCCAATTGAATCTAGCCAAACGTCAACTAACGTCAACTGTGTGACATCCATGGTTCTTTTATGGTGGATCATTCTAAATCCACACCCTATCAAACCCTTCTAAGTACCCGAGCCCCTCACCTTTCATTTTAGTTGCCTCGCATGCGTTCGCATACATTGAGCATAGCCACCTTCTGCCACATAAGCTTCCTTCTGATACGGGAAATTGAAGCAGTCGATAGTAAGCGGATTCGATAAACTCAATTCGACCCAAAAACTTTTGGCCCCCGTGTTGGAGGCTACTGCTTCGTATTTTGGTCCATCTGACCTATCGGTCTATCAGGATCAACTGAGCCGAGGAACTTCCCCGAATACATAGAAGTATGTACCTAGGTAGATATGTACTTTGCAGTTGACTCTGCAGCTCTATAATGTGGTTAGCAAAACGCCAGTAGGCTAATACAGGTCACTGCTACTATTAGTTACCCTAGCAGCCCTAGCACCTGGACCTAGTCGTAGGTAGTTTTATTTGTTCTATTCACCGTTGGCCCTGGGTCGATTTCCAGTTCCTAGTCTTACACCTCTTCTTTTACCCACACCTGTTTCGATCCCCATTTTTATCCCATTTGAAACCAAATCATTGGTTCGAGACGAAAGGATCTTGATTCAGTCTGACCTGACTGGACCTGACTAGACCTGACTACGAAGTACCATCCACACCCTTCATACCTCATTCTTTTGTTCCTTTTTTGCTTGCGTGTTCGCCATTACTTTTTTACCCTTTCTCTTGCTCCTGTCCCAATCTAGAACAAGAACATCTTTTTTTCCTCATCCCATTTTTTGTCCGTTTGTATCATCGTCTCTCTCATCCCTCATCACCCGACACTCACTCATTATCTTTTCACCGACACATTCGTTAGTTTTGATTTCGGTGTTTATGTGAATTTTCCCAAGACGATTTCTAGATATATTTCTCGCGTCTTGTTTTCACAGAAATCTTTCGCTTCATCTTCCGATTCCATCTCAACTTATCTCATAACATTGTATCGGTTGTCATAATGTGGTCGACTTCGGCTTTGCCGTCCCTTGCCCTGGGACTGGCCTCTTTGTCCGGTGCGCTCGCGGCAAGCTACGATGATATCCCAGCGATCAAGGCCGTTGGCCAGCATTTTTTCTACTCCAACAACGGCTCTCAATTGTAAGTTCAGAGTTCAACAGAGCATAGCATAGCATCGTCCCGACCCGCGTAATCCGTCGCCGAACCTTGCAGATCGCGGAGCGCAAAGCGCAGACTTTCATCCACATGTCCATATGTCTTGGCAATCCCGAGCGCTAACTCTCTTATCAATAGCTACCTAAAGGGTGTTGCCTACCAAGAGAACTACAACCCCAATGGAACGTCTAGCAGTAACACTCAGTACACCGATCCCCTAGCGGATGCGTCCAAGTGTTCGCGCGACATCCCTTACATGAAGCAGATCTTCACCAATGTCATTCGGGTCTACGCCATCGACCCTACCCAGAACCACGATGAGTGCATGGAGCAGTTGGCTTCTAACGACATCTATGTCTTCGCCGATCTTAGTGAACCCGGTACTTCAATCGACAGCAACAACCCTGAGTGGAATGTTGGACTCTACACTCGTTACACCGCCGTTGTTGATTCTCTCCAGAAGTACAAGAACGTCATTGGCTTCTTTGCTGGCAACGAAGTCGTGAGCGCTCAGAACCAGACTGCCGCCGCCGCTTTTGTCAAGGCTGCCGTCCGTGACACCAAGAGCTATGTCAAGAGCATGAACTACCGTAGTACCCTAGGTGTCGGTTACGCTACCGCCGATGTTCCCAGCCGAGACGAACTTGCCCATTACTTCGCCTGTGAGCCTATTGACGGTGCTAGTACCTCGATTGATTTCTGGGGATACAATGTCTACTCATGGTGCGGAGATAGCAACTACGTAACCTCTTCATACGGCGAGCGTGTCACGTTCTTCCAGGATTACCCCGTCCCTGTGTTCTTTGCCGAGTATGGTTGTATCGAGGGTGTAGACGGTGGCGCCACTCACAGACCGTTCACTGAGGTTGCTGTTCTTTACGGTAACATGACCTCTGTCTTCTCTGGCGGTATCGTATACGAGTGGTTCTACTCCGAGAACCATTACGGTCTGGTTGAGGTTAGCGGCAGCAGCGTCTCTCCTTACCCCGATTTCACCTCGCTCTCATCGCAGTTGGCGAAGGTCACCCCGTCTATTACCCAATCGAGCAACTACAAGCCCTCGAACTCCGCTCCGGCCTGCCCTACCGTTGGTGGCACCACCTGGGCTGCCAAGGCCTCGCCTCTGCCTCCGGTCGTGAACCCTCAACTCTGCTCGTGCGAGGTTGCTGCCCTGACCTGCAATGTCAATTCTGATGATGAGGACTCGTACGCCGCCGTTTTCAACTACATCTGCGGTGCCGGAGATTACTGTGGGGGAATTGCACACAACGCCACTTCTGGTACCTATGGTGCTATCGGAGGGTGCTCTCCCAAGCAGCAGCTCGCCTTTGTTGCCAACCAGTACTATGAGGGTAACGGAAAGTCTGCCAGTGCTTGCGACTTTTCAGGATTGGCCAAGACCCAGAGCCCGACTACCTCAACTGGCTGCGCCGCTTTGATCTCGGCTGCTGGTACTAAGGGAGAGGGAACCGTCGTCAGCCCCACTGGACAGCAGGGCACCGCAGCGGCTAGCAGCTCGTCCAAGGGCGCTGCTGCTGGTACCATGGGTGCTCCCGCCTTCTTTAACTACGGAAGTGCTTTCCTCGTCGCCTACATTGTTACCGCATTTATTTCGGGTGTGGGTATGTTTGTCCTATAAGGAAAGGCTATGTTGGTGGAAACCTTGGCAATATCAAAAGGGGTTGGTAATGAGTTTGCATGTGGAATAGATCTTGCGTTTCTTTTACACACGTGGCATGGAATATGAGGCGATCATGGTCTACTTCGAGTCAGGGGATGGTGCGACTTGTTGGAATGCTATTCCTTTTCTTTTCGCGGGCGAGGGACGGATTTGAATGCGCTTCTTATTGGCACATGTCTGTGTTGCTTCAGGAAATGGCATAATAATGTTGTATTTGATCCAATGCAAAACTATAAAAATTGCAAAACACTTTTTGTTCTTCTCATCACCGATGCTTCTGTTGTGAATATCCCTGATGAGGATCCGGTGAACCTAACTAGTGATATATAACCGGTGCTATATATGCAGGTACGCCTCTCGGGCTCCTGCGCTTGCTGCACTAAGGTAGTAAGGTGACATGGTATGTGGGACGGGTAACATGGGTCGCCGCATCCCTCGCAGCCTTCTTAGGCCTACTGTGACACTCTTGTAACAGCAGGAACGCAGAACTGGCCTAACCCAGCTAATTTTGGAACATGGTTTATAATGCTGGTGCTATATCTGACTATTTCCACTCCTTTCAACTACGCATGGTAAACGGAACTTCTTTCTTTCGGCTTGCGATGAGAGATTACTGAACCCATCTTGTTATCTGCGGAGATGGTTGGCTCTCACCCAGATTTTGGGGTCGCGTATTATTGGTCTCTAGTCCCACGCCCTTCGGAACTCCGGATACCGCTTTCATGCGGGGTGGGCGCGCATATAATACTTGAAGGTCATACGTTCTCCCCCAAATGCTACAAAAACTTGATATATCGAGACTAAAAACGCCACAGATATCACTGGCTGACGACGTGCAAATCTCTCTTTCGGGATGGCACGAATGAAGGACTGCCCCCACCCGCAGATAAACACGTCGCCGTGTACTGCGCGGAAGATGGGACCGGACTGTCGGCGTGTCACTAGAGTGCGAAGAGATTGCGGTAACCTGGTGACAGACGCATTTCATACCGGCTTGTACAGTAATTCAAGATACTAGATGTTCTCTCGACTACCGCTTGCGCGGAACCCCGCTCTAGCGACGTCGATCGCGATGCTTGATTGAACGGTAGCGGGGTAGTTGATGGTATTGGCAATGGGGTAAGCCAAGACGCCTTATATTATCAATATCCTGGATGAACCTCTTGGCTATGTTATCTTCAAGTATGTTGATGTCTGTGGGTATTCGAAATGCTTATTTACACGATACGAACAGTTAGGACCTGTTGCCCAGAGCGTAGGGCTTTACGTTAGCGTTATATCGCCTTACCAAGATATTTAGTACTTGGCGATGAGGCGTTAGATCCTTGGAGTAGAAATATTTTGACCTCCTGACTTCTGCAAATTGCATTTTTGAGATATCTTAGTCATTCGTGTTAACTTGTTAACTTTGTCTGTGTATTAATACTTTTTATAGACTCGGTCACAATCGTCAATATGATCATGGCACTCAGATATTTTGTGGTTCCACTAAAGGATTGGCTCTCGCTTTATGAAGAAAAGCTTGACGTTTCTTAGGGCTGATGGGGATGAGGGCTTGGCTGGTTTGAAGATCTATACTAAAATTGTAAATATTATGGCTGGAGCTGAAAGCAACAGACAGGGGTATAGTATTTCTAATCTCGCCTTTCTTCTCGAGACAACAATGCTGACACGTTTTCTAACTTCATCGAAGTCTATTCACGATGGCCGAATATCTCAGTCACTATGGAACTTACTGGGTATACCCACTCAAATACCAGAGTGGTGATATTGCCTTTCCTGAATGGTGCTCACTCTTGACGCTATGTCTAGCACCGCTCATTGCTCACATTGCAGCTGGGTTTCCTGCACCATCATACCTAAGCTCGCGTCCCCCCAAATGGCACGAGTCTATCGCCCTCTATAATCCGACCTCGATTTTATGGCGATATGCAGCTATTACGGATAGACGAATTAGGGCTAAGGCTTGGGATAGGAAAGATATGGCCGGTACTAACGCGCTCTTTTGGACATCGCAAGGCTGGGACGGCTCACAAGAGATGATCACCCTCAGTTTGCCACATTGCACACATTTACCTCAGCACAACCGGATCAACTTATTCTCTAGCGAGTTCATCAAAACTGCTATCGTTACGTTGCAGGGCGTCCAAGCCCTCGTTGGCCTTGGCCTTGCCTTAGGAGATGGCAAAAATTCCAAGTCCGGCTTTGTAGCCTACATGGGAGTTGACCTAATATTCTTTCCTTTGGCATTCATCGGTCTTGTCCGTCTGTTTTGCGCATTTTGGCTTACGGACGACTTCGCGTATTCGACTTCGACACCACAGACCGGCTTGAATGGCTCAGAGCTCCAGGCTATGACTACTAAAGACTGCGAGAGGCGGATCTCTTTAGACAGTCTCTTACACGAGGAGTTGTCGGCGCCTATTGTGGCAGAGGATAGGTTCTTGCCAACGTCCTACTGGGCAAGTAGAGCTTTTCGGGCTATCTTCCTACTTCCAACCTTTCTCCTCTTAGCGATATGCTTGATGTTTATGATACAACCTGGTGGAGGGAAGCAATTCACCCTCACGGCATTCCTAGTTGCACTGTTTTATTTCATCTTCCTCACGACGACGATATTTATCTGCGGTTACTATTTGGTCCGAGGGCATACATCGACTATCCTTCCGTGCCTTGGGACAAGATGGTACGAAGCATACACCGGAATCCTCGTGGGAATGATATTGGTAATATTCGTCATATCCTGTATTGAGACAAGGCATACGGCGTGTGGAAAATGGACTAGCGCTCCGTATTCTGCTGGAGATTCCGGTGCATGTTCGGATGGTGTGAGACCTGATGTGATCAGGATGGATTTTAACCAGCTCCCCGACTTTGGCCTATCGACAACTATGCCTAGAGTCAACGCTGATAATAAAACACTTGGAGACGGAGATTTCTGGGTACGCAACTTCACGGGAACTTGTCTCGGTACTCTCGGCTCAACTCTTATGAGACACGTCTCGACCTTAGAAGAGGTGGATTTGAATGATCTCGCAAAGGTTACCTCAATTAATGATACACTACAGCAATACCTGCGCCATCCTGATGATTAAACATCACTGCTAAAGCAAATTGAAGAATGAAGACGCCATCTTTCGCCTCCGAATACCAATATTTAATATCGATGCCCTCATCATGGCAGATATGTTTCGGACTTTGGAAATCACCTACCTATCCATATTGGCGGCGTCGATGAACCGCTTCGTCTTATCCCAGTCGTTGCTACGGATTAGCCTACACTACACTAGCCGAGCATCGTCGCCGTATTCTTCTAGGATTTACTGCTTATCGAGCGAGTCTCGACCCACCGCGCCGCTTACATCGCACATCAGAATCGTGAAGGTGCCTTCTCACGATGGGTCCTGAGCACCAGGGTTCTTCCATCCACCCTGCAGCGCCTCATGCACACGGTCGACGGCCTTGTTCGCATCGTGCGCGTACTCGGCGACATTATACGAATCAATCAACGAGTTTATCACATCAGAAACGTTGACACCCGCATAATCGTCCTAGCCCAGCTTTTCCGCCCCGGGAGGCATCGTGGCATACCCCCACCGCTTGTTCGACAGGAAGTCGCCGTTGTTCTCGTGTCAGTAGTACAAGTACCACGTATTCCCATCGCTGTAGACGCTTTAGTCCTTCGGCTCAGTCTCAATACCTTGACCGTCCCCGCCGCCTAGGATGAATATCTTCTGCTGTTACTAGAGCTTGTTGACGGTGTTGCTGAGCAGGAACGCGTTCATCATGTCGATTACTCCGTTTTTATATACGCCACTGAAATCGACGAAGGCACTGCCTCACAGATACCCTTTTATATCGATGGTGTTGTAGTAGTTGGACCCTGCCGTTAGCTGGTTGTTGGCGGAGGTGAAGTTCTTCATGGACTCGACGATGATTTTGGTTTCAGGATGTAACACGATGGGGGCTTGTAAGATGACCGGGCGGTTGATGAGTAGGTATATTTAGGGATTCTTCTTGTCTGATATAATGCCTTTTTAGCGGGTTGTATATGAGGTATTGTTGAAGAGGGTAGAAGTGGTGATTAGTTGACATAAGACTTGTACAAACCTCTATAATATGGAAGATAGATACCTATTCATTTAAATTCTTTAGGTTAAGAGATACCCAGGAAAATAGCCAGTCTAGAAGTTGATTAGCAGAAAATCTTGGAATATACAACATTCTATTTAATCATATTCTGTCCTATATTCTGTGAGCGCCGCTCGTGGTGACGGTCATCGCGAAGATTACAACTACTCCTAAAGTACCTAGGCGCCGCACTGTCAATATGATATCCACCTGATTCGAGGTCACTTCAAGGGAATTTGAAAGTTCCCAGCTGATGTCGGCGAGTCTCGTTATCCTTGTTTCTTTGAGGGCGTTTTGAAGTAACCCGAGATCTGCATAAAACTTGATAATCCTTTCAGATGCACATATGAGGTATTAGCGGGGTAGTATGAGGCTTATTGCTATAACAAGATAGACCTTATCTTATCAATCTCCAGCGCTGCAACTTCAATGTTATGTATTCTGAAGTTTAGTGGTCATCCTTCGCCGTTCATCAACTCTACCAATTCAATTAATCGCCAGCAAGACAGAAACACAGTCAACACCACCTATCCATCCAAGCGACAAACCCAGAAACCGTCGCCAACATGCAGGGCTTCAACATGGGACGGTACGTCCCCCCCGACGTCGAGGGCACGACGAGCGGCAACGCGCTACACAAGAAGCGACCGCCAGGAATATCGCAAGACGGGACGCAAACAGTACGGTTCGAGATGCCATTCGCGATATGGTGTTTACACTGCGAAAACCCTACCCCTACCTCCACCTCCAACCCAAGTGCGAAGGGGAAACCCACGATAATAGGGCAAGGCGTGCGCTTCAACGCCACGAAGCGCAAAGTCGGGAACTACCACAGCACGCCCATCATCGCCTTCCGCATGCGGCACGTCGAGTGCGGCGGCTCCATCGAGATCCGGACCGACCCGAAGAACACAGCGTACGTTGTCAGCGAAGGCGCGCGGAAGCGGGACATTGGGGAGGACGACACGGCCTCGATTCTCGGCCCTATACTCACTGCGAAAGAGAAAGAAGCGCTCCGTAGCGACGCGTTCGCGAAGCTGGAGAAGACGATTGCGGATCGCAAGGTGCTTGAGGATGCGAGGCATCGCATTGAGGAGCTGGAGGGGGAGAGCGCGAGGAAGTGGGAGGATCCGTATGAAAGGAATAGGAAGCTCCGCGATGCGTTTAGGGTGGGGAGGAAAGAGCGGGAGAGAGATGCGATTAGGACGGAGGGGTTGCGCGAGAGGATGGGTTTGGGGATCGAGCTGCTTGCGCCGAACGAGGATGACGCGAGGAGAGCTGCGCTGGTGGATTTCGGGCCGACGGTTGGTGGGGAGGGGGAGATGGGCAGGAAGGCGTTGGCGAAACCGCTGTTTGGGAGTGCTGCGGGTGCGAAAGATGATGGGAAGGGCGCGAAGGGCAAGAGTAAGAAGTTGAAATCGGAAGTTGCTGCTGCGCAGATGCGGGAGAGTCTGGTGTCGGAGATCGTGGGCAATACGAGAGTCGCTCAGGACCCGTTCTTATCGCTGGATCGTGGAAATGGACAAGTTACTAAGAGCTCACCTAGGATTATGGGAATAAAGAGGAAAAGACTGGATTCGGAAGCGAAGCCGGATCTTGAGTTAGCAAAGTTAGATCAACTTAAATCAACAAAAGGAGGTCCGGTCGACATAGAAGAAGACAAAGATAGGGGGATAGCATCATCAGCGACGCTAGTCGATTACGACTCGGATTAAGGCATCGTAGCATTAGACATGGCGTTTAGGGGGCTTGGATTTGGTCATTACAAGATACCCAGGTTATATCATGAAGCGTAACGTATGATTAGGCAGGGTCATATTCATAGTATAGGTAGAATCAGTAGTGTTGATATAACTGTATCATTGATACCCTTCATCTACCAATAGAGCAACCGATACGGCGCTCACCGTTCTCGCGATAAGGCGTAAACTCTCCGACGGGAGAATAGGACATCGCAAGTAAAATAATGAAGCCAATGCTAGCCGTTTGAAAATATGGTGGTTCCAGTACCCGGCTCGATTCTTTATGCAAATTGCAAATTCCATACAGCAACACCAAATGCCATCCGTTACCACCAGAAGAAAACCATATTACTCTTTACTCCGTAATCCAGAGAACGCAGTGTATGCTATTAGTTGAATGGATAAGCGTGCAAAACACAACTGATCCGACGTTGATGAGCAACTATACGTCGTCCATTTGGCCTGCAGGCTCATCATCTTCCCCGAAACTCGCAACTGAGGACATGTCGTCGTCGTCTTCGCTCTCGGCACCGGCTTCATCTGCAGCATCCTTGCTGGCGTACTTCTGAACATACTCTGTTTCCAACCTTAGCCAACTCCATCTTTATAGTTGATATGGTGTAGGAGCAGACATACCCTTGACCTTAGCGTCGTAGCTCTTCGGCTCGCGCATTAAGAGCGCGGCTGCTTCACCGTTAAGAGGATCGGCAGGATTGGGGTATCTTAAGAGCTGTGGGAGGAAGACCTCGAAGATGTTGATCATATCGAACATGGGTGACCATGTCTGGTTGATGACGTCTAGGCACACCGAGCCGGACCTATTATAACAATTCGCCTTCCTTAGCCCTGTCTTGAATTTATACCCAATCCCCAAATGTAGTGGTGATGTCGAATTCCAGCCAACTTACAGCTCATCGATGTTCGGGTGGAAGATACGGTTGACGAAGCCGATACTAGGTGACTTGTACGGGTATTGATCAGGAAGCTCGACGTGGACCTTCCAGATACCATTCTCGAAGGGTGCTAATATTGGTTAGAGATTGTTCTGGGCCAATATATTTCATCATTGATACTAACTCTCGGCGGGGCCCTTAAATCGGACGTAGAACTCTTGCCTGGAAATGTGTAAGATTCGGATGTTTAAACGTAGTAGACAAGCTAGCTTACACTGCGACGACTTAGTATGGCGCTGTATTGAGCGATGGGATATATAGGAGTGTTACTAACTATTATCATTGACTAGAGTCACCTCATAGTCGGACATAAGCCTGGAACAGAACAGTTAGTCAGAGTGTCGGGGTTTGTCGGTAGTAGTTACCATACATCTTCATGACCTAGTTTATTAGCTAGTTAGCGATCCATAACTTATCATGACGATCATTATCATTAGGCAGACGTACATCCGTCTCAATCCTTCTGCGTGGACTGCTCATTTTGGCTTGCTCTTCTGCGAAAGAGTTGTTCCTTTGGTCCTTTTTGTCTCTTACGTCTTGTCAATATAGATTCGTCGCCCACGTAATAATGTCCGATGTGCTGATTCTTCCCAATACCAGTTTTTAAAGGCTCGGTCTTTGTCTAGATGGAATGGTATTCAAGGCTGGGTGTTGGATATTCGATGGTAGTAAGAGCGGCGGGCGACTTATCGGATGCGACGAGGGAAAGAGATGCTGCGAAGATATGTTCGTAAAAGGAGGGGACGACGATAGATAGGTATTTGTGTAAAGAGTAATTGTTGAACAGTGTTAAAATTGTATGTGTAGTCGGTAAGCTGGCGTTAAGAATAATAAAAAGTTCAATGCTCTATTGTAAAAAGAAAGGAAAGTGGAGGTCTCAGACGATTTCTTGCATGTCTTTGAGGTTTGACTCCCGCCTGCTCCCACCTGGGCAGTCTAGTCACAAGACAAGAGCGATTTGGCTATGGATACCCGAACAATGAGCAGTTATGACGCGACTTCCAAGGTTGTTACCAGAATAAGCCGCTATTAGCGCCATCCAGGCATCGCTAGGTACCGAAGCCGGTACGCTTATTTTATCGATAGTGATGCAACAGCCGCTAAAATGTCTCGGGACAGCGCTATGCATCGTCCAACCTTATCCATTACAGTTTACATGTATTATTAGTTGATTAATACGGAAGTCATCGCCTTCACCTACCATCCATCCAATCCATTTTTATCTCTTATGCATGTATTGTTCTCTATCCTCACTCATCATCTGCAACTATATCCGGCATAACCTACATGCCCGCGGTCGTTTTGATTTCTACCAAATCCATGGATGTCATATGTTTGCTCCAACCGCTACCGTAATATTTGGGCATCAGTTTACCTGCATCTGACACGGCTTCTTGGTCCGTGATTCGTGCCTCAAATATGAATTCCCCTCCCAACTCTCGAAACGTGTTTATACTATGCTTGAACTAATAAGTTCGCATAATTCCATTCGTCCAAGTCATCTCCCCTTACATGGGTAGATATAGATATGGTATCGGCATCTACCCAAAGCGTATTCCGGGCTTTCTCTCAGATCGGACGTGATATCGAACCGGAATATGATATATCATGTTCCTACATCTCATCTCCGCATAATGACCCGAAGAACTCTTCCCGGCTTTGCCAATGAATCTCACTTATATCCCTGATGACTCCTTCCACTAACCAGTTCAAGAGTTCAGGGGGTTCCAATGAGCTGAATTTCCGGCCTTCATCGCGACAGTGGTAGCTAATCGTATTTACTATAACCAGTTAGCCACATTTGTTTTCTTTCGAGCTAAAAAGGCTAGAAATAGAGCGCAATTACCTTTCCGACGGCTTGTTGAGCATTTGGCGGCAATTTCAAGCCTGGAAGATTTAACGGTGGTGGTGTTTCGCCCTTGATCCCGCAAGTAATTTCGATGCTCCGAAGAAGTCCACCAACAGCTTTCTGCTCTGGAGTAAATACGGCTAGGTTGGAAAAAGTGAGACAGTTTGGTTCGTTGAACAAACGCGCCTGACACCCATCGTCCATATTTGCAACGAATGTCGCGCATTGCGCTACGCCGGGCACGTTGTAACATGTCGGTGTCGAGTGTTGAGATCCGGGCTTAGGCAGCTGTACTTTCGCCATCACCGTACCGCGGCAGTCTTTGGGTCCTGGTGGTCCCGAGAATAGCAATGCAGCTATAGGAACTACAGGCTCGGTTGGCTGTGGCTGGCTACTGGTCGCGGGGTTCTTTGGCGTTGCGATGCTAGTCGGTATTGCCGTGCTATTCGATTCCCATGGATCGTTTACATCGACTTGTGGAATGCCTGAAATTTGCGGTACTTCTGAGACTCGAGGGACGTCTGACACGGCAATATTTTCTACCATCGCATTTTCAGGTAGATTATCTGCATCCTGAAGTGTCGTTGCTCCGTCTACTATCACAGGACGCATGGATTCCTCCCCGACTCGGAACCTTTGCCCTAATGCGCCCGTCGTTTGCCATACTACCCCGATACTAAGCAATGTTATCGTCGATCGCCAATGAAGCTGCATTTTGATGCACTTTTGTCGCAAAGGTAAATATTGAAGAAGGGAAAAGCAGAATCTCTAAGATCTATCTAGGTCGCGACAAAATCCTCGGGCTTGAGACGATGCCAAGGTGTAGTGCACGCTCTCTTGGCGTTTCACATCTCATGGATCTAATCCTCAAGAGAACAGGGGCAAAACATTTACAGATTCGCGAAACGAAGAGTTCAAGATACAATTTCTCTAAAAGGAAATAGTGCCATCTATTAACATGTTTTAATGAGCCAAGAGCAGATTTAACAAGCGTGTCTAATTAGCTCGGCAGAAAATCATCCTAACTTTCCAGGCCTCTTTTAGTTTCAACTTCAATTAGTTGGCTCAGCATAGAATTAGTATGCTATCTGCCACACAGTTCGCAACCATCAACAACTACATTAATTAGGCACCGAGACAGACAACTGGTACGTCTCACCGGGCTGGATGTTAGTGAAGCGTGCTTCCGGAAGAATTCGACCGTCGTACTTCACTACTACCTCCTTCACATCTCCCGAACGGTGTATATCTATCACAAATGTTGCACCGCGGAACAAGCGTGTCACTTTGATGGCGTTCCAGGCGGATGGCAACTGCGGCTGAATACGCAAACCCTTTGCGTCGCCACTCAGACCACATAACCCTTCAATAAAGGACCGGTATACCCAGGATACAGTCCCTGTGTTGAATAGCTGACTGGACCGACCTGCCGTGCGCGGATATTTCTGGTAGGCGCCGCGGTAGTAATTGGGGATATATACGGGAAGCTGGCCTCGTTGCACGTAATCTTCTTCTGAAGGGCCGGGGATCATCTTCCGCAGGACGTCGTATGCCCGATCGCTCTCCCCTATCGAATACAAGCTGTGGATATAGAAGGCGGCTGCGTGATTATACACTGACCCATTTTCAGCCGAGCCTGGGTACTTCTGTGTTACACGGCCAACGTCCTCTCGCATAGCGCTGTAAGGGGGAGCGAACATCACGGTACCATAGGGTGTACTCATCTGCGAATCTATCTGATGTAGCATTCGCGAGATTTGGTCGGTACTAGCCGCTCCACTTAGAATCGACCATGTCTGTGGGTTTAGCCAGATACGACCCTCTAGGTCCTTCTTAACCCCGAAAACTACATTGTCATCCGTGATGCCTCGTGCATACCAGTCACCGTCCCACAGATGCGTGTTAGCAGCTTCGTTGACTCCCTTAGCTTTTGCTCGGTATTGTTCTGCTAAGTCGGGTTTTGACTCATGCTCGCATACGTCCGCCCACAGCTTCAGCGCAAACGCAGTAGCGACCGTCTGCCATCCTGATACACCCTTTCCTTTATAGCCGACCATGTTTAGCGGATCGCACCAGTCTCCCTGTGCAATATAGCTCAACCCATAAGCATCACGGGCCAAATGTAGCCAATCCATTGCCCTGCTAAAACGTTCAAACACGGTATAGGTATCGCCATGCATTCCCTTTACCGGTACCTTCAGGAGGTCGTAATCACCCGTCTCCGCAAGATATGCCTCCAGTGTTACCGGTAACCAGATACAGTGATCGGTGTGTGGGATCTGGTTGATATACTTGAGTTCGGCACCCTCCGTTAACAAGATACCATCAGGCATAGCCCCGTCCTTCTCTTGTTGTGAGACTGCTATCAGAAAAGCTTTACGCGCGACCTCGGGCTTGATGTACGACATTCCCATGTTGTCCTGCAGGTAATTGCGCGTCTGCGGATCCGTGGTCAACCGGTTTACGTCGCCATGGTAATAGCACTGGCGCGGTAACCAGTTATTGACGAAGTTGTCCACATGCTTGTCTGGCGTTTCGATTTGCAGACAACCCTTTCCTTTACCGGTGTATTCTGCGTATTCCTTTGCCGTCTGCGCGAACCCTTCCTTGCTAAGATATTTATCGCGGACGGCGCGTATCTCGGCATCATCAAAGGCGGGGCCGAAGAGGAAGCGGTACTCGCGCTGGTCGTCTGCTTTCAGTTCAGTCCGATATTGAACCACAGCTGCTGGTGTTTCGTAGCGAGCTTCGCTACAACTAAGCTGAGGCTTCGTTAGTGCTGAGGGCGCGTGAAGACCACCTTCACCCTCAAAAGTCTCTTGCATGGCCTCCCACGAGACCGGCGCGGTCTCTGCGAGGAAGTAGGATTTGTCCTTTAGGAATTTGTTCTTCCAGTAATCCGCCGCCTTCTGGTATGGTGTGATGCTGCTGCCTACTATGCCGCCAAGATCCGGTCGCCACTCCGCTTCCTGGTTCATCCATGACATATAACCGAATGGGAAATAGGGGTACACGCTGATTTTACGCGGCCGTCCACTCAGATTAGTCACCTTAACAGACCAGAGTTCAACCACATCGTGCGTCGGAATCACCAACGTCAGCTCCACGCGAATACCGAGATGCTCAACTGTCCAAGAGATATCGCTTTTACCGACAGAAAACACGAATCGGTCAAGCGAAGCACGCACCGGCTCGTATGGTGCCGAAAATATTTGACTAGTCTCTTCATCCTTGATATATACGAAACGACCCGGATGATGAGCATAATAGTTCTGCTCGGGCTGCATAAAGGTCTTGGCCTCTAGGTTTGGAGCGTGGGCATATTTTGACGGCTCCGGCTGCATGAATTGCGCCGTCGCATATCCACGGCAGGTCATCTGTATCATCATCTTCTGATTCCATAAGAAGCCACCGGCCTTCGGCAGTGCCGTCGGGCTTGATAACTCATAGCGGTCGCCGTCCTCTGTCGAGCGTAACATCGTGTAAGTCTATTCTGGGCGTTCCTTTACTTTCAGCCGCAAATCAGGCTTCGCTGTTCCGTGCTTTCAATTAAAAATATCCCGCTACCTCAGTCCCTTCGAATAACAACTCGGGACGATGCCTTATAAAGGGGAATGAACCATACATCGTTGACCAAGGACACCGCTACGCCGGTACACGGGGCTTGGCGGATGACCTGGTGCATGGAAGTCGCTCGGGAGAATATACGGGTAAAAGAAATACTCCCGCTACGACGTGGGCAGCGAACCAATACCTTCGCCGGTATAGCAATCAAGTGATCCGCTGGAATCCTGCAACACGGATGCGGGATGTTTTTTTCTCGAACAAGTCGTTCGATTGCCGCAGATTCGTTTTCGTTCGCTTCAATTTTATGACGAGGTAATACCGGCGGTACATCTCTCGATGCACCTCTACGTCGCACAATATATGCGAACTCCAACAAACCGTCATACCGTGGTAGCTACGCTATGGCGACCTCGCGGGTCCCCAATTCGCTCGTCGTGGTCATGGGTAGGTATGTAAACCACTTAGTAAGAGCGGAGCTGAAATCGGGGAGGTGTATGCGAGGATTACGCTCGTGGGTTGGGTTTCGTGGGGGAGGCTTCTCCATCCGGGGGAGACTAAGCCCGTCGTTCCTACAGCTTTGCCGAAAAGAGGTTGGTACGTCAGTACGTCCGTGGCTTAGGGGTCTCGTTTGGAGATGACAGCTTGACAGCTACCTATAGGAGGTAGGTTATTGGCTTGGGTTGTAGCATGACTAAGTCATGCAGTGATATACTGGCTTGGCGTCAGATCTTGGCTGAAGCTGTATGAGCTATTAACTACCTATAGGTATTCCATGATGCCAATTATTTTCCTCGCAATGGTTTTCTCTTGTTTTGGGAAGGGTTGGAGAACTGGGCTGTGGAGGGGTCATTGTTAGCGCTAATGTCCGCGTTGCTGTTGATTGAATAGCGTGTTAGAGAACCTTGGACCTAGGTGTCTAGGTACCTCCTGTGTCATTGGTCAGAAGGTATCTAGGCCACCTATTACGCACCACCGCATCCTTATTAACTTCCGTTAACTAGGTGTTCAATGAAGCTCATGAAGATGATCGAGTCCATTAGAAGAAGAGCGATGTCACAAAAAAGGTTCAGATAATTTAAAAAGGATACATTCTTATAGAAATAATCATTCAATTATATGAGCAGCGATCAAAAAGCCACTCCTATACTCTTACGCAACCGACTCGTGAGAATTATGATGATGAGATGTTTCTTCAAAAGGGGGGTATACGCTATCCAAACAAACGCTCCAATAATCCGATATCAATAACAATCTTAACCCTTGGTGAAATCCGATGTTTAAACAAATTTGCGAACTCCCCAGCCTTATACCTTAGTTCTTAAGTAAATGTGCATCGTCGTTGACTTTATGTAGGTAGGTGTGTAGTTTTATCGAGTCCGTGGCGTGTATGATGTGCTTTTAAACGACTCCCGCGTATCCGACCATTTGTCGTATGTCTGACTCTTCTCCCGTCTTCCCCATGCCGATCTGGAATAGAGCGTGTTAGCTAACTTCCTTTGCGTCCATGCCAGGTAGTTGAAGGGGCAGGCAACACATACATAAATGTCGACCACATGGTTGGTTAGATAGATAGGTAGGTAGTTTAGTGCTGGTGTGTGCCGGTTGGTCGTTCGCGGATGTTTTCTTGCTTGCCACTGCTGACGAACTGGGTAAATCGCATGATGAGGCTAGGCGTGTATCGTCGACCACCGCAGCGTTTCGAGACGATGTACTCCTCTTGCATGGCAAAGATAGATATATATCCTTGGTAGGTAGGTAGAAGGGCGTTTTCGTCTTTTGTATTATATTACCGAGCGAAGTCTTGAGATTGGTGTGAAAGTCTAGACTCTTTCCTGTTGTCTAAGATGATACGGCTGTTTGTTTGCATGATGAGTGGCGAGGCCGTTGTCTGACATTTATACATCTTACTCAGGACCTTGGTCGCGTATGTCAGGTTCGTCGACGAACTATTTTGGTCGCTCGGATCGATACCCGGAGAGAGATGACGAAGATTTTGGGGGCGGGTACAGACGTGCTAGGCCAGCCCTATGCGCGATGTAGGGCGGACGGGGGTAGGGGGGATGGATCTATTGCTGACATGAATATTGACATGTTCGCACGTCGTCGGTAGCGATGGACCAATGGGAGGATGTGAGAATCTAAGAATAGGGCGTTTCGGTCGTCATTCCATGGCGGTTTCTGGAAAGCTGAAGCGGTTGTGGTACGTGGGTATGCATGCTGCTTATCTCACGCGCATCAAGAGTCGGTGAGCGAGATATGCGTGTAGCAGCTTGCGTGCGACGGTTTGGATGAATTGGACAGGTTTATCGCGGGATACGTGGGCTGAGCCTCGATCTGGTGGCTTGAATGTGTACCGCCTATACCGCCTATACCGCCTGTTCGACCTGTCTGTAGCAGCCGGATGCACTTTATACTTGCGGTCTGCTTAATACCGTACGGACATGGCCGCATCGATATCCCGCGATTACTTGCACTGCGCCCCTCCCGAAAACGTGGTACGCTTCGGATCACCAAGTTAAGGCATTGCATGCGGGTTGGAAGATTATCAGGTTTTATCTTGACTACAGATAATTGGCCAGATTTTTGATTGTTATATGTAAGTTATGTAAGAGGGTATCGTTAAATTCATGGCATCGAAGTTTAATAGTTATTAGTTCAAATCGAATATTTATAGGTTGATAGCTCTGTAATTCATAATAGTTGAGGGGACAATAGGGGGTTCACTGAGGGGAAATAGGAGTCGATTAGCGGATAACAGGTACCTAAAGTCTATTTAATAGTGGCTTCTATAGCGATCCATATCTATCCATTCTTCTTTATCAAACATCCACAGTGTTCGCGGGGTATGTCGACCCAATTTCTCCCCACTTCAAGTTGCTAAATGTGACCTCGGGATGAGCTTCGATTTGCCTAATAATTGTGGGATTTCCTTCGGTCGCATTGCATGGTCCAGCACCGTCTTTGGCGCCGTCGAGCCAGGACATATTACCGCCCTCATCCCACCAGATACTGAAAGCCAGCACCATGCCGCGGGTCAGCGCATCGCCCATAGTCTCGTGGGCGCCTAGGTTCATGAACTGAGTCGAGCCTGTTGCGTTGCAGTACGCATCGTTCGTGAACGCCACCTCCGGCACGCCCTCCTTCTTCACCACCTCGGCCTTGATCACCTTGTCGCCCTGCACGTACAGGCGGTGGATCTCCTTCAGCTTGCCACTCTCGTCGGCGGGGAATTGCGTCACCACCGTGAATGGCTTGGCCGTGTCTACCGTGTAGTTCTCGCCCTTTCCGTAATACTCCGGCTGGTTAAGTCGGTACGGATTCCACCCGCACCCGTTCTTGTCGCAGACACCGCTGGCCTGGCACTCGGCGCCTGTGCAAAGGTACGGACCGGTCTGGTTGCAGGGGTGCGGTGCGATTTGGTTGGCACGGGCGTTGGCTTCCCAGATATCCATCTCGTTGCAGCAAGCACCTTTGCCGTCCACGTTTCCCTGAATGACGGTTAGATGAAGCTCTAGCAGTTACTTATGTGTAACCTGAGATTAAATTCTTGATTGCTTACTTCACCGTTAATGAAGGGGGTGACGTAACACTGCGCGTCACAGTATCCCGTTCCCCAGGCGGATCCTCCGGTATTCAACTCGCTTTTGCCTCCATCTGCCGCCATCTCGGAAAGGTAGAGGGCACTATTCATGCCGCAGGGGAGGTGACTGACTTCGACGTCGAATGTGAATTCGTTTCCGGTCAGCTGCAGCATTTCGTAATTCTCCTTCGCTTCGTCTAGGAGGTAAATGCGGGGCGACACGACGTTTTCGCCGACGATCAGCTGCATATTCAACGAGGCTCCGTCCGTCTTGACACCGATGCTGGCATAGTCGCTTTGGCCCTCCACTAGAACGAAATATGTCAATTATTACGATTCGTAAACGCTTAGTAAGGTAGAAGGTGTGTTAGAAATTGACATCACATACTAACACAGTTTTCGGCACATGCCTCCTTGGTTGGGCAGGCGGTTTCGTTCGGCTTGCTTCCCCAGTTGCCACAACCGACAGAAGTATCGCTGACTTGGTGGACCCAATGCGCAGATGAGTCGAGGACGAGGTAGTTAGTTGACTCCTTACATCCGTCTACCACACTACATCGGTATGTCGTTAATTCGGGGTGGACATCAGCAGTGCTGCCAGGCTTCTGCGCGGCGGCAAGTCCTAAGACCGCTAAACCGACGGCGAGCTTGCTAGAGGCCATGGTTATTGACGTTTTCTAACTACTCCGCTAAATGGAAATAATGCAGTCACCGCGAGTGTGACAAGCACGCAACAGCATTCCTGGAGCAACTCATATCAGAATACATTATATATACAGTCCCTTCCCCTAGGTACGCTTTGATTTTTCTTCCATCTGGCATCTTGGCGCAGATAGGAGAAAGAGTCCGTGTACCTGATATCCCCAGATCGAACTTCCTCCGCATGTCAAGTTGTTTAATGCCTATTCTGACAGGTGGAACTTGAAGTGCCGGCTTGAGACCTGGCGATCTGGGGAAGATGGCCCGAGTTCCCGGCGGGCCAATTCGTCGTTGCACCATTGGATTTGAGGCTAGTCTCCTGCAGAGAAGAGCCTGAATGGTGCACACTATGGCTTTAGTTACGACCCTACGTATTTAAAAATCACGCTGCCTTTGTTTATTTCGGATCTTGCCGGGTTACATGTTAATTGATGTTTATGTTGATATCGACGTTCCTGCATCGAGTCGAGCCTCTGATAAATTGCACACCCGAGTGATCCGAGATCCATCGAAATGAAAGGGGGGAATACGAGGTGACGGTAGCCCGGTTATCATGCCGACAACATGTGTTGAGATAACTTTTTTACTAGTAATAGCTAATGACGTTCGAGCTAGCTTTAAGCTAACATTGTCCTGATTTATGTCAAAAATCTAATGATTCTTGGTTTCTGCTTGTTAAAGCACGTACGGATAACTCCAGGGACTTCACCTATCCGCTCGAATATTCCAGCAACATCAATTATGTCGGAAACTTCGGTATGGCAATACTTTCTCTGCTTTATGTATCGGTATCATTACAGTACTTGAAACCTTCGATTTTTTATAAATATGAGGCTTAAGAACCTTTACGATATAAGATTGGTTAGTCAGTTCCAGTATTCTCGAGGTTGCGCTGGTCACTAAAATATTGGATTTTGCAGGTTTTAAGTGCCTGAAGCGCCAGTGAGATGATACCAAATTAGCGGGCTCTAAGCAACGATAGGGCAGAGCCAACTTGCTACTTCTGGTTCCCGTTAGCGCTAACCCACTAAAAGGTGCCTTGAACAGGCAGATAGCATGATTCCATAGGTACTAGGTACCTAGGTATTGATCCATTCGGGGTTGATGCCTTATTTTCGAGATGTTTTTGAAGGTATTTTATCACATAAATACCATGCGATAGTATATTGTTGATCTGTATCTATTATTAGAAGTATACTTCAGGTAATCTAAAAGGTCATACTTTATGGACTTTTTATAACACGATCTGAGTGCCTCTTTTGTTTTATTTTGAGATTGCTGTAGAGGCCACCAACCATGGCGCCTCAGAGAGGTGTCTCATCTAAGAAAGGAAGCGAGAAAGGCAGCAGTGCTATGGTATCAAGTTCTCGAAAGATCATCCGCAACGATGATAACACACATTCCATAGCAAAGCGCCATCGTAATAATCGAGGCGACGGCGCATCTAATGCTTCGCATCCGAAAACGCCCCGAAGGCATGATGTAGATCTCGCATCGCCTATCAACATTATTCCATCTAGAAGGTTAAAGATATTTGTCTTTGGAGAAGGAGGATTCGGTGAACTCGGTCTTGGGAATCAGAAGCACGATGGGAAGAAGCCTATGAATGTGAAGCGCCCACGTCTCAACCACAATTTACTCCCCGATAAAGTTGGAGTTGTCCAAGTTGCGTGTGGCGGCATGCACGTAGTTGCGTTGACTGCGGACAACAAGATTCTTACATGGGGCGTTAATGACCTTAAGGCATTAGGTCGTGAGGTGGTCTTTGAAGATCCGGGAACTGATGTGGATGGTGATGACAATGAAGAGTATAGGGGCCTTGACCCCGGCGAAAGTACTCCTGCTGAAGTCGATCTAGGTGCTTTAAACCATACCCCTCAGTTCGTGCAAGTTGCGGCCACCGACTCTGCCTCATTTGCCTTGACTACGACAGGGGAGGTATACGGATGGGGTACATTCAAGGTCAGTGGGGATTGTGATATCGAATCCAATGCACGGCATGCGAAGCTGACCAATTCTAGGGTTCTGATGGTGTTTTCGGGTTTACACAGGACATAAAAATACAGTCAACCCCTATACAAATAACTGGGCTTAAGGAAGTTACGTCTTTGGCCGCCGGTGCAAACCATATGCTAGCCTTGGATAGACACGGGAAAGTTTTCACCTGGGGGTATGGCGGTGAATTCCAGCTTGGTTGGAAACCAGCCTCAAGACATACCAGTCCTAAAGCTACACTGCATCCTCGCGTCTGCGGGAACTTCACGAAACGGAACTATGCTGTGAAGATAGCAGCAGGATCTTATCATAGTTTCTATATCAACAACAGGGGGAAATTATGGTCCTGGGGTTTGAATAACTTCTCTCAGACAGGGCATCCGGACCTTGCCGGCAAAGATAATGCCATAGTTACCACCGCCAAGGCCGTTCGAGCTCTCCGCGACCATAATATCGTCCATGTAGCTGGAGGCGAACATCATTCTGTTGCGATCAGTTCTGATGGCAAACTATTTGCGTGGGGCAGAATCGACGGACATCAGGTTGGCTTGCCGAGAGACACATTCACGGAAGAAAATACTGTGATGGATAAAAATGGGAGTCCGCGCATCCTCTTAGAGCCTACAGTCATTCCGAGTAAGCTCATTCATATCAGGTAAAGTTTACCTTTACTAATGAGTTTCGTAGATATAACAGCTACCTTCGCCGCTATTGGGACTGACACTACTATTGTTACCACGCCTAATGGACAAGCATATAGCTGGGGCTTTTCTTCAAGTTACCAGACTGGGCAAGGAACAAAGGATGATGTTGAGACTCCAACGCTCATTGATAATTCAGCTGTGCGTGGTGAGAATATTGTCTGGGCAGGTTCCGGAGGGCAGTACTCTATACTAGCATCTACAAGTTAAAGCTAGTTAATATGGATATGAGGTGCCTAGGGTGAATAGCAAATGATTAAATCTTCTCCAACTTGTTTCCTTAAAATAAACATGGTGTTAGGGTTTACCCTTAGGTACATACTGTACCTATCTTTGGCAAAGTCTTGATTCTTTGTCTGGACAGTTTCTGTGAAAGCGACACGAAACAAGTCGACAAGTGGCCTTGTTCTATTCCTTTCTTATGTGTTATACTCACTGTTGATTGTTCTATTGCTTTCATTCTACGTGTTTATTTATAAAGCAACACTTGTGTGAGTAGAATTTGCATCGTTGCTTAGTAGGTAATATTCCCCCCCTTTTACCCCTTTATGACAAGTAGTTACTAGGACGTAGAATACCTACCTCTCCAACATTTCCCATTTCCAATCGAACTAGTCATGAAATACAGATTCCCTCATTTAACAGTGGGTTCGACACTGCTCTCGTATTTGGCTGTTGCTCACGTTATACTTGAGACTCCCAAACCCTTTCGTTTCGTTCAATATGGTCCGACTAATCCAATTTCGCCGACAGGCTCAGATTTTCCTTGTAAGATACCAGCTGGCAGAACATTAGAACTCGACGGCGTGCCGACTGTTATGGCCATTGGGGATGAACAGACAGCCACGTTCTCTGGGAATGCAGTTCACGGAGCCGGGTCTTGCCAGTTCAGCTTAAAGGGGCCTGTCAGTAACGGTTCTTGGGCAGATTATCCCTTGAAGGACTCCGGTTGGAAAGTCATTCATTCAATTGAAGGTGGGTGTCCAGCACGCAATGTAAAAGGTAACATTGATGGCCCAAATCGAAACAAATATCCCTTCAAGATACCAGAAGGAATCGATCCAGGAGACTATATATTCTCATGGACTGTAAGTAACCCATTCCTCTTTGCTCTTTCTGTTCCCTACCTAGATACACTGGGTATGCCCCAAACCCCTTTTAGATCCTATGATCTGTCTAACTCATAGGACGCTACATAATACCATTTCGATTTCAAATGTCATCAAACTATAAACTATAAGTAATGCTAACTTGAATATAAAGTGGCTAGCTCGAATCGGCGGAGAACCGGAATACTACCAAAATTGCGCCCCGGTAACTGTCACTCCCCCCAAGATCAAACGAAAGACCAAGCCAGATCGCCGAGCGTTGCTTGCCAGGAAGACGGAGTTTCCCGAGCTCTTTATGGCCAACATGGGGGAAGTCTCAGGGGGGTGCACGACCGAAGATGCTTTGAAAGCACAGCTCGCGATCGCATTCCCCGATCCCGGTCTTTCAGTCGACCACCCAGAAGGCACCGCGAACTTGTTCAAGCAACAGTGCGATGGGAACCCCCGAGCAAGAAAAGGGCAAGGTGAGAATTTTGAGGCTAATCCGACCTCCACGCTAACCTACGGATCGTCGCTCACCTTATCTTCCTCTTCTACCTCCGTCATTTCAGCTCCCTCGGCACCCTCGTCGTCGTCAGCTGGGATGATGTCGACTCCCACATCTGATCTACCAGTACCTTCTACCTCGGCTTCTGAAACATGTGTTGAGGGCCACCTTACGTGTCTTAACGACGGCGCCCATTTCGCGATATGTACTGGTGGACAGTTGACGTCTCCACAGCCTGTGCCGGCCGGATTCAACTGCAAGGTTGGATCCGGTGTTGGCCTTGACACTTTCCCGGTGTAACATTGTTTCTCTTATTCACGGGATACTGGTTTGGGGTTGCCCCAGAATTTTCTTTCAACGTAACTCTATGTTAACATCGAGTGAATATACTAGGATTATCAAGTACCTATTACTAAACTTGATGGCGGTGGTAACCCTCAATGTATGTTGGTTTCTCCGCGATGTCGTATACCTAGGTAGGTACGGATTCCTTATTTCTTTTGAGTAGTATGATTGTGACTTTAGGTCTGAGATAGTTTCATGTGGAATTTGAGTGGAGTATCGTGAATCTAATCTGTGAGCCCGTTCAATATCCCGCGCCCATCTCTGAGAATATCCCACACTCAAGGAGGTTTAGGCGAAGAAGCCTCTTCATGTTCTTAGAGCCCTCAGAACTAGATTAATTACCCTATTCAGATCCTCGATTCACGCTATCGGGATCAGACCACCTGAGACAATTTAGACTGATGTAGTAGACCGGAAATAGTTGAATAGGGCATGCGGTATATTGACATACCAACTCACTGGTAGACGAGAAAGGAAATAGAGGGACGTTTGAAAGAAGTGCAAGCAGTATCTCCGCCAGGGGATGTTTAAACCCTGGTCCAATGCCTGCCTCCTAGTATCGTACGCATTAAAGAATAATATCAACATAGTGTGTTAACTATAGGCTACGTCACTATAGTAAACACAAAACTAGCCTCTTGCAGACCTGACTAGAAGATTTCAGCTTTCGGTCTGGGGAATTCGTAACGTGTGACCTCGACGCCTGTCAGATGTAAACGCAGGGCGGAAGCCAAGGTCAGACGCGGGAGCTAGGGGCTACTAGCAAGCATCAAAGTGCTGACATAGTGGGCTTTAGTATCGATTTTAAAATACCATAACTACCGTATTGTAAGCACTAATTTCATCTACTGAATACGCGTTATTTACTATTAGGTGTGTAGGTATTCGATGTTATGCATCGATACATGTGCACAAGTCTTATTATTCCTAAAAGAAACTTCGTAGAATCGATCGGATTATCGCATGTAGAGCGCTAAGGCATCTGTATACGGTCCGGGGAGATAGATCGGCATTCTACCTTGGAGTTTCTTTTCATTTGGCAATTGACATGCTTGGAAAACGCTCGCTCGGGACCGCTTGGGCTCTGGCAGTCTAGTATTCTGGTCAATGATCACCCGTAACCGTGTCCCCGAACTCACTAGCAAGCCCCCATTTTCCTACCCACGGGCCGACGGGGCTAGAACTTTGTAGACCTCACCATAGACCCACAACGGACTCGAAGAGAAGCAGGGCTACTAAAGAAAACTACTCCATTGGTGGATAGTGCCGAACGCGAATGAACGAACGGATTGGCCTCTTAACTGGCGCCGATCGTTATGATGAGGTGGTTCCAAGGTTCTGATTTACGACCAGGTTCTTCGGACACCCACAAACACGGTAACATGAACAGATGAGGTTGATACAGCGGAATGAGGCATGCACATTGCTTACAGAGTGCAAAGAATAATCGACGATGCCATCGGTTTGAGACCGGGAGTTATCCGAAAGTTGAAACTCGCTCGGATCATTATATGGTCCATACCCTCCTTTCCGTATTGGACGAAAAAATGATTGATCACAACCCCCAACCCCACGGTGGTGTTAGTGGCCAGCGCAAAAATCTCTAGCACGCTGTAAGTAGGACCTAAGAATGGGGGTGATCACCGCACTATGGACGCCGTAACACCATAACTACAGCAGTTAAAAAGCGTGTGGAAGATGGTGAAACTCCGCTCACTCTTTCTCTCTCCGCCATCAAACATCTTGTTGATTGCCGACCGAAGATATCGATACCTAAGGTTGAAAGCCGCGCCAAGCGAGTCATTAAGAAGACATTAGAACTATTGCGTACGCAAGCGCCGCATTCGAATTCTACTAAGAAGCAACTCTCCCGCGCTATCGCCATCACTCACATGGAGCCGATAGGGCTAATGACCTAGCTGGTTAGCGTACGACCATCACAAGATGCTGTTTCTACACTACAGAGTATTTACACAACACTACCTACATAGTATGTAGCTCTTACCAGCTAGACTACCTAGTACCTGCTGTATCTAGATAGGTCTTAACACTGAGCAGACTGGCTCGGCCACTAAATTTACGTAAAATATGAAAGATCTGCTTCTAAAACTATTGACTGCTTGATAGGCTTTGCTGAAGCTACAGCGTACCTACGGATGTTCTCTGAATGTAAGACTTCAAATGTAAGGCGAGAAGATCTAAGCGGGAATCGGACATATCCTGGAATTATGTCACCCATTATGGCGACTGGACGATACAAAGTGATAATTTCCGGGGATACTTTCATATCTTTGGTTTTACCTGTTCCGGTACCGTGCTTGTACGTCAATGGTTCATGTGGGATGCGCATAAGATGCTTCGGTATAGGTATAGCTCAGGGGGGAAAGGGGAGCGACCCACGTGATAATTATACAGGAATCGACAGGGGATGAGGGGGCTCCTTTTTCATATTTCATATTGGTGAGCCAACCATATGAACTTTGCCAACTTCATAGCACTTCATAGCTCTCCCACATTTTACACACCTTTCCCACCTTAACCACTAACCTAACTTGCTACATCCCACTTCCAGACATCTCAGTCTTAACATCCATACTCTCGATAATCTTCCCCAATTAATAAGGATACATACCTAACGCTACGCCATGCTCGAGGACGGATCCGTGCAAGACGTGGTCCTGGTGACGCAGTTACCATCGGATTCATGGTTCGAAGGGTTCGCTTTGCGCCCCAATGGCAAGATCCTCACTTCCCGACTCGACCTACCGGAACTATACACATTTAATGCGGAGGACCCGGATACGACGCCGGAGTTAATATACAATTTCGAAGAGCACGCCAATGGCCTAATCAACGTATGCCCGTTACCGGGCGGTCACGATACCTACCTCGTCCTATCAGCAATCGTCGACCTAGTTCAAATAACATTCGAGGATTTTGTCGTATGGCGCGTGCAACTTAGTGAAGACGATAGCAGCCCGCCGGAAGTAACGAAAATATGCGACATTCAAAATACCGGCTTTTCAATCGGCCTCATTCCCGTCACAGAACGTATATTTCTAGTACCGGATTCGTTTAAGAATTGTATCTGGCGCTTAGATATAGAGACGGCCGAGGTGTCGTTATTTATCGCCGACGAGACTATGAAGGCTCCTCCCGGCGAGGGCAATTTCTTCGGCCTCAACCGAATGCGCGTCACAAAGGAATACCTATGGTTTACGAATACAAGTGCCGGTATGCTATGTCGCATACCAATTGAATCCGACGCGACAGAGGGTATTCGCATGACAGGTGGCGTACAGATAGTAGCGGAAGATGTTCCTCACTGCGACGGCTTGGCGCTGTCGAGAGATCAGACTTCCGTCTACACGGTCAGCTATATGGACGGTCACGTATGGAAGGTCAGCGTCGACCCCGACACAGGAAAGGGTACGACAACTGTTGTGATGCGAAGCTTGGCGTCCCCGACAGCGGTCGAGTTGCACTACATCGAAGACAAGCCAAAGCTGTATATCGTATGCTGCGGAGAGATCGAGATGAACTGGTTCGTACAAGATAACCAAAATCCTTGGAGCGAGATCGCGAATATCAACTCGGCAGTGACTGTGACTGCGGTTACGGTGGAAGAAACGGTCGAGTAGGGGTAGGCTTGGGCATGGCGCATCTGGGAGGGAACCGGTGTTCAATTTGGTTTTGCATGCTAGCGCGCATCTACGATCTGTGTCATGACTACTATGTAGCCCTATATCTTACTTATACCCCTGAGGCATGTCATAACTGTACCTATACGCATATTACAAGATAGCATCTAATGAGCATCTAATGAAGATACCTAAAGAGAAAAAAAAATCTTCAAATTCAAATTCACGAGCTCCTAAATCGCAGAATGTGCCGACTAATGCTAATGCCAATGGTGCCATGCGGAAGACTAGAGAAGCAAGAAGAAAAAAAAAGATACACTGCAGCTATGGTCCCTGAATCTGCAGCCCCGGGAGTGAAGCCGAAGAAGGCCCTAGTCTCCTTACGTAGGGGAGAAGCTGCTAACGTTTCGGAATTCGGAGTGGAATCCGGTAGACAATCTAGCAGCTTAGTTGATCCTTCATATCGTACTAATCGTGCTAATTGTAGTTACCTGCCTAAGGTATGAATACTAGGTACTGTAGGTATGCGCGTATGGTGGACCATTAAGGCATGGCACCTCATACGGAGATCAGTGGTTTTTCGCGTCAGTGAGGGTGAGGCGTTGTTATGGACTATGTAAATCGTTAAACCCCTGACGCATTCTACCCTGTCTACCTGTCTGTTGCTTGTCCGGAATCGCTTCCCCGCCATGCAGGTCAATGTCGTTATGGACCATGACAGGATCCTGCCGCCGCTTGCACCTCTAATAATTTAAAAATTTTCCAGAATGAATTTCTTGGATCTCCCATATTTCTCCATATGTCAACGACAGCAACATCAATTACATAATATATTTTATTCTGACTAAGTCAGCAGCGCAACGCACTGGTCTTCCTTTCTACCGTACCAAGAACGGATTGATATCGGAAGTGGCACAGCCGGGACTCGACCCCCGGAATGGGTGTTCAGAATCATTCTCAAAGCGATCCATGTCGTGCCGAGTCATCGGTACGAGCAACCTAAAGGGAAAACACTAACATGGCTGGTTTAGACGAAATGCAACCCTCTCGGCCCTCGGGATTAAGGACTTCGAGAACGAATAGTGTACGTCCCGAGGTCGTAATAGGTGTCGAAAGAAGTCAGGCTCCGCGTTCCACTCACTAGAAAATTAGCCAGTTATGTTTCACTGAAGCCCTAGCAAATACCCTGCCGAAAGCCAGTGGGAAGCCCTACGTAAATTATAGTGCATGCGCTGTAACCAATGAAATTCAAGGGGATTCTGCACCACTCTGCTACTTCGGGACGTGCTGTACAAAGTGAGTAATGCTAACAGCTTAGTTTACTCACTAAAAAAGTTCGTCTACAGCGGAGTTAGCTAGCTTCCACGACAGCACGGATCGATCATACGTTGAAGCTCAAGCCAGTTTCTTACCATGGATCGTATACCAACGCCCAACGACAACAATCTGGGGTAAACATAACCCCGAATAGGTATGTATGTATGCAAACGCTTATGGGCTCACTGCTGTAGCTAGAAGTATACGAGTATACAGGACGGCATTGTGCGTTTGGTACCACTTTGTGTGACACCGTTACAGTCCCCGGTTACCGAGAAGAATATTATCTAGATCTAATCTAGCATCTGGGCACATATGCATGCGTGCGTACCTAGGTAACGTGCAGCTTGCGATCCTTGGCATAACCCCTTCCCTATGAGGTGCAATTTTCTTGAACAGGGCGACTGAAACACAGGTGCCAACTCTGGATCATTAAAATAGAAGTCTTGGAACCTGTCGCCAGAGAATGAACGATATAGCCCGGGTTCCTGGAAGTTATATTGGATACCTGCCGGGCTGCCTTTTGCCTAGCTGGTCACATAAAAGTTTTCAAAGCATACTATGTCTGAGTTAGCAGCATATCGGTTAGAGGGCATTTCAATAATAATACCTGTCTTGAGTCTTAACACCGTTTACACGAGAAGTCTCGTTTACATTCGGCCGAGAATTCCGGAATATATCTTCGTTAAAAATTTTGCGTATCAACCATCAAGCCTCCAATTTACACCGAAACTCTTCCTTTTCATTTCAGCCTGGCTTCACCAATAAAATTCGCAAATTTATATGAATTATCTTTTCATGTAGATACCTAGTTGCTTAATGTACAGCCTCTCTATTAAAATATTTTCGGTTTTCTTTGGTGAAACTGGTAAAGTGAATCTTTCAAATTTTCCATGTCAGAAATTACGATTTGTATGTGGGACCTGTAGGCTTCATCTTGCGATAATTTTTTCAATCTTGAGATATCCAAAAAGATTTCGTGCAAAGATTATACATTAGGTATTCATTTATATAACGAGATAAAGTAGGTATATAGTATTGCGCATCTTATTGATTGAAATATCGTATGCTAAAGAGACTAGGTACCTAGGTATTTTTGGTGTGGTTTTTCAGGTGGCTCGGATAAATTTGGCCCCTTACTGAGGTACTAAGTCTTAGTGGATAAGCGCTATATTCCAGGGAGTTCAACCCCTCAGGCACTGCAACTGCTTAACAGCCTCATGACTTTGTCGAGGAATTGCTCCGCAAAGTAATCATGACTTATATCGTCGTTTGGAAGCTCGCAGTCAAGTAAAGTTCTTACGGCACTTTGATACTTGTCTCCCATCCTCCACCCGAGATCAACGAGGACCTTTTCTAGCATAAAATCTCGCCAATTGTCTCGGCCTTTGGGTTTTTCTCTTAGGTCGGCTAATAAGCCCCAACGCCCAATCTCGCATAGAACGACTCCCAGACTATAAAGGTCTCTGCTCTTGGTAAAGCCACGATGGGCGTCGGGATGGTAATAATGTTCTATCTGCGGTTCTGCGAGGGGGGTGTATGCCAGTGAGGCTTCCCCCTGTGGACGAGAATACTGGAAGCCGCTGATAAATGGCTCGGTAATGTCGATTCGCCCATCGCTCTTTTGGAAGAAGAATATGCTACCGGTGTGAAATCCCTTATGTAACCACTTCGCAGCATGGAAACAGCTGAATGCGCATGCGAGTGTGTATGCAAGCTGAAAGCGATCCCCGAGCAACGGTACTGGGGCGTCTTTATTTCTTATCAACTCGCTGAGCCGGATCGGGGGGTATGTGTAGATGTCTCTTTCGTAATTAATATATACGTTGCTGTTGCTACTTGCAGATCCATTGGGAGGGATCCCAAATACGTATCCGATCCGCTTAGTTCGGTCGTCCGCATCGCATGTATCGTCGAAGACTCCGTAACAGGGGGGTAGTCGCAGAGCCAACTCGCTCACTTCCTCTAAGATGTATCCCAAAGAGTGAATGCGGTCAGAATACTGTTTGGCGTCGGGTCCGGTGCTGAAAGTGTTCCATTCGACCCGCACGGTAATCTTCTTTCCGTCGCATCGCTTCAGTCTGCCGATGCCTGTCGTAGGATTCAAAATCTCTATGTCATCTTTTGTAATGCGGGTTGCCGATCCCTTGAGGTCTGCGTTTGCCATCTGATGATGTAGCTTAGCTAACGCGGCAAGACCTAACTTTTTACCAGCGATGGGGTCAAGCTGACTGAGGTTCCTCAGATCGTTGTTATTGTTGATGGAAGGTAAGACACGTCCTGGAAGGCCATTTTCAAGTAGTTCCATTAGCCTTGGCTCAATGGTGATCTTATGCAAATACTCATTATGACGGTGAATTTGCTCGATCTTTTCTTTCAAATCATCTTTTGCATGGATGACCCATCTGAACTTCAATTTTTTTCTCATTTTATCGGGCTTCTTTGCGGTCTCGCCGACGTTGATGTTGTCGGGATCTAAATTCTTGTCGAGATCAATCGTGCCCGCTGGGGCTACGGAGGTGCCGGTATCATATCTCTTGACAAGAACATCAGCATCTTCACTGAGCTTTTTGATCCGTTCTAGAGTTTGGATGATAAGTTTTTTGATATCATTAGGCTTGTCGCGAAGTATACAAGTGGAGGGATCTTTGACTTTGCATAAATCTCCCCAGATCTGGAGTCGCGTCTTTTCAATGATCAAGTAAAGACCTAGGTCGCCGGCATTCGTTGTTTCCTCGTCAAAGAAAGATTTGATGAAGATTCCTGTCTCAACAGCTCCTTTGAAGGCTGCGGCGATACCTACGGCACTAAGAACTAGCCCAGCTACCTCAGCCATGACAATTGGAAGGACTTGGGGAAGGCAGCAAGTAGTGATGGTGATAGTGATGGTGGTGGTGGTGATGATGATAGGAGTATAAAGGGGCTTGAAAGAGCCCTGGGCGATGTGGTGATATCTACATGGGAGTTAAACTATTAGGTATTACTCGGAACGAGCTTCTCAATAGAGGCTTAATCGTGAGTCAACGTAATAAATTCGTCCTACCTATTCCCCTACAAAGCACCTACGTTCTATCAAACGCGAATTCGGTAAAAGGCAACGTCACAAATGTTGTACGCGGCGCCCAGGAATGCCGCTACCCAATGGATGCTACCTATATTTGGCGTATTATAAAACGTTTTCAGCTAGGCTGTAGTGGTTACATACAATTCATAGGGAACAAGTTAATGTTTACCTATTTTCCATCGCCACATTGAACAGCTACTTATAGAAGGTATATTACGACGGCGGGCTAAATCCCTTAAACCGCCAAAGCATCAAAACGTTTCCGCATTTTAAGTTTTTCTTACGTAATCAAATCAACGAATTAATTCATTTTATTAAAAAAAAATTTATTTTAACTTAAAAAGCAGTAGAAATTTAAGTATAAAGTTTTTAAAAAAAAAGGAATTATAATAATTTTTATCGTTTTAATTTTAATTAATATTTATTCGACGGGATAATATTATTATTTAACTTAAATTTTACTTTATTTTTTTTACCGCTCGAAATAAATAAATAATGTTTTTTTATAATTAAATTAATCGTTATTAACTTTAACGATATTATAATATTAATTTTATTTTTATATTAATTATTATTATAAACGTTTTATTTATTTTTATAATTATAATTATCGGGGTTTTTTTTTATATTAAATAATAAAAAAAAGGATAAATTTAATAAAATTTTTAATAAAATATTATATTTTTTAACATTTTTAATTATTTCGAATAAATTTTAAAAAAACTTATTAAAAAAATTAAAATTATTTATTTACTTTTTAAAAAATTAATTTAACGATAAATTAATTAAAAATTATTTAATAAAAAATATAATTAATTAAATAAACTTTTTATTTATATTATTATTTTTATTTAAACTTAATATATTAAATTTAATAAAATTATTTTTTAAAATTATTATTTTATAATTATTTTTAATGTTAATATATTAATTTTTATAATATAATATAATTAAAAATAATATAATATATAAAACGATAAAATATATTATTTTATTTAATAATAAAATTTAAATTTCGTTTATTAATTATTATTAATAATAACTTAATTAATATTATATATACTTAAATATTAATTTACGTAATTTTTTTTAAATTATTAATAATTTATTAAAATACATTATTATTTAATAAATTATAATTATTAAATATTAATTAATATAATATTTATTAATTATATAATTATTAACCCGGGTTTATAAAGGAAAATAAAATTACGTTATTTCTTTATAAAAATAAACTTATAAAAAGTATTTAATTAAAAAGTTAATAAAATTTAAATAACGATTAAGTAATAATTAAATAATAATTAAATAACGATTAAATAACGATTAAATAATAATTAAATAACGATTAAATAATAATTAAATAACGATTAAATAAAAATTAAATAAAAATTAAATAATAATTTTATTTATAAATTACCCGTTAATTTTTTTTTTAAAATAAACATTTTTAATAATAATAAATCGGCTTTTTATATTAATTATATTAAGATTAAAATATTTACATGAATTATATATATTAATTTTAATATAAAAATTACGTTAATATCGTTAAATTTATTATTATTAATATATAAAATAAACATAATAAATTAATATATACGATAAATTTATTTTTAAATATAACGTTATATATAATATTAAAATTTAAACTTATTTTAATTATATATTTAATATTAATTAATTATTATTAAAAGTTAAATAAATAATAAAATAAATAAATAATAATAAAAATAAAAGTTATATTTACATTTCGTTATAATATTTTTTAATTAAAATATAAAAATTTAAAAAAGTTATATATATATTTATGTTAATTTTTTTTTTATAAAAGTTATTTAAAAAATAATTATTTTTTTTTTAATTATTTAAGTTTTAAACTTTCGTAATTAAACATAATTTAAAACCGGTAAAAAAACGTAATTTTTATTTTAATATATATATTAATAAAAATTAAAAAAATAATATTAATATTAATATTTAATAGTTTTTAATTAATTATATTTAAGTTTAAAATAAATTTTATTAATAAATTAATATAATATGGTTATTAATTAAATAATAATTAAACTTTAATTAAATAATAATTAAATTTTAATTAAATAATAATTAAATTTCGATTAAATAATAAGTTTATAATATTTGCTATAAAACCACTTAAAAATTAAGTGTGGATTTTACGCGTTTAAAACCGCATTTAATGTTTTAATTTATTAATTTAAGTTTTATATATTAAATATTAAAATAAATATATTAAAAGTTATTTTCATTTTATAATATAAACGTAAATTATTTTATAATAAAATATAATATTAAAAAAGAAAAATTTATAAATTATTTTTTTAATACTTTATTTATAATAAAATATATTATTATTTATATAAATAATACGTTTCGAATAAACTTAAACGGTTTAATTATTTCGTTAAATTAAAATAAAATAAATATTAATTAATAATTATAAATTATTATTTAATCGTTATAAAATTATTATTTAATCGTTATTAAATTATTATTTAATCGTTATTAAATTATTATTTAATCGTTATTAAGTTATTATTCATTTATTATATAATTATTAATACGCGTAATAATAATTTACTTTTAATAAGTAATTTTATTTTTAATATTTTTTTTATAATAATAAAATTATAAATTATTTAAAAAATGTTTAAAAACGAAATTTTATATATTAATTATATAACGTATTACGTGTATAATAATTAAATATTTTAATTTTTATTACGATTAATTTATACATATATAATAAATAAAAACTCCGTAACTATATTCGAGTTTTTAATAATTAATTATTTATTAAATATATTAAATTTTTTTTAATTAATAATTTTTTAGTTAATAAATTCATATTTTAAGTTTTTATTTTTTATAATTAAAATAATTATTATTAATATTAAAGTTTTATTTTATTATATTAAATATTATATTAATAAATTTAATTATTTTATAAAATATTATTAAAATAATAAATCTTTATATTATAAATATTATTATATTAAAAAAATTAAATTTAAAATAAACGATGTTATATTTTAAAACGATAAAATAAAACGATAATAAACTTTAATATTATTATTTTAAAGTTGTAAAATGTATATATATTAATATTAATTACATGAATATTTACTCGTATTCTTAAAAAAAATATTACGTTTTAATAAATAATATAAATTAAAATTACAATTTAATTCGAAATATATTATAATTAAGTTTAATTATAAATTTAAATATTAATAAAAGCATTTTTTAAAAAGTTAATTTTAATAATAATTAAAAAAAAATAATAAAAATAAAATTAATATATATATATAATTATTAAACATTTAACATTTAATAAAGTTTTAAACTTATTTAAAAAAATTATTATTAAATAATATTTATAAATTTTCATTAAAAAAAAAAGAAGAATTATAAACGGTAAGCTTTTAAAACATTAATATTTTATCGTAATTTAATTATATTTTAAAATCGATCGAAATTAATAATAAAATAAAATTCCGGGAAAAAATATTAAAACGAAAGAAATTTTTTATAAATATTTATAATAAATATAAAATAATTTATATTCGCCGTTAACGTTTTAAATATATTAAATTACGATTAAAAAAAGTGTTTAATTAATTAAAATAAAATGAAAAAAAAAATTAATAAAATATTATTTTTAAAGTAAAAAACGATATTATAATAAATTAAAAAATAAAATATTTAACTTATAATTACGTAATTAAGAAATATTATTATAATAATAAACTTAATAAAATACACATTTTTTATTTTAAAAATATATTATATAAATTTAAAATTAAAACTCTTCGTTAATTAAAATAATATTAATATAATACGAAATAATTTATTTAATTTAAAGAATTTTTATAATATTTATTTATAAAAAAGTTATTATTAATAAGTAATTATATATTATTAAAATATATTTATATATAATAAACGTTTTTTAAATATAAGTATATATAATTATATATTTTTTTATTTAAGCTTATATTTTTCGTTACGTCGTTTTAATATTTAATTTATAATTAAAATTTTAATTTACGTTAATCGCATTTTTTTTAATCGTTAATATTATTTTTTAATAATTTATTTATCCTTTAATTAATTTTAAAAATCACATAATTTATAATAATATTAATTATAATATAAAGTAAAATAACACGTAATTAATTAATTTTTAATCGAACTTTATAATAATTTTTAAATATAAAACATTTAATAATTAAATATTATTAAAAATTAAATTTAATAAAAAAAACATTTTTTTTTACTTATATTTATTTTAAAATAACTTAATTAATATTAATATAATAAATATATGAAATGAATAATTATTATATTATATTAACTTTTTTTAAATGTAAAACATATAGTTTTAATATTAATAATGCGTAATAATATTAATCGTTTTTAATTATTTTTTTATTTAAATTATTTACGTATTTAAATAACACGGTAAATATATACTTAATTATTTTAAAATATTAAATCGTAATAAAATATTTCGTTTTTTATAATATAAATTTTATATTATTATATTAATTAATTACTTATAAATAAACTTTATATAAAAATTTAACATAATTTTTTACTTCGTATTAAATATTTTTCTTTAAATATTTACATAATTACTTTTATATACTTTTC